GATACGTTCTCTATTCCTTAAAGGCTTTAACTATTACTAACATTTCCTTATTATAGATATTATAGTTAAGTTCTATAGCCTTTATTTTTTAGGAATAATAGCTATATAGGTGTTTTTTATCTATTTTTAGGTCTTACTAGAGTAAGTATGCTCCTATAGTAAAATTTAATATATTAGTTTTAAGTATTACTAGGTAGCGTAGGTTAAAGATCTATAGAATAGGTTCCTTTATAAACTCTTCTTTTAGCTAATCTATTACTTATTAGTACTTATCTATCTACTTAAAAGGGACTTTCTTTTTAGTTAACCTTATAAGTAGTTCTATAATCCTAGTCTACCCTAGGATAAACTTCCTATAATAATTATAAAATCCTAGGAAGAACTAAATATTTTTAATATATTTAGGGGTTCCCTACTTAGAGACCTCCTATAGTTTAGTCTATTTAATTTTAAGTTTCCCTAGTTTAACTATAAACCCTAGGAAAATGGTTTAGGTTATATAGAACTTATATTTCTTAAGCTTAAGGTAGAGCTTAGCCTTACTTATTTATTTAAGCACTTTTTTAACATGCCCTTTATATTATTATTTATTTATTAAATAGATTAGTATATTATCTAGGTATACTATTATATATTCTCCTAGGCACCCTCTTAAGATAGTATTAATTTATTATTAGAATACTACTAGGGCGTTAGTAAGCCTAAAGGGTATAACCTTATACTTAAAGAGTCCTAGCTTAGTTTAGAAGGCTATCTTCTACTCCTTACCTTCCTTTATTCTAATTTAGTAGTATGTATTTTTAATATCTAAGCGTATAAAAATCTTTATATCTTATAACTAATCTTATAGGTCTAAGATTAGTGGTAATAGGTATTAATCTTTCTTAGTTATAGTATTAGTTTTTCTAAAATCTATATAAAACTATAGTTTAGGGTTATCTTTCTTCTCTACGAACGTGACTCTATAAGCTATAGAAGATTTAGAAGGTTAAATATATCCTTATTTAAGGTTATTTTTAATATATTATTTAGTGACCTTAAATTCCTTTTCTATAGTTTTATAAACTAGTCCCTATATAGGTTATTCTTCTTCTTTTAGCTTAATTTTATAATCCTAGTCTATATGTTCTAGTAAGTAACCTTCTAGTTTATTAAAGATGTCTGCGAACTTCTAGTATTATTCTAGAATACCTAGAATTTATTCTTTACTAGTGGCTAGCTAATAGGGGTACTTAATTCCTTTAGTTCCCTAATAGATAATTAGATTAACTTACCTTAGCTATAGTATTCTAAGGATTATATCCTATTAGTTATCTATTTTAGCTAAATCTATAGTAAAATTATTAATTACTAATCTATCTAATAGGAAGGTTCCTAGTATAGTTTCTATATTAATTTACTTCTAAAATAGTAGCCCCTTAATATTATATAGGGTCTATTATTCTCTTTTATTTATATAGTAGAGCCCTTCTTCCTCTATAAAGTCCTTTAATATAAAGTTCTAGGTAGCTCTACTATTAATTATAGCTTAGATAGGTCTCCCTTAGTATTCTCCCTTAAGTATTATATATAGCCTAAATATTCCTCTAAGGTCTTCCTTACCCTTTAGCTAATACTTAGTCTAGATTTTTATTACTATATACTTTAGGCACTTATTTTCTAGGCATTTATACTATAGTTATCCCTTAATATACTTATATAGTAGAAGGGATTCTAGAGCTAGTACTAGATACCTACTAACCTTCTTTTCTAGATACTATCTATATACTTTATTCCTTTAGATAAGATTATTATAAGGATTATCTATTATTTAGATTAGGAAGGCGTAGTATTTCCTTTTTAGTACTAGGTATATTAGATAGTTATCTACTATATATAATATCTATAAAAGTTTATAATACGCTAGATATTTAGTTAGTATTTAGGGGTTATCTCTCTCTATAGGTTTAATTTTATCCTCTAAACGTTCTTCCTTAATTAGAATCTAGTATTTTATTATAATTTAGGGTATATATACTTTATCTATCTACCTAATTTTATTAGCTATTTAAGCCTAGATTTAACTATCTAGTATCTCTACTACTAGAATTATATTTCTTTTAACCTACTTATTAAAGCTAGTAAACTTAGTATTTCTTAGAAACTAGATCTTTTAGCCCTTATAAACTTTATAGATTATTTCCCTATATAAGTTTCTATAGAAAAAGCGTATTCCCTTAATTTACTATCTAAAGTTAGCTAACCTAATTATCTTAGCTACCTTAAGGGCTAGTCCCTCTAGCTAGAAGTACTCTATTCCCCTAATATAGATATTCTTTCTAAAAGATATAGGTGCTTCTTATATAAGTAATAAGGAGAAGGGTTCCTCCCCTTAGAGGGTTAACTAAAATAGGGTATTAACTAGTTTATCTAAACTACTCTTCTATTCCTTATTATCTAACTTACTATTTAAGTCGCTTATATTAAAGAATTCTAGGATTTAGGTATTTTATTTCTTAAGCTATAGAATTATTTATCCTTTTTAGGTTACTACTAACTTTTTACCTATTAGCTAGTATCCTATATCCTTTTTATCTTTATATATAATATATATATATCTTAGAAATACTTAGCCTAGTAAGTAGCCTTATATTTCTTACTACTAGCTAGTTTCTTTTTAGTATCCCTTAAGGTTTCTTATTTCCTTAGTTTCTCTCTAGTACCTTTTATAGACTTATTCTAGCTTTTACTTAGGTAGTTTCTAGCTATATAACCTTTTTTATTATAGCTAAAGTAGGTACCTTCTTTATATTACTTTTTTTTTATTATATTCTAACTTAATCCCTTTTCTTTATTAGTATCTAAGACTATTAGGTCCCCTTAATTATAGGTCTTATAGTTTTAGCTATTTATACTATATCTACTTTCTCCCTTATTATTTTATTTCTATAGGAATAATTCGTCGTCTACTTAGATAGCTTATTTAATTATTATAGATAGAGTTATTAGTTTCTCTATTCTAATTATTTTATACCTAATATCTAATTTTAGTCCCTTATAGAATCTTTATATTAGGGCCCTTTCTCTATAGTCTAAGACCTTATTAGCTAGCTACTTAAATACTAATATATAAGCTACTACTATTTTAGTTTATTAGAGTTTTAAAAGTTTCTATTTAGCTATATATTCTATATTAATATTACTAAAGATTAACTATAGTTTTTCCTTAAAGTAAGTATAGCTTATAAAAATAAGATTAGTTTCTATTTTCTAGTTATTAACTTAGCTTATCCTCTAATTTATAAGGTAACTATTAAACTAGTCTATTACTTTTCTAGTAAAGTAGGTAGCTATATAGGCTACCTTCTAGTCTTTATCCTTAAGATATTCTTAATTTAGGTCTAGGTAAAGAAATATTAAGACTAGGAATCCCCTAAGTTTAGTTTAAGTACTATTAAACTTCTCTAGATCTATAAGTTTTAGTAGTCTATTCCTTATTTAGAGTTCTATCTACTAGATCTATTTCTTTATTATATTATTAGCTTCTCCCCCTATTCCTTCTAATATAACTCTAACTTATTTAACTAATTACTTATAGGCTTCCTTAGCCCTAGTATTTTCTTTATTAAGGTAGTTAAGTTATTTCTTTATTTAGACTAGGTCTATTAGGTCTAATAATATTAGTTAGTTTACTATAGGAGCTATTATTAATACTAGTAATCTAGGTATATACCTATAGAGACTCTTAAAACATAATTATTAAAATATAATAGGGCCTCTAGGACTCTATTACTAGCTATAGCCCTATTAGGGTTCTAGTAAGAGATAAGTAGTGTATAGGGTTATATAGATTATATAGGGTATAAATATTAATTAATTACTACTATAAGAATATATTACTAAAGACTTAATAGTAATCTTCTATAAGAAAACTAGATATAGAGAACTATATTATAGATTAATAATAAAGGCTTACCCTATAGTAATCTATTATCTCTATATACTACTATCTAATAGTAGCTCTATAGGCTCTACCTATAGATTTTATAGATCTAGGCTCTATAGCTCTATTCTATAGATTTATAGATCTAATTACGTAACTTCCTTATATACCTATATTATACTTAGTATCTAACCTATAATTATATTCTTCTTCTATATAATCTAATTAGTTACTACTATTATTAATATAAGTCCTATAATTCCGTTATAGTATAGTAGCCGTAATAGTAGGGAAGTTTAGGTGCTTATAAAGATAGAAGATATAAAGACTAGGGTTATAATAAGATAAAGATATACTAAGTTACTTAGATAGTAGTTACGTAACTTATTTAGCTACTTAGGGTTTCTAAATAACTAAATAGCTAAGAACTATTACGTAACCTACTTAGTTATTTAGGGCCCCTAAGTAACTAAGTAAAATCCCTATATAGAAATATAAGGATAAACCTTTATACTTATATTTAACCTAAGTTTTAATCTATTATTTAGATTTACTTAGGCCTCCTTATTAATTTATTATACTTTATAAAATACCTTTATATTAATAGGAACCCCTTTCTTCCTCCCCTTAGTAAGTCTTACCTAAGAACTAACCTTAACCTATTTAGGACTAGCTATCCTTTCTAGATTTAATAGAGCTATACCTTTAAATCTATAATTTTACTTTTTATAAATATCTTATAGTAAGCTAGAAATAATTAAGTTCTTTTTAATTAATTCTAAATCGATTCTAACTTAATTTTTAGATTTTCCTAATATTATACGCTAGTAAGAAGGCTGTGTACGCACTAGCTCTGCGCTAGTTGCTTAGGGTGGCATGAAAACTTCTCGAATCCTTGCTGTAATTACTATTACTAGTTAGGCCATGCCACCTCTTGGCACGCCCTTGGTCAGATTACCTGCCACCACGTGATGCAAGCACGCAAACACCCCTACGTCATCTCCTTCCTGAAGGTCAACAAGATAGCCCGTTTGCAACATCGACACTCTCACACCTCAAATCACATATCACTGTCACGATGTCTACCATTCTAATTGTCGGCGCCACTCGCGGTTTGGGTGCAAGTCTAGCAAACCTCTACAAGTCAGATCCGAATAACCACGTCCTAGCAACCGCACGAACAACGGATCCTCCGCCTAGCAGTATGCAATTTCGTCTCCTTGATTGTATTGTTGATCTGCACTTTCCTTTCTCTCATTTTGCTAATCACTAACGACTTCATCTTGTAGCAAAGAATCTTACCTACGTTCCTGATATCGACGTCGCTTCTCCAGATGCTGGCAAGAAGCTACTCAACTTCTTGCACGAAAAATCTATTTCTCATATCGACATTGTGATCGTTACCGCGGGATACTTTGCCACCGAGTCCTTGAAGGAGCCGTCATTTGAAGCAGAGGAGAAGATGTACCGCACCTGCGTCATTGGTCCTACCATCCTCATCACCACTCTCGCCAATGATTTCGACATGCTACTGAACAAAGGATCTAAAGTTATTTTCGTTTCATCTGAGAGTGGAAGCATTACCCTGCGACACGAAAAGGAGGGCGGCGGCAATTACGGGTAAGCCATACCTACCTTTCTTGAACAGCTGCTCACTGTGTCGAGGCACCATGCTAGCAAGACCGCATTGAACATGTCCGCAAAACTACTCAGCCTAGATCTCAAAGATAGGAGTGTCGCGATAGCTGTCGTTCATCCAGGGTTCATGCGAACAGAGATGACGCGTGGCGTGGGGTTCGACAAATTCTGGGATGAAGGTGGAGGTAGGTTGCGCACAAGAACATGACGACTGAGAAAGCTAATATAGCTCAGCTGTGACACCGGATGTTGCTGCAGAATCACTCCTCGAATGGATCGAAGCCTTCGACATTTCGAAAACCGGGCAGTATTGGGCGCCTCGGGGGCCGGCGTAAGCATTATTGCGTAAACACTCTGACGCCGCTAATATGTAAATCAGGGATATCGGCACCGCGGACGTAATTCTTGGGCCCAAGGACCAGCTTCCCACTCCCCTTCAACTTCCCTGGTAGAATAGGCGCGCTATATCATGCGCTTGCGAGCCTTACGTTTGTCCTTGTAAAACAAGAATGGAAGATCGTAGTTCATGTTCATTGATGCAAAGCGTACAACAAAGACCTATGTGAGGCCATAAACAATGCGCCTTCAAATGCAAGCAGTCAAACGCCTGGCCATGTGACAAAACGCGAAATCCAGATCGACTTCATCCAGACGTTGGTAACTCAATCTTAGGTGGCTGATCGTCATTACCAGCGACCATACTATCGCTCCTCTTTCTCGCCTGCGGCATCCAGGTTTCGGCATCGCCCAACCGGTCCGCAGTCAATCCTTCAGAACCAGGCTTCCTCATACCGGCCTCGAGCTGACGTTGGTAGCTGACGTTCCTCAAGCGCTCGGCCTCCTTTGGTGTGAGGTGCAACTGGTAACAAATCAGCCTCTGGTCTATGCTCAAGCACTGCATGATCGAACTTACATAAACTTCAACGCCGATAGCGTGCATGGCCAATGCCACCCAAAGAGCCATTCCGAAGCACATATTCAAGCCCGCGCCAATCTCAGTGGAATGCCCACTGTTAAAGCTGGCGTGGACAACGGCTTGTTGATGCGGATTTGTTCCATTGACAAAGGATGCACACTCCGGGTATAGTGCCAATGTGGCATTATCCGAACGCATTGTGAAAGCAATCTTTGCGCACGGCCATGCAGTATAGTAAGAGTCGATGGACGATATGACGCTCGTAGCGATGATGAGGATGAAGCGGTTGGTGACGATGGACCCAGCCTACTTCGCGTCAGTGACCATCTTGCACAACCCATGATCGGAGGACCACTCACATAGAACCAGCCTCTCAGCATCCATGCCCTATGCTGCTCGATCTGCAACCTCTTCACGTTCCAAATAGACAATACGAAGCAGATAGTACTGCCGAAACCCACAAGTCCAACCCAAGCCTGCGTATCAAGGGTGCCATTGAACGCGCGTCTTGCGATCATCAAAGCGCCGACTACGCTCACCGTCCATAGCAGCATGGCGAACCAACCACTGACACGGTGGATGATGATAGCTTTGTGGCGTATGATGGGCGTAAACTGGACGACTACCAAGATGCAGGCGGGAAGAATGCCAGCTAGGTGCAATATGATGCCTGCCTTGTACCAATCGTAGGTACGATACCAGTAACACTCACCAGGAGCGGCGGCGTTGGGGCCCCTGGAGCCAGAACTGGGGCAGAAGATGCCATCAAAATTGAGATACGTGAAACGGGCTAGAGTGACTGTACGCTTTGTCAGAGATGCAGCAAAGATAGGGATTGGGACCGGGGAGACATACAACCGAACAGGGCACCAGCGAAGATGAACCATAGGATGAAGTTGTAAGCTTTTGAAAAACCAAGGGGGTTGTAAATTTTGCGAGCGAAGGCGTTGAAGCCGTTCCTTGGGGGGCGAGTTGGCTGCACCATGGTGAGTATGTTTTGCGCTTTGTCGAGCTGCTGGGTAGGACGGATGCAAATAATAGAGATGCCGAAGCCTGGATATAGGGGAAGACTCTTTGGTTGTGTGTATTGGCTGGTATACAGACCATCTACTCAACGAATGCAAAGCTTTATATCATCTCAGCCTTCGCACGGCTTCGAGATCAATCACCCCGACTCGTTCACATGATCGCCCATGCAGCCCTTCGCCATGGCTGCTGCTCGAGACACAGCCCTACCAGTCATGGTGTACGCGCGAAGAAAACGCACACAAAGCACAGCGCTACGGTCATACCAAGCTGTCCAAGGCGCCGGTTGATGCTCGCTACAGCGCGCAACCAGCCTTTCACGGTTCCAGAGTTCGCCCGTGCCGTTAGTACCAAAATCACCCTCGCTAACAGCCGTGGAGGCGGATCAAAGCGAAGGATGCGGAGCGTTGTTGCGCCGGGGTCGATGCGCCGGGGTCGATGCGAGATCGACGCCTGCGTCATAGACTTCGGACAGACCAGTTAACACTGAGGTCATGAAATAATTCGTGCACGCTGAGGTAAGCGAACATGAAACCTGGATTATGGGCATGTCCGAGCTTGAACTTCATATTGAGCAAGGCTGGGGATAGGAGCGAACCGGGAAATAGACTTTGCATAGAGAAAATTGGTGTTAGAAGTCTTGTTGAGACTCCGGATACACATTGACGCGCTCACTAGCGCTCTCACAATACCGGGGTGTCGGCTTACCTCAGCGCGCACGAATTATCTCCTTCCCTGTTGCAGATTAGCCAAGCGACGATGCGGGGAGTAGGGAGCTCTTACAACTGAAAGGCTTGGCCGTATGACGAGCTTGGCAAGATGGTCGGGGTACCAGGCAGGAGCAAAGGCTGCGTAACGTGCCGCAAGCGAAAGAAAGGCGTAAGTCTTCGAGCCGATGCTTACAGACGGGAGTGTGGCAGTGCTGATTTGCACAGTGCGATCTCAAGTGGCCTTCCTGCGGGCAGTGCGAGGCTCGTGGTGTTGTGTGTGATGGTTATGACCTGGATAGAGTTTTTGTTCACACCATCGCAAACTCCACCTCTGCATTAATTGCAACAGTACCACCCAGCAGGGGACATCCAGGTTCTATCAATACATCGACGCAACTTGACCGCGTCGAAATAAGGACATTCAACCCATTGCAGTTCAATATCTGCTTACCGCATGGCCTCGCCAATTCAGCATACCGAGAAAAGACACTGGAACTGTTCTTCTCCATGTACTTGCCGCAATGCAGTCATGACAACCGCGACCACTTCGTACGGCCAAACAACTTTACCTCTGTCATCTCACGCGCATACGCGCGCGACGAAGCCCTCAAGTTGGCAGTCATAGCGCTGGGCACTGCCATGTTGGGGAAAGTACAGGGAGAGGAAGAATGGATGCGACAAGGTAGAAAACTGTACGGACAGGCACTACAAGAGACGCGCAAGGCATTGCTGGACGCGAATAGGGTGAATTCTGAAGCCTTGCTCCTCGTCCCGAGGATCGGAGCATTATTCGAGATACTTTTCGGCGCCGACATGGACCCCATCATGCAAGCACAGAGCTGGCGCAGCCACGCAGAGGGCGAACTTGCGATAATCAAAGCAAGGACACCATATGGGTTTCAGGATGATCTCTCGCACCAGATCTATGTGGACGGTCGACTCCCGCCAATCATTGCGGCTATACGGATACGCAAGGCCTCCGTACTTGATAGTGTCGAGTGGAAGACCATACCCTGGGATATATACCCCAAGACGCCCAAAGATAGCCTGATGGACATCCTCGTTGGTATTCCGGAGGTTCTCGAAGACATCGACAGTCTGCATCCCAAGTTTAGTGATGCGATTGAGGCTGCTGCTCGCGCAAGCATCGCAATCAAGTGCAAAAAGCTGGAAACGCAACTTCAGTATTGGGCTACAGTACATGAATGGACCTTGCTTCATCCAGACACAGAAGAGCCTGCTGAAATAGCATTCAGCGACATCTTAACTGCGTATCTCACGCTTTACTACTGGACTGCATCCCTGTTCGTCTACGGCGCGCTGGCGGTTGTCTCGCCACCAAAGGCAGTAGCGTCTCCTCAGGCATTATTAACCACGTCAACCGATGCGCTTCTGTACGCACGCCGTATTGCTCGAAGTGTCCCGTACTTTCTCAACCCCTCTTGCGGCATTTGGGGCGCCACAACGATTTCGTTTCCGATGGGCGCGGCATTGCTATGCCTGATACACAATGGCAAGGAGGAGAACAAAGCGTATCTAGGATTGGCGCTCGCAGCTTGGCACAACCCTGCCTTGCCGTGTGCAATTCGGGATTTCTTGAACAGTATGCGGCGCGATGCGGCTGGCGAGTTAAAATATGGGCGGCCGAGGTTTGGTGGAGAGTTGGGGATATTCTGAGATCCCACTTTGTCATTGTAATGATGGAGAACGCTGTCCTAATGTCTCACGGGAAGACGAGCCGGTGCTTATTCGAGGGCTCCAGCTCCAGCTGTACCAAACTCACGTGACTGTGAGTATGCCCAGGTGTATCAGCCTACGGACCACCCGTCTCACTCGACGTGTACTCATCATTTTGGGGAATACATTCAGAGACAGCAACAATGATTCTGCTTTAGTACGTTACAAAAAAAATCATTTTGAGCGCGCGAAGCGTTCTATGTCGTCAGCGGCAACTCCTTGGGCCCGTGCCTGAAGTTCTGGCTGGCGACAATGAAACGAAACAGCAGTACATTCCTCCCGGTAGTCGGCAGCAACTACTCCGCTTTTTGGTAGTCTTACAACAGCGGCCCGCCGTATTTGCCTCCCGTTACTCGTCCACGGTTATGTCCCGCAAGGCGAGCTATCCGCCGCGTGGCAATTTTGGTACGCTTTCATGTTGAGTGCGACTAGTAATTCAGGCATCAGTTATAATAAATACTGGTCACGAATGACCCATGACACGAGTCGCGTACACTTCGCTATGGTACCTGCGTCCTTCCCTTGTTTCCGGCGGCCTGGTTTGTTGAGGCTCAAGATGGTGAGGGAAAGGCGCCCAGCAACACCCTGGCTAAGCATCGTTCTTTGAGATGGACCGCAAACGGCTACTCAGAACAATTCGTTGCGTGAACCCTGCGCCACCCACATCAGGCCGACAGAACGTTCCTAATCGCGCCTAAACACCCGCCGCTGAGCCGTTTCAACAGTCTCGATAAGCACACATTTCTCGAACAAGCCGCTTCGTGGCCACTAAAAGCTTTTGACTACGAGAGCTTACAAAATGGTACGCCAATGAGGAGTAGCGTTGAGGCTATTCTCGGAGCGGACCTATCCCTCTTTAGGTTTCAAAGGCTCCCATAGTCATCACCCAAATCTAGCGCCCCCTCTTGCATCAGCACCAGCACGACATTTCTGATGAAACCATTCGGTTACCATTTTCTCCGAAGACTCTGTGGCGCAGACTTGTAAGAACTGCTTACTCTTAGAGTCAGCGGATCACGATGGAACACAGCGACCCTTTCTGACCTCCAGGATTACAAGGCAATGCAACGCTTTTGTTCGTTTGCGGATGCTCAATCTAGGTCCGGCTCACTTGTCCAGCCTTCTATATAATACTGTAGATCTCTTTGTTGAGTGAAGTATCATTGCAGCACTCGCTTCACATTAAGCACTACACATCATCATTATACACTCACTATTTTTTTTATACACCTTCACATTAGCCACTATGCGTTCCGCTTTCCTTTTCGGCACAGCAGCCCTTACAGCTTCTGCTTTCGCTAGCCCGATCATCAAGCGAGACAACGACCCCAGTGGCCCAGGAGGATCCGGTCACGGTGCAGGCGACCACGGGAACCATGGAGGTCACGGAGGCAATGATTTCCAAGACTTCTCGCCGTCCCTCCCGGACGACTTCCCAAACCCGAGCCAAGACCAGATCGACGATATCCAGGACCGAGCTCACGGCACACTCCCCAACAGCCCTCTTCCGACGGGTTTGAGTGACGACGGTATCACCAACTTCAAGCTTATCGCCTTTAACGAGATATTCGAAGTCGCGTTTTTCTTCGAGCTCGTGCAGAACATTACCCACAACGTCGAAGGCTACCAATTCGGTGAGGATAAGGACCAGGTCCTCGAGAACCTCAATGTCATTCTTGCCGTAGAGGAGCTTCACGCTCTTGGTGCAAACGCTATCCTCCAGGCCAACCACGTCGATGCTATAAAGCCCTGCAAGTACAACTTCCCGGTCTCCGACTTTGAGAGTGCGATCGCCCTTGCTGCCACCTTCACCGATGTCGTCCTCGGCACGCTCCAGGATGTGAACGACATCTTCGCGCAGAACACCGAGAACGGCCCCGTCCGTCTAATTTCCTCGGTTATCGGCAACGAAGGCCAGCAAGAGGGTCTATTCCGCATCATCCAGAAGAAGACCACGCCCGCACAACCCTTCCTCACCACCTCTACGCGCGACTTTGCCTTCACCGCCATTCAGGGCTTCGTCGTTCCCGACAGCTGCCCGAACATCGACACCATCCCACTCAACACCTTCAAGCCCCTCAACGTCCTTACCCAAAACATTGAGCCCAAAGACCAGAAAATTGAGTTCAGCTTCAATCTCTCGGAAGTCGATGTCGATGTCGAATCCCTCTCATTAGTCTTGATCAATGCGCAGAACAAGCCTATTGTTGAGAAGCTTGAGGATATTGAGGTCAAGGATGGCATTGTTACTTTTCAGGCTGATTTCCCTTTCGAGGATTTCCTCCTCTACGGTTTGACTATCGCGGCTGTCACGCACAGCGCGGAATCCTTTGACAGTGCGGACGATGTAGCTAAGCAGACCGTCTTCGGTCCTGGTCTTATCGAGGTCAGTTAGATGGCTGGAAGATTGAAGACCAACAAAATGGTGCTATGAGTACTAGAACTTCTCATGTTCTTTTCTTCTGATTTGCTCTTCTCACCATGTTCAGTTAACCGCTAGACCTAGTCAATTATTGCCACGTCTATTTGATCGTTCAAATACCCAATCTTATGACGAATATAGTCACACTACCTGTACATGCAAACTCTATTTCACTTCACATCACTTCACCCATCTTCTGCCCCGGCAACTCATCCAACCACCCATCAACATCCTCCGTCACCTCTCTTACCGCCTGACACTTATTCATCTCCTCCACCGTTTGAGTCTTGAGTATCCCCTGAACCCCCGGGCTTCCACACCCGTGAAACATACACGTATCATTCATCGCTCTTTGCAGGCTGTCCCCCTTCCATCCAAACACGTAGTCCGCGTGCGTCCCGTAACCATTCCCCAAGAACGACCACACGAAGGGCTGCGACCCATCCTTGGGCCACATGTCTTTAAACACGGTGGTGTTCCACATGGTTTCGTAGGCGACTTGTGGGACGCGGACGGGGTGCGAGGCTGGGCAGCTTCCGGCTTCGAGGAAATGGCCGCGCTCGGTGGAGAACATGTGGGATTGGTGGTCTAGAAGACGATCAGCTATGAAAAAGAGCGGAACACTAATACGCACCTGGCGAGTCGAGGTTCTTTCCGTCCCAACAGGCGGGGAAGTGCTGGATTGCCTGGGGGTGTACTTGGTAAGCTGGAATGTAGAATACGCGGGTGTAAAGTAAATCTTACCATGATACCCGCTGGACATGGTTCTTTAGGGAAGTCTGGAGTTTCAGAGCCGCGCGTCAAGATCGACTGCAAGCATGTGTACGCCAGTCCAGGATTTGTCCCATTAGTCTTGTTGTTAATCGTAGGACTACCAACAGTCATGCGGAAACCCTGTATCACACCAATGTTAGCTTCGATTCCGCTGTATTGTTTGATGGTTTCGGTGCGTTACCGGGGCAAATGCGGTGATGTACTGGTCTCCGTCACTAACGAAGTCCTTCTCAGTATAATAGATCGTCATGCCGCCTTTGATATCGGTAGCGTTCTGCCTACCCAAGAGTTAGTGCTGTAAAGCTTAACAAAATACGCTGAAGACTCGCACCCTTCATATCCGAGTTGCGCATTCGGATACTGCGGCACGCGCTTGTAGCTACCATTCTCGTGCCGGAAGTACATCACTGCAGTCCAGTAGTTACTAGGTCAACTTAGCTGATTGTACCAGTGGTTCAATCTTCGACGGTTCATTACCTGAAGTCCTCTGAATATGCGCAGGTCGTGCAGTTCGCTTGCTCGCCAATGTCGCCCTTCATTGTTGGCGCGAAGGCATTGCCTCCCACGATCTGCTTTGGTGTTAAGACTAGTTGTGAGGGTACCATGAAGGACTGACTTGGTGAACATGAGACGATGGATTTGCTCCAGGCTCTACAAGTGGGTCGAGACGTTGGACAGAGACCGTGGAGCAGCCGAAGCGCAGTGCGGCGTGTGCAAAGCTCGCCTGCAAGAGAACGGTCTTGTACTTCATGTTGTAAGAGTAGCAGCTGACAATTGCGAGTCAACGTGAAAAGAAGATTGCTGGAAATCCAGAAACCAACCGTAAGCTACCGCAAGTTACGACAGGTACAAAGGTATTCCAGGCCGGTGCGATATGTACGCCTCAAGGACCAAGCCCGCAACTCTACGCCCCAATACCGCAATTCAACTTATTGCGTTCATATGTTAGGGTCTGATAGTGTAGCGAGCGTTCCAGATGGTGTTCATTTCCATATTGATTAATTTACCCTTTCATACCCGGTACTCCGGTACAGCGTCCTCGATAGAAACGAGATCCCGTTGCCGACGACTTGAATCATCCTGTAAGAGGACTCCGAAGCGGCCAAGAAGCACATCCACTCCTTGGCTCGACCATCTGCATCTCGCGTGGTCTTGGTGATGGAGTGGGGGCTCGCGGCGCAGAGGGCAGAGGTGGGGCGTTTTGTATGCCCCACGCATATCTACAGAAGCCGCGAGATATTTTGCTGGGCTACTAATCATGGATACTGAGATATCGCGATTTAATGCTGCGTGCTCAACTCCTGGCAAATCTTTCGCACTTACGCATCTCTTGCACACTCCCTTCTCTCGGTCGGAGCACATCTCCTTGATCTCCTGCGCCACTTCGGTGCCATTAGTAGTATCAGTAGTCTCATACGACTTGGCCCTTCGCAAATGTATGCGCTCTACTGCATCAGTGTCTCATCAGTCCAACCAAGCCCTGGGCATACCCAAATGCCGCCATCAGGCGCCACCAGGCGCGCGCAAACTCATCAAATAGTTCCATGAGCCAAATGTACATCCTTGATCGCGAGCAAAAAATATCAGGTCCACACTCGATAGTCGTCGGGAAGACCGATATGGAGTTCGGCCGTTTGAAGTGACTTTGGTAGGCTGACATCAGGCAATCGCAGTCGCATCTACAGAGCTTGAGATTAAACGCGGCTATCAAAACTGTACTTTGAGATGAGATTGGGAAGCTCGATGAACCATAGCGAATGGTATGGACGACAAAAGTTCAGCTTATGCAACCTATACCGCAGCCACTTAGTATTCCTTCATCTTCGGCGCAGACTACCTAATCATTGGCAATGCTTGGTGAGCAAAGTGCGAAGAAGAGGAGGAAAGAGGTCACTGATCTTACGTGAGGTACTGGTGATGTATTGTCTGCGGCGGAAACGTACAATCGATCACTCGCGGTTGCTAAGTCGTACGCTTCGCACGGCCCTCTTACAACTTTGCGGCCGCATTCACATATAAAGTCGCGTTGTTCAGCGCAACGACAGTCTCGTGCACAATCTCATGCACAATCTCACTGGCAGACTGTCCAGGCTTGTTCACAGACCCTCCAACTACGCCAATCGGCCTACAGACAAAACGTCAGCAACAACACCGGTTCATCAGATACACCGCAACCACTTGCCTCAACGCCGCAGCGTCCTCAATCTCCTCCGTCAACTTTCCTTCTTTATGCAACCTGTCCAACTCAAATTCCAGCGGTACAATTCCCTTGTCTGAAAGCTCTTTGATTTCTTGTTGGCGGTTAACCTCCCAGTCCGTAAGCCATGGATTCCTCAGTGCCCTTAGCGGCCTTCCGCTCCAAACGGTCAACTTGACCCAACTATCGTAATCCGCAGCGATGACCTGATCTTTGAAGGTTTGCGGTGCCTTGCTTTCATTAGAGACGATGAAGCGTGTGCCGATCCATACACCACTTGCACCGAGCATGAGGGCCGAAGCGACGCTGCGTCCGTCATTGACTCCACCTGCTGCGACGAGGATTACGGGTTTGGAGGTCAGCGGAGAGGCGTATTGTTTGCAGATGTCAGCGCAGGCGGGAATCAGCACACTGGTTGCAATATCGCCGGTATGTCCGCCTGCTTCGCCGCCCTGCGCAATGATAATGTCTGCGCCTGCGCGGCAGGCTTTGTGGACGTGCTGTGGCCGTAAGTACAGATTTAACAATTGGTTCCGTGTGGGGGATCATCTTGGATACCTTTGGATGGCCGATCATGTTGCCGCTTAAAACTTTCAGAATGTTATCGATGGGAAACCAGGACTTGCTTACTATAACACTCCCCCCTTGTGTAATCTCTTTATTGCCCATGGTGGTGGCACGCCCACGGCCGACACGAAGAGCTTCGCACCACTTTCAATTACGATGTCTAGCAGCTCATTCAAATTCCCCTTCGTATAGTCATACTGTCGTTGCACATCAGCACATCCTCATTGTTTCCAGCACCCCCATCCCGTTTCTTTGAATGATCAGTGAAATGTACTCACATTCGTCTTCCGCGCACTTCCACCGACCTGCGGCAACAACAGATCCACGCCAAACGGCGCGTTCTTATCCTTGAGCAAGTCTTTCATCTCTGTGATCATTTCCCGCAGCATTTTCGGCGTGTACCGTGCTCCACCTAAAGTACCAAATCCGCCAGCGTTTGTTACAGCGGCTGCGAGTTCAGGACCAGCCACTTGGTCCATGCCTGCCAGCATGATTGGGTGCTGGATGTTGACGAGAGTGGTTAGAGGAGTGGACAGGGGTGAGGGCGCCATGGTGTGCTGTCAATTTGCGGTGTATTGGGGAGAGATGAGAAGGAAGATCTCAGTTTTAGCTATCGGGAAGTGAGCATTGGAAAGAGTTGATGATAGTTGTGCCGCGTGTTGCCTCGAACGGTTAGCGCGACGCGTGATACCGCGGCTGGGGTTTAGTGCTGACTCGAGGGGTGGGGTTCGGGGATGCGGGAAGGAACATTGAAGCGCTCAGGGAAGGCTGCAGGTTATGCAGGGTCGATCGGAGAATACAGTAATAAGACCAAGTTTTGAGCCTTATTTGCAGTGTAGGCTTTGTTTAACTGCTCTACTTTGCGCAATGTTTGCGATACTGGCGTTTCTGATACCACGATTGTAATTTTACCGTGTTAAACTCTCTTTCCCTATAGCAAGCATTGACAAGTACGTCTACAGGATTGATTGCCCTTGTCATCGCCGTCGTCTCTCATCTAATTTCCATTCCCTCAGATGTCGCCCATCGTCGACTTAGAGGTGTGCATCCCACTAAATAACCCAGCGCATCCAACACATTCTATATATCACTGTCAATTTGAGAGCGTCGTGGGGTCAACCTGTCCAGTGATGCTACGCCGGCTACCAAACTTCCGAAGCAAAGCTCGCTAGACGTCGATTGTCTCTGGGGCGGCAGGTGTTGGGTCTATGTAAACGCTTTTCCGTTTGTGGAGGCGGCAAAACTACCTACCGTAAAGGCTAACAGAAAAAAGTATCATGACATAGCAGACGGGTAGAACTGCAAAAATCCGGACCCGACCCTTGGTCATGCTTAATATGTCATTTTTTTGTGTGTTGGTCATCGTTAAAATCTGCCTCCGTTATTCTTGGGAACCTGAGTGCGATGGGTGGGTCAATTGACCTTTCCATGGTTCGGGCCAGGCAGCAACCCGTACGTATTAACAAACAGTATAAAGCTGCTTTGAGACTCCTTCTTCGCACTAAGTATAACATCAGCTTTGGCAGACAAATAAGACACTTTACTACCCAATCTCAGTAGAAGTGCCACGGCTAGTATCACAGGATGCCTGTCACAATCAAGCCCTCGCCCGAGAAGGTCGGAGTCAACACCGATACAATCGCGACAAATAGAATCGACCTGCTTGAGCAACTTGAGCGGATGAAGCATCCCCACGCTAGCTATGCCAAGCCAGTATACTCCAATATTTCGTGTAAGCCGATCATGCACAGTTCATTTGAAGACATTGGGAAGGGCACTTCACCCAACCTTATCCCGTATGCCAACGGCTTCTTCGAAGGAATCGTTCGCGCCTACCAGCAAGACCTGCACCTTGTGCTGCGCCCAGACGATGTCTGGCAGGCGGTCATCACCCAGTTCAGCTTCTACGTTGTTGGTCATGCTGAAGAGCTACGCGATAAATTTGTCGCTCACCAGGGCAAGAAAGAGATCGTGCTGAAGCACGCGGGTGGAAGCCCATATGCGATGCAAGTCGATATCGTCGCAAGAAAGCTCACTTGCCTCATCGAAGAGCAGCTGGTCAACAAACAGATCCGGAACTGGATCATTCCTGACTTCAGCACGACAACTGACAATGACATCGCCGTTGCAAGCATGACCATGATGGCAACGATGAAGGAGTACTTCAACTACAGAGGGAATACGGGGTGCGGGTTCCCGTCTGTCACTCTGCTGGGAGAGAGGAACGACTGGGCCAATATGCGGAAGCGTCTAGATCAGCTGCCAGGCTATGGCGAACAGCCTGCAGAATGGGCCAAGTTACTTGTACCTGTTTTCGATCGGTTTGTCGCGACCTTTGATCGACCCAACGACGAAGCCCTTAAAACATTCTGGTTAACTATTTGTCACGCCGAACGTAATGGAAGTGGCTCGCCTGACACGTTCTCCGGCTGGATGACAGCTTTTGTTTTCTGGAAAACCGATGGTTCTCGCAATCTTCTCAGTGGCTGGCGACCGCCGAAGCATCAAATGGTAGCACCTCAACTGTCACTAGATGGCCAAGTGTATCCGAGGACCCTACAGGAGAGCATTCCACAAGGCGTTGTCGAGGTTCCACTTGTCGTTCGGGACATGGCGAGCAGGGTGGACCTCTATACGCAATTGGTCGCTGGTAGCGCTGGTATGAGTATAGTCGCCGAAGACGAAAACTCGACGACCGTACAGCCGAGAAGCGGTTGGTGGATGCTGTTCCTTCGACAGAAGGCTTTTGATCGGGGCGACATGGAGTGCGACCATAACCAGCCTCAATAAGATCACCAAACTCCAAACTCGACAGCAGGCCGCCGGACTCCCGGGCTTACCAGCTATCCTGTCCTTACCAGATTGCACTTTCGACTCATCTCAGCATCTTGTCAAGCACTGTAGAATTTTGCCCTTTGAATTGAATCAGTCTCACTTGCTCGCGTTCTGCTTGTAGACTATGTGTTTAAGCGTTGATAGGATACGAACAGAAATTGCTTGAGCCCCCACAGAATTGACTGGTTGTCACACAAGTTGTGCAAACGGAATGCCCAACTACTCTCCTTAGTATGTTTGCCAGATGCCCAGCTGTATTCCCCGTACGCACTTGGGTCCGCAATCCGACCAAGCGCTAATGGGTTTGCTAACACAACGGAAACAGATGCATATAGGCAGAGATACGGGAGAGTGGCAGTGCAAGCCCGACCAGACCACGAGCGAAGAATGTGGAAAGTACAGTGGCGAGATCCGCACCGAATATCGAGACGAGAACGGCGCGGTCGAGTCTCAACACCTTCCGTAGGTTCACGAACAAGACGTGAATGAGGACGCATAAGTCGAGAAGACGTAGTATTCGCTCCGGAAGGGATGGAAGCCTATCGGCTGGTGGTAAGTGAAGGGAGACGGACGTAAATAGCTTTCGTTCTATTTGGGGAATATGTTACCGTCTATACTTACTGCATGCCTTTTTGTATTAGTAGCTCTTTCCACTACAGATTCTATTTAATGCGTAAACAATGTCTCAGGTGCTTTGTAGTCTTCAAACACAGCCCCACTCATTTCATACTCGTAATCCAAGTCCGGCTGCAACTCCCAATACAGCGCCTCCGGGTCACTCCCCATTTTAAACGTGTACGCTGCTGCCTCGTCATCTACGATGATCTTGGGAATGCCGTTGGCGGCAGCGGCTTCAACGCGGAGTTGCACATCACAGGACTTTTCCATGAGGGTGTAGAGGTAGGCTGCTTCGTCGACAGTGGAGCCTACGGTCTGGGTTTGTTAGCACATCAACGTTCTGAGAATTAGCAGGAAAGGGAATGGGAGCGGCGTACCAATAACCCGTGATTTCTTAGGATGAGGCCTTTTCCTTTCGGCCCGAGGGCGGCAGCGAGTTTTTTGCCTTCTTCTTCGCTTAAGACCACGCCACCGAAGTCCTCATAGACTGCTTGAGCTTCGCCATAGAAGTATGTGACGTCTTGATTGATCATCTCGAGTCTTTTGCCGAAGGCGCTCCACGCTTTGCCTGCAACGCCGTGGCAGTGGCTAGAAACGAATTAGCTGGCATCTGAGTAGCGGAGATTGGTAGCTGTTCATGCCCTCCTGGATATCGGGGGTATTTCCTTCCCGTGATGAGCTTGAACCTCCACAGCCACCTGTACTCACCATGCAGCATCCACATCCGGCCTCGCCTTGTGCACCGCACTATGAATCAAAAATCCCGCCGCATTCGCCGGCCTGCTTTGGTTCCCACCGACAACCTTTCCATCATAATCTACCAACACCATATCACTCGCCTTCAGCAGGCCAAAGTGCCGGCCTAGAGGGTTCGTCCAGAATGTATGCGGGTACTCAGGGTCGCGCACGCTAATGTGGCCCGACATGCCCTCCGTGAAACCCTTGCGCGCGAACACGCGGAAGGCGCCCGCCATGTGTGCGAGAATCCATGCGCGGTGTTTGTCGTAGGAGGAGAAGAGCGGAATGCCGGGAAGACAGACACCTTGTGAGATGGCTTGGAGGGCGGTTTTCTCCTTAGTGGGGTCGTCTTTGGACTTTGGTATCACCTGTTTGGTCTTTGGTGTAGGGACGATCTCGCTGGTAGTGATTGCGGATGGGGCCATTGTGTGAACTAGATTACTGAATCTTATAGAACGCACAGTTGTAATGAGAGTTTAGGTTGCGGTGAGGTCGGTTATTACGGTTGCCAGATCTAGTGTCGCCCGTCGGGAAAGATAAGCAACGCCCTTTAGTCGACAATTGTGGGCCGTGAGGATGCCCTAAAGATGGTCATCTCCGCGTTTAGCACCATAGCGTGGGGTGGCTTTCAAAAGTGGTGTCGTCGAGAGGTTGGAATAACCTGCCACGGTTAGTGCGGGGCAAGAACGCAGGCAAAGGATCTGAACGACTGGTTGTCTAGTGGCGTGCGCGAAACAATTGCATGTATGTAAGGTTGAACGCTGTGGTCAAGAGATGTTAGAAGCCCGTGCAACGTGGACAAGTTCATAGTAAGTGGGTTATTGTTATGTGAAACAGTGGCCCTTAGGAATTCAGTGCGTGGGGTATCTTGGTGTGAAGTTCGTCCCAGAGCCGATACGTTGGAAGTCAATTAAACCGGTAAACATAAGCCATGCCCGAAAATCTTTGCGCTGAATTAACAATGGCGGGCTAGTCATCGCGATGCAAGAGCTGGGTTCCCGTGACCTGAATTTTTTAATGTCTATCTTTCTTCTTAGCATAAACGGGCTAATAAAGATTCGGAGATCAGACATGGAGCACATTCAACTCGACAAAAGCGCCACACAACATCGCCTTACGGTTTATTCTCATTCGTGAGCAGCCTTTGGATCTTCCTATCCCGGTCTGCCTCCGATGTTGATGCGCCCAGCTCTCCTCGCTCATATTCTGTAGCCAACTCTTGCGGACATTCAGCATCCAGTTCCATATGTCGGTATGATTCCTTCTCGTAGGCCATGGGTGCTCCAGAGACCTCAGTTGCTTGGTTCTCTGCAGATGCAGGGAGTTCACCTGGATTATGAGGGTTTCGTGTCCGACGATGGAGGTATAGCAAGAAGCCCACCAAGCCTAGTGCAATGGCGACGACAGGAACGACAACGCCAGCGGCGATGGCAGCGGTGTTGTCTTGCCCCTCGGGCTCGGGAAACTCACTTGTCTGCGAGCTGGGATTGCCAGTTGGTGAGGCGGTTGACGAGGCGGTCGTTGTTGCGGGAGTTGATGCTGGAGAAGCGAAAATGCTTTGCATTGATGATGCTGAAGAAGTAGGCTCAAATGTTTCGGATTCTGCTATCCACTATGAGTTGGTATTGATATCTCCGGTCTCAACGCAACACCCACCTGTTGTGGTGACCTTCTCAAGATCTGCCAACTGACAATATTTGCTGAAAACTTCAAGAGCGCTGTTCTCTTGGCCGCGGGTTTTAGAGCAGGCCGAAGTTACCTTTGTGCTTATCATGCGACTGTAGTATGCGGAGGACTGGATGCAGAAACAGGCATATGAGGTCAACTTCGAATCGTCGCCGCAGCCGTACTGGCTAGGAGTCAATAATATAGTACCGACAAGCAGACGTAGAGACTTGCCTCCATGCTCCTCACGATCAAGGAAACTTGATGCTCTGCGCAAGACTGTAGAAGGTCATATTCCGGCACCGAATCGATGTAAACTTTGGTCGGGCCAGAAGCTGCCGCAAAGACGGCCAGGAACCAAACAATCAGACACGGAACTGGCGCGACATGCATCTTCAGGTCGCGAGGGAGGAGAAAATGGTATATCATGGTGAAGACAAAAAGCTGCGACCTGGTGAGGCAGGCTGAAGAGTTTGTTTGAAAAGCTTCTACGACCCCTGATGCATGGTAGGTGCTGCTGCAGACGGATTACGGAGTGCGCCTTTTGACCTGGGTCCGCTTCACAGTGGGACTAAGAAAGACAGATCCTCAGCCTGGTCTATCAGAATGCTTCTGAAGTCTGATATCGCGAAGAGAGCAGTGATCGCATCCGTATTGGCGGATGCCATGGTTGAGGTAAATGAGTCAAAGTCATATCAGGCTTCAAGTAGCGGTTTCATTTGTTGGTGTGCAAGATCACAACTGAGACATGGTATGTAAGGCTGAAGTTCTCGCAACGTGGAATTGCCTGATCCGGGGCTGAAGGGGCGAAGGCGGGAAGGCGCGGCTTCACAGTCGCGAACTTGGGCGAGCACCTTATCCGTCTTTTATGATTGGATCAAAGACTATAAAAACAGCTATTGGCAGTGCGTACCCTGAACGTGCGTTCGTATCGTCAAGGAAGGACAAAGTATGCGGAATTGAGATGGGTGTCAGGTATCACAGCTGGAAGACAGTCCGGAAGAGTGCAAAGAGCCCTTACGAGGACATGAGAATTGCGTGCACGTTACCAATGTGTTGTCTAAGGTATTTCGTGATACCTAGTTGGAGAGCATGACTTTGAGGGTTTCTCCGACCCTAGCGGCTTGGCAATGAGTGAACGATGATCCTATGCGCGCTGTATCGCGTCGAACACTCAGCATTGCCGGAGGCCCAATTGCCAATCATGCGGCGTTCATACACCTGCCACAGGTGTCTTTCGCTCATACAAGCCTCGCGGCCGCAATTGCGACCCTCGTCCGTACTGCGCCTCGCCCCCCAAAGTTTCTCGCAGCGAAATCACTCCACCTGCAAAGCTCCCGCACAACCCAAGCTCTCTCTACCAAAACGAAGCATCTCCACGACCCCGACTCGCAATTTCCAGGGCGCCTTCGAGCCTTACGAGTATGTCGACCCGGAAGGAATCCAACGAAAGCTCGTCCTCACCGAGGACAACCTCTTCCACTCATTTACACACTCGCCCATTCCCGAAATTCGAAAGCGCGCAGCTTTCATGCGACAACATGCATACTGTCCGCATCCAGACCACAAGCCTACAAGAGCTCCGAACAATCCCAATGATCTCGAGGCGCGCAAGGATTCTGAGTCTGGCACGCCGCCCGCTCACGTAAACTTCGAATGTCCCGATTGCGGAGTCCCGGTATACTGCTGTGAGGAGCACTGGGCAGACGATTACGAGGCACATTTGGAGGTGTGCGATGTCTTGCGACAGGCTAACGAGGATGACCACGACCTGCGAAGTGGTCGATTCTTCAAGGAGTTCCAGTTTGCAGAGCCGCAGATCGAGGAGATCTTGACCAACATGAGCAGCTGGGACACATACCTATACACACGAGACTATGATGCCCTGAACAAGGACCGGGAGATGCGCCAGGCTACGAAGCTCCTGACGTACCCAATGACCATCGCCAGTGTCATCAACGAGCTGAGCCCGTACAACATTCGAAAAGGTGGACGCATGACGCCTGAAGGCCTCAAGAGCTTTGGCGGTATGTATTGAACTTCCTCCGCGCTATTCGGTCTAACAGTGATAGCTCTGCGCCACACTCTCCATCCGCCTAGAACCGGTGGAGGCGACACCTGGAAGAACGCCCGTCTCGCGCCGCCTTCAGTCCGGCTCTTCATCCTCGGCGCACGAGCCGAATCCTCCCTTCCGCGAGACACATGGATGCAACTAGCATACCTCTTCCACCGCGTACAGTTCTCGCTCCACTTCATTGGCCCGGAGAGCATGGCAAACCGCGAAAACGAGTTTCCGCTTCCCGAGCGCACGCCCATGAACCCCTTCGGCGCCGTAGTAGAAGACCGCATCTCCAACGCTATGAAGATCAGCACCTTCGTAGATTACTACCACAACATGCACAAGACTGGCCACTTCTACCCTTACGACCCGTACTTTGACTGCTTCGTATGCTTCCACCCGGGCTTCGGCAACCCGGCCTCGATGCATGAATGGGAGGAGACAATTCCGCTACTCTTAGAGACCAAGGTACCCATTATCGCTACAGCCTACTCGCCAAACGACCTGCAACAGGACGTCGAGTATCTTGACAAACGTTATGGCAGCGAGATGGACGTTTTGCTTCACCCTGGCGAGAACATCTTCAGGAGCTTGAGATGGGATCTCAACGATATGGATCCGCATGACGTAACGTGCAGCAACTGGGGCCTATATGCGTTCAGAGGAAAGCGGTACGAAGCGACGAAGAAGGAAAAGGAAGAGGAGGTACACAGCGAGCGCACTGAGTAGATCCCTCTACGTGTACAAAGTCTTGTAAATATGCTTGTAGAATGTACAGTATTGTAACTGTAGGGACTTGTTTCCGAAATGATGTTGGTGAGTTGATGCTGTTTGGAGACACCTGCCGTGGACTGTGGCACGAAAGAATTGAAGAGCAGTCACCGCATGACGCATCGACACCCTGCCTGCCTCATTCCTCCTCTTGTGGCCAACTTTGTGTATTCTCAGCGGATACGTCGATGCATAAATTCAACCCTACATCGCTCAGTGGTCGCGGGGACAGTTCCAGCATCGTGCCACGACGGCTGTATACCTTGAACAAACGAACGGCAGCTGGGGTTGAATTGACTTTGATTCAGTGCGGTATGCTCACTGAAACCAAGGTTTCGCGCGTCAAGGCAATGTCGATTGCAATTGCTGTTCTCAGCATCACCATTCGCCGAAGCTTCCTTCAGCGTCACTAGAAATCTACCAGCGAATGGATTCACTTTCAAACGAAGCTAGAAGTTAGAGCTGCTTCGCAATCAATAAGGCCGTTGACTTTATTGCGCAAACCCAAAATCAGGTTGTGTTCGTATGAGGTTATCTTACTTTACTGTTGAACAGGGATTAGAGGTATAATCGACCGCGCAGTTTTCACGATTCTGCGGAAAGTGACACATAATTTGATATGTTATTCGGTGAATGTACGACAGCTTCAGAAGGCGAAGCTTCTTTCTCGTAGCTTTAGTCTGATCAGCTGGTCCATAGGGGAGTTTCAACTCATAACCCCTTTCGCCCACCGTTTGTGCACTCATGCCGTCTTCTGCTCTGCCTTCGCCTTCTCCTCCATCTTCCGCCTCGCCGCAAGGATCATCTCTTCCCTTCTCCTCTGTAAATTTACTTGCCGCTCGTTCTTATCCTGAGACCACGCCTTGGATTTCGGCTGTTCTACCGCAGTCGACTCGGCTGATGGACCGACCTTAGATGCGAGATTGTACCGTGTTATCAGGTCCGGCTGCGCAGGCTTCGCTGGCTGTCGGTTTGCTGTCTGTCGCTGTGCGCCGGATGGTGTACCTGTTCGCGAGGGCGGGAGTTGGAATGACGTCGGAGGCTACCCATGATCAGCATAATATCCTTCACAATTTAACCCTCCTCCGAGATTCCCTCTATTGCCCCCAGAAGTTGATGATCTTACCTGCTCCAGCGCTCTTCCCCCAAGCACCGTCTCGGTAATCGCCTGCGCATTGCCCCCGTTCCTACTCAAGTTCCAGGCAACTGTCCGCCGGTCCAGCTGTGGGAACATCTGCACCAGATGGTCTATTTGCGCGGGGTTTATTCTGGTGGCGCGGTTTCCGGCAGACGTAGGGGTGCCGGCGGGGGCAGGCTTGAGGAACCATCGTACGACGAGGACGGTTACGGCAAGGAATACGATAATTTGTGGTATGTTTAGAGTCTGCTCGGCCATGGTGGTGGTACGGTTGGATGTGTCCAGTTGTGTAGTGGCAACGGTGGGAGCCACCAGCAGGTGGGATTTACAGCGGCGAGGATGATTTGCGGCTGTGCCGGGGGATTTTCCTATGGCGATTCGGGGCGTTTATCCAAGGTCGCGTGAGGATGTTGAGTTTGGCTTGCGTAAGTGGTGAGTGATCATGTTGCACACAAACAGGCGGGAGCTGCGATTATCTCGGAACGCCTCGGTCAACAAACCGAACCATCGCCGTGAACGCACGCCCCTTTCCCTGACCTTGAACCTCCATGACCCGCATGCTCCTCCGACGCTCTCCTCACGTCGCGTACGCACCGCAGTTGCTCACGCCGAAGTATTGCTTGAGGCTTCCGCTCCTTACACCATGCTATAGATTGTAATTCTTGTGATACCCTAAGTTTTGTTCGTAATATTCGGCTATACATATACACAATTCACCGTAGCGCGCGCGACTCACTGCGCGATACACGCGCCGCAATGGTCACCAATCTGGAGGAATCGAAAGTGCCGGGGCCTGCGCATGGAGCGCAAGACAGTGCATATAACGCGCCAGACTGGGAAGTGCCGGAAGCAAGTACAACGAGGAGGAAGGGACTCCGCCTTGGATCGACATCCAGGCGCTGGGCCGTTGCCGACCGCTTCGACAGAGTACTGCCTCCATACAAGCGCTACATAGGCCTCAAACGACGCGCATTCCTTCTCGCCGTTGCAGCTGTATTACTCGCAATCATTGCGCTCGCCGTAGGCCTCGGAGTTGGCCTGGGCAAGAAGCACAAGTGAGCCAATACTCAATCCGAATACTCTTCCCAGTCGCTGACTCGAGTGTTTGAAGGGACCAGAATCTCCCGCTACCTAATAATTCGCAAACCTTCACCGGTGACTTGACATACTACAGCCCCGCGCTAGGCGCATGCGGCGTCGAAAGCAACGACGACTCCCCCATCGTCTCTATATCACATTTCACCTTTGACGCAGTACAGACTGGCAGCGACCCGAATCAGAACCCGCTTTGTGGGAAGAAGATTAGGGCTAAGCGGACAAGGGAGGATGGGAAGACGGTTAGCATTGATGTGACTGTTGTGGATCGCTGTGAGTCTTTCTTTGTGATTAAGATCGACTTGAGGGCATTTGACTAACAAGAGATAGGTACTGGGTGTCAACCCACTGATATTGATGTTAGTCCTGCTATGTTTGATAAGTTGGCGGATCATGGATTGGGAAGGGTGGATGTGACGTGGGCGTGGTTGCCCTAGCTGCGCTGTTGCGCTGAGTCACTGTGGCATCCTAGCCTTGCTGAGTTCGATATTTTCCCAGTCCTTCATCATGAAATTTTGGTCCATTGAGTCTTACATTTGGCGAAGAGATTGTTCAGTATCACTTCATAGACTACAGCACTCACAGCAACACTGGAATCTATAAATGTCTCCTCGTGGCCTTTACATGGAGCCTTCGTGGAAACTTCAAGGAGACCGTTAGCTACATCGAAAGAACCGCACGACGCATGAACCACATAGATTGTCCAGAGCCAAACACGATCAAATCCGCCGGCGGGTCCGTCAACAAACAGAACATAGGTTTCAACAAGATGACCCAGGGAAGCACGATAACTCCATTGCAGGACATTTCGCCAAAGTTCAAAGAAGCAGAGCTGAAACGAGCTGCTCGGCAACAGGAACGACACACTCCGGACTACCTCAAGGAACATACCCAAAATCGCTCGCGCAGGCGCAGTGAAGCGCTGTGTTCGAGTCCTCCGATGTCACCTATGGTTGATGATCCTTCACTATCTGGGAAACAGCGCTTCGGTCGGGCCTCAAATCCAGGAGAGTATGGACCCCGCTTCAATGAGTACTCTGATCGAAGTCACGCCGCTGGAGTCTATGAGAACCATCCGACAGAAGTCCATGAGGTCCCTGATCACATGGCTTCCTTCGGCACACTTCACCACAGAAGGTTCATCGACGTCGGCCTGAGCGACGAGAAAACCGCGCCCGCGCCTGGAGAGCATCTCGACCATCATAATGACCGGAACTTGCCGCCAATACCGCCACCTGTTTTACCCGAGCCTCGCACAACTTGGACCCCTCAAGCACAACACCATCCATACCTACACGACACGCCCTACCGAGCCTCCAAACCCAACCTCAGCCCCTCTTTTCTGCACAACACCTTCTCCAAAATCCGAGGAGACCCCAAGACTACCTTTCTGTATCTTGTTCTCGTTATCCTTTCCACCTTCCTCATCTACGCAATCGTCTACGCAATTATAAGACTCCTCCCACTTTACGACAACCTGCGCGACTTGAAGGACAAACTAGCCTCAATCGACGCCTTCAAAGACAAGGTTGCCGCCAAGTTAGGAGCTTGGTTAGACGACGGAAAAGACTTGGCCAAGAACGTAAAGGACCAGGCGAAAATATATGCCGATACAGTGGTGGATGAGGCGAATAAAGTGCTGGGCAAGTTCGGAAAAAAGCTGGACCATGTTGGTGTTGAGAAGAGGAACAGTGTGGCGAGTTCGGTAGGAGCGACGACGACAGCGGTGCTGTCTCGGTCTTCAACCGCGTTACCGAGCACCTTATTACCGAGCTCATTAAAGACACGCGAGGCGTTGAGGTCTGAGCTGCATGAAAATAAGGTTACGACGAGATCCAAGAAACAAGAGCTAGAAGCAGGCGGCTGCGGAGGGCGGAATTGTACAAGCTTTGCGCTTGGGCGGAGGAACTATCTGCCTTGGCCAATTGTCATGGTCGGAAGCCTGGTCGGACTTGTGTGCGGCAGCCCGATCGGGTGCTCGACGTCGACAGTGACCACGACATACACCCTCTATCCCACACCTTCGATCCACCCCCGAACGTTTGACTTCCAAGACTTCGATTCCATAAGCAACGTAGCCGAGCTGTCAGCCTGTCTAACCGATGAGAGCGCCAAAATTGATTCGACGCTCAGTGAAGATTCTAAGGCGAGTGGGACTTCCGCAGTTGGGGCGACACCTTCTGCCGAGACAATAGAGGCGCGTGATGACGGGTCCCTGTGTAGTCTTGAGCTGTCGGTGATTGGTGAGTGTTGTGATGATTTACCAACTTTCTTTGAGCAGGTAGTGTGCTACGATCACTTCCGCGAGACAATGCAATTGTCAGGACCGGAAGCTGTCTGAGATATTCAGACAGCGAATCGTCTATCCAATTAACTATTACTTGCTCCATACCTTGCCAATATCTACGTTGCTACGTGACAAGAAACCTAACAGCAATAGTGTTAAAAACATTTCCTACCGTGCAATGCTGAACTTGACCGGCACGATTACGCTGGTGTACTTCACATGCGTGATGGCAGCAATGTCTTCGTGATACCGTATGTGCCCTCATCATTGAATTATTGATTATAAGCCATGCGTTTTACGGTCCTCTCTATCCATGAGATCCGCGAGCCCTCCTCCCACGACTATTTCCAACAGTGGACTGCGATAGCCGCGTCCCATTCTGAGAGCGAACAATCGCACAGCCCAGATGCCAAGGCCAACAGCTGATCCGATTGCTATGTGCTGACGGACTTCCGTTTCACCTCGTCTCCTTTCTCGATCGTGACTCCAGCGGGGAATGAAATTGCGGTATTCGAGCCCCGCGGCCTGACAGGCAAGGACTGTTGCCGGTAACAGGAATGCAGTATATTGTAGGGCTGATAATGTCCTCGCGTTGCGAAAGATGGATGCCGGAACAGTCCAGCCCAGATTGTGCAACTGACTTAGATGCGCCACACCGCCAGCTCCACAGACAAAAGGCACCGCGTCCACGATTGCAGCGGCAAGATCTAGCCCAGGCCGTTGCGGAATGACGATATCGGACTTTGCGCTGTCGTATCCAGGTCTTGGACGCCAGTCATTGTCTGATGGTGTCTTCGTTTTCCAGAATAGGACATGTTCGAGATTCATCTCGGACTCAATGGCAATATCGGGTATCTTGACTCCTGTAACGTAAGAGAAGATACGTTTTAACAAGTCTGCATAGGTAATTCTTTCAGTCGTATATGTCAAGACAGAATATGCAGGCTTCCGTGAAAGGTTGAAACTGTTGTAAGCAGAGTCGTGAGTTCCTAAAGTCAACGGGTCACTGTTGCCAACCTGGGCCTAGCGTAAAATTGGCGGCTTGCGTTCACACTGCGCTAAATAGTACAGTAGCTAAGTGTTAAGCCAGCCAGCACATTGCCGAAATCGAAGTTGTCTACTTCTACTAAATACTACCATACGGGTCCCTCTCCAGACTCCCAGCCAAAATCCCCTCCTATTTTAATCCTCACAAATCTTCCCAGTTCACTCCACAAAAATCGCTCGGTTTCACGTTCCTGTATCCTCAGCATTCTTCCGCAATTTGTTCTATGACTTTCGACTTGGGAGGAAAAGACCTAAATACAGATAGAATACCCGAGTTGCTACGTAAGGTCAATACTAGCGGAGTGATTTTTGATGTTACCGCCGTTGGAAAGAGACTTCTCAGCTGTCCCTAAGAAAACCATGCTTCGAAGCTGTGTGATCTCAAAGTGCTATATGAATGTAAGTACTTAAGTCCTTCGAAGTGCAATGCATCGATTTTTCGTAAAGATGGGGGAGATCGATCTCCTCACGGATCGATGATTGTAGTATGCTGCAAGATCCTAGATAAAATCGTACCTATGGTAGTAAACCCTCGGTGTCCGCCTGCCTTCCAACCTTGTAGAACTGCTAGTAACGTACTGGTAGCCAGCTCGACCGTCCTAACCTTCTGCAAAATCCATACGCTCCCGTGCCGTGCTACGTTCAAGGACACAACAATCAACGTCGTACATACTCAATCGGATCGGACCGACAAAGGCCATAGTTCACGCCAAAGTAAGCCCTAACCAATCAACTCCCACTCGCATACCCCCGCCTCGAAGCAGCATACACACGCGACTCAACCGTGCCGCTACCTTCCCGCGGCACCACTTTTAGCTTCCCGCGGGATCATTTCTCCTCACCTTTCGCATATGCCATCCTCTCTGACTACAATACCAGGCCAATGGTTTTCACATAATCCTACCCATCAGACATGCCTAGACAAGGAAGCAGAAGCCTGGCGAATGGCATTAGGACGGTAAAGCAACTGTCAGCTGAGAACAGTCCGTGGCTGCGCAGATACGCTTGGTATGCGGAGACCCGCGGGGATGGGGACAGGCCGTTGTGCGATAATAAGAAGCAGAGCTCTGCTTCAGCGCTGCCCTTTCATACAACAATCTTCTGATCTTGAACACTCAATTTTGATCACAATACTACTACGCGCTCAACAGCCCCAGCGCCACAACTGAATACACGTGACTGCTTTCATTCATAGTACATCACACCACACCGATCCAACCTCCACATCTCCACCATAAAGCCTATTTACCCACCATGTCTGCCACAACACGCACTCTCGAAACCATGATCCTACAAGCCCACCGTGCAAAAGGCATCCGCTACCCGACCTCGTCTCAAAAGCAGTCCTTCAAGACATGGTACGCGTACGCTCTACGTAGAGGCGGGGCTGAGAAGGTCGAGCCGCAGGGTCTACTGGCATATAGCCGAAAGGCAAGGGATCTCACGCCCGCAGGCAGGACGTATCTATAGGTAAGTGTAATGTGAACGCTGAGTTGCAGATGGATGCTTATGTCACCAGTGAAGGTTGAAAGTGGTAAACTTCGAGGGGATTCGACGGCCACGTATGGGCAAGGTCAAAGTTTTGTAATTGGGTTATGCATATGTAGGACTACGATGTGGTATTGTATTGGTGTAGGCGTTTGGGCACGTAATTGGTCTGCTTCACTTCGTGGCCACAGAATGTACCTATATTTGCGAAGATCAAGGCAAGTGCAGCTGTCTGTTTCATATTCTTTAGTAGTAAACATACTCCTAATTAAGCTGCAATTGCCAGGCACCACGCTATCATCCCGCACCTACCTACACGTCTACATCATACCTCAGATTGTTTATTTGAGGTGTAGAGTAATATCATCATTCACACCTTCTACTTTGGTGTTTACTTTTTAAATTCCTGATTTTTGAGAACATTCGTTGAATCTCCATCCCCCTGGCGATGTTCCCAAGGGCAAGCCATCTGTACGCCTTCCGTCGCACCCTCCGTCTCTATCTAGGACGGTTTCACGGGGTCATTACCTTGTGTAGCAAACTGAGCTTCTTTTGCGATGTCAACCGCAACGACCTCGACTCATTTCATGCGAATTTTCAGAGGAGGGAAGAGTTGATACTTGCAGCGAGGTAGAAATTGGAGGAGAAGGCAAAGGCAGGATAGAACGCGGCGTGATCGTGCGGCTGGTGGGTAAAGGGGTTAAAATTCAGGTTAGGGCAAAACTATGCTCTGCGACGACGCCTATGGTAGAGTGAAAACCTTCGCTATTCTCGACTGTACATGCTACAACATCTATATTGTCTACGGTGTAAGAACGCCGCTACGTCTCCGTCAGCCTACTCGGGTCCGCTGGGCTCATCATTCTACCGTTCACATAGCAACGTGGTAAGCGAGGAGTGTCCGCTGCATGGCCCCTACTGCACTAGAGTACTTCATATAGGTCTTATGTTGAAGAGACCATTGGTCGCTGGCCTTCCCCTCCAAAGAGTGCGCTTCTCTGATCCTTGTCATGGTCGCACTGCGGCGCTTTTGGGCCTACTCTTGATTCCAGTCTCAAACCTCGTTCCGATCGTGCGAGTATGTCTGTCGTCTTGCGAGTCGGCCAACAATAAGCTAGCTTTTTCATGAGTTTTCTTTTTGCAGGACTACTGTCCGCATCAAGCTTCGCGATCTCATCCCGGGTCGCGAGCCTGATACTTCTCGAGCAGGTTACGTATATCTCTCGATGCAGACCGCGGCACATCGTCCATGTTGATCCTGGCACCCAACTTCAACAGCGTCTTGACGAAGGTGTACTTGTCTTCGTTGACCGCAATCCAAAGCGGCGTCCGCCCTGGCCCACTCTTATCCTTGATGTTCCAGTCCGCTCCTGCACGGATAAGTCTTTTGGCGCAACCAAGGTTGTTTTGCTTGACGCAGTGATGCAGAGCGGTTAAACCGGAAGCATTCGTCGCGTCGATGTGTACACCATTAACATCGAGGAGACGTTGAACAATGTGTTCGTTGCGTGTTCCCGTTGCCATGTGCAGGGCCGTCAGGCCCCTTTCACCTACGACGTTAACGTCCGCGTGCTCAACGAGCAAGAAGTTTACCACCGCTGCGCTGTCGATCTTGACGGCATGCATGAGTGGCGTGAAGTGGTTTGGATCAAGCCAATCAATGTTGGCGCCATGGTCTAGCATCAATCTACAGTAGTCAAGCCTCTGTTTCTTGACGGCGTACACGAGAAGCGCGTCTCTGCTGACCTCGAGTCGAAGCAGTTTGTCGACAATGAGGCCGCACCTCTCTCCTTGCTTGCAATGCTTGCAGTCCATCGCGAGCATTGTCACGGATTTCCCGCCACTAGTTTCTTCCAGCTCTTTCAAGCTCATTCTACCCATTATAGCGACCACATCGTCGAAATGAGTGTTGTGGTCTCGAACGGCATCGGCCAGACTTGAATGGACGCTGGGAACTAGGGAGCGAGACATAGACGAGTTGCTTGTTGAAGGAATTGTGAGCAATGGATTTTGGCGGTGTCCGTGGTCCAACAGGTATAGATCCCTGTAAGTCTCAGCGTAGATAGACTTATCTCGGAATCTATTATAGACACCGAAAAGAAGAGATGCGGTCTGCTTGCAACTGTCATCATGCATGCCGTATAGCTCTCGTCTGATTCGGAAGGCACGTTTGGCATGCTTCTCGGCTTCTCGGAGGCGGTTCCAATAGACATTTTGGCCGTCTGACGATGTATCCGGTGGGATTTTACTGTCGTCAAATTGCTTCAGTAGAAGCTCTGCCATCTCATGACTGAAGTCGGCTTCGTGAACCATGTCCTCCCCACCCTCTAATACAACGCTCTGTCTGACAAGGCCAGGTTCATACGCGAGGGGTGCTCTCCGCGAATAATTCTCTTCCAGAACCTGTCTTGCATCTTCGTACCGACCCAGCTCCTGGTAGATCTTTTTCAACTTCATCCGCATCTCATGGTATGTTTCGAAAGGAACGTTATAAACGTCATGAAGTTCCTTGAAGCATTTGATCGACTCGAGTTGATAGCATCGGGCGTCTTTGTAGTTTTCATGCTCAAGGTCGAGTTCAGCTTGTATTTTGAAACGCTGAGCAAGCTCTTGGAGCGGCTCAATATGCGTAATGTCTTGAACCGAGCCATCGGGAGAATGTTCTGTGTCGAGGTCTGGGTGTGTCGGCGAAGGCTCACTTTGCAGATGTTCATGGGCTAGAGAGCGAGCCGAGTACTTTTGAGGGTTCGAAAAGGAAGCCTGAACATCTATAACTATGCTGTTCAAGTGGGTGCTGAGAGTATCGAGCTTATCGTCGCTGTCGATAAGAGTCTCTTGCGACGGTACAGATGCTGTGTGACCGAAACGTGCCTGCTGTTGCTGCGTGAATCGATCGTTGATTTCTTTGATGTTTTGAAGAATGGCATTGATCTTGTCCTCTTGAGAGTCTCTCATGCCACGAAGATCCGCATGCATGGAGTTCTGTGACACAGCCAACTGTCGTTGAGAAATGCTAATATTGTTGTCAGACTAGGTTGAAACGCTTTATAGACTGCCGTCCTACTCACAGGATGAAAAGCAGCTTGAGCCTGTCCAAAGCCTGGATGTACGTCCTCATGTCTTCGGCCCGCCGTGTAATATCCGCTGGGATGGCTGTAAGGGCCTTAGACCTCTTATGAAGTATCTCCTCGAGTCGGCTATCGAGCTTGACCAAGTTTTTGTGGTAAATCTTCAAGACCGATTCCATGTGTTGCCATAGAGCTGTTTCGGCGGTGGTTGGGGCGTGTTCATGGTACTGTTTACGGATATCCTCAAGGACGTCGGAAACACTGTTAATGGTTTCAGTGAGCACATCGACTCTTCTCTGTAGAGCGGCGAGGTCATGGTATGTCCTGCGGCCTTTTTCCAAGCGAGCTGAGCATTTCTTGGCCAGCTCGATGAGACTTGCGGCTACACCGACGGCTCCGAATATCTCGAGCCCCGACATGAAGAGCAGCAATCGGAGCGTCGGAATGCATATGGAAGACTGAGCACCGGTGGAGGATGAGAATGGGCGAGGCTAGCATCACTGAAGTTAAAGGTGGGCTGGTGTGGCGGCCGGAGGATGACGAGCAGACTCGAGACCACGCTGCGGAGGGGCGGGCTGAAGGGCTATGCATCGTATCTTGATGTGCGCACAGAATGAGGCAGACAGCACGGCTCAATGTTGGGTTGCATAACGACAGGTGTGGGTGAACAATGGGGCACCAATAGGGCTAGCTCATAATACCCGCACGTAACGCATTCAGGGAAAGTGACGGAGGCGGCGCGCTAACGGGCCCACAATTCGCCAAACGATGCTGGTCCCAGTGCACTCGGCACCTTCACCTCACCGATCATGTAATGTACGCAGCTTTGACCGGTGCTTTGTGATACCGTCCGTTATCACACAGTCACACACAGACCATGGTCTTGCATATCCGACCCCGCAATATGCTGTTGCCTTCTGATCACTTCACCCATGCCGATCCCGCCTCTCAGCCTGGTCCGGATACGGACGGGCACTTCTCTTATATCGCGCCGAAATCTTGTGCATCTGGGCTAGAGTTGCATCCTCTGATGATCTGTTTCCTTCAATATGGCGCCGCATCTGAATTACGAAACCAAAAATGAAGTGCCAGTGGCAGGGTCGGCACCGACTCACAACATACAAACGCCCACCCACCGTCGTCGCTCTACGTACGTAGACATTGACAATCCTCTACGTAATGTCGAAATAGCGCCTGCTGTCAAGCGTTTCGTGGCCATGACTAAACTCAACGACATCGCTGACCTCCTTCTTCGCGGTGCTTATCTTGCTGAGGATCCTGACGATTATGTCAACGTCGATGGGCTTTCTGAAACGGATCGAGCAGCCCTGAAATGGGAGTATGAGGAAAACAGGGCCTGGAAGATAATTGTCAGAGTACCAAATGCTCTCCGCACTATCATCATATCCTGCAGTTTAGCTGCCATCACTCAGTCCGTGGCTCCTTCTTGTTGCATGTCCAGCTACTAACCTGTGGTTATTGTAGAGGGTGGGATCAAGTATCCATGAGTGCAGCCAATCAATTCTGGCCGCCTGAACTTGGCCTTGATCTTGAAAGAAATCGCGACCTATGGCTTTTTGGCTTCATCAACGCTTGTTCTTTCCTCTTTGCAGGCCTTGTGTAAGGGATCCGCCCTCATATTCAACTTTTATCCGCCGCTGACTAGTGACACCAGAGGAACGTGGCTTAGCGATCCACTCAACGAGCACCTTATGGGACGACGCTCGGTGATATTCTTCTCCGGAATATTTTCTCTCCTCCCTATGGTCGGCGCTGCTGTGAGCCAGAACTGGTCTCAGATGTTAGCCTGCAGACTCTTACTCGGAATCGGCATGGGCTGTAAAGCTGCTGTTGGTGAGCTTTTCCTGGTATACGTAGGGAATTTCGGGCTGATTGGTTCGCAGTGCCTATATACGCGGCCGAGACTGCCCCAACGAACATTCGAGGTACGTTTTCCAACGATATCGAGGAACGTTTCGGGAACATACTTTGCTGTTCTAGTAAATCAGGTATGAGTTAACATATGGCAGGGGGTGTCGTTATGAATTGGCAGTTATCCGTTGCCATCGGCGGCGTCCTGTGAGTGACAAGATTCCTCGTTGTTTCGAGTGCTTGGCCCGTACTCACCTACTTGCAGGGGAAGCTCATTTAATCTGGCACTTTTTGATATCGAAAAACTGAATTGGAGACTACAACTAGCCGTTGCGGCAATTCCAGCGATCCCATTGCTCTTTATGATTTACATTTGCCCCGGTTCGAATGCCCGTCCACGCCAATGGCGCCTCAGTTTTACTGCCACTAACTAGTACGCAGAATCACCAAGGTTCCTCATAAAGCGAAGAAAGTGGAAAAGAGCATTTGAATCATTAAGACGCCTCAATCATACTGATGTTCAGGCAGCACGAGAGCTGTTCATTATCCACGTTCAGAATGAGCTTACGAAGATCAGATGGTATGGTGGTGAGAGAGCCGATGAGCTGATCAACGAGCTCTTTCCATCTTCCGCTGATGCTGAGCTCTCTTCAACCACGCAAAATCTGAGCAAAGCGCCACTGTCACGCAAGTCCATGGTGAACGAGCATGTCAGCACTTATTTTAAACGACTTGCGAACCTCTTTAAAGTACCACGCATACGGAGGGCGACTACGGCAGCTGCGGTCGTCATGATCAGCCAACAGTTGTGTGGGATCAATGTGATTGGCTTTTACTCGGGGACTATACTTCCAGCTCCCGATTCAAGCAACCCTGAATCAGTCAAGAACAGTAACAGGAACGGGCTCTGGTTGGGATGGGGATCGTGGATGATTGGCATGCTGTATGACTTGCCAACCTCGCAATTGCCGTTTGACCCGAGCTGATATACTATAGCATGGCCGTTCCTGCATTCATGACGATCGATCGGTGGGGTCGCCGGACCTTATGTCTCTTCTCCACTCCCGTTCTGGGTCTATGTCTTTTTGCCGGAGGATTCTGCTTTTGGCTTAAGCCCGAGACGCCAGCTTACCTTGGAAGCTTGTTTTCCCTCATTTTCTTGTTCACGGCCTTCTATCCACCAGGTAAGATGAAGTCATGACAGTCCTCATCTGCATTGTGCAGTTGGCTAATGTGATTGCAGGTTTAGGCGTAGTGCCTTTCACTTACTCTGCGGAGGTATTTCCCACAGTCAATCGAGGCAAGGAAATCCTGTTATTCATTGCTTCAGGAACCTATCAGCTAACCAATTCATAGAAGCCGGCATGTCATTGGCAGTCTTCATCAACCTCTTCGGTGCCGGCATCCTCAGTTTGTTCATCCCTTTTCTCCAAGACAGTCTTGGACCTTTGGGATTGTTTGAGTTGTTTGCGTTCGTGGCTTCACTCTATCTCTATAGACGAATGATAGCTGACCTGTTTAGTGGTCTCAATGTAATAGCGTACATTCTGATCTTCGTTTTCGTCTATGAGACGAAGCAGGAGCGATTGGAAAAGCTCGACAGTATTTGTAAGTCAAAGTACTACAATGATGTACTACTCTTACTGATAGCCCTGTAGTCGACATTCCTGTTGCAGTACACTTGAAGTACCAGTTTACGGCCGTGATCCCATGGTGCATTAAAAACATGTTAAAGAAGCGACAGGAGCGGAGTACGTTGGACTCGCTGGTACTTTGGAACACAAAACGGCTGCATCATGTCTCATCTGATGATGAGAGCTCTATCACGTCTCGAGAGAGCGAGTGACTTTTAGCAAGGCAAGACTAGTTCGAAGCGAGGTCCTTCACGCTGTCTGTAGGAGTAAGTCAGCCACGTCCAGATTTCGGACCTTTGCCGCTCTTCTTCGTGAGAGTGCTCGAAATTTACGGCTGTATTCTGGGTTCTCCTATCGTTGACGCTTATGTATTATAATCTTGACGTGTTTCGGTAGTATAAGAGTTTTGGATAGGAGCTACTTGGTGGGATACACACCCAAGGGGAGAAAAAGTCTAGCGTCGCAATCAAATGATGTAAAATTGCCCGGCATATTGTTGGATTGATTTGACAAAAAGTTCCGGTTTTAGGAACCCGCACGGTACGAACCTACAGATTGTGCCAATATCTAGCTCGTCAGTCCACCTTTAGGCTCAGCTTTGGTCGTGATAAATATCCGAATATGGTCCCACACCATTTGAATGCATCAAACGCACCGTACCGGCCTGTTCAAGCTCAGTACCATTCTAAGTCTCTTCATCAGGTATTCACTTGATTATCAATAGCCACCCTATCTGCAAGGTCGCAGATAGAATACTATGTAAGAGGCGAGTTTGTATATATCACATCTATGCGGCATCTACGATGGCGGCGGGTTCAGATCCAAGCCATCCACCGCCAAGTGGAAACTATCCAATCTTCCATAACTTCCTGCCACATCTAGGTCTAAGCGCCCTCTTTCACAGTCTTCGAAATCAACTTCCTGGATGAGCATCTCATCTTCGGTCTCCCACAATGGCCCCGAAAGGATCTCGCCGAACGGTGAGATGATGCAGGAGCCACCACGAGACACGAAGTCGTCGACATTCGGGTCTGCCTGAGCCTGAGCTGTGGAATATGTTGTAGACTGCGAAAATTTACTTTTGGGCATTGCAGTCCGGATAGCTGTTTGAGGTTCATCTTCAATGGCTGAGCTATCGCCGTTTGGCAGGGACTTGCCACCGTTTGACTTCTCTTCGGCAATGGGCCAGCATATCTCATGCTTGTCTTCGGTGACTGTGATGGTGCTTCTTCTCCGGGATCTGTTGTGACCAGGCTCTGCTGTTGCAAGTTCGGCATCGCTGACCTGGCCCTCCGTTGCCTTGGTCGCGGTCTCTCCAATAATCCACTCCGGCAGCTGACTCTTCTTAACGCATTGATTCGCACTAACAACCACGCACCTCCCCTCGATCCCAATCGTCCTCATCAAGCTCGCCCAGCTATCCCTCGCATCCGCCGTCGGTGCGAACCACAAATTCACATTCTGACTATACAGACTCTGTCTCAGAAGCGGCATGTAGTTTTCCCAGCAGATTGCAGCCGCCATGGTTAGCTTTACGCCCTTTATTTCCGTCGTAACAGCTCTCAGCGTACTCGGACTCCCCTGTCCCCAAATCATCCGCTCACTTCCCGTAGGCATGACCTTCCTCCTCTTGCCCAACGCACCCGCCTTAGGACACACATACAGCGCACCACAATACAGCGTTCCAGCACAGCGCTCAACAAGTCCCGTGACGATGAACACACCCGTCTCACTTGCGATGCGCTCGAGCTCTTCTCGAGTGCCATCACCGCGGTACTTCTTGCCCTTTGGCAGCTCAAGACGTCGCTCTAACCAGTCGTATCCGGCACCGGAGGGGGTGTCGCCTAGATCGACGGCGGCGTGGAAATAATTGAGGAATTGGTCGCGGCCTTGAGATGTGCGGCCGCCTACGGCGTTTCCGAAGGTGCAGGTGCGTGGATAGCCGCCTAGGTAGGCTTCCGGGAAGAGAATGATGTCAACGCCCTTCTCTGCGGCCTGTCTAGTCGTTCTTTCAAGGGCCTGAAGCGTTTCTGATGTGGTTGAGAGGGTCCGGCTTTGTGCGGATGCGAGTTTCAATATTTGTGGCATGGTGGGAGGCCAGTAGATTTTGTTGGCTGAATTGGTTTACCAGATGGAAGGACGATGACTCGCTGGGTATAATGCAGTGCTCACTGTGTGTGCATACGCAGTCTTTTGAACAGAGGGATCATTGGAGCCTCTAGAGCCGCAAGATCCGCCACTTCCACGGTCATGTCTAGATGCGGGGAAACAGCCGCGGTCAACCAAAAGAGGCAAGTCTGATTACGTGTTGACGGTTCATCCATTGGGAACTACACCTACGCTAGAAAGACACCTTGATTCATAGCTCTTGCGCTACTAGCCGTGACTATTCAGCTTCGGTACGACGGGCCGCGATGTCTACAGAATCTGGTGGTGATTAATGAGAAGCCGAGAGGGGTATGGTCACTCGTGGGCGGAGCTGTTGTCAACTTACGATACAGCTTGCCAAAAGATGACTTGGCTGGGAATCCTGATATTTTACAACTGCTCTCTAGGGCATAGGAGTGACATCTGAACTGAATCTGAAGCAGTGGCGCTGCTAAGAGAGCACAAGTGTACACATGCCCAGCACTAGGCGTACCTCTGCGCCACATTCGCTACACCGGAGACGAGGCTGCGCCCTTTGCGCAACTAGTTAAATATCGCCAACGCCCTGCGGACCGCAGTGCATATCTCGTTATCAAGAGTCTACTAGTTTCTGCATACTATCACATTTTCGTTTTCACACGCCAACATCTCAAGTACCTCGCGACCTCAAATAACCACCATGGCCCTGTCCAAAGAGCAAGAAGCCCGAGCCGAAAGCTCCACGTATGCCGAGGCAGAGTAAGTCATCCGAGCCCGGGTCGGCCCCAATGACTCTCTAAACACTGGTGCTAACCGAGCGTCAGCGCCCCACCGCCTCTCTACACCGGCCCGCCCACTGCAAACCAGCGTTCCCTGGTCGAAAACGTCACCGCAGACATGGCGAGTCTCAGCACCGGTGATCCTCAAGAGACCATCTCCGTACCAATGGTCCACAGCGCCGAAAACATCAACTGGAAGAAACTGTGGTCGAAAGATCGCAAAGTCGTAACGCATTCCGTCATCGTGCGCAAGATGCCACGAGAGTGGTATCTGAAGCATTATGCGAAAGATGCGGAGGGGAAGTACGTTGGGACAGAGAAGCCCGCCGTTGATGCAGGTCTTGTTTTCGTACCATCAAAAAGCACCCCAGAAGACCTGCTGCAGCAGGTGGAAAAGGTTGCGTTCGGAAAGGAACATTACGCCGGCGACTTCTCTGCTGGAACCGGACTCATGTTTGGGCTGGGTGATGGTCTTGCGTTATCGAGTGGTCCGAGGAAGTAGTTCGATCGATCTTGATACCATCGTGCATTCTTCTTGTAAATTATTTCATGTATGAGTAGCTCCAGCCTATTCAAGCATCGTGCGCATGCTTCTCGATATCAAGTTCTTTGTCGTGCCGATAGGCTGTGATGACTGTGCGATTTCCGTTCCAGATCGAGGGATTTGATAATCTCTCGTCGTTGTGTACAGGTAAGGGTAATGCAGTCGACGGAAGCGCCGTCAAATTCTTTGTGCTCGAATTGCTCCCTATGCTTACTCTTTCGTCCCTGTCTTCTACGATATTCGTGGTTGTGCTGACTTTGATGCGATTCATGGGGACAAGGACCGGCTCCCATTTGCTTCCTTCGACGTTGGAGGTGACGAGCGAGTTCTCAGGACTAAACTTGCCGTATCCAGGTATCCTACCTCCGCTTGACTTTGGGTGCCGTGTACCATAACCGTATGCGCCACTGCGGGTACTGTTGAGGCTGAAGTATTTCTTGAAGAAACCCTTGAGAGCAGGCGCACAAGCACACATGACGCCAAGCTGTGCCTCGAGAGCTGTCCAAATCCAACCGTACCATGCGTACCAGGTGATGTCGTATGTGTAATAGTAAACGTAAACAGCGTAGTAGGCTCGCATGACACCACATACACAAGTCCTAGTATGGGTTAGGAAAAACGCAGTACACTGTTTGCAAGATCACGTCGAAAGGGTACTTACAAAAGACCCAAGCCGAAGATTCCGCAAAGTCCAGCCTTTTGTCTCTTCGAAATCTGAAGGTTCCAGATAAGCACGATTGGCAGTGTGCATAGGAAGAAGTCTTGCAATGTGCTGATGACAACTACAGTGACAATCTGAGCGCCTTCGTTATGGCACTTGAGTTCATGCGTGAGTCTCCAGGAGATGTCGAAGTAGTGCCAGTATCCCTCGACAGGCGAGCACGAGAAGATGACTACGAATGTGAAAGTAAAGAAGTATGCGATAACGAAAACGATCGAGCACCAGACCCAGTATACGAAAGTCTTGGATATCGACCCGTTCGTCATCCGTTTATAAAAGCAGAGGATGGATATTTTGATCAGACTTGTAGTCAACAGATACAAGACCTCGATGACCAAGATGCTCTAGTCAAGTCAGCGGTTGTATATTCTGTTTCGAAAAGTGCATACTCGCCTTCCTGGAAGATACTAGTGTTTCCGAGGTCTGATCCCATGCATGCCATTGGAAACCATATGTCCGACATCCTATAGAAACGTAAGTCAGACCGAACCCCAGCCAAGACGAGCCACTGACCAAGTATCACTGCGATAGCTGCTCCGATCAATGGCATGATTGCGGCCGTCATGATCCAATCGTCAAGGCCCGCGTTCTTCGACACTACCACCCTTGCCCACATCCGCGCGAGGTACGTTAAAATGGACAGCGCCAGGAATAAGATCACAAAGATAGGCCCAGCATCACCATGTGTTTCCGGATCGATGTAGTTTGGTGCCGGCCAAGACAAAACAACATCTGACGGCGGTGCGAGTCCTCCACCCCGGCGGAAGAGGTGGGCATGCGTCTTCAGGCCAACGACGTCGGCCATACTGCACGGTCGTTGCTGCCTGGCAAACACTCTTGGAAACGATGAAGGGTGATGGAGGAAGGACGAGCACGGCCAAGCTGCATCTAGAAGGGACGGGAATACCTTAAAATCCGCATTGCTGATTGACCTGGGAATGGCTTGTGTCACGCATGTGCCTGTGGGTCAAACTTTCTTTTTCCATGCAAATCCAAAAAAATGATCCTAGCGCTTTTGAGACGAGACCATGACTTCGTGGGGAGGATGATCAATGAACAGGGGAAGCGTGCGATTTGCTCGGGACATTCAGTAAAAGACGGGTCGCCGAACCTGACACGCAGGCGGCGGTATTCAAGCGCCCGAGGTGGGGATGCTAGGAACAATCTTTCGTGCATCACAACCATTTCTCGGTTGCTCCTTGTCGATAAAGAGTGGTTGAACCAATTGAGATTTAGTCGCAAAGCGATTAAAGTTTGGTGGGGGAAAGGCCCGCTGTTGCCCAACGTTGTAGGCAGGATGTCCGAGGTAATGCCAGACTCAGCTTCGATAGGGCTGCCGCTCATGTACCACGCTCTGGGCAACGCGTGAGTGAAAGCCGTCCGCAAACGCACTCGCTACCTTTTTAGTTTGCCGATTCTGGTCTGGATGCCGATCAAGCCCTGATACGGTATTCTTGGCCGGTCGTTTCTAGATGACCTTTTCTACAATTTCAAAAGACTACGATCATCAGCGCACTCATCTCGCAAAGTCTGGTTCACTAGTCAAGTGTCCTTTGCGGCCATTTCCCTTCGGATCGGTTCCTTTCTAGAATGATTCTTTTCGTGGTGCCAAATATGGACGAGATGGAATGATCATTTGCCAGTGACAACGATGCCGCGAAGCAAGCCCTGGCTGTTGAAACCCTGGTGTACACAGTAAGTCCCGAGGTCCACGTGGACGCACGTGCGCGGTCGGAGCTTTCTGTCACACGCGGGGATAGGAGTGTACGCCATGACAATAGCGTCCAAGTCAAGCGGCTTGTCCACCCGCCGATTCTCGAATCGTTACAAGCTTGTGAGCCAGGGGGTTTGACGGGAGGATTCACTATCACCTCTCGTTCGGCATGTGGGAACCCGGCACATGCCAAGGTGGATCTTCTTTGCGCATACAATTCTCCTTAAGATCGAATGGGAATCTGCGGTACCGTTGCGTCCTTGAGCCAAGCCACGATCGATTGAAATTACGAATACGGATGCGATGAAAATGCTTGCGGAGTAGAGTGACAGAGGAAAGACCTCGGGATGTTGCCGTGAACGTGGTCTGTTTGAGGAAGCGAGCGAAGGGGGCAGTCGCGAACCCACACCGTGCACGGACTTTAACGGCTCAATCGGCCACGCACGTCCCTAAGAACATTGAGTTCGTCTAACAAGGGAACGTTTGAAACTCGCAACACCTGCATATCAGATGATCAGTCTTTCGAGAAGGATTGTACTCGCCCACTGGTGTGGCCTCAACCATCGGCGACGTTTCCCCTCCCATTGCATGGCAACGATGAGCTTGCGCCAAATTATCTATCACTTCCAACGCTGTGTCTGGAGATTCAAGCTCTAGGTTAGCCAAATGGTGATCGACCTTTGCGGCAGGACATCTAGACTAAGCGACCTAAAGGACCCACAACTAAGATCCAGACATTGATCAATGCACTTATATCACGAACGATATGCGCAGAGCCTCCTCCTCAAACCTGGGGTATAGGACCTTGCGTTATAGCACGAACGTGAAAGCGACGCTTCAAGAGCAAGCCATGCCAAAAACGACATCACGCAAAAGTTCCACCCTATTCATCGTAGCATATAGGACTTCGCCATATAGCCTTAGACTTCTTTGGAATAATGTGGTCGAATCGACAGCTGCGTGCTTTGGTTGATAGAAGTAATCTGCCCGAGCGAAGCAACCACCTTCAACATGGGTACAACGTTGACTTTGACCGCAATACGGAAAGTACACATAACCTTCTGAGCGAGGCTCAAACTCTTTGGCGCTTTACAAGCCTAAATCGTAGCGTAATACACAGACGCGAAATGCTTTGAGTGATCGCAACACGCGGGTAGCAATTTCTTCAACAGACTTCTACCATCGCCCCTCAGCCTTCAACTGCCCTCTTTCCCTTCTGTGGTTTAGATACCGCTCAGCCTCAGCACCTTCAGTAAGAAAGCCACCTCCCCAAGTCCCATGATAGAACGACGTGTTCAAAGCCAGCTATATCCTCCTTCCTCTTCTCCTCTTTCTGTGGCCTTATCGAAGATACCCTGGCACGAGTGACTCTAGCGCCGGCGGTCTGAACGATGCTGGTTTTGTCCTAAGCGGCTTTGGCATCTCCGGCTTCGCCTTGGGTGCTTTTGCTGTTAAGGCTTTGGCGACTGGTGGAGGTTCCTGCAAGTCGAAGCTTTTATCCGCGTCAGGGACCGAGGATCTCTGGGGGCGGTACAGGCACTCCTCATGTTGTCGTGGTCATTCATGAAGCCGCTGGAAGGGACCAAATTTATGAAACAAATTGATGCGTTCTAGGTATGTCTTTCCACGCACCAAATCCTTTAGAACACAGCGTCTAAATGTCTATATGATCGCCTGGAGTCCTGATAATCAACAGTCGGCAAGTCGACGACCCATACACGTTCTGAGTTGTGCGGTCATCGCGTTGACTCGAGATATCTAGGGTCTCACGGAAGCGATGGTAGATAGTCGGTCTGAATCGCGGTAAAGATTTCGTGACTTGGATAGCATTATCATGTTGGAGAGCGCTTTCTAAGGTTCATGGATGCTTCAATTTCGGTAGGGCAGCGCGTTGCCCACTAGCGCTGTTGATGTGCTGGCGCTCGTCCAATGCGTTCCTGACAAGGGAAGCGGCTTTCTGAGCATGGCTAGTTCACATATGATGTCTCGCGACGTTTCGTTCGTCCTTCAGTGTGTCCACCAGGTCACCATGGCTATCCTCCGTTCTGCATGCTTTGTGCACATGGAGCATAATAGTTGCTCAAAGTTGGATAAAGTATGCACGGCATTCAAGACGGCTTTCGGCACGGAAGCACTGACGTCCAAGCCAGGAGCAGGGGCAGCCCACGCCGAGCAGCTGTTGACGTGCCACAGCGATGCGCCACGAAAACGTCTCACCCCGCTCAATCAATTGTACGTCTGGAATGTGTTGTCCACCTCCTCGCAGCATCTATCAGTCGATCTTCGCGCCCTTCTCCTCTGTCCGAAAACAACGAATCACATGCTGGAGCAAGCCCGCAGACGCGGGTGATCAGCAAGCGGAGCACCAATCGCAAGGCTAGCATCGTCCTGCACCGGTGACGTCTAGATCGGGATCCACTTAAAAACAGCCGCTCATTTGTCACACCCCGTCCGCCTTGCTTCCTCGACACCTTGCTTGCGACTGCGACTGCGACTACTCTCTAGCCTTTATCTCTTCTTGTTCTGCGCTGCGCAGGCAACCGCGCAATCATGGCTCAACGAGGCGAGGCCGCCGACTACTACAATGGCGCGTCCCAGCAAAACAACAACTATCAGATGCAACAACCGGCGAACTACCCACAACAGCCGCCGCAGTACGGTGACAATGCAAAGTATGGGCCGCCTTCCGGACCCCCACCACCGAATGGACAGCAATGGGGAGGAGAGAAGCCAAATTTCGATCAGGCGTTCAAGGTTGAAAAGCCCAAGTTCAATGACATCTGGGCTGGCCTTTTGGTATGTGCGCGTACTCTTTTTCATGGGTGTCACTAACGTGCGCAGCTCATCGCTGTCTTTCTAGGGTACGCGGCGGTCTCGGGCATCGTGCTTCACGGGTATTCGGAGACAATTGACTTCAATGGAGGAATCTACGGGAGCAAGAATACGTTTGGGTTGGACAGCAACACGATCATCCTGTTTGCGTTCGTTCTGGTCATGGTGAGCCTATCTGGAGCGCGCAGTTTTGGCGCCTATACTTATGCGATCGGCAGGCCATGATACTCAGCTATGCCTATATGTGGTGCGCGCGCGCGTTTACCAAACAATTCATCTGTAAGGCGCAACCAGGGCTATATGAGATCCATGCACTGATGTGAGGCAGGGATTACGGGCATCCTAAACATCGTCTTCGGTTTCGTCACCGCCATCTATATGCTCTCGCGCAAGTACTGGTCCGGCGGTATCGTCTTTCTTCTCTTCTCCGTTTTTTACGTCTTCTGCTTCATCAGCTGGATTCCGCGCATACCTTTCTCGGTCCTAATGCTCCAAACGACCATCGATGTGTCCAAGAAATTCGGACATGTCTATATCGTGTCCCTAATCGGAGGGATCCTCGCCGCCGCGTTTGGCGCGTGGTATTCGGTGACCTTGGTCGCTGTCTATGTGAAATATGAACCTGGCAGGAACCCAGCGTGCAACACGGGCGCTGGAGGCTGCAGCTCGGCCAAGGTGATCGGCCTGGTCGTCTTCGTCACGTTTGCGATGTACTGGATATCAGAGTAGGTGATCATCTATGTAAGGTGGGAAATGATTTGACTAATCGCACTTAGGTGGCTCAAAAACACTATTCACGTCACGATATCAGGTGTCTATGGCTCTTGGTACTTCATGGGAAACAACAACTTTCCCAAGGGAGCTACCCGCGGCGCGCTCAAACGGTCCCTTACATACAGCTTCGGCAGCATCAGTCTGGGAAGTCTTATTGTGGCTATTATACAACTCCTCAGGCAAATTTGCTCGGCTGCACAACAGAGCGCATCGCAGGACGGTAACATTGTCGGTACCATTGTGTTCTGCTGCTTGCAGTGCTTGATCGGCCTTCTGGACTGGGCCGTGCAGTTCTTGAACCGCTACGCATTCTCGTACATTGCATTGTATGGCAAGTCCTATGTCGCAGCAGCGAAGGATACTTGGAAGTAAGTGTACTCCTGTCTCCTCAAAGTTCCTCGGTTGACATGGCGCAGAATGATCAAGGACCGCGGAATCGACGCGCTCGTGAACGAATGCCTCATCGGACCGGTCCTGAGCATGGGTGCCTTCTTTGTCGCCTACTCGTGTGCGCTGCTTGCGTATCTATATCTGCTCTTCACGTCCCCAGCCTACAACAGTACGGGCACATACACGCCGGTCGTTGTTGCATTTGCGTTTGTCATCGGACTGCAAATCTGTCAGATCTTCACGACGCCGCTAAGCAGCGGCCTGGACACAATCTTTGTTGCGATGGCTTGGGACCCGGAGGTACTGATGAGGGATCACCCAGATCTGTACCACCAGATGGTCGCTGTATATCCGCATGTTCAGCAGGCGATTCATGCGTAGATGGAGTCGGTGGGGGGGTAGGAGGAAATTTTTCAAGGACAAGACATTGAAGCAGCAATAACAATCGGATATTATTCAACAAATCGGAGAACAGAGTCCGGATTGTCTTGCGATCTGGACGCGCCATCGACGTTCTGCCAAGCATTGGGCGAGGATACCCCCTTGTAGCACGTCTTCGCAGGCCAGTCCGGTGCGTTTGGTGGGGTCTAGCCTACGGCTGCGGAAGCTATTGGGGACCTAAGGTTCCAGTGACGTCGTCGTACATGACTTCCGCGACATCATGGTAAAGAGACATGCAGATGGTACCATTCTGGCCTGAGCGGGCGCGCGCGGCCGTGCGGACGTGTTCACGGCCGAGTAATGGGCATTGTTGGGCTGCACGCATGAGGCATTAATCAACGCAGCGGCAGCGGGTGGTGGGGGGATGGAAGGCTCTGTTTGTATCCAAACAGACCCACGCGCGTTGCTAGACGGAGCACAAAAGCTGTCACGTTTCCGTAGCGCGCTGCCCAGGTGTCCTCGCACGCCAGCCCTCGCACCAGGCACTGCTATTGCTTTTGCTAGAGTCACACGGCCTGCGACTGCCTCCCTTATTACACAAGGAAGCGGCGCCCAATCGCGCCCCTGCTCACCACCTGCAACGTCACCGCTTAGCGGGGCCCTCGCCTTTTGTTGTCGACAGCTCACCATCGTGCCCCCAACATTGGCCATTCCCCTCTCATCTACGCTCTCCTGCACCCCATAGCACACCGCCCCTCTTTCTCCAGGAACAGACGCTCCGTGAGGTAAGTGAGTCCCAAGATACCCGGCCCGTGCCTTCACTTCAGCCCCGCGCCGCGTCGCTCCTGCCCGCTCCAAATACCCCACCAACGCCTTCCAACGCCTTCCAACGCCTGTTCCTCCACACCAAGCCTTCACCCGTGCCTTACCTATAAATCTCACCCTCCCCCCTTCTTTCTCTACCTTCCTTACCCTCAATTAACCTTCGACCACCAGTCAACCACCTTGCCCGCAACAATAACAACAACCTCACATACACAAGGTGCGTACTAGCCGAGGGCATCCACCACAGGGCCCAAGCCATGGTGCGTAGCCGATCGACTGACACACGGACAGACATCACAATGGCCCCTACCAAGAAGGCAGTTCATTTCGGTGGCGGCAACATCGGCCGTGGCTTCGTCGCCGAGTTCCTCCACAACTCTGGCTACGAGGTCGTCTTCGTCGATGTCATGGACTCCATCATCAACTCCCTCAACGACGCGAAGTCGTACGTCGTCACCGAGATTGGCGCCGACGGTGAGCGACAATTCACCATCGACAACTACCGCGCCATCAACTCCAAGTACAACATGCCCGAGGTCGTCAACGAGATTGCCACCGCCGAGGTCGTCACCTGCGCCGTCGGCCCCAACATCCTCAAGTTTGTCGCCGAGCCCGTGGCCAAGGCCCTCGAGGCTCGCTCCTCCGACCTTCCGCCGCTTTCCGTCATTGCTTGCGAGAACATGATCAACGCCACGACCGCATGGAAGGGCCACATTGAGAGCTACATCAAGGACAAGCTCAACGCGGAGACACTGAATGGCATGGAAAAGCGTGCCCGGTACGCCAATTCGGCTATTGACCGAATTGTGCCCCACCAGGACGAGGGTGCCGGTCTCAACGTCAAGATCGAGAAGTTCTACGAGTGGTGCGTTGAGCAGAAGCCGTTCGAGAATGGCGGCAACAAGCCCGCTATCGAAGGCATCCACTACGTCGACGACCTCGAGCCGTACATTGAGCGCAAGCTCTTCACCGTCAACACCTCACACGCTACGGCCGCCTATTACGGTTACCAAAACAAGATTCCCTACATCCACGAGGTCCTCCAGGACAAGAAGCTCCACGACACTGTTCGTGCTGCAGTCAAGGAGACTGCCGCTCTCATCGTGACCAAGCATGGAATCTCCCAGGAAGACCAGGACAAGTACGTCGAGACCATCATCTCGCGTATCTCCAACCCTACACTCAAGGACAAGGTCGAGCGTGTCGGCCGCGCCCCGCTCCGCAAGCTCTCTCGGAAGGAGCGCTTCATTGGACCCGCTTCCCAGCTGGCCGAGAACAACCTCCCGGTCGACGCTCTCCTCGGTGCTGCTGAGCAAGCTTTCCGGTTCCAGAACGTCGAGGGTGACGAGGAGTCCGTCGAGCTCGCCAAGATCCTCAAGGAGAAGTCCGCTGAGGAGGCCACATCCCACATCACCGGTCTCGAGAAGGATCACCCGCTGTACGAGCGCGTCGTGGCCGTCGTGAAGAAGGTGCAGGGCGCATGAAGGCCCCGCTTGTGAGGTGATTGCTAGCCTCGAGGGAAGCGGCTCGGTTACTTTCAAAATTTGAAACTTTCAAGAGTATGGATTGGGGAGATATAATAAACGGCGGCAGGTGGGGACGCCGGCCCGATGGCCACATGATGGAATAGTTGACAGCACAGACGGTGTCTTTGCCATGTCCACTTCACGAATAAAATGAGATACGATCAATGAACGATTACACGAACGTTTTCTCTGACTGCTTGTGATGTGCTAACAACTGCACTTAGTTGCCGTCTTGGATGAGTGTCGCATGCACGGCCGCCTTTGGGGTCAATTTCATTCAATTGGGTTGACTATCGGGCCAACCCTTCGTCGACTTGGCCTACTTCTATGACCTCTTGCAAGAACATCACACATACCTATGATGATCTTTCTCAACGAAAAAAAAAAGAACTCTATAATGCCTCATAGCTAAACACCGCCAGTCGTCGCATTCAGTCTTCTATCCCGTCCCGTTCCTCGACCGCCCAATCCCATCTCATACAATTAGTTTACCAGCCACCACCGCCGCCGCTATCCCCTCCTCCTCCGCCGCCACCACCGCTATCACCTCCTCCAGAGTATCCCCTCCTCCACCGCTATCTCCGCCTCCGCCTCCGCTAGACGAATATCCGCCACCTCCGACATGGCTATGCCCACCTCCGCTCGAAGAATGATGGGCCCCTCCGCTGGGTGTATCGTGCGAACGCGAGTGGTGCGACGTTTTATCCGCACTCGGTTGATCATACATATATGTGTTCATCATGTAACTTGTGGTGTCCACTGCCGGCGTGGTTGTTGACGCGGCGTGTGAGGTACCACCGGCTGCACCTCCGCCTCCACCGCCTCTGGTCTTAGCAGAAGGAGGGGTTTTGTTAGATGTGGCAGGAGGTGGTTTCGGGTAAGGTTGGGGTTCTGGAGGTGGGCTGGAGAGGGAGGTGTGTTCGATTTTGCCCGGGTTGGTGGGCTTCTTGCGGCGGAAAAGAGAGGGAAGGCAGCCCATGCTTGCGGATGACGATGATGAAGCGATTATGCTGAGTGTGCTGTATGATGTACCGCACTGAGGGGAAAACATGTAGGGAAATATATACGGTTGATTCTCTCGTACAGAGTGGAGCGTAGGTGCCTTGTTTGCACGTGCTTCACCTGCTCTGCGGCTATGGCTATGCTACAGGGGCAAGCGAAGACTCTAAGGCATGCTACTTACTGTTCTCGCAACCGTATTTGGTGTGCCTGCGAAGGACGAAGAGAGGCAGCGTAGGCGATGCTCGATGCTGTGGCTGTGCTTCCCTTCGGCGAATTCGACACGAGGTGTGGAGTTCGCGGCTGTGCTGACCATCCCGCAAACGACAAGTGCAAGCGACGGTGAATCTTTGGGGAAAAGGTGGATGCCATAGCGCAGGTTGCGACATCACGCCGTAGGGAAATTCTTCGCACAAAGTGCCTCGGTCAACTTGTTTGAGCTAGATGGGGGCCGGAATGTCGAATGCGCTAGTCAGGTAGACGGACGCTAGATGGGTTAGAAGGATGGCAACGAGCAAGGCAGATATCAGGGTGGAGTGAAGCGAGTGACATTGACGTGGGCGGAAGAATGCGGTGTCCTACGGGCGTGATCATGCCGTTGCTGCGAGCGAGGCAGCCTTCACCGGATTTCGCCTTACCACATGCCGTGGATAAACGTACACTGATGTTGCGCTTGGGATGGGAATTGTTTTCACATCCCGACGAAGTATTAGGTGCCGCTGCGAACTCGGACGAGATAGATTAAAGCCGCCCGTGATGTGGCAGAAACTGTGTTATCAACCGCCTCCTCCGCCTCCTCCGCCTCCACCGTCACCTCCAAAGCCGCCTCCTCCATCGCCGGCATAGGTATGATGTCCGCCGTGCACGCCACCTGCCGTGGCATGATGTCCATGACTTCCTCCACCATAATCAACAGCGACCGTACCGCCTGGATAATACCCAGCCCGACCACCAGGGTCATCTCCTGTTTTACTATTGAAACAGCCCATAGCTCTGTTGAGGCTGGCTTCGGCGAGGTAGTTTTGTCGATGATCGTCGTGGGCACAACTTTGGAGCATCAGTGAGTATGCGCGCATACAGCGGGTGAGCGGGGGAACACATGAATTACCAGGTGGTAATGCTGGTAGAATAGCAAGTAAAGCTGATTCCGATCGGTCTCCGCTGGTATGTTGTAATGTTGGTGCAGAGGTGGTCAAGTTATGTGTTGGCCGAAGAAACCTCGAATAGCGGAGGGCTGTGCATGGTCACACGGGCAAGTGTTAGCGAGACAGCAGTTCAGTCTCGCATTCGTATCCAAGACACCGAACAAATCGTATTCTGGAGTCTGTAGTTTCGCGAATTGGTGGTGCTTGCAGAACAGGAATATACGCGCAGAACAAAGAACATTTTGCTTGTCCTTTCTGCGGGGTAGTAGAACAGGACGTCCCGAGCGGACTTAGAATGTTCTTCGCAAGTGAAACATTACAGAAAAGGAACTAGCCAATACAAGATTTTCGAAAACAAAGAGGGTATACGATGCAACGTAATTCGTGATGTAAATGGGAAAGAAAATAGCGAACACAGGCTGCATAGTTGAAAACATGAGGTAAAATGGCAGATTAGGAAAAGCGCACTGTTCTAGTGCACGCAATATTGAACCAAACTGTCCTCACGATCGTTGTGTAAACTGGACGGTGTTTGTCCGGAACAGGTACCCAGGGCTCAGACACGGTACCCATCTGACTTCGTGATGCAACCCAGCCAGATCTGGCGAGCTAGATGCCAATGCCATGTCACCCAGGGTTAGGAATGAGAGGAGTCCAACCACGTAAAGTCAATTTGGCTAGGCAACGTGCAGACGCTGTGCTCGGTGACAAAATGTTGCCGAAGGATGCCGTCGGTTGCCGAGGCGAAGCCATCGTCGTCGAAATGGGTGTGTACGTACGAGCAAGAGTGACATTGTGATTTTGTGATCGAAAACTCAAAGAGCTCCCAGGAGAAATTTCCAAAGGAATTCCTGGCTGCTGATATCAAATTGTGGGCTCACTTTCCAAGGTACGGGCAGGGGATCCGAACCGTTGACTACACCATTAGGCTTTAAGGGGGGCAACTCTTGCAGGAGAGAAACTGTCCTACCGGAACCAGTCGCCAACTCGAACGTAGATCCGTTGGGGCTGTTTCTTCCAGGTGCTGTTTTGACTGCCACCTTCATTATCGCCGTGATGCGTCTGAAGCGCTCGAAAAGGTCCTCGCTGTGATCTTGCGAGTCGTGTGGTCGTGGCATCTGAGCGGACAGCTGATCGCGGAAATACTCAAAGCTTTTAAAGATCTGTAATTCTACGGGATCCCAACCTGGCATTGGCGAGGAGTAAAGAGCGAGCTTGGCCAGCATGGTCAGACCAGCAACGAGTGCGAGCCAGTCGGTTAACGACAGCAACTCATACTCGGTACTGGAAAACTGGAGACTGTAGTCCAAGAATTGTTCGACGCACCGTAGGCATGTAATGCGTTGCGACAGTTGGAATCCCGACACCCATGGCATGCTGTCTCGATCATATATGTCGAGGGATGACGTTGCTTTGTACAGATGTACTCGGGCTACAAGCTGAATCCACCGCAGTGTGCCTGATATGATGTCAGCCTATTACGCAATTGCGATGATTGTACTCACGATAATCGTTTGCCTGCGCCTTGGTTGCCGCCTGCATGTGGTCCCATTTTTCGCTAAGGCGTTTTAACTGAGCCTTCGCGACTAGTGCAGGCTCAGATTGGCTTCCAAACGTTTCTTCGACATCTTCCATAAACTGGCATGTGTCGATGAGAATCGGCACAATGGCGTCAGAACGATGCTCCCAAGCTTTAGCGATGTCTCTCGCAAACACTTGCAAGGTACTTGAATATGACATGCTTCGCGCTCTGCCCGAGTCTAGTAAGCTCAAGCTTGACGCGAGAAAGTAGCACCCTAGGTAGGCTCTCTTCGCCTCTCTGTGCCAAGCATCATCTTTCTGCATTGGACTTCGCGATGGAGATGGGATGTTGTCGAGACCAAGATCGCCTGCAATACCAACGCACATCTGAAGGAGTAGGTGCACTGAAGCAGCATGGGGATCCATATAGTGGTGATGCCACGCTATGAAAACAAGAAGTCCCTGCAACAGATCCAGGCTCTTCTCACCATTCATCAGTTTGACCATGACTACTTTGCGAAATTCTTTGCTCAGGGAGGTCTGTAGATGATACGAGTCAAACGACGCTGCAGTAAGCACTGCGAACAAGAACATCGGCCTCTGCTGAATCAGATCGCCGCAGAAACATTCTCTAGGCAACAAGACGAACGGGAAGAAGTCAATCATTGTCCGGTAAGTCTCCAGTAGTGACTGCATGTGGACGATGCCAATGGACCGGATGACAGGGTCAAGACGCTCGAGGCCGGACACAGCATCATTCATTGACTCCCAAAATGACAGTGCAGATTCGGGCGTGGAGCCAGGGTTTGGGAGAATTGGAGTCTTGACAACTGGTAAAGGGCGTGCAGATGGCACGACGGGCGCTGGGGTTGAGGTCCGTCGTGATATCTCAGCGGTTTGAGAAGGGATGGTTGCTACAGGTGGTAGAGCAGCTTGCGGAGTAGAGTTCGGCACGCTTGGTGCCGTGGTAGAGGTGACGATGGCGTGTAGCTTCTCGATTCTCTTCTCCATCTCAGCGACCTTGTTTGTTGGTTGTACCACCGCCCTTGGTTTTGCTGGTCTCCGTCGAGCAACATGTTCGATGCACTCGACGCGAGCCTTCTGGCATCTGTAGCACGTGTCAGGCCGAGCCTGTATGAGCTACTAGTGATACATACCTCTGGCAGATGCCTGCAGCTTCGGAAGGTACGCATCTGACCTTGTGTTTTCGACACCGTTCACAGGCAAATGCGTTCCCTATCCTTCCCTCTCTTGCCTCCATTGTGATGGAGTGGGAAGGCGTGGAATCGCCCGCCGCGGACTGGTGGGGAAGTCCGATCATGCCAAGACGGAGTCAGATTTGTGAGGGCAACGCGTGATGAGTGGCCGCGAATGCTAGAGACGCGCAGGCGTACCAGCTAGCACACAGAAACACTACCTAAGCAGCCTGAAAGCTTCCATGCAGTGTCAGAAAGGCGCATACGACAAGCAGGATCTTGATGGGGAGTCCGGTTCCCGAGGGTCGGGACAAATCGATCCGACTCGAATAACAAGTATTCGGCAGCGTGATTCCGTACAAAAAGAAGTTTAGCGTACTGAGGCGTCGATGTCAGTGTGTAAACATGGAGTGTCCGGCAGATGCACAATCGGCGGCCGATATATAGTCGGGGGCCCTAGCGAGCGCTATAATATGGGGTGGTCCGAAGTCGTGAGACGGCGATTGCTTGCAACTGACCAGCTTGGGCAACGATGGGCGGCAAGGTCCGATGGAGAACAGGCGTATTGCACAAGCTGTAGGGTGTGCAACCTGGCGTGGGCAGAAAAGGTCAGATGCAGCAGGAGACGGGGCTGTTTCTTCATCGTCATCTGCGCCGCGCACCGACAGAGCAGGTTCGCCGGAAGGACGCGTTAATCCCCGCCTCCGTCCGGGGCAGGCTGATCACTGGTCGGAGATTGACGTGCTGCCGCGATGGGGCAGTACATAGCCGCGAGCGCAGGTCGTGCGGTTGCGGTTCGACCGTGGTACATAACGGTCCACAGATAAGCCATACGGCACGTCCTGTGATGGCACTCATAGAGCACGCAAAGGGAGGTGGCACGCACACACAAACGTGGGCATGGCTGCCGCAAACTGGTCAGAGGGCGATTATCCGCGGGCCGAGGAGCGTCCTGTGTCTCCGATCCAGGGCTTGGGCGAGAACCGCGGGCATGTCGCGATTTGGAGCATTACGCGGGTCTGGCGCCGCGCATCTCGGGGTTCAAGATCTGGGCTAGCCAATGGCATCGTTCCTGGCCGACGTGACTGGCACGCGAGGCATGGCTCTTCGCACTGCAGAGAAAAGCGAGCGGCCAAAGATTGCAGTGAAGACGAAAGGGCATGGAGGAGGGAGTGCGCGAGCGAAGGCTAAGAGGCCAACAGCGCAGGTGTAGCTGTTGGGTGTCGGCTAACAGCGACCCGCTGGACGGAAGGCGCGCAGGGGTTGCGCTTTCCGCGTGGGATGACGCAGCGATCCCATCTAACAATGAGCATCGTGTATATCCCAGCTGTGCATGAACTGCTCATGAACTGCTCTCGAAGATTGGAACAGTGTATCGCGACAGATGCCTACCTGACGTCGGTAATTCTTCCCTGCAAGTCTGGGGTTTAGGCGGCTCCGCGCTTCCGGAACACACGAGTCACGACCCACGACCAACTCAGCGGAGTTAATGATCGGAGGCTTCTCTACTGTATGTCACGACTTCCTCATCCAGTCTTTGATCAACGAGGTTCGTAAGGAGAGACGAGTATCTCGACCCGCTGTGTTGCCACTGCTTCAGCTCGCCACACTGTGGTAGGCGCGCTTTCCATGGGCTTGATTCGAAAACGCTCTTTGAATTGCAAGATTCCTGATAACACCTGTACCTCCTTTGCAATTCTTCCTTCGCAGCGCAAGTATCAAACATTTCCCAAGACTCGTCGTTTTGGCATTACTTGGAGTTCATCGAACCCAGTGAGCAGCATATTTTTGCAAAGAGTGCGACACTTCCTATCACGATGCCGGAGAGAAGAGGCGCGAGACGGGGTTCCGCACTGGAGCTACGCAGACCGGCCGCTCCTCAGAAGAGACGTGGCATGGCAGCTGCAGAACTCGAGCCTCTCGAAGACGAAATGTTCCAGCTCTGGCTGCGCGAACAACATGGGGGAGTTCTGCCACGAGAGTGGTTGATAGTATATCTCTAGGAAACAAAAAATTCCAGGCATATGATAGACAAGGAGATAGAGGAGGGCCGGCAGCGTGAAGAGCTAGAGGATCCACCGAAAGACCAGCCCCAGATCGTTGAGCGAGATGAAGAGGACGCCCGGCGTGAGGAAAGGTGTTTCAAATACGAACGTAGCAGAGAGATAGATCGTAGGAAAGAAACATGTGTTGACGATGGATCGAAAGCAGAGGCAGCCCAGGTCTCTGCTGATCTCCCAAAATGGTCGGAAGCGGCGGCACAGAGGCAAGAGTGAGCACAAGCAGAGAGCAACGAGCAAAGATGAGGAAGAAAGCCTGCGTCCCTTAATCCAGCCACGACTTGTGGAGTACGTCTCGAGACTGCTCGACAATACCTCCGAGGAGCTATACATCTAGTAAGGCGGCGTAGGGCGCAAGAGTCAGATGGCATGTTCAAACCCATGTTTGGATGGGAATAGGTAAAGCACCGCGATATTTTGGCATATGGTCGACAATGAAAGGTGTTCAGCACCTGGGCATCCACTAGACTCTATTATCTGGCGCAACTGGATAGGATGTAACAACATGCTAGTATCGTCATCAAGTATACGAAAGACGGCAAACCAAGAAAAAGCAATATTCCACCATCACACGGCCCGACGATGTACGTACTGAGAGAAGACTATCCCATCGATGCAAAAAGGAAGCCCGACGTGGGGGTCGAACCCACAACCTTGAGATACCGAGTAATCGAGTTGTTAGACCGTGAATGCTTAAGAGTCTCACGCTCTACCGATTGAGCTAGCCGGGCTAGTCAGTGATTTGATGAATCACCTCCACTCGTCGACCAGTCTTATAGTTGGTACTTTGCATCACGAGATATGGCCTCTACGAGTTCGAAGTTTTTCAATGAGATTGGTTTGGGCAAAACTTTTCATGGTAAGTGTAGTAGTAGGGCTGGATGCAGAATTTTACGCGCGAAGCTTCTACGTGTTATCCACAGTTGGCCGGTCGCCCATACGAGAAATTGAACTTGTACGCTAGATCATAGGACAGATCGGCCTGTAATGCGTGCACGAGACTCTCCTCATGTGGTCTATGGCTCATAATCACACTGGTGCAAGAGCTTACTACATGAAGTCCGATTTTCAGTATCAGCCACTATAGTTCCTGAACTACGTATCTTATTGCGAGGTAAACTTTCCGAAGCTATTACCTGGCCTCCAGAATGTTCATTAAACATACAATGGAGCTTTGGGTACAAGGTAAGGCTTCGCTTGAGTCGACATGACTCGTGTAGCCCCCACATCGTGCGTGAATAGAATTTGCACCTTTACCCACCATCCTAAGGAATTTTACGTTGCAAGCGAACCGAGGCCTCTTGTTGATGCGTCATATGCGATGTCTATGCTGTCTCTGAGCCTTCATTCTTGGGTATATTATAGTCAGAAATTCCAGGGCAGCCATCTAACCAATCAGCTCTTCTGATCTTTCATCGATTGAGCAACGGTCTTATGGTCTAGTGGTATGATTCTCGCTTAGGGATCAAGTGATCAACACCTGAGCACATTTGCGAGAGGCCCCGCGTTCGAATCGCGGTAAGACCCGTCTTTTTGGCCCAATGAGGGCCGGTTTTGGGGCACTGTGAGCTCCGAGGCGCTCCTAGCATGCTTTTTGGACATACCTGGCCAATACTAGCGAGCTTTGTATGTAGGATAACCTGCCAATAACCGAATCGAGGTATGATTCGGCTACTTGGTGACGTTGGGTGAATTGGCGGTTGAAGAGCACAGTGAGCTCCTACGCGACCCCATGCCACCAAGTACCAGTATTCAGTCGTATCATTGAATTGCGCGTGCGACATGATATCGTGCACTAGGAAATAGCCTTGAGGCGACATCTAATCAACCTTGCCAAAACGGGGGTGAGACTCCCTTTTGTCTGCACCAATGTGTACTTGATATGATTGAGACTCACTATGTAGATTACTTGCAAAAGCCAGCATTTCTTCTCACTTGGCTTATGTTCTGAAACTCCAATGAGGCTCGAGCATCGTGTGGTGCTGTAGCTTACTCGGGAGAGGTTTGTAAGTAGTGAATGCATAATGGTATGCAAGCGAGCAAACGATCTTAGAATATGAGGGAGCACGATCGACATTAGCCTTACTTCCATCGCGAGCGTACACATAGCACTTCATCGACGTGTCGCTTTCTCTGCAACTCCATTACCTAGGAGTTTAGTTTACTGTCGACCACTATGCTCCCTAAAGATCCCCGAGAATCGCCGAATCTCACTCGCGCAAGCACCTCTCACCACACCTTCCCTTTTCATTTCCCCAACTTCACCATAACAACCTCAGAATGACTCACATCCTCCCAAATGTGCACAAACCGCCCTTTTCCATCAACGCGAGGCGTCGTGCTCGGTGTTTCGGAAATGACGTATGATTTCAAAGCAGCGATGGATTACAAGCCAATAGCCAAAACGTCCGTGCGCAGCGGTTTTGCAGCCCGTCAGGGTTAGTGTAAGCAGATGTTGTGCAATATTTCGAGGTGACTTTGTAAGTTTGATGAGAAAATAGCATGTAGAGTCTTGGAGGAATTATTGATGGGGGAATATAAGAGGGACGGACGTGGTGGTGTGACGGGAAAGCATATTTGAACGTACAAGCTATTACTGTCCACTATCGCCTAGATTCCAGCGAGATATTCCACAGAGAGTACAACCTTGTTTAAAAAGTACAAAGAAAGAACTGCAAAATGTCGGTAGCTGTCGTTCGACCTGTCACCACATTGCCTTCGAGACCACGCCGAAAACCCCAAGCCAAATCACCTCGGGATCTCCAACGGCTTCTGGTCCAACTCTCCGACGCCCAAGCCACATATAGCACCTCTGCCTTCGCACACAACATCGAGAAGCAACTTCTCGGCCTCACAAAGTCCTCCACCATACCAATAACCCGCATCGTCTCCCTCGGTCTCGGCTCCCTCTCCAACACTGAGAAAGGTCAGACGCGGCGAATAAAGCAACTTGCCATTCTCCTTACCATACGCGAAAGCCTGCAAAAGCACATGAAAGCAGGAGTGGTGGAAGTCTACGCGCAAGACCCGACTTTCACCCGCCAAGACGAAGCACTTCTTTCGAGCTTCGACATCCGGATACTGCGGACGGCGTCTGGGGCTAGCTTGGGTGAAGCGGCGGATGTTATCGATGAGTCTACGTTGGTTTACTCGCCGTTCTTGACACTGGAAGCGTACGAGCAACTCCTCGTGGGATCGAGGCAACTAGTGCAGTATCTTATTGGTGACGACTTCAATGCTTTACTGGAGAAGTGGCCGAAGTATAGTGCCGAGCGGATGCAGGTGCAGAAGGTGACAAAGGCGGCACTGGGACGGTATAGGCGGAAGGCTATCTCGGGGTCTGGATTTTGGGAGGAAGCCGATGGCGCATATCCGATGGCCGTTTATGCGGCGCAAAAGAAGGTGAAGGAGAAGGCGAGGATATAGACGCTCTGTGCCGTAATATAGATCTGAGATACCCAATAGACCAGCATTTGCATTCACAGTGGCCAAAGGTATGATTCGGACTTCTTGCTGCAGCTCTTCTTTCTTATGAGCACTGTCCATGCAGTATATAGTCGTAAAATCAGATATCGTTATAGAGTGAGTTACTCTAAGGTACGATCTTCCGCGGTTTATGCTGATATTTGTTTGCTGGTAGCCACTTTTGATCTCTTGCGAGAGGGGATTTACTAAAAGGGCGGGATTCTCATCGACTTTTGTGATCGTTAGATTCGTGCATCCAGAATGGCATCGTGCCGAGCCACTATCCAAGCATCTTGCTAAAGCTCCCAGCGATGCCTGCTGCACTAACGCTCAAACTGAGGCTTAATCGCAAGCCCTTCGACTGCGCGCGGACTTCTTGCTTTCTTTCACCCCAATCCCTTCGCAAAGTCGCTTGGTGTTGCATGTTAGGTCTTCTCGGTACACTCTCGATCCTCCTTTGCGACTCTTGCGCCTTCTTCTCCATCTCTTTCGTATCCTTTAATATCGCAGCTCTGATTCTTTCAACCCCAGCCGCCTCATGAGGTGGAACGTTCTCACTAATCAAAGTTCCGTTCATCGACAGTGCAACAAAGCATTGGTACCGATAAGGATGCAGCGTTACGTTCCGCACATCGGCGATTCCCCTAGTCTGCGTGCGCGAGTACTCCAACATCCGTGAGATAGTGTTGTAGAAGCCTAGATCCCATACTGCAGCATGTTTCTCTGTTATTAGTAGGAAGTTCGAGTCAGCGCCCAGAGCAACAATTCGCGGTCGATCTATCCAATTTCCATCCTTGATCCGGGCTTGGAGTGCTGTTAGGAGTTCAGATGGGAGGTTCATCCAGATGTAGGAGGCTGAGTCGTGGACGAAGAAGGAAGAGTTGTGGGGGCCCAGCGTAAGGCGAATGGCGGGGACGTTCCTTAGAAGGCGGCCTTGAGCATTTGTCGCGTACAAGAAGTTGGTGAGCTCAGTAGGCAGGCCTTGGGATTCTGATTGATGTTAGCCATGCACATTGCTTAGCGTGGAGGTGTAATGGAAAGTACCGATGTGATCGCGGCCATGCTTGTCCCGCCACGTCAGCAAGAAGCTATCTTCGAAACCGAGGGCTAGATGATGTACTTCCTGGGACTGCGCAGATGTGAGGAGGAATGTGAGTTTCTTCGGCAGACGAGTACTACTTCAAGTCAGTCTGTGCATTGTTTTGGGAGGACAACAAACATACTAATCTCGCCGAGACGAACTCTGGAAGTAGTGGTTTCCTCTCTGACCGAACGTAAAATTCGTATCGCACATGATAGCGCGATACTGTTATGCATTAACCTTCTCTTTTAGCTTTTTTCGATGTGTGAAGTGTAAGTGCGCGATCTCACACAATCAGACGTTCACCACCAGCGTGGCCGCCAAGCGATCGGCATCCAGGTTCGTACCAAGGAAATTACCATATCATGCACCAACCACCGTAAACAACATGTGCTTCACGCCCATTATGCGCCGCACTGTTTTCAGCCTCTTCTCAGCCACACCGTCTTTCTCTTTTCAATCTCATTGACTTTCTTTCGTGCGTTGGGCCGGCGTTCTCGAGGTGTTCATCGAATGACGTCATTGCATCACCGGTCCAATAACAAACAAGCATGAATGGTACATCGAGCCCTACGTGCTTCTTCTCCTTCGGGCCAGAGGACAGCTTTATATCTAAAAGCTACGAGGGACTACGATAGTAAATTGCACTTCAAGTTCTTGCATGACCTTGCACTAACATCCATAGTCATGCCCTCCCGCCTGCCCTTCTCGCCCTCATGACGGGCGGCAGCGTCCTGGACGTTCACTGGGCCTCCCTAGGCACCATAACCGATTCCTGGATCCTCTCCTTCAAAGATTCGTCCGGGACGCAAAATCTCGCCTGGGGAGCATCAATACCCAGCCGACTAGAAAAAGTCCTCTCCAAACTCTCCCCCTCTCAGCACCTCCGCGTCTTCTTAGGCCCATCCTCCTCCTACATAGCATGGGATCCCACCTTAATTCGCTGGTCCTCCCTCCCCGCCTCGCTAGAAGACACCCTGCAATCCTGGCTCACGCCGTCCGGGTGGCGCGCCGGGGCCCCACGGATGGTGACATGGGGCCCGGACGATGCGTTCTTCGCGATGAGCGAGTATGGGGATGTAGCGTATCGTCTCGGGGATAAGAAAAGAGAGGATTGGGCAACATGGAGGGAAACGGTAGAAGATTGGAAAGCTGAAAGGGGGTTCAGGTGGAGCGAAGTAGCGTATATTGCGCTAGACCCCACGACGCCCGACCAGTTCGTCGCGATACGCAACGACGGTACATGGTCCGGTTCTATATCAGACGAAAACTCGACTGCGCTGGAGGCGTTCGCGCATAATGTCTTCCGCCTCGCCAAACCAAAGTCGAAAACGAAATCTCCGCCGCCTCGAGCACACCAGCAGACCAATGGTCACACGAACGGCGCTATAGCACCGGAGGACGACAGACCAGATCCAGCGACCAAAGCAGCATATGCACAATGGTCCAATTCCACAAACCTCCTCTTCGCCTCCGCCCTCGCAGCCACAACGCCAAAGCGTGCCCCGAAGAAACTCCAAATCCGCTCCCAGTCCTCCACGGCCTCTATACCCAAGTCCTCGACTGCCTCCCCCTCTCAACCACGACCCACACCACACTCTAACCCCTCCACGTCTGTTCCCCACGCCAATCTCCTAACCTCCTTCCCTATCTTCCCCATCCGCCACGCTATGCCCTCTCCCAATCTGCGCCCTCCAAAAGGCGACCCCGCCGGTCTGCGCGCCTGCAAACACGACATGGAGCGCTTACTCCGCGCAAGCGGAATTACGGGTACGAGTGGCTGAAGAAAGAGCGGTTGCGGTGGCATCCTGATCGATTTGGGCGGCTGTGCGAGGAGGGGTGGAGGGAGGAAGGAACGAGGCTGGGTGGGGAGATGTTTAAGATGATAGATATACTTCTGGGGATTTGGGGCTGTGAAGGGTGGGTAAGGGAGGATTCAGATTTAGATGGAGATAGGAAAGGTTAGTGGATGGGCGAGGAGGGCTTTATGCCGGGGTATCAAGGCTGTTTGTGCTGCTAAGAGAAAATCAAAGGGTGAATGAGTTGCGGGTTGATAGGTCAATTTTACCTGATCATCCTGAAGGGATGACCTTCGGTGCTGAAGACCCACCGATCCAAGCTCGCGATATTCGCATCGCTGAAAGTAAGCCAGAGATACTTCAGCGTCTCGGCTGCCCAGAAGCTCTCCTGCATATCAATCCACCTCCCTTCGCCCTCGCCACTCCATTGTCCAAGTTCCACTTTGTACACGTCTGCCAGCTGCGCATATCCGTATGGCGCCTTGCAATGCTTCTCCATCGCCGTAAACGCATCCCATGCCCATTCGCGGAAGCGTGCCTCGCCCGTAATACGATGAGCGTAAAAGAGGGATTCGATATACTCAGGACGTCCTTTGTACCGGGCGTCTGTACTCCAGAAACCGCTCGCGCGCCACTCTTCTTTTTCGCGATGGGTGGTTGGCGAGTAGATGGGCTCGTCATAGCCGAATTTGGGTATCCAAGACCAAGCTTCCGGGCCAATCTTCGAAGGCGTCGAGTCATACGTATGCCGACAGCCTTCCAGGAGCGCGAGGGCAAAGATGCCGAGGTTCTCTTGAGCGTAGGCTTTAGAGGCTAGGAGAAGGGTGCCGGGCGCGAAGCAGGCGAGGTGGCTTTGCTTGTTGAGGAACCATTGATCATCATCACGAGCAAGGAAGAGATGCTGCATGGTGTGGTCCGGAGCAGAGGCAGAGCGCGAAGCGTAGTGATTACGTAGCGAGCCCGCAGCCAGGCTGAATTTCTCCCGGTACCTGGAGAGGTACGGGTCGAACGTTGGAGCGAGAAGCGTTATCTTCATGAGGTACTCGTAGTACGAGTCGTGCCCTCCATCCCAGTGCCTCTGGCGGCCCACAGGTGCACCGGTGATGATATCGATGGGAGCCTCGATCATGCCATTGTATTTCCGATACCATTTTGACCAGACTAACGGAGCCCATGCAAGCGTCGCATTCTGAGCATATATTGGATCGCCGGTAAGTCGCGTCAACACGCGATTCTCAAGGATAGAGGAGCCAGCGCGGGCAGGTCCAATAACAGGATTCTCGTATTTCGCATACTGAGAAGAGACACTTGGCAGATCAGCAATACCCTTCGACTGGGCGAAATCAACACGAGGCCACGGCATGCCGGTCGGTGTGTCATAAGCCGGTCCTAACGCATTCGCAAGGGCGACAGCTTGTTGGAGTATGGCGTCGCGTGCATCTTTCGAGACGGCATTGTCCGGTATAACACCCGCATCGTACAGATCCACCAGCGACACCAACCCTCCCAGGTATCTGATAGTCGTTTCAAAGGGATCCACCAGATCGTCGGTCTTGGTAAAGTCAACTGTGACAATATGCTCCACCGAAAGTGCTAGCTCGTCCCAGAGGCCCATCAGCACCAGCGTAGTCGCGGAATCCACGATGAAAGCGCCCCAGCCATTGCGCGACGAAGAACTACCTCCAGATACGGGCAATATATCGTCGCTACCCCAAGCATTCTCGCGGTACTTCCAAAAGGTGTATTTCATGGCCTCGCGCACCTTGTCTGCCTTCTCTTCATCTGCCCTCCCCGTGCCGTTCGTCCAATGTTCACATTGTATTTTCGCGCCATACTTGGGGACGCTGCCATTGAATCTGACAGTCGGGTCCTCAAACTCCTTTATGATTAGGTAGAAGGTGATCACGAGGACGGCAGCGAGGAGCTTGAAGGTCCCAGTGGGGTTCTTATCGAACTTGGATTTGCTCCAGCGACGGAAGCCGGGCATGGCTAGCGGTGAGGTATGCGAGAAAGACGAACGGGTGGTAGCTGTAGAGAAACCATGAGGGCTCTTCGAAGTCTGGCGCTCAAGTTACGGCTCTCTTGAGGTAAAGCGGACTTCGAGTGACGAGGCGCTGTACGTGGAAAGCAGGAGTGCGGACAGCTATGGGCTAGCACAGCATAGCGATGAGAGTGGGCGGTCGCAATATGTCGCAAGGGGCTTGGAGAGATTCACATGTGCTAGTGTGTCAACAGTACTCGTTTCAAACAATTCAAAACAGCAGGTGCAGCTTGGTGGTGCTGTCGTGGCCTCATCTGCCTGAATCGAAGTCGCTTTGACGCGGGCTTGGCACCTCCGCTCGCCGCTTCCTTGTCGCGCGAGCTTTCTGGAAAGCAAGCTTGCACCCTCCTACATATCACTGTTGCGCCCACAATGTCTCTCTGGCAGTACGATTCTGATCAATTGATTCTTTGCGATACTTTGCTAACGCTGAACTAGGTGGTACAGGAGCATCCCGCCCAGGACGCGCATGCTTGTAGGCGTTGGCGTCATGAGTTACGCCGCTGCGGCCATGTTCATTACCGACAGAGTCGAAGAAAAACTCGGTTTCGTACCTACCGAGAAGGACAAAGAAGATCTTCAAAAAGCGATACCCAAGATTACGGTGGTGGATAGACCGAACAAGGATTTGTAGAGGGTAGAGCGTCTGCAAATACAGGAACGTCTGCGGCCGATGGGGTTCGAGTACGTCTGCTTTTCCCGGTACATTTGGTTTTCTGACATGTATAGGGAATCACTTTCTGCTAGAACGAAACAATATCAAGCACACGTCGCACCGTAGTTACCGTCGAAACGCTTCGCAATCCGTATGTCATACAAAAGTCGCGGCACTACTTCTGTCCACGAGTTGATATTCGTTATTCGGTTCATCATGGACTGATGTAATCTATTCAAGAGTCGAGTTCATCTGGTAGTCGCAGATCAACATCAAAATGCTAGCTCGAATCATTCGCGAGCAACACAAAGCGACACAACCTCTATCCTCGCAATCGACCCAGACTTTTTACAGCTCCTAATTGGCCCTCTCCATATATACTCCACTCGTCGCCGTCTCATACGAGAAATTCGTTGGCGGATCGCTTCCAACTCCCACCACCTCAAAGGCCACACTCCCCACGCCTGCCGGAAGCTGATAGGCCTGCCACGTACTCGGTCCTTCCCCTGGCTTCACAGTAGCATCCCCGAAGTTCTGCACATAAAACCTGGCAAGATGTTGGTCGCGATTGTTGGACCCAATTCCATCATTTGGCGGCGTCCTCGACGAGCTGTAGATATCGACAGCGGTGTTTTTGGCTACGCCCCCGTCGTTGTACCAGAAACCCACTCTCACCTCCTTCCCAATCCAATCTGTGGGGAGGTTGAAAACATGAACCTCGGACGTGGACGTGGCGAAGTTGACCAGACCCTGGATCTTGGGGATGTAGTCGGGTGGTGGGTGAGTAGAGGTTTGGTGGTAGATGTAGGAATTGGACGGGGTGAGCACGGAACCTGAGGGCCAGCGTTTTTCGACTGGGGTGGGAGCAGCAGCCACAAGGCTGGTTAGACCGATGAAGAAGGCCGAGGTGAAGAACTTCATTCTTATGGTAGAGAGTCCACTTGTCTCGCAAGTAAGTCAATGTAGAATAAAGGCGAATTCTGCGTTGCTAAATACATCTGTCTCGCTCGCATTCGTCTCTCATTCGAATCACACCGATCATCACTCTGCATATACGATACACCCGAATACGATTTTGCTCAGCTGCACCATCACTTCAATCGCATCTCCAATCAGGCTCCTTGCAAATCGTGTCATCTTCAAAGAATGGAAATACTGCCAATACTCTCTTCGTGACAAAGAATCGATGGCGCTGGTAATATATCGTTTTTCGATTGTTATGTTTGTGGGATGATGAACACATGATCTGATCACTGTGCTGCCTTTATCCTAATTTACCCTCCAGTCAAACCAATTCTATATCATCTATTGTTAGAACTAGTGCAACCACTTAGCACTCATGTTCTTATTGAGGATGGTACTGAGACACATTGATTAACGCGGCACTGAAGTAAATGTGCGATTATGTATTAATCCAAATCAAGCAACGCTTAAGGAGAGACAGCTTGCCAGTGACAATGACTTGGAGAGCTAGGACTCTCCCCAAAATGTCTGTGATAAGAGGACATGGCAAGAAACGACAATAGACCACACTCATCGCTCTCCAGACCCGGCTCACCATTACCATTTTCTTAAACCTGCTTGAGATACAACCCCTCGGTCCTTGTGTCCCATGTCACATCTGTTGGATTCTGTACATAGGTTCCCACAATGTTGAAAGCATACTTCCCAGGGTTATTGAAGGTCACCGTCTTCCATAATTGCGACTCGCTAGGTGAGATCTCGACAGCATCACCAGTGTTCTGTGCAAGGAACGATCCAAGGAATGCGTCACGGCCGTTCGACGTTTTAGGAGGCACCCGGTCAGCAGTCTGCGGGACATTGTTGTTGGTGAAGATTTGGATGGCTTGCTTGGGCGGACTGGTGACGTGGTTGGACCAGAAGTGGATCTCGAAGGTCTTGCTTACGTCGACGGCGGTGATGTCGAAGGTAGAGATGGTTTCGAGAGCCGCTGCTTGGGACGGCGCGGCCGACGTTGTCGATGGCGGGCATCCAAACGTTGTTCTGCCAGCGGTGGGAGAAGATGGGAACTTTGGTGGCGCTGCTGGGGAAGCGCTTTTCGATGTCGAGAGCGGGAACTGGGGCGGCGGTTGCGGTGCCAATGAGGGTAGTGAGGAGGGCGGCGGTGAACTTCATATTGTTGGAGGTGTTGGAGGTGTAGTGGGTATCAAGAAGGGAATATCGCATATGACGAAGAAGAGATAGCTGGGAGATGCTTCTAACGTCTCTTTGTCTTCGGTTATATAGCCCTTTTGCGCTCTTCAGCCTTCCTCTCCATCACTCAGCTTGATATCCCAAGACTCACCACCAATATGCCCAATCTGGTTGCCTTCGCACTCACTGCAACCTCGTCCAGCTCTGTCTCATCAGCCCAAGTCCCCCACCGTGCGCAATTTACTGCCTCTGTTATCCTATTTGCCCAGCGAGAGAGTCAACCCTTCAATACGTGAGGCGGATGATGCGTATTCTAAGACCGTCAGATCTGGGCAATGGCGCCCAAACGCCATTCTGTGACGAATACTTCTGATGAATGAGCGTGGTGCGTTGCCGAGTACAGGCTTGAGTAAGCCATGCATAAAGTAGAGACACAGCTAGTGGCCCTCGTGACTGAAGTCACGACGCCTGCGGGTAGGTCAAAAGTCTCGCCCAAGTTTGGGCAAAGAGATGTTTGGTTCGGCAGATTCCATGTCTATCGGCCAATCCTCCATGAACCGGTAGACTGCTGGATGTTGATACAATGCCATATATCCATCAAGTTTGGAGCTGCGGGCGATAAGCTCGTGTTCGGATGTAGCCGGGGTGTCGAAACGGCGTGAAAGTTGGCGGCTGTGGTTGGCTATGCATGTGCTTGGATTTGTCTTTGCTAATGTACCCCACTTGGTCAACGGGTTGGGGGGAAGCCGATACATGCAGAGTATAATTCACTGAGGTATTGTATCATGTGTTGAACTAGCAGCTGTGGGTACTGTGATGCACATGTTCATGTTAAATGTTGATGTTCTTTTCCTTGTAACCTAAGGCAGCTTGCCATGTACTCTTCGTGCTACAAAGAGCATACATGTTATGCCGGTACCGCGTAGGATGATGCGATCTCGTGTTCAATATTTAGAAAGATGCAAGTTGTGCACGTGCGGCAGGTAAGCTCGGCAGCTGGGGGTTGGTGGTACTGAGTTTGTGGTATGCGGCTGAAGACACTAGAGGCGTCGAACACGAAGCGGCCTTTTCTACTCGTGAGTGTGAGCTCCTGCATTTCTTTGAATGGGAGAGTTCTCGCATCTGAAGCTGTGTCTTGAGTTTCCAGCTGGTGATGACACTTATTCAACAGCAGACTCCGTGCGCTCGCGTTATTGTATGCCCCTACTGAGGTCCACGCGTCAGCACAGTCCAAAACGTACAATAGAGTAAGCAGGCTCTTCACCTGAGATTTGAGCAAATTGGAGTGGGAATGCAAGTGCCATTCCGTGCTCATAAGGTAAGGAGGTACGGAAGGGCGTTTAGAATCATGATCGGTCGTAATTGATACCTGGGTAAAGATTGTCCGTTGTGTATGCAAGTGCCCATGCATAAAAGTCAGATCACCGCCGTATCCTTTGATCTACCCTTTTGCCATGACCCAAGTTATGCAGTATGGAAAGTAGCGAGCGTGTTCAATAAGAATCTCCCCCCTTCCGGAGTACCCTAAGCATCGACTCATGTCATCCTCACCATTTTGCTTATTCCCATCAAAGCAAGTGTGGGTCAACTTCCACCACAGGTCCATTGTAGCTCTTTTTCGCGAACAACAAGTAGTATCCAACACTAAAAGATGCTACGCCAGCTGTCACTACAATAGCCCAGTTCATTTGCGAGGGGTTTGCGATCTTGAAGTTGCTCGGCCAGAAACTGAAGAAAATCAGCAAGAGAAGGTAGCAACATGCAACAATGTTGTTCACGACCCCTAATGGGCCTTTCAGCCTCCATGGGCCCCAGCCCAAGCTCCTATCGTGTAGCTCGTCGGCCTGCGCGTTGGAGCTGAAAGCGGTAAGACCGGAGTTGGGGTCGTCCATGTCACCGCGCAGGCGTCGCCACAAGAGAAGGCCGATCGCTAAGAGGTACGAGATGTAGAAACCTTCGAGAACAAGGGAGATGGTGCCATTGAAGGCGGCGTTGTTGCCGATGTTGATGAGGGCGAGGAGGGCGGAAAGCGTGGTTACAACGAGGATGGCGACTACAGGAATAGTTGTGCGTTTATCGATCTATGCTACGTTAGCCAAGTCTCTAATGTATGGGATTATGCTCACCATGCTAAGAGCCCGCGAAAACGGCAATCCATGGTCTCTTGCAAACGACCATGTCATACGCGATGCTGCTGCCAAGCAACCCATTGCACTGCAGAACTCGAGGGAGATGATGATGACTGTCATGATAGTCGCTCCAACAACGGATCCGGTGCCATACTCAAATATACGCATAAAGATCGGAGTGGTCGAAGACGCGTCATTTACCAACCCCATGATATCGGGAGCACTGAATAATACCGATATGAGCATGCCAAGAGCGAGACAGCCATTGATACCAAGACTGAGAAGCATCGAGCGTGCAACGTCCGTACTGGCGTTCCTGACCTCCTCTGACATCTAATTCTGTTAGCAGCTATTGTACGTGTTCAATTTGTTCACTTACATGCACCGCAGAATCGGTTCCAACAAACGCAAGAGCATTTCCTTGTAGGCCGATGAAGAAAGCCAGTGCGTTCGTTCTCCAACCTCCGTGATTATTGAACGTGGTGAAGATTTCCTTCGCCGAGTGGTGTGAAGCTGTCAGGTAGACCAGTGGTATGAGAATACCAAAGAAACCGAGAACATGGATGACAAGCACAATCACTTCAATGGTGGGCAGTGCTCCGCTGACGAATACGTTGATGAAGACGCATAGTAAAAGGACCGCCCACAAGAGCAGTGTACCGTGCCACAGTTGCCGGGTGTACTCGGGATGACCGAGGGAAACAAGACCCAATGTCAGGTCCGCAACGAAGAAGCATACAGATGTCAACGCAGCAATCCACCCAATGACAGTGAGCCATCCTGGAAACGTGATTTAGCTTCTCGGTTAATCGTCAGTAGCAGGGGTAAGCTAAAGCTTACCGGTGATGTAGCTGAAGAATCGTTTACTTGAGCGCGGTGCGAGCAACGAAACCCAGTGATATTGCCCCCCCGCAGTGGGAATCGCGCTCGAAAGCTCACCTATGGCGATGAAGACCGAAATGTTTCCGAGCCATACAAGAAGAAAACCGTATATTAGGCCGGCAGGGCCGCCACTGATGCTATCAGCGTTATGATCCACACCATAGCGCGCAAACTCACTTCTGGAAACCTATTGAAAATACCCTGGCATGAATTTAGTCTATCGCCTAACAATTTGCTATGCAAGGTCATACACTAATATGCTCTCCCATGTGCACATGAGACCGCAGGACAGTCCTGTCATGCTCACCAATCCGAAGCGGCGCTGAAGTTGTTAGTTCCTTCCGTTTCTATGAGTAATACTACTGACTGACCTTCAAGACTTGCTGTTTTCCCACTCGAGCGAGCTCATATCTGTCCCGGTCAAAGCTGACGGGCTTCATCTCTGAGATAGAGCCGCCACCTCTTTGACGGACTCCATCATCGTCCAATGTCTGGAATTCCAATGCCTTCTCCATGATGAAAAAGGTACGCAGCTCACTGTGAGCCTCGTAGACTGAACTTCAGCGGCCCCGAGGTGGAGGATATATCGGCGACCAGGCACTAATGTTCGCCTCGTGGACCCTATCAATGACGAAGGGGTGAAGTTGCAAGGAAAATACGAGTGTTATGTCGTACAGAGCACATGCAATGCAAGTCAATCTGGAGTCGACGGGATCTATCCTGTCAGTTCAGAGGTAACGTCAACCATGTGCGCCGTCAGCTCATTTAAACTGCGAAAGAAGCCCATGACACCGCTCGGCAGGAAAAAGGGCACGTACTCCACGGACTTTTGCTAAGCCGGATACCCACTCAGCTGCGTAAAAGCGTGGAAGCGTGGGAAAGCCGCAGACGACAGGTAACAGGCCTGACATATCGTACTGCGTCTTGAGACCTGTATCGTTACGCCATAACAGAAGCTGATTTGCTGATCGCGTTGCACCACTAGGCGCATCGACAAGAGCACTTTGCGATGGCATGCATCGGAGGATATCCCTTGCTCATCTCGAAGCCGGTCAGTCTCATCCTGCGAATCATGTAATTTCCCGACTGCGTTAGTGAGTACAAGACATGCTTGATGACCCCAAGCAGCACTAGATCGCGCTTCTGCACCATTGCACTGCGGAACTGAGGGGTTGAGGCACAGGTCTAGCTCATCGCGAATAGCTACCGATGACAAAGGGCAAATTCTACTCCATCTCTGTCGCACACTTCTGGGCCTGTGGCATGTTGAGCCGTTGCTAGGCACTCGGCGCGTCTGAAAACAGTAGGAAAGATACAAAAGACCCACAGATAGAAGTGGTACAAGAGAGGACAGATTCTTGGGTCCAGGAGGTGGTTGGAATGAGGATGCGGAGAATTAGGAGTGATCGGCTGCAGGCGTTGTGGAATAGGACTGGCTAGCATTCGATCGCGTTTAGCGTGCCACGTGGGAGACACCTTCACAATCTGGGCCAAAGCGCCACCACATGCGCAACCCCAGTGTCCTTCATCGCCAGGCCATTAGAAACGGGACCAGTCTTGTCGTCTGCATTCACGGCTAGCTCGGCCGATGACTGCAGTACGAGTAGCTACATGAGAGACCGTTGAGTGAGACTGCTACACATGGGGATGACGAGCGCTTCCTCACAAGGCAACGTTGGGGTAGGTTTCATCTGTTCTGATTTGTCAAGGGCGTCGTTCCATCAGGAAACACATCAAGCCATACCGTCAAGTTGCAACAATCAGCTTCAGGTACACGCCACTGGCTGAAAACGCCCAGGTACCAAGGGCTTCATGTCTTCGGCTACTTCGACGCCGAGGCTGCTGCAGCAGAGTGAGAATCGCTCAGTCAATACAGGACCCCTTGTTGGTGCATTGTCTAGCTTGCAGTGCCTCTAACAATAGACTTCGCGTTCGAGAATGGAAGCCTCGGATAAGCCCGGCGTTTCTTACCTTGCCATCAAGCGAGTTCGTTAGTACATCGTAGAACAATTGCTGTTCATTTCCTTGTACGTGAAAGAGGCGCGCCGAAAAAATTAAACCGAGAGATGAATTTGGCAAGAGCAAGAGCAAGAGCAAGGGCAAGCGGCTACGGGACAGTGTACAAGTAAAATTCGTCTATTCAGGCGAATAACACCGCGCGCGACTGAAAGGCATTGAGAAGGAGGTGGAAATCGCTGAAGTCCTTCGGGAGATATCTGTTAGCAGAGCGTTGGACAGCAGGCGAAACTCCTCTCCCAAGGGAGCCTAGCTGGGACCCGTCCTCGCCCAACACTGGCCCGCCAGCAGATACCCGTGGTATCCATGACTTGCAGACAGGTGCATAGTCCAAGCAGAACCAGATGCGGAAGTTGGGAGCGGACTCAACATTCAACATTAGCACAAGCCACACATACTGCTACAATGCGCTACTAGACACTATATTTTCACACCAAAATCATGTTTCCTCAGCACTCCAATGTCGTCACTCCCACTCTCTCTTCTCTCGCTTCTCCTGTCCTCCCACTCCGCACAGACAACCGTAGTCTTCACAATCTTCGCCTGGCTTCCCGTACTCTCTACATCCCACCTTCCCTCCCCGCCATTTACTTCAGCACTTATCTCCACATCTACATTACCATCAGTCCGCTTCGGTCCACCAGGCAGCCCACTTGCTGAATTCGCATGGCTTGTGTTTTCGCTCAGCATCGGCAGGAACCTTCGTATCGCACTCTCAGCTTGGCTGGGCCGATGTCTCTTCTCCGGGGAATGTGCGCTCATGGAGTGACCGGAACTAAGCTTGAACGATGATGCTTTACTGCGGTTGCGCGAGTAGCCTAGCTCGGAGGGTGTACCGCGACGACGTAGCTCGTCCGCGCCGTACATGCCTGATGGGAGTGATTCAAGAAGCGGGCGCAGGTAGGGGACGCATGATGTGAGGATTGTGACGCATTCGATGACTTGAGCCGTAAGTGTCCACTTCCATAGCGCGCGGGTGGTATTAGGGTCATCGAAAGCTGGCGCGTAAGCTAGTTGGATGGCAGTGGCTACGATGTCACTGTCTCATGTCAGTACACACACTATGCTCCTACGGTGATCGCCTAGTGAGGAAGACATACAGCGATCGCGCGCCGAAGAAACCCAAGATTGTAATTTTCGTCCTGGCACTCATCTGTAGTGTAAAGATAACATGGACCGGAAAGAATATCAGACACAAGTCGGTGATGATGTTGAGAGCTCCGAAAGAACGCCAGAAACTTGCCTGAGTTCTGTCAATTGGTGATTCAGGCACACTTGGGTCTTTGGAAAATATACCATGTCAAGACAGTGAGCTTCTTCACCCAAAAACTGCCATGGCTTCTGCGTGCCACACTGAAACGCAGCGATGAATTCGGTGATCAAGCCCCACAGAGCGATGAGCATCGTGAGCGCCCATCCAAACTTACGGTGCAAATTCGAAGCTGTGAGTATCATGAGAAGTGAAATAATTGACAGCTTCGCCAAGGTAAGTGTCGCGATGTAGAGTAGTTTGTTCGCATATTCGGCCTGCGGACATGAGCGTTGGGTTCAAAAGCGGACATGCTGTCGGGGACGGAACGAAGTTCGGTTGATATTATGCAAGACTGGAGGCTGAATACGAGGCCGTAAGCAAACATACCTTTTGGTACGCCACAAGCCCCTCATCCGACAGCCATGATATGTTTCTTCCAAGCCCATATTGTGTTTGCATGCAGACTGCCACTCCAGAGCCGACACTTGCCATCTACACACACACATCAGTACACACAGAGTCACTAATTTATTTTTTGAAGCTCGGCGATCAATGTCCCGATTGACCCGATCGTCATAAGAGAATCATTCAACGTACCAGCGCACCAACGACCAAATAATCATCAACATCTATTCTCCTTCTCAACGCTCTCTTAGTCCCGAGCCTTGTCGCGACCGCCAAAAAGCTCGTCACAAGCAGCACCCACGTAACAACATCAAGGAAAGGGCCCAAGTCTCTTTGGGAGCCGGGATGTCGCGCCACGAACGTCTTCACCTCGGCGGGAAAAGCAATCATAATCGCATCCTCAACGCGATGTGAATCATGCCAAAGCGCAGCCAGCTCACCTCAAGCTGAGGTCAGATCGGAGGAGATATTCTGGGATATGGGTATTGTGCTGAGCGGATGGGGTACTGGAGGCGCTGGAATGCGAACGGGAGCTGAGTGGCAGGTATGGGCGAGGCGTACACTAGCAGGCATGGCAAGGGGAAGGGCATTTCACGGCGGCAAAGTACACGCCGACCTGTGTTTTGAGCAGTCAATTCAGATTGTGCTGGGTGACTTGTTTGAGTGACGATGGCTGGAAAGGAAAGGGATGGAGCATCGCACGGGAATACTAGCGAGGCGTCATGGAGAGACGGCGACGTCGAGGGGTGAGCGTTGTACGGCGGGTGTTGTCGATAGTTGGCATGCAAGGACGGCGCAAGGTCCGGAGGTGCGATGGAGAATGTCGTTGTCACTGGGTTAGGCTTGTGCGACCGGCGACGATCTCCCAAAAGTCCCCTCGAGAGTCGTAAACTTATCGGCATTCCATGCTTGCAGCCGAAACCTTCAGCTTCCACTAGCTATCTCGGCTGGTACCAGACTCCCGTATTCAAGCGCTGTGTAGCCAGTGATGTATCACCGCATCTGTATTGCGAGATTGGAGGGATAGGAGTGGGTCCCAGCTTGAAGGTCGTGGAACATACCAATGCAAGTACAAGCTAACGTGGGTGCTCTAGCGATAGAGTGTCACTTGACGTCCGATCACATGGCTCTGCGGTCCAGAACGGTGGCAGAGTGTCAGCTCATCAAGGACGCGGGACTTTGACGAAGTCGCATCTGATGTCTGCCGAAGTCAATGGCAAGCAAAGTAACCTCCCTACGCTCGTAGAGTATCCCAAAAGAAGTGATTGTGATTTCATCGGTAGCGACAGATAACAGCCATCCAATACCACAACATATCCCGCCGCTTATACATCACCTCATAGGGAATCATCGCCGAAGTTGTGACAGGACGCACAATTTCTCCTCCGTGTCTAGTAGTATCTGTCAGCTCGGTCTGTAGGTTTCCCCGACTAACACTCACTTAGTCGCGTCCCTCAACGGGACTATTCATTCCGACTCCACAGCAGGAGCATGGCGGCGATCGACATTCTATGAGCTAATTAGTTGTGCGTCTATAGTGGAAGACCCGCTCTATCCACGTGATGAGAGCCCTCGAGCTCTGCAAGAAGTATGCTTCTCGAATTCACGGGATGCAGACTCACAACGACAGCTTCGGCAGAGGGAACATCGCGTCCGTTGACATGACCCGGCGGTTCGATCTCATGATGCCAGTCTGGAGGTGCGCGACGGTTATTGTTGGGGACAGGAGCAGCAAAGCTGTTCACGAAGAGAGCGCCAAGTGACAGCAAGATGGCGATGGAGCGCATGGTGACTGGTTGACAATATCGTTTCTTTGAGATTCAAGGTCTGTCGAACGCTGGAATACGTCTGATGCACTGGCTTTTGAAGACAATGCTCAAACCTTCTGCCGTCTAGCAATGATCTTTCAGCTGAAGCCTAATTTTTCAGATAAATCGAGGAGTGCAAGGCTGCAAGTCCTGCCGGTATCTCACAGCCACCGAGAATAGACCCGGCTCCATTTAGCTCGCGAATCAGGCGATATATCGGAATCCAGTTGTCGCACAACGATATCCCACCCCACGGTACAACCGAAAGTCCAGATGTGAGCTATTTTCTAATTGGTGAAGGCGAAAGTAAGATACCGAACATAGAAACCGGGGGCGGAAAGCTTCTTCTTCAATGCCGGCAACGCTTGGAGTCGGTGACGCTGGTATCCAACGTTGCCAGTTTCAGTGCGGTACGGGGAACGATGCGTGGAGCATACGTCTGGGGGCCAGTCATTGGAAAGCACTGCCTCAATGATATACGAGTTCACTCCAGCCTTCACTCTATACGAAACCAACGGATGACCTCTCTCGAGCCCCCAACAGCTACGGCATCACTGCTTTTTCGTCTTGTCACCTTGCCGCGTTGCACCATTGTATCCACATCGGAATGAAAACCAGGCGTACTATCTCGACGAGAATATCGACGAATGAGTGCATCACAACTCAGAAAACGACCCTGTCTCCGGAGTCCTTCGGCTCGTAAGGATCTTTGTGACCGTGATACTGGAAGTAGGCCTCCATCACCGGGCGGTAAGGCGAGTCTTGTGGGCAGTGCCCAAATACTTCGAGGGTATTGGTAACCTCACGGTAGTCGTCGAAGTCATGGCAAGCATGCTGATCGGGCTGTGTCGCCCAAGCCCTCAGCTTGCCCCAATCGCGGCACTGCCTCATCTGCCCGTCACCAACATGATGCTCGACCAGAGCGGGCATGGGTGTATCGTCGGCTGTGCACATGACATCTTGTCGCAGTCCATCTAGACAGTGAAATAGATGGCTTAGGGTGAACGTCTGGTTGGATTGGTTGTGCTTGGAGACGATAGCTTTTCTGATGAGCTTTAAGCAGTGTAGATCGTGAAAGCCTTTGATGTAGTAGATGCTGCGCTCAGTGTCCCAGGGAAAGCGCGTAGAAGGCCCAAGACCGACTTGACTTGCGAAGTCGTCGTGTAGGGAGATGGCCATTGGGTTTGTGTCAATCGTGTCCCAGGCGGCATCCGTATCTTCGTCACTGATATTTGGGTTCCAGTACTTTGAGTAGGAGTGAAAAGGGACCATGCTATCGAATGTGATGCCACCTATGATGATTAGAAGGAATCAATAGATACGACTGTAATACACACTGTACTTTGTCTTCCCGCGGTCTTGGGTCGTAGTGCGAAGCCGTGTATTGTCAATCGTCAATAGAACGTTGACCACAAGAGATATTAGCAAAGCTGTCGCGAACACGGTAATAGCCGACCGAGAATTTGAAGATTGTGGAACAAGTTCGCCTGGGAAGGAGATCTTGGTCTGCCCATGGGTTTCCTCGTCCCCTCTCAGAGGCTGATATTGCTGGTGCATCGCTGTGGACAGTCCTTGTCTGGTGACGATGCACCCGCCGGGGGAAATTCAGCTCAAAGCCATGCTCTTGCGCCACACTTCCATCCGCGCCACAGAGCACTGAGGTCAGGTGTGGCTCATTAACCCTAATCGATGATCAAGCTTTTGCAACCTCCGAGCTCGGACCACAGATGAATAGCTTACGCGCCGGTATCGGCTCTCGCTCATCGCGTCGTCCCCTCGCACTCGCCAAACTTACGATCAAAACGCAAGGGCCCGTAAGTACTCCCATTGCCCCTCACGCTGTGCTACGTGCGTAACCAACGGTCCAGACTGTTGTAGTGTGAGGGGGTCGAACGCGCGCGGGCGTAGTCGTGAAACGGTGTTCTCGTCTGTGTGCAACAGCGCTAGCCTCAATATAGCAGCTGCCTTTTTGAGCTTGTGCACCAGGCGTGCAACCTTGCTATCTACACACTTGTACTCCGCGTGAGCTTCGCCTGGGCTTCGCGCGAGAGCTGTGCCTCAATTCGGCAGTAAAAAGGTCCGAATGACCGGGTTGCCAACGTCGTTTACGTCAAACCGATACATGGTGAAGGCCTGTTATCGCGAGAGGTCATTGCAAACCAGTTTACTCTTGTCTGCCTGCTGTTTTGAGTGCGTCTTGTGCGTGTGTCCGACTGAGAGTCAATTTGGAAGTACTCAAGTTATTCCGCGGAGAAAATAGGACGTGAAGGTTGACGATACATTCATAAGCCTACTCAACGCTGCAGGATGGGATTGATACTGGAGCACGACATGGCGGCCAAATACGTCGTAAAAGAAATGAAGAGCAAGGTCGAAATGGACGCCATCATGGACGTTATCTGGGCCGCGAACTATGACCCGTACGATACATACGCTCAGCTGTTCTTCCCTGTTCTAGGGTATACGCCTACCGCCCGCGAGGATGCGATCACTGAGTCGAAGAATCGTTTTTGGGGCAACCACAACAGCACGCCTACAAGCAACTGGTACTATGTGGAGGACGTCACGAATGGGAAAGTAGTTGGATGCGCGCAGTGGGAGGTTTACACGCAGAATCCGTTCAAGAATGGACCACCCACCTTGAGAGCACCATGGTGGCCAGAGGGTGAATACCAAGAGTTCTGCGAGGAAATCATCAGGCAGGTCTATACGCCGAGGACAAACTGGATGCGGAGGCCACACTTAGGTGAGTATCTTAGTCAGATTGTTGGACCCTTCTAACGACCTGTAGCGCTCAATTGGATGGCGGTGATACCAACATACCGTGGAAAGGGTATCGGATCGCTTCTCATGAGTATTGGGACGTCTCAAGCGGATGAGCTTGGCGTTGAGTGCTGGATGGAAGCTTCGTCCATGGGAAAGAAATTATACGAGAAGCACGGCTTTCGTTCGCTTTTTAAGATGCAATTCGACATGGACAGGAAGAACGCGAGCGATGTGTGGAGGAAATGTGTGCATGAGCTAACCCCGACTACAGTCTACCCTATGTGGAGACCTACGCACGGAATTTGGGAACTGGAAGGAGATTCTATCAAATTTCCTTGGGAGCGTGGTGCTGCCTGAGAAATAGACGGTCTGCAAACAGGAGTCTGGCGTTCAATCGTGTTTCATAGTTTGCCTTACTTCAGCTCTGAATACACCACTTTTAAGTTTCGAACTCACCGTCTTCCCTTGAAATCCCCTAGTACCTCCCATACCATCTCTAAGCAGAAGTACGGAGATTTTACTACCTAAGCAACCCCTGTCACCGCAATGAAACATCATGCACAGGCGTTTTATCTCATAATCTGTCTCATCGCATCGTTGCTGTGCTTGCCATCGAACGTAGTAGTAACTTGCAGGACTCAATCTCATTCGCATGACTGTACGTGAGTATAGCAGGGGTCGAATCTTAATATACGAATATAACACTGGACAAATTTGGAGAGGGAGAGGTGGTGTGGTACGTGTATCTTAGATGTACGCATGCACTGGAGCGATGTAAGAGGGCAACGAATGATCTGGATGACGGTGAAGCGAGCAATAGGCTATCGTGTCAGGGCATCGCGTATAATTGAGTGCAGAGAGACATCGTGAGTATTTATCCATTGAAGTCGCTTTACCTACGTAGGGTATCATCAACGCACCAAAGTGCAGCGCTCACTTGACGCTGATGTAACCCATAGCGGGAAAAGTATATCGTGAATCCCTTGACTCTTGCATACTAATGACGGTGGAGAACCGTCTATCATGCACTGGCCCAACCATGACGGCTGCCAATGCCATCTGGAAAACTCGATCGTGATGTGTAAACTTGATCAACGGAGCAGAAGCCGTATTGCTGGACCTGTGTCAATGAAGGAGAGGAGCTTTGTGCTGGCTTGGCCGTCTAACACAATTTGGCCGTCGGAAAGTTCTCAAACACAAGTCCCAACGCTGCAAGACTAGAAGGTCTCGCAGCCATTATCGATAATGGCCTTGAACTCCAGACGCTGCTTGCCAGCGCGGCTCTTCGCACGAGGCTTCGCATCTGGCGCAATGTAGTGGTCTTCAGTGTCCACTGCAGCCTTGAGGTTCAAGATGAACGGCTCAAGAGTGTCGGCGCGCAGTTGCATGGCTCCGTCGTCTTGCGCAGAGTCGTACCAGTGGATCTTGACCTTCTTGAGCTCGGGAGCTCGGAGTAAAATTTCCAGGATGAAGTCGACGCGGTCCTTCAGAAAGACGGGAAAGACTGCGCCAGCGAAGCCGCCAGATTCAGACCGTATCCAGGTAGTATCCCAAACAAAAGTGATCTCGGCGTTTTTGATGTTCTCCATGGGGGAGAAAGGCGCTTCGGCTAGCTTGTTCAGAGCAAGTTCAAAGAAGGTAAAGTGCAGGAATGAAGCGGTGGCGTCGATCTTCAATGTCGCCACATCGTAGAACCACTGCTTGGCTTCGATGTTGAGCTGCTTTGAGATAAGAAACAGGTTGGCCAGCGGCGGGCACTGCGTGAGGCGCATGAACTTCGAGACATGGCGCCACTTGCTGTTGGGCTTGACCACGATAATCTTAGGCTCAGGGGGCTCCGGGGAAGCGGTCGCAGCAACAACGTTCTCCCCAGCAGCAGTATCTGCCCCAGCAGCGAGACCATTCCCAACAGTGGTGTAGTTTCCGCCCGCGTCAGCCATATTTGCATCGTGGACGGCCTGTGCTGCCTCTGGATCTTCTACAGCATTCTCGCTCCCGTCCTGAGCATCTGCTGCCTCGGCCATGGCGATATTGGCGGCATTGATGGCATTCTGGACGTCATGATCGAGTGGATTATACTCTGTCTCGGTGTCCTCTGTAACGCGCTGATTGAGATTGGTGGTCAGGATCGTATCCGTGAAGGTAGTGCCGTCTTGCGCAATATTAGCCGCGGCTGTAGCTCCGTCAGCAGTCGCATCCTGCTGGCCAGATATGTCCTCGTCTTCGTTGTCGATGTTGTCCTCGTCCTCGTCCGCAGCATCAACATCGTGTCCGTCTTGCTCGTCCTCATCCTGCCCATCTTCGTTCTGCTCCTGGTTGCCATCGTCCTCGTCCTCATCCTGCCCTTCGTCACTATATATTACATTAGCTGGAGCTCAAGAACTTGAACAGTTATAGCCCAGCGGGTCCCATGCAATGTGTACGGACCATTGACCCGCGGCTGTATCGCACAGTTCGGAACTATTCTAGACATTATGACTCACTCTTCATTCTCTGCATTATCGTCTACAGCCGCATCATCCTGCACCTCGGGCTCCTCCTCCTCGTCGTCGTCGTACCGACTATTATAGCCGGCCGCATACGTGACGTTCGCGTCCGGGTCGTTCTTGAGGTGATCCGCAATCTGCTCGTGGATGTCGGCCTTCTCGAACCAGTAACGCAGCGTGTAGCGCGGCTTAATATCACGAGCGGCAGCGACATGGCTGAAGATGTGATGGCGAAGTTCGAGCGGGATGTCCAGCAAGGGTGAGGGGCCGCTGTTGGCGCGCGAATGGGCGGATGACGACATGTTCGCGGTTTGAAATATGCTGAGGATATGATTGTTAGCCTGGTTATTCTAATATAGAAGAATTGACAAGTTGCTGGGTGCAGGGCTGCTCACCTGGTGGTGAGGTTGAGAGTGAGTAATTGTCGGCGGGCGCTCCTCAAAGCGGACAATGAAGCGTTATATAGCGACCGTCACAGCACTTCTGAGTGAAAGCAGAGGCTCGAGCGCGCAGCGGGCAGGCAAAGTTGGCGTGTGAAGCCCGTAGCACGAGGCTGGCTGGCCTGTTGCCTGGTCGGAAGGAGCCCTACGCGGGGTGCTGGTCACGCGTTTGCCAGGCGGGGTGGTGGGAAAAGACGCGAAGGCGTGATTGCGCGCAGGAGCACAATGGAAGCTTTTCGACGTGTATTTGCATGGCGGCGGTTGTTGGGCGCGGCCTCGTCGCATGCGTGTCTACCGTGGACGTAAGTGGGATTTGTGGCTCTTTCCTTCCAGCATCCGCGGTTCGTTGCGCTTTCCTTCGCGCGAGTGTCGCCGGGTTTGGAAATTCAACCTAAACGCTCTCCAGATGTAGTTTTTGTATCCTCTTCATGAAGACACAGACGGAAGGTACATATGCATCGAGACTGCATGTGAGATCATCGTGACTTCCCTGAACAGCTGGTGGCCCAAGCTCCTCTTAGCGCGCGTCGCGTTCAGGCGCGTCTTCTCTCAACCACCTTGATTGTCGTCAACTCCTAGACGGTCGGACTTGCATCTATCGCACGACATCCTCATGATCTCTGACCGCATATCCGGCATTGTGCCCATCGCAACGGCCGTAATGGTAAGAGGCCTTAGCTGCGTGAGTCAGTGCCATCATCATGTACGAGCATCCGGACATCATCGTACCAGAGAGGAAACCCGCCTGTATAAAGCATACTTGAAGAAACACCAAATATTATCATTTCATAGTACAGACCTTGCCTCCTACTCCTCCATCTCATTCTTCAATCTCATTGTTACTCTGCTGTGATTCATTGGTCAAATCATAAAGCCTATTATTCACTCAAATCTCTAAGCATCCATCCAAGCTATGGCATCCAAGTCTTCACCCGCCATTACCCTTTACCGCGGCTGGAACACACCGAATCAATACGTCTGGTCTCCCTTCGTCACGAAGGTCGAGTTCCGCCTGCGCACTTCCAACATGTCCTACACCTGCGGCGTAGGAGGGCCGCGCTCCGGGCCCAGAGGAAAGATTCCCTACCTGGAAATCACACGTCCTGGGTCCGCTTCTGAACTCCTCTCCGACTCCACACTCATTCTGAAGACCTTGTGCGAGCGCGCTATTGTAAGAGACGTCAATGCAGGTTTGGAAGGGATAAAGACAGGCCAGGATCTCGCCGTACGAGCCCTACTAGAGGATAGATTGTACTTCCTCCAAGGGCGCGAACGCTGGGTGCAGAACTACTACACCATGCGCGACCACGCGCTGTGGTCAATCCCCTATCCCATGCGTGTCCTCATCGGCCTGCTCGCCTTCCGCGCCAACGTCAACAAATTCTACGAGCAAGGCGCCGGCCGTTTCTCTGACGCCGAGACGCGCGCCCTGATCAAGGATGTGTGGGCTGGGGTGAGCGGTTTGCTGGAGGAAAGTAGGAGGAAGGCGCATGGTGGGGAGTGCTTCTGGGTGCTGGGAGGGAAGGAGCCGACGGAGGCGGACGCGACGGTGTTTGGGTTTGTGGTCAGTAATCTTGTGTGCGATGCGGCGCCGGAGACGAGGGGATTGTTGAAGGAGGACTTTGGGGTGTGCGTGGAGTATGCGGAGAGGGTGCATAGAGCGTGGTTTCCGGATTATGAGATGTGGAGGTGAGACGCTGAGGACCGGTAGAGATAACAATGGTGCAATTCGTGGTTGTAGCGAACAAATCTCTCGAAAGTAAAGAACCGTACATCCTAAATCTCGCGGATCCCGAATTGTTCTGTCGCGAGGTCTGAAGTGAAAGACGCATCACATCGCTCTTCTGACGCTCGCGCGCCTTCCCTATTCAACCTTCCTTTCGTCCTCGATTCTCACCCACTCCCTCCCCTCGCGCGCAATCCAGACCATCACACACCCGCCGGCCCTCCACCCGGTTCCTCACCACCACCATGAAGCTTCCGCTCACCCTGCTCGCTATCGTCTCCTTGAGCGCCTCCACGCTCGTCCCCGTCGCCGAGGTCGAAACCGATACGGGCCCCAACGTCGCCCACCTTGCCAAACGCAACTGGCCCAAGTTCGTGGAGCACCTCCGCGGTATGTTCTCTAGACCCTGCCACCCGTCCTTGAGCCACCTGGCGAGCATTCATCTCGATCAGTCTCCCTCAGACTGCGCGTACGGCGGTGGGGAAACACAAAGGCAAGACACTAATTCATACTAGGCCCTTGTAATAAAGACTGCGCTGGCCATTACGTCGATTGCAAGAAGGTGCGTATATTGGCTAGAAAGCTCAGTCGGGAAAGGGAAGGAGGGAGCTGACATGCGTGTAGTGGCATTGCATGGTCAATGAGTGGGGCTGCTCCCAGTTGTGCTACATGGAGATCTGTCACGCAAATGAGAGTGTAAGTGTTGTATTGAGAGAGCGGTAAGATAAGACAATGCTGATATGGAGTAGCAATGCAAGGGCTGCCACTACTGCTGAGCATGCGGTGCGGTGGTGCGCAGCGGCCGCAGTGGAGAGCAGGGGTAGAACCGTATGCTTATGGGCCATCGTATTCGGGAATACGTAGCGATGATTCCAGAGCTCCGTGGACTTCTCTCAATGATGGACGGTTGATGGCAGGTGGATAACGTCCTGAACCTTCCCGGTTGTGGATCAGCATCATCGCACTAGTGTGCTGATACTGATTCTCTATTTCGACCTTCAATGGGAACAATGAGGTGCAAGTATAATCCACATTGAGCCACACGAAGTCGCTTCCCTGATGTAGTAGACTCTCCGTATCAGAATGACATCATCGGCCCCTCAGGTACACTGTCCAATCTACACACATGTCCCGTACATCCCAATTCACTCCAAACAATACCTTCCAAACCCAACGTCGTGTAGTGTATATCTAAACATGCCATCCCAGCGCAAAGCCATACATGCCCTGGATGCCCCAAAGCCCAATGGCAATTACTCCCACGTTGTCCGCGAAGGCAACACACTGCACATTGCAGGCTGGATGGGCGATGATCCCACGACAGGCACCATTGTCGAAGGAGGCATAGAAGGGCAAACAGTCTGTCTCCCGTTCCATCTTCTACGACTACAGCTTTGCCTTCACCGCCATAACTGCTCTCAAATCTACCAACCCTGATTCTTCGATCACGCAATGCTGCGCACTAACGAATAGGACAGGTCCAAGCAATCAAAAACATCCAAACATGTCTCGAAGCTGCAGGAAGTAGTCTGGATAAAGTGGTCCGGAGGAGGATATATATCATGGATATGAAGGAGTTTCGAAAGGTGGATAAGATTTGGGGGGAGTGGTTTGCGGAGCCGTGGCCGGTTAGTACATGCGTGCAGGTGAGTTGCATCAGTTGAGAAAGAGAAAGGGACGGGGAATAGAGGAAGAGGGAGGGAAGGGACGGTGCTAATGTGCGGTAGATAAGTGGGCTGGCGAAAGAGGGTGCACTGGTGGAGTTGGAGGTTGTTGCTGAGGTATAATGAAGTTTTGGCTTGGGTTCTGTACGGATCAGCCATCAGGGTCTGGCGTGGGTGAAAAAATGAGATGGGTTGGGTCTGAGAAGAATGGTAATGGTGGCTGGATAGATCGAGAAACGAAAATTAATTAGAATGAGCATGAAGAGGTTGTTGCAAGTGCTGATTTAGTCCATTCATGCAGTCATAATGTCTCGCCGCAATGTCGCGGACGTCCCAGACGAGCCAGACCAACAGTTCTGTAAGCTCTCATTGTTTCCATTCTTTTGTAACTACCTGACCACCATGAATATTATCTACATACTGTTCAATCAACCGTCAGCACACCTGTAGCACAGAGCAGTAAAAAATATATTGTACATCATACCAGAAGAACAGTCTGTGATCTCGCGAAAGCGCAACCCCTTGAAGGATCACCACCTGCAAAGCAAGCTAAACTGAACCTCAAATAGCCCTTCACCTTGGAACGCTGGGAAAAGTCATTAATAGAGTCCTATGAGAACAGTGAAAAAGAACTAAGGCTCGCATTTCCAAACCTGTGGATCACCTTTGCGATTGCGAAGACAACGAAAAAGAATCACCTCTTAGAGAACCATGTTCTCCGCTCCCAGAATCGAACTAGGGACCTTTCGATTACAATTGATATTACAGTCGAACGTGATAAACCAACTACACCAAGCGGAGGAGTACGCTTACTAAGCGTGCTTGATGGAGGAGAAGTCAATTGTACAATATATATCGCTAGCCGAAAACGACGCAAAAGAAGAACATTCGGCAATGCGGCGGCTGAAATCGTTTATTCGAGGTAGATTCTGCTAGTGCATATCCTGTTAGCGGACTTTCTCCACATTTTCTCCACAGATGAGGTCGGATACGCGAACTGTTAGCGCAACAGAACACTGGAGCGCTATGGGGGAAGGGTCGCTCAGAAACTCCATTTCTGATGTCAAGCGATGTCAAGTGGTGTGTAATACTTTGATGTCTTATTTGGTGATGCTAGTATGCTATGCTTCATAATTCTAGTGCCGCTTGAGGATATGCTCTGAACAGTCCCAATAGTCCGAAAAAGAACTGAATATCCATCATGCGCTCTCACAACCCTTCATGGACTAGGCTATCATGGAGCATCTCGTTTTGGACCATTCTAGACGCGGTTAAACGAGTAGCGAACCATTGCCCACGCATGTAAAATTCTCTAGGTGGAGACTAGCGCGAAGTCAAACGAGCATCCCACCTCCACCATCGCATCTGCTTTTGCCCCAAGATGCCTTCATTATATACTGATAATGTGTTGCGATTAGTCATCGAATTAAGCTCGGGCTTGTGGTTTAGGGGTATAATGTAAGCGCTATTCTTCCCCCAACCCTCTCACACATAACTAACAGTCAATAGGTTCGCTTCGCATTATCCAAATGTGTCTGCGAAAGGTCCTGGGTTCGATTCCCAGCAAGTCCAATCCATTTTGCGTGCGCGTTGTAGTGGTGGCCACGTTTTTACAGCTCCAGTGCTGGGGTTGCATCGATTTTTGAGACATGTCAGCTATCACGCACGTGTCATTGAAAGATTGACTTCATCCAAAGCACATGGCATCTATAGTGTCTTATTACCCCTCAGCTACCCTGGCTAAACCGTCATGTTGCCGTCAGCACTCCTCTGAGGATATCTCGGACCTGTACTAGCTCACTGTGATCTTCCCCGGTCTACTACTATGTTTCTATCCAAGACACTGGTCAATTCCGTTCCTAAACTCATAATAATGTCAGCGACCTATAGCCAGAGAGAATAGTACATAGCAGGTCCATCTCTTCGTGGGCATTTCGTGGCGTAGATTGAGATTCCAACTCCTTCGCCCTTGTGCACCATATCGTTCGGCAAGATCCATCTTTCGGTCAGTCTCAATCACTGCATCGCACATGGCATCTTGCGTTCTCTTCTAACTCAAGTACATTGGGGTCGGACATTGCGTTAGGGTGTTTAGAAGCTGGGCGAAATATAGTAGTAGCTCAGATATATGCCTTAATCACCTCTTGGTTGCGTGTGCGTAGATGGTATGACGACTATCCTCCAACTGCCTAATAGCGTACGGGTAGATATTGCTAAACTCCCGGGTGCTAATTTTGACGCGAAGTAGTGCTGAAGCGCGTAGTAAACACTATCAAATAAAACCGCACCTTGTGCACGGAATCCTATGATCGCTTTATCGGCCAAAAGGTAGAAATTTCCTTGACTATATTCGGGGAAACAGCTGCTTAAATCTTTTGACCCTCAAAGTTTGAGGCTTAAGGTAGGGCAAAAGAGCGGACTGTCCTCCTTGTAGAACGGTGAAGTTTCGTATGCGGGCAAATCTTCAGCGGATGAGGCAGATCTTTCGGATGTTGGGCTTGAAAGCGGCGAGGTGGGTGAGGGTTCACATATTCGTCCTGGTTGCAGTGGAAGCTTTGTCGTCCCTATGCTGACATCCTTTCTTCAATATCAGAAGAGTAGTAAAGTACAGCCGGTCGAATGTCAGAACTGTGGCAGCCGTGTCCTTGAGGTTTATGTGAAGTCAAAAGCCTGATCAATACCTTCGACCAATGTGTATACATTCTTTTGATCGTTATTTGGAGTACATAGTCTATACCTAGGTAGAATGACCACAGTCTTCGCATCACGTTGTGCCAGATACCTGGATGGCAAACCCCCACCATACCGGCGAGATAGTAGACGGACCGATAATCTCCGTCGAGTTAGCTGCTGCTATTTTAGCTCCGCGGAGCCTCGAACACGGGAGAGTGAACAGACCATAGGCTCTTGTCCGATTGCAGGGCTGTCCGGTTCGGGAGCAAAGATGCTCCGAGCTCGACTGCAAGGCGAATGATACGAAGACCTTGTGGTCTAACAAATATCTTATGTAGATACGACAGAACTAATGTGTTCGCGTGCGGGAGGCTTCCACGACGAACGGGTGGCCCGACGATGGCGCTTTGCGCACTAGATCTACACAGGCGACCGAAAGCGATACCGAAACTGCGACAAGGGCTTGGATACAGGGAACCCACACTTGAGCCGCGAAAAGTTACATGTACTACCTCAGTATTGTCCATTCCACCACATGCATAAAGTCGCAAGAGCCTCCTCATCAAAGATCTGTTTGAATAGTGCCACTATTATGACGATCCTGCCGGGTTCGTGGTTTGTGGAGGTGTCAATGGCTGAGGAGGCTGGCGGACCGTACCCTGACATCGCTTACCCTTGGAGATACGGAAACCCATGACCAAACACATTTAAACTCTTGACCTTCCCCTCTGAGGAGGCACTGCGAAAGCCCAGAGCTAGCAATGTAAGTACAATCGCTTTGCGTCTAGGTCAGAAACATGACTATCTAGGTATGTAGCTGCCCTCATGACCTGTTAACCCTGCCTGGTTGCGATAAGAGGCATGCATTACCTTTGAAGCCAACACGCTGAGTACCGACAACTACCTCAGCTTCATAATCAGCGCTTTTATGTAGCTGGATAGAGTTCTGATGTTCTCCCTTCATATAGTTCGGACCAGGAACCCTTCGCCAACATTTATCCGCCCAAGCAGCCCAGACCTGCTCATCAATGGTTGTGCAGGATCGATTGAGACGGCCAATCATTCGATATCTCGCACGCACTCCCTGCTCGTGCCCAGAACCGGGGCTTAACTCTCCTTCCCGTTCCGGCGCCGTAGCATTGGTACGGCACTTGCTGGAGCCGGGCCGGACAAAGGGCTCTGAGAGGAAGGAAAAATACAATCAGGATCACTCTCGCGTGGCATGCTTGAGGTGAGTGAAGCTGCGCCAAACTTGCTGGTGGACCTTGTGGGGCTTGGTGGGTGCGGGGAATTGCGTGCTAGCTACCCGGCGTGTGGTTCCCGCGTGGTAATCCGTCGTATACTGTAGGCATATTCTGTGGAGCAAATCCAGTGCGATAAGACGGTCAAGTAGCTGGAGAAATCGGAGCCTTTCTTGATGCTCGGATCGACGTCGAGGGTCATTTCGGCATTCGCGTTCTCAGACAGTGATTTAGATGCAGATTCTGGCCCCATGCAGCGCCTGTCTCTTGCCCCGTTCGCACCAGCCCGCACAGACACTTGCCTGATCTTCAGTGGTCGCCGTCCATCCTCCAGATTCGCTCGCCTAGCCAAAGTGCCCCTGTCCAACCCATCCTGACGGGATTGGTACCCTGTTCCTGAACCAACCGACTTCCGTTTTCGACGCCGTGGCTGCATGCTCAGCTCGTATCCCTTGAACTCGGCCACTGTCGCCCGCTGGCTATGGCGTTCGTACTTGAGGGCTTGAGATCGCTCTGGAGGCGTTCAGGTGTGGCTCTCTCCTCCTCGGACCCTGCTTCCTGGCGTAGGAGGCTGTTCGACGACCTCAACGCTAGAAACAAACGATTGAACGGCCGATCCACTTACTCCGCAATATCGACATTGCCGTAAACGACGAATGTATTCCGCACATCGGTGACCAGCGCTCGACCGTGATACCGTTCCACGACAGCGACCATGGCACCGCGCCCACTGGATCAGAATGGGGCTCCGCAGCAGCCTACGCAGCCGGACCACGCTGCACCCTCGCATACGGCATCGAGCAATCCTATGTCTTCGCCTTCGGTGGTTCAAGCTGGTGAGATGATGCTCATCATCTCGCTTGTCCTAATTCTCTTCGTCGTCTGCGCGGTATCAGTACATTTCTACTTGAAGCGACAAAAAAGGCGACGTCGGAAGAAATCCCCGAAAAAGAAAGCAGGAAAGGATGTAGAGGGGCCAGACGAGTTGCAGTCGAAGGAAAAGAAAATGTCTGAGCTGGTGGGAACGCCGCTTTGCGAGTTGGGCGATTCAGAGCCGAGGCATGAGATGGAAGACGCGGAAGTGCTCGAGAGGTATGCCATGACCGAGCCGGAGCATCCGCAAGAGCACCCAGTGCACCTCGTCAGCCCACTCACACCTAATTACGATGCTGGTCGGATGTTCGGGGATATGTCTACTCGGTCCGCTGCGCAACCAGAAGCAGGCGTATACGCAGCCTACATGATAGGTCTGGCCCGATGAACAGGGAAAGGAAGGAGGATTATAATCATCTTTGCGATGCGGATACCAGGCTAGGAGGCTGTTCCAGATGGCACCTTTGCAAACACGTGCTGAGGTATCTGGACATCTAAGTCAGCAGTAAGTATTCGCCATGGCCCTTACAATCCCAAACTGACCCATAGCAGTGATGCGTTCAACACTTGATCGTTGCTGTTCGCCACAAGCTGTCCATAGTCGCAGTGCTCAGATGTCTTCGTGGATGAGGCCAACGCACGCAGTTCACATTCGATATAGAGGCAATCTAAAGGCCAGTCGAGCAGTGGTAGGAAATACTTTCCGAGGCATAGTGCACGCTGTCCACGACTGAGGAACGAATGAGGCCAGACATCGTAAGTTCGTAAGGAGTAGACTAGGAGGCACACCCGCCAGCAGTAATACTCTGGAAGGGTTGGCAGTGAAGAAGGAGCTGTATGGTGTCCGTGCGACGATGCCGTTATCAAAGTCAAACAGTTGCTATGTTACCACGACTGACTGTTTATGCCATGATGGTCAGGGGTCAGGTTGTGCATCTGGGAACGTCTACAGAACAACAAGAGACCAAGAAACAACTTGGCTAAGATCCTAGTGTGCTAGTTCACGACATCACGGATTCCACCCTAGCAATAGATACCAAAGCATCCGACGTGCGCATCAAGTTCAAAATTTTAGGCGAACGTCAATGAAGTACCGACAACTGGACTTATGTGTCCACCCGAATCTGTCCACATTACCACCACATCACACATGCACCACTCACATTTGATCATGTCATGCCCATCAAGTATGCTAGAAGAGCAGCAACCACCTAAGCTCAGAAGAGCTCTTGTTGAAAGAAAATAAAATCTTAAATGATTAACAAATCCTATACACCAGAACACCAATATCGCAGAACTAAACGAAGGGGAACGTTCCCTCTTTTCGCACACGTCTAATGCTCCATTTCACACAAGCTGTACAATTTTGCCCATACATCAAACCACAGCAAGGTACCACAACATTCCACCCACGCTCATTTCATCGCACATCCTTCTTTCCCTAAGAGCTGACCTAGACAAAAGTCTTGATCGCATCGGCCATGACTTGCAACTGCAAAATGTCAGATAAGATTCTTCATGACCGTGAGAAGGGGTGCAACATACCTGGTCCTTAGCCTTCATAAGCGTAAAGTGGTTCCCGTCGACCTTCTCGAAAGTGAAAGCGCTGTCGGCCAACAATCTATCCCACCCATTCGGCCCAAAGTCCGTCCTGTTGTTCAACAACCACTTCATGCTCTTGCTCTCGTCGCCCCTGACCTCCGGGCGCGGAGAGTCAGGATACCTACACACCCCGTGCCTCGCCCAGATTGCCAATACCTTCGGGGCGCGGGCCGCCGCAGAAGCGGGGACGGGCTGAGGCTTGTACTCATCGAGTGCTTTGATGCTCGAGCTGAAGTGCGGAAGCAGCCAGTCAGGGATCTTGGCGCCGTCGTCGCTGCCAATCAGCCCAATTTCGGCGAAGAAGTCATGGAGGCGGGCGGGGAGTGGCTCAATATCGATGGGGCATGGGGAGTCAAGGAGGACAAGGGAGGAGACTTTTTCGCCAGCAGCGAGGAGTTGGAGCGTCATTTCGTAGGCGATGACGCCACCTGCGGACCAACCTCCAAGGTGGTAAGGGCCCTGGGGCTGGCGGCGGCGGACTTCTTCGAGATACATGCCGGCGACGCCGGAGATGCCGTTGGTCCACTCGGTGGGAGAAGTCATGTAGGGGCAGTTGAGGCCGAAGACGGCGACGGAGGAGTCGATGGCGGGGATGCTGGCGTAGGATGTAGCGGAGCCGGAACCATCGGGGAGAAGAAAGAGGGTCTTGGTAGCAGTGCGTGGCTTTCCTTGCATGAGAATAGACACAGCACGGCGGGCGGGGCCGGAAGAAGCAGTTTTGGAGCTTGTCTTGCTTGATGACTTCTTAGGTGCGTCTTTAGCAGTTTTCGGGGCTTCTTTCTTGGGATTGAGGAACTCGGCGATAGCGTCGACGGAAGGGTGAGTCAGGAAGAAGTCAGCGTCAAGCTCGATCTCAGTCTTCTCTCTAAGGACACCGCAAAGGGTCAGATTCATGAGCGAGTCGATACCAAGGGACAAGAGGTCGTTCGAGCCGACGACCTCCTCAAGAGGAACACCCATTTGTTCGGAGATGGTCTCACGGAAGAGCTGCAGCAAATCACCCTCAGCGGAGGGCGCGTTGACTAGTTCGAAGTCGGCTGGGGTAGCAACAGAGGCAGGTGTAGCTTCACCTGGGGACGAGTCATTATCACTGACTAGTACAGGCTCTTCGTCGGAGGCAGCGCCTTCGGTGGCATATGTCTTGTTCAGGTAGGCCTTGAGCTCTCCGATGGTTTCGCAGTCCGTAAACACGTGGGCGGGAAGGTCAAGGTCAGCAGCCTCGCGAAGCTTACCAAGAATCTGGAGAGAGAGCAGTGAGTCAATTCCCAAGCTTGCGAACTCGCAGTCGTCGCCGAGTTCCTCCTGAGGAAGCTCAGACTCAGCTGAGATGACATCCATAACCTTAGAGATAATGTCAGAAGCAGAGGCGGACGGGGCAGCGGGTTTGACAAGCTTGGCTGTGATGGCCTTGTTCAATTTGCCAGCATCAACGGCGGTTGGGGTTGGCTTGGTAGTCACAGCGACCGGGGCCGCGATGACTGGCCTGGGAGCAGCAACGACCGACCGAGGCGCAGTGACAGGCTTAGGAGCAGCGGCAGCGACAGGCTTGGTGGCGGTGGCAGATACACCTTGAGGCGGTAGGAAGGTGTTGAGCACGGTACGAGGGATACGCTGGAATTTGAGACCAGCACACACACCGATGATCTTCCCGCTCTCGAAGAAGTAAACATCACCAGCGATGACGTTCGCCTCACCAGTCTGCTGCATCTTTACATAGGCGTTGTAAGTCTTGTCCTTGGAGAGCGGCTCTGCGAACTTGATGGCCTTCCAGCCGTGAGAGATGTGCACAAACTTGCTGGTGTCAATCGCGGTAGTGCCGTTCAGGATGAAACCACCCAAGTGCGCAAGACTGTCGATCCAGAACGGGCTGACGTGGTAGTTGCCATCCTTCTCGGTGGTCTGAAATTTGACGGTCGAGGTACCTTCAAAGTTGGCTCCGTCGATGATGACCTCTTCCATACCCTGGAAAGGAGCCTTGTAGTCGACGAAGGTGGAGAACAGCCTGTAGGCAAGGCCACGAGACATCTTGTCTGCCTGATTCTTGGCCAACCTCTCCTTGAGAGTGTCAATGCGGCCCTCGAGGAGGTAAGAGATCGAGTTCCAGTTGTTGGTCCATGCTGCGGGATCCTCGTAAGTGACGACACAGTTGGCATGTAGGGTAACTTGGTTGTTGGCGTTGGTGTCAATGCTCTGGAATCGGAGCTTGGCCTCGCCCTTGGTCAGGTCTACATTGGCAGTGACCTCTAGAATGCGACCTTCTGCCTGGTTCTTGAGAATGAGAGGCTTGAAGACCTCCATGTCATTGCAGCTGACGCCAGGAACAGCGGTTCCAGGATTAATCTCCTTCCAGGCATAGTCACCAAGCGTGAGTGCCATATCAGCGTAGATGGAAGAAGGGCAAAGGCTTGTATTGTTGACCTGGTGACCAGAGAGAGCAGCACGGAATACTGGGTCGCTAACGTCGCTTTCGGTTACGATCTTGCCGGTGGGTCCGTCGTAGCTCTCAGAAACGATTCTGTGGACTGAGCTGGTCGAAAGCTTGGATCGAGCAGGAGCAGCGGGCTGCGCGCTTTCGATCTGCTGGACAGTGGTGCGTGGCTCAACCTTGTGCAAGCACCAGTCGTTCACGTACTGGATCCAGTAATTCTTGTTGTCGAAGCTGTACGTCGGCAAGCTAAGTAGCTGGTGAGCGGCGTCAAAGTCGCGGTGGAACTCGCCGAAGTCGACGGGCACACCCGCAGTGTGAAGAGAGACGAGAGACTTTGAGAGGCTCTTCCAAGAATCCTCGCTCTTGTTGAGCGAGCCAACGGTGCTGATGGATGGGGAGAAGGTGTTCTTGACCATGCCAGAGCAGATAGGGTGAGGTCCAACTTCAACAAAGATGGTCTTTTCGCCAACAAAGCCTTCATGTTTGGCAGTTTCAAGAGCTTCGACAAAGTTGACAGTCTCCCTTGCGTGACGGCAAAGATAAGACGCATTGAAGACGCCCTGGTCCTCAACGACCTCACCGAGTAGCGGCGAGATGACAGGGATGGTAGGAGCACTGAACACAACACCGCTGGCGAGATCTTCGAAGGCGTCGAGGATAGGCTCAACCTGAGCAGAGTGGAACGCGTACGGAAGGTTGAGACGAGTGGTCTTGATTCCATTCTTGGTCAAAGTCGCGATAGCAGAGTCGATCTGCTTCACGGCGCCGGCAACCACCGTCTCGCTGGGCGAGTTCAAGCAAGCAATCTCGTACTGGGATCCTTGCAGAGTAGCCTCAACATCCGATTGTGACCCCTTAACAACCAGCATAGCGTGGGTGTTCTCAGTGCACTGCTCCAGTAGAAGGCGGGCTCGGGCTCCGACGAGGTAGATGGTATCCTCCATCGTCAAAACACCTGCAGCATAGAGAGCGGCATACTCTCCGAGGCTATGACCGGTGACAGCGGAAGGTTTGACGCCCCAGGAAGTCCACAACTTCAGCAAGGCAATCTGCACAGACACCAAAGCAAGCTGAGTCTCGAGGGCAGTCAACTGCTCTGTAGGAGTGCCGTTGAGCGCAGGAAGGAAAGAACCAAAGCCTTGGCCCTGTGCGAGCTGGTCAAGGTGGAGGATCGTGGACCGGAAGATCTTGGATTGTTCAAGGAGAGTTTTGCCGAGACCAGCATAGTATGCTCCTTGACCGGTGAAGACAAAAGCCGTCTTGGGAGTAGCCGAGGGCACGGGCGAAAAGTTGCCTTCGTCCGCCTTCGCCAACAGAAGCATCTTCAACTCATCCAGGTTAGACGCAGTGACGCCAATACGGTAGTTGTGGTGCATGCGGCGCGCGGTCAAGGTGTAGGACAAGCTCGCGAAGTCGTCGGCCGAGGCATTAGCAGCAACAGCAGCGAGAGTCTTAGCCTGTCGTGCGAGCGAGGAGAGCGACTTGGCGGAGGTGACGAAAGGCAAAGACGTGCGTGGGTCCGTACCTAGAGGTTTAGTCTGGGCAGGTCCGTCTCGGATGAGCATAGCAGTGTTACCACCAGCGGCACTGAAGTTGTTCAGGAACACAGTTCGGCCCTTGCCCTCAGGCCTGGGGTAAGGAGTGTTCTCGAAGGGCACCTTGATGTTGCGGACGACTAGGTCGGGGAAACCAGGGTTAATGTCGTGCTTGATGCCAACGTGCTTGGGAATAGTGTTCTTCTGCAACATGAGAAGCACTTTGATGAGTGCTCCAATACCAGCAGCAGCTTCACCGTGACCGATGTTTGATTTGACGGCTCCGATATGCAGAACATTCTCAGGACCAGTGCCACGAGCATGTTCGGGCGCGAAGACGGTCGTGACTGAGCCAATTTCAGCCATATCTCCGGCCTGAGTTCCGGTACCGTGCATCTCAACGTAGCTGACGTCCAGGGGGTTGACGCCCGCCTCATGGAGGACGCTCTGGTAGAGATAGGCCTGGTTTCCAGCGTGAGGGTGGGTGATAGAAATGGCATCGGCGGAGTGATTAGTGGCAGTACCTAGAATAACACCAAGAATATTGTTCTTGTCGTTAATAGCGTCGTCCAATCGTTTTAATACGACCGACCCAACGCCATCAGCTCGGCAGTAACCATCTGCCTTGCTGTCCCAGGTCTTGCACGAGCCTGTCTTAGAAAGAAACTGACCGCGACTGAGACCCGCAAAGATATCAGGCGCAGTGAGGACGTTGGCTCCGCCCGCAATTGCAGTATCACACTCACCGGACCTCAAAGATGAGCATGCGATCTGAATGGCCGCCATACTAGAGGAGCAAGCTGTATCGACACTGTAGCTAGGACCACGGAAATTAAAGTAGTAGTTGATACGCCCAGGAGCAAATGCTCGCACACCTCCGGGGATAAAATATGTCCCGATGTTTTGCGCTGCGTTGACCTCACGCCAATCGTCGGATGTTTGACCATAGAAAGTACCGACACGATCTTGCTGCGATGACGGAGTCGAGTTGAGTACGAAACCGGATTGTTCAAGCGCCTCGTACGCGGTAACAAGGGCCAAACGGTGCATCGGATCGGTCTGAGTAGCTTCCGTTGGAGACATGTGGAAAAAGCGAGCATCGAATAGACCAGGCTCCTCGATGAATGCACCGAACGGTGTGTGACTGGTGTTGTTGACCTTTCCGTTCGGGTCATGGTGGGTCTCGGGGTCAAAGCGGTCCTTGGGGATTCTCTTGTGCATATCCTTGCCCTGCACCAAAACTTCCCAGAGCGCTTCAACGTCAGCCGCACCGGGGAAGCGACCGGACATTCCAACGATGGCAATGTTTGAGGTATTCTGGACAGGCTTTGAGCCAGTGTCGGCCGTTGACCACCGCTCCAAATCCTGGACTGCAATTGACTTGCCTTCAGACTGGATCGCAGCCTGCAGGCTCCTGGATGCTTGTGACGTCTCGAATCCGGCCAGTGTTGCACCTTGCGAGAGAAGCGAGTCGCTCGCTACAGTCTTCGTGATGGATGACCATTGTACGGGTTTTCGAAGGATGTCTGTGACTGCTTCTGTGAAAAGGGCGCTTGCGGTTGTGGCTTCTGAGTGCTTTCCAGAGCTGGCGGATATGGTTGTTCTCCTAGGGGCAGGAATCTGCTTCAAGGCCTCAGACCGTGACTGTGTGACTTCGGATACCTGCTCCTCGCTGTAGATGTCGGCCGAGTGCCATACGCCCACGCTTTCCAGCTCTTGTATACCTGAAGCTTGGAAAATCTTGGAGCTTCGCTTGAGCCAGTCAAGGCGTGCAGGGCTTCCATTGATTGTGCTTGCAAATTCGCTAATAGTCGAGATAAACGCACGGCTGGTGACCGGTAGATTCTAATTGCGTCAGTATTGATTTATTGCACTGTTTGTTTGGAACTCACAGCTGCTTCTTGCAGACTATGGACCTCCGTCTGAATTTCTTCGGCAGAGCCTGGAACAACGAGGCTCCAGCTGGCATCCGACTCTCCAGCACGTCGAGCTGGAATTGAGAAGTTCTCTACTACTGCTCCCGTGCGAAACGCCAGTCGCACTGATTCTACGGCAATGTCTGGTAAATCAATGATGTTCGCCGCGCAAGCAACGGCGGCGGCAGCCAGCTGGCCCAGACCAGTGCCGACCAGGAGGTCATCTGTTGTATCGAGACTGCGGTTGTCCTGCTCATGGTGGCTGCGATTCCAACAATTAGCTTACACCACCGCCTGTGCTTGGTCGTTGTTTGTACATACCCGATAAAGTTGGCTAGCTCAGCAATTACTAAAAGTGCGCTGGAGACTTCCACGCGCTGGATCTTAGAGGCCGCATGCCTCTCACTCAGATCATATACGCTGTTGAACGGCGGTATTTGATCTCTAACATTCCTGGGGAGATTCCATACCTCCGCCCGGAGCGCGGAATATGCCTTCTCAAAGAAGGACTTGACAAGTACTGTCCTCTTCTTCGCTTCGTGCGCTCGTCGAATGAGGCTTCGGGTATCTGGGAGCTGGTCTGGAAACAAAGAAACAGACATGCTTAGAAAAGAACGACGAGATGCAGAAGCGAGAAGCCAGAGAATGTAGGAGATGAGTACTGTGACAGGGTGGCGTGTGAGAAGTAGACGAGCAACAGAGTAGCCAGACGGGATATATGGCATGGTCTGCGCTGGGAGATTTCTTGCGTCGGGTTTGGGATTACAGCATGTTGTGGGGTTGGTCCCGGTACGCTTCCGAGATACAATGTCCGTCAACCACAATCTGACCGTTGCCACGCGAGTTTTGCGGCTCTATGCCAAACTCGCACGAGCATGAGCCTCAAGTGTTGTGGTAGATAAGCTTGGACACGAAGTCACGTTGCTGGCCATGCTGATTGTGGGGAGCCTCGCACGCATTGGGGTCCTCTGTTTCGCTAAGCCCTTGACCCGCCTGTGCGACTGGAGATGGTCTTTCTGACGATTGTATCAATTGTCACTCTTCGGGTCATTAAAGGCGTAACAACTTGCCAAGCAGCGTGGTGTCAGAAGCCTACGCTAGCCGAATGTGGCATGTGCAGACTGTGTGGGTCTCTATGAATAGTCGGATTCCGAAGTAAGCGAAAATCGTAGAGCGCAGAGAGCTTCGGGATACCCGTGCACCCGGTCAAAAAGTGAGATAGCGAATCAAGATGACATGTCATGCCATGGTGTAGGTCTGTTCATGTACCGAGCGTACCTCCTAGTCTGGGGGCAAAGCTACTAAGCCCATCAAGGCATTTAGTATGCTTGATGGAACAACGCAGGTCTAAAGTCGAGGATCTCATAGTATCGAATGCTACGTAGAGATGCGCAACATACCAAAAAGTGTGATATGTTCCAGTGATCATGGATCATTATGTCGTAACGTGTATTGAACGCGCGATGGCGGTGCCGTTGCGATCGCGATCTACGGTTATTTCGAAGTTGATCGGTCGATGCGACTGCTGCGAAGGATACATTACTAAAGATTCTCACACCGTGAATTGCACCCTCTGTAAGATACATCCGTGAAGGGTGGCAATGCTCGGCTTTCGGTGAAGCTTGGGTTCTGACAGGGGGTTTACCGACCGTAGACAATTGAAACCAACAACAACGCACGAAGGCATTACAGCCTATGGTACGATGATCAGGAGACACAACTAGTCTAGGTCAACATATCAACGTGGTCCGTCTCGGTGCATCCTGTATACTTCCATCAACATACCGTACCTGAGCATTCAACATCAGTGCTTCTTCAAGCCACACCAGAATCAACAAAATGGCTACACCTAACGTGACTGCTCTTGCCGCGCAGTTGCGGAGCACTTTGAAGAACTCAACCGTACTGACGCCCGACTCCGAAGGTTATGCCCAGGCCATCATAAGATGGAGTGACGAGATGGAGAAGAGGGCCGTAAGTGACACTTGCCTTACCGTTGCGATGGTACGGCATTCTGTGTTCTCGCTGTATTTGCTAATGGTCGATGTCAGGGTATCGTCCTGTACCCAGAGACAGCAGAGGATATCTCGACGGCGGTCCTGTTGTCGAAAGAGTTCTCTGTCCCGCTTGCGGTATGTGGCGGCAAGCATGGTTCAAGTGGTGCAGCTTCCATTGAGGGTGGACTCCAAATTGACATGGGACACATGCGGAACGTGTCTGTAGACTTAAGCAACAACACCGCCAAGGTACAGGGTGGCTGCATATGGAAAGATGTTGACGAAGCTGCTGCACCTCACAAGCTTGCCATGATAGGAGGTACCATCAACCACACTGGTGTCGCTGGATTGTAAGTGCGACGATACCAATATTGCATTATTGCATATCCCTGATGGTTTATAGGACTCTTGGTGGTGGCTACGGGTGGTTGACTGGCCGTCACGGTCTCACCATCGATGAAGTTCGTGCGGTGACCATGGTTCTCGCCGACGGCCGCATCGTTACTGCCTCGAGCGACGAGAACCAGGACCTTTTCTGGGCGGTTCGTGGAGCTGGGCACTGCTTCGGTATTGCCGTCGACTTCACCTTCCAACTGCACCCTCAGGAAAACCCCGTATGGAGCGGACAGATGCTCTTCCCGGCATCCAAGGACCTGACTACCGTCGTAAACTTCGCCAACAACCTCGTCGCGACCACCGACGGCGCCTCTGCCATGGTCATGGGTATCACTCAGCCTCCATTCATGCAAGAGCCTGCCGTTGTCACGACGGTATTCCACGACGGCCCAGAGGATGAAGCCAGGGAGATCTTCAAGCCCCTGTTGGAGCTAAACCCCAAGATCAACACCACCAAGGTGCGCCCTTACGTTGAGCAGAACAGCCTCATGAACGGACCCGTCGACTACGGCAACCGTAAGCTGTCCAAGGGTGTGCCATTCACGCTGCCCCTTGACCCCAACTTTGTTCATTCGCTGGTTGGCGAGCTGAAGAAGCTCCACTCGCAGGTTGAAGGCTCCACCAAATCCATTATGCTGTTCGAATTCTTCCACATGGGCAAGGTCTTGAACCCATGGCAAGATATGGCACACGCCATCCGCGGCGAGCATGGCCAGGTCATGATTGGCCCATTTTGGTTGAAGGCAGAGGATGACGCGACGGTTCGATCGTGGGCGGCTGATGCTGCTGTCGTGGTTCGCGGCGAGCTTGAGCGTGTGAACGGCAAGGAGGTCGCCGACTCAATAGGCGAGTACGGAAACTACGATGGTAAGTCGTCTACAACGCGTGCAGAGAATGAATCTATGACTAATGGCTCGCCACAGCGTTCTTGGTCGACCCTCGACGAATCTTTGGCAAGAACCTGCCGCGTCTCGCAGAGCTTAAGCTGAAGTTCGACCCAGAAAACGTGTTCAACAGGTCGTACCCGCTTGTGGCCTCGCCGTAATAGAAGAAAAGTTCTGGCTTCGTGTAGATAGAATGATAGACTGAACGCTCATGCGAAATGAATCATGACATATATGACTTGCTCCTTGTTATTGTACATCTGCAGTGGTGAAAAGAAAGACGCGTCCACAAGTATTAGCGCGTCACGTCAATTAGTCAGCCCCCACTCGCGGCTTCGCCTAAGCTACCCCGTCACCCCGCCTGCCCTCCGCCTCTACATGGAAGCTCACCCCAGCAGCCACAATCTGTCCAACTTCTAAAGAGTTACTTTTTAAGACTGCACATGTGGCTACTGGATCAGAATGGTGCTGATCCTTCCGTCGTAAAAAGGGAAGTCAAGGTCTGTAAGAAACTGCTGCAAATGTCCGTTCATCTGAATATTTACACCTGCTACGAAGCGTATCTTTGAAATCTAAATCTACCACCTTAAAAAATATCTAGCGTTATCCTGGTCTCGTCTTCATCGGGTCGCGTGGGGGATCTTATCGCGCTGCTTCGCCTAACTCGCTTTCGCAGTGAGAGCCTGGAAGCTCTCGAAAGCACTGAACGGGTACAGTGGCTCGCCATCGTGCCTCATGTTCTGGTAACTCCACGACGGTGTTGTCCACGACATCCAGCCCAGGACCCAAACAAAGCCAATGATTTTCTTCCACAAAGCAGAGGACTTGCCGTTGCTAGGCCCTGCGACTCTGCGGTAGGCGCTTTCGACGAAGTCTTCTACGGTGATACCAATCGCCGACGTCACAAACAGTTTCCACGCCGTGTTCTTCGCGAGCGGAATACCCGCCGTATTGTCCATCAATGTGTGGACCAACCCGGATAGCGCAAACGTCAAGTAAGCACTGGTGTAGCGGCCGAATAAGGACCCCTTCTGCAGGCGAAACACATCGTAGGCGAAGAAGTTGGCGGTGCTGCTGAGCGGGTTCCGCAGACCGGTGTGCCAAAATACCCTACAGTCTGGTCAGCCAATTTTTGGGTGGATGTTGTCTCAAACTTACGACCAGAACCTCCGCAGGTTGTACGAATCGAACACGCTGCCAAAGTAGGGCGGCCAGTCGGCGGGCGATGTGAGGAACGTCGCTACACCAAACCAGCTGAAGAGGTTGTAAAACAACCCAATGTTGAGGCGCAGAATCGTCCACCAGAGCACGGTGCTGAAGACGCGCGCGCCAATGGTCGCGCTATCGAGTGCATGCGCAGGTGGGAACAGCAAAGCTTTCTCTGCTGAGAAGACCTCAGGATCAGGCTTAGGTTGATGGCCGAGGAAGTCAATGACCAAAAATGCGCCCACGACAGCAAGACCTCGCTTGACGAGGAAAGCTGTTCTAGAAGGCACGTAGCTGGGGTCTTTGTTGGACCACTTTGGAATATTGGGCGTCTGCTTCGGCAAGCCGATAGCACGGTAACTGAACACAACTTTATGCGCCCATCCAATTGCTCTCCAAGACAGGATCCCGCTCGTGTCTTGCGCATTGGCTTTGGTCTTGCTGTCTCCCCGACTTACGAGACGCTCGGACTTTTCCTTGCCATCCTGGCCGAGGTAGATGCGGCGCAGTACCAGCGCATCGATCGCCGTGAGAAACAGAAGATAGAATGGGCCTTCCGGGAAACTGGCTCGTGACCTGTTCTCGATGAAGCGAGGCACCGCGGTGCGGTACGCGAAGTAGCCCAGGGCAACGATCGGAATGATGGCCAATCGCAGGGGCGAGCGGGGATGCAAGTACATTATGCCCAGCATGGGTAGACAGAAAGTGCCCGCAATAAGCTCCAGTGGATGCGCGGCATAGAAGCTCGCGACGGATTCTGGAAGGCGGCCATAGAGGCAGAGAAGAAGGGCGGGGACGTATGCACCGAGCACAATGGTCAGCGCTTCGCCCTTTGGAATTGGCACATACGGCGCTTTGGAAGCCTTGGAAGCCATCGCGAGACACCTGCAGAAGCCACTTCACGTGACTTTGAGATGCGTAATGCGGCAGAAATGAAGACAAACAAAGAGATGCAAGGGCGCGTCCCCAGACCGTGGATCACGCAGCTCTTTTACCAGCCATGGCGACATTCTGCTCCAGCCGCTCGCGGTCAGGGTGGAGCGTGGACTTCGGGCGTCGCAAGACGCTGCGATGTCATGTTTTGGCGGGATGCCAGCGACGGAAGAAGGCTCACATATTGCAAGACACAGGATGCATGACGGAGGTGGGGATGGTGGGTGGGCGCCCGCTAGCTCCGTCGATGGGTAAGCGCTTCGGTGTGTCGCGCTTTGTGCCTTACACAGTACACTGTGCCCCTGCATGGCTCCACCAACGAACATGCTTGCCATCGATCAGCCGCGTCGGTGTAGACTGAATCTTGATCCCCGAAGCCGTCGTTGCCAAGTCAGCCAGATTACGGCACGGGCATGAAGAAGCGTGGTTTACCTCAGTGCTGGATGCGTGCTTCCCTGCTAAGGCAAACGCCTACCCAATCCGGTCGCGGAGTGTAGCCTATTGTCGGCGTTGAGCAAGACGCGAGTGTCCCACGCATTCGTAACTACGCCTCACGCACGACTCAAAGAAGTTCAAAGAACGTCGCGGCTGCATATCCGCTCCACCACGCTGAAAAATCCTCTCGCGCTCGCCCCAAATGAAAGCCTTCAAAAAGCTGCTCGGTCGCTCCTCCAAGACCTCCAAATCAAGCCCTCAATCCACAGCAACGCCTTCCAAAGCACCAACGACAACAACAACATCTCGACCTACTCCCGCCACAACAACTCCACCTACAACCACCACCATGGCTAAGCAGACCATCGTCGTCTTCGGTGCCACTGGCAAGCAGGGAGGCTCCGTCGTCAAGACCATCCTCGCCGACCCCAAGACCGCTGCCAAGTACCACGTCAAGGCTGTCACCCGTGACACCACCAAGGAGGCTGCACAGAAGCTCAAGGAGCTCGGTGCTGAAGTCGTCTCCGTACGTAAACTTCACAAGCGCTTGGAAGTCCCTCAGTACTAACAAAGCCTAGGCCGACTTGAACGCTCCCGAAACCATTGCCCCCGTCCTCAAGGGTGCCTATGGCGTTTTCTCCGTCACCAACTTCCTCGAGAAGATGGATGCCGCGCCTGAAATTACCCAGGGCAAGGCTGTCGCCGATGCCGCTAAGGCTGAGGGCGTTCAGCACCTTGTCTGGTCTTCCCTCCTGAACACTACCAAGCGTACGTCTACCTAACCACTCCCCCAATAACTCTCATTAACACCATGACCAGTCACCAATGGCAAGCTCACAAACATCCACCACTTCGACAGCAAAGCCCAGGTCGAAGAGTACATCCGCGAGCTCGGAATCCCCGCCACCTTCTTCCTCGCTGGTTACTTTATGTCCAACCTCCCCGGCATGTCTATCTCAGAGCAGACTGGCTGGACACTGAACCTCCCCACCTCCAAGAACGCCCCCATGCCCCTCTTCGATGCCGAGGACGACACCGGCAAGTTCGTGAAGGGCATCTTCGAGAACCGCGACAAGCTCCTTGGCCAACGCGTCCTCGGCGCCACCGCCTACTACACCCCCACCCAGATCGTCGAAGAGCTCAAGGAAGTCTACCCCAAGACTTCCGCCTCAGCCGCCTACAACGAGCTCCCCGGTGACGTCTACAAGGGCATCCTCGGCAGCTTCGGCCTCCCCGAGTCTTTCCAGCAGGAGATGCTTGAGAACCACCAGCTCTTCGATGTATCGGGATACTTCGGCGGAGAGAAGCTGGATGCCAGCCACTCTATCGTTGATGAGCCCCTCACTACCTGGAAGGAGTACATTGGCAAGAGCCCTGTTTTCACTGCTGTCAAGAACTAGAGTGTGCCAGCTTTTGAATGATATAGATATCCCAAATGGGCTGCTGTTAGGGTAGCTTAGCGCTAGAATAATGACAATGTGTTGAATCGTATTCCCAGTGTGTCATTTTGCGTGACTCGTGGCGCTGTGTGATAATTCGTAGTACTTCAAGATAACTGTTCATGCGGCTACTCGGTTCGCGTATAGTGACACGAGTCATGATAGGATACCCAATACCATGACCAACAAATCACAGATCTATCCTCTTCGTACACATGTGTCGATTTTTCAAGACTTGGTACTGCTCTAGAAGAAGGGTCTTACGGCGAGAGGTATCCATCACCGACGAGGGTTTGAGCCAGTCCTTCTGCGCAACTCCAATCTGGCATAACTTGATACTTGACATACCGCAAATGTCCATTCAACTCAAGTTCGTAAATATATAATATTGACTACCAAATAAATTTGAATATTGCAATCTTGCGCCTCTTTCTGGCACGCAATAGTGGTATGGTGAAGTCGATGCTCAGAGTGACCATTTACCGACTTGACTCCATGTGCCATAGATCAAGTTGCACAAGGACACCCCTGTCTGGTCGTGAGGGCATCGCTCGAAGCGAACACTGTGTAAAGCGCCGATCCGATCATGCGCTAAGCCCCTACGGGCTACCTTTCCACGTTAATGCCCGTACCTCGCCCCGAGACTTTACAACATCAATATCAAGCTTGTACGCCATCTCGTCATGGAGGCACTCTAAGCTGCATATGGTGGTTTGTGATCGCATTTCAGGCCAACCGCGCCTCCCAGAAGCCTTCGGTGCGTCCTTCCATGCATGTGTGCGCCTAACCCGAAGAAAGTTCACGAGCGTTGGTTAATTCCCGAGCACCGCTACCGCTTCCTACTTCCGCCGGCCTCAAGCAGGGATAACAATGGCCGACATTGGTAGACCAAGTTGGTTCCTAATGGAATGAGTCTTACAACTTCGGCTGACGCCTGACACCCAACAATGCCACCAACAGCGAAAGTATCGCCCGCATCTCATCGATTTCGGTTTTCCGGGCCCCCGGCTCAATCCAGAACGCCTACGATATCGACAACCGAGTGACGCCAGGCCTTATCTCGTAAGTCCTTTGGGTACAGTGTGTTACTCCGAGGTCTACTGGACAGAAGTAGAGTTCATGGAAGCCGACGCCATGTTATGCACATGCAGCGGAGTGCGAAGATCTGACGAACAATGGGAAACGCGTGTAGACGCCGCCGTGGGACTACCGAAGATGGCAGATGCGAACGGCAATCTGCGTACAATAAAACGACTTCGCCAGACAGTCGACTGATCTTGTTCATTGATTAGGCAGTGGGATTCGCTTCTCTCATCTCGAAACACCCTATCCAGTCCGGCATTTTCTGAGTTTTCTATTTCTTCATCTAAGTACTTGTTTTATACCCATAGACAAAATGTCTGCTCTTACCGAGCTCGCGGCTATCGCCTCTACTGAGGCTCAAAAGCTCACCAACTACATCAAGAGCAACAACCTGCCCCTGCCCAGTTTCGAGGTCGACGCCCCTGGCGAGCTCCCGATTCCCTCAACGGATGAGGACCTCCAGGCTTCCAAGATCAGACTGCTTAAGGCTGCACAAGATCTCCAGGCTCTTGCTCTAGGTCCCGCTGAAGATCTGAGGTGGAAGGCATGGAACCAGTACAATGACAACATCTCTCTTCATGCCATCATGCACTTCCGTCTGCCGGAAGCTGTGCCTGTCAACGGCACTGCAACTTTCGCCGAAATCTCCCAGAAGACTGGTCTCAAGGAGCCGCTCGTCATGCGATTCGTCCGCCACGCTGCCATCTACCACGTCTTCAAGGAGGTCTCCTCCGGCGTTGTTGCCCACACTGCTGGTTCCGTCGCTCTGCTCGATGGCTCTAGCGTCCGTGATTGGCTCGACATGACCTTCGAGGAGTGGGCCCCCGCCTCTGTCTACGCTGTCAAGCAGCTCATCCAGTCTCCCGACAGCGGCGAGCAGAGCGATGCCGGTTTCGGAATTGCTTTCGGCGGCCAGACCATCTTCGAATTCCTTGCACAGAACCCTGACCGCGCTAGAGTGTTCGGCCTGTCTATGAGCAACTTCTCCAAGGGTGCTAGCCACAAAGTCGAGCACCTCATCACTAACTACGACTGGCCGTCTCTGGGCGAGAGCACCGTTGTTGATGTGAGTCTCTTCGCTATCTAAGTCAAACACGAGAATGAACAAGCTGACAATAGTAGCTCGGCGGTTCCCACGGTCACATCTCCCTCGCCATCGCTAAGGCTCACCCCAAGTTGAAGTTCGTCGTCGAGGATCTCCCCGGCACCACCGCCCAAGGCGAGGAAATGCTTCCCGCCGAATTCAAGGACCGCATCTCCTTCATCGGCCATGACCTGAACCAACTCCAACCCTACAAGGGCGCCGACGTCTACATGTTCCGTTCCGTGCTCCTCAACTGGCCCGACAAATACGTCGTCAAGTTCATCAAGAACCTCGTGCCCGCGCTGAAGCCCGGCTCCAAGGTGCTCATCAACGAGGGTGTGCTACCCCGGCCCGGAGAGGTCTCTGACTGGGACTACAAGGTTCTCACTTCGCTCGACTTGTGCATGTTGGCCATGTTCAACAGCAAGGAGAGGACCGTTGAGGAGTGGGAGGGCCTTTTCAAGGAGGCTGACCCTAGGTTTGCGTTCCAGTATGCGAGGAAGCCCGAGGGTTCGCTGCTGTGGATCATCGAGGCTGTGTGGCAACCTACTGAGAGCCCGTAAATGTACCATAATGGCTTGAAGATTACGAGAGTATGACCTTAAAATACGAACTATTACTAGAGTGCATGCGTGTCTTGTAGCTCATTCTCTGTTCACGGAAACGAATGCAAACATTGCTAGCACTCAATCAGAAGGACCTGAAATGCAAAGGATCTGTTCGGCTCCCACGAGGTCTGTTATCCTGACGCTGTCACGTTCAATTCGTACACGGAGTAGCAATTTTCTGACTTGCCCGAGGTAAGCTTGCAGTCTTTCGAAGCAAGTTATATGACCCCCTCAAGATATTCTCGGTGAGCCTGGCTTTGGCTTACAGTGTTTGAATCGCAAAAGCAATGTAACTCTCACTAGTCTCGCCTGCTTTTGTGACCATGTCAAGAAGGTGAAGAAACTTTGTTTGCTGTAATGCTTGAACTCCTTATACTGTACCAAAAAAAAGAGTTTCGAACATGCTGCTACAGTCTGTATTCTGCACTTTCAACGTGAACACCATATCAGTGTGTGAGCCAAGAAAGTTGACGAAATAACAAGAGCTCGTTGCACTGGACCCTGTTGAAGATGCATGACGAGATTTAGAGTTCATGTTCCCTAATGACCAGACTCTCCAAGACCTGCCCCCAAGCTCAGACTGCGCACGATACATATGTAGAAACGCTCGAATAAAGAACATCAACGATAAAAACAAGGGGTATATTTTACGGTATATCAATACAATTCGCCCTTCCCAGGCCTCTACTACAAACGGTAGCCAGCCTCTTCAGCGCTTCATAATTCGCACCCAAGCCCTGCTTTAGGTACGACACAAGATCATGATGTAGCTTTGTCTGACAGAGCCTCGCTTCAAAGGCCTCAATCAAGGCAGTGATCTTGCTCAACTCGATCTTGAGTAGGCTAGTCTGAAGGATGAATTCATCACGCTCATCAAGCTCGTACGTGCCGAGGCTGAGACGGACAGAATGTGTGGTGCCTTTCTCGATGGTAGGGCTGAAGGAGTGTACTACGCTGCCGTTGCGAGGGGTGTTGAGGCCACTGGATGCGGTGGTTCCGGGTCTGCTGCCCTGTCTATGAAGATAAAGTTAGTCTGGTCCATACTGAGAGGGTTCTGTACCCGGGCTTCACTTACACACTCGCCGGAGGTGTCATCAATTCCAACCCATTGAACATGTTGAAATTCGTGTCCGTGCTTCGTCCTGCTGATCCTACGCTAATGCTCTCGGGAGGGCTTCCGATGGGGCCGCCTTCGCGCGGTTGCAGCGCCTCACGGCGATTGCGGAACAACAACTCAAACACTTGCAGAACGTGCGCAAGCAGCGCTGAAAGAGTGAGAATGAGCATGACGTCGTCGCTTCGCGCGCAGGTCGCGCAGTCGAGCGTGCTGGTGCAGAGAGCAACGATGGCCTACGTGTTGTTAGCCTCAATTCACCGTCGCTAGCTTTGTCTGGCACTTGTATTGTGGCCAGAGTGAGTCCAGAATGGATGATGTAATGGCCAAAAATATCGTGTCCGGGACCAACGAAGCTCATGATGGAAGGATGACAAGAAATGAAGCACTCACTCGATTTTCTGACAGTGCACGGTCGAACGGCACTGACGTATTGCTGCCCGAGGACGAAAGAGATAGTTCTGAAAGTTTCGAAAGAATATGCTGTTGACAACCGCATAGCTGTGCTGTTGGTCCAGAAAGTGATGGTGCAAGACGTGGTGCTGGGGGTGTACTTGCTGTAGTGTTGGCGTAGGCAGTGAAGTTTGTGGGTGGCAGGTATGTGTCGGATACAAAGTAGTCGTCGAGATTATGAAGGTCAAAATTGACTTCCGACAGTGCTGATAAGGAGTCAAAGTCGTAGAGACTTGTGGAGATGGCGGAGTCTAGAGTGGCATCCAACCCTCCTTCCAAGCCAGTACTAAGCGGCAGCCTGGCTATATTGGTATCGATACTGACAGAACCTGTTGGCTGAGTATTGGTCGTTGAGCTGACACCGGATGGTCTCTTAACTGTGGGCGCTGTGCGACCGTCGACGGGCCGTTTTGAGCAACGCAACGAAACGCTGTAGACACAAAATAATTCTTTCCTTTGGCATCGGCGGCAGCAAGGGTGCTCTTTGGAACATTTAACTTTGGCGGTGTTGCAAGAGTCGCAAGAATTGCGGAGGCGTGCTTGCGTCGTTGGCAGCGTAGACTTCGTTGGGACGACCGCCTGATGATGTGCTTGGGTGGTGGTGGGCATTCTGGATCTCAATTACCTTCCAAAAGGCTTGGCTTTGGTTCGTGGGGGAGTGGCTCGTTTGTGCAGGTACAACACCCGAAGAGACGGAAGAGTTTGTATCTCCTGTGGGGACAATGTGATATTGAGAGCTCGAAGATACAAAAGGTGACGAGACATTTTAGCTCCAAGTGAGATGGTGACAAGCAGTGTTCGCCTACTATCTCTTGTGGTATGTATCCGGTATCCGGACTTTTACTGGAGTTTAGCATTACCAGAACATAATCACGTTGTGGAAGCAAGGGCTCAGCATGGCTCGGACTCCTTATCGTGCAGTTCGAGCAACTCCGTACATGCATCAACTACCTGTTGGAGCTAGACGAGGAACAGGATCCAACCATTTGGAGTAGCTTAACGAGGAGTGAGACCCTGTGTGGAGCACGCAATCAGAATGAGCGTTGAATGGTCTGGAAGCCACATCTGTATGTTCAGACCTCATTGCGTTTCCGGGGCCAACCTTTGCCTTTTTTAGCTACCAGATGTCATGTTAAGATCCATCAGGCCCAAAGGATTGCGCCTTCTAATGTACCCCAGTGGTATACTATCCCAAATTACACCTCGACATTAGTGTCTGAGCTTGATGTTCCTCCGGCGACTCAACAATTTGACTTCCATGTGGTACCCAATAGTCTGCAATCAGTTAGCCAGCCAGCGTTCTGACATGACAAGGTGCTTATGCCTGACAACTTAAATCGATATAAGGCGTTTCAGCCACTGCAAGCTCCCCACTCATGGAGATGGTCCCGGTCCACCCGGGGACTATCTGCCCTGCATTAGCGCCACAGCCAACTCCGACCCCAACACTATATGTATGAGACGATCGTATCGTGATTTTCTGACCGGTCCTCGGCTCCAGCGGTATCAGCACCACGCTTGATCGCATCGCAGAGCTGTCCGCCTAGCCCGTGGCTTCGTAGCTTCACCGTGAGTACGTGTTGAAGATGGCACATCATAAAGACCACCCTACGCGCAACGATGTGAGCGTTCGAAATCTGACCGATTTTCTGACAAAAGAGCACAGCCTCCCAGGCGTCCGCCATGACCGCTGACGTAGCTTCCTCCAAGCCCGCCGTTGTCCTCGGCACCGCCTCCTTTGGAACAGGCACGCCACAGGCGAAGTTCAACTCCCGCGACACTGCAGGCCCGTTGCTCGAAGTATGCCAGAACCGTGGGGTGCTGCAACTCGATTCTGCGCGCGCGTATCCCGTTGGTAACCCAGGATCTGCGGAGAAATTATTAGGCGAACTGAGCGCCGGATCGTGGGCAACTATTTCGACAAAGGTCACTTCATGGGCCCCTGGATCGCATTCTGCTGAGAAGATCGCAGAGTCAGTGCCTCTGAGCTTGGACGCCCTGGGTGTTGATCATGTGGATATCATGTACCTGCACTCGCCGGATCGCACCACACCTTGGGAAGTGACCGCTAAGGCAATGGATGAGCAATATAGATCCGGAAAGTTCAAGCGCTTTGGATTGAGTAACTACACAGCAGAAGAGGTAGAAGAGATCTGCCAAGTTTGCGATAAGAATGGCTGGAATAAGCCAAGTGTGTACCAGGGACGGTACAACGCCATCATAAGAAGCGGCGAGGAGCAACTATGGCCAACATTGAGAAAATGGGGGATTTCGTTCTACGCTTACAGGTAAGTGACGGTTTTTCGGGCTCGCCGATATACTTCTGACTTGGATAGTCCTTCTGCCGCCGGAATGTTCAGTGGCAACATCAATGCAAACAGTGTAGACGTTGCAGGTTCAAGATGGGACAAGAACGTAAGACTTCATATCGAATATTTCTTCTGATGCTCATATTGTCACAGACTCGCCTAGGCCAAGCTTACGAGGAGGCATACCTCAAACCTGAGCTTATTGAGGCTGCTGGCCGCGTAGCTGACATGGCTAAAGCTGCAGGCATTGGTGGCCACGATGTCGCATTGAGGTGGGTCATGTACCACTCCATATTGAGTGGCCAACACGGAGACGCTGTCATTCTTGGCTGCTCGAGCGTGAGGCAAATGGAGGCAAACCTGAATGCGATCGATGCGGGTCCGCTGAGCAAAGATTTGGTGGACGTTATCAACGGCGTGTGGGACGTAGTTAAGGATCATGCTGCATCGTACCACTTGTAGAATATATTACAGTATGCATTTAGCAAGGTCCATGAACTCGATCAAAATTGCAACAAAAAGCAAAGAATACTTCTTCATATTGCACTAAGTAGTCTAAACAAGAGTTAAGATTTTTACTATCGAGCGTGGGATGGATGACACCTTCAACAACATCAGACGAAGTCCGCATGATGCAGTGTGTTCGCCACACATTTTCTAGATCTGACCATAGGGTAAGAAGCCTGTGAATTGGCGTTATGCATCCTGCCGGAAATGTTGTATGCGCTTAGTTCGCCACTGAGTTCGCCTCCTCACCAACACCCTGCGTGATGACAAGCCCGTGAGTGTGCAATCACGTGTTAAGTGATTCCACACCATCCGTGAAAGGTGGGTCCTGGAATAACTCAATGAAGAGTTCACGCATTGATTGTCCGGCTGTTTGTCACGCCTGATATATCGCCCACCATCTGTGCTTCATGGGTTATACTGCGATATTTGAATTGTATCAACCCAGAAGTCAGGTAAAAACATAACATAACAACGGGTGAGAAATATCAAGAGAGTGCCGCGAAACAAGATGTATGTATTGTAACCCAATGGTTGTGATGAATGTTCTAAAGTACATTTTCCACAGCTTCCACCCTACGAATTAGGAGAGTATGTACATGAACGGTCTAAGGGAGATTCTATGAGTTTCCACAGGTCTTGACCTAGCATCCCCATGAGGCCTTGGCTTTCGGGGGCACAGCTCCCGGGTTGTAGAAGACGAAGTTGGGGTCGAACTTCTGGCGAGCCTTGACAAGACGGCAGACATTGGGACCGTAGTTGGCAGTGATGATGTCACCAGTGATCTTCGAATCGACGTATCCAGAGTATGTGTAAGGACTGTGTATAACATTAGCGCTGTTTTTGTGAGGTTGCACGTTCAGTTTGATACTTACCCAACACGAGGACGGAACTCCTTCTCAAACAGCTCAGAAATAGCCTTAGACTGCGCCTTTACTGGGTCCTCGTTCTCGACCTGCATGCGCCACAGGGTCTTGGCCTTGTCTGACCACGGGAATGCAGAGTTAGAGGCTGGGGTAGAGACGTTGAAGGTGGTAACCTCGATCCAGAAACCCATCTCCGTGGGAAGGTTCTTGGTGTTGTCGACCAACCACTGGAGATCATCATCACCGAGAAGGTTGTCCTTGGTCTCAACGAAGGTCTTCGTGTAGATGTTACCACGCTGCCATAGAGCGCCACGAGCAATATCAGGACGAGCCGGTTGGGAACTGATAGCAGAGACGGCTACCTGTCCGGGCAAAGGGGTAAGGGCGTCAGGGGCGACATTGTACTGCCCGTAGAAGGCGGCGCTGGCGGTAGCATCGTCAGTGCACTCGTCTTGGGTGTAGGTCCAGAAATTACGAGAGTTGGCCGTGCTGCAGTTGCCGGAAACCTTGATCTGGGCGTTGGGAACAGAAGCGAGGCCGGAAGTAGCGAGGATAGCCTCAAGCTCGGCCTTGCTTTTACCGAGGTACCAGCCGAGAATTTGAGTGCGGTCCGAGTAGAAGTTGAATTGCGACTCGAAGTAGGGGTCTTGCTTGGGAGCCCAAGCGTTGTACTTCTTCAGGGCTTCGAAGCGAGTGGTAGCGTTGTTGAAGTTGGCGACGAACATGGCAGAGCGAGGGAGAACAGCGGTCTCTAGAACAGCCTCAACAACGATACCGAAGGTTCCACCACCGCGGGCAGCCCACCAGAGCTCTGGGTTGGATGTCGGGGAGATGGTGACAAGATCGCCAGCAGCAGTGACAACCTTGGCAGACTTCAAGTGGTCGACAGCGAAGCCCTGGGTACGCATCTGCATGTTGTAGCCACCAACTCCAAGATATCCACCGACACCGACGGAAGAGCAGATACCAGCAGTGAAAGTAACGCCATAGCCCTCGAGAACGGAGTAGAGAGCACCAAGGCGGGCACCGCCACCAACAGTAGCGGTCTTCAAGTCCTTCGCTGGGAGAACATAAGAAAAATTCTCAATGTCGATAACAAGGGAACTGTTCAGGGAAGACCAGTTCTCGAAGTGATGTTGTCCAGTGCGGGGCGAGACCTTGAAGCCATACTTGACGGCGCACTTGACAAGAGGGCCAACCTGGCTTTGCTCCTTGGGGTAAGTAACCAGAGCAGGGTATTGGCTGTCGTTAAGCAAAATAACACCGGTACGGGCAGTAGTGTAGGACGGGTCCGAAGGAGTGACGATTTGAGAAGCAGGCAGAACCTTCTTGGCGCAAGCAAGAAGATCCGCAGCAACGTCCCTGTGGTGCTTGGGAGCTGCGACGACCGAGGTCGTGAAGAAGGGAAGAAGAGTGAGAAGTGCCTTTGCGTACATGTTGAACGACGACTTTGGTGATCCCACTGTGTGTTGCTGAGGACACAAGAGCCAGTGAGTGACGAAACGAACGGAACGCGAGATGTCGAAACAATTATACTCCCACTCTCCAGCCCTACTAGTCATGCGTATGCCATCTCCAGTGCTCACATTTTCGCATAGGTCGAATCTTCTTGGCCTGGTCGTGGCGCACCGATACCAACCCGACCAAGGATTGGTAGGATCCTTCCCGCCCCCACCATAATTGGCCCAGAATCTTACTCCGAGCTGGACGCGTCAGATTCACCGTGCGCCTTCCTGTCTTTGCTCTGGTAGCTCAATACATTGAGGCTGCGATGGTCATAAAATGCCGTCAGTACCATACGTAGTCGAGGTTTGGGTCAGCTAGCTGCTTATGGTGCTTACTTTCTCGCTTGGTTCCTGCGCCGTTCCTGCATGGCACCGTACCCACAAATGTCTTCCACGTGCTGTGAATTACACACCTCCACAAAATGTAACCAACAACCGTAGTTCTGGGTCTATTATTGTCTAACTGAGACACCTAACCCTATACAGCCAACTGACACACGTGAATGTCAGGCGACGAAGAACACTTTCCCGAGCTGGCGGTCACCTTGGCGGGTTTCAACGTGGCGTGCCGAACACTTCATGCCGACTTCCAGGGGGGAGCCGGCGTACAATTTCCAAGATTGCGGTTTGACAGCCTTGGAAGATCCATGCACCAAAGAATTGAACCCTTGGAGGCTCTATCAATTTCGGTACACGAGGAAATTGAGCTATGAATAGATCATGATCATGTGATGTCCTCCTCAGTTAGGTGATCAGAATGGCACAAATGGGTACGATAACGTGGATTTGCCCTGCTACGTGTGATACTGAATTCATTCTTGCGGCTCTTAAGGCGCAGCCTCAATGGTATTTCCATCCTGGTCAAACTTTCCTGCGGATCCAACGAAAACCCTCTCAAATTCATGCTCATTGAAGTCAACCTTGGTTTGGATTCCAGCCCACTTCCACTCTCCATCAACTTTCTTGTAGAAAGTGGTAACGAGGCCATGGCCATGCCCCTTGGCAGCAATATCTCCTCGTCCTTCCTCCCATCTCTGGTGAGCAGCCCGAGACTGGTGCTGGCTCTTGATCTCAGTGTCGGAGAGCTTCTCCCACTTTGAGAGGCCAAGGAGATGCTGGGATTCAATGTTCTTGTCGCCCAAGAAAAGCGGGTTCTGCATCATTTTGACGAACTCTGCAGCTGGCATGGCGTCTGCCTGTGCGTTGTTGACTCCACCGTAGTTGACCTAATCGCAGGGTTCGACAACAGATCTGTGAATAGATATCCAACTTACAGTGACGTTAGGTGCGAGCATGTTCCCCAGTCTTTCCCAGTCCTACAGAATGTTGTCAGGCTATGAGTGAGCATGTTGTTCTAGTCTGGAAATCTACCTTCTCATCGTAGCTCCTAGCCCACTCGAAAGCTAGTTCACTACAGTCCTGCCATTCTGTGGCAAAGTCAGACTTGGTCGTGAGATTCCACTATCGACCAATTTTACCTTCAAAAGTCGGCTTGTTCGCTTTGGTAGCGCCCATATTTGGTCAATAAAGAAAGTTAGATCACGAATAGGCGGACAGAAGAAAGCAGGCAGAAACGAAGACAAACTACTATCGCAACTTGGTGCGGGGTTCGTACGCGGCACTTCTCTAGTATCCCGAACGTGTGATGCAACACGGGTACTTTCGTTGTTGGAAACGCGGTCTACAGGTCAGCCGGTCATCTCATGCCAGGTTGCACGGGTACGTCGACGATCTAAATCGTTGGGCAGGCCCGAGAAGCCCGAGATTGAAGGCGATAACCCCCCAGACAATACTTAAGGTCATCAAGCGTATCCGGATTGTCCGTAATCTCAAACGAGCAGCACATCTACCGCCGATACTTACAACCATGGGGGCCCACAACGCTACAAGCAATGGGACCACGGCATCACCGCCAAAGACGCTCGAAGGCAAGGTGGCACTCATTACCGGATCCGGCCGCGGTATCGGCGCTGGCGTAGCTCGTGAGCTGGGTGCGCGAGGAGCATCGGTCGTCGTCAACTACCGAGGCAGCGCTGAGGCCGCTGAGACCCTGGCCAAAGAGATCGAGGCTGCCGGCAGCAAATCGATTGCCGTACAGGGTGATATCGCCAACGTGGAGGATATCAAGACACTTTTCGAGAAGGCGAAGGCACACTTCGGCAAGATCGACATCGTGGTGTCCAACTCTGGCGTCGAGCACTTCGGCAAACTGGACGAAGTAACACCCGAAGAATTCGACAAAGTGTTCGCCGTGAACACTCGTGGTCAGTTCTTCGTCGCCCAGCAGGCGTACAAGCACCTAGAGGACGGCGGTCGATTGGTCCTAATGTCGTCGATCTCGGCGCACAATTCGATCAAGGAGCACGCCCTGTATGCCGGCAGCAAGAACGCCGTCGAGGCTTTCGCCAAAAACTTTGCAAAGGACTTCGGCCCAAGGCGCATCACCGTAAACACCATCGCTCCCGGGGGTGTGAAGACCGACATGGCCAACGATGTGGGGTGGAAGTACCTGCCCAACGCCGATGAGACATGGACATGGGAACAGGTAGAGACAGTGGTCTCCAAATGGACGCCGCTCGGTCGCATAGGCCTGCCACAGGATATTGCCCGCGTAGTGGCTTTCCTCGTCGGACCTGACGGCTACTGGATCAATGGTAAGTAGCGCCGGGCTGTATTCATCGAGATGCAAAGCTGACACTTTCTCGCAGGTCAGAATATCACGATCTCTGGCGGTGCCGGTGGTTAGGTTACGGAATCCGACTTTCGGTGCGAGAGTGCGAGATGGACGGGTGACAGGGCTTGGTGTTGGGTCCCGCTTGACCAACGGTTGGAGATGTGGGAACACCGACGCCCATTGAGTTCACCCTCGGTCCCCGCATTGTAGCGCCGATAAGTGAGCTTTCTTGGCATCGGAGGGATGCGTAAATGCGAAGCGCCGACGCCGAAGTGCTTAACAATTGGCGTCGTCGCTTCGTCTCGTCTCGCTTAAGACGGCGTCCAATGACAGCGTCGACCTCAACAAGGGCTACGGGAAACAACAATGCATTCACCATATCAAACGAGCTTCGGGTCTCGCGCTGTACTTCGTGACTAAAACCACTATGCTTACAACACACCGGCTTGCGTGCTCAGTGAGGGCGGGTCCGTCCATCTCGCCCCATAATCTGTCCTGCAAGCAGGAGGCGTAGTGTTGTAACACGTTTTGTAGGTATCCAACCTCATGAATATAAACAGCACCCAACGCCTGTCCTCAGTGCTCAGTCACTTACGAACTACAACATCGCAAGCAGCCTCTAAACACATACACACCGCAATCATGGCTAACCAGGCTTCTTGGATTCCCGCACCCACCAAGCAGGTGTCTGTTGGTCCTGCCGAGACTTACACTCCTGGCCCCAACGAGCTGCTCGTCAAGATCAACAGTGTCGCCTTCACTCCCATCGAGGCCAAGATTCAGAAATTTGGCACCCACCCCATCCCTTACCCCAACATTCTCGGTACCTCATACTCTGGTACTGTCGAGACTGTCGGTGAGGGTGTCACTGGCTTCGCGAAGGGCGACCATGTCGCAGCCATCCGATCTGGAAAGACACTCGCAGACCCCCGCTTCGGTGGCTACCAGAAATTTGCCCTTGCGCCTCTCAACTCCACCGCCAAGATCCCCAAGTCCGTCCCCTTCAACGGCTCCTCTTCCACCATCATCAACCTTGCCGCCATCACCTCAGCCCTCAGCATCCACCTGGGCCTTGAGCGTCCCCCTCTATCCGGCACCGCCTCTCCCAAGAACAAAAAAGTCTTGATCTACGGCGGCTCCAGCTCCTGCGGTGGTCTCGCCGTCAAGTATGCTTCCACTGCCGGCTACGAAGTCATCACCACCTCCTCCAGCCGCAACAAGGACTTCGTGCAGTCCCTGGGCCCAGCCACCATCATCGACCACGAGCAGGATCCCGCCTCCGTCGTTGCCGACCTCAAGAAGTACGGCCCGTACGATGCCGTCCTTGATACCATCGGTCTCCCAGGGCCCACTGCCATCCTTGTTGAGTATTTCGAGTCCCTTGGCGGTGGCGCCTACAACACTATGATTCCCCCGATCCCAGGAACCCGCGCCATTCCCGACAATGTCAAGAGGATATTCGCGCCCTACAGCTTTGCCTTCGACGAGCCTGAGCACAAGCCCCTTGCTCAATGGTTGTACGAGGAGTACCTCCCCAAGGGTTTGGAGAGCGGTCTTATCGTGCCGACTAGACAGCACGTCGTCACTGGCGGTTTGGAGAAGGCACAGGAGGTTCTTGACTTGATGAACGAGGGTGGTGTCAGCGGAAAGAAGCTGGTCTTGGACCCTTGGGAGACCAGCGCCCCGTAAGGGAGCGAAAAGGTTGCTTAATGAAAGTGCCGTATGAGCACGAAGAAATATAGACATTAGAGAGAAAAAAAACATCGCGTTCGTAAATCACAGATATCTCACACTGAAACTGCATTCTTGCTTGAGTCAAGTGCTGTGCCATACCAGGAAGTTCACTCGCCCACTCGTTAAGCCTCTCCTCGCCCTTAGTGTAGTAACACAGGTTCATGTTTTTTTGGGAAACACGGTGACGTCTCGTACCTTCCTCAAACTAAGGCAGGAACAACAATCCATCGACAGAAATGAATTCCTTGGCAATATGGCAGCAGTGAGGAAATGGATCATGAGACAAAAATCGCGCAAAACACTCCCGCACATTGCACACTATTTGGCCGTAAATGCACAGGTCTAATCTTATAACTCATGAACTCATGAAGTGGGTATCTCAGCAACCGTCTCCTCGCTATCAAATGCCCAAGCACCCAAGACGCCGTTCTATGCAATGCTCCCTTCTCATCTCGCAACAAATCTACAAGTCAATCAAATCCGGCTCTCCCGAGCCAACACCGCGCAGCAAGACAATCATATTGCCTGTCTGACATGGCTCTCCGATCTTTTCGCTGAACTTGAGCAGCCTGCCTCCTTCCACATGGAACACCCTCAGCTTCTCCTCCTCGCCGCCACCGTGATTATTTACGTTCTGCACCTGCAGCGACTTGGCCGCCATATCCAGCACCCGACCCACAGTCCACTCCTTGTTGTAGTAAAACTTGCCCGTTGGGTACTTCGCTTTCGTAGTATCGGCTGAGGCTTCAACATGGAGGTAAATGCGCTTGTCCTGCGGCACCGATGCATCGCCCTTCGCGGTCCGCTTCAGCTCGTTCGCAGCGGCCAGCGCTTCCCGTGCGCCTGAGGAGCTCTTAGATCCTAGGCCGAGGAACCCCGACTTCTTTGTGCTCTTCGCTGCGTCTTTTGCCCGTTTCTCCTCGGCCCATACCTTGAGCTTGGCTAGAGTGGATAGACCGCGGTCGCGCTGTTGTTGAAAAGCGCCTAATCGCGCGCCTGCGGGTTTTACGTTCTTGCAGTCGTGGTCTTCGGGGAAGCGGTGTGGTAGGCAGTACGATCGGTTACAGGTCGAACACTGGTTCGCGGGCATGCGGCTCGTGTTGATGAGCGTCTTGCAGGACTTCTCGTAGCATTGTTGGTCGTGCGAGTAGAGCGACGGTTTCCCATTGACTGAACTAAGTGTTGTGGTGCCGTCACGGCCTGCTTTCCGGCGTGCCCAATCGCCTTCTTTAGGGCACTTGTGTGCGTGTTCGGATCGGTGATCGAGACAGTAGGTTCCTTTACAGCTCTCGCAGCGGAAGGGGAGGAAGTCGAGGACATGGCAGTAGGGCATTTGGCAGTGAGCCCCGATATCCTCAACATCGCGCTTCATCTCGGTGTAGCTTGTAGCGCTCGGCGGCGTGATTTTAGGTGGTGTGGAAGCCATGTTAGGCGATGTGGGACGTTATAGAGAGGGTGTCTGCGGTAGTGAATGTCGCTGAGAAATGCTCAGTAGCAACTTAAGAAAGTACCAGAAGGCGGCGAGGCTCAGGCAGCCAAAGCTGACGCCGCAACTGTGAAGCTCAATCAGAATGTTCCAGATGACGCCGCGGCCAAGCCCCGACACGGAACAGCGGCTTCTTACTAAGCGACACGGGACCGTCTCTCCCAAGACCCCGGGTCCAGGGTCATGGATCGTGCTTTCAACTGTACGTCTTGGTATGGAGATCATGTTTGTACTTTGTACGATAGTGTTGTTCCTTATGACTAACTCCTGGGGTATATAGCTCTCGAAACTCTGCAGATCACCGTTGGTTCGTCCATTCATCAAGCCTCACGCTGTTTGGTCTTCTTCTGGCAGCCTCGCCCTATTGCATTGACCTTCCCGCTGTGCACACATTAAGTGTTCATCGCATTGTGTTCCTTCAGCATCCTCTCCTTCATCTCATTTCACTTTTACCGTGCCGCCCCAGCACCATGCCATTTGTCTCGAGTAGTCTTCGTCCATCTCGGAGGTTCAATCATTCCATCGGGGTGTGAAGCTGAGATGGAGCATCCAACAAAAGCTTTAGCCTAGCAAGTGGACGGACTGCTGTCGTCCTTCCCTCTCGAACGGAAGCTGCGAGCACGTGGCTGATCCCGATAGTGGAGGACATCGTCTCGACTGGAAAAAGCGATGGGGCGATTGGAAGGTGCGCCCGCGTTGGGTGCCCGTCTGGCGGGCCACTCCGTCGGTCGAGCTGATCGTTGATTTATCGTCGGCAATATCGGGTCTCATTTTGTACCATTTTGTTTTGTTTCATGCTTCAGTCGTCGTTGATGCACCGGATACCATGGACCCTTTGTGCCCATCCAACTGTTCCAAGATTGTTGGTTCCACCAGCGACTGTTATCATCGCGTCTTCCGAGCCTGTGCAGTCGAAGTTACTGCGCATTCCATCAGCATATCTCTTCACAGACGCCGAAAAAGACCTACTCGTAAAGTATGCAGTACCACTCATCGTCCCTCTTATAGACGTCCCAAATGTCGTGTCCACCAACAAGTACACTGTGCACCTTGCCATCTATCATGTTGTTGTCCAGACTCAGGCATGTATTGTTGTGCAGATCGACTGCAACCTCGGAGAAGTATGCTGTTTGGCCGAAGAGGAACACGCGAATGTGGTCCGTCGCGACGTACTGTGCCTCCACCCAGGCACCGAGTAACAAAGCGAGAGATACAAGAGTCGCGATCCCGAGGTTCATCGTTACGGTCAGAACATTACATCAACACAGGCACGCGAATACGTGGATACCGGGTAGGGAAGTCAATGCAAGCAAAGCAGTAGGTATGTGGTGCCGAGAAATAGAAGAGAGGAGCCTGATGAGGCTGCAGAGGAAACGAAAGCCCGGGCCGGTGAATGATGTCGTGGGGTGGGCGCTGATTTGCTGGGTGCCGACATAGCCCCAGTGTAAGCCCCAGTGTACGCGTGGAACGTGGCTGCGCTAACGCAGAGAGGGCATCGCGCACAACCGAGCCTCAGGCGATCAGGATGGTGAGTGGGCGATGGCTTGCTCACGGATGACGTTTCCGTTTCGTTTCGAAACACTTGCGATGGAGCGGTGTGCGAGTGCGAGTGCGAGGGTGGAGGCTTGCGAAACGAAGCGTTCGCAAAGCGTCACTAAAGATAACCTATCCCAGGGTGACTCTAGCTGTGACGAATGTTCAGTATCCAATGCCGTGTCGCGGGTGTTCACTGGTACGCAAGGTGTAGTACACAGTTGGAGCGACGCCGGTCGTGGTCACGTCGGAGCGTTGGCACATGAACATTCATGTTGGCAATCTGCTACTGTTATATTACTCCAGCATCGCATGCTTTCCGGGCTGGAACATTTGTACGATCGAAGCCCGATGTATCCGAAAACTGCATGGGGCGTGGTTCTGCCTCTTCGATTGAAACTAACTGCGGGCCGACTCAGCAGTGCTTTATGCACGCTGCAAAACAATGGGCACGGGACATGCATCCAAAAATGACGCCCTTCCACAGCTTCGCGTCTGCCATCATGACTTGCATAGACAATTGTCTCGTACCTGAAGGTCCAGGCGACATTTCATGAATAGAATTCTTGAAAATTTGCTAGCTGCTAACCTGTTGCTCTTATGCGTGCTGGGGGGTCCCTCAGGATCGCGAAGAATCATTTAAATTTTGCAGTAAGACAGAGTTGTATCAAACGAAGGAAACCATTTCTCGGGAATGCAAACTTCTGAAGGCCATTCCACGAGAATCAGAGTTACATGCTGTGTCTTTGTATAAATTCGCCTAGATGATTGAGCGATCGCCTCTTCTTCCCTTGCCATGACGCTATTCTGAATCAATCGCTGTAGATATCTCGCGACATCGTCTTTCAAGTCTTCATCTTCGTTTATGACATCCAAATCATCGACATGCTTTTGAGTTGAGTTGCTAAAGAAGCTGGTCGCTGTCTTTGTGTTGATGCAGAGCAGCTTTGGGCGCTGGAATCCATGTGCTGGCAATGCCCGCTGGTCACCCGACCAGATAAGGAAGGCAGGCTGTCCCTGTGGGAATGAGCGAGGGCTCCAATATCTGCTGTTCCGGATATAACACGAATAACAACGCAAGGTGCTTCGTAGGAAGCTCTACACTTCGTACTGGTACCGCTAAGTTCGGGCTGACGGTAACGAGAGCGTTCCCTCAGGCGCAGCAGCACCAGCCGGGAACGAACCAGGTCGTCCCAGGAGAATGTCAAATCTTTTTTTGTTCCAGAAAGTCCGAGCCAGGAAAAAGGCTTTTTGTCTGATCATTTTCAATGTCCGAGTCCTCGAGGTCCCAATCCATTCACAAGGCATCCACCAGTGAATCGACGTCGTGTACATCGTAATTTCTCACTACATCTTTGAAGATCGCCAGGAAAACTCTGCTGTTTAGATTTAAGCATAGCGAAACATACCTGTAGTGAAATTGAGAAGCTGCAATAATGTTCACTCGCGTTTTCCCTAATATGGCAAGTCCACATGAAAGATGTGGAGCAAGTTGCAAAGCTTTCCAATTCCTCATGCAACCATGCAGCTTTGCTGAGTACCATGGTATTGAAAGAAATTCAGAGGGATTGCCGTATCAAGTGTGCATAGACATAGAAGCATCCCTTCACATGGTTCATCGAACAAATCAGACAGGTGGCTCGCTTTTTTGCGTTCTTTTGCTTACCCTTGGCTCGTTTTGGAGGTGCGAACGGTGTAATGCAACTTCCAAATGCTTTTTTTGAAACATGTCTCGTGATACTCCGGTCTTTCTTTGCATGCTATTCAAGAAGCAAGTCTCGTGCTTTGCAAATGCTCGATCGATGGCGAACCTGTTGTTAGACACTCGTTGCCCTGCGACGTAAATTCGAGCCGTCTATACTAAACTCCTCGCTCGGCTTCGCTAAACCTTATACATACGATCGAGATTATATGCTAGACCGTGCGGAAAGGTAGTGAGGATGTTTGTGAAGCGCAGTACGCGGTGTTGGCACGCTGCTTTCAGCATGCCACGATACTACTTCATTAGAAGTAGACTGCATGTCTAAGTACACAATTTAGGTAGAGGTGTGAGTGATATTCGGCTTGCGACTGACACTGTCAGTAGTAGATAAGCTTGGGTTGTATAGTTGAACATCGGAGCCTGGAGAGCCCTGCATCATGCCGATTGAGTTCTGTGGAAGTGGGTCCACAGAAATTTCAATGTGTTATCTGGCTGCGACTCTTCTATGTTCTGGACCAGCTGGAATGGGCGCTCATGAAAGCCGACATGAGACGAATCGAAATTGTGAATCAACTTAAACCTATCATTAGGAGCTAACGACCTCGCCACTTGTGGTTCCGCACAGTGAGGCAACGGCTGAATGAGCCGGTCGACATACAAGTTATGATTGACATGGGCGGTAGATCGTTGGTCTCGAAGAAGCTGATCATGGAGCAGCTGCATATAGCTCTTGGGGTTCCAGTCCCAGGTGTCAGAACGTGAGATTGCAGATGAAGCCCTTGATGAATTTTGCGACTATCATGGCATGACTTGACCCCCTTCGCAAAGTCAGGGTATCTGTCTATCTCAACGTCCTTCGCACCTGTATACCGCTCAGGAAACGTTGCTCGAAAGCTGGGCAATATTTTGAACATACCACTTATAGTTCCCCGCAAGTCTTCCAGTCCAGCTCGTGATGTCTCTGGTTGAGAGGTTCGCGAACGCTGGCAGTGAGCTGCACTGCATTCTGTGGATTGTGGGGCCGCAACGTGGTCTTCGAGCTACAGAGATGGCACCTCGCCACTAGGCAAATTGAGCGGTTGCGGTGAGTTTGCCTTGATTGATCGTGGTGACTAGATTATAGCTATTAACGATCTCCCAATCACAAGCGTGGAGGTAGAGGCACCGGTACGCTAACGATTCTGCCGATTAAGCAGACCCCGCGAAACAAAAGACCTGTATAGTCATACTAGAACATGTCGGCATTTGAGACCTAGGTAGTAGGATGTTCTTATAATGTGGTGGAAAATGCAATCGAGTCTCTTGACAGCACCATCCTTTAACGCAGTGACATTCAATCGCGCACAGTGCCATTGCCATCAACGATGAAAGTTCTCGTTGCAATTGCAGCCTTAGTAACAGCTGCTTCGGCGGACTGTACCCGTGAATCCCTCCTCGCCTCCGCTCAAACCTACATTGATGCTCAGAAGGCGGGCAGTACCACCGGGCTCAAATTGTCATCCAGCTTCAAGTACCAACAGAATAACAAAGAACGCGCCATATCAGCAGGTCTTCTCGCTACGCCCTACAAGCTTGATCTGGTGCGTTCGACAGCTGACACTGTCGCATGTGCCTCGTACACAATGTGGATCTCTGCCTCTGGCAGCAAGCCTTACGTTGTCGGCACACAAATCCGTCACGACGGGAACGACACATCTACCATTAGCCTCATTGATACGGTTGCGGCTACGACGGGCGATTTGTTCTTCAACGCGAGCAAGACTCTGGGATATATTCAGAAGGAAGATTGGACGCCCATCAATAAAACGGAGTCGATGCCCTCGCGGGAGCTGCTCAAGAAAGTAGGCGACGCGTACCTGGACATGTGGACGGATTCCAAGGCTGCAGATAGCATCCCATGGGGCACTGAGTGCGAGAGGGTGGAGGGCAGTCAATATACGAGTCCATGCGGACAGAGCTTGCCTCACGGGGGGAGCTCGAAGCCGAATGGAATGAGGCGGTAAGTACGAAAAGGGGCAGGGTGGGGAGAAAGGCTAAATTTGAGACAGATATGTTATTGATGAGGTAACGGGTAGCGTCGATGTTCTGTGCCAGTTTGATAGCTTGGGAACGATGCCGGATTCGCATGAGATTCGGGTTATTGATGGGAAGGTCAAGTATGTGCATACCATAACCGCGCTGAAAGTCGGTTGAAGGAGCGAAAGCCCCTAACGCTTCCTTCGCGATCCTGGATATTCCTATGTTTCAACGATGAATCCTATGATCATTTGCGCAAAGCTTACTTATTTGATATCCGCGCTCTTCACTACGGTGCCAAAAACATCTGCCAGCTCCGCAAGCGCAACCCTCGTTACCTCATCGCCCTTCACACCCGGGATATCGCGGTCCCCAATGCCATCTTCGACGAGAACGACATCGTATCCACTCTGGTAAGCTTCACGCGCAGTGGTTGACACACAGACATGTGCCATGTAGCCCGTCAGAACAACCTTCTTGACGCCCCATCCCTGCAGGGTCTCGTGCAAGTTCGTCTGCTCAAAAGATCCGGGGAACTGCTTCCAGATTGTTGTCTCACCGTCCTGTTCTCGTTAGTTCATCTTTTCCAAGCAACTTGAACGGGAAAGCACACCTTTGCTTTCAAGGCCTTGAATTCTTCCGCCAATTCCGTGCCAGGCGTGAAGATGGGCGCCCCTTCAGGCGTCTTGTGTAGCACATGGATCACCTTGCCTCCCGCCTTGCGGTACTTCTCAAGCAAGTCCGCGATGACCTTCCCACTAGCTTCTGCATTGGTCACAGTCAGTGCGCCGCTGGCATATTCATTCTGCGCGTCGATGATGAGCAGCGCGGAGTCGGAGGTGGAGGCGGTGCTGGGCGGTATGCCAAGGAGTTCGCGGAAGGAAGTGGTGGCCATTTCGAAGGTTACAGAGTGATTATGATTGGAACGAAGAGGTGAAATGTCTGAGGATATGTAGTTGTTACAGGCCGATTAGTGAACGACTGAAAAGCATAGCCGGAAGCCATTAGTCACAATTGCAATGGGAGTAGCAGGCGGAATAACCCCGCTCGGCATTAGGTCGGCATCTATGACGCTGGGTCGGCATCTAAGATGTGCTTTCGCGAAGTGCAGCTGAACAAGCATAGCAAATTCTACAAAATTCTAAGATGTCAGTCTCAGGGCGTGATATGATGCACAGGAGTTCATAGCCATGCTCCAGCCAATGTCAGATGCTGATGCAGGCGGGGCTCCTTCGTTTCTTGGGCTAGTCCCCTGAAAGGCTAGCGTTGCCGGTAATGTAAGTCGTTCACAGTGTTATTAGTGAGAACCACATCAATTGCATTGTGTAGATTACGCGGCAAGACGCAAACATTCACGGCTCAATATCCACTGTTTCAACACGAGAAGGAATTTCTTCGCATACAGATCACCATTTCCAAGCGAGCCAAATGACACCAAAACACCAATTCCAACGAATCGATCCTCTAATAACGAGTTCAAGTAACCCCCAGGCTCAAGTGCTCCCATCACAAGGAAAGCAACAATCCATATTCTTAACAGCAGTCTGACTCCCAAACCTTCCACAGCTACTCCCCTGTCTCGGATCCCACCCACCAACACTGCACTCTCCTCCCCCATTTGGAGCATTACTCGCCCAACTCAAGCCCCCAATCGTGAACTGCACATAATCATGTTGATGCTCGCCCGTGATTACCAGCTCGTTGATCAGCTTCGACTTGAAGTGGTACGAGTTCCCGTCATCCATGCGTTCGCCAACCCCGCCATTGCTGGTATCCGTTTCGCCGATAACCTCCTTTTTGTCATCAAGGAGACGGATGATGCCGCGGAGATTGTTGTCATTGTTTACACAGGGTATTTCGGTCTCGGTGAGGTGGAAGCAGCATGTTCCGGGGTTGTATGGTGGTGGCGGTGGGGGCGTAGGTGTGGGTTCGGGTTCGGGTGACGGAGAAGGGGTGGGTGTGGGTTCATCTTCGACTTCGTCGTCGGTATCTTCTGTGCCGGCTGTGCCGGGAGGTGGGTCAGTGAAAGTGCATTGCTTGCGCAGCATGTATGCTTCCTGTTGATTGTGATCAGATTTCGGTCAGGCCGAGGAGAAGCGAAAAACTTACGGCGCCTAGGTAGGCGTAGTTCTGCGCGTTGAGTAATTTGTCTGATCCTTGCAAGTTGAAGCAGTCGTAGGCGCCATTGGCGGTATCCTTGATGTGGTTACCTAATGCGGCGTCTCCGACTTCTTTCCAATGCCTACAAGACGTAATAGTCAGCGCTTATGGTGACCATGACTTAGTGAGAAATCTGTGGACGTACGTAGCCTCGTGGAGCATCGTGAAGGCAACGCTCTTCATCTTCTGAGAAGCAAAGCCGTCGATATCAGTGCACTTCAAGTCCCGCATGTTCGGCTGCGCGATACCCTTCGGACAGATATGGAAGAACCCCCTCTCCCATGCCGAATACGCATTTCGAGAATTAGTGCCGCACCTATTGTAATCGTCGTTCCTCAAGAGAATCCAGTCCTTCATCAGCTCCGTGGCCTGACCCACGCCGGATGGATTGAACATTCTCTCCAGGACCTTGACAACATTTCCGGAATCACCCTCATCGAACCAACGCTTGAAGGTATCGCTCTTTGCGTTGGCTTCTTGCCAGGCGAAGTAAACCATGTTGAGCATGTCGTCGTAGGCGTTATGGATTTTGACACCTTCATCCTTTTGCGTGCCTGTGTCATTTGGATCCCACCCCGACCAGCTGAATTCATTGGTTATGGCTGTGCCGTACGGGTAGGCGGAAGGGTCTGCATCGACACGCTTGACGAGATCTGGAGCAGGAATTGTGGTGAGGAAGGGATGACTGAGCTCCTTTTAGCACTTGTTGTCTCTTTAAGGCTGAGTGAACCTACAATGCCGCTGGGCTAGCGACTGTAAACACCGCAAATGCTAGTTGACAATATATGAGGCTCGATCTCAAGCAAGGCATGATAATCAGGCTTAAAATCCCTCTGACGGGGAGAGTTTGGAGAAGACGAGTTTCTTTATTGCTGTGGGTAGCGAGCTCGATGCGTTGTCCTGTGGTCTGGATATATGTTTCTCGGTGGGCCGACTATTGATCTTATACAACCCTGTGGTCAAAGGATAGTAGCAAAACCTCAGGCTTACGAAAACATAGCCTCCACGGGAATTCCCTTGCAGGCATGTGTCGTTTCAAGATACATGATCGTTACTCATGACCCAGCCGCCACAGACTATTACTTCGCCAGGCTAAAGTGTTTATTTTAACACTGGGCTACCAAAAGTCGCATCCAGATGAAGTATTCCGTTTGAGCTGACCTTGTTTCAGCAGCATACATGTTGGCTGATGTTGGATAGATTTGGGGCGGTCTTACGCTTGGATGGGGAACTCGGTGCGCCCGGGGCCAAAGCATGGCGTTCCGAGCGATAGATGGAAATGTGGAAATTGCCCATGGTACACGTGTGCTGATCAGGAGTGGCAGAGGTACGATGCCTGGCCCAGAACACTAACACAATATTACGTACTGAGGCGTTCCCTTCGTTACCTTACTGTGAGCGACTAACTTACCATGTCGCCTCAATCTGGGAAAATCGATCGTGCAAGCGCTTAAATCTGAGATCCGTTCCATCCTTCTTATTCACGACTCAGTCGGAAACGCTCCCTGAGACTAGGGGGCTATGGTCTAGGTCAAGGGGTCGGACAATTCGCATCCTGAAGCCACATGTTAATGGCTGGCTCTTGATAGCGTATGACAAGGCAAATTGATCAAGAATAGTTTACGCTGCGGTTTTCAGACCCCAAACTTGGCCCGCGGGCTGAAACAATTGTCGCGATTACGCGCCTAAGCCTTGTGGCTGGTAAAGTCATACACACCTACGTCATCGGTCGGCACATAGCTACCAATTACTAACATCACAACCTGATAGTAGAATCAACTCAGAGTGGTCGGAGGGGTAATTTGAACTTCTTTGGCGGCACCACCTCTTGCATATGAACATTGGCAACACGTTATTACGTCGCGACGTTACATACTTATTACAGAGTGAGTTGCCCTAGGGTCCATATCTCTAGAAGCTGCTTGCTAACCTTTCCTCGCTGTATAGCCGACCTACGAGACATAGCGCCGGCCATAAAAGCTCTCGTTCTTCCTTCGGCTTCTGTGACTCGGTCTCTTCGAGAACTTCCAGTAACTTTGTGGGGAAATTAACAAGCACCACACAAGAGTCAGAATGGCTCCTCCCGGACCACGAGTCGAGGTCACCCTGAGAGCAACTCGAATCTGCTTCCTCTCCAATTCGCCAACCTTCAATTTTGTCCTCCTACTCACTCTCCATAATAGTCCCTTACCAGTGACATTTCTCAAGGACGGAGCGGAAGGTCTTGAAAAGTTTCAACCGGTCAACTCGGACCAGATCGTTCAGTGCTTCGACAGCGACACCGGAGAGCAAGTGCACATCATCCGTTCAAGCAAAGAGTATTCATTCCTGCGACTTGAACCCAATCGCGGAAACTATGTTACTTTTACGACGTCCAAGAGTCGCAAAGATTACGAGATGCCGTTTGTACTCCACGAGCTGCGTCCGGATAAGAAATACAGGCTGTGCTTTAGACCGACATCATCTATCACACACTGGTCGTTTGACGATGAAAACACTCTAAATACCACGACAGCCTCCGAAGACAGTGCGACTCCGCTCCCCGACCCCTCACCCACACTCATCCCATGGACCATCGTCTCCAGTCCTTCTAGCCTTATCTTCTCGACCCGCTCCGCACCCCTCCCGACCCCAACCGCCTCCGTCTCCCTGTCCGCGCCTTCAACATTCTCGCTTTCGCAAAACCCACCATTCAGATACACACTTACCTTCTCCACCAGCGCGCCAAATCCCATCAACGTCCTTGCAATGCGCGAGGCAGTGAGATCAAGCGACGCCGACATCGAGCTCAGGGACCCATTATCAGGCGCACGTCTCGGACCCGAGATGCTCGACGACGGGAACGAAGATGGACCTTACCATCCCCGTGATTTCCTTAGACTCGACGGCGCGTATACGGAGCACAGGGAGTTGGATCTTACTTCACCTCACTGGCAGGACGTTAAAGGAAAGCTAAGCGTTGGAGAAGAGTATGTGCTCCGGTATGTGGGAGGGAAGTGGGAGTGGTGGACGGAGGATACAATTGAGGAGGTGATGATGTATGCTGGTGAGAGGGGGGGTATGGGGCTGACAGAGAGCGGAGGTATTGAAATTGAGGGAAGGGAGTGTCGATTTAGGGTGGTGGAGTAGAATTTATGGGAAGCGGAGTTGGAGGGACACGAGTTTGTAAGAAGTCATGAACAAGTCAGATAATAATGAATCTGCTGCATGTGCTGCATCCTGAGGGTATCAAGTCCCCACACATATTGTACATGTGTTGTCAAACGCCATATGCATACCCGTTCTGCGCCGTCTCTCCCAGCACACCCTTCAAACATGCCTTTGCAAGAACCCTTCTATCGCACGGCCACGCCCACGAGCACCGCCTAGCCTTCAGTCGCTCCACCCACCAGACACCTTCTTCCTTAACTCTATCACGGGCTTCCCCTTTCCCCCATCTTCCCTTCGCCAGCCTGCCATTGCCCAGAGCCCAGTGACCACACCCTTCTCCTCCTCATGTCCCCGCAAGCTAATCCGCTTCTCGTCTAGCTGGTGCCGCCGCAACTCGTCGTACACACCGACTACGCTCTCCTTAAACGCCTCCGATGGTTGGCCGGCCCAGCCGCCGCCGATCTTGTTGCAGCAGCGGTCTAGGATCTGGGTCCGAGTCGGACCCGCGTGCGTGGGTCGGGAGTGCACGATGTTCTGGCTCAGAAGAACCGTATACAGATGCAGTAATGGGAAATATCGGGGGTTGGTGAGGTGTGCGGCCTCGCGAAGATGCGCCCAGGAGATGTCGAGCGAGGTTGTGCCTAGGCAGGTGTTCGCGCGCCAGAAGAGCAGCGAGGTGCGCTGAACGGTGGTGATCCACTTTGGCAGGATGCCTGAGGTCTGCGTCATCATGCGCGCGAGGCGGACAAGCGGGATAGCGAGGCCGGACGCGGTGTTTGGGCGGCCGAGAGAGTTCCAGCTTGAGAGAATGAGGGCGTGGCAGTCGTGAAATGCGCCGCGGGCACCTGCGATTTTTGATAGAGCGGGGATGACAGCTTGTCCAAGAAGGTCGCAAATAGTGAAGTTGCCGGTGGGATCATCCGCGAAGAGCGCTGTGACGCAAGACCACAGCGCGATCATAAAGGCGTGGATGCGGTTGGGAGACGAAGCACAAAGCGCGGTCCAGATGGAGGCGGAGGTGAAGGCTTGGGAGTCGGAGGGAGCGTAGACCTCGCGGCGACAGACAGGACAGCTGTTGTTGGCGCCGCGGCCGCTGTGCAGCCATTTCTTGATGCAATTATGGCCAAAAATGTGGTGACACTGAAGTGCGACGGGTTGGTGGTCTGCGCTGAAAGGGTCGGTGCAAATGATGCAGCTGCCGCTTGGTTGCAGCTTGCTCCGGATGAAGTCCTCCATGGTAGTGGGGGAGCTGGACATCGGAATTGAGGTAGAGGAGGTGCGCCTGATCTTTGGAAGAGTGTGGCGGCGTACCTGCTTTGAAGCGTTGGCGGGTTTTGAGGAAGAGTCCACCCGCCGTGGAGACGACACTGCATCGTCAGTGGTGTTTGCGTCTGTGACGTTAGCGCAGACGATTGAGTACAGCACATTCACTGTCTGTGTAGACATTCAACGTAAAGCAAATAAGGTAAGCAGTCCTCACATGCAGAGCGTGACCGTACTTGCTTGAGGTCAAGGGCATTATTGTATAGGTGGAGTCTAAATTTCCACCAAAGACAGCTCTAGCCGAGTATCGGTGGCATCGTATGTCTAGACCACAGATTTTTGGCGCTATCTGGCCATTTTAAGACGTTGTTTGCACATTGAGGTGTAGAGGTCAAGATCGGCGCTACTGGCGGCAACTTGAGCCTCTAGCGAAGAAAGAGCGTGGCGGTCGGTCGCGTGTACTGTCACCTGATGGGTATGTCGCCCGGACGGCAAGGCTGTTGTCAATGCGTTGTCGGGGTGTAAGATAGGGAGAAGAGAGTGATTGCTACGTGGGCTGCGGCCGTCCTATGAGAAGGGTGGAGCTAGATGATATTACATAAGCTACTCTGTGCTATTCTTCAGGGGCGTGACTCGGAATATCCACGATAACTTCTGTTTGTTTGTCTTAACCTCCTGAGATGCAGCCATTCGGATGTACTTTAGTCGCGAAGTGAATTTAGAACATCAGATCACAGAGTGTGCAACTTCCATGAAAGGAACGGCATGAATTCAGTGACCAGGCCTCCATCCCAGACGCCTATAACCCGCCCTAGAGTACATAACGAACGAGGAGTGAGTCTACCTCCAAACCCCCAACCCACGTGCAATCAATCGAGCATTTCGCTCTACCAAATAATACATCGAAATAAACGAGGTCCACGGAAAGAAGCATAAAGGTGTACATAAGAAGTATAAGACATTAGATGCTCTTAGTGCGAGCTTTCGACGCCCAAAACATTCGCTCTCTTCCCATGCAGACTCTCGTTGACCTTATTTCGCAGGCCCTTGAAGTTGTCGGCAGGTGACTGCGAAATGCTAGATGCTTTCCGTCGCGTACTGCGCGGTGCAGAGATTTGTTGCGGTCGCGCGTTCTCGTCTGTCTCAAGCGCAGACGTTACTGCCGGCCCAGGTCCTGCCGGCGATGCTTTCAGTTTGTTCTCCTCCTCTTGAGCAACCTTCTGTTCGGCAGTGCGACGCGCGCGCTCGTACTTCTCCTTGACATCGCCCTTGTACATGGTACCGCCGATCCTGTCCCAGTGGGTGAAGAAGGGTTGCGAAAAGTTGGTTTTGATTCCCCAACTTTGGTGGTGGATATCGTGATAGGCGGCATTATTCGGGAAGATCCAGTGGAGCGGGTCATATGGGAATGCATAGCCGCTGTGGTCCAGTACGGTTTTGATGGTCGATCCCGAAAAGAAGAACCAGGATTGTCGGACAGTCATACCAGTGATGAGGTAGGCAAGACCGGCGCCGAGCGTGTCAAGGAGGAAACCCTCGAAGGGGTGGTTGTAGAGAGCACCGTAGGCGTAGGGTACGTACAATCGGTGGTGGCGGGAGTGAAAGGTAACTGCGACACAATTAGGGGAAGCAAATGGGCAAGACAAGGCGAATACATACCATAGAGCCACTTGTTCATGTGCATTGCGCGGTGAAGCATGTACTCCCACGAGTCGATGATGATGATGCCAGCCGCGAACTGCAGCGCCGGAATGGCATACCAGTAAAGAGCACTCGCGACGGCCAATTCCCAAGATGCGAAAGCCGGCGCAATTGACTCGCTTGCGTAAGGGCCACCCCGAAGGATGCTTGCTAGAGCTGGTTGCGATGCTGCCACCTTCGATGCCAATGCAGCCGAGTTGAAGCCCACACCCGACAGAATCACAGGAACAGCCCGCTGAGCGAGTCGCAGCTTTTGGGCATACCAGGCGATGTCGTAGTCAGCTTTTCCGATTTGCGCCACCTCATCCCACCATGACAAGGCCAGTGCAGCGATTGTCTGAATGACTTGTTGTATTATGACGTCTCGGAAGACTTCGTATCGTGTGACATGATTGCGCTTGAGCACTTCAGCGGGCGTGTGCAGTCGGTATCTGGCGAACAGGTCGTAGACATCAATAAGGTGGTATATCAGGGACACGGCCCAATATGCGACAACAGGGAGTGCGGCTGCCAGTGCTTCGTCGGAAATCCAGGAGAAGAGTGGCGGTAGCGGTTTGAGCGTGTATTCAGGGAGCGGCGGAAGCTCGTATGACGTGTTTGCGGCCGCCATTGTGCGGCACCGATGTGCAAGAACTGTTTAGAAGAAAAAACGCAGTTATTCCGGCGGTTTCAGGAGGGATAGTCGTGAGGAGTGAAGGTCAAGTCCAAAGGCTGAGAAAGAGGCAGCTGGCGCTCGGGTTCGGAAGCCGCGGGTCAGGAGAAATTACAAATAGAAGTGCGATGCAGACGCGTTGGATGGGCGGTCTCGCGGTATACAAGTGCCAGGTGCAAAGGAGAGACTCGAGTGGGCAGAGTGCGCGGCGGAGATGGTGTGAGAGTGGTGCAGCTCTCCTCCCAGGCGCATGTCCGTCACCATTTCATGCCGGGCCCTGCCGCTCTTCAAATGTTCGCCTCCCGCCTCCTTGGCCCATGCTTTCAGCCTTGAAGGCTTAGCGTTCGAGATCCCAGCGCCGCCCGATGCGGCTTAGGGCGCGCCTGCCAAATTTGACCCCGCCAAAATTCCTACCCTCTCTTCTGTCCGTCCGCCCCACGTCCAACCTTCTCTCCAGTCCTCTCTCCTCCCCTTGACACTCTTTCCAGGTTATTTTTTGATAAGCCGATACCATGATCATCTACAAGGTGCGTCAAAGAAACGCTGGCTGGCTGCGCCTTTCTCTACCCCGCCTACCCCTCGGCGCCGTCCGCAGTCCCAATTTGGACCACTTTCTTAAGTGGCCGCATGACTGACGATCCCGCAGGACTCCATCACCGGCGACGAGATCATCTCCGACTCGTACCCTCTCAAGGAGATCGATGGCATCGCCTACGAGGCCGACTGCGCCAAGATCACTATCGGCCAGGACAACATTGGTGCGTCTTCTACGCTCGCGGACTGTGCTTCAGGAACGTACTTATATTAACGTGCGGCAGACATCGGTGCAAACGCCTCTGCTGAAGGTGGAGATGACGATGGTGCCGACGACACTGCCCAGACTGTTATCGACGTTGTTCACTCCTTCCGTCTGAACGAGACCTCTTTCGACAAGAAGTCGTATCTCACTCATCTTAAGGGTGTGTACGCCCTGAACATATGCTAGTGCGCTCAATTGACCAGTTCCAGGCTACATGAAGGCTGTCAAGGCCAAGCTCCAGGAGAAGGGTGCCAGCGCTGACGAGGTCGCCACTTTCGAGAAGGGTGCGCAGGGCTTCGCCAAGAAGATTGTTGCCAACTTCAAGGACTACGAGTTCCTGATCGGCGAGTCCATGGACCCCGATGGCATGGTCGTCCTTCTTAACTACCGCGAGGACGGTGTCACCCCTTTCATCACCGTCTGGAAGCATGGTCTCGATGAGATGAAGGTCTAGGCTCAATACGAGCGGGGAGTTGTGGGTGACGAAGCATGACCTCGGAATTGGATTTTACGACTACCTATTGCATCAAGGATATCCGCCATCGTGCCAAAAGCGATCATGAATCTACATGAATCTAACCTTTTCATCTAGTGTGCAGTTGAGTGACTTTCGCGTTGTTTTGGTGATGACGAGGAAGCCTTTTGACATCTAGAGCCTCTTTCCCTTGAACAATGCTTTCAACTTTCACCGTCCGTTACTTTAAAAATGCACCCAACACTCAAAGGCTGAGCTATGCACACACCACTGTACAGACATCGTTGCCTAGATGCGATCTGTTGCTCCTATTCTTCCATGATCAGATTGCCTAGAAGTAGGCCAGCCGGTAGCTGCTCTGGTAGCTGCTGAAGTCTACAATTATACAAGAGAGACATGAGGAGGGAGAAGGCCTACTTATCAATTCGTCAACGGTTGGCCTCAGAATCTTTGTGCTGGTTCCGATGACTATGATACCGGTCTAGCAGTGTACTTTGCCGCGCTTCGCAGTGAGATTCCGTTCGTCAAATTGCTACATACCTTTGGCATCCCGCTTGACGATGAGTACGACGATATTGGCCGGTATCGTCTTGAGGGCGCCGCCTGGGTGAGAAACGTGAACTCCTCGAATGGCAATGGCATCGCAGGAAGAAAGAGTATCTCTGTCCATTAGCCATCACTGCTGCGGTCCCTGGCGATTATGTCGAGGCATTGCACTTCTTGCAAGCAAGGATCACTCGGAATTAAACCGATTATAGGTGGGCAGGTTGGGCATTGGAAAGCGTCAGGCTAGTAAGCTACCTCGCAATGAAGTACATATCTCGAAGAAGCTAAGCTAATCGACATGGCAGCCTGCCTTCGTGCAGAGCGCACGCGCATATACGGATATCTTCTCTACGTCGCTGCCTTCAAAGTGATGAAGATGCTTATCGGCCTGGGTATGCCATTGGACCAGCCAGTAAGTGGATCTAGGGTGGCGGCCAAGGACCGGGATATTAGTAGACTTCTATGACATGGGTGCACGCCTCGAAGGCGTAGAGAGGTGTAGCAGCTGCCGTATGAGCGGGGGACCGATCCAGTCGATGTGAAGGTATTGGGAGTTAGCAGCGAGCGATTTGAGAAGGGGAGCTTCTGGAGGCGGACTCCGTCTGGAAGTTGATGTTCCGACCTGGAGTGGGATTTCCGATATGACCTCTAAGTAAGCTGAGTATGTCAGCATAGCCGGTAAAATTTGTGCAAATAATGCACCTGGACGATGGGTGTGATGTGCTAGCCGGTAATACGGCGGCAGGCATTGCAACTGTAGACCTGGAGAGGTAGGACGCTGAGTGGATAGAGCGTTGAGAGACTTTTGTCTGTAAGGGGAGCAAGTGGAGCATGATTCCTTTGAGCGGTTCAGGGTAGTTAACAAGATTCCAAGGTTAGGCGTAAGGCATGTGATGGAGCTGTCAGGCAGGTGGGTGCCCTATGAAGGCTTGGCGCAAGGCTCTTGGTAGATTCCACGTCAGTCAAGAGGCGCATGCGACGCAGGATACGACATCTTCTCGTATAGGAAGCGAGGTCTTGAACAGGCACACCGACTTAGAACGTTGGGATCCATACTCGAGAGCGCGCTATTGCGATTTTCAAAAAAGTTGACATATCTATAAATCCCCTTGCACTGATACTGTTCACTCCGAAAGTCTGCTCTGACTGTTTAAAACTGTGTAGGAGGATCGAGCAAGAGGGATCGACGCCAGACCTCGTGATCACGCGTACTCGCGTAACGCACTGACCATTTTCCGTCCCGGTACCTGCGACACCCTGCAGCCTCAGGCACCATGTCTCAGCTCACAGCCCCTCCGCTCGACAGAATATACGTTCAGATCTTTGGACTTCATGTCTGCCATTTATCACATTCTTCCCACCAGTTCTGCCGGCCTATAGCCGCTTCTGTGTCATAAGCGGCGCACAATGGCCAATCCCCGCCCGCCGCCGCAAGGCAACCGCGGACAGAGCGCGGGTCTAGCCCATCCCAGCACTCCACGAAAGAACGGCGCAGAGCTAAGTGCTCTAATCCACTCGCTCGGCCAACAATGGCAATTGGGACTTCCCGTTCGCGACAAGAATTGGTCTCCGTTGAAGAGCAACAAGGAACTGCCGGATAAAGTGTACGGGCAGTTAAAACGGCTGTACTGGCAAGGCGACTTCCATGAGGCCATTGGACGTTTCGTGCTGCAGGCGAAGCTTCCCTCGCTGTCGGATACGCAGTCTGCGAGGACTGCACGCTTGACGCTGCTGCATGAGATTATTAGGGATATTGATGAGGCGCAGGGTCGGGATCCTGGTTCGCGGGCTGGTACGCCTGCAGGCGGGAGAAGAGGGTTGAGATCGGACCAATCTTGTGAGTCTAAATCCTATTTACAGAAATCTAGGGCTACCCGAAAGCAACGATCCACATGTATTGCCAGCCTGTTTTGCTCATGACCACTTCCATTTGCTCTCCTTGATATTGCTTACAGCATTTGGTCAAAACTTTGGGTACTACAGTGCTCAGCCTTGGATAGCACTAAGAAATGAAGCTTCTAACGAGGTCCTGTACCTCGACGTTCCGACAGTAATATCTCACACGATCTCGGATATACTGGCACTTTAAATGGCTACCTATTTACCACGCTGTCTTACTTTCCTTCCCATTCGCTTTGTTTCTCAAGAGCTTGGCGAGCCGCCATAGCTGGTTTACGAACCGCACCAGGTCGGCCCTACGCTATTATGGTTTTCATAGTCAATACTCTGTCACTCATCTCTCGTTAGACTTGTTGTTTCCATTCTCATTCTAGCGAAACCTTACTCACCAATGTTGCAGCCATCTCACGGTTACGCCCAACCACACCTTCTTCAGGGCTGTATCATACCTCCCATAACGATAATGGCGATACTCATGCAATCGCTCCGGACCCTGGATCCCCCACGGATGAAGATGAACCTCCTCCGTCACCCATCACATCGTCGAAAGCCGCACAACGACGCGTACAGGCAAGTCCCCGATTCCAAATGGGAGCTATAGCCAGGAAGCGCCCTTCAGACAGCTCCGACTCTGGCAACTCTCCGAAGCTTACAAGAACATCCAAGGGGAAACAGCCGTCCGATAGACCGCCAGAACCGATACCTACCCCAATATTCAAGAAGCCTTCGCTTCCTGAGTTCCGCTCGCACCAAGGGAACAAGTCGTTCCCTACAACCGCCAAAACGGCACCTTTGGAACAGACCGATTCATTCCAAGCTTCCAGTGTGAACACGTCGTTCAATACAATTTCTTCTTCGCAAAGGACGCTAGTTGATACTGCCAATACGTCGTTTGCGTCTGATGTGTACGATTCTGATATCAAGTATCCTAAGTTGACTCGGACCAGTTCCACAACATTGGGCTCGCTTGACGATCAGGACCTGCTAGATATTGAAGACCCGGTTGAAGCTCAACTGAGGAGAGAGCTGGCGAGAATGGAGGAGCTCAACCACGGCTCACAAGATCCTCCACCTCGGAGCTCGTCGGCCTATGGATCTGTCGACGAAGACGTCATGCTGGAGAGATCATTCACAGTCGAGGTTGAAGAAGATTACGACTTGTCAGCCCAACAGAGTTTAACAAGATTACCCAGACCCTCCGGCCAAGGCCCAAACCTGGGCAGTCCTGTCAGAAGGGCACATTATTTGCAAAGTCCTACCGCTGAACGTTCGCCTTTCAATAACCCACCCCAAAGGACTACCAACGGTGAAAAAGTTGCGCAGTCCGGCCGTACGACGTCTGGTACCTCGCCTGCCAGAGCACCGTCACAGTCCCCATCGAAGTCCGCCAACGACTCGCCTTCTAAGCTCCCGCACTATATACGAAACATTCCTGAGCAGAAACTCTTTACTGCGTTACTTGCTGAAGACCTGAAGGAATTTCCGTACTTTGTACTTTTTGTCTGTTCGGGACTAGCAAGCGAGCATAAAATACCATTATCCATGTTGCTGCATGGCATACATGCAAGCTATGCTCTTAGCGATCCATCCAACTTTTTGGAGCAGATCTGCGTTAATCTTGACATTTCGTTTGGTACGTTGAGAGACCAACAAAAGTATTGGTCAGCCTTCAAGCGTGGCTTTGAAGGGTACACGTTCAAGGCCCGGATCGAATATAACAACCCAGATTCACGTAAGTCTGGCTTACCCCTAAGTTGAGCTTGCGCGTTCGTCGGTGCATTGACACAGTCCCTTGACACAAGTTTCTGTACTCTGTATGACCCCAACCTGGGCAATGTAGCACCCAAGCTTTTGACCTAGTACTGTAGAGATGCATTGTGTAGCTGGCGAACCCTAGCAACATTTTACACACGCTAATTCATATCACAGAGAGTTCATCAAGTCCAGTCTTTAAGTTGAATGTGCTTCCGATCCAAGTGGACAGGTCTTGTCGTTTTCAGCGCAAGTTTGGCTCAGATCGATTTCTCTATGTGAATGTGCCGTCATTTGATCCGAGCGAGAACAAGCCGTCGCGATTCAACAATGAAGACTTGAAGAACATTGAAGAGCAATTCAAATTATGGTGCGCACGCGAGCACTCCTTTCTAGGTCGAACATGGAAAGCATTCCATGTCGAGCCTGTCAAGAAGAAGAAGAAGAACGGTCGCACCACGGACGATCTGTCAGACAAACGTATCGTATTGTTCGCTATCGACGGACTCGGTATTGGCAAGCCAATGCTCATCGGGGAAACCATCAATTGGTTCCTCCCTTTCGAGAAAAACATGCATCAAGCCTACACCAAAGCGAATGCGCGTTTGGATCTGGGTCTGTCGCGGACTATTCCCACAGTCACATTCAAGCCTTCTCAAATAATTTATGTCAAAGACATGACCGCCGATAAGACACCCGAGGATACGCATTTCAACGATGAGACAATTGACTCATGGCCACAAACTTATCCAAGAGGCACCGTGATGAATGATGGATGTTCCCTGATATCAGTGGGCGCAGCGCTGCTCATCTGGCAGAAGGTCAGAAAAATCACGAATTCCGACGAGCCGATGCCGAGTGCCTTTCAAGCTCGGATCGGGGGCGCAAAAGGTGTCTGGATGATCAGCGGAGAACCGTACTCTGCGAGTGCTGATGATCACAAAATCTGGATCCAGATCTCTGAAAGCCAATTGAAGTTCAAGCCCCCTCGGGAAGACCGGTCAGACGGGCTAGCGTCTGATCCTCACCGCTTGACATTTGAGTACGTCAATCACAGTCGTCCACCCGTTCCGTCGGAGCTACACATATCGTTCATTCCGATTTTGGTAGACCGTGGAGTCCCGAAGGACCATATTGCCGACTTGATGGTGGAACAACTTGACGCCAAGAGGAACGAGTTAATCCAACTGCTGCCTACTACAGAACGGTTGTACCACTGGATTCATCAAGAAGGGCCTTCTAGCTCAGGATTTGAGAGTCCTCGATGGCAGGCTGGAATGTACCAATCGCTGCCGGATCAGATTAAGCACTTGTTCGAAAGCGGGTTTGTACCTGAGCAAGAGCCCTACCTTGCCGATTGCCTTTATCGCTTCATAAAGCGACGTCAGCTATGGATGGAGTCAAAACTCCGCGTACCTCTTTACCAATCTACTTTCGTGGTGGGAGTAGCTGATCCTTTCGGCATCTTGGAGCCTGGGGAACTGCACATGGAATTCTCAACGCCTTTCACCGACGAGCTGACCGGCAGCCGACTACGATCGTTAGACAACATGGATATACTTGTCTCTCGGCAACCAGCTTGTCGGCGTTCTGACATACAGAAAGTTCGTGCTGTCAAGCGTCCGGAATTATCTCATCTTATCGATGTGGTCGTGTTCCCCACAAAAGGTCAATATCCCCTTGCCGGAAAGCTCCAAGGAGGCGATTACGACGGCGACATCTTCTGGCTTTGCTGGGATCAAGCTATGGTGAAGCCTTTCAAGAATGCTCCAGCACCTGTTGAATCACCGGACCCCGCACAGTATGGGATCGAACAGGATACCCGAAAGTTATCTGAAGTCATGGACTCTAGAGACCTATCGACGGTAAACAACCTCCTAAAAGAAGCGCTCGAATTCCGCTTAACACCATCTCTTCTGGGTATCGTAACGAGCCATCTGGAGAAACAAGCCTATTACGAGAACCAAGTCTTTTCTGATCGCTTGGATGCTTTGTGCGATATGCATGACCTTCTTGTCGACGCCCCGAAACAGGGCTACAAGTTTACGAACAGAGACTTTAAGCACTATATTGTCAACGTCCTACGCTGCGGAAACCCCAAGGAACCTGCCTACAAAGAAGCCATGAAAGACTGCGAAAAGAAAGAGACGGATGAAGGAGACAAAAAGCGAAAACAGAATTACAAGCACAAGAAGGAAAACATTTTAGACTATTTGTACTTCGAAATCGTACGCAAGCACGACGTCGCAACACTTAAGCAGGTAAAAGACTTCTTCTCGAAAGATCTTGGCCAAGATCCGGATCCCGTCTTACAATACCCTTACCTCAACCACCGCGAACATGGCAGCCCCTTGGTGCAGAGGGAATTAGACGCCCTCGTGAAAGGACTCAAACAGGTGGAAAGGAAATGGCTGGACATAACCATGGCCGAAGACAAAGACAAGAAGACGGATTGGTACAGCCAAGCGGTCGACACGTGCTACGCCAAATACCGCTCTATCTTACCTGCGGAAGTCGACCATCCCGACATCAAACCCTGGATCTATCCCTTCCTGCGGCCGCAGTACAGTTACTGGGAGGAGATACGTGCTTCGACGTTCTACGCGGTGTTTACAAGACGACACAAGCTTGTCTGGGCTGTGGCTGGGAAGCAATTGGCCGAGCTCAAGGCGGCATCGTATGCGGACTCGACGGCGGTTGTGCCTAGGATCAAGACGATCATGAAGCCTAAGGCTCCCAAGGCGCCGAGGCTAGAGGAAGATGAGAGTGAGGACGAGTTCGAGGACGCACTCGAGGAACTGAACACATAGGACGTTGTGTGAGGTGTACCAGGGTGCAATTTTCCTGTCTCAATTTCTAGACAGGTTTTATCTCTTGCCATTCTCTATTCGGAAAGCCAACTGTTGTTAGAGATGCGAAGGTCTCGTCTGATTTCTTTCCGACGAATATCATCTTTCCAAGGACCCCGATACATTTCGAAAACCCGTTGTCGTTGTTTGTTCGACTCCTTTTTCTTTTATGAGCACCTTTTACCGTCAGCAAGCGGTTTGCTCGATACCCGCCTGACGAGCATACTTAAAGTCAGAATTTTGACTTCACTACAATTAAGTCCTAGCGTTACGTCTCTTGTCTCCTTCTCTGGCTAAATGTTAGATTAACAATGCTACACTGTTACGCGCGGCTTGCGACATTCATATGCATGCATATACCCGCAGGGCACGTCAGGACCTGTATGCTACCTTCGACTGGAACGATCCAGGAGGATTTTCGATTGACAAAGTCGCGAAGTCGCAGACACGAACAGTTTTCAGTTGAATTTCGCGCGTTGTTGCGTAGCGGCGGCGTGTTCCGCTTTCAACTCGGCTCGGAGCGACGTGTAGACGATCTTGAGCGGGGTAGCAAACAACTTACCCACTTTCTATGTACATGGCGACGTTACATAGGGAACGCATCCCGATGCTACACTATACGACTTTCCACTCACTGATAAAGTCAGCGCATCCAATGCATAGCCTCCAGAAAATCACCATCCATCCTCAATCCCCAGACTAGCTCCAGCTCACAATGGCAACCGCGACCGAGACCTCCACTGCACCCCCAACCTTCGCCGAAAACCACATGAACGACGTGCCTTCCTCTCTACCTAGCACTTCGAATCCATACCAAGCAGCTCGGGAAGCCCTCGACCGCGACGGCTTCGTCGTCCTCCCTGCCTCCCTCTTCCCCACCTTCGACCTTGCCAGCCTCCGCGACGCAGCCTCCACCCTTACCGCGTCTGCGCGCTCAGGGAAATGGCCCTACATCCGCACCTTACCAAAGCAGTTCCCACCCTGGCCCTCAAAACCTGGTGAACATGGCATCTGGGGTGTCCAGCACCTGATGCACCCACTCAACCCATCTCACGCCACATTCGCGCGGTCCTACTTCGACGCCGAGCTCTTAAAATACGTCTCTGTGCTGATAGGCTGCAGCGAGGAGGACTTGACGATGGAGTTGTATAACATGCTTGTGCGGCCGGATGGCGAGTTTGCGTTGCGCTGGCATAGAGACGATATACCACCCGAAGCTTCAGATGTAGAGGAATTGGAAAGGCTGGGGAAACCTGGCTTCCACGCGCAATGGAATCTCGCTCTATACGACGACGCCTCGCTCGTCGTAGTCCCTGGTAGCCACAAGCGTGCGCGCACGTCATTCGAGCGCTCGGCAGACCCCTACGAACCCAATATGCCGGGCCAACTCGTCGTCAAACTTCAAGCTGGGGAGGTGGCGTTCTACAACAACAATATTCTGCACCGTGGGGTGTACGACCCTACTAAGGAGCGTATGACCTTGCACGGGAGCATCGGGACGACACTGGGGAGTAGCGAAAGGGCGCGCAATGTGCTGCAGCATGGGGTCGGGGCGTGGGCGAAGGAGTATGATTTTGAGGATTTTGAGCCCGCGATGAGGGAGAGGGCAAGAGCGATGAGGGAAGCGCTAGTAGAGATGGGGAAGAGCAGTGGGGAGGTGGGTTTTTATTCGAAGGATGAATAGGGTTCTACTGAAGGATCCCTGCAGTCTAGCAAGTGCAGCTAAATGATGCGTCCTCGTAGGGTTGCGTTGTGCTGAAGTAAAACAGCCTCTGATTTCTAGTGATCTTGAGTTTCGCCGAGCATGTATTTGCCCAGATATTCGCCAGTGAATCCACGTTTGGCCAGTTTTGGTGCGTGTATTACTTTCAAACCCCGATCATTCTCGAGGCGGCTGTCTGTTTTGTATTTTCCAAGCAGCTCTGTGTAAGATATCCTGACCTTTATTTGTCGCCCACTTTAACCAGCTCTATCTCGTCATCTTCAGGCTGCTTGTTGCGTGCAACAGCCACCCTCTCCCCGGACTTCAAGTCGCTTTCCGCATCTATGATGATATCTATAAACTCAACATGTGGGCTGCTCTCGCCTCCAGTACCTTTGCGAGGGACATGCTGCTGTGGATAACGGTTCGAGGAGTCGGCTGTAGGACCGAACATCTTCGGTAGACATCGCGCCAGCAGCACACGGAGCGTTGGCATACACGCACAGGTGATCCCTACATTGATCTCGATGACCGACCATCGTGTAACATCCCACTGATCCCATGTAGGATTCGTCGAGTTTGCGAAGGCGACCAGAGACTGCAGTCGGAGGATCGACACTACGGTGACACTAGACTCTCGTCAGTCTTGCATGGGGCGTTGGCTGCTGCCAGGAACTGCCAAAGCTTACAATGTACCGACAAGGAACATGGAAGTCACCGCAATCTTCTTCCTTGCCGCCATCTTGAGGTGGACAATCTGCGAAAGTGGAATCGCCAACATCCAAAAGTCGACCGCTATACTAATCGCAGCGTTCGCCCATGCCAAGGCGTTGAAATTCAAGCACTTCCCGCTCTTTTGCTCTCCATCCCATTTCGTCCAATAGTACCGTATAGGCTGGCATTGGAAGATACTCGCCGTAGTAAATGCTACGCCGAACATGATATTAAACGCGATAGTGCCCCACAATAGCTTCTGAACCCCCGCATACGGAAAGATCTTCTTGTAAAAGAAGAGCAACGACAGCTTCAGGAACGTGAGCTCCACGAAATATACAATCTCCATGATGTAGAAGTATTTCCCAAAGTTTGTAATGCTGGAGAAATCCAGTGTCCAGATGTCGCGTCCCAGACCAGAAGGTATGGCCCCGCGATCAATCACAATCGCACACGCGAGACCGACGTAGCTCGATACCATCAACGACAAGTCGTCTGGATCGAGACTCTGACCAGGTGTGATGATTTTGTAGGCGTAGCGCGTGGTGCCGGGGATGATGGAGAGGATGGCCATCAGAATGTTGATAGCTTTCAAGCTACCACTTTCATCTCGGATTGGTGCGTCGCAAAGCGAGGTTGTGATGTTCTTGGTAATGAGGCCTTCTTTCATGGTGCAGGATCCAAGGACACATATCTCCACCGAGGATTCGAGCGCGGCGTTGGTGCAGACGCACGCTTGGTCTGTGGGGGCGCAGGGAGATTGGGATATTCCGGTCGTAAGGCATTCGAGCTAGATTGTGCTGTCAGCTCCATGAATTGCAACGTTGTAGCTGTCAATCGACGCATAGGTATGCCTGCACCGAATATGAACTTGGGTGAACGTACTGCGCAAGGCGGCAGAAGTGCCATGGCAGATAGCAGGGCAGCATTCTGAGCGAGCGTATTGGAAGCAAGTAATAAAGGTATAAGTATACCGAATGCCTTCATCGTGGCTTTCCCGGACTTGGAAGTTGCCAACGATACGCCTTGCACACTGATCGGAAGGAGTGTGGAGCATCTAGCAGTACTTCATGATTACCTCGGTCCATGTGTTGGAGATAAATAGGAAAGCTCGATACGAACATGGTGTACCAGATCTGCAAGGGGCAAATCTTTTACGGCCTGACAATCACTACGGGTTGCGACCAAATATTTAGCAAAAAGCCATTCTGGTGAGCAGTACCAATTAGGCTGTCAGTCTAATGACAGTGCTAATCGTTATGGCTGTTGGCTCGGCGATAAAGTTTGAGCGAGTGCCGCGGAGACGCCTCATCAAATCAGATCTCTACGCTTTCCTTTCCGCGAACGCTAAGTAACGCGACAAACTTGCCATAACGGAGTTTGAGTTCTTACCAAGTCCTGTTGTCGTCCGCAGTAGATGCAGGGTAAACTTGATGCGGTTGGGGAACATGACTTGCGGATCACATTACAAGACGCAGAACCTACCAGGCGTTTTGGCACTTCGTATAAATGTACGTATCTAGGGGTATATAGCGTTACTTTGAACCATGACCAGATGTATGCCTGAAGGGCAGATAGTCCTCGTATGCATCACCTTCGACGGTTCCTTCATCCAGCTCAGGACGTAGACTTGGTGAGCACGAAACCAACCCTCGAATCTTTCTCCTTGAGCAGATTTAGGAACACATCATCATCCACAGCCAACGCCATCGCATCAGCATCTACGGAACTCTCTCTAGCTTCTTCTCCATTCAGCGGATCAACGTCCTTGGCGTTCTCTTCATGCAGGTGCTTTGTGTCGATGTGTCGATACTCCATCAACATTTTCAATTTTGGCTGCTTGGCTTTGCGTCGGCTCTTGATCCGCTCTTCCTGGTCGTTCATGTCCACCTGGCTAGCCGATCCGAAACCACGAAGAGAACTGTCATCTTCCTCTTCCTCGTCCTTGACCTCAATTGGAGGTTCGATCTTGGTTTCCGGCGAACCTTTGCAGTCACACTCGCAACCCAAGAGGTCATGCGTCTGACAAGTCTCCCTTTCATCGAGCCGAAACAGATCCTTTAGTTCCTCACGTGAGAAAGACGAAGCACTTGCTTTATTGTCCACCACCGCGTTGGCGAGACCCATCTTCATGATTTGCCTTTGGTAGATCTTCTCATCGAGCCCGCCTTGAATCATGAACCTGTAGATCTTGCAAGGCAGCTTCTGTCCGTCGCGGTGGATACGCGCCATAGCTTGCAAATCCGTGGCGGGGTTCCAGTCAATGTCAAACAGCACGATACGCGACGCGCCTATCAGATTGAGTCCAACACCACCAGACTTGGCAGATAGGAGGAAGGCAAAATGATTCTTCTGTGAGGACCTGTTGAACTTTTCGACGAGCGGCTGGCGATTCTTTGCGGGCGTACTGCCATCGAGACGACAGTAGGTGTACGACAGAGAGACTAAGAGGCGCTCGATCATATCAAGTGTCTGCGTATAGTTCGAAACGATGACAATCTTTTCTTGTGTTGTAGTGTAGATGCGATGGACTAGGCTGTCCAGCACGCGCAGCTTCGCGCTCGAAGCATTTGAGTTTAAAACGTTGGGTGGTATCAAAGGTAACAATGACTGAAGCATCTCAGAAGGAGTGTCGCCGGCATCCTTCTTCGACTTCAGTAGGGCAGGACTGTTGCAAATCTTCTTCAACACATTGATGAGCTGCAGAGCCATGTCCGTATTACCTAAAGCAACCGCGAAGATAGGAGACGTCAGGATAGCTCGATATGCAGCAGCTTGTGCAGCTGTAGGCTTGCAAAATACGATGTGTTCGGTCTTCGGTGGCAGGTACTTTGTTAGAACTTCTGCAGTTCTTCGGATCATGAAGCGACTGGTCAGAGACACAAGCTCTTTCCATCGAGCTTCTCCCTTCTCAAGCTCGGATTCGCTTGCGTCAGGTTGTCGACTGCGTACAATGGGGCCTTCGAAGGTACGCTTAAACGCTGAGCGTTGTCCAAGAAGGCCTGGGTTGACGAAGTCAATGGCTGTGAAGAACTCACCCAGGTCATTTTGTAGTGGAGTACCCGAAAGAATGACACGCCTCTCGGTGTTCAACGACTGGATAGCTTGCATGGCCTTGTTATTGGCAGTCTTCAACCGGTGGCCTTCGTCTGCGATGACGATATCAATGGTGCCTTTCTGCATCTCTTCTTGGACAGTCCGAAGCATCTCATAGCCGATGATCATGACGTTGTAAGCCTTTCCCATCGTGAAGTTCGTGATCTTCTTGTTTTTGGAATCAGCAACGAACACTCCGATGCGCTCATTACCCAGCCACTTTCGGAACTCGCGACGCCAATTATCGACTAAACCGGCAGGACATACGACCAGAGCCTTCTTCACAACAGGCGGGTTCTCGTAGATAGGGTTTTGCTTCATAAGCGTCCATAGCAAAGTTATCGTCTGCAGAGTCTTGCCCAGTCCCATCTCATCTGCCATGATGGCTCCCTCGCCCTCGCATCGCATGCCCATGACGCATTCGTATAAGAACTGTACGCCTTCTCGTTGGTGATCGCGAAGATGCTTGCTTAGGACAGGGTCGACAACCACGTCCACTATATGTTTGCCTTTTGGAGCAGAAGCTGGTCGCTTCATAATGAGAGCCTTGGGTTGAGTGGGGTCATGTCGCGGCTGTGGTACTGAGAAGTTGGTCTTAGGAAGAACCGTACTCGAGAGCAGTGGTGTCTTGAAGGTCTTGCCTGGAGCTGCAGGTTTTCGGTCTTTGAGCGGGCTGTCATCACTCTCGCTAGGGACTCTAGTGGGCTTGTTGCGGCCAATGGACGGTCCTTTCACGGCCACCAATGGCTTGTAGCTGGGTTCTGCGCTCTTCATCTGTTCCGTAGGTGTATTTCCAGCTGTTCCGAGGAACACACGGCCCGACATGTAGTCCTCCTTCTTAATGACACCATCGATCTCAACCTCCTTACCGCAAAGCGAGAGCGCAGAGCCAGCTAAAAGGGGCCGAGTGCATGCTCCTTTTCCTAGCTCTTTCCCTGTGTCACTATCGGTTAAGGTACCGTAGCCTCCCTTAACAGCAAGCAAGCCATCGCCGTCCCAATTCTTGTGTTTCTTGTTCGTGTATTTGCGCCACAAGACCGTATAGTACCGTTCATTCGGGTCGTCAGAGTGCGGTTGCGGCGCACGCGCGGGAGCGGGGTTTTGAAGCGTAATGAGGGGGTTTGCGGTCGCCCGACGCGTGCTTTACGGGCGCATTTACAGACGGCTCGAATGAGATCCGCCGCTTTTTGGCAGGCGGCTCGTCGCTAGGTGGATTCGGCCGAACAAATGACGGAGGTCGAAATGGTTTGCTAATCATAATAGGCGATTGGGGAGCGACATTGAAATCAACATGCCATACGATGTTGGCTTTCGTGAAGGTTGAGGCGGCGTTAACAGAGTTGAGATGGCAGTCGCGGTTTGGAAATGCGCGCTAAGAAAACGCGCTATCACGTGCATTAAGCCGCACGGGCATCTGCCATAGGGATCGTCAGGCACCACCCACCGACGTCATGACTTTGTGTTATCCATCTCTCACCGACGCTCCTCCTCGATGTCTATCGAAACATTATCACTGCGAATAGGTACTGTCGCATTTTGAGGATACGTTACCAAAGACAATCTCGAGGAAGACACTTTTGCTTAGGGGGGCGAACAAGTCTTCTATAGTATTAGGCCAAAAGCTTGAGGACTGCATTGCTCATCCTCGATAACGCAGAGTTACTAAACCTCTAACCAAGCTCTCTATACGGTTAGAGCCACTATGGCAAGAGGAAAAGCAGTACGCTCAAGTGGCTCCAAGACAACTTCAAAAGCATCGAACAGAAGCAGATCATCGACAACTGTGAAGGCAGAACAGTCGCCCACCAAGATCAAGCAGGAAAACAGTTCTCCCACGAAGCCAATTGACACAGGCTCAAAGCGTTCTGCTCCTTCTAGCTCTCCGCGACGAAGTAAACGTATAAAGACCGAGGACGATCAGCAAACAGGGCTGCCGTCGCCATCTGGGTCCGGAGATTCATATCCAGGTTCAGAAGTGGATTTAAAGCCCAATACGAAGGCCAAGGGTCAAAAGAAAAGTGGAGAAAAAGAAGAGATCAAAGGCCTTTCATCGAAGAAGTTGGACGCATACTTCAAGAACGCAAATCAATCGCCATTCTCGACATTCAAGCATCCCACCAAAGACGAAGCCAAACTCGCTCATCGGATCCTGGCCTCCCTGCACGGTGATCGCACACGTCCAAAAGAAGTCGTCGCGAGCAAGGACCGCGCCGGATGCGGGGACTCGCCATCCGTTCTGGACGCATTGGTACGCACCATTCTCTCGCAAAACACAAGCGACAAGAACTCGACGCGGGCCAAGCGAAACATGGATGAAGTCTACGGCGGCTCCGATGAATGGGATGCTATCGTGTCCGGTGGCGAGGTCAAACTACAAGAGGCCATCAAAAGCGGTGGCCTGAGCGTAGTCAAGTCCAAAGTCATCATCTCGATCCTGAAACAAGCCAAAGAGAAGTATGGCGAGTACAGCCTGGACCATCTGCACCAGGCCAGCAACGAGGACGCCATGCGCGAGATGTTAGGTTTCCAGGGCGTGGGTCCCAAAACAGCAAGTTGCGTTCTGTTGTTTTGTCTGCAGCGCGAGAGTTTTGCTGTAGACACCCATGTTCATCGCATCACGGGATTGCTTGGTTGGCGGCCCAAGAACGCAAGCCGCGATGAAACGCATACTCATTTAGACGCCATGATCCCTGACGAAGATAAGTATGGCTTGCACATCCTTCTTGTTCATCACGGCAAAGTGTGCGGCGAGTGTAAAGCGGGAGGCAAGAATTTGGGGCAATGTGAGTTGCGCAAGGCGTTTCGGCAGAGTAAAATCAAAGGTGAAGCTGGGGAGGACATCAAAGAGGAAGAACTTGAGCAGGTGAAGAAGGAAGATCTATGACATTACACGCAAACAAGGCATACTCTGCTTTAACCAACGACTTCCTAAACCCTCTTTGATCGCGACCGCTCACTCCGGTGCTACATTCATGTGGTCTTCTACCCCCGACGCCTACAAAGTCCCCTCACCCAAGCATCTCGGCAAAGGAAACGCATCTCCAACACAAAGACTGATCACCCCATCCACCCACTGCATCTGCCCAAAAGCCTTGTCATCAAAGCTATCTGCCTGGTAGCTCGTCAACGTCCCCTCGCTCCCGACCCTTCCCTCAAATACATTTCCGCTCTTCCTGTTCGTCCAAGGATTGCTTACGAACGCGCCGTACTTGCCCGCTGGCACCTCACCAGAGAATTGCTGCGACTGCGACGACGTCCAAGACTGGCTGTAGTCGATGGAGTACGAGGCAGAAAGGAAGTCTTCGACGATGGTGAGGGAGGCGGATGTGCCGACCGAGATGCTGTTGGAGATGTCGTAGCCGGTTGAGACGGTTACCCTGGTAGGTGCGCCTTTGGTGACTTGGGACATCTGGACGTCCCACCCAAGGAAGCGCGAGTCGGGGTTGGGGATGACGATGGTTGAGCCTGCCCGCTTCTGGACGGAGCGGCTTTCTTTCTGCGTGTTGTTGGTCGCATTGGGACCTGAGGTAGTGACGAGGTTTGAGTCCAGGTACCCGGGCATGGGTGGGACGGTGGCGTTCTTGCGGAAGGCCTCGAGTTCGTCGAGGTCAGTGCGCTTCATGATCTGGTAGCGGCCGTTGCCGTAGAGTACCACATCATCGGCGCGAAGAGTGATGGTCGAAGGGGCTGCCAGGGCTGTGGTGCTCATGGCAACCATGGTGAGAAGCTGGGAGGTGCGCATCTTGAATAAAGAGTGACTATGAAGAACCGAAGTAGCGAGCGACTGTGATATCTCGAATGAGTGGATGAAGATAATGAGATTTTCTTGCTGACATTGGGCCAACTTATATCAACTCCTCCCGCCTCTACCTCGTATCAAAAGTAGCCATTCCATTCCCTCAGAACATCATGCAGCATCCTCTTGGCAGGACTGCCAGTGGAGCAAACAAGGTACATTCATCGGTCCGAACTAGTCTCATGAAGCTACACTCTTGGTTTCCCGCTGGTAGACCCCTTTCCGCTTGGCACGTGTAAGCACGTTAACCGTTGTCCGGCCGAACGATACCATATGCGTCTCCTTCCGAATTTCCCTGATTTAGGATAACCATACGCGTAGTCACTGATCGTAGGCTTCTGATTCGCCGCCTGTGTCTACAATTCCCACGTTGGTGGGTTGAAACGTGCGGCCCGATTCGACGGTCCGACTCCGCATAAACCGCATGACAACCACGTCTCATCTGTTCTGTTCAGTAAGGAGCCCACTATTACTTTGAAGATGGGGGCGCATGATTTCTTATCTCGGTCTTTCTTTTTGTCTTGGACATTCTAAATCTAGGCGGGCTGAGCAAACGATTGTCAAAGCGCATCAATACTCGGTGTCTACACGTACCATTTGCGAGTAATCGCTGTTTCGAAATGATGAGAATCGCCACCATACCACCGAGATACACCCGCAAAACAACTTCTCCTCGCTGAATGTGGGCTGAACGTATTCCTGCACGTCTTGGCAGGACATGATGGTGCCTTGGTGTGCCGAGTGCCTCCTGAGCGAGCAGTACAAGTACAACGTCACCGCACAACGTTCTTCTCTCACTACAGCTCTCCAGCTCTCAACCCACATTCTTTACCAGTGCTGCCCACACTCGCTTTTCAATCTCGTCATTCGTTTGTCGATTATATTCACAATAACCTTTTGAATCCACCAATCAACATGCATTTCACATCCACCATTTTCTTCGCCGCGACGTTGCTCGCACCTCTCGTAACAGCCGATCTTCATTGGAGCGGTCTCTGCACCGACACCGTCGGCGGCCAAAGCGTCTACAACGACGCTGCGACCAAAGCTGCATGCACGGCCTATGCGGGGCGGAACACTGGGTCCGAGCAGTGGGATACTTGCCCGGATTGTGCGATGGTGAGTGACCCATAATTTTCGGTTGTCAAAGAGAGGAGATAGAACAAAAGAGAAACACGAGCTGACGCTGAGAAGCAAACGGTCGGAGGACTTCCTTCTTGCAATTCACCCGCGAAGCATATTGGTGGCGATGAGTTGAACTATTACTGTAAGAAGAACGGTGCCGGAGGATCTATTGCGGACTAGACGGTGTAGAAAATATGATCTGGTTCGAAAATCATAAGATTGTAGCGATAATGATGGCTTACGGTGCGCGCGACTTTTCAACTCAGATATGGTTTATTTCTTCACACCATAAAATTGGTTATAGACAAATTTAAGAAAATCGAAGTGTACCTTGCGCGTTCGCTATACCGTTTCAACTCAGCTACGCTAGTTTCTCTGTTCCTTTTTTGCACGTTTCATCGGCCTGGGTAAGCGAGAGCCATGCTCTCGGGTCAAGATGAAGGTCGGCTATGATTTTGCCAGCTAAGAATCTTTTGTAAAATCAACTTTTTTACGTATCTTAGGGTACCTCGCCCTATTGCGTGTTCAGTGTTATCACCCTGTCGATTATATATGCCCAGATTTCGCATAGTAATATAGCAGCCGCGCACTGCCCGAGACCCACTACATCTTCCCCCAACAATTATCCTCGAAGACGCTGAGCCAGACCAATGAGGGGCCCGCGGAGGTACGATGCACCTCAATACTTGTCTGCTGCAGGCCAAGCAACAGATCCGGGATCTCATTTGTCGGGCAGCCGACATCCCGTCCCTGTACTACCATAGGTATGGTACCTATGATACCGTGTTGCACTCGACCTCGTATGAAGACTTTTTCACCAATCTATACGTTCACAAGAGTAGGCACAAATGCAACGAGAGTTGGTGTTGGCGCTGTGGTCTCTTCGCCGGCCACAATATCTGAACAGGATTTCCTGGCTTACATACCAGCAGCAGATCCGCTACGTCTCAATCAAAGAATCGGGCAAGAAGGGGACGAAACCATCTCATCTAAAAGCCCAGTCTCAACCTCCAAGAGCTCAGGCATCCGCCAGAGCCGCCCCGAAATTGTTCCAACGAAGTCGAACTCCACCTAGACCTCGGCCTCGTGAGGATCTGGCTCATCAGAAGAAAAGAGCGCCCGCTACAATCACCGAAAGCCGAGGTGTCAACGGAGAACGCATCACGCATCTACCGCATGTCATCTATCCAAGGGACACGAATGTTATAGAGCTTCTGGATGGAAGAAGAATGAGCTTCGCGATGTTTGGACGGCTAGATCCTAAGCGCGAACTCATCCCACTTGTCTTAGAACCTGGTACTCCTGGTACTCGTCTGGATGGCCATGGCCTTCATCATACATGGGGCTGGGATAAGTTTGTTCTCATCATTTGCCCTGACAGACCTGGCATGGGCTGGGCTACTCTTACGTCAGGGATTACTTTGTGGTTAGCCATGCTCATGACTTGAGATTCTTGGTAAGTCCTTCTTTGCTACCAAGGTGCATATAAAATGTACTAATGTGATAGATACGTGCTCTAGGCTACAAAAAGTATCGAATCCTAGGTGTCAGTGGCGGCGGACCTTTTGCCTTGGCCGTAGCCGCTCTTGCACCCAGAGGCGAAGTTCTTGTCACAGGTATCATGGCCGGTGCAGCTCCCTTGGAGGCGTCTCGACGGGGCGGGCGGATGCAGAAATTAATTGCTGAGATCTCCATCAGATTAGCCCCATGGTTCGCAGAGATGGTACAAAAAGCAACGGCGGCACGTGTTGCACCTCACTTGCAGCGCGAGGCCGCTCAGCTTCAAGGCGATGCGCAGAGAGTCAAGTTGGCCCAGTTGGAGACACACCTTCATGATGGTTCGAAGGGCTACGTGCAATATTGGAACGCCAAGAACAAACACTGGGGTTTTGATCTTGAGGCGCTTGGAAGAAAGAACCCGATACACATGGTTTATGGCACCCGAGATCGGAACACACCTTTAGCTGGAGGTCGCTATATGCAACATCGCATAGGCGCTAATTGCACTATGAAGGAGATCGCTGGGGCAGACCATTTTACGGCACAACGAAGCGGAAATACACTGGGACTGCTTGAGAAGCTCAGAAAGTATGTCTAGAAGACTAAGCAGTAAGCTCAATCGCAATACCTACTACATTAGCTCGACTAGAAGAGATCATCACTATCGTGGTGTCGTGAAAACCATCGTATCCTTAGTATAGGCTCATTAGCCAATCACCTCTTTTGCGAGCTCCCAATCTGTACATCTGAACCCACACCAGTCCCTCAGCACCGTTCAAACTCACATATTCTCTTTCCACTAGATCCTTCTCCTATCCTCAATCGACCGCCCTGTCGACGTCCTAGCCGCGACGGTTACACAACGCGCTCCTCGCGTCCCTCCACCTACCAAGGGATAGACACCCATGATGCGCACAAAACTCCCTCACCATCCCACACGAAAAAATACCTCACTCCGCTCTCACATTTAACCCATCATGAAGCTCCTCTTCCTCGCCACCTTCTACGCCACCGCTCTCGCCCTACCCATTCTCAACTTCCGGTTCACCACCACATACCCAATCACACCCACATTCCTCACTAACAAACGCGTAGAGACGATCCACCGCCCGCGCCCGCACCCGCGTCAAAGAACACCCATCTGTACATCTGTCCGGACGCAGGTTTCAAAGGCGCCTGCGAAAACCTGCAGGCCGATTTGGGCAAATGCTGTACTCTTCCCTACCTTTTGATGCTCCTTTGGGGGTAATTGACAGTGGAGTAGATAACTTGGGCGACAACTGGAACGATAAGATCTCGTCGGCCGGGCCGGACAAGGGTTACTTCTGCACTGCGTATCCGTATGCAATACTTGTGAAATGGTAAAGCGAGGTTTGCTAACGGGGTGAAGGGACTTTGATTGCAGCGGAAAGGCGTTCCCGTTTGTCAATCCGGGAATATGGGATATGGCGAATTATGGGTTTGGGGATATGATCAGTTCGTATCGGTGTGATGAGTTGGGTGGGTTGGATGAGTGAAGCACAGGGAAAGGATGAACGCCGGTGCCGACTGTTCGCAATAGAGGCAATCGAAACGTACAGTCGATCACTGAAGATATGGTATTGAACTTCAAATCTTTTGGTATGCAGCCAACTAGAGAACCTGTACCCGTGCAACGCCCGTAAAACGCCGGCCTATCCGAGCTGTCGGTACATAATGCAGCCCACCTGTCTCGTAAAGCATGAAACCCGCACTTCAACCTCTCACTTCTATGACGATCGGTGGTAGATACCGGCCACGAGGGCGTGGTCACGCTCAAAAGGCTCGAGCGTCAGCTGCTCCTTAGGTTTGATGCCCATTTCCCTCATCTTGTTTACCTCGGAAGCGAATACGGCTTCTGGCGCAGCAGTGGAGTCGATGCAGTTGGCCTTGATGGAAATAAGAACACCGCCACCGACCTTTAGGAAGAGACTGGCGTTGAGTCCAACAATACGCGCTTGATCTGGGAAATATTAGAAAAAGTTCTTCAATGTGGAAAAAAGATGTACATACCGGGCTGGGCAACGTCTGCGAAGATGCAGTCGACCATGGGCAACAGCATACGGTATTTCAGCGGGTGACGGGCGTCTTCGACGATGGGGATCACGTTCGTGCGGTGTGTAGCCATGTTGATCAGATCACGGCCAGATCGGTGTGAGAACTCGACAGCGTATACAGTGCCCTCTGGGCCGACAATGTCGGCAACGTGCGAAACACTGGTTCCAGAAGCGGCACCCAGATACAGGACTTTAGAGCCAGGCTTCATGTAGATATCGTCGACACCACCCAAGATACCTAGACAGGTCAGTATAAGTCGGAAGTGAGATAAGATACGTGTTATGTGTCTGAGACATATCCGGTTCGTACTCGGACGTTACTTACCAGCAGCAAGCTTAGATCGGAAAGGGTTCCACACGCGGTATTCGGTCGACGTTGCGGGAGCGTCTTCGCCGTTGGTAGGGTTCGCGCTGTTCGCAACGCTGATGCGCTTCTCTCCGTATACGCTTTCTCCCGGAGTCAGGTTCTTGGTGAGCAGAAGATCTTCCTTGCCACGTCCCACGAACACGCCGGCGTGGCGATGCGGCTCAACAATGACCTTGCTATGCACTCTTTAGCCCAAATTCAAAAGAACTGTTCACTGTTACTTACGCGCCACCACGGGCACCTCCAGCACCTCCCCGTCCGCCAGGGCCTCCACGCCCGCGAGGTGCACCTCTTCCCCTTGCGCCGCCTCCCCTACCTCCACCACGTCCACCACGGTCACCAAAGCCACCGCGCCCTCCTCTTCCGCCTCCGCGGCCACCACGATCTCCTCCAAAGCCGCCGCGACCACGCGGGGCGCCGCCACGACCGCCTCTAGGTGTGAAAGCCATGGGCAATGTTGGTAGAGCTATAGCTCTTCGTTGCGATTGTACGTACGTTTGTTATGAGCACGTTGCTACCAACGATTGCAAATGCAGTGGAAGCAGCAAGAAGCTACTTGCCAGAAAATTACTTCGGTGGGCGCACTGCTGTCGGCGGTTGCTGTTGCGGTGGAGCTCTAGAGCTATGGACGAGAACTTGAAGTTCAGAATATTTTTTCGGCAGCACTAGCGCGCGATGCTCAAAGCAGACTAGCCGCCAAGAGTCTGCGCTAATCGCCCACACAGGCTTCGAATTTGCTTCACGAACATCGACCTCAACTAACCACACAGGACACCCGCCGCACATCACGATGGTACGTCGCCCGCAGCCTCTGGAATTGCGCACAGTCTCTCGATCATATTCCGCGCACACAAATCATTGCGACACCAGCTAATTGGTATCGCAGGTCCGCTACGCAGCCACCTCGATCGACAACGCAAAGTCCGCCAGGGCTCGCGGCAGCTACCTCCGCACCTCGTTCAAGAACACCCGCGAGACTGCCCAGTCTATCAACGGATGGCGCCTTGAGCGTGCCCTTACCTTCCTCGGCAATGTCATCGAGCACAAGGAGGCCGTTCCCATGAGGCGGTACGCTGGCAGCACCGGCCGCACTGCGCAGGGTGAGTGGCTGGCGCTTTTTTTTCTCTTATAGAAGGATGCGAAAACTTTGAGATGCGACTGGAACGATTCTCCAGGCGTCGAATCTGGGATTCAGTTATGCGAGGAGCGGGGCTGACATGCACACAGGCAAGGCTTTCGGCGTCTCCAAGGCCCGCTGGCCCGTCAAGAGCGCCGAGTTCGTTCTTGGTCTGCTCAAGAACGCTGAGGCCAACGCCGACACCAAGGGTCTCGACACCAGCAACTTGATCGTCAAGCACATCCAGGTCAACCAGGCCCCCAAGCAGCGAAGGCGCACATACCGCGCTCACGGTCGTGTATGTCACAAATGAACCTAAACACACTTGTACCATCTCTAATAACACGTGCAGATCAACCCCTACATGTCGAACCCTTGCCACATCGAGCTCATCCTTACCGAGGCCAACGAGACTGTTCAGAAGTCCGAGCAGGTCGCTCACCGCCTAAACACCAGGCAGCAGGGTCGTGCGACCCGCCGGGCCATCACCGCCGCGTAGAGGAGATTAATCGGGGTCGGCATGATGTCTAGCGGGAAGGAAACGGAGACGGCATGGGCACGGTCTAGGCGTCAATGAGCGATGATCATAGGGAATTTCATACCTTCACGTGTACTCCAGCTGATTGGAGGGTCATTATACCGGTGTCTGCGATAAAAATTCGAGGCCACGGCCTGTTCCCAATCTCTGATGAAGAGACGACAACCTGTTGGAAGTAACAATCCAACACAACCTCAACTACCTTACCAAATAACGTCAAGCATGCATTTGAGAACTACCAGTAATTGCTGAACCACAGTGCAGTCAGTGACAACAGCAGCATCAGCTGCCATTCCACCTGCAATTGGTTCCCCGCGCCTTGACCCTCGCCCTTTTGTCCCTGGATGAACCCCTGCTGCTCTCCGCCCATATACAAAGCCCCCAACTCCGTCAACCCCCCATCATCACCGAACAAAGCAACCCCATCGCCCGTCCACTCATTCGCATCCCCCTCTCTGAAAGCCCCAAACCACGCATACCGCTCCACATACTCAAGTCCATCTAAATACGGCAAAGTCAAATTCATCATCTGCACCGTCGCCTCCGCATCCGCCTGAGGTAGCGCTAACTCCGTGACCCAAATCTTCAACCTCTCTTCTCCCTCCCTCGAACCATTTGTGTTGTAGAACTCATCCAACGTTCCTAACCACGAAGCGAGCCCGTCAAATGCCCCATACCAATGCGCAGCTACGAAGTCCGTCGGACACCCATTTTTCTCGTCTATATCGTAACACGACTCGTTGAACTTCCTCAACCACTCCAGTCCGTTCTCCGACCCCGTCACGCTTGGGTGGCTTATCTTCCACTTCCTGTTTTCTGAGCGAAACGGCGCAATGTGATCGATGTAAGATTTGGCAGCATCTTCAGGAGAAATACTGCTCCCACCGCTCTCGGTAGTTCCGTCTGGTTCGTTAAAAGCCAGCAGATGTGTAGAGGAGTCGGGCAGGTTGGAGAGTTGCTGGGATATCGAGTCTGAAGAAGCCTCATCCAATCCATGGATCAGTGGAGCGAACTCGAGATTGGTGGAGGGGACCTGGGATGGTGGAGATGGCGCCCAGTTGTAATACCATTTTAGGGGGGTTTTGGAGGAGGTGAGGAGGTTGTTGTCGGCTTCGTGGGCATCGCCGACGTAGGCGAATCCTCTTTTGCTGTCTTGTGCTAAGGTCTGCAATATGACTGTGCTGAAAGCGATTGCAGTGAAGGCTTTGCATGTCACCCGATTTCGTCCGGGTCGACTGTGGTTTTTCATGGTTACGAGTGGTGTACAGTTGACGCTTGATGACTATTCCTTTTTGAGAGGTGTACAAGTGGGCTACCAAAGATCGGGTCCTGGGATTTCATGGCCATCATACGGGCATGTATGTAATTATGTATACTGTAATTTGAAACTGATAAGGCTATTGAAGTGGCGGTGCCATGCTGTTTCCTCAAGTGCTGCTAGGCCTACGTCATGACTAGGATAACTTGGCAAGAACCATGCTCGCATGGAGATGTTGTTGATGGAAAACAATTCACGATGTTAGACATGAGTTCCGATTGATCAGCAAGGTCCAAGATTGTGAAAAAGCATCGCGGAGCTTGCGTGGTGTTGAGTTGGAACCGTCGATGCGCGGTTCAATGGTGGGTAAATGGAACAGAGTCTAGCGGTAACCTGTTTGGGTTCGCGCCACGCAGGCGCACTTCTTCTTTAGCTGTTGTCACTCGCACAAGAGTACGCCTGTCCTGTAAACATCAGATGCGTATTTGTCGCGGTAGATCATTGATCCCAGAGTCCCAAGCCTCTTGGAAATGTGTCGCCCCGCATTCACCGCGCTTGTTGGAGGTAAGTCTTGCCGCTAACCCCGCAGGGTGAACGCCCGTAGTACTCGTACTCAGCTTGGACGTAGTGTACTACTCATAACGCTATTTTTTGTGCTCTTTCAGGATTAGAGATGCTCTCGAAAGCCTACAATCTCACCCGCAATGCACTCATACCAGCAACTTGCTACTCGCCTGTGAACTGTTGAAGGGTTCGCAGGATTCGCAAAACGGCCCGCATTTCCTGAGCATCTCCAGATCAATACCCCGCCAAACCCAATGCAACCCACTTTACCCGCTCTGGGGCTCAACGCCGTAGACCTTGTGACACCACAACATCAGCGACCGCTCAACTGACTAGCTTTTTGGGCATCTCCATCGCGGCAACAAATCACGGAACAATCTCGAACCCAAGGCCGAAGACGTCCCGCATTCCCAACACAATGAGCAGGCCATCGTCCCGGGAGAGGGTAGCAATCCTGGCTAACAGCACATGTAAGTGATCTCGTTTGGTAATTAAAGCATGTCAACAGCACCCTCGTCATACTCAGGCCGGTGCTCACTAAGCTTCGTATAAGTACTCCTTCGCACCTCTTATGGCTTCCTTCCGCCGCCACTTTCCTTGTTGTTCTATATTGCACCGACCTCTGATCGTGCACAGCCAATAGACCAAACTACGGTGCCATCACATCGGCCTCCAGCAGCACAATGGCCGCCGAAATTGACAATAAGCCTGCGGTCGACGAAACATTAGACGATGTCGTGCCGACGACGGAACCCGGGCATGGTCCTGCGCATGGTAAGTTGCAACCGCCACCGCTTGTCGCGGCGATGTCGCAGGAGTATCGCGCCGAGGCAGAAGCCAAGCTGCGGAGAAAGATCGACACGAGGCTGCTGCCGATGATTATTCTCATGTACATCATGAATTATCTGGATCGCAACAACATTGCGGCTGTGCGATTAGCAGGCTTGCAAGATGAGCTCAATTTATCGAGTACGCAGTATCAGGTTAGTCCGCAGTCATTATCCTTCCAAGTCGTCGCATCAAAAAGGTTTGGGAAGAAGTTCACTTCGTCATCGCGTATTTCCGATATGCCGGTTCGCGCCCGATCAGCATCTGTCACTGGCTCAGTACTCTGTACTGATTTATGATATAGACAACCGTCTCGATTCTGTTTGTTGGGTACATCCTCATGCAGGTACCTAGTAACCTACTTCTGAATAAGACTGGAAAACCAGCGCTTTTTCTTCCTATCTGCATGATCATCTGGGGAATCATCTCGGGTGCGACGGGCGCTTGCCAGAACTTTGCAGGCCTCGTGGCGTGTCGATTTTCCCTCGGTTTCATCGAAGCCGTATACTTTCCGGGTTGTCTATTCTACCTCTCGTCATGGTACACCCGAAAAGAACTCGGCTTCAGGACTGCGGTGTTGTACTCTGGCTCTCTCATCTCTGGCGCTTTTGGTGGACTCGTCACCGCCGGCATTACGAGCAACATGGACAACACAAAAGGACTCCGCGCCTGGCGCTGGGTCTTTATAATTGAAGGCGCGATTACCGTCGTCATCGCCTTCGGAGCCTTTTTTGTGTTGCCAAACATGCCTCGGACCACGGCGTGGTTGACCGAGGAAGAACGCCAGTTAGCATCTTTTCGTCTAGTAGAGGACGTCGGTGAAGAAGACTGGACATCTTCAGAATCACAGACTCTGTTTCATGGGTTCAAGCTCGCGATGGCTGACATCAAGACTTGGATTCTTACGGTTCTCCTCCTGGCAATCGTCTCGTCGGCGTCTGTCACAAACTTCTTCCCCACAATCGTGAAGACGTTGGGATACGACAATGTGAAGACTTTGCTGCTCACTGCACCGCCCTACGTTCTCGCGGTGATTACAACGTACCTCAACGCATGGCACGCCGACCGAACCGGCGAACGATTCTTCCACATCGTACTCCCTCTTTGCGTCGGAGTCGTGGCATTCATTCTCTGCGCCGCCACGCACTCGACCGCACCACGCTACGTGGCTATGATGTTGATGGTACCCGGCGTGTACACCGGCTACGTCGTCGCGCTCGCCTGGATCTCGAACTCCCTACCTCGTCCGGCATCGAAGCGCGCAGCTGCTCTCGCTTTCATCAACGCTATCTCCAACGTTAGTTCCATCTACGCGAGCTACATGTATCCGCAGCCGAAAGGCGGGCAGCAGCCGAATTTGACGGTGCCGCTGAGCGTCGATTGTGCGACGGCGGCACTGGCAATCATTATGGCAGCTGTAATGAGGCTGAATTTGGGGAGGCTGAATAAAAAGTTGGATAGGGGGGAGCATGTGGAAGGAGCAATCAATGCCGTGCCAGGGGTAGCGCAGGAGAACGGGTTTAGATTCTTAGTGTGAGTACGTCTAGCTTAGGTAGTTGTTGAATATGTGTGAAAGACATAAGGATACCCTGAGTACAACCAGCACATCAGTAGATTTCTTGCCGCAAGCATACCGTCCCACGATACTAAGCTTAGGCTATGGGCATTTGCCAACGGGCGTCGACCACGGTGGCAAGTACTTCGTATACGACTCTCGCGCTCGAGGCCCCCCTGGTGTGATTGTGTGCAACAAAATCATCTCGTGTTAGAAGGTCAAGGCAAAGGATTCTGTAGCGCATGGATCGCGTCAATGTACTGTTAGCAGTGAATATTCGGGTAGGGGCGTGCCCGCGGGCGCGTGAAGGGCACGTGTTCAGACTAGCGCCGGGCGCTCGCGCTATTTTGAGCCCCACAGTTGCGGATCTTGAAACTGCAGGTGCGTCCCATCCGCGTTTACGTCAACGGTCAACCCTCACCCACATGCACCACCGCCCCGTACCCTGGCTTGTCCGCGTCTCCACATATACGCGCCCGGCTTCACTACGCGCGATCCCTTTGTCTATCGCTATCGAACAAACATACCTTTCTCAGCTGCTGAATGTATGGTAGCCGCGGTGCTGCTGTCGATATTCACTTAGCCAGACCTGCTGTGGGCGCATCATGCATTCACGGAACCAAGACTAAAAACTCGGACACCGATCTTTCCACTGAATTGTTCTATCAGTCTATTCTATCAACTCGACCACAGGGCAAGCGCCTAGGTCGATCCACGCAGCAGGCAGCAACTCCGCTGGTCAGCTGACGCCACCCAAATAACTCCACCATTACCGCGTTCTCGAGATCCTCATGGACTTCTCAACCAACGCCTTCAGGCCGAAAAAGGTCTCTTCAACACTTTCCACAGACACCATGGGCCACGCGCAAGCAGTGGAAGCCTGCCGTTGGGGCTGGGCGGTCGATCCGCAGGTTACAGGGACGCCGACGCCACACGCGTCTGCACCGCCAGTGCAAGCGCGCCCAACCACAACTTCTGGTGTCACGCGTCCAAATCGCCTAACACCCTGCCGCGGCCGCCTGTACCATCAACTATCCTGTTCCCATAGGATTCGAACCGACCTAGTCGAGGACTGTGGTTCAAATTGTCTGGAGCCCAACGGCCTTGTGTCAGACATCCCATTCCTCTGCCAAGAATGCGTCGAACTGGAAGCAAAGACCATCTGGGCGACTCGGGAAGCAGAGCACAATGCCTTGTACCCGCCTCTAGCTGAGATGACCAAAGAGCAGTCCGACATCTGGTACGATGAGCGCCGCAAGCTCGAAGCTTCGTTCACACGGGACCGCAGAATTTACGAGATGGAGCTCCGCTCGACTACGCGTCCCAGCAACGTATGCTCAGCGCTGCAGTACAGTGAGGAAGAAAAAGCGTTCGCAGCCGAGCTGGATTCGCTCTCCCTCGCAATGATGTCTTCGAACACTGGCACGATTACCGAAACGTATTCCCCCACCCGCAAGCGAATCGGCCTGCCAAGCGACGCGTCCGAGCAGATTCACTGGGGACTAAACTCGCTGAACATCGACCGTGGATCGTGTGGTCCGCAGTTCACCGCTGCTCAGCCCTCAAACCGCATCCCGCCGATGCAAGCCATGAGCGAAGAGGAGCTTTGGGGACGCCCTCGAGACCGCAAGTGAGATGGCGTGTAGATCTGGCTGTACGATTCTGAATGGGGAGTTTGACTTCACGGGATCAACTTGTATTTAGCGACATTAGCATTGGTATCGGAGTTTGAAGAACATGAGACGAACAACGGAACACGAGATGTACTATAAATATGGCGCAAGGGTGAGCTTGTATGTCTCAGGACTGGATGGACAGCGTGAACGCAAATATCATGACTCATTTATCTAATCTGCCCAACTCGTCATCTTGACTCTGCGTTCAAATCGTCAAAATGACTGCCAAATTACCTTTTATGCGTTTCCTTTCAGTGTTTGAGAGCTACGTATGCGCAGCTTGGAACTCGGTCCTTTAAGCAAAGCAAAACATATTAAACCATGGGAATCCCCGGCCGACACTGGCCCGGCTTCGTTCTCGCAATCTGCAAAAGTCAATGAGATTCTTCGCTGGGGCCTCTGCGGCAGCCGATATCGTTTCCGAAGACGCAAGGCTCATCTGCTCCAAATTCTGATCGTAAATTGAAATCAGTCATCTCATAGAACTTTCAGCTCGACAAGCTCTATGGTCGTTGTAACAATGTTGACCTACTGCGCAGAAACGGAGTTGATGCTAAGGAGATAGAAGTCCCAGGAGACTTTGCGAGGGGTTTTGTTACAATTGACAGTGAATAGGCTTTTGAGCTTGGTCATTGCGCCATGGGAAGGATAGCGCAATATACGATAGTTGGGTGTCTTTGGAGGGCAGATCATAACCGAAGCTCTCCTATCTATGCTAACATAAGGAGGATAACCATTCTAGATAGTTAGTAATTGCGCGGCGCAGTGAAGTGGTTGGATGTCTTATCGTATGATACTCATGAGAAACAAGCTCCTCATAAGCATAAGGCAGGGTATCCTAAAAACCTAAATTATTAGTAAGTATGAAAATAATATGTCATCTATTCGGTAGATGCTTGAGAGAAGATTGGCTAAGCAAATGTTCGTAGAATTTCGAAGATGCCGCTCAGTTTCTCAGCAAAATGTGCGACTTGATTGGATGCAAATTATATGGCTGCTTAACCACCATTTGATCAATTGTCCCAACGTCTGGCGGCTTCAAAAGGCTCTGAACCATCATGACATGTATGAACCATTATTTCCCAAGAGCAAGCCGCAACCTTCCATGCTTGCGGTCTTAATTGTGGTGATCTATCGATCATTTGAGGCAGCATATCAAGCAACGCATCGGGGACGCTTTCGAGTGAAGAACCAGCTTGAGCGGCACAATTCTCGAACCAGTGTTGGACCTGAGAAATGTTGGCTTCATAGGAAGTTTGTTGCCTATCACTACCGTTTCTGAATAGGATACTCTGCAGTTCTCGACGTTTGTTCAGGTTTGAGTGGTTTCCTCGACGCTTGTTCAGGGTTGCGTGGTTTCCTGAGGCTAACGTAGCCACCATCTCCATATATACACAGCCGAGAGAAAATATGTCTGCGCTGAGGCCCCGCTTTTCCTGGGTTACGACCTCCGGTGCAGCGTACGTTCGGGTGAACGCAGTGGGTGATTCGGTATCAGCCTCGGCAGCTGTCTGGTAGGCGCGAGCTATACCAAAATCCGCAAGGTAGACCTGATGAACGCTTTTGTTAGTTGGTTGTATCAAGGAAGGGAATCCCTTCGAAAGCACCGATCTTGGTCATGTACCTTGTATTTCGGAATAGTGGAGCCTAAGTGTCTGACTAATACGTTCGCTGGTTTTATGTCCATGTGCTTTACATTCTTGTCGTGAATGAACTTGACTGTCTGAGCAAGGCAGCCAATCGCGACACTGAGACAGTCGCATCGCGAAGTCCGTTCGTCTGACTGTTTAGACTCGACTATCTCATCCATGTACTGCTCAAGGTTCCATTCAGCGGCCGGATAAAGCAATATCGCCAGATCTTTCTTCAATGTATAGGTCCCCACAACCCTCACGATATGGGAGTGAGCAAGTCGCTGAAGATGTTCCACTTCGTTGATAGCATCTTCTCGGGTCAATCTTCTGCTGCAACGGACAGTCTTCCTGGCTAAGCGAATTCGGCGACACATGACGCTTTCGACGAGTGCGGTTCCGCTGTGACCTAGAACCTTCTCTGTTCGAAGTGGTATCTCACTTGTCTCACCAGCCGCATACTCAACGTGTTGCCCCCGACTAGACCAATTGAGTTCGTCTTCCGGATCTGAAAGGATGCCTCTTACACGGAGATGCTCTAACCAGTCGCTGCTGAAGACTTGCGGTTGTCGTACAATCTGGTTATTTCTGTACGCTGCCACATGTACGCCTATCACCCACTTAACATAACGTTTTATTTTGTCTGTTTCGTACTTCTCATCTGTAGACATCATTCGCTTTATTTCAACAACAATCCTCTCAGATACCGTGTCCAAAGACTCAGGCTGTCGTTGTCCCTTTAGAGTATCCATGTACGTCACAATGCTAGACACAATGGGCGTCCAATTTGTATCCAACATATAGTTGGTGTTGATACGATGCCCGGAGCCAGCGAGAGTATATGCTTTGGAGACGATGAGTTTCGCTAATTCCTGAGCATCAAGTGTTACTTTACTGATCACTTGATGCGAACTCTCCGCGCCGTTTTTTGCTTTCCTACTGGAGTCGTGTGGAGAATGTTCAATACCAATACCGGTGAACGTTGAAGGTGCAGTCCTGTAGCTAGAAAAGACAGATCGAGCAGACTTATAGCTTGTGGGGCTGGCAACTTCCAGTATACCGGGCCTTGAGGATTCGGATTTATCGAAGGAGCCGTCAAATTTCCTAGATTTTGGAAAATGCGAAGCCATATCAAATTGCATCTTCCGCCATTCAGCTACGCTCGTAGGGGGTCGGGACGAGTAAGCGGAGGAGTACAAAGAGTCGGACCAGGTGTCGAGATGCCATTGGCCGATTGGATGATCGAAGTCCTGCGGGCTGCAGGGATACTCATGGGTGTTCTTCAGACCGTCGTTGCCATCGATAGATTTGCCGTCATCGGAATCAATTGCGTCATCGGAATCAGATGCTTCATACTCATCACCACTTCCACAATCGCTCGAAGCTCTTCGCAAGGGTTTGGGGTTCCCTAGTCTCCTAATAGGAACTGGCAGGGCGCCTGCGCTGTCCTTTTGGTCACCGGTTGCAGTAGGATGCAATGGGGCTTCACTCCAAGTATCGCCGCTTTCTGTAGGATATAATGCGTACTCTACAATGTCACTGCTTGGAGTGACGTCTGGTATTCTCGCGATGTGTGAGCTGAATATTTCAGACGCCTCTGGGCGAGATTGCTGGAGGTTTCTTAAGTCGACAGCTATGCGCTCCGCAAGGGACCCAGGGATGGTCGGACGGGACATTTTTGGGATCGATGATGCATGTAAAGATGGCTGAATACATGGATGAAAACAAGGCTGAGGCTACTAAGAAGATGAGAGCCTCAGCTCTAAGTTGAGAGAAAACCCAGAACGCCTTCACGAGGATTAGTCGCAAGTACGGCTGAGGTCGATTAGCATTGCGTCCAGACGATTTGTCTATGATTTGAGGAAAGAAAGTAACGTGGGATTAGGTGATGGACAAAAGTGTAGCCTTGTTGCGCTCTTTCCAAACGACGCCTGCGCATTGGGGCTGGGCATGCAAGTCGGTCAGGGATATGGTGGCAGAGCAGCGGCACCGAATGGGGCCAGAAGTCCAATAACAGCAAAACCCTGATGTTGATGTTTTGGGATCAAGAAAGCAATCAAAGAATGTCTATGCGACATATTGTATATGGTACATCATTAGGCACGTAGATGCGGTTCGTCTGTGTCTAGATGTCGGTAGCGGTTGGCACGGATAAAGCAACGCAAAGATGCCTAGGATATGGAACTTTAGGGTTGTGAGCGAGCGACTTAGTGCTGTGGGTTCTAGATCTTTCTCGATAGCAGCCTTGAGAACGATGCGATGAAGAAATGGGTTGACGCTTGTCAGGTTTGTTGGATGATTTCGAACTAAATGCTGCGTTCGACGCTAGCAGCAGGAGCCCCTCTTTCCAGCGCACGTGTGCAATCTCCTGGCACCATTCCCAACGCAAATGTATTTCATTCATCCGACTCATAGACACCGAGGCTACGTGTTCTGTCACGACGTGCAAAGCCGGAAGCTCCCCGCCTGTGGATGCGCTCTCAGCTGGCGTAGATAACTTCTTTCGCTTCCGGGGACTCTAAGCGGAAACATGCAACCTGAATGGAGGAAAGCGTGAACAACTCGACGCGCCAAAATAAGCCACCTCGCGACGGGCCGCGCTCTGGAACTCGAACCATGCATACTTCTGGTACAGACTTTGCTGGGCCGGTGCTAAATTGGACAGACTTACCTATCGGAGCAAGACCCTTCACACGCCTAGCTAGAAGGGAAATCCCCCAGCTTCGGAAAGACCGATTATACGAGCGAATTATCCATTTCTACTCCAAGTATGGGCATTCCACCTTTCAGCTTGCGTGTGGGCGCTGTTTCGTTAGTTTGGCTGGCTGAAACACACGCCATCCTAGACAGCCAACGCAGATGTCGAGTTATAAAATATAGCTAGACGTCTTCAATCAAACCGTCACCTTCATTGAGTGCGATCTGTACTCATCAAATCCCAAATATGACCGAATCACAATCTAACAGCTTTTCCCAAACCGGTTTCCAGCCTGAGCCCAATACCTTCTCACAAGGTGGCTTCCAACCTATACCGAACAGCATCTTTCGGAGTGGCTCTCAGCAGCAGGATGGTTTCTCACAGAGCGGATTTAGAGACGAAGACGGCAATTTGCTCAATATTCCGGAAGTCGAGGCCTTCAAGATGCCGCCCTCAGCATCAAGGGAGAAGCGTCCAGCGCCTCTGCAGCCAAAAAAGCGCATTATCATCTGCTGCGATGGAACATGGCAAAGCTCCTCTCATGGCACGCAGACCATTCCCTCCAATGTGGCGAAGATGAGTCGCTCTATTGCCTCTTGGTACGTGGATGAGAATGGATTGAAGGCCCCGCAGCTCGTGTATTACGACGCTGGTGTCGGCACTGCCATGGGCTGGCTTGAAGCCAAGTGGACTGGTAGGTTCGACTCTCAAAATAGCGTGGCATAAGTTGACAGCTTTTAGGAGCATTTGGTGGCGGCCTGGATGAGAATGTCTGCGAGGCATACAACTTCCTCGTCAATAACTACAATCCTGGTGACGAGTTGTTCTTCTTCGGCTTCTCCCGAGGAGCATACACTGTTCGTGCTTGTGCGGGCCTTGTGTGCCGAGCCGGTATCTGCAAACCACGAGCAATGGGACAATTCTGGGAGATGTACGCCAACTACAAAGCCATCGATTCGACAACACCCCTTGAAAGCAGTGCCTGGGGTAAGCGATGGGACGGCGAAGGCCCACCACCAAAATTCACCATCAAAGTCAAGGACGAGGAATGGGAGTTCAAGACGGGTTCTGGAGCCGACTGGCTTGATAGTGTTGTGAAGGATATCAAGATCAAGGTTGTGGGTGTATGGGACACTGTTGGAAGTTTGGGATATCCTGACAATGTATGGATCGACACTAAGGCGAAAAACAAACCCTACGGCTTTCATAACACGGACATTCATCCACGTAAGTGACACCGTGACCCCTCAATCAATGCCGCTTACGCTACACAGAAATTGAGAATGCATTTCATGCCTTGGCTTTAGAGGAGCATCGGAAAGCTTTCGGACCGACGCTATGGTCACTCCCGGAAGGTAGCAACACCAAGCTTATACAATGCTGGTTCCCAGGTGTAAGTGTTACATCGGTCACCTGTTCATCTAGCGACTCATCAAGTCTTTAGGTCCACATTAACGTTGGAGGCGGCAGCGGCGATGGCATGAAAGACATCAAGCAGGGAAGTGACAATCCCGATGGTCCCAAGAGTGTGGCAAAATCCGGTTGGTTTGGCTCGAAAGCGCCTGAGAACAGCAAAGGCGACTTAGAGATCATGAGCATCACCACGTTCTTCTGGATGGTAGACCGTTGTGTTCCTTTCCTGCGCTTTCAAATCGAGGACCATATAATGAGCGACTACGCCAAAGCTCTCGATAAGATCATGCAACGATCGAAGGAAAATCATGAAACTCATGGTCACTACGGCGGGTGGGGTATTGCACCCATTGTGGACTCATACGAGGGCATCATGACGGCCGCTGGCTCGGAACCTCGCACACCTGGCCATTATTTCTCACATAACCCTGAGCCCAAGGACAACCCTGAGCACAAGCACAACCCTGAGCACAAGCACAAGCACATCCACAAGCAGACAAATGAGTGCTTTCACCCTGTGGTCTATCACACGTATCAACAAGTGTGGAAAACGGACGACAAGGTACCTGAAGCGCTGAAGGGCTTCAAGCGCGAGCCGCTGGGCCCTGGCCTAGGCCATCACTGGGTTAAGACATACAAGAATCAGCCCGGAATGCTCCAACGCGGATGGTCCTACGTCTTCGGTAAGGCCACGCCATCAGACAGCGAGGATGACTTTGTCAAAATCCCTGAGTTTGTGATTCCTGAGCAAGGCTGGCACAAGGAGGGGTTTTACTGGATGCCTTATGAGCGCGAATTGATCCAAGCGGCACAGAACCGTAGCATGAGAAGAGGTGGCTACATGCCGCCCGAAGAAAGGGAAAAATTGATGGAAGAGAAGGCGGGCGAGCTTAAGGTCGATGGTGAGGGCGCCGAGTTCCTACGACAACTGGATGAGGATAACAAGCACATGAAGGAGTTCCGCGAGTGGAAACAAAGGGAGGACTTCATTCCGACGAATCCAGACTATCAAGAATGGTAGTCCTTTCCAAATGTATTCCCTGTTGATCGTGTGTCTACGATCATTGACATTGACAAGTCATGAAAATGCACTACTGTACCGCCACCTGACTCGACATGACCAAGCGCAACCATGATTGCAGACTGTCTGGTACATCAGCCGAGAATCGATACGAATCAGTTCGTTCTTTCAGGCTGTAGACGGTTCGGAAGCTTTCCTGTACGCTGGTGAGGCTATAACGCTTCGCTTGCAAGTGAAATAATCCCACATCGGTCCAGAAAGCTGACTAGTACCCTGCATTCACGCTTTCTTAGCGCCTTATTCCAATGTCCCGAGATCGGGCATCGAATTTTCAAAAGGCGATGAGCCGGGAACAGAATTTTGCCCTTCATTTGGGAGTTTGCGCTCCATGCTTTTGCTCCATAATTCACGTCGCTTAGAGAACTCTCGCTAACCGAGCTTCAATTTGGATCTAGTATAATTGACAGCGAATTCTTCCGAACCTCGGTTCCGGCTTTGCTAATGCGATGTTTCAGGATGTCGCTACATTACCTGAAAAGATGGAGAAGTCATTCGACCCATATGGACTGTGGACGCATGAACTAGGAAGCCTCATTAGTATTCAGGGCGAGTATGTTACCGTCAGCCCCGGGGGCGCAGTCCATGTCGCAAAGCATGTTGTTCCTGCCGCAGCTGCAGATGGGATGAAAAGGTATGCTTGGACTTGGCGAGAGCACCGATTACGTCCACGACGTAGAAGCCCCGAGACGTGCGACATTATCGTGTGCCAGAAAGCTTCACGATGAATTAGAAATATGTACATGAATTATGGGAGCTGGCGCTCGCTAAACATTAGAAATCCTGAAACCTCCTGGAAGCAACCTCTGGTAGATGCCTAGAGGGTCGTACTTCTTTGCGACCTTCTTCATGAACGCCACCTTATCAGCTCCATAGGCGGAAAGAGGATCTTGGTCCTTATCGGCATAGTTGAGGTAAAGGTATTCCACTGCAGTGTCATGCTCCTCCGTAAACTTCTGAATGCCGTTGGTCAATGCGAGACCTTGGTTGATGAAGAGCTCATCATCCTTGGCTTCAGACCAAGAGAGATACGACTGATACATGTCGAAGTTCTCGGTATACCGCTCCATACCAAGCACGTTGCCTCCCCTGGCTGTGCTGTTCGCGGTGTAAAGCGTGGACCATACTTGATGTAGGCAAGAGATACGCCACGAGCCGGATGCCTTCGCCTGAATTTCTGCAAGCATGATTTCATAGAGACGGGCTGTCTCTTGAAGAGTAGCGAGGTCGAGTTTGAAAGACAGAGTGCGGAATTGGACCCTGAAAATTACGAAAGTGAGTGATAGGCAATGCGAGGAAGATAGAAAAGCTTACCTGCTAGTGGTAGTGCTGCCGAACTCTGCAGCGACCGCGCTCATGGGTTGGATTTTGGTGGTATCGCTGATGTTGTTGGTGATGGCATAGAACTCCTTGTAGGCATCTGGGCGAGCAACAGGCTTCGTATAATCGAAAGCAGCTCGCACAACATTCGTAGGGCTCGCAGTCGAATAGCCTTGGAAGACAATCAACGCGGCATTGGGGTCGCGGTTTGGGTCCAAGCCGAAATCAACAAAAGATTTGAAATGCTGATCGGCTGTCGACGCTGGATAAGTGACGATGCCTCCCCATAGATTCTCGTTTTCGAAAGTCTCCATATCGTATCGCGTCACGATGCCGAAATTGCTGGTTCCGCCCTTGATGAGATGTAAGTTACATTTACTTTTTTAACTTCAAGAATATAGTTTACCTTGAGGGCAGTAAAGAGATCGGCATTGGTGTTCTTGTTGGCATTCACAATGCGTCCACTAGCGAGGACGACCTGGAAGTTGACGACGTTGTCACACGACAATCCAACACGAGGGGCAAAGTGAGATATTCCACCACCTATGAGATAGCCGCCAACACCAACGGTAGAGCCACGACCGCCAGCGACCATTCGTCCTAGCGGCTCAAGGGTCGAGTATACGCCGGCCCATCGTCCACCTGGCCCAATACTTGCTACTTGCGTGTGGGCATTGTACGTAGTACTGTTCATGTGCTGCAGGTCGATGGTCACACCGTCCTCGATGTCGTTAGAGCCCGGGATCGGAGTGTGACCACCGGATCGTACGGCGAATTTGCAAGGCTTTAGAAGGCTGGCAGCTGTGAGGACCTTCACTGTTGTAGCAACTTCTTCTGCGCTAGTCGGTTGCACAATACAATTGGGCGTCAATTTACTCTTGACATCGAAATACGAGTCAACACTAGTATTGTATAAACTTTGTCCAGGAAAAGCGACATGCTTGGCTACGGGGCTGAGGGTTAACACAGTGCACTGAAAAAGTTAGAAGAGCAGAGTGAAGCGGTAAGCGACTTACGCAGTAACTATCTGGAAATAGAAACCGGACTGCAGATTCGATCTCGGACTCGTTCTGGGCTTGTGAAAAATTGACGAGAGCTGCAGCAAGCAGTGCGAAGCTCAGACGAAACATGACGGACCGTGTGGTACCCAGAGGGACGGTACGTAAATGTCGCCGCAGAAGGTCGATTAAGTTCAGACCCGTGAAAGCAACCTCCGTCTTTTAACACCAGCCGTGAAGGACGGATACCGACTTCCTTGCGAACGAATCAGCGAAAGTAGCGCGAACGACTTGTGGATTGCTCAATCTCTGGGCTTCTCACGACTAGTCCGGCATAGGTTTCTGCACCGGCTGCACAGACAGAAATGCAGGTGATTCTAGATCTTGCCACGAACGTGATGGTGATAATCATTCTTGAAGGAGCATAATCGCCTTGACCGTCTCATTAAGCTAGTTGTCTTGGCTTATTCCCGCGGCGAATTGTTGTGCCCGTTGACGCGGCTGCAATCACCCTTGCCCCACAATCTGGTCGCCTCGCTTCCTTCGCGCTTCCCTCGCTTGCTCCCCAAACCGTGTAGGCCGGAAGATTATGCTCCACGTACGGGACGTACCGCGAGGAACTGACATCAATGTTACACATCAGGGTATCGTTGGTACCCGGATGTGCCGGCTCATGACCAGGGGGAGAACCTGGCTCTCCAGAAAGAGACTTGGATCTAAAGGTGGATATCCGTCACGTGTGGGTATCGTGACTGGTCCTTGCTTGTCCACAGCATGTCCGATCCCCACAAGTTCTTGCGGCGATCTTGTGACGGTTCCTTGTGACTTCGGACGAAGAAAGCTTCAGGCGTACAATCCACAGAGATTGATGTGCGAACCAGCATATCTGGGAATCTCGTGTATGTGCGTGGGCGGGCAAGCAACCCGCGAGATTGGGATGAAAGATGCCTCGTTGCCCAATCCTCAGGGATGTGGCTCACGGGCTGGGAATTGATCAACATGCATCGCTTAAGCGGAATACCACCTGTTCGGAGCTTCCCTTCCCAGCAGTCAGTTTCGAATCCTATGACCTGAAGCACAATAGTCAAAATGATGTAGTGTCCCTGTCCCCCGATCGTTGCGCTTTGAAATGTTCCTGCCTTGAAGGCGACCTGTACTTACACCTTCTCGTGCAACGATGGATCTCAACAAGCCCATCGTTCCCCCGCCGGCCGGCTATGTTGTCGATCTGGATAATCCGCAGCGACGCGGCGAGGCTGTCATTACATGGGTCGGAATCGTGGGAATGATCATTGCGACGACACTTCTATTCATTCGAGCGTACACCAAGATGGTGGTCGTGAAAAAGCTGGCTTCTGACGATTGTGAGTTCTGGCCCTAAGAACCTGCGGTGAAGGAATCTAACAGATCTAACAGGGTGTCTCTTCCTCGCATGGGTAGGTGCTCAGAAGAGTTGTGATCACCGTCGTCCTCTTGACTGATATGTTGCGATCGGCGTGGTATAGATCACCTCCATACCTGTGCAAGCCTTGATTGTTTGTAAGTTATCGTGAGCGCAGCATTGAAGTTGCAGGAGCGACCGTAAGCTAACGGCTGCGCTACAGATCGAGCTCCGGCGGGCTTGATTGGTATACATGCTTGGGAACTTACTGGTCATCAACTCAACAAGATCGCGAGAGTGGGTTTTTCGCAATTTATGAGTGTAATAAATACTGCTTGCTGACCGCCGGTGTAGATAACTTTGACAACAACAGTGTTATATTCGCCAGCCCTCGCCTTCGCAAAGATGTCTTTCCTTTGCTTCTATCTGAACGTGAACCCCGATCAGACGTTCCGCGTTGGCGTATTCATTACCATGTTCGTTGTGGTCGGGTCCTGCGTCGGCGTAGTCGTCTCTCTACTTGCAGCCTGCTCACCATTCGCGAAGAACACCGATGTCACAGTTAGCGGAGGGGCGTGTATAAACAAAGCATCGTTATACATCGCTACAGGGGTGCTCAACATCGTTACAGACATAATGGTTTTGGTCCTACCCATTCCCATGGTTCTGGGACTACAGATGGTCCGGTCGCGGAAGATCATGTTGATCTTACTGTTCAGCGCCGGCTCTATGTAAGACATCACCATGAGCTATGACGCGCATAAACTGATTCATGAATTAGTACATGCATTACGAGCGCCGTGCGCGTCGCACTGCTCCCTCCTATGCTTACGTCGAAAGATTCCTCATGGGACACTCTGTATCCCAGTCTTTGGATGTAAGCTTCCGCCTTCTTACCCCTACCCAATCTCCACTTCTGAGGAGACCCCACCGGCCCTTCCTCGGAGGACTTTCTAACGTCTTCTCCTAGCCTGATCGAAGCCAGTCTCATCATCATCACTGGTACACTTCCGACAATGCGCCTATTCTTGCGGCATGTGGCGCCTAACTGGATTGGCGAATCGGAAGTTACTCAAACATTGACATCCCACACACCGCGTACACCGCGTCGTGAGCCCGGATGGGAACTCCAACATAACGGGAAGCATGATCCCTACGACGTTGGGGATGAAGGCTCCGAAAGGGAGATATTCGCCAGCAGGAGCCATGGATCTTAGGAAAATGTGAATATTTACAAAAGAACAATCTTGGCCAGTGGGTTAACGACGCACGGGCAGTGGATGTTGCCAGGGCCAACTTCCTCGATGAAGACCTAATAAGTATCAGGAGCAACATTTTCGATCATCGGTCATCGGCTACAGCGCAAAATATGCACACGAGGCCACGAAACATTCGACGAATTGATGAGTAACGAAAATAACCAGAACGAAATCATGATGTTGGACATTACTGCTGTGCTACCCCGTGGGGATTCGTGAGCATCGGCCATAGCTGCGCTACTACGAATGCGAAACGCAATCAATCTCAAAGCTAGCGAAAGCCCACAGCCACACCTCTCTCCTGAGAGTTCGACGATGAGTGTGTTTGCTTCGCTAGGACAGGGGCCAATATCCCTGGTCGAACGACGAATGGCAATTCGTCTAAGTGTAGTCCTGAGAAATCATGTCCCGGTCTCGCGACATTTTCGATCCTGAGTTAATCTACCTTTTTGTGCGTGGAAAAATCATATTGCCGAAGATCGGTTGCATGGACAAAGTGGGTATCAACACAGAGATCTATGGAAACATCAATGGCGAACAGAGTCTGAAATGATTCTCTTTACGACCGCCGTTGCACCTCATGTACCTGATCAACGACGATGCCTGCGACATAGGCGGCGGCCCGTTCAGCTTGGAAATAGAAAACAAATTTGCTCCACGCACAATCTTAACAACGAAGCTCGCCCCAGCATCTATTCCTTCTTCAATCTCAGCCGCCAATACCCATCGTAAATAAAAGTTGCGTTTCATCGCTATAGCTCTTGTAAACCAACTCATTATCTCTCGCTTTTCTCCACACATTTACCTTGCACGTAATCAGTCCCCCAATCGCAGTTCACCATGTACTGAAGCTAATTTGCGCACGTCGGACTACAATGTGAGGTTTGTGGTCGTGGAAAGGCACGTTGCATTAGCCATGTTGTCCGTGTTGTTCTAGTCTACTTGTCCATATGAGCTCAGGTCTTTCCAACACGCGGCTCAGAGGGAAGAGGCCTGGAACCGCTTCTTGCTGGCCTATGTCCGAGTGCACATCTTGTCCGCGATTTAAGGTATTGTTTAGAACAAGCGATATGTTTGGGGAAATAGGCTGGTCGTTGTTCGCATATCGTGTTATTTCATACAAGCTATGTCAATAGATGAGCCGAGGAGGCTTCGGTGGATTGATTAGTTGCTGATGCACATGCAGTGGTGACCATTATGGGCTAACGGCATGTGAATACAAGATAAACATAGTTCCTGTAGGGAGTAGGGAGTAGAACATCTTCAAGTACAGTTGAGAGGGTGCGTCAACCTTCTCCGCGTCAATACAAAATGGGACAGTAATATTGTTGGCCTCTTGTAGGCAATTATACAAATGTTACAATATGTCTGCTTATTTAGCCTTCCCCAAGTAGCCCCAGCCTACATCTTGTCGGTCACAACCCAAGATCACGCGGTCAGAATAAGCCCTTCACAATGGGCTCCACCTTCCCATACAACTCCCCGCCCTCCTCCTGTCCAGTAGCTCTCTTGGTGATCACCGGAATCTGATCCTTGTCGACCGAATAATTTCTGAGATCGTGATCAAGCCCTAGCTCCTTCACCAACCCAAGTATACGATCCCCAACTTTTTCAGCGTCCTTTTTATCATCTCCCGTCCTTGTCTCGCCAATGAAAGGCAGAAGTCTCGCTACCTGTGTTGCAGCGCTTGGGTCTTCAGCCTTAAGCCTAACGACATGCCCCAACGTCAAACAACTCGTAATTCCATGCGGAATACTGTAGGGACTTCCCAGCGCATATCCCAGCGCGTGCGAGAGCCCGAGACCGCCTTTAAGATTTGTCCCCAGAAACCCAAGACTGGCGAATGCCGCTAATTGCAACTTCGTCAAGTTATCCTGGTCCTTAGGATCCATCTTATACTTCACCAGACCTTCGAAGAACGACCCTGCGGCTTGAAGACATGTCCATCTCGCAGGCATCTCGGAGGCCGTGGGGTGGTATAGCATCTCGACTGCGTGGTCTAGCGCGCGTAGACCGGTGCTGAGCCAGAGTCTTTCTGGAGTGTAGGCCGCGAAGGCGGCGTCATACAGCACGACATTCGGCACAAGTTCTGGCGCCCTCACGCCCGTCTTCACGCCGTCGGACTGCGTGAAGCCAGCCATCATCGTACACTCGCTCGCGCTCAGCGTTGTCGGAATTGCCACATGCCACAGCCACTTCCCCTTTTTCTCGTGCAATCTATAGCTTATCGCCTTCGCAGAGTCGATAGGCGAGCCCCCGCCGATACTGACTACCGTATCGATGGTGCTGTCTTTCTCCACCAGCCCCGTAGCCTCGTCTAATTGGGCAATCGGGGCGTGTTCTCCGATGTTAGAGAATGTGCCTACGTGCTGCTTTCCCAATAATTCTTCGACTTGCTTGACCAAGGGCGTCTTACTAGCCAGACTCTTCCCCGTAATAATGAATGCTTTGCTACTCTTGCTCGGCAGACAGTCCAGGAGATATGTTTTCACGGTGTTAGGCCCGTAGAAGAGTTTGGAAAGCTGTGTGGGCTGCCAGAGGCCGCTCATAGGATTGTACGTGGCGTCTGTCATTTTCTTCTTCTCTTCTCTTAACCTGGCTGTAGAAGTGCTGAAGGACGTGTATCTTGACCGTGGACGAGCCTGGGAGGATGGAATGTGGGGCCTTGATCTCTGGCTCAAGCCCAACGAAGCAGTGAAGCTGTATGCTCTCGGGACGACGCGGATAGATGAGATAGGTATGCGAGATAGTGGGAGTAACACCAAACGCATTGGACATGTGCTCAGACCGTATTGCTTCTTTACAATGGGTAGAGCCCACATACCCCAGTATCAGAAGTGGAAGTGCCGGCACCAGATGTGGAGAAGTCTTGATGACGTAAAGGGCGCCATTCCTAATCTTTATCTCCGAACCGAGGTGGGTGGAGTAGCTTCAAATCGGCACTTGTCTATCTCACAATACGATAAACACGGCGCCAGATATAAACAGTCTGGTGCCCCAGTCCAAACAAATATTTGCGTTTTATTAATCTGAGACTATCGTAGATGTGACGCAGCGCCGTTGAGGGGCTGGTCGGGTATCTTTACGTACTTTTAGTGCTTTCCCAAGCCCTTGCAATGCCCTTCGTTATCTCATCAGGGTCGTCAGGTTGAAGCGACGCCGTGTATATGCATATACAAGACTCTAATATGCAGCCTTTCGCCGATAATCAGAACGCCGAGCTAGGTCAAAGAAGAATCCCAACATAAGAAAGAGATAGTTGCCGGCCGCGAGTTGAAGCGGAGTTGTGTGCGCATGCGGTCGGGCTGGCTTGTTGAATGCAAGATATCAAGATGGAGCGTCAAGATTCGTGTCGAGATGAGGGGTTTAGGCTGTAATGCCGTTGGTAACGGTGGACGCGGCCGACTTCGCTGCCTCGACAAGGTCATTCAAAGTCGACTTCCCACCATTGGTAGGTCTGCTACTAGCAGCTGAGTCGCCATCTGTCGTCTCGCCGTTGGTAATACCTGTCGAGTGGAGTTCCTTCTCCATGTCAGTCACCTCGAGGCCGTCGAAGAGAGGGAAGATGCCGTTGTCCTCCTGGAAGTTGTTGTGGACAATGTTTATCAGGTACCAGGTGTCCATAATGTCCTCAATCACGTAGCGCGAGGGGCTTATAGAAGCGTGGCAGTTCGCCCATTGCTGACCCAACCGGTAGAACTCGTCCTTCCAGGCCAGGAAGCTGACAGCTTCGACGATAGTCGGCTGCACGATTTCCTTACCCGGGAAGACACCCCAGGTGACGGCATTAGGTCCTTCCGGAGAGTTGGTCTTCAGGTCTCCATCCTTGTTCACGGCGTAGTACGTAATTTCGGGATCGCGCTCAATACGAGTGATCAACTCTGCGATGTATTCAGGCGAGACCAGAACCTCTAGGTACGCCTTCTGGTAGACGTAGCCGTGTGCTGGACCCCATCCGTACACTGGATGGTTTGACTTGGCGCCATTCACAGGAGGCTGGGAGTTGATCGTGAAGAAACCACGACGGTTCAGGTCAATGAGATTTTGCTGCAAGGTATCGGCTTCCTTGGAGATGGCCGACTCGCTCCAGGGCAGAGATTCGAGATCGCCGGACATGTACTTGACGAAGAGATCGGAGAGGTCCTTAACGGACGTCGGCTTCCCCCAGAGCTTGATGTTCTGCTCGTTGCTGCCCTTCAGGCCGATACCGTACGCGTCGAATTCGCCAAAAGCGGGAGATCGAGCATCACCCCAGCGACCGTTAGGGAACTCGTCCCAATCCTGCGTCCTGGCAATGTACGAACGGTTGCGGTTGCGCCAGAAGATGGGTCGGACGTTTTCTTCGCGACGCTTGAGGCCAAGAGACGGCCGCCACGGAAGGGGTTTCTGCAGTGGGCTTTCGACGTCGGGAAGAAGGTCTAGCTCCTCAAGAACCATGCGGCTGGACTGGGCCAGGTTCATCGTGTAGCTTCAAAGGTTAGCCTGAATGTTAAAAGAGAGGTGCAGGCCTGACTTACAAGTGCAAGTGCAGAATACCGGCATCGATCAGCTTGCGGCACATATCGGCTATCAGTCCCTTTCCTACCTCGCGGACTTCCGAATCGTCGTTCTTGATGGGATCCAGAGCTTTGGTCCAGGGTTCGGGGATCTTGATTTTGGACCATTTCGCCCGACGGAGAAAAGCAGCGTGCGTAGAAATAGGCATGATGCCAGGAATGATGGGGACGTCAATACCCTTTGCACGGACCTTGTGTACCCAGTCGATGAAGATATCTGTGTCGTAGAACATCTGCGTCACGACGAAGGTACCTCCGGCATCCACCTTCTCCTTGAGATGGTCGATGAGTTCATCGACGTTATCGTTGTCATCGCTGCCTTCCGGAGTACCCCGCCACACCGATGTCAAAGTGGTCCCCATACTTCTCGCGGATATATTTGACCAAGTCCTTGGCATATCTGAATCCACCCTGGACCGCCTGCCACTTCTCAGACTCCCTCGGCGGGTCGCCGCGCAGCGCGAGGATATTTGTGCACCCCGCTTCGTAGGCCGTCTGCAGCGCTTCGTCAATCTTAGACCGCTCCATGTCGGTGCATGTAAGGTGCATGCATGTCTCGAGGCCGTAGACGCTCTGGGCGACCTTGACCATCTCGCAGGTCAGGTGGGAGAGACTGCCGCCCGCGCCCCAGGTAACATCGATGAATTTGGGACCCAGACCGTGCATGCGGTCCATGCGATCGTAGAGATTCTGAACACCCTGCGAGAAATCAGCTCCATGTCGGAGGGTTGCAGCTTCATGGCGTTGTGATTACCTGAGCGGTTTTCGGCGGAAAGAATTCGAAGGAGAAGGTGGGCTTTCCCTCCTCCTTCGACTGCGCGAGCATCTTGGAGATATGCATGATGGTGGCGCGGTAGTAAAGGAAATGCTCGAAGGAGAAGTGAATTGGACACTTCGTATGGTCCTCTCTGTTGTCTATGCAGTGCCCAGGTCAGCGCAACCCCACAGCAGTATATGATTGTCACCCGGAGGTTTTATGACATACACCGGAAGCCGAGCAGGCAGACTTCGGAACAGGAGATGCAATCAATAGCTATACTAGCTATCCAATGTAGCGAACGCGGGCCCAACGATCCGCGAGCTGGCGATGCATGAACCACGAGTGGTATATAAGAACGTGATTAGCGTGCGTCTGCGAGTGGGAGGTGCAGTAGAGGGGAAACAATGGCTAGCGGCGGCGGTTTGAAGAATCCACTGTCGGCGAGATCGGCGCCAAGATCTGACCCCTTCGAGCGGTCATGCTCCCGATTTCGTTTGCATTGTCTTCACTTCCCTCTGCATTATGTTACACGATTCCATTCAAATGTCCACCGCTCGATCTCACACTATGCGGGGGAAGCAATTGGTGTCGGCGAGATACCCCGCTGCCACGCGACCCCTGCCTCGTGGGGTGCATCAGAGTGCGCGCGGCGAGTTCATCCCTCTAAAATACCTCATTAAGTGTCCGGGTGATCATTCTGCAAGTCTCACAGGGCAATATTCTGGATTGGTATGAGATATTCGTGTCCGGAGACATTGCCGTTCCTGTTCCTGTTCCTGAACACCCCGCCGCCGTGACCGATCTCGGGCTTGCCCCTTGCAGTAACCCTTGAGCCCCTCACGACGTCAGTAAACATGTTAATGTGTTGCTGCTGCTACGACACCATGTCTCTGCATACCGATACTCCAACGACAGCAGCTACCTCTCGCAGACCGCAGCAATGCCGCCCGTCAGCCGCCCCCGCCGCATCGTCGGCGTTTCCTTGAAGATGTACTTCGACCTCCCCTCCACTCTCTCTTACATCCGCGGCATGCTCCAGCTTGACGGGCTTGCCTGGAACGCGCGCATCGACCTCTTCGTCATTCCCGACTTCGTCTCCCTCGTCTCCGCCGCCGACATCCTGCAACCCTCCTCGATACTCCTCGGAGCGCAAGACACTCACTGGGAAGACAAAGGCGCGTACACGGGCGAAGTTTCACCCGTTGTCCTGCAACAAGCAGGCGCCAAGATCGTAGAGATAGGGCATGCAGAGCGGCGTAAGCTATTCGGCGAGACGGATGAAACCGTCGCGAAGAAGGCGGGAGCTGCGGCGCGGAATGGGTTGATCCCTCTCGTGTGCATCGGCGAGCGCACGCACAACACCACGTCGCCTTCAGCAGCGGTCGGCGCTGCTATACAAGAATGCACGCCTCAGGTTACATCTGTGCTTGCTGCAATGCCCGACGACAGCGAGGTGATACTGGCGTATGAGCCTGTGTGGGCGATTGGCGCCAAAGAGCCTGCGGATGCGGATCATGTTGTCAACGTGACAAAGGAGCTGAGGCGGTTGGCTGGCAGCCGGAAAGGCGTCACGAGGATATTGTACGGAGGCAGCGCGGGACCGGGCACTTTCGCGAAGATCTCGGAAGGCGTGGATGGGCTGTTCCTGGGGCGGTTCGCGCATGATATGCAAAACCTTAAAAAAGTCGTTGAGGAAGTGGGTGGAGCATGATGGACAATAACTGGTATGGGTAGGTAGAAAATCGAGATCGACGGCTGGAGAAGACGGAATCGAAACGTCTTACGATTTAATGAGGAAGGAACAATACCAGTGAGAAAACAAACAGCATGACAAAAACCAGATAGGACTGTTATACAACGACCAAATATATTAAGTACTGCTCGGCAACTGCATCTATCCGTCCCCAAAGTCGATATCGTAAGGCCCTGCTATCTCCGCACTCGCAAGGAACGTCAAGGTTAACAACCCGCCCTTCAGCAGGAACCTCATCAAATATTGAACAAATTGCCCAAGCGTCATCCTCCTCCACCATACCTTCTCCGCTTTCCCATCAGCGTATTCCCCTGTCCCGTTCAGCCAGTTCCCCGCGCCGTCAATGTGTTGTACCACACTAGCAGCAAGGAACCAGACTGCAAGGTGAGTCACATTCGATAGGGGTATGAACCCGAACACCCAGATGAGAAACAGCCGGCTGCGGAGGAAGTACGAGATGCCGAGGACTGATACGATTTCACTCTGGATCCACAGGATCACGCAGCCAAGCATGAGGCACTGACATACGAGGAGGTAGACGTGAATCCGGTACCAGTGGTAACGAAAGAAGGAATGGAAAGGGTACTGAGGCAAAGGAGCGAGGAGTTTACTGGTTGGGAGATCGGGGAGGTATGGTCCTGGGATAGAGGGCACAGGGGTTGGCGATGTCGTCTTCTGAACGGAAGAGGTGTCATTTTCATCCAGGCTGGTATTAGCAAGGCGCGGCGGGCTTGTGCATGGTTCGTTGTTGCAGCGCCTTATACTAAATAAAGTGGAATCGCGTGCCCCAGGTGTCTGTTCGTCCTCTGTTCTCGTACCAGTGCCCACGGTAGCAAGCCCGACCGTATGCACATGCTTACTGTCCTGTGTGGTCGAAGGTGTGTGAGTGGTACGGACTACATCTTGCGCTTTTGCATCATTGTCCACTATATCTGTTAGCGTTCAGTCTGCGCTTTCCTGTAGTGGCGATCACTGACGATAAGATTGGAACATGGAAAGAATGGGTAACAGCAAGAGAACCATAGGCAATATCTGGCCAAATGACCATGAATCGTCACCGGTGGCAGTATTCTTGAACCCTATAGTTCCGTCATCGAGTTGCGTGGCCCATGCCAGTGCTCGAGTATCCCATACTTTAAGTGTACCCCATGCCTAGAAGCAGCAGTTGATTAATATGTATCTCTGATGGAACAGAGTGGAATTGCCTACTATTGCGAACGAAAGCCATATGATCTCGCCGAGCATGGACTCAGCTATATCGTACATTGCACGAATTGACGCAAATCCGATGAAGACGGCCAAGTATGGTATCGTCCAAATGGTAGCCCGGATACCTTGGCGCATAGCTTTACGTTCCAGAAAATAGAGCAGCCTCTTGACGCGCGATCCTGGAATGGCGCGGAAATGCTTTCGACTGAATTCAGCAGTAGGATCGAACAGTCTGATGCCAGTGTGCAGGTAGGAGAGACCGACGACAAGCACGGAGAAGACCATCGACCACATTCTGGGACCTCCTCTGCTGTAGCTGGACAAGGATAGCCTAGACATCGAACGAAAGATCAGCGCTGAGTGGGAGTCAATGTTTCCATTGACTTACTGTCTATAAAAGCACTCCGTGTCGAGACCAGGATAGAGAGGACCGGCTTCTCTAGCTGCATCCAACCAGTTGCGACTCCCTGTGGGCAAAAGCGCAGCTATTTGGAGCCCGCCCAGAATGCACATGAAGAAGACTCGGATCAGACGAAGGTTGTTGTTCGCCAGGAAGAATCCCTCCAGAAAAGCCATTGCCGATAGAAAAGTGAATGAAGAGAACCAGGCGACGTAGACCATGATCTGCCAATGGTAAGAGCTGATCCCACATGACAACTGCGAATATCCGGCTATCAGTATGGCGAGACCAGTTACTAGCTGCGTGTCGCTGAGAATGAGAACCGACTTCTCCATGGCATATTCGAAACGCCGCTGAGGTGGGGAAAATCAGTAAAAGATGTTAAAATCCTAGCCCCAACTACTCACGCTTGGTGTCCATGAGATTATTTTCCCATGGACAAAATTGAGAAGGCCATTATCGACCGGATTCGTATGTTTCCTGCCCACCTGGCCACTTCGGTGAGGGTCATAGACGGTCAGGTAGTGGAAAATCAGAAGAGCAACGGTCAAGTAGGCAGTGATGGAGAAACCCAGAATTACCTGATACACGTAGTTAGCGATGATAGGGATGTAAGTAGGGGACTCTCACTCCTATACCTGAGAGCTCAGGATTCGGTTCTAAGGCAGGTGGTTCTTTCAAGTCGCGCAACGATGGCAGTGATAACCAGGAGCAGTTGGGCTTGTGGCATGTATCGCCCATTGTCGCAACACATGGCCAATCGAGGTGCTCCCAGGATCAAGTATGTGTTAGGAGGAACAAGGAAGCGAACAGTGTTTGACTTGAGTCGTCCCTACTATGGTGAATTGAAATGGTCAATGATGGGTGCACGCGGGGAAAGGGCTAGAACAAAGCAACGTTGGTACCTAATGGTACGAGCGAACCGCGTTGGGAAAGAACAGGCTGCTTGCAAAGACTTTGCACAGTTCGTTTCCCAGCCAAGCCTCACAATCAATGGGTGCGCTATACAAAGTTCGGGCGGTAGAAGGTCCTCGTTCGGCGGATTGGATGAGAAATAACATGCTTGCAAGAGCGGTGCAACATGAGACGACAAGTGCAACTCAGGTACAGTCTTGTCTCTAGAGATTCCTCGGAGGCAAGCGGCATGTACGAGAGCAGAAATATTTTGAACGCATTATCGCAACGCGCAGCGAAGCGCAGTTTGGCACCTTGGACTGAAGAATCACATGACGCTGGAGTGTGAGACGGGTTAGAAAGGTATACAGGCTGTGCAAGTTGATCCTGGCAAAATGCCATAGCTACGATTCAGAAAGGTGCATGGATCTTGAGTCTGAGAGGGATGCAGACGCAGTGATGGCCCGGAGTGGTGTTGAACCACATGGTAATGGAGGAAAGCGGGGCGCTGCTGCCCTGAATGGACGGCGCTCGGTTAGTGGGCCCCTTGCTAGCGCAGAATTTTGGCAAGACAAAATTTCTGGTATCGATACGCCGCCTCAGACCGCTTCTGTACACCAGCACAACACAACAACTGTGTCGCTGCAAGCATGTCGAAAACACAGTGGAAAGATATCCCCGTCGTGCCGACGTCGCAGGAATTCCTCGACATTGTGCTCTCCCGAACGTACGAGTCCCGCCCCAGCAGCAAGTTGCGCCCCGCTAATTGTGCGCAGACAGAGGCGACTTCCCACACAGATCCGCTCTGGCTTCAAGATTAGCAGAATCAGAGCCTTCTACACCCGCAAAGTCAAGTACACGTCCGAGACCTTCACCGAGCGTTTGACCGCCACCATCAACGGTTTCCCGCGCCTCGCAGACATTCACCCGTTCCACCGCGATCTTTTGAACACTTTGTACGACGCCGACCACTTCAGAATTGCGCTGGGACAGCTGAGTACGGCCAAGTCGCTTATTGAGGCCGTCGCTCGTGACTATGTCCGGCTCATCAAATATGGGTACGTGGAATACAGTGGTAATAGCGTTGGCCTGTGCTAACCTTCCCACAGCCAGAGTTTGTTTCAGTGCAAGAACCTCAAGCGCGCCGCCCTCGGTCGCATGGCCACAATCTGCAAGCGCCTCAAAGACCCGCTTGTGTACCTTGAGCAAGTGCGACAGCATTTGGGCCGTCTACCCTCGATCGACCCGAACACCCGCACGCTCGTCATTTGCGGTTACCCCAATGTCGGTAAATCGTCTTTTCTGAAGGGTATCTCTAGGGCCGATGTTGACATCCAGCCCTATGCCTTCACAACCAAGAGTCTGTTCGTTGGACACTTCGACTACAAGATGCTGCGGTTCCAGGCGATCGATACCCCCGGTATTCTCGATCATCCGCTCGAAGAGATGAACACCATTGAGCACCAGTCTATCTGCGCAATTGCTCATTTGCGTGCCGCTGTCCTCTACTTCATGGATTTGTCCGAGCAGTGCGGTTATTCTGTCTCTGCCCAGGTCTCACTGTTCAACTCTATCAAGCCCTTGTTCGCCAACAAGCTGGTGTTCGTGGTCATTAACAAGATCGATGTTACTAGACCGGAAGACCTGGATCCCGAGAGCCAGGAGCTGATCCAGGGTATGCTCAAGTCGGGTGAGGTCGAGTTGCTCCAGCTCTCCTGCACTACGACCGAGGGGTTGATGAACGTCCGTAATGAGGCCTGTGACCGCTTGTTGGCCTCGCGTAACGCCGAGAAGCTCAAGGCAGGCACCAACAGCTCGGGTGAGCCAACTGGCAGGCTTGGTGACCTTCTTCGCCGCATTCACGTCGCTCAGCCAATGGGTGGAGTCACCCGCGAGACATCGATCCCAGATGCTGTCAAGAACAGGAAAAAGTATGACTCTGCTGATCCAGAGCGGATCAGGCTGGAGCGCGACATCGAAGAGGAGGAAGGCGGTGCTGGTGTCTACAACTTCAACATGCGGAAAAACTACCTTCTCGAAAACCCAGAGTGGAAGGAAGACAGGATACCCGAAGTCTACGATGGTAAGAACGTCTACGACTTCATTGACCCCGAAATCGAGGCCAAGCTCGCAGCGTTGGAAGAAGAGGAGGAGAAGCTTGAAGCCGAGGGCTTCTACGAGTCTGACGATGATGTTGAAGATGCCGAGGAGGCGGACATTCGATACAAGGCAGAGCTCATCCGTGAGAAGAGACAGCTCATCCGCAACGAGGCGAAGATGCGGAAGAGTCTCAAGAACCGGGCTGTCATACCTCGTTCTGCTAAAGCGGTCAAGATGTCCAAGATGGAATCTCATCTTGAAAGTCTTGGCTACGACACTTCCAAGGTTGCTGAGCGCGCTCGAAGCCAGAGTCGCGGCCGTAGCTTGGCTCGTGGACGCTCAGAAGGCGTTGACGGCGATGCTATGGAAGTTGATACCCCCAAGGCTGCTCTTGAACGGGCCAAGAGCCGTGCTAGGAGCCAGAGCACCAACCGCAGGACAGATGGTGTCACAGACGAGGCATCTCGTACAAAGGCTGAGCGCCTGGCTAAGCTGTCCCAGAAGAAGATGAACAGGATGGCCAGACAAGGTGAAGCCGATAGGCACCAGACTGGATCGCTGGTCAAGCATTTGGTGAGTGATGTTCCCTCCCTCGACACGTTTTACGACACTAACAGCAGCACAGGTTGTCGGCAAGCGTGGCATGGGAAAGACAAACAGGCGGTAAAAGCATTCATTGGTTCTGTTGTGTGCGAACTCGGGCGTTTAATGATGCAACGATTTTGTGGTGCATGGGCATTAGATCATCTAGCGGCGTTAAGGGTCGTCTATCTTCGATACCAAGCTTCTGTCAGATCGGGAAAATGCTCCACGGCGAGAATTTCCCGGTCATCTATTTTGCACAAGAATTTAGTCCGACCATGTGTCTTTCGGCTACTCATTTGCTACTCCTCATTTATTTGCAACCCACAATGGCTTTCCGCAGTGAGCGAGTGTCTAGCCGTGTTGGGTAAAGGTAATTTCCCGGCGCTTGCCGTCCCCTAGCTCAAGATCCTTCTCCTCGCATGTCGTTCGTTCGGAACTCCAACACAGCTTGTGTCGCACAGCAAAAGGAACAGCAGAAATCGTATGACAAGTCTGGGGCCGTTCACGTGGAGGATAGGAATCGCCTTGGAGACGGACAGCTTGAGCAGTGTGCGAAATGGGCGATTCGCAGTGCTTTTAAACACGCTTTATCCCAATCTTGCTGGAGAGGTAAGAGTTCAGCGAACTTAGGGCCCACTGTCAGCACGACTGCACGAGCAAGAGCTCGTTTGTCGCCGTCTCAGCGCAAAAATAGGAATCGTGCCTTAACTCCAGGGCGCCAAGCCAGATCGGAATGGGGAGAAACGAGCATGCTCCGGGGATCCCTGGCGCGCATTTGTCATGCAAGCTGCAGCGCGAACCACATCAGGTGAGGCTTGTCGAGCGAAGCTTTTAACGCTCTGCCCTAATTGTGGCCCCCAACGCTGCCGCTCCATCGCAGCATGCGTAGAAAAGCGGTCAGTTGCGAGAAAGAAGGGCGTGATGGTGGACGACGCCCCGCATGTATGCTCTGACAGCTTCGTGGCGAGAGTACGGAGGTAAGGGAGAGAAGGGGTACGACGTTATTCACCCGCCATCCTTCCACTTGAGACGCAGTCTCACGGGAGGCCTCACGCTAATCTGCAGCCGCAGCCACGAGCCTATGCAGCCTCAGCCTTACCGGTCTTTGCAAACCACTCACACGGGACGCTCGCCCCCTGCAGACCATGTTAGCCCGAAGGCTGGGGAGCGCACTTGGCTTGTAGGGGCATGTATCGACGCTCCAGTGTGCAGAATGTGTTGGTGCGAGCTCCAAGCCCAGCGGCTCCAAGAGCCCGTCGGACTTGGACTTAACCCTCGGTGATCCCTGGCAGCGGCGTGTCTCTGTGCTGTCTCGTGTTTCTGTTGCGTCCTTGTCCGTGTCCGACAGGATACCTGAAGGTCACTGTCGACTTCAATTCAACTGCTTCGTAGATCAACCCAGGGTCCTGGTGTGGTTTGGATATGATGGGGTTTCCAAACAATGGGAGTCTGCTCGCTCTTCTGTTGGCGAGCAGGACCTTGGCCACACCACGTAAGTCGTTGCGATGCGCTGGACGATGGAGACATGGAGGACTGACACGCTGCAGTCATGGAATCATTATTCGGTCGCGATATCTCGTTATCCCCTCGCGCTGATTCAACATGTGTCACGTCGTTTACATCTGGCAACGGCCTGAACTTCACAAACATACAATGCAACCAGAACAACCCGTTCAATGGTGAGTCGCATCGCCACACTCATAGCAGGTCCCATCTAATTATGAAGTAGATGCACTCGCTCCATTCACAGTCGATACCATGTCAGGATGCATGGAATTCTGCTCGCGATTTTGGGGCTCAGGCGAGGGCTGCTTCGGCGTCGTCTTCAGAAGTAGCGACAACCAATGCTGGATGCGCAATTCAACGACTTCTCGGCTCTCTTCCAACAAAACCGTATACACCACGCTTCCCCTCGCCGACGAAGATGGCACCCACTCCGCCCTCGTCGACCTGAACCAAATGAAGCCCCTCGACACCGATTGCCCGGCCGCCGATAAATCGCATCACAGCCTCGACGGCTACGACGGCATCTCATACACAGTACAGTGCAACAAGGACATCCCCGGCACCTACGACGCCCATTGGACCTACGAATTCCACGACAACCCCTTCCAAGCCTACTACCACGCCACCTCCCTCGAAGACTGCCTGAAGGATTGCGTGAACGAACACCCCCTCTGCCGCGGCGTCGTCTATGTTCCCGGCCTGCAGGGCGGCTACGCGAACTGCTGGCCCAAGACTGGATTCCCTTCGACTCTTAGCGCGTCAAATACGCAGCTCAAAATCACGCACAGCGCTACTATCGACTCGATTACGACGCCTGATACGGACTGTAATAAGAACGAAACGTACACGAGCACACAAGATGATTCCAAAGCCTTCGCCGTGCACTGCGGGCAAACGAACCAGGGGACGAACATGACCTTCTTACACAGACTGAATTTCACGAGCTGCATGGAAGAATGCGCGTCTAATAAGAACGGCTGCGTCGGTGTAGTCTACGACAGCACGCTCCAGCACGGCTTCAACAACTGCTACCTCCAGAACACGTCGAGCGTGTTCGACGACGTGTCGACTAGCATGTACGCCGCGCTTTCTGCCGCGAAGCCAAAGTCATCTGACTCCGCCTCCTCCGGTGGCTCCAACGGTGGTTCAAACAACGACGACGGTTCTTCCAAAGGCGGCAGCAAAGCATGGATCGCCGGCGCAGTCATCGGCCCCATATTAGGCATCGCACTCATCGGCGCCGCGGGATTCTTCCTCCGCCGACGCAGGGCCAATGCCGCTCCTGCTGCGCACGTTACCGAAGCCGACGACGGCGCCGTGAAGCACAATCCGTACATCAACAATGGGCCTGCGCCTGCGTATGCGCAGATCCCGCAGTATAGTCCAGGGGCTACGCCGAGCGAGCTGGGAAGCGGCCAGGGCCATCAGATGGTAGAGATGAGCGGGCAGAGTGCAGCAAAGTATGCGCACAAGAGCGGCGGACAGCCAGGGGGAGATGTCCACGAGATGGGCTAAGCACATGTCCCAACACGGTAGAAAATGCGGCGGTGGTTCAAATCTTATTCTTGTGCGTTGTAGCTTAGCGATTAGCATTCTGGCATCGCATCGCGGGCGGCTTGTCGGCGAGCCGCATTCTTCGCTTCGCTGTGTGATTTTTTGTCTATGTGGGATGGAAGGATGTAAAATGTTTGGACGATGGTTTTGGACGCTTCGATATCCCCTTGCTGTACTTCAACCGCTTTATTCTATTCATAGATAATATACTTTTACGATAGCATAACGCTTTACGGGTTGGTGATACAGTGTGGAGCGTCGACGGTTGAATCTGTAAATTCGAAGCTTGCACCTCTCAATCACATGTGCTGCTGAGAAGGGACCGAACACAAGGTCGATTTAAGCTCGTGTGGCGTACGGGCATATATTTACGAGGCGGGACCTGCTGGCGTCAGCTCCGTAAACCTGGAGTTGGCTGTCTGATGCCTGCAAATGCATACCCCGTTACTGGTCTACCCGACCGTAAGATCTTGTCAGAGGCCTTGTCAATGCAAACTGAATGCCATCAACATCGCTCTGAGCTTGTAGATCTGGATGTGAAACACCTGGTAAGCCACGACATCGTGCGGAGAAGTTCACGATTAAACATATTTGTGATATTTTGATAGCTTTTATCGTTATTCTCACAGCTCATGGTCTTACATGCCGAATGCACACCGTCGCCAAATGCTTCCGTATCCCATACATGGATATCACGCGTCCTGTCCGGCCCATGTCTTGAAGCCGTCTAATTTACAATATGGGACAACCCATAAGAGTGGTGAGCAAGAAAGAGTAAAAGGTAGTAGATGCAATAAAGTGTCAAGTTTTGAAGAGAAGAACGCGACGAGCCCTGCCGCTATTGTAAACTCGTATTCGGTTTTGTTTCGGCTTTTGCATGTTCGCTCGTACGGTCTCGTGCGGTCGTGGACGTAATTATAACGAATGGGATGGTTTATTCGCTCTCGAAGTACACCTTGCGGAAGAGCTGAATGTCATTAGTCTAATCCTCCAGAAACGAACAAGATGTTGACTTACCGCCCACGATCCCGCAACACTGGCAACGATACCCGAACTAATGGCCATTGGCCTCACGCCCCGTGTGCTCTTAAAAATCGCGCCGCTCAAAGCTCCTGCCACAACGCTGTTCGTCGTGTCATGCTTTCCCCGGTAGTATCCAATAGTGCTGTTGATACCATTATACACCATGGCCACTACACCCGCCGAGTTACCCAGGAATGGTCCCCTTCGCGTAACTGCGTTGAGCACACCGTTGAGCCGTAACCGCGCCGGCATCGACGAGGGGTTCTTCTGCAAACCCTCGGCCAAGCCCCATGCGCCGCCCACTGTCAGAGCGGAGAGGTAGGATATGCCGGTTCCGTAGCATAGATCATCGGACCAGCCTCGGGAAGGGAGTGCAGATTGTGAGCCGGGGAGATCAGAGAGGACTGAGTCCTCGAGCTGCAGGTAGTCGAGCGTATCCTGGTTCAGGCCGGCGAGCGGGTGTAGTTGTGTGGGGTCGAGGATGAAATCTGAGGGTTGTTGTATGGCTGTAGACGGGTCGAACGGCGCGGGTGAGAAGTTATCGTGTGGTTCCGATGCAGGCGTCGCTGTCTGCGTTGAGGACTTGCGCCCGGTTAATGTGTCCCAGCTAAGATAGGGCTATTAGCATGGCTTTGGAGTAATGCCGATGCAGATTGGAGGCGTACATGGTCATGATGGAGGTGTAGTGTGGAAGGCGCGAGGCAGGTTCGCTCTTGGAGGTGAGGTATTGCTTAGTTCCCAAACGCCCAGAATGCGAGAAGAAACAGAATGCAAGGAGAAAAGATGATTAGGCCTTGCTCGGTGGATGCGCAGGCGATGGCGACTGGTCGGGGTCTGTAAGGGTGTCGCGATAAAAGTTTCTAGCCAGGAGTGACGACTAGAAGGCGCTCGGGCCATGTGCGCCGGTCCTTCCTCACCTGGTTCCGAGCTCGGAAAAGAAATCCTCAAAACTTTCCGCAACAACTGTCAACAATACGTTTACGCACAACGAATCAAGATGTCGCTCCCGGAATACAAACAAGCCTTTCTCAAGGACTGCGTTGAGGCAGGCGCCCTCAAGTTCGGCACGTTCACCCTCAAGTCCAAGCGCATCTCGCCCTACTTCTTCAACGCGGGCCTGTTCCACCGTGCCGACCTCCTACGCTCCATTTCCTCGGCATACGCCCACACGCTAGCATCGCACTCCAAATCAGATCCGTCCTTCCAGTTCGATGTTCTCTTCGGCCCGGCCTACAAGGGCATCCCTCTTGCCGCTGCCGCCGTCGACAAGCTCGCCGACCTAGATATATCCAAGTACGGCAAGAAGAGCTACAGCTTCAACCGCAAGGAAGCAAAAGACCACGGCGAAGGCGGCAACATTGTCGGCGCATCGCTCAAGGGCCAGAAGATAGTCATTGTCGACGATGTCATCACCGCTGGCACCGCCATCCGCGAGGCCATTGACATTATCAAAAGGGAAGGCGGCGAGCTCGTCGGTATCATCGTTGCGTTTGATCGCTTGGAGAAGACGCCGAGTGCGACTGACGACGACGGACAGCCAAGACCGAGTGCCATTGGCGAGGTCAGGAAACAGTACGGCATTCCCGTGCTCGCTATTCTGACGTTGGACGACGTTGTGGAGTACTTGCGGGGCTTGGGCAGTGCTGAAGACTTGAAGCGGCTAGATGAGTACAGGGAAAAGTACCGGGCAAGTGATTAGATAGGCAACGGTAACGATTTCACGATGTTTGATGATCGAACGGGCCAGAGAGTCTCTATAAGACTCCTGTGGTAGAAAGGCCCAATACTAGGGAAAGTATGGAGCCGAATATGTCTTTCAACTTGCTTCTAGTACCTGAATAACTTCAAGAAGGTGAGCAAGCAGCGTGGGTCAAGGTGTGAGGTACTGGTACATGAGCGGATCAAAACGCACTCAACAAGACCCTGTTTCACCCACCATGGTGTGACGACTCAGATCTCATCTCGCACAAAGCAGCCTAAGTAGTACGGACTGTTTGCTTGCAGCGTGGTGCACGCTGGCTGATCGACTCGACACTGTGGAGGTAAGCTCAAGCGGCGACACTTGCCGAGCGATCAATAAAGTGCCATCTAAAGGGCGGCATGCTAGTGGTCCCTGGCACGCGCAATGCAACACAGTCTCGTCCAGCGTCTCCGCATACCGTAAAGTACCCATTTCTATTAACTAATCGTTCCGCTCAAGACACTCAAAGAGTCATGCTCCTGCCTTCTCCGGCAATGGCTACTCAGGCTACTCAGCCCTGCGCGCGCGCACCGCTCTGTTCATCTTGGCAGCTTAGACGAACAAAACCTCCATTGGACTTCCGACGCCAATGTGTCCTCTTCTCTCCTTTACTGCCCCAGTGACTCGCTCTTTGACTAACACTTAGGTGTGCTTGCGTCTGCAGCTCCTATGCCGCATCTTGCATTCGTTGGCGTTGCGTACACCGCTGTCACCGTCGACTCGAGTGACTACGGGCGTGAAGGTGCCCCTAGCAACTGTGCAGAGCAATAACGAAGACCAATCCGCATTCGAGCCTTTCAATTACTACAGGAGCAGTCGTTCCTTCCTCTCCTTATCTCCACCATGCGCCCCAGGATAAAGATGCCGCGCCGGACGGCAACGAACCAGCCATTGTCGCGCCGGCACAAGCGAAACCTCTCGTACGCCTTCGTCGTCGCATTCATCTTCGCGATTATATACGTTTTCAATGGGCCTGGCGACCCCATGGCCGTTCCCTTCGGCCAACACGAGGCATACATGAACGAGCGCGCAAACGTGAACGGCTTCGTGGTAGGAGATTCGTACGACTGGCGGACCGCGCCCTTTGTGCATACGATCTCTGAATACATACAACTGCCTATTGGCACCCCGAAGGATCTGCCGAAAGTACAATACGACTTCCCACCGGAAACATCATCGCAGAGGGCAAGGCGAGAGGAGCGACGGGTCGCTGTTAGGGAAGAGTTTCAGCGCAGTTGGGAGAACTATCGAACCTTTGCATGGGGTCAGGATGAGCTTGCACCAATTACCGGCAAGGGCGCCGAGTCGTTCGGAGGCTGGGGCGCGACGCTCGTGGACGCGTTGGACACGCTGTGGATCATGGGTCTCAAGAACGAGTTCTACGAGGCTGTGGGGGCTGTGGCTGCCATTGACTTTGGCGTGTCTGAGTCCATTACAATCAGCGTGTTCGAGACCACGATTCGTTACTTGGGCGGGTTGCTCTCGGCATACGATCTCAGCCACGAAAAGGTGCTGCTGGAAAAGGCCATACAATTGGGGGAGATGCTGTATCGCGCATTTGACACGAAGCCCAACAACTTCCCTCTGGACCGTCTCATGCTGGAGAACGCGAAGAACAAGGGTGGTTTCAATGCGGACAGTAGCATCTGTTTTGCGGCCCTGGGTTCTCTGACCATGGAGTTCACGCGGCTGGCTCAAATTACACAGAAGAACAAGTACTATGATGTTGTCGCGAAAGTCACTAATTTCTTGGATCATGCCCAGAATAAGACGAACATTCCGGGGTTATTTCCAATCTGGATCAACGCATACAAGGAGGAGATTGTCGGCTCGTCCTTCACGGTCGGTGCAATGGCGGACAGCTCGTACGAGTATTTCCCAAAGATGCATGCTTTGCTCGGAGGTCTCGAGCCGGTATACGAGAAGTTATGGAAGGACTCTAGTGCGATGATCGACAAGCACATGCTCTTCCGGCCCATGCTTCCTGACACCGAGCCAGGCAAGGACCTCCTCTTCAGCGGCGACGTGACAATCTCTGGCGAAAACATCAAGCTAGACTCGGAGATGCAGCATCTGACCTGCTTCATTGGCGGCATGTTCGCACTTGGTGGGCGCCTCATGCCCGACCAACACCACGTCGACCTTGGCGCGAAGCTCACCGAAGGCTGCATCTACGCCTACCATGCGATGCCCAGTGGCATTATGCCTGAGATATTCGACGCCGCGCCCTGCGCTTCACGCACGAATTGCCCCTGGAACGCCTCCTTCTGGGAAGAAGAAGTGCTCCGCCGGAGCTACAACAAGGACCATGCCGACTTCGAGCGCGTCGTGGCGAAGGATAAGCTGCCACCGGGCTTCACGTCTATGCGCGACAAGCGCTATCTTCTACGTCCCGAAGCCATTGAATCCGTCATGATCATGTACCGCATCACTGGCCACGAGGAGTATCTCGATCACGCATGGAATATGTTTACCTCTGTCGTCAGAGCGACCCGGACGCCCTTCGCGAATGGCCAGGTTTTCGATGTAACTGCCGATCCACCAGCTGAACCGGAGAATAAGATGGAGAGCTTTTGGTTTGGGGAGACACTGAAGTACTTTTATTTGATCTTTAGTCCGCCGGATATGATTAACTTGGATGATTGGGTGTTCAATACTGAGGCGCATCCATTCCGTAGGCCGGTCCTTCAGAAAACAGGGACTCGAATAGAATAAGCGATGTAGGTGGTGGTATGGATGGGGGCGAGAGGAAGGGGTAGCTTTGGTGGTAAGTTTTCTGCTTGATACCCATTCGGAGGCAATACTTCTGAAATTGTCGTTCTTGCATAAGGAGATGTAACTGTACATTATAGCGGCATTAGCATGGCGAAGGCGTTTTGACGGGGACTCTTGTTTTATATATTGGTTCCAGGGGCATATCGGACGGACATAGCTTACGGGCGTACTGCCTCTGTACATGTATATTCGGTTTTACACAGGTTGGGTGGCGCACCCTGCACAGCCACATCGATGACGTTGCTCCGGTGAAGAACCTCATAGAACGCCCCAACATTTCGCGCGTGCTATTGGACCAAGCTGTCCACGCGGAAGGTATATCACGAGGTGGCGTGGCGCGCAACAACCTCGTCAAAGCGCACGGCTGCGTCAAACAGTCCTCCAACAGTCCCCAGGCAGCAGCTTTTCTGATCTCCTCCCGCTCGCCACGCTTAGTTTCGGTTCGCTGTGCATATCGCTCTGACACCCACTCGGCGCGGTTGGGGCTACTCAACTCAGAACTTCTGGATCCGTGAGAAAGAAATCCCAGGCCAGGAACTAAAATGGACATGCCCCGGGGCCCGCTTCCCCTCAACGAAGCCGACTTTCTCGACTTCATCTACAATTACTTCAAAGCCGAATACGCCCCTATCCGATGGATCTTCGCCTCCACCGCCGAAGCTGTCCCCCTTCAGCCAAAGCGCTGGCTAGCAATGGGCGACCAACTCTCTCCTACATCGTTCCGACCCGCTGACCCAAGGGCCCATGCCGACCTTCAATCCCTCGAGTACTGCATTAGAAAGTGGAATCTGGACCCTGTGTTTGTGAAGGGTATCGTGGTGAGATATAGTAAATATCGGGTTCATGAACGCCTAGAAAAGAAGTTGTATGAGCATTACAGAGGGGATCTGATTGTGCGCAAAGCGCTGAAGGAGAAAGCGATGATTGACTGTCTTTGGCCGTCCCCAGCGCCGGCTAATCTTCCCAAGGAGCTGCTACAGCAGGGCGTTCAGGTACGGCAGTGGTACGGGTTCATGTTTATGAAATACTTTTCCAAGCTGAGAGCAGAGGATGACTTCACGTTTAGACCTGAAGTCGCCCACACGCTAAAGACTGCTGGGACACTTATGTTGGTTCCATACGCGGACCACATCACTGCTGGGCCGGTGGAACCTATAAAGGCGATTGTGAGCAGTGGTGCGGGGTTTGTGAATGCACCCGCAAGTAGGAGGAATAAAGAGAATGTGGCGAAAGGGTTCGGGGAGCCAGATCGCTTCGAGATCCGTTTTGATTCTCCAGGGGAGGTGCAGAGTACCGTGGCGAGGAGCGTGATGCGGCAGTGTCGGTGCTTGAAGTGCGGAACCTTCAGAGACGTGCAGGTCGCTGTGTTGATCGATCCGACGCCAGGAGGCGTGGCACCACAGAGCGCGGAGAGGCCGAGTAATCCGAATACGTTGGCACCGAGACGGGGTCATACGAGCAAGGTCAGTCAGAGGTATACGCCCGGTTACGACATGCCCGGCGCCCACGATGCAGCGAGACAAGCAGTCCCCCCACAGATGGAAGCGCACAATGCCACTGCAGGCGTCCGGTCGCCATCACCGGTTCAGAAGAAGCAGTGCCCCGCGTGCACGTTTTTGAACCATCCTGAACTCACGGCTTGCGAGATGTGTCAAAACGAGCTCCCAGAGACCTTGACTACGAAACCGCCTAGTCCTGTGCAGCAGAAGACTGCGAAGCCAGCCCATGCGCACTCGGCGTCTCTGCCAGCAAATTCCGGAACGGAGGAGAGACCGGGACTGTTGAACAAGGTGAATAGGTATAGTCTCGGCCTGGGCTCGACACTTTACTCTATCTCGCCGTTCGCTGCACAGCAGCAGCAGCCACCAACTCGTATCATTTCCCGGCCACAGCAGCCGATGGAACAGATTTCCAAGCTCCCGGTCAACGAACCACGCGTCAACGGTCCTCTACCAGGCGAACCACACACATCACAGGCACCGCAGGCCTCGAACAAGGAATTAGCTGCCAATCAGGTACCGGCGTCCAAACATCGCCGTCGCGAACACCCCAAACCACAAGCACCACCACCGCCTAAGCAAGAGCCTCCCATACCCCCAATCTCATCGCCCATCGCGCCTGATCCCGCCCCTCGCACTCCTCCCGAGAACGACCCGCCGCTCCACAACCACCCCGAACTCAACCTTCTCCCGCTAAGTCCTCCTCCGACTTTTGACCTCCGTCCCACGCCCCTAGGTCTCCCGCAGAACCTGATGGACGACTATGTCCCCATTTCCCCGCCTTTGGCGCATGATGGGGAGGTGGAAGATGCAGGGTGGGGAGAGGTTAGTAAGGCAGAAGCGAAGGGAGATGAGAGTGAGGACGAGGAAGATGGTTATAGTGGGGCGATGGTGGATCTAGATGAGGTGGCGAGGGAGGAGATGGGCGTTTGGGGAGAGCGGGAGGACGATGATTAATAGGTAACACCTGCCCTGTGCATCGTGGCAGGCTGCACAAGACGCTTGACCCGCCACCGCAAACTCAGCGTTCTGCATATGTTAATACTTTGTGGTATTTGGAGTGCTGTGTTGCATATGAGCGATGAAGAAGCGAACCAGTCTTATCCGGCGAGGGGTTCATTGGCATTTTTGCTGATTCTTGTAGCAATCTTTGCATTCGCATCCCTTCTCATGGCTCACTCTTTCCACGTATTTGTATAAACATGATCAAGTGAAGGTTACGAAACGGAAGAGACAAAATCAGTTTTTGTGCTGTTCTCGTGTGGTCAGGCGTTTAACCTTCGCACTGTCATTTATAGTGATTAGCATTTGCATCGGGTGTCGCAATGCGCTCAAATCAGCATTGTCATCAATGATTTAAAGCACCCTTCCGTCCACGCCTCATAGCGCTAGAATTAGTGGGGGGTATTGGTAAGGACTAAGCAAGGCAACTAGGGCTGAAATCTTAGATAGATATATCTACGTATTAACTATTTAGCCCTTGGTAAAAGAATATAGCACAAGAAAGTGACAAGTCGAAAAAGTAGTGCCTCCAAGATGTCGCGGCTTCTCGCACATAGGCCGCTTATGCGAGCTGACCACGAACGGCACCAGGGACGAACTGGCGGGTGTGAGTGTCGGTGAAGAAGGCACCGGGGTTAGCGACGATCTGGCGAACGTGGAAGCCAGTGCCGGTGTCATTGCCATCAGTGCCGTTGATGCCAGTCTTGAAGGGTCCGGTAATGCAGCCAGTAGAGATGCGGCGGTCATCAGGTCCAGCAGGGTTAGGGAAGGCAATACGAGGAGGCCCTGCGCGGCCCTTGGCAGCTTCGTGGATGTGCGTGGATGTGAGGGCTGCAGATTGGTACTCGCCGGTGACGCCGGAAAGGGTGATGTTCTGGTGATTGTTAGTTGGATTGGCAGGCAAAGAGAGCCAAAGCGATCACTTACGTAGCAGATAGTGTTGTCAGCGATGTTGATGCCGTACTTGAAGAGGCCCTTGGCGCCGGGCTGGCCAGGGGCAGGAACTTGTTCGGGGTTGATGACCTGATCAGGAGTCGCCTTCACGACGTACTGGGCATCGAAGTAGAAGAGCTTCTCGTGCTTTTTCCAGTCATTGGTCTTCTTGTTCCACTTGTTCTCAAGATCCTTCTTGCAGTCTTTGATGTATGCCTTCTTGTCATCGTACTTTTGGTTGGTAGGGGCAGCGACAGCAAGGGTTGCCGCCAGGAGGGTAATGAAAGCGGGTGCGGAGAAGTGCATTTTGAATGTAATTGATGGATCAGCGAAGAATTGTTGTAGTGATTGATTGTGGGTGATCGAAGTGGCTGGTGGTTTAATTTTTGAAGGTACTTTAGTCCTTCTTTATACGATTATGAAGCCCCTTTGCATTATCGATATGATCCCAAGGCACTCAAGTTGTATGGGTGCCATTACGTCGGTGTACCACAGGAGGGCTTGGGTGGAAATCGTAGGGTCTTGGTTGTGATGGCAAGTGCCTTGGTGTATTCCGAACGGCCATGAAGCCAAGGCTACTACCATCATATGGCTTGAGGCTGATAGTCATGAATTGTAGTGAGCAGCAGCAGCACGATGAGTAGAAGTCCAATGAGCGTGAAGCATTATTTGGGAGACGTCTCGCCGTCAAGTGCCCTAATAGACCACCGCGAGATTTTTATGTGTAGCCAACGGGAGCACTTCAATGACCATTCCTTTGTGCTTCGGCGAATAAATGCGAAGGAGTATGAGCCAAACATACGGCGGCTTGGCCTTGGATGCAGATGAATCTTTCCTGCGAAGTACAAGGCCTGGTAAGCTTGTTTGTCTAAGAGCCGTGATCGCCTCCCAAGATATCGCCTAGATGCCTTGGTACGGAAGGCCCTCCTTCCGTAGCGTCTGCATTCCAGAAGCGCATTGTCTTAGCTTACATCGAGTCTCAATCGAGGCAAGCACAGATCTTAGATTACCGCATTCGGTCGCGATGTGAATGTCAAAGTGGCTGTGTCGGCGGAAGTTGGGTTGAAAGCCAATAGCTTGGCTCAGATCTCCTTGGCTGGGCTTGCGCAGATACTGTGGGTAACCTGTGCTGGGCTGCTGTCACGAAGTGGACGTCAAAGCCACAAGCGCGGGGCTAGGCCGGGTTCTGCCGATGGCACTGGAAGCCCACGCCGCATCTCTGTAGTGCTACTCCTAGGGTTTTTCTCTTTCTTTGTGGTCTCCGATATGGGAATCAACCCGATACTTTTCGCACAGACGTCATCGCACCGCGACTTCTCCGGAATAGCGCGGAGCTCAAACCTACGTGCCTACCTACCCAGGTCACCCTGCAGGCCAGCAAGCACTTATGATTAATTGACGATACGATGTACCTGTGACTCGTAAGCAGCGCGAGGGGACGGCGCGATGCGTTTGAGCCTGCGCTTGCTGTTAATCATTGAGTATGCCTAGGTACCATAGGTACCGTGAAAGAAGCGAGATGCAGCTTGCATGTGTCGACAGCTAGCATGTTCTATCCAGGTCGACTTCATGGGTCCACAAGGAACGGATCTGGCATTTTTCCGAATGTGTTCAGCGGCAAGATCTAAGGTTCGGTAATTGATCTGCCCTGGTCATGTTGATATTTGGACGGTCGTACCTTACAATTTCGAAAGGGATATATGTATGCTTCTACGCAAGTTATCTAAATGGACAAAAATTGAGCTGTAGGTCGTAACTCTAGTCCGTTGTTGTTGGAACGTGGCTTTTGCCATTGCCGTGGTGAGAGACCTACCCAGGTAGGCGGCAGCAAACGTGATCGACTTCCGCATTGCTCGCAAATGGTTCCACACCACCTAAAAACAGTAGTCTATGCATTGGGGTACTGCTTTTGGATGACTGATACAGGGGCTAGTCAATACCATGTATAGGTGGACTTGTTGAAAACCTTTCTAAGTTGTGGGCATGGGCAGGTAATGCAGCTATTCTTTCAGAGCACCAGTATTGATAGACCAACAACTATTTTCTTTTTCTGTGGATATGGGGTGATCGGACCTGGTTCTCGGTTGGCGAGCGGGAGTGTGGGCCGGTGGGCATGTGGATTCGGTTGACGTGGGTACGGGTTGATAAAGTGGGCGGATGCGCGCTGATGGTGGGTGGTGCCCGTGGCGCCGGGACAAGGGAAGTTCAGGAACATCTATGGTATCCGTATCGCGAAGAACCAGTGGACTGGACAAATAAATCTGGGCTGGGGAGGTATGCTCGTGGAGGGTGCACATTGCTGGGCGTAGTGACGGGGATAGGCTGTCGAACGGGGTGTAGATTGGGCGAAAGCCGGTGTTGGAGTTAAGACTCATGAGTATTATGCAGGGAGGGAGGGAAGGGGAGGATAGCAAACAGCATTCACGCTTGTTCCTTTTCCTAGGTGACTGCAAGTTACGATCGATCAGTCAATCTTGTAGAAGAGCTGGGCTGGAAAATACACGAGCGCTCGGCGAAGAAGATCTCCATTTCTTCAATCTGAAGGATCAAATCCGCATGATTCTTGAAGGGCCCTCAGTCAGAAGACTCAGTTCGATAGTCGTACCTTTACACACCTCGTTCTGCACATGTATGCTTTTTGATATTGCCCATGCGTACTCATATGCTTTTGTGGCGACGGCAAATTCGTTTAGTTAAGCACATATCGGCCAAAACTAGGCTTCCACTTCTACTTCTAAGAGTTCATGCAAGTAAATATGTGACTTTCACGTCTCTTCTTGACTGCAATGTTTCGTTCTTTCGCTTAGCCGAAAGCCATCCTTATCTACTAGTGAAACTGGCGAGGCCAAAGCCCCATGTCAGCAGCGACAGAAGGTACTGTTGCCCTAGAGCGTACAATAATGATTCGACATTGTCAAAAGACAGTAGCAGTATGAGATAGGTGGGAACTCCGGCTCCGGTAAGTACCACCACCCTAGAAGAATTGCTACTGGATGGTTATAGCGGAGTTGGGTCTGCCTGTCGAACCTCTTGCGTAAAGCCCTTCGTGGGAGATCCTGATCTAAGTCGCTCCACCACACTGTCAGGTTCATGACGGCGTTTCACACATTCTTATCAAAGAGAAATCGGGCATGCAAGAATGTTTAGCCCTTATTGTGTCAAAACCTCATTATACCAAATTGAGATGACATGAATGGATATGGCGATAAAACTAGTAGGGCTTGAGATCATCGCTCAAAAATGTGGAGGTGATTCTGGGATGTCTGCGCTAGATGGTGTCCTGGTCGCTGGGTTTGATTCAGCGGATATCTGGTCATTCCCTCCTCGTCCCTGTACACCTATACGGTCCCATGTTTGGCGCATTTTCGTCCAATTATGCGATTAGAGATCACGACAGGTAGCTTCAAGATTTGGACGCCAGGCGCATTTTGTTCCGGGTGACATTGATGACTGAGTCTCTTAGGACCGATGGCCATCTGATCATGTCCTCTCGGGCTTCGCCTTACGGTGATACGATGTCTCTTATATCCGCCATGTAGGACAGGAATTGAGACAGCCCCTCCTTGATCGACAATGCTTGAGCAGGTAGTTGAAGCGCAGCTCTGGAAAATCCTATAGTCGCCCAACCAGGCCGCGCTAGCTTAGGCGCCCGCGGAAGACGCACCTTCGGATGACCGCGACGCAACGACTCGCCAGCTCACCATCACACCACCCAACCTCCCGGAATCACCGTTTGCCCGAGTCCAGCACGGTCGCCCGCCGACGCAGCGCCGCAAGAGCGAGCGTTATCGCTTACAAGGTTTGCCGCTAGCCCAGATGAGAATCTTCGAGGAGGTTGCTTCCGAAGGTAATGGACAACAATAATACACCACAACGTTTAGAAATCTCAGGGACACAAGTTCTGTATTGTTCAAGGATTGGCAACAACGTGCGGAGTAACGCTTGCACAGCTTCCAGTTTAGTTGGTTACAGCCACATCATCTTCCCCGCAAACCTCCCCGGACCAAACAAGGATAGAAGGATCCTAGTCACCTAGTCTACATTCTTCCTGCGGCCAGCGGATCTGGCCATCGCCCGTGCTATCCCCAGACTTCCAAGGTTCTCCGCGTGCTCGCGACTCCACTCACACATCTCCGCACCGCCGGCTCTAATGCCCACATTACCGATCGAGGTTTAGCCTTGTTGTCATCCGCATCACCCAGTTCGAAGATGCATGGTAGTTTCCAAAACACTATGCACAGGGTTTCGGGCGGAGTCTCTGCACGCTCCGTCTATCGACTTTTGAATACTCATCACCAGTTGCAATAAGTAATCTGGCAATGCTGGGTATAAGTAACACCATCCGGCCTCGACCTGCACCATAGAAGTTGGTCCACGAGGTCAAAAGGAGGTGAACCTTCAAACGCTAATGCCATGTCGGACCATGACCATGCCATCTTTGCCGAAGACGCGTAGCCACTCACAGCCAAGATAAGGCCTGGAGTATACTAGATCAAAGGTCAGCCCCTCCGCCTAGTCTCGCCGTTGGTCCAGGACAAGAGAAATCTGGGCTGATCGCCGCCATAAGGGGACAATATGCACACCTTGGACGGCTCCGCTCCTTGCCGTTGCGGCACCGCTTTCGAAGTATTTGAGTATGGGGCAGAACGGACTTTGTTGGACTTCACCATTGGCAGTCTGATTTCACTCCGGCTTTTGTACAACTTGTTGTGGTGTTTATTGATATATCGAACTCCCTTTGGCTCCCCCTTGGATTACGCCGTTAACGATTTGAACGTGTCTGCTGTCATCTCAACATGGCCAATCAACATGAGAACCTGCGCGAGAGGACGCTCAACAACGAGAACCTTGCCGGCCCCGAGGTCAATCGAGGCGGTGTCGGGGGGAACCACGCGAATCTCATGGATCGGACGCACAACAATGAGAATCTCACTGCGCCCACGCCAGACTTGAGCGCTCCCTTGGAGAAGGACTTTAGCAATGGTAGTAAAACTTCCGGCCACCTTCCTCCCTTCGACGTTAATAGCCAGGCAGGCGCGTACAGCAACGGGTATCATCAACATCTGGATGCCAGCCATGACTCCGAGACTGCACTCAGGAAGATACAGACGGCCGGCAGCATATCGATCACACCTGAACTCTTCGAGAAGCTCTATCTCTCGCCGCAGACCCGCGTCCATGGTGATCTGCGGAGAACCGTCGGCAACCCAACGCCTCTGTAAGCCCGTTTTTGGTCCCAATTGATATCACTGCTAATCTTTCAGGGCTCTTCTCGGCTTTTTGCTCTCGCTCATGCCGCTGAGCATGGATCTGATGGGCTGGAGGGGCGCGGGTGGTAATGGTGAGTCAATGCGAAAGATTTGAGATGGAAGCAAGCTCTACTGACCGCACGCTTCCGCAGGCGCCGCCGGAACTGGCACATACTACTTCTTTGGTGGCCTTCTGATGATCCTTGGATCTCTCGGCGAGGTACACCCTCACCATCATCATGCTGCGTGTCATCTTATACTAACTTTTGCAGTTCCTCATTGGCAACACGTTCCCTTTCGTCGTGTTTGGTTCCTTCGGCGCCTTTTGGCTCGGCTGGGCAGCTACCCTCCAGCCCTTCTACAATGCCTATGGCGCGTACTCGACTACCGACAATCCCGCAGACGGACTCGCAACCGTTGGCTTCCGCTCCAGTTACGGTGAGTCATCAAGTCTCCTCTCACATGTATGCTTACGCATACTAACCTACTCGACTAGCATTTTTCTTTCTCGCCATGGCTCTGCTCTGCTTCATCTACCTTATCTGCTCCCTCCGAACCAACATGTGCTTTTTCATGATCTTCTTCTCGCTAGTCATGACCTTCTGCCTGCTCGCTGGATCGTTCTGGGAAGCGAATAATGGGAACGTCGCTCTGTCTGGAAGACTGCAAAAGGCAGGCGGGGCGTTCGGTTTCGTGACCACTCTGTTCGGGTGGTGGATCTTCATTGCTATCATGCTGGCTAGCTTGGACTTCCCGTTCGAGATTCCAGGTAAGTGAATGTGGGTCTAGAAGAAGACAGGGTTGCATGCTGACGTGGATACAGTCGGTGATCTTTCAGGGTTTATCAAGGGTGCTACAGAGAGGAAGTCGAAGGAGAGCGTGTAGAGGGTACGATGCTAAATCGAAGGAAGGACGAGGGTGGAGCGACGAGGGGTGTACAAACAACGACGTATACGCAAGTCATTTTGATGGACTGCATCCCTGTTCCAAAACGAAGATTGGGTTTATCAGATAGGGCGCTGCTGCTGCTTCGATTTCGATACCCGCGTATGTCTGCGCGCACGGTCTCTTACCACCTGCTCAAAACTAATCTCACTGCATCTACAAACCTTGCAATCCTCAGCCAAGTGACAAGAAGCAATGACAGCTCTACATGATCCCCCCTACACCTGACCATCTCCACTCTGATTCCCATAAACGAGCCTCTCGGCCCTGCATCGGCGCAGCCTCGAGTACGCGCGCCTCCGGGCATGCTCGGGAAAAAGCACAACTGCCATCAAACAAGCGGCCAATGCATCGGTTGTTCGCAAAGTTAATGTTGCTGTACAACACATTCACCGCCCACAGCAGGGTAAACAACGCAAAAGCAGTGAGCAAGGAGCAGTAAGCGGACACGCAGTCATCTTTTCGGGACAATGACGCCAGACGCACGCGCAGGTCCGGCGGTCCCGCCTCGTCGCGTGACAAAGCCAGTGAGGTCCGATGCTCGCAACTCCGGATTCCTCTCTTATACACCAGATGGATGCCTCCTAGAGCACTTCTGCTTCACCTTTTGAAATTGACTTTTGCCGTCTTTTGAAGCGTCCTGGTCTTACGTTGTCTGTCTGTGCAAACGGGAAATAGACGGGTTTAAGAACCGAGGTCCAACTGGGGTTCAGGCGAAACTCGCCTCTGACGACGCGTGCAGCTGAAACGCATACGACTGTTGACGACGAATGCAAGGCTGCAGAGTCTGAGGCAGCAAGAGTATCTGTGGAGAGTCCGAGTTCCAGAAAGCGACCTCGCATTGAGGTGCAGGTACAAAGTCGGCAGGGTGTACACTGGATGACACCGGGAGAGGCGTGACGCCTTTCCTATTCCGGATCTACTATTCCGCGACTCGACTCGACTTTCTACGACGACCACATATCCACAAGAATAGAAGATCAAAATGGCGCAATTTTGGGATCTCCCCCGCGAACTCCGCGACATGATTTACACCGAGGTCCTCCTCTCCCAGCGCACCCGGCCCTCGCTCTCCGGCGAGAAGTTCATGACGTACGATCCCAGCATTAACCAGCGCTTCAAGAAGATCTACGAGCCGCAGAGCACGCTGCGTGGCGAATTCGGGTGTGCATACGCGCGCGAAGCAATTCCTCCTACCAGTGCATCCTTTCTGTGCTGCAATCGCCAGGTCAACGCCGAGATGACGGAGACATTGGCGCGGCTGAAGAAGAAGGCGTTGGTGAGCGTTAAGCTGGATTGCATTGCCGAAGATGAAAGCTTCCACTACTTCACCTGGCTGGGGATTCCGCTTGTCTCCACTTCGTGGACTATGCAGTCGCAGAGCGCAAGAGGCATGCTGCCAACTTGGCTGGGACGACTGCTTACGTCCTCAAACGCTGGACCCATGAAGCCCACCTCAACGACGCGAATTCCGCGTCTCTGGATCGACGTGCGCATCATGGGCGACAGGATGAGCAAGTGGCGCCGGAACAGCAGTCCCGCAGACCGTACAGGCTGGGCCATCTGCGCAGCGCTCAAGCGCCTCTTCGATAGGGGCCCGTATCTCGCTGCGGAGCGGGATCAGCCTGCCTCTCGTGTGCTCAGTGTAGACGAACTAGTACTGAACGTCATCCCTCCGCCGCCGACGGCATCGTTGTATTCCCCTACTGGCATGGCGCCTGCGAAGCTGCTAGACGAAGACTTCCCGCTTGATGGTGTCAAAGAGGGGACTGTGCATCCGAGGACGGTGGCGAAGGAACTGGTGAATGTGTGGGGGAAGATCTGGGCGGGGGATGAATTCAAGGGGATCTTTTATGGTGGTCTGTTGGAGAAGATCGGATGGGTAAGGATTTGTGTCGGTGGGGAGACGTTCAGGGTGAGGGAGCTGAGAGGGGTATTGGAGAGAGGGCAGAAGGAGAGGAGGAGGATTGCGGAGAGGGTGGGGTGGTGAATCGTAGAGTAAGCTGTAGAGGATTGTGGGGGCGCATCGCCGTCTGCTTTGATAATGTAGAGGCTTGTGCACGTATTGATAGTAGACGCAGCATATAGACAACCAAAGATTCAGACATGACAAGAAAACCAGGGTCCTGCTTGGTGGGGTGGTCGCACCGAGGCGTGGCCGTGGCTTCTGTCTGGTAACCGTTGGGAACGGTTTTGTGGGGTGGTTAGCATGTCGCACCGACTCATGAGGGTGCCATGTGGAAAGCCATCCGGATACACGAAGTTGCCATGGATGTGGTGAAGGTTAGCAGCGTGTTCTCGCTCTAGCCAGTGGGAACGTATACGCAACCAACTTCGTCTTACGTCTAAATGCTTGTATCCCGCACAGCCTCTGAACATCTTCGCCGGCGCCATGCAGTGAGCAACCAAAAGGCAGCTGTCCTCTCGTCAGGCAAGCCCATAGAACAGAACGGGAAAAAGACGGTGTCCCGAGCTCACGGACTCGGCTAGCGAACACGTATAGTCAGCACCTTGGTCCCCGAATCGGTCGGGGTGGCCCACGCCGATGCTGTAGGCGTCCACTGCCTTCGCACAAGTCGTTCTAGAGACGCATTCTAGAAATCCGCGAATCCAGGCTGCTGAGTGTGGCCAGCCGATCGGCGCAGGCTCGACCGCGTCTCGATCCGATGGAGTTGCTGTCAGAGGAAGTGTCCGATCAAGACCCACAGGCGGAGGGCTTGGCCCTTTTGATGAAGGAGGTTGGCGGGCGCCATTCGCTGCGGCGCTCAGGGGTGTCGTCGCTGCCGTGGCGGGCCGACGCGCACAAGTCGTCCTGTCGCTCCTGCAGCTCTCCATTCTCCTGCCCACAGTTGTCCAGACCGTGAGATGGTCTGGCGGGTCCACTGCAACGTCTGCCTCTGCCACATTCTTGCGCGGCCTCTCGATGCTTCCAACATGCAGCAACAGCGTCTGCAGAGTCTTCATGCCAGCTCCCACGGATCACGCTCTTGCACCGAACGAGGCAATGGGCGTAGCCTTTCGGGGCTAAAAAAAGCGCCTCTCGCAGCGAGGCTTACGGCACGCCAACGGTGCCTGCGCTCTCGTGCATGCGGCAGGGCTTGGCCGTCCGGATTTGTTTGATGAAACATGTCTCCGCGTCACAGCCCCTTGCCTATTCACGGCGAGTGGCCGCCCGCCATTGGCCCTCGTTCACTGTGCGCTCCAGGGGTGCAGCGACGCGGCGACGCAGGGGCCGCTTGGGGACATTGTGCACGTCTGACACCACGGGGTCGCACCAGAGAATACGCGCAGCAGGGGGCCAATCTTTTTCCCATTGAGAAAACCCTCGTCGCTATATATTCCTTCAATCCCCATTCTTTCCTGTCAATCGCTCTTTTGCCGTGCCATCCGCTGTCCCCTCCTTCCTGTCCACTTTTTTTTGCTCCGCATCCCACGCGCTGAGCGAGCACGTCCACACGCGTACCTTCTTTCTTTGTTACATACACCTCGACTGCTGGACGGTTTTTCGCCTCTTTGAGCAGCAAAACTGCCAACATGGCATCCACCTCGACTGATGGCAGCAAGACGCTGAGGCCGGGAACAATTGAGATCCCCACCTCTCGTGGCAGCGCAGACGCTCCCATGTCGCCGCGCTCGTGGAGGCACAGGACCACAACCTACCACCCTCCTTCAAGGCAGCACACCGCTGCCTCATTAGATGCCGAAGACTACTTTGTGCGTCAATTTGATCCTCTAAATGCAGCATTGACTGACTGATCCAGGTTGGTCCCCGTGACATGTCCAAGCACTCCAAATGGCCTTTCTTCATGCGCATGCACGGCTCGGTGCTTCCCAAGATGATTCTTCCCTTGACCGTCGTCACTCTCTGGTCCACGCTCATCACCTGCATCTGCGAGTTCGTTTACGAGCTCAAAGTCAGCAACTTGTTGCTTACTGTCCTCGGTTTCGTCGTCGGTCTTGCCATTTCTTTCCGGACTTCATCTGCCTACGAGCGATATACCGAAGGTCGCAAGTACTGGTCGCAACTCCTCCTCGTTGGTCAGAATTTCTCGAGGACCGTCTGGGTACATGTCGCCGAGCGAGAAGGTGAACTCGGAAAGGAGGATTTGCTCGCTAAAGTGTAGGTGGCTTCAAATTACCAAGGATAATTGGAACTGACAAAGTCGCAGTTCGGCTCTTAACCTCGTCACTGCCTTCTCTCGCTCCCTCTTGCACAAGCTCCGATTCGAGCCCGGCATTGACTATCCCGACCTCAGACCGCGCGTCGAGTACCTCGAGACCTTCGCCAAGGTTGCCGAAGCCGAAATTCCCAAGCCCAAGAAGCCGGGCAAGATGAAGGCTGCAGGAGAGTCCCTGGGTGTCACTTTCGCCGAATCCAACCCTCGCAAGAGGATCAAGCGCTCCAAGAAGCCGCTCGGAAACCTGCCTCTCGAGATTCTCAGTCACATGTCCTCCTACGTCGAATACGTCAACCAGAACGAAACTCTGAAGAACGGTCTCTATCACAACCAGTTGAGTATGTTCGTCCGCATCGCAGTCTGAAGGCCAATAGCTAATTAGCAACAGTCACTTCTGTAGTAGCATTCAATGATGTTCTCGTCGGTGTCGACCGTGTCCTCAATACCCCGCTCCCCATCGCCTACTCTATTGCCATCTCCCAGATTACCTGGGTCTACGTCATGATGCTTCCTTTCCAGATGTGGGACGACCTTCGCTGGGTGACCATCCCCGGTAGCATCTTCGCCGCCTACATCATCCTTGGTATCGCCGCTATTGGACGTGAAATTGAGAACCCCTTCGGTGAAGATGTCAACGATCTCCCGCTTGACTCCTTCTGCGAGGAACTCGAGGCTGATATCGACTACATCATGAGCAACCCGCGCCCGCAGGTTGCAGAATTCTTCCGCAGCCCTTTCAACAAGCCGCTCAACCCGCTCAGCGAGAAGAGCTTCGACGGCTGGATGGGTCGCAGCAAGCAGGATATCCGCGATGCGCTCATGACCAAGACCAAGTCAGATATGCGCATCCGCAACAGCTTTGCTGTGGGCCGGAATCAGGAGGAGAACGAGAAGCATCCTGGCCAGTCGCAGCCCAGTCAGCAACAGCAGCAGCAACAAGAGGCACAACACTAGTCCATTTGCGTGTTCGAAGCTTTATACCCCGTGAACGTCGTCACGACATTCCCAGATTGAGCGATATCGTTGCCTCGAAAGGCGTTGCTATTTTACACTGCATAGCGTGGGATCATCTTTCCTTACTGTCCAATTTCCATCATCTGTTCCATTCAGCGGCCCGGAACGGCGTTTCTCGTTTACAAAGTAGTATACTCGTATTGCACATAGTGTCCCGTCATCATATCAAAAGTTCAAGTTCGTTATACATTGCTTTATTTTATCTGAGCAAATCGTCCAACACATGCCTCCAGTCCTAGCTTCACAACCAGAATCTATGTCATTCTCACCATTTCCTCAGATCTAAACGTCGTTTACAACGTAGTATACTCCTGTTGCACATAGTGTTCCATTATCATATCAAAAGTTCAGCTTCGTTATACATCGCTTGCATTTGCGCAAGTCGTTTCTTTTGATTCCAAGGTTTTGCACATGCCTCTGCCTCCAGTCCCAGCTTCACGACTAGCAATTTTATCTTTCTCGCCGTCTCCTCACGCCCAAACGCCTCGGCAGCAACAATCGGCACCGCACATCCTGCCTTCGCATAGAACTCTTGGTCATCCACTGGGACCCCGAACCGCGCGAGCGCTTCCAGCAACGCGAAGTTGCCTCGTTGGGCAGCGACCATCATGCAGTGTGCGACCCCGAAACCGGTGTGCTCTTCCACGGTCAACAGTTCTCCACGATGAACCGCTTTACGCTGCAGTAGGTAGCACGTCCGCTGTAGCACGCCGCACTTCGCTTCGTCCATGGGCGGCCAGGGTGCAATCGATGCGAGGAGCTGCATTGCTGCGACGGCGGAGAGTGTAGCCCCGGCATCGAGGAGGACACACAGCGTGTCCATGGTGCCTGTTCTTACGCAAGGTAGCAAGAAGTCATCTACTGGAACCGCATTCTTCAGCTGCTTGGTCTTCTCGAGGAGGATCCCGAGGGTGGAAGCTTGGCCTGCGGCGCATGTTGCGGTTACGAGCTTGCGGAGGGGCGGACCCGTCCAGCGATGTCCCTTCGCGTACGCTGCGGCTTCGATGAGTCGAGGTACCAGCTGCACCATGCCGCGTTCGCAGGCTGAGAGAAAGGGGTTGCGCAGGTAGTATGCCAGGCTGCCGTGGCCGAAGGCCTCGCGCTGGGTGTCCAAGAGGTGCATGGCTACGTCTTCTTTGCCGAGTTCTGCGGCGTCGCCGATGGCGTTCGTGACGTCTCTAATGGAGGTCCGTAGGATAGATTGGCATTCCTGGTGCGTCGCGAACACGGCGAGTAGGCGCGGCGCGTTCGGCGCCCGCACGACGTCCTTCAGCCATCCTGGGTACTCGAACTTCGCTCCGTGCAGCAGGAAGCGGCGCACGAGATTTGCGTCGTTGGTGGCGATGGCGGCCTGGACGGGAGTGCCGAAGTAGTCACTGTGGGTTTGCGAGAGGTCGGTTTGCAAGCAGAGCAATTCCGCCAGCACGGAGAGCTGCTTCAGATGCGTTGCAGCAACAAGCAGATGCTCTTTGAAGTCTCTTCTTGAGGCATCTCCGATGGGTTTCCTGACAAGAAGATGAAGCGAGGACCTGTGGCATAGTGTCGTTATCATTTGCGTTCGGAGTGCGGCGGTCTGTGGCCTGAGTCTGATGATGGTGTCCACAACCTCGTTAATGAGTGCAGGAAAGTTGTCGTTCCAACGGGCATCCTCCTGGTATGGTCTAAGGAGAACATAGCGCGCGATGAAAGCTGCGTATTCGGGATGGAGATCGAACGATGAGGATGGGCGCGAGTCGTTGGCGATGAGGAAGTTGTCCTGCTCCAGGATGAGGAAGACTTCCCACTCGAACACGGCTATATATTTAGTGGTGTTCGTAGTAAAGAGTCGGAGGTCTTACTATTGACACGAGCGAGGCTAATGACGTCGCTGTTTGTCCATTTGTGGCATGCTGAGTAGCATGTTGTTGCGTTGTTGCAGTTGGATGGTTGGGAAACGACGTCTCGAATGATGGGGCGGAGGAGTTCGATGGGGAGTTCCAAGAGGCCCATGTCATTCGTTGGTGCCTAATATTTTTGAGCTAAATTTTTCTCATTGCTGTTGAGTTGTGTCGAGCTAGGTGCGAGTGATATGTCCGTGGTTGCCTTGTTCGTGTCCACCAGGCACACCACATTTGTACCGACACGTAAGGCGCAACGTCACCACAGCAGAGCAAGTGCATCATTTTTCCACGAGATCAATCTTGTTGTACCCGTCGATGTGCTAGTCTAGGAAATATACATGCTCCCGTTGATGTGTCAAAATTTTAGAGCGTGACCGAGTGTACTTCGACATCCTTGAAACAAATTGCTACCTCCGATGTTTTTTCTACAATTCTTTCCTCTTATCAAACTCTCCCCGGATACTCATCGAACTCCAAAGCTTGCCAAGAGTAGTGTCGACTTCGAGCTTCCACTAGCTTCATTGGGATATGTCTCTTGGGTCATTTGTCGGCCGGCTGGCCTTCACGAGCAACAGCATTGGAATCTCCATTCTCATTTCCGGCTGCGAGAATTGTGCGTAGCACATGACAGGACTGACTCGTTAGTCTGCTGCTGAGGTGTACCGTTCTATGGCCACTGCATGCTCGAATCCTACAGTTTTCCTCCATGAGCGTTAGCCGAATCAGGGCAGCCAGCAGATCGCACCTTTAGAACCAATATGAACGTTGCTATTCGCCGGGTATATTGGCGTATCCTGCACTAGACTATCGAGTCAATAAATTGTCACCCTGTCTTAGCTGAAACAGCAGGGCTGTCGTATTTGTACCCCGCATTTTGTTGTGTGGTGGAGAGTCTTCAGGTACCACGCTTGGGCCGAGGCACTACACTCCACACTACTCAATCTGGATAGCTCTCAACGGCAGACTTAGTAAGGTTTGGTTTTCGGCGAAGTGACTTGGCATATGAAAGCTCGGTAGCATGCAAACTTACAATTGATTCATGATGCTTGGCTGTAAACGTACAAACGGATGGCGTGGATGTACGTCGCCATGAAGGTTTACGAGGTTTAAAGATGGCATTCCCACATCGCGCTCACTGTAGACATTGAGTCACCGCCACCATGACTTTCTCTCGTACTTTTGCTTGCCTGTTTCTGTTTACTACCCTGTCCACCTTCTCTGTCTCTGTCTCGGCTGTTCCTCTCTCCAATCACGAGAAGAGACAGGATGCGACATTCGACTACGTGATCATAGGTGGCGGCACTGCGGGACTCACCATCGCAAATCGCCTTTCTGAAGATCCGAATGTCCAGATTGCTGTCATTGAAGCTGGTACTTTCTATCAGGCAGGAAATCCGCTGCTCTCGTCTACACCAGCGGGAGATGTCATTTGGGCAGGTGCAAGTCCATTAGATACAAATCCTCTAGTTGACTGGAACTTTGTGACGGCTCCACAAGCGGGTGCAAATGGAAGAGAATTGCATTATGCGAGGGGAAAATGTTTGGGTGGAAGGTATGTTCGATATGGACGCACCCCTCGGATAGTAAGCTAACAAGGGTGCAGTTCTGCGCGAAACTTCATGATCTACCAACGTGGTGACCGCGGATCTTATCAACGCTGGGCCGATCTCGTTGGAGATGATTCCTACACCTTCGATAACTGGCTACCTTACTTCAAGAAGTCGACTCAATTCACGCCTCCTATAACCCCACCTCGCGCGGCTAATGCATCCGCCGAGTACGCTGCCTCCGCTTTCTCATCATCCGGCAGTCCACTCCAGATCTCGTACGCGAACTACGCTGGTCCCTTTTCCAGCTGGATGGAAGCTGGTTTGAACGCCATTGGACTGCCGCAGGCCACGGATTTCAACTCGGGAACCTTGAATGGCAGTCAGTATTGCAGTTCAACAATAAATCCAAAATCTCAGGAACGAGACAGTAGCCAGACAGCGTACTATGGAGCAGATACGCAGAAAAGAGCGAACTTAAAAGTGTACACCGTCACGTTGGCCAAACAGATTCTCTTTGACTCGAGTAAAAAGGCTACTGGTGTTCGCATAGGCTCTGGCGCAATTCTCTCCGCACGAAATGAAGTTATTGTGTCCGCCGGCGCATTTCAGTCCCCCCAGCTCCTCATGGTCTCTGGCATTGGGCCCGCCGCCACTCTCCAACAATACAACATCCCTATAGTCGCCGACCGTCCTGGCGTCGGCCAAGGCATGCAGGACCATATCTTCTTCGGTCCCACGTACCGCGTCAAAGTCCAAACCCTCACTAGACTTGCCAATGATCTTCTCTATGTCGCCGATCAATTCGCAACCGATTACGCCCTTCTCAAACAAGGCCCCCTCACCAACCCTGTCTGCGATTACCTAGGCTGGGAGAACGCACCCCGAGACCTCATCACACCTGCCGCCGCCGCCGTACTTGACTCTTATCCACAATCCTGGCCAGACATCGAATACCTCAGCGGACCTGGCTACATCGGGAATTTTCAGGACCTTTTACTCCAGCAGCCCAAGGATGGCTTCCAGTATGCGACCATTCTCGGTGCTCTCGTCAAGCCTATCAGCAGAGGAAATGTCACCATCACCAGTGCAGACACCAGCGACCTTCCTCTGATCAACCCAAACTGGCTCACTGACCCTACGGACGTCGCAGTTGCACTGGCAACCTACAAGCGTGCGCGTCAAGCCTTTCAGTCGTCAGCTATGCAGCCGGGTCTTGCAGACCCAGTGGAGTACTTCCCGGGTCCTGAGGTACAGACTGATGCGCAAATCTTGAGTACGATTAGGGATACGCTGCAGACAGTCTGGCATGCTAGTTGTACGTGTCGTATGGGGAAAGAGAGCGATGTAAACGCTGTGGTAGATAGCAAGGCTCGAGTGTTCGGGGTCAGTGGATTGAGGGTTGTAGATGCGAGTTCTTTTGCTGTTCTGCCGCCGGGGCACCCGCAAAGTACGGTCTATGCGCTCGCCGAGAAGATTGCAGATGACATCAAGGCAGGTCGTTGAGTCTAATTTCGTTGTACGTGTGCAAGGATACATACGACGCCGTGGGTGGCTATGTACGTAATGTAGTGCAATCACCGAGCCGCGCGAATGAGTCATGTACGAGCTATTTCATGACCTATCAACAAGAACAACTCCTTGGGAATTTACCACGCACTGTTCAGAACATTGCCGCCTCCTGTTGCTTTACTTCCACTTCACTCTCTTTATCACTGCGACTCGCAACCCGACGTACTTCGAGTATTACCGGCTCGTCATCGGTCAAAAGCGGGGAGTTACTACTCCGGTAATCCTTAATTGAGGTCCACCATGTACTGATTAAAGCCCGACATGTCTCAATAAATGGTTTCAAACCGACCATAGAGGTACATATAACACCGACGTTGAGCTCAGCTGTAGAGTATAGGGCGGCGGCCGCTTGGTAATAGGCGACGTCAAACTCGCCGACGTATTTATATACGTAGATGATGCGTACGATGGATATGATGATCACACTAGATACGCTGTGAGCTTCTGAGATGCATTCGATGTAGAGACTGACTGACCCTGATCCAACGGAAAAGATGATGCCGATAAGGATCTTTTGCTTCAGATCAATCTGTAGCCTAAGAAGTATATTGATGGGCATGGCGATGATGCACACGTCCGTAATGATATTCACTGTGCATAGTCAGTTGCATGAAGTCATTTCCCCTTCGAAAAACATACATATGGCCATCGCTAAGTTGGCATCCTTCAAGCAGGTAGGGTCGCTGTGTTTGAGTAGGTTGCAAGGTCCCACAATCGTAATTGTGATCCCAAGATTATATCCAAGGATAATAGCACATAGTATCCAAACTCCCGTTCGATTCCATCTATCGGATAATATGCGATAGTACAGTGCGAGTAGTGATAACTTCGACAGCGCGGGCGTCCAGACGTACACGATGCTAATGCCGGTGAGGATTTCAAGGTACTTTGTAAATTGTGTTGTTGTGATGTTCCACATATGTTCACCGAAGCCGTATTGCATTGCTGCAATTGATCAGCACTCATCTGGTAGAAGAGATGTAAGCGAACCTACCGCTCATGCATATAAAAATCCATGCGATGCATCCAAGCCAGCCCAGGAAAACCAACACATCATCCCACCCCAGATTTTTCGTCAAAGATAGGCGTGTATATAGCCTCAGGAACACGAAAATCGTGGAAACCGCTGTCAGTGCCGGATATACCATGACGGTCCTAAGAGCAGTGTCACAAGGTCAGCATATTCGACTGCGTGTAATATCTGATTTGAACGATCGTGACGTCGATTGGTGACCATGAAAAAATACATCACTTACAGTTCTTGTATCTTGGTTCTCTCACCACCGAACTCCGGCGTTACGCCTAGAGGTGGAGGCACAACACCCTGCATCGCGAAGCTCCTCCACTGTGATGTTCGACATCCAGGCATCGTGGCACTCGCGCTTAAAGCGTAAAATAAGTGTCGAGAGATTAAGCGCCGCAATAGATCTAGGATATTAGGATAGAAAGAAATGACTCCCTCGCACAGTCATGGTGCCAAGGTGTGCACGAGGAGAGGTTGTCGTAATGCGGGTAGCGGTGAGACCTCCCACTGGCTGTTCGCTCATGTAGTACGAACTGTGCCACCTACATGCTGAAGGAGTTGCAGCGGAGGATTGCGAGTTTCGGCGCTAGCAACTCGGCACGATGCGCCAAACCAGGTCCGCTGTGCAGGGAAGCCTGATACCTACCACTTTAGTACATGGCAGCGCGGAAACTGCGGCTCGCGGCGCGGATGCATATTACTAGCTACCGATGCGTGGGTCGTTGCATCTGTACAGCGGTGACATGGCCTGATCAAGGCAAGCGATAAACACCACCTCGCCATGGGTTCCGATATGTATTTAGCGATCCCGTCTGATATCGGAGCTTCTCAGCGCTATCATGACTTCTCTCTCCATTTCTGTTCTACTACAACCGCTGCTGTTGGCTATTGCGCTACACGAGTTTGTTCTGCGTCGTGTAGAAGTCGATCATCTCGTCCTCCATGGCATTGCAACCTCCGCAGCTGGATTTTGGATCCTCGTCTACTGTATCGGACTCGGTGATGCATTCTCTCTAGCGACGATATTTTGGGGTTCTCTTTCGATCTGGACGCTGTTATATCGTGCTTTTTGGCATCCACTCAACCGGTTTCCCGGGCCGTTTGGGGCAAAGTTATCGAAGTGGTGGACGACGCGAAAAACATGGGAAACGCAGTGGCACATGCATCGCGTGCATCAGGCTCTACATGCCAATTATGGGGACTATGTAAGGACAGGTATGTTATTTCAGTCTATGATGAAGCTGCAGACCACGATGGTAAAAGAAAAATACTGGAAAGATGCTGACTTGGATCAGGACCACGAGAAATCTCTATATACGACCCAGCGGCGATAGTACCAATCCTTGGACTTTCGTCGAAGTCCCTCAAAGGCCCGTTCTACGATATAATGGAGGATACTCTACACATGACTCGCAATCAAGCATTCCACAAGCAGCGTCGCCGTATCTGGGATAATGCAATGAAGAGCTGTGCGTACACTACTGGTCCTGGACTTCTCTCGTCGTTCCGGGAATGCTCATATCCTTAGCGCTGTCTGATTATGCCACACGCATCGAAGAGTTTACCGATCAGCTGCTCACTCGGCTGCGCGACGCAAACGGGGAACCGGTCCCACTACTCAAGTGCTGCGCTCACTACAGTTACGATGTCATGAGTGATTTAGCATTTGGGAAGCCGATGGGATTTATTAAGGGTGAGCAGAGCGATAAAGCCGAGAGTATATTGAAGACATTGTCTGATGGCTTGGATGCTATGGGATTAATATACCACGTGCCTTGGTGAGTAAACGGATGCCCCGGATCAATTGATTAAATCAGAGACATTGCAATCCTTTGCCGTATCACTATTACAACTTACTATTACCTCTAGGTTCATGAATGCAATTAGTGTTCTCACATCGGTTGCTGGACCTTTGAAAGCATGGAGAGAATGGAGCGTGCTTAACATGAGCGAGCGCATGACTGTAAGCCTTGTGCCTTTCCTTCCCCAATCACTCTGAGACTAACAGCCTGTAGCTTAGCAAGCAGGAGAAGCCCGATCTTGTTGAGCATCTCATTAATTACACGCCAAAGAATCCCGAAGGTGACGAGCTTCTATATGGAGAGTCGCGTCTAATTATCAGTGCTGGCAGTGAAACGACTGCCACAGCCCTGACATTCATACTCATGCAGCTTGCCACGCATCCTGCTATCATGCGTGCAGTGCGTCAAGAATACCGTGATAGGGAGGCTACATATCACTGTCAGCGACCACTTTCTCTACTCGACGCCGTAATTTCTGAATCATTACGTATGTGGCCATCACTGTTTTTCTTAGGCCAGCGCGTAACCCCGACCGACGGCTTGCAAATAGGTTCCCAATTCATCCCTGGCAACACAATCGTTCAGATACAGCCGTTCGTGATGAATCGGGATCCCCGGAACTTTTCGTGCCCGGATGAATTCATACCTGAGCGGTGGACGACACGCCCCGAATTAGTGATAAACAAAGAAGCCTTTATTCCCTTCAGCACGGGGCCGTATGATTGCGTTGGTAAAAGGCTGGCATACATGGAGATGAGGAGCGTTATTGCCAAAGTGGTAGGCGAGTTTGATGTATGTCTTCCGGAGGGGTTTAAGGAAGAGGTATACTGGGGTGGGGTTAGGGATCACATCACTGCAGCCGCGCCGCCGAACCAGGAAGTGATGTTCTGTAAACCGAGCACCCTGGGTTCGGCCGCCCTCTGAGTACTCCCCACGTTGTCACGACGTTATACGCACGGCACGCAGAGTCTTCCATGACTTCAAAAGCTTCATAAAGGGTCTAGAGGGGTATGATACAAATATTAGTTGCAAAAGGAGTCGACCCCAGCCACATGTCTCGCTCAGTCAAGTCGCACGCGATTGAAATGACCATTACGCTGGGTACGATCCAGCGGCGCAATCCGCCTTGCATCCGAGGTGAAGCTCGTCGGCCTTCTCGCTAACGTCCCAGTCTTTGCTCCAAACAGTCTGATCGCCCTTGCCATCGTGGAAATCACAGCGGCGACGTATATAACCGTGATCAACCTTGACCGTCTGACTGCTCCAGATTGCATGGCATGCGGTGTCCTGCCATACACAGGTGCTCTTGGTGGTGACCGACTCACACTTAGACTCCCCATAGCTATTCGTAATACTGGACGAGACCGAAAAGATGTCCTTGAGGATGCCGACCTCGGCTCCGACTTCGATAGAAATGCTCCAATCGTTGCACGTCTCTACGCCTTGATCGATTCCTGCTTCACACTGGGATGTTGTCCCGCAGTCAATGGAACCCTCGCGCTTCCAGTCCGTTTGCTTGTAGGAGGACGATACGTAGAAAAGGTCGGTCCAGCATTTGTCGCCACCCAGGCCGCCATATCTGAACTCATCGTCTGAGCGGACATAAGAACCAGAGTCGTCCGGGTAACTGCTCCATTGCCCTGTGTAGTCGCCGTATGTGTCCGTGGGACCACGCTTTTTGATGGTTCTTAGATTGCGTTTGGCCGCTGGAGTGGCCTCGCCTTGGTCGGTCGTCCCAGGTAGGACGATAAGATCACGCCGTGAGAGTTCTTGCGGGGCAGTGTTGACTGCAGGTGCGGCGGCGGCGGTCGAAGCCAGAGCAACAACAACTGCAACGGTCTGGACTGTGATCTGCATCTTGACTATGCAATTTGCTTCAGGATTAGGTTTGTATTGATGAATCAAACGAAAGACTTTTGCGAAGATTAGAAGCTATGTTGAAAGAAGTGAGAATGATGTGCTTCTGCTGTGTAAGAAAGCAAGTATTAGGGTGTGTTGTCCCCTTTATGTACTCTAGCACCATAACTTGCAATTGATCTTAGAAACTTATCTGCAACGCTAACTCTAATATTGGAGCATCTCGTAACATCTGCTCTCATGTTCCACCTAGTATGCGCTGTTGTCTACCCAACTCCGTAGCTTTCAAAGCTTCTCAGGTCGACTTGAGCCTCAATCTCCGATATAACAGCATTGCATCTGCACATCACCCTTGGCATGCTCAATAAGCCACACCATTGACGTAATTTTGGATAGAACAGATGTGAATACGAGGTGGCGACCAATCAAAGTACTAAGCACGCATGGCGGCGGTTACAACAAGCGAGTCCGGTTCGCTTGGCCTTGTACTATGTAGGGCACGGTACTTGGGTTGAGTATTGGAGAACACTTCTATTGCGACGTGCTAATTCTAGTTGTAGATTTGCCATGGGTCCTTGAGCTTCGTACGGCGGACATCCTTGTGCTCACTGATTTCGAAGACCAGAGGGTTGCGAACCACGAGGATCTGGGACTACTACATCGACAATGCGTGGTCACGTAAGCACTTCCGAAAGACAAAGTTAGCATCACAGAAAGAGGGTGAAATTGGTGAAAGGAAAGGTCCCAGTAATACTTTTGTTTTCATTCAAGGACGTTTTGGGTGTGCTTTCGTGGCGCATCCCCTACAATGATCCCTTCTTCGAATTCTAGACAAATTGTCTAACTCCTAGACTACGGTCGTCCAACACGAGCCAATACACCTTAGTAGTCCTCAATTCGGGGTTCCTGCACGAGGGAAATCCGAGTAAGGTCTAGCGCAGAGCAATTCGGGAAAACTCCGTGATCTGCCAGCGTTATAATCCCAGTAGCCCACTTGGTACAACACTAGGAGAATCGCTTGAATTCGCCACGAAAACATGAAAGAACGTAGGCACAAAGTCCGAAATAACGATAAATTATCAATCATGAACTCTTCAAGAGGCTCATTGAGATTCTGGGATGTGTTGTAGATTGTTTGGACGTGACTAGAGAACTGGATTCCCACTATGGGAAAAATTTCGGACACAACGAGGTTATTCGTCGTGTGCCCATATATGATATATCATTCAGTTGTCTGGATAACGCATGGCAGTCACGAGGGTGGGATCGAAAATCTAATCCTGGTCAGCTGGATAAAATCTTACGGACATGGCGTCTTAGAGCTATCCGGCAGGCATCCTGACTTAGTAGATGTAAGCTACCTTAGTGATAGATCTGCGCGCAGATCAGAATAGAGGCTGAGCTGTGCTGAAGGCACACTTCTATAGTCGTTTGAAACTTGTATACCAACTGAGTACCCTTAGTATACTTATCTTGATGGTTTAGCGCATTCTTTTCGTAGACTTGATTAGATTTCACTATTTGCGATGAGAGGAATTTTATTATATATGGCTTTAATGACGAAAACAAGGTACATAGAGCTATGGGAAGGTGAGGGGGAACTCTTAAAGAGCACTAATATCCAGTTCAGCTACATACCAATCGCGTGCGCGACAGGAACGAACGATACATAACGCAAAAAAAACAACTGAATTTGATATATACCCTCTAAAGTTTATTTATGGTAATGGGAAGCTTGGAATTCTTTACGCGATCGTCCGAAATTAGTATTTGCGCAGGAAACCACTCCTCCAGTGACCTTAAATCTTCCACACTTTTCCCATCCTCGCCGCGTATCAGAATAGCCAACGCCTTTCCACACAGCCATGCATGGACCATACCCTCTCCCGAGTACCCCACAGCCGCCCACTCACAGCCTCCAACTTTGCTGGTACACGCAGACTCCCGATGCGTGAGGCTCGCGGGCAGCTTGCCGACCCAAGGGAACCCATCGGCGCTGAAGCCCATGATGCCAGTCCACATATACTTGACGCTGTTACCTTGCGTGGGGCCCCAGTTCCCGTGGCCAAAGACTGCGCTCAGCGCGCCCGAAAGATGTACGTCGATATCCGCGCTCAACGCAGAGTCGTCTGCTACTCCGATTTCTGCGAGACCCTGCCTGCTCGCGGGCGCAATGCCGCCGCCTAGCATCATCTCGCCGTGCGAGGCAGGCGGCGCCACAGGAAGCTGGGTGAGGTAGTCGAACTTGTCGCCGTAGTTGATGAGCCAGGAGTGCTTAGTGCCCTGGAAGCCGAAGGTTTGACCGGGTGCTTGCGCGCTCATTTGGCCTCGCAGCGGGAATACCCGACCACGGAAGCCGGGTACTAGATGTCCTACGTACCCATTTGTTGCGTGGACAATGTGTTTCGCACGGAGGGGGCCTCGGTTTGTCTGCAGTACGTGCGGGTACGCTGCGTCTGTGTTGCTGTCGATGCTGATGGTTTGCACACTGGTGCCGGTTTCTAGTCGGAAGTGCTTTGGATATTTCGTGCAGATGTCGGAGAGGATGGCAGTTGTGAACTTGTAAGGCCAAAGGGCGCCTGCGGGCCCAGTGATGGCGCCTGTAGCGTACGCTAGCCCGAATTCCTTCTTCGCAGCTTCAGCTTCATACGCCTTGAAAGACTTTGTTTCCTCGGGAAGATCTTTTTTCATCTCTTTCAGGCTGGCGCAGGCGTCATGGAACTCATGCTCATCGTGGTACACACTGACAAATTGCACGGCCCTGGCTTGCGACGCTTCCGCGACACCGAGACGATCTGCAAGATCGAGAAGCGTCTGCACATGTGCAAATCGAAATTTCAGTAGTTTTACAGCGGCTCCCTTGCCAAGCAGGCCTTTCATGGCGGAGTACTCTTCGCCAGTGGGCAGGATGTGGCCGCCATTGCGACCTGTCGCTCCGCTACTCGTACTTCTCGCTTCCAGCATAACGATGGAGAAGTCTGGCACCTCGCCATGGCTCTGACGGGAATGCAGATCCAGAAGATGGTATAGAATTGAGACTGCCGTGATTCCAGAGCCGATAATGGCAATGTCTGCCTTTTCTGGCAGAGTTGACGACTGCGCCTTGTCGATTGTGGGATGCGGGTCTTTCAACCAGAATGATTTTGACGTGTTGACCGCGCTCGGAATGCCTGGATCACTATGGATGCGGTTGAGCACCGCTTGTTGTGCGGGTATGATTGAGGAAGGGGATAAGAGAATGTCAATAACGGGAGTCGCCATTGTAGAGATGCAGAGCTCTACTCGGTGAGGATTTCTAGCAATGTTTGTAAGGAACGCAGGGCAAGCGTTCAATTAGCAGCCCTCTAGTAATATTATGATTCTATGTTTCCACTTCCTCGTGCTACCGGGTTGACATGCCGGGGCCGACTAGAAAGGTACCATAGAAGAGTAGGCCAAGCGCGCCGAATCCGTACAATGGACGCGCCGCTAGCAAACTTCTAGATACACTTACGCGCATAGATACCACTCTAGATGCGATAGACTACACGCAAAGTTACATAAAAGGTCGCAATCACTGCAACCCGGACCTATACTAACAGTATTTCGGACCAATTCCTATGGCATCTCCCGGCAACGACCTGTTCCCCGCCTTCACGGCCATGCGCCAGCCCCAATTCCGCTTCCTCTATCGCATGCAATGTCAAGTCGCAAAAGAAGAATTCGACGTCGGCGCTCCACACAAAACAGGCTGGATCCGCAGCATTGTTAACATCCTGTCAGGCCAAATCCGCGGGCCAAATATCGAGGCTGAAATCCTACCGGGCGGCGCTGATTGGGCCCAGGTGGTCGAGGGTACACATGTAGGCCGCTCCAGCGCAGATTCCCGCCTTCCTTTTTCTAAAGACAAACTGTACAGTCCATGAAACTTGATGCCCGCTACGTTGCCAAGACTAATGACGGCCACTATCTTTACATCGAAAGTGCGGGATTGTACCGCCCCGGCCCCGGCACGGCGTACGCTCAGTCGGATCAGACTCAAGCTCCGCCACGTACAGTGACACAGGACGATGTAGAGTTTTTCACACGTGTGCGCATTGAGGCTGGTCAAGGCCCTTACAATTGGCTCAATGGGCTTGTCTCCTTTGGGGTGTTGGTCTGCGAGGGCGAGACGATCGTGCTGGATGCGTATCACTTGACGAATTTTGCTGATAAGAGCCCGGAGGATGTTGTGGCAAAAGCCTCTCGATAAGGTCTTTACCATTATCCTGATTGTATGAATGAGCAATGATGTCTTTCCTCCGAATAGGCTGAGTGCTGTACACATTAGAAGTCACAATTGACCTATCTGATACCATGAAACACGCACTATCATGCATGATGGTCTTTGGTCTACTTAAGCCTTAGCCTTCGATACTCCCGTCCTCATCCTCTTGTTTACGATATCATCTACACCCCGTAATAACTTCAGCCACGTATGTCCGTCCCCAAGGCTCAAGATTGCTTTGAATCGCGAATAGCGCCTAATTTGTTCGTCTTCTTCCTCTGTTTGAACTCCAAAGTTGCTGTTTTGGCCCCAGACCATCCAGTCTGTGGCGCCAGTTGGCCAGGGCGATTCTCCGTTTGCGAATTTGATCCATGCTTCCGCAAAGGCATATGCCATTACTTTCTCCGCGGAATCCAGCTGGTTGTTGAGATTGAGAAAGAGGTATAATAGTTCGTGGGCATGGTAAGCCGTGTTTTTCAAATAGTTGTCAAGGCGTGAGCGTTGATCGAAGTGGTACTTGAACAGCTGGCCTTGCTCCTGAAGAACTTTGGAAGAGGCAGCAGTGGCGTAATTTGGAATCTTGAAGACGAGATCGCCAGCCAAATGCTCTAAGCGAGATACGAGAGTATCATCAGAAAGATTGGGAAAGATGTCGTAAAGCGTGAGAACGTGCTCAGCCTGCTCTGCGCTTTCCAGGTGTTGAGCCAAAGTAGAGCAAATGAAACTATAGTCATCGTCAAGGATGCTCTCATGGAAAATGATGCCCTCATGATACGTGTCGCCGAGCATGTAGCCGCGAAGCCAGGTGGGTGCGCCATGCAGGACTCTTGGGTCGACCGCGTGGAACCAGCCATCATAACAAGGGTTGCCGGTACCTGATCCCAGTGGCAAACCGAAAATAGCCGCACTGGCATCCGCGACATCCTGCTCGGAAACTCCGCGAAGGGACTCGAGGGCATTTACTTGCGTAGAATCTATTCCAAAATGGGCACATGTTGCTTGGAATTGTTTCTCGTGCTCTTCGAGCGTCCACGCCGGGATGGAACACGCCAGACCGGACATGCAGATAGCGCGGTGGAAGACAGGAGGCCGAGCAGACAGTAGTTGATGGCTGACAGAAATACCACCGGCGGATTCTCCTACGGCCGTCACATTGTCTGGATCACCCCCGAAAAACGAAATGTATCGTTGGATCCAGTCAAAGGCTACCTGCTGGTCCGTAAGACCAAAATTGCCGCAGCCCGCGTAACCGTCGGCTGCGAGCTCGTCTTTGATGCACTTGCTAGCAAGAAAGCCCCCCAGACCGACGCGGTAGTTGATGGTGACGGCGACCATGGGCTTTCCGAGAGCCATGCTGTGGGTGACGAGGTTGACGCAGTCAAAAATGGGAAGATGAGAGCCCCCGAAGAGAAGAGAGCCGCCGTGGATGTAGACAAAAACAGGAAGGGGCTTGTCCGTCGTTGGAGGTGCAGTGATGTTCAGGACAAGGGCGTGTCTTTCATCAGTGAGGGGCCAGGTATGATGGGCGGCTGCCGGGACAGGAACCATAGGATCAGGGTCGCTCGGGTCCATGTCAAAGGATGGGTTGGGGCATGATGGCCTGGCCAGCGTGGTCAGAAACTTCGGCAGTTGTGTGCGTGTGGGTTGGACATGATTACCCGTATTGAGTCGCGTCTAAGACGCCCGGCTCCCACGTCGTCTTCAGGCATGAACGAGTCCAGCGTTTGGACAAGGTGGCATACGGGATGCCTCGAAATTGACGGACACGGTTGGGATATTGGCGACCCTGGACGCGGCCGAGGCCCGTGATGTCGGCGGTGCAGTAGCCGTTGGGGTTTTGGAAAGACATTGGGCGGCGACGCTGTCGCGGCGCAGACGGGTGTTGCTGGTACTTAGCATGGCGGCGTGTATGCGATGACGGAGCATGGTGACGGCTGGAGATGAAGCCTTGACCAAAACGACGACCGATTGTGGCAGGTCGACGCACTGGAGGCGGCTGCAAGCCAGGGTCCATAGCGCGAGATAAGCGGCACCGTTACCCCGCATAAGATACGCGGGCGGGACCTGCGTCTGGGGTTAGGCGCGTCGAGCTGCTGCATTAAGAGCGCGATTCCGCTCAACACCATACACGTCCATCTCCATGGAGCTCGATGGCCTCCCCTGAGGCCCCCGCGACTCGCTCTCGCGGCGCCTGCGCGACCTGCAAGCGCATCAGGCGCAAGTGCGATGAGGCCCGGCCGGCCTGCGGGCGATGCGTGACGCGCGGCGTGCCCTGCGCAGGCTACACGACAACACTGCAGTGGGATGTAGGCGTTGCTTCGCGCGGCCGCTTCCGTCATGCAACCGCCCTCGCAGCGCCCGCCGTGCGTGTCCAGCCCAAGGGCCGCCAGCGCGATGTTGCCCAGCAGCTGCTTGCACAGTGTCAGCACCCCTCAACTGCCGTCCGAGCCCTTTCGTCTCTCGCTCACCCTGCTTCGCAGTCCTGGCATCTGGCCACCGCTTTCTGTTTAGTACCAAGCTCGACGAAGCTCCGCTTGCGCCTTTCGTCGCAGATCTTTCGCGCCTGTCGCGCGCCTTCTATCATCTGTGTGTTGCCTGCCAGGCTATGCTCGACGACCTGGGTAGCGTCTTCCACCATTTCTACGACATCGGGCTGACAGCTTTCCGCGCCGAGCTGGCAGAGAGTGCAGGTAGCTTCAATGAAGGCACGCTCGCTGCAGGGCTTCTGCTCTGTACTGTCGGCATCGTACAAGGCACCCCGTGGACCATTCACATCGACCACTTAGACGATCTGTTTATTGCCCCTCAGGAGACTATTGGCTTTCGCAATCTGTCCGCCTACACCTCTCATGCCATCGAGGTGGCCGGTGTCATGGACCTTCCCACCTATCAATTGGGCCGGCCTTTGCCATGTCGGCATATCTGGCGAAGGTTCAGAGCCTATCAGGCCAACACAAACAGCCTCAAACCTGGAGTCGAGCCCGTGTCTGGGCTCCCACGATCTCTTCTCGACTGTTTCGCTCGCATTGAGGACCCAGATAGCATCGATAGCTTCTGGCTCTGGCCCGGGGAACTGGGAGAGTCTGCGCAGTGCCTACTGTGGGAAGCCTATCGATTGGCTGGCGTGCTCGTGGCCCTTCGTCTCCATCGGACACTCAACCCCACAACTGCTCCCGTGACTAAGTTGTGGAGTGTACCGGATCGCACGATTCTTGTGAATCGACTGATTGCAAACATTGACTCTGTGCAGCGGAGCGTGTCCACTCCTGCAGAAAGCCAACTGCTCGTTACGAATGCCCTTGTATACCCAGTGTTTGTTGCAGGCATGCACGTAACGTACATGCACAGGTGGCCCAACTGGAAACAGGTTGTCCTGGATTTCTTCACTATCTCCATGGCGAACGACAAAATCAATAACACAAAACACGTCTTGGAGATCCTTCAAGATGCCTGGGCACATGATAATCATGATTTTGACTTTGATGATGCCGCAAAACGCAAGGGCCTCGAGATAGCTTTACTCTAGTATTCCTACCTATCATCTTCATTTTCGGAGCATCAGCCAAATCGTAACAGCTTCTGTTTTCTCTGACTCGCTAATCGCGAGTTCTGTCTGCTTGACCACAGAGAAGCCGAACCTCTCGTAGAACTTGATATTGCTCTCATCTGTACATTCCAAGAAAACTGGCATCGACCCAATGTCCGATAGAATATGTCTCATCATTCTTCCTCCCAGACCTTGACCTTGATGATCAGGTCTTACCGCCACGACCTCAATATAGTGCGCCGGGCCTCCTACTTCGATAAGGGATCTTCCTGCCGCATGATTGTCTAGCATCATCGTCACTCGCTACCATGTAAAGGTTAGGTCGGGCTATTATATCGACTATCTCACATACCTGCATATCTGAAGCCCCATCAAGGGCAGGTCGAAAGAAGTCCAGCAATGATAACCACAAACGTAATATTGGTCGTTGAAAGCTGCAAAACCTTGGCTCTGGTGGGTGGACAATTGCGACCGCCGCGTAGGTTGTATTTCGATGTGTTGATATGTGTTCAGCGTTTCGTGTTTGAATGTCTCCTTCGTGCATTGCATTGGCTCCAATCTGCGGTGTTGCAACTATCGCGTATACCGTCGATTCGGCAACAGCCCTGAGGACTCGTCTTTGCTGCCACCTAACGGACGGCGTGTCAAGATCTGCCCATGATGGGCCGGCTGGACGAAGCCAAGAGATAAGGGGATCAGAAGCAAATGCAAGGCTTATCGTTTCCGCCACAGACGAAACTGCCTTAGAATCTGGACAGGTTAGAGGTTGTGTCTCGCGCATCGTTCCGTGCTGTGTTGGCTTACCCCAGCAAATCTTCAGCGCCATCTTCCAACGTTCATCAAAAAGACTATTTGACTTCAAAAGAGAGTGTGGGTAACTTAGAAACAAGGAGTGTCGGATCTCAATTGATAAATTCGTCGGTAGACTTGCACCCGATGTTTTGGTCACAGCTTTGACCCTGCTCCAGGCTATCCCAATCGAGCAGGCCGACGCACCCCTAGACCCCTCACACTAGCCCATACGCACTTGTACGATAAGACTTGTATGAATATAGAAGATTGTACGTCGCCGTCCCAGTCCTTGACACAGCATACTGCCTTTCCTTCTGTGGGGTTCTCGCCATAGCCATTTTATGTGGCATTAAAATCTAACATTTCTCTCCCATCATCAATATCGTTGTCCAACATGAGCCATCACATCGAAGCGCGGCTCGATGAACATGGCAATCGTCTGCCTCCTGGAACTTTCCTACTCATCAAACGTATGGAACACAGTCATACTGAGTCGTTGAGGCATTAGAGCTGACGAAGCGATACCAGCCGGAGAGGTTTCCCAGCGAAACCAAAAAATCATACTCGAGCCACAACCAGACTCCAATCCCAATAACCCCTTGGTACGCGTTTGTGGATCTCGGCCCTGGTGGTGCGAGCAAACTGACAAGCATTCATCAGAACTGGACTCCATGGCGTAAAGCGTACAATTATGGGCTTGTTCTGGCGAACACGGTCATTATTTTCACCACGTACGCTTCTTTGTGGTCCCTTCTGCGCGCACATGCTTACCCAGTGGAAGGCTATCGACCCAGATCAACTTTTGGCAGCTGATGGGTCCTGACATGAATGTGACCCTTGCAGAACTCAACAATGCGGTCTCAGTCAATTTCGTGGGACTGGCCTTGGGCTGCGTCTTCTGCATTCCCTTCACTAAAAAGTACGGGAGCAGGTCCACCTATGTGCTTTCCACAGCCGTCATGGCTATCTCGTCGTGGTGGTCGGCAAAGATGAACACAGCGGCTGAACTCTATCTCACCAATCTCATTTCCGGCTTAGCGGGGGCAACCAACGAGACTATAGCTCTGATGACAGTACGTGTGCCTGCGTCACTGGGATTGTAAATCACTAATTTAAAGCCAGGTTGCTGACCTATTTTTTGTTCACCAACGCGGAACCATGAACGCCTTCTACCTTACAGCCGTAATGATTGGAGTAAGTGTTGGCACGCATTATCATTTTTTATACGGTAGCTGACATTCATTGACAGTCGTTTCTCACAGTGATACCTGCTGGCGTACAGGCAGTCAACCAGGGATGGCGAGTGTCATATCTGACTCTTGCCGCTTTCAACACCCTACTGTTCGTTCTATTTCTAGTCTCTTACGAAGAAACCAAGTATACGGCTTGTGTCGAGGGGCTGTCACGCCAAACCTCTACGAACAACGACGATGTCGTACCACACCCAAAGCAGGATCTTGATAAAGTCGCCACCAATGAGGCCGCCATGGAACTGGCCACCGAAGTAACCACTTCAGAACCGCTACTCTTCACTGCTGGGGAGAAGTACGTCGACAGAACCATCCCCATGCGCTCCAAACGCCAGCGTCTTCAATGGATTACCCCCACCGACGAGTCCCTCTGGAGACTCTTCTACACACCGGCCCTCGTTCTCATAATGCTTCCGCACGTCATCTTTACGGGCTTCCAGTGGGCACAAGGAGTCGTCTGGCTCACTCTTCTCGCCACCATCATCTCCATCGTCTTCTCGGCCCCTCCTTACAATATGAATGCTGCCGGGCTTGGCTACCTGGGCATCGGCCCCATGATTGGCAACCTTATCGGCTCCATCTACAGCGGCGTGTTGGGCGATCGTGCCGTCGTCTGGCTCGCAAAGCGCAACAAGGGCTATTTCGAGCCCGAGTTCCGCTTGTACACGCTCATTCCGTCCATTATCGCGCAGGCTGTTGGCCTTGTCCTCTTCGGTTACTTTATACAACGGGTATGTAACCTCGAGCCATGCTCTCAATCTCGTGAGTGCTAAGTAGTGTCCAGGGCGCCCACTGGGTCTACCCCTCTATCGGCGGTCTTCTCTTTGGCTTCGGCCTCGGGTCTATTAGCGACGCTTCGCTGACTATGGTCATCGACTGCTATATCGAGGTACTGCATTCGCTCTCCCTTAGACCACACATACTGACATGACACACCTAGCTGACCGGCCCATCCTTCGTCGCGATAACCTTCATTCGGAACGCCGTCAGCATCGCACTACCGTTCAGCGTCACGCCGTGGATGACTGCGATGAATCTACAAAACATGTTCATCCTTAGTGGGGTTATTTCATTCGTCGTCAGTAGCACAGCAGGCTTGTTGGTTGTATTTGGGGAGAGAATCCGCATGAGGCTTGCGCCGCGGTATTATACATTGGTTGAGCGCCAAGCTCGACTGTAGTAGATACAAAAGGAGACCAGCTCAACATACATTATCTCTGGTGTAGGCAGTCTATCATACAAAACGGTTCTTGTGGTAAAAGTGCATGAGTAGATACAAGACCAGCTTGCGTCGCTCCCGAACCTCACGCCCGCATGAGGTTCTCCATCCAGTGCTCGATGAGTGGTTGCGTCAAGCCAGTCCAGAGGCCGTCGTCCACGTCCATGTTGAGTGGAAGGTTTTCTTGATGCTTCTTCGCGGAGATCGTGGACTTCTTGATGTTGGACCATCGGCTCGATGCCGTCAGCGTCGTACGATTTGCGCTTCTTTCCTTGAGCTGAAGGTAGCCGAAGGGGGTCTGGTCCCAAAACCCGGATGCGGATGTGGTGTGGATGGAAATTTCCAAGCGCGATCAGCGCTTTCTCGCACTCCTTTGTGTATTCACGCTCAGTCATGAGCGAGGGGCGCAGGCGGGCCTGACCGAAGAAAGTGGTTTGGATTGTGGTATGCATCTTGGGTAACTTGATTTTTGATGTAGAAGTGAAGCTTGGAGCAATAAGCTGGGAAAGGTTTTGAGAGTAGGAAAGGATGAAACTGTCTGGAAGTAGAAGAAAAGCAGAATTCGCAGTATTTGTAGGCTGCGCGCAATCATGGCTTCACGTTAGTCACTTTGGAGAATTCGAGGAACAATAAGAAGAGCGTATTGTGTTATGAAGGTGAATAAGGCGGGAAAGCGGGAGGCTGGGTGTGAGCGATAGAAGTGAGTGAAGCCGGGAACGTAATTAGAGAACAGGTGAACATAGTGAGCGACATAAAAAACCGAACATGAATAGTGCCAGACTCTCAGCTCCCTATGTCGGGACATTAGATAGTCGGCTGCAGGCTGAGTAGCTATAGTATAGCCTAGGGTAACTCATCCTACAATACGTGTTCAAAGTTATAACCTGATGTGATATGGCCGTATCCCACGGTAGCGTAAGAGCTGGTTCAAATGTTATTGTATTTCCAATCCTAGCATAAGACAGAATACTCGACTTCCATCCAGAACCATATCATCTCCACGGCGTTGCCATTCATCGCGTTCGACCAGACCAAGATACCAGATAATTTAATAAGAACGTGGGTATAACCTCCGAACGAAAGATAGATATCCCTACTAACTCCTGCGTTTCTCACGAGACTAGATGTACTCGTCCCGCATGATCTCACAATATCTCGAATTGACCATGAAAGCCCTACACGGGTTGAGGAACGTATTACAACGGATTAGTATAGGGACGGAAAGGAAAGGCAGCGAGCCAAGAAGATCAGACTTAAAAGGCATCATCTTTGACCAGCGAATTTGTTTCGTAAGAATTCCCGTTACCTCCAGTGGCAGGGGATTGAACACGCTGTTGGGCGACTGGGGCATTGTCTTGTGCTTGCGCTTGAGCTTTTGCTGCTTCATTGGCGGCCGCAATGGCGGCGGAGACATCGTTGTCGAATTTTGATGGAGTCGAGGCAGATATCGCATTGCCGCTGCTCGCTGGACGAGCATCGGCACCCTCACGCTCGCCCACCGCGGCCGCGGCGAGATGTTGAAGACCAGCCAGATGTTGGGAAGGGCTTGTCTGTTCGGGAGCGCTGTGTGAGGGATTGGGGCCCTTCTTTTGATGCAAGAGGTCCCGTATTGCCGCATCCCAACCAAGATTGTCGCTGCTCGCGTTGATAATGTGTTCGTTTGCTAGTCCGTCGGCCATTTCTTTCATAGCGGCATGGGCCTCAATTTGGGTTTCCAATCGATCCGAGAGATCGCCGAGAGTGGTGGCGACCAAACTGGCGAAGATGTGGTGGAGCGGTGTGACTCGCGGATTCGCAAGGTTTCGAAGAAGGTCCTTCGTGAGAGAAAACAACTCTACAGAAGAACTGTAGTTGGATAATCGTGTAACAAACACACGGAGATACTGATAAGCTAGGTATGGGGAGGCATTGCTAGGGAGGTTGCTGATTTCGATTGACTCTCGGAAGCGCGAGAGTTGGCCATTCAAATACTTGGTTGCAGGTGATGTTACACTTAGCGCTGCGAACGCAAATGGTGAGGCAGGGTCGAGCTCAGGAACATTGCCAGCCCTTGAGATAGAAGCCACTTGACCGGCGATATCTGCTGCGCCTACACGGTGAGGTTAGCATAAACCTAGAAACATGATTAAAGACGCATGAAATACGCGTGCCGTTCAGACTGGCGGTCTGACACCATGGTGACTGAGCAGGAAAGCATGTCTACTTACGAACAAGATGATAAGCCTCCTCGCCGAGCAGCTTGTGATCCTCTCGGGATGGCGAGCCTTCATGTATAGGTAGCATGAGATTCTTGGACCTGCTGGAAGCGTGAAATCTATCCAATGTAAAAGCCACCCAAAACGTTTGGCGAGCGGCTTGGTATAGCTCTAGATCTTGCTCGCGGAGGGATGCGAGGGTTTTTGCGTCATCGAGTCCGATCTCAGTAACAACGCCAGCGATTCTGCCGAGCAGTTCGGCAGAATTACCGACAGTTCCTGGTTTGGGACGATCTGAAGCGATGAAAAGTAAGACGAGGGACTGGCAGTACACCAGGTTATTGAAGAATTGGCGAGCGTGGTCTGAATCGTCCAGAGTATACTTCGCTGCATCCACAACGTCGAAGCAATGGTGCAGCATTTCATTGACGCTGGTTTCGGAGGGTGGCAACGATCTTGGTGCGGACGAGCGGATGCTGCACTCTAGTGCCAGGAAGAGTGCTTCTCTCAATTTGGATGGACAGTGCGTAAGGCGGTTCAATGCGGATGATTCCGAGGAGAGAAGAGGCAAAGTCGAATGCATGGTATTGTAGTATCTGTTGAACAGTCAGTAAAGGTCAGACTAGCTATCACGCTGAGAATATTGCGTTACCCGACGAGTAACTGGCAAATCAACAAGACTCAGACTTACGCTTTGATGATGGCCTCATTGGACCCCGTGATGAGGCTCCCAACTAATGTCCACTCTGTAAAGGAAACGCGTCGATTGTTGTTGTTACTGTCGTTGGCGCCGTTCAAGGGTTGTTCTTCACGAGTCAGTAAAGGGAGGGCTGAGGGATCTTCGGTGATGTATGTACCGCGGTCTTGTCCAGACCAGCTTGGACGGCTATACGGTTCTCCGAAGTTCTCAGACATTGAGTAGGTGCGTTTTCTTGAAAATTGGGATGGAGCATCCAAGCCCTGGTCGATAGGGACAAAGTCATAATTTGCAGGTTGGGCTTGCGGCTGCTGGATTTGATTTTCGAGCGAATTCAACCGATCAGCTAGCTCCTTGATATAGCTTCGCGACGTGTCAGTTGTGTATACTTGGATCTTGCCCTTCTGCTCGATCGGAACAACTCGACGGAACGGAGCGGATTAACACTCACCCTTTGCTCGGCCCGCGCTTCATCGGCTGTCTACTAAACTGACACCGCGCGCCAGTGCGCTTACAACTCGAACATGATTCCGGACCGTTTTCGCTGGTCGCATCGCATCGAATCTACGCCGGGTCAGATGCGCGACCGTGGGCGACACAGACAGCACACGTACCTTCTTGCGCCGGCACTCGTCGCACGCCCGCGAGACTTTTGAGCGCTTTCGCGTTGCGCCGTCGTGATCGACAAACGCGTTGTGGTCGTCGATGCCCATGACCGACTGCGCAGACTGCGCCATGTGTTGCGGCGAGTGTACCGGGCGCGGCGGCGTCTGGAAGTGGTGGTGCATCGCGTTCGTGGCGCCCATCTGCTGCAAGTGGGGAGCCTGGTGCATCATGTCGTTGCCCTGATGCATCTGCAGCTGTTCGCGCAATTGGAGCTCGGGATCGGTGGGTATGTGCTGCGGTTGCTGCTGCTGAGGTGGCGTGCCTCCATTCTGGTTCACGAACATGTTGGAGCTTCCGCCCTGCTTCTCCTCCGCGTCGCCGTACGGAGCCGTCGAGGCCATTGTGGGAGGAGTCGCGCGGTCGGCAGTGGGCGATGCGAAGCTGCGCGGCCTTCACTCGAGCGGCAGCGGGGGAGCTGGAGACGGCGCGACGCGGGTGGTGTTGCGAACGAGGACGTGCAGCAGAGGCCGAGGGTTTTGAGCCGCTTTACGTTCTTCGGCACTAGCGTCGCAGGCACAGGAAGAACATCCAGAAGCAGTGGGCAAGCGGGCGACAGCATGGTCATTGCTACGAGCCGTGAAAGCTTCCATACTGTTCCGTTAGGCTGGTTTGCATGCAGATCTGAGATTCATGAAGTTCCATGTGGTCGCAGTTCGGACAAACCTGAGCTTCCGAGAAGCCCCCAGTGCGCTTGCACCCTGCGGACGAGAAGATCAACACACCAGATGCACCCGCTCCGCAAGACAGACGCCGGCTGTGATGGATTGCCAGAAGGCGGTGGTGGATGCGTGCCTGGCGCCCACACACACGCTGCTGCTGCACCGACAATGCGCCTCTGTCCGCTCCTCGGTGGGTGAAGTGGTAATAACACACCGTGGCTTCTGGCGACTCTGAGAACATCTGCTCTGTAGCCAAAGTTCGCATGAGAGTGTTGGACGCGTTCGAAGCCTTATCCGCAGCTGCAATAATATGAGTATGGCATGCTCGGTCGAAGGGCGATGGGGCCGGTGCTGCTGCATCACACATGCTTCCGACGAGATCTGCCATCGCACTCGATTATTGGAAGAATGCAGTACGGGTTGCAGAGGCGAGTGCATGCCCAGCCGCCTCACATGTCGATATGTAGTCTACCAAAAGGGCCCTGGATGTTGAAGCTTTCACGAGTCGGCCATCCGATCATTCGTGCCACTGTTGGCGTTCTCCCACCAGAGTCCAGCCTACCCCACGGAAACATGCAGCAGATGCCAAACGCAACGCCCGGCCGTCTCGAATGCCACGACAACGAAGCCGCCCCGAGACTGCGAAGAAGCACCGTGGCATGCTCAACTGGGCGCGAGCGCCGCGGCAGGTGACTGAGCGGGCGTTTCGAGCTGGAAGCTGCACACAGTGGCACTTGTCGATCAAAATCACAACTGCAAATGTCCGATGCGGCAGCTGCTCGAGCAGGCCCGACTGCGATGCGATTGCGCAAGCAGCAGACAGCTGGCAATGTACCTGAAAGTGAGGGTCGTGCTCAGGCGGCTCATGTCCCGCTGGGCACTATAGCTGCACACAATACGATCATCGACTTGGCAACGGGCCAGGGCCGTCGGCAGCCAGAGTGAGACGAGGCGACAGCGAGTTGCGCCGTAACAAGTCGCGGAGAGACGCACCGCGTGCCTGGAGGGCAGAGGGCGATGTGGCGGCCAGCGCCAGCGCCAGTCGTCGTCGCCGTGGCATCGCATCGCATCGGCGTCGGCAGGCGACCAGCGCGAGGGCAGCGCAGCGGTGAAGGCGCCCGCACCAGGGCGACCGTCGAGTCCCACGCCGGCTTCGTGCGCAGCTAGCCAAAACAGCCCGCAGATGCAGCAGCAGGGTTCGATGCTCATCATCGTAGAGCAAAAGCATCGGTGGGCCCGTGCGCATGCGAGAGCGAGTCTTCTTCCCCCATGCAGCATCGCTCCAGCGCAACGAGCGGGTCGTCGCGTAAGTGTCTACTTAGGCCTTTCCTCGCCGCACTCGATCCTGTTCTCCAGACACTTCCCCAACGTTAACCACACAAATCTGCCGTTTTGGCCTCCCCACGCCCAGAAAGAACTCGCGTTTTACGGCCAGCGCCTCACGGCTCTGTGCTCGGTCTCTTCTTCCTCTAACTCTCGCCCCCAACCTCTCCACTCCACCCTCGTCGGCGTCTTTGCGGTGTTCACGGTGTCGTCCAACCAGCCCACCATTTCTACCATTGGGAGATACCCCTTCGAAATACTGTATTGCTATATTCTTTCTGCGCTTTCTTCTGTTTCCTTCTTCGCACGGCTTCCCGCAGCTTGCTGTAGGCTGCCGTCTGCCTACCTTCTCTTGTGCGGCTCCATTTGCAGTAGTTCGCGCCACCACACCGCTCGGCTGTCCCCAGCCTGGTGCGACGACCGCAATCGGCCGTAGTTTCTCAAAGGCATGCCGATCATTGATGGTGAGAAGTATGCTTGCCAGTCCTGCATCAAGGGCCACCGCGTGAGCGGCTGCAACCACACTGGTACGTTGCCCAACAAGTCCCAACCCTACGCACATGTGCTAAGGCCTCGCACAGATCGCGAATTACACCACATCAACCCCAAGGGTCGCCCAGTCAAGCAATGCGAGCACTGTCGTGGCGCCCGCAAGTCCAAATCCCACCACGCCAAATGTGAATGCGGCGACCGCAAAGACAAGCACAAAGACAAGGGCGATTCGAAGGGTGAGCAGCCAGTTGACGAGGGCACCGGCGAGATTTCTAATCCTGCCACAGTCCACGACAACCACTGCGGCTGCCACTCTGGAGCTAAATGCATATGCGGCATCAAGAAAGAGCCGGCTGACCTGAGACTCGACACCAGCAAGCAGACCCTGCACGATGTGCGAGCGAGGCCCAAGGTCACCGCAACCCACTCCGAGAGCAACCTGACTGTTTTTGCGAACGGCCATCACCGACCATGCCACCGCAATAACAACACGGCCCATATCTCAGGAGCGCCTTATAAGATTCCGCGCCCACATACCCTCCATGGCTCGGCCTTCGAGCAGTACATGAAGACGTCATCTTATAGCCAGCCAGAAGCTCCTGCTCAGCGTTCTGCGGACACTTTCTCACTATCAAATCGCGACTTCTATACCATGTTGGGCGCCGCTCCACAAATCGACGCTCTGCCGTTGACACCCATCAGTGGCAGTCTCGACACAAGCAATTATCAGGAGTCCATTTTTGCCAACCGAAGCGCAGCTTTCCCACAAGAGAATTGTTCTCCGACAGAGACGCACTTGACGGATGCAATCGGGGCACCGCAATGGCCTTGGTCGAACAGCCTTGCTTCTGTCACTCCTAACTTCGGCTACGGAAGCCTATCGACCTCACCTTCGCAAGACTGTCTCTCTAATCTCGATACCGAGTGGCCCATTCCCTCTGCTGGCTTGACTCATCCTACGTGGTCCGCTGGAGACCTACCTTTGGATACTAGCAACCTTGCCGACTCTGTAGTGCAACCCATCTCTCACAGCGGTGAATCCAAGCACAGCGCCCCTGAGCTTTCAACCTCATCATCCCCATCCGAGATTGGAGAGCAGAGCTTGTTCTCTGATATTGGACCTGCCTCCGCTGTAAGTGAGACGCTGTTCTGGGAAGACAAGATGCCCGTCTATCGTCCGACGCTGCCCAACGAGGTTCGCCCGCCGACCTCAGCTCCTCAGTACTCTGCTTCCGAAACTCAAGGACTAGAGCTCGATTTGTCAAAAGCTTTAAGCTCTGTAGCGCCCATGCCAACATCCACCGTTGGCGACGTGTATGCTGAGACACCAGCCATTGCTATGCCCAATCCCATTGATGAAGTCGCCTCTAATGACCCTTGGGCGTTCGATCAAACCAACTTGGCCTTTACTGGGTTCGATACCTTTGACATACCTTCTACATTTCCAAACTGGATCTAGTCTTCCCAAGACTGGCACCAAAGCATGTATTTTCACGACGCCATGACTCATGACGCCTTGTGGCACCTTCCACGTATTGGAGTCAATCCTTAATTTAGTTCAAGTTGTCTGCCAGCGCCAGCGGGCGACATACCACTTCCGACCGTTGGTCGCCTGTGTATAGTTCAAACCAGCCTGAACGTTTCTCTACCCGCGTTCAAGGCTTTGTTTCATAGATACTCGCGTTGGCTATGGGTGGTTTAGCGAGCGAGCGTTTCGTACATAACGTTTCTTCAAGATTGGGCGGTTGTTTGGTATGCATGGTGGGGGTGCTCAAAAATCCTAGACTGGGCATCGGCGTTTGTCCCTCGAATAGACCACATCGGTTTTTGTCATACCGTCTTCTGTCGTGCCTTGACTTGCACAGTATTGATGCTTCACCCCATGGAGAGCACCGCATCTCGGGAGTTTTCGTTGACGCTATTGACGCCGGGGTTTCGCCCACAGCTGCAGGGCTGACGCGAAGTCACCGGCCGAGCGATGGTCACCCGCACATGGCCAACGCAAGCGCAGGCAGAGATTTCGCGAACCCTGATTGACTGCGATCGGCCGAGGGTCCTTCGCCGGCCTTGAACCGCTGCATCATGGTCATCGGAAGGCTGGCACTGGCTAGAAACCTCTGTCCGTTGCTTTTTGAGGCGACGCCCGCTCGCCAGCTACGGCAGATGCGCGGACGTGACGATTGCAGACTTTATTCCCAAGCCGTACGCAATGAGAGAGTCTGGGCACCATTGCGACTTGCTCTACCGTCACTCCCAGCATGGCTGTCAGAAAAGCCCATTCGGAAGGCATCTGACCTTGCGTCTACAGCTTCAGTGTCTGCACTTTACCGCTTTCCACATCCTCAATTCCCATCACCATTCCTCCATCGCCTCTGCAGCGAGGCACAGCCTTTCTCAATTGCTGGAGCCGATGCATCACCCAATCAGAAGCGTGCTATTCTGCCCAGTCCGCAGAGTGGAGATGCTTGGATGCGGTATGGGCAGCGCGCAGCATCTCCAATGGCGAAAATCTCTCACTCGCATAAGGCTCTAACGACGGATGCTACGCCCCATGCGAGCGCGATACGCTCGTGTATTTCGTCACGCAGGACCGCAGATATCACGAGGAGGAATAAGTAGCTTCGTCAGGTTGTGCTGGCTGCGACGTGAGAATTAAGCTACCGCCCACGCCGCCGTAGCCTTTGCTCAAGGTCGAAAGGGTCTGAATGAGCCACAGAGCCGATGTCATCGCAGCTCGGATTGGTGGTAATACTGCGAGCTTAAGCCACTGCGAAGCTACGGCAGGGCTTCCTCCGTATCGTCTGAATGGTTGCATGTGGGATTCGTATCGGTGATTTCGTAACAGAATAGTCCCGTCGTATCTAGCACGCATAGAGGCTGCTTGAAGCAATCCGGTATTTCTATTCGAAGATGTTGTGAACATTGTGCATGAGTGCAGGGGCGTGTGGGTTTCTCCACGCTGTGCATCCCACATTTGCCCACCTCCAGTGTCACCCCACAGGGCTAACCCCAACAACAACACCGAACCGTGCACTGGGAGCAGGGCAGTGAAGGCCTCGTCACCATTGCCACTACCAGGATTCGACCATGAACGCTAAATGATCACCAGCCTTGGAATGGTATCTGGCTATGGTTATCATGAACGAACGCGGACCGTGAGAGTGCGCAGAGTTGGGCGAGGCGGACTTTTGCCTGCCTGATGTCGCACGGCAGTCGTTCACCGGCCTATGTCCAACCTTCCGGTCCTCGCTTCGAATACCACTTCGAGAGATGCTGTCGATGCTCCTGTTTTGAAGCTTGTAACTGTTGCATAGTTCTGTACCTTTCGCCACAATCACCATCGCAAGGCTGTCTCTTCGGAGCCATTGTTCCGTTCATTGGCCGAGAGGCTGCTGAGTGAGACAGATGCGAGCGCACCCCGTGGACTCCACCGGTGAAATAAGCGATGGCCACTTCTGTTCCGAATCCTACGAACGGTCTTCTAGAAGGCGACGAAGCTTCTGTTGCAGATTTACTGCAGCCTCCATGATTGCGGCGCACCCGTATCTCAGACTGGCTGGCGAGTCCACCAACGCATGGGAGGCGCCGCAGCGTGCAGGCCATCGACGATCGCTGGGGTTGATGAGGTTTGCTCATGAAAGCTCACTTTACTATCAAGGATAGATATCAGATCAGCTTGACAGAACGATTGATGCGGACCAACTAGCAAATCCTTCGTTCAGCCTATCAGTCTAACGTATTGTATGGCGGCGTACATTCTGGATACTATTGCATATGTAAAGATATACGCGGACAAGGCTAATAAGAACGTCTACGCCAATCTCGAGAATCCCACACCGGGCATCTGCAAACGAGACCCTGGATGTCTTCGCATACACGGCCGCCTACCCGCATCCCCGTCAACGCACAGATCTCAGGGCAGCAAATGACAGTACATGAAGTGTCCAACACCGCTAATGCAGCTGTATCCTACTTGCTGGGTCATAATCTCAAGACCTTTTATCATCAAGAGCCATGGTGGAAGCATGTCACTCGTATCGTCGTGGTGATCCAGATTATCCAACACTGCCGCCTATATATGTGTTGAATTAGGACTTACGGTTGGGTCGAGATATGGTGGTGATCGAAGCTCTGCCCTTGGATTGCATGGGACACAACCTGACGATTAGCAGGATCGGAACATATATGACAGAGTCCGGAGAGCATCTGGATACGAAAGGCAAGCTGACGGGTTGGTAAACGGTGCTCAGTGGCTGCGTACGTTGCGTTTTCTTGGAGCTGAAGTGATTGTGATGTTGATGAGTAGTTAGTCCACAAGAATAATGTTCGAATTATGGTGTAATTTTGGCTGTCACGTAGCTCGTGATATAATCCTGAGCACAACCAAGTTCAGCTTGTTGCTAGCAGGCACTATTGGAATTACAATATATCCCTTCTGCCGCCGCTTACCGAGTCAACCGTACGCACGTGCAGCCCTGAATAGTGTCAGAATAGGCACTGTGCGTTATTAAGATTCTTTTTAGAGACGGTGGTCGCCCAGCGTTGATGTAAATAATGACTTGTTTTCTATTTTCTGGCACTCGAATGAGTGCGCTGCTAGGTATCCTCGTTCCTCGTTCTATCATCATGTAAAAACGCCAGTCATGCTGTATCCATAAGTCATAGACTGCACAAGCTGTGCAGTGCAACCGCAAACGAAACGCAACAAAGAAAACCGGAGAAGCAGAGTTTACTGCAGCAAGTGGTCGCGGAAATGCTTCTGGAAGTTGGCACGCCTCTCGTTGCCAGCCTGGTACTTTGTCCTTGCACGCAGCTCCCGCTTCTGCTCCCGCTTCTCGACAGCGCGGATCTCAGCCTTCTTCGAATCGCTCACGCCAACCATACCAAGGCCGCCATTTGCGCGGGTGATGAGTTGCTGTCGGCCACGTCCGCCATCTTCCATGTCGACGTCTCCGTCTCCGTCTCCGTCAGAGTCGGATGAAGCCGCACCTGCGATGGCGCGTCGTTGGGCAGCCTCCATGCGCTCAGCGACACCGGGATAGTTGCGTAGGTTCTGACGATAGTATTTGTTGAGCGACCTGTGGCCTGCAGTGCGACCCGTCGGCAAGTGGAGCTCGTAGTCGTCGTGGTATACAGCCACTGGTGTAGCATGCGCATGCGAGTGGAAACCGTCGGCACTCTTGTGCGGCCGAGGGTCGCCATGGGCATGGTGTCTTGACTTGTTGAGATCCTTATGGCGGTGAGTACGGTCGATCGGGACAGCGGTGATCTCGTCTGTGGGCACACTCGATACGGTGCTGTCCGTCTCCCAGCCCTCGTCTTCCTCTTCTCCCGAAATGACAGCATCGTCATCTTCGGTTCTGGTGACCGTCTTCCGTGCTGCGCCCAGCTTAACACCGCCGCCCGCCGTAGACGTAGAGTCATCCGAATCCATATCTTGCTCCATCTGCTGGAACCGGTCCGCGTCCGGATACGAGCTTCGGAAGTCGTAGAACTCGCCAATCTCCACCAGCTCTTCGTCGGTCTCGAACCCGATCATGCAATGGCCTCGGTCGCGCATGTGAGTCTGAATGCCATGTGCAGAGTGTGCGTGCTTATGGCATTTCAGACATTCATTTTGTTCGTAGATCTTGGCGTGCAGGTGCTTGATGAGGCTCTCGGGCTCGACGAGGAACTCTTTCTCCGGGATGAACATGCCGTGGTGGCGGCCCATGTGGTGCAGATTGAGCGAGAAATTGGGGGAGCGGTAGTTGCAGAACAAACAATCCTGAACAGGGTCTGTTTGTATCTTGTTGCTAGATGCGACTGAAGACGTGTCTTCCTCTTTTGCGCTTCCGTTGGTGGCTGTCGGGGACAATGGGTGGTCGGGCTTATCCGTAGCTCGTGACTGGTGGGGTCGTGTAGGGCGACGCGAAACGGGCTCGGCGGCGTCGAGGTTTGTGTTCTTGATGCCGTCGACCACCTCAGAGAAGTCCCTCTCCGCCTCCGGATCTAGCTCGGTAGCCTCAGAATCTGCGGTCGACGCCATAGATTCGCCCAAGCTGAAGGCGGAGCTCATGACGGAGCCGGTGACTGAGGCAGTGTCATCGAGACCGGCCTTTGCGACATTTGCCCTGTGTTTCTGGCTGTTGAGGTGGTTGTTGTAGGCGTTCTCGCTGTAGTACGTCTTCTGGCAGGCGGCACAGGATTTCTCAAACGAGGCTTTGGCGGCGGTGGCGGCGGCCGATGCCTTGTTGGCGAGGACCTTGTCGGTGAAGACTTCGGAGGAGAGCGGTGGGAGGGAGGCAACGCGGCGCTTGAGGTTGTAGCGGCTGTCGTGGTCAGTATCTATGTATGCGTTGATTCAGCGTTGGCGGGGCACTTACTGCCAGTCGGTCTGCATGTGCGCCCGCTGCAGCTCACTGGACCTGAAGGCGACCTGGCAGGTGTTGCATGTGAAGGGGTGCGTGGACTGCACCGAGGGAGCTGCCTGAGTCGCCATGGTGCCGGGGTATGCGCAGGTGTATGTGAGGTGTGGTGGTGCAGGCGCGCAGAAAGAAGGGTATTATGGAAATTCTAAGTGGGGTCGGTGGGCAAAATTCGGGTTGCAACAAGCACAGGGCCAAGATTTTTTCTAATAAGCAAGCCTCGCCGTGTAATCGCGGTCACTGTGCGCTTACCAAACGGGACAGAGGCGTCTGGAATTGCTGTTGGCTGCGTGAGTTGCCCCGGGACGACTGTTTGGAGGGCAGGTTGGTGACGTTTTTCGCCTCAATTCGGCCAAGAGGCCAAACCACAACAAGATTGACAAGCGAAGAGCTAGGGTAAAATGGGTGAACCTTACTGCCTGCCCTCAGCCCTACCGCCCCGGCGGCCAACACGGCCCACGTCGATACGCAGCGCGTCAACGTTCGCATGGGCTGGTCACTGCGCGCAGAATAATGGAGACACGACCACGCCATGTTTACACACACATCAACTCTCCCACCGCGACCGCATAGCCCCTCGTTGCCGTGCAACAGGACACCGCCAATGAGATGACGGCGTCAGATGGCGGCGTCCCTCCTCGCCCTCGCACCCACGCCAATGTCATAGACGTCTCGGATGCGAGCCGCATCTTGGAGTGCTCGCAAATCGCCCGCCAGCGATCGTTTCAATGGCTCCTCCGACGGTGAGCCTGTGACGATGCCACTACTCGAGCTGCATGTATTGACTGCTATAGCTTCATGTCGCAGATACTGTACGGCTGCACGAGCACCTACTGCACAACGCCAACATGCCTCTCCTGCAACAAGCGCCTCGTTTCTAGGCCCTTTCGACCCCCCACCCAGCTCACCGCTCGCGCTCTAGCATTCTACCTTGCGAGCCAGCATGATCCGCACCGTCGTTTATGCCCCCACCAATTGAACGTCGATCCCGACACATTAGAGATAGAAGGCGCGCATGGAGTGTACATACGCAGAGACGATGGGAGCCATGATCCAACGTGCCATGTCTATCCACGTATACCCTCGCGCCCCCCTGCGAGCTGCAACACCATGCATCAAACTAGCGCAGGGCGTGGTGAGATGGAAGATGCTGCCCACGTGGAGCATATAGCAGATGCTGTTGAGCTTCGCCATCAGTCACGAAAAGATCCAAAGTCACTTGGGCAGAATCTTTACGATACCGTCACTATCATCTTCGCTTATTCAAAGCATATACCCAACCCATTGTCCATTGTCCCATCACTTGCTTCGCCTTCTGATGGAGAGCGCCAACTTGACGGTAGCTCTCCGCCCCATGGGTCAATGCCAGTGCTCGAAAACAAACGGCAGCATGACTCAAAGCAGACACCATTCACAGCTTCCACTAGCGCAAATGCAACATCACCCAACGTGAATGGTAGACGTCTTTCTGAGCCCAGAACGCCCCAAACACCAAAACGCTTAAACAGGAGGTCGTCCAAAACGGGCGCTATGAAGAACACTGCCGAAGTCCTCAGCAATGGCCTGCGCGTACATAAGATCCGACATCTGCCCAACGGCTATGGCAACGACCTGCAGCCGCACAAACCCTCCGACGCTCCCCTTCACGAAATGCTTGACGGTGCACGCGACGGTGCTGTCGCCGAGAAACTTAACATGGTGGCTAACCTTCCGTTCACCAACATGCCTCCAAGGTTGACAACAAGTGCTCCGCATTTCGAACAATTGATGGACGACAAGAGCAGCACATTTACTGAAATCTCTCGCGAGGAAAATCCCTCGGCAATGCCGGTTATTCCTCATCTCACCTGTGAAATCATGGATCAACTGAAAGAGGAGGTTCATCATGATCGGAGGGACCAGCCCCAAGACTCTAACTTTGTCGTCGATTACGATGCCAACAGACGATTCCGACCCGCCAAAGCCTTTGTAAATCGGTCTTTATACTACACTCTGAGTGATTCAGAGATATTGTTAAAGTCATTCCGAGACCAGCTCGCAGATGACTACAGTTATTCTCCGCTGCCTCATCTCGATGCCCATTGTTTGTCGCACGCTTTCAGAGATTGGAACCAAAGGAACGGCGCCTTGGTGTTTGATAGCTTATACGAAGCCCTGGAAGCACTATTCAGACCACCCCCAGAGCTTGATTCGCAAAAGAGTCCGCACCTGAAACCTTCCCGTAAACATGCCGCTACGCCACAGTCTACTTCTTCGAAAGATGTGCCTGGGAGATATTTATCTGACATCGAGGCCGCTCACTTAGTCATGATCTGTATCCACGCACTGACGTCTTTAATCCCCATCGGCTGGCCGCACACATGGGTCCAGGTGCGTAACCTCCGAGGCTGGGGAGTGGTCATTCCTGGAGCACCTTCCAAGACAACTCAGAACGATGATTTTGCGCATCCTTGGCTCGATATCGTCGATCAATTGGAATATGAGCCGGCTATTCGCTTAGCAACCCGACTACTCCAAGCCATCGGAACAAGAAGGTGCTATGAGCATATGCTTGCAACATTACACGCTCGAGACGAAGGCCAGGGACCGACAGAATCGTTTATGAGTGTGGAACGCTTGCTTCCGATTTTGCTAGGGCATCTTACCCAAGTTGAGAAAGCTGCCCTACAAAGGAAAGGGAAGATGAGATCGAATCAGAACATGGATGAAGATCCTGGCTGGACTGTTACCGCAACATTCATGGAGTGGCTTCGTACCGTCATTGTGAAACAATGGGATGGCAATGTTGACATTAATAAATGGGGCAGCGTTGGTACTGCAGTGACAATCATGACGCACTTTCGTGGGTTTTTCCCCTACCGCACTTCTATTTACGCCTGCTAACAACTTCAGATACCAACATGGTTACCCTAAATCTACGCCCTGATATGTTTCTCATCCCTCATTTTAATGAGGAGATTGACTGCATACAAGCGCCGCTGGATTTTCTCAAGTACAAAGACCGACCAAATTCGTTCCACATCCTGCAACACCACATGTTCTTCACGCAAGATGCCCTTGTGGGATACTTCCGTGCCATCAACTTCAATCGCATGTTCAAGCAATTCCAAAAGTCAGCTCGCATTACCAACTTTCAGTCACGGTGGGACCAGATCATTAGCAGCCCTCGACATTGGAACGTTGCAATGGATCACCTGGAAGTGGCTCTTGCGGAATACCTTGTTTTGGACGTAACTCGACAAGATCCGCTCGAGGAGACTTTAGACCAATTGTGGGGACAGGAGAAACGGAAGCTCATGAAGCCACTCAAGGTCAGGATAGGTGTTTTGGAAGGGGAGGTCGGATTGGATCAAGGTGGTGTGACGTATGAATACTTTAGGCTTATACTCGCTGATGCATTCGGCCCCGAGACTGGTAAGCTGCCGAGCCTTCAAAGGTCGCTTTCTCACTGACTTTCTGTAGGTATGTTCACAGTTGATGCGCAGACTGGCATGACGTGGTTCCAGCCGGCATCTCTCGAACCTCTCTGGAAGTTCGAAATGATCGGCGTCCTCCTTTCGCTCGCCATCTACAATGGAATCACCCTTCCCGTAACCTTTCCACTTGCCTTATACGATTATGTTCTGTCGGAGGAACACAATAGCGAAGACATAAGCGCCGTTGACTACATTGCCGACGGCTGGCCCACTCTAGCGAGATCTTTCCACGAGTTCCTCGACTATTCTGGCGACGTTGCAAATGTTTTCGTGCGCGATTATACATTCAGCTTCTCGGCTTTCGGTCAAAATATTGACGTTGACATGCACGCCTTTCGCGACCGCATATGGCCAGACTGCAGTTCGGATCCCGAGAGCCGATCGCCTAGCCCCAACCTGCCGCTATCTCCAAGCCTTCATGATGCCTCATGGCGACGGCCAAGGGACGTGCATGCGGACCCACCGACAGTTACAAACGAAGACAGAGAACAATATGTTGATGACTACGTCGAGTGGCTCACATACAGGTCCGTTGAGCGGCAGCTCAAGGCCTTTACCCGGGGTTTCCACACGTGCCTCAACCGCACGTCCCTCTCCTTCTTCACGCCCTCCACACTGCGTTCCCTTGTAGAAGGTTCGTCCAATATTTCGATATCCCTTCTCCGCACGCAGGCTGTACGCTACGAGCTGCCGTACCATGCTACACACCCCACAATTCAGGATTTCTGGGCTGTAGTCGAAGGATACGACGAAGAGGAGACGAAGAGGCTCCTCGAGTTCGTAACGGCAAATGAGCGGATTCCAATCACCGGATATGACAGTGTCAAATTTGAGATCGTCAGGATTGGGAGTGATACGGAAAGTTTACCCACGAGTAGTACGTGTTTCGGAAAGCTGTGGTTACCGGAGTACAGGAGTCGGGACAAATTAAGAAGGAAGCTGGCAATCGCTATACGGAATAGTGAGGGGTTCGGAATCGTTTAGCATTGGTGTCGTATGCAAGATGGTGTACAATGATTGGATAAACGCTTTACATGGGGCTCGGTGTATTGCATGGCAAAGGGCTGGCGCGTAAGCATATTGGTAGTTGTGAGCTGCATTTGGTTGTGGAGCATGAGTGCAATGGCGTCTTGGTGTTCAGCACGACAAGCCTAGCATGGCAGCTATCATAACTTTTGGGTTGGTTCTCATCAGCATTCCTGTTCTTCAACTGTATGATGCTCGAATGAAGAAATAGCACGTATATGATTCGATATCGTCGTCACAGCTATGCAGTAGACCTGCACACTCTATGCTCACAGCTATCAGAATGATGCATACAGCGAGACTCTTCCAGCAGTAACGCGTACAACCTGATTTTCGTTGTGTTCATCACACAGCGCAGAACAAGACAAAGGCTATGAGGGTATCCGCAGAATTCAAGCCACCCTGTCATGCTCTTCGTGGGCCAGAAGCCCAGTGCTTTCCTCGTGCCGATGACGAACCGACCTCCAAAAGGGTCTACCATCGCGACGATCCTGCCACTCTCCCACTCTTCCAGCAGCCTTGAATCCCAAGTGCCACACCAGTCCGGCAACGAAACCCACAGCATCGTTCTTGAAGGCTAACAGCGTCGCTACCGTGACTAGCATCACCATGAATCTCTCCTTCCTCTCGGTCTCTCCGAGCTCTTTCAACCTCTTGCCGTCCCACGAGTTGTTCACGTCCAACACGCGCAGATCCCGAGCATCCGTATTCACGCTCTCACCGACTTTCGCCAGCTCGAGTCCAGCCGCGAGGATGAGCACACCGAGAAGCGAGCTGGGGATGCCAGAGAGGACACTGACGATGGGGCCGGGCTGGAAGAACGCGATGATGCCGAGGACGAACTTCAGAGCGCCGAGAAGAACGATGCTGGCGCCGCTGCGCGCACCGAAGCGATATTGGCCGGCGAGACCACCTGAGCCGTGGCAAGTCGGCATGCCTCCAAACCAACATGCTACAAGGTTGATTGCAGCCACGGAGATACCCAGTTCGGTTACCGTTGGAGCAGCTGGATAAGGCGGCGAGGGCAAAAGATCGGAGGCTAGTGCCGCGGCCGCGATGACGGAGTTGAGCAACGTGAGAGGGAGTTGGCCTAGAGAAGCCGTCGTGGTAGCTTTCCAGAAGTCCTTACCTGATGGATGGAGGACTGGAATGTCGATTATAGCTGGAGTTGACGTGTTGCTCGCCGGAGATAAAATGGAGAGGATAATGCCGACTGCAAAGATGATCAAGGTGTATGGTAATCTAGGGTATGGGAATGTCAAGAGCAAGAGAATTACTGCTGCAATGGCCCATAGGAGATTGTCGCCCCACCAGGGACCTGTCCAGCTGAGCGGTACAAGCATCTTAGTCCCTGCGCTGATACACAGGGACAGACCGGCACCAACTTGGATTCCTTTGACCACCGGAGTAGGAGTGAGTTTGTTGACGTAGTTGATCAGGCCGGTAATACTTAGTACGCCGACTAAAGAGGCGACCTGTTTAATTAGTACGTAGGTAGTGGGCACATGGTACAATTGTCTCCGCTTACCACTATGCCAGCTGCGGCGTTCTCTTCCAGCGTGAACTTCCTCGCAATGGCTACCGCCGCTATCGCCTTCATGGGCTGCACCGGTAGCGGGATCCCGAATGCGACTCCTGTCAATATATTGGCAGCTCCTGTGAAGAGGAGCGTCGCAGGTAGGGAAATCGATCTGGTGATGACAAGGGCCGTCATGAGCGGTAAGAGTGTCCCAAGATCGCCCAGCGATCCTGAGAGCTCTGAAAGAGGTGCTGAAGTAAAGGTTTCGACATTGTGCCTGTGGACCTTGCGAAGGCGGGGAAAAGGATTCTCGATTGACACCATGATATTGATAGCCGAGCAAGGCTGTACTGTGCGAACCCCAAACCAAGGAAAGAATGTGCAGTTGACGGAAGCAAAGGGGACAACTTAGTGGCAGGCCGTCATGTTAATGGTAGCTGTAGGGACATGAAGGTGGGATGAGGTCGGACGCCGGCAATGACTGACAGGTAAGCTTTCTCGGGCCAGCCACGCGTGCACGTCACGAGCTAACGCCCACGTGTCTACGTCCGATAAGCAATGCGAACTGTGATAGGCATAGTGCGTGTACTATGGTGGTGACGGGCGGGCAGACGTGAGGGGTGAACGTTAGCGCTGTGATCGATGAGGACAGTATGGCTGCCTGTTAAGGTAGGTTCGTCGCACAGGGGCAACGCGAGCGTTGCCACAGCCCACGGCTGTCTTCGATGGGGAGCATAAGTTGCTGTATGGGGAAGTTTCGCTTAGAGGGCGCCATGAGTGCCCCTCACCTACCAACACGTAATCTCAGTCTTTGCAGGCGTGTACAGCGCATGAAATCGGGTCTCCATCTTCATGACATGTATGCCCTTCAGACGACAGCGAAACGATCATAATAAGCGATCCATATAGCCGTGCTATACAGACGTTCCACAATTTCATCCATTGTACGGACATACACCTCCAGCGACTCGGGGCCAACTCGTGAGGTCGTATTTTCCTGTTCCAGCAGACTCACTCCTTGCCGGAGCTGGCTCTAGGAGATGGGCAATTGATCTTGAAGATGGTTCAAATAGCTCGATGGGACTCGAGATCGTACGAGATCGTAGACAATTCGCTGAAATTGCTCGTCCGACGAGTAGTTTCCCCTCTTTTTTTTCGATTTCAGAAGTTCTTGCTCCCACTTGCCTAAGGTCGAGGAAACTTGAGAGACTGATTTCATACCTATTGATATTGTCTGCCTACTTTGTTACTGGCTGCAAGGGGCGGGGCGAAGGATATCTTGGTGTGTGTTAGGCACTTAAAAAGGACTGGGCTGTTGAAAGAAGAGGGCCATTGTTAATATACTAGTAAGGAGGTGGGTAGAAGATTTTGAGAGGTTCAAATCCATCAACACTGATTCTTGACCATGGGCAGTCGGTGCAGGAACTTTTGAAATAATTACGGGTATTTTTCGGACTTGCGTCGTAAACTAAGGACGATGCTCGCACAAAGATGCGCGGGCCTGAAGAAGCAAATGATCGTTGCTCTAGGTTAAGCCTATTGATTCCGAATCATGCAGCGCGCCACTGCTCCGTGACCACGGACCAGTGCCCACGCAAGTGCCAGATGCCTGCTCAGATCATATGTTGGCACCGTGCCGCGACCCAGGATTTGCGAAACCCTCAGCCAACCTCGCTGGTAGCGGTCTACTACTGGTCAACTTTAGCCAAAGCCACCGAAGAACGAGACATGCAAAAAAAAGTGGGAATGCTCGGTGCCAAATGTGACTGCGACGTAAGCTCAACGATTTGCTGGAGTAAAGCGGAAATATGCCACCGAACAAAACGATCCACACATTTGGAAGTCTAGTCCCCGGAAGGAGCAGCGTTGTGTTCGACGTGATGACGCAAAATGAAGTTACAATCCTGCAAAGTAGTCGAGTGCGCTCGTGTCTCAGGTTTTCTTTATGGCATCATTCATGGAGGTAGCCTTCCAAGGCCTTTCTCAAAGCACAAAGACGGTATTACGGTAGGCATACATCCGAGCACAATTCATCGAGGAGTTAATTATGGACACAGAGGTATGGAACGGATGTCTGCTGTGCATGAGAACCGAGTGTATTGCGCGGTCTGCCAAGACGCGCAACGCGAATGGAGGTTAGCTTAGGGTCCACAAACAGGCTAATGGCGGGAAGGATACCAAGCTCAACGGCTGCCGGGGTTCAGTGGCCCGGAACGTCTTCACGTTTCGGAGTGATAATCTATCCGTGTTACTTACACGCGTATCGGACGTCATGCATATCGATGGGGGCGCAACAGTTGCCAAGGTAGGTATGGTAGTCACAGCCGTCGGCTTGTTGTGGCATGTACTGCGGCACACGTGACTACCCAGCCATACCTATGGTCAGTTTGTGCGAAGTTTACGCTAGTAGTGTTGGGCCCTGACGATCAGGTGTAGTATGAAATGGCCGTATGAAAGCATGCGCTTAAACGTTTATTTGCGACTGCTAAAGGGCAAATCGTCCGGCTTAGTCGAATTCGTCCGGCACGTAGGTAGCTCTCATACACGAACATTGACAACGACTGAGATTTGAGCAGTTGAAACACTTCATTGCTGTGCTTGCCACCGTAATCATGGGCAATCATTGATGCTTCTGACATAGACGAGTCCATCGCTGGGCACAGCGACATTACAAGGCCGTTTAAGTCCGCGATGCACAACACGCGGTCTATGCTTCAACTCGAGTGCAGGCTAGCTTTTCCGATCTCATGCGGAAAACCGGCGCCGGTCTATGGGGGCCAATGTCTCTACCGGCCAGTCTCCGCCGACCCACTTCCTAGGGTCAAGTGTACGCCAGCACACGGGAAACGCCCGAGAACGTTGCGGGACAGGGTTCAGATCATGCATTGGCGTCCAAATGTAGCTTTGGCCCTCTTCAACGCTAGAAATCCTGGAGTCTTTTTGCTTTTGAGTACCATGGCTGCATCGTATGGGCATCGCAGTTCACGTTTACTATCCACGAATCTGTACAAAACTTGCAACTATAGGTCCGCAGGTACTAAGTTAGAACACTTGCAGTGAGTGGAGTACGCACATCACAAAGCGTGCTCCACCGTAGGTGTCAAGAGGTGGACCATATGGAATGTTTAATGGCAATCGCCGCCTCATGGCTAGGTGGGCGGAGATTGCGTTGCGCCGACGTAGGGGGAGCCGTACCCGACCAGCCCGAAATGGTAAAAGGTTACTAAGTTTGCGCTTAAAGGCCAACGTCACAGGGATAGGGCCACTATGTCCACCCTCCGAATGGGTCCGAAACTAGGCCCGCGCTCGATCATGCTGCCGCTTCGTCAATGCAACCAGTCGCCGCAGACCATTTGCAAGGTGATGCGTGATACACGAAAGGATCCTGCCAATCACCAGCTCGCCTCGCCGATAGCCTACTAGACCCTGAGGAGTAAGTCTAGACGAGTTGTAAAAGACTGCAAGGTTAGCTAGGTGGATTAACCTCGCTGCGGTTTTCGGCGAAGCGCCATGGATGACCCGGTCTACACACTCCATGTCATAACGGGTTGTTCGACGAGATTGTACTGTAGTATCTTCGAGTCAGTTAGGTAGTGGGTAGCGTGGCTGTTCTCGAGTAAGGCTGTAAGGGATCTTCGTTCGCTCAGGAGCCCTGTTGTTCTGGAACAGTAGCAGAAGGATCCTGCCCAAAGGGAAGGGCCCAGAGTAGTGTGGTTTCTTGGATAGGCCGGAAGTATGGCTTAATGGAGTTGGCCATCCTTCATACAATTGCCCATCTGCTGAGCCCATCGCCGCTGTTTGAGGAGATTGATTATCCCATCAGGTCCCAAGTGGTCGAGTATCGCAACTGGGTTTCGCAACTGACCTATTAGCCAAGAGTTTCCACCGCCCCTCTGTCTGCCAACACAGCCATCTCGGTTCTTCCAGCAGACACCAGCGCCCACGAAACAACTTAGATCGCCCTGTCAACATTAGCATCTGGAAACAGCAATTTGGATCTATTTGGTCAAAGGGCTGTGGCCATGACTCCACGTTCTCAGAGCCCCGCCACGACGCATTACGAGTTCATCGCGCATACAGGCATCGAAGATGCGTCGGCGAAGCAGAAACTGAAAACAGTCCGGAGCCATGTGATGAGAAATTACCTTCATCAGCAGCAACGCCAATCTGGTCAGTCGTCACGAGTCGCGGTGAGCGAGCGGCGACAGAGCAAGCAGCGCGCCCGGTCGTCGCGGTCTGCTTCCCACGATACAGACGCGTCAACGAGCCCTGGCACGACTAAAGACCTGCGACATCAATTACTTCCAGGTCAGATTGGACCCTTTGACACAGACTCGGGTGCGTCTCCCCCTGGTAAGTCACGCAGTCCTCCACGCAGTCTGTTCTGTGTCAGCGTGATAGATAACCTGAGCTGAAAGCCACTGACATGATGCATCAATGCAGGAATAGAAGGAGATCCAGTCTTAGGATATAGCCCGCAGCCCGATGTTGTGTCCTGTCTCGCCAACCTGTATGCTACCTGTGTGATGAGAGATAAACAAGCTGGTTTCTTGCAACCAAGTTTCGATACGCTGAACGCGAAAGGGGAAACGATGAGAGTCGTCCAGGAAACCTTGGAGATGTGCGGTAACGATGTCCCGGATACTATTCTGTTCGCTATCAACACATTAGCTTATGGATGCGTAAGTCGACGCCACATTGCTTGCATCTAAAACTTACCCCCCAACAGGGCGCAAATTACGAGTGGAATGAGGCTCTAGGACATGTTGAAGCGCTACAGAGGCTTGTAGAGACAAGAGGCGGGATGCACCACGTGGCTTTCGATTTACGAAGGATATTGACCTGGTAAGTTAGCTCTTGCTGCAGGCAACACACCTACGACTTACATCGTTTGCAGCTCATCGTACTTTATCGGCGCTGAGCTATTACTGCCACCTCAATTCCCGCTTCCTTTGTCTCACAATCCAGTACCGTTCAGTCTCGCTTTTCAGGACGACGCTCAGATACGCGCATGGCGTACGGTCAAACGATTTCCGAAGAACACTTCATTCGTGTTCGATGTAGTAATGCGACAACACCAACTCGGCATCGCCATGTCTTCAGATTGGACCGACAAGGTAGACAAAAGTGCTCTCAGTAACCTTTACTTCGAGGTTATGCATTCAGCAATGCTTTTACAACTAGAAGAGCCGTGGCAGGGACAGCTACCAAGTGGAATACAAGGCCAAGAAGCCAATACAATGTTCAAGATATGGGCCGCTGGCATGCCCATATTTGTAAGCGCTGCGCTTCGTCAACTAAGGTCTCGCCAAGGCATCAACATGATGCGCTACTACCATGGTCCAATTTTCGGACGGATACAGGCGGTGTTGGACGAACATGGCGGCTACCACGCATGGCCACGGGGAAGAAACTTGGAGCCAATACTCGCGACGCTTTTCTATGCCCTAGAAGCTTGTACATGGGACGATCCATGGCGGACGTGGTGTTTGGATACCATGGGAAAGACCGTGAACATTTTGAAGCTCAAAAACGCGAAAGAGTTCAAGAAGGTTCTGGACTTTTTCCCCACAACGGACCGGTATCAAGACTTGATCGAAGATGTGTGGGCGCAGATAAGACACGCAAGTGTACCAAGTACACCATCATGTGTGTTACAGGTGTTTCGTCAGCATTGATAGCCTGTTTCATAGTCAGTCATTTTCTGCACATGGTTCAAGGGTAGCATACACAATTGCAAGAGTGGTTCCGCCTTTGAGTTAGGCTTCTCGCAGTATCAACTACTGACCATGTCCGAGAGGCTGTTTACTGCCTTGTCGACGAGGGTTTGCAGCGAAAGCATACAAACATGTGAATGATAACCCAGGAACAAAGAGACGTCTCTTCAGGACACCCTTTCTGGCAACGTGATCAGATTAGTGATACCATCATCAGAACCTGCTCCCATGTATATTTGTATTCTTGCGCCGAGGCCAAGTTCTCCGTTGGCTCTCGACGTTGCGCGATGCGATGGAACAAATGTCGATTACGCGATTGAATCCACCCGTTTTGGAGTATTTTTGATGATCGAATGCATTCTAAAATCTCCGAGAGTCGATTATTGAAAGATGTCAATTTATTTCTTGGCATATCGCATCGGGATTGATGGTGTGGTATGATGTTTTCCATTCAAGATGCTCTTTTGTAGCGGAGGACTGGTTGGACGATGGGGCCAGATTGAGTCTGAATAATAGCGATCTTTGTGAGCCTAAAAGAAGCAACAAATAAAGGGAGGGTCAACAGCTTTTGAACCTCGCAGACCATTTACCAGAAGGCTCTGATGACTCGATTACTTACTATTTTAGGCAGTGCAAGCCTAGTGCGGGCGCGAAAAGAATTATGATTGGTTTTGCTTACGGCGGAGGATTATATGGGGAAAGAGGAGGAGTGCCGGTGATGACTTAAGCCGTTCAATAAGGCTAGTCGTCTCCACCGGCGAAACGCGGCAACCAGCTATCTAAATACATCTCACCATGTCTGCATATGCACTCTTGCCAGCTACGACCAACCATGCCGAAGCCATTGCTAGTCTCTTGGCCTTGTCATGGCAGTCACCTTTTACCCAGCTGCAGTTCGGCAGCATGAGCGCCGAATCGCTTGCGACTCCATGGCCCCTCGCATCGTCGAGTCAATGTCATCGCCACAGAACGAGTATGTGTTGATGCGGGCAGAAGACGGGACCGTGGCTGCAGTCGCGCAATGGACTGTGTCCTTGCAAGGTGCCAAGAATGAGAAAGAGGGAGAAACCCCCGATGAGAAGGCCGAGAGGCTAAAACTTTGGGATCAAGGATACCGGAGCAGGCTGCCGGAGAACAGTAACAAAGATCTTATTATAGATTTCACCATCGGCTTGCGAGAACTGAGAGAAAGTGTTCTGCGAGGGAGAGAGCACTTCCTACTTGAGAACATAGCTACGCATCCAAACCACCGCGGCAACGGCCTCGCATCTCAGCTCATTCGGTGGGTATTCCCGCAGGCAGATAAGCAAGGCGCTCTTGTCTATTTGGATACTGCAAGTGACAATGCAGCTTTGCGGCTTTATAAGAAACTTGGGTTCCAGGAGGAAGGAAGTGATACCATCAAGGATTTGACCAAGTACGGCGGCGAAGGCGAGCATACGCACGTTGCACTTTTGAGACTGCCTTATTCTTAAATGTCTTACATCCGCTCTTATATCTTATTTTGCTGGTGGCCAAACAAAGCCAAGTAGCAAAGCAGCCATTAGCATAATATCTAGCAGCATAACCAAGCACTTCGATCTCGTTAGAATCATGCTTTCATTGTGTAAACCCGCCGCCGACAACCCATTTCGTTGCAATACAAACGAGTATGGGTCTACCCAGGGCCACTTAAAGCAGTTGACTGCTGTCACCTTCGAGATATGCGATACCAATCTGGATGTTTGAAGAGTTTGCAAACCCTTTCCAGGCCTCGCGTGAGCCTCACCACAATGAAGCGTACGACGACAGGGATTTTGTTGCAGCCTCAAGTTTCTTGATCCATAACGACTTTGGAACACGCTTCACTCGGTCCAGCGAATAGCTCACTATCCTTCTTCTCAGAAACAAATTCGAGAAATGCCTCCATTTCACTAATACAACATCGAAGCCTCGCTGCATATCAAGCGTCGCAATAAGATTTTCAAGCTTCTCCATGACCGGTCACCCGTCGAGCCACGCAAGTAGAGACACTTCACTGAATGTCGCTTAGATGAACAAGGATGGATAAATAACCTGGTCTCGGCATGGTACTTGCAGTATTCCAGGCACACTCAGGTCCGCAACTCCCACCTGCCCTGCAACCAGCGTCCAAACCTCACACTGGGACCATCCACAGTCCGCATTACCAGATCCGCAAGCCACACGACGACAACCGCTTCAGTGCAGAAGGCGAGGAAGACGCCCGTTTCATAACCAGCAAACGTCTCCGACCCCGTGATCTTGAAGTACGCCTCCACGAGCCAAAAGCCCAGCGTGTGGTTCAGGGGGCCATGGACAATGTACAGCGGAAACGATATTTTCCCCAGGTAAATGGCAAGCCGAGTCTGAAAGGGGAAGCGTAGGAGTGCAGAACCGGCCAGGGCGAAGACGAAAACGGCAGCACCGATGCGCTGCCAGAAATACTCTTTGAGCTGGGTCCAAGGTGTCATTCTGGACAAAGTTCTGTAACCTGGTGTGCGATCGGCGTACCATGGCGGCCACGAGAGGAGGTGCAGACCGAAAATGCCCACAGCGAACCAGCACGCGCATTGTACGTGGGAAGGCATGCTCCGCCGCTTGGTCGAAATACCTGTTAGAGGCGATTGCTTTCCGCACTCTTCCTGGATGAGGATAAATTCTGCGATGGCCATACCGGCTATGAACAGTGCCGTCTCGCTCTCAATGAGTCCGAGGCTCATGCAATATACCCACAATAGCACAGTGAGACTGATGCGGATCCTAGCCTTGAGCTTGGAAAGGCCGACGAGCGTAACGAACAAAATGACCGAATTGCGGAACTCAATGGGAATAGTCCACAGGTGGACGTCGTACAATGGTCGATCCGGAAGGAACGGATTCGCAAAGTTCCACATCGCACGTAGCCAGTCCTCTGTTTGGGCCCATTTCGAATCGAAGACATTGTGCATGAACTCGTTGGTACCGCCATACGGCCAGTTTTTGGAAAGCGCGAATCCATGGTCATACAGGCCAAGCAGCGTCGCGATGAATACTCCGGTCTGTACAGCGAATATTGGAAGGTACAGTCGCAGAGCGCGTCGAAATACCGATGAGAACATCGTCTCATGGAATTTGTCGAATGCGTGACTGCGGGCGAGTCTGAGCGGCTTCAAAGATAGTGAGACCCCCGATAAGACGTAGAACGTTGCCACTTGGACCTGGCCATTGACGATGAGGCGGACGATTGAGAGCTGAATCAGCCAGTGGTCATTGTTACCATTATTACTCGCATAGCCAAGGTTAAATGACTCGTGAAACATATGTTGGTAGTGATATATGTAGACGAGGAAAGCAGCAACGCCTCGAAGGCCATCAAGCCATGCGGTGGGATGGGGACGTTGAGGGACATTTGAGCTCGCATGTCGTTGCCAAAAGGAAGGTGTCAGTATATTTGCAATGGATCGGGAATTCAGCCCGTGCCAAATGGCTCTGCGTTCAACGTGTTTCTCGTTTGTATCAATCCCAATCTCATTTTCGGGTTCGAAATGTTCCAGAAGAGGTACGCCATCGCTGCTGGTTCGATCAGGAGAATGCATGGTGGTGGACGAGTCGAATGCATGTGGGCAGGCCACCCAGCGATTGATGGTATTTCTAAAACATTCCGACCTTGGAGTGTTGGAATGTTGCCTGCCCTGAGTACGAAGCAAGGACGCTTACCCTTACCGCAGCTATGAGTGTATCATTCGTGATCTTCTTCGCGGTTTTTATATATTCTGAAGAGATCAGCTCTTCGCTAGAACAGTCGATGTGCGCTTTGGATGCAAATCTGGGATATTGGAGTCCCTGGGTGACGCTTTTGTTTTGTACTATGGTATGAGCTCAAGCATGTCAACGGCGGTAGTGACTGCCCGCACCACAGACTCGCGAATCGGCGAGATGCAATCGGACCTTCCTACATGACCTTTGTCATCGTCGCTCCGTGGATGTGCAGCCATGTTCTTCATCATAAGGATGGTGTTGAGCAAACCGTCGCTATTCGCGCTACGCCCTTGTAGCTCCCGGCGCAGCCCTGCAACCTCGGCTGATGTCACACACAACCACCTCAAACCGATCTCTCCCGATCGATCAAGGCCAACCCGACCCTTACCCTTTGCGCCGTCATGGTGAAGTGGCATATATAACAAGGCATATGCCCATACTCTCTTTGGTCTCCACTACCGCGACCCTGCCTAGCCGCAAAAGTTCGCCGAGATAGGACTCGCCGAGGATAGCAATTTCGCCGGCATAGATACAGAGGGGCATCGCCGCCATCAATGCCTACTCCACCATTCTCTCGAGACCGCCGAGATTGGCTCGACGAAGTGCTTGGTTTGATTGCGCGGAAACGAAAAGACTCAACGGTCAGATTTACGGTTCCAATTCCCAGTGTCCTAATCGATGATGGTACCTCCGCAAAGAATAAGGCAGTGGTCAACAGGCCAGGACGGGCTGGATAAGCTGAGACTGGACGAGACTGACTGTCCCACACCGGGGCAAGATGAGGTCCTCGTCGAGGTCCATGCTGTTAGTTTGAACTATAGAGACACAGAGGGTATGTTGATCTTCTCAAGCCAAGCGCTCTAGTCCAGCTATACAAGCTCTTCAATCTGGATGAGGATGGCTAATTGATGTGAAAGTCGCAATGGGCCTTTACAATCACCACAAATCCGTCGACCATCCACCAGCACTGGTCCCTTGCAGCGACATGTGCGGGGTGGTCGTTGCTGTCGGCCCGTATTCCAAGAACACCTCGGATCCTTACAAGAATCCTGCGTTCCAACTCAAGGAAGGTGATCGGGTAATCAGCACCTTTGCTGCCACTCACTTGACGGGTCAGGTGCAAGCTTCAGATGTTGCAAACGGCCTCGGAGGTCCTGCGCCGGGCGTCTTGACTCAGTACCGCGTCTTTCCCACGTACAACGTCGTCAAGGTCCCCAACTACCTGTCTGCCCAGGAAGCGAGCTGCTTGCCTATCGCCGCAATGACTGCCTGGATGAGCTTGAACTGCATGCGCGCGCAGGGCGAGATCATCGGGCCGAACGAGACCGTGCTCTGCCAAGGGACCGGAGGTGTCAGCATAGCAGCTCTTCAGATTGCTGCCGCCGCAGGCGCTTCTGTCGTCATCACCAGCTCGTCCGACTCGAAGCTCGAGCGCGCACGAAAGCTCGGTGCGAAAACGCTTGTCAATTACAATTCGACGCCGGACTGGGAGGCGTTTGTGCTCAAAGCGACTGCCGATGCCGGCGCCGATGTTGTCCTTGAGGTGGGCGGCGCCAAGACGCTGCGCAAGTCTTTCGACTGCGTCAAGTTCGGCGGCCTGATCGCGTGTATAGGTTACCTCAGCGGAAAGGTAGACGATGACACGGACCGGACCAACACGAACCTCTTATGCCTGAAAAGGAATGTTACGCTCAAAGGTATCTTGAATGGGCCAAGGGACAGGCTCGAGGAGATGCTGCGGTTCTACAAAGAAAAGGGCATCAAGCCCGTGGTAGACCGAGTGTTCAAATTTGAGGAGGGTAATGAAGCACTGAAATACTTATACAGTGGCGGTCATTTCGGCAAAGTGGTCGTTCAAGTCAAAGAGTAGATTGATAGGGCCACATCTTGAATGACTGTTCCAGCTGCTGACCGACTCGACACGCTCCTGTCCAGTGATTGACATGGAAAGATGGGTGAAGTCTTGCTGTTCAAAGGTGCGGCTCTTGTGAGGGGCGCTAGCCTTTTCATGTAGGTACAGAACAAGCCCGAGATTCGCGGCGACGGGCGGAAGACGATTCCAGCCGTGTGGTGGTTGTTATCTTTGATTGGCAAAATGGACGAAGAAACCTGTTGCAATGGTGCTGGGGCGGATGCAGACACAAAAGATGTACGCATCGCGACGATGACGATGACGCTGAACCGGACTCCCGAAAGCTTCATAACTAAATCCCTCAGGACCAAGCACGAAACTCCCAAAGCAGATACGACGGCATTGAAGAGCACGAACCGCTCCTATCGAGGCCGGGACCAGTAGCGTTGGTTACATTTGACGGAGCTCAGCTGTTGATATCAGCTGTCCTCTCAACAGTAGGACAAGCGTTGCCTGCGCGCTTTCACCCGGCTCCTGGGTATCGATCTACAGCTCATGACCAGCACTACTTCTACTCTGACACGCTGCTGGAGAGCTCCAACAGGTCGCGTGCTGCGGAAAGGGCCGCTCCACGCTCACAATGGAGAGGCTGGGGCCGCACCAGTGTTCCCCACAGATGCCCTCCTAACGCTTCCGAGACGGATGCTAAGGCCCCCGTCGACGTGGGTAGCAAGGCGGCTATCTCGCATTGCCGATCCCTCTTCGCACCACTCACGCCGCGCAGACATGGGCACCGCTGACGCATCCCGCACGATGACCTGATGGTGGTCACTGGTCAGCACCCGGATGCAACGGCTTGCTTCGGCCAACGCGTCACTAACCCCATGCTCGGATCCTATTCGGGCAATTTGGACAAGGCGACGCCAACGCCGCCACCCGCCGGTCTTGCCGGAAGCTTGAGCTTGAATGCACAACACCAGTCCGCTGCCTCTGCTCTGGATGCAACGCTGACAAGCCTCCCCGCCACTTTGGGCGCTGCAAACGCGCGACAATTGCCCTCGGCGTCGACTCGTTCCAACACCCGGCAATGCTTCCCCGCATTGACTGGGTGCAGGTCAGAGCGCAACTTGCCTCTCCTACGTAAAATTTTCAACCATTTACGTCAAAGATTGTACCAAGTGGATACCCTCTTTCAGTACCTGACCGCTGTGCTCGCCCCGACAGATGATCCGTTCAATCTCCGAAAGATACTGCCCGGATTCAATGACGGCGCCGCGTTTGTAATGTGACGGTGCCAGATAAGGTGCAGGCATAAAACAGCCCATCATGCCCGTCAGTGCGGTCCATTGCTCTCTACCCTGGGACCTCCTGTTACCCCGCGGCTTCCTGCTCAGCCCCAGAAGACCCCAGTGGTCCCTCCTCCGAGCAGAGTCAGCCTGAAAACCGCCCTTGTCGCACTGCCCATCTCCAGTGCCGCAAACATGTCTGGACCACATGATTATGGCAACACGCTTGTTCCTCCCATGTACGAGAAGGATGACACCAGCTCGGCCGGGAAGAAGAGCGATCCAGAGAACAACCGACTCGACGAAGCTCCTACCATTCATGAAGGCCAGGAAAGATTTAGGAGGTTGGGATGGAAGCGGCTGACCATCTGTCTGATTGTCGAGGCCATCGCTCTGGGATCATTGAGCGTGCCGAGTGCCTTCGCAACCGTTGGCATGGTTGCCGGTGTGATTTTGACCGTCGGACTGGGACTCATCGCAATCTACACCAGTTACGTCGTTGGCCAAGTGAAGATGCGATATCCACAAGTTGACCATTATTCGGATGCCGTACGACTGATCTGGGGGAGGTTCGGATACGAGCTGACGGGAGCCATGTTTGCCATCTTCCTGGTCCTCCTAGTCGGCTCGCACGCTCTTACCGGAACCATTGCCTTCATCAACATAGTAGACAAGGAGAACGTTTGTGCGCTTGTTTGGGGCATCGTCTCGGCCATTATCCTGCTTCTTCTCGCACTGCCGCCGACCTTTGCCGAGTTCGCCATATTGGGATACATCGACTTTGTCAGCATCATCATCGCGATTGGTGTCACCATTATATCCACTGGAGTACAGGCGCACAACGCCCCAGGAGGTCTTTCGGCAGTCAACTGGTCAGCATGGCCACCGCCAGAGACGACCTTCTACCAGGCCTTTCTTTCGACGACAAACATCATCTTCGCGTATTCTTTCGCCATCTGCCAGTTCAGCTTCATGTCTGAGATGCACACTCCGAAGGATTACGTCAAGTCTATCTGGGCGTTGGGCCTGATTGAGATCTTCATCTACACTGTGACTGGAGCTCTCATCTATGCGTTTGTCGGTGCCGACGTAAAGAGTCCTGCGCTTTTGTCCGCCGGGACCACGGTCTCGCGTATTGCATTTGGAATCGCCCTGCCTGTCATTTTCATCTCCGGTAGCATCAACGGCACCGTGGTCGGACGCTACATCATGGACCGCGCGTTCCCAACATCTTCGATCCGGTACATCAAAGGCGTCCGAGGCTGGGTTGTCTGGATCTGCCTGCTCTCCTGCCTTACGCTTCTTGCGTGGGTAATCGCAGAAGCTATCCCTTTCTTCAACGCGCTGCTTGGTATCATGTCCGCGCTGTTCATCTCCGGCTTCACCTTCTACTTCCCCGCGCTCTTCTGGTTCCAGCTCATCAAGGAGGGCAAGTGGTACCAGGGCTGGAAGAACATCTCGCTATCCATCTTGAACGCGTGCGTGTTCGTTATCGGAATTGCCATCCTGGGATGCGGCACGTACGCGAGTGTGCAGGATATAGTCACTCAGTACCAGGGAAACAGCGTGAGAGGTGCGTTTACCTGCAACTCGAACTCGTACACGTAGTCGTGGCTCCCGGTGAGCAGCGCGGGATCGTCCCTTGACTCTAGAATCAATCAATACGCATTATGAATTCTACGTTTTTCCTACTCACGCGGCGAGTGACGCTCTATGCCATGTGCTCAGCAAGATACGTCCCTCATTTGGGGTGAGCACTTGGCTCGGCTCGACACTAGGCAATGGCGGGTAACAGGATGGTATCACGGCTCGAGTCTTGTTAACAGTGTTGAGAGCCTGAGGCGTGGGCTTCGGCTCTCGTGGCCTACACTATAAGTGCCAGAGGGAGCAGTCTCTGAGCCAGCGGTCGCTAATAGAGACAGAGCCCAGGTGCCGCTGGCATTTGCTTGTGTTGCCTTGCCTGTCCTAGTCGGTTCATTGCTGCGTAGGCGCGTCGTAATGCTCCAGAAGGTTCTTCAAACTCACATCTGGCGGGTCCGGAAGCCTATTGCCAGGATGAACAAAAGATCGGGTAGTGTTGGAGGTTACTTGAAGTGCCGGCCATTGCGGCAGGGCAAAGAAGAGGGGACACAGCAAACCGGCCCTGGAACAGGATACAAAGCAAGTATACCATGTTCACCGACCCGCTGGAGTGGGTGAGCATGTTGTGTTCGAGGGAGCTGTGTAGATGGAAGTAGTTTGCTCCTGCAGTCGCACCTGCTATCTCACTCACCCTTGGTTAGCAGCTGCCAAAGGCGGCCCGCCATGGCATACGCCCGAGGTCTTCCGAGGTCCACCATCTTGCGAACCAGGGGCAAGAGTAGAATGTTTTGACAGCGTGTTTGGACGGTCGCCGGCTGTAAACAACACGCGCGGTTCGAGGGTGGGAGCCCAGCGCCCCCCAACCATGGTCGCCCCACTCGAGGATCCGTTTGGCAGCTCTATTCTCTGAAGTGGCCCACACGACACAAACACCACCCGTCGAACAACCGCTCAACGCCACTTTGCCAAGCAAGCAGCTCAGCACCGGGGTGCCGTCGCAGCCAACGACAGGCGAGCAAACGGGTACGCAAAATCTAGCGGTGTTCTTATACACCGCTCATATCGCACGGCCATAAAGCCAGCAATTGACAGTACCCTAGCCGCCTCGCGTTCTCGGACCAACACTATGTCTTACAATGAGAACGATCTCCAAGCTGCGGCTCAGTCTAAGCCATCCTCTGTCCCTATAAGCGACGCCATCTCCGAGGCTGTAGAAGCCTTCGCTGTGGCCGAACGACGCCGCAACTTCCACTTCCTGGCGCGCACCAGCCACCACTCCATGAATGGGGAAGACTTCTCCGTCTACCGCGCGGACCCAGAGAGCATCGAGAAAGGCTTGTGCAGGTGGAAAGTGGACCCTTCTCGATTTGCCGGAAGTACTTGGTACACCTTCTTCCAACCACTTTCTCGCGGCCTCAAAGATACTGTTCCCCTGCGCTACAAGATGGATGGGCAGGTGATGGCAATCGTTTCCGAGATCGCGCCGACTCCCGTTGCGAGGGCTTCGTCTGCTTCCCGGAACAGTCATGAGGTTGGGCAGCATAACGATGAGGCTACCCCGGTCTCTGTCCTTGACGCAGGAATCGATATCCAGTGCGATAGCATCGAGGTCTTCGATGTGGAGGATACTCAGTGTTGGATGCCTCTGTGCGTCTGGATGAGGAAGAAGTACGAGTGGCACGATGACAGGGACTGGACGCAGCAAGGAGGTCGTCAACTCCAGCACGAGAACCAGGTCATTTGGTGGAAACACAACGGCAAGCACTTCAAGTTCTTGGATCTCCCTAGGGAGGTTAGAGATTTGGTATATTTGGAGAGCCTTGGACCCATCATCCTACCCACAATCAGCATTCGCGCATTTGCCGATTTCATTGTCACATTTGGACATGGTGTCACTTATGGCCCCAAGAACCGTCCCGGCGCGAAACTCGATCCAGATGTCGACCATCCGAACACACCACTGTTATTGGTGAACCGACAGGTTCACGACGAGGCTGTGAGCACAGTCTTATCGATGTCAACCAAACGCTTTCGCTCCTGCTCTAGTTTTGCCAGCTTCGGCATACGTAGCCGAGTCAGCGCTCCAAAGTTACCATTGAGACGCGTTCAGCTAGAGCTGTCCGCAGCTGGCTACTTCGCACTAATTGGTATACGCCCTCGACCAGGTGTGCCATGGGCAGATAGCTCCGCTGAGATGTCCCTAAACTGGTTGAAGATGCTTCCAGATATGGCACACCTTGACCTCCGTTTCATCAGCCCAAACCACCCGGACGCACGGTGTCCTTGGGGTGCCCTCGCCTTGGCGCATGGCACCTCTGCCGACCATTCGTGCCAGAAGATATGGATTGATTACTTCTTCACCTTTGCACTGGAGCACATTATTGGATGGAAGGTCCGCATTACAATGAGTGGCTGCATTAAGGATTCCACGCGTGCTAAGTGGGAGCCAATCCTCAAGCAAGCGCGGGACAATGAAGTCAAAGATATGGTGGCTGAAAAGGCGGTTATCCGGCTGGGCAAGCCCATCGCGTGCTCCTGCACTGTCCCGTGCTATAGTCGGAATCCACAGAATGAGCGAGATTATTTCAGCTTCTCAGACTAGCCGCCGTGATCTGCAGGTCGTCATCTCACACTGGAAAAGATCTGGGCAGTCTTTGCCATGCATTGCGTACGTGAAGGTGTCTTCGGAGTAGACAGATGCGGGACTGTTGTTGTCTACATGTGAGACGATATGTCTGTCGAACGTGGTATATATGATGGAAGGAGAAAAACCTCTGGCACTTGTTCGCACATACACAGATGGATTGAATGACCGATGGGAAGAGCCTTGGATGCATGGATTCAAATAACGAAGATCAAATTCTGATTGAATGCACACTCATTACACTGTGATCCCACCGAATCTAGCCGTCACACTAGAACTTTCAATGAGCAGGGATGCTCAGGACCGTCACAGCTTGGAGTTGCTGAGCTGACTTGTTTCATGCCTATCTAGTACGGTACATATCCCTTCATCCGAACTAACAGGCAACAAGGGAAAACCTCTTCGCGGCCCCAAACCCTTGCTCAGTCAGCATACCGACCACAACTAAGCCCTACGCGTCGCCGTGACTGTCCTCACGCTCGTTACAGTCCTCGTCGTCGCTGCCCTCGTGGAAATCCTCGTGATAGTCATGCTTCGAGTCGACGTCTTGTTCACTGTCGCCGTGACCGTTCTGGTGGCGCCTACCGATGTCCTTGTGATAGTAGTAGGAACAATGATTGTTGAAGTGCGGGTGGCATTGACGGTCTGGGTTGTGCTTCGCGTCACGGTCGCGCTTTGCGTTGTTGTAGTAGGAATGCGCTGAGTTTGAATCTGGGTTTGGGTTTCCGTGACAGTTACCTGGCATGGGTCGGTATCAAGGTCAGTTGTGAGATGGAGGGTAGCTTACGGCAGCTGGTACAGAGGTCGTGGTAACGGTGACAGTAATTGTGCTTGGGGGACCAAAAGGATCGCTTGATTGTCCACTGGCGCCTCCATTTGGCTGCCCAGGGCCGGCCTCAGGAGCTCCAGAATTATCTCCAGGCTGTAGATCTATGTCGCGCGCATTAGCATCGTACCACGCATCCTGAGATGTTGAACCTACTAATTAGCACCTTCACAGCACAGAAGACAAACCCTAACTCGTGTTAGATGTTGTTGTAATGCATTGAGCAATCACGTATTCAAGGGAGGACGAGGAACGACTGGTGACTGCTTTGCCAGTCAAGCCCCCGTAATCATGATCTGGAACTTGACTTACGGGAGCAGAAGCATCAGAAGTGGTTCTCGAACGACGAGCTTTTCATGATCGAAGGTGAAAAGAGACAGTCCTTTGCCTCTAAGGGGGTAGTGGCGATAATACAAAAGTCGCGCTTTGGGTCCGTTTAAGCTGCACTTACCTGGCCATTTGGATCCTGGGAACGTTAGCAGGAAGCAAGAAAGAATTAAATGCCTGTGTGCATGTGCATGTGCAGTGCAATCTATGGAAAGTTTGCTGAGACCTAAACAAAAAGCTGTTCCCAAGTCTTGAAGATTCTAAAGCAATTTAGCAATCACTTGCAAAGCCTAGGCTGGCAGGTGGTGAATTGAATCTACTCAATGTTCATAGATCAAAAGTCAATGCTATTCCTTAGTGTCGTGAGACGCGAAGAAGAAAGCGAGGCCCAGGATGTTTATGAAGTGGCAAATGCGTCGCGTATGCGAATTTTCCTTGTAGGTGGTCCGGTTTCATCTTTTGACAGCAGGGGGTTGGCAACAGCTTGTGGCTGGAAGAAGGGATACGATGCGTGTACAGCATTCCCAAGGTCGTCCTTCACGAAGGTGTCCCCACTGCGCATGCAGGAATGATTTTGGCGAGGGACGATGCTCTAGGCCAATGAATGAAGTCTTAAAGGCGGCATTGAGTTGTGAGCGGGTAATTGTCATCCAATCTAAGTGGTTGCTGATAGGGCAAGCTATGCCTGGTGTTCACGCGATATGCGGTTTTCCAGAGAGAGGAAAGGCATTTCAGAAAATGAGATATGGGCCAACGTGATAGTTTCTTGGATCCAGTGCCGACGCTATAGACAGTGATAGAACGTTGACCCCCTCGCTTGGATCATAGGTAAGCAGAAGGCAGACCCGGCACATTGCGAGACTTACAACGCCTGGCTGGCGGAGTAATGAATACATTATCTGATGCAAGTAGAGACAAATGATGACGATGCTCTGCTGTCAAAGATTTGCGACTTGCGGTGCGAGGACCGAAATATTGGCGTGTCGCCCTATCGGCATGCTCCTAGAGGGGAATAGCTCACACGCCATCCAAAAGCCCCCACATGCACTTCAACTGCGCCCAGCCCTACACGATTATCTTCATTTGACAGAATGAGCCCCCCGATCGACGGCATGGGTGATATTGTTCGTTGAAAACCGCACCGCCTATCACAACGTTCTATCGACGACTCGGCGGCTAGCCCTACGATGTTGTGCTGACATCAGAACTAAATACAGATCTGAACCCTGCTCTAGGAACCAAGCAGAAACAACGACTGTACCTGAGGCTTACTCGTCTGTGTGTCTATACGAGATGACAGGACCTCGCCGAGAGGACGCAATTTTCTCGAAAAGCCCAAAGCCGAGTATGGCCAGCTTCGCTCCTCCTCTAGCGCTGACAAGCACAAAGCTTCTTTCGGGCTACGCAACCTTCAAAATTTCTAGGCAAAGATTAGACTGTCTTTCAATGCCTACTTTGTTTGTTCTATGGCCCCGCCAACATGTTCGCTTATGCTTCGCTCAGAGCGACTGTTGTCCTAAGCCTTGACCAGCTCCAACATGCGGCCATCAGCCTCACAAGGCAACATCATGGGGCTACAATTTCTTCGAGGGGAGCTGGGCATTTCGCCTGCAGAGTATGTGTCTATGATAAGAATCTTTGTGTCTCCGGTCTGAAGAGATGTATTACTTCCAAGGTCTTCCTTCAGTCATTCTTTGTTCAAAACTTCTGTTGAGCTACGTTTCACATAGATATTGCTATTCCGAGCGTCTAGAGGAAGGATGTTGCTGAGCCTGGTCTCGTCGTTGTTTCTTGTGGCCCACGCAGTTGCAGACTCAAGGTACACGCTTGAGTTAACCTGGGCCAAAGGCTCACCAGATGGCTTCGAGAGGGATATGATCTTCATCAACGGACAATTTCCTGGTCCTCATATCGAGCTGGAGGAGGGCGACTGGGCGGAAATTATCGTTGTTAACAAGCTTCCCTTCAATACAACAATACACGCTCACGGTATGCCCATTGCTGCCTTTGTCTAAACAATCTGACTTCTTGTAGGAATCCATCAGACCAACACTCCTTGGGCGGATGGCGTTCCGGGCCTTTCGCAGCGTCCCATCCAACCAAACGATACCTTCACATACAGATGGAATGCAGACACCTACGGTAGCTACTTCTATCACGCACATACCCGGGGACAGATCGATGACGGATGTTATGGCCCCATAATTATCAAACCGAAAGCTGGGATCGCCAAACCTTTCGATAAGATTGCTCCAGAAGATGTGAAATTGCTCGAAGCCGCGGAGGCACGTGTCACACCTTTGATCATCTCTGATTGGCGTCACAAGACCTCCTCTGAGACATGGGACCTTGAGGTGGCAGCGGGACTAGAAAGTGCCGTCTGTGTAGATTCGCTTCTTGTGAATGGGAAAGGCGCGGTGGACTGTTGGTCGCGTGAGGAACTCACTAAATACACCAATCCTGCCGTTGCTCCAGTATTGCAGCAAGCTAACCTCTCGATGACCGACAAGGGGTGAGTAAATATCTCTCTATAACCCAGCCATTTACAATAATTAACTTCGTTGCAGATGTCTACCAGCAGAGGTGCTCGCAACCTTGTTTCCAAGCCCAGATACTAATCTCACGGCACTTCCTTCTTCTGTCTTTGACGTTTGCACCCCCACTCAGGGTTCCCGTGAGGTTATCAAGGCGCCGTGCTCCGATAAGTGGATGGCGCTCGACATAATATCATCCGCAGGCATAGCAACATTCGCGGTCAGTATCGACGAACATCCCTTGTGGGTGTACGCCGTTGACGGCCATTACATCGAGCCTCTAAAAGTCGACGCACTGACTCTCGCCAACGGAGAACGTTACTCGGTCTTCGTGCAACTAGACAAGACTGCTAAGAACTATGGCATCCGGATTGCTTCGTTGGCTCTGGCTCAGCTCATCGATACAACTGCTGTCTTCTCATATGATGATGCAGAGCAGTCGTATGGGAACGGCTCTACTACAATCGAGTCGGAGCCGTCCATCAACCGCGCAGGTGACAATGTGACTGCCGATGTGATCTTTTTCGACCAAGCGGAGATGGTCTCGTTTCCACCTCAGTTTCCCCAGCCTGCACCAGCCGCTGATCAGACGTTCCTATTCAGTTTAGTCACGGCCGGAAGTTCCTACCGTTGGGCTATGAACGGCACCACTTACGACCATGCTATCGACAATTCCAATCCGTAAGGGTGCCAATAACTGTAACCAACGTTGAGTATAAGCTGACCAGAACAGACCGTTCTTATACCAAGACCCACATGCAATTACCACTGCTGGCAACCTTACACTCACAACCAAAAACAATACCTGGGTCGATCTGGTCTTCCACGTCGCCACCACCGGCCAACCTCCTCATCCGATTCACAAGCACAGCAACAAGGGCTTCATCATCGGTCAGGGCGAGGGGAACTTTACCTGGAATTCTGTAGCTCAAGCTGCCGCAGAGAAGCCGGAGAACTTCAATCTTGTTTCTCCACCGTTTCGAGATGGATTTGTTACGCCGGCCAGTGCGACTGGTCCAACATGGCTCGCCGTGCGTTACCAAGTTGTGAACCCGGGCGCTTTCATGTTGCATTGCCATATTCAGAGCCATATGGATGGTGGTATGTCGATGGTCATCTTGGATGGCGTTGACGAGTGGCCTGAAGTACCGAAGGGGTACATGAATTAGAGTCTGATTTGGAAGGAGTTTGGAAGGCGCTGGGAGAATTTTAATTTTGTGACATATGTGTTCGTTGATTAGGAGTACTTGTATACCTAGAGTCGAACGCTATATTAAGACCTGTATCACGTTCAACGTTTCTGCCTGTCGCGTTCTGGGTCGGGTGTCGTAACGCGGTTTAACGGAGAGTGAACAGAGCCAAGGCAGCTCTTGTCGTTCTGTTTTGCAACAATATTGTGCTGGTATATGCGTCGCACTGATGTTTGTTCTGGCATCAGTTCTTCTTGGATGAATAGCTATTCAAAACGTAAGAGGCTGTCAGCAAACTGTCGAGTTACCCCTACTCCGCGTTATGGTAGTGATGCTTATACTAAGCATGCGATCTCGCAGTAACACAGGCCTGAGGACCTTCACAACACAACTACTGCATGCCCAGGTGGTTTCCTTCTAGCGACCCGCCAAGCATCCTCATCACCCGCGCTCGACCCAAAACATACGTGTTTCCACGCGCCTGGCCGGCGTCGCAGAGCGTCTGCGCATCCTCGGCGTCAAAATTGATGTCCTACAGCAAGACTACGTTGGGACCGTGGAAGCGCTCGACATTGCGTCTGCGGAGCTTGATAGCACCAACTTTGAAGGGATCGCGGCGACGGCAGTAACTGCTACGGCTACGGCGCGCAATGTGAAAGTTCCGAAGTGAGGCTTTTGGGTGGATACGAAGCAAGAAAACGCGGCGTTTGCGTTTGTGCTCCTAGAACCGGAGCACCATACGAGTCTAGTGCACTATAACGCTTTTCTGGTGGAGGAGGGGGACCAGCATCCGGTTTGTAGGGTTCTCTAGCTCTCGTGCCTAGGTAAAGGTAGTTAGTAAGCATTGGTAGGTCAGTTAAAGGAATCTGCATTTTAGGGTGACTCGCTGGACAAGTCGGGTTCAACGACTTCCGTCTTAACACCGGCGTTTTGATAGCATAGAACCAACTGTCACATCTGCATGTCGATTATAGCACTCTCGGCGAGTATGTCCGCATCTAGACGCTGTATGTGTGCATGAACGTGAAAGGAACGTGATTGAAAAAAAGTGGTTGAAATCCGTGTTGATTCCGGGTATATCATGCCTCATCTACTCATCCATGGGCTTAAGACTTTTCGCTGTACTAAATGCGACATGCAATATGCATGCGTGCTCTCCATGGCTATCCAGTATCTCAAAGCCATTTAAGCTACAAATACCCCCCCCGCGAACCATACTTCGATTGGCACTTTACTCCGGCGGCTGATACGGCTTAACCAGCATCTCGCTGAAACTACACAACGTTAGCACACACTTTAGATGCAGCGCTAGGTAATTATCACTTACGTTTCCAGCTTGTCCTTGCCCCGCACCTCCTCGGTGAGCAACGGCATTTTTATGACATTGAAGTCCTCGTACAACTCCCCTATCTGATCCAAGTACTTCTTCTGCATCTTCCGCCTTGAATTGCACTGTTCACACGGGTTGTCCTTCTTTGGGAACAGCAGCTGGTTCACCACGATGGCATGTGTGTCGATCTCGTAGCTGTTCAGCTCCTGGATCATGCGCTCCGTCTCGTACAAACTGAGGAACTCGCTGATGCAGACACACACGAAGGTGGTCATATCCGGATTTTTGAATTGCTCATTGACCTCGCTGATAGTGGAGCGGAGGGTTTCCATCTTCTCGATCAGCTCGTCCATGTTCTGGCCGTTAGGTAGGCGGCCGCCGGCGCCGAGGAAGCCGTTGAGCATGGGCCCGAACTGGCGAGAGAGCTGAGAAATCTTGGAGAGGGCTTTCTCCATGACGGTAGGAAATTGTAGGAAGCGGAGGGTGTGGCCGGTGGGCGCGGTATCGAAGATGATGACTTCGTAGGAGAGTGATTTGACCTGCTTGAGGACTTCGGCAAAGGACATGGCTTCATCGACACCAGGTATCTACATGCATTAGCGATATAGACTCATGCGTAGATGCTTAGGAAGCTCAATACCGAGAAGGCCAGATCCTGCATCATGTTACCCATGCCTCCCAAAGCCGCCATAGATTCCTCTGCGCTCTCACCACCCTGTGCCAGCAGGTCCTGAATGCTGCCATTGGGGTCGATCTCCATGGCGCTTAGGTTGTCAAAGCCCTCGACCAGGCGCGCGTCCTTGCCGAACTTTTGGTTGAAGGCATCGCTCAGATTGTGTGCGGGGTCGGTCGAGATGAGGAGGACGGATTTGCGGTGCTTGGCGAGCTGAATGGCGAGCGAGCAAGATGTGGTAGTCTTGCCTACACCGCCTTTGCCGCCGACAAATATCCAGCGCAGCGTCTTCTGGTCGAGAATAGACTGGAGTGTGGGCTCCATGACCTCGTCGTCGTTGAGCACTGCGGCGTTTGCCATTGCGGATGAGTGTCGAGCGAGTATTCGGTACGGCAGTGGAGTGTAGAGACGCGAGAGACGTGTACGTGGACGTGTCCAAAGTCTAGATGCGACCACTACGGCGTCACTGTGGACGGTTCGAGAATCTTCCGAGAGCTAAACGGCGGGTGGGCGCAGCGAGATGCTCGGGAAACAGATGAGAGTGCCTGATCGTCGAATTAAAACGGGAAAAAGCCAAATATGGCTTGAGAATGGTGAATTGAGTTGTGTGTTTAAGGCGCTGTTGCGTTTATCGTCGTGCGCGAAGCTGTAGCAAACCAAAAGCTACTACGTCAGTGCGTTCGTCACCCCGCCCGCCGACCGCCTCTGGCCTTCAGCGCAACGCCACAATTGTGGCGCTTGCATTGTATGTCGCGTATGTGAAATGCACTTCGTCCTGTGACCATATGATGTTATACTATAGTACGCTGACTAGCATACCTTAACAAGCTTTCGAGAGCTTGCGCCTTTGACGTAGTAATCTCTATACCCCAAAACACGACTCCCTTTCCATGCCAACCAATGCCGTGAATGAAAGCCTTGGTAGTCCTACCCATTTGTCGCACAACACCAAAACGCCCAGAACACTGAGACACTCCACGATGTACGAAAACGCACAACACCATACCCGCAAAGTAGCCTAGACCGAGCAATCTATTTCTTCTTTCCCCGTCCCTTACCCTTGGCTGGTGTTGAGCCGTTCGAGACCACACTAGTGGCCCGAGAGGTTGACGCTGAAGCAGGGGAACCCTTGGCCTTCACAGAGTCCAGCTGTTTGTTCTACGAACCATTAGCTTTGTGAGTTACGAGTTGATGAGTGTACGAACCTTGACGCCGTTCTTCACCTTCTTCTTAACAGGAACCTCTTCCTCTTCCTCCGTCTCCTCTTCATCGAGCGTACGCTTGCCTTTGCCGTTCTTCATATCAGGGTCTTGAAGCTCACGCTGGACCGAGTCTACAAGCGTTTTGCATCGTCGGCCAATTTCCTGAGCTGTCCGGCTAAGGAAGAACCAGTCGAAGCGGAAGAGGGGCGACTCTCGGATATCCTCCCGGATCTTTTCGAAAATGGTGTCGCCCTCCACACCATGCTTGTGGAGCATGACGAGTAGGAAGCGATCTTCCTCCTCAGTATACACCTTCTTGTTCGTCGTAGATACCGTGTACTTGATGACCATCTGTTGTAGAGGCATACGGTACATGTTGACCTTCTTAGCCACAAACGCTTTTCTCTCTTCTTGCGACCGCACCCTTGCTTCACCCTCTTCGATAACTCCGAGATGCTTTTGCCAGTTGTTGAGGTCCTTGTACTTCTTCCAGAATACTTTGGCGTACTCTGCAATCTCGTCTGCCGTCTTTCCGTCGACTTCTTCCGAGATGCCATCATAATTCGTCCGGCCATACTTGGCTGAACCGTTCAAAAACTGTTGGAAATCACGCTTGTTCCACTCGGGGAAACCCTTATTGATCAAGCGCTCCTTCTCGGCCAGCTCCTCTTCGGTCAGAGGCTCAGCGTTGTCGATTTCTGCTTGCGCAAGCTGTTGATCGGCCTCTCGTGTCTCGAGATCCTCATCGGGCCCTTCAGGAAGCGGTGCTTTGATGTTATTCTCCTTCCGGAACCAGGCTGTCTCTTTATCTTGAATCTCCGCGAGCTTAGCCGGAAAGAATTGGTAGTCATGAATGACAACCTGCTTCGGTGCGCGAGGGATCCTAGGACCCTTGGCTTCAGTCCGCCCACCTGTCATGAGCGCCTGCCGATAGTATTTATCCATGGAGTATGACTGCTCTTTACGTTCACGTTTCGAAGGATTGATCCAGTTCAGACCAATATCTTTCTTGCGTGGCTCAAACTTCTCGCCGTTCCACTCGTAGGCTGAATCCGATGTGAACTTCTGCAGATCGTCGAGACCTAGCTTCTCATACTTGTTGTTGAGTTGCTGTGTCCGCTCCTCGCCTCGCTTCATGATCGCGTCGAAATCATCCTCAGTGAATTCGTCTGACCCAGGGACGGGACCAATAGCACCCTGCGATTTGAACACCTTTTCGGCACCATGCTGAATCATAGTGAGTAGCTCATCCTTGCCGGCGGCATTCTTAACTGGCTGTTGTGTGCGACCTTGTTGGATAACGAGTTGGTCGAGACGAAGCTTCTGTGCTGCACGCTCCAAAACCTTCTCTTCAATAGCGTTCTCGGTGACGAATCGGTAGACATACACCTGCTTGGTTTGACCGATACGGTGAGCACGATCCATAGCCTGCAAGTCAGCCTGGGGGTTCCAGTCGCTGTCGAAAAGTACAACAATGTCGGCGGACGTCAAGTTAATACCCAAACCACCGGCGCGTGTTGTCAGGAGGAAAAGGAATTTCTCCGAACCCTCTTTATTGTACTCGTCAATGGCTGCAATACGATCCTCGTGGGCAGTCGAGCCATCAATGCGGCAGTAAGCGTAGTCGCGGAAGACAGCATAGTCCTCAAGGATATCCAGCAAGCGGCTCATCTGAGAGAAGATAAGCACGCGACTGCCCTGGGCCTTCATGCGTTTCAACAGCTTGTCCAGCATCACCATTTTAGCTGCGTTATTGACCAAGTGCTCGTCGGTGGTATACGGAGGCCCAGGCTCAGCACCTTCAAATAGGTAAGGATGGTTGCAACATTTCCGCAGTTGCATGACAATGTTGAGCAACCGAGTCTTGGACTCTTTGTTGCCAGCAGCACCGTTAACAGCGTCAATGTCCTTTTCGAGGATCTTCTTGTACCAATTCACCTGCATATCAGACATGCCAATGTACAGGTTGACCTCTTTCTTTGGCAGCAGCGACTTCTCCACGTCGGCCTTGACGCGACGCAGAAGGAAGGGTCGGAGGACTTTGTGTAGTTGCTGGACAACAGTGTCGGAGTCCGATTCTTGGTTTGAGAACCAGTCGTCGAATGCGGCAGCGTCACCGAAAACATCCGGAAGCAGGAAATTGAGAAGTGCCCACAGCTCGTGAAGGTTGTTCTGAAGCGGGGTACCTGTGATGAGCAGGCGATTGCGCGAGTTGAATACACGAATGATCTGTGCGAGCGACGACTCCTCATTCTTGATGCGATGTGCTTCATCAATAATGATGTACTGCCATGCAAACTTCTTCAAATGTGACTTCTCGCGAAGAATCATCTCATAACTCGTGATGCACACGTCGAACTTTTCATCTTCGAGCCGATCCCGGATGAGCTCCGCACGTTCTTCTTTGGCGCCCTGCAATACCAGCACGTCAATCTCCGGTACCCACTTGGCGAACTCGCGCTTCCAGTTATCCAAGGTCGACTTCGGGACAACGACGAGATGCGGGCCATGTATGCCGCGTATGAAGCGTAGGTAACCAAGGAAGGAGATAGTTTGCAACGTTTTGCCAAGACCCATCTCGTCGGCCAAAATGCCAGAGATACCGTTCTCGTGGAGAGAAATTAACCAGTTGAGACCTGCAACCTGATAGTCGCGCATCGTTCCTCCTTTGACATATCCAGGTGACTCCCGGAACACAGTCTCATGGTGGCCACCATGCTTCTCCTCGCGCACTAATTCGGCATCTTCTTCTTGCTCGGTCTTACGGCGACGTTCCACAGCCGCGCCGCCCTTGCGCAACTTGCTAGCCTTTGCCTTCTTTTCCTCCTCGGCATCTTCGCGATCGATCTCAGCGAGGATCTCCTTGATGCGCGGATTAGGGTTTGTGTCAATGAAATGGCGGAACAGATCCGTCAGGCCGAGCAGATATCGGAATCTTCGAATAGTGTCATCTTCCTGTATGCGCCGTGCACATTAGCTACTGTCGCGTATGTGAAAAGTTCTCTTCCAGTTGCCGACGTACCTTCGACGCGCCCAATCGATCATGTTTCTTCCCGTATATACTCTTGCGCATATTATAGGCATCGGTTCTCCGCTTTCGTCCGTCGGTTGGCGCGTCCCCCGCCACGCTACTAGCAGTAGTATTTGGGTTTGTGTCCGAATCCTAGATGGTGGTGAGTTCCCCTGACGCGTTACAAGCGGTCGCGTTTAAGCTTACTGTATAGTCGGGCGTGTCTTGGTAGTACTACAAACAAAAGTCAGCGCGTTGTCCAGATATGCGTCGCCGCGCATTGCTCTTCGTCGGAGATAACACGCCGTAGTGAATGAAGGACAGGCACCTACGCCGAATTTGTTAAATCCATCGACGCGCTCGTCGACGTCCTTCATCTCCACATCATCGTTGGCAGAGACATCAGCCGTAGAGGGCTCATCCGAATCGACATTGCGGGTTCGAGAGGGAGCCATGTTGCCCGTTTGGGCCGGACGCGGCGTGCGGTTGTGCGGTCGAACGCTTGATTCGGTCCGAGGATGTGAACGATGGTTGAATTGTCGATACGTTCGCAGGATGCCGACGATGGTTGATCGAGCGCGTCGCAGAGAGAGCGTGGGTAAGCAGACGAGCAATCGCAGTGGAGCAGAATAATGTGAGAAGGCACGACTGGACTTGGCGCGTCAACGCACGCACGGACTCATCCACGTTCGCGTCAAACCATCCCTCTTCGCCTCACCCGCGTCTAATTTGTTTGAGCGCGAACTGTGACAACGCATTGTCGCTCGCAACGCCTACAAAAATACAGATTCGCTTGTATCATTGAATTGACTTTTGATGTACTTGACGCAGTTAACGAGTGCAACAAGTTATGACGTCACCGCATGTTTCTGTGAATGATGTCCGTCGACCCTTTGTCGACCCCATCGTGCGTTGGGACCTTCGACGAGACTACAATCGAAAACCCCGACCGCGCCTACAGCAACGAACTATTGTTCCAATCTTGGTTCCATACCACTGTTCTGCCTCCCTCACCACTTACGTATTCTGAGTCCCGGCTCATCTACCAGGACAAACAGGTGGGCGGTGCCCAATACTCGCCATAGGTGGCTCCGCCATTACTTTTGAGATTGCTGGGTTTGCTGAGGCGCCGGACTTATAGTACCGAATGGGGAGGCGCCATTTGTGAGTACGGTTATGGACATGAGGAGCAGCTATCATCAGTGTCGGTGAACTCCATGGTTGCGAAGAGCGTGTTATGGGATCTCTTGCGCTTATTGGTGACTTGTACAAAGATATTCTGCTCAAGGAAGTCAAGGCGGGAAGGAGTGCGGTTGAGGTTGGTGGCAGCTGGTGACATCTGAATGAAGAGGGCCGAGGATTGATCATGAGAAGATAAATTTTAACATAATCTGGGCATTGGCCTCAATGACGAATGTATTATCGCTATCTGTGAGCCACATGGTTGACAGCACATTGAGAAGTTTTGTAAATGCCACGGCTCCAAAGCGTACCCTGTCAGCCTTGTGTTTTTGCCATCTCATCGACCTGCTTGTCTTTTACTTCACTACTGCGCTTTCTTTGCATTGCTGCCGCTACCCCGTCCGACACCCATGCCATACTGATAGACGAGCTGTCCACCGAGGTATGCCGCAAAGAAGCTTGCGGGTACCGCTAGTGCAGCACTGATGGCAACATTGGTCGTATCAGGTACGAAGCCTGTGGTAGTCCTCCTCACCCACCAGTTGTATGCCGCGCCAAACACGGTGATGTCGTTTATCAAAGCATGTAGGACACCCGTCTGGGCTTTCTTGGAACCGAAACCGTCGCGTGCGATAACAGGTTGGAGTTCGAGGGCACCGGAGATGACGGCAGGTATAGCAGTGATGAGCGTTAGGATCGTGGAATAGTAGGAGAGCGTGGGGAGAAGAGAAGTCGGAATCGCAATGTCGAGGGTTTTGAACGCTGTTGTCACAAAACCAGCAGTTGCAGGTGTCACTGAGGCTAAGTAGAGTGCATCGAGAGCTCCCGTCAGGAAGGTGAACGTCAGTGGGAAGTGAACGGTGGCGGGATGTTTGGGGTGCCTGTTTCTGTTAGTACTCACAGTACAGGCTCATAAGGAAGGCATATACTCACTTTCCAGCCATTGTTCTTTCTAGAATGTTTGAGGCTTCTTTTTTATTATGCGCCGATGGTCTCGCAGTGAGGATGTCTGCCTCGAGAAGAGTCTATGGCTGACTTGATATACAATTCCGATGGGTGTTGAGCTGCGGAGAGCCGAGTGTCCTCCAAGCACAACAGCATGGCTAAAGGCCAATCACATGGCGGCTTATGGTCAGACTCGGACGTCATCGACGTTCAGGATTCCGCGCAAGCAGCTCTGTCCCAAAGAAGTTAAGCGTTCATGCTCGTCTTAGCCCCCTAACGTGTGGGTCCCAGCTGAAACGCGAATCTCGGACATCGTCTACACTTGAGAAATGGATCTTCCTCATTGTGAACGATGATCGAAATGTTCGCAGACTTACCCAAGGGCTCCACACCGGTGCAGGTGGACTGGCAGTCTGACCAATACTGGAGGAAGCGGAGGCTAAGCCCTGCGCAGCTGCAAGTGCACGACATCCGCCTTGAAGATACCGGATGGAGGACCGATTCTGACGGAATGCTGGAGATGCGAGAGGTTATGAGTTCGACGCTGTTTCCAGCATTGGAAAACAGAGATCGTTTGGCGGACACTATCCCTTACGAAAAACTCACCAAGAACAGAAGCGAACAGATGAATATGCGCAACTTGGCGAACGAGTATGGTTGGATGAATTGCCTGCGAAGTAAAGACGTGCAGCAGGGCGTATCAGATCCTGCGGAGTTGAGGAAGCTGCGTTGGATACACATATCTAGCAAGTTCTCTGATTACTTATCTGGATGTCTCCTTGCTTTGTCCGATTGGAATGAAAAGCCCTCCCACATTGTAACAGCGTTGCAGCAGCTCGAGCATTGCGTGTACCAGCAAGAAAGATTCTCGAAACATGGCCGCTACTTTGCACCCTTTTTCCAGTACTTACTCGACGGCGTTGTTGACGATAAAGACTTCTCCAATGAGCCGATGGTTCTAAGCGTTCCGTTCTTGGATTGGACAGTAGAGGGTGAGCCACCACCTCTGAGGTTTCAGGTCGACCCAAGAGAAGGATATCAATCCTCCAGAAGCTCGTCGCATCTTCTCAGATCTATTCTACAGCACTTCTATCGCCTTGAAGACACTGCAGATCGCGAGTCACAACAAGTGTTTACAAAGCACAAACCATGGTTGACGGACCGCAGCCTGGACTTGAAAGTCAGACGCTGGTCAGTTTGCCCACTGCCCTGATTTGTGAACATTAGAATTGACTCTGTACCCCCACCTTCAGGTATGGGCACTATCCAAAAAGCCTCAATGTCGATGAGCTATGGATCTTGGTCATCGACGCACGCCACATTGTAACCTTTTCTAGCAATCAATCATGGAAGTCGCGGTGGCCACCACTCCAGCTGTCAGCGCGTATCATGGAGATATCTTTCAGAGGCATACGCAATGCATTCGTCAATACATCCACTGAGCAAGACTACACTGCTACCACTCATGTGATCACCTCTCTGAGTGGAGCACTCGGCATGCTTCATCGAAGCTTCTGGTCGGACATTCCCCTATGTCTATCGGATCGGTACGCAAGCTATCTTGGTCACCTGCAATATCGTTTACACCGAAGCCCTTCCACGTCTCTCGTCATGCATCTTCTACAAGTCCAAGAAGAGCTCAACATCATCATTCAGATTATGGAGCAGCAGATAGAACTCGTCAAGAAATTTCAAGGTGCTTTAAAGTCGGGCAGGAACCGAGCTTACTCACACAATTCGGCAAGAGAATTTCACCATCAGAATGCCGGATACACAATACCTCCCTCGGACATCGCCACCTACCGCCAGATGTCGTTCAGCCACCTCGCGGATCCAGGTGCGCAACTTCTTGAGAACTTGCAGCGCGAGTACGTCGATCTGTGTGATCTGCGAGACAACAGCAATACATTAATCAATCGAACGATTCAACTAGTCAACATTCGTCTCGAGGATCACGGTAAGGCGATTTTAGTCTTCACCATTATCACCATAATCTTTCTTCCGCTTAGCTTCGTTTCATCCTTCTTTGGCATGAACTTTGCAGATATTCGAGACATGGACCGGACTCAGGGCCTCTTCTGGATCATTGCTGGTAGCCTGACAGCAGGCACAGTTGCCTTCGCAATATTCTTAGCGTTCTATGGCAGTTCAATAGTAGACTGGTTCGTTGCATGGAAGGAGAACAAAAAGAGAAGGAGAATGTCAAAAAAACCCGCTTTGAGGGAAACAGCAAGGGGGATCAAACCTAGCGGGTTCATGAATTTTGATATCCTGGACACCACAAGACCGAGACAATCGAGCGTATTCTGATCACCCACCGCACCACGTTACAATGAGCAACTACGTGTGCAGAACTTCACACAGGCACGTTTTAGGCATACAGACGCTTCCTCCTGGTATTGTGTGCAATCACAAGCACCTTCATTGGCAGTCGATGTCTCCTCGCTGATCTGACGGCTAATTAGCGCATCGGACGGGAGGTCCAAACATAAGCGAGAGAGCTACGACAACAACCCGTCCCGGAAGCAACGGACCGAAGATCGTTACAGGCACCAGACTCAACTAGCAATGTGGCAAGGATGGCCTCTGCGGCATACTTCACCACAATCATGACTGCCGATTACATATAAATCTCGTTTTGCTTCTTCCCATGAAGTCTCTACAATCTGTAAGCCGCCTTCATTTACGCCATCAAGATCTACCAGACATGTCCCCTCGTATTTCATTTAATTGCTACCAACCCTGGACATTGCCAACTTGCGTACATCCGAATTGAGTGTGCTAAGAGCAATCCACCAATGCAATGCCGCGCATCTCTGCTGACCTGTCTATGCTCATTATCACAATCACGCAAGAGCGTCACAGCGAAGAGATGGGTGTTCGCCAGTGCGTAGCATGGGTGAATGCAATTTGTTCATGCGACTTATCGGTCCAACCGAGAGGGCTGGGACGAAAGGGTGGGCAAGTCGTTCTGCAAACCTCGCCCTGCCCTGAGAAATCAGGGGCATATAACTTTTGGGAACGGCCGCGAAATATACAATCCAAGACCTTCGCTCGATATAACGGACACAACTCTTCGACATACATTCCACTGCCATGAAGCTCTCGACGCTACTTCTGGGCGGCATCGCCACACTCGTTGGCGCACAAACAGCCGCCCCATACACGGATGCCAAGTCTGGCATCACCTTCCAGGCTTACCAACACACGACCGGATACTTCCTAGGGATCGCTTTACCAGATGATCCTACGGGCAACACCGATTTCATTGCTACAATTGGTGGCAAGGGGACAGGTTGGAGTGGCGCTAGCCTGGCGGGACCCATGAAGAACGCATTATTGGTACTGGCATGGCCCAATAGCAACGCCGTTGTCAGTTCGTTCAGGAAAACAGCGTCAGTATACCCTCTCGATACCCATTGCAGCCCATCATGCTCTTATATACCGGCGCCGCTAACACCTCATCCAGCCAATACGGCTCTCCTCCCGTCGCAAGCGGCACCTTCACGCAGTTACCCATCGCCAACGGCACCTACGTCAATGGCACGCATTGGACCTATACGTTCGTTTGCTCGAAGTGTATCCAAACCGACGGAACTACCTTTACCGCCAACGCTAATTCGACCATTTTGGGCTACGCACTCAATGCTGCCGCACCTTCCAACAAATCCAATGCAACCAGTTCTGTTTCGAAGCATACGTCACAAGGGCAGGTCACCTTCGACCTGGTCAAAGCCCGAAGCAAAGACTTCACTACGTGGAAAGGTTGGGCCGCTGCGCCAAAAGTCCAATAGACATTCCAGAGATGATTCCACGGCAACAGGAAGAACGTGAGGTAGCAAAGTCAGGATCCACGATATGCATATGCATGCCCTTTCACGGCGAAGGGCGGATGTGACCGCGAGAATTTGTTACAGTTTTTCTTGTTAAAGTTGATAGCAACAACCACCTACGTCTCTTCTCGGTAAGGGCATCTATGCACCTATTGTTTCAGACCCGTTCGTAAGCTGTCTGGTGTAACCTGAAATTCGTCTTTGGCACTCATAGAAGATGTGCATTTCAGGCTAAACCAATGTAGCGCCCCCCCCGGAACACGGCAATGCACATCCTTTCCCAAACCAGAGCCATTCTCGTATAATATATTCAATCAGTATAAGGCGCAGCCCGTTATTGGCTGCTCGTGCATCATGATTCTCTCAGTGCGGAAGCGTTACCACATCTATTAGAAAGCTCAGAATTGGCTCTCCGTTCAACAGCTTACCTTGGAATCAAACGCGAGTACGGGGAGTGCTAGTTGCCTGGAGCTTCAACCTGAGCATTAAGTCTCGTAAATGAGTGCGTCAACAAACGTGCCGCGAGCTGATATATTCTTAGCCTCATCTTTCCTACGAGCACCTAGGAGACCTATATAGCTGTGCATACCAGCTTCCATCAGCCCGACGATCACTCTCTCTACCCCGGAAAGTCTGGCTCAGCCGCCCCGGTGTGGGGCCCTCAGTTCTCTTGTCGCGGTGCTTCGATCTCGCGCATTTTCAGCAACCGTACACTAAACCTCACCTATACCAAAATTCTTACAGATACTCCCGAAACAACACAGGCTGACAGCCTGTCATGGGACTACAGCTCCTGCTACGGGCCCTGCCGCTCTTACTCGTTCTGGGCAGGGCGGCAGGAGACACGACCGCCGCTACCATCGAAACGTTTGCGGATTTCAACACAGAATGCAAGACTTGCCCTCACTCCCTATGCCCAAATGCTCTTTACTACTCCGGAGGAGACATTGTCAACGCAACATGCTGGACGCGCGGCACCCGCATAATCGACACCACACTCTGGCTGCGCTCCACTTCTAACTGCTACGTCACTGAATACGACCTCAGTGATAACACAACGGACTACACTTCCGCGCTTCCCTACTGCGGCCGCGGCTCAGAAGACGAGGACCTCACGCTGGAGGACGCGACATTAAGATACAAGACCGAGTGCAGGATCTGTCCTACAATCAGCTGTGACACAGTGGCTTATCTAATGGAAGAAACAGACGTGGAGTTAACGTGCTGGACGCCGGACGGGCAGACGATCATCGACGATCCGTACTGGATGAAGACGACGAACAACTGCTACGTTGCGCAGAAGAACCTCTACTCCAAGCCAGACATAACATACCTCGATCCCTGCGGGCCAATACCCCTGCTAGAAATCGAGAAACATTTCAACGAGAACGGGACCAGCGAAGTGGATAAGAGAGCTGCCGCGCCTGAGCCGGAAGGCTTTGCTCCAAGCTATTTGATCAATGTTACCGTGGGTGAGGACTACGCGCTCTGTTATAGTTGCGCAGAGGAGACTTGCGACGTTGAAATGAGATACGTGTTCAACCAGGAGGTCTGGCTGCAATGCTTAGTAGACACGAACGGGACGTGGTGGAGTGAGACTACAGATTTCTGCTATGTGAAAAATTTGGACTTTTGGGAAAGTCCGGAGGGCGATTGTGAGTTGATCTATTGTTGAAAGTTGTGTTCCGGAAGAGTTTGTAAGGAGGTGTTGAGGAAGAACTGTGCTAACGCGCAACAGATTATCGGAATCCGCTTTGTTCGTACTTTGAGGAGCCGGGAACTGGACCGGGGGATGGAGATGACTAGGAAATGTTGGCAACCGAGGTTAGCAGATAAACAATAGATGAAAGAGCAATGCGGGTGGGCAACTGTAATCCGTCATCGGGCGTAAGCAAGTAGCCCTTGGGTTGCATGCTGGAGGTACTCAGGTTCGAAATTGCCACATGCACGAGGCAATTACATACTGGAGACGAAGGATTTGTCAATATTAGGAAAACAATGAAAACCACGTGTATAGTACTGATAAAAACTACAGCCTAGCGACCTGGCTATCATGATGACAGTATAGTAGTGTACATCATAGCCGCGATATAAGCCCACAACAGTTCTCCACGATACCACACTGTTGAGTGAAATCTCGACGAGTCGGTAAAGAAACCCGGTAAATGCGCACTAAGATCAAAAGTCGGAAGTCTATAACAAATGAATGAATTGAAATGAAGAAGGTCGGGATGATAGATGTGCATCGCCCGTAACCGTACATGTGACTGTCGTGCTCCACAGTTACTATTGAGTCCGTGTTATATAGCTGCAATATCGTGTCTCACAGATGTACCGCTTTGTACAAGTAAGGGAACAATGTCAAAGTGTGCCTGCATGCTACAGCGGTCGTAGGATATTCGTCTCTTTAAAGGAGAGACAGCTCCATCGTGCCATGCCCTCTGTGCGCCATCGTAATATCATCCTCACTGGTGGAGCTCTCATTCTGGCGAGAAATCTGAGCCCCAACAGGAGCGCGACGAGCCTTGACGACCAAGATCTTATGTTCGGTAGGTGCATATTTGGATGCGGAGAGGCCCCTTTTAGGCTTCGGAGCTGGCCCTAGTTTAGCCTTCTTAGAGGGAGACTTTGGCTTAGAAGGTTGCTTTACAGGCAGGGCGCTGTCGGTAGTGTTAGATGACCAAGAGATCTGTGAATGACGACGAAGGGTAGTCGAGGCGCGTTTCTTGTTTTCAGAAGGTGTGGCGATTGGGGGAAGGACTTGAGCCACGTCCGAAGCCGGCTGGGCGGAATTGATGGGGTTAACAGGTATGGTAGGCGGATCGACGTCGATCAACAGTAAATCCGGGGAGCGCTCCTGGACGACTCTCTGAGGGTGCACATCCTGCTTCGCAACGCTGCCGCTCTCTCGTTGCAGACGCTTCAAGAGGGACGGGTCCGGAAAATCACGTGGGCTAGGCGCCTCCATGCCATCGCCGTGGCTGGCGCCCTCCTTTTGTGCCTCCATTCGCCTCTCTATCCAGGTTGGACCCCGGCCTTGGATTGCCATCTTCTCTTTGTACCATCGCGGCACTGCATGGAAGCCAGTTTCTTTCTTCAGAACGTCAAGAGAAGGCATTTCATGCTTGTACCTGCATCGAAAACCCCAAGAGCACTCACCAGTGGAAATCCAATGAGTGCAGAAGATTTTAGGTTGGCAATGTGAGCGTGTGGAGGTTGTGCGTAGATCGAGAAGCTTGGTTTTATTATCGTTGCTGATATTTGTCGTGAGCTGATCCTTCTCGATCCTTGAGCACAACGTGCGAGGGGTCTCGATGTGGGAATCGCGAGCGATGTCGTTGCCTGCATCTCTCATGACCACATCCCTTCCCATATCAGGCAGTGGAGCACTTCGTAGAGCTATTTTGTAATCGTTGACATGGGTCCTTATCGGAGGCTGTCTCTCGGTAGCCCCTTGCGCTTTCACGGGTCCAGTCGAAGATCCTTGTTTGACGTCAAGGTTGGCAGTCGCCATAGCAAGCTTTCGTTGAACAATTGGAGGCTGATGGATGCTCTTAGATAAGGGAACTGAATCGACATGCTTGTCTTTCTCTTTCTCAATGTAGCGCGGTTGGTGCTTGGACTCGTGCTGCTCGACGCTAGGGGTTAGACGGATGGAAGCAGCACAAGGCTCGGGTCCGCTATCCTGCTCTACCACTTTGACAGCTGCATCTACTATTACATTGTAGTCCGGTGCTCGGTACGTTGGAGTCACAGGAGAACGGGGCAAACCCGGAAGCACGACCGCAGCTTCTGTTGCTCCAGTAACACGCTGCCACTTTTCTTCGGAGATCTGTTGGATACTGAGTTGAGTGGGGACTCCTTGGGGTTGGTACAGTAGCTGGTCAACGGGTATAAGTGGGACCAGTATGTTCCCCGGGTTCCTCTCGATGTAGTAGCGCACCGTCTCCGGCAAAGCTGAAGGCGAGGACACGGCCTGGGCATGAATGGACATGGCGATGCAATTGAGGAAGTACAAAAGTGGGATTCAAGCAGTTTCTATAAGGAAGACCAAAGGATGACCAACACCAAAGGGAAAGCACAGAAGCGGAAAAGAGATGGCCAGTCGCGTATGTCCCGAGCGTTCGAACTTGGTGTTGGAGGTCCGCAACAGGGCGCGTTATATGGTCCAAGGGGTTTTGCATAAGAACTTTGCGGCGGGGCGCTTGCTTAGATGATTCGCAAATAAGGCAAACAACAAGAGACATGGAGTGGTAGATTGCAATGAGCCCATCTAGTTCTTCGTCTGCCGGTGCGCAGTGCTTCATGGTGACGACCGATGCGTGACTTGTTATGGCGATGTGATGAGCACGATCCTGGTTGAATTGGACGGGAAAGAGCTGACTGTGCAACCCAAAGAAAGGGCTAATGGGCGACACACATGGTCCGAGCCGAGTATTTGCGACAGATGGCACCCAATGTCTGTTTGTATCATCGTACAATGAGTCTGGGGCTTACGGGTCCGGGAGGCACTTGACAATCATTAAGCAACAAAATTTGTTCTTCAGAAGCAGGCTTCCAGATTGCCTACGAACAAGAGTAGTGGAAGAAAGGCCGATTTGTCGCTACGCGCAAAAGCAGGCCGATGCAAGCTTCAGAGGTGCTGTCCATATTTGCGAGACATGTTGTTCTGACTCTCCAAAAAGGAGAGCCCACCTGCGGCATGTTTCGCGGCGATGAGACGACTTCATGTTCTGGGGTAGATTCTCGTACAAACACCTGCACAACGCAATGTGAGGACAGCACACCTACGGCGGAAGCGCTCTGACATGGTGCAGGTGGCGAATGATGGGACGGGGCGGACCGCGAATTCGCAGTGCATGGAGGGGATTCCTGGTGTCACGCTACCTCGGGTCCGGGAGTTGAGGGCTGGGCGCGCATCTGCACGACACACACGGAACATTCTCCCGGGGATGCGCTAGCCTACTTTAGGCCCTTGGAACGCACCCGAACTTTCCCCTGGGATCATGTCCAGAACCTTTCAACATCACCGGAGTCGTAGTGTACCAAAGCCTACGAAAAAGTCCAGACCCAAGGCCGAAACCGTGACAGCAGCGCGCCCACTCCGACACTTGCTCCACATGCTGATGCCCAACATGTGCCAATTGTGGTGGCGGCACTCCATGGGGCACAATCCACCATCAGTCAGTCCAGCTTCGTAGACTGATCATCGCTGTTGTCATTAGATACTGCCGCTCTTAACTGTACTTTCCTTCGGCCCCTAACCAGTCGATCCCTCTTCTGGATGTCGCCGGGGACATGTATTCGCGGCTCTTGGATAAACTTTCGAGCGGGCGGCGCCGGTCGCAACTAGCGGCAGCCTGATGTACGATGATTAGCACTGTCATTACAATTACCGACGGGAGTAGAGATCCGCCCATCATTCGGGGAGCGCTACTTCCATACGAAACGAATCATTCGCAACGGAACAATGCATGAATCAGGGCACAGCTTCCGAACCCTGGACCCACACTGAATAACGCATTTGCGTGGTAGCCGACTTTTTAGAGTTCGGATGCCACTTTCATTCGCGGCGACACGCTCTGTTATCCTCGTCTTGTAGCTACGTTCTTGTCTTCGCTTCTGTATTGCTGCCCCCGTGGCAGCGACGCATTCATGACTCCCACTGGCAGATTCGCAAATCCACTGTGCACGTTCGGCACACCGACGGAGCCTTGGGCTCGAAGGCAGAGCTGTAGCTGATCACCATCATGGAAGGACGCGGCAAAGAAGTGCTTGCAGTAGCAGTCTTCTTTTTCATCATGACATGGCTGACTGTCAGTCTGCGCATTTACGTTCGCGGCTTCATGCTAAGAACGTGGGGAAACGATGACTGGGCCATGCTCACAACAGTGGTAATTTGCCCCAACGTCCTTCGACCAGTACTTTTGCTTATCATGCCAGCTCATCTTCACTGTCTATCTGGGGTTTCAGATGGTTGCGGCGGTTCATGGTACGGGTCAGCATCGACAAGACCTCAGCGACCACGACGCAAAGATCGCCCTCTTGGTACGAACCAAGGCTACTTGCGGATGCATGAAGCTAAAACCATTAGTTCTGGTATCTTTGTGAGGTGCTTTATGTGCTAAGCAGTTGCACTCTCAAGATCGCTCTCGGCATCTTCTATCTTCGCGTCGCTATGCAGCGCTGGCACGTCCTTTGCATTAAGCTTCTCATGGCAGGCACCGTTCTTTTCGGCTTCGTTTACTTCTTCTTGGTTATCTTTCAGTGCATGCCAGGTCAACTTTCCTTTCCCCTGTGCTCTGACCCATCTGACAAGATGCAGTGTCCGAATTCTGGAATGTCCATCCAGCGACAGAGCGCTGCATTGCCACGTCTCCTACACTGGGAATTACCTATGCTTTAGCTGCCGCCAATGCCGCAGCAGATTGGGCTTTCGGAATTCTGCCGATCTTCATTGTATGGAGTTTGCAGATGGATCTACGAATGAAGGCTTTGACCGCAGGCATTCTAGCCTTCGCTGCAATGCATGTATACCAACGCTCTTATGGGAAGATTAGTCTGACATTGTCAACAGCGGTAGTATTGCAACGATGGTCAGGATGCGGTATATCTATACTCTCACCAACGGCGAGGACTTTCTTTGTACGTTCGTTGCGGTCCAATCACAGTATTCCAGGGAAAGGCTGACTTTCTATAGACGCTACAGTAGATGTGGCTATCTGGAGTACGGTCGAACCAGGGATAGGAATGACAGCTGGAAGTATGGCAACGCTTAGACCGCTGCTACACACCATCCTTTGGCGACTTGGACTCGCATCCGTTCCGTCTTCCACAAGAGGAAGAGCGAGAAGGTGGGGCACAATAAGTGACGAGAGCGCGCGCAATCGCAATCGCCGTGGGTTCCGCAGGAGTCTCGAAGTTTCTGACCTCACACCCAACGAAGGCAGCACATCTACTACGATTACAGGACCAGAGCCGCCACCGCGAAAATTGAGCTGGCCACACTTGAATCGGCCACCTACTCTACCTACAATCGAACTGGAGAAGATAGCAGGCGGGATACAGCAGTCTACTGTCGTAGAGCAAGAGATTGAGGGACCGCCCCGATTGGACTTGCGTGACAGTCTACGGCATAGCTTCACACGCGGGAGCGTCTTGGGCAATAAAGCTTCAGCGGGAGAGTCTAGCAGCAATCTGTGTCCGAAAAAAAGAGACTCTACCTGATTGCAGGCACGTAACGACCCAAGGAAGAAGAGCGCCATGTCACATACCAACCTTTCACGGCGGTCAAAATGCCGGTAATACACCTGGCCTATATCAAGATCACGATATCGCGTATCACCGATCGTATCGCACAAGACGTGTACATAAGAGATCGACAGGTGCGTTTGCAGCGCGTATCTGCCAAGAGCTGCGCCACGATAGCTGTGTGGCGTGAGCGCACATCTTGAGGTTCCCCGTGCAACAAGGTCACGAGACTGGATACTTCCAGAAGATCTGCTTTCCAACTTCGTGAAAACATAGTCAAGTGACCATTCACTGCGGATTTTCTCGGGTTTTAGTCGATTATAAAATCAACCAGCGTACGCCCTACAAACACTGGTGATAACGCTCAACTTCACGACTGTCGCCCATACCACCGGTCCTGAAAGAAGATCAAGCCTATCCTAGACCTGCTCCATTTTCTGCCCAAATGTCATCCTCACAATTAGACGCTGTTGTGGATGCAATTCCGCTTGACACGTTTTCCAGGTTTATCGGTTTGTTTGACCACGTCAAATCACTCATCGGATTGCATGGGGAGTACACTACTCTCCGCGACCCGATCATATTCGCACGAGCCCAGCGAGCACCGCCCACCCGGGGACCGCCAATGGAGGAAGAGGTCGCTCATTCACTGTCCGCCGCGCAAGATGCGATCAACACCACACAGCCAGTAGGGCCTGCCCAAGAAGACCTCCAGCTTTTCAAGTTGCTCTGGGACGCGGCCATAGATGCGATGGAGAAGGCGCTCGATGATGGCCACCTCCATCTCGAGGTCCGCGCTTGGGGTATCATTGGTCTCGCCGCGGGCTATATGGATCCGCAGACAACTTCGGTTGCTGACAAGGAGGATTTCGCGGCGTATAGGGACCGTCTCCGGGCGGCGTTGGTGTCCTTGCCATCTCTGACATCGCCTCATAACGCCCAGGCATCTGGAGTGTCGCCGGACCAGCGTGTCTATTTGCTCACGAAGGCCAAGCGCGAGGTGCATACTTGCAGCAATTTGCTCCTACAGCAGTTCAGGAAAGATAAATGGACGAGTGTGAGGTGGTATCATGGGCTTGCTGTCGCGAAGAGGTGGGTGGGAAACCTAGCATCAGAACAGACTGTGGCGGCGGATGAGGATGTCCAAGAGGTACTAGAAGGAATTGCTTGAAGGTAAGACCTCGCATAGAGAGAGCGACGTTGGGTGACCACTACGATTGCAGCCATAAGTAAAGCCAGTAGGTCCATTTCTGTCGGAGGGTCTAAAGCTCCTTAGCCGAGCCTGCTAGAATTTTCTATTTACGATCTACGTAAAAGATGCCTTATGAAGTAAGTTCAAGCTCATCTATACCTAAAGTATCCATCGGATTACTACCTCCTTATTTTACGTTATACATGCTCCGGATGACCCACTTGGTTTACCCACTATAGTACCATAGTATATGGTACTTATGGCTGCAACCATAGTATGGCACGTGACGCTTGCAAAATCATCCATCACATCATCTTGCAGACATGAACACGCACACCATGCAAAGGACAGGCTCAAGCCTTGACAGCAGACTATGAGTGGGGGCATGCAGTTAGAGTTACTTCGATGTGTATTAGAGAGCAATATCACGACATCACTCCGACCATCGCGGCTTCCCTATGTGACTACTTCTTTGGCAGGCGCGCGCGCACGCCGCGCAGCTGCTATTCCCAGCAGACAACGCGTCTTCACTTCACTCAGTTCCTCACGCTCACCCACACCTAGGCACTATACGCAGCACAAGACGCGCCGCCTAATGCCCATCTCACCCCTCTGAGCGCGACGCTTGCAAAACCTCAACTCAATAATGGACGCGCAACGACACGATCGTCGAGTGCACAACGCACTGCTATCTGCACTCTCCAGTGTCCAAGCTAAGGCTTTCGCTACGCGCGGTACTTTTTCAGCGAAGGATTCAAGCCTCGACCTCGGCTTCACGGTCAGAGATATTGGCGAGATCAAGCTACCTCTCGAGCCTGACGACGCGGCCTGGGACAAGCTGAAGGAGAAAGGCCAGAGCACAATCCACGCGACATGGGAGATCGATGCCGCTGAGGTGTCGTTTGTGAAGCAGCCGCTATGGAATGCTTGGCTGGACAGGATGATGTCGACTGTAAAGAAGAGCTTTGGCGTCGCAGATGATGACGTGGTCATCGCTGAGCCGTACAAGTTGCTGGTGTACGAGAAAGACTCCCAGGTTGAACCAGGTCAGGGGTGAGTCAACAGGAACCTTTGCCCTCAGCTTTACGTCTTTTCTCATATATATGATGCTTCCCGTGCAACTCTCGGTCTAAGACATGGGCTCTACTAACTATATCAACAGCTTTGCAAAGCCCACAGGTTCCTTCGCAACACTGACAGTCTCCCTACGCTCCTATTACCAAGGTGCCAATGTCCACATATCGCATATCGACCACAAGAAGACTTTCAGTACAGATAAATATTCTTGGGACCGGTACCAATGGCTCGCCTGGTATGCAGATGCGGTTCAGGAGATGAAACCTGTGGTCTTCGGTGTCCGGCTAGTACTGACATACATCCTACGTTTCACAAACTTGCCCCCAACACATCTTGTCTATGATGAGAGAGACGAGAAGATTGTGCAGGAGAGAGTCAAGCGTGTGCTGGAGCGGTGGACCGGAAAGCCGACTATGCTGTGGTACGTGCTTAAACAGAAGTACCCCAATCACTTCGTGAGCCAAGCCTCACTCCAGGACGATGACGTCCTTCATTTCCAAATATTGAAGGCTGCTTGCCAGTCACTCGGATACACGATTTTGCTAGGTCAGTTGGTAAGAGACTACTGGGAAGACTCAGATGATGAGGAGTGGAATAGTCATGAAGACGAGCAGTGGGTAAAGCATATTGTTGATGCAAACGACATCCCGTACTGTTCCAAATTGGAACTTGTTCAAAGTGAGATCGTACAGAAGTATCCACTATGTACGGAACCGAATGAAGACTCATGGACAGATATTTCCCCTGGATTATATGAGGAGTAAGTCTCTGCTCGGATGTTTCATACTCGTCTAACGTAAAACAGATATATCTCTACAACGGTTCTGATTCTGCCTCCGCAGAGCATTCCGGCAATGAGGGTACGCCAGTGGGCATCTTCGAGGGACAATTTCCCCGCGCTGGTCAGGATGCAAAGCAGCGAACGACACCCTGCAATCACATTCCTGAAGCAGCAAGCACTCCAATCGAGGAAACATGGCGTACAAGCGCTTGATCCAGACCTTCAATCAGTCATACAGGCTCTACTAGATGACTTCAACGAATACGGGCGTGCCAACCACGTCTTTCCAATACCCAAAAGCATGTTTCTCACTGACGAAGAACTGGAGACCATCGCGTTGTTCGTTCTCAAGGTTGGTTGGAATGAACTTTTCCGGGACGCGTGTAGGATTATCCTCAATCGGTCCGGCTTCAATGCAGCACGGACACCCAAACTGACTGATAAATTGGGACTTCGGATGTATGTACTCGCCGATGTCGACCACGCGAATTGCTTGCTGGGCATGTGTACCAAGTACACCGACATCATCGAAATATGCGAGAAGTTGATGCATAGCTACCACGCAGCAGAGGCAGATCTAAAAACATTTCCAGCTCCGGTTTCTGTAGACTGTGAGTATTGGCGTCAACTGTGGTACCGTGTAACTATCTCCAAATGGTCCTGGCCACTTTGGGAAGAAGATTTCCAGGCCATGAAACACTTCCCCAGGCTTCTGAATGCTGGTCAAGTCGTTGGTGACCCTTCTGTTACATCTGAAGCATATTCTTCGATGCAAAGATACCTCAAATCGAAGCATGGTATACCGGGTTCCGAAATCTTGCAGATATGGAAAAGTTTCAGCCGTTTGCACAAGCAAATGCCTATCGACCAGGCACAAAATCATTATTTTGCGTTTCTGGACGCCGTACACGAAGCCAGCAAAGGACGCTTTGGGATTGTTATCGGCATGGACGATATCGAAAAGTTGATACAACTGGGTTCAGAGCTGGGAACCCACGCAGTCACAAAACTCAAAACCTTGGTGCATCCGGAGTGTTACAACCGGAGTTTACACCGTACCCTGGCATTCGTACGTGCGGCAAGGGACCACGAATGTTGGCACCACTACCTGGCCGATATGCTCTGTTCCACTGTCGATCATCTGTTCTACTATAAAAAGACAAGCCGGTGGAATCCAGTCTCCGAGACTGATGTCCGTTGCGTCCCTCCGTTCAAACGAATCTCTTTCTTCCAACCGAGCCCCACGATCGCTGAAATAAAGTTTCTCGTTCGCACTGTGCAAGAACTCCGGCTGGATACAATCTGGTCTAGGCTACAGTGCAAGCTATCTTTCCTTGCAGAACTTGATCTGGAAGAGTTCGCAGATATAACGACGGAGGAGGAATTGACACAGATGAAAGAGGACCGAAAGGATGAAGTAAAGCGAAGCTCTTTCGGATTCACAACCCCGACCATTACTGATGTGACCCTATCGATAATTTAATGGCGTGCATTCTGTGGGATCATCTGCCGAAAGGCTAGGGGCTAATCTTAGTGGACTAGGTATTCCGTGGAAATATACGATAATGCAACATCTCATTTCAGGGGCGAGAGTTAACAATTTACGCCACGAACGCCACCTTCAGCCGTCCACTTACAGCTGGCTGACCCCGTACTTGTCATGTTTGAGCTCGTGTACAACGTGTAGTTTTTGTAGTCGATGTTGTAGCACGGTTGCCTTGTCGAGCAGCTTACGCTCGCCGTCGTACTCCTGCCGTCCAGGTAGCCAGTGAAGTTGACGAAAGCGACGTTGTTGACAAGCATGTTAGACCTAGACTGGGTCAGTATCTTCTTTGATATACGGGACGGATTGTGTATGACTGACGTTCCCGCAAAAGACCCATTGTCTCCGCTGTTCTGCGTGATTACACCTCCACTCTTTGCGCCTCGCACCACGAAGTTGCTGAACAGCATATTCCTCACACCGCCCCACCCTGCGCCCCTCGGCTGATAGTCACTTTCGTAATCTCTGTCACCGCCCTGGACGAGCTCACCCACCCAGGTTTTGATGTATACAGCGTTTCCGATCGAATTCTGGGCGCCGCCCTTGATCAGCGTTGCCTGATCGATATGTACGTTCTCGACGGAAGAGTCCTCAAGGTATTGTCCGAGCGAACCGATAGCGATGCCGTTACCGGAATGACATGTTACATTACGAATGTAGATGTTGTAAGACCGTGGCTTAATAGCAATACAGTCATCACCACCTTGATAGACGAAATTCGTGAGCACAATGTTTTTGGAGTCCATTGTGTTGAAGCCGTCCGTATTCTGGACCCAATTCCACCCGGTCGGCGCCTCAGGGCTAGTCGCATTGGTGTAGATGTTGTCGAAAACCATGTCGGTGCCGTTCTGGATGTTGATACTCCAGAGCTGCGGCTGGATCACGTAGAAGTTCTTAACCGTCACGTCGGATACGTTCCAGAACATGAAGGGCATGGGGCGTCCTGGGCGGGTAGCTCCTGGGGTTACGGGAGGGTCGCCTCGCTCGTCGTAATACCAGATTTGGCCGTTGCCGTTGATACCTCCGCTGCCGTAACCGTCGATTCGGATGCGATCCCCAGTTATGACGAAACCTGCTGCGTGGTTCTGAAATGCAATGTGGTAGGAGTTGTTTCTCCAGTAGTCGAGATCGTGACTAAACTCCCATTCGCCGTGCCAGTCGACTGTTACATCATTGAGCACAGGGTTGAGCCGAGAATTGATGTGGTATGTGTTGCCAGCGGGAAAGACGACGTTTCCGCCGTTATTGCAGTCCTTAAACGCTTTCAAGATGGTAGGCACATCGTCTGTTGCGTTGGACTTTCCAGGATATACGGTACATGTGGGCCGTCCGTCACGGCTACTGTGGGAAATCCTTTGCGCGCCAGCAAGACCCAGAATGGCCAGCAATGATAGCAACGATCGAGCCATCTTCATTGTTGACCGTATCTTGTCAATCGCAGTTCGCGTGCAAGTCAACGAGGGGAACACAGTTCAGCGACGATAAGCGCAATGGAGAATCAGTGTACCATAGGTATTTATCCATTCTGATGAGATCATCAGTAGTTCGAGCCGAGGACCTGGCTAATGATGTTATAGCCTCAAGCTTTCCCTTAAATTCTTAGTTCTCCAGGTTTTGGGCGATCCTTTGCGGAGAATGCGGAGGCTAAGACGGAAAAACAGGCTGCGAAGCGGGTTCGGGAGAAATTAGCCCGAGCCTCTGGGTCAGCGCGCGTACTATCATCATGTTCTTGCTAGTGATTAACTCAAAGTCACGACCTTCAATAGAAGAGTATCTATGAAGTCGGCAATTGTAATGGCAAATATTCGAACTGCTTGAGATTCTATGATTTTGGGTAGGCGGTGTTGCATATTTAGCCCATGGTCGACACAGCCAAGTCACTAACTACTAAAGCACTAGCCTAAATGGTACAGGATAGCTAAGCAGAGCCAACAATTTGCAGAGTACACGGTAATGTGCGGCTCCAGCTAGGCGCTCGCTTGAAGCTGGTGTGGCATGAGAGACTCATTGGGCAAAGTTAGGTTTCAGTTGACGCACTTCTTGGAGGCTAAGAGCGACTTTTATGTGTGTTCTCGATATATTTCTTCTGACACGCAAAGGGCCCGGAGATGGTGTGATCATTGCTTGCGGCCAAATGAAGGAAATGCAATCAGTAATTCGGTAGTGTAATTGTTCGTTCTTGTGGATTGGCGTGGGCTTTCTTCCGAATCTGGTAGCGTTTGTTGCAAGACACGGACCGTCCGCCTAGTGATGTGCCTCGCATACGTAGGCTATGACTAGCTCTCTACAACTCTTCCCTCTAAATCACGGCAAGGACAACTCCATGACTAATCAAATTCGGTCTTCCAAAAAGGTTTGACTTTTGGCAAATTGGAACATAGAGTCCAAGTGCAAACAATGTTTGTTCCGGTTTAGGATCGAAGAAAATGGTTCGGCTTCACATGACTACATGGTGACCGTTCATAGAAACCTCTGTTCTCTGATACAGGTGAAATTATGCTGCATCGATAAGAATGTCCCGTTTCTACCCAATCGCCGACTAGCCAAAGTAGGCTTTTACATATCAAGAAGTGGTTTATACGTGCTAGGCCAGGGCCGTAACTTAGCTTAAGCGCCAGTAGGAGCAGCAGCGCCAGACGAGATACCAGAAGAAGACGGGCCTCCACCCATACCGCCACCCGAGCCGCTCTCAGTTGCAGTCATGTTGACACCAAAGGTGATGTAACCCACCATACCGTTTGATTCATCCACACCATCCAAAGGCTCGATCTGAACCTCGTAAGACCAACCAGAGGAAGTTTCTCCGGTGAAGATGCTGTCTACCTCGTTCGTCGTCCTGTTGATCTCCGTGTGCTGCGAGTAGGGGGGAAGTGCCATGATCTTCTCATTCATCTCCTCACTGAAGCCGATCTGTCCAGTAGCCCTTGTGTTGGAGGTAACGATGGTACCATTGCTCCGCACAGTCCATTCCGTGTGAGCTTGAACGTGAATGTGGATAGCACGTTCGACGTAAAAGCCAGGGTAAATGGTCTGCATCTCCATCACACCGTTGTCATCGGTAGGCCACATACCACGCAGGAAGGTGGTGGCATCCGTATGAAGATCAAGTTCTCCTTCGCCGATGGTGACGTTAAGTTGATCGAGGAGTTCCTCGAAAGGAGTGTTGGGATCGAGCCCGGTGAAGGAAGAGTAGCTGCCGGTTGCGTTGCCTATCGGTTGTTAGCATCTGTGACCCTATATCAGACTGGCACCTGCAGGAACATACAGTGCCACATGTCAATTAGGACGTTGGGTGCAGGCTCGCAAGTGTTGACGTCCAATACACCGATATCTAGGTACAGAGGGATACCAGCCTGGTCTTCAGCCATGTTCTGCCTAAGGGTCTCACTCCTCGGCCAGACATAGGGTCCTGCGGTGACTTCAGGCACGAGAAGGCAGGTATCATTCTGAATAGTAGCGTAATGCGGCGATTCGGTCGTTATGTTCACGGATGTGTCGCGAGGGATGATGCTGGTGCCGAGAGAACGCTTCTTGAGCGAACGCTTCTTGCGCTCCTGGGTGAAAGCTCCTGCCTTTGCAGCGCAGCGCTTGTTGATGGCAGAACGTTGCGCAATTTCGCGGACCGAAAGCTCATGATGAGGGTGCGCGGCCGCGAAGAGCGCGAGAGATAGCGCGATGAAGGAGGAGGTAGCACGCATAGTGGAGCGAATGCTGATTTGACAAGGACAATCTCGAAAGTGAATAGAGGCTGCTATTTGTGCAGATAGCGAAACGAAGAGAAACGAAACAATGATCTACTTATACAAACATCCCTCCGTTATCTTCGTCGCCATGTAAACCTTGTAGGAAGGAAGAAACATGGGTCCACGTCACTACCGTACCCAGCAGTCTGTTTCGCCTTCGGACAGTGAATGACGACGTCGGTCATTGCATTGAAACTTCGCCTCAGGCAACAAAACCTTGTCCGGGGCTTTTGTGGATAACAACACAGTCCAATGATAGAGCCTCATTTTGTAATGTGAAGACTGTGCTCAGATAGTCGAGCGTTGATTGGGTGTATGCGGACGCGTAAGGCTGTGGGGTCGAGACGACCCGCCAGGCTTCTCTAGGCTTGTTTCCGACATAGCCATTGTTGTGCCAAGAGCATTTAATTGATTCCTTGCCAGAATTCGTACTCCCTGTTCAGATTATGGTGGCTCTGCGTTCTTGTTTGAGAAAGATCAGCTACCCGGTTCCGCGGAGAGTTACTACGTTCACAATGAACGGGTTCCAACTCTTCCAAAAAAAAAATTACTACCGACAAACTGTGCGAGCTCGATACTGGTAGATGCGTCAAGTTTCACGGTTTGTAGCTAAGGCTTGTGGGTCCCATATCTGCACTATGAGAGTAACGATCGAAATCTCAGATACTCATGCGAAGCCTCCAAACTGGACGATACCTAATGATCGGTATTCGAGAGATTGTAAGAGGAGGCCATTGAAGAACGGCGAAGTTGCGACGTAACGATTGACCGATGGACGTATTTGATCTTTATGGCCTCGAGCAAGGGCTGTACATATATAACGGCCTGAGTCTATTTCTACCATCGTTAATGGTTTATGCAGAAAAGTCAAGTAGCGACTGCTGACTATGCCGCGATATAATGGTGGTTGGGAAAGCAACGTACACGCGGTACATCATTCAGCATTCCTGGTCGTTGTTGCGCGTCATGGTGCTTTGGCGGAACATAATTTGTTAAGAAGATTGTATGTATCATGAAAGCTTTCCTGAATAGGAGGACGTGTAGAATGGCAATGTCGGAGGAAGGCATCGCAACGGTGGGTTTGAAGCTCTGGAGCTGCCAACTGCTGAACACCAAAATGGCAATCTGCTAGCCTCATTCACACTTACCTCGGTACAGCGGCTCCGCCAAACGACTCTCGCGGTCAGATGCGACCAAAACCGACAACATCACATAACATACCTTTTTTACCTTCGGTTTTTTTCTGTGGACATTCCCAAGCCACCAAAGCGAGTCTAAGACGAGAAAGAGATATATCACATACGCAGCAAGGGCACCATGGCAGAGAAATATGAATACGAGTACTTTAACGTCACCTTTCCAGTGGAATATGTCGCGCATATTGAGATCAGTCGACCGGAAAAGTTGAACGCTTTCATCGAAAAGTAAGTTTGAACCGCAGTTGTACTACATGGTCGCGGGACTTCCCTCGCAGTTCATCTTTCATCGTTACTAGCATCCGGAAACTGTGTTCGAACATCTAATCACATGCTTCCAATCTCCGCACGCTACGTACCAGGACTGAAGGCAAAGCACGAATATCATAACACCCTCTTGGTCGATCCGTTGCATTCACTGTTGGACGGTATACATATTGTGTGCGTGTATGCAATTTCGCACTAGGTCATTCTCAAAGAACGACGCCATGTCAATGCAATGATTTCGACCTAGATGTAGATTTAGTACATACGATGACGATAGCCCTGTAGCCTTTCCGCATTCTCGCATACATGCGCTCCAATATATCAACTAACAGACCCTTAGGATGTGGCTCAACCTGTCTGTCATCGTCAAACGCCTTTCGCACGACCCAAATGTCCGTTCTATAATCCTTACTGGTGCCGGCGACCGCGCATTCACAGCAGGCCTTGATGTGCAAGTATGTTATTGCTCCTGGCCTTCCACAAAACTTATCAATAATGACTGAATGTTGTAGGCAGCCTCTCAGGGTACCCTCTCACAAGGCAGCTCCGACACTGCTCGCACAGCAACTGCCCTACGCAGACACATCTTCGAGTTCCAAGACTGTATAACAGCGCTCGAGAAGTGTGAGAAGCCCATCATAGCTGTCCTTCATGGAGTCTCCTACGGTCTAGCCCTCGACCTCTCTCTCTCCTGCGACATACGGTTGTGCGCTGCAGACACGCGCTTCTCCGTCAAGGAAGTCGACATCGGAATCGCCGCTGACATCGGTACGCTTTCCCGCCTACCCAAGGCAGTTGGCAATTTCAGTTGGGTGAAGGACGTGGCCCTTTCAGCTCGCATCTTTGGTAGTGCTGAAGCAGAAAAGGTGGGACTTGTTAGTGGGGTTTATGGCGGGAAGGCAGAAGCAGTATCAGAGGCACTGAAGTTAGCGACCTTGATAGCGAGCAAGAGCCCTGTTGCTGTACAGGGAACGAAAGAGTTACTGAACTACTCGCGCGACCGGAGTGTGGAGGAGGGCTTGAGGTATACGGCCATTTGGAATCAGGCAATGTTACAGACCAAAGACATGAAGGATGCTATGTTGAGTGGGTTGCAGAAGAAGACGCCTAAGTTCAGTAAGCTCTAGACGTGGGGACCATACTTCAAATGCTTTGCTAAGTGGAAGTTGGAGGCTACTATGCAAAGAATCGGATGGCATGAATGTGATTGCTATTCCAAGAACAGCAGGTGAATTGGGTAGCAAGTATAGTAAGATTGCTCTCATCAGTGCAGGCCAGATCGGCAGATTCCCAGTTGACTGTATGTTGTGAGGGCGTAACCCGATAACCATGTACAAGCATGGGATCGAGTCAACCATGAATGCCAAGACCACGGTGAAAAGTGGCACCGGGCGCCGGTCGCCGGTCACTCTTGTCCCAGAGCTTCTGAAGGTCGTCGACCTTGACGTGCTTCAACTCCCACGCACCTCAGCAGTCCGTTGTCGCTCACTTCTGAATCTGAGGGAAACGCCAAAATGCCGAAGTTCTTCTGTGCGTATCCCGGATCCTCAGCAGAGCACCACGTTCGCGCCCCAGACTAACTGTGAAAGGCGATTATTGCGATGTATATCTTACCCACGACTCGATGAGCGTTCGCAAGGCGCATAACGCCGGTCGAAACCATCTGCGCAACGTCCAGGCCTACTACGAACGTATGCGCCCCTTTGTCCCAGCTCAGGCATCGCGATGCTAATGTTGCGACAGAGATATCCAGCGAACAGACCCAGCTTGTTATTAACAGCATCACGGATGCGTACAATGCGGAAGGCCAGGCAAACCCGATGACCCAAAACCCAATGGGCGGTTTCCCTCCACCTGGAGGCCCAGGATTCCCACCACACGGTTTCCCGCCGCCAGGTACGACTTGCGCGCTTTCGATCTGCTCGCAACGCTAATATACATAGGGATGCCTGGCATGCCGCCGCCGCCATTCATGGGTCGCGGAGGGCCTGGCCCCAATATGCCTCCGATGCCATTTCCACCGCCGAACATGCCTCCGGGCGGACCGCCAGGACCTGGAGGACCGATGCCGCCGGGAGGCATGCCTTTCCCTCCTCCGAACATGGCAGGTGGACCGCCCCCAAACATGCCGTTCCCCTTCCCACCACCTGGTCAAGCTGGATCTCCACCAGGTGGCATGCCTTTCCCTCCTCCAGGAGGAATGCCACCCCGCGGATTTCCTCCGTTCCCTCCACCGAATGCAGGGCCACCCGGTCGCTAGATGAATTAATCAACGGGTCTGAGATGTATTGCGTCTTCCTGAGATGCATGAAATGAACAACTTTTGCCTTATAGCTATAGAGCAGAATACAAAAGAGGGCAGTACTGAAGGAGCTGGAAAGTCGATGGCGGATGAAAAGGTGCTTGTAGAAAGCAGTCAAAATGCGATACCCCAGTTAGCAAAGCACATGATGTGCAACATTTGCGTTCATAGACATCATCTGTACGTCTTTTCCAAACCTAAACATGCTGAAACTTACGGTGCCAGCTGAGCATCAGGAGCATGAAAATGACGTTGTCTTTCATTTCGCCCAGAGAGCGCACAAACTCCAAATAGACGCTTCCAGCGTACCCTCGTTGTGTTTATCTAGGCTATACGACCGTGACGTCGATTAGGAACCGTATCAATTAGTGAGCAATATCACGAAAGGTTACGCTCTTCTATCATCGCTACGCTGTTTATGTTGTAAATAACTTCTTTGCGTACTTCTCCACGTCGATGACCGGCATGCCAAGTTTATGGTTTACCGTTCGCTCTTTGTCCCACCAAACACCATCTCTTGCGAATACTAAGCGATACCTCTTGATAGGATCGTTCGGATCCTTCGCAAGCTCGGCTTCTAATTGTGGAATGCTCCAAGTCTCCCGCTTGACCTCCTTCCCTGCGGCGACACGCTCCACGATACCAGCCAGCTCCTCGTACGTAACTGTATCCCCAGCGACGTACACAACAGTGTTTTCCGCGTCAACGTCGCCTGATACGATTCGAGCCAGGATCCTTCCGATGTCTGAAACGTCCGTTACAGTGATTTTGTGCTCCCAGTTTCTCAACGCTCGCACAGTAACGCTTCCTCTTTCCCTTTCAACGATCCCCCAGAACCGCTCAAACAAGAAGCTCATGAATATACCTGTCGACACAATCGTCCACTTCACATTGTTTCCATCGGCCTCGGCTCTTAACAGGTTACGTACGGCGGCCTGCTCGCCAAAGAGGGGCATCAAGCCTTGCCCGTCACCTGTAATGTCGTAGTCGACGCCCCATTGCCAGGGGAAAAACCAAAGCCTGGATTGACTCGACTTCTTTCGCAGCAGTCCAGCGTCAAGGATTTCCTTCGCAAGCTTGAGAAGAGTGCCAGTCGACTGGCCAAAACCAGTTGCCGAGATGACTATGTCATAATTGGCGAAGGTCTGGGAGAGGACTTCGGAGGGACCGGTTATGTCGAGAGGGAGAAGTGAGACGGTGAGTGACGATAGATGGCTGTACTTCTCCGGTGTACGTACCCCAACAGTAACGTGTGTATGTGGTAAAGCGGATAAGTGGGGTAAGAAGGCAGTTCCTAGTTCGCCGGCGCCGATGAGGAGGATTTGGGTTGTGGAAGCCATGGTGAATACCCGATAGACTATGCAATAGTTGCAGTAGCTACGCGAGTGATGACATGTGCTTCTAGGTGAGGCTCTTATACTGACGCGAGATGTGCAAATCTAGGGGTTGTTCGGAGTTAAGACCCAAGTATGATTCCGAAGATGCTCGGTATCTTAGAGGCTGCACGAATGGCGTCAGATCTCACCTGACACCCTTCTCCATTGTCACACAATTCCCGAAAAGAAGTCACTAGAGATCATAAGCTGTAGACACTTCGTGCGTTGCCCCAGGGTAGCCTCGGCCACAGCTTCGTTTGGAAAAGGTGTTTTGAGCGTCTTTATAACAGATAATAGATCACCAACCTACACATTACACGTCCTGGAGCAACGCAGGGGGGTGCAGCTGGAATGGGTGTCTAAAAGCATGGCAGTCTAACATCGTCTTTCAATTATCGATATCCTCACTTGGCAGACGCAGGATGCTGTTCATGAATATCTAGCGGAGTTCAAGCTTGCTTAAGGATCTCGGGGATGAATCAAATTCGTATAACACAGAGTGATGAACGTCACTCAAAATCATTTTCTGTTTGTTCATTGCTTGTCAAGTGCTTGTAAAGAGCAAGAGAGCGAGGTGCTCACGGACTGGCATGGTCCAAGCGCGCTTAACCCCATTCGGCTATCCAAGCGAACAATTTTGGCTCGCGCACTTCGCGGCTCTCAAAGAGTCTCCGCCAGACTTCTGCAAAACCACCACCACCGAGTGCGCCCACCGATCATCCCCAAGGTCAACACTCTACCGCACACTATGGCTGAGCAGTTGGTTCTCCGTGGCACCCTCGAGGGCCACACTGGCTGGGTTACATCCCTCGCTACCTCCCTCGAGAAGTACGTATACACAACACGGAGTTGAGATTGCAGCTTTGCGCTGCGCAGAGATTGTCGAGTATGGTTGCGCTGACTGTTTGCTTGCAGCCCCAACATGCTCTTGTCCGCTTCCCGCGACAAGACCTTGATCATCTGGAATCTCACTCGCGACGAGACCTCGTACGGATACCCTAAGAGGAGTCTGCACGGCCACTCCCACATCGTCTCCGACTGCGTACGTTATAATCATGAATGCGAGCAATTGGCTGGCTAGGACGTCAAACGGCAGGCTGAGCTGACAATTGCATAACAGGTTATCTCCTCTGACGGTGCCTACGCTCTTTCCTCTTCCTGGGACAAGACCCTGCGCCTCTGGGAGCTCTCCACTGGCAACACCACCCGCCGCTTCGTTGGCCACACCAACGATGTCCTCTCCGTCTCCTTCTCCGCCGACAACCGCCAGATCGTCTCCGGCTCCCGTGACCGAACGATCAAGCTTTGGAACACCCTCGGTGACTGCAAGTACACCATCACCGACAAGGGTCACACCGAGTGGGTGTCTTGCGTGCGCTTCTCGCCCAACCCCCAGAACCCCGTCATCGTCTCCGCTGGTTGGGATAAGCTCGTCAAGGTGGGTCCATCCATCTTTCATTCCCGGTCTCGGGGGCAGTTCCTGCACACAATTATCGTGATGATCAAAATGATTTACTTGTATTTGCTACTTCAGAGCCGCAAGGTTATGAGAACAACAATCACCTTTTACTGACATATAGCTTCCTCAAACGGCTGTTCAAGGAACAAGACAACAGCAGAAGCTAACAGTGCATAGGTTTGGGAACTCGCCTCGTGCCGCATCCAGACCGACCACATCGGCCATACCGGCTACATCAACACCGTCACCATCTCTCCCGATGGTTCGCTCTGCGCTTCAGGTGGCAAGGACGGAACCACCATGCTTTGGGACTTGAACGAGTCTAAGCACCTCTACTCGCTCACCGCCGGTGACGAGATCCACGCGCTTGTCTTCTCGCCCAACCGCTACTGGCTGTGCGCCGCCACCGCTTCGTCCATCATCATCTTCGACCTTGAGAAGAAGAGCAAGGTTGACGAGCTCAAGCCCGAATACATGGAGGTTGGCAAGAAGAGCCGAGAGCCGGAGTGTGTGTCACTTGCCTGGTCGGCGGATGGCCAGACCCTGTTCGCTGGTTACACCGACAACCGCATTCGCTGCTGGGGTGTCATGGCGAGGGCATAGAGTGATGTAGATGAAGGTGCAGCGGTGTTGGGGATGAAATCATGATTCCGGTTCATCTGTATGCCATGGGAAATGAGATATGCTATGCTCATGCGGGCGGGGTTTGGAACTGGGGCTGGTCAATTCCTTCCTATTAGCACTTCCAGGCGCTCAGAGTCAATGAAAAATTCATTCAGTCCAGCCATCGTTCTTGCATGCTACCCGGGTTTTTAAATCTCTAATCCCATCCGGATATTCTAACGCCAAAGATCCATTCAATTGGCATTGCACAGTCGATCATGAGAGCCAAGACTGCATTGCATATTCAAAAATGTGTATAAGCTTGCATAATCCATCAGTGTTGGAGACGTTGACTCCTAGTGTCTTCACAGACATCCACTCCATCAAAACAATAATCTACCGCTGTCCAAATGGTCTCGGTCCTAGTATCTGCCTCCTCCCTCCGAAGCTAATCCCCCCCTTGTTTTGGCTATCCCCACCAATATATCCGTACTGGTTCACATCCCAGCTCTGGCCCTCGCCAGTACCGGCATTGGGATCTGTGGGAGCACTCTGCAACGCGCGCTGAGCATCTTCCCATTCCTGCTGTCGTTCGCGCTCCCGCTCCATTTCACGCTCAAGCAATGACCTTGAAGCCCATCCGCCTGCTTTCGTTTTGGTCTGCGATGCAGTGCGTCTGGCATCTTCTTCAGCGCGCTCGGATGTCGACGTCAACTCTGGTGGAATGTGTTTTGCCGGCTTGGGAGCGATAGGGGGAGGATTCGATGCTAAATATCTGTCTGTGCGACTTTGTTTAGCATAGGCCGCGGGATCCGGCAATGGCCGCGGCGAGGTGGCAGGTTCTGGTAGAGGCCGAGTGGATGGTGCGGCCGCGGTGGGTTCGGGAAGTGGTCTCGGCGGTTGCCGTTGAGTGTCCTGCCATTGTTTACGTAGGTAGTCGCGATCATCAGCTTGTGCCCACGATGCCGTGCTGTCTTGGGGAGAGGGGGCACGTGGCGGAGGCTGAGGACGAGGGCGGCTTTGTGACCGGTTGCGCGTACGACTCTTCGATCGTGCGCGCTCTCTCCGACGCTCAGAGCGCTCCTCGCGTTCTTGCTGGTACTGTCGCTCACGCTCTTTTGCCTCTTCAAGTTGGCGTTCAAGCTCCCTTATCCTGTCTTGTTCGCCATTTGACTCTGGCTCGTATTGGCTGTTCCGGCGACTTCGCGGCTTACTGCTGGCCTGTTCTGCCTGGTATTGGCTGAGGTACTGGCCTCTCAACCTGGCATCACTGCCCGCGCGTTTGCGACGGCTCTCTTTGTCCACTCTCTCTTGCTCTTGCTCTTCTTGCTCTTCCCGTTGCCGCAATTCTTCCTCTAGTTTCCACTGTCGCTCCTGCTCTTCCCATTCCTGTTTCTGTTTCTCGAGCTGGAGTTGCTTTGCCTCCTTTTGTTTGCGCGTCTCCTCCTCCCATTGCCGCTCTTCTTCGGCTTGTCGCTCGACTCGTCGCTTGTGCTCAGCCTCTTCTGCCAGGGTTCGCAAGCGTTCGTCCTCTGCTTCCTGTTCTCTCCGCTTTCGCTCCTTCTCGGCCAGACTGGGGACTTTCGGTGCTGCAGAGGTAATCTGTCGTCGCGCGCCGAAAGCGATGCCTTGGTTGCCTTGGCTTGCGCCGCCCATGTAGCCATATTGATGGATGTTCCATGCTGGTGATGTTACACCTTCGTCAGTCTTCCTGCTCCAGCTGCTTATGCCGCCAGGAGGCGACTTAGGTATACCATTGGAAGTCTTTGACGAGTTTGAACCACCCGTAAAGCTAGGGCTGAGCGCTCTTTCAGCTTGCGGTCGGGCGAGTGGGTTAAACGTGTTCGAGCCACTCGTGTTGCTGGTAGTGCTGGGCCCCCTGCTTCGTCCAAAGCCAGTTGAGCTCAGGGAGCTGCCGCTTTGAAAGGCCCCTACCCCGCCAGTTGCTGTGGGGCTCAGCGGGCCTCCGCCACCACGTCTGGGCCCAATTGTGGTCGGGAAATTGAAGGGATTCACTGAATTGGCGACTCGACTAAACGCGCTCAAACACTGCAGGACTTGCGCGGGATCTTTCGCCTCGTACAGGTCAACGGTTAGGAAGCGGTCGTGTGAGGGCATGTTGAGCGGAGCGTTCTCGCATGCGCGGAGGAAATGGGAGATGTTCTCCATCTGGATGAACGGCATGGGCGATTTCTTGAACTTTACGCCAGGACTTGGTATGGCGAGATTGACCAGCCTGCGTTGCTATTAGTACGCGCGTTGCAAACCCAAACAGCGCCATGTTTACGCACCTGCACAGGACGGTCCCATCCTTGAGCGCATCCAATAGGTCTCCGGGAGGCAGTCGCTCGCCCAGGATATCTTCTATCCAGCTCCGCGCTTCGTTCGCGGCCTGCGGTGTGTATCTGCCCAGTCGCAGCTTCTTCATGTCCTGGTCCAGCGACGTTACCGACGCCATGGTGGAGGAGGGGTGGTGGAATGCGGGCTTCTGGAAAGGTCAAGCAGTGCGATTTCCGCGGTATTCGATGCGTTTATATATTTTATTCGTGAGATATGGGTGGGTATGCGTGCACGACGACGGCAGAGGGCGGATCGGGGCGCAACAAGAGAGTTCGGGTGAGATATCTTTGCATGCCAGCCAGCGTGGGGTCGTGGGAAATGCAAGTGGCTGCACCAGCCACCCAATGCTGCGTCATTGGCCAACGCGTGCACCTTGCCGTCGCGAAGCTCCCAAAACTTCATAGACACTTCACACGCAATGACGAGGCAACCCGGCCTAGTAAAGAGATTATGGTGGAACTGGAAGATGCTGCCGCTGCCCTGGCGGCGGCGGAAACTGGCCGGTGAGTGGATTGACACGGATAGCCTTGCACGAAGCAAACTGACACTGGCAGGATTTGACCTCGAAGGCAACACCTACTGGGAGTGGAAGATTGTGAAGCATGCAGCACGCACTCGCCGAATAGTCGAATACCCGGGAGGCGTATACCATAGCGACGTTCAGGTACCTCGTATGTTCCCTCTACACTTGGTGGCGGAAATCCCATTCACTGACACGCTGCAGCGCAGTGGGCACAATGGCTCCGCCAGACCCGCTTCGAAGCGCCTACAATGGCTGAACAGCAGGCTGAAGCCTTGCGACAGGAACGCATAAAGATGCTGGCGGCACAAGCAGATGCACGGTGGGCGGCGAAACCTTCTGCTGTCGATGCGCCCGACAAGCAGCAACCAGTGCAGATGCTGGAATCGAGAGACCCCAACACGGGCATCCGACAGACGAACGCCGATCAGGAGATAAGGGGTAGAGTAGACCCACAGCCGGCAGTGACTGAAGAGGATATTGAAGCAGAAGCCCGGCAAACCGATGCAGCCCCGACATTGAAGAAGAGGAAGCCAATGCGAAAAGAGCCCAAAGACTCTCCTTGGAAGCAGGCGGCGGCAAAAGGCAATCCCGGCGAGGAGTGGCAGCCTGCGTCTTGGTCGCCAGCCCCCGCAAGAAGAAGATCGTGATGCGCCAGTCTAGATCGCGACTGTAAGATTATGTACCATAGATGCCGCTGGGTGGCACTTCCGAATTCTGGGTCAACCGCCACGGTACCGTGGCCACGCCTGCCTCGGTATCTAGCACAGTGACTGCTATGCACACATCTATATTCAATGACTCAGCCAAGTAAAATGTATGATATTTATTTCTCAAAGCGACTGCCATCGTCCTCGCGACACAACCGCTTCATTGTGTATTCAGCATAGCTTCCAGCACCATCACCTTACATTCACTCATTATTCTCTTTATCACCATTCATACCTCAACGACTCCTAATAACTACTAGAAAACTGCCTCCGCAGCTCTTCGAATCTTGCACTCCAGATCAGCAAAGAGGTGTCACGACCAATTGACTTCTTCATTCTATCCCAACTTAACCTCAAGTACTAAGACTCTGATTCAAAATTGCATTCGCCTACCCACCAAAACTCATGTCAAGTTATAACGATAGTCTTTTCAATCGCGATGCTCTTTTAGAAAGAGTCACATGCTTGACTCCGGAACTATTCTCTCTTGTTGTTGGATGGGTGAGTCCGTCTAGCAGACAATCGAAGTACAAGCTACTCATGCTTCCCATAGTGTGTTGGAACGCCTACCTTGATCGCTTCTGAGGAAGATACTCTTCCGCTCATATACGAACCGGACATGCGGGTGTCTGACCTTCCACAACACTTTCGAGTAGAATATAAACGACTTGTCCGTCAGAAATGGCTTCGGTCTCAAAAGACCTTCTACGACGCAACCACGTTTATCATGACGCATCTTGCCTGCCTGAGGCACCACGGCACTTTCGATATTGTACCCGTAAGTCACATACCGTTGGTTACTGACGCAGCACATCTGCTTATGATTTTTCACATAGGCACTTCACGCTTGCGCACAACAAGCTTCCGGCCTACCTCGACACATGCGACCGTGTCTCACACTCAATCTGACCGGTCTCGAGAATATCGAGCTCGACTTACCAATGGATGTGTTCTTCCACGTGTTCAAGGTCGCTGTGCCGCCATTCCCTACACCGGTATGTTGCCTCAACGGTTTAGGTTTTTGTCAAACACATGTTACAGCTCAAGATCATTGACCTGAACCACTTTACAGGACCATTTCTATTATGATGACACTTTTCTCGGTGCCGGCACTTACCTCGCGCACACCCGAAAGTTGACTTTGAGCTTCACTGCTTCCAACCCTTGGTACGAGTTGCACTTCGGCCCGTGGGCTGAGGAGGATGCCGAAGGTGTACAACACAGGGAGAGGGGCGATATATGCACTTCAGGCTTGATCATTGACTGGATTCTGACTTATGTAAGTAACCTTTTCTGGCACTACCTTACACACTTTCGCTTTCACTGTCTGCCGAAACGGCCGGTCTTGCGAACCACTTGCAGACACAAATGCTGATGTCTAGAGCGACGCTTCCAGGCTTGGCACCACTACTATCTACAGCACATCCAGAGCATAGAGCTCCAGGGTGACATCCAGGAATGGGTCAAGAAGAAGTGGTACCAGGTCTTTGCGGGAACACATCCGGAGCAAAATGATATTGCAAGCCAGCAGCGCATCTATGATATTCAACATCACGGTGAACAGCAGAAGATGGCGGCTGGTAATGCTTGGGTTCCTACCGAACACTATCCGCCAACGTGTGTGTGCGAAGTACCGTGTCGCAGATTGCGGCATGGCATTGTAGACTCGGAGGTATGTTTCAGCTCTCCCCATAAAAGAGGTGTTAAGGTTGCATGATTTGGCGCGTCCAAGGGGATCACAGGTTTCATTGAATGTAAGGCTAGGGATAACGCAAATGATGTTTGTCAGACGACTTCCGCTGAAGAACTGTGCATGACACATTGGGAATACTCTGTACAAGACGATTCGCCGCCCGCGGAGACGCAACCTTGGTACGTGCCGTACATGATGTATGATTAACAAACAGCCTTACTCATCACGCTCTAGGTACTACAAAACAGACTGGTAGAAGCTCTGTGGTGATGCACAAGCACTAGAGGTGTACTGCCATTCCTATGTCCTTCTTAGATTCCAACACCTTTCGTATTCTTAGTCTTCCACAACCTCTATCCCATCCAGCACAATACCCTCACCTCCATTTGTGCCGAAGGATATCGTGTTCTCGCTCCCCTCAATGAGGTCCAACTGAACGGGCACCACACTATGATACCCGGCCCTGTGATTCAACGACGAGATATTGACAGCAGGCCCATCATTGACAGATACCCAGGCCTCAGCATCACTCGACGGTGGCACACGGTAATGGAACTGCACCCACTGCGGACCACCAAGGCCCGTCACATTCGCAAAGCTCACCACGCCCTCATGAAGCTTCTGCACACCTCGCTTGTTGAGACAGTGCTCACACCGCGCGACCGCTGCCCGTCCTTCCAGCGTGGCATGCTCAGCCTCGTACCGCCGCTTCACACTGGGGACCTGCACCTCGCCTGTCGCGACGTCGATCTTCCACTGCGCGTGGTACTCAAGCGTCAACTTCTTCCCACTCGTGTCGACGGTGATAGGGAGCCAGACGTAGTTGCTGTCGGGCCCGCCTTTGGAGTCCCAGCTGTCACCCATGTAGATATAGGTCGTTTTCTTGCTGCCGGTCACGGTGAGCTCGAATGTGTTCTGGCTGTTGTAGGTTTTTTCGGCTTCGGGTGCGATACCTGTTCGGGAGCTGTCAGCTGCAGAAGGTGCAGAAAGTGTGGTTGAGGATATACTTACCAACAGGGCCGTTCCACGAGCCGCCGACGAGTTTGTCCGTCCAGAAAACTTGGTTAGGGTTTGAGCGCCAGCCCGTTTTGCCCGAGACAATGAGGTAGTAGATGCCGTTTACTTTCAACATGCCGGGGGCTTCGTAAGCACCTTTAGCAAGGTAGTTCACGCGGTCGCCTACGGTGCCGTCGGCGTTGATACGGTTGATCTGCACGGTATTGTGGTCGGCAGACGTGAGGAGATACCACGTTTGGTCTGCGTCGTCGCGGAACATACCTGTTCAGATATATGTCGTCAGCGACAGATTTTCTCGGAAATATGGGGGTTCATACCAGTGTCGCTGTAAGTGTACCCACTCGGCGGCAGCGTTACCTTCCCGCCTGAAAGCACATAACTCCCATCAATGGTCGTGGCTTTCATAGCCTGGACGTTGCGGTCTACTTGTCCGTAGATCCACCAGCTACCATTTGGTTTGGCTACCTTAGGCCTCCACATATACTGGATGCTGTTCTTCGGGTTGGATGCGGGCGTCCAGTCGAGCAGGTTGGTGGAGGTGTACATGTAGGCTTGTTCATCTAAAAGGATGTCAGTCACTGTTGTTAGTGTAGAGTGAGAGTGATCAGAACGCAATTTAATGTGAGTCAATGTCTGGAATGGCATACATACTGTGCGATGCAGACTGGCCAACCCAGTAGAATGTGTCGCCCTGCTCATACACCATACCACCGTGCGCATCGATCTTCGTGTTCGAAGTGGACATCCATGCCGCACCCGGTACAATCCAGCTGTTCGCAGCTTGCCCTACGCTGGCGGCGCCGAGCGCGAGTACAACTGTTTGAAGAAGCATTACTTGGACAATGCGAAGCTCTACGTGAAGAAGTCTTACATGCCATCCGATGCTTGACACCTTCTTTTTATGTGTACGGAGGATCTAGGTTATTGTTTGAGTATTGACAGGGTTCTGCACATAGATTAAGAAAACGGAGCGCTTTACCCCGGGTCGAGCGCCCACACGCGGTGTTGTGTTGTCCGATGAGCATGGTTGTAATCTGGATAATGACCCCGTGAACATCTTCCGGGTATGAAAGCTCATGAACTTTCCGCCAATACTGTTGGCGTAGGAACACAATGCCCACAGCCAAGCGCTCCATTTCAGAGAAGCCATGAAGCAGGAAGTGTTGGTCAGCTGCCTTTCTTGTTGTGACTGATATGAATGATGCGAGAGTGCAGGTGAGATGGATACCACGTGCATACGTATGTACCTAGGTAGTGTGAAGACATGACTAATAAGAATAACTTTTGCATCCGTAAACACCACGAGATCTACACATTTACGTGCCCTCCTTCATATGCTAAAACTACCAATCCAATCCTTGAGTATGCAAGTCTTCCCACTCGTCTCAACTCCTCATGGATTCCTGTCAACTCGCAAAATAGATTAGGTGGAGGATATCTCGAATTAACGTAGCCACAAGGCTCATATATGGAGCAGGTCGTAAAAGGGTATTATGGCGTCGTGAATCGCGTGGAGGAAAAAAAAAGCAATCAGACATCGGCTCGGCTTATTCCTCAACTCTCTCCTTCCCCTTGGTGGCTTTGAGTTTCTTGATACTAGGCAATTCCGCCCGGACCAGCTGTACACTCTTCTTCTTCTTCCAAAGCATCCGATAATACTCCGTCAGGTTCGGGAAGTCTTCCTCTGACCATCCGTCCCAATTCCTGATAAGCTCATCCAATGCAACCCACGCAATGCAATCCGCATGAGCAAACCGTCGCCCAGCGATGAACGCCCCTGGAGTAAATGCAAAGCGTTCTTCCAGTACTTCTAATGTGTCGACGAAACTATGAGGGTATGTGGACACATGGCGGTTGTACCAGTGCTTGAGGAGGCCTGTGATCATAATTTGGATATCGAAGCTGTTGACCGTACAAGGGCGTGTTCTGTCATCGCTATCAAGGGGCCGGTACCGCTCGAGATAAGCGATGATCAAGACGGGCATGGAAACCTCGGTGCGAAGGGTGTCCGTGTCGCGGAAGCCAACCTGTCGGTCTACCTCGCAACCCTTTTCTAGTTTGGGAGCCTCGATGAGCGAGTACTCGATGTTTCGTTCTGCAAGATAGACTCTAACCATGTCAACGTCCACTTGGTTGTTGGATGCAAATAGGATGGGTAGGTCCTTGGGCGAGCCCTTAAAGTGCAGGACGTCGAAGCCATCGCCGTACCAGTGATCCCAATCAAAGTCTGGAGCGTGGTTTTCGCGACTGAAAGCGCGGACAAGACTTTCGTTCTCTTCTTCATCGTCGTTGATCACGTCACCTGCATCGCGCTGGTCCTTCATGGTGGCCCCTTGGCCCCAAATTGTGCGGCATTTTGCGTCTAAGTAGGTGGCTATGTGCCGGAAAGTTAGGGAGATTCGCATACCCTCGTAAGCGTTCTCGGCCTCGCTGCGTTCGGAGGCTATACGTTTGTCGGCCATGATCCCATGTAACCATTTTGCATTAGACTTGAGACCGAATACGAACATGGAGTTGTGTGGCATGGCAACGCGTTGGGTTTCGCGTTGGGAGTCGTCCGCTTTCTCAGATTTCTTTGCGCGAAGACGCATAGTCCTTTGTGCACCGAAGCTTACATTGACTATTGACGATCCTCTAGCAATATCAAGAGTTTTATCCGAATGTTCGGAAATGTAGTCCGTGCCCGAGCGATAAAGCTGTATGAGAACATGGTTGAGTGGGTGCCCAACTAGTTTTTCAGCCCGCTTCCGAATCAACTGCACCTTGGGCGAAAAATGCAGTAAAGGCAATGTTTGATCGGCTGGGTGTCGGTAGATAGGCATGGAGCCATCTGCGCTGAATTCACCTTGAGCGCACAACAAACGCGGTACTTCACCCTGCTGGTGGAGCATCTTCTGCCACCGCACCTCATTGTAGACTTGAGTGAAGATCAATTCTCGCAAAGGTTTTGAGCGATCAGAGGGATGGTAAAGCTTCTGCGGGAAGAAGTCGTAGACTATGCGGGAATCGCCTTCAGCAATGCGGTCATCTGGACCAAGTACAGGAAAGGTTGCAAGAGACTGAAGTTTGCTGGCTCTAGGTGTGGTCATTTCACTTGGCGTTGGGGACGGCGCCACAGCGGGTGCACCTTTGGTAGGAGACGCCCTTAGTTGGGCAGGGGGCTCCTCATGCGAGTCTGACTTGGGCGCCCTGGTCAGAGCCATTCTAACACGAGATGCGATGTCTTTGTCAGGGTTAGCAGAAGACAGAGCAGGTTGGGAGGCAGATGGTTTGAGCGAACGATCGCTTCGCGAAAGGTTGTCGCGCAACTTGTCACTGCTCTCCGCCTTTGCGATGGCCGCAGGGCGTGACTCGTTTACTGATGGGGCTGTCTGGGGTTTCTTGGCATGTTTATCCGGTTCCGATTCGGCAGCGTGTGGCGAGCTGGCTTCAGTTTTTGTGTCACTTTTCTCGCTACTCTTGCTCGAATCGTCCCTGGTTTTCTTCCCTTCTGATTTTTTGTGATTGTGCTTGTCTTTTTCCTTGGAGGTTCGTGGCCTCATTCGAATCTTGGACTTGACCAGGCTTTGCTTCTCAGACTGTCTTTCAGGCTTCGGTACCTTTGCGCCTTGCATCAATCGCTCCGTGAACTGTTCATCACTTAGTTTCGTGTCGGACGTGGCGCGACTTTCGGCTAAAGAGGTGGTATCGGACGGCTTTCGCGTCCGGCCGTTGGCTAATGAGGTTCGCTCACGTTCGTCTCTAGAGTCTTCAACGGCTATGGTGGGGGTTGTTCCACGCGGGATTTGTGTCGCATTGGGTTGGTCCGTGGGCCGCGGGTCCGACACCCGCAAACTCTTAGCCATGTCTTCCAGCTCCTGCTCATCCTTCGAATCCTTCTGCGGGGTGGATGACAGCGTAGCTCCCGGCATATTCCGTTCGATAACGTCTTGGCTTGTGACAATGTTGGCATCGAAAAATTCGATCATTCTTTTCAGAGCAATCTTATGGCGAGACTGCTTGCGGAAGCCAAGGCAGTCTCCCACGACGTTGATCTTGATGCCATGGCGAGCTGCATCAATGACTGTGGCCAGCACGTTTACGTTTGTGATGCAGCCACAGATGTAAACTTCCGTGACTAGCCGTGCTCGTAGAATGAGGAGAAGCGAAGTTCCCTGAAACGCGGAGTAGTTTGTCGTCTGCACCACTGTGTCTGAAGGTTCGATCTTTGATTTCACGGTGTCTGCGAATTCTGCACCTGATGTATCGGGCAGGCAAGCTGGTCCATTCTTTCCTGATTGCCGGAGGAATAGCTCTTCATCTTCTTCGACGACTGCCTGGAGCTCTTCTCGCGGGGAGGCCGAGGTGGTCTTACGGGCGGATACCCGCTTCAGCAAATTCAGCGCACGCAGTCTGTGTTTTGACGTTGACGATCGTGACTGGGTTGGCCGGATAAGATCCTTCGGAAGATCGTCGTCCTCGTCCGTGCTGCTTTCGACTCCGTCGACTAAGCCGCCAACCACTACTGCGTCTCCCTCGCCTGTAGTGGGGTCGCTTGCAAGACGATCAGTCTCATAGAGAGTCTTGGTCCAGATGATGTTGGAAGACTGCTTCCGAAAGGTAGGAATGAGGGCGTGAATGCGGTCCAGGAAACCAGATCGGGTATTGACAGGTAGCTTTCCGTCGGGCAGGATGAAGTCATTTTGGAGCCCGAGGACCAGCAGGGCTTGATGAGTCTGGAAGTGGGGTTGATTCTGGGTGACGAGCTCCAGCAGAGAAAGCATGGTGAGAGAGATGCGCCGAAAGGGCCGGATGGAGGAGGGCGTCGGACATGCGCACAGTCACGGGGGAGATTTCGAGGGAGGGCTATCAGGAACGGCGGTGAGAGGCAGACTGGAGCGACATGTGGTGGGAAACAGTGGCGAAGCTGCAAAGAAGCAACGAGCGAGGCATGGAGCCGGGACGAGGGCGGATGCGTGGTCGCATTACCAGAAGGCAATGTTGCACTTGCAGTTGAGCAGAGACGCGCGGGAGATGTAAATGGCGATGCGGGCCACAGCGCGCTCCAAGCGGGATAGCGAGTGCGCAGCGGTAACGATGCAGAGGAGCAAGCTGCGAGGCCGGCTAGATGCACGCATGTGCAGCAGGACGATGCAGCATGCTGAATGAGCGGCGGACCAGGCGGCGTGTGTCTGCGAGTGCCATGGCCGATGGAGACGGAGCAGCCCGTTCGCGTCTCCCTTTCGATGCCGCCTTCGTCGGTTAGCGACCACGGCTAGTGCCCAGCGCCAAACAGACACCGGCAAGACGTCCCAATAATGCACGCTGCCATTGCTGATGCCCTCGAAACATGTGTTCCATTGTGCGTCACCGTCCACGGGCGCTGTGTCTATTTAGGAACCGCATGGCTGTCTGTGCCTCAGGCGCTGCATTCGCTGCAGGGCACCCACGCGAAAACGGCAGCGCGCCTACCAACGCCTGCGCTGCATCTCGGAGCGCCGTGGCCTGCTGCATGGCAATGCACCGCTTGCTGCGGCAGAATTGCCTGTTGTCCATGACACGCATCAGCGAGCAGTCACGCCGCTGCCTGCCCTGCGAATGACAGCCGCGCTCCAATATGCCGCCGGCGATCCCGTAGGCCTGCGCCTATACCAACATCACATCCCCCTCTCACCGCCACCGTGGAGCATCTAGTCCTTCGCGAAGACAGCATGTAATGCACGACTGCACGACACGCCCTCGTCGCTAACGCCGTACCCGGGAATGCCGTCGGTGCAGGCGGCCTCACTTCGCGAAGAACGACTCAATCCGCCTTTGGTTGGACGGCCTCGCCTTCGCTGCACTACCGTTACTCGTGGCGCTCCTTGTGCCCTTCTTTGCAGGTGCTTTTGCACCACTCTTTTGCGGGGACTGGCTACATCCTGGGGCAGGCGTGGCGGGGGTCCTACGCTTCTGTTGGGGCGTACCAGATGCTGTGTCACCATCATCCTCTGCTTCACTGCGCTCCCGTTTGATGCCTCTCACACCCTCGCCACGTGATGGTGATATTGGTACGGGAACAGGCAACGGTGCGTTGTCTTCGCTACCTTGGATCTGGTTCGTCGTCTCACGAGGTTCATTGGCATCCTTCTCGATTTTGATCTCGCTCTTGTTGGTGGCCTTGCCGTCGTCATGCTCTAGTTTCCCGACTATACCCTCGTCCTTCTTCGCCTTGGCCATCTTCTGTTGGTTACCGAAGAAATTGGCAATGTTGCTCTTGTTGGCGGCGCTGTTGACAGGCACGACAAACTGCGGTGAATTATTCCCGACCTTGCCCACGTCTTTGCTCACGGGATAGCATTCCAATTCACCGTCGTATGGTTTCAGAAGCGTCTGCAGATCGGTGCTCCACTCTGTCCGATCCGGGTCCAGCCATGTTTTGATAGCTTCGGAGCCGTTGTCCAGGATAACCGGCATCCTCGACGCACGTCAGTAATTGCACTCATGCGATGCGACTTTAGTTTCGAAGTGACATCATACACTGAGTCATGAAAGGATACTCGGGTCGACGTACCGGTCATGGAGGAACTTGAGCTGCTTGTTCGAGTCCGTGGTAATCACGGCATACGTGTACAGCTTCTCTTCGGTGTCTAGGCTAATGTCAGTGAACGCTAATGCTGTGCTTCAGGCAAGCAGAACGTGGCACGTTAGAACAGGACCTGGAGAGGTCCATCTGTGCGAGTTTCCTGCTTCGTAAAACGCCTGTTGTCGTGGCTATGCCATCGCAACACAACAGATAGTTGTAGGCTAATCGTGCTAGGGTAGACCATGTGGTGGACATACCACTACCATTCGTGTACGTCCAGAGCCTTGAAGACGAAAATGAGACTTACCGTCGAACTGGACACAATCATATAAACCCGCGAAACACATCAGCTGGCCATCCTTGCGCTTGGTGAAGTGTGGTATCTTCTCTCTCCCGTTGTTCTTCTTCAGCCATTCATAGAAGCCCTGTGCGACCACGATACACCGTTTCTTCTTCTTCATACTTGTCCACATGCCGCGATCTTCATAGAGTGAGTCGTCACGGCAGTTGATGGTCTTCATCATGGAACCATAGTCGGGATTGCGCTTGGTCCAGAACGGGACAAGACCTGAGAGAATCGTTCAGCTATCAGCGCGTCAAATCCACACGGGCTGTATCCTAGTCAACTCACCCCATTTCATGGCCTGAAGCTTGTATTTGGTGTCGTCTGCATTACCTGCCGCTGGAGCGGAAGTGCTGTCCTCGTGCTTGCACTCTTCTTGATCATGTTGATCATTTGACGTACTCGTCCCGAAGTCGGGACCATCAGCTCGGTAGACCAATCCATGATAGCCCGGCGCAAAATTGTAGCTTTGACGGACGTCTTCGTCGTCGGGAGCATCGTCTACTGGCATCTGCGATCGTTCGAGCTGCTGTCGCACCTCCGAAGGCCGCTACGTGCAAATTAGATTGACGTTGGAGATTTGTAACAGTACTCACCAGTGCCAGTGCATATCGACCGCACATGATGGAAGTGATCTGCGCATGTTTGTTGGGTGAGGATGCGGGCGGAGGTGTAGTAGTCAGTGATTGGACGACGTCATCCATGTCTGCAGCCGCGCTTTCAGCCCTACCTACCAGTGCCGCTAACTTTTCGCCGCGACATCACCGCGCAACCGCGCCCCACGCCTCTGCTCTTGCCCGTCTCCATTGATGGTCATTTTACATGCTCACCATGTTTTCTAGAGCTGCGCCGCGAGTTGCGTCTCGAGCGACCAACCTCGTGCAATGCGAAAACCCACAGCTAACTGCCAGATTGCCCACGCAGACATGGCGCCTCCACCAGCAACCACTCTCCCGGCGGTACAGGTCGACGATGCGTGAACAGTTCCGCGAGCAATTCCGAAGAAGCCCAATTTCTTTCCCATTTGCACTTATATCGTATGTACCCTTGAATATGTATGAAATGAAAGCTCACCACCACAGCATCTTTGCCCTCGCCGGCTGGGGTGCATACTACATCCCTTGGTATTATCACAATGTCATCCAGAAGCCCTACCACAATTTCCCCGAACCCGTCGCAAAGAAACTCCGCCGAGCGATATTCTACAGCAGAGGGCAACACCTAGACATCAGAGAGGCGAACAAGTACTTTCGCCAAGCGCTGCAACTGGCCACCGAAATGGGCATGGATCCGTTCAGCGACGAGATTATGGGCGTCAAGTATGCCATCGCGGCTCTTTTTGAAGAACAAGGCTATCATGCCATGGCATGCGACGTGTTGGAGATCATGCGTGCCGACACCCAACGCTGGATTGACGAGTTCAGCGACAAGCATGTTGAAGATGGCGACCGGTCACGCGTCAAGAAGAACATGGTGCAGATCAATCTCAAGCTTGGGCAACTATACGACTGCCCATATGTAAACGAACCGAAGGATGCCGAAAAGCGCCTAATAGATGCTGTAGAACGCACATTGGGGGAGCTGCAGCGACGTGAGAAAGAAGGCGTCAAGCAAGGAGAAGGCGATTGGATGACCAACGAGGAGATAGGTGCTACGCTAGAAGGTATGTTGTTTCGGGCGTTCACCGTCTATCTGTGTGCAACGTCGAGATCTCCATGTGCGACTGCTAACCTGGCACAGCACTCGGCCAGCATTACGAACAGAACGACTCGCACTACCTCGCCTTACCGCTCTTCCTGCGAGCGCTTGAGCTCTGTCCACCCACGTCATGTCACGGCGTCGTGCTAAGTGAGTTATGAGACCACGCGCATGGATCATCGCTGACGCAAGTGCTATAAGTGAACAACATCTCCACATGTCTCGCCCAGCAGACACCGCCACCCGCTTCGCTGACTTCGTCGTCACTGTCCTCCTTCCCAAGCACACCGGCGCCCCCGCGCACCGCACTTGTAGACCAAGCACGCCAATGGGCAGACAAAGCGCTTCAACGAGCGGGCTCGATTACGGACCCAGATGAGGAGTGTAACATTGGATGCGCTGTGGCTACACATAATCTTGGAGAATTTTACGAGATGGAAGGCAAGATACAGGACGCGCGACGGAAATACAAGGACGCTGAGCAACTTGCAAAGAAGATCAGCTTCCGGGAGGGACAGGCCAATGCTAAAGCAGGCATCGAAAGGTTAAAAGAGCTAGAGAAGGCTCAACAATAAGGCGCGAACATCGATTTACAATTGAATGAGAGCGTGTAGATATGTACGTTGCGCAAGACAGCGTTCAGATTATCATGTAAGAATAACTGTACATTCTTCGACTGGCACCGCTTTGAAAGCCACATAGATCACTATTCAAGCACAATATTTGTCAAATGATCAGACTGCTCTGACTTGTTTATAACATTATCCGGTCCATGCTTACATCGTTTCACAACGCACAGTAGTGTAGACATTATCCTTAGTCGCCCTAGAGTAAGGGCATACCTGCCGTGCCTTGTGCACAACCTTCTCAAGCTCTTCCTTCTCCAATCCTCTGACCTTTACGAGCATCTCCACTCGAAGCCCCATGTCCAAATCCTTCATGCTGCCCACCAGATGTACGGTCGTTTCAACGATCGAGTCTTCGGTCTTTGTCGGCATTTTCACACCGACGCTTGGGGCAACCGCATTCATTGCACTTTGGAAACAAGCACCGTAGCCTGCGGCGAAAAGCTCCTCTGGGTTTGTTTTGCCTTGGATCTGCATCAGTATTGCTCTCGACTATACGTGATATGACCTACCCGCATCTCCCTTTCCTCCAAGAGCCTTCGCCATGGTGAGATCGACCTGGAGATTTTCGCCCTCGACATGGCTTGATCGGTTAGCTGTACTCGTGTTTGGTGGGAGGGTGCATGATTACCCAACACGTGCTCCTACTACTTTTGCATGGGCTGAGTAGAGAGTGGGGGCTGATTCTGTGTTCAAGAAGCGTCGTGGGACGGATAAGGAAGTTCGTGAGGGAATGCGCGTTGCGTTGCGCATAAGAGGTACAAAGGTTCGGGAAGCCATTGTGAACTGTAGGATTCCTTGATGGGTAATCTTCAGACAACAGAATTAAAGAGATTGATAGGTTTTGCTGGGCAATCAATTGAGAGGAGGTACAGATTGCAATCATGTCTTCGAATTTTTGTCGCGTCCCTTTGTTCCAGCTTGTGACGTTTACTCAAGTCAATGACGTTTGTACCTGGCCTTAAACTTCAAGCGGTTGGGTCGAAGCGTGGGCCGCGACATGACCTTCAGTTCACGATCAGAACTTATCGGTAGCGTGCAACTTCATTAAGAAGTGACGAGTTGAATGTCAAGTCCAATTGAGTTTTTGCGATAGTATCATGCGCTTTGTCTGATGCAGTCCTGGAGGATTGAACGTAAGGTAAATTTGAGCCAACAACATTGGTGAAAGCTCATGATCTTACAAAATATGTCTCTATATTGACCAATTGCAGATACTCGCTGCAGAAGTCTGCTTGAGGTGAGTACCCAGATGTTTTGTAGTTCGTCTCATTTTCCTGTTCTGCCACTACTTGTACCCCTGCTTCTCCACACCCTACTCAGCCTCGGCTACTCAAGCCTCGCTTTCCCACTCGCGTGACCCACTGCACGACCCCATGATCCGTCTCATCTATAATAAGAAGACCCCACACTTTCTTCGTCTTCACTCCACACAAGCGATGCAATGGCAATAGCATCGGTCCTGTCCTGTCCTTACCCCATAGACCTGCAGGCTAAGGGCTACATAGAAGGCTTGACATACGTCGATGAGAAGACATGCACCCCGCTTGCACACTTTGTTGGAGGGATTCCGTACGCCCTACCTCCACTTGGCCCATATCGATTCCAAAGACCACGAGAGCTGCCGCCATGTTATCGTTACGGCACAGCTTCTAATCCTGGACGTTTTACTGGCGGTGTTGGCGTATGTCCGCAACCTGGAGATGCTGAGAACAAAAGAATGTGGGACGAGGATTGTTTGCAAATAAACATATGGATCCCGACAGGTAGAGGCCCTGGTACAGGATGGCCAGTACTGGTCTGGTACCATGGAGGCTTTTTGCAGTGGGGGAACCCAGGGGACTATGATCTCTCCAACATGCTGTCTGAAACCGCGGCAAAGGCTATCATAGTCATACCGGGATATCGTTTGAACCTGTTCGGCTTCCTTGCTGGCGCAAAGTTGACCGAAGAGGGAGCGGATTACACAGCGAATAATGGTTTCTGGGACCAGAGGCTTGCGCTCGAATGGACGTGGAAGAATATCAGCTACTTCGGGGGTGATGCGGGGAACATCACCATTGGAGGATATTCGGCCGGCTCGCATTCAACTTTCCAGCAATTAGCCTACGATTTGAACCTTCCAGATTCAAAGGCAATCGTACGGCGGGCTCTGATGCTATCCAATGGACCCGGAATGCAGCCAAAGTCTACAGTAGACGCACAAGCTCAGTTCGATGAGCTTTGTAACGCTCTCGGTTTGTCCGTCAAGATGAGTGCAACAGAGAAATTGGCTGTTCTTCGCGTCCTGGACCCCCATACGTTGCTCGATGCTGCTTCGAAGATAAAACACCACCAATTCCGCGGGGTAACAGACGGCACATTCATACGAGAAGGTCTGGTGGAAGAGCTTGACTCAGGTCTTTTCGCTTCTCGCATGAAGAAGCGTAGCGTAAAGCTGATCATGGGCGAATGCAGGGACGAGCATTTCGCCTATGGCCAATGGCTTCCACCGCAGAATACATACGAAGGTGTTTTGGAGCGCCTCCAAGCGGACTATCCCCTCAACGCTTGCGAGGCTCTTATGAACCACTACTTTCCCGAACGGAGTTTACCAACTGCGTACAACAGCTGGCAAGATGCCTTCGGACATATTTACGCCGACATCCAGGTCCATCATCTCGAAAGAGGCATGGCCAATGCTCTAGTTGCCCATGGTGCGGGTGACCTTCTCTACCGGTATCGCATAGAGTGGCGCGCACAGTGTTGCGATAGAAAATACCCGCGCGAATGGGGCGTGACCCACGGCACTGATTTAGCAATCTGGTTCTGGGGCAACAACGAGAGGCTGAGCAACAACGAGAAGACCCTCGTGAAGAAAGCGTTCCACGACCAATTCGCACAGTTCCTGAAAGACGGAAAGCCACAGTGGAACACAGAGAACTCACTGCAGCTGCGCACCCTCAAGCCCGACGGCACTGTAGCGATTGAGGACGATGCGTGGCTTGCAAACAGCTTGAAAGTCTGGGACCTATTGAAGAATGTTGGTGCAATTGATACGAGGCCGCCATCGCGGGATTCCAAGCTCTAAAGACAACGCCAACGCCAGCCCATATTTCGAAGGGTATCTCCGTGAAAGCGCTTTTTCGCGCATCATAAACGCCGCAATCCGTAACGCCATGCAGTCCTCAAGAAACGAGAACTCCCTTTTACTCTTGGGTTTCTCTTTCGCTCTTCAGATTCCAGGGCAACCTCCCAACGTCCAAATCCCTTCCTCCAAACACCAGGTACTCAACATCTCTGCTGCATCTCTTCTCCAGCTTTTGTCTTTCCTGCTCCTGCTGCCTTTCCGACCCTTCACATTCCAGCCCGATCATCTCGCGATGCGCCATTCCCAGCGCACTCTCCACCAGCCTCATCAAAATTCCAATCTCAAGTACATATCCATACGTCCCGTCTTGTACAAAGTCATGTTTTTGATACTTCTGCAAGAACCTGTTGACGCGCGCATGCAAACTGAGGTAATGCGCAGTCGGCGTTCCGATGCCAAAAGTCGAGTGTCGCGTAAAAGAGCTGCGTGCTAGTTTTACGCTGGAGAGTAGGAGTTTTTCGAGAGTCTTGTAGTTTGGTTGCGGGGGCTGATGGTGCGCCTTTTGGCAACCGTAGGATTGTGACTCAGGCGGGCTGTTAGGCGGAGAACTGGGCGCCGTGGAGACGCTGCCTGATGAGTCGATTGAAGAGCTCGAAACATCTGAGGAGAACGACATTGTCGCTTTGGTTGTGTGTGGTGTCAATTGTCCCCGCGCGCGCAATTTTCGATGTTTTCTGAGTGTTGATCGGCGCCGTGGGGCTCCAATGGTTCGGCCTTAGCGTGGTGTAGCGCGTGTCCGGCACTTTTTGGCTTCGCTGTATTTGGCAAACGTAGTGAATTTGCTGTTCGCGTAATGTGTACGGTGTGATGGGCCAGTCGCTTGCACTGTGATGTGTTTGTATTGTGATGTTTCGTGAATAGAGGAAGATGACGGAGTACATATTTGAGGTAGGGTAATTTATTAAAAGGGAGTGAAGAGTCACACCATGGGCCCGAGCACATCAGCTGACTGCGCAGCCTAACCTGGCTCCGCGGTATCAAATCCCCAACACAACCACACATCTCGAGAAGTTAGAAACATGGACTTGAAGAACTATTGCTCTAAGCCCCGCAATGCGAGACCCACGGCTTTTCTTCCCGCTAGTAAGATCATGTGGGTTACACGGTCACACATTGCGACGTCATCTCTCCTGCTTGTCCCCGAGATGGGAAGCCCCGGAGCCGCTTCCTCTTGGGTACGGCGTCGGATGCTATGACATGTGAGACTTTATGTCAAGTATCGAAAGAGTCTGTGACAACTTCGGCTTACTTGACTTCTTTCAATTGCCTCGTCGCACCGTTAAGATTGTACCCGACGATAGGGATACCCTTCCGTACATGAGGTGAATCCTTGGGAGTAGACACGCCAAAGCGGACGTTTGCTTCAACGTCGTTCGGAGACCATCGGCACCTTGGACCAGGTCAAGTTACCAGTTGCAGAAGTACTTGAGCTTACCAAAGGATCGGTAGAGGGTTCCTTTCGTATCGAACATTCCGCTCAGTATTGAAGTTCCAACACACCAATCTATGAGAAATCTTGACGACTCGAGTATTACCACCGGCAGCAAGATTGATGAACCTCGAGGGGTCGATACGTGCGTCAGGCTCGTTGCATGCAACTACTTGCATCAGTTACTGATCGAGGACTCCTTCACCATCCCAGTCAGGCCAGAGTAAGAGCTACTGATGACTAGGGTACCCGAAGGCATAAAGAGCTCTGCATTTGGGTGCGCCTGGATGAAAGGAGTACCTATTATGTGCTTCAACGCAAAAATGCAACCATCGAAGACGTAGACTCTGATCTTAATCCAGACATCGCATGCTTCAAGCCCTAGCTCTTAGGAATACCGTTATTGCTTTCCCCCACGGCCAGCGTCCATCCAAGCAGCGGATACACACTGCGGCAGTCATTCTTTCAAATACTATAACGCCTTGCAGCAACATTCTCCTCGGACACGCGGGGACGGAATAGACTGGAACGGGGATCCCTTGCTATCTCGAAGTGAACGGATTTAGCTTTCGATTATATCGTATTTGAGCACTGTAGGCCCACACTCATGATTCGTTAGTCTTTCAAATAGCGAGGGACGGTAGCTCAGGACCATTCCATCGTTGAGAATGACTGCTTGTCCTTCATGGATAGTACACAGGGCATATGCACACAACCAATGGGTATGGGTCGTATAGTTTCAAGTCGATAGTGTGCACGAGAACGAAAAGAATTTAGAGCTGAAGATGGGTTGGAGAGAGGGAACAATTTCTTGTTTAACATCGATATCTAAGTGTAATAGAAGCTTGAGTCTTGTCCGAGTCTCCATGAGATGTGCAGACGTAACATGCGATGCGTTCCGTCTACGGCACGCCCGCTGGCAAAATAGGAAAGGTATCGCGTAAGACGTAGTCATAAGATTGTACATGAAGTAGCGTAGATGTACACTAACATCAAGGCTTCCGCGCTGTTCCTCGTCCATCGTGATCTTGTATGAGATTTCTGATCGACGATCTGGGTGGAGAGTCGGTTGTACCAGGCCGATTGATGCGCGAGTCAGCCGTATCCGGCCGTATCGTGTCATCGCCATCCCCACTGGCGGTCTCGCGATATTCAGGCGGATGTCCGGCATCCACTTGTTCCCTTGAAAGCGTGTGCAACGGTATCGATAGTCCAGTCAAAGGGTCTTGGGTGACCGTCACATCGCCTTTCGGCCGATACGGTGGCGGAGCTTCCCCATGCTCGTTGAGCCCCTCTTCCGTCCGTATGAAAGCTCGTGTTTGATTCGGTCTCCAAGCGCCTTGGTACCATCTTCGTGTATTGATCCATCCCTCCATATCCCGCGCAAGCGCATTTTGTCCGCTTACTCGCATCCGCTCTTTGCGTTTTATGCGCCGCCGGTTGATCCACCAGAGAAATAGGACCACGCCTACACCGAAGAGGGCAAGTATGAGCCAGTAGTACTTGAAAGCGCCTGCATTGGCGTCTTCGACATGGGTGGTTTCAGGAAAGATGTTTGAGATCGGGGTGCTGGTGCTCGTAGCCGCAGCGGTAGTGTTATTCGATACGGCGGATGATATAGAGGATGTTGTCGTCAATCGTGTATGTTCGGTTCGGGAGTGTAACATCGGTATGGAAAGGGTCGCTTCGGGCGTCACACTGGGAGTCGCGGTCGTGCTCTGTCCGGCGGCACCTACGGGTAGGACGGCGATGAGCGATAGCAACGAAGACGGAAGAGAGAGCAAGCTGGCAATCGAGCTAGATAATGTGTTGGAGCGCGCATATTGTACGTTCGTCATATCAAGTGCAGCTCCTGCGTGTATGTTCGTAACGCCGACGATGTGAGCGGAAGCGATAGGAGCAAGGGGATTGCAGCACGCAGATCGCCACGATCAAGGAGCCATTCAATCAAACATAAGTCATAAAATCAATAGTATCATTCATAGAGAAGGAAAGTAGCAAGATGGCAGAGCCCGCGAGGTGAGCGTCTTGCATGAACGCGGCGGAACCCACGGAAGCTTAATTGCGGTTGCCGTAACACCGAAACGGAAAGGGCGATTGTGTCATGGCGATCAGGGTCCACGCGAGCTGGGATTTGACCGTGCACCTGCGAACGTGAACACCTTCATGGGCCGCTAGACACACCCCTCAACAGCTCTGTTTCGACCTCATCTCATCACTCTCTCACCATGGTAAAAGCAGTTCCGGGTACGATTTCCACTATCGCGCTGCTTAGCAAACCAGATCGCTTACAAATCAGGCACGCTCGTGAAATGCGATCCATCCATCAAAGCTTTGATCCTGAATATCGACAAAGACACCGGCAACAGATACGTTATCGAAGACCTCGGCGATGAAGAGCACCTGCTGGTCAAGAACGACCAGATACACGACTTGAAGAAGAGAGTACAGGAGGTAGGTATTCTCATTCGCATTCTGGACCTGGTTGCTAATGCATCACAGGAAATCTCAAAGCGCATCGAAACCCGAAAGGATGAAGAAGAGGAGTAGATTTTCTGTTGGCTATATCGAACTCCAGTCGAAGTCCGTCCACCACCTATCTTCCGTCGTACCGTCCATCTAAGTTCCGGGAACTCTACTGCGAATACCAAATCGCGCTTACATGGTGTCCTTCTGCTGAGCGCCGGCAACAGCCTGGACCCAAGGAATACGAGTCGGAGCGAAGAGCTCGATGGCGGGCTTCAAGTCAGATAACGCGTTAGCATCGTCCAAGGTACCGATCTGGTCACAATTAGTCTCGTCCGTCGGCTTGCAGCGAGCAGCATATATACCTTGACGATCTTGGCGCCCTCGAACGAGCCAGTCTCCCTGAAAAGGGTAGAGCCGCAGTCTCCACTAGCATTTGGTTAGCTTTAATACATGGATCGGTTTGGAAACATACCAGAAATGGCTGGTAATCGTCTTGCCGCTGTCCGCCGTCTTGGAATGTTGCTTGGGAGTGCCTTGAGTGAGCTTGAATTGGTTGCTGGGGAAGATGGCATTCGTGGAGTAAGTCGAGCCGGTGATCTTTCGGCAGTCGGCGCAGTGGCAGAGTGCCTATGGGGTCAGCGGAAGTCGACATTGATATTGCAAGCTGGACTACCTTGCCTGCAGGCTCGCCTTCGACGCTGTAACGGACATTACCGCACATGCATCCTCCTTGGTGGGCCATTGTGGATAGCGATTGCAAGAGCTGACTCGATAATGGAATTAGAGCTGGTGTTGGGTCGCGAAGCTGGCGGATTGACGTGTGGAAGTAGAGGCGACCTCCAGCAGCTTTATAGGCGATAGCTACCCCACCACGCTGATCGTCCAGAGTCAATGAACCTTGGGAACGGAATACGTATGTGCCGCAGGCCCTGTGGGTTAGCGTCTGGCCCACCGCACAGTCCCCATCCGACGGAAACGTGTCAGTGCTGGATGGCAAGCAACAACACGATTATCAGCTCATTGTTGTACATGCATTGCAACGGCCGTAGACCATTTGCCGACCACAAAGGCCTAGAAATGCCCAAGATTCCAATAGAAGTGCTGTTGTTGCTCGTCCGTCATGAGTTAATCGGCTATTTGTGTTTTCTTGGTAGCCGATCCATTGGAAGAGCGAAGATTCAATGTTCGAAAAACTCAAATACTACAACACTGAACCCTGCATCATTGGTTGTAGATACTCTAACATTGGAAAAGCTCCGGCCCTGTGATAGCCGAAGCTTTGCGTAGGAGTATACCGTGACGTCTGCAGTGAAGCGGGGTACCTAGACCCTGGACTTTTGAGTATCACGTGCCCTCGCGTTCAAATCTTGAACGCGTCGAATCGCCCCGCGTTCACTGTCTCGTACCATTTCGTTCTCGCGACTGCCACCGTGGATCGTCGATGCGCCTATAAGCCTGGATCGTACGATGCGTTCCTTTCACCTGAGCTCAACCTCCCGCCGCAAGTAACGCCAGCCAGATCCTCCCTTATTGTTCACAACGCCCGCAATGTCTGCACCAACCGTGTGGGCGAACTACGTTCCGCCGCGGGGCCAATGTAATTACAAGCCATCCATCATGTCGGCAAAGTGCCCTTGCCTACGTTTCATGCTACATCCCCTCAAGGTGAATACGCCCTTCACTTCTCACCGCTAGTCGCGGATTACTCATTATCGATCAATTAAAGCTGACCCCGCACAGAGCACGTCCAGTTTCGAGTGTGACGGCTGCGCGCACCATGCATCCTTCCACAGCATGGAGAACAAGGAGGAGGACGAAGTCCGTAAGCGATGGGAGCAGGAGGCTCGGGACAAGGCGCTACGTGAGCAGCAGGACCCTCTCGACCGGCCGCGCAAGAGACTGAGGGAGATAGGGTATGGCGGCGGAGTTACAGCGGGCTCACAAGTCCGGGCCGTCGAAGGTGGCATGATGACTCCGGACGAGGAGATGGCGAGCGAGACTGGCACTGCGAGGATTGTCGCGAAGGCGAAGGGGAAGAGCCGAAAGGCCGCTGTCCAAGCCTCAGCGCGAGGCTCGCGCGCGAAAGGCAAGATCACCGAGATCACTGAGGATGACGAGGAATACATTGAGCTGGATTAGGTTTTGGTTTGACGAGCTCGACATTGAATTGAGCTTCTGGCGCAGCTCTGGCGTTTAGACTTGGACATGGTTTGGATAAGAAAATCGGTAGGATGATACCCCTCAGCGACACGCGAACTTGCTTGACAATCTTATGAATATCAATGTACGCAAAATCGCCGTCTTTACGTCCGAATTCTAATCGTAGCGCATATGCACTGGGTAACGCATGTGCCAAGACATGACTCGTCTGAGCTTCAAGCTGCTCGCGGCAGATGCTCGTCCTCCAATACAACAACCGCGCTGCGCGACGTTATGGTCAACCCTTTGCAGCAACAGCGACCCAATAAACTCAGTTTGTGAAGCGGAGCTCGCTCCGCTCGCAACAATGGCGACGCCGACGCCTTCCACAAACACGCCGCAGAAGCAGCACCTGCACAACCTCCCAGGTTCCTCCCCCGCACCTCGCAGCGTTCCACCCATGAATTTCGACTCACCCGCGGTACTTAACATGCTTGGCGAGGGAGGCGTCGGAATGGGCATCTCCATGAGCGGCATGGGCATGTCTTCGCTAGGTCTCACCGCCAGCCAGCTCGGGCGCGCCGATGAAGAAGAGCGCCGACGGCGCCTCGAAAGCATAATCGCATTGATTAACAAGCGCAAAGGCAGGGTGAGCGAGGAGGGTATAGCAGCGCTGTGCAAGCAAGAACACCTTGAGTTGTTGAGGGATGTGCAGGGCGACGGGACTGTGGTGCTGGTCCTTGGTCTAGGAGACCTCGCTGTGTGCGAGATCAGTCTGCTGAACGAGGACGTGACAAAAGTGAATCTTGATTTAGCAAGCGATGACGACGACGTGTATAAGACGTCCGGTTCGCGGATATTGAAGAACAGCCTCATCCCGCAGCCAGGTGTTCGCAAGATCAATACCACGCTGGATCGGTTTGCGCTCAATTTGGAAAAGCTGATGAATATGGACAAGTTGAGTAAGACAAATGCGGGAATAGACTGTTACAAGGCAATCTTCAGTGTACATGCCAGTTTGAAGAAGCTATTTGAGCATGAGAAGAAGCTGGCACTGGAGCTTCTAGGCTCGAATACGCCAAACGCAAGCTACAAGGCTGAGAGAGAGGTGCTATGCAAAAAGAGTGGAAGGCCGCGGATGAACGCAGGACACTGTCTCGGGCTGAGTCTGGAGTATTGGATGGACCGGCGGCATCTGATAGCGAAGAAACCGTCAAAGACCGTGTCTTTCAAAGGAAAGGAGGACGAGACGGACTCCAAGACCCTAGAGGCTTACCCAGAAGAAGCAGATCCAGCCAACAACAAGATCTACTCGCTCACCATCGAGTGCGAGTCGTCACCTTCATCCATGTACACACCAATACGTATACCGGACTCATGGATAGGAGGTAATATCGAGAAGGCATCAGACGCACAACCCGAGGCAGACATCAACAATCTTCTCCTCCATAATCCGCAAAGCAAGATAGACTGGCTGGAGCCAAAACCAACATATCTCGATACCGCATCTCAGGCAGGCGACCACGACGCTATGAACATCGACAACGCACCAGGTCGACTACCAAACATCCGTTTCGTCGCCAAATTCAACCCACCTCTTGTGGTTCCGCTATCCCTCTACGTCACTGTAATGCAGTCAGTGGGCTTGGAATACAATCCGCAAGACCTCCGCGCAACGACTTTTGTCGGCCTTGCACTTAGGCCAGAAGAAACAGACCCCGGTATGTCGACAACAGCAGGCGGCCACACGCCCGAGGTACGCAGCACAACCAAGGTCCTTACGATCGACCATGCTGGAAAAGAAGATCACAATACACACACAAACACGCTCTATGTTCCTAGACTAGAGTACGCCCGGACTCTCGACTCCTTACCCTTCCAGCACCCACGCCAACTCGTCGCGCTGCTCCCTACGTTTCGACAGTACGCCTTAACCACCTCGCTGGTACAGGACGTCTTCGGTGCCCACGCACCTCCCAAGGCAACACCTCAACAGAATCCGCTGTCTCCGCCGATCACCCCTAAGGACGACAAGGAGCGAGGCCTACAATTTGACCTCACACTGGCATATACGACGCCGGCTCCAAAGCTCGCACTGCACATCCCGCATCCCCTTTCCTCCACTTCCGAGACGCCCCTCCCCAATGACGCATCCGACTTTCTTAGCCAGTTGCTCTCACAGAACGGCCTCTCGTCCTCTGCCACAGCACCGCATCCGCCCTTGAGGGTAGTTGTCGACGTTGGCGAGAACGCGGAGATCTATATCAGCGAACAGAACGTCGTGGACGCTGACGCTGGAGCGAGCAAGACGGGTGAGGCAGGGGAAGTGGACATGGAAAACGCTGAGAAAGCGCGAGAAAAGGTCAAGCGGGTAGAGAAGGCGCTGGATGTGTGTGGGGACTTGGGAATCTGGGCGGAGTGGATTAGGAGAGAGGCTGTGAAGGATGCTTGAATGAGGAGAGGAAAGATTGGTACAGTGGAAGGATGGAAAACTGCAATATACCCATAGACCAGCAAGTTACCGACGGTCGCCCAGTGTAAAGTATCACAGCAAGAAATGGCCATGGAGCGTCTTGACATGAACTTATTATCCTTATCTACTGTCTGTGGAGAGATCTTAGTTCCACATATAGATGCGGTCTTCATCTCTGCCTGCGAAGTCGGATGTGTCATTAATCTTGCTAGTGAGACCGGATGTATATCCGAGTGACCCTACTATAGTCGGGATATATCCCGTAGTCGAACTCTATTCCACATTGAAGTCTAGAGATGACATTATGCAACGGAACGTCGTTCAACCTTCACGCTGAGGTTGAGCACATAATCATGACAAAGACATGAGAGGGATGACTCATACTGCGCATTTTCACAGGCAGAGAGGAAGACAGCGTTTGTTGAACATGAACCAAGATCTCTTCATTATCGTCTTGCTCAGTGTATCGTCACTGGCTATGGTATACTACATTCAACCAATCCATTCCACGGCACCACTCAAGCGGCACCTTCCATAACATGACCATGATGTTCAAGGCGGGAATCGTTAAAATCCAACACAACGCCAAAAATCTAATGAGGTGAAGAAGAAGTTAAGCAAAATGCAGCCGCAGAGAAACGAAGCGTCTCTACGGTTTCGCGACGGGGACAACGAGCTCTTGCTCAACGTCGGTCGTGCCCTCAGCGAAGGCAGCGACATCGGCACCCTCAACCTTGCCGAACAAAGTCTCGGTAATTATACCAGTGAGCTGGTATGGGTCACCGTTGGAGGCGGGACGGCGGTCCTCGAAGTAGCCCTTGCCCTCGGCGGCTACTGAGCGGGGAATGCGGACGGAGGAGCCACGGTTGGCAACGCCCCAGGTGAATTTGTCGTAACTTGAAGTCTCGTGCTTGCCGCTCATGCGGAGCTGGTTGTCCTCGCCGTAGACAGCCATGTGTTCGGCCTGACGCTTGGCGAGCTTCTCCATGGCAGCCTCGATGTGCTTCATGCCGCCTTCCTCACGCATCTCCTTGGTGGAGACATTGGTGTGGAGACCGGCGCCGTTCCAGTCGCCGGGGATGGGCTTGGGCGCGAAGGTCACCTTGACGCCGAACTCCTCAGCGACGCGGTGGAGGATAAATCGGGACATCCAGAGCTGGTCGCCCACTAGTTACGTAATTAGCATGCGAGGCTCCACTATTCTGGAGGGTTTCAGTGAAGACGTACTGGAGATGCCGTCGACGGGGCCGACTTGGTATTCCCACTGGGCAGGCATGACCTCAGCGTTGGTGCCAGAGATGTTGATCTCGGCGTACATGCAGGCGCGGTAGTGAGCCTCCACGATGTCACGGCAGTAAACCTTGCCGGTACCGACACCGCAGTAGTAGGGGCCCTGGGGAGCAGGGAAACCGTTCTTGGGCCAGCCATACGGCCAGCCGTTGATGTCGAGAAGGGTGTATTCTTGCTCGAGACCAAACCAGATGTCGTGCTGCTTGTTGTGGTTGAGCACGATGGCGGCATCGTGACGGTAGTTGTACTTGTTGGGCTTGCCATCGGGACCGTACGTCTCGGTCATGACAAGGATGTTGTCGCCCAGCCGGAAGGGGTCAGGGTAGAAGGCAACGGGCCTGAGGTAAACATCGGAGTTCTCGCCAGGAGCCTGGCCCGTTGACGAGCCGTCGAAGTTCCATTCAGGCAGGTCCTCGACCTTTTCGGGCTTCTTGGTGAGGGTCTAGAGCAAAAATTAGGAACAAGTTCATGATGAGTGTGGACTACGACGTCAGGTCGAGCGTGCCTGCCACGCGAAAGAATCATGCAGGGGTGCGACTGCCCCTCCAACATTCTTATCGCGGGGCACACGATAACAGGCCAAAAGCAAACACGGCCCGCGCGCCCCATGAGGTCACCGCACGTCGCTGGCTCTGCATACCCGCCGCGTTCCCAATGCAACCGTTTGGTGTGCATTTGGTTACTGCTTTCGAGGTAACACACAGTATGTATGCAGCATGGAGCCAATGCGGTATTCGAGGCCAGAATGCGCGGCTAGGGGCCAGTGTAGGAGGGAATAACAGGAAATGCTCACCCTGCTTTTTGAACGGACACCATTGGAGCCGTCTATCCACACATACTCGGCGGTGATCTTGCCCTTCTGCGGGAGGGCGAGGTATTTCTGAAGCTGCGAACCAATTAGCAGGCGTACAGAGGTAGCACGCGACATGTGACTCACGTTGGCGGTATTGGAGACAATTGTTGATTCAGCCATGACTGCGGTGATGTAGTTTGCAACAGAGAAAAGCAATAGACCAAGGTGTGGAAGGGAGGAGGAGGTGTTGAGGAGGTACTGGAGTACACGAGTACAGGAATAGGTGGAAGTGTGGTATATGCGCGATTAACAGAACTGGGGGTCAGACCCTTAAGTAGGTTTCGATTAGATGCTCGGGCAATGGCGGGGCGGCAGCGATGGTAGATAAAATGTTAGGCTGGCACTGGCCAAGAATTAAAAGAGGCGTCGCCGAACTGTTTCCGTGGGATGGAGAAGCAACGAGACGGTGAATGTGCTGGGGGCCCCTGCTTCACCCCAAGGATGCGCCTATCTGGTTCCGCGACTGCACCTCAACCGCCGCCATGTCCCACCGGCCGCCCAATCTGCGCGCGGCCATGTCTCGTCGCCGCGGTGATTCAATTCATTGAATCTTTGTTCGCAGCAGACCTGGAGCACGGCCCCAGCGGCGCGCTGACAGGCGCACAAGCGTCGGTTGGGCGCGGTGGCTCCGCCTCTGCGTTCCGCTTTTGGCCGCTTTGTCCTGCTCTGGGGAAGCTAAATATATCCACCGAGATAACGACGCTGCTCGAGGCTGTTCGTCGCAGGCTCACCGCAACTCAGTCAGTCGCACGATGCGTGTCCCTCCGCCCAGCTTCCTCTTCCACGCGCTGCCGTCACCGAACAGCCAGGTCGCGATGCGCGCGCAAGTTCCTGCATGCACGCCTATCAGCAGCTCTGGTGCGCTTGACGCAGGTGCTGTGGCGATAAGGATAAGACCGGCCAACCATAGCCCTGCGCACGGCCGCAGCGCCGTCATGGCCGCATCACTCGACGTCGTCCAAACCGTTTCTCTTAGTGAAGAGTTGCCCCCTTCCGATGCAGTAACCTGTCGAGGAACTATTGACTCGTTTTTTGCGTGCCGCATCAGCTGTACTGTTGTCATGCCGAGATGCATCCATGGCTGGTTCCAGCTTTGCACCGCCGCGTGGGGACAGTTACACGATCCTCACACGAGCATCTTCAAATGTGCCACAGACCTATCTAAACCATGCATCCATCCCGCAACGGCCCAGCCGGCTATTGATAGTGGCCTTGACACTGCTCAACGTTGGCAATAGTGCGGTATATACTCTTGTATACGTACGCCTCCACTTGGTCTATCCCGCAATGTTCCCATTCTGCTTCTAGCGCGTCTAGAGCATCGTGAACTCCAGTCTGATGTCGCAGCAATAGCCGTTCTCCCGGCCCTGTTGCACATCGCATTACCTGGCCCCAGCCTTTCTCCGTCCAACCCCACCATGTTAATATGTAATGCGTGAATTCTCGTTCCCATAATCCATGAAAAAGCCGCACGTTAACCGACGAGCCCGACGATCTGTCGTAGCGATGTCGGCAACCGGGACGTTCGAGGCGTTCGGTTCGTGGTCATCCCCGCGACGCTGGCGCAGCTGCCCCACACTGGGCCGCAAGCCATAGATAAGGGCTCTCCTCGCCTGTGATTGGCCAGCGATGATTGATGTTCAAACGTAATGCGCCCGCGCCTTTTGCGCTGTTCGTGAAGGACGGCAGTCGTAGCACAATTGACTGATACGAAATATGTGACTTCGATTCCATGTATGTGTGCCAGGCTTTCGTCGGGGCAGGAGAGTGAATGTTGCGGGCTGCACATAAGCCAACGAAAATCCGGGGATGTCCTCTACCAGATACGGTATAGTCGCAGCTTCCACGTGTGTATGGGTTTTCGAGATAGTGTATGCTTGCAGTCCTGCTCATACGAGCTCGGTTGATCCCGGAGCCAGGCGCTCCCGGTTCGCAGCGGCGACAGTGTGCCTTCAGGCCTGCGTCTTCCCGCTATCTTCCCGATAGGTACAACACCATGACGCCCTTGAGCGCATTGAGAGATGATCTATTACCTGCCAACCATACGTGTCCCAAATATTGAGGCTGGCGTTGGTCCTGTACCCGCTGTCGAGGATGGACCCAACGCTCCCTTTCAGGAGGATCAGCCATGCGTTAGAGAGCACGGGGGTGCTGTCTGTCCACACCCCGAAGCTCTCGTGTACATGATCCAAGCAACTCTCCCATAGCCCAGAATTCGTGGGGTTGTTCAGCGGCACCTGCATGAACGCAAGGCTTATGCAACAGCCAGACCGCCGATGCGGAGGCAAAATGTAACCGTGACGGACCGCCGGGAACTAAACGCAAGGCCAGGCATTGTACCGATAGACTGGAAATCTGGGGGAGGCGTTGCCCAGAGGCTGGTGGAGGACTGACGTGCACGCTCACTCATCCCAGTCCTCCTGTCCCAGGAGGCCCTGTTTGTCATCAGTATTGCCAACCACACTGAAAGGCTGCACCTGGCGCCGGACGCGAGTCACGTCCCAAACCTCTTCATCATCGACGACTTCCTCTCTGTAACCGCTTTGCCAGTCATGTTCAGTCGGTGTAGTGGCTTCGCTGCCCATGTGTACTCACTGTCGCCAACACAATAGACAGCTTCCCCAAGCCATGAGTGCTACCTTCGATCTCCTATTGGGACCACCTCCGAGCGGGTAGTGACGTACGATGCGACTGCGCCGTGGTGGGCTGTTCTGTGTCTGTTGAGGGGCTCCAATCTGTTCCGGTTTGTCTACTGAGTCGAGCCCACTGACCTCAAATTGGCACCTGGGCGTCGTGACGATCACGTGACGGCTCTTCATCCAAGCTCCTGATCGCTCGTAGCATGGCTGCGCTGTGTGCCTCCCAAGCGCACGGTCGTCTTTGGAGTGCTAGAAGCTTTCTTTCCCAGGTAATATATTGAATCTGACATGTCCTGCTGCATGCCCTGTCAACAATCGACTTCTCCTTTCACCCATCGGATACCGCCTTTCAGCAGCGCCTCCGGACACTAAACCATGCATGGCCGAGAACATCACAACGGTCATGTAGACGATATGCGGCGTCCAAGTTGATGCGAGGTGCTCCGTCTTGCGATGCCATCTTGCTCAATGACCTCGCATGTTCCCTCATGCTCCCGAGGTCCTAGCTCGATCCCGTGACCAAAGGAAACCGGATACCGAAGTTCGAAGTCGATACAAGTTTCTCGGCGAATTTCCCGGCACTCAAGAAAGGTGAAAGGCGGTCGGTTTATGCCTTGGCCCTGAGTCTTCAAACAATATTTTTTATCCCGCCTTCTTTGTTGCGTTACACAATGTTAAGCATTGTTGGAGGCATACCTAGGTATGTACGCTCGTTCAGCCTACTGCTGGTTATCCATGAGCAGACACTCTGCATGGTAATTCGGCTTTCTCGCTTGGGTGTACCAGGTCTACAGCGAGCTCGGATCCCCAGCACGTGCAATCATCAGCACGTCCTTCATCGGCAGCGCTGACACTAGGAAAAGGAGTGACTGGATCCGTGCATTTGATCTCGTGTCGTAGACGGACACCACTGGTTGTGGATATCTCAAAAGCCTTGGGACTGTCGACACTAACGATCATTGTTACCAATGCCAGCGTCGAACAGTGATAGGCGATGCTTCAGAACCATCCAAACGTAAGGTTTTGAGCCTGAACGTTAGGAATGTTCAAGCCTACAAAGCTAGCTCTTGCTCGGTCTCCTCAAGTAACAGGGTAGACAGTTCTGGTGAAGGCGACATCGGATTCACTTAGGAGTGATGATAGGCTAAGGGCTAAAGGTAGTTATAAACGTACCAGCGACATTATAAAACGTTATTAGAGGACGACAATATCGCCTTGCCTCTAGCTGAGATGCAATGCGTTTCTCCATGCCGGTTTACACAGATCACTAGCGTCGAGTTAGTGAGGCGCACCTGCAGGGTCCGTAGCTCACCACGACCGCCACAGAGCCAATGCCAGTCACCGCAGTCTCCATCGGATGAGGCGTGTCTCAATGAGCATATAGATGAATGTAGTCGAAGAGGACAGAGGTATGAAGTTCACCACGAGGAAGAGGTAGGTCATGCGGGGAGGGGGCGCGAGCGGAGCTTTCAGCCAATCAGAAACGTTCCAATGACTAACGGGAACAAACCACCGCCGGAAGCCTCCTTGTCTCCAAGTACGTATTCTTCTAACATGGTCACAATGCTTTACCACTTTGCCGAGGCAACTGCCTTTATGTTCACGTTTTACTCTAGTTCTTGCTATCAAAATCACAAAAGTTGTGAGGGTGTTATGTTAAAGACAACACTTGGAGACGGCATCGTTTGCGGGAAGGTGTTGCAATCTCGTGCATTAACACATCATGGGACAACTACCTGTTATTGAAATCTGAACCAGCACTGAAAACCGCTCCAAGACCTCCAGATGTCCATACCACATATCTCGGCCTATCATGTAGGAACGCGGTCGGAAATCCACGGCAGTAGCACGTTCGGGACCTCGCGAGCCATGACAGTAACCGCCTAAACAGTCCTTATCCTTCTTGACGAGTAAGGCAATTTTCAGATCGCTTACAACCCTTTGTATGGTATGTCCATATTCTCGGTTTGATTTGCGCGACTTACTTCCGCATCGAAGGACTGCAGTCTCCCGTTGGCACCTATATGACGGCGACTTAAGTCATGGGTAGATGACCCTCTATCCGTGAGAGGGTCGCACATTGCTAGCAATTGGACTGACCATGTTCTTAAAAAGCGGGCACCTTGGTCAATACTGCGGCATTTGGATACTCCATTGTGTAGTAAGATCCACTACCGACAGGGGTGTAGAGAAGACAGGCTGTTCGAGAAAGGATGCAAGAATATTGGTGATAGCCTAACAGAAAATCGACTACCTGGGTAGAACCATTCATACATGCGTGGACGTTGCTTATAAGTTGGAGAATTAGAAATATAACAGACGTCGCGGTCTGATAATATACATAGACCCGGGCCTTCAAACCACAGATAACTTAGATATACAACGATCGACTTTCAGGTCTGTGCATGTCCCAGGGATGCCTGATCTCGCCCTGATCTCGACGGTCAAAAGAGAAGCCGGGCTTGTCCGCTCGATCGAAGTGGACGGTACAATGGGCATCTTCTTCCCAGCTTCCTCCTAGATTTTGAAAGAAGGCGAGGTATGTAAAAAACTTGGAAGCAGAGTAATTGAAAACAGTGTACCGATATCAATCAGAGAGTGGAATTCAGATTCCTCACTAGTACGCATTCAGTGGTGAAAACAGATTACTAGCATCCATGCGTTCCATACGAGTTGTATCACCCAGAAACGGGGGGAGGATTCCACCCAGGGGGATATCACCTAAGGCCGACCAAGCCGTACGAAGACGTACTTCTCAAATTTCCGCGTATCATGTCGCTAAAAGCTCGTAGATTGCAAGGTGGCGGCTGGCAGTCAACAGCGACGAGCTAACCGCCTTCTACGACGCAACTGCGAAGTCTTACGATACAAACATGGTTAGCATGATTAGAAGGGTACAGCGATCATTTCCAGTATCTCCTTCCTCATGTGTTGCCTTGAAAAATCTCGCAGATGTTGACCAGGTCAACGAACAGGCGAACTCGTTTAAGCTGCTACAATCGTGGGAGTACTTAATGGAGAAGAGCAGAACATTACCTATATAATAACCTCTGTGGTGGAAATTGCTTCGTGTGTCGTGGTCGTTCTAGTGATGCTTCTCTTGATCTAGCGTTTATTGAGGTACATCTGCTCCTGCGGTGCAATAAGCATGGTGAAGAAGACTAGGACGAAGATGAGTGTGCTTTTTGGGACGAACTCTTTATGCATTAGGGACGTCATATTGTTTGTCTTTATGTAATAGACGATAGACATCATGATGTTCCTAACAGAAACAGCTCGCGGTCCACGGAATATTTCCAGGGTGCAAGCGATCCGTTCCCGAATTCTAGGTTTGAAACGTTGCTGTGTCCACCATAATCGCTCTGTAATGCTTCGGCCCGCGAGAACCTTACAGGCATCTGAATGTGTCGTCCCCATACTCTCGATATTCCCCTCATCATACAAAGAACGGTGATCCGAGCGGGTAGCCACAGCGTGCAACGTCGCGCACCGTTTCCACCACACAGTTCTTAACGCCCATCCAATCACGTACCACTATCTAATCCAGCTGATGGAAACGTTCATATGTTTGTTCCACCTTGTGTAACACTTCATTGGTATACGTAGCCAGCCTCACTGCACACGAACATGCATACGTGGATGCGCAGTGCTGACTTCTGCGGTCGTGGGTCAGCGAGGCTACTGTTTGCTTACTATAGTATGTCGCGTGAGGTTGTTGAAGGTGCAGTGGGTTTGGAGACGGTACAAAGGGAGCGCAGAGCTCGAACGCTTCCTTCATTATTACGAGAGACATCATCGCTCTTTCTCATTATGATGAGTAAGTCCGCCCGTCTGATGCTATACTGGGTTTTCCTCAATGAAGAGTGTTAGGACTAGGGGTAGCACTTTTGCTCTCCGCTTTTCTCGCTCGTCACGTCGACGCAAACGAGTATAAGATGACCGTCGGTATGCCACTCCACCACTTTGGTGAAAACGGTATCATCGAGACAGCAGCAGTTGGCGACGTGTGACACCTCCCGCTCCTTCTATCGCTCGATTACTAATACTTGCCTAGACCGTCACGTTCGAGTTCTATCCACCGAGACATTCAGTCGTACAGGCAGCTGAGGGGGACCCATGCATACCGTATGAGAACTCCAATTCGGGAAAGCAAGGCTTCTCTTCCGGTTTAATGGAAGTAGGAACAAATGACGAAGTATATTAAAATACCCCATCAATACTTAGCGCTGACTTGCTGTAGCATGCCCAGTACAAGATACGAATCAATGACACCAAGCCGATATTCTTCTACTGCTCTGCGCCTGGATCATGCGTGGACTGGAAGATGGTAGGAGGTGTTAACATAGTACGCACGTCACGACTGACCAGAAGCTATGTGAGAAACTAACGATTGGACGTACAGAACCGAAGCACGCTCAACCGTCAAATAGCTCTTGTTAACAAGAATACGATAATGCTCCAACCTGGCGAAGCCACTCCGTCCGAGGCAACGGCCACTGCAGAGCCTCATGCTCATGTTGTGTTGTCTACCGGTGCTATAGTCGGTATTGCAGTTGGTGGAACCGCTGTGCTTGCGCTTGCAGCAGCGCTGTTCTTCTTTGTCGGCCGTACCAAAACGTTACAAGAGTTTGTTGTAAGTCGAGGAACGGCACGCCAGTCAGACATGACGCATAACCCGGGGTTTGGAGGGTGCATGCCCATCAAAGGAGACGATAGGACGCTACCGCAACCGGGTAGCCCGCTAGCATATAATTATGAGTATGGCATTCATCCAGCTCATCGATCTGTGGCCAGCGAACCCTATATGAGAGACTCAACGATGGATCCCAGGGCAGATACATGGAGGTTGAGTGCGTATCAAGGGCCGCCGCAGGAGATGGAAGGCGAGGGCAATGGAGGGCACGGGCGATGAACAGCAGAAGGTATCGCGAGGTGACTTGATTCAGTATGCGCCACCGGAAAGCGACCGCGTATTGTATGGCGCTCGGTTGTTGAATGGATTAACTTTGCCAAGTTTGAGTAGCGGACTTGTGTCGTTCCTCAATTCAACGTTAACGATGGCCGGGGATGTCTATTCGGGTGCGTGGTGGTGATCTCATAGCTCCCTTGCTTCATCCATTTGCGAAACGTTGGTGCCTTCCAAAGCCCTGTTGCCTCAACCTCCATACGCGCCATCACTTCGTGCGCCGCGCAACGCCATTGCGCTTCCTCTAAGATACCAATACATGTCACCTGAATCGGCCAGGGGTCTGGTCGCGTCGACGAGACTAGCGGCACTGTGCCTGAGATAGGCGAAAAGCGCCACGAAATTGCAGCGGATACGGACCACTACAAAGCCAGCCAGGCGCCGAGGACCCTTTACCACTTGCGAGTCAAGTGCATCACGCAGCGCCGAACAAACTGCAGTGGGAACATTTGGAAGACGCCATTGGAGACTGACGTTTCGACGGATTACACAGGTCGGGAAAACAACGTGGTATCGGCTGCTGGAGACCATGGTACGACCACGGTTGGGTGTCGCCTCGGGCGATGAGGAACATCTCCCAGGCCGAGCACGTTCGCAACAAAGCTCGCCGAGGATCAGTTCATAACGGCGGGAGAGTGGAGACGCTCGCCGCGCCGCTGTTTCTGGCGTGGAGGGATCGTGCTGGGGGATGGCTGGCCTTCTCTGTGCTCGACGACCGCCGCTAAAGCGTGTTACAGCCTACAGGCGGGCTGCAGGCTGACGGTTGCACATATCCAAAACTTCCCGACGTCTCTCAGCTGCGCCGTGCAGCCTCTACATCAGCGGGCGCTGCCCATTCTGCATACACCGTTTCAAGTCATCTTTTTGGGCGGTTCTTTGAAGCCTGGCTGCGAACAGTCTCAAAGCGGGCGGACGGAGTTCCATCGAAAGATCCTTGTTGTCGATCCTCAAGTACATCCCCGACCCTTCACTCCCGTCTCCTATCCACCAGCAGGTCCTGAAGGCGTCTCACCTCACCGCTCGTCCCTCCTCCTCCGCCCGACGATCGCGTGGCCCGCCATGGCCTACTGAGGAGAATATACATTTCCCACGGCGCCCAGCACCCAGAGCTTGCGCATCCTTCCCCAGATATTGCTTGTTCGACAGCTGGCGCCATCCAGCGTCCAATCATTTCACCGCGCCGTTCAAGGCCAGCCGCCGACGTGCTCCGCCGGTTCGCAGCACGCTGCTATAATTAAAATCTCACATACAATAACGACTGTCCGTCACACGAGCTCTGTGCGGGAAATTTGGGGAGCCCGCTGCCATGACGCATCAGCGCAGCCGCAGCGATGCGGGCGACATCTCGTCGCCGCGCTCCAGCAGAGCCCCGAGTTTTAGCAGCGACAGACCCTCGGTCGCTGGCTCAGTAACCTTCCAGATGCCCTCGAGCGTGCGTCCCGCGCCCGCCTACATCGCTGCCTCGGTCGCCTCGCAAACAGTCACCGACAATCACAATGCGCAGCTCCGCGAGGACGCTGCCGCCTCCGACGAAGACCCCAGCGCTGAGTTGTCCAACGCACTCTTCAGTGAACAGGCCCTATCTCTACTCAATGCCTTCCTCGATCACTTGCTATTCGCCTTCCTGTCCACGGCGCGCTCGCCGTCGCTGACTGCGATCCGGCCCGCGATAATCGAGGTCCTGAAGCCGCGCCTGGCACGGGAGGCCATGGCGACGGCCGACGAAGAGCTCGAGGGCCTGCTTGCTGGCGAGGATGACGAGGAGTTTCCGGCGCATCAAGGGAAGAAGAATGAGCCCTGGGATGTGGAAAAGTTCTGGAAGCGCACTCGTTTGCGGATCATGGTATACACGCGCCTGGGCGAGCTGGAAGATGAGGACGAGGAGCGATATGTCCAGCAGGAGCGCGGCCTCAGCATGGATGAAAGTGACGATGAGGAAGCTGGGCTTGTGTCGTGGGCGTCTGCTATTTTCTTGACCTCTATCATCGAGCATGTCGCTGAGCAGACACTGCTCGTTTCTGGTCAAGCCGCTTTCACTCGGCTGTCGGTGAGAGCGCGGAAGATGGCACAACAATCGCCCCACAGTGAAGAACAACTGTTGGAGCGAATCATTGTGGAAGACTTCGATGTGGAAAAGGTTGCCCTGAACTCTGCCCTGGGCAGGCTCTGGAGAACCTGGAGAAAGCTCGTGCGATCTCCTATTACACCACTTTCGCCGCGCGGAATACGCAACATGAGCAGCTACACGAGCCTTCATCGACGGCACTTGAGCTACGATACCGACCGCGGATCAATGATTGACGGTGTTCCTGAAGTTCCCGAGTACAAACCCACGGAGACGGAGATCGCTGCCAACATCCCCCTCCCCATGGGCGACAACGATGTCACTGAAATAGAGGTCCCTGGTCTCGCGCGTACTTTTGAGGAAGACGAGAGCAGTGGCATGCAGACACCTGTTACACACCCGCAGCGCCCGACCAGCGTCATTATGCTCGCACCTGCCGAGGTTCTGAGGAACAGAGCTGCCAAGGAGCGTCCAGTGTCTGTTCCTCCTCCGGAAAGGAAGTCACTTGTTATACCTGCGTTTTCTGAACAGGATCATGTCGAGCAGGATCTTGAGGAAGACGCAGACGATCTGCCATTCGAGACTCCCATGGAGGCCATGGAGCCAGCGTCCGATGATGACTCTTACATCCACGACGAGCGCCAGGAAGGCATGCACCACGACAATGAAGAGAACGGCGAGCATGAAGCGGATGCTGACATGGTAGCATTCGCAGCTTCCACTGGTATGGGCTTTGGCATGACTTCTCCTGAGGGTCCGATCAGTACAGAAACGAAGAGCCCTCTCGGCAAAGACGAAGACGATGCAGACACCCCTACACAGGCGAATTACGATGGCGACTCTCGTGTTTTCGTGTCGAAACGCATGTCTCTCGAGAAAACGGGCCCGCCTGGTATTGTCCGTACCTACTCAACTCGAAGCTCAAGCTTGAGGAGTCAAAGCAGGAGCCAGCCAAACTCCCCAGGCATGACTCCCAATATGGAGGCAAGATCGTTCCTCGAAGACGGTAACTCTGATGACGACGCGCCTGGACCGGAAGCCATTGGAGTGGCACACACCTCGAACATCCCGATACCCTCGCCCTCTCCACCGACTGAAAATAATGCTACCGACAAGGCTCTCGGGCATGCAAAACACCCTTCACACGGAGGATACGTTGAGGTTCCTCCGCGCCAGACTGCTCCTACTGCTATCCATGTTCGCAGCACCCCTACACCAGATGGTTCTCGGGCACCAGCAGAGGTTCCAGTTGCCCGTAAAGAAGTCCGACAGAGGGATGTGCCACAACCTCAAGTTCATGTGCCCCAATCACGACCGCGCGAAGTCACTCCCCCAAGAACGCGATTATCGTCCCTGCAGGAAGCAGAGCCTTGGCAATCGAAGCAGCAGAAGCAACCAAGCATACCCGAGAGATCCGCACGCAGAGGAAGTTCAACCGAGAGCAGCACTCGGTATGCTTCGCCACATCGTGCTCGCGAGTCTCCTGCGGCTGCCGCTGAACGGCCCGCGCACCTGAAATCGATTGAAGGCTCGCCACACTCTCGATCCGGAACCACTGATGGACCTACTGATGCCAGATCCTCGCTCAAGCGCGTTTCCTCTTCCTCTTCCTCGACCGCTGGACGATCTGTTGGGACGTCAATACTCCACAGCGGACGCGATTCGGGTACCAGTCTCGATGGTCGTCCGCGCGGTCTCAGCGGCCGCATGTCAGAGGAGGACCGACAACGAGAGTTCGATTCGCTTGTTAGAAGTGACGAGACTGTCAAGGTCACTCTCACTCCTCAAAACATGCGTGATATGGACGTAAGATCATGCTATCTTTAAGCAAGTACAACATACTAACTGGCACAGGAACCGGCTGTCGTAAAGCGCGATTCGCCCAAACCTTCTCCCCAGCCTAAATCTTCGGTGACTGTGTACCCGCGCGTCAATGCAGATAAGGATAGCCAATTTGGCTCACAACACTTGCCAGCTCGGACAGCGCCACGAAGCAATGGACCTATTCCTTCGTCAAGCAATAGGGGTTCAATGAAGAAGCCATTGGCGAGGGAACCACAGGTTAAGGGAGATTCGATGCGTGATTTTGCGGACTTTATTCGATCCACTGGACCAGCGCCTGGTGATGAGAAGCCTGTACAACGTTTCGCGCTCGGTAGAGGAAGCGGTGCGAAGCCGACCAGTGGCTCTTCTTCCTCCATCGGTGGGCTTGGCAGGAGACTGTCAACGCGACAGACTTCTTCACATTCTCATTCCAGCTCCCTCGCTGGTGACGGCCCGTCAGCGAAGCCTCGAATTCACATGGAACCTCGTAGTCCCGCTGGCCAACGCAGCGGTAACGATGATCTTATAGACTTTATCCGTCAAGGGCCGCCCAACTCGAACAATGGACAACCTAGAATACCTCGATCTGTTGCCCCATTCCGCACGACTGTAGATTCGGACCAGTTTGACCATATGTTGGATAACGGCAACATCGAGTCAGCCTATGGCTCGCAAGTCTCTACTGCCTCCAAGCAGTCCACACAGACTTCCAATTCTAGAACAGGCCTGATACCGAAGCAGAACGTCACCCAGCCTGCATATTCCAATACCCCGCAACAATTATCAGGCAGCATGAATGCTGAACCCCAAATCACGCGGACTCGCCGGCGCATCAAGGATCCCTATGCCATTGACTCTGATGACGAAGATGAAGACCTTCTGACGGCGCTCCCCACGTCCAACAAGCCCACTCAAAGGGAGGAGAGCATGATGGACTTCCTCAACAGCATGGAGCCTCCATCCAACAGCCCACCCCAGGCCTTCAAGCTTAGTCCGGAAACAATAGCCGCAGCAAAGGCCCGCGCGGCCACTCAGAAAGGCGGTGCTAATGGTCACTCGCACACCAACAGCTTGACATCATCGAATTCCGCATCCAGGAATGGTATGAACGGTCGAACGGGCGCTCCACAGGCTAACACTCCTACTTCCGTTACCTCGAATCCTCCTCGCGGCGGCTACAAGCCGAAACTTCAAGCCCGCGGTGCGACCAGTGATCCTCACGCTGGCAGGTCCTCCACCAATGATCTGGCTGACTTCCTCCGCAACTCAGGACCACCTGAGTCTCCAGCACCGGCACCAGGCGCGACCATACGGAGGGAAGAGAGTAAGCCCAGCAAAGCCAAATTCTGGCGTAAGAAGACTTACCCTGATATGCCTTGATATCGATACCGGATTTCAACGCCCCATTTGATCGATGCCTCCTCCGCCCAATTTATTATCTATGTGTTATACTTCTCGGACACCTTCTTAATGGATTGGGGTATTATTTTTATGTTTGGCCTTCGCGCCTCGATCTGTCTATGAACTATGCCACTGCGATTTTGCGATACACACCTGACCTACGGGTCCCATTTATATTCTTAATCTCAGCGTCTTTGGGAGGACTTCATTTTGGAGATTTATCGTACAATTACGTGCGGTTGAAATGATCTCGAGATGAGCTAGAAACCTTCTCACTCAATGCTGTATGTAGATGAATGAACAATTGAATCTAGACCGGAAATATTTCATGTTGCCCAAGAACATGAGTGAGCGAACAGAAGCCACGGAACGTCGACGCCCCTAGAGGATGCTCAAGCATCCTGGCATCGGACGATGGCCAATGTGGTTAGCCCATCGTGCATCTAGCCTCGGCCCGGTAAGCTCACCTCACGACATTGTGTACAGATGCCTCAGTCAGCTTACGTTCACTTTGGACCTTTGCAAACAGTACAACTGGATCACCAGAACATCAGCCATGGCATCACAAGACCCCTCAACGCTCTCCATTGAAGATTTCCCGCCTCTGACCTACAACCACACGCAAGACAACATCACCAGTCTTATCCAAGACATCACGCGCACTTCATCGTCCATAACATACAGCACCATTCCCGCAGACCTCGCTCCCACATCCTCAACATCCCATTCCTACGCGCCACCGGAGCAGGTCTCAAAAGCCGTGTTCTACCCTAGAACCACAGAAGATACGTCCAGTATCTTGAAAGCATGTCACAAGAGGAGAGTAGCTGTTACAGCGTACTCGGGCGGGACGAGTCTGCCGGGTGCGCTGACGAATAGTCGGGGCGGGGTATGCGTCCATTTTGGGAGGATGGAAGGGGTGTTGAGTGTCAATGAGGGGGACCTTGATGTTAAGGTGCAGCCAGGGGTGGGATGGGTGGAGCTGAATGAGTGAGTTTTCATATTAGCTCTGATTAGATTGAGGATGGGAAGTTGCATGCTAATCAATAAGGTATCTCGCGCCTATGGGTCTGTTCTTCCCCGTGGATCCGGCGCCTGGTGCGAAGATTGGCGGGATGGTAAGCCTCGCAGCGCACCAAAGAAGTGATTAAGAGATGGAGGTGGCTAATGAGGTGATAGATTGCAATGTCCTGCTCAGGCACCAACGCATACCGCTACGGCACTATGAAGGAATGGGTTATCTCCCTGACTGCTGTCCTTGCTGACGGCACTGTCATCACAACCCGTAAACGCCCTCGTAAATCCTCTGCTGGATACGACCTCACGCACCTTATCATCGGCTCCGAAGGCACACTGGCCCTGGTTACGGAAGCGGTATTGAAAGTCACGCCCCTGCCAACAAATCTGCACGTCGGCAAAGCGACTTTCCCTTCCTTACAAGCAGGCGTCGACACCGCGATCGCTATACTCAAAAGCGGACATTTACTTGAAGCTATTGAACTCGCCGACAAACCCTCCATTGCATCCATCAACCACTCCAAACTCGCAAAAGAGCACTTTGAAGAAACCCCTACGATGTTCGTCAAGTTTGCTGGTTCCCAAGAGACAGTGTCCTCACAGATCTCTTTCGTCAAGAACACATGTAAAGACAACAAGGGACTGGAGTTCGAAGCATCAAGCGACAAGCGGAGGATAGACGTCATATGGGGTGCTCGCAAATGCATCGGCAATGCCCTAGTCACGATGAAGAAAGCTCCTACTGACATATTCATCAGCACAGACGCTGCGGTGCCGATCAGTGCTATGGCGGAGCTTATCAAGGAGACGAATAATATCATCGAGTCGCAACCTTTTGACACATCGACTTGGTTCTGCGCTAATGTCGGGCACGTAGGAGATGGGAATGTGCATACTGCTATTGTGTGTCCGGTCGAGGACAAGGAGAAGGCAGAGCAGGTGCTTGTGGAGGTACAGAGGCTGGCGTTGAGGTTGGAGGGCACGATTACGGGGGAGCATGGAGTGGGGCTGAAGTTGAGGGATATGCTGGTTGAGGAGGTGGGTGAGGCTGGTGTTGGGGTTATGCGAGCGTTGAAGAAGACGTTGGATCCGAGGGGGATTCTGAATCCTGATAAGGTGTTTAGATTAGAAGGGGAGAAGGGCGCGAGGACGGGGAGGCTAGAGAAGTTGTAGATGGGTTCTAAAATGCTGATGGTCCGAAGAATAATGTGACGAGCAGGGAACATATAGGCCCTCTTCACGTGGGAACCGGAACACTGATCCACTACAAGCTGCGCAATACTTAAAGCGCAACCCAAGAGGTCCCATGTCTTGTGTTGGCGTTTCGTACCGCTCTCAAATGAGACCATTCACGTCTTTTCCCGCAAGTTTGATTCGAGTGCATGACATAAGTTTATGAATGTGCAACTCTTTCCTGATCGATTTGCCTGCTTCTTCGCCAAACACCAGCCCCCGGTCAACGACAATTGACATCGCTGCTCGTCAAAGATATAACCAAGTTTACTCAGCATTCCCATGTGGAGCATATCTTGTTGAATTCAACCTCTTATACGACATCTCAGCCTATGATCTCGCAGTAGATGGCCATGCATACGTCTTGGCACGACTGTTTACGCAGTACGAAAACCAAGACAGAGTAAGAACATGTGTATTCCAGTTGATCTTCAAGAGGACCATCGCCTTAGCTATTGTTACCAGTCCTCCTGATCACCCAAACAGAAGCCCTCTGGCCCTTCACGTGACAAAGCTGCATGGATATGAAGCCGTCCAGCGTTTCGATCGAGCTTTCTTTGCACACGACTGTCAGAGCCGCGAAGACTCACTGAAAGCTAGCCCGACATATCTGTATGGCCTAGCATCCACGTCTCCAGCAATATCTGGAGCATTCTCATGTGGTGGGGGAGGAATTCTTGGAGGGCACCGATAGGTATATTGCCGCAGGATTATGGTTGCCTAGCCCGGGAACACAAGCGATCCTTCGAGCGCATGGGTGACATCAGTCCATCTTGGTATACCTCCCATTTCCAATTTCAAACAAACTCGCGTTATTTAAGTTGCTCGCAAAATTCGAGAGCTCTTTTGCTGCGTTCGTGGGCATCGAAAATGTCGTTGCAGCTCTACTTCGTGCGCTTTGTTCTCATCACATCGCTGCTTTTATTGACAGCCACCACGCTCATACTGCCGCCTTTGCACCGGAGTCCAATACACCAACAGCTATTGGAGAGAAGACATAGACCAGGCCTAGTTCGACACGAGGACTATGGCTTTCTGCACCAAGAAACGCCGCAGGCGCCTCTCACAGAAGAGACCTTCACGAGGCCAGTGGTTTCCGGCGCTAAGGGCACTGCAGTCCTCGAGGTTGCACGTATCGATTTCTTGGGCCGTGCCTTCTTTTTCACGTATATTGCCTTCGGCAATCCACCTCAGCCATTTGCTCTCTTCATAGACCTAGCCTATGGAGGCGCAGTGGTGCGATCCGTCGATTGCCCAGACCGTGAACCTTACAACAGTTGCGGTCAGAGGGTGTTCACATACAATCACTCAGCTTCGTCTACGTCGCACGATCCTGGCTTAAGGTTTGCCGTGAGTTTGCCGGGTCACACTGCTAGAGGTAGTTTGTTCGACGATACCATGAGCATCGTCTCGCTCCAGCTGCAGAATGCCACTGTAGGAGCCATAGATATCTTCTACGGTGAGAACCTACTGCTGGGAATCCTATCGGATCTTTGTGATGGGTAAGTTGTGCTAGTCTTTGTACAATTGACGCGCTTTGGCCTGGCTTGTTAGCTGAAGATGTATCCTAGGGCACTCGGCCTTGCTCCACCGAATCGAACTTCTCTGTCATATTCTGGCGGCTGGGGCGGCGGCGTCAAGTCACACCCAAATTTTCTTTACGAGTTGACAGCCAATGGCACGCTGGCTCGCAATATTATGACATTGAGTCTGCCAAAAAGCAAGAATGACAAAGGGAGGCTCGTTCTCGGCGAAGAATCACCGCCAGCCAGATATCGTATTCCGCTGAGCCACAAGCCTGTCACAGACGGGCTGGAGGAGGGCTGGATAGTCGACCTCGACCGAATCCAATTCGTTGGTAACGCCATCCCTTTGGACATATCATTGAGCGCTGTCGCTGCCTTCTCCCTCGAGCCGGATTTCACCATTGCTTTACCCGGTGACTTAGTCGACGCGATCTACGACTACCTCGGAGCGCGCTCAGGAGAGCAATTTGACGGTGGACTTATCGATTGTGAGGTACGTGCGAGGTTGCCGAATTTGACACTGACCTTGGGCGGTCAGCCGATAACATTGGAATGGTGGGAATACACCGGTGTGTGGCGTGATCTTTTTGGTGGATCAAGATATTGCCTGGTGGAGATACAGCGTACACATTATTTCGACAAGGAAAGCGCAATGCTTGGATTGTCGTTACTGAAGAAGTTTGATATATCCTTCGATATGGAGCGCAACGAGATTGGACGTGAGTTCATTCTGATAAACCCAAACAGCGATGAGACTGACAGTCAGGAAGTGATTGAGCCATAACGCTGCCACGCTCTTCTATCGGTACCTACACGAGAAGCGGCCGAATTGTGCAGCCGGAGGTAATGCCGTCTTTCGCTGAGTAACTAGTTCGTTGTAGAGATGTTATTCGTGAATTAGTAAACGACTGGGATTGTACTAGTATACCGGATATAGTAAAACTGTACGCATTGAGACCTAGCTTTCTAGCGTAGGTAGAGCTATGAATGACCTCGTGCAGAATATTGTATGGCCACATATATGTCTTTCAGATGTGGTATTTCAGCAGAGGCCATTACCAAACATCTATGAGATGCGGGGCTGCCCTATATAAATTTACTTAAGGTGTCATTCTCCGTCTGCAGTCGGTAGCACTGTCACTCCTTCGATCCGGCGGTCCATTTGCTTAGCATCTCAGCAGTAATATTGCTGCCGCCACACACGACGACGACCACCTTGCTGCTTTTGGTCAGATCAGGAAGATATCTCTTCAATCTGTCGCCGTAACACAGAGCCATGCTTACACCACAAGCTGCCTCGACCATGATCCGCTCATCGTCGGCAAACCTTACGCAACCCTCCATCGCAGCGTGATCCGGCAGGACAACACTCGTGACATTCGGCCGTTGACCGTATTCAAAGGCTTGCGGTGCAACCGTCCTCGCCCCCAATGTCGTCGCGATACTCGTGATTGCTGGCAAGGTCGATAGCTCGCCCTTCTCGAGCGATAAAGCAAGGGAGTGTGCACCTTCGGTCTCAACAGCCAGGACAGATGTACCCTCCAGCCCAGCCTTTTCGAGGCCCCGTACGATACCGCAGAAGAGTCCACCACCACCCACACTGCACACAATCGCATCCGGTGTTCCATCTGACTTCATCTGCGCGAGTGTTTCCTCCACCAAAGTGGCGTGTCCGTCCCAGATGTCCGGCGCGTCAAAGGGTGGAACATAAACCGGAATGTCTCCTGCTTCTTTCGCCAGCGGAATAACTGTTTCCCTGAGATACTGATCGCATTCATACCACGAAGCGCCCTCCTGCAGGACCTCTGTGGCGCCTGCAGCGCGCATCTTATTCATGGTGTACTCCGACGTAGTCATTGGTACAACAATAGTCGCGGGGGTGCCCAAAGTAACGGCGGCATGTACGCATGCCAAACCAGCATTGCCTCCAGAGGAACTGTAGAAATGCGTTTTGTGCCGGTCTTCAGCATTGGCAGATTTTAAATGGCTGAGGAGGAAGTTTCCTATGCCGCGCGATTTGAATGATCCGGATGGTTGTAGATTTTCAAGTTTGAGATATATTCGACATCCCGCATGCTTCGACAGCAGGGTCGAGTGGATCAATGGTGTTCCTCTCCAAGGTGTAGGAAGTTCTGGTGGTTGCTGCGATGTAGTCATGATTCCGGGGGTTTATTGACTGATGGAGTACAACAGAGAAGAGAAGAAAATTCAAGTGTGTGAGACTTGACACTGTGTCCAACGGTGTTCGCTAGGCCGAATGCGTGGTCCAAGACGCTAGTTGCTGGCAATTGCTACGCGACTTATAACTTACATACGGCCGTGTACTCTCATCGCCTTGCCTTTACTGTGGAGGACTAGGCGTGTTGATTGAGCAGGCCGGTAGTGGCGGCTGTGGCGGATAGTGCGGGTGTAGGCCAAAGGTATTTGGCTTAGTAAGCTCGCAGAGAACACCTACATGACTTCGAAGTAGAAAGTCATTGGTATACATTGTCACTATTCATTATAAGGTAAGAAGCGAGTGTATAGAGGCAAGATCATACCGTTTGGAAATAGCATTGGAGTACTCGAAGACCGCTGTTCCGGTACAACAAATGATCTTATTCTACGAACGCAAGCAAGCGACCGACTCGAAACGGGAAGACCATCCGAAGCGAGAAAGGCAAGGAGGTGGCTGCACGACAAACTATGTGAAGTGGAGAGATCAGCGGTCGAGCTTGCACGCAAGTCAATCCACCGCGCCACACGACACACTGCAAAGAATACAAAGGACTGGATTGAGAAACGTGAATTTGCAAAGCCAGGAACAATGCAATTAGGATGCACCTGCTTTTAAAATATCAGCTACCACGACTCCTGGGTTCACTATGACCTTTTGACAGAGGCAGGCCCAGGTTGACCGAAATGAGTGCTGTCATTCTCGTCCTACAAACGCAAGATGAAAACCCGCTTAACAAACTACCGTTGCTACCTTACCAACAGTATATAGTTCCATTCCTCCGGACCGATCGCCCACCAATCCTCTCCCCGACCGGCCACCCCGACTGTTGATTCACCATTCCCGGCGCCAGCATCCAGGCCAGCGCCATAGTTCCCTTACCCGAGAACCTTAACCTACCATACACATGCAGACCAGCGCGTTTGCATGACTCGCTCGCCCGCGTCTGCACGCGGAAGGTGAACCGACTAACATGCATTTCGACTTCCGCATCCGTACCTAGCCTAGAGCTACTCGAAGATATTGCGAAGTTAGTTTTACAGCGGCGACTGTAGCGGACGATCCGAGAATCTGATGTCGTCGAAGACGAACTGATTTCGCGAACGCAACCGCGATCTGTCGCGTTGATGGGAACATAATCTGCTGGAGTGCGTGACGATGGGGGAAATCGGCATCACGGGGTGCATGACGAGCGTCGGAGGATGCCGTATGGGACTTGACTGAAGAATTTGTGTCGAAACGATTGGTCAAGGACTTCAAGATGTCAGACAGTATTTAATGGTGTGTACGCCGATGTGAGTACCATTTGCATGTGAGCTCACAGATTGACAGCACCTGACTTGATGGTATTCTGGCACATGGAGGACGGTAATCCAGAATGTTCATGCCAGCGTCACACGCATGCCGCAACAAAGACGTTCTAGATCTTCTCATTCGGTGATCCGATCTCCATAGAACCTCAGATGTTTGAAACTTTCAGGCGGTCTCCATGCAAAATCACGGACAATGAACCTTTCCGAGTGTTCAGGGTACTCGCCCAACAGCGCGCACCCCGCGTGTTTGAAGCTGTCTTGATGTTCAACCCAGGTGGATTGTGCGTTGCAGACCAGGTGTTGCCTGTCGGGTATTGTTGGACCTGAGCTCGGTAAGGGTCAAAGCTGAAGTCGTGTTTGGCGCTCGCAACGGTACCCCTGACGAAGCAAGGCAACTGTGAAGCGGTGTGTTTGTTCTCGCGAGTCCGCGTGGCCCGCTTGATGCCGATCCTGAAAGACTGACGCGCAAAGCGCACTGTCGTTCAATTTGCTAAATCGCAATTTTCGCCACTATGTACAATGTCAGTCCTCTTACGAGCCCGTCTTCATATTGCACCATGGGATATATGTGATGAACAATTGAATATTGATGGGTATTTCAGAATTGCGATATCCTTAAGAAAGATAGGTCCTCTCTTCTTGCACGCGGCGCGTCCGCGACTTCAGCATTGGCATTCATCTCATAGCTTTCTTCCTTTGTCCAAATATACAGCCCCCAAAAATAGAGTGGAATCCATGTCTTTATCCTGGCCCAGAAAACAGGCCTATATGTCTCCAAAATGATAGCGTACAGCGACGCCGAGTCTGTAACCCCAAGTATGCAAGATGTCTGGGACAGACAAGGTTCGTACCAAAAACACAACGCCGGTACCACAAGCGGTACAGGAAGATGCAAAGGGTTTCATGCAAAACAGGATAGTCGAAAATGAATGGCGGTAGGTACGCTGCTGAAGGGCGTCGGGTCCCGAAACACCGGGACTCTGCGCAGGTATATTTGCGTCGATAATGGGATATAATGAAAATCGTCATGGCGTCGAAAGGATAGAATGGGAGATTCAGGTGTTGCTGATAATGACGCGTGCGCCTTCTTTCCCGAGCACACCCCTCTCTTTCGCCTTAGGGCTCCTGTCACGGCCCTTTTTGCGGCTGAGGAAGCCAAGCATGCCTGATGGCCTCTCAGCGTTAGGATTCTGTATGAGCGAAGAGCTCTGATTAGCCATATCGGACCACGAGCCGGTCTCGTTGAGAACTACCTGTACGCCGCCGCCCATACTGGTACTACGCTGAGGTCCTCCTCGGCGATTGTTCATCGGACGCGAGTAGGAGACTGGTTGTCCATCTGTCGGGAAATAATCGGCTCCCTCTCCGCGCTGAGAAGTCGGTGAATCCGAAGGCTGTTGACTAAGGGCCGCCGCTACAAGAGGAGGACTGCCATTGGGCGAGTGTGTGGTCGAACGTGTGTTGATAGATCGAGTGGGTCGCAAATCTCTGTCCCCATCCTGGTCTCGGCGGTTCCAGTGATCTTGATGCGATGTCGACGAAGTCGGGGTATGTTCACTATTGCTGTTGTTGCTGATGCGGGAGACGTTGAGGGGATCGACAGGATCTGCAACCGCAATGGCAGCAGGGCGCTGGTCTGGCACCGTCGTGTAGTTGAAAGGCTCAAAGAGTGTTTCAATCATCTTATGCAATTCTTCAGCTCGAATCTCGGCATCCGTCGCATCATCTTTGAGGGCCTCGCGAGGTTTTTGTCTCCGAGCTCTTGCTTCCAGGGGCGCTTCCTCTAGGAGCAATTCTTCCAGATCATAGGTGGCGTCGAAGTTGGTCTTATCGCTTGACGGGATGAACACTGGATCAATTTCCTTCCTCTCCAGAGCTCCGAAATCGAGCGGACGGAAGAATGGACTGTCCGTGAATGTTTCAAATCCGATTGCGCCAATGCGCTTTGAGCGGTCTTTCTCCAATAGCGAACTTATAGCGTGCAGACAAGGCATCGATACGGGTGGATTCGTAACGGGGTAGGTAGGCTCTCCCTTCGAGATCTTCTGAGCGAGCGAGTCATGACTACTTGCTTCGAATGGACGCTGTCATGGTTAGAGATGCCCTAGAGAATGTACATATTGACACACCTTGTTGTAGATGCACTCGTAGAATAGCACGCCTAGTGACCACCAGTCCACCTCGCACGAGTATCCCTTGCCTTCGTAGACCTCCGGCGCCAGGTAGGCGAGAGTACCGGATTTGCTCGTCAGGGGCTTGTGAGGTGTGAAATCCGACGCAACGTTCTAGGGACATTAGCTTCAGCCGACCTCGACGGTGATGCGCGGTGACCCACAAAATCAGCGAGATGCACATGGCCATCGGAATCTAGCAGCACGTTGTCGGGTTTGATATCCCTGTGCACGATGCCTTGAGTATGTATGTATCGAACAGCGCAGCCGAGCTCGGATATCCAGAACCGCACAGCGTCTTCTGTGAATGTCTTTCGCGAGATATGGAAGCGAAGATCACCGCCGTTCATCAAATCAACGACAATGTATCTGCCAATTGTCAGCCGAATGGCTCTCTAAACGCATAGGTGCCAACGTACAGGTATTCGATATCCTGGAAACTGTATCGCAAATTGCAGAGGAAGGGGTGGTTGAGATGCTCGAGCATACGTCGTTCGCGAATAATATTGCGTACGCTCTCGGACCGTACAACTGTGACACAGCGTCAACGTCGAGTTCCCCGTCGGGTCACGGTGCCGCGATGCGCGGGCGTTGGAGCACTCACTCTCATCTTTCCTGATGTATTTGAGAGCAAAGGTTAGACCAGTGTCTTTCCGCTCGACGATGCGGACCTTGCCAAAGGCTCCCTTGCCGACGACGCGTAGTAGACGGAAGTGGTTGAGGTTGACTGGGGCAGACTGTCAGTGTTCTGGAGCTTGAGCATTGTCTGGAGGCAGTGGCAGCGAGGCAGGTGCCCTTTACCAGCGCGACGCACCTTGGTCGGTGAAGACGACGGGCTTTCCGTTGCTCTGACCCATCACGAGCTACAAAGGTGGTGGCCTCCCAATTATTTTGGCAGCAGTAGAGGCATCAGCGGGGGGTGGTCGTAGGTGACAGGGCGTGGGCGGGCTAGCGAGCGATGCGGGGACAAAAGTGCTCGAAAGGCAGGCTGGCGGGCAGTGGACCAGAATGGGCAGCGGGCAGCGTGAGTAAGTATATTGCAGCGTAGAGACAGGCTCTTGGCCGGTGGAGTCGCACGGAGAGCGCTGAAAGGAGAGGCCAGGAGTTTTGACGGCCGTCGTGGTCGGGGCGCTGCAGGGAGGTTAGCTCGAACGACGGGCGCTGGACGTCGGTTCGCTGGCTGGCACGCCAGGAAAAATGCACGATAGGCGGCGCACCAAGGCTGCTAAAGCAAAGCCGGCAAGGATGGCCACGTTTTGCTGGAGCAGAGAGTCAAGCTCGTAGCCGCTGCGCGCTGCCAAATGGGCGAACGCCTCCAACCTGCAACTTTTGGCGGGCATGGCTGGCCACTCTGCGCGCTGCTGCTCTCATGCGCGTGCCGGGCCTGCTGAGGCACGCTTGTGCTGCTCTCCTTCATCTGCCCCAGCGCTGCGTCAGAGGTCGCTGCATGGCTGCAGCTGGCGCATCCTGCTGGTAGATTGTCGCGACCGACAGTCCAGTCCAGGAGCCGGGGCTGACTACTCCTTGCGATCCTTCACCACGCTAGGGAGGGTCCGCACGTGTGTGCGTCGCACACCGAAGACACAGTCAGCGGCCTTTGCATGGGATACGAGCCTCTTCTAGCTGCTCTGGGTCTGGCCGCCGGGCACCCTGTCGTCACGAGACGCCGGCGACACCACGGATCAGGCCTCGCTGCCCTCCCGTCTGATCTGCAGGCCTTGCTTGCTGCTTTCGAAACGCCAAAGCCGAGGACAGGCCACGAGGAGCCCAGAGCGTCGTCATGGACCAGACCGCCAGAGTCCACGACATCTCCATCTCGCCTCGTCACGATAACTGACGATGCCAACTCTGCTGCTCTCGACACCGTGCAAATCCGTTGAACAAGTGTTGAGTTTGCACGCACGCTATCGACCCGTCTCGACTCTCGGCGTACAGTGATTTCTCCGGGGGTGCCACGTGAAGATCAAGCGCAGCGATCCTGTGGCGCTCCAGTCGCTCGTGTGCTGCTGTGCTTTCGCGTCTCATCCCGCTCCGTGGCTGCAGCGCCTCACATCGATAATGGGGAATTTTAATGGGTCTTTCCGGAGGATTCGCTAAAGCGGTCAGCTCGAGAAAGGGGCTATCTCTTGGCCATACAGATCGATCTTGTACCCATGCTCCAGATGTTGTCGTATGCGTGCTGGGGATCCAAGAAAGCACATGTCTGAGCGGGCTTGCAGTGTATTGCATGATGGGATCAAAACGAGGGTAGGAGTGCATGGAGAAACGCGTGGCTTTGCAGAAGTGGTGGCCGTTGAGAGGTGCGACAAAATCTACGTTGGAAAGAAGCGTTGACGACATGGGCGAGGACGAGGCAAGAGCGACCTCTTTTCATACGGTATATTGTGGTCAGGCACCGGGCGTACCCCGAGACCACCAACCTATCTGATCGCTTCACATTCGCTTCTCACTCCCGTCTATCAACTCGCTGTCGTTTGCGGAAGAGGTGGGTGCTACCTCGTTGTTTCCATTTCGTTGTACGCACTTCCTAGAATACGTCCACGATGTATCGATTCACAACCCCATCTTCCCTAACAGGCTTCAACTTGGCATACCGGCTACAACGGAACTGAATGCTTCGCCTAACACCTCCCTCTGCAGTAATTCGCTAACAGAGTCCTTCTGGACGTACTTCGGCTGTCTTCCAACAATGAACTTTGCTTCATAGCTCCTTTTACGCTACACTTTCTGTTCGACTGCATACGTGGCGGCACCATCACGTTGGGAACAGATCGTCGTCAACAATCCCCTCTCATCTTGATTCTGCAGTCGGTGGTGCGGCACGCTTTACCAACCCTGTCGACTTTTGACGTGGACGAAGCTCGAACCGCCGGACGAGCCCATCGCCCTCCGCAGATTGTGAATGGTGCGAGTTGTCTGTTGGACATGTATTTTCTTCTCGCCAACTACGCGGTTTTGCTCAGATAATTGAAGGAAGCTCGCTTCCGCTTCCGCTCCGCGAGCCTCACAGTCGGTGTTGTATCATATCGCAGGTCAACGTCCGATATGTATGGGATGTTGATCCTCCTGCCCGCGCTGCTGGGTCGAAAATTACGTTCCAGTCAGCAAACACTGATCCAGGAGGTTTGCGTCTTTCTGTCCTCGCCAATCCACACGACAAACCCATCCAACCACGCTAACCGATACTTCTCCCATGAGTGTCGTCCATTTTGCAGTACCTAGTAGAGATCAGGCTTTGACTCTACTTGTTTGAGTGATCAGCGAAAATATTGTACTCACCATTTCGTGCATTGCACTCGCCATCTCCTGCTTCAACTAATCGATCCATACCAAATAGTCCACACGACGAGCTTTGACTCTTAGCCGAACTTTCAGCCCCGGCCTCTTGTGGCGGACTTCGGCACCTCATCGTCACCATTGCTAGGATAAATATCCGTCAGTCCAAGACTCCTTTCAACACCATGGTCTGTAAGCTTGGACAACCGCTTGGGCTTCTGGAGCCTCATTGTAGCCCAGGCAAGCCACATGCATGTGCTCAAATTAGCTCCTGTGGCATCTGAGACATGCACGACGTGTGCAAAAACAAGCGTGGAGATACATGGACTAGAGATCTAGCCGGCGCCACAGTGAGGATTGAACGCAAGGCTGCATACATGGATGCTGGTTGGGTAGATAGGCTCGTGGTTCGGCGTTGGCATCGGTGACCAAAAGCGGTAGCAACGAAGTGCGACCAATTACCCCCTACACAACTTCGCTTAGCGCCTACTTTCGAACGCCCGTCAGCCTCTACGGACAGCCCTATTGCCGGTGCATAACTTTCCTGGTTGCACCACAGAAGCGGTCCGAATTCACAGCGGCCGCTCCGTGGGAAATGGAGAAGCTCAGATCGTCTGCACGTTTCTGTAATCCGGTCCGGCGCGCTTGGGGAACCGTTCACGCTGCAGGGCGATACCGAACTCTACTAGAAGCGTGTCACACAACGGAGAATCAATGAAGGAAGCTTCCTCCATGGGTTTCATACCTTCTAGTGTCGTCGTACGAAACTTGGACCTTTGCGTTAGATGTCCGATGCTCAGGGAGTGGTGAAGAGGGCAAATATTAGACATTGTCTGGTAAACTCATGCGCGCAAACTCCCCTTTCCTTCAGAGGGGGTTACTATACCAAGAGTAGCCACGTAGGAAGCCTGCCGCACGCGACGAACCCTCCCTTCCACCACATCCGTATTTCCACGTGGTTGTCTGAGCACAGTCAGAACCTACTATAGCTCTGAACCAGGTGGGTAGACATCGGGAGCATCAGCGCCACGCTTGGGGAACGTGCGGGACCGAGATGCATTGCGTCTTTTAAGTAGTAGGTCTTGTGCGACCTCTTCCCGTCGACCAACTGGATGAGCTCCACCAATGGTACCTGCCCTCCCATGTTACGTGGTCCAGGCTGTCTTCGGACAATATCTACACCCCCGAAACTTAGGTTAGGCATCTATACGAGTTCAGAAATTAAGCGATACGTTACAGCCTTGCTCTCCTGCACCAGGGCACTGGCTCAATACCTAAGATCTTTCAGACGGGAGAACGTCCTACCTATTCAATTGCAAATAGGGCCCCATTTCTTTTTCCAAGTCTTGGTACTTGGCTTCTACATCTTGCGTGACGCAATATAGAGGCGGCACCGAGCCAGTCGTTCCGAACGACCAGCTTCCTAAATCAGCGAAACCCGCATGTCGGATAGGGAGAGCGCGCTTCTCAGCATATGCGCGGCATTAGAACTCGTACAAGTGGAGATACGCCGTTGCACTACTGCACGAAAGCCAGGTTCAGGGCCATGTGTAGCGATGAAAGGATTGTCATTTTTTTCTAGAAGCCTGCCTTTTGTAGCTAGGTTAATGTGGACCGTGATTGCTTCGATGATGTTTGGACTTCACCTCCTACTCTGCGAGGAACTAAGTCCGTTGGCTACGCCGCACGTGTGCATCGGCGATCGCAAGACATGATGTTGAGGACCCAGAACCTGGGAACAAATCGTGATGAACTCGCTGCAGCGTCCACTACATCATCGTACCGGTAAGCGTAGATACTTTGATACTTTCACGTGTGTATCCTACAGCCCGGGAGAAGTCTGCCTGCAGCAGCTACGAAACCTTCTTCCCATCATGCGACTAACCTAATAACTGTTCTAACCAAGATGCACCTGGACCCACCCTTGCCCATCTTTGCCAATAATAGCCCATCTCAACCGCTGCGTCGGGTCCGTCATCGGCCTCGCTTGTGAAAGTGCAACAAAGGTCGGACCTTCCGTTTTAGCACCATCGCTGCTTTGAACATTGTCTGCCTTTGGAATTTCTATGACGAAGATGAAAAAGGATAGTGTTGGAGGCATGTTGGGTAACAGTTAGGAGGCGGTTGTTGGATGGGTTAATGGAAAGGGGTAAGGGCTGTAACGAGATGAACCCTGGATGTTGATGGAGGTCGGGTCATGTCGTTGGACGGGAGGATTGCATGACGCCGTAGGTGGCGTTGGAATGCTTATCTTTGCGGTGTCAAAAAATTCGAGGGCTCTGGACATGCGAAACCACATTGATTACATTGGCATGATAGGATACGATTGAGGTGGAATCACACTCTGTTCTCTACATACTTTACCGATTTGTGAAGCTTTTCGTGGACCTGACTCATATTTGCCTACGAAACCCGCCCTGATAAATGGACGTTTCTGGACATGCCCTTCCTTTATTTCAATGCTTTTGTCCGCCTCGCTTTCCAGCAAATGTAAGACAGATATTACTGGCATATCCGACCTAACTCTCATCCACTCTTCCTTACGCCATTTGCACGCTCATCAACGAGACCAGGATCTAGTCACTGAAATCAATGAGAAGATCATCGACGCTAGAGACCGAATCATCTTCCACTAGGTTGCTGTTTGCACTCGGTTTAACCCAATTAGAAACCCGCAGATCGGATTTGTGCATATCCTTCTTCATTCTGCACTCAGTGGAGCGACCACAGCAACCTTCCTTCTGGCAAACGTGACCCTTGACACAATCGAGCCGTCGACAACTGCTTCCTTCCTTACATGGGGAGCTCTTCAACATGAATTGGACACAGTACACTGCACCTGAATCCAGAGGGCTGTGGTCGTACTCGCAAGGCGTATTCTTGCATGTATGACCCAATTGGTAATAACCACAGGGCTTCTTCAACTGAGTCCGAGCAGTAAAAGCTGCCCACTCCTGTGGGGTGGGCACCCTCATGTAGGTGTCAAGCCGCTCGTTGCTGGCATTGACAGATATGAGACCAGGAAGGCTAAAGTCTGGCAGCTCTGATTTCTGGGTGACGTTCGCGCCGGCTTTCTCCTGAAGCTTGTTGGGGTCATGCTCCTACGTTCGGTATCAGCTAAACAAGCCTGAGATCATCACTCCTGTGAATCTGGTACCTTTTGAGTCTCTTCAAGGGAGGTAATGCCTTGTGCTACCCGTCCGCAATCTTTCTCATGGGTTCGGAAGACTTGGGGAAATGACACACTAGGTAATCTCGACTTCTGCTGCGCTTTGTCCAGGAAGAGCGTCCTGACAAGAGTAATCCGTCCGTCGTATTTGGAAAGATTCTCAATGGATTCGGTATATTGGTCGCATCCTGCAGCAGCTAGGAACACCTGCACGCACCTCGGATCCTCAAGACAGTCCCAGAGGCGCTCTACCGAAGACCGTTAGCAGGAATTGCTATTCAAAATATGCAAAGACTCTACCCACTCTGGACCTTTTGTGGTATGTTCGACTTATCTTGGACGTCGATGAAGTCGCAATCGACCCGATTGGAAAATCCGGAAGTAAATGTTGCGAGGGAAAGTGGCCGATAGTCGACCAAGCCTTTCTTAGCAGCATCCATAGATAGCTGCTTGAGGTTTGTGTAAGCCTGCAGCATAATGCGGCATTGGCTCTTGTCTCGTAAGTATCTCAATAAGTACTCCCCCACGGAGTCGCGGAGTCGCCTCGCTGTGAGAGGACCGCCTTTGCTCCTGTCAGCAAGTAGTTCGTCTTTGAACTTTGGCTTGGTCAGTGACTGGCTTACAAGCACATGTAGCTGGAAGACATACCTTGTGGCTGTGCGCATCGATGAGCACAATTACATAAGACTGGCCGGGCGCGACATTCTCGCCGCTCGGTTGTCCGATGCTCAAGGCGTCGTAATTGTTTTGAAGTCTCGTGAACTTCGCAAGGAGCTCACTATGCTCTGCAGCATACTCCTTCAGAGACTGCGCGCACATCTCCATTGCTAGCTATCGGGGCATCATTAGCTGTCCTCTGAAGCACAAACAATCTGTATGTGACTCACCATCAAGTGCTGAAACTGGCCCGCTCCGTGCAGCTGAAGCGACTGCAGCTGATCACTCAGCTTTGCAAGCTCCTCCTGGTCCTGCATGACTGTACACATTTCTTGGTCCATGGTACGGGCAGCGGATACAAGAACGTGCGCGAGAGAGTTAGAACGAACCGGATATTGCGTACTGATGAATGGTGAGATGCTGTAAAAGGATGATGAGAACAGAGGATAACTTACCTAACGCGAGCTGGATCTCGGACCAGTACCTGCGCCGCGACTTCTTTATGCGGAAGGCTCTGACTGAACGCCCAACCGCGAAAGTTGAATGTGGAAAGGCACCGACAAACGAGAACGAAGAGTCCTAGAGAACGAGTGCACCAATGTATGCGTGTTGATGGCTTGCGCAAATCTGGAAGTCGCGGCTCACGACATGAGCGTTTACCCTCATCTGCATGAACGGCGTTTGCCGGGCGCTGGTGAATGACTTCGAAAGCTTCCAGCTTGAAGCTTGAGGTACCCGTGGACACTGGCTTGTCACCTGAGCACAAGAGGGGCGGCTAATGTTTTCTACCTTCAGACGAGCCAGTGCATTAGACCGTGTGGACCATGATTGAAAACTTCCAATGATGGCATCAAGCAGTGAGCTCACTGCCTCCTATCGCCTGGTCTTGGAACTCTCCTTGTGTGCGATAATGAACCGAGCGGCTGCCATCTCTTGAAAGCTTCCATGACCATGATTTGGATCGCGGAAAGCTAGTTGCAGTCAAAGGTCGCACCTAGGACGGGAAGGCTTTGAGGTAATTAACCTACTGTTGGAAGCGCTGGGTGTCATCGACGTTCTGACAGAATATAAGAAGCCAACTGCCCTCCTCATTGTTTATACTACCTCTCTGGCCAGCTTTGACACTTAGCACACGCTCTGTACACATTTTTGCCCACATAACGACGATGAGGTCGTGCCTCGTCTCCTGCTGCGAACTACTACTGACACACAACGAACCCCGCACGGCTGTCACGCATTTCTTCGATGTCCTCATTGTCTCACGTCTTTCGCACCCATCGTTGGCTTGCAAGTGGATACAGAGCTACATTTTACAAGTGTGTCCAGAAAAGGTAGACTTGGTCTGAGATTGTGGTGCTATGCTGACTCGTTGATAGAGATGTGAATTGCATAAAGCCAGTCCAGAAGACGGATGGAGTTAGCGACCATGTGTTAAAGCCAACAACCTACATCGCAGAGAAAATCTGATCAGATGGACGGCCGAAGGGCAGACGTAAAGAAATGCAGATCGCTCAGCTTTATCGTTACTACCATTGCGCACAACGGCCTTTGATCATTGGAAGACAGCTCGTGTATGGAAAATACCGAATACGTACCATCCGAACCATTAAAACCACATCCAGAAACACACTGACCGAATAGAAACAGCGGAGGCACTCTGAACAGCCGAAGCACTGCCAGCGCGCTCGTTGGCTACTCTGTCTAAATGCCGATGCTGACTGCTTCATACCCGAGTACGCACCAACAATATCCAAACAGAACACGACCGACTGAGGTGATTAGTCCGCATCGTCGGGCAGCTCTTCGATGCGCCCGGAGCGGAACGCTTCTTCGACGGGATTCTTCACGTCTACCACGCCCGTAGCTTTGAGTCTGTCGCATTTGTTAGGATGGTTGAATTGTGCGACGTTCCCCGTTCTCGACGTACCTTTCAAATAGCACGAATAGCCTCTCGGCTTCCCGCTCCTTCTCTTCTTCCGTCATGGGCTCCTGGGAACTCGGCACCTCGGCATCTAGCCTCTGCCCCGTAATCGGGTTCACCGGTATCGCCCTGTCCGGATCGGCGGTTGCCGATGCTTCGATCGCACTCTCGGGCATCTGAATGTTGTTACTCAGTAGGAAGCCTGACGCGAAGCCGTAGCCGACATTCTGGACGAATTTACTAGCATCCTTCCCTGACAGCTCGAACATCATGGCGGATATGGAACTTCGTAGCGAAGGTGTCATAGCGGAGGTCGATAGCCGGAGGAGCCGTGCTGAAAGGGTGTCCGACTGGCCCAGAGGGCGCGATCGTTCCTCGTCTGTGGGAAGGAGGAGCCATTCCATGTACTTCTGTACGCTCTCCGGTGCAATTTCATAGATGCGACGTATAAGCGTTAGAACAGGTGCCACCGTCTCGTCTAGCTCCTTCTCCGAATAGGCGACGATAGCATTGTCCAGAATGTCGATCAGAAACTCAGCATTACACTTTTGGTCAAACTTCGGGAAGACGGCGTTCATGCCCAGGAACTCCAATTGTTGACCCTTCTTGTCTTCCAAATCCAGATTTAGAAGAGAATTGATGAGGTAGTTGACAGGCGCTTTAAGGGGCGGGCTAGGTATGTTTCGACGCGTGAGTATCTTGAAGATGTGTGGTATTGACTTGGAGAAGTGTTCGGCTAGGTCTGGGTAAAAATGGGTAATGTTAAACATGAGTTTCAGCGTCTCGGATAGCGCCGTGAGATCCATGGGCGACGCTTGCATCTGCGAGTGGCGCCGTGCGTGTTTGGAGTATATCTTAGCATGCCGTGCCATGGCATTGTTGATATGTTCGGCGAGTTCGTGGAGCTCAACCAGATTGTCGAAGTCAACATTCGTATCGTAAGTCATGAGGAAAAGGATACGAGAGCATAGGAATTCGTCGTCGACGTTCTCGTGCTGCGCACAGTCAGCAGCGTGTCCTTCAGATTGCTTGAACCCATACCTTCAATCTATCCGCTGCCTTTGGCGCGTAGCCAAGATCGACCACCACCTGGCGCATCTTAGGCTCGAGCAGCAGGGCGTTTGCGATGCACCTGAGCGCTTCTTGCGAAGTCTGGACGTCGGCGTCTTCGAAGGCATATTGACAAAGAGTATGAAGACCCTGCAACCGTACTATCAGCTATGGGCTGTGGCCGGCTTGTTGTTGCAACATACTTCTTTTGTGAATATAGGATCTGCGTCTTCGATAGCCCGGCCATGAACCTTGAGCTGTTCCAGCAAGCTCTTCCGCCCTGGTATCTCGTGAGAATCGCTCTCTGCGTCATCTTTGCGAGCGCATACGTTTCGGGGCGAGCTTCTTCGCGGTGAGGTCCGTCGTCAATTCGTGCAGGATGTTGGTTACATCTTCGAGCTTCGCTGCGACGGTGTTAGTAGCGCTCAAAGAGGACATACAAAACGCGCGCACCTTTGCCGCCGCGCGGCTTAGATTCTTGTCTGCTCAGCATGCTGGAAAGGACATAAGCCGAGGCGGGCTTTGCACTGCTGCAGAAGTAGAGAGGTGCGAGGTGATGTCGCAAGGCGTGCGATTGCGGCGGAGGACCCCGCGCCGAAGCTTTGAATGGGGCAGAGATGAGACGACTCGTTCAGCATGGCCAGATGACGTTCACGGTGGGACCAAGGGATAATTCATGCTTCCACCTGCAGGCCACAAGGCACATGATCTACAACCCGCAAACCTTGGAATGTAGCCCTGCACGTGAGGCTATTCCTGTAGATGTTCGCGACTTCCTCGAGCGGATGTCCTGAGTGTGGGGTAGCTAGCGCCCTGATTGTATAGGTAGCGGAGCCGCGGACAAAGGCGCAGACAGACAAGGTGCATTAAAAAAAGGCAACAGCAGAAGCATGGGCGACTGATAGTATCCGATATTCTGGCTTCAAAGTTGCGCGTCCGCTTTGGCGCAGACGCGTGGTGCTCTAGGAAATGTGAGGAAGACCCTCACAACTATACAGTGCTTTGCATGCTACTCATTACCGGAGGACACAACATATTGGAAGGATATGTGCGAACACGACCGAGATACGGCTGTGCTTTCCAAAGAGCAGGCCTGTGAGCCACATCTTCCGGCAATGCAAGTCATTTCACGAAACATTTCGGGAGGGTAACAAATTATGTTCACCCGCTATAGAGTTTGGATTCTGGCCAAGCGCTGCAAATGCAAGCCACCAGGGTCGATAATTAAGCCCGGTTGGGCAGGGCACGTGATGGCGGTGCTTCCAAGGTTCGAGGACGCGCGAGACGCGACTGAACGTGCCAGAGTCGCGCATGAGCCAGCCATTTCAGCACGGCAGCCCTACCACCGCCCATCTGCTTTTCTCCACACGCTCGTTGTGCGCAATGCCAGCGCTCAACTTGTTTTCTGTTTTTGCCTTTGCATGATTGTTCTTCAGCATAGCCATGGTGTTTTCTAGTTCCAAGTTTGAGTCCCTTTCAGTACGACCGCCAACACCGCCCAGGGAAATCGACTACGCCGACCCAAACGCCGACGAAGTCCTGGATTTCCTCAAAGACCCTTTTGGCACGAAAGAGCCCGTTGCCAAAGTAATTGCGGCCAAAACACTCTTGAATACGCCCCAGACCTCGCCGTCTTCCGAGAGCGGTATCCCATCGAGCTCCGCACGATCCTCTAGTAGGAAGAAGAAGGTCAATTTTGAGGCACAGCTAGGCACGACAAATGGCAACGCCATATCCTCACAGTCTTTCATACCGCTCCAAAGCTCGCCCCTGCGACCTTTGCCCCAGACACGCGTTTCGAAGCCGCTCAAATCTATCCTCAAGCCGTCCGACGCCGTCTCCACACCACCGCCCGCAGACCAAGACACACCAACACACAATAAGTCGTTCGCCGAGATGCTTGAATCTGTCATGAAGCAACTGGCTTCGCAGACTCGATCCAATCGTTTCGACGGCTATCACTCGCTCCAGCGCACCATGCAAGCATACGAGAAGGTGCCAGACCCACAGGCCCTGGTTGACAAGATGGGCCTTATGACACAGTTTATAAAGAGGGACATGTATGCCACTGGCGTCAATGGCACCGGTCTGGATTCACAGCTCCTCCAACAGGCCTTGAAGTTTCTCATGGCTTTGATTCGTATACAAGAGGCCAGGCCTGCTATGCCAGATGAGTTCTGCAACTTCGTTGTTGACCGGATCATTCAAGTGGCTGCGGATGGCACCCTGCCCAAAATGGTAATCAACACGCACTTGGCGGTGCTAATGCAGCAGAACTTCCGCCCCAGGACCATGACACCCGCACGAGTAGAGCGGATCTTGGACGTGTTAGATACGATAGAAGACCGTGTTTCTGGACTGTCCGTCTTAGCATACCGTGTCCGAATTTTCAGGAAATTGATCCAGCAACGACCGGAAGTAATGTCAAAGCATACCGAGCGATGGTTCAAGCACACCGTGAAAGCCTTGCTTTCAACCCAGAAAGATATCAATCAAAGCGCTCTTGACACTATCATCTCAGCTGCCAAAGCTTTTGGCAACGATCGGCAAGTCACCAAATCCGTTCTTACCGTGATGAACAAGGTCAGAAACGATGGAGGAACTTATGGGATGGTCAAGGAATTGCAAAGGATGCTAGGCTCTGATAATGCTGCAATGGCGCCCCAGGTCTGGTCGGCTGTGACGTCGTTGCTCCCCGGCTGTCTCGATGGAGGCCAGTTCTCCGCCATAGGTGAATGGCTGAAAGTGTTTCAGATGTTCTTCAACTCTGCTAAGGAGGATGTTAAGATACACGCCAATGTTGCTCTGGGCTTTCTTGCATATGCAGTACAATTGACGGAGAACACGACACCTGCATTTTCAAAGATACTCGTCAGGGTTCCTCACTCTCAACTTGAGAACCAGCGCGGCAAGAAACCGGAACGGGACGCAGCGACGTCTGCCTACTTTGCTTTATTATATCATGCCTTTGGACCTGCCGCGACACATAAGCAACTAGATCGATACTGGTTGGAATTTGTTGCCGATTTCTGGGGACCGCTTTTGCATCCATCGTCGACTGGTCACTCGTCCCCAAAGCACGCATTTGCTGCCTGTCGGGTCGCGTCAGCTTTGTTTAACGGCAACCGAAAGTCATGCGACCCACAGCGGACCCTAGACTTACGACCACAGGCCATGCTGCAGCTCCAAGATCTACCGACCCTAGATCCTAAATGGGTACGAAAGTCACTTCCTTCAATTCTGGAATTTGTGGAGACACTCTTGGATGCGACCCCCTGGACCGCCGACGATTGCAAAGATGAGCCAGCGAAGACAATGTGGCTCTCCCTATTGCATTCGTTGAACATTGCAAGCAGCCAAGAGGTCATGGTCTCCAATGATTCCAAAGATGCAATGGCATACATGGTCAACTTTCTCCGCCGTGTCTGGGACGGTCATGCTGCGCAGCTGGCTCTATCGCAACAAAAAGAAGACAGCTGGGCCGACAAGTACTGCTTCTTGTTGGAAATGGTCCTCGAGAAGCTCGGTGCGGTGCGGTTCTCCGACAAGTGCCTTACACGTAACGGACAAGACGACTTTGAAGCTGCTGCGACACCCTCCCAACGTTCTCGACAACATGGTCCTCGAACATCACCACTTCTCTACTTCGTCGATCTATTGATCAACCAGTCTGAGGGCAAGCTATCCGACTCTTTGAGGCTGCGAGCATTGAAGGTACTGATCAAACCATGTTTCGATGCCCAAAACACTCGCTTGAGCGGGCTGGAGTTACTTCGCGACTGCTCCACTCTTGTCGATGCATCCACACGAACCCCTCTTTCTGACAGCTTCTGGTCGGAAGCCTGTGTTTTATTGACGGCTTGCCTCGAAAAGAACTCATCGGATGTGAAGGAGCAAAGTTCTCGACAACTAGGTAAAGAGTACGATGTCGTTGTCGAAATCCTCTCCTTAGGTTTCCCGTATCTGTCGAAAGAACCTTCGGGGGAGCAGCTTCTTAGATCTTTTGCGGACACGGTCCGACGAGAAGCTGGCGACGGTGCTGTGGTCCTTGTTGTTGTCGAAAAGGTTTCCGAGAGTGTCTTGAAGCGCACTGGTGCAGAACTCCAGGACATTTGCATGCCATTTCTCAGCGTCATACTCCGCAATCTCCCCGTATCAATTGCCCGTAGGATCGTTGAACAGGGCCGCCAAAATCTTTGGCCGTCGTCTGCCACCTCGGGAAGAACCGCTGATTTCGATCCATACAATCACCTATACGATGTAATAGTGTCTGTCGGGTCTACGGCATATCAAAAAATCAACGCGAGCGATGCGCCTATGACCGGCAATTTCCTGGAAGCGTTGGCGACCTCAGTGCGACAGTGCCCACCATCCTTAATCGCAGTTTATCTGCGGAAGACTCAGGAGACCATACGTTGGTGGGTTGAAGACCCTGAGAAGAAATTACAGTTGAAAACAGCATGGAGCAAGGCTCTATATACCTCGGTAAGTAATCGCGAAACTTTAATACTACCTGTTCTGACAGTGGGCAGGTGTTGCATCTGTGGGAAGAGGTTTGTGCTGCTATGCATAAATTGCCACGAAACAACGGTCAGGTTCTCCTACACCTAGATCCCCTGATTACCAGTGGCTTCGTTAGTCGGAGGCGTGAGATAGTCGACTCATCGATCGCCGCATGGAATGCGACATTTGGAAGAGAAAAGTCACTGCGCTACCCATTGCGTCTTGAAGAAGCGTTGCGTCGACTGCGCAGTACAGTTGAACTATCTTTGCCCGGTCTTGAAATACGGGACGGCGACGACGTAAGTTTGACCAGTAAACCTTATCTATCCAGGACGCTGCTCACGTAACTAGGATATTGCACCTTCGTTCTATGATTCCGACGGCAACACCAATGCATCCGAGCCCAAGAGGCGGACACCCCGGGTAAAAGAAACTCCCTTCAAGATTGTGAAATCATCCCGGAAATCTCGATCCAAGTCTCGGTCTCCTATGGTTCCGAGCACTGCTAAGAAGGTCTCCACTGGACGCACACTCAAAGGTCGTCTTCGTCATGAAAATTCGCAAGTCCAATTCGAACCTATCGTTTCTTCTCCCTCAAATCCGTACAACCAGGAATCTCAAATCCTGACAGAGCGCCAGCGGGAAGTGTACGAACGACAGATGCGCTCCTCAAATGTATATGAGGATATGCGTTCCGTGTCACCTCCACCAGAGCAAATCGCGCTCGCGCGTTCACCACTTGAATTCCATTCCGATGCCATGAGTGCTGACGGTCTGCCGATAGAGGCATCACGGACTCCCCTAAGGAATGTACGAGCTTTGGGGGAGATGGAGGTCTTTGTGGGTTCATCGCCGACTCCACAAGCGCGTACCCGTTCTCAGGAGGTAGTGAGCGAGCGCACTAGTATGGCTACACCCATCGCTATACGCACAGTTCAGTCTGCCCATGCTATCGACGAATTAGGCTCGTCACCGCCACGGTTCGAGAAGGATAATCGACCTATTGTCCATGGATCCCAACTTCGAGATGATGTGGAGGGCTTCGGTGGCAACTTAGACGAGGACGGTCGATATGGAGCACAGTCCATGTCTTTCGACGATGGAACGACCATCGATGAGGACGCTTTCCTGACAGGGACCCCCGATGAGGATCCTGACCAGGTAGAGGAGCAGGCGACCGAGATCGACGCAACCGATATGCCTAGCTCAACCCTGGATCTGCAATTGACTGCGCAGCTGGACGCTGAGATACAAGCACAGAAGGATGCTGCTGCCATCAAAACGTCATCCCAACTACTCCCTCGAAAAGATGAAGACACCGATGTTGACCTACCAGTAACTGATAGTCTACAATCCAACACGGATACGACTAGTACTAGCCGAGTGGAAGACTCTTTCTCTAGCCTGGCAGCAGAACCCGAAAGCTCGCAAATACGGAATCTTCGCCGTTCTCAGCGCCATCCATCAGCATCGAGTCCCCAGTCAGCCAATTCGAAGAAGCGCAAATCATCTTCAGCCAGGGGTCCCGGCAGGCCTAGGAAGAATCAGACCGAAGAAACCAAAGACAACGATGTGACCACAACGCGCCAAGAAGGGATGACCTCAGGGATCAAGTCTACACCATCTGCGACGCCTGCCGGCTACACTCTCGTTGTTCCTGACACGACACGTAACCGAAGTGTCCGCCGCTCAGCTTCATTGCTCAGTCAGGTCGAAAATCAACCCGAGGACGTGGTCGTGGAGGACACCCCAGCGACCAAACGAGCACGTCGAAGCATCGACAAGGACGTGAGCGAAGCTAAGCAGAGTACACCTTCTGCTTCTCAACAGTTGAAGACGAAGCGCCTCAGTCATGTCCAAGTCACACCTCGACATTTTGATGCTCCATCTCCGGGTCGTAGCTCGTCTGCTGCGTTGGAAGACGTCGATATGCAACAACCGGCGAATGAACCGGCTCCTACTTCAGAAGCATCGCTCGAGGTGGGCGAGCAGAATGCAAACGTTACACCACAGCTAGCAAACGCAACACCTGCCGCTAGTCGAATGCGAGATAGCCAGCCAAAACTAGCGTCCAACAGCGTGGCTACACCTAGCCGTTCCTTCGCGGAGCGCGTCATTCTTACCCCGCGAAGCATTATTGACAGACTCAAAGCATTCAAGGATGCGCTATTTGGGGCGCCTCAGTTAGCGCTCAACAGACAGGAGCACCGAGAAGTCGACGATCTGATGTTCGACATCAGGATGGCCGTCCACGATGCCGGGAAACGGGGGGACGAACCAAGCCAGTAGCACATGGTGTTGTTAGATAGTATTGCCAACGTGCGGAACATGATGGGCCTTTAGGACAACGGGAGGATGCATGATACCTGTTGGAATACAGCCGGTGGAACTGGCTGGCTTTAGAGTAGATAGTGATTAGTATCACCAAGGACTTGCGCCCGCCAGAAGCAACGCAGCAGGTATATGTGCCCTTTGCTAGGCTGTTTGCGTGTCACCAGTGGTGGTGAAGTGTGGTGAGCACGCTGCAGGTGATGGATCGCGGGTGTATGTGGGCCGAGTAGTTGCAGCTCTCGATCCAATGGCAAAGCATGGGCGCGCTCAAGCGAGCTGTATATCCCTGAGGCGCTATCGTTTCAGGTGAAGCAGCACGTCGCCTTGGTGGGGCAGCTCCCAAACTACCCCTCCTTCTCTCAGACTGCGGCCACATCTCTCTCACAGCTCATTGTTGTCTATATAAATTGCGAGTGCTGGACCCTGGCATCTTTCACCTAAGAATAGCACCTTCCCTTCTTCTAGAACCCTTAATCCTTCCTCGACTCGGCGTGCAGCTCCTGCCTTCCCCAACAGTAAACCTGCCCCGCCTCCGTTCTAGCTCCCGTCCAACTCCAACCTCGATTCTTGGACTACAACAACTTCTGGCACTTCACGGTTTCCTGAATACTCCACAAGATGGTCGACCGCACCAACCGCCCCTCGGCACTCAAGGCCACCGACGCCGCAGGCCCTGAAGCTCAGGTTGATATTGTAGGCTCGGGCTCAAGCTCCAAGGTCATTGCGACGCTGCCTTCTGGCGAGAGCGTGGAGGTGCTGTTGTTTGGTGCGACGGTGACGAGCTGGAAGAGCAATGGCGGCAAGACGGAGAACCTGTGGTTGAGCGAGAAGGCAGCTTTGGATGGCAGCAAGGCAGTACGAGGAGGCGTTCCCGTAGTGTTCCCGGTAAGTGCCTGCATTCAGAGTCGTCCACGAGCTTTACTGACATTGATCAAGGTTTTCGGACCCCCTCCCAAGTCTGGCCACCCCACATCGACCTTGCCACAGCACGGCTTCGCACGAACATCGCGATGGGAGTTCCTCGGCAAGTCTTCCGCCGAAGACGCCCTCGGTTCCAACTCGGTCAAGCTCGACTTCGGTCTGTATAGATCCGGCCTCAGTGAAGACGCACGCGAGGCATGGCCGCTCGACTTCGGCCTGGTATACAGTGTGACGCTGTCAAAGGACAGCTTGCAAACAATAATCAATGTGCGCAATGAGGGCCAGCAGAGCTTCGAATTCCAGTTCCTGCTGCATACGTACTTCAAGATCCAGGTGCGTTGGCTACTCATTAGCATAAATGGGCTTCACAGTACTGATGCACTTCTCATAGGACATCTCTAAAGTCGCAGTCAACGGATTGCTTGGCGTCACATACGTTGACAAGGTGCTCAATGCTACCGAGCATAAGCAGTCCGACAACTCTATCAAGATCACAGGCGAAGTCGACCGAGTGGTAAGTCTAGTCAGTCCAAGCGATAGACAGCCAGAGGCTTACATGAGTATAGTACACCAGCATTCCCCAGGATACCACCTCCATTGTTGAAGATGGCAAACCTCGCTTCGACGTCGTGCGCGACAATCTTCAGGATACCGTTGTCTGGAATCCTTGGATTGAGAAGGCGAAGTCAATGGGCGACTTCTCACCCGATGATGACTACAAGCACATGATATGCGTCGAAGTTGGTACGGTTCAAGGCTGGCAGAAGTTGGAGAAGGGTGAGGTGTTCGAGGGTGGCCAGACGATCAAGAGCTTGCTTTGAGCGGTCGTGAAATGGGATGACAGGCGAGGAAATTAACACGGAATAGACACGAGACTGGTATGATATGGATTGGAGGAATGTGTGTGATGAACTTATGATCATAACTTGCTGGCAAATGTAGAGATCAAGACGTGATCGTCCTATTCTCAGCTATGTAAAGACTTGCCTTCGTTTCTTGTTTTAGAGACAGCAATTCGGATAAATGACATTCATAGAGGATTCTTGGCATATAAGACACCAAGAATCCGCACACAATTGCAGTTTGACTTGAGCACGCTCCTTCAACTGTTGCAGTACATGGTTAGCTGACTAATAGCCCGTCAGCCTCACACAGATCCCGCCCCCACAACTAGCTTGAAAGTCATCTGGACTTTTCTGCACCACGATCACATCTCCAAAGATGCCCGCTAGAACTAACGCCTGTGCGATATGCCGCAAAAAGCGCATAAAATGCGACGCCACACTTCCGCATTGTCTCATGTGCATCAAGTTCGGCCGCAACTGCCCCGGACCTAGCAATGGGCCTATTATTGTGGATATGACCAATTCGACCATCACCGGACAGAAGAAGAAAAAGAAGGCGGAAAAAGATATCTTACAAGTCACATGGGAAGCGCTTCCGGAAGAGGTGGTCTCGACAATCTCAACTATGACGATTCAAATGTCCCAACGACATGCGCTGAACGAGAGCTTTTACGGAAACTTCCTGATTTATTTCACCACTACCGGCGAGGCAGGCGATATAAAGAATCGCCAGACGTGGTTACACCGTCTTCCGGATTTCGCGGCTGACGGGAGCAACTGCGCGCTTGAACTCGCAGTACGGGCTACAGCCTCGGCTTTCTCCTTCGCAAAGACGAGACATCCGCCGCTGATGCAGGATGCGCTCAAGCTCTATGGGCGATCATTAAATCAGCATTTCCACATCTTGAGGACGAAGAAGAAAGTTACCATGCATACGGTTTCCACGTCCGTGCTGCTAAGCATATTCGAGGCGATGAATGCCACCACCGCGAGCGCGTACCGGCAGCATATCAGCGGTGCTGCAGAGCTGGTCAAACTGGCCGGTCCGGAAGAGTGCTGGATGGGTGTGCTATGCCAGTTGTTCTTCCATATCAGGATACAAATGGCGTTTGTGTACCTCACTACTCGCCAGGAAGACAAGAACAGCATCTGCGCAGAGGAGGTCCTACGCGAGACTCTGATTTACGACAGATTGCCAGTGTTTCAGAGACTGATTAATCACATCGTGAGGCTGACAGCGCTGTATTTGCAGCTAGAGGATACTGAAGACGGACGGATGCCATATGTTATGGATTTGGAAGAGTATATGAGGATCAAAGGCGACGTCGACGCCCTTTGGCTCGAATACGAACTCTCAGCCGAAGAGCAAGGCCAGTCTCTCTTCTGGACCACTCCGTCAGGCGCCACCGAGTACCGCGACGCGTACACAGCGCTCTGCGTCGCGTATTTCGCGTCTACACGTGCGCTGTTCTCTATCCTAGCTCCACGTCTTGTGGCGAGTTATCTGGATTTCACGGATCACTATCAACAGATGTTGGACATAGCGGAGTATTTGGGTGGGTTCAAGATTGGGTGCGCGTTTATGAGAATGGCGACGCCATTGTATCTTGTGGCGATGCATGCGAAAAGAAAAGAGCAAAGGGCTCTAGCGATAGGGATCTTCGAGGAATGGAGGGTGATAGGATTGGGAGGTATTAGTGCATTGGCTTTGGAAAGTATATATCGGAGACAGGGGTTGGGGAAGGGGGTGATGGCGATTTCGTTGCGGTAATGGTTAGGTTTGCATCGACTGAGTAGAGCTTCCAAGTATCGTGTTGCACGAAATGATGTTTGTGTTGCCCAGGTGGTATGGTCAAAGCGTGACAAGTCGATCGTGGACGCTGTAAGGAATCTGTACGAGGAGCTCGTTTTTTATGAGGAATAGCCGAACAAGCCCCGACTTGACACTGCGACACCACAACCACAATACCTAATATTAATACTTTTTATTAGCAGGAGCTAATAGAGGAGCGCCAGCTCTATCGCCTCCCCTAATTAAAAAGATTTATTATTTGTTGTGGAGGGTGGTTGTTGTAGTGTCCCAGAGCGAAATTTCTGGAGCTAGTCCTCATAAAAAACGAGCTCCTCGTAGCACGGTTGTCTGCGTAACAGCCGTGGACCTTTGTGAAAGGAGAACCCCGTGAATGGTCCCGGATTCATGTGACAAGCTTGATGTAACGGGAACGATTGGTACGTACTATCAATAACAAAATATCGCATTTGGCGCACTGGCGTTCTTCGCGATTTTCTGGAAGGCATCCCCCTGCTCTGACGTCGGACATTCGCTCCGCAACTCCCCACCACGACAAATCACCATAACAAACATCAGGCCATGCGCATCATTGCCTTGGATGAGGTCAGCGCAAAGTATCCTCGCTGGCAGCACTGCCCTTGCGTGAGATTGACAGCTTTGCCCGACAGCTGATCGCAATACTCAAACGCCCCGCGTCCCCGCACAGCTGTCGCCATTATCATGGATGACCGCGAACACCACATGCAGCGCCAGATGTCGCTGGTACCGTATGTGCCAGCCGAATCGCGGGAGATTGTTCTGTGAGTGCCTACCCTCCGCGCCCCGCTGACAGCTTCGTGGATTATGCGCTCATTATCGTCACAGACGCCATGGCTCCGCTGTTGTGGTATACGACCAGCTCTCCCGGCAGCTCTCCCTCCGTGACGCCTCGCACGCCGCCGATATGGACAACTCCTCATGCCCTTACTGTCACCGTCCATATCGCGAAGACCTTCAGACCGATAGCGACGACAGCGACGAGCACGAACATGGGCAATACCAAGATGCGCAGGCCGGCTTCGTCAACCCTGGGTACTTCCAGATGCTGCGTCGCAGCCAACCCAGCTCCGCAGAGGTCTCGCGGCCGTCCTCGCCGCATAAACAGCTAGCACCAGCGCCTATCAGAGGTGTCGGCGGCGAACTACATGCGCCCGCGGGCGCGGAATTTGTGGGTAGCACACCATCACCGCAGAGACAACACACAATTTCGAAGCACGCGTTCAGCCCGAACTACTTCAAAACCTTCTTTGTGGAAGAGCGCGAATTAGGAAGAGGCGGAAAGGGCGTGGTCTTGCTGGTGCGCCACGTCTTGGATCAAGTCGACCTTGGTGTATTCGCATGTAAGCGGGTGCCAGTAGGCGATGACCACGAATGGCTAGAAAAGGTCTTGATCGAGGTGCAGCTTTTGCAAAATCTCTCGCATCAGAACCTAGTTTCTTATCGGCACGTTTGGCTTGAGGACTACAAGATCAACACGTTTGGACCAAGCGTCCCTTGCGCGTTCATACTGCAGCAGTACTGTAACGGAGGTGATCTGCAGAGTTACGTTCTATGTGGGATGAACAAGACGATGAGTACCGAACAGCTCAAAGAACGGCTGAGAAGGCGGTCAAAAGGACAGATGGAGGATCCGCAGAACCTGAACGGGCCGCGGAGAATGCATTTCGAGGAGATCATTTCGTTCTTCAAAGACATCACGTCTGGGCTAAACCACCTACATGCGAATGGATATATACATCGTGACCTCAAGCCAAGCAACTGCTTGCTGCACAACACTGGGCGAAAAATTCGCGTCTTGGTCAGCGATTTCGGAGAAGTACAGGCAGCAAATGTTACAAGGAAGAGTACTGGTGCTACAGGAACGATATCGTATTGTGCGCCTGAAGTGCTACGGCACGTGTTGCCAAACGGACCGCTGGGCAACTTTACCACCAAATCGGACATTTTCTCACTGGGTATGATCGTCTATTTTATGTGCTTCGCGCGGCTACCATACCAAGAGGCGGACGGTATCGACGAGGATAACGAGGACTTGGATAAGCTCCGAGCCGAGATTTCCGAATGGGTCGGTTTCGACGATGAACGCAGGGTACGTAGCGACCTACCCGAGAAGCTATATCGTTCCCTCAAACACCTGCTCGCATTGAGTCCGGATGAGCGACCCACAACAGAGGAAATTCTACGAGCTTTAAAGACACCCTCCCTTCTCGACGAGTTCAGCGGCTTCGCTGGCCCTTCCAGCTTAGATGACGTGGGAAGTAGAATATCGCGAGCAGACACACCAACGCCGGCTCCTTCACCCCCTCATCGGAAACGAAGCTCAGTGAATTATCCTCGTACTGGCCGCTCGAAGTTGAACCTCAATGCCACTGTTGCAGGTCACACTTCGCCCAGTCCACCACCCTCGAAACTTGACAAAGAGCGGGCCACTACACCTCCCGATTCAGCGGGTTCTGTCATCTTGCGCCCGCGCAAAGTCGACCTTCCGCCACCATCATCCTCTCACCGCAGCCCTTCCCCGGAGATGTCGCCGCGCCTCATGCTCCCACCCCCACCACCTCCACGCACCCTTACTCACCTCTTCACACTTCTTCATAATCCAACTTTTGTCAGTGTTGCTAAGATATCCCTATTCGTTGCAAAAGCGTTTTCGTTGTTCAGCCCTTGCCAGCCTTTTGCAGCGGATCCGTGGGCCGCGTATCCATTGCTTTGCTTTGCTTCGCTGGATTTCTTGTTCTTGGGCTTTGGGTTTAGGTTTAGGGAAGGTATAGGGGATGGGGGTTTGGTGGGGTCATTAGTACTGTTTGGGCTGCATGCGGCGGTTGTGGGAATGCTGATGAAGTGGGATAGGCTATGTCTGAGGAGAGTTGCTTGGGAGGGTATGTGAGACTCTTGGATGAGAGGGGAAACCTTATCCGTGAGGGGCGTTTATGATAGATGAGGGATGAAACGTCTGATATCTGATCAATGAGATACTGCGTTGTATTATCAACATGATGATAGTGACCGAGTGTACCAATGTCGTCCGCTTTCGAGTATGTGCCTTTTTGATGGCTTGTAATCACGCCATAACATGGCACGTTCCCAAGCTGATCGCTTCAGGCGGGAGCCATCCTAATTGAGGGATGACTTCCACGTTCCAAGAGGATATCAGTCCCGATTTGTGTGTTCATATCGTGGTCTCGGAAGCACGAGCGTGGTTATTTTTAACGCTACATTTCAATACATCTATATCCAACAATGCGAAAGTCGGTACTATACATTCCGCAAATTCTTCTCTGTCAAATTATCTGTTGGCATCGATCGCGTCTCACTGGTACTGGTGCTCGTTGATCTGAAAGAGACGTGGATAACTATGGGAAGGCGGGAGAGCGAAGGCAGACACATAGTTAGTCTGGATTCCGAACGCTGGCTTGCATGGCGCCTGGGTGGAATAACATGAGGACGTTGACATACCTAGGTATTGCTCAATCAGGGAAGTCAAGTCTGTGCAGTCGATATATTCCAAATTTTGGCCTACAGCCAGTCAACTCTTCCATGTTGATGCCTCTCTCAGCTTTATCGTTATCTCAATAAAGTTGACTGCACTGTGGAATTACGTTTACAGAAGAAGGTGAGGTGGGGATGCATAGATGCTGCACGTGAGAGCGCTCCATTTGGGCGTAGTGTCGGCACTTTGGCGTGTTTACTTCCGATGTTGTCATCCTCGTCAACACGTCCCCAGCCGTTTTAATTCCCACATCGCACTTTCCATAGAGCGCGCCAGGTCGCTCTTCTTGTCCTTGCTTACAACTGCTGCTTGGACAACATTTCTGCCTCATTATCACAAGAAGCATCTCTTTCCCATATCTTAGATACTCCATCTACTACGCGACGCGCCCGAATCTGGCTGCCCGCAGCCGCACAATGCAGTCCTCTCCACCCTATAGTGAGGGTAAAGCAAGAGCGATACGGGAGCTCTCTCAGAGCCTGAACCACAGCCAGCGATCGATCTCGTCTGCCCATACAGCACCAAGCGACTCGAACCCGACTAAGCGCTCTGGTTTTGGCGACACAACAGACGACTTCTTCAATAACCCCGATGTACTGATGTCAACACAACACAACATTGACGACGAAACGAACACACTCCCAAAGTACCCGCGCATACGCTCTACAGCAAAAAAGGCCACCGCTTGGCGCATGCCTCAATCCGAGGCTAACCCTGATACCTCGATGGTAAACAAGCAATTTGGCGACTTCGACCACAGTGTCTCCGACGACGAAGTTGAATCCATAGAACAGGCGCGGGGTGATCACCGCAGCAACCGCGGCACACCAGCTAAAATGAGCTCACGCGGGTTCGACAGCCTTTACGACATTACACCTCCCACTAATCGGTCACGCAAATCATACGCAGCTGAAACCGGTAGCCTTCGCCGCGACGCCCAACTTCGACGAGCCTCGCGCAACGACATGGACAACGGTGCATCCCCGCGTCCCGGCAGTACGCGCAACTCGCCTGCGCTTTCGTCCAAACATGATCGCAAGCGGGCGTCTCTTGCTCAGCTTCACGCCAAGTTGTCTGAGGATGAGTCTTCATTCATGCAGGAGCGCCCGCCCACCGCTACATTCCAGCACAGCACAAGCACGCGATGGGGCAACCCACGAAGCCGGCAGAGCTCACTCCAGAATGACGGTAACGTGGACGCGTCACAACACCTTAGTGCAACACCACGATCACGGCCGGCTACAGCACAGAACCCTACCGCACAATCCTTCATTCTTCCTGATCTTCCTAACCTCACCGAGCTGGTCTCCGGCGTGTTCGAGGACGGTACACCGGTATTCTCCAAAAATGCGCCGATGCGGTCACGATTTGCGGCGCCCGGGAAAGGCGGCAATGGTGGTCGACAGCCCTCCCATATCCCGGTGGATAGCGTGCCGATTCCGAAGGACGAGAAGGCTATATTTGCGGCTCTCCAGCTTTTGCAAGACAAGGTCGCGCAAATGGAACACGAGCGCGCCGAACAAGAGAAGAAAATTGAGGAACAGGATTTGGAGATCATCGAGCTGAAGGCTTCGGCACAAGCCCAAGCTCAATACAGGCGAAGCGACAGCGCATTGGGTTCCACAGATGGAGAAGGTTCTGGCAAGGCCTCTTGGAAGGTCGAAAAGACGCGTATGTACAATCATTCTCTATTGACACGTTCAAGCTAACCATTATTCTATAGGGCTCGATGCTACAGTACAGACTCTGCGTACGAAGCTAGATCGTACAGAACGCAAAATTGCCGTCGTGGAGATCGAGAAGAAACGCCTCAGCGCAGAACGAGATAATATGGCGAGCCAACTGGGCGTGGCATTCCAGACCTGCGAAGAATTGAAGGCCGACAAGCAGGCTTTGAATGCCGAGAACGATGCTCTCCGCGAGCAAACCGACATGCTTAGAGCTGAAATCGAGCATCTTCGAGACGAGCTGGAGCACGAACAAGCCCAATATCGCGAAGAAACCGTCAATCTCCGACGTCAATTGGAGCAGACTGAAGATCAGACACAGCGCCAAAACATTACTCTCCAAGCTGAGTTGCGCACCGCTCGTGCACAGCAGGATGAGCAGACACAGCAGCTGGCAAGAAAAGAAGCCGAGCTTCGCAAGGCTCGTCAAGAACAAGCCGAGTACGCCAGGCTCCAGGCTGATCACGAAACTCTGAGGGCACAGCTGGCTAGCTTGAAAGCGAAGCGGGAGGCTGATCTACTTCGCTGGTCGGAACACGAATCTTCGTTGAAAAAGAAAGTAGAGAGAAGGGACGAGACGATTCGTCATTTTCAAGACAATACGCAGGAACAGACAAACGAGGTGATGCGGCTGGAGAATCAGCGACTCCGCGAGGAGCTTGCTCAAGAGGCTGCGCAACACGAAGAAGACAACCAACGTTGGGCTGAGAAAGAGCAGGATCTTAAGCGCAAGATCTCTAAGCGTACATCGACGGCTCGACAAACCCTAGATATGACCCGCGAGATACTGTCGCTGCGTCAGGCAAACGGCCAGCCCACGAACCAATGTCGAACCGCTACAGCCGACCAGGAAAACATCTTCGATGAGCCCATCCAGCGGAAGCCTAGTCATCGTCGCGAGGAAAACACCCACTCTCGAATCAGGAACCGTGTCCAAGAAGAATCACGCGCTAGCCGAGCAAACGCTTCATTTCAGTCCGGCCAGATCGAAGAGAGCCCACGCAAGTCGTATGTCAAGATCAGCAAGTCTTCGCAAGGCACGTCCTTCCCAACTGAGACTGTTCGCAGCGTCTCCGCTCCCTTAACCCAGCATAAGAAGTTTGTGCAAGAGATCGACAGTGATGCAGACTCTACGACTGACATTTCCCTTGCACCACGTGTAACTCTCCACCAGAAGCGGAGTGAATCTTCAGCACGGCGGCCTTCAAGTACCGTTCAAGCGCCTCCTGATCTGGAATATACCGAGTTGAGCTTCATTTCCGCTGCGGCCGTCGCGGAGTTGCGCCGCCAGCTTGAAGAAGAGCAAGCCGCAATGCGTGGTAGACCATCATCAGTTCCCTTAGTCAATCGCGAAGATACGATTCGCTCTCAGAAGACCAATCGTGATGAGACTATCCGCTCTGAGAGGATGGCTCGTGAGGATACAGGGCGCTCTGTCGTCTCCGAGAGGAGTGCTCGCCAGCCTTCTCTTCCTCGTAAGTCCTCGATGAAGGATGTCACAAGGACCAATATCACCCAGTTCGAAGAGGACGTGACCGGCAATGTGTCTAACATTGACAATGCCAATGGCGAGACAACTCAGACTCAACAATCCGCGATCGATGCCTCTATGCTCAGCAACACAAGCCGCCGTCGCCGCAGCGCTCCTACGGAAATGACTTCCGCCTTCATCATACCCGACCTTACGCTTGGTATCCGTAAGCAAGCAGCGACCAAGATTGATATCACGCAGAAGCTCAACATGAAGCACCACGACAATGAGAACTGCACCGTTTGCCGCCGCGATGAGGCAAATGCAACCTCACACAGCGAATCTCTCCGCGTCCCGAAGCTCATCCCCGTCTCCTCGCGCATGCCTGACGATGCAGACGCTACCATGCGCCCCGCCCGCTCACCGACGGAAGCCCTCGCCCTCGTCGTCAAGGAACTCCGCGATGAGCGCATCCACCTACACGCCGAGCTCGCCGTTGCCCGGGCTATGCTCGAATCGCATGACCCGAGCCTTGGCCGCAAGAAGCGCGCAGCGCTGGAGAATGAAATAGTGGAGTTGCTCGCTCGCATTAAGGTCAAGGATGATCAGATCTACAACCTCTACGACGTTCTGGAGGGCCAGCAAGATGGTGATATCACTGAGCAGTTTGTTGAGGGCGTGACGGAAGAAATTAGGGCGCAGGACGAGGAGATTGAGAAAGAGGTTGAGAACAGGAAGAAGGAGAAGAAGGTCACCATTCAGAGCTTTCATGAGGACGAGGAGAGCGTGAGGGATGAGGACGAAGAAGAGCTGCCGTGGGAAGGGTTCGAGAGTACAGGAGAGCTTACGGGTCGGGTTGGTATTTACTAGACGGTCAATCGTCTAGGAAGCTGGAAATTTGCGTTCGTGTCGAGGGTTTGCATTGAGCGTTCAACGTTGGGGAGTAATGGCTTTGGACGGCGTTTTTGGTTTCAAGGATAAGGTATGGCGTTTTCCTTCAAAGGCGGGCATTGTTACGGTGCATTAGGTATGGGGAGGTTCTGTCCTCAGATTTCCTCGTTTCAATTCTTTTCTTTACGTCCTCTCTCATCTGGTGACGCTTGTTCTGGGAAAGACGGTTGACTCTGTTGGACGAAGTTTCTTGTATCTAGTCCGCTATCTTCTACTTAGCGGCATCCTGTGGCTCTGGACCGCGCGCTTTGACTCGCCCTTGCAGGTTTGAGTTGGCGCGCAGGAAGGAGTGATGGTCTGAAGTCGCTGAGTGGAGAAGATAGAAAAAAGAAGAATGGCTTATGCGGACTTCACCTGATCTCTTTCCAACTTACAGTGCCTTGTGAAGAATCTTACTGTCTTGTGTTCGCCCATGATGAGCAATGCAGTACCTACACCCTCCATCTAGGTACATATTTGATGATCTGGCTTGCACGTTCGACCCTGTATAGGTTCGCTCATAGTTGCCTTCAATACTTAACATGGAGGTAGATCATGCTCGTTCAGAACTGCGGAAGCTGTTATTCAAGCAGCGGAACGATTTATGCATACATAACGACTAACCGCACTGCGGGAATCTCAGATGCCGATTTGGTCAGATCTTCCACCAAACAGGTAACAAAGGCAGTGCGATCGCACAGCACAAAGGGATGCGTGATACGGCTGGAAGAACTGCATAAGGGGATTCGGCTCGTCGAGGCTTCTGGTAGTGTACAATTGGTCCCTTCGGAGAAAACCATCTTCTTGAGAAAAGCTTTCTAGAAAGGCGCCGACAGTGGGGTGGGTGATTGGTTTCGAATCACTAGGCACTGATGATGGACATGTAGCATTTCAACGTGAGCAACTTTGAACAACCGCAAGGCTGAAGACTCCACAAAGTGTAGGTCTTTTGCGTTTCATACCACATTCGTAGACTGATATTAGGTGTCATAAAAACGGTATGGTGAGGAGAGATAGTTGGGTGATTTTCAGTGATAGATTCACACGAGTATCGATATGAAAGATAAGCTTGACAATGAATATCATCCAGGTGTTATATACCCAGGAACTCAGCATCAAATCGGTCATCTACTGCCACAAGATCTTTCAACGGAAGGTCAAGGTACCCTGCCTGAGCTTACCTTCTTCTACGAGAGACAAAGCAGGTTGTTTCAAAAGACAAAGAGGCCACGGAGCGGGAAACATAAGACATCACCTAATTAATCGTCTCCAGGGAAACACGTCCATTAAGACACTTGCACATATCCCCACTCCAGGCCACCCACTATCTTGATGTTTCCTTTCCAAAAACATTAGCAAAGCCACACAGACCCTCTCCCCACAAAGAACTAGCCGCCGCACCACCAACCAGGCGTGCGGTTCCTGCAGGATACCTGACAGTGGGGCAGAGGAAGAGTCTGCCTCAAAGCTGAGGTCAAGCGTATAATCCTTCCGGTTTGTGGTCACGCGAACAACACGGCTGGTTGTGAGTGGATCACTTCAATGCTTCTTGCTGAGTGCAAGCTACTAAAGGTAATCAACTCAGGCTATGAGGTTATGACTGAGTCGTGGTGTGTGAGAGTCCGGATTATGTGAGGATCACTCGCGTGATAGAGAGACAACAAAAGCCTCAGGCATCTCACGAGGCGCCTCTCGCGGCAAGCCTTGGGCGCTAAGAGCGTGAATGCGGGTTGAGTGGTTTTAGAATGGAAGCGAGTCGTGTTTCTCGGACGTAGTGGTGATAAAGTTTGTGGGATTGCTTGGTGTGGTGGGTCTGGAAAAAGTAAGATCCTACCATGTCGTGATATCTACTTTTCCCGCATGTAAGCACCAATTGCGCACGGATATCGGCCGAGAGACACAAACAGATTGTGTCGTGTGACAAGATGCTTCACTGCCGATGCCAATGGTGATAGTATGCAGTCATCAGCTATTATCGATACGAAGGGATGCCTGATGATCCCCCACACTGGAAGTGGTCCACTGAAAGTGAGACAGTAATTTCGAGGCTCCGAGTGCTCGACTTACTCGGACGTGCCGTCAATACATCCTGCAGGTGAGGCTGTGATAGTAAGTTTAAATCTGCCAGAATCGTAAGAGGCTGTGGACGGAGGCTCCGCTCTCAATGTCTCACGCTCATCTCCTTGGTCCATAAAAATCATTCGCTTATCCTAATACGGACTCTTTGGGGCCGCAAAGGGACGACTCAGGCTCTTCAAGGCAATGCAGTAATACATGACGGCAGGTGTGTTCAGTCAGATGCTTAAAAGAACGTTCGCAGCAGAGAAAGACGTTGGTGAGCATGCTCGTGATTGGCTGTAGCGTTGAAATCTAGCCTGTTCAGGCGTAGCGTTCAGGCGTAGCTTGTGCATGAAGTCCGTCTTATGAAGTTGTGCCTCTTCAAACGACATACAACAAGCGGTGAGAAATCTGCAAGACAGAAAGTTTCGTACATGGACGCCTCTTTGTAGAGATCCACTGCCCCGTAATGTTGGTCAAGCTATGCCACACTGGCTCTTGTGTGACCGTTTTGAAGCCTAAACATCGTGAAGCACGGCGCCCTAGTATGCGGCCTTCGCAATCTCCGATGCTCCCAAAGAAAGCGAAGAGCGACCGGAGGCCATCGAAAATCGTCGGAGTGAATACATCATAGCGACTTCGGAGACGTGGGTTCGTGTTGCAGCTGACCGAAAGGCATTCGGAGCGCACGAGTTCCTAGATTGTGATGCTGCACGCTGTTCGGACTGGGCGCTCGTACTGCATACGGATCCTCGAGGGACCAAGGCGATCCGACATGATGGGTCAAACGGTTTCGCTAAGGGTCCCAGGGGAATCCAAAGGATGCGTGGCGTATTTTTTGCGGAAGTAGAGCAGCTTTCCGTAGCGGACTACTCCAAGCACCGCACGTGATGCAACACAGCCCACTAATTCACATCCACCATTATTATTGAGCGAATTTTGGATGATTTTCAATGCCGGCGTTGGTTATCGTGTCTCCTGCAGCCTATGATCTCAACGGAGACCCCGGTCAAAGAGCGTGATTGGCGCCTCGCGGCTGTGAAGGTATCCGAGATAATGTTGGAAGACACGAATGCCGCTAGGAGTTCGAACATCGCTTGAACCATATGACGAATGCAGTTCGGTACTCAGTGCTAAACATGATTCTGTTTACTCAGCTTCGACCACATCTTGAACAGCAATTGGAGTAGGATATCTTCTCCACAATGCTTTGTACACTAGTAGTGAATAAATTCGCCTACGGCCTAAGGACAGTGCGTAGTGCGTCGGAGGATTGACTCAAGGGTCCCGAAGCGAAGTCCTTCCCAATCCGGCACTTGTTGTAGATATCGGAAATTTCGTTTTTGAAGAGTTTCAGAACGTTTTCTCCGTGATGAGAGGTAGACAGAATGGGTATATGGCTCGAGCGGTGGAGATGGAGGACGGCTGACGAAGCAATCTGCGCAGTAGGGCTTCCGTAAACACTGAGTCAGTCTGAATGAGATGCCTTCGTGTTGTCTTATTAGGCACCAGATACTAATTGTAGCCCCGTACGAGCCAACGTCATGATTCAAGGGCAATACTTGGACGACTAGCGTTGGGTGAGGATGAGGGCGCGGGGGCCGATGCTGCGTTCTGTGGTTGGCACACGATGTTTTGTGAAACGTCGAGGGCGATGGCTTATGCCATTTACGGCAGGCACACAACCATGCTCTAGAACAGGCTGGTAGACAGTAATAGAACTGAAGACCATGTTTGACTTGCATTGTGGACAATCTTACACGCCCAAAATGGCCTCTCCAGAGACAAATTTGGAGAGTAACACCAGCGCTTGATGGGCGGCTGCAGCTAAATTAGGATAGCGCAAGCCGTGCGTGCCGCATGGGAACGAGGGCACGGAGCCGCATCGAGCGCTTCGCTTGAGGGTCCTTTTTGACAGCGCGCATAATATTCGTAGCACGGAGATGAAGATCCGAGCGCTGACGGGCGCTTGTGACCTTTGTAACCCCACGATTGCCGTGCCGCCATGATGGACGCCGCACGAGCGCGTCCATGGTCGAGCAGATGGGGCAAGGCTGCCGAGGCGCCCGTTGGCAGCTGTTGCTCTCTGACAATGCGGCCTTCGTTGTGACTGTTGGGTGTCTTGGATGCCATGGCTTCTAGAAGGTGGCCTGGAGGCAACGCCGTCGATTGGTGCTGTCTGGAGAGGCAGTGTATGCCAGCGCTTGATGAAGAGAAGCAGAAACTAGCAGGGCCCGGACCGTGGTGGGAGGGTCATGGAGCATGAAGACCGGATGCTGCTAGAGCGCTAGGCATGCGGTTTGCCATGTGGTGCTGCTATGCTACTGCAGTCTGGCAGCTGAGATGGCGCAACCTGGTGGTGTGGATAGCCCTCGACCCACACAAGGGGGTCAGATGGCATCTGTCAAGACGCGTCGAAACGAGGTTTCGCCGTTGCGCCAATGAAGAGGTTTGTCATGGGTCGATCGGCCGGCTCGTCATCAGATGGTGGCTCTGCTGCGCCGCATAACAGCCGCAGCCACAACCGCTGGGGCGTTGCCAGCCTCTGGATTGCAGGTCAGCTATGCCGTGTCGCACACACGCGTCCGCGATGGCGAGCAGAGATGCGTCCTTCCCTATCCGGGCGACGACAGTCCGATGGTTCCTCGGCAGCTGGACGCTAGGAGGCTGGGGTTGAATGGCAAATTTGCGGTTAGGGAGGCCCTTTGAGCATTGGGCCACACCGTCGTCACCGTGAGCTGGCGAAGTCCGGCATGAGGTATACTGTGTACGTGCCTGGGGTCCGGTGGCAGGAGATGCCTGTGGACAATATAGGGCAGCGTGCTGGCTGCATCGTGGTCGACTGTCATCCATCCAACTACTGGGTCCAGAGGCAGAACGTCTCCACGCATACCACACTCACCGCCTCACACCGACTATCATCGTGACCAAGTCCAGACCACCAGACGGCATCGACCACCCACCGCTCCCGCTGGTTATCAGTAGCACTGCTGCACGCCCGCTGCCGGACGCAGACTGCCCTCGTCCACCCACCTCGCCCTCGACACTGCTCGCCTGCAGTGAGCGGCGTCTTCCCAAACAATTCACTGCTGGCTTTGAAACGCAGACGGCCCCGGACGCGCAAGATTGGCTGACAGGCGCCGTTTCTGAAATAGCGTACAGGCCTGGTAAACAACTGGCCGCGAGCGAATCGTCTTGGGTCCATCTTGAAACACGCCTCTTCTGTCGAGCCTGCAACGCACCTCTCACCTCGCATACAGGCCAGTTAACCGCCTGGCCCGAGTGTTTGCTGGCGCGCACCAGCCGAAACACGCTCGGCACCGCCCATCCATTGGCCGGCGCCTGCAGCTCCACCGCGCTCTCTACCCGCACCAGCATTCCTCCCAGCAGCACGCTCAAAGCAGCATCGCGCTGCCTGCCGCTCAAGGGGCGCGAATAAGTATCACGTCTCGCCGCGAGAGTCTTTCGGTCAGTGCAGTTCGCTTCTCAGCTCATCCCTCCTCCCTTCCCTTCTGTGCTCGGCAGGCTCGACCCGGTCGCTGGCCAATCACGACCATCCCTCCCTTCCTACCCTTTCCACCCTTCCCTTTGGCAGCGCCATCACCACACGACTCCTTGCAGTCCGCCCACTCGTTCTTCCATTCTTCTTCTTCTGCCTACCGTTGCGCCTTCCGCCGGCCGGAACTGGATCTCTTAATCATTCTGCCTTCCTGCTTTTCCACGTCGTCGTCGTATACACGCTCGCCAGCCACCGTACAGCCCTGGGCTTAGCTTACACAGCTCAAACAGACAGCCGACACCGGTCCTCAGCCTATCTCCGCCTTGCACGGCTCACTCGATTGGGAAGGCTGTATACCTAGCTTCACCCAATTGCTATTCGACTTCACTCCAAGGTCGGCCATTGTTTAAGAGAGCCAGCTTCTCACCTTCCACATCATCACCACATCGCCACCATGCCTTACTCACCAAACCTCGCTGCCGAGAACAAGGCCGCACTGGACCACTTCATCCAGCTGCCTGTTTCTCCAGACATGATCTCCTACCTCGCTTCAAAGGCCGCACAAGTCATCCGTTGCGAACCATCACATCTCAACAAGAACCTGCCACCAACACCACCAGCATCGCCACCCCAGCATGCCGCCAACCCCTACGGCGAACCTGCCCTGCCATCTCTCGAAGAGTTCATCACGTCTCTCGTCGAGAGGTCACATGTCCAGGTCCCCACCCTCATGTCTTCACTCATCTACCTTAGCCGGCTCAAGTCTCGCCTCCCTCCCGTTGCCAAGGGCATGAGGTGTACTGTTCACCGGATCTTTTTGGCCGCCCTCATTCTCGCGGCCAAGAACCTCAACGACTCGTCTCCCAAGAACAAGCACTGGGCCAGGTACAGCGCTGTTCGCGGCTACGAGAACTTTGGCTTCTCCATCACCGAAGTCAACCTGATGGAGAAGCAGCTCCTCTTCCTTCTGGACTGGGACCTTCGCATCAACCCCGATGACCTCTACTACCACCTCGAGCCGTTCCTGGCCCCCATCCGCATCTGGCAGGCACGCCAGGCCGAGAAGGCCAGGGCTGCAGAGCGCGAGAAGGAGCTCGCTCGCCAGCAGTACACCTTCACTCCGGAGCACCAACGGTCTCGTTCAGACTTTTCCACACACAGCGCTTCCAGCTACTCTTCATACACTCACCTTCCCGCATATTCTACTCCATCATCTAGGGGTGCGTCGAGGATGCCTTCGCTGTCGCCCCCAACCCGCAGTTCATCAGTTTCCACTTCATCGGATTCTCCCGTGAGCTTCACAGAAGAGCATGCCGAAGCGGGCATTGTTCAGCGCTACGATGCCGACAGCGGCGCCACAATTGTACATATCAACGCGCCCGTCGCGCACTCGAAGCTCCAACATTCCCTTCCATTATACGACGACAAGGCCACCAAGAAGACAAAGACGTCGGGTGGTTTCTTCAATAGGATGTTTGCTGGCGCCTACACTGGCCGCCAAGCAGCATATTAGTAGAATCGCATTTTCTTTTGTCATATTACGAAAAGCTAGCGGGGACATTGTTGATGTGGTGCCTACTGGATGGGAACCCCCTTGAGTATATCTTGGAATATGATTGACACCATCACTGGCATTTGCATAGCATTGCGACGGCGTAGGGATTTAATTTTAGCATTTTTACGGGTGCACAATGGCCGGCGCGCCATGGAGATATCCATAGCACAGATAGCATACGTCTCGCATCATGCGCTGACGATAATGAAAGATGACTCTGAACTATCGATACCACCGGCTCTTTGATGTCCCTTGCTTGATGCCCTTGCAATCTCCGTCCTCGCATGGTAAGCGTCGTTCCTTCCAGCCGCCACTTTATTTGATCCGTGTGAAGTGCATGCTAGTCCGTGAAGCGCTGCTAAGCAGATGCGGCGTTCTTGCGCTGGTGTGCTACGTCCCTTGCGCACATCAGTGGCACCAAAATTGCCAAGGGTGCCTCTGACCCTCATTGCGGCCCTGAGTACGATTACACCGGTCGTCAGCCGACTGAGCATCTTTTGCCGGACCCACATGATGGTTTTGCCTGCACACCACTTCGGCACCCACCAATAAGCACCTCGGCACCTTTTGCGATGGCGATGCTCGTTCTGCCTCGTAGCAAGCTTGGCACCACTTTCGCAGCCACACTTTGTGGCGGTGGTTGGGGGCTGAGCCCTGCGCGGCTGCATACGACGACCTCAACAGCACAGACCGGTGAGTGGCGTCCCAGCAGTGCTGCGCAACTCTGGTGCCGTGCATCGCCGTATGCCAAGTGTTGCCCTACGTGTCGTTCCGCGGCAGACACCCTCCTCCATATCCTGCATTGCATCAACTCGAAGATCAAACGTGGGCGATGGAATACCGTTTCACATTGAGCCTGCCAAGACTTGGGTGACGTTTGGATAAGCGCCTGTCTCATTCGCGGATATTTACACGCCTGTGGGTACTCGCCCCACCATTCTTCCAGAGACGTCGTGAGTAAGGCGGCATGCCTTCGTTTATGGGATCTACGATTAGTTTATATTGGAGAGCCTCCTCGAATTTCGGGTCAAGGCCTGCTATCAGTGCGACTTATCGGTGCGAACTGGTGGGCTTGCACTAGCTACTCAGTCGCCGCTCTTGCCGCGTGGTAATTGCTTTCGAGAACGAACGATGGAAGACACCATGGGATCTTAGAACCCCCTGGCCGAGATTTTGACATCTCGGTTCGAGCCGGGTGCGATGCTAGAGTCAGTGAGATCGGATCCGTGACCTTGCGTTATCGAATCTGAGTGCATGGGACATTGGTTTGATCCAAGAGCATCGTTCCATTTCGCCTTGCAGATGCGCCGAGTCAAAGGTTCACGAAGGATCAACGGCAGTTGACAATTTCTTCGTTGACTCGGGTTCCTGACTCTTGCGAGGTATGACGCCAGGCTGTTTACCATGACCAGGCAAATGTCTTTGTTTCGAGCCTGCTTGGCATTTGCGAGTTCAAACGAATGCTGGCTGAAAGGTCACCGGAGCGAGTGCTTTGACTCTCAGCTACAGCATTGCCAGAAGGCCTTCTGTCTCTCGATGCAATGCTCGTAGCAGAATTTGAGTTGAACTAACCCAGGTATAAAAGTCTCGTACGGGTCTTGGTACGGTGCAGAGACGCTCTCAGCCGCATGCGCCCCATGAGGAACACCGGTTCATGCGGATAAGTGCATATCGCCTCAACTCACATCCGGATTTTCAGCAATCCAGCGTAAGTGCAAGCTAGAATAGCATCGCAAGTAAGTCGGACTCGTGAACGGTTCACGAAAGGTCAAGCTTCTTGTTTCCTTCTTCAGTCAGTCTACTCTGATCTACTGCGTTCATTTGTCTCTTCTCATTGATGGCGCTCCGTTCCCAAATGCGATTTTGCCGCCTTTAATGGCTCGCCAGCCAACTATTGAGCGCAATGGGTCCGCTCGACGAAGCGGCAGGTCCGCCCATTTCAGTCACTGGATGCTACACAACACATTTTACGGATTGGTGATTACGACGGCGCTTTCCACTAGCTTGCTTGCAGCGGACAGATACAAATGGCGCGCCACCGGAATGGTATTCCAACTTGCGAACCGGTACCCAGCCTCAGTGGCTTTCACAGTTCAGCTCCTTGCAGCTCTCTTCGGCGTCATACACGTTGCTGTCATTTGCAAGCTGATCAACTACGCTCTACGATTACGACTCAGGAGTGCCAGCGTGTCGCTCGATGTCTTGCGGACATGGGTTGATATGACGATACCTCGCATTGACTGGGACTTGCCCCTTCGGTTCTTCTTTCCTGTAACGCTCATGGTATTCTTCAGTCTCGTGCCTGCAGCGCTTTGGGCCGGTTCTTTCGCGCCCCTGGTCAGCTCTACAAGCACATCGATGGTTCTCCGATGCCCCGACTACACGAGAAATATCTCGCTGATCAAAGAGTATCCAATGGAGATAGGGAAAGCTGGGCCTTCATACCGCAATTCTCAAGGGCTCTTCACGTTCTCTGTTGGACAGCAGCTCATTGGGCCTTTGCTGTCAGCCGCAGCGGGAGCATCGTCCAACGATTCTCTTGCGAAGATTACTCATCCGAAAATTGATAACACTCAATTCAGCTACACTGGGCGATCATATGGTGTTGGTTCGTCGGCAGGACTGACCGACTTGGATTTCCCACAGGCCAACGCGGCTGGTTACAAGTACAATGAGTATGGCTACCTTACGACTGCCCAGTGCATATACAACCAGTCATCGAACTTCACGCTTTCCGGTCCCGTGAACGAGTGGATCTACGCAGCTGCCGGTACTCTCCCTGACAGCGTCGAAGGGCCGGAGTACTCGAACTACATCGGACACAATGCGAAAGCCATAGTCGCCATGGGTGTAGCGTACAGCGAGCTCTCCCCGCGCCGTTACGTCGCCATCACTGCAGGCGAATTCTACGCTCATCTCAACAACACACAGTGCGAGTTCGACTTCGCACCGACAATGTTCGAAGTCACCGTAGACCTGGCGAACCTCAACATCACCGTCAAACCTACCTCCGCGATCCCGGAAACTTACATACACGAGTCCGATGCCCGCAACATCACTCGCACCGTCGTCCGGCAGTTCGAACTTCTATCCAACGACCTCACGAACCTCTATGACTCGCTTCTCGGCCAGGCGCTCAATTCGAGCATCGCCGCGTACAGCATGTCCATGGGTGGCAGCTGGCCTCCTCTCACCCAAGAAGAGCGCACCTTAGGCGGCCTCGCGAACGCCATGATCGCCATGGCCGACGACATGCTCGTTGCGTACGGCTCAGCACAGCTCATGGTGGGCACCAGAATCAACAGCACCACGTCCGTCCCCCGCGTAGCCGACGTGTACCTCTACGCTTTGCAGTTCGGCCAGCCCGCCTACATCTACGCTGTGTTCGCTCTCAACACGGTCATCGTGCTTGCGGTGCTCGTGGAGAGGTACCGGACGCGCGTCTGGGCTGATCTCACGCGCTTCAATTATCTCGATCCGCGTGATCTCATTGTTGCTGCTTCGCGAGGGGGTGAGCAGCTCGCGCATGCAGCGGACGATATGGTCGGCCAGGACGGGAGGAAAGTGCCCAGGCATGTGTGGCTGCTTAGTGATCCAGATGAGGGCAACGGCCGGTTAGTGGTGAGGCTGAGGGCGGATGAAGGTGGTCATGCGGCGATTGAGGTGGACGAGGCGAGGAGCGAGGCGCTGATGGGTGAAGGGTGGGTGAGCTATGAGGATGTGGGTGTAGATGAAGAGAAAGCGGTGGCGAAAGAGGCGTGGGAAAGGAGGGAGAAGGGACGTGTAGGGGTGTTTGGGTCTGCAAGATGAATGAGCACGGGGTAAAGACCGAATGTTGGTGCCTTGAGGATGTAGACTTGGAAGATGTATGAGGGACGCGGTCGCAGGCGTATAATAGCTAATGAAGAGACATGACACTCTCCAACTGAACTCCAAGCGGTTGCACCTGCAGGCGAGACTGCTGGAAAACTGCTCTCAGTGCTGAGTGGACAGCTTTTGTAATGGCTGTAGACACTGCCCATATGCGTCCTTGATCTCGTTCAAGTGTAACGTCCACGTCATACTGCGTATGCATCTCCCACACACAATACTAAAACTTGCGCCGTAGTCGCCGATCCTGAACATAAGCCTGTGCGATACATGCTTAGCCACGATCTGTGAGACAGAGGCTGGTAGTATTCTGATTGTCCTCCCGGGGCCGCACTACCGCCCACCTGGTACTTCGCCGAGGCACAAAAGAAGGCCTTTGGTGTTCGAGTCTTCATGGATTCGAGCTTATCAGTGGGGTTCTAGAGCATGGGGAATGTTTTGGATTTGCGCAGCGTAGTTAAGGCTTTGACGTTGGAAGTGTTTTGACACCGAGATGTCCTTACATCCAAACTTCGTTTCGACGCATCTCGAAACGATCTACCCATCGAGTTCCTAAAAGGAGCACGTTCACAGATTGCGGGAGAAGACGATTCGAGTGATTCTTCAGTATTCGACTTCGTGATAACTTCATTCTTCTTCCTCATAGCCTAGTGTCTTATGATCAAACCATGGCTCACGCTTCGTGATCTTGATACATCCAGCCATTGACACCTCCATCGTCAGACCCAATCTGCAAATACATATAGATCCTCTGCACTTCCTCGCCCTGCACCTCCTCCACCAAAGGAAACGCAAATTTATCCACAACCTCATCAGCCCACGTGTACGCCCTCTCCGCTTCCGCCTCGGACCCTGTCAGTCCCAATACAAAATCTTGCAAAGCTTCTGCATCCATGTCTGTAACGTTGGTAGGCAGTGGTGTCTGCGAAAGGAGGTATTCTACCCAACCAAAAATTGCCTGGCGGAAGCCATCGTATTCGCGCGTAGTCCCAGAGTTATCCTTCTGATAAAGCACAAGAAACAAGCAAAGGAGCAGGTTCCAGACCGACAGCTCGGCAGGTTGCTCTCCGGCTTCCAGGACAGCTATATCTGCGCTATATCGTGACCAGTTGGAAACATCGACGCCGTACTGTCCCTCAAGGCCGGCTTTGAAATGTGCTGCATAGGAGGGAAATTCGGCGGTTAAGCGGGCTAGTGCTTCGGTAGTTGAGATGATGACGGGTCGTTGGGGCACGCCGTCATGGATCCTGAGGGTGTTGAACACGGCTTTGAGTTCGTCGCGGATGGCGTGGAGGATTTTGGCTTGGCCGTCGCGGTAGATGATTGCGTATTTTTGCTTGTTGTTGGAGAAGGGAGAGGAGCGGTTGAGTGAGAGGCGCAGGGTCTGGCTCCGTTTGTCGATTGCTTCGTATGTCAGGAGTAGAGTTTCGAAGATGACTCTGGGTGGTATAGAATCGGGTTGATTGTCTGCGGGATTTAAATTGAGGTTCGTCAAGGCCTGGATGAAGAACGTGTGCACAATCCGAGGTGGGATGGCACGAAAGAATGGCAGGCGGTTCTCATACCGCCCGAATGGATGGCCTTTCGGACGCAGGTACTCCGGCTCCTCGTTTAGTTCCGCAGTGACAAACGACGTGTCCATCCCAAAGGGGATGTTGCTTGGTTCGAACATCTTCATGCTTCGCGCAGCCTGTTCAATTTGCGGGGGCAGGCGCATCTTGATGGCGAACTGTTCCACGGGGTTGTCCGGGATGCAGAAACCATAACCAAGAAGCAGCTCGTCGTTCTGCTTAGGGGCATAGTTATTGTAGACCTCGTCGCCAGGTCGTACCTCATCGTGGCTCAGTATCTTCAATGTGAAGTCTTCGAATGGATGGAAGTCCCATTCAACCTTGGCGGTCGGGGAGTGATTGAGGATGTCTACTACAGGGAAAAGAATCGGAAATGTTTCCTGGCCTGGTATTATGTGTGTGGAGATGAAGGCTCGCGAGGAGATGATCGTCGCCGCCCAGCGGAACCATTCACTGCTGTGTGTTAGTCCGAAACTTTTCACTTTGAGAAATCGCAAGGAACAATCGAGCCTAGTGCACTATCTCAAACCAGGTAACCGATGGACCGGCACGTCCGATTTCATGCAGCGCAGTACGGCACTTCGCGAATTAACCCAACGCGGCATAACTGACAAGCACCGTGGTCACGACGAGGTTCCTTTTGAGGCAGCTCGCAAAAATACAGACAACAAGTTCCCAGCCAGCCGGTTGGGCTAGAGCGCGGTGCTTGAGTCTACTGAGTGGTACTTGGTACCGCTGCAGACTATCGGGTACCTGCCGCTCACATGCATTCTAATAGGACTTACAAGCTAAAGATGGTTATATCAATGTCCAGGCTTTCCATGACCTCTTTGGCTTGGTTCCACTCTTCGCTGAGCTTGTCAAGCTTCACGCTGGTCTCTCGCGCGAGATTGGTGCCCGCAAGGCACTGCATGTCTTCCTTGTCAAACCAGAGCGGGGTCATCATGAGACTTGGCTCTGGTAGGCAGTCAATATACGGCTGCCATTTTAGGCAACTTGGATCGGTATGCAGACGCTGCTCGACCAGTAAGAGATACACCAATACGTTGTTCGGTATACGACCCATACACTTTGCCAGTGGGCTCTCGACATGAGGCACCAATGACTGTGTATGGTCGAGATTGAGGTGCGAGACCGTCAGGCTGAGCGGACACTTGGCGACCACCGGTGAGGTCAAGTTTCTGACTGCACGGCAGTGATAGCCGCTCGAGGCGTCGAAGGCGATGTCGACATCAGGACTCAGCTCGCCTCCATTTGTCTTGAACCAGCCAACAAGGCGTTCGACCAGAGACATATCGCCGGACTTTTCCCTTTGAGGATTCTCTTGCGAGTGTTGGTGGTCAAGGCTAGGCATACTAGACCGATGGTAATTGATGTCACGGCTGGCTGACGAGAGCGCTGATGAAGAGAGCGATCCGAGCTTGGTCAGACGCTTACCAGCGCGTCTCTGGCGCGTGTGTAAGCTGGCGGCGGAGGGACGGTGTTGAAGAGGGATTCTTAGCCGCCAACAGGGGCAGTGGGGGTTGCAGATAGTGATGCAGAATTTGGTGATGGTGCGGTTGGTGGCATGGTAGTGGAGTTGTGTGGCGGTGGGATGCGGCGTAAGGCTCGCATCATTGGTGAGCTACTCTAGCGCCCGTCGCCGTCTTTGAGCTACTACTTGCGCAGATGCTGACATTGTCAGTCCGTGGGCGGACATTGGGGAAATCTGACAGCGCAGCTCGTTGTTGTAGCAAGAGGCGTCAGAGTGTATTGATGTAGGTGGCTTCGATCCAAGTCCGCACGGGCGCCTGAGTGAAACGAACTCTAATTGCGTTTGGGAAAGGGCACGGCTGAAATTTACTCCGCATAGACGAGATGGCGGTAAACGGGCTCGCACGAATACGAGTGGAGACGAAGACGCTCCGAAGCCCGCCCCTTTGGCTTTTTCATCGAGCCATGCAGCTGGAGCAGAGTCAGCAGACGGCCCATTTGCTGCAAGCACCGCCGGAATCCGCGGAAGACAGCCAAGGCCTCCGTCCAAACCCTCTTGACGGCCGTCGACGTGCTCGCAGTCTTAGGCCAATCTCCACGTTGCGCCAGAGTAGCAGCGGGAACCATGGCAAGCGCGGAGGTTAAGGATCTGAGTACGCACGCGCGGTGTCGACGGAGCACATGGGAGGATCGATAGGATCGCTCCGCAACGGGCATGGCATGCGAAGGCCTGTCAAACAAACAACGCGGGGCCAATCAGCCGCGGCGCTGCGAAGGGTTGCCGAATGCGGGTCGCGACTCGGCTGCGACGGTCTGATCAACGGAGGGTTTAGGAACCGGGGGCCGGAGGCGCGTGGAAGACGGTCGACAGAGGCGGCGGACAAAGACGTCTCACGAGCCGGACTCATGTCACCAAAGCCAGGCCTCGCTGATGGGCTGCGTGAAGCCCACCGTTCATTTCCAGACTGCTGATAACCACCCTCTGCCCGCTGGAGCTGCACAAAAGGACCTCTTGATGATACGCTCTAACACACGCTGGCGTGGTCCCTGCATCGAACTGCAATTATAGAAGTGTGGCTTGTGAGTGATTCAGCCCTGTGCACCCCATGCTGTTACCCACAGTAATGCGCTTCGACCCCAACCCACTGACAGCCGCTCCTCAAAAGGCCTGGCCGCCCCTCTTCGGCCGTCGTCTTGGCCTGGTGGCACACTGCACAATGCTACCTTCGCTTGCTGACCCAATTCACAGCTGGTTAAGCTACACCCTGTAGCCATGCATCTGGATATGCTGACCGCCGACCACCTGCACTCTCCCTCGCGCTCTCCAAAGAACGCTGCCGATGGCCATTGCCCGGCTCTACAGATGCCTCTTTCCGTGCTTGGCTCGCTCTTGCGCAAACAGAGCCTCTCGCCCTTTGCTCCCAAGGGCGAGAAGACGGAGCGTCTCCAAGATGGCTCCCAAGATGGCTCCGACTCCACCACTACCCCTAAGACGAACCCTCTTATGAAAGCCGATTCTGCCGTCCAAGGCTCCCCTGCTCCCTCGCGGCGCACCTCCATTAGCAGCGGAACCTCCACAGAGAAAGCGAAGAAGCAAAAGCGGCCCAAGACCATCTACAAGCTCGCCCAGCCGCCGCACCCTCGAGGGAAGCTGCACATCCGCCCCAAAGTCGTCCTACAGCTCCACCAGGTGGTGGCTGCGCGCCGTCCGAAACCCGCCTTCGAGGTCATTCCCTATACCATCTGCATCCCTTTCTCCTCTCGCTTCAAAGTCCGAACATTCCGTGGTCGCTCACTTACTGCCGCCGACCTTCTAATCCTGAAAGCCGAGGAGTACCAGCATAATGAAGAGGAGAAATCCGACGAAGAGCGTTTTGGCTCGAGGGAGGTCGTGGGCGTCATATGTCCTGGAAAGGAAGACAAAAGCGGGGTTACCAAAACCGAGGTCCTTATGGAGAACGGGCAGTCGTGGGAAGTCACGAGAACACCGAACGGCGGATACGAGTTCGTGTATGTGGACGACCATGGCCTCACTCTGAGATCACGCTGGGTAGCGAAGCCGCCCCATCTCCGCCGTCAGTCTTCCACGACCAGCGCCTCGCAAGGCTCGCCTACAGAAGACCGCAAGTTCACCTTCAGTACCATCAGCCAGAACTCCAGGCGTCATCCCATCATTGCCACGATGACCCGTGACCGCATTGAAGTCAGCGATTCGTACATGATGCCTTCTGCGACTTCTCCATCCACACCAAACGCGCCTTGTTCAGCCTTCCCCACGCCTGCAGCGACGCCGTCTAGTATTGATATGAACTCTTTTCTGGAACCTGATCGTCTTCCTATCGAGACTGGTGATGCGCTCAAGTCTTTCATTGTTGCATCAGGCATATGGGTGGCCTTTCAGGAGAATTGGTCTTCGTCCAACTCAAAAGGGGGTCCGCCTCCTCTAGTTACCTCGAACACCTTCAGGACGACTCCTAACCGCACCGTGTCTATGACTTATATTGATACTCCCCGCTCCGCATCTCCCACTTCATTGGACGAGAACAAACGCACCATTCCTCGCATCATCCGCACGCACACCCAATTCTTGCACAGCAAGACGTCCGAACCAGGCTCTCCCGTCTCGCCTATCAAGACGCGTTCTCGTCGATCCAACTCCACCGGCAACACCGATCTCTTCAGGAATGGTAGCCTACGAAAGCGCTTTGGTCTTGCCCTGGAGGACCAACCAGTGCCGGAGACTGAAGAGGAGCGCCACGAGAAAAGTATGGAGCTCCTACGCGTGAAGGAGCTTGTTCTTCAGCCTCCGCCTACACTTTTTCGGGACAACAGCCCACTCTCGCCGATTCCTTCGATCGAGCCTCCAACATCTCCAACTGACCCTGAGCCCTCTCCAACGTTGCCTGATACCAGAACCAGGAAGACCCGATCAGCATACGATCCCGTACCTACCGCTGGTCTGTGGGACTCTGGCATCGTAGAGGGTAAAGGCACCCTGAGGACACGTCCAACCAGCTTAGTCGTTATGAACGACAAGAAGATGAAGGCCAAGCGCAAAGAGCAGCGATCGAAGAGCGGGGACAAACCCAAGGAGAAGAAAGAGAAGAAGGAGAAGAAGGAGAAGGACGGACGACGCAAAAGCGAAGGCCTGCGTCATCTCTTTGCGGGCATGTTCCGCAAAGAAAAGCACACTGCTTGAAAGACATTCATTGAGATCACATTTTGTTTGATTAGGTTTTGAAATGGTGTTTGGGCTTGCTTTTTGGCTAGCAACTGGGTGGCATTTCTGGGTGTTCACGGATGATACTTCACAGGCTGGTCCTACGCCTGTACGGCAGCCGCTCTCAGCTCTCTACCACATGTTCGTTTTTCCTTGCACCATTTTGTTCCTCTTTCAATGATTCTTACTTCAAGATCATCGTTAAGCTTCTTGTGCATATTGAACTATACCCCTCCCAGACGTAGCTATTCCTTAAATCAACTTCTTTACTTCCGAAACCCCCTGTCCTACATGGACCGAGTCCACCGGCACCCATCCCTGCTTGGCTATCCTCGTACCATGGTTCGCACATGCTTCGTACAAAATTTTCATCTTCTCGACCGAGAGAAAAAAATTGGCTTTGGCTCACCGCTTTGGCGGGCTTTTCTAACGGCCGTACCGCACCGTCCGAACGTCCGCTCGTTGTCCGTCGGAACCTCGCGCTTTCCGGCGGCCGACCCAATGGCTTCTACACACATGCCACCACCACCGCTCTGACCTCTTCGATCACACGACAGCATCAGATCTCCTTCTATTGTCGATGCGCCGTGCGCGAATCGAGAATTTCAGCTCGCATCGCGCGGCTGCTGGCGGCGGCGCCGAGCCACGGACTTTTACTGCACTGCACTTCACTTCACTCTCTACACGATTGAGTCGCGTCTTTCCGTAGCGGCCGCTGCATCGGAGAAGGAGGCGCGTATTGTTCCGCTCTGCAGTCTACAGGGGACGGACGGCCGCTTGTGCCTTGCGTCTACTGTCTATATCTCCGTAGCGCGGGCGGGTTGGCGAGTCGTGCTTGTCTAGTCATGCCTTCACTGCACTACAGCACTACTATTCGTCGTCACTTCCGTAGGACTACTTCACAGTCCGTGGATGGACGATAGGTGTCCGTGTTTTTACCTATGTAGATCTTGCCTGCCTTAGCACTGCAAGCAAAGACTGAAAAGCGTGACTTCACCACCATAACGTGAATTCCTTCCGTCTGCTTGGAACGTTGTGAAGTCGACCTCCATCGATCGTAGCTGAAGACCTTGCATGGTGTTTCCTAGGACCTCCCGCACTAATGTATCAGTCTGCATAGTGGAAAGGGGATTTTCTGACAAGCACGTATGAGACGCGCTTGATGCAGAGTCAGCTTTTCGCGGCACGCAAGGGGAATACGTCAAATGGAACAAAGTTGGATACTCGTCATGACAAGCCACCTTTACGCTAGTTTATGGAGTTCGTGTTACCTGTCGATGCAAAGAGCTCTTGCAAATATGTGCCATGTGAAGGCAAAAGGTGGTCCTGGGAGCTGGGCGGCGACAGCTATCCACCACGACGGCAATGCTCAAAATCATCATGCCACATCGTCGGCTAAAGGACCTCGAACGAAAGATGAACGGCAAATGCAACGACTGACAGGCATGAAGAGGAGGTAGACTATCGAATGGAAATCAATTTATGTTACCAGGCACCGCGCGCCCATGCCATTGCATCTCAGCCGCTTCCTCATTGTGCGGTCTGCACGATCTTCAACAACGGCCTTCGAAGAAAACCCTAAAGAAGCACTAGGAAACGCCCACAGCTGACAGTCTGCCCGTCGTTGCTCGAATTAAGTCCACCATCTCGCCCCACAGAAATGTCAAAACAGCAACTAGAAGTTCAGAGCATCGCCACGCTCTTGAAGGCCGGGGCAGATGCGCTCAAGTATAGAAGGGGTGCTGTTGGATTCAGATCTTGGAGCAGCCTCTGGTACTGGAGCGGCTTCTGAAGTCTTGTCTTCTGATGTGAGAGATGATTATCGTTGAACTGGCGCATGGTGCTCTGACTCCAGCTCAGATGCCTTCGCTTTGGGTTCACGGCTTGCCTGGCTCTGGTGACGGTTGCCGCAGTGTCGTTGGCTCAGCAGTGGGCTCATGAGTCTTAGGGGGCCCCGGTACAGGGGCACCAGAAGAGGCAGGGCCGGATGGATGTGCGTTACGCTGAATGACAGGCGTCGGCTCAAACGGATGCTCACTCACGAGACGCTCCGGTATATCTCCGCTTGGACGAGGAGAGTGTGCTTCGGGTATAGGCTCCATTGGCGCACTGAGACGGCGATTTAGTAGGCGGTCCAATACTGGCGGTTCCTCGGGTTTGTCGATGTCATATCGAGCCGGCGTTGGTTTGGGCTCCTTAATGTGTCGCCGAGCAAATCGCTGCACAATATTTGGCTTGGTCGCAGGCTGCTCTGCACCTCGTGCTGCCAGTTCCGATACTGGGAGCGGCGAGGGTGTACGCCTTGGACCACCCATGAATTTGCGATCAAACCTCCGAGATCGATGGCGGCGCCAACAGAGGCAGCAGGTCGCTAGGGTCGTAAGTCTGTAGAGGGTGGTTTAGTAAGATCGTATTGTTTTGAATGGTCGATCGAGTAAAGAAACATCAAATCAGGTATCATCGAGGCTTTCTCAGTGAGCATAAGCTAAACTCACAATAACAGAAGCCCGCCAACAGCAGCGATCCCTCCAATGAGCCCTCTCTTAACGCCGGAGGCTACCGTGCCCGTTCTGGTGAGACGTCCTGGAGGTAGTAGCACAGGCGGAAGTTGACGGCGGTGCCTGGATTGCACGCGGAACATCACTCGAGAGGCGCCCGATGTAGACTTTGGGATTGCGGCAGCGGTAAAGACGCCGGTCAGAGGAATGCTGGATGTCGTTGTTGGCCTTACGCCATGCGCAATATCATCCGGAGATGGACTTCCAGCTCTGCTGTCGAAGGTTTGTGGGCGAGATGGAGGAGTACGATCTTGGGAACCCGCAGACCATTTTCCGTTCTCTACCACACCAAGCCCTTGGTAAATCTGATCCTTTTCGTCTTCGGAGCATGTATCGGCAATAGCGCGGATCCAGCAAGTATTCTGTGGCTGCGGAGGAAGCTTGTTCTTGTGTAAAGACTTGTCAGGCCCTTCGGTACCGAAAGTGGAGAGGTCAACATTGCGACCCATGCTGATATCGTCACCTTGGATAATCCGCGAGAACACAACGAAAGAAGTTTCTGCTTGATACGAAGGTGTCGTGTGTCCGGCATCGAATATTCGAGAGAAAGACAAATTGCCGTATTGGCGGACGTGGCCACCAACATATGAGTCGTTAGAGACGATGTCAGCATACCCGGCTGCGGCAAATGTAGAGCTATAAGGCGACTCGTGGGCGAGTGCGAGGGAGACGGCTTCGCCTCCTACCCAGTTGCAGATGATGTCCCTGTAACGAGGTGAGTAACAATGACGGCCGCAGCAGGAACCACACGTACGCGTCACCGTAGATTAAAGCTACTCGGATACCCCGGGCAAGAAGGTCGGCCAGTTTCTTGATTTGAGTTCCGCGAACATCGTCACCAGCTAGTGGGGATCAGCCTCAACGAGCAACAAAGTCTGGCACAGGCTTACTCTGGTGGAAGACTGCGTTAACCATGGTGGTAGATTCGGTGAAGTTGACCTTCGCCCCAATGGACCGCAAGATGTTGGCCTGATTCAGGTACTCGAGGTATGCGTAACTCGGGAAAGAATTGGGCGAGGTGAACCGGATGTCGTAAGGATTGCGTCCAGAAAGCTGCAAAGCCTGGCTCTGGACACCCCAACATGAAATGCTGGCCAGTTCGCATATGGAGGTTGTCTCCTCATCAAGATTTTCGCCCTCGTAATCGACGGCAGTAGCTTGTGTATGGCATTGGGAGGCCATCTCGAGACATCCACGAGGCTTTCTGTAGTCGCTGAGGAGATTTAAGTACTGTGTCTGTGACATGCCTTGCAGGTCGTACGTGTTGTTGTACACAAAAGCGGCCATGGCAGGAGTCTGAACGATTGTATCCACGAGACCATTGATGATGCCGAGCGAATCGAGTTTGATCTCCAGCGTACTGTTGGCAGGAATCACGCCAGCTCGACGTCGGTCATTCTGGTCTTCAAAGAAGTCTGCGAAGACAGGACCATATTGGCCGCCGTAGCTCTCAGCGAAGAGATTTACACCAGTCGGCTCGATGGTGGTTTGGTTGGGTCGCTGACCAGGGTTGTACTGAGGAAAAGCTGAGAGGAAGCCTTGCAAAAAGTGCCAGGCCGCTCTTGCTGCAATGACCGTTGAGTTCTCAACGTTGGCCCTGTTCCCAGTGGCAAGAGTCCCGTTGATGAAGGACCACGAAGGTACATTCGTAGGTAGAGACGTCGGAGGTTCGAGGACATGTTCCTTGATGAAGTCCCAAGACACGTTGACAGGGTGGTCGTACGAGAAGCCGACCTGGGTGGGCTGGTCGATGAAGAGCAGGTTGGAGCTACGATCCCAGCCCCACACATTCGGCTGTGTGCCGTAAGAACCGTCTTCAAGTTGCACGACCTCGCAAGGGCCCATCTCACGAAAGAGGCCAATCATGCTACTGGAACCGGGTCCACCGTTGAGCCAGATGGTGAGGGGCGCCGTATCGGAGTTGTTGCGGGCTTCGAAGAACCAGAAGAATGTGTTGATCGGGTATTCTTGCTGGTATGGTACCAAAGTAAAGGGCGGCAGGTTGACATAGCCGGAATACTGCTTCTGAGAGGAGAACGCAGTGGTGCAGGTGCCGGGCTCCGGCACCTTGTATGATATAGTGATGTTAGGGTCGATGGGTGACTTGAGGACGGCATCATAGGATACAGGCGGAGGGAATTGCTGAGCCAATGAGCACCCGGTGAGGCCCAGGATGGAGGCATAAAAGATGGGCGATAGTTGGAACTGCGCTGGTCAGTATAGGCATTGAGTCAGCATAGGCACACGCACCATGATGACTGAAGTGTAGCAGGCGGCTACAGCATGTGATGAGGATAGCAAACTCGATAGCGAAGCCTCGATAAAGAGCGGAGGCACCTGGGCCACGGATCAAACAGCTGGGCTTGGTCGCGAAACTCCGCGTACTGTGGGTAACTTTGGGAGTGAAGGAGGAGAGAAGCGGCCCAGGCCGGTTGAGATATTAGCGGGTCCATGGTAAAGCGCTCCTGCCTTTGGCTGTACGCAAATAAACATGACCGACGGCCGCAAGTGCCGTATAAGATTGCACAAGACAGTGTTGCGGAAGTAGCGTTGTACCACTGCGCCGCCCCACCATGTCCACGCAGCGCTGCAAGGGACCGACTTGACATGCACACATGTGAAAGTGCTTTTTAACAGCTATTCGATCGAGCTATACACCTTCATGCATGCCCCGCGTGGTCGCTGCACGTCATGAGATGCAGTGCGCTTTAGGCACAAGCGGACAACGTGGAGTTACACAGTGTTGGGCGTCTGTTCGCTTGCCGTAGGTATAGTGTCCAACCCAGCTCTCTGGATGCGTTTCCAGGACCCTGGGAACCGTAAGACACAATTCCCTGATTGGGTATATAGTTCCTTTTTTTGCTACATCATCTCGGACTATGTACCTGCCGATAGCCGCTCCTCCTTCCCCCTGTTATGACGAGCTTCATCGAACTAAGCGTGCGGGATGTTGGCCATTGGACCAAAGCTCGAAGTGAATTTTCGTATCCGCCGTCCGAATATATACATCACAAGGGAAAGCGACAAGATTGCATATGCCACCCCAACTAGTTCGCCGTACGCGTTCCGCAGTCCCTGGCTCTGGAACCACTTTGTAATGTACGTCGAGATCAAGCAAGCGATGACGTTTCGAATAACGAAGACTATGCTGATTGTCTCTCCAGCAATCTGGAACATTAGGTAACTAGTTTCTCGGTGGGGAGATGGCGCCGAAGCCAACTTACAGGTCGGTATGCATCTACAGCATAAGTGACTACGATATTGGAAGCAGCCGTGGCACCAAAGCCTTCCATACCGTAGCCCACCGCAGCTCCTGCCCAGCTCTTACCATAAGATATAACCAGCCCGAATGTAAGAACACCCATGGGACCGATAACAGCCGGTATGATCATCGCAGGTAGACGATATTCAGGTTCGACGTGTTCAGCATTGCGAGCTGTAAGTCTGGTTGCGATGAAATCGATAAGCCAACCACCGAAGACGAACGATACGATAGCACCGACGAGACCTGAGAGAGAAAGCAGACCAAGAGAATGTACTTTCCAGTGATAGGGAGCGGCGGTGAATGTCTGGGTCGAAGTGATCTGGAGGGCGATGTTGCTGCGAAACGTCAGCTTCGGACAAATCAGACCAACAGTGGAAATGCGATCAGCTTACCACCCGATGAACAATCCTACAGTGAGCCCGACTATCCATACAGGTGGGTACAATATGAGGCTGACGGTCCTGAGTAACCAACCAAGGAACGATTCATTTCGGTTGAAACCTCTCGTAAGGGACAGCTCCGCGATCCACGACCTCTTTGTCGCGTACTCATCCTCAGGCTTGAGCAGATCCCGGTGACCATTTTCCGCATAATGAGTCTCGCGGATGGTCACAAAGCCTATAAGGAAGGTCGCCCCTCCGGCGATAGCCATGGCACCACACATCCAGCGCCATCCCGCATATTGTGCGATGTACGCATTGATGAAAGGTCCTCCAAATGCACCGATACTAATAGCCGTGTGGAAGATCATCAAAGCCCGTCCGCGCTCATGGAAGTAGAAGAGATCTGCGACAAGACTGGGCACGACTGCATCGGCTGCAGCGGTCATTAAGCCTCCGATGATGCGCGAAGCTAACAATGACCTATAGCTGTGGCTGAAGTACGACCAGATGTTGGTGACGCAGAGGAAGAGGATCGACACAAGGTAGACAGGACGTTTGCCAAAGAGTCGAGCTGAAGGCATCTGCAAGCTATTAGTCCGTACCAAGAAACTTCCTCGTATCGCACAGCTGTTTACTCACCAAAATAAGCGCGCCGAACCCCATTCCCAAGACCTGCAAGGAGGCTAGAGTTCGTCAGTGATGGTCCCTCGAATAAATGAACACAGCTTACTCAGATAGCTCGCCTCTGTAGATGTCTTGTGGAACTCCTTAATGATGGGTTGGATAGCCACTGTGAATGCAGACGAGTTCATGAAGGCGAGGAAGGTAAAGAAGCAGCACACTACGTATGTCGAGTATTTCTGCCCCTGCGCCCAATTCTGCATCCAGTCGTCAGCTACTTGTGCACCTTGTTATGAGACAGCGAGCCACATGTCGTACCAGTGGCTCATTTGGATCATTTGTCGGCTGCGGTCGAAGCACGATGCCACTCTTCGACACCTTTCCATGGGTGATGTTGTATTCATTGAGTTCACCTTGCGCCACCTCAGCTTTAAGATCGACAGACATGTTCGGCCGGCTGGTCTTTCTGGAAACCATAGAAGAGGAATTCCTGGCCAGGCCCAAATGTGCCTGCAGCGATCCTTGCTTATAGGATCACGGTGCTCATTGCTAAGGAGCCTCTGAGAGCGAGACCCCTGCACGATAGAATCAGTGACATTCACAACAACCGATCAATTCCCTCCAGTAGGATCTCCTGGCCGGATGCGATCAATGCCATATCGAACTGCCGGTGTTCCATCATTGGTTCTGGACGTGAACCCTGACTTGTTTGGGGTAGGGATGAGCGAGCGGGGTCCCCAGACCATCCTCCTCCGCGGGGACTAAGCACACAGTTGCAAGCTTGTTCGACAAAAGCTTTCGGTTGAGAATACGCGTCCACCAAATTCCCGGATATAAAGGCGCCTTAGCTTGTCAGAACCACCCCGCAGGGTTGCGCAGAGCCCCAGATGCTCTCCACCTGATATGTATCCTCGGACATCTTCCACGGACATTCGCCGGACATCACTCTGACTTTCAAGAAACAATTTCAACATAAAACCTCGAATCGTGAATGCTTCGCTTGCTTCAAGAACAGCACATCCACAATGACGAATCGAATACCACTCTCTTTCGCAAGTATTCTGTATGACCGGATGCAGCCCCTCCAATCGGGCGAAATTCGACCAGATGGCATCGATCTTAATTTTCTCACGATGAATCATCCGCGAGATATATTCGACCGAATGGCGGGCGGCAAAGAATTCGACGCCTCAGAGCTATCCCTTAGCGAATACGTATGTCGTTATGCTGCCGGTCATAGAGATCTCGTTGCCATACCAGTATTCCCGTCTCGAGCCTTCCGCCATGGTTTCATTGCTGTAAATAGCCGGACCGTTAAAGAACCGCGCGACCTCAATGGGAAAAAAATCGGTGTCCAGCTCTACACGATGACCGCCGCAGTCTGGGTTCGCTCAGTGCTCCAGCAACACGGCGTTGACCTTTCCACCATCCAGTGGGTGCAGGGAAGCATGGAGAGTGGTGACTCCCATGGAAAGCCGAGCGCAATGCCCCTCACAAAGCCTGTCGATATCGTGCAGAACAGCAGCGGCAAGTCGTTGAGTCAATTACTCGAAGAAGGCTTTATCGATGCAACTATAGGTGCTGATTTGCCGCATTGCTTGGGGAAGGCGCCTCACGTCAAGCGGCTCTTTCCAAATTTCAAAGAAGTTGAAAAGAGCTATTACAAAGAAACAGGCATCTTCCCTATCATGCATACAGTTGTTGTCCGGCGGGAGCTCTGCGATCAGCATCCATGGCTAGCGACTAGCTTGTACAACGCCTTAAATGATTCCAAGGAGGTAGCAAGGATTCGGATGCGGTTCCTGGACTGCTTGCGGTATATGCTTCCGTGGCTGGCGCAGGAACTAGATGAGATCGATGAAGTGTTTGGAGGCGATCCTTTTGTGTATGGTGTTGAGCCAAATCGTAAGACTCTGGAGGCCTTGATCGATGCTTTAGACGAGCAGGCGATGATAGCTGAAAAACCAAAAATTGAAGAACTTTTCGCATCGATACGGGGTCAGAACTGGAAGGTTGGATGGGGCACGACGAAAATAACGAGATAGCGTCAGATCATGAAGTCATGCTGCCTAAAGTAGCTCGGTCAATCACTCCACTGCTCAAACAACGTATCACTCCCCTCCGCGAAACCCTCCAAATTCGCCCTCACGCTCCTGATAACATAGCGACTCCCCGCCTCTGGCCTTCCTCCGATCCCCAAACCCATGATGTCACTTTTACCCCTTTCATTCCAATGATGGCTGAAGAGCGGCGGCTGTACAGTCACACAATTCAACTTCCTTTCTACGCTTCTCCATTGGGCTTCGTCGCCCTTGACCAACCCTCCGCAATAATCCGACAGTGCGAAATCGAAGCCTTTGGAAAGAGCCCGAACTCCAAGCTCGAATAGGATCTTGCGGGCGCCGCCCTGCGTAACGGCGTAGGCTAGCGTGCAAAATGTGCTGTTGGAAGTCTGGTGGTAGACCCGCGTGTGTGGTGGATAAAGCGTTGCAATGGGGTCGGGTGAGGAGGATTCGCGGAGGCGGAGGTGTTTTGGTGCGGGCACGGTCACGTCGTTCAATAAGATGAGGCGATTCCGATGGGCTGGAGAAGGTGGAGGCAGGTTGGCACCGCAATGGCCGAGCCAGAGAACGTCCCAATCGCGCCCGTACGCGTCTTTTGGTGTAACCGTGGACATGAGGGGGAGGGAAGAGCGTTTCGCGAGCTCGACTGGATTTTGGGACTTGGTTTCGAAGGCAGGAGGAATATCCTGTTCATGCCCCAGCTCTTGCGCGAGTGATGAGAGTTTGCGTGTGGCTTGACTGAAGGAGAGGAGCTGTGTGCGGATGCGAACGTCCCAATCGACATCATCTTCGAGAACCAATGCGGTGGAAAGATTCTGAACGACAATCCTGTTGGAAGATTAGTACCAGGTTTCAGATTCGTGAAGTTCCAGGTCATGAGCTGTTAGTGAAGTTGTGATTAGGGCTTGCGGCTTGCGGCTTGCGGCAGAAGGACATCATCATAAGACCTAATGCGTGTGGACGTGCAAACCTTCGCGAACTTACTCTCGTATTATATCCATATGTGCTCGCCAACTCCCCAAGTTACCAGAGCTCATGCTCCGGTGATTTCCCGGTGGATACGCCTTCTCTTGCATAGTGTCCGCCTGCACTCCTTCCACCCAATCGAGCTTGAGCTTACTATACGCAGCAGCTAGGGACTGGGCATCTTTCCGATCTGTCCGCCATGGCAAATTCACCACGAAGATCTTTTCGAACTGCCAGCTGTTAGTGAACCGGTCCTGAAATGGGGCGTGCATTCATCGGGTATTGTTGCTTACACCAAGTGTCTCATTGGCGATGCTATTGGGTGATCTATCTTCCGAGGGAAAACTTGCGCCCACGCCGTCTCCAAGCCTCAGGAATAAAAGAGTGAGAGCCAGAAAGGAGATAAATGCAAACAAGATACGCTTGTAACGGCCGTGGCTCGGTGACGGCATTCCTGCTATTGCTTGGTAGCCCAGCCACCAAGTGGAGCATTGGAACCTTTAAAAATGGGAAACAGTTGTTGACATCTGGACTGATGACATCTGCACCCGAACTCCCGGAATCCTACACGTGAAGATCATCCTCGTGTCGATTGTCCCCAGATTTCCTACTCTGCGGCTATTGTGCAAGATGCAGGGGTTGGTGTGGGATATATACCCGGCTGTTGGAGACCGAGACATATTTCCGAAACGGCACCGTGCGTGAAGTGTCGGGAGCTGCGGCGCAACCTCCCAAGAGCCGTATATGAAGATGCATGACAGGTAATTGCGACGTATTCGAGGATTAATAGTTGAGTGCTGCATTCGCGAGCTGCATGCGACGTCCCCAGCCACCATATATCCATCCGATGGCATCGGCCATGTCATTATAGTAAGGTGTCCAGTCTGGAGTTGATGAGTACATGTGCGTCACAATGTCAAGAATTTGCCACCACTGACCTTCTTGTGCGAAGCCACCTTCCTTTGCTTTGAGCTCCTTCCAAGTCTTGTTCTGAGACAGACCCATCTGAATGTACGGTGCCCGCCTCCCTCTGCGAGCAACGATCTGGACCTCACCTCGAAGATCTTGGTCGGGGGCGGCCAGGCTCATATCCTCAATCACTACGTGGCCTGGCTGTGCGGCCCAGGGCCGGGTTGCACCCTCTTGCGCGGAGCCATTGCCGCTATCCGGGGTGATCCACATCTGGACTTCGGCACCAGATTTCTCGCCGTCCTGCTCTTTCAGCAGAGCATCCCAGTTTTCCGGCTGTGCGACTCTTTTCCTGCGATGGTCGTAACCGGAAGCAAGGAAATCAGTGTTGGGCGTAATGTAGACGAGCTCCTTCCACGCATCGCACTTGATAAGGCTTTCGATGTCGAAGTACGTGACAACATCTCTCCAGGTATCGACGAGCCCGAAGCCATGAAAGCAATCCTCAACAACAAGTTGCTCAAGATGCAGACCAGGAAGAAGAGACAAGGCATTGCAGAAGTTGTACGTGGGGTAGTAATCCGGTCTTCCACTATTGTGTAGTGGAAACGGGAACGATTTGATGCGAATGTGACGAAGCCGTGTGATCACGGCCTGATCGACACTCAGAAGCGTCTCCAACATTGTCTCGGTGCCCCGAAAGTGGAAGCGTACATTGAGAGGGAGATGTCGCCATGCCTCTTGGTGTACTTGTTTGCAAGTTTGAAGAAGAGCCGTGCGATTAGACGAGCTGGTGCGAAACCCGTGGCGAATGGTGATTGAGCTGAAGACCTCTTCACAGATAAGCTCTCGGAGTTCCAGTGGTAGAGTGAGAAACGTAGTCGGCATGATTGTTGACCAGTGCAATTGGTGGGTTGGCAATAGGTTTCAACAGTTTTGAATGCCTCATGCAGCTGAGGTAAATGTGGTTACGAGTTTATCTCCGCCTATTCACTCACTGGTCTCGAGCTTGATATGACGGTTCAATGTACTCTGATGGCGAAGACAAAGGAGGGGTGGAAGCAAGTAACAAAGCCGAAAAGCGGATGCGATAGGCGTTTTGTGATTTTGAATCAGAGCAGACTAAGATGACGTTCGGGGACCTGGAAAGTCGAGCGTCCAAGGTAGACCAGGTTGCGCCAGACCCGCTAGCTGAACCAACTGACCCGTTTCGGTTACGGCGCGATTGCAGCCAAAAGACGTACGGACGCCACCGACCATCAGTCAACCACCAGCCGCGAGCGCATTCGCTCACCTCACCGCTGATCGCGGTCTAATCGCACTGGTACAGCTATACGAAGAGCCTTGGCTTGCTCACGCGCGCGAAGCAACATGCGCTTATGCATTGGAAAGAGGCTTTACGGGCTCCGATTTCAGTGTGATTGCATGTCATTGGGTATCAATAGGAACTAACCACCCGCCCGGCTCCCTTCCTGCTTCCTCTGGTAGCGTCACGACCAGCCGCAACCGATTCACTCTGCTTTCGAACGCGCACGGGATTTCTGCTGCTCTTGTAGCTTCTTCTGCTGCCATTGCCATTCCACCAAGACCGGGAGGAACTGCCACAAATCGAACTCTGGCCACAAACACTTCAGGAAAACGATCGAAGTGTTTTCATGGCATTGCCATAACATGAAGTCGCTCAGGCGTTCCACTCCCGAGGTTCGAATCAACAAATCTAGAGGCGGCGCGCCGGCAGTCAGCATGTGCTCGTTTAGCGTTTCCGCTGTAATGGTCTCGGGATCCGGGAAATTCGGTGCTGTTATATGGCAATCATCCTTGTCCGATGAGTTTATCGCCGTTGTAGTGGATGATGAACGGCCTCCTTCCACTGACTTGGCTTCCTTGAGAGAAGAAGGCGATGTGGATCGCGACTCCTGTGGTGCGGATCTGCCATCTGTGTCCTCCTCCAGCATTTGCTTCCGGATCTGCTGGGTAATGTGCGATTCAGAAAAGGTGCGTTTCGAGGGTGTTTGGAGACTATCTAGGGGTGTGCTATATTGTTCCACGGTCGACTTAATAGCCGTTGTGATTTCGTCTCGCGAGGTATACGGAAAGCAAACGTTCAGGATCGCTCTGCCAGCAAGTCAGTCAAGGCAGCGATGGTATGTATGCATCCAGAACATACCTCTTGTTGTGTGCGGTGATGGAAACCGCTTTGTCAATCGCTTCTATTACATCAGGCTTCACCAGCTCGCGATTTCCCAGGATGCGAATTGAAGCACCGTAACGGTCCAGCAGGGCTCCGTGCTCTGCTAGCTGCCCGAGTTTAAGCTTCGCCAGTTCCATAAGGGCGTCTACTTCATGTTTCGAGCGCTTGAAGTTCTCAATGCTAAAGGCGTAGATGGTAACCACTTTGACACCGGCCTTGTAGCAAACTTCCAGGATCTGGTGGGATGCGATTAGCTTTGACTGAACAGAGCTTCTTGATCTGTTATATCATACACGTGCGAGGGCTTCGAATCCCATGTTGTGTCCCTCCACCGTCTCAATGTGCTGTTCGCGAGCGAAGCGTCTGTTTCCGTCCATCACGAACGCTACATGCTGAGGTATCGGGCCCTGTCTAAGAGCGCCGATGAGCAGCTCTCGCAGCTGACGGACCGTCCAGGCGACTGGTGGCGAGTATGCGAACCATCTGGATATCCCATGTTTGTGGAGCGAAGCCATTGTGGGCTTTTTGCTGAGGTGTCTAAGGTGGAATATTCAGGTATTTCTAGAGTTGCAATAGCGAGCGACAGGCGGAAATGCGATCAAGAACGCTCAAGTGCAGAGGCGAAAGTGAGGCAATCATGGAATGGGCGGCATGCTGTATAAGAATACGCTTCAATGGCAAGTTTACGTGTCTCTGGGCGCTGCACAGAGGCGGAGTACAGGCTGTGACGCGACTTCCCAGAACTCACAAGAAACCGCGGCGAAACGTCGGGGCGATCTTTCCAGAAACCCTGCAGCTGCGGCTACCGGCTGCGACGGCTCACGTGCAGCTTGGCACGCTCCAGGGCTCGGCTCGGATTTTGGCTCTTTTTCCGATCCTTGCTTGCCCAACAACTCATCCAGCTTCGTCAGCGGTCGTGTGTCAAGCCAGGTAGCTCTTGTGCGTCTATGGAGCTGGCCTCTCCCTACTAACCTGCGCCTCTTGTTTCGTGCATCCCTTCATCGCCTTTTGTTGTGTTCGCGATGCCCTCCCGGCCACAAGCCGCTGTTCAACAACTAGCGGAGCAGCTCTCTGAAGGGTTCGATGCGTTAAGCGGGGAATATCAGGTATTGCTCGCACAGCAGCGACAGCTCGAGAGCAAGCTGTCCTGGGCTAAGCAGCAGGTATGTCACAGTCTTCGTTTCATTTTCGTCTCCCTTTTCATGATGAAAAATCTTTAGCTCTAGACCTGCAGTCGCTTGCGACCTTGACAGACAACCTTATACCATTTACTGATCCACGCCTATCTCTGCTCAATGTAGTTATTTCTTCTTTAGCGGACCAGCGCTGACTTTCCCAAGTATCTAGATTTACTGAAACGTTTCACCCCCGATACTCTCGCACAAGACCACCTCGTTTTCCTCCAAGACCTCGAGCATGTAGCATTAGATTTGCAGCGACCACCTGTGTCGTGGATCGATCAGATAGCCCAGAGTGACGATGCCGAACGGAGAAATCACGCCGTCATCATTAAGCAAGCCGAGTCAGCCGTAGCAGATTTGCGCGATCCTGTCGTTGATTCTGGCGTGAAGATCTGGGGTGGGCCCTCGGCAGACCGGCGGCCGACGCCTCTTCGAATACAGACAAATGCAGACATGGCCTCCTCGATAGAGAAAGACTTCACTACGAGCGGGACACCTAGCAAGCTCGGTTGTCCATTTGCTGCGAATAGTGGTAGGCAGAGCCCACTAGCTACTCCTCGCAGCTCCATCTCCCGCATGAGCCAAAAAGGGCGCAGGTCGAAGCGACCTTCATTCACCGACCCCATTAGGGCGGAAATATGTGGTATCGATGACCCTGCCTCTGCTGCCTCTGCCTCTGTTTCTGTAGAAGGCTCAGCTGGCGTATGCCCGATTCGTTTCCTCGACCAACATGACCCACAAGACGTTGCAAAGTATTTTCAGAAGCACAAGCACGAGTTACCACGAAGCCATGAAGTGTGCATTAATCGCTTCCAGAGCAATACAAACAGCATACAGGAGCTTGATCGCAAATATGGCGACCTCGTCAGTATGATACAGGGACTGGGCCAGAAGCATCAGGCATGGCTGCCAGAAGAACCGGAGGATGTTGATGAGGCTCCAGTCGCACCCGAAGATGAGACGAAGACCGACGTCAAAGTGGAGAAATGGGCTACGGCAGTGACAGCGAGTCTTGAGAACAGCACCCAAGGGAAAGAAGAAGTAGAAGAACCCGAACTGACACCGGATGAAACGAGATCGCCTCGCTTTGATCGTCCTCTTAAAGACATTCGGGTTGGCGAGTCGCCCAGTCGACCATGGGGCATCCACGTTCCCGCCAAGTACACTGATGCGGAAAGTTCGTCATCAGTGGGCTCAGCCGCAACTGCTTCGCCTCAGCTTCCACTTGATACGACCCGGCCTATCGGTGAGACGCCACCGAAGAAGACAGGAGGTTGCCCGTTTGGCCACATGGTCAAAGGCGACGGGTCCAAAGTACAGGAACGAGATTTCGTCGCGGAGACAGTGCATGCCGCTATCACAGATGCGCCTGCATCGTTTCTTGCGCAGCCAATGGATCCGAGGACTACAGAACAGCCTCAGCCTGAACCGGACCCTTCCCCTAATCCGAAGCCTGAACCCAACCATACCTCTTCGCCGATGACACCGACTGTGATCCCTCAGATGGTGTTCAACGGACCCGTCTTCTTGGGATATCCGCCAGAGCAGCTGGCCATACTTTTGCAGAACAGCAACCTCGGCGCCGCTATGCGATAAATGCGATGAGCAGCCTTGAGTGCGATAATTTGACAGCGTTCTTGAGCGAAAGTTATATACCAGGTAATTGCATTGTAATCTTAAGGTAGGCCTTTGATAGCTACCTCGTGCACATACTTTAGTGGTCTTGTTTCACTGCCCGTGATTGAATGCAGATTGCAAGAGACCGACATAACAGCTGTGATAACCGGATTTGCTCTCAGCTATGGTCTGACAGCGGTCATACTCGGCCTCTGACAACAAGATCTACTCGCCATGCAACTCCTGCGACTAGATAGTCTGTTCATTCTAGCCAGTCTACCTACACGTTACTATTAGGCTGCCCGGTCTTCCATCGCAGTGGAAGTGACCATCAACTTCGCAGCTGGAACTGAGGAACGAAGAGGGCTGTAGTATGCGCCTAGTCATTCACAGTCTGTAGCTCTGTTGGATAATCAGTAGCTTGGAACGCAGGGAGTGTCAGTGCTCCTCCAATCTCAGACATAAATTCCGTGGTACTACAAAGGATATGAAGATGCCTTGTCTTGAGTAGTATTAATACTTCTGGATGTTGACCATCTACGCTTTCTCCTTTGCTCTGACTCCCCTGGCTTCTTGAGGTCCTTTTTGTCACAATTGTCAAATGCGTGAACGAAAATTATGCTGGAAAGTAATAGATATTTCGGGGTGCATGAAATCCCGTCTGCCTGCACCTGTCTGTGCTATCGCTGGTGGTCTACCGTTACGTTCATCGACTTTTCGCGGATGCCTGTCCACTTTCGTATCACAGGGGAAATGAACTATGGGAATGATCGCCGGTGATGCATGTTCCCTCTGACTGGCTTTCTACTCCTCCACATCTCCAAGTACTGCTGGGGACTCCTTAGTCTATCACGCACTTGCTGACTTAGATGCTTCTGCTGCTGGCACACAAGCGACCTTCACGTCTTGATATCAGTCATCCACGTCCGCACGGCCTTTGCGCTATCGTGCGAAGCTCTGAACACTATGACGATTAGCTACTTTGAGTGAAAAGTTAAGACCAACTCACGCTGTCTCTCATTTTCATCTAGACCTCGCATGAAGTCAGCGCCTTCTCCAAGAGCCCCTCGCGGATTATGAGCCTGATCAGCTATTACGGCGGCCCTGGCTTTGAAGGAATCGCTGAGCACCTCGATCATCTCTTCCTCTTCAAACAATTCAAGAACGCGTGCACCGAGGTTGTAGAAATGAGGCACCAGAGCCCTCAGATCGACAGTCCGCGCATCAGCCTTGAGAGCGTTGAGGACGCGGGGGCTGAGGGCCGGCGGGTGGTCGAGGGAGACGAGGGGTGTACCAGTGCTAAGGCTTTGACTGTTGATCAAGAATCAGTGTTCCTGCTTTTCCGAGGTCTTAAGATGAAGGCAGTGGGGCCGTACGAAAGAGCAAGCATCTCTCCTAGCCAGAGGGGTAGCTCAACTTTGGACCCATGCTTTATGTCGCCGCTCATGTTGCCTTCTAGGAAGCCCAGTCCAGGGACGGTCAGCTCGAAGGTGCATGGTACTTTCTAGATCGGATATGTAAGCAGCAGATAGGCGAATGAGAGCGTAGCACATAATCACCTGAGCATCTGTGAGGATAGCATCGACATCGTAGTAGGTCATGCTTGCTGCGCGTTTGATTAGATGTTGGGGCGGCTCCGGTGTTGAGGTTCTAGAGGAGAAGGAAGGCTCGGAAATGCGCGGTGCTAAGTGCAATCAGCATGTAGCGGGTCGCCATTTGTGCGACGTCGGAAGGGTTTTATGCAGCGAGGTTCAAAAGCAGTGCGAAGATCATGCTGGTCGAAGGAGGAAGGCGCAAGACAAATGGGAAGGAGCGAGTGGTGGAGCAAATAATGTAGTCGAGTGGTAATACGGGCAAGATGCGTGTTTGCGGCATAGCAGAAGACGTGTACGCTTTTGCCTACCTGTGTCGCCCCAGCGTCGAGTATTGCGCGTCGGTGAATGCCTACGGGCCCGGTTATAAAGCGCGCGGAAGGTGCCCAGGTAGAAGTCGATGATCGCTACTGTAGCCCCAGGCTTTTGCTCGTCCCGTCTCTTCCAAAACACTGCAAGTCAAGTCTCGGCCCTCTGTTTGGTGAATCCCGCGTTTGGGCGCGACAAGGCTGTTCGCGCGTACCTAGCTCGTGCTAGTTCACTCCGGTCAAGCGCAGGCGCACGCATCCTCCACTGTCATAGCTCCATCTGGGGACTGCGGCGTCGGATACCTACATGAACTGCTGAAGAAGCACCTCCCGCTTCCAAACAACTGTCAAACACCATACGCACCCTCGACGAACTGCTGCTGCTACCCTTTACCGTACGTCATCAGCACCACCCTGACCCACCGCTGTGGTCTCGTGTCGGCACGGCCTCGCCTCACGCAGCCTGCAACCTCCGCAACTGCTTGTCTGCTGCTAACATTGCCTTCAGCGGGAGGATTGGCATTGCATACGACCGCATTTCGACCTCGTTTCTTGAATGAGTAGCCGTTCCCAGGACTCTCCTCCTTGCACGGTTTACCCGTGCACCTCACGCCCGGCACCATGGCTGTCAGCGAACGGATATCGCAGCTAATGGGGGCCCTCGATTCTGCCTCTGGGGTAGATTCGTCGCGTGCGACCTCCCCCGGCGGCGACTGGCGCCAGACCAACGGCGATGCAAATGGCACGGACGAGGAGAAGCAGAACCGCAGCCGACCGCGGACGTTCCCATACTTCGAATATCTTCCCTACAAGGCAGAGGATCCGAGCGAACGTGTGGAAAACCTGGACACATGTCTCAAGCATCTGTACATTGCCGTGTCGGCTGGCGATTTTGCACCAGGCGCTGTGCATTGGACGCGGGAGCTGCGAGGGTGGATTCAGCTCAAATTCGAGATCCCACGAGACACGCGGATAAAGATGGTCAATCTATACTACGAGCTAGCATTGGCTCCTGGGCTGGATTACCTGGTTGCGGAGCGCTTTGCGAGCATGTTCATGACTCTGACAAAGTGAGTCGTCCAAGAATCTTAGGAACCGCAATCCATAGAGTAGTACAGCTGACACGTGGACAGGCGGAAACACTACCTTCGCCCTGGCAAAGACCTGACGCTCGACTGGCGCCCGCTCTTCCGCGAACTGAAGACATTCGTTCTCCCTTCCGAGTCGGGAGGCTCCTCGCCCCCGAGCATCAAGCGAAACATTCGGACATTGACGAAGCTATGCACGTTTGCTCAATATTACTTTGACCCGCAAGAGATACCGGCTATTCTGGAGGAGGTTCTTCCCTTCTTCAGCACATCCTACTCTGAGGGGGCATTCGTCGTCATCGGTTTGCTCAACCTGCTGATGCCCACGAGCATACCATCAGAGGATAGGGAGGACCTACAGCCGCAAGAGTACCTACCTCTGTTTTTCCACCTGTGGTCACTGGTGAACCGGTCTAAACTGGCCGATGCGCACTTCATGGACGTCATGTCACGAATGGCACGGGAATTGCTTCCCGCGAGCCATGTTCCATTCTCGCAGTATGGCCTTTTCACCAGCGAGCAGTGCTCTCTGGTCTTTACGTCCATTCTGCGTCTGCTCGAGATCCCCGTTGGGCAAGCGACCTCTCCATACAGCACCACTGTCGACCTGGGCGCTGGCCTCGCAGTCATGCTTGACCGAGATCAGCGCAAACATCCCTCTACCCACCATATCGCGCGTATTATAGTGATGTCTTTCTCTCCCGCTTGTATGGAGCACGAGGATTCCGTTTTCAGTAAGCTTGAGGGTCTCATCCAGGCTATTGAGACGTTTTACCACCCTTCGAACTCCGGCAATTGGACGCGATCGCTCGCGCAGCTCGTGTTCTACCTGACCGATTTCTTCCTTCTGCGATGGAATAGGGAACACAATGGAGAGATGAATGTCCCCGAAAATCGCAAATTGAACGATGCGCTCAAGCGTCGGTTCGTGCTATGCTTGCGAGAGGTCACTTTCATGGGTATCTTCTCAAAGAGCGAGCGAGCTGTGCTATACTCACAGAGCGCTTTACAAGGCCTTGCGTACCTAGAACCGACTCTCATATTGCCAGGTGCATTGCAGCGGATTTACCCGGCCATGCAAGGCTTGGTTGAGGTTCATCGTACCATTTCCTCCATCAAGGCGTTGCAAATGCTCTCTAAGATCATGGCACGCACGAAGGGCTACCGGTGCCACGTGACGACCTTACTGGGACTTGCCATTCCGGGGATTGACCCCAATGATCTGGACAAGACAGTGCAGACTCTCAGTTACATCCAAGGCGTTTGTTACACAGTGCCGTTCCATGATCTTACACAAGAAAAGAAGGGCGCAAACGGCACAGCGTCAGCTTCGGGGACAGCGACACCGATGGAAGGCGTCGATGTGGGCACAGGGCTTGCTGTGGAGTGGATCACTCAACAGGTGGAACGGTTAGAGAACGCCAAAGGTTTCGCCGAGATCGATTACGACCAGGAGCTCAGTGATCACGAGGAACAAATGATCTTGCGGTCATCGACCACAGGGCTTGCTGAGTTCTTATTGTCCTTCCTTGGTCGGGTCTTCACCCTCTTGGAGAACCTGCCGGATGCTGCAAGGGTACGCAGCGGCTCGCCAGAAGAGAACGTGGCAAATTACCTGCCTGCAGCATTTACGCCACTGCTTGCGGCGCTTTCCCCACAGCTATTCGATATTGCTCTGGACAAGGTTGCCAACTTCATTACCAACCATGTTATCCATCAGGCTCGTGATGCGATATCATTCATCTGCAACAGCTTTGTCAAGGTGAATCCAGAGAAGTCGCTGAAGAGGCTGCTACCCCATCTCTTTGCTGGTATTCGCACGGAGATTGAGGATAATGGAGCTGGTTCAACACGAACCACAGGCGCCGAAGTCCTTCCACGAGATCGTGGACTTGTCTGGTATCTCTGCATCTTGGGCATGTGCGTTGTCCATGTGGGTGATGCCGTCATGGAGTGGAAAGATGAGCTCTTCGAACTTGCAGAGTACATGCAGAAGAACGTTCGGGGTGCTGCTACGATCCATGTTTCCAACTTCATACATCACCTTCTCCTCAACATTACATGCACTTACACCAACGATTACTCCATCTACGAAGATGACGAGCTTGAGACAGGTCTCACAGCAAGCTCGTGGGGTCGTCAGGTAGATGTAAAGCAATTGAACATCAAGTGGCACAAGCCTAGTGCTGAGGAGATTGACTTCGCAGTCAAGTTGTTTGAGTCACAAGTCACTACCTCTATCAATACTCTGACTGCTTTGATTTCTGCTGAGCCACCGGTCAAGCGAGAGGGTACGGGCAAGGACTGGTCGGATGAGCTCTCTCGGAACATCACCCTGCTGCGACTCGTTATATCTGGTATCTCTGTACTGTTCGATATCCGGTACGACCAGCATCAAGAAGCGGCCGATGAAGACGAAGACGGCGATGCCATGGAGACTGAAGGCATAGAGGACGATGCTGGACTGGGCGAGGCAGAAGACGAGGACGTCAAGCCTACCTTCCAGTACGAGACAGGATACCCTCTGAAACGTGGCGATAAAAATTACAAGCTTCTTCATGACCTCCGTCATAAAGTTGGCCTGACCCTACACGAAGTTCACTGCTTCCTGAACGAGAAACAGGAAGATGACGTTATCTGCTTCAATCAATTGTACAACGCATATCGGTCATGGTTCATCGACGTAGGAATCGAACGGTCTGCCCACATTCTGGAACGTGTGACCCGTCTTCTTGAATCGGACGAAGTTGCGTTCAAATTCCAAGGCTTGAGGAAAGAATATCCGCGACCTCTACTTGTCAGACGCGCATATGTCTACCACCTCCAGCGTTTACGCCACAATGCGAGCACTCGGCCGAAGACAGAACTCGACAAGACACTTCTGTTGGATCTTGCGCAATCGAGTATCTCCCTGTATACTGATATTCGCCGCACCGCGCAGACCGCTAGTGAGTCGGCCATCAAATGCGTGTTGGGCGCCAAACCGCTCATTGTACCGCCGCTTCTTGATGCTCTGGTAAAGGCTGTCGGCGAAAACGATTATCCTCGTATCAAGGGTGCAATGTTCACACTTCTCTTCGGCAGCTTAGCGAAGACGATCAGCCGCGATTGGCGGTTCACGCCCACGCTCATCAAAGCCTTCATCGAAGTTACCGGTGCCGACAAGCCCTCCGTTCAGAAGCTCGCAGCAAACGCGACCTTCCAAGTCATGGATATGGGCAAAGCAATGGAGCGAATGGTGATTCTCGACAAAGCGGTCGTCGAAGCAATTGCTTTTGTCATAGACCCTAGTGAAGACGATATTGTACAACAAAAGGTCGTGAAGCGGCGAAACTTCATCAAGCAAAAGCGAGCACGTATCGAAGGCAAGAAGGCGAGCCTTTCCAAGGAGCTGATTGATATGACGAAGACATCCCACTGGAAGAAAGTCAGCAGAACGGCGGCCATCATCGTGAATCTCACTATGCGCTTTGACACCATTGCGTCCGACGAGATGATCACGCTTGTAGCTAAGGGCGCAATTGACCAGCATCCCAGCCTTCGTGGCTTGTATGCTGGTGCGTTGGTAGGTTTGTTCGGCGTTATCCAGACCCGTGCCCTTGCCGATCACAGCTACGAGAAATATCTCCTTATGGAAGAGGAGGTGCCCGATAAGATCTCAGTACCTACGAAAGCGGATGATCCTAATTGGACGGAAGAGCATCTGAGCATATTCACCAAGGCAGAAGCCAAATACTACGTTGACGCCGATTATCCAGGTTGGTTGGTGTGGACAAAGACTATGCCAGCGTTCTTACCCAACCCTCCGGAAATGGCGTATGACGAGGTGGAAACACATGTTCGCAAGAAGCTTGCAGTCATTCTTGATCGCTCGTGGTTTTCGAACTACTTCGCTTTTATGAAGCAGGAACCGCGCGATTCTGGCGCTGATCGCTTCCGCATGTCGAGCGCTATGCTGCTAACGCACGCTTTCGACCTTGTGTTTGCGGGCCTGACCACTACTACCTTCGAAGATATCAAGGACCTCACCCAAGCAGTGTATGGCGACGGAAGCGACAAGCACCAGCACCGCGCCACATCTGAGATTATGGGCGCTTTGCTCACTTGTGCACCTGACCTCCAGCCTGAGCAACGGCAGGAAACCTGGGAGTATGTTTTCCCTATCATTCGTGGCATCTTTCAAGACGGCTTGAATCCGGACAACTCAGGTTACTGGACCACCTTTTTACACGTTGTACTTCAGGCAAAGGACCCTAGGCGAGGATGGCCTCTTGTCGACTGGCTGTCAAGTTTCCGCCTGGACATGGACTCAAATGCAGCATTTAAGGAGAGCTCTAAGATCTATCTGCTACAACAGTGTATCGCTGACGCTGGTTGGCACTTCCGCCTAGAAAAGCCGATCTTGGAGAACTTCATGCAGCATCTTGATCATCCTTACAAGGGTGTACGTGAAGCTATGGGCCAAACCATCGCCGCCATTTATCGAACACGGTATCACGAATCGTACAAGAACGTTGCCGCACTCATCAAGGCGCAGAAGGAAGCCTCGTCAATCGGTGTTCGGCCATATGAGCCAACAGCTGAATTCTCCAAGATGATCACAGAAGTCTTCGAGCGCCTAGAAGTATGGCGAGGCGAGCGTCCCGCAGGTCAACAAACGCCCTCACCCTATACAAACGGAGGCAAGACAGTCCTCCTCTGGCTAGACTCCACTCTCTCCTCCTACGAGTGCACACAGCTCATCCAGTTCTTCCCTAACGTCTTCACCGAGCAGTTGCTCCATATGATGGACATTAAGGAAGACCCCGAGCTCCAATCTCTCGCCTACCACGTCTTCCGCCACCTGCCCAATATCCCGCACCGCCAGGGCGAGGACGCAGAATTTATTGCGTCGCTTATCCGCATTGGCCGCACAGCATCGAGCTGGCACCAGCGCCTCCGCATCCTGATCAACATACAGGTCATTTACTTCCGCCGCCTCTTCTTGATGAGCGAGCAGCAACAACTCGACATGTACGACTGCGTCTCCGCTATGCTGCAAGATACGCAGCTCGAAGTGCGCATGGGGGCCGCTACCACGCTCTCTGGTATGGTCCGTTGCTCGCCTGTTGCGCTGCGTGACCGCATGGTTGTGAAACTCAAAGAGCGATTCAGCACCACCTTGACCAAGAATCCGCTACCGAAGCGTAAGCTGCCGGGTACCCCGACACCCGAGCAGAGCAAGTTGGTCCTCACTAGGCATGCGGCTGTGCTGGGGCTGGGCGCGCTCATCCAGGCATTCCCGTACACAAGTCCGCCGCCGGCGTGGTACACCGATGTGCTTGCCAGTCTGGCGAGGAAGGCGGCAGCGGATCCGGGTATGGTGGGCAAGAGTGTGAAGAGCATTCTGGCTGATTTCAAGAAGACAAGGCAAGATACTTGGCATGTGGACGTCAAGGTAATGCTCCTTCCGGATCTTTGGACTTTGCTAACTTTACAAACAGGCTTTCGAACAGGAACAGCTAGAGGACTTGGAGGGCGTGTTGTGGAAGAGCTACTTCGCGTAGGCGAACATGAATCAAGCTTAGATTTAGGATGGAATGGAATGGAACGGGACGAGGGAACGACACGATCAACGCGATGTAATATACAGATGCCAAACGTACACGTGGATGAAATCAGGGTTGGAAAAGGAAGAGGGTACCGCATGGTGCTAGGCGTATGTGAACTGCATGGTTGGCGCTGAAAAGAAGACTAGGCATGTGTAAACCTTATCATAGACTGAAAGAACTGAATCGAAACGTTGCGATCGACATGGTCGACCTCCCTGACCCACGTGAGGTCGTCTAGGTATCATCTAGCAAGGTATAACTCAGATAATCTCCCTATGACTAAGTGCCATGGCGTAGATGTACTACGTAGGTGGCAGACAGCGCCGTGAATTCCCAAGCGCCGATCAAAAGTTGACAATCCTCGTCCCTATACCGCGATTATCTGCCAACGCCACAAGCTCGCTCCCGACAACGACATCCATCAGTCCCAGCCCCACGCTTTTATATATCACGTTCCCCTTCTGCAACCAATCCATCAAGCCCCTGTCTCCGTTGTGATCGTCCTGCTCCTTCTTGCCCTTCCTCTTCTTCTTCCTTTCATCACATTCACCAATCTCAACCCCAGTGTCGTCGAGTCCCTCCATGCTCTTCCTCGCCAGACATTCATGCCTCTTCCTCTCCGCATCTCTCCTCAACATGATAAGCTCCCCGATTTCGACGACCTCGTTCCCGGTGAGGCCGGCTTGTATGACCTCTCCAGCTTCTTTCAGGCATGCCTCCACGCTGTCGACGATGACTGCGCCGCCTTGTAGTGCATGCTTGTGGTGGTGACGGTGATGATCGGGCGTTACGTTCTGCTTGAGGATATCAGGGTGTAATTCAAGCATGTGTGGCTTGTATGACCCTATCGCAGCGACGTATCTTCCCTTCTTCCTGCCTTCCGGGTTTGTCAAATGGCCCGCCGGGAACAGTGGCGCGAGGGACGGTGTGGTACAGAAGATGACACTGCTTGCGCGGATTGTAGCTTTGAGCAATCTCTCGTATTCCTGAGCGGCAGGTGTGATGATCTGTACCTTCGGCATTGGGAGATCGGTAGCCGTGCCATCTGTTCCTTTGAACAAGCGCTGCATCAGATTCGTCGCCCGCTCGAAACTCCTATTGATGACATTCAAGTGGTGTATCTCGGGGCCCCGCAACAGCAGCGCGAGTCGTATATGCCAGTACGCCTGCTTCCCTGCACCAAAGACAAGCACATCGTGTACGTTTGCTCGTTTCTTAAAGAGCATAGTACTTGCGAGTGCGGTGCGGAAGGCTGTTAATTCTTCGGCGTTTATGAGCGCTCGGGGGCTGCCGGAGCGGTCGAGCAGGGTGAGGAGGCCTTTGGGCGTGGTGCTGTCTTTGCTTGCGATACTATCGGGAGGCACGGAGACAGCGGTTGCGGAGCTAGAGGTGCTGGCGGAGGAGAGGGAGAGGGAGTCGAAGGAGGCGAGGGAGCCGCGCGCTGAGGAGGTGCTGCCGTTCGAAGAACAGGAATTCTTGGTAGAAGCTGAGTCTGGTTCTGAGAGCGTCACGATCTACAGTGTACGACAAGGTCAGTACTGTAAGGATGGTAGCGTGTAGCATGAGAGTTCATACTTTCAAACCCAGTCCATCGTTGCTTGAAGCGGGCATGAATAGAGTCGTCTGTCCATCGCTGCGCTTCAGCGATGTGCGAAGTGGTTGGTAGGAGGAAGAGCAGCCGTTGTGGTCTTGGTCCGTGGAGGTAGAGTAGTAGTGTAGCGCATCAGCCAAACTCTGCTGCAGGTCGAGGATGTCTGGATAGGTGCGATCAGCGAAATTCGTAAGCGTAACGTTGACCGTCGAAAGCGTACCTTGTTTCTTGAGGCCAAGGAGGAGTGTTCGGACCTCCGAATCTGTGAGGACCGTCAAAGGCATTGCATCTGTCGCAGCCAGCCGCAGTTCGAGGCGAAGAGGCGTCGCACACTCTGACAGAAGTGGTGAAAGCTTGAGGAAGGCAGGGTAAGGCGACAGGTAAACAATGGTGTTGTGTTAGCAGTTGCGATCGTGGTACCTGACATGATGTAGTGGGGGCGGGGCTCTGTCAGCTTCGAAGATCGTCTTCCCTGCTAGAGGCTTATTCATCACAGCAATTTGGCGCCAATATTTTGAGAAATCGTTCCAATGCATGGTATTCATGAAATTGTTCAGTCGAAGCTGACTGCTTTTGGCCGTCCTAAACTCCGTGGTATTCGAAGCCCGCTACATGCAGATGATAGACACACCAAATTCCCTACCGTCCCAAACACAACCATCAGGACCTGCTTAGATCTTGATAGCGCTCTCGAGAGCCTTCCTCCGCTTGTCCATGCGAGCGTTGGCCTTAGCACCCATGATACCACCACCCCAGTGACGGTTGGCATCCTTGTGCTTCTCAAGGTAGCCGTCCTGGATAGCAGAGCTAAGCTTGGAAAGCTCGCTCTTGTCCTCGGAGCGGACCTCAGTAAGGGCGAGGACGGCGGCGGTCTTCTGGTGGACGACGGTACCGAGCCTGGCCTTGCCCTTGACGATGGCGTATGGGACGCCCATCTTGCGGCAGAGAGCGGGAAGGAAGACAACCAACTCAATGGGGTCAACGTCGTTGGCAATGAGCACGAGCGACGCCTTCTTGTTCTCGATGAGACCGACGACGTGGTTCAGACCGAACTTGGCGGCGTAAGGCTTCTTCGAGACATCCTCCTTCTTCTTGCCCTCAGAGACAGCAGTGGCCTCCTTAGTCAAACGCTCCTTCTTCTCGGCCTTGGTCTCGGGTCGGTACTTGTTGAGGAGCTTGAAAGCCTGGGTGGCGGCTGTATCATATTAGCTCACGCTTCACCTAGTGTATCCGGTATGCCTTACTGTTGCGGTCGAGAACGTGCTGGAACTGAGCAATGGAAGGAGGGACCTTCAACCGGAGGTTGAGGATCTTCCTCTGGCGCTGGAGGCGGACGTACGCGGGCCATCGCACCATGCGCGAGAGGTTGCGCTGGGGCTGGATGTCCTGGCCGATACCGAAGTTCTTGGGGCGCTTCTCCAGGAGGGGGTTCTGTACCCATCAGAGCCTGCAGCAATGCGATTGACAGCTTTGACAACGTACCTTGGCGGGCTTCTTGGAGCCGGCCTTGCCCTGAGGGAAGGGCGCGGGTGCCGCTTTCTTGGCCTTGGGTGCCATCTTATCGTCGAGGCTGTCATTGAGAGAGAAACCATTAGCGAATGCTCATTCACTAAATAGCTCCTGCTGCTCTAAGAGTGAGAGGGCATTGCTGCCACTCTGCACTCTAGCCATCTTCAATATCGCTGCCTTCCATGACGGAAGCATGCGATGAATCTGCTGGAGCGTCGATTGGGGGGTTGCGCTTACCGAATTACCTGTGTTAGTGGAGGGGTCGACGGGTTGGTGATGGAGTTTCGAAGTCGCAGAAAAGCAGAAGTGTGCCCATCGTTCGCTTAATTTTCCGCGTCGGATCGGTGCGCTAGTGGTGCGCTAGTTCTCTTGCCAAGCGCGGAACGGCGAAACTAGCTCCGAATGATCCTCAAACACCACGGGTATCATACTTCAGCCTCATACAGCAAGTGGAATGGCGACGCGGGATCCATTAACGCGGCTAGTGCAGGCTTTTTTCGCTTGGAAAGCTGTGCTTTTCGTTGTGGCAGCTTTGTCTCCGGGCCCAGGTTATGACACATCCGCTCTGATCGCCACGAATCCAAGCAGCTCTCGACACATTGACTTCCAAAACTTGTCTACGGCAAGTCATATTTCGCTCAATTTCTTCAGATGGGACGCATTTTACTTTGTCAAGTCTTCCCAGAGAGGGTACATCTATGAGCAGGAATGGGCCTTCAGCTGGGCATACTCACTAGTGCTCAGAACTCTGGTTCAACGTACGAATAATCCCAAAAATGGACTGTGAGACATTGACTCTGGCAGTTGCATCTGGAAATGACTCTGCTTCATTGGGAGTTCACGTGTGGACGGGGATCATCGTCTCTAACACCTGCCACCTTGGTTCTGTGCTGGCTCTGTACCACCTGTCAGACATACTGCTAGGTCGGCAGCAGAACGGCCGTATCCCATTCGTCGCTTCTATGTTACATATCGTATCCCCAGCCGGCATGTTTCTCAGCTCGCCTTATGCGGAATCTCTTTTTGCTGCACTAAACTTCACTGGAATGCTTTTGTACGCCCAGGCCAGGATAACGGATCCACTTGTTAAGAAGCAAACAATTCGCGAAGATTCTTTGATCCTAGGAGCAGGCGCTTTGTTCATGTTGGCAACGTGGATCAGAAGCAACGGCTTGTTGAGTGGGTTGCTGTTCTTGTTCGATGCTATCGGCTGCGTCCCTGGGCTACTGAGGATGCAGCTGAGTCTGAACGACATCAGAAGACTCATGATCACATGTTTATCTGGCGCTCTTCTGGCCCTCGGCTCCATGGCTCCGCAGTACGTGGCGTATCAGCAGTACTGCGGCTCTGAGGCCAGTGCAAGCGCGAGACCATGGTGCTCCAAAACAGTACCCAGCATCTACACCTGGGTTCAAAGCCATTACTGGTAGGTCACGTCCCCTGATTTTTCTGGGCTAGGCTAATGAAATTTGCTAGGAACGTTGGATTCTTACGATACTGGACGTTCTCAAACCTGCCCCTCTTTCTGCTGGCCGGACCTATGTTGTGGCTTATGATTCATACCAGCGTTGAGTACCTGCGTTACTCCACCCAGCAGCCTCTCAAGCCACATAATCCCCAGCGGCGGGGCGAGATGAAGGACATCGTTGATCCAAGCAAGATTGCGATGAGATTACCACAATTAGCATTGCCCCAACTTGTCTTGGCTATCACTGCAGGCACTAATTTCCATGTCCAAGTAATCAACCGCCTATCTTCCGGCTATCCGGTCTGGTACCTTGAAATTGCTAGATGGTTGACGCTGCAAACAAACACAGCTCAAAGAAACAAGGTGTCGAAAGGCTCGCAGTGGATATACCGAGGATTAATCATGTACGCTCTTGTCCAAGGAGCTCTTTTTGCGAACTTTCTGCCTCCGGCCTAGGCGTATTTCCCCTGCACATATCCATAATCATTCCCTCAATATAATAACTTCGCTCGAAACATTCGTGTTTCTTCGCTCGGCTTATAATTAACAATGAGTCTCTCTTCGAAGTACCTCTATCAGATCGATGTTGCCACTCAGCCGTTGGTGTTTGATACCAAGTCCCCTGAGGATTTCCCACGCTTTGCACGAAGTCCAATTTCTCTTCTACAAGCATAGTAGAGCGGGGGAAGTCAGCTGGGTCACCATTTCAAGTCGTCAACATCGTCAACTACCCAGCAACTACAGCTTCGCCTGCGACCCGAGTTCTCCACATCCGCCTGATCCTACGCTATCATATGATGACCTCGTGTTGAGAAGCTCTCAGAGTCTTTCGGTCATACATCGCATCATACCATGCTCGGCAGTGACCGTGTCACCTGTGGCTGATTTTTGTGTCTCGACGCTACAGTGGCTAAACGGAACCAACAGTTCAATTCCGCTTAGTAGCCTTCCGTGCCCAGTAAGATGGTAAGCTATGTTGACCTAAGAACTTTGGAAAGTGATATTACTACTGACGCTTTAGTGGGCGCATCAAACGAGGACTTATGAAGCAGGCCCCAATCGCAACCATAAGACGCGCCTATAATAGAGTATAAGTCACGCTGTGCTAGCACTGGTCCATTCGGCTAACCGCGGGGTGTTTCATTGTATCAGAATATTTCGTTGGAATTTTGCCATCGTTATACATCTTGACCAAAAGGAACCATTCGATACCACTTTGGAGTTCCTTGCCCCGGTATCAAATGCTATATAATTGGAGACCAAGCGCAGCCTTCAATATCGGGTCTGCAGCTGCTTCTATACAGCAGCTAGTGGCATTGTCTCAGCCTTGCCATTTACCTAGGGGCGCTAGAGTCGAATTTGTACACGGACAACGGTCGCAAACGAACCTTTGCCGTTAGTGCCCCTCTTCAGGTCCATTGGTGTAACAGGGGCGGGCGCGTGCTCATAAACTCCATGTTTTGAACAAGCACCATAGTCTCCGAGTTCTGCCCAGAGGCGTTGTTTGCAACAGGTGGGCGTTGGTAACTATTATCTAGACTGACAGCCCTAATCTACTGCTGGCAAAGGGTTCCTTGAACTATCACCCTCCTAGAACTTGGATGCCACCGTTCGCAATTTGTACCTCTGTGTGGAGCTGTTGCCTCGCTGCCGGGCCATCATCTGCTCGTATAGCCGGAGTCCGACTGATCGACTTGTTACCAAGGAGCATTCTCGAGCGCAACATTACCACAGGGTCGTGCAGATGCGCCATAGGCTCTGCGTCGACCCTCTTGTCGGAGAAACATACGTCTGGAGCCTCTCACGGAGATGGAAGACCATCTGATGGTCTGCTGATAAGCTATCGTACACTACATAAGAGCATGCAACCACCTTGAATCCATACATCCTATTGTCAGGATCTTGGGTTGTTAGCACACCGCTCCAAGATGCGCCTTCTCTCTGTTCTTGCCTGTCTGTTTGCCTCTACCTCCATTGCAGCGGTCTTACAAGGAAGACAGGAACAATGCAATCCGGCCGGGGTTGGAGGTGCATGCGTTGTAGCTGTTCAGAATCGTGCACAGGATATGGCATTGAGCGACTGTCAATCGTTCATGACCAGATCGCTCATCTTTGATGCAGTGTACGAGTTCCTCTTCCGATCCTGAACACTCACTAATTTTCTTGATGAAGCTATATCACAGCGCCTGCAAGTAAGGTCTTTGTTACTACTACTGTCTTATATGATTGTCCATCAGCGGATGCTGCACCTGGGCTTCAAAACGCAAATCACGCACGCCAAGCTGCTGTAACCGTGATTACCGGCACCATACCTCCATATGCGCGTACATCTGGTGCTTGTGGTAGCAGCGAATACAGTTCGGTATGCCGAAACTGCCTGGCAGCTAGCATCTATCCTCCTAGTGGAGTGTATCAGGACTTTATATCTGTCACTGGATTTGTGAGTGAAAGCAAGGTCCTTCTCGCTCATCGCTAACTTTTCAAAGACTCTCACGACAACGGGAGGCGTCACTACTATAACTGAAAGAGATCTCTCATGCACCGGAAGGCTCTTAACGCCAATCGTTATCTCTCCCACGACAGGCTCATCGTCCTCTACGACGTCTTCCGAGACCTCCTCTACGACATCATCTTCGTCCTCATCGACAGCCTCATCAACGTCTTCAGAAACCACATCCTCCAGTACGTCTGTCGATTCATCATCTATAACGTCGTCTACCTTGATTTCTTCGACGAGCTTCTCAACAACTTCTGCTACGCCTACGAGCACCACAGATACCACGTGCACTACCACATCTTCTACCTCGTCGTCGAGTTCTTCAACAGGCGAATCTTCCACAACCTCAAGCTCCGAAAGTTCGTCATCTACATTTTCAACGACTAGTATCAGTACGTCCTCATCGTCGACCTCGTCCACAAGCAGCAGTAGTAGCAGTGATCCACCGTCAACAACGTCTTCTAGCAGTAGTGAGATTTCGCCTTCGTCATCATCCACTTCTACTAGCAGCGAGACGTCGTCGTCAACTTCGAGTGCCACCAGCAGTGAGACATCGAGTTCTAGTTCTAGCAGCAGCAGCAGTACCGGCGACACGACTTCAACCCCGACATCGACCAGCAGTAGCTCGTCGATTTCTTCTGGATCAACCTCTACTTCTGCCATCAGCAGTACTGAAACTTCTTCAACGCTTTCTACCACGACCACAACATCACAGTCATCAAGCACGAGCTCGACGACAAGTGCCAGCCCCACTGCAGCTTGCGGACTACCAACACAGACTCTGTGCAACGGTCAGTATGCTTCTCGTCGCCACCTCGCATTTACTGATACAACCAATATATCTAGGCGTTTGCACAAACCTGCTTGAAGATGTCAACAACTGCGGTGCATGCGGGACCAATTGCAATGACCAGCTCCAGAACCCTGGATTGACGAGAGCCTCCTGTGACAACGGTGTGTGCACCCGCGACCCCTGCAATGGCCAATGCAATACAACGGTGAGTTGCGGACTCAGCGATAGTCATGTGAATTGTGGATGCGCACAGACTTCCGAGGGGCGAGGTTTGTGCTTCAATAAAGTCGCAGCGGGTTTATGCGAAGACGAAGACCTGTACCCGAGATGCAGCACCAGCATAGGAGACTGTCCCCCGTTTACGGTGTGTGTGCCAACGGCTTGCTGCAAAGAGAACTCCACGGAGCAAGAGGATTTCGGAAGATGCGTGAATAGGGCGGGGTGTGAACGGACGACCGGAAGCCGCCTGGGCCCTACGCTGCTTTTCGAGCGCGTTGGTGATCGTATGGTGGAAATGGGAAACCTGTAAGTCGTGAGCCTGTAGTCGCTAGGCGATGATGTGGGAATACGCGTGAACTTTGTTGGAATGAAGAAGGCCTGATCTGGAATTGAGAGGCTCGCAGGTTGCATGCGAAGGATATTATGTGGGAAGTAAAGGGAAGAATTAAATTGGCCAGGGCTTGATACATGTCCTACACTGCATAGTTTACGCTTTCGCTTTTCCAATGGAAACTACAATGAGGGTTGTCATTCCTCCAAATGAGTTGCACAAACTCGGTAGCTGTGACTCGAAAATGTACATGTATCTGGTCCGATGGTTCACGCTTTTCATAATCTGTATGCATGCACATCGTCCCCGTGTATGTCTTCGAATCGGCAAGGGATTCAAGGGTCCACTGGGGTAGGCCGAGGTGCCTCAAGCTGGGCAGACTACCTGGGCACTAAGTGGGCATGGTCACTGTCGGACAGCAAGACTTACTGCGACGGTCTCATCAGTAGAGACGAAAGGCAGAAAAATATACGTCCGAGATTACCGCCCCTTGTTATAGCGTAGGTGGAGTGCAGAGCCCGCGTGCCCCCGCGTACCGTGATGCTGGCTTAGTAAGGCGTTGCTGCCGGTTGCTCTGGAGATGGCCGGCGTGTTTACTTGGCTCGGCGGCACGAGCAACCCACCAGCAAGTACCTCGTCCCGGCCACCTTCTTCTATAATGTTTCGCAGCATCCCATAGTTGTCAGATCGTGATTTCTGTTTGTTACAGAAGGGACAAGTCCCCGGGGTTACCTTCCCTGCCGCACACCATCAATACACTTTTGCGCTGCGCCCGTCATGACGATGCCGGCGCCCACGGAGCATCGCCGCAACAAGTCTGCGATGCTCAAATCTATTGTTCTACCGGGCCACAGGCGGACGCCATCCGATGGCACTGCATTGAAGAAAGAGCCGCACGCCGTCCAACCGTACGCTCCGCAAGGCTTCGTCCACGGCGCACCGCTGCTGCCGCCCGATCATCCGCACAGCCAGCAAAGAGCTGCCAATCACAATCTGAATATTCCCATCGACCCGCCGGTCTCACCTCATAAGTCACAGGACACGAGAGAAGGTCGGCCCAAGGGCTTGCATAAGAAGACGCTCAGCTCAGTTTCGCTGCGAACGCTGGGCAAGGATAAGGAGAAGGAGAAGACCAAGGAGAGCAGGTCGAGGGAGCCAAGCCGGACGCGTCAAGAGGACCTGGCTAAGAGTCATAAGAAGACGAAGTCGAGGACTAACCTTCGCACTCTGTTTGGCAAGGATAAACAGGCACAAGATGTGAAGGAGACGCGCGACAAAGAGAATACTACGCCGCCGGGAACCTCAGACGCAGGTGCGCCCTTGCACACTCCCATCTGGGCTGAGTTTAGCTCGCGGCCCCTGCAAGAGGTCACGACCACGAGCAAGGTGCCACTGAACGACCAGCGTCGTAGCATTGAGGAGGAGATTGCACTGTACACTCCCAGCAACTATTCTCCATCCAAGGGCCGTAATTTCTTCGACAATGGTCTACCTTCGCTTCAGAAGAAGTCACCAGTCAAGGAGCGCCCAAAGTCCTTCTTGGGCAGCGGCTCCACTCCCTCACTGTTCGAGACATTTACTCGTAAGAAGAGTGACGATCGAGTCCCACTAGGAGACACGAAGGGCAACGAAGGAAGAACCAAGGATAGCCCTTCCAAGAGCCTCACTCCGAGACCCCCGTTGGTGCGGGCCAACACGGACAACAGCCGGGAAAGCATCCCTCAAGAGTCCACCAGCCCTAAGAAGACATCGAATGCAGAAAAGAGACAGAGCCGTGTTATGGCTGCCGTAGCTGCTTTTAACGGCAAATCAAAGCAGACCGAGAAGGGCACTCCTGCGACGTCACCCATCAAGCTTGATCCGAAGATGGTCGACGCTGAATTCGAAGAAGTTTTGGTACGTTCACGCTCAGCTCTTGAATAACTTACTAATCGTACATAGGAGTCCCGACAAATCCCTAATCATCAGCGCGCCGCGATGAGAACGCTGAAGCTTGAGGTGAAGGCCGACTTCGTCCGAACACACAAGTTGGATACACCTTCAGTATCTCGTACGACCTCGGCCAACTCTGGGGTCGCTGGACGGTTGTCTGCTAAAACCTCTCTGTCACGGTCGACCAAATCGCGAGCTGGTTCTACAGAAGAGGAGAAGGTGCCGCTGGAAGACAATGCAGGAGGCACCTCGAAGCGAGAGCGACCCAGGAGCAGGACCTTCGGTTTTACCAGAAGTGACTCTCCCACCAAGAAACAGAAGGGTGAGAAGGAACAAAAGTCTACGGCTATCCCGAAATCACCCTCTATGAGATCACTAGCATCAGTGTCCTCTCAGCGATCAGTTTCCAAAGGCTCCAAGACCGTGTCGCCGGATGAGTTCATCAACTACCTAAAGAAGACACCGAAGCCGCAGGCAGTCGAAGTAGGAAAGCTGCATAAGCTTCGCCTGCTGCTGCGAAATGAGCCGGTGGAATGGGTTCACCAATTCATCGTCGAAGGTGGGATGACTGAACTCGTTGGCCTCCTGCATCGCATCATGGAGGTCGAATGGAGGGAGGATCACGAGGATACGCTGTTGCATGAGCTATTGCGTTGTCTCAAGGGTTTGTGCACGGCAGACATTGCTTTAAAGCAATTCGCTGAGATATCTTCAACCTTGTTCCCAGCTCTACTAGGGATGCTGTTCGACGAAGAACACAAGGGTCCGAGCGAGTTCACTACGAGGGAATTCATCATCCAGATTATCTTCGCCCATCTGTCTATGGCATCTGAGTCAGAGTTGCATACTCGCGCGACAGGGCTCATGGAACACCTCAAAGATCCTGTCAAGGAGAAGCAGGCATCTACCGTCCCGTTTGTCCTGCAGATGCGCCAGCCTCGACCATACCAGGTATGGTGCAAAGAGATCACGAACGTCACTAAGGAGGTTTTCTGGATTTTCATCCACCATCTCAACGTCGTTCCTATCTCGCCTTCATCGGACGAGCCGCCCATGTCTTACGCGAAGACTCACTTCCCTGGACAGCGCGCTATCGTGCCAGCTGCACCCTACGTCGGCGGCGTAGAATGGGATGCGACCAACTACATTGCCACGCATCTCGACCTCCTCAACGGTATCCTCGCAAGCCTCCCTACCCGCGAAGCGCGCAACACCTTCCGGTCTGAACTCAAAGTTTCTGGCTTCGAAAAGGTCATGGGTCACTTGCGGACTTGCAATCCCAAGTACTATGGCGCTGTTCATGACGCTGTCAAAGTATGGGTCGGTGCGGCATTGGAAGATGACTGGCCAGTCCGCGATGTCAGGATGGGTCCGCCTGATGGCAAGCCTGGCGTTGGGAGTCCGATAAAGCAGAGCCCCAAGAAGAAGGCGGAGAAGCCGCCGCAGATCCAGGCACCTAAGGTTGAGATCGGAGGTGGCCTGGGACTGGGCTTCGAGAAAGAGATCGCTATTGGAGGGAACCACAAGATTGACGACGATTGGATTTGAGCTTGCGACTCGGATCAGTACGAATACCTCCGGGTGTTGCATCGAATGTGTGGCATTCCTCGCCTTCTTCATTTCGAGCTCCAGACTTGGATAACGCGTCTAGGAGGGCGCTTTTGGAGAATTCTCAACCTTTGGATAACGTCATATCCTGCACATCTTCACTCTCCGTCTCAACACTTGCGTACACGTAGACGCATACTTGGTTCTCCGGCGCTTGGATAATGACTTGGTTAAATGCTGCTCCTTTCCGAATTTCTAGTCGGCGTTTGGATTTCACACGGCATGTCTCTCGTCAACTTTATTTCATCATCTCCTTCTCCCTCCTTCAGCATTACCTCACGTTGGCCTTCCGGCATGGCTGGGGCTGTAACGACACGACTTTTATGACCGTTGACGGACACTTTGCATGTTGAAGCCTCCCGCCACTTGTTGGTCTGGCTACGAATATGGCGGGTTACGACTTTCTATTCAGTTTTACATTGTTGTATCGCAACAAAGCACATTTATAGGCGTACTGGTGGGACATGGGCTTGGGCTTCAATTTATTCGCATTCTCATTGTTATGATATGTGCTGTGCGTGATATAGGACACGGAGTAAAGTAAAGTGAAAATGCAATAACAAGGTCGTGTGCGATGTGGAGCATTGGAAACTCATAATGACACACCGCGAAGGCCGACGGAAGAACTTGGACTTCTTTATTTCGGACACTCCCGCGCCAGGACGAAGGTCAACCAATCTTGGCGAGTGATGTGTAGGATTGCGTACCCTAGGGCAACTCACCATACAATGAGTGTCTAGGACTTTGGCTTGATATTATATGGCTGCCATCCAGGTCAACGCAATGGAGTTGCCGCCAGGAAGACCAACTTATACTTTCGGTCACTATTTACTATGCATTTCACTAAAATTGGGTGTAAAAGTCGTATAGAGAGAAAGGAGTCCAACAGGGACTGCACTGTCTAATGCAATGGGTATCACAAACCATAAATGCCGAACCCTATATCCATGCGCCAGAAATGCAAACACCATCCCATGCATCTTCCACTTGTCTATCCTCAAGAAGACACTCATGTCTTCCTCCCCTTCCCCTTCCGCCTTCCCTTCGACGAGTTATTTCCGACCTCCACATACCCACTCTGCACCTCGCCCTCCTCCAGCCCCATGACCTCATTCCCCTGCATCTCCTTGAGCTTCTCTTGTCCGCTGATGAAAAAGCTCAAGTCGCGGTTCTGCTCCTCCAGATCCGCTTTTTGGGCCTCCACTTCCTTAACCTTGGTCTCAGCTTCCTCGGCTTTCTTTTCCAAGTGCTGGATACGCGTCATGAGGCTCTCGTTGATGGTCTGTTCTTCTCTATATTGTTTGGTAAGCTTCCTCGCGAGTTCGGAAGCGGAGGATGCTTTCGCCGCGTTGCGCGCGGCGTCTTTCTCGAGGGCAGAGATCGTGGATAGCGCGTCGTCGTACTGGGCTTGTAGCTTGGAGAAGTCGGATGTCAGGGCGGCGACGTTGCGGCTGGCTTCGTCGGCTGTTGAGGACGCCTTCGCGGCTTTGTCGACCGCCCGCTCGACTTGTTCTTCGAAGTAGGCGCGCTGAGACTCGAGCTGTGAGGTCAAAAGGTAGGCGTACTCCATGCCCATATTATCGAGCTTCTCACGGGGGACGGTGTCGTTCGCGTAGCCTGTCATGCCTGCGTTTTTCAAGCCGCTTGCGTGCGCGGACGCAGGCAGGTCGACTAGTTTCCCGTCGGATTTGTTCTGAATGAGGCGGTGCACGTAACCGTCTCCCGCATAGTCCCACACATGCTGGGATACGACGTCCATAGCGTAGGTGTGGTTTGTAGTCTCGTAGTGCGCGAAGGCGTGCGCGCTGTCGTAGCGGCCGCAACCGATGTTGCCGCAGATGAGGCAGATCCAGAGGTTCTGAGTGGAGCCACAGACGGAGCACTCGTTGTCTGGGGCATCACCATCGAGGGCGCGGTTGTGAGAGGTAAAGGCGTCGTTTTGTGTATATCGGCATACGGGGCAGCCTGAGCCACGCCATTTCTCGAGACAGGCGCAGTGGAAGACGTGCTGGCAGAGGATGGTGAGAAGTCCTGTTGTTTCGTCCATGCGCTCGAGGCAGACTGGGCATGTCGGGAGCTCGACGAGGGAGGGTGTAGGAGGGGCCATCGGTTTGGCTGTCAAGGACGACGCAAGAGAAGGGGCTTCGACAGGAGAGGAGACGTTCGAAGTTGCTGGTAACGGAGCGGTGGGCTGCTCTGTGGCTGCTGGGGTGAATGGATCGTTGGTGAGGTCGGGATAGGAAGAGGGGTCGCGGTTCGCTGCATCCGACTGGAAGGTGATGGACTTGATGAAGACGACGTGACAGTATTCTGGCTTCACAACAGTCAGTAACAGTCCCATTCTTGGGGGAGTTGGCCAGGCATACCTCCATGCTATTGAACGGTTTTCCGTTCCACTCTTTCCTCCACTCTCTCGCTTTCTCTGCCTTCCAGAATTTCATCAACACCATGTACTTGTTTGCCCTCGCGGTCCTGATCAATCTGAAATGGCTGACATGCTCCCGTGTCTGCTCGCCGACGAAGCCTAGCAGGTCCGACGGTGTCATATACGACGGTACGGCCAGTATACATAGCGTAGTGCAGTTCCCCTCTTCGAACTCAGTCGCCGCACCCTCATCATAAAGGCCTGGTGTTTCCTGCCCGTCACGGTATAGATGCACCACACCCCAGCCAAGCTCGGTATCCTTCGGACTCGAGGGTATGAATTTGCCCTTCGTAGCCAGTCCACCTGCGTTCGCGGCAGGATGCTTGAGCGATTTGGTGTGGGGTCGTGTAGTTCCGTCGGCTCCGTCGGCAGCCTTCATATCGATGCTCAGGATAGATATAGCGTCGAAGCGCCAGTCTTTATGTGCAAAGCTCTTAGTGCGCCTATGTGCAGGGCGAGTGGGCGGCTTGACCAGCGGGACAGGACTGTCGTGGTGCTCCGAGAATGAGGGGCGCGTGCGATGGCTGTATCGGCGGGGATTTGGTAGGGCTGGCGCTTCGCTGCTCGAGGCAATGGGTTTGAGGGCACTGCTATAGCTTTTGTGGGGAGGCGCAGGTGCTGACCATGAGCTCGAGCTCCAGCTATGAGCAGGGAGCTCCGAAGCGAAGATGTCGGTGTTTGGAGGCGGCGTGTATGTTGTCTCAGGCGACGAGCGTGATGTGTAAAGCTCAAAGGCAAGATGGAAGAAATAGGCCGGCATTACGGACAGTCGTACCGGGCAAACATCTTCAAGTGAGCGCGTGCAACGGTGGTGGTTGTGGAGAGCGAGCTGTGAAGGTCAACTGCCTGCTAAATGTTGGAGCTCTGAGCTTGGAGTGGCGTGTGTGGCGCGGGGTCAAAGGGTCGAGGGTAAACTAAGAGGCCCGTTCACCTTTTTATGCTTACCAACGCAAACAAACGCAATGAATACCACCAGCCCGAACGAAGTGAGTAGTAAGATAAGATATGTATTCATCTATGGTCTCGTATAGACCCGTTACGTACTAGAAATCCGCCGAGGACGGTCAACTCCGTCCCTCAAACAAATACAGTCCCAAACACCCTGATTATGCAATGTAACCTCCATTTGACGCCTCATCGCATCCATATGCCATGTGAAGAAGTCCTAAATGCAGGACGAATGCTAGAAATGAAAGGGTATTGATAGCTGCTCGTGGTAAAACGCGAAAGGAAATACAAGATAATGGAGAGCGCGAGCTGATGTTGCTTGCGAAAATACAAGTCAAAGGCTGATGGGGTATTTGCTTTTGAAACGTGTCCAGAATATGCAGTCGTGTCAATCGATTCATGAGTGCAGGCCTCTAAACAAGGTCTGCGTCGATAAGGTCATCAATGTCTTCGGTCTCTTGCCCTTTTGCGTTAACGACGATGCGGCGTCCTCGTTGCTCGAGAGGTACGCCGTCACGCGAAGCGCCAAAATCGAGAACCTTTGGTATCGTTAGCACCCATTCCGACGCTTCGCGACAATGGAGCGGAGAAGGTCAAGAACGTTCTCCCACTGTGGATATGCTTACCTCGATGTACGTCATACTATTCCGATGCACCGCTGCGACACATCGCCGCTCATTGAACTTGACTTGCCACACCCCACTAAGGTCCGTCAAAAGATCTTTCACGAATTCGCCAGTCTTCACATTCCACATTTTTAAAGTCTTGTCGGAGCCGGAGATAACCTTCTGACCGTCGTGCTGGAAGCACGTAATGGCTCCAGTGTGAGCGCAGAGCCTACTTCTACACTGGCCATTCTCAGGATCCCAAATTCGGAGAGTCGAGTCAGCGGCAGCTGAGACCAGGCGCTCATGACTTAGATCCAGTAGACCGACTAGTGATGTGTGCCCCTCAAGAGTGAAAAGACACGCCCCAGTGTCGAGTGACCAGACTTTGACCATGTTATCCATGGAACCACTGATACAACGATTGCGTTCAGTATCCAAGACCACACTGTAAACTTTCTGGGAATGGCCCTGCAGTCGATGCAGTACTTCGCCGGTTGAGATCTTCCATACGCGTACAGTGCAGTCGTAGCTTCCACTGACAAGAGTATCGCCGTGGGCAGCGATAGCACGGACCGAATGGTGGTGTCCGGTGAGCGCGCGAATGAAGTAAGGGTTGTCCGAATCGTTTGCTGGGGGACCGGTCTGGATGATGCTCCTATCACCCGGCTTGGGCAACTTCCACACCCTCAACGAAGAGTCTCGGGATCCGGTAATGATAAGTTCCTCTTTTGGCATCATGATAGGTTGACCATCATGAGTCTCGCCAATCTTCGTAGGCTTGAGAATGACAAGACATCGAACGGTAGATGTGTGGCCCTGAAAGACTTGCGTACACTTGCCCTTTTCAATGTCCCAAACGCGGACAGATCGGTCGGTCGACCCTGATACTAGAGTATTACCTTCATACTGCAACGCCCAAACACCGCCTTCGTGGCCTTCGAGACGGTTACGCAATGCTCCGGTCTTGGTATCATATACGTTGATGTTGGTGTCGTCGCTGCCAGTGAGTATCTTATCAGTATCGAACTGAAGACAGGTAACGACGTGGCGTTGGTGGGCGCGGAACGCAATGTGCTTCGGTTTTGTTTCCACATCCATCCAGCTCTTGCGGATAAGGTGGTGACGCTGGTACAACGATTTATAGAGATGCATTTTACTTAAGGTGTGCAGGCCAACGCCGGGATCTGGGAGGACGTTTTTAGCTCTGAATGCGCACTCGAAAGGTCCCTGCTGCTGAGAAGCGTCCGATAGCAGTGAGAATGCGATATGCTGTCTAGAACTGAAAGGGCTCTTCTTCTGAGTGCGGGCCTTCTTGACACTAAAGTGCTTAGTAGTGGTAGGTGTCTTCCTCTTCGATCGACTGGAAGAAGACCTTGTTACTGCGCCTTCAGTATCCGGACTGCCAAGCGCAAGCGGTTCAGATGATTCTGAACCATAAGACGAAGTGCTGATACTGCGAAGGTCCCGTTCGTAGCTCTCGCGTGAAACTGGGTATTGCCAGCCCCATCCCTCGGTAATGGCACGCTCCAGTTCGTTCTCAGGCAGACTGTAGCCATCTCTGTCTAAGAGTGACTTCCAAGCTAACTCGTTGGTATCGACCAGCTCCCGCCACTTCCGCGAGACTTGAGCCGCGTTGCACATGCTCTTGACGTCGAGGAAGTTGATGATATGAAGACTGAGTTCCGTAGGGAGTAGTGCAATGAAATCGCATTTCAAAGCCGGGTTGACGACGTCTGCAACGAAATGGAGTGTCGGTTTAGTGCATCTTCGGAGGAGTTGATACATGACGTAAGTTTTCATTTTCTCCGGAAGGGCGTCGAAGGAGTCTAGCATAGTCGGAACGTCCATAAGAGAAGGGGTCAGTAACTGAGGGTTTGTGCTAAGTTGGCTCGCATCAGGTAGCTTGATTCTCCGTGATTTGGGCGACAAAAGCTGGAACGATGCCATATCGCTCTCACCTAGAGTCGTTTGAGAAATGTCAAGGCTGGACACGTCGTTAGAATCATCTTCGCCCCCATCACCCATGTACAAGTTTCCTAACGGGTGCTGCTGGGCAAGATTGGCTGCCGCTGTGATAGGCGATAAGCTCGGGCTGGGTAAACTGGCGTCCTGCGCCGCCAGTGTGTTCAAAGGTGCTGGACGTCCCGCTTGCGCGTACGGGGCATCGTTGGTCGGGAAAGGTCCAACTGGTTCTAAATCGGTATCCGCGATCGGGGGTGTGGCAGCGATTCCAGGACCATCCACAACAGAGGCGGGAAGTGCGTGCGTGTCGGGGATTGGGTCATCTACCGCAGCATCTTTGTCTTGCTGGCCAGGGAACGACTCCTGGAGGTGCCAGGAAGGAGGTGCAGTCTGCCGGCGGACGTGTTGCGATGACGACCTCAGCGCCGCCCGTCTTGCATTCAAAGCAGGTCTGGGTACTTTGGAAGAGCTCGACGCGCCCACATCTGTGTCGGGTGTTGCAGGTGCCGTTTCTTCGTTCTCATCGGGTGTCAGATTCGAGCTGAGCTTTGTCGTATTTCTACTCTTATAGTCTTGAATCGATGTGCGTGGTTTCTTGCTGCGACGTTGCAGACTTGCGATCTCGGCGGCTTCAGCAATAGAGGGCGGTGACGAGGATCGCTTCCGGCGTCCAGATACGGAGCGCACATCGTGATTAGGGGCCGCCATAGTGTTCGATCGTACGGCGCGGCTCGGAGTGGCGAAGGCAGGCTGACCTGTAAAAGTTTCTACCGTCTGAAGTTTCCCATTGTTGCTTGCAATGTCTCCATGGAGGGTTTTGTGCTGTTCATGTATGTCAGCTTGTATACACGTCTTACGGTGTTGGTGCATCGTAGCCTCGGCCGGTCAAGCGTACCTCTGCTATAGTGTCTGCCACATCCTTGGCCTCTTGGAAACAAGCTTGTTCGCCTCCTACATCGAAGCAGAATTTACGCAATGACTCGGGCGCGTGGGCGTGGGCGAGGGGGTATTCCTTCGGGTCTCGTTCGCTCAGACTACGCGGCGGTTTGAACAACAAGGGTGGAAACTGCGTGGTAGTAGTGGTGGTTGTAGTTACGACGGTCGTCGTGGTCGCTGGCGCTATGGACAGATGCGCCATGGTATAAGGCTCTATTGCCTGCTTTTGCACTATTGTAGTACCGGCAGCCTCGGGGTTACGATCGGAGGCGGCCATGATGCCAGACTTCCCGCGAGACGTCGAGTGACGCTCGAACTGCTGTAGATGGCCTTTCGGGAGCTGATCCGTACTAAGGTGAGAATCGCCCGTGTCGACACGTTCTTGGCTATACAAAGGTGTGTGTGATACACGGTCGGGGCTCGAGGCGCGGGGGCGAGCCGACGGGTTGCGGACAGGACGAGGCTCGTTCAATCAAACATGAGTGCAATAGAAACCCGGTGTCTGGCGAGGCGAGGAGGAAATACTTCGCGGTCGCAGGAGGTTGCCGGCGGGTGCTCGTGTCCTTCGGGCAATCGCTGACAGCGGCGACTTGAGGGGGTGAAACGGCGTCGTCTAAAACGCCGCGTTTAGGCGACCGCGACAACGAGAGAGCACCACGGAACGAATGGTCTGGTAAGGGAGTCAGTCGTGCAGGGAGGATTCGGGGTGGTCGAGGAGGTGGGTAGTGTGGTGGTAGTGGGGGGTTAGCTGGAGAGATGCACTGGGAGAGGCGCTCGGCAAGCAGTAGGCTGGTCTGCCATCACGGGGCGTAGCCGGCCACCCATTTTACGGTACACGTTATATGCCATGCCTGTCAACCAGCGCGCGTCATGTCAGGACTTTCATGACAGGGAAAACTCGTCGCTACGCGCGTTTGATCTCATCCTGGCAATTCGCATGCTGTCTTCACGCATTTTGCGTTCTTCGCTCTGTTATATTGCGCCTTCCTGATGTTGACATTTCTAAAACATAACACACTTCCCATGCCAATAGCATTGTAGAGCGTGGGTTCTAATTGCACGGCTTGCCGACCGAGGCAGCTTCTGTTCCTAACATCGACTGCCTCGTGTCTCCGAAGCTCTTGTCTCTAAAATGCTTCGGAATGATGCACGGCCTTGGAGTGCGTGGCGAACTGCATCCCCGTTTCTGGTTTGTCTTTGTGCTTTTGCCTCCATCACCGGAAGGTCCGGAACTACTCACATGGTAGACGACCACCAGCCGAGTAACGTCGACAGACAAAGAGGTGTAAAGTGCTGGCGGGACATCTATGCGTCAAACCTATGTCGAAGGTGCAGCAGTAAATTGTCATGCGCGATCCACCAATCAGCACCGCTTCCCGAAAAGCTACTTCTTGCACCATCTATCTACTTTTGTATCTGGTACATTGGCAACTCTGGACCACGGCTCTCGCAATAACGAAACGTCGCATCTAGAGATTGCTCAAGCTTGGAGCTAAATGACCTCAACCGTCCGCGGGTCTTCTACAGCATCCGAGACTAGCCATTGCTCTCGCAGATAAAAAGTCGGGCAACGGTCAGACGACTACAACGTACAAGCTCACCAGAAACAAGTATCCTCAAGTGTGTGCATTGCCAATGACACCAGAGAAGCCATTCATCGTCGCATGGCTTTAGGACATCGTAGACCGGAAAGCCAACACGGGGAGTTGTACAGCAAGTCAAATTCGCCCAGTGCACCGGATGTCTAAGACTACTCACGAAGCCCCTTGAATATCTGTATCTCGTGCTGAATTTAGCAATCGCTCCTTCCTTGTAGGTACTGACCGCCCTGGCAGTTGCCGTCCAGGCCTGCCGCATCTTTCCTCCTCCTCTCCTCTTCTCTTCCCGAATTTCATCTCTCTGGAGAATATCGTTCTAAGCTTTACGTCGTTTTTCTGTTTCTATCAATCAACCGCCAGCGTTGCTACGCATCCAACGCCTTCTGGAGGCACGATGGCCCCAGCTCGCAAGCGCACCCAAACCAAAGGGAAGGGGCAGCCAACAGCAACCTCAACGGAAGTCAAAGCGTCGACTCTGGCTCCAGCTCATCATACATCAAATATCCAAGTGACGCAGAAAAGTATCAGCCACGCTTCCCAAGACGCGTCGCAGGCACAGACGGCCGTCACCGCTCAGCAGTCCTCAGATGTCGTCCAGACGTTTCTGTTCAGCGCCGCCAGTACCATCCTTTGGATGAGAGATCTATTGCCAGACGAATACTTTCGGACAGCATTCTATGCATCTATCAACAAGCACTGCTCTTATCATGATTTCACGCGAGACATTGATGGAGCTACCGTTGTACCAGGGGACCGCTCACGGCCAAAAGGTTATCACCTTCGCGTGCTAAAGAGGAGCGTTTCCACTCGCGGCGACCAGATCATCAAGTGGTTGGTAAGCTGCCATGTTCGACGCCCACCACTGTAGCTCTCTGCTAAAGCACTGTAGGAAACGGGCGTTTTCGAGGCTATCAAGCGAGGCTATCTAGACCAGCTTCAAATCTGCATCTTTGCAGACGAATATCAGCCCACGAAAGTGATAGAGCTTTATTGCTTCCATTTCCATTATTCGGAACCTTTGCAAGATGGAAGCATTGCCGTGGATCTGGAGGTACAAGACGTTCACACCAAGAAGATAATCTCGCTCAAGAATACGCGTGAGGCCCTTAACACTGTGATCAAGAACATGGTTGGCCTGAATGGAACCATGCCGCATCTTCCGGAGCGTTGCTTCATGAGCCCGTACCTTGTGTGGTAAGTGCTTTCGTAGAATCGTCATATTCGCTAACAATATTTCCTACAGGAACGAGCGAAGGCCTTCGGGCTATCAGCCTCCAGGGTTTCTTTCATCTAACGATGTGAACATTAGTTTTCCCGTAAACGAAGGGTGGATGATGGAGACCAGCACTTGCGGTCAAGTCAAGACAGGCCATCGCACGGTCGATCTCGGCATCGCGTACACCAAAGGGGTGGAGTTCACCCTTGACGACGATGGCGAAGCAATTGTAATGCCAGACTTCACATATGGAGGAGAGTTCAGCCGCCTTGAATCATTCATCAACCAAGCTGGCAACCCACAACACCAAGGAAAGACCCCGGGCAGCGTTGTCCAAGAGCTACCCACACCCCGTCCAAGCTCAGTCACGGGAGATGATATGGACCTTTCGAGGCCTACAGCGCAGAAGCGGCACTTGTCTGCGTGGCTTCCTGACAACGAGATACATATTTCACGACATGGAACTATCGACGATGGTGCTGACACGCAGGATAGGGAGGACCTTTCCCGATTGAAGGCTTTGGTGAGCTTCAGACACTCGTCCGTTCTACTATGCCCTACTAATGTCGTCACAGCGACCAATTGAGCAACACCAGATGCATGATACTCAGCTAGTTCTTCGGACAACTGCTACGCCCTCGCAGCTGGATCTATCCGCAGTCACAACTCGGAATCTGCAGGGAGAAAGGCATGACTCCGAGCGCCCGCGAGTGACAAGATCACAGGGCTCCAAGATGTCTGAGTCGATGACCATTAGCTGCGAGTGTGGCACGAAGGAGACGGAGAATGTGGTTCAATGCCGTGGTTGCAACGGCTGGCAGCACGCCCAGTGTTACGCATACAATGGACCTGATGATATCAGCATGCCAGCAGAGCGTATGTGTTACACTTGTCTGTTGAGCAATGCAAGTGGCGATCATCTCGACAAAGCCAAGGAACTCACGCGCATCCGACAAGTGATTCACTGCATCCAAGCGCGAGGTCTGACTTCACTAACTCAGATTTCGAAGACTCTGGGTGAGTAGAATGACTGAATGTAATAGCGATAACTGACGGAATAGGACACACGCGGTCTGACCTAGCGAAACTGCTAGAACGACTGAAGCAGAACGACATCGTCCTCCTCAAGAATCCGAGGAGAAACTCGGAGCATGTATCACTCATTCCCACTGAAGCCGCCAAGCGAGCGTTGACGGATACCTACCTTGACCCTTCGAAGAACATTGAGAACTTGGTGAGTTTGATCATTAACTTGTTGCTTAAACGTCCATGTTGCTGACCAACCTATCATAGGTAGCCGACAGTGCTGCGGGACGAACGATCCAGAGCACTCCACGAAAGCGAAAGGATCATGATTCGCCTGACCGGGGTCTTCTGCCAAAGACTCCTCGACTTTCACGCCCGTATTCAAACCTTGTATTCGACAGCAATGACCCATTTACACCAGCTAGTGAGAGTTTCGCCGGTCAAGGCGTTGTCTGAAGATGGATCAAGCGAGACACCAATGTAGGTATCGTGATCACTAATCTAGCGACCGAATGTATGTATTCCAGGTGCATGTGGAGGATCTACAGATACCATCGTCAGAGAGCCCTGTCCGAGGCTCGTGCTTGCGGCAACTCGTGACCAGGAGCTGTCCGAGCTCACTAGGTTCTTTCAATCATAGATGGGCATAATCTTATTCGCGGTTACACAGGCAATCTGCCCCTATGCGGCAGCACAGTGAGTGACGTCTGCGCCTTGTGGTGCCTCATCGGAACAGAAACTCGCAGGGAATGGGCGACGCACGGCGCGAAGATGCATCTTGTACGACATCCGACCACGGTCGGAAGGGTACAGAAGATATAAATAAAGGAACGCAAGGTTGCGATAACGACGAGCACCGGTCTGCCAGGGGTCCTGCAACTGCAAGTCATGGCGCAAGCAGCGCGATTGTCCCAACCTTGGGTCGTTAGTTAAAATAGCGGGCTGCCTGTGGGAAGACTAGGAGGGCCACTACTGTCATCGCGATGTTGGAGGTCGACTTCGCCGGCAGTAGAGCCGAAAGATGGAAAATCGAAAATGGTTCCATCGCCACTCAAATCACTTGCAATTCCTGCTACGCTCATGCAGAGGACTGATCGATATGCATCGCGAAGGAGCATCGACGCGCCGATCCGGTATATTTGCGGCGAGCATGAACGTACGGTATATTGTGACCTGCTAGACATGGCGACACAGCGACCGGTCATGCGGGACACGGCAGGCTGCTGCCGCGTCTTGAAATTTACCACAGCTACCGCAGGACTGCGGCGCGTACGTGCAGTCGAAACGCTGCTGTGTGACATCTCAAAGGGAATTTGTTCTTTAGCCTCGCTTTCACAAAGTGTTGCTGATTGCGAATCAATGTCCCTGCGATCCAATTCTGAACGCCGACGAGCATATAGTCCCAGCACAGGGTTAGGAAACTTTCGATAGTGGCCGCTGTTGCATGCGGAGGGGAGTGTCAAGGATACTATGGCAAGGATGCTTGCGAAGCGCCAGTCCTGGAGAGTCCCACACGACATGTGAGCGCCACCAATGGCGCGCTGCACCGGATGCTAGCGCCTGCACCGTCCCCTGGATCCGCTCCAGGTAAGTTGGCCGTAGCCGTCTGGGCACAATCTGACGAGCCGAGGGCACGATACCATGAGGGTTAGAGCAAACATCCATCCTGGCCTCCTGATGGCTTCAGCGGCCCTGGTCCACTTTCCTTTCTTAACCATCCCGCTCGTGTGTCCCTGCTGTCACGTCCCTCAATCTTCTCTTCTAGAATCACGAACTTCTCCCGTACGCTCGTTTCCAGGTATCGTCGGCCAAAGTGAGCCCTGAGCCCTGAGCAAAGCCCGTGCCTGAACCGCTTTTGGGTCGCTCGAGGCCCCTCTCGCCCGTTTCTGGTTCCACCGCATCGCCCCTCTCCAAGAAGCTCTATCCCAGAAGAACCTGTTCTCATATGGTCCCGACAACGACCGAACCGGTGGCAACGCAATTGGGGCTTGCCGCCGCGTTCCTTTAGAGCCCCATGCTGTTCTTTAGATAGACCATCCGAGACGCCCGAAAGGTACCACGACTCAGTTGCTCCTTTCTGCCCCCCACTAACTCACATAGTTCTCGAACAAGCCACAAATTCTTGTCAGGCGACAGCCCAGCATCAATCCATCATGGGTCGGCATCGAGGACCCAAGTTCTCTTTCCCTATTCCGGGACGCAAGTCAAAGGTCGACAAGAGCGGCGATGACCTCACCAAGACATCCTCCTTTCCCTCCTTCACATCAGTTCCTTCTGCATCTGAAAGACCCCTCCGCTACGACGAGTCCGCTGGCGTATCCAGCAAGGCCCAACGCTTGCTCGGAACCGCTCCTCCTCCCTTTCGCACCATGGCCGGCCAATCGTCAGTGCCTCCTAGCCCTGGATACATGAGCATCACTGTTTCCGATACTGGATCAGATTATGACGACAAGGCAGCTTCGATTGCTGGGGAGCATGGCGGTTATAGGCTTCCGATACGGCCAGCCTTGTCAAACCGCGCATCCTCCAATCTCATGCCTCCGAACGCGGCGTACGAGGACGAAACGAACTACAGCTATACAAGCCGGCATCTGCACCCTACCACGTCGAATTCGACATTGCGCTCGCATTATGACGCGAAGAACTCCCCTCTATCAATTTCCCAGCAGACGTCCGACTCCGCAGTCCGCGATATGGCTTTGCGCAAGGGATACCCTCAAATCAGCGCCCACGATCGTAATCATATACATAGTCCACTGGCCCAGGAGATGGCGGATGATGACAGGAGAGACTACCGAAAGAGTAAGCCACCGCGGCTTGACTTGTCCAAACTTTTCCCCAAACCAAAAGGCCACGGAGGTCAAGAATTCGGAGCGGCTCTCCTTTCGCCGAACAAGCTGGTAAACTCTCCCACAGCAATGTCGACGGTCTCAGATTACTTCCCCCGACCCATGACCCGCGAACCTACTCCAACCCCGAGAACCCCTGCAAAGTTGACCAAACCACAGCCGAAACAGCCACCTCCTGCACCCCCAGTAGTGAGGCCGACGTCTCCTGTCCGGTTGCACAAGCGCGATACGTACGACAGTGCCAAGATTAATGTCCGACGTCCTCCGCGAGGAACACAGCACTGGTTCGACGCTCTGAGCGATGACAGCGACGAACTAGACGAGGAAGTGGAGGACACAGCGGCGCATGCATCGGCGCCAGCCAATCGCACCAGACAATACCCAGCAGTAAAGAAGCCGTCACAGCATTCACTCCGCCAGGAAACTACAGTACCAAGACATCAACCATCACGTGCTTCTCAATACCTGGCGGACCCAAGGCGATCTCAGCATTCCAATACCAATCAAAATTTCCATGGCAATCAGTATCACCAAGGCAACACCCCAGCCCACCGCCTCAACTCGCCAAGTGGGTATTCATTACACAGTCAATCATCACTCGGCACCGCGAGGACGAAGGGGTCGGCATTTTCTAAAAGCAATTTGCAGGATTCCAGCGTTCTATCGTTCTCCTCATCTGAGGACGAAGGGGAAAGCACTCGTCCTTCTAGACGCAAAGTCTCGGTACGAGATAGCATCGATATGACGGAAGATTCTGGCGACATCGTTATTGGCCAAGCTCAAGCTTTTGAAGTGCGACCCCAATCGCATTCTAGAAGACCCTCAGCGGGCAAACTAAGCTTAATGTCTACGTCAACCAACGCCGCCACGATAGAAGTGATGTACACGCCAGAGCCTCCATATACACCATTGCCGCCATTTCCGACAGTCCACCGGACCTCAGCCAACGGCAGGCGGGCCAGCCACACGAGACAACCATCTGTCATTCACGAAGTCGAAGACAGGCGACCGCAGACAGCACGCCTTCGTTCGCAGTCTCCTTCCGCACGAAGTACCCGAACTTCTAAAAGCGAGCCAAAGTCTCAGGAGGAAATGCGGAAGTTTATGGCTGTCACGCCTGAGGAAGAGGCGCTCCTTGAAGCCTTACGGAAGAAGCGGCTTGCAATGGCGCAACAAAATCGGGCACAAGGATATGAAAATGCTGCTAAGCAGGAGGACGTCCGTCAGCAAACGCCGCCAGAGCGGAACAACAAGAAGGCCGGCCCACCAGCAGCATTATTCTCGACCGAATCTCCTTCATCCAGCCCAGTCCGCATCGTGGAGACAAAAAAGAAGGCAAGCAGGAAGCCTCATGCTCCAGAACCGTTGTCACTGCTTGCTCCGCCCCGAGGACGCAAGATCGCCAACCACGACCTGAATATGGGCACCAGCATCCTTCGCGATAGTTCTTCTTGTGATCCTCGCTCTGGGCGAGAGGCACGTGTATCCATCCGTCGTGATTCGAGGCCACTGCTATCTCCACCCGAATTCTCCCCGCTCGATCTCTTTCCTTCACCAACCCCTACCGCAAGTGCAGCCTCACCTACCACCACCGATCATCCGTCACCTCTGCCCTCTCCTGTCACTCCTCGTATGCGCCATGGCGAGGATGATGTAGACGTAAAAGTTGCAAGCAGCGAACCGTCTTGGAATGGAGATAACGACGAAGTTGCCGTAATCGAGACCGGCATTATTGACCCACCAGCTGGCAGCATCAAGCCCGAAGAAGCACAAGCACAGCATCAGCGTCGTCGCACCGCATCCAGTGGCGCCGAAGTTCCTTTCTCGCTCCCCACCAAGATGCCCTCGACCGAGTTCCGCAACCTCACTCCGGTCACCGAGACCTCAACTCGCCTGCCAAGCCCGGGCGAGCCTCCTTTGGATCCTCTGCCGAAACTACCGAAGAAGAGCTCATTCCGCAATCCCTCTCTTACTATCACCACTACAGGCCTGCCGAAGAGCAGACACAACAGCATCGTCTCCGACCGCACTGCCTCCCCCAACCGCTCCGGCTACCCCGACCGTCGCACAAGTAGACAAGTAAGCCGAACAGGCAGTTTGGCTAGCATGAACAGCACGGCCAGCATCAAGCGAGACAGCGTGGCCGTGGGCACAGCGAACACACGCTGCAGCATCAGTGAAGACGTGCTCGCAGCATGGGGCAGCTTGGGCGGTATGCGCGACTACGACACTGCGCGGTACTAGACACTCCGCCATATCCATCGTACCTCACCACACACGACGCTCTATCGATCTCCTATCATCCATATACGCTAGTGATTTTCCGAATCACGTCTCAACATCCTTACGACACAGCATTTCCTATCTCGGCATCTTTTCTAGCGGTTTGATACCCCAATACGGCGGCCTGGTCCGCCTTGTAGTTGTCTACTTCTAGACGTTGTAATTGCTCTCTCTGTAAGGTGCGACGAGTTTCTTTGGTCAGCATGGTGTTGGTATTGGTATTGGTATTGCATCATCGGGAGCGAGCGTCAAGCGACGTACTTATGAGAGAGCGGAAAACAGGTCGAAGATATGAAAGAGGACTACAATAGTTCGCACGTAGAAGTGCGCAGAGGCGAGTAATGCTAGTCAAGTTCTGCGGATGCGTTTGATGTGCGTTTGTGCTGTGATGTCTGCGAAGAATTCACAGGTGTTTGGGCTGCGTTTGCGTGACCGGTGAATCTTCGTGACAAATGGTGAGATTGGGTCCAAGGATGCCTTACTTAATGACAACAGCGACGGCGGATCATCCAGCCTTACTACACAATCGCACACTGACAAACACTTTATGAATACATATATGCTGCTTTCCTGTCATTGAGCCCTCGCGGATGATACAACTAATGCCGAAAACTCAGTTGAAGAATATCTACTCACTACCTACTATAGGATAGATTTTGTATTCGCGATCATTCATTCTTCTTCGCCCGCTAATTCTGCAATCACCTTTGCTTCTCTCCTAGCTTCAATCTCCTGCAACGCATGTTAGCAACCTCTCTTGTCTTCAGAATCACGTATCTACCGGGACTCACATCAATCAATGGCGCAGCAGTCTCATACGCACCAACGAGCATGCTCTTGTACATGATCTCGTTCACCAGCCTGGATCTAAATCTCGCAACTTCCTCGGGAGAATCCAATTTGACGCGCTCAAGTCCCATGAGTCGAAAGCTCCGTATCATATGCATCAGCATGAGCTTGGGATAGTTGTCGAAGGCGATCAACGAATGTGCCACAGAGGTACGCCAGCCATATATCGCGGCAGCAATCCAGCCAACCGAAGAGCCTATGGCGAAGGCGATGCTGCCAATGGGGCCGTATGCAACTGACGATATGAATGCTGCTGAGACACCGCAGACGCCCTGTACCATGGTTGGTCACAAGTTCGGGTGTATGGTCAAGGCGATCTTGCTAATACTTACTGCACAGGATGCACCGAATGTCATCATACGAAACATGCTATTCCAAACGAATGTGTCAGTGTTCGTCTGCCGAATTGTTCCACTATGAAACTGTAGCGCGCTTAGGCCTTTGTCATGGTACTCACAACAATCCTTTACCACTTGGTGTGGTCCAACCACCAACAGCTCGAAGAAGCTGGCCGACTAGCGAAGGTGTGTGCTCCTGTTCGCTATCAGTCCGGTGGTATGCTAATACTGTCTTTCTTGCTTACATCAGCCATGGTAGATGGCATTCCTCAAGGTACAGGGAATACTCGATGTCATGGCCGAGAAGCAGCACCCTTGAAAGGGTGCGACGCTGGTTAGCGCAAGCGCTAGCACTCGGAACAGCCAGATTGATAGTGGATCCCAGACTCAGATCTCCCGTTCCATCTACAAACATTAGGTCCGTCGCGTTGTACAATGCATCCTTTTCTTTGCATGAAAGACATCAAAAACATGAGCCGCACCGATTTCCGGGGCATTTGGGGGTTTCAAGGCGTCTGCAGTGCATCTACCAGTGTTCAATACCCGCGACTACCAGCTCTCTCACCCATCGCCTATATTTTCTCCAAAAGCTCGTCTTGCCTTGGGCATTGCTATTGGTTTCTACCAGCTATTGATAAAGAGTTGTTGAAGGCGTGCTGACCCAAGTCTAGCTAGTTATCGATATCCAGCGAGCATGCCTTACATCCGTCAATGACAAGCGGGAAAATGCAGGTACTTTGGAGTTCACGATATGTTCCAGACTTTCGGTCCAGTTTTCTTTTTATTGGAACCTGGAGATGCACGCGTCGTTGCATCCGGATGGGGCCGGTGTTGCCTCCGTTTCTTTGACGGCGTGCGCTATGTGCGTCATTGCGCCTACCCAACGCTGTCGTCACCTAGTTTCGATCTACGCGGATACATCTCACAAAATGCCGCGCCGACGCCCCAAAAGCCTCAAGTTTCCTCGTGAAACGTCGTTACCAGGGTCGCTAAGCCCTGACTGAACGTGATGTCTGTCATTCGTTTGCTAAATCCTTTCGCAATGTCTCCTTCGATCGTATCCCTACTATCAATATTCCTCGCTGCGCAACCTATATTCGCGCAGGATTCATCAGCCTCCGGAGACCTAGCTTCGCCGACACCAGTATCGAGGACAGGGTCAACTTCGTCGTCGATCAGCACAGCATCCGTTTCTCTTGTGTCCTCTACAGGTCCACAGACCGTTGTACTTGATTATGGAAGCGTGTTGGTAACGAGCGTGGTCGGAGAGACAGTCATTGGCGGAACTCCAAACAATGCGACCGCTTCTTCGTCTTCGTCTTCGTCCTCGCAAACTACATCTACCGGTTCTCTCATTGGCATTACGGGTGCCAATCCGACTGGTAACTCGAGCGGAACCGCAACTGCGTCCTCAAGTCCACGGCCGTCGAACACACGCCCTTGCAATGGCCATGTCGAATTGTGCAATCGCAAGCTCAGTAACGTCTCCATGGTAGTTGCGCACAATAGTCCCTTCGTCGTTCCTCGCAATGCGGCCAGCAATCAGGTCTACCCAGTGCTTAATCAGCTCGAGGACGGCATTCGTGGCTGTAAGTCTTTCACCCTGTGCGTGCGCACTGGTAGCTAAAGGATTTTACAGTGCAATTCGAAACTCATTACCCCAATGCCACTGCTGGCTTGCACCTCTGCCATACATCTTGCAACCTGCTCGACGTGGGAACCCTCGAATCGTACCTCACCACAGTTCGAGGTTGGCTCGAAACCCATCCATACGAAGTCATAGCGATCATGATGGGCAACGACAACCGTGTGCCTCCGACCACCTACATAGAACCGTTCCAGAACGCCGGGATGCTTTCGTATCTATATACTCCACCCAAGCCCAATGCAACTCTGGACGACTGGCCCACTCTCGCGCAAATGATCCTCCTCAACAAGCGGGTGGTAGTCATGCTTGACTACCTTGCAAACCAAACGGAAGTGCCTTGGCTCCTCGATGAGTTCAGCTACCAATGGCAAACGCCCTTCTCTCCGACCGACCCTGCCTTCCCTTGCACCGAGCAGCGCCCGACGAATCAGCCTGACGATGTTTCGAGGAACAAAATGTACATGGTCAATCATAATCTGAACATCGACGTGCAGCTTCTTGGGCAAAGCATCCTCATCCCGGCTTATACCCTCCTAGGTGAGGTCAACGCCGTGTCTGGGAATAGTAGCCTGGGTCGAAATGTGGAAAACTGTACCGCTATGTGGGGTCGCCCTCCCAACTGGCTGCTCGTCGATTACTACAATTTCGGGAACTTCAACGGTTCCGTATTCCAGGTCGCTGCGGATGCGAACGGCGTGTCTTATGACAGGCAAGATTGCTGTGGCTCCCCCGTTACCAGCGCGGCCCCTACCGATACCCAAGTTCATAAGCTAGCCATTTATGTCTTTGCGGCGATTCTTTCGGGGTGCACGTTGATGCTGTAAGCTCTGCGGAAGTGATTGCACGGGCCTTTCCATTAGGACTGTTGTTCTGTGCCCGTACACACCGAGAGCCATGGCGGCTTGTTTCAATTCTTCAGTTTTGGTTGCATCGTTGGTTTTCAAGCGTTCTAGCATTGTATGGTCTTTGTGTTTCTGTTTTCCTAGAACGGCATGCATTGGGCCTTTGGCCACGAGCGCAAAACAAAACGGCTCTAGACAGCCTGTATCCCCTAATAGCATATTGTCGGATTGTCACAACTTGAACAACACAGATTAACATGCATAGGTGATAACACAATGCACCAGCCACATAGCACTGCCCTGCCTAAACTCAGAGCACCCCAAGAAGTTCGATTCTTCACGGAACCTCCGTCCACACCCTGTCTCCCTCCCTCGGCAGCTCCAAAAAATCCACCGGCGTATCCTTCGCAGGGGGTAGCTGGTGCCTCTCCGCCCACCCCCTCACATCTTCGAAGTTCCTACACTTGTGCACCGTGTTGAAATCTACGAAAGGCTCTGGCGCTTTACCCTCTGGCTGGTACCACACCTGTCCTAGTACCCCAATGTCGACCGTGCACATGAGTTGTTGGCGGAGGATGTCGAGACAGTGTGCTTTGCAATGGCGTTAGACTTGGCTACGAGGTGGAAGGGGGATGTAATGCATAGGATACCGAGTACGTACTGACGTGGTACTTCAAGATGTCAGGGTCGTTGGAGAACGGGCCTCGGCCTTGGGCTTGGTAGTATGCGAAGTTCCATGCCAATGACTTTCGTAGGAGGTTCTGCAGTGTCAATATGGAGCCAGTCGATATCGCGAGAAAGGACTTACGAGGCAGTGGAGGTGGTGCATGCCCTCGACGTGTGCGGGGTAGCCGCCACCGTACTTCTCTTTAATCTTGACTTGGTCGGGCGCGAGACCGGCTCTTGAGGCTCTGTGGGCGGGAATTCGCGCAGCTGAATCTGGATCGATGGGTTAGAATGTGGGACGTGGAGGGTAAGGGAGGGCTTGCAGTCTGCGCCGAGGGACTTCCACGCTGCGTCTACTTCGGGACCGGCATCTTGACGAAAGATGGTTGGCTTTAGGAGTGAGCCGTTGAAGCGAACTTGGGTGTAGTGTATGGCTATATCATCCAGCATGGGTGCTGTGAGGGATCAGTAAAGCTTCTCATATGATATCCGAAGTCGAATTGCATCAAACAGTGGCTGTTCTTGATTGCTGCTAGAGGTTAGAGAACATACAATACTGCGATGTATGCTGTATACTGAACGCATCCGCATCCAGACGCATAGCCTTGTTGATCCAAGCCCCGAGAAAAGCTGACAAGATAAACGTCATCGCGAGACATGATACAAACGAGCACCACGAAGGACCTCGTTGGTGAAACGGTCGGGATTGAGAAGGAAGGAGATGTTCTGTATCTGCATCTTCGGAAGCGAGAGGATCAAAAGCCGACTCTTTCTTCGACTTCCAAATCCACATTGTAGGTGCGAGAGATGGAAAGTATGAACAGCAATACAAGATACGAGACGCATGCTGATAGATTCAACGAAGGTTGCTTTTACCAATGCCAATGCTACTTCGCCGATACCCCTCAGCTCAGCTCAGCTCAACTATCACGTATTCATCATAAACACTAATCTGAAGACGTCTGCTCAGCTAAACGGCACCGTCGTTCGGGTCTTTTCTTTTGCTGGCGTTCGACCATTCAGAGCTGGCGGTGGCGTATAGGGCTGAACTTAGGCTAGAGCAACGCAAGAACGGCGCATAGGTTCTCGGTTTGCCATGCTCTGACTAAAAAGAAGCGGGAATATTGAGCGGGGTTTCTTGAAGACGTGGATCTGGGCATTTTCAGCACAGTCGAAGTGATCCACCAGATATCCATACATTTTCAAGCATGCCCACCGCAAAACCCTAGGTGCGTCCAGATCTGCATGATATGGAGTGTTCCTAGAACCTTTCTTCCTGCTCTTTTTGACTCAAAATTACAATAATAAAAGACAGGGCATGAGTGCGAACAAGCAAGCCTTGTAAAGCAGTTCAAACTCCTCGATCGTGGTAGACATCCAGCTCCAAGCCACCTACATGCCTCATCGGTAGCATATAACTCAAGTACGCCTTCGCCCAATCATTGTCCAATACCATTGCTAGCACATCGTATACGATGAATAAGAAGTTCAGCTGCCTCTCGGAAGAAGCCGAGAGCTTCTTGGTAGTCCTTGAATGAACTTGGATGTCGGCGAGTAGGCACCACAGACTTCGCTCCCCGTTGCCATTTTCTATCTGGAGGCTGGGCAACAGTATATACGACGTCAAAACCAACGGTTCTGTGTGGAGGCTGACCCGTAGCTGTCTGCTCGCTCACCTCATACGCTCGGGTGTTCGCTACCGCCTTCTGGATCTGGAGTTGGGCAAAAATGAGGCCAATGTCAAAGCGATGTGATCTGTGGAGGCTGGCTGAGATGAAGTCCCTATGCACTGTCAATGCTATAAGAGCTTGACCATATCAGTCCTGTGTCTATACCTTGCATCAAACGTATCTTTCCTATAGTAATCTTCATAAATAAGACGAATTCTGGATCTTCCCTGCTTACGTTTGATATCAACACAACCCAAGATGAAGTACACCATCACCCTCTTCACTCTCGCGGCATCTGTTCTCTCTGCACCTGTGGCTCAGTCTTCCTACGACGACTACGGTATGTCCCCCTCTTCTTACACTTCGCCCATTCTTTGAGCGTACTAACTATATCCAGGCTCCTACAACAACATCCCCGCTCCCGCCGTTGAGAATCCTCCCGCTCCGGCTGCTGGATACGGTTCTTATGGTGACTACAACAACGTTCCGGCACCGGCGGGTGGATATGCTACTTATGGGGCGTATAAGCGAGATGTGGAGAAGGAGGTTAAGGCTTGAGTGTTAGGTATGGAGTAAAGCAGAGTGGTGCAAAGGGGGTGATGGAATGGAAGCGCAGATTGTTCGTGTACTAGTTGAAAGTGGGGTGAGCGTATTGACACAAGAGTCTGTGGTGTTAATTTTGGCTTAGTGTTAGGAGGACGGAACGTGCTTCGTAGCTTTTTCTGCTTCCTCTGTTGATCCATCTTCGGTCGCATCGTAGAATAGGCCCGGGGTCAGACTGATACGCAAACATCTCTTTATCTTCGTTATTCTCGCTGCACCCCCACAGCCAACAGCTTATCCCCTCCCCCGAAACTGCTCAGCAACCATATCCCCCAACGTCCGCCTCTGCCTCGCCTGCCCACCCTGTGTTTCGCCGGCCAGTATCCCTGTCGCCAGCCCACCGCCAGCACCTTCCCTCTCCCGCTCGGCATCCAGTCTCGCCCTCAGCCCCTCAAAGCCCCTCTTCTTCTCCTCGCCTACCATCCATCCCGGAACGCGCCAGCTACTCGCATACGGCAAGATGTCCCGCCTGTACGCCGTGCCTATCGCCCATCCAATTGCAGCGCCCAGCAATGATCCCGGAAGCTGCGAGAGCGCGAGCTGGAGTGGTGGGAGGTACGTTGTCGCCTTGGAGGTGAACGTGATAGACTTAGCCCATATGCTTGTAGCTGTCTGCGCGGCGTTCGGCGACGACGACGACGTAGCGGGTGGTGTGGATGAAAACGGCGAGATCTTGTAGCGGTAGGTGTAGGGTATTGCGGCGTAATAGTTCGCAAGGAGAGCGAAGATGATGGGTGTGGGGCCTGCGGGAAGGAAGTTGAGGTGGCCGAAGGTAAGCGGGCGGAGTATGAAAATGAGTATCAGCGGCGGAAGGAGGGTGGTATACGGTAAGGTCGCGAGGAGGAAGGACTGCGGGCGGATGGTCAGTATGTGGTACCTTCGGGTTGGGAAGATGAGAGGGTACGTACGGCAAACTTCCGGCTACCCCATAATCGCTCGATGATTCGGAGGTTGTACAGACTGACTGCTGCGAACAGCACCTCGGTAGAGTTCGTGAAGCATATCTGTAGCTGCTGTTAGCTCTCTAATCCTCAAAAAGTAGTCCCGATGGTCAAGCGCCTCTCGGACAACCACGAGCTACCTCAAACCTCTATAATAACGTACCTGCCAGGTCAAGAGTCTCCAGAACTGCCCATACTCCCAGATATGCGGGACCACCTGTATGTGTACATAGTACCGCGTGTCCGTCAAGCTCGCAACCAGCGCGGCGATGATAATGCCGAAGACGAGGAATTGCGACACCGGCGCATTCGTAAAGCCAGACGTAATCATCGTGATCGCAGGTCAGCTTTCATGACTTGGCGCAGTGGAGGAAAACGTAGCGAGATCCTTGGAGAGTGAATCGCAGGTTGACGTGGGGGGATATGCAGCGTCGGAGGTGCCTCGGAGGTGCCACAGCGTGAAATGTGGCATGGACTTGCTGGAAGCACGTGCGATGTCATCCGGGTCGATTTGAAGTGGGGCGCAACACCAGGTCACAACTCCTTCTATCATTCTCGAAATATCTTGGTGGCAATTGTAAATCTGAAAGCCGGTATGCGCAGTAAGTGTGCATTCAGCGGGACTAAAATGTCCTTGCTTATCCCAGTGGTATCCCATTCCCTATGTCCTTGCAGACTGCATCTTCTTACTATAACACCGTATCCAAAACCCACGCAACCATGTGAGACGCCAAAAAAAAACATTGAGGATATAAAGAATCAAGGGAAAGCCGCCATACGCACGCAATTTTTCACCGACGCCGGCCGAATGACCGCGTCTTTTCAACAAACTCGTCCTCGTTCTCAGCAGGGTTGAAAAGGAAGTTCGCTTCCGTATATGATGTTGACCGATGAACGTTCCTAGCATCGGCACCTGTTATATTTGGATTGTTTGTGCCCCAAGAGCTTATTTGGTTGTACCAAGGGCCGCGGTAATTCGCATCCATTTCTGTGGTCTGCGCCTCAGATACAACGGAAGGAGGGACCTCCCAAGTCATTTCCTTCCCTGCGTCCGATTGCTCTTCAGGCTTGTATTCCGACCTCAGCTGTTCGGCGGAATACGAGGTGTGCGCGGCACGGCTGCTGTGACGTGCAGGAGCAACTGGCGCGTCACGGCCTCGCGTTGACTGCTTGCTCTTGTTGGATAGAGGGCTATTTGTAGCGCTTGACCTCTGCGAGGTTGGCCGAGAGGACCGTGACGATGTGTCCAAAGTCAAGCCATTCTGGAAGTGTGCTCGTAGACCACCGGTAGGCGTTTGAGGCGCGCTTCCAGTCTGATTGGTGCCATATGGATCGTAAGCCAAAGCGGGAGATAATGTTGTTCGCAGAGATCCTACTCGCCGAGGTGCACGGTTTGGTCCTGGAGTAATCGGTTGTTGTCGATAAGCTTCTGGAATCTGAGGGACTTGCGGCATAGGTTCTTTCTTCTTCTTTTGTTGCTTCAAGGACGCGTCTGATAACCGTCTGGAAAGATCCTTAGTCGATCGCTGGGTCTCTTTCTTCATATCGATAAACTTCTTCGCCCGATCGGAGACGAAAATCATTGACTCCTGGCTTGGTTTGCCGTGCGGTGAAGCAGGCATACTGTAGTAATCGGAGTCGTTGTAGCTCGTTGAAGGGCGAGACTCGTCGATCGAGTGCACGCGTGTAGGATATTCCGGTTGCTCGTTCGCGGTCACACAAGCATCTGTGTTATACCTGACATCGGTTTGGGCCTTGGTTGCCTGTGCCTTTAACTGTTCAATCTCCTCCAATAGGTCACCTTTGCCCATTTCCAACCCGAGAATGAGCTCTGCGGCTTCCTCCAAGGCTTCGTTTCTCTGTCCTAATTCTGCCACAGTTTCTTCCGATATCTGCAGGATCAACTTGTTCTGGTCACGAAGGTCGGACATTTCGTCTTCCATGTCTTGCGCTTTAAGTGTGAGCTGATTGTTTGCATGCCGCAAGTCATCGACTTGCACTGCATATGGCTCTAGCTCCTTGATCCGCTCCACATACTGCTCGTTTTGATCCCGGAGCTTGTTATGCTGATCACTCAAAGCCTCGAGCCGTAACTTCAAATCCATCTGAGCCTTTCTCAGAGACTCGTTTTCCGCCTGTAATTCGCGTTGCGTGCGCATCCGCGGCAAGGCTCCTTCGCTCGGCCGCCCAGGGCGGCGCACTGGGGTGGTCTTCATGGTGTCTTCCTCATTCTTCGCATTGTCTAACCACGGATCGGATACCGCGCTCTTGAGCGTCTCCGCGTGGGCAAGCCTAGTGTCCGGAGGCGTGGGAGTAGGTGTTATGTGCGCTTGCCTTTTCGCGTCCAGCGCATTACGAAGAAGTTCAGACTTGGGCTCGGCGAAAGAATCGGTGCGGTTGCGTGAAAAAGGTGTCGAGACAGGCGTGTGTGGTAGGCTTGCGCGCCCAGGTAGGCGATTTGGTGTACTCATATTGCGCAATGTCTTGATGATAGTTTGTGGTATTGTACGGCGCCCTGGTGAAACAGTTTTATAACTTGTCTGTAGGAGGCGGGCTTTGTGCTGAACGATGTCTTTGTCCCAGATAGTAGGATTTGACGTCACTTGAGCTGATCTGGCGTGTGTACAATGTGAGATGGATGTCGGCGCGCAGAAGGAGTGGGTAATGGTAAGGGCAAGCAGCCTAGAGTATGTCACGAAATGCGACGGGTGAAAGGAGTGACGGGGTAAACGATCTATGGGCGGGGAAAGTGAGGTTCTCCCGAGCAGCGCGCCGTGGTTCGAGTGTTGGTAGTGGAGTCGCGTGCGAAGTGAGGCGGAAAGTCGCTGGACAGAGGCTCGGAAGAGTCGTCCTTCGGTTCCATATCGTGCTTTATGTGGCGGGCGCAGTGGAAGGTAGGCGCAAAAAAGTCCAGATGTGAGGAGGTGGTGAAAGTCAATGGCAGCGCTCTCATTCCATGTTCCTGCAGCAATAGTGGTAGCAACGCCTCAACAACGATGGCCACACAAAGAATGCTTTGCGACGGCTCACAATGCAGCAACAAAGAATGCGACGGTACGGCGTGGAGGATGGGTCTCACAAGGGAACTGGAGGGCGCGAGATCCTGGGGTGCGCGCTCTCGGTCGAGTGCTCACTGGGCGCAGGCTGGCCATGATTTTGGGCGGCTGGTGGAGCTAGCGGACGCGAACGATGAAGCCGCGACCCGCGACGCTGGTTCCTCAGGGCCCGCAACCCCTTTTGTGGAGGCGAGGAGACGCCATTGGTCCCGATGGCGTGAATTGGCTGGGATTGTCGCATCATACCCCGGGCAGTTGTGCTCATCACCTTCGTCACGCCTCGCCCCAAGCCACGACGAGTGTGAGGACCAAGGCGACGACCATGAGCCCCTGGGAACGTTGATGCCCGTTCGTTGTGAGGTTGGGTGTCAATTCCATCAAGAAAGCAAACATGAGACGTAGGCTTATGCGCCGTCAACCATGGTGCCCGGCGGGCCGATACGCTGCTTCTTCGTGCCGTTTCCTGCAAGGCTAGCCCAAAGCCGATCACGTCTAGCTTGCGAAGTCGCGCGGAAGAGGAGTTAGCCAGAAACTCAATTTCGAGAAGATTGAGGGAGCGATGGGGCATCAATGGGAGCAGTGCCGTCAAGCCTGAAGCAATCAACGGTTTATCTCAATGCCGCGTAAGAGGAATCATCGCCAGCATCAAACCGAGCATGCATGTCTACCTATGCCGGTACGCAGAGGCCTCCAGCTAGCCATAACACTCATACCAGGCTCCTCGCTCCGCTGGTCTACTAAACGTTTCGATAGACCGGAGTAAGCTCTATTAGCACCGGTATCAATTTAGCAGTACGCCTTTTCCATGACGAGAAAATTGTTTGTCGTTCTCGTGGTGACGCTGCAGCACGACAATCACTTCCTCTGAATCCACAGCTGAACAAATGCAAGCACTGAGTCTGTTACCGTGATATATCTTGCAATCGTATCAGTAGTGAACTCGTGTGCCCTCTGCAAAGCACAAGCAGAGCCTGGGCAAGGCCGTTTTCAAACCGCATACTGGGCGACACATGTTGTTACCAATGTACGTACTCTCTATCTATGCCACTGTCTCTTCGTCACGCTCCAGCGAGCGGAAGGATACGCAAAGCAGCGAATGTAGTAGTTGCAGGATGTCATATGTTGACCTAAGCCTGGTCCTGTGGCATACAGTACGAGAGAGCTAAAACTGGAATGAGAGTTCCCCAGTGTACAGTGCGTCGGTGCGAAAGTCCAAGATCAAAGCAGAAGTGTGAGCAGTCTATACATGCATATGGTGACAGCTCTATCTCCCCTTGCGTCACATTTTGAATAGTCTTATGACTGCCGTGTCAATTCGATGTAGCGTCCGTAGATAAGATCAAGTCAGCCGACGGCCGCAAGGTTTACCGAAGGGTACACAAGGTGGCGTCTAATTCAGTGCCACCATACCAGCAACTACCTGAAACATGATAAAAGCGTAAAAGCCTCTGTACGACGTTGGACATAGCGGTGCCTCCCGACTGCACATACCCGCAGCGGTGAAGGTGTCATTACAAGCACTAAATCTGCTACAGACCCAGCGCTCGGGAGTGCGGTACGATGGGCTTCGCTGCCGTACCATTCCCTTGCCCGGTTCTCGGTCGCCACAATGACCACCTGTAGAACGTAGAATCCCGCGCCAGTTGTCGCTGGTGACACGCAAATCCTCCCTACTCCATGCTTACCCCCACACCCGCCTCATCCAATCTTTTTTCCCAATCTAACCTCATCTTCTCCAGCTCAGCCCAGCATTGCTCGCCTTCCCTGACAAAGTTCTCTTTCGACTGCGGTGTCAAGGTCTTTGCATACGGGCTGCGCCCATACTTCCGCGGCCTCTCCCCGATCTCGCCGCCCCATCCCCAACCCTCAACCTCCGTCCTTTCCACCCGCTCATTGCCCCGCACATCGATGGCACTGCCCCACTTGCCCACTCCCTCCCGCTGCTCCATCGTGTCCAATGTGCTTTGCTTCGCCAGCGCCAGCCAGACCGCTGCCACGGCGCCCTTGTCCACAGTCACAACGTGCCATTGGCTACCTAGCCAGCGGCTGATGTAACACACCAACATCCACGCGTAGTCAAGAACGAGAATCAGCGGCATGATCGGTGTATGCGTGATGCCCGGGTGAGAGAGGTATATGCGGGGCTTAGTGATCTTCTCGGAGGGCTGTTCGCAGTCGAGGTATTTGTTTACGTGGGGCTCGGTGGCGGGGAGGACGGATGTTATCGCCATGAGGTCGGTAAGTCGCTTTGACGACTCGTATGCCTCGGTTGATTCTAGGCATTGTATATCCTGTATATCGAAAGTGTGCTCGTACGCCTCGAGACTGCTTGTCCAGATCAGCCTGCCCAACGCCTGTTTGGTTTGTGATCGTCTAGCCAGGAGCGGCGCAAGGTAGTGTCCCAACAGGTAGTGTCCGAAGAAGTTGGCGCAGAAAACCTCACCCAGAGGTGGCTCCTCCCTCTCGCTGCCATCCGCTGCTGGCGGGAGCTGTGGCTTCGTAGTCCATCCCACACCAGAGAGCTTGAAAGTCGGCCACGTCGTACTTGTTTTCCAACTTGTGAGGATTGTCCGGAATGCCAGCAGCCAGTTTATGCCTGTCCAGCCGCCGATCCCCGCATTGCATATGACTACGTCAAGCTTCGGTACTGTGTCGCGTAATTTCTTGCTCAGCTTCTGGACGGAGACTAAGCTCAGGAGATCAAGCCTCTCCTGCCGCAACTGAACGCGTCGTTGCAGTACCTGCGACACGCCCGGAAGCTTCTTCTCTGCCTTGCGACATACTTTGCGCAACTGTTCTCCTAGAGCTGCGATTGCTGCGTCGCCTTTGCGTTGGTCGCGCGTTGTTATGATGAGTACGAGGGATTCGTCTTGCGGGCGTGTTTGCAGAAATTCGTCGATCAGGCGGGCGCCAATTCCAAGGCCGAGACCGCTGCTACAATGTCAATTTATAATTCCCAAATTATCGCTACAAGTAGCCCACCTATTTGCACCCGTGACCAGGACGTAGAATGCATCGTCGAGCGTTGAGGCTTTCGACATGTTGGCCGGGCTGAAAGTGGAAGAAGGTCGTTCGTTCCTTGGCCCACTTGCCGAACACGCTCCCGCATGCGCGTGACCACGTGCAGTTGCTCTTGCGCGACACTACCACTGAATTTCCCTCCTGTGAGCCAAGCAGCGACTCAATCGTCTGTATACTACACAGATGAATATAGGAGTACAGTTTTCAACCTCCATGTTGTGCTTATCTTAGCCCTCAGATTCATGCTAGAAACGCGGGCGATCTTGAGTCTCTTTGGGAAATTAAATTTTGTGTCACGCAGTTGTAGTCTGCGATATTGCTTTGGTACAAATCCACGTTTGGGATGGAATAATCATGTTGTGACGATTGAGAAGACGTGTGTAGGGGAAATCGTTCTACCTGTCGAATCGGAAAGATTTAATATCTTGATTTCATAATATCATAATATTCATCTGATGGCCTGCATCTTGCTGAGAGGCCCAGATGCGTATTTCCAATCAGTTGCTAAGTAGCTGATGGATCGGGTGCCTCTCCATGTAAGTCTTCACAACACTCTCAGGATGTCTATGCCGATTACCAAATCTTTGATTCTGGACCGCTCAGAAAGTTTCAAGCGCAAGCGGCTGGCCCGGCTCTCCCATTGTCCAGGGGGTCCATGAAGCATGTTGATTTATAAGGATCTCGTCAGCCATCATCGGTATATTGCCTCCGATTCTACAGACACTTCAAACACCCGCATCCGCGAAACATTACCTCATCAGGTTGGTTGCACAACTGAGGCACTTCTGACTCGTATAAACTTCCCTATAGCTTACCAACCCTACGAGCAGCTAATGCAGATGCAAAGTGGACACTACTGCGCGACACCAGATAGCGGATCTGCAAAGCGTAGAAATTCGGGCACATGCTTGTCAATTTGCTCCGATAGGTATAATTGGACCAGGTTTATGTGCCGACCGAGTGGGATACCAGCTTAAGCGTTTCGGGGTAGGTGGGAGCATATTTGCTTGACTTGTTGACGGAAGAACCGACATGATTTGATATTGAAAAGGGCCGAATGTAAATGCCAGGCACGAGTTATCGTTCAGACGAACCGCAATAGGGAGATCTGTACGTCAGTATGGTACGAGATCCTGGGGTCAAGGTATAGCTGCACGTCAATCCAGGTCAGCCGTTGAGCTAAGATATGTAAACAGGGCTGACAACGTTCGGCCGTTGAACTTTGCGGATCTCGGGTTGTTTCAAGTAATCTGTCGGAGTATTCTCCGTAGCTTATGATGGGTAGCCTTCCGCTTGATGGTGTGGTGAAGCAGTATCAATGGTCTCGCTCGATATCGTGCATTGCCTTTCACCTGCTTGACGTCCGTAAGCGTACGTCTGAATGCAACTGAGTGAAACGAGCGTCACCAAGACTTTCGCTTAGGACCATACCTAAGCAACCTCCGAACAGTCTGAGATAGGCAAGAAAGCGTAGAAGCTTGCTAACAATTGATTTGAACGGAAGACACGCATAGAGAGACAAACGAACGCCGCCGTGGTGGTTTCTATTGGCCGACTTCAGATCGCTCGGCATGAGGTTGACCGTTGGCAAGTTCCGGGCCGGTGAACTGACAGCTCCCGGGCCGAGCCGTGACCGTTATGACAGATTCACAACCGTCAAGCTCCCACCTATCAGACTATCCCTACGCTTTGCTTTCCCAAGTCTAAACGTCGATAACGCAAACCTTACCTACTCGCCAACCAACAGTCGTCAAACCGGATAAAGGTCGTAAGGGGTATATCGGTTCCAGCTATGCCGACGCATGCGAGATATAATTACCGGCGTGATCGAGCAGTAGTATGTGCGGAAGAAGCCTGGGACCGGTTTGAAAACGTGTCTCCTTCAACGTGAGTGGGTAGTCGGATCTGCGTGTGATCCTTGTTGCAGCTCGACACGGCCAATTGACCCTTGCAGCTGATAACCGAGAACTCGAGTCTGGTCGATCCTGAATAGCGGCCTAAGATGTTTTTGCTGCAAGCGCGTGCTGCGCACGTTGCTAGACCAGATTTCGTACGCGGGTCTATCCTCCGCAGCCCAGGAGGCGGTTCCATTGCTCAGTGTTGTTCCTTGTCGTGGAGAACGCCATGCCCAGGCACCTTGGCAAGTAAAAAGTATAAGCCCGAACATTGCAGTTGATGATTAGCTTGCCAGCTCTGTGGAGCTAGGTAGCAGACTTCTAACGGTACTTGACTACGCGGCCATTGCTGATGGTGTGCCGGAACTGGGCATCGTTGCTGCCGTGATCGCGCACGGTTCGACTAAGTGGCAGGGACTTTGACCGGATGACTTTGGAGCTGACGTCGTGCGGGTAAACGGGCTGCTCGCTTGATGTGTACTGACGCAGCCACTGGATGAGATTACTAGTCCCCGGATCCCACGGCGATCAATTCACTTGCATGAAACATCTAGGCTTCGCGTAATCGGGTTGACAGTCGGGTCTTGAGCGGACAGTCGGGTAATGAGCGGACGGGTGAGAGTCTCCAAGGTTTACAGATGGCGCTGGGGCACTATACATTTTACCAAGGACTGGGACACCTCGTACGCTGCCTCCGAAGGTGTGGCTAACCCTGTCGGCAAGCTAAAAGATATCGTCTCGCAGTCTTCCCTTGGTCTGAGCGGTGTGACTGACATGCAGATGTTAACTCCAAGTCGACGATGACGGTAAGCTGCAAAGGAGTACCCACGATAGTCAGCTGGTGGTGCAGTGATCGAAAGTGGGTCAAGAGGAAGATTCCGGCAATTTTCACTTGCCGAACCCAAGGGGAGGGACGACTCGCAACGCTCCTTACCAACTTGTCCCGCTACCAGCCACGATCCTTCGCTGTGCAACACTTAGCCAAAGCTCTATACTGTCGTGTACTGTAACAATTAGGTCCGTTTCGAGGTCTCGCCCATGTCCGTCCCACAGCAAGTGGAACCGGACCCTACAACGTGGTAGCTGCAGCTATGATCGATTGCGTTAGCCGAGTGGGGTTGGTCTCCCTTGTAGTGCTTGAAACCTAGGGACGTGTGTAGGGATTCCAGAAAATTTCCACAGGGTGGACCAGCTTCGATTCGTGGCTGGCGACGATGCCTTGAATCGCTGACGAAGGATTCGCATAGATCTCTGTTCGCGGGTTTCAGGCATTGAACGGTGAGCTGCCTGCACGCAACACCAAGCCACGGATTGGCCCTGCCCCTCAAAGTGGCCCATGGTATGACATGAACGGTCTCTGCTTGCTGGCCGTGCTGTTGCCAATTGGAGGAGCACTGCGTCGCTAATAGCGCAGCGCATTTCAATCGCTGGTCATGCGCGACCTTAAGAGTCGTGACAGACTGGACATGATGTTGTGACTGACTCCTCTGCCCTGCCGTCCGTCATGGCTTGACTGTCGATGCGGTGAGCTTCGGAAGGATCAGGCGTCCGAGTTGATGATTAGAGATTGTTCCTATTGGCTGCGTGCCTAGATTTTCGCGCGCATGGAAGCTTCTGTGACAAGCAGCGATTCTGGTTGGCGAGCAGGTGCGAAAGTTGAATTGCATGATTGCGTGACCCCTAAGACCCGAGTAATATTACTCGTCTCTGAACTCGTGTAACGTGTTGGAAACTGACCAAGGCGTCCTGCCAGCATTATGGAAACACATTGGGTGGAGAATTGTACTTTGTGTATGATATCATGCCGTTCGGACCTTCCCACCATTGCGTTGCTCTTGTATGGTCATGCGAAAAGCCGAGGACGACGTTCCGTTGGGTCCCACCACAGACGGGAACAACATCGTGACGAGCTGTGACAAACCACAGTCTGGAGTACGCGGGAAGATTCCTAGAAGCTGGACCATCGACGTCGTGCGTTAAAGTTGGCGGGCGGAGTTGATGCCGTAGCGTGGAGACCGATCAGTGAGTGGGTAGCCGGTGACGTACAATCGTCGTGTTACCGTGCTACGAGGACCGTCCCGCCCTCACAGGCACACAAGGTCAGATTGCTGACTGACGAGCGGGTACGACCGCGTGGCATCCGGCGTACCGCCTCTCTGTGGTTGTCGTGTGCTGGGAGCAGCCGAGAGATGAGGTTGTACCTTAAAGCTGCAGGAACCATGCGTCGTGCAGCAGCATTGACCAGTGACAACACGCCCCGAAGAGCGCCGCACATTAGCGACTCGACGATGGCGTCAACGGTAACGCATGCCAGATGTAGGACGGCGCAAGATGCATGTTACAGAACGTCAATGTGAGTCCGAAACGACAACGAAACATTGTGGTACATTTGACTACGATGACAAGATCAAGATTCTTGCCAGAGGGGTATTGTGCTCATTTCCGTGCCGTATCCTGTGCGCCTTGCTGAAAAACCAAATATGGGTATCGAAAAACAGTTTGAAGAAGAGGAGCGCATGTCATCGGCGCCTGCCCGCAGAGCCTTTGCAATCGCCTTCTGTCTGTCAGCTGACGGAATACGCTGAGGGATGGCTATCAAGAAACGGACCACAGTTCTCGTCGAGTCTATATTCACTAATGTACAAATTAGTCCTCGGAGCCAACAATGTATAGGCTGTCTTACACTGCAACAACATTGGGTTGACATCGTCTCTGCGTCTCTTGATATTTGGTACACCAAGCGCGGACGGTATAGCGAAGGTGAGAGCACTTATAGTGTACTTGGGTATAATCGCACATGCCGAAGGGGGAAGATGCAGAAGGCGTTGGTTGCAGGATGGACCGGAGCGAATGGCTAGTTTGGGTTCAAAGGTGTGAATTGGTAGTCTTCCAAACCGTTGAAATGATAGACATGAAAGCGCGTCGGACCGTCCCATGTTATAGTCACAAGCCCATCAGACGGGCGAAACGGTGTCGCAATGCAAGATGGACCGTGTTATTGGGTCCCTCGAGCGGTCCGTCACGATGCGGACGGATGCTTAGCCCTGGTATTGCGGAGGCGTCTGTCCGACTGGTCCAAGCCTGGCAGCCGGAAAGGATCCTTCTGATTTTGGCGGCATGATGGAATGGCAAACTCACATGCTGCAGGGGACACAGCACTAATAAGGTGCTTGCGTGTAAGATAAGAGGGTGAAGTAACGGCCAGGTACATCTGACAGGGTTCGAGTCGTCGCGGAGAGCGGTTAGGGAAGCGGATGGAGCAAGAAGCTCGCCTCGCTACTAGCTCCCCAACAAGCCTACAGTACCCGCCTCACAAGGCGAGCGGATCTGCGGCCACGGTTCCACGTTGGATGCAGAACAGCGCGTGTGGGATCAAATCGCCGGTGTGGTCGTAGTGGGGTGAGGCTCGTGTCGTCTAGCATGTCTTGACTGACTCGCTCAGTAGTGGCATCGCATCTTAAGACGCGTGCTAATTCCATCAAGTGTGAGCAGTTGTCATGCTCGAGTCACCTCAGCGACCTCGGGATGCTCTCTGAAACGTGAGTCTGCTTACGCCGAATCTGGTGTGTGCCGTCCCGCGTCCGGCTCGGTCACAGAAGTATCTGCGAATCAACAGGCTACGCCTTTGCCGAGTGTGACGGGTTCGGATGCGCAACATTACATGCTTACCCGTGCGTTGTTGGTCGGTATGAAAGGCAAGTGATGCTCGCATAGCCGTCTCTGCGGCTACGCACATCTCTCCTGAGGACCTGGAATGCTCTACTCACCATTTTGCCCGCTTGGATTAGCTTATTGTTGGGGTGTGTATATCTGACTCTTGGTGCTAGAAACTTCAAATAGGCGTACGGGCGATATGGTCTACGAGGCGCCATATGCATGCGCAGGGTAATAAGTAAGACTAGCCCTAGTTCGGATAGCACCAGTTCAGGTGTGGCTACCCAGGCTTACGCCGGCCCTACGGTGGCCCTTCGCTGTAGCCGCCAGACGTACCGATTGATGCCAGAGGCGGACGGCATCAACGCCGGAAAACCATACTTTGTAACAGCAAGCCTTGACCTGGCGAGTTACCGCTGTATCATGAACGAGCATCCACCTCTCATCCAGGCAATGCCCAAGGGAAAATTCGATTCTATTTCCAAGGTTTGACCAAGACGAGGGTGGTTGGCGAACGGTAAAGCGCGATCCTTTCCAATTCGTCGCAGAAAACAGCCGGCAAAGGTGCGCTTGCTTTGAGAATTGCGTCAACGTAGGAGCCTCCCGGCTAGCATTGGGTTCTCATCGGTTGTCGCTGAAACAATGGCCTATAGGATGACCACCACCAAGGCACTCCTTGCTCTGGCCCCTGGTACCTTTGCGCTTTCTTGTGCCCGTTCGATGCTGGGAACTTCAGGCCACGTCTATGAGAAGCCAGCGAAGTGGATCGAAACTTCAGGCTGAGAGGATATACGATATTACAGCAAGGATACCTACCCGACAGGGTCGTTAGATCATCCTTCAGGTCACCGCACTAGGAAGTCGTTGCCAACGTCCGCAACCTTGACAAGATGGTAGATTTCGCAGACCATAGTGAAGGATCGTTATCTGGAAGCGAATATGGTGATGGGTAAGTTGTCGTGTCTCAAACAGCTTACGCAAGTCTACGACGGCTCGTCGGATCATTTGCTGCCAACTACGGACTGAGGTGCCTGCCCTCCGTCACTTCTCAATCACGTCAGAAAACCCTTCAAAACGCCGCAGTGCTCTGAGAAGGCTTGGAGGGTGGGCAAAGGAACAGTGCAAATGCAAGATGCCAATTGAGGGTATAACAAACATTCATTATGCGGTAAATCAGTATTCCTCTTTCGCCTCGTCAGCGTCCAGCCAACCGCGACACATCTCGACTGCTCGTCCCCATTTCTTGAACATCTTCGCGCTATCTTCTTTGGAGATGTTCGGTTCGAAGATCATACGATCTTTCTGGTTAATCTCTTTCAGCTCCGAGAACTCCTTCCAGATGTCTACAGCAAAGCCTGCAGCAATGGCAGCTCCGAGGGAGGTGGTTTCTCGCATAGCCGGCCGATCAACCGGGATGCCGATGATGTTTGCCTGCGTCTGTGGTTGACAGGGTCAGTAAATGGATCTGACACCAAAATAGTGCCGTTACTCACCTGCATACATAGGTTGGAATTACTCATACCACCATCCACAGAAAGTTCAGTGAGCTTATGGCCACTGTCCTTTTCCATAGCATCGAGGATGGCTTTGGTCTGGAAACAAGTCGCTTCCAGTGTGGCGCGGGCAATGTGTCCACGCTCAGTATGTTGTGTGATGCCAAAGATCGTTCCCTTCGCATCATCGATCCAGTACGGTGCGAATAAACCACTGAAAGCCGTGACAAAGACGCATCCGCCATTATCTTCCACACTTGCTGCCAAGTCACTAATCTTATGTGAATGGGTGATGAAACCCAAATTACTCATCAAGAACTTTACACCACTGCCTGCGACAGCTACGCTACCTTCTAGCGCGTACACAGGTTTACGCTGACGTCCAAAATCGTATGCAACGGTTGCTAGTAGCCCATGCTTGGAAATGACGGGCTGTTCACCAACGTTGTACAACAGGAAACATCCTGTGCCGTACGTATTCTTAGCGGACCCCGGCGTGAAGCCCTGCTGACCGACTAGAGCTGCAGACTGGTCACCTAGGCACCCGGCGATTCGAACACCCTTCAATGGACCCTCCGCTATCGATCCGTAAGAATCTGGGCAAGAAGACGGGACGATCTTGGGTAGCTTGATCTTGTTCCGGTCAATCTTAAAGAACTCTAGAAGCTCGTCGTCGTATTTAACAGTGTGCAGATTCATGAACATGGTTCTCGAGGCGTTGGTAGTATCAGTGACGTGTATGCCTTTGTCTTTCCCGTTCAAATGATAGAGTATCCACGTGTCGATTGTTCCGAATGCCAGTCGACCTTCGTCGTAAGCTTTGCGAACCTCCTCGACATGATCGAGGAGCCACACAAGTTTTACGGAGGACGGGTAGGTCGAAAGAGGAAGACCGGTCTTGCCCTTCAATTCGTCTGCACCCTCGCGTGCCTTTAGTTCACGGACCAGACCCTTGGTTCTGGTATCCGGCCATGCAATGGCATTGTGCAATGGCTCACCCGTATTGCTGTCCCAGACCAGTGTCGTTTCGCGCTGATTGGTAAGGCCGACGGCTTTGATATCTTTGATATTGTAGCCCTTGTGAATAAAGGCCTGTAAGGCCTGTTCTATGCATAGCTCGACCGTGTCTAGGATTTCTTGAGGGTCATGCTCATGCCACCTGCATTACTGCTTGTGAGCTTCCATGCCGTACCCGTACATTTTCAAGTAGAACTCACCCAGAATGGGGGTATATTTGCGTAAACTCGATCTGGTGCTGCGCGACCGGCTGCCCCGTGCCGTCAAAGATAATGAAGCGCGTGCTCGTCGTTCCCTGATCTATAGAGCCGATGAAGAACTGCTTCAGCTTTGTCTCGTCAAGCTGCTTCTCCTCGTCATCGTTTATGGGCGCATCGTCGAAGTAGTCACTCTTTGACTTGGGCACTGGCTGCGGTTCTGCGCCCTTTGCTGATGTCTTCTCGATCACCATGACTGTGCAGGTTGCCGTTGGTGGTTTAATGTGCGCGGAAAATCTAGAAGGCCAGTGCAAGCAGAAGTTCCGGAAACTGGGGGGTTGTGTTCGCAGTGGTGTTGTGTGGAGTCGCGCGTGCCGTACTGCTGGGGGCGGGTGTTTGGGGAGTACGGGGAGATGGTGGCAGCGAGGTAGTGACGCGAACAGAGACAGGGCTACGAGCTACGGAAAAGACCTGAGGCGACTGTGGGGCATGCAGCAGAGACTGGATGAAATCATAACTGGAGGGCAGGGATACGGAGCCTACGATCGAAAGATGTGCAGGCGCAGAGGTGCGCGTTGCAGCATGCGCTTAAAAAGCTATGGCTCGCAACATGTCAAAAAAGCGGGGGAGGGGCCACCGAAACCGCACACTGACGCATGTCTTGGCCAGACATTGTTCATGTGCGAACCGCCAATTTTCGTGTTAAGAGCCTCCGGTGCACGCTAAACGCGAGGGCAGCCCCATCTTTCCGCTCAGCCATGGGAAAGTTCAGGCGCAGCTCCACGCAAACCCACCGTCCTCGGCATCGATCGAGCCGATTCTCCCGGCCATTGTCGGCCCACACAACGATAACGGCGCCGTGCTACTCACAACAATGACTATCAGTTGAGCCGCATCTTTGCGGGGTAGCACGCTTGGAGTCATTAATTGCAGATTTATTGGACGTTACAGCCTTTAAGAGCAGTAAAAAGCTGAACGATGGGCATCCAGGCGGACACACCGCTACCCGTAAAACATGCAATGCTACAAAAAGAAAATAAGACAACTCAGAATGATTCGTGGAGTCGTGGGGGTTCCATTCCACCGAGCTCCGACACATCCCTTCCCCAGACTACAGCCGCACGGCTTTAGTCACTGTCTTCGGACTCGTCGTCCTTGGACTTGCTGCCCCCCTCCCCAGCCAGCGCTTGCTGAGCGCGGATGCCTTCCTCTTCCCGGGCCATTGCTTCTTGCGCGTCGGTACCACCGAGTGCCTTCATCCTGTCAACAGCGCCAGGCATCCTTCCAACGTCATCGGAGACCTCTCCACGCCCGATGAGACTGAGTACGATACTTCCACCCACGATGAACGTCAGGACGAATCGGTAGATGGCGTACCATGGCGGAGTCCACCCTCGGTACGTCGCGCGCGTATCAACGTAGTATAACAATGTGAAGGCCATGAACTGGGTGATCAGAGCATATTCCACAGGCATTAACACGGTTGGCCATGCGATTGCTGGCGCCACGACTCCTATGGCGTAGCGACTATATCCATGGCGACCGCCGTAGCCCGCAAATTCCAAACCCCAATGGATCGCGCCCAGGAAGGATAGTATCTGCGCACGTTAGTGGTTGCCCATGATCACATCACCATCGTACTTACAACAGCACCATACCCAACTTGTAGGGGCTCAAGTAGGTGGAGAAGGGTGGTTGCCGTGTTTGCTGACATGAGGTATCCGTAGCCGGCTACAGCATGGTTGATCTCATAGGCGCAAGCGACAGTGGAGAGAGAAGTTGCGAGGTATGGCAGAACTCCAGCGAGTCCAATGTAGTATGCCTGACGTGGGACTTCAGACAGGTTGAATGTGTCTTTGATTGTATTCTGGGGTTGTTAGTACACGAGCTGATCTAGGAGAGCGAACTTGCTAGCTTACAAGGTCTGCCTTGATACCGGCGCTCATGTCGACATCCTGATGTACGGGTTCACCACCCACTTCTCCAGTGAAAGGATGGATACTAGAAGTCGTCGAAACCGTCTCCGGCGTAGGCTTAATCTCTTCTTTAGCGTATTTGGCCTCTGCCTGTTTCCGCTCTTCAGACAACGCACGACGGAGCACGGCAGCTTGTGTTGGCTTCAGCTGAGCCAATTGAGATATTTGCGGGCGTTTTGAGGCCACTGAACTGAATTGAGTGGTCCAATGTGCTGCTGGGCTTCTGGTGCGGAGACTCGGAGCTGCGCGAATAGCTGGCGCCGGGCATGTCCTCAGCGCCAGACGTGACGCGCCTGTCCGCAACATGATCGCACAGGCTGGAGCTCAAGAAAATAACACAGTACAAGAAAGATGAAATCGCGTGAGCAAGAGAGAGGAGAGCTGGAGGAAGGAGGTCGGGAGGACCTAGAGTTGAGTCGACGACTATGATTCCGTAGCTCCCAGCTGCCATGCGGAGAGGTAGCTCCAGCTCCAAGCAGCTCGGAAACGTTAGAATGACGTCACACACGTGCACTTCAGCCACCCGTGGACCTCGATCCAGCTGTGACAACAAAGCTCCACTTGCAGGATAGCGCTGTGTCGATTTCCATGGCGAGCTTCAACAGAGAGGTAGCGATTCTGGCATCCTAGTGAAGTGGAGGAAATGTGAACATGTGAACGGATGGTCCAAGAGCTTTGGTAGGGACAGGGAAGGCTGCGCAGACGATCAAGCAGGCATGAAGCCTAACGAACAAAACAATTGCACACAGCCGTCAAGCAGGATAACACCATGGGCGAAACCCAGCGTCACGTTGATATGATTGTGGTGTTTGAATGATGTCACAAACGCATCGATAGCTGCAAACAGCGGTACGTGCCCACTGGCAAACTGCGCAGCCGAGTCGCAATACTCCCTCTCGATCGAGGAGAAGGTGCTCATGCGATCTGGAAGCTGCCTGAAGTTGCTGGATGCGCAGAAAAGTCTCTAGGAGCGGCGCCCTTGGTGCAGTGCAGGGCTGTTCGAGGGCGGGGACTCGCTTAGCTACCCGCATCCGGAAGGCGGGGCTGACTTCGTCATAGCAGTGGGCGGCGATACAGAGAAATTTCGAGCACCAGCATGGAATTGCGCGCGATGGGTCGGCTGTAGGTCAATGTAGCTTGCAATCGCACGTCTGCAGCCTAGCCACAAGCTACGCTGCCCCAGCCGCAGGCCCGCGCAGTCTTTGAGTGGGCCGTAGAGGCCTCTCGAAGTGCGTAGAAGCTCCTGGTTGGCCGGTGAGCCAGATCGAAACTTCCAGAAGAGCATTTGAAAAACTGCCCACCACCCGCTACAAAAGGCCCTCCGCCGCACGCAACAAGCTTCTTCTCACACACATCACACACACCAAATCAACTGTCACGCGTATTAGTCGAATAGACTCCGCGAACTCTCGACTACATCTCTTTTTCTTCTTGTGATACCCCGCGCTTCCTTTCATACAACACAATTATGGCTCCCGCTGTAGGTATCGATCTCGGAACCACGTACTCGTGCGTTGGTATCTTCCGTAAGTTGCCTCGACTGCTTTCTCTTTCAGAAGTATTTGCTAACAGTCCCAGGTGATGACCGCATCGAGATTATCGCCAACGACCAGGGTAACCGAACAACCCCGTCGTTCGTTGCCTTCACCGACACTGAGCGTCTCATTGGTGACTCCGCAAAGAACCAGGTCGCCATGAACCCCGCCAACACCGTCTTCGACGCTAAGCGCCTCATTGGCCGCAAGTTCGCCGATGCTGAGGTTCAGGCCGACATGAAGCACTTCCCCTTCAAGGTCATCGAGAAGGCTGGCAAGCCCGTCGTCGAGGTCGAGTTCAAGGGCGAGAAGAAGAACTTCACACCCGAGGAGATCTCCTCGATGATCCTCACCAAGATGCGTGAGACCGCTGAGTCCTATCTTGGTGGCACCGTCAACAACGCTGTCGTCACTGTTCCAGCATACTTCAACGACTCTCAGCGTCAGGCGACCAAGGATGCCGGTCTCATTGCTGGCCTCAACGTCCTCCGTATCATCAACGAGCCTACCGCTGCCGCCATCGCCTACGGTCTTGACAAGAAGACCGAGGGTGAGCGCAACGTCCTCATCTTTGACTTGGGTGGTGGTACCTTCGATGTCTCCCTCTTGACCATTGAGGAGGGTATCTTCGAGGTCAAGTCCACTGCTGGTGACACTCACCTCGGTGGTGAGGACTTCGACAACCGGTTGGTCAACCACTTTGTGAACGAGTTCAAGCGCAAGGTTAGTATCTTCCCCCTCCGAAAGTATCTACACATGCTAACGCAGAATCCAGCACAAGAAAGACTTAACCTCTAACGCTCGTGCTCTCCGCCGTCTCCGAACTGCTTGCGAGCGTGCCAAGCGCACTCTCTCTTCTTCCGCCCAGACTTCCATCGAAATCGACTCTCTGTTCGAGGGTGTTGACTTCTACACCTCGATCACCCGTGCCCGTTTCGAGGAGCTGTGCCAGGACCTCTTCCGCTCCACCATGGAGCCTGTCGAGCGTGTCCTCCGCGACGCCAAGTGCGACAAGTCCTCCGTCCACGAGATCGTTTTGGTCGGTGGTTCCACCCGTATCCCCAAGATCCAGAAGATGGTTTCCGACTTCTTCAACGGCAAGGAGCCCAACAAGTCCATCAACCCCGACGAGGCTGTCGCCTACGGTGCCGCCGTCCAGGCTGCTATCTTGTCCGGTGACACTTCCTCTAAGTCCACCAACGAGATTCTGCTCTTGGATGTCACTCCTCTGTCTGTTGGTATCGAGACCGCTGGAGGTGTCATGACCCCGCTCATCAAGCGCAACACCACCATCCCCACCAAGAAGTCTGAGGTCTTCTCCACCTTCAGCGACAACCAGCCCGGTGTGCTCATCCAGGTGTATGAGGGCGAACGGGCGAGGACGAAAGACAACAACTTGCTCGGCAAGTTCGAGCTCACTGGTATCCCGCCTGCGCCCCGCGGTGTTCCTCAGATCGAGGTCACTTTCGACATGGACGCCAACGGTATCATGAACGTCTCTGCTCTCGAGAAGGGCACCGGTAAGACCAACAAGATTGTCATCACCAACGACAAGGGCCGTCTTTCCAAGGACGAGATCGAGCGCATGCTTGCCGAGGCGGAGAAGTACAAGGCTGAAGATGAGGCTGAGGCTGCCCGTATCTCCGCCAAGAACGCTCTTGAGTCCTACGCCTACTCGCTCCGCAACACTCTCTCCGACTCCAAGGTCGACGAGAAGCTTGAGGCTGGCGACAAGGAGAAGCTCAAGGCCGAGATCGACAAGGTTGTCCAGTGGCTCGATGACAGCCAACAGGCGACCAAGGAGGAGTATGAATCTCAGCAGAAGGAGCTTGAGGCCGTTGCCAACCCGATCATGATGAAGTTCTACGGCGCTGGCGGCGAGGGTGGCATGCCTGGCGGCATGCCCGGAGGTGCTGGTGGCTTCCCTGGCGGTGCTCCCGGCGGCGGCGCTGGCCACAGCGACGACGGCCCCACCGTTGAGGAGGTTGACTAAGTGTCTCGCCTGAACCCTGACCCTGGGTTGCCTTGTCTCTTTTTTCTTCCGCATAGATGGTCGTTTTCTGGGCGGTTGTCCTCGGAGTTCTTTGTGGGCTATTGAGCCATTTTCACGGTTTCCTACTAATTGCATCGGATGAATTACGATCATGATTGGGGGTTAGGAAAAGTCTTCGGATAGGAGGATGTCATTACATGTATCCTAATTCTACGGGCTCTGCTGATCAGAGCTGAATTGAGAGAAATAACTTCAAAGTCACCGCAAAATTGAGTGATGTTCTTTTACGTTTGCGAGTTGAGATGTATGTTCTACTAAAGCACAGGGTCTATAGCTGCCTATGATAGATAGGTCTCTAAAGCGATGCTCAAGAAAATAGCGAGGAAGCGCACTTCCTGAAGAGTAGTGTCTGAGTCGACCCTTCTTGCCTTGCGAAATCAGGCGCGGCGCTACTGCTGATTTAGAACGCTTGAGTACACCTACGGTCAGACAAAGACGTCATTCTCAAACCTGTGTATCAGCAATGTCTTCCAGTCAGAATGCGCATGTTCCAGACCAGAACCATGGCAAACCAGCGCACCACCAACATGCTCCTTGCCCAAGCGTTCCAAATATGGCCCAAATCAAGCCACAGTGTCTTCCATCCTACGCCTTCTCCACTCTCAGGCTCTCTTCCTCCGCAAACCTAAACGGCCTTTCAATCATCTCCCCCGGTCCCCTCCGCTTCCATACATCTTCACTGTTCGGCGCTTTCTTGACTTTCGCGTCCTTTTCCCTATATCGCTCTCGTATCGCGTTCGCGCGGCCCTCGCTAGATGCTCCCGTCAAACTCATGCAGAACCTCCAATCGGCCCAGTGCTCACTGCACGAGCGCAGGTGGCCGTAGCGGTAGATGTCGTTGAAGTGGCCACCCAAGGACGAGCAGTAGAAGGCGGCGTCGAAGGCGGCGCGGCAGGACATTGTTGTAGGGAGCGAGGGGTCGTTGTCGGTTTCAGTGGAAGCAGAAGTGTTTGGTGATTGGGAGGGCTGCGAGGGCGTAGGTGCTAAGTGTGGGAACGCCTCATTGAAGGATGCTTCGTTGGTGTTTGCAGGTGGTGAGGGCGCGGGCTCGGAGCGTATGGGTATTGAGCTTGGGGTGGGTTGTTGCGGCTCAGCTTTGCTGGATGAGGATGTCCATAGCCAGCCCATCGTGTCTGCCAATTATATGATCCCTTCGGTCTGCTACAGTGTCGCGCAATGGGATCGGTAGTATGTGTCGGACGGGGTTCTATAACTCTGTGCGGCGCTGTTTGAGGAAGCTGCGATGGGTGGTACAGCTAAGGTGTGGTCAACAACCTCTGAAAGTGGGCGATTCGGTACGATTGGATACGCCTGGGTACCGAAATATCAACTCTATGCGATGGGAACGATGTTTCTCACGGATCGTGATTGAACTGAACGGCTGTCAAAACTTTGGACGAATCGCGCGCACCCAGCGCGTCGGTACACGGGCCAAACGCCCATTTGTTTTTCCAGGCTAGCTGCCCCCCCAATACGTCATGCATGGGCCTGCATCTGACTTGCGGGCGATCAATCCTACGCACCACTGTTGCCTTTACCGCGCATCATTCTTTCCCTCCGTGTCGTTGCTAGTCCTGTACGACTATACCTGAGATTAATCTACGCCCCAGTCCTCAGACTTCCAAGAGACTGGCTGGCCTTATTCCAAGCACACCGCCACAAACACCCCTCGTGGCCCCTCCTTCACTCCGCGCACTGTGTCCATAGCTTACGATACCCACGTTCGCGCTGTTATGCTTGACTGCAACAATTACCTATGACTTCACGAAATCGCACGACCTAACGAATCACCTCTCGAACCTCGCGATACCTCCAACCCATCTCTCGAGCCCCGCCCCGACCTGGGTAACGGTCGCCCGTCGCTGCCATGCTTGAGGGGCTCGTTTCGAACCTGCTCAATAGGTTTCTGGGCATGTATGTCCAGAATTTCGACCCAAAACAGCTCAACGTCGGTATCTGGTCCGGTGATGTGAAGCTGCGCAATCTCGAACTTCGCCGCGAAGCGCTCGATCAACTACATTTACCCCCTCAACGTCGTCGCAGGCCATCTGGGGTCACTTACACTTTCGATACCCTGGTCAAATCTGCGAGGGAAGCCGTTGAAGGTCAACATCGAGGATGTCTACCTGTTGGCAGCACCTAAGGAGGATGCAGATTACGATGCCGATGAAGAAGAGCGGAGAGCGCATGCTGTGAAGATGGAGAAGCTTGATAGTGCTGAGCTGCTGAAAGAGCGGAACACTGAAGGTATGAGCGCCGAAGAGCAACAGAAGAACCAGAGCTTCACGGCAAGCCTGGTCACGGCGATAGTGGACAATGTACAGGTCACTGTCAAGAACATCCATATCCGATACGAAGACTCGATAGCCGATCCTGGCCACCCGTTCGCGCTGGGTCTTACGCTCGCCGACTTCAGCGCCATCAGCACTGATGAGAACTGGAAGCCGACCTTCATCCAAGGCACCGCAAGCTCAACTCACAAGCTGGCGACGCTCGGCTCGCTTGCAATATACTGGGATACCGACGCGAAGTTGATTGGGACTGGCAAAGGAAACCAGAGCAAAGATGAGCAGGATATTGACCACGATGACTTCATCGAGAAGGTCCGAGGGATGATTGTAAGGGGTGAGAACCCCGAGCTAGGCGACCACCAATTCATCCTCAAGCCCATAAGCGGTCGTATGGGTCTTGAAATGGACAAGACAGGCAAGATAGACAAACCCAAGATGAAGGCTCGACTACTCTTCGACGAGCTTGGATTCATCATTGATGAAGATCAATATCGTGACGCACTCATGCTCGTCGATCTTTTCCACTACTTCATCCGACACCAGGAGTACAAAAAGTTCCAGCCCCAATCATCACCGAAAGAAGACCCTGCGGGGTGGCTGCGGTTTGCAGGTCAAGCTGTCCTCGACAAGATTCATGAACGAAACCGGCAGTGGAGCTGGGATTACTTCAAGGAGAGGCGAGACGATCGCATACGCTACATTGAACTTTTCAAGAAGAAAAAGAGGGAAGAGAAGCTCAATGCGGAGGAGAACGAAGACCTTGATAAGCTCGAGCGAAAGTTGAAGTACGAAGATCTCCGGTTCTGGCGCTCTTTAGCCCGCAATCAACTGCGCAAGGAAAACATCGGTGTGAAGAAACCACCTCCGAAGCAGGGCTGGGGCTCGTGGATCTGGGGCTCCAAGCAAGAAGAGAACAAGGATGATAATACTCAAATGACAGACGAGCAGCGCAAGGAGTTGTATGATGCCATCGACTGGGACGAGAAAAATGCAATCACCGAATCCGTAGACATGCCTCGGGAGTACGTCAAGATGGAAGTCAATATGAGCCTGCGGACGGGTAGCTTCACACTGAAGCGAGACCCTCACGGTCAGGCGAATGACATATTGCGACTTCTTTTCGATTCATTTAGTACGCAATTCCTCCAACGGACAGATTCTATGTTCGTCAAGGTCGCTCTAGAAGGCATGCGCTTGTATGACGGTACTACCGAAGGCAGCCTGTTTCCTCAACTCATCACAATCAAGGATGCACCACCTGTGCCGGATGACAAGCGCATTGAAGAGCTCAATGATGACGAGACATCTAAGAATGGTGATGACGACGAAGAAGAGGAGCAAGAAGATCCTTTCTTCCAGCTGGCTTTCGAGAAGAACCCGCTTGATGAAAGCGCCGACACAGCTCTTACCATGAAGCTGAAAGGTATGGAGTTTGTGTACAACCCAAAGTTTGTCGTGGAAGTGGCCAAGTTCTTTAAGCCCCCAGAGCGGCACATGGAATCCATTGGTGCTCTTATGGAAACAGCTGGAGCTACGGTCGAAGGCATCCGCCAACAGACCCGCGCTGGTCTAGAGTTCGCTCTCACAGAACACAAAACCATCAATGCCCAGCTTGATCTGCAAGCGCCTCTGATCATCATTCCTGACTCTGTCACGAAGAAATCTAGCAACTGCCTCATCGTCGATGCAGGTCACATCAGCGTCACAAGCGAGCTGGTGGACAAAGCCACTATAAATGACATTCAGTCGAAGCAGAAACATCAGTACACCGAAGACGACTTCAAGAAGTTGGAAGCATTGATGTACGACAAGTTCCTTCTCAAGCTCCACTCAACGCAGGTTCTCATCGGCCCCTCGATCGAGGAGACACGCGCGCAGCTCGAAGAAAACGCCACTTCGAAGAGTTTGCACATTGTTGACCGAATAAACATGGACTTCAAGATTGAGATATGTATTGTTCCTAAAGCATCCGATTTGACCAAGTTCCGCGTCGGTGGTAACCTCCCTATTCTCCATGCGTCGATATCCGACTTAAAATACAAGAACTTGATGAAGCTCATTGACGTCGCGATACCGAAGTTCGAGAACGACCAGCCAAGCAAACAGGTTACTGAGGGCGCGAAGGGCCCTTCAAACCTCAAGCCTACTAGCGAAGCAAAGCCGAATGAAGACCCTCTCGGTCGGCCTAGATCAAAGTCGTTCCAATTCGCCGCACAAGAACACGAGCTTGTGCTGGAAGAAGACAACGACAGTGTCAAAAACGAGAAGTTCGAAGATGCTCCACAAGCAAAATCCAAATCCGACATCAACATCCACCAGCGGAATTTCGAGTTCAACTTCACTGTGGACAAGCTCCAAGGTTCGCTCTATCGATCAGATCCTGAAGGCAGGAAGGCCGACCAGCTGTTGGTCGAACTTGTCGCCGAGCACTTTGATCTTAGCTTCTACCAAGAGCCATTTGACATGGTTGCTGAAGTCAGCCTGAAGTCCTTGGCTGTGGAAGACCATGTGGAACAGGACCCGTTGCCTGAATTTCGGAACATCATTTCATCGGAAGATGCCTCAGCCAAGGAGCAGAAGGACCTGTTTTCTCTGAAATTCGTCAAAGTAAACAAGGAGTCGCCAGAGTTCCAGAACAAGTATGAAGGCATTGCAATGAATCTGGATGTCGCGGTGTCCACCATCAACCTCATCGTCACGCGCAAAACTTTGCTGACGCTCCTGGACTTCGTCTTGATCACATTTACAAATCCTGGTCAAGCCCAGGACCAACAAGCACAGATTGCTGACAAGGCTGGGGAGCAGCAAGAGGTTGCGCAAGCTCCACAGCAAGATCAAGACAAGATCCGCATCCGAGCTGAATTAAAGCGGATAGAGGTAATACTCAACAACGATGGCATACGATTGGCCACACTAAGTCTCAACTCTGGCGAAGTAGGTATCTTCCTACATGGCAAAACTATGCGCATTGGCGGGCAACTGGGTAACTTGTCATTGATCGATGATGTGAACCAAGGCGTACCCGAGGACTCGCCCTTGCGCCAATTGGTCACCATTGAGGGCAAGAATTTAGCGGACTTCAGCTACGAGACGTTCGACAGCGAGCTAGACAGCTACCCTGGATATGATGCATCTGTTGCCCTGAAGACTGGATCGATCAAGATCAACTTCCTTACGGAGCCGTTCCGTAAGATTATGGAATTTGCGGTCAAGTTTGGTAAAATGCAAGCCATCTTCAACGCCGCACGGCAAGCTGCGGCCAACCAAGCAACACAAATTCAGCAGCGGGCCACGAAATTCCACTTCGACATCACTATCAGCACCCCCATTGTTGTTTTCCCCAGGATGGTCATCTCGGACAAGCCAGAGCGGGATACCTTGACCGCCAACCTAGGAGAGATATACGCCAAGAATAAGTTCGATCCTTTAGATGACTCCGAAGGTTCTGATACAGCGAACAAGATCACGGCTGGCATTCGCAACATCAAGCTGACATCGAAGTTTCATTACGAAGATGACAGATCAGAGGAATTGGAGCTCATTGACAAGGTCGATTTGGACTTCAATATCACCATGGTAGAGCATAAGCATGGGCAGCAGCGCCCTGACCTGGAGATTGACGGTGGCATGTCGGACATCAACCTCAAGATCACCCCCGAGCAGATGAAGTTCGCATTGGAGCTTTCACGATCTATCCCGCAGGCTTTTGCGACTGACGCGGACGGCCTGGAAGAGGACATCCACCAAGAACTTCCTGCTTCGACCACTGAACCAGCCGGAAGACTTACAGACAAGGAGTCGCCTCCACAAGAATCTTCGCAAGACCTTGTGGCAAGTCAGGGCCCCGAGCTCCAGACTGACGACGATAAATGGACGAAGCTTGACTTCGTTTTCAAGGTCGGCGCTATCGGCTTGGAGCTCATCAAGTCACAGGACGGTGAGCCGGTCGGCGATGTCGAAGCTGCTAGCTTGTCCAAGTTCTCGCTCAATGAGACAAATGTGAAGCTTCGCATGATCAGCGACGGTGCCATGGAAGCAGAATTGGTAGTTCAGTCGTTTACGATTCGCGACAGTCGCACTCAAGGCACCAACAAGTTTAGGAAGATCATGTCCTTGATCAACACCGACGTCAAGCAGCAGTTCATGGCGAGTGTGTCAATCTCCGGCGGCCAAGAGAAGAACTTGATCGCGCTTCTCACCATCGACAGCCCAAGGATGATATTGGCTTTGGACTACCTCTTCGCACTACAAGCCTTCGTAAATGCTGGATTAGCTACAGATGAGCCTCTCGCGATTGAAGACGATGTCGATGAAGATGATGCGGATAGCGATACTGATGTTATGTCACCGGATGGCTCGCGCTCGCCAGTCAAACCTGGGGCTGATCCTGACCAAGTAGACAATGGTATGAACATCTCTTTCCGTGTCAATCTTGTGGATGCGCAGGTTGTCCTCATTGCCAATCCCGCGATCTCGCATTCGGAAGCCATCGTCCTCGGCACGAAACAAGTCCTTGTATCGAAACAGCAAGCCATCACCTTACAAGTCGACAAAGTCGGCATGTTCCTCTGTCGCATGGATCGCTTCGAGACGAGCAGGATGCGCATCCTGGATGACTTCAGCATCCAGACTGCCCTGGACATGCGGAATCAAGGCAAAAATTCGTCATTAATCAGCATTCATGTCGATATCGAGCCTCTTGTGCTGCGCTTGTCGTTACGCGATATCCTGCTCGCCATGCAGATCGTGAACCGCGCTTCAGCTATGTCGGGAGCCAACGATGACAAGAAGCTGGCTGAAGAGAGCCCCAAGGCAATTAAGCAGGGCACGCCATCGAAGAAGGCCAAGTCTACAGTGGGCAAGGCGGCGTCCTCCAAGCCAGCGGCCAGGTCTATCGCAACAACAAAACGTTCAAGCCAGCACGGTGCCCCACCACAACCACCCAGGCCCGCTCAAGGCTCTGCTGTCCTCAAGCGCGAGGAGATGAACGTCAACATCGAGGGTATACGTGTTGTGCTCATCGGTGATGTACACGAAATGCCGTTCCTCGACTGGCGAGTGAAGAAATTTGGCATTGACGTGCGTGACTGGTCTGGTGCTATGACTGCCGACACTTCTGTTGACACACTCATTAACGTCTACAACTTCTCAAAATCCGCGTGGGAGCCGTTGATTGAGCCGTGGCAGCTCGGCTTCCATATGTCCAAGGACCAGAATCCTGACAGACTTGGAGTAGAACTGTACTCGCGCAAAGCTATGGAGCTCACGATAACGGCTGCCACAATCGCCCTGGCCTCCAAGTCATTTGATTTCCTTACCACGGAAGAGGACATACTGTCGAAGCCTCGCAGTGACGATGCTCCTTACCGCATTCGTAATTACACAGGCTTCAACCTCGACGTATGGGCCGAAGGCAAGGACACAAGCGAAGGGTATGCCACCAAGCTCGAAGACGGGAACGAGCAGCCATGGCGCTTTGAGGATGCTTTGTCTACCCGTGAATCACTTTCTACTGAAGCAGCGACCGGAGTATTAGGTATCAGATTGGAAGGCAGTGGGTTTGATCCCATTCAGCGGATACCGGTTCATCGAGAGGGCGAGTTCCTGTATAATCTCAAGCCGAAGCAAGACCGAGTACAGCATCGCATCTTGGTCGATGTGGAGCTTGGTGCCGACAATGTCAAGAACATCACCTTCAGGTCCCCGCTCCTTGTAGAAAACAACACTCAGATTCCCATCGAGCTCGGAATCTACAGCCCAGAGGAGGGCCATCTCTTGAAGATTGAGAAGGTGGCGCCGGGTGATGCAAGACCTGCGCCTGTTGGTGCAGCCTTCATGCACTCCATCGTTGTCCGTCCCGATCAAGGCTTCGGCTATGAGTGGTCAAATGAGCGCTTGTATTGGAAGGAGTTACTCAAGCGTCCCACGCGAACAATCACCTGCCGCGGCGAGCAGGACGATCAATCGCCTCCTTTCTACTTCCAATTGCATGCGGCGTTCGACAAAAAGGACCCTCTTACGAGCGTATACCCGTACATGCGCTTGCGCTTGGCTGCACCGGTTGAAGTACAGAATCTGTTGCCCTTCGATTTCAAGTACAGGATCTACGACAGTAACACTAAGAAAGATTGGACCAATTTCCTCAGGAAGGGTGGCGTGAGCCCTGTTCATGTTGTTGAGTTGTCTCATTTGCTGCTCATTAGCGTCGATTTGCAAGATACCCCCTTCAAAGCCAGCAAGTTCGGCATTATCAATTCCACGGATCGAGAAAGCTTTAGGAGAGAAAAGACGCTGGAATTGAAAGATGACAATGATCTGTCACTTCATCTCAACATGCATTTCTAGTAGGTCCCGTCCGCTCAGTTCCTGGATTACCTGCTAACTTCACCAGCAACTACCCTGACGGAGGTGGGTCGTTCAAGGTGACGATCTACAGCCCGTACATCATTCTGAACCGCACCGGCTTGGAACTGGACGTGCGAGCGAAGCAGTTCATGGGACAGGCTCGAGCGGCTGCCGGACAGGGCATCTTTGCTAATGACCAGAGCGACTCAACCAAGCCATTGCCTCTGATGTTCTCCTACCCTACGCAGGATAAGAAGAACCGTGCGCTTCTTAAGGTCGGAGACGCGAACTGGAGTAAGCCGCAGAGTTTGGATGCGATTGGAAGCAACTATGCCGTTGCTCTTCCATCCACTAAAGCCCGATCTGACATGCACCTTGGTGTCAGCGTCGGTGAGGGTGAAGGAAAGTTCAACTTGACGAAGGTTGTGACTGTTGCCCCTCGCTTCATCATCAAGAATAAGATGAGAGAGGAGGTGAACATTCGTGAGCCGGGCTCATCTGACTGGACGTCCGTCAAGGATGGAGAGTTGCTACCTTTGCGATGGCTTCGACAAGGTGGAGCACCTCAGATCTCGTTGTGCTACCCTGGCGTTAACAATCAGTGGTCCTCACCATTCAACATCTCCAATGTTGGCAATGTTCACGTCAAGCTGTCGAAGGCTGGGCAGCGCCAGAAATTGGTCCGAGTCGACATTCTCATGGAAGGAGCGACAATCTTTATCCACATCAGCGTCGAGACTAAGCACTGGCCGTTCTCTTTCAAGAATATGAGCGACCAAGAGTTTCTCTACTGGCAAGCCAACCCCAATCTGGATGAGGATGAAGATGACCGAGGAACTGGCTTCCGCCCCATTCGATACCGCCTTCCTCCTAGGAGCATCATGCCATATGCATGGGACTTCCCAGCTGGGAAAAATAAGGAGATAGTACTGAGCGCCAACGGAAGAGAGCGAAACGTCAAGCTTGCAGAGATTGGCAACCTTATTCCCTTCAAGCTGCCACCCGCTCAAGGCCAGCGCCAGAAGATCATCGATCTGAACGTGGTTGCCACTGGGCCTACACAAACACTGGAGCTTTCGAACTACAAGCCGTCCAAGAGTCTGTACAAGCAGAAATCCGCAGGCTCCTCATCAACAGCTGGAGGATTCGAAGTCAAGGATATGGATACCAATGTCACATTCAAAGCGCAACTACGCCTCGCTGGTATCGGCATCTCGCTTGTCAATCGTCACCTAAAAGAGCTCGTGTATCTGACGCTGCGCGACATTGAACTTAAGTATTCAGACTCGCCACTTTACCAGATGGTCAATCTGCATGTCAAGTGGATCCAGATCGATAACCAACTGTATGGAGGAATTTTCCCTATCATCTTTTACCCAAGTGTGGTCCCAAAGACTGGCAAGGAGATGGAAGCGCATCCCATCTTCCAAACGAGCATCACCCGAGTTAAGGATGACTCTTATGGCGTGTTGTACATCAAGTACTTCACCATTCTCCTTCAGCAGATGACTCTGGAGATTGATGAGGACTTTATCTTCGCGATGCTTGACTTTGCAAAGATCCCTGGTGCATCATGGTCAGAAGAGAAAGAAGGCAAGCTGTGGGACGAATCCCTCGACATCCCAGAGCCCCAACAGGAACAGTCGGGACAGGATGTCTACTTTGAACTACTTCACTTGCAGCCTATGCAGATTGATCTTTCTTTTGTTCGAACGGAACGCATCAACGCCGAGGACACCATGGCCTCAGCGAATCCGTTCATGTTCGCTGTCAATGTCCTAACCATGTCGATCGGCAATGTCAACGACGCACCTGTACGATACAATGCATTGATGCTCGAGAACGTACGCGTCTCGACAGATGCGCTCGTTGCCAACATCAAGAACCACTACGTGCAAGAGTCCCTACGCCAGGTGCACGTCGTTATCGGATCTGCTGATTTCCTCGGTAACCCCGTTGGTCTCTTCACAAACGTTAGCTCTGGTGTCGCCGACATCTTTTACGAGCCGTACCAGGGTCTGGTCAAGTCCGACCGTCCAGAGGAGCTCGGTATCGGTATCGCAAAGGGTGCATCAAGCTTCGTCAAGAAGTCGGTGTTCGGCTTCTCCGACAGTATGGCTAAGTTCACTGGAAGTATGTCGAAGGGTCTCTCTGCCGCAACGCTAGATAAGGAGTTCCAAGACCAGCGCCGCATGTCCCGTTCACGCAACCGGCCGAAGCACGCCCTGTATGGCATCACAGCTGGCGGCAACGCCTTCGCCAACAGTCTTGCAAGTGGTCTGGGTGGCCTCGCTCGTCACCCCATCCAAGGCGCAGAGAAAGAAGGCGCTCTTGGCTTCGTTAAAGGTGTTGGCAAAGGCCTCCTTGGTGTCCCCACCAAAGCTGCTATTGGCGCGTTCGATCTCGCCTCTAACATGGCCGAAGGCGTGCGCAACACAACAACAGTTTTCGATCAAGAAGGCCTCGACCGCGTGCGCCTCACGCGCTTCATCGGAACGGACGGCATCGTACGTCCTTACTCCCAGCGCGAATCTCTGGGCCAGTTCTGGCTCAAGACTCTCGATAATGGAAAGTACTTCAATGAGGACTACATTGCCCACCTGGAGCTTCAAGGCAAGGACATGCTTGTCATGCTGACGTACAATGGGATCTTGATGATTAAAGCGAAGGCGCTCCGGACAGAATGGGATGTCCCGCTAAAGGATATTCAGACCATTAGCAAGGAGAGGACGGGCATGAGTATCACGCTGAAGGGTGGAACGAATGGCCCATATATCCCGGTTGCGGATGAAGGGAGCAGAAATTGGTTCTACAGGCAGGTTGCTGTGGCGGTTAATGCTTATAATGATCGTTGGAATGCGAAGGGTTAGATGATTGGCATAGGCATCAGTAAGGTTATGCATAGTACAATGGGCGTGGCATAGCGATAGGCTGGTTTTGAGTTTTGTTTCTTCCCTGTTGTTATTTTTAATGAGCAATATCATCTTCCTGTTCTAATGTCGCTCTCCCGACTTTTATGAGGTCGAGAATGATGTGGAATTCATGGCAAATGCGAATGCAGCACTCAGCTATTCCACTACGTAACGTGTCCGACAAGTACTCTTGCCTACCGACTTTCTTCTCGCCTGTCTGCCATGAGACGCATCCATGGTCCTGCAGTGTGGATAAAGTCGTATAGGCGGCTCAGTCAGTCTCGCTTCTAGCTTACACCGCCTGATAACAGCAGGGATCAATTCCTCCACCTACCGTTTCGCATCAGCACTATCATCAGCATGCCCATGTTGGGAACACTTGCGACGACAGCAGTGGTCCTCAACAGTCTGATAGGATTGCAGATACTCCGGCGTTCACTATACATACACGAAAACTCTCCCTCAGCTTCCAAGCACTTGGCGAAGAAATTACAGTATTTATATCATCACTAACTCCTCATTGATACTCCTCAGCCTACCTCACTCAGCACCTGATCATTATGCGTTCCTTCTCCCTCGCTCTTCCAGCCCTCCTCCCCTTCGTCCTTGCCCAAGGCCCAAATGACCCAGACTTCTACAACACAGTCGCAGAAATCTACTCCGGTCCCGGCTGCGATGCATCGTCCTTCGTCTGGGCGGATCCGATCTTCGGGCGCGGAGGCGTATGCCAGTTGCTTGATCGCAATGACAACACGCCGGATATTATCAGCTACAAGGTTACGGCGCAATATCCGGGGTGCTCTGGTGAGTATCGAGATCTGTATGAAGGCAAAGGGGGAGGAGAGATGGATGCTGATATAGTTGTCATAGCGACGTTGTACACAGACGATGGGTGTTTGAGCACGGCATATCCAGCGCCAGTGGGGCAGTGTGTTGAGGCGGCGGATGGGAAGCCGTTTGTGAAGGCTTTTGTGGAGTGTCCTTTTTCGTGAGTGGGTAATGGAACGTGGTAACGGCATCACGATACTTGAATACAATAGCATATACATGAAAGGAAATACAGAGCCGGCGGATGTTGAGCAACGTAGCGATCCTTCCTATGTAGAATGTAGACTTTCTCACTACATCATTGTTATTTGGACTGAATCTACTGATGTGATTTGCTATAGAATGCACCAAACGGATGATGGGTTCATAGGTAGTCCTGCTGCCGGATGCGCATGTCATACACACTGCTGCGGTAGCGACGATTACTCGCTCTCCTAAACCCTAGCACCAGCTTTACACCATAGGAACAGGATTGTAATATCCGAATCTGTTTTCCGGATCGTACATCTTCTTCAGTGCCTTCAATCTCTGCACCCTGGCCGTGTCATATCCATACAGTTGGTTGAAGTTCTCCGTACCCACTGCGTAGTTCACGTACGTGTGTTTATTCGCTCCTTCCGGCAGCCCTGAGAAGAGCGCCTGCCTGATCTGCTCTCCATACGCCTCCGCATCCGCTTGACCTAGAGCAGCCGATCCGTTCCACCAGATCGTCGGATTCGCTACCACAGGGTACTGTCGCTCCTCTAGACTCAAAGATGTTGATCCAGGGTCGACAGCTTGGACTCCTTGGATACCGTAATTCTCGAGCAGGAAGACAGACTGGGAAAAGCGTGGGTCGGCGGTCATCTTGGTGAAGATGTTGAAAGCTGCGCGGGCTGCAGTCGTGTTCCAGTCAGGCAACGAGGTGCCGCTACCCATTGAGCTTTTATTACGTGTACAAGCAACGCTGTCAAGGTTGTTTTGAGTCAATTTGTATATATCGACATTGTTGACATTGGTGGCGGGCTTGACTGTGAGGGGTCCGACAGCTTGAAATCTGGAAAAGTAGGGAGCGGCTTCGGCTTCTGAGCCTTGATATGAGATACTGTAAAGGATCAAGGGCTAAACGTAGTCAGTTGACGGATTGAAAGATCAGACAAGGTGCATTTACATTGTGAGGATCCATGGGAGGAATGCGTGTGCCAACGCCGGAAATTACGAGGTTGGCAGAACGGTTTGCATCGCCGTCAATTTTATTGACTAGGTCCAGAACGGCCTCGAGTTTGTCGCTACTGTATATAAAGGTAGAGAGGGTCCAGTTGCTTGAGATATCGTACACTTTTAATTGCACACTCGTTACAATGCCGAAATTGTGGCCGGCACCTCTGAGGGCCCCTGAGATGAGGGTATCAAGTCAGTATGAGTCAAAACAGGATGGGCCGGTACCTTGTGCATGTCTCAAGTGAGCGTAAAAAGTTCCTTCGAAAAGAAAAACATATTCAATTAAAACTCATTTGGTTGCTTACAGAATAGGTCTGGATTGCTGGAGCTAGATGCAGTGACTGCAGTTCCATTCGCGAGGATCACCCGCGCGGAAGCAAGGTTGTCGAGAGTGTAACCATGTTGAGCTTGCAGCATGCTGTGTCCACCAGCTAACAAAGGGCCGACAACCGAGACACACTCACAGAGACTGGTCACTGATATAGTAAAGTTAGAATTCAGGTATCGGAAACCGTAGTGATTGGCTCTCGCGTGTTTCTGAAGAGGGAATTACCTGCTTGTTTGTTCCCAGCGTAGAGCGCCCTGTTTAATTCCCATTGGAGCGTGCCTCCACCGACAGTTGCTGTTTTACCACCCAAATCCAGGGTTATGCTGTTCAGCTTACGCATGTTGATTTGAACGCCATATGGCATGTTGTTGAGCGTCTTCGTCCAGCCATGACTACCAGAAACAGCTAGGAAGGGTGTTCCTGATGTGGATGCATACTGTACCGTTTTCTGCACGTCTTCTTCAGTAGCGGGCTCAATGACGACGACGAAGTTCGGGTGTATGCGCGGAGAGGTTCCGCGTATTTGCAGTGCATCCCAGTTATTGTCATTGGGAAGCGTTACGGAAGCGTTCTCGGACAGCAACGGCTTCAACAAAGTAGTCACAAGCTTGAGATGATTCGTGCGCGCAGCAATTGGTTTTTCGACTGGACCCAGAGTGTATGCTCGAGCGCCTAAGGACAGCCAAGCTGCTAGGACCACGGAAAGACGCATGCTGTGCGAGTGCAGGTTCCATAGAACGGGTATCTGGTGTTGGACAAGCTCTGTGATTTGCCACTGTGGGAGGACAAACAGAGCTTGGAGTCCCTTGGTATATGAGGGAAGTAGGGAGGCAAGGGATTATCATCGTAGATAGGAAAGGGAGGAACTGACAGGGACTGCTGCCCAACATGGCGGGGCAGAGTCGTACAATGACAATCGACTCGTCACACAAGCGAGGAAACAGTCCAGAACTTCTGTAGGCATGGGTAGTCATGCGCATGCAGGCTTTGTGGGCCCCTGAATGCAAACATTCGCAAAAGATGAAAGAATGTCCATGGACTACATTCAGGAGAATCACTGAGGGACAACAGCGGGGTCTGTAACCATGTGGCGCACGTATGGATTTAAGGCCAATATTGGCTGGGAACGGAAGATATGAAAACCACTGCTTAGTCTCGTCTGATTCTTAGACTTTGTAATGTGTCTACAAGCATGCGTTCCGGCTGCGTGCAGGGACTCGCGGAACAAATGTCAGATCTACCCTATCAACTACCGTGCCAGGGTCATCGTACTTCTGCAAAGCTAGCGTTCCGAACTCGAACGTGTGGTCAGATTACGCCCTGCAGAAGCTCCTCGGGAAATCGAGTGATTGTGCACATGCTGCGTCCTGTTTGGACGATCAGAAAATTATCTGACGCGAAAATCGTAACCATACTACCAGAGGAACTTATCGTCCCAACAGCTTCCATTCGCCTCTCTGTGTCCTGGAGCATGAGGGCTCCGCTACCTTTTAGTATCTCCTACTTCAGTGTCTAGTATCATTCATGTACCTAATCACGCACTCAGACATAAAAAAGCCTTTTCTAATCCTATTGCAAACACGTCCAGCGGTGTATTGGGTAAGCTACAGGAATACGCGCGAATGTTTGAAGGAAATCATACTTAGTTCATGGAAAGACGAGCTTATACGGGTATGATCACCGGAAAACCCCACGTCTTGATATTTGATACAGATTGTATACTACAACACAAAAATAAGTGCTATAACCACCAATAACGGCATTCCAATAAACAGACTAACCCCACCAACGCCAGCAGCCGAAGTCGCCGCCACAGCCTTCACCTCAACCTGACTTATATTGACAAACCTGCTCGCGAAACCCTCAGCCCAGGTCCCATCTCTCTTAACAACGTAAAAGAAGACCATCGCCGCGCTGTCGAGAAATGGATCATTCGGAGCATCCTTCACCTCCCACAAGTATCCAGTCATGTTCTGCTGGGAACCTAAGGGACCTTTCTAAAGTCAGCGATCACCACAACTGCTGAAAGGCAGGAAACTTACGGAATATCAGACGCTTCTCGTAGTGTTCATTCACCAGGTACACATCCCACGATATGCTCTTATTTAGATTAGTCCACGTCCATTGGAGAGGATAGGTAGAGTTGATGACGAGGCGTTCGTTGCGATCGAAGTCTGTACTGTTGCAGTTCGCTGCGGGAGGATGCGTGAAATTGCCGGGCAGGCTCCAGCCATTATGTGGTGCTATTACCTGTGCATTGTAGCGGTCGTGCTGCAATGCGGAGGAACATAGTCAGTGTGATAGTTATAAAATAGGATAAGTAGGTTTAAGTAAGTGTCTTAGCTCGCTGTTAAAGATTGATAATCTCAGACTTCGAAGAGAAATCCGAATGTTTCAAACAACAGCAATAGCATAAAATAGTCACTTTGTACGAGGGCATTGCTTACCCACAACGGAGCGAAAACCGGATTAGAGAAAACATTTGGGTCGATGAAAAACTGGGTTGCCGTAGCGTGGGACGACAGTAAGAGAGCGAAGAAGAGGAGGGGCTTCATCGATGGAACAACGGTGGAACTTCGTCTGCATATGAGGAGGGAACAAAGTGAGAAAAGGGCTGAAGCTCGAGGTAGGCTGACGACATGTGATTTCTGAGGATATTGATCGTGCATCCAGTTGATGCTGTGCTTGGGTGCTGTCGTGCTGTGCGCTCTTGGGTGGGACCATGTGAGCTCTATACGAACGCGCGTGGCAGAACATGGCCTGTATTTGGGCACCGGCGTCAGCATAACATCTCGTGATGCCAATCAAGGTGCGGTCGAGCGACCTGTTGAGCGACGCCTTAGCGTAGGACTCGGTATGGTTCGCTACCTAACCAGAGTGTTGGTCACACTTAATTTCCCTGATTGAGCGCGCACCTGCGCATTTGGAGTACAAAGTTTCTGTCAGAATAGGAGTCCCAAAGCAGGGCGTAGAGAGCAAAAACATCAGGGTCCTGTCGGAATTTCCAGCTACGCACTGGCGACGAAGTGTTCCCTACATTGTGCCCGTAGAGATTAACCGTTTCCCCATTTTTTTCTGTTACACAGATCGCTCTCAAAATCCTGGGATATACCGATGCTTGTCCGTGACCTTCAGGATCTCCATCTTCATCCCTACTTCCAACATACCTCCCTCACCCCTCGGTACACACAGCATCCCAAAGCAAGGCTTATACTTGATGCCCTCGTCGATTCTTCGATACTTCATCAAGGTATCCCAAGGCTGTCTCTTGTGCTTCTCCGCAGACTCCGGATCGACGTTGGGAACCTGGCACCGTGCGCACCTTTGGGTGACGTCCAGGACGAAGCTTTGCGTCGCGCTCTTAGAACCTGGTTTCGGCAAGATGCGCAGCGTCTTCCATCGATCTTCATCCCATGGTTTGTTACCCTTTACGACGATGTTTGGCCGGAATCGATGTATGTCAATGGTGATGTCGTCGTTGGCACGAACGCGTGAGTTGAGCTCATCGATGCTGGATTCGCATCCAACGAGGATGGGCATAAGGTCCGGGAAACACGTCGATGCTGGCCTTCCTAGTATTTTCTCCGCCCCATTTGAAGGCAGTTTCCGCGGTGCGTCGAAGAAAGGGGACTTGTATACCAACCTGACTTCCTTGCCGAAAAATTCGTTGAAAGGGCCTGTCAGCTCGGGAGAATACGCATGAGCGGGGGTTTCTTTGCCCCAGATGTTTGCTTCGACGAACTCGGTATTCTTCTCCAACCATTCCTGCGAGGGATGTGCCGGGACGGAGAACTGGAGCTTTTGATCAATGGAGTTTGGGGCTGGGGCCACAACGGTAAGCGTATCTGATTTGGCGTCATAGCTTGGGCGAATGAGGGTCATTCTCGAGTTTTGACGGACTGATGGAGCGTCAGCACATGGACATCGTAACCTCCAGGTGTTTGGAACACATACTGGTCTGAAATTCGAGTTTAGGGTAGCTAACCCACATCCAGTGCCGATCTAGATCCAGTCCAGTGGGCAATAACTTTGCAGATTTGACAGTTAAGTAATGACATGATTTGATGGGATGTATGAAAATATCGGTAATCTCTGTCGGCGGCGGTAATGGCCCAGCGGAGCTCTCCTTAGGCCTGTGGTTAAAGTATAGGTATGTGAGGATCGGAAGAAGAAAAGTGAGGAAGATGACAGCAAGCTGGCTAGCGTTGGAAAGTGCCATCGTTCTAATTTGCCCGTTGATGGTTTCTTCTATCGGAACAGCTGTTGCGAATCTTCAGTATACCTTCTTAAACGTCGAATATGGGGGAAGCCGGTATATGCTAGTGCGTATCTTGGCGAGATTAGCAACACGATTGATCCAGATGCCGCGGTGTCGGCACGCGGCATTTATAATCTTCCCCGCCGGTGTAGAGGCCGCATTTGCGTTATGACGATGATGGTTTGGTGTGAAGAAGACCCTGGCGCGAACCCAAACGGGATTAAACGCCGCAAACGCCAGCCAGCATTTGATTTGATTTGATGTCGCCTTCGGCGTGTACATGTATTCATCTGAGCTCTGACAGTCGAAGGCACATAAGCTCCGTCTTCCCCAGTATGCCAGAATTTGTCGCATGCAAATCGGGTGTAGATGAAAGCATGCCGAAATGGTCACGTCTCAACCGGAAGCGATACGTCACTAGACCCTTCACTCATTGCAGGACAACTTCTAAAGTCGCATTCGATCAATTGACCCATGCAGGTATACCTACTCCCTCATTACAACCATCTTGACAACATTACTCAGACAAGAAACGCTTACAAGATAATCGGGGGTGTTATTATAATCAAAAACACTACAATAGTAGTCCTTTGGGGCGTAGCCGAAGCTGGGGGAATCTGACGTAGCAAACATTCAATCGAATACATTATGGGTATACCCTACAGTCCGCCTTTTGCTAAGTCAAGATAAACAGACATGAACGTTGGTGTATCAAAAAGGAAATAATTGGAGACAACCGTGGAGGTGACACTGTGCTCGTCTGACGCGCCGGGATGGACGATCGTTACATTCGTTCGTCGGCCTGGTTTCGTGAAAGGCGAGGTTCGGAATCACTTTCTCAGTGAGTTTTGTTTATTGTATTTGTAAAGGAGGGTGGTGTGCGGATGCCGGAACCAGCCGGCGATGAGTAGTGAGCTCGTCCGACACAAGATTGGGTTGCAATTAGCCCCAGTTCAGCTCATCATTCCACCCAATGTCTCTTTGCGAGACAACAGTATGTTGTGAGATGTTGCTGGGCCGCCGTCTCATGATCATCCTGGAGAAGCGGTTGGTGTGCTCATCCTTTGGCGGCGGTGGTGGAGGCTGGTCAGACATATGGGAACTCGACGGACGACTCGCGATGTTGATCAGCTTGGGAATGTAACGACGAGAGGCTGATGGGGTGCTAGTGTGATGCATGAAATTCGGAGGCACACTCTGCCGAGGATACTGGCCGAAGTTGGCATATTGAGATGTCGGAACCTGCACAACCTCTTTCGGGGCGTTGTAGTTCATGTAAGAGTTCTGTTGCTGGAAAGCGACTAGGTCTGGCGTCGATACAAAGCCCGCATTTGACCAAGAAGGTTGGAAACCTTGAGTGACAGGCTGGGAGAAATCCGTAGACATGTGCGCCATATGGCTAGGCGTAAAGCCTCCGAAAGCGCCCATACCAGGGTCGGTAGCCATGGTGGTCTGCGTTATGTCGGTAGTGACGGGCCATTGAGCTGATTGCAAGTCGTGGTGCATAGCCTGTGGAGTGTCCACGGGGTCGAGATCCATCATGTGCTCGGTCGGGATGCCATGGGACGAGTGGAGTCGCTGATCGTTCCCGAAATCCATCTCCAGCTTGCAGCTAATGGTCTCTGTCGGCTCTGGAGCTTCTTGCACTTCGGCCGCTGTCTCAGCTGCAGGTTCGGCAATATCCGCGGGTTCGATCTCTGCCAAATCGTACGTCTCTTGCACAACCTTGTCGACATCGAAAACCCGTGTATCCCATTTGGTCTCGAGCTTGTATCGTAGACGGTTACATTTCTTCGACTCCCAGGTGAAACGAGGATAGTCCTGTACGTCGCCGTGCCGTTGCGTCATCAACCGAGTCCATGATTCCGACACCTCAGGCTGCTTTAGAAGGCCCAGAATCACATTGGTAAAGTTCCACTTCGACTTCTTCTCTTCAAAGTGCATGGCAATGTGCTCGCATCGCTCTTCCCAGGTAGTCAACAGGCAGGCGCAGAATCCACACCCCCACGCGTCTTTGTCATGCATGACAATCTCGTACTTCTTCACACACGGCGATGCCTTCCGGCTGGTTGGTTGTCCGCTTTCTCTGGGCTGCTTGCAGTTCTCGCATCCCTACCATCGTTAGTGCTGCAAAAAAAGTTGAGCGACGCGACCTTACATGAAGTTTCGTGTGATGCTCACGGAACCGCTTGCCAGCATGGAATATCTGTTCGCAGTCCGGACATCGCCAGGTGAGCCGCTGCTCATGGAACTCCTCCTCATGTGACTTCCAGTATGGCTTTGACTTTAATGCCTTGTCGCAAAACGTGCATGCAAAGTTCTTGGGCGCGGAGGTATTGGAGATGGTAGATAAACGGGATGAGGCGGTCGAGAGGCGCGAGGAGACGGCGCTGTAGTGTGTGAAGGAAGAATCCGTGGAGGCAATCGAAGACCTGGGATCGGACATCATGCTTGTAACTCTGCTCGAAGGTACGCTAAGGAACGAATTGCGGCTGCCGAGGCTGGCCATTGACGACCTGTCAGGGCCCGACATACTGGAGAGGCTGCGCATGGAGTCTAGACGAACGTGAGCGACACCCCTACGCGTTGTTATCATGATACTGACCTCCATTGCTTCGTGCAGCTTGTAGCAATAGTAGAATTTGCTTGTCGTCGAGATGCTTCAATGCATTAATGTGATCGATAACCTCGGGTGTGAGCGACAGCTGGCCAGACAGTCGTGGTGAGGGCGACGCGCTCTCCGTCACGCTGCTAAGGGGCGTGGAACTCTGTAGGCTACGACGCGGTCGCTTGAAGCTATTGTTTGCCTGGGGAGTGCCATATTGGTACAGTTGATGTTCGTCGGTATCCATGTTTTCTATAAGGCGCGTAAAGACTCCAATTTCATCCCGGAAATTGACTGCGGAGAGGCCAGGTTCGGCGGGTGTTATATTGGAGTCGCAAGAAAGGAGAGTCGTGTGCCCAGATTCGATGGGTTCGAGAAGGAGCGGCGCTTTTGTCGATGGTTGCAGAGGTCTGCGCTTGGATCTTAGCCCGTCAGAAAGTCATTGATCGTCCAATCTCCCGGGCGGAGCGGATGGCTCTTGTTTTGAGGATAACCCGTTTCATCGGGATGCCCATGAAACCCGCTTGGCATGCGCGCTGTCATCCCTCCCCGTGCGCAGGGCTATGTATATTTAGCACAGGGATGCGACGACTAAGCGTTGTGTCTCTCCCGACACCGCGCGAGATCCTTTGCTCTTCCAAAGTCCGCGTTTGATTGCGCCTTGCCGGGCGCACAGCAAGTCCCTGATCGCGCAATGAGTTTCGTTGTAGATCTTCGTCCCATAATGGCTGCGATGGCGTCGACGGCCTCGAGAACCGTCGACGGCTGCCGGTTGCTCAACTCAGGGGTAGAACTATGAAACCGCGCTAGTCCGGACGTGGAGCCGCTTCTACTCGCCCACAGTCGGCGACAAGAAAACACCATCGTGCACTTCCTCAGCTTCTCAGCACAGCCTTAAGAGGACCGCAACAGGTTTCTCGTTGCCTGAGGATTCGTCGCAAACAGCATCTCGAGCCTTCGCTTGCTTGTGCCCCACGACTTGGTGAAGCTGGTTTTGCTTCACTTAACAAACCTTTAATTCTATATCAGCGAATCCATTGAGGTGATTGGTCGTATTCTGTCGCAGTCTTCATCGCTACGCTCGGTACCAGTTGGGTGTCTCTTGAGGTTACAAGACATACTGTATGGTGACTACGACTCATAAGCTACGTCTCGCATTTAGTAGATTCGTCAATGGAAAGGTCACTGGTTCTGTTATCCTCCATAACATTTCCTGGGTCGTGCATACGATCTCAAAGACTTAATGCTCGTTATGCATCCCTATAAGACATCGCGTGTGGAGCTTGCTGCGCTGTCTGACGCGTAAGTGATCGCCATACCCTCACGTGTGTTCGTGATCGCGTCCACGGTAACCCTGCGGGTGCGCCTTTCCGCGGCAGATCCCCCATGAAAGCGAGATAAGGAAGGAATTGTGCATGGCGTCAACGATAGCTTGATGGTTCTCTAGGATATGCTCCTATCGACAAGCCAGTTCAATTGGTCCTGGCTTGCGGCTTGGCGCTCGCCCTTCATCTGGGGTACGAGGTTTCAACTGCACGTAAGCGGAACAGTAATACTATTTTCAGCATACCCTTAGGAGATGGCCAGAACAGGAAGGAAATTCTACTTCCGACCTGGTGAACGCCCACAGTGCAGGGGTTGGCGTTGCCGGTAGATGCAGTCGTATGATGAAAACGAAACATCCGGCAAAAGAAAAAGATGAAAGTGCCCCGTTGGCGCTGATCTCCTAGTTCCCGGGATGTTACAGCATCGGACTGAACCACAGACGTGCAGTGGTCTTGCGGTTTCGGTAACATCAATCCGTAAGTAGGCAGACCGGAACTAACGCCACTGCGGAGAGGAGCCCGCGTAGGAAATAAAAGAGAGGCGAAGTGCTGGATGGATACCCTGCATTTCTCCGAAATACTGACCGGGCCGTACATGGGCCAGATTCATTGAGGCGGCCGGGCACCGAGACTCTATTACCTCAGCTGGCAATGCTTTCCTCCAGATACGAGGACAACGGCCAAATGCTCAGCTATGTTCGTGTAGAGAAATAGCTTACCACAGCCCGTTCGGGTGGTGTTTGCGGTGCTGGCTAGTCGAATTACACGAATTGAGCTGTTGAGTGCATTCTCAGGGAACCTGTTTGCTGCACATAAGGAACCTGATCCTTCGTTACAGCAGTAGGATGCGGAGGTTAAAGTCATCCTACGGAGTGAGGAGAGTCCGCTTCGGGCTGGACTAGGTCAGTCTCGACAACGATAAGATTAGCAAAGTCGAATACGTTTGTAGGGCAAGCTCTGTTCTCCCAAGATGGCTTCGGTGAATTGAACCGCACAACGTTCACTTGGCCATAAACAGAAACGAGCGCATGAAAAACGAACGATTTGGCGTCCTATAATAAAATTAACGAACGTCATTGGAACACCTCTAGATGTTTCAAGAAACACGCGCGGATCAACGTAGCACCCAACCCGATCTCACCACCATGAAGTCCGAGCTTCCACAATCGCAGTCGGCCCAATGTGCCAATGTGGAATCGTCACTATCGTAGAGGCATTGTTGGGCATGATACGAGCATGCTTGATCTGAGCCATGACAACGCGTCCAGGAGGCTCGCATATGAGACTTTATGCGAGGATTGTGGGTAGTGTCACGTGTCAAACGGAGATCGAGTACCACTGTTGGGTATTCGTGGACATCGTAGAAGTACGTCTCGTTGCTCTTGGGCGTGTCATGCACGTTCCGAAGTCTGACGAAGCGTGTTGATGGTCCACTGTCTTCAGCGTACGAAGTCAAAGATCTTGGCTCACACCATCGCATGTCTTGCCTAAGACACGTTATCGCGCCGCTGAATATAGGACACTGATACCTAACATCTGATGTAGATCTTGTCATAAGAATGTGCAGTAGGGGAGTGATGGTGGTGATGACGAAATAGTTGAGCCACTTGTGGCTGGTGCACCTGGGTCAACGCGTCGCGAAAACGCCGCGACGCGTTTTCGCGACCGTAGTGTTAGCTCCCATCAGCCAAAGCCGATCCCCGCCTTCTCCAATTGCTATGCCAGATTTCCACTGACAGATTCAAACATTACCTCTTCTATCATCAATTGAGATTTTGCCGCATGTATGCTATATCGGAATTGCATACCATTGTCCTTCCACGCAGCATAACGTACAGCGCCCAAACAGTTGCTTCACGATAGTAACGCGCGTAACAAACATTATGGCGGCAACTATGAGCTCCACCGAAGCTCGTCGAAGCACCTCACCCAATACCGCGCATTCAATACAACCTCCACTTGCTACCAACGCGCTCTCCAAGCTCGCAGAGAGTGAATCTGAATCAGATAAAGACGAAGCACTCGTTCGGAGGACGACCGGTAGACTGCTGTCACGGTTGCAGCAAAACACCACGGAAAACTCATCAGAGGAGGAACAGGGCGACAGTGATGAGGATGCCTATGAGCGCACGAAGCGACGTCTGGCTGCTGTGAAACCAGTTGCTGCCAGCAGTGGTGAGGAGGAAGAAGACAATGGCCAAGGAGCGTACGAGCGTATCAAGCAACGACTGCTTGCTAGTACGGGCTTGGAGCGCCGACGCGCAACGCCCACTCAAGAAGCTCAGAAACGAGTTGTTACCACTGCTGCACTCAGCAGCGAGGACGAAGATGACGCGCCTGTACGCGCGAATCGCGTTCGCAAGCTCCAGACACGACCGGAAAGGACGGGCTCACCCGCTGTATCATCCCCTCCTCGTGCAAGGTCACGTCAGCCCTCTCTCGGACTATTTGTCACACCGGAATCGTCGCCCGTCAAAAGACCAACGCGTGACGCAAATCTATCTGACGATGCTTTAGAGCGAACAACACCTAGACGCAGCAACGACTTCCGAGAACGAGTCGAACGAATACGCGCCGAAAGGTTGGCCAAACGATCGGAAGAAAAGCAGCGACGCACAAAGACCTCTCCACAGGGAGGAGATCAAGAGCCCGGCAGTAATTCAGATGGAGAAGGCAGCAGACGACTTACACAACTTGCTAAACCCACTCGCAAAGCTGGCAAGAAAGCCTTGGAAGCCATGGCTCGAGATCAACAACGCATTGTCCGGAACATGCAGCTCACCCATCAGGCCAAGACGAAGAAGAGATATGGCACCAAAGATCTATTTGCGAAATTCGGGTTCAATCAGAGTCTTGAGGAGTCTGACCCGACAGGTCTTCCGACACCGGAGACCAGCTCCGTGCCTGCAACTTCCGACGTTGAGGCTGCTCAAGCTCGCGACACACCACCCACAAGCCCACCAAGCTTTGAAGATGGGCCAAAGAAAGATGAGACTTTGACAGGACCAGAACCAATGTTTGCAGTGCCGACGAAAACCGACAAAGGCAAAGGCCGTGCCCCAGAATTTGAGCACCTCCCACCAAATCAGATGATGGAAATGTCACAATCAGTGACTGCGCAGAACACCCACGTAGTGCCAAACAAGTCCACTTCGGAGATCATGGTGGATCTTGACGATTCAGATGATGAGCTTCAGGTGGTAAAACCGAAGAGTCGATTTCCTGTCTTCGACAGGCTCCCAGCGAAGAAGGAACGAGAGAGCTCGTCCCTACTACACCTTCGGCATCTTGCTCAGCTTACCTCGCCTGGTAAGAAGGGTTCCAAAGGAAAGAAGACTATGAACATGGTTCAACTTCAAAGTACCCTCTTTCAGAAGGCTCGCCAGCAAGCTCAAAAGGAGAGGCAGGAGAAGATCGAGATGCTCCGTGCAAAGGGCATCATTGTCGAGACTGAAGAGGAGAAGGAGAAACGTCAAACGGCTATCGAAGATCTCGTGGCGCAGTTTGAGAAGGAGAAAGAAAAGGATCTTAAGCTGGCTAAGCGGGAGCGGGAGCTTGCGAAGAAGAATGGTGAAGTCGGAGATGGCCTTGCTTCAAGCGATGAGGAAGAAGACGAGGACTACGTAGCGAGTGGAGACGAAGAAGATGCTGCCGAGGACCTGAAGAGTGCCGATGAGGTCGAGCTCGAGCTTTCTGGCTCCGAGGACGAAGAAGCAGACGACGAACAGGAGCTTGACGACGACGCTGAAAACGAGGAAGACCATCCCGAAGGATCAGAAGCTGATGCTGCGAATGCTTTGATTGACGCGATGGCCGACGAAGATGACGAGGAAGAGCCACATCAAGCCAATAAAAAACCACAGGATCGCGAAGATGATGATTTGCTGGATGCGAAGCCTCAAGCTGCTGTGCGTAAGGGCCCTGCAAAACGCACTCGCAAGGTCGTTGTCGACGATGATGACGAGGATGAGGGAAGCACGATGCAGCTTCATGGCTCTCCCACACAAGTGGCTACCCAGGACGATACCATGGCTGCGTTCGGCTTCGGCAATGTAGCACCAGCAATAGGTCTCACTCAAGCCTTCGCAGGCACAATGGCCATTCTGGATGTAGATTCCCAAGCCGATCAGCCACTCCCTGAAGAGCCCGAACAGGACTCTATCGATTTCCTTCGCAGTCTACCTGACAGCCAGCCCAACTTCAGCCAAAACAACGACGTTGTCGTGCCCAACAGCCAGGCCGCAGCCTCTCAACAGGAGTTCACTCAGGATGGCTCTCTTCCTATGAGCCTAGGCATCAGCCAGTTGATGGAAGAGACCACCATTTTCTCCCACACACAGGCCTCGGAAGTACCAGAACCCACTCAAGACGCTGGCTTCCTGCTTTCTCGCTCACCTGCCGGGCTTGTGGCGCCACAGTCCACTATAGATACTGTCATGCTACCTGTGGCAGAATCTCCCATCGCACAACGCAAGGGCAAGCTCAGTAGGAGACGCAAAGAGGCTCCGGTCGTACTGTCGGATGTTGACGATGAAAACGTTTTCTCGGCGTCCGAGGCTGAAGCTAAGATCGGTAGGCCGGCGACGGAGGATGCCTTTAGCTTCCTCAAGAAAGCAGCCAAGAAACAAAACAAGATCGACACCTTCAACAAGAAGACGAGCGCAGCGAGAGAACATCTCGACGAACAGGCCTATGAATCCGACGATGAATATAAGGGCATCGGAGGCGCAAGTGACGAAGATAGCGGAGAAGAGGATGCAGATCTCGCTGAGATGATCGATACGAGCGATGTAAAGGTCGACGAGCGGAAGATTGCCGCCTTGTTTGCGTAAGTTAAACACAGCACAGAAGTTAGGTCTTCACTGACACAGTATAGTGATAAAGCGCGTAAGGAGCACGACGCGAGCGTGGCAAAAATCTATAAGGACCTCCAGACTGGTGCCTTTCGCAAACGAGGTGCAGGGGATGCCTTCGATATGTCCGACTCTGAAGACGAGCTGGAGATGCGCAAGCGGAAGAAGCAGCGGGAATTTGACCAGATGTTCCGCGCACTTAAGCAGGACCAAGCGATCGGCAAGATGGCTGAGAACCCCAAGCGCAAAGCTTTCTTCGCCACTATCATGGACCACTCCGATGACTTTGATCTCGAATTTCTAGATCATCCTGAAGAGCCAACAGCCAATTCAGCTTCTCAATCTGACGACGAGAAGCAAGATATGGAAGAGGCATCCATTGTTCCAGACTCGCAAACCGCCGGTGCACCTATTGACCAGCTCAAGCGCAGGTCAGCAGATTCTCAAGAGAAGGAAAATCGCCCGCCACCGCATCTGCGAAGGACGGCCGCAGCAGACGCCATGACACGACGTCCCATCTCCGCAGCTGATATCAAAGACTCTGTCGCCGAACTCCTCGAAGACCCACGCGACGTTGTCCCAGACTCACAATACATCTCCCTCTCTGACTCAGAAGACGAGTCCTCCACCACCGTCACTCGCACGGAGCGCATCGTCACAAACCGCCTATCGCGGACCCCATCCCTAGCCACCGAATCCTCCACCACTTCAAATATGGCATTTCAGACGCCCTCCGCCGGGAGCGTTGGAGGATTCCGCGTGCCGTCTCTGATCCGTCGGGCGACTAGTAATCTCTCTGCGGCCTCTGAGCGGTCGACAACGTCGATGGGGAAGAGCAGCGAAGGGGGCGTGAGAAGAGGTGGCACGGGAAAGAGCAACATTCATGCTCAGGCTAGGGAGGCAGAGAGGAGGGCTGTTCTGGAGAAGGTGGAAGGGAGGAGGAAGGAGGCGTTGAAGAAGAAGGTGGGGATGGCGAGGGGGAAGAGGAGTGTGCTTAGTAGGTTAAGTGGTGGGTTTGAGTAAGATCTTGTCAGTTTGGCATTGGAGTGAGGGAGCATGGAAACGGGGTAACGAGGCGTTTGTTGAGCGTTCAGTACTGTCATATACGAGAATGCGATTATCTCTCTGGCCAGTTCTGACAGGAAAAGAATGTGGTGCGTCGTGCCAAAGTGAAGAATGAGCAGATACAAAGGTACAGGATGTACAAAATCTCGCATTCTAAGATGTACAGATACGGTATTTACGGTATATTTACGAAATTTACAGATACGGGATATCCAAGATCCACAAGTAGCGGGTCAGCAGCACCCTATGAGTACAATTTCTACACAACACGTGGAGCGGATGTACAGGACGTACAGATACGAGATACATCAAATATACTAATAGATACAAAAGCAAACGCAGTAATCACATAGTTACAGAGATACCGTATATGTACCGTATATATACAGGATACGGTAAATGTACAGAATACGGCCTATACGAGCTATACGGTCGCTGCCTTCCATGACCGTGTTCTTAGAAACTATACTATTTATAAATCCAATACATGTTCATTCGTCACATACTAAATTCTTTCGTTGTTCATCGCTATATAGACTCATATAGAATTGTGTGGTTCGTATCAGGTATCGTACAACATATCGCGCTACAATACATAACTATAATACAACATATCGCGATACAAATACAGAATCATAATCTTACACTTTCTCGCTAATCCAAATCGCGGTCCGACAGCCTCCTCTTATGACATTCGTCAACAGTTCATAGGGCTTCGCCTCCTTGCTATCGTTCTCGACCGCATGATCCAAATGCTCCAACTCCTCATCTCGTATCCGCCTCAACTCCTTGATCAGTACCGTCAACTCCTCACCCAGTGTCTCTCCCCGTGCTTCCAGCTTATCCGCCCAGTCCAGCAGCACGCGCACTTGCTCGTTGTAATGCGTCCCAATTTCCGTCTCCACTGCCTCGGTACACGCCATGGCGGCTTCCCTTCCCATGACTGCGGTGCCCCACCCAAGGACTGTGGCAGCAGCATGCCAAACGGGGTACATGGCTGTGGGGCGGATGCGGTGCTTTGCGAGTATTGAGTTGAAGTAATGGAAGTGGCCGACTTCTTGGTCGTGCATGTGCTTCATGAGTCCTTTCAAGTGTGGATGCGCGCGGAGCAAGGGCGGTGTTTGCGCGGTGTATATCAAGACTGCAGCGAGTTCGCCGGCTTGATTTACGCGCAGCGCAGAGTCGAGGAAGTCGCGCTGTTCTTGGGAGAGCGGTTTTATGGGTGTGGCGGCGGCATTGTCATTGGGTGTGGTAAGATCGGAGGGTTCGGTATGGTCATGTGGTATTGCTGCTGCTACGGAGCGTTTCGTTGGGGAGTACTGGACTGGATTCGAGGGTGTGGAGTGAATGCGCCTTCGTGTGCGAGCGACGGTACAGGGGACGGTAAATTCGGAGACGGAATGCTGGGTGCTGCGAACGGCAGTGCGAGCCAATGATCGTGTGGGAAGGAGCGCGGACGACATAGTGTCCAGAAAACTCAATTGCGGAACGAAAGATGGTCACTGTGAGGAGTGAATAATGTACAGGTGGGTGAAAGTGAATCGATGAGGCGACGACCAAAAAGTGACCCACGCCCACCCGTGGACCGCAAGTCACGTCACCCGAATCGCGGCGCGCTACTCAAGGGGTCCGTGCAAACCCCAGCACTTTGGGGCTGGGCCACCGCGTTTCTCTTTAAAGTAACACCCACTCCCCTTCCCCAAGCCGACAGCCTTCTTTCTCCTCCCACACCCGCTTTATCTGTCGCCCGCCCGACTCCCGGAACGCGCATCTTCGGCGCACTTCTATACTCACCACTTCACGTTTCCTCTGTGAACGTCGGCACTACAGTCACTATGTCTGACGATTTCGACGACGAGCTCCTCGCCCTCGCTGGCGGTGACGAGGAGGTCGACATCGAGGAAGGCGAAGCGTGAGTCTCCCTTTCACTTCCGCCAGCTGATAAGTCTTTTGGCTTGCTTCTCGTCTCTTTGCCTTTCGTTGCGTCGCAGTCAACTGCAAACCCTCGCGCCCCTCTCCTTTCTCTTTGGACCCGCCAACATGTCGTTAACGCCACCCAGTTCATCAGTCGCCGCCTCATCACCCAACTCACTCGGCTCTGGCGACATGGACGAGTCGGACTCGGACCGCGAGGACGAACCCCCAGCGCGCGATGCCGGCGTGCTGTACCCCCTCGAAGGTCAATTCATCGACCAAAGAGATAAGCAGAGAATCATGAATATGTCACAACTCGAGCGCGAGGAGATACTGGGTCAGCGAGCGGAAGAGATCAGCAGGACCAACTTCCAAGCTGAGCTGCAGAAGCGCGCGGCCATGAACAACCGAAAGAGGAAGGCTGACTCTGAAGAGCCGGAGGACTCCCGCAAGAGCAGCAGGCAGGTGAAGCCGAAGAGGAATGCCGCACTCGACGCATATACGGCCGCCCGCGAGCAGAAAGGCCAGCAGCGCCAGCGCGACTCTGATCGCCGCAATGACCGCCGGCGGTCAGATTCTCCTGGCAGAGATGGCGGCTCAGATGTTGACGCTGAGGGCGAGGAAGATGTCGACTGGGACACTGAGCACAAGCCTGCCGTCCGCGAAGACTTGCCTGTCACCTTGCGGGACGTCGAGTCTATCCGCATCGGACGAGGCTTCTTCTCGAAGGTCTGCTTCTGGCCCGGTTTTGAGGAGGCTATGCACGGCGCTTTTGGCCGCGTGGGTTTCGGACAAGCCCAGGGCAGGACCATTTACAAGATGGCGCAGATCAAGGGTATGCTCTGCCAACTCTATCGCTCAAATGCTGGCTAACCCACCACAGGATTTCAAGCAGGTAAACCATACGTCTTCGAAGGCAAGGACGGTCAGCGCATCGCAACAGACCAATATGTGGTCTGTAAGCACGGCTCCACCCAGAAGGAATATCAGTTTCAATACCTTTCCAATCAACGCTTCACCGACGCCGACTTTGACGCATACCGGCAAGCACTCTCGGAAGCTAGTGCCAAACTGCCCACGCAGTCCCACGTAACGAGGAAGATCGAAGAGATCAAGGCCTTCGAGAACCGCTTCTGGACCGACGATGACATCAATGCGCGCATCCAGAAATCCAACAAATACGCACACCTCTTGCATCGCGACCGGGGAGAGGAAGCTGCGCCCCGTATCCCCACACAATCTGAAGCAGCCGCAAACCGCCTCGCCGAACTCAACCGCAAGAATCGCGAAGCCGAGCGTGAACGCATTCGCATACTGCAGCTCGAGGAGCGCAAGGAGAAGATGAAGGCCCGAAAACGCGCTGAGGATGAGGTCAGGCGGAAGAAGGCTGAGGAGGAGAAGCGGATGGCCGAAGAAGCGAAGAAAGACTTACTGTCGGTCGATGACCTCTTCGATGGCGGCAGCTCAAGGGCCAGCAGTGTGCCGAAAGAGGGGACACCGAAGCCAGAGGGTGAGGTGAAGAAGAAGGAGAAGACGGAGCGGAAGGGATTGCCGACGTTCAGGAAGCCGAAGATGGACGACGATATCATCGCATCCATGGACATCGGGCTTGACATCGAGATCTGAGGGAAACGGTCCGCTTCTAAAGCACGTTGACCGCTCTTGGTCGTTGTCTCCCTTTATCGGCATCTCGGCGAAATTGGTGCCTTGGGCTCTGTATCTGAATGGTATCTAGGCCTCAGAAGATTGACTGTACCGTTCCCTGGCGTTCCAGACTTGCAGCATATAGCAAGGCGTTATGGGAAGAAACGTTGGATATCAAGTATTCTGTGAGCGTAGGAGTTTGCGCAACACTCCGCCTGCATCACAGAACAATTCACATCTCGCTGAACAAGGATAACCCTTATTTATACCCCTACGCGAGTGGGGCGTTCGAACCTGAATAGAACCAACATTATGAATCACCCATATCTCTCATCACGTAGTATGAAGCGAGGGCAACCAGAAGTTTTATCACCGCCATCCCCATATTTGGAAATTCAAAAACACTTCCCTATACACCTCAGCCGCTCTGGTGCTTTCCAAAGTATGTGACCCCCTTTCCTAGCTAAATCTCGGGCAGACCCACAGACACACTACACCTGAAAGACATCCGTGACGCCCTCCCAATCGCCCCTCTCACGAGACTCCCAGTACCCTTCCTTCCCAGCCTTGAGCCGCCACACCTCCTCGCCGCCCAACGCGCTCTCCACCTCCGGCCCGCCCTTGACGAACCATTTTGGCGTCCACTCTTGCCCGTGCTCTTCCATTACCCGCCTTCTTTGACGCTGCCGCTCTTCCAGGCGCGCCTTGAGTGCCTCGGCGGTATCCATATCCTGGTTCTCCGCCGCTCGCTGATCAGGCCTTAGACGCGAGTCCGTGGGCGGGATATGGTCTTTCTCCAGCGGCGTAATCTCATTCAGACTCGCCGCCCATGTAGTAAAACCATAATGCTTCTCAGGCTTATCGACGAGCGCGCCGACCTTCCACACCGTCTTGCCCGTGGGTGTGAGCACGAGGTCGCTCGTCCACTTCCCCTGCGCGCCGGCGGTAAGCGGGTTTCCCGCGTTGTCGAAAGTCTGGACGTTGACGTCTTCGGAGCGGCCCGCGAACATGCCGCCTGCTTTGAAGGTGCAGACTGCCTTTGCGCCTGTAGTTTCGCAGAGCACGGTCATGGTGCCGGTGGGCTCGATGTATTTCTCGCCTGCGATGACGTTGCGGAGGAAGCTGCTTGCGACGGTCCAGCTGTAGTGCTCACCCGCGTCGTGCAGGAAGACTCGAGCCTTCCCGTCCGTGTTGATCTCGAAGCTTTTACCCCAGAACTTCTGCACCGGGGTGGGAGCTTGCATGAACGTCCAATTTGTTGATTCGGCGTGACAGGCCATGCGTACAGGGCGGTGCACGACTTTCTCGGCGACGAAACGGAAGCCTTTGTCTTCGCGGACAAGCTCGAAGGTCTCTCCTAGCATAGGGTTAAAAGGCTTGCGTGTGGCGCGTTCCTTGACACGGGCATTGCTGAAGGCAGAGATGGCAAAAGCGGCCATGTATACTAGTCGCTCTCCAGTCTCAGCCGGGACCTGGGTCGCTGCGTCAAGGAGCTCGGTGTATTCTAGCTGTTCGGCAAGACGTTGCAGAGCAGAAGTGGGTTCGTTGGACGTGACAGGCATAGCAATAGTAGAGAGATCTTTGCCCACGTTCTTTCGAAGGAAAGCGATAAGGCTAGGAGGCGTTGTCTTTGATATCGGAACATCCTTACGACGGGGCACGGGGTCCAGCGGGAGTGGAGTCAAGGACTTAGGCTTCTTGGGGAAGATGGAGGGTTGGACCTCGAGGGAGGCGCGGTTGTCGAAGAAGCCGCCCCCTTCATTGTCAGAGGATGATATAGACTCTCCATCGGAGACCTCGTCATGTGAGTGTGCTCCTGAGCTGTCGCGACGGATTTTTAGAAGTTGCGAGTGCGCAGTTCCGCCGTCGTTGGCATCAAAGAATTCGTCTGCAGATTCCTGCGAGTCTATACTTCGCCTAGAAGATACAGTAGAGAGTGGTGCGGGGGTACGTCTTTGCCGGCTTTCTGCTATCAACAACGAAAATTCTTTTACTACTGTGTCGAGGTCATGTAGCAGTTCCATGCAATGATCGTGAAGTCCCTCATTCTGTGTTGAGTGTGCCACGCTAAGGCGATTGTTTCGTTTTGGGACCGACAAATTTCCATTAGCAGGAAGAGGAGGGACAGGGGGAATGGCACTCGGCGACGCAACCCCAGTCTGGGCAGAAACACTTCTTCTGAATAGGCTCGCAGGGCTATGACCCCCTGAGTTGCTTGCTTTTCGTTTCCAAAATGCCTTCTTATCGAAGCCCTTGTCGTCTAGGAAGTAATCGCTGCTCTCTTCTGAGGGGCTTGGCGACAAGCTGTCCTGCGGCTGTTTGGCTGGGACAGGTGCTGCTGCCTGCTGGTATTTCGGGTCCGTATCCTGAGCGAGCCTTCGCACCGCATCTCTTGTACCTGCGATTTTGCTTACTAGGGTTTCAACTCTAGCCCAGTCGTTTTCTTCTGCCGCATTTGCAATACGTGATCCACCCTTAGAGGAGCTGTCTAGTATCTGTAATGTCGGCGAGGCGAGACCTGCATTGCGAGAAGCTCGATCGAGAGCGTCCCTCCATGTATCGAAGTCCTTCGCATTGTTGGCTCGTAGATGCCATATTTCTGCTCCTGAGTCTACAGATATTTCCCGCGTCTCTCCATTTGCCCCAATGGCAGCCAAAGAAAGGGGTATGGCGCCGCGCAATGCCGAAGAGTGATCATTTCGATAATAGGATAGTGTTGAAGACGTGAAGTCGAGCGAGAAGAACCGCCTGGCATATCCCTGGTTCCTCTTCCTCCGCTTCTTTTGCAGGACTCCAGTGAGGAACGAAGAGCTTAGCGAGGGTGCAGCTGTTGGCGCATACGAGGACTTGGGCCGGTCTGCGAGCGGTGGGTGCGGTAGTGATTCCGAAGACTGTGCAGCAGTTGGTCCCAATGCTGGACTGGATCCTAGGCTTGTTGAACTCTGCCCTCCCATAGCCTGAGCATAGTGCATGTGGTGACCCGACTTTGGCGGTGCATTGGTCGGATATGTCATCAGCACGAATGTAACTGTCTTGGACACCGTCTTGGAGAACGTATTGTCGAACACCAGGCCATACATGCCACCTTCATTGTCGGGCACATCCCACGTTCCTATGGACACCTTTTCAGCCTCGCATTTTCCAACCCAGTGTACCTGCTTCAGTCCAATCTTCTCCAACTTCTCGAATACGACCGTTCTGTCATTGCGCGAGGTAGACTGGCCACGTCCACGGCCGGTGGGCACGTCAAGGCCGGGCGTCGGAGGAGGTTCGAAGGTGGAGAGGGACGTTACGGTGGTTGTATTTCCGGTCGCCGCGCCAGGGTGCTTATAGAGACCGAAGTTGATCGACTTCTTGTGAGGTTGTATGCTCCATGAAATAGTGTGTCCAGCAGACACGTTTACCCAGCGAACAAGATACGACTAGGCCGGCAATCAGCAGCGGTTCTATGCATCGTGGCGGTCGGGAAACTTGCCTTGCTGTGGATTTCGAGCTGCTCCATGCCAGCCATGGCTATAAATTGCAGCAATTGCCTGTCCTAGACGTGGGTGTGGCTCTTTGAGGTTATTCCCCGCGGCGGTTGGAGCCTGAGAATGCGGGCAGCTGAATAGCAACAAATAATCGGTACCAAGGGTCCACGTCACGGGCTTTCAGCGAACGCGCATCGCAGTGCGACAGTAACAATAGCGATTAGTACATGTAACGCGACTGGACTCTGTGCTCTTTACAGCCGTCGCGGTGATATAGGGTTGGATTGCTAGATCTCTTGGAAGTCGCTGTCCAAAGGGAAGGGACCCTGCCTCGGCGGTCGTTACGGCCGACGTGTACGAAATGTCAAAGCGATTGGGGGCCACCGGGCGAATTGCGGTCACCGTCTCTTCAGTTCTTCAGTGCGCGATTACTTGACTGAGCCTGCAGTTAACAGCAGCCTGGAATGCTGACGACCTGGTCTTTCATATCCTGGCCATCCGGCATGTCATGAGGCGCCGTGCCACTGGGGTCGCTGTCGCTCGCATCCCGGTCGATCACCGGCCAGCCACACTTTGTTCTCAGCCTGTCTGCTTGGGAGCAACAGTCTCAGCTCTCGTCCCGTAGCCGTCAGGCGTCTCTCAAGTGCTGATGTAAAGGCCCGAAAGCCACGTGCGGTCCCTTTCACGCGGACACCCTCCGCCCGTCTGGGCCCACTCCAGCGTGTTCAGGTGCAAACATGTCGATGACGTCCAACGGCTTCTCTCGTGGAGGGCGACCTTGCCTCGGCAGCGGCTTAACAGGAGCCTCCGCTCCGTTGCTCGAGGCATTTGTCTGCTCCGCCACATCCGGTGAAGGACAGCGACGCCGATAGGACTCACCGAACACGCGATGCGAGAGATGGTCGCGTCCTCTCTTCGCTTCAACGGTCTCCTACTATGGTACCTAGTTACTTATCGGTCCGTGCGGCAGTCTGAAGGTGTCGCACCTATGATGAGTGGAGTACAACTTACACAGGAATTCCTATTGAAGAAACGGACAAATCTGTAGACTATGCTCGTCTACTGATTGTGTCAAATGGCGACTAATAGCTCTAGGCAAAAGTTTTGAGGAGACACCTGACAAATGTCCCACCAGACTCATCCTTATGCCCGAGTCAAACGAACCACGAATGGTGGCTTCAGACAACGTGCCTCCTCCGACAACAGTACACACCAATTGCGACATAGGTACAGACTACCCAAGTTTCCGCACGGAATAATTCATCCATGTCTCCACGGCATACCATCTCCAGATTTACACCGCGCCTTCCCACTCCCGACACGGAGTATTTGCTCCATGCTAGAGCCGCATCCTCCCCGCAGGCGATCAAGCGTACACAAGCTTTTCGGAGATCGTTCTCTGGCCGTTCCACGCGGCTTCTCTAGCCCCCTTCAATCATTCATTCGCTTCGTTAATACTATGTCCTAAAGAGCCTTTCATATGCGTTAATCTAATTTACCTGGTTCCACCCGGCATGGATGGTCCATCTCCGCAACCCTAGCACCTGGATAGTCTGGTACTTCATCTGTTCACATTTTGTACTTAACTTCATTTCTGCCCTGTTAATTGTTTTTGTTGCTCTTTCAGGTTCAAGGTTTCGGCGTCAAGATGAAGTCGTTCGCTCTTACCCTCTCGCTTGCAACATCTGCCTTGGCATCACCATTGACAGAGCGCGCATCTACGTGGTCGGGATGGAAAGGCGTGAAATATTTCTTCGTATTGTAAGCTCGCACATCACTTCTCACGGCCAAATTGCTGAACCGTTCTTCAGCGGTGACTCTTACACCCAAACCGGTTTTGACCCCAAGAGCACGCAACCATCCGCAACAAACCCTTTTGGTAACCCACCGTGGCCAGGATGGACTTCTTCTAACGGCCCCAACTGGGTTGGTTTCTTGACTGCGACATACAACACTACTAAGATCCAGACATACAACCTGGCTTATGGCGGTGCTACTGTCGACTCCGCCCTCGTCGCACCCTACACCCCAACTGTACTGAGTCTGAAGAACCAGGTACAGGATCAATTCCTCCCAATCTACGGCTCTCACCCCTCTTCCGCACCATGGAAGGACAGCGATTCGCTATTCGCTTTCTGGATCGGCATCAATGATGTAGGCAACTCGTGGTGGCTGAGCAACGCCACTGCATTGTACGACCAAATCTTCACCGTCTATGACGGACTACTAGAGTCCGTCTATGCTACCGGCGCAAGGAACTTCTTGTTCCTTTCGGTGCCACCAGTAAACCTTGCGCCGCTCACTCTTGCTAATGGAGACTACGCGATCGAGAATGAGGGCAAGATGATCGAGACTTGGAACGCGAAGCTGAAGAACCTTACAACAACCTTCTCCAAACGCCACAACAACACTCTCAAGATCTTCGTTCACGACACGCACACGCTCTTTACGAACGTGATCAACGACCCCAAGTCATACGAGCAAACAGCTGGTTTGAAGAACACCACGGGATACTGCACCGCGTACGAAAAGTATGTTCCTCTCGCTTCTGCGTTACAAATGGTCTTCAACGCATGATCCTGTCATCTTATTTGTGAGGAGTTTGTACTGACGAAGTGACAGTGGCACGCCTACTTGGTACACATCTGACCCCAGCTGTTTGTACCCCGTCAACCAGTATTTATGGCTCAACGAACTTCACCCTACGTTCCCCATGCACAATGCTACAGCTGCTTCGGTGGTTAAGACACTCAATGGTAGTGGCAAGACTCTCTGAGCATGAAAGCTCTACGCATTCTTCTTGTATATATATCAAATGCTACTAAAGCAATTCGTCGATATATTCTCCTATGACTAAAACTCGTGGATGAAGATTTCAATGTCTGCGCTTCGTTCCTCGCCTTCCTTTTCGACACCACTTGTATAAGTGGGACTAAGGCGATCTTATGTTTCTCTCCTGCGTTGGACGCGATGCGGCCAATATTGACCAGGACTCTGGTCCATCTCAGAGGACCCTCAATTGGACCCGCGCTTGACGACTCCTCAGCTCGCTAGAATACAGCAGGGCCAGAAGAGATGGGACAGCACCCTCTCGAAGAAAACCCCTATGCGGACCGTTCGTCTAGGTGCCTGGTCTATAAGTCCCCGCCACCGGTTTCTATGGCTTTGACTACTCCTGCAACGCATCAATGTTTGGGACGCTGGCACTAAGATTCACCTGGCGGCGATCCTATGTTCCCTCTCTTCCCCCGGAACGATATATATCTTCTCCCATCCGAGCAAAAAGTAATCGACCTTCTCCGTATGTTGGACCCTGGACACCCTGGCCAATAGGGCCACCCACACTACGAGCCCACCCACGCTGGCCCTTCCTCGGGTGACGTAGAATGCGCTGCTGTTTTCGCACAGTACCGGCTCCCAACCTTGCTGAAGTCCCAGCCATTCAGCCATATGAGCTCATGACCGAGGACCCCTGTCTATGGTTGTGGGCGCGCAGGTTGGCTGGACGCATGCATCTACGGATTTTTGGGGCTAAAGCACTCCCTGCAACTGGTAGAAAGGCCACTCCATGCTCTATAAGAATTCCTTGGTCTACAGCATGCTCTACAAATGTCCTTAAGATCAATTCATGCTCTACGAGCATGCTTGGAACTATGGCATGCTTGCCCGAGGCTCTTCTGCGTAAACTAAGCATTGGAATATTTCTAATCGTCTAATGAAAGACTGAAAAGAGCGGACTAGCCTGGCTGTGCTTTGAATCTTATATGCGAGCTGGTTTTAGATCTGCGCGAAGTACACTAGGCTCGACTTGATGTCTGTTCTGTCGGCCAACCAGAAGGACGTACAAGATTATTACATGGCAGCTTGCTCTTGTGTCCCGTTCCTTTTCATTTCAGGCCACTATTGGGGAGCTCTGTGGAAGGGACGTCTAGAGCCAAAAGCGAAGCCATATGTCGATTATGTCCGTGGCGAGTGAGTCAGCCTCTCTCGACTTCCAAAACCCCAGAATCTCAAGAAAAATGGAACCGGATCCGTCGAGAAAGTTACACGAGAGAAACTCAATGCCGCCACAATCACCCACAAGCTGAAGCCATGTTTCGCACTCTGGCACAGGGGGCACATCGATAATGCTATGGCTCGGTAGGACTAGAAGGTCGACTCTATACATGGTTGATATGCGTTGTTCGGGCTAAAAGCACACGAAGCAAGATCCATGCGGCTTGGAGAGTGGCTTCCAAAGCGGCAGCAAACGCCGCCTTATGTAAGGTTGTTCCTCTTGATCGGATGGGACACATTTCGCTACTCACTTTCGACACTCCTTACGAGAGCACATTTTCTGGGATCCGCCGTATCTTGCCTCCATGGGTCTGCTGAGGTTTTGCCACTACAAATGACCGCCGATGCGAAGCATGCTTTGGCTGGTTCCGCTCTGCCCAGTCCTGCTGCGTATCAGTGGAAAGGGCGGCGAAAACTTCTACGATTCGCACTGCAGCGACTGAATCTTAACGCCCTAACTCAGATGAGAGGAAATTCATGGGTGAATCGGCAGCCTGCACGGTTGTTCAGTGTAAGCAAAAAGGGAAGTGCAAGAACGCTTGGAATAAGAAAGGCAACAATGACAATGGCTTATCGTCCGTCAAGTCATGCTTCACGATAACGTTTGATTTGAACTGATTCGAGAAACAGAGCTCCGCAATTTAGCCATAGATAATGAATGAGACAATGAAAGCACTCCGGGACATTCTAGCAGATTCATGATGTGATGGTAGACATTGAGAGGTTCGATGTATGCACATATGGAACTTGGTAGACCTTGACTTCAGGGTAAAACACTTGCCGGTGAGTTATTAGTAGAAGGTACTAAGAAGAAGTCTTGTGGATGTAGACAGCAAACTTACATATATCGAGTAAACATTTGCGGTGGAAAGAAAATCATCCACCTATTTTCCCTAGATCGTATTGGAGACATCTAACAGATGAGCCATGGTTCTTTGACCACCCACCATGGCATTGCCCGCTGTGGTGATCGACGTTTGTAATCATGTTTCGCATGTACCAACTCGGGACAGAGGCTCTCGCAAGTGGGTCTTTCGGGAATGTCCGCCAATTCTCGTCGGAAGCTTGATCGCGTTTGGCGCGGGTTTACTAGCGGCAAACCCGGCTGGGTTCTCTCCGCGGTTCCTCCACCAGGGTCCGTTTGATAGGTCTATCTCCTGTTCGTCAACCTGCGGTTTGCCCCGTAGACCTAGAACCAGACGCGTTCGTCTCTCTGCGCGATATTATTCCCTGTGCCTTTACCTTAGACCGGAAATACATGATGACAACTTCACTAGCAGGGCCTAAGCGACTACTGGCGCGCATACGAAAAGTCTCTGAATCCAACGTCTTCTTTAAATCCTCGTTCCTGCCGTGATCCGTCTTTAATTATCCTTTTCGTGTTGCTCCTCAATGGCCGCGAACGACCCCGGCCTTGCGCCGCTGAACGCGCCAGCAGAAGACCCTATCAAAGGCGCCATCGGCGTCCCCATCGACAACGAAACGCCAGTTGCGCCTGATCAGTTCGATCCGAAATACGAAACTACGAAGAAAGAGATTTGGGCGTACTACACGTACTATATTGGTGACAATGGTCTGACGCTGTTCAACTTCGGCCCCACTGCATTCCAGAACCTGATGTACCAAGCCGCTGGAGACTCCGAGATTCTCCACTTTGCAGGCCGTGACCGAACCATCAACAGCATTGTCCTCCTCTGCAATGGTATCAGCTTCGCCATCCAAATCGTGGTATTCTTGATCCTGGGCTCTTTCGCGGATTTCGGAACATGGCGCCCCAACATCTTGATCGTGCTTTCCTTCATTGCCTTTGGAATCGGATTCGGCTGGTTGGGCGTGCACACCGCAGAAGACTGGCACATTGGTGTGGGTCTTTACATTGTTGGCCTGATCGCCTACCAGACAACCATAACATTTTGGACCGCTGCATTTCCAGGACTCGCAAGAAATACCAGGGATCTACGTGAGAAAGCCGAAGACTTTGCCGAAGGACGGATTTCCCGCGCCGAGTACGATTTCGCCGACATGATGAAGAGGAATGAGCTGTCCAACACGGCTTTTTACACGCAGTCTGTATTCGAAATCGCCATTCTAGCTGTAATCGTTGGGATCATGTTTGGCCTGCACGTCAATGACAGCGACGCAAACAACAACTGGGGTCTCTCCGTTCTCATTGCATTCGCAACCGGTGTATGGATCTTATGTGCCATTCCGTGGTTCGTGATGGAGAAAAGGAGGCCTGGGCAGGACCCAGGACAATCGAATATTATCATTGCTGGTTTCAAGCAGCTTGGGTACGCTGTGAGCCAAATCTGGCAGCTCCGTCAGAGTCTGGCATACCTCGTTGGCAAGTCTCCCGGGTACAAAGTGAATGCGTGTCTTCTGCCAAGCAAAAGAAAGACCATCTTTATCTAATTACGACATGAAAAAGACCCTCTCCTTTGCTAAGCTAAGACACGAGCCAATGTACCATCCCCACTTCTTTGAAACATAAACTGACTTTGTATTTTCGGGTTTGACAGGCTATTTTTTACTCGGTGATAGCCTCAACACAACGGTGACAGTTATAGGGACACTCCAGAACGAGATCGTAGCATACAACAGCTTGCAACTCACGTATCTCCTAATCGTCGGTATCGCCGCGCAAGCCGTCGGCATTGGTGCATTCTGGCAGATCCAGAAGCGCTGGGGACTATCAACGAAGACCATGTTCACAGTCGTTGCCTGCGCCATTGTTATATTAGATGGCTGGGGCATGATTGGTATCTGGACTCAAGCATTCGGCTTTCACAAGGCCTGGGAGGTGTGGGTATACCAGGCCTTCTACGGGCTGTTCGTTTGCCCATGGTACAGCTACTCGCAGACTATGATCAGTGAGGTCACTCCGCGCGGCAGAGAATTCCTGTTCTTCAGTCTATTCTCTATTGTCGGCAAGACTAGCGCCTTCATTGGGCCGCTGGTCAGCAGCGCTATCATCGACGATACCGGGAACAACAGCAGCCCGTTTTACTTTTTGTTTGCGCTGAGTCTGGTCAGCTGTGTGTTCTTGTACTTCTTCGTCGATGTGGAGAAGAGTAGGATTGAGCAGCAAGATTTTTTGGACAAGGCGGAATCGATGGCGCCGTCTCGAATTTCTGATGTAGAAAGTTGACATTGATACGAGGATTGCAAGCGGCGACAAAAAAAAGTTGTAGCGATAGCGGATTATACTGGATGATGAAAGAATAGGAGATCTACCTCTTGTACATGACCCAAAATTCTTCGAACTCCAAACTCCAAGCTCCAAACCTCCACATCAACTCATATTGTGTGTTCCCCTACAAGCCTTTCAACCCCCACAAGTCAAACGCTATGCATGTAAGTGCTCCTCCGGCGAGCAGTCCTCCAGGGAACCGTCCAACCGTCCCCATTGCCACCTGTCACTCGATTAGCACTTTACCGCACCAACTATAAATCTTGACAACTTACTCCATACCCCACACTAGCGAGATCTAATGCATCAACTACAGTGTTCAGCCTCATCGCAGTCTTCAAGCCCTTCCTCTGCACATCCTCGGCATCGTCCTTGGCCATCCACGTCCATTCACCGATCACAAGCTCTCGTCCGCCGAACATGCGCGGGATTAGCGTCATGTTAGCTGGGATGGGAAGCTTGAATAGGGCCAAGGTCAGAGTCGGGGCGACAAGTGAGGCAACGCCCAAGCCGATACGGCCCAGAGCGAGGGCATTTATGGCGAAGGCTGAGCCGGACGGGATGGGTTTGACGGATTCGGTGGAAGTGGATTTGGTGAGAAGAGGGTCGGTGGAGGAGGACATGGAGGTTTTGGCAGCTGATTGGGACATATTCTTGGCGAGTGTTTTGTTCAGGTATAAAAGATTCGTGCAAGTACTTGGTCGGTAATTGGAAGACTTAGGAAGTAATCGGTAATCGGTGTGGTTGAATATGAAGTGCTTGTGGTGGATTTACATGACTTTCCAGCAGTCTCTTATATATGTCAAATATAATACCTTTCGCGAGAACGTTATGCTCTGCCTTACACTTTTAGTGGAGATACAGCAGCCTGAGGCATCGAGCTGCCCCACACTGGCGAACGAGTCATTAGCTCAAGACTTGACGATGATGCACGATTCAATTAGGGATTTGGGGGGGCTATCCCTGTCGCACGTAATGTTCAACGCATGGAAAGCCATCAAACCCTTCGTACACCTGCTTAACTAAGATCGTAAAGAAGATGTTGACGCATTCGTCGTGTTTCGGTCCCTTCGGACAGGATCTGCGTCGCTTATTAATAGCGCCATCAGCCTCACACTCCTCAGCTAGCCGTGAAAAGCCTAGCACCGTCAGCCGGAGTGGGGAACATAACGTTGTGCTTGGCAGCAGGATAACTCCTGTATAGAAGCTGTCTCTTTTCTGCGCTTCCAATAGTTCTAAGATATTTCGAAAGTGGGCTGATCTCTTGCATAACATGCCGGCAGATCGGGTAGAGCGGAAGAAAAAGACCAAGACACCAAAAAGTCTGCCGGAACCAGGAGATCCGGACCGGAAAAGGGTCCTCAATGTCCTGGCACAGAGAAGATACCGTAGGTAATCAGAACTGTAGCTGTTGGTCGTCTGCTAATTGAGCGTAGGGGAGAGGAGAAAAGCGAAATATGCGGCGTAAGTATTCCTTTGATAACCTGGAGGCTAGTGTGGAGTGGTCGTCTGTCCTATTGTTAGCTTTTGAGAATTTCTTGTGGCTCGAAATGGAGAGTCTAAGCAGTGATATCTTTTGTACTAACACGTATCCGCTGCCCAGATTGGAAGCACAGGCCCAAGGCGTGACCACATCCGCGATTGCGTCTTCAAGTACCCCAGACGTAGTCACTGAAATCCAGCATGCCAGTGCGCAGGACCAATCGGAGAGCACAATGAGCATGCCCCAGACGATACCCACAGTATCGGGCGCTTCGGCAGACGATAATGAATTGATCGAAGAGATCATTAGGGACACTATGCCGCAAGAGGAAGGTTTTCCGCTAATGGATGGCTTTGACCAGGAGTTCTTCGACGCGCAATTGCTTGAAGATATCTGTGAGCGCATCATCCTGCCTACACGTATCACAGATACTTACACAATTCAGCCTTTGGTCTTTCGACCTCATCTCGTGCCTCGAGAAGCAGAGGGGATACGCCAGGACAGACTTCATCATCTTCACCGTCATCGTCATCAAGCGTCTGTCCACTGAGTCCTGATGGCAGTATACTGGAAATACCCGTTTTGGCAACCATTCGCGCCTTCACCACCATAGCTACTATGCTGGATATCATGAACAAGGTAAGTCAGATTGTCTCTCCTAATTGCGTAAGACCTGTGCTTAATCACCTGTCAGGTTTGGGATCCATTGTACGTCCACGTCCTTCCACCCGTCACACCACCCGGTCTTCCTCCCAACCTCCACCCCACAACCGCTCAGATGACCATCCCACATCATCCCTTCCTCGACGCGCTGCCCTGGCCTTCAGTCCGTGAGAAGCTGATCTGTATATTCTCTCTTCCATCTTTCGCTCGGCCTCCCATCGCGCAGGACGACGGTGAAGAAGGGCCAACCAAAGCCATCATGAGGCTAGTGACGGATCTCGATGACTATCGGGATGGTGTGAGGATACATGGGAATTTGGTCGGGTGGGAGGCGAGCAGCGAGCTGGCTGAGGAGGCATGGGAGATTGGAGAGGTGTTTTATAAGAATTGGTGGTGGTGTCTTGATGGGAAGATTATTGGAATCACGAATAAGAGGAGAAGGGAGAGGGGTCTGGAGCCGTTGATAACGATGTACTGAAGATGGCTTCGTGGGATCGCCGATTCGACATTGGCTGATGTGCTTGTATCATGTAGACATTGTACGACTTGATGACTTCCGCTACTTTCGCAGTGCGACCGTTTGTCAGATCAAAACGCTATTTCACATATTGTGATGACGGGAATGAAAGTCTTTGTAAAGTCCCAAGGTAGGACTTAGTTATAGCAACTCCCCGCACTTCCCGACTGTGATGACCAGAGACCCAAGGTGACCTTTTTGACTTGAGACTACGCACGAACAGATGTAGAGTGTCAACACGGGCCGATGAGAATGAGATGAAAGCAAGCGACTCGTGACAGCGCGCGTCCGCAATTTCGCGACGCGTCGTGCGGTAAGCGCGGTTGCGAGGGGTGACGAATGCCAAGCCATGCCTAAAGTACCAACAAACAGCACAACGGGTCCCTCCGGTACAGCAAAATAGGCCCGTAAGAAAGTCCTGCCCGTACTCAGGTCGCATACCGCTGACATCTCTACGGACAATAGCTCATGAGCAACAGCTCTCGGAAACAGCACGCACCTTTTCGTCCCGTCGACACTCTGTTGTCGCCACAGAAGCCGAGCTTCAGAGAAGGCAGGAGCAAGCCTGCAAGGGAACCGTCCGAAAGCGACGAGGAAAACTCGTATCTGCCAGAAAGTGAACGCGACGTTACCGAATACTCTTCTATCGACCAGTCTGAGCTTTCTCACCTGGGAAATTCCAGCTCCCTCTTCGACGAACAACGCACCCCGCCCGCTTCGAGCCCAATACATCCATCGGCACGCAGAACACATACAACAAAGGCAACAGGAAGCATGGCGCGAGATCGTGAGGCACCAGGCGGTCAGCCTCGTGCGCCTGCGAATCCAGCTGCACATGCACCAGCAGCAAGGCCTCTTCACGAGCGCCTGACCGTGAATGAACCTATCGACCTGAGCACGCCTCCGAAAGCGGCGGCAGAGTTTGGGAAGGCCAGCACTATGCAGAGCCCTCTGAAGAGCTTGGCACAGAGGACCCAGAGTTCGCATGTCTTCAATCAACCCATGCCAGGTCATTCCAGGCCAGAGCATCACCGCGATCACAAGCCGATAGCGATCCATCGACCCAACGCCCCTTCGAAAACCACGAATCCTGCACCTCCTAAAGGAATTTCACGGTATAGTGGTGCTTCGTCTGACAATTCGGACATCTTTGAAATACAGCCATCGCATTTTCAAGCACGGCCATCTTACCCAGGCGCTCCCGTTCCACAACCTACAAACACGCAGCACCGGACCATACACGCGCCTCCTCGTCCTGTTTACTCGTCTGTGGGACATACTAATGGTTTCCAGCCTGTAAACAGGAACCAAGGCATCTTCTCGCTTGAATCAAGGAAGACGGTCATATTGGACGACGTGGCGCCCAAGCGGACCGGAAGCGACGAGGAGGATGACTTTGATCCAGATACCGCCATTAATGCGGAGCGAGGGCAGTTTGGCGCGCCGGATGTCTACGGGTACGTAGACTCCAACCAGGCGAACGAGAACATCAAAGCGCTACTCGAGGGCGCACTAGACGAGGAGAACATTCCTCGAACGCGAGGACGAAAGAAAAAGAAGCAAGCAGAGGATGATGCTGCGATGTCCTTAGCAGACCGTCTTGCAGCTCTGGACGTTAAGGAGTCAGATGCGAATAAGGCTGCAGAGAACGAGGAAGAAGAGGAGGATGAGGAAGATGATGGCACCGTCGATGGCATGAAGGTCAAGCTACTGCCACATCAAGTCGAAGGTGTCGCTTGGATGATCGAGAAAGAGACGGGCGCGCACAACAAGCGGGCGAAACTACCAAAGGGCGGTATACTTGCAGATGATATGGGTCTCGGCAAGACCGTGCAATCTATTGCCGTGATACTCTCCAATCCTCGGCCAGAGAAGGGCGTTGAACCCGAAAACAAGAAGAACAAGATCCTTCCGGTCGTTGGTAAGGGCACGCTTATTATCGCACCTCTCGCCCTTATAAAGCAGTGGGAGGCTGAAATCAACGACAAGGTCTCCAAATCCAACAGCCTCAAAGTACTTGTACACCACGGCCCTAGCCGCACCAAGTCTATTGACAAGCTAAAATCTTACGACGTTGTGATCACCACATATCAGGTCCTCGCTTCGGAGCACGCAAGCTGTGGCGAAGGTACAAATGGTCTTAAGAAGGGTTGTTTCGGTGTGCATTGGTACCGCGTGATGCTGGACGAGGCGCATACCATCAAGAACCGCAACGCTAAGATGACGAAAGCTTGCTACGAGGTGCAATCACACTACCGATGGTGTCTGACGGGAACGCCCATGCAAAACAACCTAGACGAGCTCCAGAGCCTTATCCGATTCCTCCGCATTCAACCTTATTGCGATATGCCCAACTGGAAAGACGCAATCACAGGTCCAATGAAGAATGGCCGGGGTAATCTCGCCATGAGGCGGTTGCAAATCTTCCTCAAGGCCTTCATGAAGCGCCGAACGAAAGATGTGTTGAAGAAGGAAGGTGCCCTCAACTTTGGCGGTAAACAAAAGGAAGGAGAAGAGAAGAAGGGCGGCTTCCAGATCGTTGGCCGTAACATTGAGACTGTTATTGGAGAATTCACAGCCAAAGAGCGATCCTTCTATGACCGTCTCAACGACCGTGCCGAGTCTCGCCTGAAAGAGATGATGGGCGGCGAGAAGCGGGATTACATTGGGGCATTGGTTCTGCTCCTGCGGCTCCGACAGGCTTGCAATCACCCAAGCCTGACCAAGAGCAACATGAAGGAGGACAAGGATGCTTTGACGACGGGACAGAAGCCAGGCCCTCAGTCGGGTCTCCAAACGCCACGAAAAACATCTAAAGATACAGATGCTGACGATCTCGCGGATCTTCTTGGTGGTCTCACTGTTGAGACGAAGCGTTGCGACATCTGCCAGATCAAGCTGAATAGCGACAACACTACTTCTGGTTCTATTCGATGCGCCGAGTGCGAGACTGATCTGAACGCGTCGGTGAAGAAGTCGAAGAAACACAAGAAGAGCCGTAAGCATAAGCACAAGGATCGGAAGGAAAAGCACCGACCAGCAAATTCCGCAGACGCAGAGGCACCGACGCTTCCAAAAGCTCCTCGTCAGCGTCGCGTCGTCGTCGACAGTGATGATGAAGATGACGCAGGCGGCGAATGGCTGGTAGGCGAAGATGAACAAGGCCCGACGAATCTGGGGAAGGCTGGTGGAACCGATGATGAGAACGCTGAGGGCGGCGGTGATACACTTGCTTCTGTTGACTCACATGATAGTGGTTCTGGTGATGAGGATGAGGCATCTGTAGGGTCTTTCATTGTTCACGACACAGACAGCGAGGAAGACGGCCCCATTGTTCGCAAGCCGACATCCAAGAAATCCTCTAAGCCTGCAAAGGTCGTTAGTCTGAATTCCGATGATGAAGACTCGTCAGAAGCAGACTCCAGCTCAGAGGACTCCGACTCAGAAGCCGACTCGGAAGAGGACACGGAAGAGTCTGACATTGAGTACAATGCTTCCGACCTAACGCCCTCGACCAAGATCCGACAACTCCTCACGATCTTGGAGAAAGAAACTCCCGACCACAAGGTCATTGTTTTCTCCCAATTCACATCTATGTTGGACCTCATAGAGCCCTTCCTTCGCCGTGGGGGCTACAATTTCACGCGCTACGACGGGAAGATGCGTAACGATCTCCGCGAGGCCAGTCTAGCCAAGCTGCGCAATGACAAGCGCTGTCGCGTTCTTATCTGTAGCTTGAAGTGTGGTAGTTTGGGTCTAAACCTTACAGCCGCCAGCCGCGTTGTTATCATGGAGCCTTTTTGGAATCCGGTATGTACCATATGTGCATCTGCTGTTAAATTACACACTACTAACAAAGCCTCAGTTCGTCGAAGAGCAAGCCATCGACCGTGTTCATCGCCTTAACCAGACTGTCGACGTTACCGTCTACCGGCTTTCAATTCATAACTCGGTTGAAGAGCGTATCCTCGCGCTCCAAGAGGCAAAGCGCAAACTCGCACAGGCTGCGCTTGAGGGTGGCAAGGCTGTTGGCAAGCTTAGTATGCACGACATCCTCGCCTTGTTCAAGCGTGACGCGGAATATGATCATCGCCACGTTGATGATGGCAACGACCACGATCTCTTCGCTCGTACGAGGGTGCTAGAGGAGAGGGGCGATAGCCAAAATATCGGTGAAAGCACGGCAGAGAGGAGGAAGAAGGGAAGCCTCGGGTTTAAGAAGCCAGAGCATAGTGTCTATGGTAGACGTTGAGGCGTCGAGTGATGTGCTATGAGGTTACGAGACAATGTCAGCGGTCAGGAGGAGTTCGTGGAGTTTGGATAGATGTATTCTTGGAACGTGTATCGGCTCTGTACAAATGTCCGCGTGCAGTATATCCTCTATCGGTTTCCATCGGACATCGTCTCTTGTTTCCAAGGTTACGCCTGTGTCACCCCCGATCACGCACACCCTAACGCCGATCTACGTGATCTGTTCATACAGACCCTATTCCACAGCGCTGCAAACCCCCCTCCTTCCAATTTCGCGACCCAACTTACTTTCTTAGACCTCTTCTCAGCGTTTCGACACCACTTCCCCACCCAATTACAATACCCAGAGCATCCTCTTCTCCTCAGCATCCTCTACGAAAATATATCCAGTTTATCCAGTCTCTCTGACACCATCCGCAGCCGCTGTTGTGCCACCAGCAATACCGCCGCGAAGAGTCGAAATACGCGGATGTGTCTTGTTTCGTTTGAGGAATAGCCGCATGGGGACGGATGGCTTCCTCATGGCTACTTTAAATTATGTCTCGGCTTGAGAAACATCAATATAGGATACCCTAGTACAACGCCTTTCCCAGAGCGAGCCAAATACTTCACTCAATCTTGAACCTGCGACCAGTACTCTTCACTATTTCCATGCATTCGATTTGCTTCAGTACACGTTCGGGTAATGTGAGGACAAGTATTGTGCCAATGCGAAGGACCAGCTAACAAATCGTAATGGCGGCACAATAAACAGGCAAACTCGGAAACTCATTGCGCATGCACACGGGTAGCATTCGTGAACCGTATTCATTGATTGAAGGCCATAACTAACCCGAAGGTAGTACTAAAAGACCGAAGTCTCGGTATAATTGCTTCGAAAAGCAAAGGGCAGGAGGAACATAACTCCAAAACCATGCCATATGTAGGGCCTCATCCAACGCCATCTGCCCATCCGTGAATCTTAGTCGTCCTTATCGTCATAAACGTCATGTCCATATCGTGGACATGTTCAAGTCACTGCAGTGGTATCAGTCAACCGAGCCGATACGATACTTACGCGACCATGACGTGTGAGCCAGGCTGTAACACTTGAACGTACACAGTAAAACCCAAAAGCGCCCTCGGTTTCCACATTACCTATCCTTCGGACCAGAGATTGCTGGACAGAAAAATGCGCAAGCGAAACCTAGGGATGACGAAGCATGCGTGCGATACGACACTTCGTCCGCCTCCAGACATTTGACTACATCACGCCGCCAAGGCCGGAGGCAGCTACAACTCATCATCATCGCCATTGTCGTGCGTTGGAGAAGAGCTAGTGAGCTCATGGCCCTGAATGCCGTGGGCCATGTTGCCCATGCGAAGGAGCATGCCGGGGGCTTTCTTGGGCTCACGAATCTTCTTGCCGCGGAGCACAGCACGCAACTTAGCGTTTTGAAAGATGTCGACTGCGTTCTTGACTACGCGAGTCGGCTTGTGCTGGTTGCTGACGCGATTGACAGGAACTGGAGGCACTCGCTGGGGGGCGCTCACAGGGGCGCGAGCTTGAGGCGCAGAAGGTCCGGGTAGCTCATCGAAGAGCGGGTCGAATGGAAAGGTTGGCTCTTGAGCGCCGCCCTCGAGAGAATCTTGAGGTTGCTGAGACGTGACGTTGTGGCTAGTCTCTTGGGTCTCGGGGGCGATGCTGAAGCCGTTGTGGTCAACGGTAGTGTTGATTTGAACGTGATTAGCAGCTTGAGCGGCTACCCTGCCGTTACCCATGCCATTGCCACCAGTGATGCGATCGGTGAGAGGACGAGCATTACCAGCTTGGCCACGACCGCCACGGTGAGTAGCACCTTGAGCAGGGCGTTGACCGCGTCCACGTCCTCCACCACTCGGTCCACCATGAGTGTAGGTGATGCGGTCAACGAGGGAGCGAGCAACTTGCGGACCGCGGTGTCCCCCCACATTGTTGTGGTTCTCACGGCGGCGACGAACTTCTTGTGCACGGCTGCCGGACATGATGCTGCCGCGACCCGGATCAGGACGAGCACCTGGAGTGCCAGCGCGGTTGCCGGAAGGGCCAGCTCTACCAACGTAGTTGTTGTTGTGGCCTCGATGGTACATCTTGTCAATGTTGTAATCAAGGGTAGTTTTGCTGCAATTTTAATCGAGTTTCTCTACGTCAGTATAGTTGAGCTTACTTGTGGGTGCGGGTGGTTTGACATGAAAACAGACGGGAGCGCGGTGTTTATATACACGCCGTCGTAGTGTGTTATGGCTTGGCAAGTTTAGTGAAAGCTGATATTCACGAGTGGAACTCTGAAAAGTGGCAGGAGCCGTTGCCATGCCAATGTTTGTCTCGGGTTGTGTATGCGGACATGTAATTTACTACCCGTCCGTGGCGCGTGAGTGGATACTTCAGACCGACAACTCGACTGTTCAGTTCGAAACATAGAAATCGAGACAAGTTCGTGAATTTTCCATGTGTCGCAGTTCGGCCAGGACGGATAGTTTGCCCGATAACCGTAGGTAACTGTAACGGTCGATCCGGGTCTCTATAAGATCAGATCCAGAAGTTACTGTGACTTAGAGAAGTCAACGTTGATCAAGGGTAGATGAACTGCCGTAATACTTACAGGAGATTCATTCGACTTGAACGGTGCATCAGGATTGGTTTCATCTGAATTTCGCATCCTCCTCTGGCGGCACAATACGTTCGCGATGACATTCATGTGTAGTAGATCTTTCATTCTTTGGTAGAATGACGTAGCGAGATAGTTCTATCCGTCACTTTGACGGGTAAAAAGTGTTCGAGGGCATTGTTGCGATGCCTGAGGCGTATGGTACGTAACCCCTATATGTTGTTGTAGCCTGCCTTCTTCCGCGTACTCCGAGGGCCATGTCGCTTCGTTCGATACGCGTGGAGATCACTATTCAAGCATCTCATGTCCAGTCGTCGCCTTCGCCATCTCGAATAAGGTTCGTGATGGTACTTGCTTGCTTTGGCTTCGCAACAGTCACAAGAGGACTGCTTAGAGCCATGGCGAATCGTTCATAGTGATCTTGCCATGCGGTTGAACAAGAGCTCGGAATTAGCATCTACCGAAGTAAGCGAATGTCGAAATCATCTTCCAGCTTTACCCTTCCATTATTACGACGATGTGAAGGGAAAAAAGAGTATAAACTATACCTCTAGATAGAAGAAGTCTTTCTCTCTATCCTAAGGTAAGAAAAGAGATCTATATCACCTAGTGATTGCATGCTATTGCGCTGAACAGGGTGTGTTTTAGTGACTACGAGCTAATTTTTCAGCCGCGTGCTTGCTTCTCTTGAGCAAGCGATTCACACTTATAAAAAGCTGGCGCCTCTGTGTGAACGGCCAAAGCATGCGACCCAAAGCATGACGAGCAGCGACGCGTAGAAAAGACTGATGAGCTTCGAATCGAAATACACTGGCGGCGGTTTGTGACGGTATTATATCCGGCTGTTGATCGTAGAATAGGCTTACGGTGCTTTATGTATCAACAACTGCCGGTGAGAGACTGGTCACCTCTTATGTGTCTAGCACCAGTTGTTTTCAGGTGAGAGAACAAGCAAGACTGTTTTTCAAGCTGCATTGTATGCAAAGCCAGAAGCTGTTGGAGATTGGGAAGCAAGTGCGGCCTTGCGGTGGGTCGGATGACGTACCGTCCCAGAATCCCAGAATCTGAGAATAGACAGTCTCGCCAGCTTCGGTGCTTCCAACCTTCGCAAATATAAGCCATGAGACTATAGACTCCATCTCTTCAAATGTATCGTTCTCCGTTGACCCGTTGTCGATGTGATCTTGTAAAGCAATGAGAATCATAAAGTGCATCAAACGCAGCGACAAGCTGATGTAGCCATAGCTAATCGCAATTGTGCGCGAGCAACCTTCCCTAGATTTCTTGGAAGATTCATAACTATGAGGCCGTTGGTTCAAGAGCTCTTCTTTCCCCACTGACCCCCACACAGTCTCAAGGTAGCGCACCCTCTCCGTTATGCCCAAGGGCTGCTCAGTTTAAGATGCGAGCCATAGAAGCACTCCTACTGGATTGCCCATGCACGTTTGCTTATGATCTCTCGGCATCATCGGATCCATAATGCCTACGTCAGGCGATGCAGCGGGTGGTCTCTCGAAAACGTCCTGGACTAACCGCAGTGATTCGCCGAATAATTTGCAGAAGTTTGGGAATCTCAAATTTCAGGTTATCGCGGCACTTGTGCCGACCAATCGTATTCAATGGTTTCATGTCAAGTTATGGGAGGATATTTGCCGACATTCATACAATCTTTCGGAGTAGCACCTGCAACGTTGATATAAAGTTGTGGGCATGCCGCACCCTGCAGATAATTTACCCCAGATTATCGGATATGAACCACGAGTGGCGACCAGGAGCTCATTCGCAGTAGATCCTGCCTATCGATCGTTCTCTGCACCTCCAAGGTTGCGACTACATGGCATCCATGTGTTGTAATTAGGCAATGCCCAGGTGAACTGACAAGGATGAAGCACGTTGTTCATTGCTCCAGGTTATAAACGTACGTTGGGAATCCGGGTCGCCTTTTGTCGTACTACAGTACGTCGTCAAGCAGATCCATAATTCATCGAAACCCACGATGAAGTCTTTCGCAGCAGCAGCGCTTGCGCTCATCGCGCCGGCGCAGGCCGGCCTACGCTTTCCATGCTCGACCCTCACTGTCCAGCGTCTCGATCCTGTTGTGCAGCCCGGCTCGAACCCATCTGCTCACGTGCACCACATTGTTGGTGGTAACGCTTTCAATGCTACTATGACTGGCGATGTTGGTGCGAGGGCCACTTGCACCACTTGCCAGATGGCCGAGGACTTCAGGTACGGAGAAGGAATCCAGAAGATGGAAGTGAATCATGCTCATCTGTATAGCAACTATTGGACCGCACAGCTTTATTTCAAGCATCCCACAAACGGCTCCTTCAAGCGCGTTCCTGTACTTCCCGTCCAGCCTCTGCTTGGTGGATCCAATGGCGCTTCAGGAGGTCTTACGGTGTATTACACCCAGTTCGATCTAAACAAGGACAATCTAAATCAGCAGAAGATCACAGCTTTCCAACCGGTGAGGTCGTCTATCACTATCTGCACCTTCAGACTATCTAACAACACAGGGTTTCCGCATGACCGTCGGCATCCCGACCGAAACCAACAAGCCCCATGTCGGACTCCGCTATCAATGTCTGAGCGGAAACAACAGAGGCGCAGAGATGCCTGACTTTCCTACAAAGCCATGCACTGGCGGAATCTTCACTAGGTACCACTTCCTAATGGCTAGAGGCAATCGTCTGAACCATCATTGATCAAGTATAGCCACCATTTCCCCGCGTGCTGGGACGGCAAAAACCTCGACAGTAAGTCATGTTGTAACGCACGTCAACACAAGGCGCACACTTACATTCATAGGCCCTGACCACCAATCTCACATGTTTAACACCATAAGATCCGACGGTTTTACAAACGCCCCGGCGTGCCCTTCCACTCACCCAATCCGCGTACCCCAAGTAACCTATGAGACCACCTGGGATACCACGCAATTTAACAGTCTCTGGAAGTCCGGCGACCCAAATCCGTTTGTGTGGAGTTTTGAGGGTACAAGTGGCTACGGAACGCACGCCGATTACATGTTTGGCTGGAAGGGCGATGCACTACAAAAGGCGATGGACAAGAGTGAATGCTTTTATGATGGATGCGGGAGTATCAAGAAACAGGCTATGAGTGAGGCGAATAAGTGTACGGTGAAGGATCAGGTGGGCGAGAAGGTTGAGGGGTGGCTGGACAAGTTACCTGGGATGTAGGTGGGATTCAAGACTGGGTCGCCAGCGGTAAACTCTTGCGAGCGTCGTAGTATAGTTCGAAATGCAGCCTTCTGATTGGAACGAGCTCAGTGTGGATCCTGCCGGGATCATTTGCATTGTACCTATACGGCCTGTGTGATACTGATCGAAAACCTGTGTCATGGAAGGTCTCGAGTTCAGGGTGCAAAAGATATCAAAGGAACCTACATTCTCTATCCAACATTACTTGGGATACACTCTCTCTTAGTCTGACAGCTTCTTCGAATAATCCAAAAGCTCTACTTCTACCCCTTTTGCAAACTCAGCCGTCAATTCCTCATCTCCCAACTCCTTGTTCGGGCGCGCAACCGCGCCGCCAACACCAATCTTCCAACCCTCTTCGTCCAGCGCGAAAATCCAATTAACCTCTCTCAACGGTCGACTTTCAATCTCCTCCCCATTCTCATCCTCAATGATCTGATACACCCACAGACTCTTCCCAAGCTGATCATTCTCTCTCCTAACTTCAAGCGTTGCACTCGGTCTGCTGTCGTTCCCCGCAAAGTCCTGGAGAGGCGTGATACTCCAGTCGGCCCAATTGTCGCAGCCAACAGTGGAGAGATACGGCTTCTCGTAGTACCATTCAATGCCGGTTTTGAGCCACTTGTCTTTGCCGGAGCCGAGTGGTGCGTCGTCCCGAGTGAAAGAGAGTAGCAAGCCGGCTTGGTCGTACTGGCGGAGGTCTTTGCCCGGTGGGAGGGCGAAGGTGAGACGAGCTTTTTGGAAGGACTTCAAGTCGTATTGGGGGAGTGGTGAAGGGTATGTGGGCGCGTCGATGACATTGTGCGAGGGGGGCTTGCGCCAGATGTCTTTCCCTGCGGGAGAAGAAAGGTTGAAGGGCTCGACTTTGTCGATCTTGGTTGCGTAAGTGGGAGGAGGCATTGTTGCTACTAGGAGTGAAGCTGTGGTGAAGATGGAATGGAATAACATGATGAAGGCTATGCTACCAGTACTTATATAGGGCCGAGTGAACAGCACGTGCAAGATGCTTATCAATTGAAGCTACGATGACATGAAAAGTAGGGACACCAACCTTGGAAGGACTAGACTCAACGGACATGGTGAATTTATAGCAGTGAGGCACGGTGGGGAGGAGTGAGAGGGGTATGTGTAGCCAATCTACCTTGCACGACGTAGACGCGGACGGAAGCTATGAGCTGGATTGGGAAAGCGGGGTGACGTGCTTGGCGACAAGGAGGCTATGAAAGGTGGTTCCTGGATGTATCTCTAGCGTAACGAAATGAAAGCATGATGCGATGATGCAGGTCTGTATGGGTAGCATCCGTGTCTGCATGCATGTCTGGTGGAGCGAATTACCGTTTCGGGTGACCTTGGCAGCTCGTAACTTGCGCCTAGAGGAGCGCTAGTATGAACTGCGGCCGTAGGCATTGGACAAGAGTCGGCGCGGTGAAATTGCGGTACCTGAAGAGATGACCGACCGTACACAATGCTGCTGGTGACTAAAGTGATTCGAATTCATGAATATATACACATTGTACATTTCTAGCACATCTATTTCTTTTGCTCTCCCTCTTTCGGGGGCTCTGGCTTCGGTGTCGGCAGCTTGAACTAGAGTCGCACAGTTAGCATGATCGGTGATTGAAAACAGATCATCATAATATAAGAAACGTACGTTTTCTGGGGTCTTGTTGTCACCAGGACCAACGGGCTCCCAAGCAGTCGACCCGCCGCGGAAGTTCCTAAATGCCTGAGTCATCTCGAGCGGCTCAACCACGATTCTTTTCTTCTCCTCATCGTAGCGAATTTCAGTGTATCCCGTCATCGGGAAGTCCTTGCGCAATGGGTGACCATCGAAACCATAGTCGGTCATGATACGTCTCAAATCGGGGTGTCCTACGAAGAAGACACCGAACAGATCGTAAACCTCTCGCTCGTACCAGTTGGCTCCATCGTAGAGATCGCAAAGACTAGGCACGGGCGTAGCCTCGTCCGCATAGGTCTTGACTCGCAGGCGCGAGTTGTGCCGGATGCTCAGCATGTTGTACACCACCTCAAACCGCTGGTCCTTGGTGGGGTAATCGACGGCGGTAATATCTGAGATCTGAGTGTATTCGGCAGCAGTGTGATGCTTGAGGAAAGTGAAGACAGGGAGGACGCCGGCGGGCGGGATGTAGATGGTCAATTCATCCTTCCAGACCGAGAACCTGCAATGCATCAAATTTCGATCGTTTAGGAGGTGGTGAATTCGCGTACTGCTGAATGTATTTGGGCAGACACGACATGAGGTACTGGCCATATTTGTGGAGCGCCTCGCCCTTCTCTTTATATCTGTCGGTCGGGTTCACGATGGCGGCTTTGAGCTTGGAAGGCGCAGGCTCGCGGGGGGCGTGCTGGAGTACATGTCAGCACCTACAACATACCCTGCAAGACCAAGGACAACATACACGCAGGTTCGCCGCGTCCGAGCTGTCGCCGGCAACCTCCTTCGCGCGCAGCGCGGTGACTGCAAAGGTGCGCACAGCGGGTCGCGAGCAGCTCGCAGAGCGCACAGCTTGGCCCAATGGCCGTCCGACGGCCTGGCGCAGGGCCATTGTATATGTGTCTTGGGTGTTGAGGCTGCGTGCAGCTATTCGGCGGCGAGGGTGAATGTCGTCGTAGCTTCTTCCAAGCGGGTCGCTGCTGCTGTTTCTGGAGCTAGGGCAACCACGTGATGCCTGCCGAGCGCGCCTTCCAGATCTGCTTTGCATCCCGCGCTCACGCCCCCATCACCACCGCCTGCATCTTTTCTTGCTTCCTCATATTCACGGTCGGCGTTCGTCCTTTAGTCGCGGCTGCCCTCTTCTGCATCTCGGCGCCCACTGCACCTCGAGTCGCTTTTTCCCTCGACGCCTCTCGCTCGACGCCACCCTCACGGCTCGCCAGCGCATAGCAAACCTCACATCATGTCCCGCATACAACAGGACCAGTTCGTCGACGATGACGAAGAGGAGTGCTGCCCTCTTTGCGTTGAGGAGTTCGATCTGTCCGACAGGAATTTCCGACCATGCCCTTGCGGCTACCAGGTGCGCGCCTCTCGAAAACTCGGCGAGGCCGCTCCATCGTCAGCTAACGCGCCCTGCTAGATCTGCCAATTCTGCTACAACAACATCAAGACTAACATGAATGGTCTGTGTCCCGCATGCCGTCGCGTCTACGATGACTCCACGATCGAGTTCAAAACTATCACCCCCGAAGAGTGCGTGTCCTCGGTACCGTACATGTTCGTTGCTAACTAGGCTAGGATGGCCAAGCACAAACAACAGATAGCGCAAAAGGCAAAGAAGAATGCGCAGCAGCGGCAGAAGGAGGCTCAGAAAGCGGAAGCCGATTCTCTTAGTCGCAAACATCTCGCCGGGCTCAGGGTTGTTCAGAAGAACCTCGTATACGTGACCGGTCTTACTCCCACGATTCGCGAAGACCGCCTGCTAGATACATTACGCGGTCCAGATTACTTTGGCCAGTATGGCAAAATCATCAAAATAGTGGTGAGCAAAGCAAGGGAGAACGCACAGCATCAACAATCCGTCGGGGTTTACGTGACCTTTGCTCGCAAAGAAGATGCGGCCGCTTGCATAGCAGCCGTCGACGGCTCACAGAACGGCGATCGGACACTAAGGTGAGTTTGTGTATTAACGTTTCCTCTGCAGTACGCTCATGAGCCTATAGGGCGCAATACGGCACAACTAAGTATTGTTCGGCATATCTCCGCGGGGAGCAATGCAATAACCGCAACTGCATGTTCCTCCACGAGCCCGGCGAAGACAACGACAGCTTCACTCGACAGGACCTGTCGATGATGAACTCGATACAGACGCAACAACCCGCGCAGTCGTCCACTAGCCGATCAGCTCCTCCAGCCCATCCAGGCCCGCCTGTAGCTGCCGCATCAGCCCCAATGAATCGTCAAGATAGCAACGAAGCCGGAAGCTCGGACGATGCGCCAGGATTACCCGCAACAGCAAATTGGGGAAGCAAAGCTGCTCAAGAGCGTCGCGCTAGCCGCTCGACGAATGCCTCGAATCCAAGCCCGATGACGGTAAACGCTGTGCCTGCGCCTCCAGTAGTCAAGCCAGCCAAAGCGGAGGAGCCACTAAAGAAAAAGATTAAAGAGAAGGAGAAGTCTGCGCCGGTCTCGAAACCAACTACACCCCAACCGCAACACCAGCCGCAGTCACAACCGGAACCAAAACCTGCTCCTCGGGCTCAGAACCCCCGCATCCCCGGTCTCGATGGCCTGCTTAAGGCCGTAACTGCGGCTGACTTCAAATTTGTATTCTCTAGCGCTGTGCTCTCCGAAGAGGAGTTCAAGGCTATCGCCGAGTTTCCCCAGCTTCTCGATCCTCAGGGTGGTGCAAAAAGGCGTGCTATGCGGGAAAAGGAGAAGGAACTGGTCGCTCAACGCGAAGCTGAAGCTCAAGCACAGGCTGCTGCATCGCAACAACCCCAACAGCAACAGCAGGTCCCAACCGAGAGCGAGGAGCACGAAACAACGGCCGGAGGTAGCTTGCAACTTGGTGGCGAACCAGAAGAAACTCACCAACCTGGTGCGAGTCACCAAAATCAACACGCTATTGCACCGCCAGGCCAACAAACTCTGGGCGGCAATCTCTTTGGACAGAACAATTCCCTGGCTGAGGACTTCAGTAACCTTGGCTTGAATACCACTCGCCAGTTGACGCAACAGCAACAGCAGCAACTGCTCTTATCGAACTTCAAGTCGGGTCCTCAATCCGCAAGTCTCCTTTCTCAGTTTCAGAACAGCCAACCGCAACAATCACACGCGCCCACTGGAAACGCTTCCGGTCATACGAGGCATACATCTCGCTTCAGTTTCGCCAATGACAGCGCATCCGCTTCAGCTTCTGTCCAGCCAGTCGCAAACCAGAAGCTGATGAGCCAACAGTCCTCAATGATGCCGAAAAATCCGAGTCATTTCAATCAAATGTCCCAGCATCAGCCATTGAGTGGGCAATACTATACCAGCAGCGCCCAAGGTCCCCCGCCAGGGCTGAAGGCCACACCAACACCACCAGTTGGTGGAGGTGGTATGTTCGGCCAAGGTCATGGCTTCGCCACCGGTGGCCTCGGATACGGCGCGAATGCTTCCGGCAGAAACAACGATGCACTCTATCAAGACTTGCTCCGAGGCAGGAACTTGGACAATGGTGCGAGAGTAGGTGATGCTGGTAAGCGTGAGTCAATGTTTCCTTCTTTTCTTAACCAACACCCCACGACCTCTACGCCGGGTCCTGCCCCTGGCCTTCTAAGCTTTCCTTATGGACCTTCGCCTGGCGCCTACCAGGAGACTGGTTCGCAGAAATCTAAGAAAAAGGGAAAGAAGCACAGACATGCTAACACTTCCTCCTCTGGAGGTGGTGTAGTAGATGTTCAAGACCCGAGTATCTTACAGGCAAGGCTACATCAAGGAGGCGGAATGGTCGGGCAGGGTCTCTATGGCCAAGGGCAAGGTGGGTTCTCTTCCCTCAATACCTACAACAACTACGGCGGTGCCGGACGATGGTAGATCTTTCGCTTCTTTCACATATTTTCGACCTGTGGTCAAGCACGATGTTTGTTTACTTTTCCTTGTTCGATGGATACATGGCGTTACAAGGGCTTCGAGCGAAAGCATTGGCGCTCGGGCTTACAAACAATGCCTTTGAGTTGCTCGGCGTTATGACTGGGATGGTCATTGTCATATTACTGGCTTTGGCTCAAGCATGGCTTCACGGAACTACAATACCTTGATATTCTCTTCCCGAGTTCTTTTCGTTTTGGCAAATCATGCTGCTTCCACCCAGGGTTTTGCTTCACCTTCTCTCGTCGTCTTCGTCATGGCCATCGGATGTACGTAAATCCCCTCCTACAGCTGCCAAGTCGGCATGCTTACTCTTAATTAGAGATGGCTTCCTTCAACTTTTCATGCTTGGCCCCTAGTGACGAAGATGTTCGAGAGAACCTGATGTAGCCCCTGATGTATTTGTCTTTTTGACTGGCAGCCCCGCTGTTGTCCGGCCACATACCGTAGTTGATTTCCCCAACACACTCGCATCGCTGATATTGTCACAGCATTGAATGACCTTGCTAACGGTACGCGCGCAGAAGACGAGATCTTGAGTCCAGAAGAAGAGGCATCAGTCAATGTGGATGCCTTGGTCAGCGATGCGGTAGACGAACATCAGGGACAGAGCACGCCCCTGATGAGCCACGCCTTAAATCAACCCCGACGTGCAACGCCAACTATTCCCCCGGGATTCACAGCTCCCGTGGTATCCAGAACTAGTTTACTGGACCAGCCCAGTCGCCCAGCTTCGCGGAACGCTGTCCCAGTGGCTCCCGCTGTCCCAATCATCCCGATCACTCCAGCTCGGGCTGGAACACCAATAGGCAAGAAACCGAAGAAAGAGTCCGAAGGAGTGACCCCTGATGCTGTCGAACCCATGACTGGAGTGGCATCGATACCTGCGCCCGTACCGGCAACGCCAGTCAAAGCCAGCCGAAAGGCGAGCCCATCCAAAGCGAAGATACAACCTCTAGAAACGCCAAAGAAATCTGCAGAAGAACAAACTAACACAGCGCAAAAGGAGAGCAACTCAGTCCCTGCATCACCAGCTAAAGCGACCTCCAAGAGCAAAGCATCCAGCAAGAAGGCGTTTAGCGTAAATGAGGTGATGCCTCAGAAGAATATAGCTCCTACATCTGCAACTATGCCCTCGTCAAAACGTCAGCCTCCTGGAAAGCTTGACATTTCCGCTGCTACCAAGGCACCCGAGAATGAGGCGCCGTCAGCTGCAAGTTCAGCCAAGCAAGATGTCCTAGGAAAGCCGATCCGTACCGTATCGGCAACAGCGCCTAATTCTGTCCCTGCGAGTCCTGCTGCGACCTCCACTAGTTCACCCATCAAAAAGCCCATTGGAGCCAAAACTCTTCGTGTGGTAGCCACACCCAAAACCGAGAGCCCCCCTCAATTGCCCCCACTCCCGTCGCTACCTCAAGTTCCAACTGTGGAGAAGCTGCGCTCTAGGCAGGCCAGCATTGTTTCCATCAACCAACCAGGCACTCCAGCGAGTGATTTGATTTCTGACACTGCCTCCTTTACTTCCACATCAATCTCGCGTGCAAACTCTCCTCCTCTGTTAGGTGGCAAAATTGGAAGCGCTCCCGTCAGGAAGAAGACCAAGTCACAGGCAAAGAAAGACCGCCAAGAGCGGGCTCGGCAAGCAGAGGAAGAACGCGCAATGGAAGAGAATACACCTGAACCGGAAGTGGTCCAAGCACCCATCGTTGGACGCAAGAAAAAGACTAAGAAGCCCGCCACCAATTCCAAAGCGCCTGCAGCATCGACAAAAAGCCAATCTGAACCCAGCAAGACTTTATCGAAAGAGGAGGACGAAGAGTTGGAGGAATTATATCAAGCCAGTATCGCCGCAAAGAAAGCTGCTGCTGCTGCGGCAGCGGCGCAAGCTTCCACTCCGTCGCCCCGCGCTGAACCGGACGCTGAACCAGAACCAGACCTAGCGAAAGAGAAGCGTGAACCCGCTGCTCAGTCCATCCTTGCCGATCTCCAGAGGACTGGCGAATTGGTTGCTTCGGCTTTAGAGTTCTTCAAGCCACTCTCATCGTCCCTCGCTCATGCACCCAAAGCAACACCCATGAGCGGTGGGCCTGTCGGTCCACCCGACCTCAAGATCCATTTCACTGAGGGCGACTTGGAAGCACTCACAAAGAAGCAACCGGTCCATCTCCGTGGTCACGACGGCAATTCAGAGTCCCGAACATTAATTACGCCTCAGGGCAAGTTCTTCTGGGGTCTAACTCAGGAACTAGAAGAGAAGGCTTTGGAGCTAGAGAAGCACATTGAAGAGCTTAAAGGCGCTGCTCGCTTCCATCCAAAGAAGCATACCGCACAGAAAACCGGCTTTCGGGGACAACCGAACCTCCCAGCCCTCGCCACAGCGTTAAAGGAGGCAGGTGCGAAGTTGAGCAAGAGTACCGGTCAAGATATGCCGAGGCTCGATTCTCCCTCTGCCTACCAAGGCGATCCGTCACAGCGTTCACAACTTCCTCCTGTGCAAGCAAACGATGATTTGCTTCCTCCCAATCAAGCTCAGCAGCCCCAGACACCTGCGGACGCAGGTGTTTACCTGAATCAGTTCGTCCTTCCCAACACCGACAACCCACCGCCGAACGCCCCACGCCCGGAAATGGCAGCTGTTGGTGGCCTTCCTGGTGCCGGTACAGCGAATATGTCCGTCAATGCGAACAAGCTCGCCAAAGCGGCCAAAGCGGTTGCTGAGGGCGGAGCAGTCGGCTCCGAACTCGAGGGCATCGGCGCCATAACTGCTGATCTGCTTGGAGGCGTGTTCGTCCAGAATTTGGAGGCACTTGTGGGTGCGGATCTGGGTTTCTCCTGCTTCTCCGGCACTAACGATATTGGTATCGATGGGAGCGGACTGGATGTACAGGGCTTGGTCAGCGCGTTTGAAGCTGGGGTTGGCGCAGGTGCAGGTGCGTTTGGAGGTGGAAGGAGGAGAGGTAGCAGAAGTGTATTGAATGTGGAGGAGGCCGAACGAGCAATGTTGGCGGCGAAGAAGGATCATGAGGCGCTGGAAAAGAAGCTGAGCGCGCTCATCAAGAGGAATAGGAAGATGATGAGCGCGGGGAAGGTGTGAGGTACTGGTGTAAGACGCAACAGAGTGGAACTATCTTAGGGATGAAAGCTGTAGATTACGCTGCAAATCTTGCTCTATGATATGAGCCGTAGGTTCCGCATTGATAGCGTTGAAAGCGTAACAACTCATTAACGCGTGTCCACGTACGAGTCGTACACCATCACCATCTCCTTCTCTGTGTGTGCACTCTGGCAGAGGCATATTGCTCCAACGCCCCTACTCATAATGGTCTCTGAAATTGCGAAACATCTACTCGTATCCCGAGGTCACTTTTCCCCCACGTGATCCTTCGCACAGACCCCTAACTCGGAAGGGCATCAACCACTAACCGAGCTTAAACCCCTTCATCAAACAATGCATCATCTACCATTCGATAGGTAGACAATGAGCGATCGAATCACAAATGCGCCTGAAATGGTAAATTGCGCTACCGTTTGTGTTCACTAACCTGATCGAGGAGGGTAACTAGCCCAAGGCTCCGCATTTCTATCTAGGTCGCGCACCACCCACCTAATACAACCTGTTAGTCCAAAGATCGTCAGCCACCAATATGCTCGGCGACGCGAAGCTGAACTCTCTAGACACGCGTCTAGAGCAGTTCAAGCTCAGCAATGCCAATAGTCAGCAGGAACTCCAGGTGCGTCCTTTCCCTACTGTCACGATAACCCGCAGGTGGTCGAATCTTATTCCTGCTAAGAACTTCTAGACACTTCTCAAAGAATACAGCCAACTACTAGAAGACTATAAAGCGCTGAAGAGTTATAAACTTCCTGAGCAACCAAAGGCAAATAGCGTATCGAGCGCTTCCACACCGGTAATCGAGAAACCCCGCAATCCTTACGTTCTTGTCCTTGTTGACGGCAATGGATACGTCGTAAGTGCCCCTGATCCCCATTTCACGTCTATCGGCCTAATTGATCTGCAGTTCAACGATGAGCTTGTCAAGGATAAGGAGGAGGGTGGGATGCGTGCAGCACGCATGCTGAACGAGGTCGTCGAAAAGTTTCTCCGGGAGCATCCGCAGGCCAAAGATTCGCGTGTAGTGGTTCGCATTTATGCTGATGTCACGAATTTGTCGAAGCAGCTTGCGAAAACGAAGTTGATTGGGCTGGAGAAGAGGAGTATAATGCCCTTCGCAGCTGGTTTCACGAGGGCGATGGGCCATTTTGACTTCGTGGATGCACTCGATGAGGAGGGTACGAGATTTAAGATCAGAGAAACTTTCAAAGCAGCCGCAGAGGACACCGCTTGCAATCATATACTCTTCGCGGCTTGCCATGGTAAGTCATACTTGGGAGACGTCTCAGTCTGCCGTTCTGTTCCTGGCACTGATTCCTTCGTCTTGCCGAGTCATTCTTAGGGTATGCACTAACTGTTCGTGCACTTAGACACCAGCTATCTACCCCAACTGGTACCATACAATAGCCTTCAGAACAAGATTACACTCGTGCAAGGAGCAGGGTTTCATACAGACTTCTATCAATTGGGTCTAACCATCGCCCAATTTCCTACCATCTTCCGATGGTCCGAGCTGGCTCAAGCTCCTTCCACGACCAAGGGATCATCAACTGCGCGAACGATTTCTTCGACTAAAGCTATAACACCTGCAATTTCAAGGCCAGCGGCCTTGGATCGAGACGACTGGCGCCACAATTCTGTCAGCGCGGATGGTGCCTCCTATGACTCGAATGGTGTTATCTTCGGGATTCCAGACTTCACCTCTGATACCTTTCTCGCATCAAAGGATGCGAAGAACACTAAAACCAAACCCTGCAGGTATTTCCAGAAGGTATGTCACTGGGAATCTACTCAGACTACGAAATTGATACAATCAGGGCTTCTGCCGCTGGGGCAACAAGTGTAACTTCGTCCATACTCCCGATCACGTAGTTTCCAGCTCCCAAACACTCTCTTCCACGACCACGACCTCCGGCGCTGATCGCAAGAATATCTCGTCCTACCTGCCAACCAGCATTCCACCAGGCTTTATCGCCCTCAATAAAGACAGCCACCGCCTCGACGCCTACATTCGCCCTCCCACGGCTGACGAGTGGCTCACCTACAACTCGCGCTTTCACAAACAAAAGCCTTGCAACGCACACCACCTCTCTGGCACCTGCAATAACTTCAATTGTCCGTTCGATCACCACCCTCTAGAAGTTGAGACACAGCATTGTCTGGAGTACGTGCTGAAGTGCACTCCGTGCCCACATAAGGGTGCGTGCAGGGATAAAGATTGCTTTCAAGGGCATGTTTGCCAGAAGGACGGGTGCGTGGGTTACTATAAAGGCTGCAAATTGAAGGCAGATGCACATAATGCGGACCCGAAACTGTCAAATATGGTTCCTGCTGTTGCAGGCGAAGATGCTCTTGTGAACCTTCTCGGGGTGGTCGCTGATGGGGCGTTCGAGGGAGCGTGGTAGACGAGTCGAAGAGTGTGTTCTCGCGACGGAAGGTCCGATAGTAAGAGGGGAGCCGCTGTAAAAAGAAGACGGAGGTAGTAGGACTTCGTTTGGACTGTCAAAGTCTTGCAAAGCTTACAAATTTGCACAACATTAATAGGTGGCGAATCTATCTAAACGAGGGCAAGAAAAGGAGAGATTAAGGAGGCTAGAATTAACGGACAAACAACAAATGGAAGGCAAAGCCGCAGAAAGAACAACCCTCGAGAGGCGATGATTTCGAATATTCAGTTTCAGTGACCAGAATATGACGTACACGTGCGTGCAAGTTACTGAAACGTAGGTAGACGGGTATTATGAATTTTATGCTGCTTGGTTGAAGCCGCTAAAGAATCAAGTGGGAAATTGAGACATGAAGGAATCGATTGAATGTTGTTTTAGCTTAGCGGAGCTTCTGCTAGCGTTCACTCTCAACGCTCGACCCAGGTTCTGCTAGTCTGTTTAGTCCTGCTTCTCAACGTACATTTACAGAACTCAGCGATGCCAACATAACTCCCAACAGAAAGAGGGTGGACTAGGTGAATTCTTAGCCATAAACGGAGAGGGGGAGATGATGGTTTGAACCCTGACGATTTGGTGCAGTGTCCGATTGATTGGTTTGGAGTCTCTATTCCGAACGGGCGTTGGTTACAAGCAGAAACAGTCTTTTGCCACGTGCCTCGTTTCAACCAAAGACTACTGTGAAAGCCAAAATGGCCACAGCAAATTCCTATGTTTAATGACTACCTCATCTTCTTAGCCTACCATCCCGTTTCTCCGCCTGTCTATCTCCACTCTCAGTCACCCTGCCTAATAAAAGTTGCCGAAAACCTTCCCCAGCAAATGTTCCCCATATGTGCTGCCCTCATGTATCGGCTCCCTTCCACTTTTCCTCACACAATGCTCAAGTGGCCTCACCACGCTCTCGAAGTTCGGTTCAAAAAAGAACGGCACACTCACCCTATATCCTTCCCCACGGTGAATTACCCTATGCCTCGTGCTCTTCCACAGCCCATTGGTCCACCGCTCAATCATATCTCCGATATTGACCACGAAAGCGCCCGGGATAGGATCGGCGTTGAGCCATGTCTTTCCGTCTTTGAGCAGGACTTGGAGCGCACCGGGTGTGGGGTCCGCGAGAAGGAGCGTCACGCAGCCGTAATCTGTATGCTCACCGCAGGAGAGGGATGTGATGTCTGCGTCGGGAGAGATTGGGGCAGCGAGTTTGGGGTACCCGATTAGACGCATGACCCAGAAGCTTTGGGCGGTGTTGCGGACGAAGATTTCTGAATCCTCCGTCACGGAGGTTGCAGTGGACTTGAGATCTGGGGATGGGAGATCGAGCGCTTGGCCCATTGCGTGCACAAGTGCTGTTCCGACGGACTGCAGCTGATCGATATACTCCAGATACGTAGATTTCAGCTCTTTGGGCTCTCCAGGCCATAGATTGGTTCCTTGGAGTGTACTTCGTGTTCCTGGTCCGCCTGTTCCTTCGGCTTTTGGGGTATGGTCCCATTCTCGATAGAGGTCTATCGCTTCGTGCATGTCTTTCTTGCCTTGCGTGACGTTTTCTCCCATACCTTGGTAGCCTCTTGCACCGTCACCACCCTCAGGGCTGCCCGCATCGTGCCTTTTGATTTTGTTCTTCTCTTCTAGAGGCGAAGCGAAGAATTGCCGCGCTAGGGATATGACTTCCTCGAGCTTTGCTTGCGGAATTCCGTGGCCTGTGAGGTAGAAGAAGCCGAATTCTGTGCAGGCATCATTGATGGAACGCGCCACTTTTGCGCGGTCCTCCGAGGTGGACGAAGCATCTAAGAAAGGGGATAAGTCGATCACGGGAAGTGACATAATGGGTCGTAGAGCGCTACCAGCGGATTGGTGTAGAGCTGTTGAGATATCACCGTAACACGCTAAACACGAGTAGGCAAAAACACCTTTCCTGGGCCTTTCAGGTATGTAGACCTCCTTGTTGCTTATTCTTAAATTACCTGAGTCACCCTGGCCTAGCTTTTGAAGCTGAGAAATTTTTGGGGCGGTGTATTGATAATGATGTCCGTGTCGAGGGGTCTGCAAGCAGATGTAAGCATGGATCAAATGGCTAGAGGTATGAGGCCAAGGAGTTCGTATGTTTCAACAGCGTGAGTTCAGACACTTTTGCCTGCCCACCCTGGATACTTGTAGGATCATTCGGGGTTACTCACGCACTCTGAGGCAAAACGCTACAAACGAACTTCCCTCATATAGCCGTTCATTGGTGTGTGGTTTTAGAGAGGATGGCTGAGAGTGTGGCGTATGCTGTGAAGGTTGTCATGGATAGCGCTGCCTAGAGAGGCTAAGTTCCAGATGTCTACACCCCGCATCTAACCGTTAATAGGCATTCCCACTACCACTTGTAAACATAAAACCTTCTATATGTTAACTTGACCGAAAGATGGTTGTTGCTTGTTTAATCTCTCAATTGCTATAGTTAAGCTATCTCTGCACTTAAGTCGCTTAGAGATCCGGTTTTCTTCTCGAAACCTGTGGTATCACCTTACGCAAAGGCTCCCGTGCTCACGGCATCTCTATACTCACCCAAAATGGGCCTCCAACTACGAATACCACATACGCTTTGACAAATCGCCATGTTCGCCACCATAGGAGTGGAGAAGCGTGACAGGATGGCCACGGACAGGTAAAGATTGGGAGATCAAAGAATTCACTAGTGGTGCGTTGAACACATCGAGGTAGGGTTGGCGAACTGTTTTCAGTATTTCAATTCAGAATTTACATCTGCAGAACCGGCTTCTTGGAGCTACTCCTTCTAACTAATCGGCAAATGTCAACGTAGGCCAACGCTATCGTGGTATCATGCATTCTGTCACTTTCCTTACATAATGACCTCGTTCGAGACATCCTGCATCCCGTGTCAGCATTGTCAATGAAGGTGGATAGGGGGAGACTTGCCCTCTTCAATTCCTTGTTGGGCAGGCAGACACAGTTCTGCACGCGCACCTCGTCACCTACACCACACTCCTTACCCAGGATAGTGATGCTTTGCACCTTAACACCGTTCTTGACGATGCTCGTGCTGTGGCTAGTAATGGGTGTAGGTGTGCCCTCAACACGTGCCCAAGCACCAATCTTGCTGTGCCATCCCACGATGGAGTACATCACGCACGCATCGTGCTTGATCTCAGAGTCTTCGAGCACGATCGTCTCCTTGACACGCGCACCGGCGCCGATAATGGAACGAGCGCCAATGGAGACATTGGGGCCGATCTTGGCCGTAGGGTCGACCTTTGCAGAGGGATGGATGTAAACGGGTGGGAGGATGTTGGCAGAGGGCTTGGCAAGTTCTTCCGAGCCCAACTGGAAAGCCTTGGTGAGGTAAAGGGCGTTGGCTGGGACGGCGGAGCCAGCAGTCTTGATCTGGCGCCAGAAGTCCTTGGTCTCGAGAACGAAGAACTGCCTGCTGTCTGCAATGTCGGAGAGGACATCCTGCTCTAGCCGGACGACGGTGTTCTCCTTGTCCTCGTCATCGTCGTCCTGACCCGGGTAGTAGGATGACTCGAGGTTCTCGGAGGAGGGGTATGAGAGGAGGCGGGGTCGCTCGCTGCGGCGCTTGATGGCGCTGCGGATGGCGGGGAAAATACATTCGGTCGCGAAGAGGTAAATACCGCAGTTGATCAGGTTGGAAATCTGGCCTTCGGGCTTCTCAACGTAATGGAGAACACGCTTCGTGTGGGTGTCCGAAACAATGCAACCAAAGTTGTTGGCCGCTTCGCTCGCAACGCGCGTACCTAGCATGACCGCCTCAGCATCCTTGTCCTCGAAAAGCTTGAGCATGTCGTTAAGCGGGAACGACGAGCACACATCGGCGTTCAAGACGAAGAATCTGTCCGGCTTGCCCTTCAGAATCACATCGCGGAAGTGGTAAAGACCACCTGCGGTGCCCAATGCCTGGTATTCTCGGAGGTACTTGACGGTGAGCTGCGGAAAGCTGGTGGAGACTGTGTTGATGAAGGGCTGGAAGACGGACTCCTCGTAGTAGCCAACAATGAAGACTTCCTTAATCTCGGGGACGCTCGCAATAGCGCGGAAGCAGTGCTCGATGATTGGGTGGCCAGCGACGGGGAAGAGGGGCTGATGGTGGGTTAGCGATGTTGACAGCTCAGGTCATGCCGAATGAACAGCTCCTTGAAGTCGCCATGGTGAGGACGATGTTCAATGCTCCTGCTTTCGTATGCACAGAGGCCCAATTGCCCCTCATCTTTGATCTAACCCCAACCTTTTCGAAAGACGATCACCCCACCATGAATTTGACTTTGGATCCCTCTGATTTTGCACGGCTGAAAAGGCGATTGGCACTCACCTTGGGTAGCTCCATAGACAGAGGCCTGAACCTAGTGCCGCGGGAAGGTCCTCCGACCAAAATGACAGCTTTAGTCGTCTTCGCAGCGCCCCCTTTGGGCCTGCTCGCGAGCGATGGTGGCTGGAGGCTCATTCTGACGATATGTGCGGGTTCTTCGTTCGGTTTTGAGGTTGTAGCGAGGATCGAAGTCGAAGGAGAAAAGGACACGGTGAGGTTGCAATGGTTCTGGACACAACACACAGTCGTCGGACCCTTGAAATTCAATAGCGCTGGACCAGTCCCACGTACGCGTGGGGCGGTGAGCAGTCTTGGCACCACCGTCATGAGCCGCTTCCCCACGAAGCTCGGTACCAGGTTAGCGTACCCTTGCTTCAATGTCGCACTGCGATACGATATCATATTCTGCTTGGAAGGGACGGAATGGCTGAAATGATAGATAAGATCCCGTACGATATTCTATTATCCCTACAATGTAATGCACATGAAAACTTACAGTTGTTTACATATATACACAGAGCCGATACACGATTATGCCGGCTTCACGCCCTTGTGTATTGCTGCAATACCACCAGTCAAATCTTCCCAACCTTGTCCAGGCACCAAGAAGCCCGCGTCCTTGATCATATCTCTGAACTCTGTCTGGCTGGGGAACCTCTCAATACTCTCCACGAGGTACTGGTAGCTGTCCCTGTCACCAGCGACTAATTGCCCGATTAGAGGAATCGCGCTGAAACTCCAGCGCTTGTACACGGCATCGAATAGACCATTGTTCACCTTGGAGAACTCAAGCACAGCAAAGACACCACCGGGCTTCAACACCCGATACGCTTCCCGAATCGCTGCCTCCTTGTGTGTGAAGTTCCTGATACCGAATGCCACAGTGTAGAGATCGATGCTGCTGTCCGGTATCATGTCCAGCTTCTCCGCATTCGCTTCGATGAAGTTGAGGCGCGATGACCGGGCATATGGTGTCTCAAGCGCGCGTTTTCTGCCCTCCGCCAACATTTCTGGGTTTATATCGGCGACCGTGACTTTCGTATGTGCGTCGTGGTTGATGGTTGAGGCATGGTCGAGCATGCGAAACGCAATGTCGCCAGTGCCACCAGCAATGTCGAGGATGTTCCAGCCCTTCTGTTCCGATGGCCCGGATGTGAGGGGATTGCGGCCGGGATTGAGGTTTCGTACGAAGTGGTCTTTCCAGAGACGGTGGATGCCGAGAGACATGAGATCGTTCATGGTGTCGTAGGAGGAGGCGACAGAGGAGAAGACGCCGCGCACTACAATAATCAGCTGCAGTCCAGCTCAATTGATACCAATACGTACCCTTCTGCTCCTTGAGCGCCTCTGCCACCGTTTCGAACCCAAAGTGCGTAGTTCCATCTTTATTCTGCGCAGTTTTCGGTGGCGTTTGCTGCTGCTGTGCCTGCCTCACCGTACACGAAAAGCACCTGTACTGCTCCCTCTCCACAGATCCCACTGCCCGTCTACCGCCTGCAAGCAATTGCCCCCTGATTAACGCTCTGGCCGAATGCGCGTTCATGTTTGCTGATAGTTTGATCACACGGTTGCTTGGCGCGAACTTTCCTAGACCACGCTGGCACGTGCGACACTACAAGCGGAAATGACTAAGCTGACGTTTAACAAGGATCTGGCTGTATGATTGCTGAAATGGCGGCTGAGCCGACGCTGACCGAACCGAGCTCCAACATCCTCCCCAGACTGTTCCCCGGCACTAAATCCCCGCTGCTGCCGGAGACCACAATGTAGATTCACCACAATGTCTCTTCGTTCTGTGACGCGAAGATTGGACATAAGGGCCCTGAGAAGGCCCTCGTCATGTCCCAATGCCTCATTATCACTTCCAAGAATCATACCTGTATGGCAGGCATGCCGGAATGTTGCTTCGACACCGACTGCGGAAAAGTGAGCCTCTCAATGATCATGCACAGAGTTTGAGGGGAAATGCTAATGTCCATAACAGAGTTCTGTTCCCCGGCGCACTGAACAGCGAGTTCACGAACAACCTAGAGTTCATGCGACCGTCTAAGAATAAAGCCATATCCACCTTCCGGATACTAGATCAGTATGGGCAGGTTTTAGACAAGGAGAGAGGCGTAGACACGACTGATGAAGAGGCTCTGGGGTTATACCAGAATATGGTACGCTGTATGGCATCACTCTGAGCACCATTGGCGTTGGCAGGAGCACTAATCATTCTAGTGAACATAATGGACTTGATCATGTTCGAGGCACAACGGCAAGGACGACTGAGTTTCTACATGGTACGACACAACTTTGCACCATTATCACAGCTTACTCACCAGTCTCAGGTTTCTACCGGCGAAGAAGGCATATCAGTCGGCTCCGCCAGCGCGCTCAACCCTACTGACCCCGTCTTCTGCCAATACCGCGAAGCCGGCGTCTTCATGCAACGCGGCTTCAGCCTCGACCAGTTCATGGCCCAGCTTTTCTCGAACACTGATGACACCGGTCGCGGCAGAAACATGCCCGTCCACTACGGCAGCCGCGAACTCCACATCCGCACCGTCTCCTCTACCCTTGCCACCCAACTTCCCCACGCAGCCGGCGCTGCCTACGCCCTGAAACTACAGAACCAGCAAAACCCCGACGTCGAGCCCCGTGTAGCCGTCACCTACTTCGGCGAAGGCGCCGCGAGCGAAGGCGACTTCCACGCTGCGTTGAACATCGCTGCGACAAGACAGGCGCCATGTATCTTCATATGCAGGAACAACGGTTACGCTATCTCCACGCCTACAAGCGATCAGTATAGGGGAGATGGTATCGCAAGTCGAGGCGCAGGATACGGCATCGACACGCTGCGCGTCGACGGCAATGATATCTTCGCTGTGCGCACCGCCACCAGAGAAGCGCGTCGTCTCGCTCTTACCGATGGCGGCAAACCCGTCCTCATTGAGATGATGGCGTACCGTGTAGGTCACCACTCCACGTCCGACGACTCGTATGCGTACCGCCAGAAAGTCGAAGTTGAGGACTGGAAGCGCCGCGACAATCCCATCACCCGGTTGCGGAAATGGCTGGAAGAGCGGGATCTATGGAATGAAGATGAGGAGAGGGAGACGAGGAGTCAACTGAGGAAGGACATACTCGCGGCGTTCGACAGAGGTGAAAAGAAAAAGAAACCGAAGATCAGACACGCGTTTGATGATGTGTGGGAGAACATCACGGATGAACAGAGGGCACACGTTGAGGAACTGAAGGACATCCTGACGCGGTATCCCAAGGAGTATGACGTTAGTCAGTATGAAGGTGGCCTAGATTCATTGGATGAGCTGTTGGAAAAGAAGAGGTAGATGTAGAAAAAAATCCCAAAATATAATAACAAATTTACTGTTCAGCGCGATCTTCACGTTCACCAAGGTATGCATTTGAGTAAAGATTATCACAACATAATGCCTATTCCGGAGCGATGTTTGATCGAGGACATATGCCTATTTCAATAGTATATTATCAACAGCAAGATCAACAATACCGCTAGCACCAAGCTCATACCCATCCCCTCGTAAGAAAGCCCAAACCTCGAGAAGACCCTTCTCCATGCGGAACGTTTCCAACCCCTTACGAAGTTACTCAACCTTCCCTTTGTATTTCCTCCCATACCCCCGGCACCTCATGGAAAACGCCACACCAACGACTGGTAAAACACTCACCAGCTCCCCCAACCCCGCGTACTTAGGCTCAATCCTCCACACCCTAAAGGCGCCCGCCGCCAACAGCACCGCCATACTATTATACACAAAGCTCCACACGAAGTTGAGTATAATGCGGCGGTACGCGGCCCGTGAGATGTCGAGCAGCACGCAGACGTCCAGCAGGTGCGGATTCATGAGCACGATGTCAGCGGCGGATTTGGCCACGTCAGAGCCCCGGTTGAGATGCACGCCGATGGCGGAGGCTTTGAGGGCGACGGCGTCATTGGTGCCGTCGCCGACAAACATGACGGTTTTATCGTCAGCTTGGAGGGCGTTGACGTACTCCTTCTTGTCTGCAGGCTTGAGCCGAGCTTCGACTAGGGAGGTTGGGATGGAAAGCGCTTCAGCAACGCCGGCGGCAGCGCCTTCGTGGTCTCCGGTGATCATGTGGACGCGAATACCGCGCCTATGAAGGTTTTCGATGGTGGCTTTAGCGCTGCTACGGATGTTCGATCTAAGGAAGAGGTCCGCTTTGCGGACGCCATCGACAGTAAGGCAAAGGATGGTATGGTCGCGTTCCTCAGGGTTATGCCGCATTGTAAGTCGGTCGATACCGAGCCAGGCCGGGTTGCCAGCTCGTACAAGGTGAATACCATCTCCGAAGTCCCTTGTTCTGCCTAGTATGCCATCTCCAGGGAATGTCTGGATGAGGGTCATGAGTACCGGGAGCGCGTAATCGTGCATACCTTGGTCTACAAGTAAGATTGATAAGCAAGAGTTCCGTATGCCATGTACTTTCAAAAGAGATAATGCCAAGCTAACTCACTGCGTGCCCAGGCCCATGCGGCAACGGAGACTGGATGCTTGATGCCGTCAAGAAGCCCCAAGAGTAAGCCTCTCACCTCTTTGTTCGAAGCATCACCATGAAGGACTACTCTCCTATAACAAACCAATGTCAGTTCAAGGTTTACAATGTACCCTGCATGACCTACTCTACGGTGAGAACACCATCTGTCAGTGTGCCAGTCTTGTCGAAGACGACATCGGTAACACTACGAGCAGTCTCTAGCTTCTGCGGATCTCTGAAGATGATGCCCGAACGGGCCGCGACGCCACTGGCGATGAGTACCACCATTGGTACGGCGAGGCCGATCGCGCATGGGCAAGATACAACGAAAGTAGCTATAGCGTAGGTGAAGGCTCTAATTGCAGCCGAGCTGGTGCTGCGGTGATAGTGAAATCTAGAATGAAAGTACGGGTCAGTATGCCGACCACAATGTTGTAGAGCTCATCCTGGAGCCACGCGCAGCATCCGAGAGCAAGGCCGTATCCCTCGTTGTGATGATTTTTAGGGAGGCACAAGGACTCACTTGTCAACGAGGATCCATATGGTGAACACCAAAAGCGCTATGAGGATGATTGCTGGCACAAACCACGAAGCAACGCGGTCAGCAATTGCCTGGGCCTTCGGCTTGGTGAGCCCCGCGCTCTCAACCAGAGTCGCGATCTTGCTGACAGAATTTTCGTGTGGCAGCTTCTTTAGAGCTACAATAAGATTGCCGCTCCCATTGACCGTTCCCGCATGCACGGGTGACTCGCGGCCCTTGGCAACTGGTAGAGCTTCTCCCGTAATCATTGATTCGTCCACTTCCGAGCCGCCATGTATGACGATGCCGTCGGTAACAATTCTGGATTCAGGGACAACTTTAAATTGATCACCGTATTGCAGTAGCCGAGAGTCAATAAGACAGGTTTTCGGGTCGCTAGGCGATGACGATGGCAGTATGAGGAGAGCCTCGTCCACTTGGAGGGAACGGAATGATACCTGAAGCGGGTCAATAAAGTTCCTATGCAATGTTGTAGCCCGACAACAGGTACATCAGGCCACATGTTGACAACATCCAAGAATGCACTTCTGCGTGAAGCTGCAATACTTGATCCCACTTTCTGGAATAAGAACACTTACCGACTTTGTTGCCCTAGAGCGGGCAAATTCGCTGATGACTCGCCCCAGAAGGATCAGAGTAACCAGTAGAGTAGATGTTTCGAAGAACGATCCTGTCTCGAGAGGCTTTCCTTTGACCTCCCTTGTGTATGAGATGACACTGTAGACGTAGGCCACAGAAGTACTGAGCGCAATCAGAGAATCCATGTCGAATCTCCCACCGTGTATCAGTGTTCGGCAAGCACCTGCGCAATTCTTAGCCTATGGGGCATTCGAGACACACGATACGGAGGCCGGCTCACCAGGGACGAATTCCCATATTGCGATGGCCTGGACGACGCTTGCAAACACTAGGGAAAGGTGCGCGTAGATGAGATTTCCGTGGTCGACTGGGCTCCACGCGAAAACGACCACTGCAATAGAGAAAACTGCAGCAATTAAGAATATCAAGCAGGCGCGCTGTGTCTGTCTCGACCCAACTGCAAGACTAGGATGCGGTGCAGGTGGGGCGAGGCAGATTTTCTTCTGTGCGTATTGCTCGTAGTAATGTAAAACGTCCCGCGCCCCGATTTTTCTTGAGTTGTAGTGAACACGTACCGTATGCTGTGACTGCAACAGTCCTGTCTTTCGTTTAATTGTTGGTGATACTCCGGCTTCGTTAAAAGTCGGTCCTTTTTGAGATGGCGATGGCGAGGGTATTCGACTGTTTGGAGGTACTGCACTATTGCGTCCACTGAAAACGCGAGGAGTCCAGGTTGATTTGCCGTTTCGTTCTACAAAGTCTACGCCGTAAGGTCTTCCTGCCTATGAAAACGAATGAAGTCAGTGAAAGCGCGCAGATACAGTTTTCGGAACAGTAGACTGGATCCCCATCGCCGATTCAACATCGATTCGGTATTTCTTCAGAGCGAGCAGTGCATGACCCGTGGTACTCTGACGTACCTGAATTATTTCGCTTGGATCATCAACAACAAATTCAAGGACCTGCCCATCCGGCTGAAAGTACTGCTTGAAAGTGTATCCCGTGGCCGCGGTAAGCTTCCTCCTAACCAGTCCGACAGTCGTCGTCCGAACATCTAGATCGAATTCGGCCCTGGCAAGAACAACATTGACTTGGTGGTTCTCCACACCAGGAATTTGATCGAGTGCACGCGAGATCCCGCTGTCACCGCAACATCCACACTTGAGACCTTCGATGGTAAGGATGATGCGCTTGGTATCGCCAGGACGCTTTGATTGCGTGGGCTGCGCTTGGTCCTCATTGATGCTCTCATCGTCTTCCGGCTCAGTATTGGAACGACGAGAGAAACCACAACAGCTCATTTTCTGCGAAAAAGTCAGCTCACGCGTCACCATAATCTACACCACCTATCGACGCATGTACGTACCTCGAGCATGTCGCTAGCAAATTCTTCTGTAAGGATGGTCGAATCTAAAGATGTGTGTGGAGAAGTTGTCGCAGCTTGTTGATGTTGTTCGATCGGAGGCGGTCCATTTTCCTGTTTAGAGGTACCATTACACTTGCCCGAAGAGCAGCAACCGCTAGCCATAGCGAAGGCAGGAAGCATTTAGGGGAGGAGCGTGTCCGACTACACACGCGTGCCGCGCGAGAATCCGAGAGCCCTGTGCTACCCACAATCGGTCAATGCAAGAACATGGAATGGAAGATTTCTTGATTGAATAACCTTGCCCTGTCAGTTCTCCCAATATGTTTTTGCTTCCAGGCAGCGTGGGACTAACGAGCTTAAAATTGTAGACTACGTGTGATGCACATTATATCCTAGGCTGGTGCTAGAGTAACATCCGTCTGAAGCCTTGCGGATGCAATGTAAGGAGTTTTCCACACTGACAACGATTGGGCGGAAGACTGGACGACGCACTTTCGGGCATTCCGAGCGGTGACATACCGAAAGCCATATCTCGAATCGGCAGCGACATCGTAATTCAAGTTACCCCATAATCTATAATGTTCAATAAGCTGCAGAAGAAGACTGGGGCGATCCGCGGTTAGTGGAACGCTATAACGCGTGAAACCCAGCATATGGTCTATTGCTTTGTCCGGTCAATGTGATAAACCAGAGACGAGACGTGATGTGAGTAACGCAACACATGTGTCGCTGTATTGTCAAACATAAGACAGGTGGCACTTGTGTCTAGCACTTGAAGGGAGTCAGAGACCGAAGATTGATTGACGGATATGGATTGAGGGTATCATGGAAAACATAAGATGCGGAAAGGGCGGCCAAGAGGACCGTGGGAAGGAAGGGCGTCGCGCTAAGTACAAACCACGTGACCACGTGGCTCTTGCGTCATAGCTGGCGCAGGCCCGCTTTCCCCCTCTGCATTCACACCTTGTCTTCGTATCGCGGCGTTTCTGGGCAACTGAGGCATGGAAATGAGATGCTCAAGTCCTTAGGACTCATGGACCCACGCTATACTCCTCAAAAGCGCCCCACCTTCACTATCCTGCTTCGCCTGTCAAACCACGATACCGCTCGGTGATTATGGCGCGTGCGCGTGGAGGACTGCACAAGGTACCAGCCGCTTCCACACCACGACGGTCCACCCGCCGTACAAGCGCATTGAAGGATGGCGAGGATGTCCCTAGTGTCTATCAAGAATTGCTGGCAGAAGCCGCAGCGGATGAGGCCCGCCCGCTCAAGAAGCGCAAGACACGGCATGATGTTGGGACGGTACCCGCGCCCGTTGCTGTACCACCGCAAAGAGAGCCGTCCACACCAGAGCCTAAAGCCCCATCGCAAGCGCAGTCACAGAAGCTGTCACCTCTGCGCCCTGCACCTCTAGTCAGATCACCACCGCCAAGCGCACGCGATGAGCGTAACGACGTGCAAAGTCCGCCTCGTAGTCGGCAAACAATCGTTGACTCCGATGAATCGGACGGCAGTGATATGGAATGGGAGGATGCTCTGGTAGATGGCGTGGACTCTGATGCTCATGATGAGCCCGTCATAGGCGACATCTCGATAACTATCGGAGGCCAAGACGATTATCAAGAAAGCAAGACCAAGCGACAGGTACGAAGAAGAGCGATAACAGCTGTGGACAAGAAGAAAAGGCTGGACATACACAAATGGCACATCATGTGTCTACTGTACCATGTTCACCGTCGAAACGCTTGGTGCAACGACCGCATCGTCCAAGCAACCGTGCGAAACATTCTGCCTGCTAAGGTACTTGCGAATCTCGTACCGGACCCTAATTTATCGCAGTTTCAAGCGTCGAAACAGTTCTTAGCAGGTATCGGTGACCTGAAGATGTTGTGGTCGAAGCGCTTCACGGCGACCGCACAGGGCATGTGCAAACCACGGTGGGCGGATACGGACGCTGAGATCCGCCCTTCATCTGATTTCGACGAGCTTGACGATCCCATGGACCTCGAAGATTTCCGTGCCGCTGCGTCGAAACTCGAAGGGTCTCAAGACGTTGGCGCACAACTCTTTTGCGCTCTGATACGTGGTGTTGGACTTGAAGCTCGGCTCGTTTGCTCGTTGCAGTGTCTTCCCTTTGCTTCGGCAGCGCAACCTTCTACTCCGCAAAAGCCAGACACGAAGAAGACCACCATCACGTTGGACCCGTACAACACGCAAAGTCCAAGTCCACCAAAGCCAAAGGCCACAGCTTCTTCGCGCAAACCGAAGTCGCGGCTCGAAAGAGCTCTTGGTGAGCGACATCCTGCACTCAGCGGCGGTGTTGCTCCTAAGCAGAGGAAGAAGTACCACACGGCATACCCTGTCTACTGGGTAGAGGTCTTCAACAGCATACATCAGAAATGGGTTCCCGTTGATCCTCTGTCAACGTTCACGATCAATCAGCCTGAAAAACTAGAGCCTCCACTAAATTCAGCGCAGAACACCTTGACCTATGCCATCGCGTTTGAAGATGATTACACTGCCAAAGACGTGACGAGGCGATATGCCAAAGCGTACAATGCAAAAACACGAAAGTTCAGGGTAGAAAATACTCCTCGTGGCGAAAGCTGGTGGGGTCAAGTAATTAGCTTCTGGAAGCGTAAGCATGATCTGGATCGAGATCAAGTTGAAGATGCGGCACTTGCTCGGAAAGTAGCTGGTGAAGGTATCCCCAAGAACGTGCAAGACTTCAAGGATCATCCAGTGTATGTGCTTGAGCGACATCTGCGGCATAATGAGGTGATCTACCCGCTCAATCAAGCTGGCAAAGTCAACGTGGGCTCATCTTTTCATCCGAAAATGGAGCCAATCTACCGTCGCAAGGACGTCCATCTTGTACGAAGCGCCGACAAATGGTACCGCCTGGGAAGAGATGTGCAAGACGGTGAACAACCGTTGAAGCATGCGAAGCCGAAGAAAGGCAGACGTCTATCGATTGGACCAGATATGGACATGCAAGACCATGAAGACGAGATCGGCGTTGGACTCTATGCAGAGTATCAGACAACGCTTTATATCCCGCCTCCTGTGGTTCGTGGACGCGTTCCCAGGAATGCGTATGGCAACCTGGACCTCTATGTGCCCTCCATGTGTCCTCCTGGTGGTCGACATATTCGCCATAAATTGGCTTCGAAAGCTGCTCGCATTGTTGGCGTAGACTACGCTGAAGCAGTTACTGGATTCAAATTCAAAGGGCGTCATGGTACAGCTGTCGTACAGGGTATAGTGGTTGCTCAGGAGTATGCAGAAGCAGTCGAAGCAGCCATTGATGGCATGGAGTACTCCGTTAAGTTAGCCGAAGAGCAGAACCGAACAGCCGAAGCCTTGCGTCTGTGGAGGCGCTTCTTCCTTGGCCTCAAGATTGTACAGAGAATAAACCGCGATTATGGCGGAGAAAATCCGAATGTCGACATCAATGACGTAGTACAGCAGCAAGACAGACAACTGCAGGAAGAGGCATTTGCTGGCGGCTTCTTTCCGGACGAAGGTAACTCTATGGACCCTCCTGCACGAAACTACGAGCCTTCACCTCAGCCTAAGGAATACGCTGGTGGCTTTGATGGTGGTTTTGATCGCGAGGATGACGAAGACACGAGTGGTGGCTTCGTTCCAGACGGTGCCGAAAACAGCAACCGAGGGCTTCAAAGGGAGGAGTCGGAGAACTTCGGCAGTGTTATCCTTTCACAGCAGCAGCTTCTACCTAGACGGCAGAGCAGCTACCTGGTGCTAGAGGATGAGGACGATGACAGCGGTGGATTCCTGCGCGAATCACCCCCACCGAGAGGACACAAATCGACGCGCAACGCAGATCACGGAGTTGGGGTCTTTGAACCAGACGATCCCGTTAATTTGGATGGGGGCTTCTTGCCTGATGTACACGTCGAAAGACCTGAGGTGGAGCTCCCTTCTCGACAAGTCGAGCCACAGCCAGTTGAGCCAGATGTACACACAGAGCCGGAAAGGCCTGAGCTGACTGTGATTGAGGCGAGTGGCACACAGTCTGTCGTTGACGAGACTGGAACTGTGGTGAAGCTCGCAGATCCGGTATTGCCGTCGTCTTCGCCGTCAGATGTGGGATCATTACCGCTGGAAGATCCGGAGGATGAAGATGCTGAGCCGGATTGGTTGATGGACGCTACGTGATTCCAAACTTGGGTATATAGTTGTCACGAGATGTACATTTACGATTTTCCAATTTAAATACCAAGTTACTTTCTACTAAAGCATAGTGCTTTTACACGTCTTTGGAGTTTAGTTCGAATTGCGGCCCAGAGAACTGTATACATGATTGCGAATACGAGCATGTGATCTTTCTTAAAATCAAGTTATATATTCAATCGCTGCACATGTGGTATGTGCTCTGAAACGTTTTGTTGCCTAATCGAGTCCCAAAGTGGTCATCGTGATGACGCACTAGCCCCAAAACCCGACGCGTCCATTACGCGACGCGCATCCACTCTCAACTTCGTAGACTACGGCTACGGCTACGTTCGATTCAACCATAATGCCAAACACGCGCTCCGGCAACAAGACCTCCAATTGCAAAGCCTACTACTCGAAAAAAGCAGCACCACACCAACAATACTTCCCGCACCGGCGGAAGACTGTGCGCCGCCCGGATCCGCACGATGACAGTGGCAAGAAGCAGATGAAGTTCTTGCCCGAGATGATGCGAAGGCGGGGTACGGTGCAAGACTCGGATGATGAGGGTGGGGAGAGTGTTGAGGATGTGGAGGTGCAGGAGCAGGAATCACGGATCAGGAGGAGGGGCAGGAAGCGGAATAGTGATGTTATGCGCGAGCCGGTCAAGGAAGAGGAGGGCGAAGAGCCGGTGCGACCGAAATTGAAGCGGAGGAGGCAAGATGCGCCGCTCGATACGCCGCAGCGATCTATAAGGCGTAGACGAGCTGCTGCCCCGGTGACAAATGATACTGAAGACGAGGATGTGGGGCTTAGCGATAATATCGAGCAGGAAGAGGTGCCTAAGCCGAGTCTCCGCAGGCAGTCTACAATGACACAGATTGTGGATGGGCGACCACCGCTACCAGGCTCAATGGAACCAGAGTTTAAGCCAGTAAAACGTACTCCACGGACAAGCTGGGGCAATGGTAGTAACAAAAATGCGAAAAAGGATGCGAAGCAGCGGACTCTAACACAGATGGTTCATAATATGACTCCACTAGTGTTGGGCTCTGATGAGGACATTGGAGCAAGTGAGACTGATGAAGAGATAGACGCTGCTCACCACAGCTTCATCTTTGGGAATGATGAAGACACTACTCCTATGCAACACGCGCCGGCCGAAAATGTCGAAGAGGAGATTCTACCAACGGCCGAGGGACCACACCAACCTGCAGTTGACAATAACGACAGCGGTGAAGATGAATACCATCCCACCCAATTCATCGAGTCACCTTCTAGGAGAACGAGACGCACACCACTACGATCCTCGACTCGCCGCCGAGGAACTCCAGCTGGGAAACCTCCGACCAAGACATCGCCTAAAACTCGATTTGGGCTTCTATCTACGCCTGAGAAACGCGGCGTATTTGAAATACCATCCTCACAGTCACCACCTGAAACACTGCTTTCCACTCAGATTACCCCGCAAAGATCTGGTCGCAAACCGTTGAGGCTGCGTTCTGCGAATGCACCCAAGACAGCGGAGACATCTTCCAAGCAAAGAGCAGAGTCGCCTTCAAAGCGCAAGCAAGTCACTTTTCAAGTAGGCCCGCAAGAGCACATACCACCCCCTGCACTGAAGAACTTTGCAAGCACGATACCAGACTCGGAAGATGAGCTTGGAGACCTTGACGATAGTGATGGGCAGTCTGATGCTGATTATGGTGTCGGCGAAAAGACGCAAGCGCTTCTACGCAACGCTGATGACCCCATTATTGGTGGAGTCAGCGTTGGAGCAGAGACACAAGCTATACTTCTCGAAATCGACCGAGCATGTGCAAACGCAGAGGAAGACGCCGAGTGGACAGCTAGAGATGGGTCTGAAGAATTGGGGGACCCTATAGCCCGCCACGACGCCGAGGAATCGCAGGAACTTGGTCAGCAGTCTGAGCCTCGCACAGCATCTATCAGCACCGATGATCGATCTTCAGATGTCGCGGAGCTACCTCCCCTCCCTTTCTCCTCTCCGAAGCCTCGGGATACCTTAATCGCGAACGATGATACTAGTGCTGTTACCAACACCCTTACTAGGCTGCCCACTGTTCAGCAGCTTCCGTCATCGCCACCAGTCGAGGATTTCAGGGCACAGCCACCCACTCCAATGTTCGCTGACGACGAGACTCCAGAAGAGGTAGAAGAACCCGCCACCACCACCACCACCACCACCACCGTCCAGCAACCTTCGACACCAACAAAGCAGCCCAGATTATCACTAGTCGAGGATTTCAGAACCCAACCCACGATCCCCCTGTTCAACGACGACGAACCATCCGAAGACCTAGATGTGCCAGCCGCAACTCCCATCGCACCTTGTCAGTCCGCCATCCAGGTCCGTCGCTCACCCCCAACCCGCCTCCACCACTCGCCCTCCCACTCCAGCCAAGCAGAACAGCAGCTCCAATCCGAATACCAGACCTATTCGCAATACCGCCGCCCCGGTCCCTTTCCCTCAAGCATGCACGTAGCCCATGACTCAAATTACAGCTACCAAGCTACACCGCACGCCTTCCACTCACACCAACCTACCCAGCTGCAGCCGCAGACGCAGGCGAATCACATAAGCCAGGCTACGACCGTGGACCCTACGCAGATATCGCCAAAAGTCACGCCAAGGAAGCCAAGGGTCAAGAAAGAGCCTATGTTCACGAGGAGTGCGATGAAGACGCCGAAGAGTCAGAGGCGGGTTAAGAGTGCGACTGCAACACCCAAAACGCAGAGGCGGAACAGGAGTGCAACCACGACGCCAACGTCGCTAAGGCAAATGGTGATGAGTAGTCCGGAGGCGAGCAAGCCGCCACCTCTATTCATCCCGAGCAGCTTTCCGAGTCCGGCTAGGGTGACGATGGAGGGATGGAGTAGTCCGGTGCCTGGGAAGGACGTGGGTGAGACTCAGTGGGGGCAGGGGAGTTTGGAGGAGTTTAGTATTCCGGCGCCGCCGCCTGGGGAGTGGGTTGATGATGACGACGAGGAATTGTAGTCTCATATACGGTAAATCCTATGACAAATTAGATGAATCGTGGTGAAAATTTTCGTGGTCTGTTCACTATAACTACTATTTGTAAGTGTGATATCTGATATGTGTTCTATCGTACATGAATGCTGATGCTAAAATCAATGTCTTCATCGTCTCAAACATGGTCATTGATGTGGCCTTGCATTGCCACTCAAATGACAGATATTCTCAGAGCGCGTTTCACTTCGCCATATAGTGTACGCTAATGCGAGATCTGCCCGCTAATAAGGACACATGAAAAGAAGGAAGCAGGAGCGTGATTGCTGGAAATCATGACGTCGTAGAGATATGCTGTCTTCGCAACAAATATTAATTTCGAAGGTGGTGGTCTGCCATGCTACTCGAGCCCTGTCCCAATCCGCGCCCAGGTCATCTGCATATCGTCAACCAGTGTAAGAAAATTATCGTCCTGTAGGTGCTGGAAGATGAAGTTGTTGAGCTCACTCAGGCGGGCGTCGTTCGACTGTTGTGCATACGTCGCGAGCTCTTCTGCGTGCTGCTCATTATTACCCTTAGTCTGCGGAGGGCTCGAGCCAAGCATGTTTATGTCAGATCCAGGAGGCGTGGCAAGGGCGACAGACGTCTCAGCCTGACTATGGCTATTGGTGACGGCATTGAGTAGATGCGTAGTTGCAGTGTTGTAGCTGCTTGCTGGTCTTGGGGTGGTCGGTATCAGGACCGGAGCGGAGCTCATCATGTGCTGCATAGCAGTGTACGTGTTCTGAGTAATTGCAGACTGCGGACGCATTGTGTCTCTAGCATTCAATTTAGAGCCCGCTTCAGCCCGTAGCCCAGCCGCTTGGCCCGTGAGGGTTTTGCTGATGTATGTCGGCTTCCGCAGAGGAGCAAGCTCCGCACCGTGGCTGCTCCCTGTTTTCGAATTCGGCCTCTTGATACCTGCAAACTTCGATGCAGGCATCCCAGGTGGTCCCATCATTGCGCTGAGTGGTCGGCTTCCAGGCCTGGTGCCGGTTGAGTCTGCCGTATCTAGTCGCTCGAAAGGAAGCTCACGGCGAGGGGGGAGGTCGCTCGAAAGGATGGAATTTGCAGTATCTGGGCGAATTGAAAGTGGGAGGCGGCTACTCGGCTCATGAGTCGACAAGGATGCAGCTGAATCAGGTCGTCGAGAGCTTGCTGTGGAGCTAGGGTCGAAGAATGAAGCAGTCGACGGGCGTAGTCCTACATCTTTCAGGTTCTGACTCGGTGCCGAAGAATATGGCACAGCGGTACCAGGTCGTTCACTAACCTCCGATAATTGAGAAGGTGGGCAAGCTGGACCACTGCGCTGCGTTGAGGTAGGAGGCACTGCGGACCGTGACTTCTGTGTTGGGGTGAACCATAAACCCAGTTCACGAACATGGTCATAGGCAACATCGAAGTCCTCCGACGATGCGAACCTGAGCTGAATGCGGCAAACCTGAATCATCTGGTCAGATAAGCTCCTAGCCATTGCATGCGTCAATGTCACCTTGTTGGCTTCCGGCAAGTTGTATCTGAACGCTAGAGACGGGGTGCTGGCCATGCCAGAGATGGGTAGTTGGGCCGCCTCGTTCGACACATCGATACCTTGGCGATGCAGCTTCTCCACGACGGGCCTTCCGCGTTCGATCAAGTCCTGAAACGGTACATCATACTGGTCCGCTCAATTAGCATAGGTAGGTTGCAATATGCCGGAGACACTCTGTTTCCGACATTGCTTACCAACACTTGCGATGCTTGCAAGATCTTCATAATCACGGAAGGCTCCCCACGGGAGCGAAATGTATCAAACACGACCACGAGCGCATTCGTCAGCTTCGACCAGCCTCCTGATGGCGGGGGCGCTCCCGCCAATGCATCCTGAGTGTGTAGAGCTGCTAAATTGAAGGTGAGCATATTGGAGGTAAGTCGTCGGGTTAGTATGCGATCAAATGATGCCACTCTTCTGAGAGTCCTATCTCATCTCGGATGTGTGAGAGTGAGGTGAGCGAAGGTCGTTGCGAGAAAAGGAAGCAATGCACAATTCACAGTAGGAAGGAGCTAGTCACGTGAATTATGGCCCGTGCACACCCAGGCTAGGCGCGGTGGGAACTTTGGAGCTCGCATTCTGATGTTCATCACCATCGCGAACGCGCCGCGCGCAATCACCCGCGAGCTTCCCGCACGAGCAATTGCGCTTACAGCCCCTATCGCGACACGTTAATGCCTCAGCGAGTGCAAGGTGCAAGCCCCTAGGAAGGCGTACCCTACATGGCGCCCAAGGACAAACAGCCGCGCGAAGAATCCGTTGAGCGCACCACTGAATATGAAGAGTTCCTGGACAAATTAGCAGTATACCACGAGAAAAGAGGGTTCGTGCCCCGTTTGCGCATCGTTCCAGAGCGCAGCCGTGCTGATCTGATCGCGTAGGACCATCCTCGACCGCGAACCCAAGATCGGCAGTCGCCATATCGACCTGTTGCGCCTGTACAAGCGCGTCAACGACGAGGGTGGCTACGACAAGGTTTCGGATACCAAGGGCAATAAGCTTGCCTGGCGACGCCTGGCGGGCGAGTTCCTCCCTGGCAGCGCGAACCTAACCACACAAGCGTTCCTAATCAAGACAGCTTACTACAAGAATCTCGCGTACGCTACACTTCACCTACTACTGCGCGCAAGCGCCTGACATATTCTACAGTGCCTACGAGATATCGACTATTCACAAGCGCGACCCGCCGCCCAAAGAGATTCTAGAGGACGTGTCTGCAAAAGGCGGCGATCTGTTGACCCGTACCACTGAGAACTACTTCCGTCCTCTTAGCAGGGAAACAGAACGATTGCGCGGCGACGACGAGTCGGAAGATTCGGAAGGCGACGGTGAAACGAAGACCCCGCGCGAAAACAAGATGGACGTGGACGATCCAGGTAGCCAGGGGCGACGCTGTACGTGACCTTTGTCAAGTTCAATGTCCTTCACTAACTGTGCGCTAGCTCTTCGCCATGCTCCGCCGCAGCGTGTCCTCTTCCAACCAGAGGTCTCGCGACGAGAGACCCGCCAATCCACTGGCAATATCAACTCGCCTCAGCCCAATGGCGTCTACGGGAGCAGCGGAGCTGCCATGACTATCGCCAACTACGAGCCGCGGACGAATGTCCCTTCGAATATGAAACCCGTGAACACACCGTCGAACAATCCTGAATACTTTAATCAACTGAAGAGAAAGTACATCGTCAACAGGAAGAACAGGCCCGTGCCGCTTAAGGGCATGATGCTCCCTGGTACGGGGTTTCCTGGCCCAAACATATATATTAGGGCCCTGCATGCGCTACAGTCAAAGGAGCCTGAAGAGGAGGCTTACGCTTTGCACCATCTGGTCAAAATTTCGCACGAACGTGGTGACAAGTATCGCTTTGACCAATTCCCTGGTTTGGCTGAGGCACTCATTGAAAAGATTATACAAGCTGCGTCTTTGTACTACGACGTCCAATGGGAGATATCGTATGTTGAGGAAGATCTTGACAACCCAAGCGTCTTGGACGGCCTTAGCGGGACCAAGGATCTCTTGCGACGGATACAATCGCTGCGGACCTTGGACAGGCGAGACGATCTATTGCCGGATGAAGAGGCGAAGTCTCTCAATATGATCAACGAAGCAGCTCTCATCTTACGAAATATGGTTATGCTCCAGGAAAACGCCTTCCTTGTTTCAACGATACCATTGACGAAAGATTTGCTTGTGATCCTGCTTAATCTGCCAAACCATCCCACAGCGAACGAATTGCAGCATTATGCGCTGGAGATCGCGGAGCAAACAACAAAATTTTGGGATCTGGAAGCCCAGAGTCCCTTGTACCAATCATTACTTGCTCAAGTTGATTGTGATGATCGTGGAAAGATCATAACATCATTAAGAGCGCTAGGCCGGATCGCGATGAACCTCGAGGCTACCAACAAGCTCACTGGTGCCCCCACAAAAATCCTCAAGTCCATCTGTGACTGGCTACTAGTCGAAGATGAGGAGCTTCGGATTGCTTGCCTGGATTTCCTTTACATTTTCACTGGCTTCGCCGATAACGTCCAGATACTGGTCGATGAGATAGACGTCGAAGTCCTCGTGAGCCAACTGGTTCGACTGCTTCAATTTGGCGCTCAAGCTTTTGAAGAGCGCCGGAATACCCCAAAGGCTTCAAAATCTTTATCGCATGCGGATGATGCACCCAAGCTATCTTCTGCCATAATAGAACAGCTGGTCGCTCTTGATGAGCCCGAACGCAGTTCGCAGTGGCTACGAACGTGCTACGAGGAAGACTCCACAGGCGAGATCACCCAGATACAGCTGTGGACTGCGTACAACGCAGCCTTCTCAGAGATGATGCCGAACAACCCATCTTACAAACAGCTCATGCCGGCGAAGGACTTCATTACGAATGTGTCCACAACCTTTGTGGGTGCTCAAGCGCAAGTGATCACAACAACCAGTCCACCAAAGTACACGATCAAGGGCATTCGCCCTCGCTCGGTTCCGGTGGACCCTGCAACCAAGAAACCCTATCTGCGCTGCTGCTGGCATCCGCCAAGCCTACTGAATGGCGTCTCAGACAGCAAGCATTCGACAGCGAAGATCGAATGCGGTGAGTTCACATCTGGAGTCAAAGCCATGTGGGAGCATGTAGTGTCTTCGCATTTCAAAGTACCGCGCGACGAGTCCGGAAAGTGGCTGTTAGAGCAAAAGCCGGACATCAACATGGAGAACGGTGATGCGATCAGCACTTCCAAAACAACCAAATACTTCTGCCATTGGGGTGGATGCACACATTTCAACCCTGACGGCACAGAGTCCGCTTATGACGCGGGCCAGCATATCAAGACGCATCTCCCTGATACTGGCCTCTTACACGCCATCCATGCCAAGCATAACCGTACGCCATCAAACTCAGCACCGCTCACAACGTCCGCACAAGTCCGCCATGAGAACTTTCAGCCGCAGTTCAGCCAGCCTGTGGGCCTAGGCAGCTTAGGCATGGGGGCAAGGCATAACGACAAATTCGGACATAGCGACCGGCCTGTTCCGACAGCTCAGATGCCCGCTCAAACGCCCGCACCCAATTTTAGGTATTACAACACAGTGACCGATGAGACGAGTGATGCTGCAGGTCTCCCACTGTCATCCATTTTAGTCCTTCGAAACCTTGCACGCCAACTTGGAAAGCTCCCACCGCCCTCGTCTGTACACGAGATTCCCGATTCGCCTGCGCACAAACGCACGTTCAGCGAATCGAGTCCAGATCACCGACGAACCACTGGCGGGAAGAAGCCAAGGCTGAGCGACGCCGCGAGGGAGAATAGAGATCGAGATATTCTGAGGGACGAACAAGACGAGCAGGAAGCAAGAGCTGCTGGCTGGGTTCCCAGAGTCTTCACACCTGTGAAGGAACAGCTTGGATTCGTAATGGCGCACAATTTGACACTGAGGAACTACATGGGGCCGCTTTTCAGAGCCATTGCTGAAGGCGGGGTAACAAAAGTCACTAGCAATGCGTAGCAGGTACGATATATGTATGTTGGCGTTCCGGAACTCGAATTTCTGAGTCGAGCGGCATAGTCAGGTTGGCGTTGTCGGTGTATGCAGCGCGAGTTATGGTGGATTCTCTTTTTGCCTCAGGCCTTGCGTCCAGAACCGACATGGTTGCAATACCTGCGACCGTATCGAGACTTCCCCGTTCTCTGATAGATTAAGCATCCAAATATAGTTGATGTTGAAGTGTCTATTTTTAGTGTCTTTCTTGTATTTTCGCAGTTTCTACCAAACCCAATCTTGTGAAACCCTCGCGATACACATTCTCGCATAAAGCCGCGACCCACTTCTTCCCCTCACAGGCATGTCAACACCACATAATCTTACCTAAATCCAACAGTAACTCTACCTACAGGGCACTGTCCAACCTCCGCTTACTGTAATTGGAATGGGTGGCCAGACTAGCTCGCGCGAGATCGTTCATGCTGTTCGAGAAGCTTTCAATCGGGAACTTGTTTATCATGGTTTGGGACTCGGGAGCAGACATCCGCACGCCATCACGGCACGCCAAACGGCATATGTCGCGATCAGAATTATAGTGTAGCCTTACGATGAAGGGAAACGCGGGCTAAGGCAAAGAATACAAAAGCTTCAACGCACCATCATTCATCTTGACAGGGCAGCTCGTTGGCTATCAGTCAATTTACCATACTTCGATACGTTTCTTTATTTAGAAGCTGGTCTTCCGCTCCTTGCAACCTTTTCAAGCATCGGTTTCACTTCATCTTCTTTATTTACGCTGTACAAGATGAAGGTCGTTCTTACGCTCCTTGCTGCCTCAGCGCTTGCGCAGGGCTTTGTTATCGACTTCGAGGCTCCGAATGGTAACGCGAAGCGTCAGGCTTCTACGGTAGTTGTGTCGGCTGCTCCTACTGGAGCGTTGCCGATGCCGCCATCTGGAGCACCTTCTCCTCCGTACGTGATCCATGATCCATGGGTCATGCCAGGCGTGGCTCTCCTGAAGAAGGTAACTAACTGTTGACAGCTCCGGAGATCCTACACCTCCTGCACCGCCTCCAGCTCCCGTAGGCAAGGCGAACGACCCGGCTCCGCCAGCTCCTGGAAACGAGACTGCTCCGCCGCCGCCACCTCCGTCCGGTGCTCCAGTCCGTACTCATTGGTCCGATAAGAGACCTTGGACAGAAGACTGACATTGTCTCCAGCCGCCACCTCCTGGCAACGGCACCGCTCTCCCATCGCCTCCCTCGGCTGCGTCTGGTGCTCCGGTATGTTGCTACAGAGACAGCTTAGGAAATTAGAGTGAACACTAACACTAGTTCTAGCCACCACCACCCGCTGACCCCGCCGCTCTAGCAGCCAACGGCACAGCTCCTCCACCTCCTCCACCCCCACCGGCCGTGTCTGGTGCTCCGGTACGTTCTCACTGGGTCCATGGAATCATTTCCATGGAGAAGACTAACGTTTCTTCTCAGCCACCACCTCCTAGCAACGGCACCGCTCCCCTTCCCCCTCCAGATGCCAAGGGAAAGGGTAAAGGCCTTGCAACAGCTGCAATGGCCGCTGCGGCTACGCCTCTGGCGCCACCTATGGCGTAAGTACAGTTGAAGACCTACGATGTCATGAATAATGCTGACGACTTTGCTCCAGGCCTTCTGGTACTCCGCCCCCACCTCCTGCTAATGGTACGGCACCTGATGTGAAGGGCAAGGGTAAGGGCAAGGATGACGTTGCTGCTCAAGGTGTGGGTGTGAAGGCAAAGGCTCCTACTAGGCGTAGCATTCTTAAACTGTTCTAGACGGAATATTCAGAGTTTGATATCCCGCGGTATCACAAGCCCAGGCCGTATTGTTTTGCTTCTCTTTGATATTTTTGGGCGAATGTACGGATAGAAGAAGGGTCACCGCTGTATTGGGAGCTAAAGTTTTGAAAAACCTCGAAGGGACATATCCCAATTGTTTCCTACTGTCGATATGGCGGAGCCATCTATACATCGCAGTTCACATGCGGCATTTCGGAGCCAATGGATAATTCAAAAAATGAAGTCGCAATGTCGTTTGACTCCGTTGTAGTCCTTTTTTGCTGACTAACGCCCCTCACCTCAGTCGAATGACATTTTGCCCCACCACTAGGTACCGGTACGCGCGACCAAAAAGTTTCGACCCCGCCAAACACCGAATTTCCAATAACCAGTTTTTTACAACAAACAATGGCCGCGCACGCCCCCGAAACCGCGCCCGTCCTCTCCACCCCTGATACACACGTCTTCGAAGATCCTACGCCTACGGTTGATATCTCGAGTTTACCAAGGCTGAACAACGAGCAAATCGCGCTCACATATGAGATTGAGCGCACGGTGAAGGACATCAGAGAGGGAAGATGGAAGAGGATCGCACTCCAGTTTCCGGATCGGATGTTAGTGGATGCGCCGAGGGTGTACGAGTCACTGGCGAAGGAATTGAGGGGTGCGCGTGAGAGAAAGGATGAGGGCGCGACCGGCTCAGGTGTCGATGCGAAGGCTACGACAGGAAGCAACGAGGTCGCAGAGAAGCTGGAAAATCTGGGAATAAACGAAAAGACGGATGGCGAAGAGGAAGAGAGGTTGTTCATACTAGCTGACACGTCGTACGGGGCATGCTGTGTTGACGAGGTCGCGGCAGAACATGTCGATGCGGACGTTGTCGTGCACTACGGACGATCCTGCCTTTCGCCACCTTCAAGATTACCGGTAATATATGTCTTTACGGAGCGGGAACTGGATCTGGAACCCGTGATATCGACTCTCAAGCAAACGCATCCGAGTAAGGACAAGAAACTCATTCTTATGGCGGATATTCCTTACTCGCACCACATACCCACGCTCCACGCTCGCCTCCGTGACGACGGCTACACAAATGTGTTCGCGACCGAAATCATACACAATCCAGGCAGTCTCTTACCAAACCGCACGATCCCTGCGGAAGCGGAAGACTCAAAAGACGCCCTTCGCGGCTACGACCTCTTCCACATCTCCGATCCACCGCCATCCCTCCTCCTCACCCTCTCCTCCCGCGTCGCATCAACATACATCTACCCCACCGACACCCCCACACCATCCGCAACCCTAGCCTCAACATCACTCGCTCTCCGCCGCCGCTATGCCCTCCTCACCTCCCTCTCCTCCGCCTCCGTCTTCGGCATCCTCATCAACACCCTCAGTGTAAAGAACTACATGCACATTCTCTCACACGTGCAGAAGCAGATCGCTGCCGCGGGAAAGAAAGCATACACCTTTGTCGTTGGCAAGGTCAATGCTGCAAAGGTTGCAAACTTCAGCGAGGTGGGTGGCTGGGTGGTTATCGGGTGTTGGGAGAGCAGTCTGATCGAGAGCAAGGAGTTTTGGAAGCCATTAATAACGCCCTTTGAGCTGGGGATTGCGCTGCAGAGTGATGACAGTAGGGTGTGGACGGGGAGTGGGAGGCCGATTTCCAGAATGTTTTGGATGGGGAGAAGGGGAGGCCGGAGGGGGCCAGAAATGAAGACAGTGAGAAGCGTAGGGGTGAAGAGGAAGTGACAAACGGCGATGATGGTGCGGATGGGGAGTATGACTCTGAAGAGGAGTCCGCGCCGCCGGAATTTGATCTAAGGACTGGTCGCTATGTGTCACACTCACGGCCGATGCGTACTACCACACCCAAGATCAATGGTCAGTCCAAGGCTCAGATACAAGATGGTAAGGCGACGCCCGCCAGTACCGCGTTGACAAAGCGTGCGAACGGCCATTTGGCACAGATTGGTGGAGTAGTATCACCAGGTGCCGAGTTCTTGCGTGAGAAGAGGACGTGGCAAGGCTTGGGAAGCGACTACAGGGATGAAGAGGAGAACGAGGCAGTGAACGGGAATGCAGCGAAGATGGAGGAAGGCAGGAGTGGGATTGCGAGGGGGTATGTCGTTGGTAAGGAGGATAGGGTGCATTAACCAAGTACGATGGATACATTGGAAGGCCTTTTCAAGAAGAGCCGTGCAATTAGATTACTTCTAGTCCATACCGCATCCTCAACCTCCGACTGGCGCTGGCTTTACATAACTGTCCTGAGGGCGAACTTCCGCAGTACAGTGCTCTGTCCTGGGCATGGTGAACCGGCTGGATAAAGATGCCTTTGACTGGAATCAAGCTCACCAGAGACCTTATCGAATGCCTCTGATATCTGCCTAAGTTGAGAGATACATGGTGTTGCATCGACGCTTTTTATATAAACCAGCACATTTCAAAGACTCCGGGAATTCGCAAACTCCAACCGCTTCCGCCAGCAACACTACATTGGCGCCTCTCTAGAGAACTGAAGACGAATGCACCCCTGGGATAGTCCCCACCACTGTCGCCATGTACATTACCCACGCCCGCTCAAGGTCCTCCAGTTGCATCTTCTTCTCATCGAGCGAATTTTGCATCTCTCGGTACTTATTCTTGGCCCTCTCAGTAATTCGTTTCCTTTGAGCCTCCACATCCTGGACCTGCTGCTTCAACGCCATCACCTGCCGCTCAAGCTCCGCATTCCTCTGCTGCTTGTCGGAGTTCTGCTGCTTGAGCTCAGAGTGCTGCACTCTGAGCCTAATGTTTTGCTGTTCGTGCTGCTCCAGTTGCTGGTGTCTAGCTTTCAAGCTGTCCATGGTATCAGCCAACCTGTTCAGGAGCTGCGCGTTCCCCTGATCTTTCCAGGCGCGCTGCCGTTGGCTGTCTGCCGCTTGTTGGTCCAGTCGCGGTGTTTGAAGAGCACGGAGGCTCGCGGCCCGAGCCGCATCGAAGTATGCTTGGGCTGAGATGCGTATGTTATTGGACGAGAGCGTGTCTAAAGCGTCGAGAGGTAGGCGTGTGCCATTCTGATGACATTGATGATATTCGTTGTAGAAAGTGCGACAGTTTGTGCATGCTTCAGGCCTGGGTACAATTTGGGGTAATGGATTGGGTAGTCCATGGGTGGAAGGTAAAGGTCGGCTCGGCCTGTTGACATAAGAAGCTGCATTCGCGTTCATGTTGAGGCACTTCGTTGAAACAGAGGGCAACCGGCTGTGAGTCAAGGGATTGTCTGGTGGTAGCTGATGAGGCACATGAAGCAAGTTGAAAGCGCATCCCCGCTTCTATGTCCACCAACGCAAGCTTCGACGTATGTAATCTCCAATCATCCTTGGCTACCTAGTCAAATCGAGGCCATGCTTTCTCTGATGGTTGTCATCGTGAGGTACGGTCGGCTCCACTCTCCGTTCGAGGTGCCGTTATTTCTCTTATCGCGTTGGCAGACTCCATACTGCAACTCGACGAACCTTTGCCCAATTAGCTCGTCCACAGCCATGATTTGATAAGTGCAATGCTTGTGGAATTCAGAATCTGCTCTAAGCCCACTGTACCCTTTGCCTACTATTTGAGCAGTCCCAATCTCCTGAAAGTGGAGGCTCTCATCCTTGCCTATCCCAGTAGCCATATCTTTATTCTTAACACATCCCCCTAGAACACCATCGCTCCACCATCAACAATGATGTCGGTCCCATTAATATACCTCCCCGCTTCACTGACCAACATAACTAACGGCCCCGTCAATTCCCAGGGATGCCCCATCCTCCCAAACGGATTCCTACTGTTCCAACTATCCCTTGCTCTCTTCAATCCATCGCCCTCATTTAATATCGTATCCATGTACCCAGGACTCAACGAATTGACCCTAATACCCAATCCACTCCATTCTGCCGCCAGGCTCTTCGTTAGGCTCAGTATAGCCGTCTTAGAGGAGTTATACGCGGCCTGCGGCTGTGGATAGTTCGTGTGGTGCGCAGAGATAGAGGCGGTGAAGACTACACTCCCACCCGTCCCTTGTTCCCTGACTTGTCTCGCAAAAGCCTGCGCGCAAAGAAAACCCCCTGTAAGATTAATATCGTGGGTCCGCCGCCATTCAGCGGCGCTCATGTCGATGGCGTGCGTGCAGCCGACCACGCCGGCGAAGCAGCAAAGGATGTCTACGCTGCCGAGCAGCTTGACGGTGTCTGCGAGGGCGGAGGCGATTTGCGCGTCGTCGCGCACGTCGACGGCTTCGGTGATTATCTTGACGGAGGGGAATTTCTTGTGCAGGGCAGTGATGGCGGGAAGGGCTTGGTCGGGTTTGAGGTCCCAGAGTGCGAGGCCTGAGACGCCGTGTTCAAGGAGGGCAGTGGCGGCTTCGAGGGCGAGGGTACCAGCGCCGCCAGTAACTGTGTTCGTGGTTTAGCTCTCATTCTCCTGCGTATCCAGAAGAGATAGTTGAGGATGAGATTGAGGGTGTGATCTGCGATGAATGGAATGGAAGGCATACCAATGGCATTTCCCTTGACCGAGAACCTGTGCTGTGCTCTCTGTGCCGTGGTTAAACCATCTGGTGGTAACCGCGGTGCCGTAAGAGGGTTGTCTGCGGTTGACAGCTGCATCTCTGGCAGCTGTCTCGTAGTGAGCGAATCTCTGCTTTCGGGGTTGTCTGGCATTATGGAGGTCTTGGATAGTAATTGCAGCCTTGGAAACGTAAATTATTTCGAAAAATACGAAGCAAGGATTGGGAAGCCATTGTTTTGTGAGATTCGTCGCAAGTTCTTATAGCAACAGCTGCTGCTCGGAGGTTGACCCGGCCCCCACTACACGTAACGCGTGTGCTGTGAGAGGAAGGTCTTCCGAGTAAAAAAGAGAGAAGGTGTGCCGAGTGGGTCGCGGCTGCTGTCATAGGCTCGGAGGGGGTCACCCTCGTCGGTGCGCACAGCTCCGAGTGTCGAGTGTCAGTCTTGCACTGTTGTGAATAAGTTGAGAAGATGGTCAAAAGCTGTTCAGTTGCGTAGAACACTCTTCTGGAAGCAGGAAGGAATCTAGTGACGTCACTGTCGACTGATTGAGGAAAGGAACGGTGCAGACGTTCTGGCAAAGCGCCTTCCGGATCCTTTTCGAATACAATCCAATCCAGCCGCAATCACTTTTAGATTTTCAGGTCAAGGTTGAATGAGCTATATTCATCTCTTCTCAGCTACCTAGCACCCGCCTTCGCCACGAGCGGCAAGGCAAGCTCGATGTCAAAGCCACTACTCCATATCCCAGACCCAAACCAGCTATGAGTCTATAGACAGCTCTCACACGATATACACGAATACCTGGGTATCCTTTCCAGGTAACGGTGCTCCCAGCTTTGCAAAGCACAAAACGCCGGCTTCCTAACCAGCGCCATTCAAAAAACCAGATACGCAATTTGAAAAGATGGCGAACAGATGTAGCAAAGACATGCGCACAAATCGCCCGCTCGCGATGGTGTGTGTATAGAACGGAAAGAGGAAGGCTCAGCGCAGCAAAGAACGAACAATAAACAATAGAGTATAAGGTAGGTGGGAAAGGGAGCCCCGACTACCCGCGCAACGGCAAGTGCTGAATAAAATACGACACGGCGAATACGATGTGATGATGTGATGTTACTTTTCTTTAGGACGAGACAGGGTCAACGGAGCCATGGTGAGCCGCGCCGGCCTCCGCTACCACCTGACCCGCCTCTTGCTTCTTCGAGACTCCGCCTAGAGCCAGCACCAATTTCGCTCATTTGGAACAGCAACGGCTCATCATCGTCGTTGGAGACGTTGCGGCTGGCGAAATTGTATCGACTTTGTCGTTCGGTGGAGCTCGTCCCTCCTGTGGTCAGACTGGTCGAAGATAGGTGAGAAGCATAGCCACCGCGACTTCTACTACCTCCAGAGAAGGAGCCACGCTTTGCAGGCAGGTTGGATGTTGACACAGGGCGCGGTAGCTCGTCCTGTGCGCCTGCAGTAGGCGGGTCGTGACTTTCGCTTGCCAGAAGCTCAGTCTGTGCAAAGAGCTCGCTCGGTGTAAGATCGGGTGCAAGCGCGCGGTCTAAGTCACGTTCGCGATCGGATTCGTCAACTGGGACGCTGGCTGATCGCAGGCCGAAAAAGTCAGGTTCGTCTTCCATGGCACGCTGCTGTTGTGCAGCAGAGCTAGATCTGCGAGGATGGTTCCAAGGTCGAGGCGAGGTGGGAATATCTATAGCGTTTGTCCCCTCGTCGCTTTCACTCCGCTCTTGCACATCGGCAACATCTTGACCGCGCGACGTGTGTCCAGGTCGACTGCGGCTCCGGCGTGGCTCGTATTCGATGATGCTGTTTGCGCTTAGTCGGGAAGGAATTGCAGGGGTGTGAGGCGTATGTGGTGAGATGGGCTTTCCTGGGGACGACGCAGTAGAGAAGGATGTGCCTGCAATCATAGGGGGAATGCTGGAGAGCTGACGGCTCGAGGACGAGGAGGATCGGTGCAGCATCATGGACGAGGAGACAGAGTCCGACAGAGTATTGTATGGCTCGCGCATCCGCTGATATTTCGAAAGTTGGGCGGTGGTTTTGCGCATAGATGCATCTCGCGAAGCAGTATCAGGTTTGCTGAAGCTTTTGAGGTCCTTCTTCTGCTCTAAAAGCTTTAAGAAGTCGGAGATATTCTCGTCGTCTGTCTTAACAGATCCTGAGCTAGCTCCCTCGCCCTCATTCAAATCACCAGAGCCACGCTGCTGTGATGAAGCCACACTTCCTCTCCCGCTGCTGAGATTATCGTCCTCAACTTTACTGCCCCCTCCAGATGAAAACCGGCTCCTGCGATGGCCAAAGCTGCTACTGTAACGTGCAATTGGCGCCGGTTTCGGTGAGCTGGATGCCGACGATGCAATCGCGGTCTCATTCGGCAGTGATGGTTGCCTGAGCGCAGTTTGGGGAAGAGCAGTCAACGAGGTGCGGTTGCGAGGCTGATTCAAAGGATTAGGATTGGGAGCAGTTGCTCGAGCCAGAGAACTGCTTGGTCTGCTGCCAGCGGAGCTTCCGGGGGACGGAGGTATGTACGAAGTAGGAGCGGGCGAAGATGATAGTGAACCAGCCTTGAAAGGTTGGAATGACACAGACGTACGTCTTTGATAAGATGGTGCCTCGGTAGAACGAAGGGACGACCTTGACCCTTGCGCCATGCGGTGATTAGGAGGCAGTTTTGAGGGCGGCGATTCGGTCGGTGACGACGAAGGCATGTCTCGAACAGCACGTAGAGCCGACATCGGGCTCGTACCAGTCGGAGGGCCGACCTGGTGGAATGTCGACATGCTACCATATGCCTGTCCCACGTCTGGAGTGTCCTGGGAATGTAGCTTGTTGACGGGGAGAGAGCCTGGTATGGTTTGGGCTTCCTGGTTCGATCGCTCGAGGTATGTGTTGTCCAGGCCCAGAAAATGCGAGCTTAGTAACGATTCTGAATCTTCGACACTAAACTCGCAGTTTGTGCGGTACTCGACAGAGATGCACAAGGGCCCGACGGGCGAGTTTGACGGCGCGAATACTTGCGCTTCGGTAACGCTTTCCGTCGATGGATACAGTGGAACACTTAGGGTATCCGGACGCGGACTCTTGAAGTCGCCGTTCGTTATTCGAAAGTTCAATTTCAGTGATGGATGATTAGCTGGTTGTTTGGCGATGCTCTTGTAGTATTTGAAGGCAGGGATGAAGCGGAGATAGGCGTAGAGGGACCGGAATAAGACGACGGCTTTCTTGTACACGTTCGGCAGTGGATCACTCAAGTCGGAAGGATGCACTGCGTGCTTATCACCAATATGGACCTTCCAGCGTTCCAGTATAAGCTGCGTGGATTTGCCCGCCCGGCTCGGAGGCCTTGACGGCTCGGAAGGCACGTTCATTGCCTCAGCAACATCCCATCTCTTACCCTGCTCGTCGTGGACGACAAGCGATTGCTTGTGGCCCAGGCTTTGAGTGTCCAAGTATATCTCGATGCAAAGCGAAGGGTGTTGACCGGCCACTGCATCCATCGTTTTCCACTCTTGGAGATGTGGGGTGAGGCGATCGGACTCATCGAGGACGACGTTGAACTACATTCGCGTTAGAGCCAGTCTTGTCTAAGTAAGGCTGCCATCACATACCCATTTATTTTGTCTGAGGTTCCCATCTTTGTTGAAGCTCTGGGGCAGTATTGTTCGGGATGAAATGATGGTGAGGGCTGTTTTGGTAAAGAAGTTCTAGACTTTGGTCAACACTAAGTTTCACAGCCTTGTGTAACGGGTCGTACCTGTATAACCTGGTTTACCTTCTGGTTATGTCTCTGATCTGCCTCCGACACTTGATCGGCGCGGCCTACCATCTCGCCGCTGTCGTCGGTTCCGCGATCGCTATAGGGGGCATAATCTGAATGTGGTGACGAGCGTTCGGACATGGGATCCCGCTGGTTGTTGGTTCGTGTAGGGTTGGTCTGGAGGTTGTTCGCCGCCGAGGCGGTCCGCGGCGAAGGGCGTGGGTGCTGGTACATGGTGAGGGAGGCCTCTAAAAGACCAGGGCGTGTAAGGCGGGAGGAAGTGTGGGCTAAGATGCAGCGCGGGGAATTATCGTCGGATTGAGTACAGGCGGGTACTGATGGGAGCCATCACGAGCGTGGCAGACAGCGTGCGGCTATGCAGTCGGACAGGTACAGTCAGTCGCAGATATCTTTCAGCAGACTGGTTCACGCGGTCGGTTTGGAACTATCGGCCGGGGAGAGCTCAGGCAACAGCCATAGTGTGCGCTGTTCTACAAGGTTTGGCGTCTAGGTATATGCGTACGGTGCCTGGCGCGGCGATAAGGTTGAGCACCCTACTAGCGGGGCTGGAGAGCGGTTGCAGGGCAGCAGGGTATGCAAACGATGTAGGAGGCCGCAGAGGGAGCAGCTTGGAGTAGGGCGCGATGGCACTGGGCCGGCAAAGATGGTGAGGATGGCGATGTGGGAGTCAGGCCGTTGGGGCTCGTGACATGAGCGTATGACGGAGCACTGATAGCAATATGCCCTTGTCTAAGCTCGCGCCGAAGCTGGCAAAGGGATGCAGGACGAGGTGCCGCGCAGAGGAGATGCGAACGGCGATGCAGAGGCAGGCTTTCGGGAGCAGACCTGCAGCAAGGTGTAGGGCGTTTCGTCCTGACTTGTCAACCGCCGGTGACGAGGATCGAGAGCTCGCCCTGTAGCTGGAGGTGCGAGGAGAGCAGCCGTTAAGTGATCCGAGCATCCGAGCTAATGCGACAAGGATATGGGGGAGCAAGACAGCCGACGCCCGCCCCAAACCCGCACCTCGACTTGCGTGCTGCTTCTGCTTGCGTGTGCACACAACTCATCCGAGAGCTGTCGCGCAGAGCGTCGTCTCAGCCTGATCGCTTGCCAGGTGCGTGCGGAGAATGGCCGGAGCGCTGACCGGTTCCTCGCGGCCTACCTGCCCTGGACCTTGGTACGCCGCAACGGCCGGTGAAAACGACCTGGTGGACGTTGCTGGCGGCTCTGCCAGCAGCGCCGTTTCCGCGCGCCAATCCCTGCACAGCATAAAGGCGCCTTTGCTGGCGAGCAAGGTCATGGTCTCATGCTCACCGGCATTGCATCATCTTTCACCATCTTCTGGAATCCTGGATAAGACAATTGACATCGTACTATGGCCAATTCTGAATGTCTCTGTGGACATTCTGGACATCCTTTCGACTAGAATGCATCTGCCTCAGGAATCGCGGCATAGCGATATCGCACCCATTGCTGCCTACTCGTGTCACAGTGGAACTCCAGACCGCACGATTGGACATGTCTTCGCCACCTTCTGCGGACCTTCTCTAAGAGCTTAGCAGCATGCAGGACACCGGGAGTATCCGCCAAGTGTTGCTGACCTTCTCCAGGGCTGCCGTTGGGCTGGTGTAATGGGAGCCTAAAGTTTACCTCTCCTTTGGTAGACGAGCATGAACTCAATGAGTCTTTGATTCTGCTGCCTTCTCGAATTCGACTCTCCGAACGGCAAGAACACGATTGTGGGATAGTGCTCAAACCCTTCTTGTCGGGCATCGTTCTCACAGCTTGTCTCCGCAGTGGCTTGCAGTCCGGACCTCAACTAGCCGATTTACCTGGGGCTGGTCATACGTCGTGCAAGACCTTTCTGCCTGCCTCTTCTATAGCTCGCGATCTCGGCCTAGTATTGCTAAGCTACAAATACTTTCCACTTTAAGCAAAAGCTCACCGTAGGGCATGACGTACGATGCTGCTAGAAGTCTCTCCGCATCCACTATATCTTGACTCTGCCCACCCGACAATGTCTGATCGATTCATTGTCTTGCGACTGGGCCTTCAAGAGACTAGCACCCTCGGCAGGTATAATTATGACCAGCTCACCAATTCCCGTGGACAAGACCACCGGGACCTACCTACCAATATTTCGCGCGAGCAGTGGTAGATAAAATGCATCGCAGCAGGTACCCAGATGCCTTCAGATCCTCAGCTCAGCGTGAATGTCGATCATCGAATTACGCCTTGGTATAGACATATCAACTGGAGGATCAGTCCAACTCCAACACGCTTAGCCGCCAAGCTGCATACAGACGTGTTCTGGATGTTTTCTTCACCGCTAATCCATGCCTGTGGAGACGAACGTGCGCATCTTTATATACTCGGCAACCGCCCGAAACAACGTCTTCTCGCAATTCTCTCACATGAGACTGCCCCTCGCGCCAGTTGACCTTCAACTTTGGTCCATAGTAGCTCCAGAGTGTTGAAGTTGCACTCCCTCCAGAAGATGCAGCTCGTGGTGGGCTGTAGCTTCCCTGATTGGTTGGCGCGGGACAAGTCGCCAGTCCATCCCACTCGCACATTCGCCGGAATGTAGCCCTCGATCTTCCGAACGTTGTGACTGTCGTATACATACTTATTACCCCTCGCCCGCGCGTCTCTAAACCTGTAGGAGTCATTTGCGATTCATTCTGACTCACAAAGCTTAGCTGTAGTACGCGAACTTCGCCTGTGCTCGCTATCTGTCCCATCCCGGTTTCGTCATCATAGACTCCACGACCGTTCGTCCGCCGACCATACCCCTCGCAACAAACACCGCGCACGCCGACTGAAAACCCGAAGCTACTTCCGAGGTTTTCTTCGCCTAGGTTCCACCGCTGTAAAACGCCCTCTCCCGAAGTACTTGCACGAAGCTTCCAGTCCATCGCGCACTCACGGGTTGCCACATTGCGCCAAATATCGCCGCCACTTCACGACAGCCCCCCGACGCGCTTCCTGCCCTACACGGCCTTACCTCTACATATCCCGCAAAGCATATCATCGTATACTACACCATCGGTCGTTGTCGCGTCCGGTGTTTCTCAGGAGTCTTTCCTCAGCTTCGCGACCAGCACCTTTAAACAAGCTTTGGTCCTAGAGATCATAGCGAGGGGCTACTTGTCGAAGCAAAAGGATTGCTCCTCGTTCTCCTTGGCACATGAGTGGATATCTCTGGAAGCATTACTTTGAAGATGATGTCGATAGCTTTCGACATGTCTTGGAATCTGCCGCCCATACTTCACGTACAGGAGCACCGAAAGGTCCTGCTGGCCGACAGGGTGGAGTTCATGGTGCCGGGTTGAACAACAGTCCTGCGAGCTACGGAGCCTCGCCACTTCTAGGCGCCAAAGGGAGGAAGATACCCGGTGGCGCTGGTTTGACGTTGACCCGTTCGGATATCAACAGTCGCGATGGCATGGGCATGACGATACTACATCACGCTGCATCCACTACCACCGAGAATGCCATTGGTTTTGCACAGGCTCTGCTTGAGCACCCGCTGGTCGACTTATACATTCAGGATGTGGAGAATGGTTGGACTCCACTGCATCGAGCTTTCTACTTTGGAAACATTGCGATTGCACGTCTAATCCTCAATCGCGATACTCAAGACATCCTAGGCTACGGTTCTATAGGGTTCAATCAACATGCTCGAGGTCTCGTTAAGATCAAGGATAAGGAAGGTTACGGACCATTGGATTTATTCTCCCTGACCATCAAGGATCGCACCCTGAGGCCAGAAGTTGGATCTACCCCCGAGGACGATTCCGACGACGAGTTTGCGCAGGGTGACAGTGGTGATGGGGTCGACGATTCGCGAAGACGCGTCCTCGCACCGTCAGTTCTTCTCAATGGCGACGAGGTGTATACGTTTGGCAGCAACAAGAACGTGACCTTAGGATTTGGCGACCAAGATGATCGTCAGTTTCCTGAGCGTGTCGTCCTACGACGCCCTGATCATTTGCTGCAGAGATTCTATCGGGAGCATCGGGAAATCGAGGCTCAGAAACTCGCTGCAATAAACATGAGTCTTCAAGATTCTGGCTTCCTTCAGCCCTTGGCAGTTACTGACCTCCCAACGCACATTCGAAATACACCGCTTGTCATTCAAGATGTGCAGATGTCGAAGCTCCATACGGCGGTTCTCACGACTGACCCTATTTCGAACCTCTATGTGTGTGGACATGGTCCTGGTGGCCGACTAGGCACCGGAACAGAAACTACACGATATCAGTTCACTTGTATTGAGAGTGGTGGCTTGGGAAAAAAGAAGATTGCGGCAGTAGCTTTGGGGCAGAACCATACTCTAGCGATCACGGATGAGGGAGAAATCTACTCGTGGGGCAACAACGCCTATGGCCAGCTAGGATATTCTCTGCCGAAGCCTACTGTTAAAGACGATGATCCGATTTCAACAATACCTAGGCAGATATTCGGTCCTCTGAAACGAGACGCAATTACAGGTATCGGAGCCTCCCGAATTCATTCGGTTGCACATACATCTACATCTTTGTACACCTTTGGCAAGAATGAGGGTCAGCTAGGAATTGTTGATTCCGATGCGCGCTCATTGGAGATGCAGATCGTACCACGGAAGATCGCTGCATCTTTGTTTTCTTCGCCAATCAGCTCCGCATCAGCCATAGATGGTGCTACGATATGCCTTCTAGAGAACCGTGAAGTATGGGTATTTGCTAATTACGGCTACGCACGATTGAACTTCCCTCTGGATGGTTTCACCAACAATTTCTTGAAAGAAAGTTGGCTCACTACCAAGTACGATACCACGCCGAACAAAGTCAAAAAGATAACGTCTGGCGGAGATACAATATGTGCCCTATCGAGTTCCGGCGAGGTGTTCACAGTTGCAGTAAGCCGCCGCTCCGAAGGCGGCCAAGATGCCAGTACGTCTACAACTAACCCGAAGCAAATACGCGATGCTCTGTCGACACCGAACCGCATTTGGTCGGCGAAGCAAGGTCACATGGCTGCTCGAGACGTGGATGTGGATCAGGACGGTTCAATCATCTTGACTACCGAAGCCGGAAGCGTTTGGAGACGTACGAAGCGAGCAACTATCAAGAATACGGCTGCCACTGCTGCGGCTAAGCAGAAGCCCAAAGACTACAAGTTCCAGCGAGTGCCGGGGTTGACGCGGGTTACGGCTGTGCGAGCATCTGCTTTTGGCGCTTACGCTGCGATTCGCAGGGATTGTGATGTCACCAGGTCCCAGATTATGACGGACGAGCCTACACTCTGGAAGGACGTCGCGCCTTTGCTCCCGTTCTATGATTTGTCGAACTATGAGGAGGACTCGAACGACGAGAACCCTCTTCCAAGATTTTGGCAGCGTCCTTCCGAAGCGCAATCTCTACGAAAGCGAGTACTAGAGTCGAAAGATCTGGAAAAGGAAGTGATGGAGATGTTGGAACGAACACTACCCTCCTCAGAGAACACTTACGATATTCAACTCGGCACGACACTTTCCGACGTTCGCATACCTGTTCACGAGTTCATCGTGTCCAGTCGAAGTCGCGTCTTCCGGGATGCAATGGCCACTTTCCGTGCCCAGGATGACGGTCAACTAGACATTAGCGAGTTGTTAGAGATCCGAGAGATCGATGGCCGTGTAACAGTGATCTTCCATGGTTTGGATTTCCTCACTGTCTTCGATCTAGTCCTCTATTCGTACACCGACACTCTTGTTGATTTCTGGAACGTCACGCGATATTACCCTCAGATGGCATATAGGTACCGCACTGTGCGCACTGAACTTATGAGGTTAGCAACACGACTGGAGCTCCGCCAACTTGAGCCAGCTGTCCGCCAGATGATAACTCCAAGAAAGAGTTTGAACCTTGACATGACAGTGGCTATCAAAGAAACATCCTTTTTCGACAGCGGTGATATGATTGTTGAGCTAGAGGATGGGGAGATGACGCTCCACTCTGACATCCTCTGCCAGCGATGTCCGTTCTTTGAAGGTCTTTTCAGAGGTCGCGCTGGGGGCCAATGGTTGGCTGGCAGACGCACAGAAGAATCGCAATTGGTGCGAATTGACCTCACCCACGTTGATTCGCATGTATTCGAATTGGTTGTGCGCCATCTATATACCGATGCCGGCGAAGAAATTTTCAACGATGTCACAAGCGAAGATCTGAACGATCTTCTCGCCTTGGATGAATTGTTGGACCACGTTATGGATGTCATGTCAGTTGCGAACGAGTTAATGTTAGATCGGCTATCGCAGATCTGTCAGAAGCTCATCGGACGCTATGGTAAGCTCGTAACCTGGTAATGAAGCATTCGAACTAATAGAATCACAGTCAATGCACGGAACGTTTGCTCACTCCTCGCGGCCGTTGCACCTAGTTTAGTTGCAGAATTCAAGGATGCTGCACTTGAGTATGTGTGCCTGAGCATGGAAGCTGTCATGCAGAACGGGTCAGTGTCATCATCCTTTCGTATCAGTTCACACGCTGATACACTTCAGATCTTTGGACGAGCTCGATGAAGACCTTTTATCAGAACTGGACCATGTCGTCCGCGAAAATCAATTAGCATACCTTCCCTTTGCGAGAAGCGGGCGGGCGGAAGCACTTCTATTCGACAAGTATTCGGAGCTTGCTGAGAGGATTGAGCGAGGAAAGCGTGCCAAAGTGGACGCCATCGTCCTCTCCAATAAGTTCTCTGAAGCCGATGGACTCATTTCATCGTCTTTCCGGGCGCAAAGCCTAGAAGAGCTCTCTGTGTCCCCCCTTAGACAACGCACCCGCCGGAGAGCATCCCGAGAAGGGAAGCTAGAAGCTGAGAGCCCCGTTTCGACACCAGCCTTGAAAGCGAAGAGCTCCGTAGCTGATCTCATGTTTGAAATGTCAGATGGTGACGACGATGAAGACATAGATACCGCCCTTCGCCAACCACAATTTACGCCAGCAGCGGCGAAGCAGTCGTTCCCTGACCAAATTGGATCACCACCAGTACCATGGTCTAGCGCAAGGGTGGACGATGGCCAGTCGTCGCTTGCGGCATCTGACCACATGTACCCCAGCCTTGGGTCTCAGAGGTCGAAGCCTTCGCGAAACGTTCCTGGAAGGACACCAGAGCGGCCATGGGGTCCTGCACCCTTGGCGGCAACCAAGCTTGATCTGAAAGATATCATGTCGCAGACTGCGGTCGGTACCCCTTCAAATTTGACGCTTGGCCTTTCCCAGCAAGAGAAAGAAAGGAAGGCTTCCGGATCAGTCCACGCGAAAATGTCACAAAAGGAGCGAAAACGTGTACAGCAAGCGCATCAATTTGGACAGGCGGCGACACCTGAAAGAGCACAGCCTGATCCGCCCACGGTATCGCCATGGCAAGCGAAGTCTCACCGGAAAGTTACTGAAAGCCCTGTCACTACTTCCGCACCACCACCTCTTCAGCCTCCTAGGACTTCGAGCACACCTCAGTTGACAATGCGTCAAACTGTTGCCAATCGCGGAGCAAATTCCAAGCAGAAAGAACAGGACAAGGGCCGTCAACCATCGCAATCAACTCCCGGAAACACACCGTCATCCCAGAAGCTCACCTATGTTGCCGCTGATCCAACGAACGCGGACCGGGGCATGTCAGTCTCGACAACGCCGATCCCCACGCCTCAGTCTGTTCGTCACATTCCTCTTCCATCTCACTCACCAACCTCGCCAAGTCAACACATGAGTATGCACGAGATCCTTTCCCTGCAGCAAGCCGAGAAGGATTATGTCCGTGAGGCTGCAGCCAAACGAAGTCTGCAGGAGATCCAACAAGAGCAGGAATTCCAGCAGTGGTGGGATCAGGAGAGCAGGAGAGTCATCCAGGAGGAGGAGCATAGAAAGCGCGCCCAAGAGAGGGCAGCTAAAGCTAGCAGGGGCCGAGGAATGGGTAGGGGTGGGAAGCCCAAAAGTAAAGGCAAGGATAAGAAGGAGGGTGACGAGCAGGATCCAGGGAAAGCAAACAGGGATGTCAAGCAAACACCATCTGCCCCTGAGACCTCCAAGTCTACACCCACGCCGAAGCAGGATGGAGCAGACAAGGGAAAGTCGAGAGGGAGAGGAGGTCAGCGGGGTGGCCGTGGTGGTGGACGAGGAGGTCGTCCTTATGGCCATCCAAGAGAGGCATCCACGCCGATTGTCTCCGCCTCTTCGAAACAATGAGACATTGCGTTTGAATGGATTTATTGAGCCCTTGGCTTCTTGTAAACTTTTTGTGCATTAGACGTATATATCCCTGCACTATAGCAGCGTATTGAACAACTCACCCCTTGCCTTCTGGATATACACCATGTTGTGTCGATGTTGCATAATGAGCCGTCTGGAGGAAGGCACGTCGCTCCTCCTGCCCGTGAACGTGGAGCCTGGAACTCAATTTCGCGCCACACGCCAACTGTATGCAACGACCAAATCTTACACATCTAGCATGCTCGATCGATCCCTTCAGTATGTTTCCAAATCTACAGAACCGCTTCAATATTACTCCGGTAGCACAAGGCTGTTTTGAAACCGGTCCGAGCTTGCCGCTTGTACGATGTGCGAGTTTGCCTGTCATGCAGTTCGCCCGTCAGACCAAGCCACTCCCATACGAGAGCAATATACAGACAGGAGATTATTTGTGATAGCCACGGTACTGCTCTGCTTGAAGATGTACGAAGTTTCAAACAGCCGTCAGCGTTGAGCTTGACACAGCGCTTGTCATACGGAACCATCTCCGCAGGCCGAGAATTCACGGGACGGGAGCAGATAGTAGCCGATTGAGGCTCTCCCTCACGATCACGCTAAGATGACAAGTTGGTTCTCGACGAGTACTGCAAGCTAGGACTGCTAGTGCATGAGTGCATGAGGAGTCTTCGCCGCCCTCTTCCTACATTGTCAATGTGTTGACTATCGAGGCTCTGTCAACTATGCCGCTACTACGCCGCTGCAGCATCTCAGCCTCATGTCTCAGTTCAACAAAACACTCACTTGACAAACTGCGCTTCACGAAGATTTTCTACGTTTTCACGACGTCGGTTTAGAGTGGAATGGCATCGGGTTCCTGGCAGCGACGCGACGCTAGCGCGCATTGATGGCAACCTTGAACCACGACGTCATACGTCCTCTTTGCGCGGAACCCTCGGAATCCAGCGAGTTCCTCTCCTCCACGATTGCGCGTATCCTCAACAGATGAAGTTTTGAACGTGGCAATGCTCACTCGACCGAATACGCGGAAACGGCACGTACGAGGTCCAATATTACGGGTGATCTACAACGGCATTGGATGACCGACCGTCCGGGAACACAACGGCGTCTGCCATGTTCATTGACTCTTTGCCTTCACTTTTGTGGGGGCTCGCCTGCATGCCGTTCGTTTCGAACAAAAGTCCGGGAAGGGAGATCGACGGCCTAATCAGGCGAGCTACATACCGTTCAGCCCGAGTCGTTCAATCTTCCTGCGTAGTTGTGATTTGCGCCTGGCTGACAGTCCAATCTTCGAGGGCTGGGGTGTACAGAGGTGCAGTCTATACAGCAGCGACCATTGCCAGAATGGCGGTGACTTTTACAGCTGAGGAGCCATCGTACGACTACTATGGTATCATCAGCACAACTCTGCGATGTTATTCATCGACAACAACAAGGCCACGCGACACCACGGCGTCCAATGGGGCGAAACCCACTAAAAATAAGGCAAAGCGCTGACGGCTGCAGGGGATGAGCCACGCCCAAGCCCACTTCGCCTAGCCTGGAATGAGGTCACTGGTTGGTTTAGTCCGCGCCGCGCGAAACACAGCCGCATGTTGACCCTTCCGGCCTTCCGACAAAACTAGGAAATGATTTAACAACACCGAATCTCCGCAATTTTGGTTTGACATCCTTACCATAATCCTACCTTTCTATTACTTTGCGAGCTTCTTTCCATACCAGACATCGTCTAGGTTTGGCAGATGAAGTACTCATTGTTCGCCGCGTCCGTCCTCGCGTCACTGGGGAGTGGTAAGCCAACGTTACCCACCCTTGCCCCTGATCCGTGCTCACAGTTGGAAATAGCATCCTCGGTTGGCCGAAGAGAAGTTGAGCAAATTGAAGCGAACGCAGCATCCAGTGCAGTCGAAGTTTACAAAAGAGCTACGAATCAAGCGCCAAATGGCTACGCACCAGGAGAGGTCGACTGCCCGTCGACTCGGCCCAGCATTCGGAAGGCGGATGCACTATCAAAAAGTGAATCAGATTGGTTGAATACAAGGCGACCTAAGACTGTGGATCCCATGCGCGAATTGTTGACCAGAATTAACATCGATGGTTTCGATGCTGGAAAGTACATCGACGACAATCGCGACAACACTACGAATCTGCCCAACATTGGTATTGCTTTCTCTGGAGGTGGTTACCGTGCTATGTTAAACGGTGCTGGTGCACTTGCAGCATTCGACAACCGGACCCCTAATGCAACAAATAGCGCAAGCCAGCTCGGTGGACTGCTGCAGGCATCCACCTACATTGCCGGCCTTTCGGGTGGTGGTTGGCTTGTAGGAAGTATTTACATGAACAACTTCACCTCTGTACAAAACATCATCGACCAAAACGAGGATGGTGATATATGGCAGTTAGGAAACTCAATTTTGGAAGGTGCGTGGAAGCGATCAATGGTTACGAATACCTGGAACTTATGATGAACAGGTCCGAAAGAAGGAGGCATTCAGATATTGAACAGCGCTCAATACTACAGCAACCTTGTAGATACAGTCACCGACAAGGCGGATGCCGCTGGAGGCTTCGATACTTCGCTCACTGACTACTGGGCTCGAGCTCTATCGTTTCAGTTCGTCAATGCCAGCGATGGAGGTCCCGGATACACGTGGTCATCAATTCAGGACGACCCTGACTTCAAGAATGCGGACGCGCCATTTCCCATCCTCATTGCGCTCGAGCGCGCCCCCGGACAAGCCGTGATCTCGCTAAACTCCACGAACATTGAGTTCAACCCCTTCGAGATGGGCAGCTTCGATCCGACTCTATATGGCTTTGCTCCCCTAAAGTACATTGGTTCTAACTTCACCAATGGTGAGGTTCCAGAAAATCAAAAGTGTATCCGGGGATTTGACAATGGTGGTTTCGTCATGGGTACTAGCTCATCGCTTTTTAATCAAATCATCTTACAATTCAACGATGATAGCGGAGCCCCGGACCTAATCAAGAGCGCCTTGAAGAGCATTCTAGGCTCACTCGGCGACAACGACAATGATATTGCGGACTACACTCCCAACCCCTTCCAAGGCTACAATAACCGTACCAACCCCAGCGCAGACACCAACAGACTTACACTCGTCGACGGCGGTGAGGATCTGCAGAACATCCCGCTGAACCCGCTCATTCAGCCGCACCGCGATGTAGACGTTATTTTCGCTATCGACTCATCCGCCGATACCGTCGACCCCACGGACTCCGCGCAGAACTGGCCCAACGGCACGTCTCTCGTCGCAACATACGAGCGTACCAGCAACGCTAGCATCCAGAACAGCACCGCCTTCCCCTACATCCCCGATCAAAACACCTTCGTCAATCTCGGCCTAAATAACCGCCCAACCTTCTTCGGTTGCGATTCCGGAAACCTAACCGGCCGCGGCGTATCCCCCCTCATCGTATACCTCCCCAACTCCCCCTACGTGTTCTTGTCCAACGTGTCCACCTTCGCAAAGCTCTCCTTCAACAACAGCGAGCGCGACGCCATGATTCAGAACGGATATGATGTCGCTACCATGGGCAACAACACCCGCTCAGGATACGAAGACTGGACTACCTGCGTTGGCTGCGCAATCATCTCGCGGTCGCTGAACCGCACAAACACTGACGTGCCTCAAGCGTGCCAGCAGTGCTTCGACAAATACTGTTGGAACGGCACGCGCGCGGAGAACACGCCTGCGCCGTACTGGCCTGACATGGTCTTCCAGGAGGTTAATGTGAAGAGCGGTGTTGGCAAGTTCCTGCCCAACGTTGTTGGTGTGGCTGTTGCGGCGGCGGTTTCGGGATTGCTTATGATGTAATGTGTTCTTGATTTTTTCGGATTGCATAAGGTTTGGATATCGTAACTTAAGATACCCTCTCTTGGAGATTGGGTCTGCTTTGGGGATTTGAATGGGCATGGATAAGCATTTTATGGTTGGGTATGCGATTGCATTTCGCTGTGCATATAGCGGCATTTGGATATATTTCTTGGGTAATTGAGGAAGTCAAATACCCTTTTCTCAAAAATTTGTATTGATCCGTTGGCTTCTGCTGGTATGTGATTCTTAGAGCTGCCCAATCATGCAGCGACATCTGCATTCAGCCGCGCTAGAACGCGTCTCCACATGACTGTTCATCTTACATCGAGGCTAGTCCACTCCACCGTCCACGAATGCCGTCAAAACGGAAACGTCAGGAAGAGACAGACTTCGGCTCATTATGGCTGCACACTATCACGAACACGCCGCCCCGAAGGAAAGCGTGTCTGCAATGTTCTGAGGCCAAGGTTCGATGTGACCACAAGAGACCGGTGTGTTCGCGATGCGTACGTATAGCCTATTCTTGCAACAAAACCCTACACTACAGTGAAATGATGAGGAACTGCCTTATCGCAATCAAATCACTGCCACCACCTGTTTATCGACCATCGAATAAGTCGTCTAGGAGGTCATTGCTAACCTTTTTCATGTTGAGCAGGCACGAAGGTTGCTGCGATGCGACTTCTCCGGCGCAGCAAGCGAAGAGCCGCATCCGCAACCAAGAGTCACTCCTGTTTCTGCTTTCAACATCGATACAGGTCCATCATATAACGCGGTTGCATCGTCTACGACACCACACACCTCGGACCCCACTGCCGTCTTCTCAAACCCTACTAATCTCTTCACAACACCGCAACCCACGCCTCAACCCGCACCAACCAATCCACCCCTTTCTACCCAATGCGATGACAACATTCATCTTTTGTGTACTGTCGATGCCTCCCGCGTCCGCGACCGCTGGCTCGAAGGCTGGGTCCCGCGCCCTAACCAACAGTCCAAAGACCTGCCTCGCGGTACTGCAGTCTTTATTCACAGCATCTTGAAAGCGTATCCGCAATCGTTATGCAAGGGCGATTTGCCTCCCATTATCCACGACCTGCAGTTGGTAGACGGAAAGCTGCCCTCAGCGCTTGCGAACTGTGTCAGCATCGCTCGAATGTGGGAGGGGCAGAGAGAAGGTGGAGGAGCCTTGGTGAAAGACACGTCGCTCAGAGAGATGGAGAGGTTGTTCGCAGAGAAAGAGAAGTATGGGCAGTGGGAACTGCTAGCAGCTTTCCAGGCGTACATCATGTACGTCACGCTTCTGCTCGATCCGGCGGGTGAGCCCGTGGTCCCTCAGGATGTTATGCTCAACCTGCAAGACTTTGCGCACACCATCGCCGTCACTGGTCTTGTTGACCCTTCCGATCATCCATCCTGGGCTGCTTGGGCCCTTGCCGAAGCTAAACGCCGTGCTCTCTTCGCGATGTACATGCTCGACGACATTGTGAATTTCTTCTCGCACGTTCCTTGTATCATGGGCGATGAATTAGCGGACCTTCCGGCGCCATGCAGCGAGAAGCTGTGGCGTACGGATGAGGAGGGGAAGTGGCGGAGGTTGTACGGTGAGTCTTTCTTGTACACAGCATTGCTTCTATCTTGGCGAAGGTTTCTATTCTTCGTGGTGGAGACATGGGCGAAGTACTATATTCCTACGTACGAGACAGATACTGACCTGGGAGCAAGATGTGCATGTTGCGGAGTGGGAGGGAGGCGGGCTGAGGCTGAACGAGCTCTGGCCGAGGACGGGGGAGAAAGATGGAGCGAGAGTTCAGAAATGGGTGGGCGAGATGGATGCGTTGGGGATGACGATATTTGCAGTTACAACGGCGACGCAGTATCCGTGATGAGCGAGTTCTAAGAGTTGAGGATGAGCTGCCCAGGTGAGTTATATCTTGACATGGGATTGCGGAAGTTCAACATGAAATGCGCCCGACATATCGAAAGCTTGACACAGCTGAGGAGAGATGAATCGCATCATGTATTGCTTGAAGGCTCGAAACGTGAACGCTTTACACCAAGAACACGCAGCGCGAAAAGCAGGATCCCAACCACCTGGGTAGAGGGGTATCTTCGCAAAATAGCAATGCAAAGAGTAATGCCCAACGCAAAAACCATTAGGAAACAGTAACTCCAAGCACACCGGAAAATGCTCGGCCCAGCCACGCAACCTGCTCGTCGTAATACCGCACTATCGGTTTCAAATTACCTCGCAATCCTACAATTCGCGTAAATCGCTGAATTTCAAGGTAGTTTAGAATCGATGACGTGATACTTCAACGAGCGGGTTACGCGGCCGTAGCTGCGCCAGCAACCCATTATATTCCATATCAGCCCCTCATTCGTCGTATCATCATCTATCGTCCTCAGTCTACCGCGCTTCCGATCGAACCGACTGCGAACGTATAGAGCCCGTATCATGGTACTGCTGGTATCCCTCGCCACTGTTGCGGTGGAATCCGTCGTTCCACGCGCCAATGCGATTGTACAGTCTACGCTCCATTAAACGGACATTCAAAAGAAGATAGGGAGCTGGCTCGCCTACTGGTCGTCTTGAACGATTTCGAGGTTTTCGTCGGGAATCAGCTCGTAGTCGCCTTCGGGTGGGAGGTACAGCGCCGAGGCTACCACGCCCAGACTGGTCAGGAAGAGTGTCACCCACGAGGCGGTGCAGAGAGACCAGGATGCGTCAAGGTAGTGGCCTGGGAGGGAGAAGCGATCGTGGTGGTCGAAGATGTAGGCCTGTATGTGTTAGCGTGTGTCTTGTGGTCTGTTTTTGTAGGGTGGAGGAGGTGAATTGCGAGGCGACAGCGAGAGGTAGACATACCACAATAGACATGCCGACGCACTGTACAAAAGCACAGAACAGTAGCAGTGCGCTGACAATCTGCCATCCAGCGGCCCTTCGCTGCACTCCGCCCGCTATAATCACGACGAAGGAGACTAGCGTGCACAGCTCGACGGCTACGTCGAAAGAAATGAAGAAGCCAACAGTTCTCCACATGTTACAGAAAGTCTCGTCCGTCCTGCAGTATTGTCTGCTAGGAAATTGTTCGTATTCGGGCTCGTTGGGGACGTTCGAGTAGCGGCTGTGGAGACCGTAGGACATTTTGCGCCCGTCATTATTCTGGCGGCGGTTATGAAAATCCTTGAGACTGCGACAACGGGGCAGTGATACTCACCGGATCGAAGCTGATCCATCGCGGCATGTAGATGCTGGCGATGGTCATTGCCGTACCTGCGCGTCTCAGTGATTGCCACCATGAATAGCAAAGCTCTCACTTACTGGCAAGCGTGAGCCAAAGGCCGACGCTGTAGACTATTCTTCGCGTCATGATGAAGATGCGCACAGAGTAACACGCGCAGTGAAGCGGTGGTGATGCAGGAGGTTTCGAAGCTAGGTTGTTGCCGCCGGAAAGATCGGACGACCGTGGTGGTGTGAAGGCAGAGCCTAGGCGTGTGAAAGCCTCGCAGATCTGTTGCTATGGCCGCGGGATGTGTGCTTGGCCTTTGACCAGGGTAGTGGAGAAGCGCGCGTTGAGGAGATGCAGCTAGGTATATGCGCGTTTATCTCTGGCGAAGGTGGTCGCAGGGCATGTCGGGATGGAGGGAAGGCACCGACAAAGGCTGGCAGGCTTGCGTGACCGTTGTGGCCGCACCTTGTTGCTTTCCTCGCTTGCAACATGAGGATCAGACGATGACGATCGTGGATTGACCCACCCACACTTTGGTGGCGTCCGAGCGCTACACTAAACCGAGTTCGATCCGTACACCGCTCACTGCCTACACCCTCCTCCGCATCGATAGCGGGTATCGCGCAGAATTCCCTCACGTCGAAGCTTGACCCAAAGCTGAGATGCTAGCCAGCCTCGTCTCTACAGCCTCATCTTGCGACTCGAGGTTTTGATGAAGATGTCGAGTCTCGATGTCAAGTCTTGTCAAGTCTCGATGTTAAGGCAGATGCTGATGCAAGTATTACCATTGTTAGCGCCCTTCTCCGACGCACCCAGCATCAACCCAGCGGCACAGGCCCAACACATAGAACAGCTCAGACGCGATCGAATGATCACTCAAAGCAGAGGGAGTACAAGAAGCGGGGTGTCGCGGGCGTGCGTCGAGTTATTGGCACTTTCCGCCAGCATCGGCTTTCACGTTTCCCATGGCGGCATCAGACGCCAGCCACACCTGGCCTGCGACCTTCCCACCAAGCCTCCGAACACGTGGGGGCGATCCATAATTCTCCTGCCATCGGCCGACGCCGTCGTAATTGTCGCGCGTGACGTGCCTTTTCTGAGGCGGATCATGGCGATCTATCAAATGTCCATCTGGCGGTGTGCACTGATGTAAGGAACTGCCATCGGACCGCAAAGGCATCTGTGCTCGCCCCCGCATGTTGTACGCAAGAGCCTTCGGAGCGTAATGCAGGCGAAGGGCGGGGGACGCACGATAAATCGATGTGCAGCAGGCAAATTGTATGGTTGGTGTCACGCGAGTGTTTGTGGTTGGACGTTGGGTCGGCGATAGATTGGCAGAGGATGATGTGCTTGGATACGAGATGCGGAGGTAGATAAGGATCGACCAATCCCGGCCTGCACAGCAGACAAGGGAGAAACTTCATTATCCTGCAGATTCTATTTCCGCAGGGTCTAACTGGGGGTATATGCCGTGTTGCCGTGATTCAGTCTTCAGGAATATCGTACAAGAGGTTCTACGTGGAGTACAGTACATATGGTACAAGGCAAGCGCCTCGTCTAGAAGAGCACGTTGTCGCGCGTCCGTGGTTTCGGTCTTTGCAACATCTCGTAACAAAGTAGAGACGCTGCTACGCTGACGTTGAGACTGTCGACGCCTATCTCGTCAACATCTCGTCCGTGCCGAATGCCAACTTTGAAATGCGCCAAGTTTAGCAGACTCGTCCGCAGCCCCGTTCCTTCAGCGCCCATCATCAGGATTGTGGGATGACTCTCGACGGGGCAATGCTCCACGGGCAAACGTTTCGCACTCCGAGCTTGTGTAATTATCACTTCGCTGGTAGGAGGAGTATATTGTTTGCCGGATGATGCTCCTTGAAGAGCTGGAAGTTGCGCAGGAGGAACGGCGTCACTGGCATATATCCTCCATCCGGCACGCGCACTCTGCCCGAGGAAGTCGGTAGCCTGATTGACCTTGAAGATGGGTATAGCTTCAGCTGCGCCAGCCGAGGCTTTGAGCGCGATGTGGCTCCATGGTGCGCTCTGGCGCGTAGGAGTGACGATGGCGTCGACACCGAGGAAATATGCTGAGCGAGCGATGGCGCCGAGGTTGCCTTCGTCGAGCACGCCGTCCACGTATAGGACTAGAGGGTGTCTCCATCCGGCGGATTTATACGCGTACACTGATTGTATGCCGTTAACCTCGAGATCCTCTTTACTTTGGCTGTCTAGTGTTACTTCGAATCGCCCATTCCTGATATCTGGCGACAGTAGTGCTTTCAGAGGCGGTACGGGAAGAGGCGATGCCTCGAGAATGAAGCCCTGAGCAATTAGTACATGCGGCTTGTAATCTTGGAATGCATAGATTGCCTACATTGTGTGGTCTGCCACTGCTCGCTTTGTCGAACGCTTGCAAGTATTCGTCGTCGACTTCTATTACCCTGACCTTAGTAACTTTTGCTCTTGCCACAAGCGCATCTATTCCTGCATGTAAGACGCCTCGTCTATGTATGTATAGCTTGTGGAGTCTCCGCCGGTTTGTCTTGATGGCAGCCAACACACTTGAATATCCGTATATGAACTCAGATGCCGCTGTGCTGTAAGGAAGCGATTCAATACGAGCCGATCTACTTCCTTGGTTTATCTGGTCATATCCTCTTTGGTAGTCCTTAGGGAAGGCCGACTCGAATGGGCGCAGGCTGTTCGTCGAATGCCGGTACGGGGCTCTTTCTGCTCTTGCGGAGTGAGGCGCACGTACTCTCAAGTGCCTCTCCCCTCCACGCAGGGGTGGCCTGGCTCCCTGTCTCTCACTTCGTCCAACGTAATCAAGCTCTCGGTCGCCGGAAGTCCTGCCTCGCTCGATAGCGGCGGTAATCGACTTGTTCCTTCCCTCACTGCGCGTTCCGCGGCACGCAATTCGCGGTATTCGGAGGATCGTGGGGCGGAGGAAGCCGGACTGCAGCATGACAAGATGAATGTGAGGTCTCAATTGTGACGTTTGTATATCCTAGCGTGCGACTGGTAATTATCGCGAACTTTTTGGTGCACGGACCGTTCAGGGCACGCGTCGCGCGTTCATGCTTCACGCCGATTGGAGGCGACCTCGGCCCTCCAGCTTTCAACTTCCTACGAATCACTCTCGTAGCGGAGCAGGGGAACACACGCGCAGAGGACATCCGCCCCACTGTCTGTCCATAGAACTATTTCCTACGATTCCAAGGTTCCGACAAACTTGCATTAACCCACCGCCGACCATACCGCCGTTGAGACCACCGCAACAACTCTTGAACCTCACCCTACATCTTGCCCGCGCGCAAAGGCGCTCCATGGACCCAATATGGCCGACATAGCATCGATAGCAAGCGACGAGGACGGTCTTGAGCTGATGGCGTCTTTCAAGAAAGGCGCAAACGGTGAAGCTCGCGGGCGGAAGGCGCGCTCGCAGATAAATGATCGCGACTTTCCAGATGAAGAGGTGGTCAGCCAGCGCGCGGAAGGAGCACCGCAGAGGCTCCTAGCTGTTCGGGTGCCACCAGTGCACGACCGCGACGAATATATCTATTATGACGGTGAAGCAGCCGTCGAGCGCGTTCAACGGGAATTCGAAAAGAGGGGAGAACTCATGTACGATGTGGAATTCATAGATGGTAGACACAAGCAGGTGAGTCGAGTCCGACTCTTGTTACCAAATTGCAGCTGCCAGCTAGGTAAAGGTGCTTGCGCCTTTACTAGTTCCAACAAATCGTTCTTTTACCTCAATGACTGAGCTAACAGCATACTCTTAGGTCACTTTCGACGAACTACTAGCCCTCGACAACGGTGCGGAAGCTTTCCAGACCTTTCAACAAAACGACGACGGAGTCGCGAGTTCGGAAAGCGCAAACGAGGACATGCGCGACACACGGTTGCGTAGCAAGGTCACGAAGACTAAGAACGAAGGCTTCATTAGTGTTGAAGGCCTCGATTTATCTTCTGATGAAGAGGTCTCCTCGCGGAAACCCCGCCAGAAGCGACTCAGTGGTTTGAGGGGTAACGGCAGGAGTAGCAGGGCCACACGCCGAAGCACCACCCGCGACTCTTCGAGTGAGAGCGATGCAACTACCACGAAGCGTCGCCGTAGGCGAAAATTGGTCTCAGGACCGACACGCCGCTCTAGTCGGGGCCATGCGCCTGCGCGAGTATACAGCGAGGACGAGGACGAGGACGATGACGACGAAGACGAAGATGACGACGACTCCAGCATCGATATCTTACTATCAGATCTCGCATCACAAAAGCGAAAACGTGGACGCCCTTCCAAGGCACCAAAACCGGAGAAGATTCCTCGGACTGGTATACGACAGTCTGGTCGAGCTACTCGCGCGCAGAACAACATGGAAGAAGCGGATATCAACGACATCTATAGATCAGATTCTGACGAGCCCAAGGCGGCGACAGTGAAGATCGTAAACGCGAAGGAAACATTCGAGACTCTCCCTCGCAACAATCTGTTTAGGTCTCGTCACGTAGAAGGATGCGAAGTCTGCTCCAACGGGCCCAATGTTGCGCCGCTCATTTACTGTCAAGGTTGCTCTCTAGCTTACCACAAGAATTGCGTTGGGAACCGCGCTACTCGTGAGCATCTCGTCACAAAAGTGGATGACGATAAGTACGTACTACAATGCCGACGGTGCATCAACGTATACAAGAAGAAAGACCCCACAGCTCCGGATCTTTCCATGTGTCAAGATTGTCGCCATCCTGGTTCAGCCTGTAAGCCCTTCCGCCGTCGCAAACCCACGGTGCAGGAACAGAAAGACCGAGACGAGAATGACGGAGTTGATCCCGTTACTGACGTTCCTTCTAACCTCATCAACAATGCTTCCAATGTCATGTTTCGCTGTACACGCTGCTCGCGCTCGTGGCATTACCACCACTTACCACCGCTTTCGCCTTATGTTATGGATCTTACACACGACGAAGAGGAGACTGCCGACGAACGCTTCCTTGAGTACTCCAAGTCTTGGATGTGCAAAGAGTGCGACGACACTATCGAGCAGAAAGTCGGAGGTCTCATTGCTTGGCGACCATCAGACGTGGAAACCTATAATCCAGGCACTCCTTGCTACGAAGTGAACGAGGACGATAAACAGTACCTGGTCAAGTGGGATAGCCAGTCATATTTCCGCGCAACATGGTTCTCCGGCGCTTGGACTTGGGGTGTCACAGCCGCCGCTATGCGAAAGGCGTTCTTCAAGCGGGAGGAGGGGCCCAAGATGCGGACAGAGGATGCCATCCCAGAAGAATACCTCCGTATCGATATCGTTCTCGATATCAAATACACCAGCTATGTTGAAGTCCGAAGCGAGGAAATCGATAAGGCGCGGATAAAAGAAGTAGACAAGGCTCTCATCAAGTACAAGGGTCTCGGATACGAGGACGCTGTGTGGGAGAAAGTCCCAAACTCGAATGACGGCGATCGATGGCTAGACTTCGTGACAGCCTACAACGATTGGGTCGCTGGTCGATACATTCGCTATCCGAAGCAAGGTCCACTCAAAGCCCGCCTAGAGAAGGCCCGTGTCGGAGCACCCGACTCATTTGCCAAATTGGAGAAACAAAAGCAACCGGAAAGCCTTGTTGGCGGAGAACTCATGAAGTATCAGCTACAAGGGCTAAACTGGCTTTATTACCAGTGGTTCATGCAGAAGAATGGTATACTTGCAGACGAAATGGGTCTCGGCAAGACGATCCAAGTCATTGCGTTTATGGCTACGCTCATAGAAGAGCACAGCTGCTTCCCGTTCCTGGTTGTCGTTCCCAATTCTACTTGTGCCAATTGGCGTCGAGAAATCAAGCAGTGGGTTCCGTCCTTACGTGTCGTCACCTACTTTGGCTCTTCCGCTGCCCGCGACATGGCAAAGAAGTACGAGATGTTTCCTGAGGGCTCCAAAGAACTTAGGGCACACATTGTCGTAACGTCCTATGAAACGGCCACCGATGACAGCTCTAGACGGATTTTCAAAAGCGTTAGCTGGGCGGGTCTCATCATTGATGAAGGGCAGCGGCTCAAGAACGACAAGAGCCAGCTCTACGGGGCTCTTACCACAATTAGATCACCATTTCGACTGCTCCTGACCGGTACACCTCTTCAGAACAACGCCAGGGAATTGTTCAACCTCCTTCAATTCCTCGACGATAGTGTCAATGCAGCGGAGCTCGAGGAGAAGTATGAAGAGATGACTGCGGAGGCTGTCCGAGAATTGCACGAGCTGATCCGGCCGTACATCCTTCGCCGAACGAAAGCGCAGGTCCTTACGTTCCTACCTCCACTGGGCCAAGTCATCGTGCCTATATCCATGAGTGTCCTGCAAAAGAATGTTTACAAATCAATCCTCGCAAGAAACCCAGAACTTTTGAAGGCTCTATTTACTACTGGCAACTTGAAGACCCAGGAACGAGCGAATCTCAGCAACATCCTCATGCAGCTTCGAAAGTGTCTCTGTCATCCATTTGTATATAGCCGCGATATAGAGGAACGTACTGACATTGCTGCAATGTCGCACCGCAATCTGGTCGAGGCGTCCGCCAAACTTCAGCTTCTTGAGCTCCTTCTACCGAAACTCAAGGAACGCGGCCATCGGGTTCTTATCTTTAGTCAATTTCTGGACATGCTGAGCATCATCGAAGACTTCATGGACGGGATGCAGATGGCTTATCAACGTCTCGATGGCACAATGGGCTCCCTAGAGAAGCAGAAACGCATCGATCAGTTCAATGCTCCTGACTCGTCCCTCTTCGCTTTCCTATTGTCGACACGAGCTGGTGGTGTCGGTATCAATCTTGCAACAGCGGACACCGTCATTATCCTTGATCCCGATTTTAACCCTCATCAAGATCTCCAGGCTATCTCCCGAGCGCACCGAATCGGCCAAAAAAACAAAGTGCTTTGTTTCCAGCTCATGACACGAACTAGTGTCGAAGAGAAGATCGTGCAAATGGGCCGGAAGAAGATGGCTCTCGACCACGTGGTAGTTGAGCAGCTGGGCGAGGAAGAAATTGACGACAAGGATGTAGAGTCCATCTTGAAATTTGGAGCAGCAGAGCTGTTCAAAGATGACAATGCTGACCACGACATCCGTTACGACGACGCGTCTATCGACAAACTTCTGGATCGAAGTCAAATCGAGAATACCAAGACAAGCAGTGACGATTCAGCTGAGTCTCAATTCAGCTTTGCTCGCGTTTGGGCAAACGATCGAGGTACTCTCCAAGAAAATCTAGATACAGCAGACGACGAGGTCGCTCCTCCGGACGCTGGTGTGTGGGACAAGATTCTCAAAGAGCGTCGAGAACTTGCGGCCGCTGAAGCGCTTGCACGTGCTGAGGCTTTGGGCCGAGGCAAGCGCGCTAGAATGGTAAGTCACGTTGAGACTTCGACAAGGATTTCGGCTGACCAAATTCAGGCCGTGAATTATGAAAATGAACAGGCAAAGAAAGCGGCCGAAGGCAGTGACAACGAGAGCCTTCTTGATTCGCCTGTCAAGCCTCTCAAGCCTGTCAAGTTGGACAAGCGGTTGAAGAAGAAGAAAGATCGCTCTGACGAAGATACCGATTTCCAGGCTGATACCGAAGACGAACAGTCCGATGATCAACTTAGTGGCGCCGAGGAAGCTCAAGCTGAAGCGGCAAATCTGGGAGATGATACCGCTCGCCGACAAAGTACAGGCAGCGCTGCGGTCAACAAGTCGCTGTACAAGCAGAACAGCGCAGGTGCGTCCCGAATTTCTTTGAAGTCTACCCCAAGATCTACTCCCAAGTCCAAGAGCAAGTCCAGAGATCAGAAGTCTTTCCCTGCTATCACGCTGTCTCCGATCTCTCCTGGCAAAGTTGTGAAAGGCAAAACCGGTGCGCGCCGAATGCCAAAGCTCAACCCTCTTCGTGATGAGAAGAAATACGGAACAATTACCGTCACTAAAGCCCCTCCACCACGCCGTTCAGAAGTTGTGGATCTCACGCAAGACGTGCCGGAGTCAAGATCAGAGCTGAAGCAAGCTAATGCATTCCTTTCAGTCAAACCTTTCGCACGTGTCCAGATGCCCATCCGCTCACCGCACGAGGCGGGCTACAGTCAGTATTCTCTCATTACCTGTCCCGCCTGCCACAAACAACATCCGCGGGGTGCTTGCGAGCTCAAAGTCGCCGGCGTCGAGCATTGTGGTCTTTGTGGCCTCGCACACTACGGCATCGCCCGCACTTGTCCTCATATCAAGTCCGAAACCCAGGTCCGCGAGATGCTGTTTGCGCTCAAAAGCTCACCCGAGAAGAAAGAGCTGGTTGATCTAGCGATGAAGTACCTGCGTGGCGTGAAGGGTACGCTGGTTCAACAGAAGAAGAAGGATAAGGAGAAGGCGATGATGCAGGCTGGCGGTATGCCCCCTTCGAACATGGGGCCTACAAACCTGGGGCGACCACCACTGGCGGGGTACAATCCGAGCCAGGGACAGCACGTCCCGGGTACTCGTACGCCTGGAGGAGGATACCAGCTCACGAGCGGGTCGCCTCAGCAGTATCCTTCATCTAGGCCTGTGTATGGCAGTGCGGGTAGTCAAATCTCGGGCCAAGCAGCACGTCAAAACGGTCATTTTGAGCCGCCCAGGGGTGGTGCTCAGCAGGGTCGATGGGGGCAGCAAGTCCAACCTCAGAATGCCACGCCAATTGACGATCATCAGGTCGAGAGTGCGCTGCGTGGTTTCTTGAACCCGAACAACTAATTGTGGCGCCCTCCCACGAATGATTAATTTCATTTAACAGGCAAAGGCCCATGCGGTTTGACGTTCCAAAGTAGACAACACTTGACCATTTTGCATGACGTTTTCGGGGGGCATTATGGTTATTGGTTAGCTTTGGTTTGATTTGGTGTTATAGCGAATTTCATGAAGCGAGGCGCATGATCGAGGCACGGTTATTGATATTCGGGACTGTCTCCATGGAAGCGCTCCGTAGTGGACAGACAGATGTACGAGCGAGTTGAGCCTTTGAGCCGAACTATGGAACAAGATTACCTTACGTTGATGTGCAGCTGACTTGCTCAGCTCACGCCTGTATTTTGTACTTCACATTATCCCTTTGCTACCCTCAGTCTCTTTCTCCACGTAATCCTCGCCCCTCTCTTCCGCATCATCTCTCTCATCGTCCTTCATCCCATCCACTTTCCCATCCATCGCCTCCCTTAACATCTCTACCCAAGCCTCATAATTCCCATCATCCCCATCATCCATCAAGAAGTTGTGGTGGGCGTCAACCGAGCGTGTTGATATCGATGTGATGAGTGGAATGGCGAAGGCCAAAACGCTCGCTAAGAAATATGGCATGTAGAGCGGTTCTACCTATGGTGGCGTTCAGTACGGGGTTGGGGACACCATATCGTACGAGTAAAGGCAGCCGTGCCCGCGTGAGGCCCATCCAAATGCGGTTAGCTCGTTTCGTTCATTGGGGCTTCGTGTACCGCCGCGGAGGACATCATCTACCTACTCACGAATGAGCAACCATTTGATGATTGCTTGACTCTGGAGATTCGTGGAACCTCGTCCTCAACATTCAAAACAAAACAACAATGTCCCTCGACTTTGGTCTGAAAGGAGCCCATGTGCTCATCACAGGCGCCGCCGGTGGGATCGGTCTCGAGACAGTCCGAGTCTTCTGCCAGCTCGGCGCGAGGGTCACAGCTCACTACAACTCTCGCATCGGAGCACTATCCGAGATACCGGATATTGTGTCACTACAAGCGGACGTGCGCGATGAGACTTCGGTTGAGCGCTTGCTTGCTGAAGCTACGGAGAAGAATGGTGGGCCGGTGAACGTGCTTATTGTTAATCATGGGATTTGGCCAGCGGAGGCCAAGAGTATTGCTGATATGGACTTGAAGCAGTGGGAGAATACGTTGGCCGTTGACCTTACGGGACCATTCCTGTTGTGTCGGGCTTATTTGCGTGCTTTGAAGGGTGCGAGTGAGGAGGTGAAGAAAGCGGCTAGCATTGTTTTCATTGGCTCGACTGCTGGGAGGTATGGTGAAGCGGGTATGAAAATCTCTCTGACATCTTTGGGATGTCTTTGCAAAATGAATGGATGGCTAACAAATTGTAGGACACGGCGACTACGCATCTGCCAAGTCTGCTCTCCAAGGGGGCTTTATGCTAACTCTCAAAAACGAAATTGTGCATATCGCTCCTCAAGGACGTGTGAACAGCGTCAACCCAGGATGGGTAGTGACGCCACTGGCTGAGGATACCCTGGAAGATACGGCTTTCGTTGAGCGGGTTTTGGCGACAACGCCGCTGAGGAAAGTTGGCCGGCCGGAAGACGTTGCCCGGCAGGTTGCGGTTCTGGCGAGTCCGGTGTTGAGTGGGCATGTTAGTGGGATGGGGATTATGGTTGAGGGTGGGATGGAGGGGCGGCTGTTGTGGCCGCCGAAGTCATCGTAAAGCTTGATCACATATCAGGCAGTGATTGAGGCGCCACGATCCTTCAGTCACACTGTGGACGTGCTTGGAACTCAGCACAGCACGTCAGAAGCTTTAGGTGCTGTTCGTGTCCAGGCAGGCCTTCAATACGGGCACTATTACGTATCGAAGACTCTCTGCATTCAATGGACGATTGGCAAGCAATAAGCATTTGGGCGACAAGTGTCACGGTGAGCCGTCAAGCCGTTAAGATCAAACATAAGATGCACCATCAGAACGGCATGTCATGGAGCAATCAACGAGCAAAGGTATGTGCACTCGACTGCCGGTGGAACAAGCCAGCTTCCCCGCAGCGGCTGCTCTCGAGTTGGGCATCATAGCGGCGCTAAGGATGCTGTCATTTGAGCATGTAGCAGGTGTAGGTAGCACAATGAGCCATTTGCTGGACTGAGCTCCAAAGCTTCACGGCAAACTCCAGGCTTGGCGGCACGGGCAGCGAATCTGGGCTTCTCGTCATGTTCCCATGGGCCTCAAGACACCCAATCGGTGAAAAGGCGCAGGCAGCTACAGATCCACGCCAGTCTCAACCAGTCCGGGCCACCGTCATTTGACGTGACGTGGAGAGAAGCGGTCCTGTGCACACTCCGCTCTTCACCTCAACCGCAAGTCGGTCAGACGCCCTACAAACGGCCAGCACTCACCGGCCCAGAGCGCACCTGCCAACGAAGGCGCGGTGAATCACGAATTAGCGCCATCTGGAGGCTCTGCTGCAGCGGTAGCCTAGATATAAAGAGTTCGTTGGCCCACCTGCCTCGAGATTCCCTCATATTTCTGCTGTACATAACACAAGTTGACCTCTGCCTTCGGCTTTCCCCCGACATCTCATACTTAGTCTCACCCGTCTCCCTTTACCTAGCGAGCTCGCACGATGTCTGCCGAAGTTGCAGCCAACGCCCCTTTTGCGGCCGCCCCGGCTCTCGTGATTGAGGATTCGACTACGGACAGTCTGCAGCAGCCCACAGCTCCCATGAGCGTCACATATATCCTGAACTCGCCAGATTCTCCTGAAGGTAAGAGCCAACAGGATCTGCCATCTATCCCCACTGCCTCCATTCCGTACACCCCCACCATCGCGCCTGCCGCTCCGGGCGGTCTTACCGACGACACGATGGCCTCGGATATTCCATTGAAGGAGGCACTTGAGGAGAAGGCTCCGACCGGTTTAGCCTCGCCGGTGCCATCTACGGGAAATGCGCCCGCGAACGGTGACGGAGATGTGGTCGCGAACGGAGCTTCCAAGACTACAGATGTCGATACGAAGACGAAAGATGGTACGGGTACAAATGGCACGGCTGCAGGAACTTTCAGGTGCATGAACGACGAGTTCGAGGAGTGCCGCACCGGCCAGACCACGATTGACCTGTCGCGAAAGGTGATCTCTGATCACTTCGGTAGGAACAAAGCCTGCACACGTTTGATTGCTGACTGGCCTCTCTTCTGCCGCAAGCACTACCAGCGAGCTACCTACAACCAGAAGTTGTGGCAGTCGCGCAAGATCACCCTCATTCTGCGCCAATTCAACATCGTCGAGGCGCAATTTCCTGGTACGAAGTACACCGTCGCACTCAAGAAGTCCGAGGAACAACGCTTGAACACCTTCTCCCGGAAGCTTGCTGCGGGCAAGACAGAGCGCGAGGCTGCGGCCATGGTGGCGCCGACCGAGAAGGGCAAACACTTCGAAGCTCCGGTTAATGTCCTCCGTGAGATTGAACAACTCAACTATCTTGGCGAAGATAAGACCAAGGCCGAAGCCGAAGCGGCTGTCAGCACTATCCGCGACATGCTGGAGAGTGAAGATACAACCCAAGTCCCCTCCATTGAGTTCCTGCCGCAGTTGGACGCTGCCGGTAACCCTTACGACGCTAGCAACCGCCGAAAGTCTCCTAAGAAGTCTTCTGTGCGCGTTTCTAAGAAGGGAGCTATCACCAAGCCGTCTTCCACAACGAAGACGCCCAAGAAGAGCGCTTCCAGGGCCGAAATCGAAGCGGCCGTCAACACTATCGACGACATGTTGGAGAGCGAAGACAAGACCCAAGCTCCCCCCTTGGACTTCCTGCCGCAGCTGGAGGCCGACGCTAACCCATATGACGCTGGCAACCATAACCCGTATGACGCTGGCAGTCACGGCAAGTCTCCGAAGAAGACTTCTGCGCGCGTCTCCAAGAAAGGAGCCATCACCAAGCCGTCTTCCACCAACAAGGCGCCTAAGCACAGCGCTTCCAAGGCCTAGGTACGTTCAACCTTATTTCGCTTTTTGCTTTTACTGATGCTCTATGCCACAGAAAACATCGATCAGCGCGACCTGTTAATATAACACCCGTGTCGACCTTAGCTTCGATCTTTTTGATCTATATCGTTCCGACGAACAAACTGGCTCCTTGTCTTGAGACTCTTTTCTTTATCATCCGCCCGCATTGCTCGATGATGTCGTACCACTATCCGACGTAGAAAGTACGTTGCTTGGTGCACTACTCAAGACTCGTTCAGCAGTTCACCAGGATATCCTGTCTTGATATCACTATGTCACCAGCAAGACAGGCATTGGTGGACCTTTTACATGTTTGCGTATTTCGATCGGACAGTGGCTACATTTGCGATACAGGGCGCTTGGTTTCCTTCTTTGATACCCCGGTGGGCGGTTGTGCGTCTCTTTGGAGTTATTTTGTTTATCGGTCATTGCATGCCGGTGGTGAGCTAGTTCTCGCACACCGTGAGCGATGAAGTCGCGACCGGCGTCACGTTTGCTAGCTCGATGATGAAGTGAGCTGAATAGCAATGAATTGTCAAATCATGTTTCGTCGCTCTGCATCGGCATCCGACATGCCTGTGAGGTTACTCTGTGCATGCTGAGGATGCGAAGCGATCCTATTTCCTGCGCCCCCGCTCGTGCCTGTAGATCTTGAGATGATGTGCAGTAGCTTGCCAGCAGACTCCTGGACCACAAACCAGGACCGGGAATCATTCTGTCACTGAGCAGTGTCTCTCGATCTCACCGCCTTGCCTCTGCCCAACCCCGTTCCTTTCGCGATGCGGGTCGCCGCCGTGGCCACGTTCTGCTCGGCTGCGCGTGCTTCTAGGCATCTAAACGTCGCCTTTCCGGTTTCGACGGCGGTGAGGCTGCAAGCAGGCAGCTGGGGACAAACGTATGCACGGTCCCGGAGGATGGTACGTGTGCTTTCGCGACGCAGTATCGATACCCTCTACTCTGGCTCTTGCATTCGTGCGCAGGCCAGATTGTGGAGTGGAAAAAGCATGTACCGACCAATGATTACCGGTAGGGTGACAGTGTCTTGAAGCAAGAGGAGAATCACGCATCAGCAATAACAACCCACCGCATGCATCCACTGTCCCTCTTGTGGCGTCTTGCAGAATGCGTCGCACAAGCTCATCAGTGCGCCCCACGATGAGATGTCGCTAGCCGACAGAGCGAAGGGGCCATCTTTAGAGCCATGAGCTGGAGGTGCTGGAACGCATCTGCAGACACCGTACCCACTAAGCACACTCACAAGATTGGTCCCCTGGAGACGCGCGATGAGACAACAGGGCCGACACGACTGCACGGCCCGTCGCTTGCTTCAAAGGCGGACAGATGCTGTCAACATCGAGCCTGATTTCCGCTGTTTGTTTGAAAGCAAATGGTAAGAGTATCTCCCACAACCACTATGCGACCATCTGCAGAAGGGACATATCGGCACAACCGGTTTGATGAGAGGCGTCCCTCGCGAAATTTTGGTTCCCGCAGGTCCAAGAAGCGACGCGTGAAGAAGATGGCACCACCCGGACAATCTCGTGTCCTGCGTCTGAGTGACTTGAGACCGTTCACAGGAACCTTCTCTTGGAATCCAAAGGCTCTAGAGGCGAGTCTTCGTCATACTCACCGAAACTACCGCGTGGAAGATCCAGGAACTTGGCCCCGAACCTCAGCCCAAGACCTGGCATTCGTTGATGGTAAATCCTATGATGGAGTTAGACCCCTGCCTGGTGGAGTCGCTGCGTTTGACGACAATCTTATGCAGCTGATGATCCGCGAAAAGAACGTGCTCATCGACTACATAGACGCTTTAGATGGCGGTCGCCGTCAGTCGATGCATCTAGCTTTTTATCGGTATCCCTTCTACTTCAACGAAGCTGTCAGGTAGTAAGCGTCTCGACTCGGAAATTACGCAGAATCAGCTGCAGACCTACAAAGAAAAGAGGAGACATGTGGCGACAGAGTCAGAATCTGTGCCAACTTCGTCGCTTCCACAAGTCGGTCCTTGTGTATCACCACCCTTTGGTTCGGCCCCTCCATGTTCTCAACCCATCGAATCTGGTGGTATGCCAACGCCACATGACTCTGCCGTTGCGACTCCTGGAGTCCTTCTACCTGAAATGCAACGCCTTCGCCAACCGTCGAATGCATCTTTTGGAGGCGTTCCGCCGCCGCCTCCTGGACCTGCGCCTGAAACACCACCACCACCACCTCCGCGTCCACCTATCTCGCCTCTCACCACTCTAGAGTCAGAGTCTAGAAGTTTTCATTCTAGGCCAGCGTATACTTCCGAAGAGCATCCGCTGCACTCATCGTCCACCACTGCGCCACCACAGGAGCCACAGGAGCCACAGAGACTGGGCCCTGCATATGAGAGTCGTGCAAAAGAAGGGAGTAAGCTCGCAGAGAAAGCACAATTGGCAAGTCAAGGCATCTTGGAATGTACGAAGGCACTAGCTAGCGCACATCGTCACACTCGGGAATTGCGAGATGCACAATACGAGGCGCATCAAGAAACTCTTAAGACGCTACACAAGGAAATCGATGAGGAGAAGCAACGGACCGCCTCAGCAGAAGCGAGAGCAGACGAAGCGGAAGCGAAGATCGAAGAGTTTCAAAAGCAACTGGACGCACAGTCTAACGAAAATATTCAACTGACGTATCACTTCCAAAAAAAGATGGAACGGAAGGCGGAGGAAGCCATCCGCGTTCAAAATGATATGAGGAATCAACACTGGGGAAGAATCAAGGAACTGTCGGAGCAGAACGAGACCCAGCCGGCAACGATTGAGAAGCTGGAACGAGAAAAAGCCGCTTTGCAGGACAGGCTCAACTACGCTTTGAATGAGCGTGATCAATCATACAAAGAAATCTTAGCGCTGTGGACCGGAGTTAGAGACATAGCGTTGGCCGACGGAGTGAATGTGACAGCGTTGACCGAACCGGTTTCCGATCGTGTCCAGCACAGTTCCGAACTCGAAGCAGAAGGAAAGAAGCGGAAGGCGGAGAATGATACATGTATAGAAGAAAATGTTTCGACGGATTCGAGGAGAGTTCGTGAGGACTTCCGCTCTGGACAAGCTGAAGCCTAGATCTTTAGTCGCATCAAAGCCCATGTACACTTGAGCAGCGTATGCTCGGAAATAGACGATAGCAGAGGCTACGTTATTAGCCTCGGGGAGCACGAGGGTTTTCTTTGGCGTGGGAACGATAATACAGATTGTTTGAGACTACATGTATTTGTATGCAACGATGTGGACGGATAATAACGGGCGTTACATAGAGATTGTTGAGAGTAAGAGATATTGTTGTTTGGCATTCGGACCTACCCTTATGATCGTACGCACTGTTTGATTGTCAATGTCAACGTACCCCATGCGAAGGCACTGTATTTCTCAGGGTGATGAGCCCTACCCAAAGCTTTCAGATCGGCTTTGGGAAGAGTCAAGCTGAAGGTACAGCCAACGGTGATGCCACGCAGATAGAGGCGGCTACACCTAGATTACGCCGAGATTGGCGTATTCGCGTGCTCCGTTGTAACGCAATGTGGGACCATGAATGTACCAGTTTTGATATCGTTTGATGCTTTGAGGGCTTCGAAGGCATTCCTTCCTGCAGCCCAGTCCTGTCTGACTGCACTGTTTCAGCACAAATATGGATTCAACGGTGGGTGAAAGAGGAAGTCGCGAGATCGCGAGCGGTGAGTTTAGCGGGAAGGAGCGTTTGCACGCTTGCGCGTTGTTCTCTCTTCCACTCCGCTCTGGACCACGACTCCTCCCTTTCCCTCCGTTCGCTTTCTGAAAGACTATTTGTGAAGGACAGGTACGTTATACAACCTCGCAGTGCGCCATACAGAAGTTATACTGATAGTTCCCTAGTAACGGAATTATTGACAGGGCCCAGCGGTGGAAGCTGCATCGCGCAATGGCTCCTCCAGCTAATGCCGTTCTTCTTCAGGAGCTGAAAGTCTTTACTGGCACTTTCTCTTGGAGCCCTAATATCCTGCGACACAATATCGAACTTGCCCTTCCTGGCTACAAATCCTACGATCCAGCGACATGGCCACGCATTTCTGGGGATATCATACGTCGATTTGATGGCAGCCCGTATGACGGCTCCAGGGCTCTGCCTGCAGCAGGTGCAGCGTTCGACGAGGATGTCATGGAACTTTTCCTCGGCAATGTCGCCAAGGATTGGGCATTCGATACTTCGGAGCTCACCAGGAATCAACGTAAACCCGATTCTACCATACGCAAAGGCTTCAAAGACTTCCCATTCATATTTACATATGATGGTAACCGTAAGCGGAGAGCGAGATGGTGCTGGATGCCCCCTTGTGTACGTAGCGCTTATGTCAAGCTACTGGGTCCAGGCGCATCTGCTTCTACAAACCAGATCCAACCATCTCGAGTGGCCCATTCAGCTGCGTCAAGCGACCGACAACCACAGCCACCTCTTGTCAACCCATTGTTCGCCGGATCTGGCCCGTCACGTCCTGCATCTCTAGCACCAAAGCCACAGGTTAGAGACACAGAGCAAACGCTTATCGGGTCGGGCTCACACGAGCTTCCGAAATCATCTGAAGCAGCATACCAGGAGATGCTTGGAATGCTTGAGGATCAACACCTAGAGATCAAGGAGCCTCACAACATGCAAGCAGCAGTGGCTCAAGAAATCCCAAGAGCAGAAGAAGCAGAAGCAGTGTCGAAAGCAGCATATCAGCAATGTGAAAGTGCAGTGAAAGAGCTTACCGAACTGGCTGGTTTAGGGTTCCTTGCCTTGCGTACCGAGCTCGATGGGAAGGTGAAAGGATTTGACGACAAAGCGAGGAAGTTAGAGCAACGTGCTATTACCGCCGAGAAGAGGAACGATGTCCTAGAGCAGAACTTGGAGTCATGCAAGCGTAGAGTGCAGGATCTGGAGCTGCAGCTCAATTCCCGAGACGCTGAGCTTGCAGCTGCTAAGGCAGAAGCTACCCAAGCGGACGAGCGACTTATGAAACTATGGGCTGCAATGGAGAAGAGTAGGGACTCGATATCAAGGAAGAGGAAAGAAGTGAATGAGCCTCCAGCATTGATGGAAGCGGGTGAATCTAGGAATACCAAGCGGGCTCGTAAGGTTCAGCAACCCTCTGTGGAGTCGGATCATGACGACGATGAGAGTGATGAGCTGGAAGATGGTGAAATCCGCCAAGTCTCTCCTCCTATAGTGAAGACGGAACTGCTGGTACGTCATGCCATCCTAGAACAGGCAGTTGAGGGGTTATTGAACTAATACATATCCAGTGAGTGGTCTCCTTGCGGATCATCCATGTGTGGCGTACAACGTGCAGACGGCGGTGCATAAGTTTCATCACATCTCGATTAAGCTCGTAAGGCATGAGGCTTTAGATTTGATGAGAAGTCTTGTCTACGTAGGCTCTGCCATGTCCTCATGGGATCACTCTGTCCGTAAACTGTGTCATTAGCTGCTAGTTACTCAGAGGTTCAATGGGGAGACCTACAAAATGACCATGGCACATTTTCCGTAATGAAGCTAAGGTTTTCTTTCCAGATCCTTCTGCGTGCCTCCATATCGTTTGGTCTCAACTTTCTTCAGGAATTATACGCCATCTATAGTTAGTACGGCATGACTTGGGTACGTCAGGTGTAAAGTGGGCAACAATCCGCCTCGTTCTGGTTTCTCAACCTGCTCGAGCCACAGTGCTTGCCTTAGCTGTAAGTGGAAATGTTTGCTTTGACAAATTGGGAATCGCGGGCCGCGACTTTCACTTCAACTCGCACTAGCGAGAGAACGCGCCCGAGTGCCGCATATAAAAGTCCTCACGCGACGCCGAATACAGAAAGACACCACGAAACAACCTTCCGCCCACATAAGCACAACCAAAGACAATTCAGTATGCCTTCCCTTGAGGTGCTTCGTTCAATCGCTGTTTGGTCTATCAAGCACCTACGCCCTTCACTCGAAAGCGATCCTGCACTCGACGACCCAATCTGCGGCATATGCCACGAGCTGTTCGACAACGACCAACACATTGCGGTCCGTATCACTGATGTTCCGGGTTGCGCGGGCCATATCTTCGGCGCCACATGCTTGACCGAATGGATGACAAGCGACAGCTTCGCGACTTGTCCCCTATGTCGTACCCCCCTCTTCGCGGACGATGACTTAGGTGAACAAGTACCCGAATTCGCTCAGATCGCCAACGCCTTCCGGACTAACGATGGTGAACATGATCTTTGGATCGACTCGATGAGGCGCATCACGTTGGCTATTGAGGGTGAACTAAGAAGCTTTGAAAGTATTGCGACCAATGTTATTGATGATCCTACCTCCACTCGAACGGCTAGAGCGGGGCAGATAATCGAAGACCACGGAGTGGATCCATCTGTCCTTTTTGAGGTATTCTGGGAGCTGCACCAACGATTCGGACAACTGAGTTCCGCTCAAGGACTGGCGAGGCTCCAAGAATGGGCAATGGGTCGCCTCGTCATACCCATGCTGGGCCCTCAAAGACATCACGCGGACCAGGCAGCTGCTATACGGAGCTACATTTTCGGCGTCACCGTGATACCCATGGAGTACGATCCGGTCTCTCCACGCCCTTTCGCATCCATCAGCGCGGCACAACGCGCGGCTCTTCGGCTCGACCTTCAGCGGCCAGATCTTAATAGGGTACATTATGCCTTCAGCCAAGCTTTCACGACCAACTATGCTGGATGGCCGCTCGCGGACCGCAACATCGCGCGTGTGCTGATTGCGAACGAATCTCTCCGCCGGATTTCAAAGAACGTCCAGGATAGGATCCTCCAGCGCGCCACCGAGATGGTAGCGGACGACCTCCAGGGGCTTTTCGCGGCCGAAGAACGAACCGGAAATGACGCCGCGCCGGAGGACAACACGGAGCCATCCATCAAGGACGCAGTGCGTGGAGTAGGTGATGCGTTGCTGGTTTTATCCGCGAGAGTTAGGGCAAAGTTCTTCTCCTGGTGGCATATTAATTGAATTGCCTTGTCTGCTGGCGCATTCTGCTCCCAATGCATCATTTCGTGTTGGTCATGGTATGGTTGTAACGAATCTTCAAGCCTTTCACATTGAGCCTAAGAGAGGGCAAACGACTGCACACTAGCTTTCTTAGACAGTGTGTCAGTGTTTAAGGGAAAGTGGGGCTCGGAGGACATATTCGACAGTGGTATGCCTTCGAAACGAAAGAACCTGCTTGAGGGAAATTGGATTGTAATGCTCTCACATTGGCGTCGATAGCGTATCTTGAATCTCGATCTGACAGTATATCATCCGCATACAGATTAATTGCTTGGTCAGCGGTGTTCGTGCTGTCAAACCATGCACAGTGTGCCAACAAAGCTGTAGAAATCCTGATAGCCAAAACAAGCTTCACTTACTTAGTATCCACGCTCTATTCTGAAATTATGCCCGAGAATTTATCAAGGCCAATTCCAAATTGGATTGCCTCGTAGATAAGCAGTTGGGACTTTCGCCATCGGCTCGACTATTCGCAGGCTTGAGGCATTCAAAATCATCAGGGTCCGCAAGTAATCATTGAATGACTCAACAGCGATTGAGGTTCTGAGATCCTTGATCGAACTGAACGTAGCTATTGACGGGAGTCTATTATAAGTAAAGATAACTCATGATATAGCACTTGCGGCGATGTATCCACAATCGAATGGGTGCAATACTATAGGTTTTCCAGCTATTCCCACCAGGGAAGTAGCGCTTTGATTTCAGGCTCGATTACTCTGCCCAGAAAGGTATTATACGCAGCAGTCCAACCAGGGTTCTCTAAGTCTTGAGCACTTCGAAAGATTGCTTGTTTTGATTCGGTTGGTCTGACTTGGGTATTGATGTTTTCCTCAAGTTGTTCTAACAATTGTTTGATTTCGTCGACTGCATTTGTTGAAACTTCCAAGGGCTCATGTCGCTCGAAGTTGCGATCAGGTCCAACGATGTCCGGAAGATAAACTTTGTGATCTTGTAATAATACCTTTTCGATAAGTTCGAATTGTTCGACCATGAACGGAAAGTTGCAGCAAGCTTCAAACTGTGGCTTCCCTTTGAGAAACCGGTGAAGCAAAGTAAGATCAATCGGGCGTAACCCCTTATCTACAGCCCTTACAAAAGGATCCAGCTCCTGGTCATTAAGATGACGGCATAAGTACAATAGACGGTCGCAAGTAAGCCACGGAAAGGTTCGTACTGGAGCTTTTTTCCCTTCTTCCAGATGTGGCATGCTACATCGTTGCAAAATGCGATGAAGTTGCGTGACCTTCCCAGAAGGAACCTCGAAGTGTCTCATAAAGAGATTCATCAAAAACCATTCGAGAGTGAATCGAACGAACCGACACCCAATAGGTTCTGTTTGACCGATCAGATATCTTGTAATCTCTGGCTGTCTGAATTTGAGCGACAATATTATCGGGTGCCGAAAGTCTCGAAAATGGGACATATTCAGGCCATCTTGAAGCAGTCCCGCGAGGAATGGCAAATTCCCTGCTTTCAGGAGTTCTTCAAATAGCTCCGAACCCCTTCTAGTCTTTTCGATGGACACACGTATGTGGTGAATCATGATTTGCGGAAGGTATCCCCACCCTCGACTTATAGCAATTTCGAAGGCTTTGAGTGTGTGTTGGCTAGAGAAACTTGACTCGTCGTTCAGAAACGAGCTGATCATGTCGCCTGCAAGTTTCGTATCCCTACCGGCATGAAGGATCTGCTCCAGAAGATTCGCAAGCCAGTCTTTGGCCAATTCGCCTTCTCGCGCGAAGGCAGCATGCATGAGTAGCTTTATGCAGTCTTCATGCCGCGGAAGACTTGACAATGCGAATTTGACCGGAGTGAGTTTAGTACGAAAACGCACATCCACCCGAAGTCCCTTATCCAACATGAAGCGGAGAATCGAAGTAGCACCATGTATGGCAACAGCAGCCCCTGCGAAACCTAGTGGTATGTTGGATGAAGGACCGAGTTGCTCGTGTAACGCAACATCAAGCCAGTTCCTGCCTAGGTGCGGGCGGGTTTCATTGATTAACAACTCGACCAAATCCCATCGGAGTACATCTCCCGCGGCCTCTGCATGTGCTGGCCAAAATGGAGCCGCGTACGCCAAAAACGGATATAGACTGCGTGAAACCTTGGTCCTTTGTCGAAAGTCCCTGAGACAGAGGTAGGAGAGACTAGTGTTTGCAATATCCGCACGGATTTCAATGGTGGCAGACAAGTTACAGTTGTCTAAATATTCTTGTATCGTATAGTGGACAAAGCCTACAGACTCTTCGTGTGTGAAAGCACCGTGCAAGGATCTCAATTCGAACGAGGCAGGTTGAAGTTGGACAAGTCCGCCGCAAGTCTCAAATACGAACTGTATGTCGATGATGCTACTACTGTCCACGTGGTCGTCATCTTGCTCTAGCGATATTGCATGCACGAACTCCGACATCGTCAAAGGCCGCTTAACATTTGCAATCCACGATATTGCACGAAGGCCGAGTTTGGCCTCGATGCTGGATTGGCTTCTGATGCGGTCGATCGTCTTCTGATACATTTCGGATAGATGGCCTGACAGGCTCTCAAGCACTGTACGCACTTGACGAACTGACAAGGCAGTCTTAACCTCTTCGATCTGCAGTTGAGCCAGAAGGAACATTCCGGAGGCTTTGCTTGTGATTTTTTGTGGATGATCTGATTCTCCAGATATCTGTCTTTCGCCAATATCCTTGATAATCGATGAGATGCGGACATTCTCGCTTTCAAGAAGGTGCGTAGATCTTGATCTTTCGCCGCAATATCAAGTTGCAAGACATTCGAAGAAAACGACGCTGCCTCAATATGAGGGCGTGTGGTGAAAAGCTTAGTGACATTGTGTAGCTGCGCTAAAGCGTTTAGTAGCTCGGCTCTGCCGCCTGAACCGCGGACTTCGTCTGTACTGGGCAGCTCGTCAACAGCGTCTACAACCATGAAGAGGTGATCTGAATCTTTTGAGAGTTCCTGAAGCATCTCTAAATGTTCCTTGAACGTGAGCGGGTCAGCATCGTCGGTTGACGATTGCTCTAGTCGCTGCGTGTACCTTGAGTATACGGCGTCTATGTTCCTTTGGTTTTGTGAAGCTAATTGGCGCGTCAATGAAGAGATCAAGTTTACTTTCGTGTTGATTCTGTGCTCTTTGTAGTCGGCGAAGATGAAGGCAACAGAGCAACCTGATTGTCGAAGCGTCTCGATGATAAGAGAAGCTATGAATGTCTTCCCTGCCTCGGGTATGCCTGCACACCATAAGGTAGACCCTTTCTCAGATTTCCATTGGATGAAGGTGTCATGACTTAGGAGCCATGCTCCTGTACCTGGTTCATGGCGCTCTTGTAACTGTCTTTGCTTTGCTTCAAATGTAGCAGGTGATAACCAGGAGAGCATTTTGCTGCGTTGCGATTCGTCAATCTGCTGTTGTTGCCTGGTAGCAGTACTTCTGAGATACCGAATATCGTGCGAGATTACTGAAAGCTTCTGAGAATGATCGGGTAGCGCCTGTACCAAAGACTGGATGGAAGAGATCTGAGCCAAAGACTGTTCAATCTGGGCAATTAAACTTGGGATCGAGCCGCAAAGCTTCTTTGTTTCCTCCAACTTCTCCTTTTGTTGCTGAAGTGCGATTGTCACCTCTTTCGCAGACTGTGATAATAAGGAACATCCCCTCAACCGTTAAAGCGAAGGTAAAGATTTGAGTGTATCGATGAATCTTTTCCAGACATTGCCGATGCTCTTTCTCGTTAAAAGGCCACAAGACCCGGTCGACAGCTTTCTTGACCTTGTTCGGCTCATGTATCGTTATTTGAAGCTTGGCGAGCAGCTCTTGGAGCAATAGCTTGCATCTCGTATTGGTCGAAACGAATACAGAGATACGATTGAACGTCGGATCAGTGCTGGGGTCGTCCAAAAATTCCTTTAATCGCTTAAGAACATCTGATAAGGCATTAAGCTCAAATACTAATTCGTAAAGTTGCGCCTTCAAGAACTGCGAGCTGCACTTGGTGCCTAGTTCCACGAGTTGCAGGGTCAGGCTCAACAAGCCTGCAACGCTCGCTGCGATGCTAAGAGGATCCATGGTAAGACATCAAAGATTGGTGAATGCCATGTGATACTTCAGTGATATGCGCTTTCTTGTCTTGAGGTAGTAGCATGGTCGATACAGTGTGTTGTCGCCAGGCTGAGTGTGCGTGGGATGGGGCTGAGCACGCTAAACTTGTTGCAGCCCATGCATATGCATAGTGTATATGGGCTTGTCAATCTTCTAGCGATACGGATCCCCATAGTTTTAGCCTGCTCTTGAAGAGTGCTCATCCAAAACTTTGTCATGTAAGCTTGTATGATGGATGTTTTGCCCAAAGTTGTTCACCCTTGGGAGAAGATTCGACGACCGAGAGTGTACCAAGTCAGCCGACTTGTGCATGCAAATTCGCAAAAGTATCCTAAAGAGCACTTTGCAGGCCAACCAGGGGAACAGAATGGGGTTACAGATGTCCCAGACTTTGGTGATTGGTTGTCCGCTTACGATGCTATTGAAGATATGAAGGCCAATAAATCACATAGTTACTTCCTTTCAGAGCTAGCTCCTGTCATATCATACAGCGTATGATATCAGAACCCTCCCCGGCCAGGTAGAGGGTCATTCTGCTCTATAGGTGGACAATCTGCATCATACACAACCGGATACGCCAGATCAAGTCCAGGAGTGTTGTTGTACGACAGCCTGACAAGACTTTCGCTGCTTGAATTATACTCTGGCCAACCAAATCCTGTCAGTCCTCGCTCAGGATCCCTACCGAAGGCTGCCCAAGCCTGTCGAATGTATTTGGCGGCAGCCTGTTGCTCTGGTGGGCTGTCAGAACCAGTAACGTCGTACGTAGTGCCAAAGAGCAGCGTCAGCTCTGATCCATGGTACGCTCCACTGTCAGGATAGCCATCAAATGGCTCGAACAAGCGCAGGTTTGGATAGTCGCCCATATATCGATATCGCCACGTTGGAACGTCGAATTGCTTGCGAAGATCTGTCGAGTACTTAGCTGGACATGTGAAGCCTCGCTCTGTGAAGAGCACCCATGACTCTGGACTGAGTGTTTTGTTCACTGCAAATGCAGACACCCTATAGAAGCCGGATTCGTAGTCGTTATTGCCAGTCAAGTATGGTACCCGAGCAAACTTTCCAGCTCTCGAGCGTTCCAACCAGTCCGCCCAGACAGTTTTGTTGTCCACAGTTGGGTGGAATGCCGACTGCGCTAGAGCTTGTGATGGAAGTGCAGGCACTATGCGAGCAGCGTTCAAGATCTGTGAGACGTTCTTGGAGCGCAAGCAAGCCAGAGTGTCAACCTCAGGTGTGGATGCATTGCCGCAGCCAAGTGTGCCCGAGACATTGTAGTATAAGCTGCGAGAATACTCTGGCGTGTTCGGCAAGAAGCTGAAGACGGTTCCAGATTGAGCGATAGCGCCTGCCACAATAGGATCCTCTGGATATGCATAGAGGTAGGCATCAGTAGAGAAGCCACTAACGCTCTGGCCTTGAATGATGATCCGTCCTGAGTCTCCACCAAAACCGGCGATATTGCCTTGCACCCACTCAACTGCTAATCGTTGATCCCTGAGTGCCGCGTTTTGCTCAACGCCTGGCGCACCACTGAAGCCGAACATGCCCAGGCGATAGCTGATCTTGTCAGCATGGGTTACTGATCGTTTGGAGAAGATACTTACGAAACCGTCACCACAACCACGTCCTGGTCTCCAGCAAAGTATTTACCGACATAGAACGGGCTATGTGGCCCTGGGATCTGGAAACGTCCTCCATGGAAGAAGATGAAGACAGGTCGATCGCCACGTTCCTCTCCAGGCTCGGCTTTCGTCCACACGTTAAGTGCCAGGCAATCTTCTGCCTGGTCTGCTTGCCATGGACTGTGTGCTGTGAAAGTGTTATAGACTTCGAAGCCGTTGGGGTCGAAACGGTTGAACTGTGTCACAGGCGGCAAATTGAAAGGACAATGTGGAAACCAGGATGTTGCATTGAGCGTGCTGTTGGGGGCAACATATGGCTCTGGCGCTGCAAATCGTAGATCGCCAACAGGTGCCTTCGCATATCTTATGCCGAGATACTCGTAGACGATGTCTGTTGTATTAGATGCAAGGTGGCCAGTCACATTGCCGCTGCTCGTCGTAATGTGGTCATAGCGACTAGAGTTACGATGCTGGAGGAGATGGGATGAATGCGCGTGTGACGTCGCCACGGCGAACAGAGACAAAACAACAGCGGTCCTCATCTTGAACAGCTGCTTTCTTCGACGGAAAGTGGGAAGAACCACTTCACGATATGTAAAGAGTATATCGATAGCATCTCAACATTGGGCGCAGTCTACCAGTGGCATAACGAAGCAACTGGGCGTGCGCTGCAGGACGGTTCTCATCATGAATGTAGCTAGAGTCTCCGGCCACTCTGCGAGACGGCTGAGAGCACACGGCAAGTGGCAGAGATCGACAATGCATTGCTGCATCATTGCTGGTGTGTACGCGTTGCATATAAACCCAGCTGTACTCGCCGAGCCTGACACTGGATGAAAGTTGAGCTAGCCGTGACTTGTAAGTTTGATGCGGTGAGCATATCTCCATACGATGGAATGGTCAATAGCGAATGGTTGAGTCCGCTTCCTTATCGATACGGACTTAAGTGGGCTTCATCCGAGGCCTTGGCGAAGTCCAAGCGTAATGATACACGTTGCGAACAGCACAAAGCAGTCGTCAACACCATGACAGGCTCTCCCGCGCAGCCACCCGTACGAAATGAATGGGACAGACACCAAGACGAACACTGAAGTCCATGTAGTTGAGCAACTTCCCACGCCGACCCTGTCTCCGGAGCCGGAAGATGAGGCCCCGCCGATCTTGCAGACCGCCCAATCGCTGTCGGACGGACTCTGTGATATCAAGACGAATGGAAACGGCGCCTTGAGCCCCAGCGATCACAGCCGGAGAACGAGCAACTATGACGAAGCAATCTTGTCGGATACAAGCGAGAAAGGCAGACGAGTACCGCCAATCCGAAGACCCGGCGATGGAAGGCGGAGGAGCAGCGTCTCTGAGCAGGAGAAGCTCCTGAGGCTTAGTCCCAAGCAAATTCATGAATTGACAAGCGAGCCCGCGAGTATACCCGTGCGGGCAGCGACGCCCATACAAGAGGATGCACAGGAAGAGCAGGCGCCAGATGAAGAGAGACCTGGGCGGGAAGCCAGCCGAGGACTGGGGGTTCAATTAGAACCGCTTCGAGAGACCCATGGCACACAGAGCAGAAGGAAGAGTCGCTCAAGGAGCAGGGAAACAAGACTTGATAGGGAACTGGTGATGGTCAAGGGCCAACAGCGACCTGCTTTGAGGGAAAGGTCTATCACCACACCGACCGTTATGCGGAGGAAGGAGTTAAGCCAAAAGATACAGGGACAGGCGCATGCGAACGAGGAAGACAAGCGGTCCTCAAGACATGTCCCTCCACCGCTCAACTTGGACACTAGGGACACCAGGCAGAATTTGAAGGCTCCGCCGCAGGAGAGACATCGGGATGTGCCGTCGCCCATGCCTCAAGTTATTCCACTCCCGCCCATGTCTATACCGACTTTCCTATCGTTAGAACTGTCCGCCGACCGACCCTCTCCGCTGTACATATACCGACCTTCAACAGCCGACTTTCCTTACGAGTCTTCGAAAATCAAGTATGACCGCTTAGTCAACTTTCTACTTCTTCCGCCCAAGCTAGAAGCCATACTGGCCTTCGGAACTTTGGCATGTTTAGACGCCTGGATGCATACTCTTACCATTCTTCCGCTCCGGTTTTTCCTCGCTGTAGGCATTTTAATGAAGTGGTGGAGTTCTGTAATGGTCAAAGAGGTCAAGTTTGTATACAAGGGTCTGCCTAGATTATGGAAACGAAGAAGACAGACAGAAGCATCTACACCGACATTGAACCCATCTGCGGAGGAAGAGCCGCCATCTCGGTCGCAAGGACCATCAGCTTCAGCCTCCGCTTCCACGTCACCCATTCCCATCAGTGCAACTACAGCCAGGGAGAATGACCGCACTGGAATGAACTTCAGATTTCCGGATTCCAAGGATGCTCCTCCACCCAAACGCACGCGTACGCGGTATCGGCATCGTCGCACAATGTCAACGCCTTCCGCGCTATTACCGAGTCACAAGGCTGATATGCTCAAAGGTGCCTTGGTCGTTGTCAGCTGTGTAGTTTTGATGCGCTTTGATGCCAGCAGAATGTATCACGGCATACGAGGGCAATCTGCTATCAAGTTGTATGTCATATACAACGTCCTCGAAGTCTGCGATCGCCTCCTCTCTGCACTAGGGCAAGATGTTTTGGAATGTCTGTTCTCGCGTGAGACACTTGACCGCAACCCTGATGGCCGAAGTAAGCTACTTCGACCTTTGTGGATATTTGTGCTCGCTCTGGTGTACAATGTAGCTCATGCGACTGCATTATTCTATCAGGTCATCACACTGAACGTTGCCGTCAACTCGTATTCCAATGCGCTCCTAACGCTACTCATGTCGAACCAATTTGTAGAGATCAAATCCACCGTCTTCAAGAGGTTTGAGAAGGAGAACTTGTTTCAGATTACATGCGCAGATATCGTTGAGCGCTTCCAGCTATGGCTCATGTTGCTCATCATCGCGATGCGCAACATTGTTGAAGTAGGAGGGCTCAGCATTGGCGCACCTTCTTTCAGTAGCGTTTTCACGGGCGGGAACACGACGACTTCAGCTCCCTTGTCGGCCGCCAGCATACTTCCGATGAGTTTCACCATCTTCCCAAAATGGATGGCCCAGGTATTAAGTCCTTTCTTGTTGGTTCTGGGCAGTGAGATGGTTGTGGACTGGTTGAAGCATGCGTACATTACGAAGTTCAACCAGACGAAGCCAGAGGTGTACGAGAAGTTCCTCGATGTTCTGGCCAAGGACTACTACTCCGACGTAAGCATCGCTTCTATCCCACTCTCCATTGTACACTAACACAAGCGTAGGCCTTCGTAGACCAAAACCTTACACGCCGCCTTGGCTTACCAGTCATTCCTCTCAGCTGCCTCTTTGTTCGCGCTGCAATTCAAACATACCATATGTTTATCGCGACCCACATGCCTGCCCCCTTTCCCAGCACGTCCACCTCGCTTGCTCCGAATGAACCGCCTACATCCTCACCAGCCACAACCGCGGCCCTCGCACACATAGACCAGATATTCCGTCGCGCCCTCGGTCGCTCCAGCTTTGGCACTGGATCCTTGAACTCCACCGCCCTACCCTGGTATAGCTCCACCTGGACGCTCGACGACCTAATTGCTGGCTCCACGATGCTCATCGTGTTCCTCATCGCCTACCTGTTTTTCCTCGCTTTCAAGCTCCTGCTCGGGATGTGTTTGCTCCGTGTCGCGCGTAACAGATATAGAGGCATGAAGGAAAGGGAGCGCATGAATGTTGAGACGGGTGGGAAGAGGATCGGTGGCTGGGGCGTGGTAGATGTGGATGAGGAGAAGCGGAGATGGATTTACAATGACGATCCGGATGCATTGAGGCGGCTGAGGGAGAGGGATGAGAAAGGGAGACAGCAGGAAGAGAAAGAGAGGAAGGAGGGAACTACGTATGGGCATGTGTCGAGGTATGCGATGGTTGCGAAGAGGATATGGTAGAGGGTTTGAGTATAGACGTTGGCTAGTAGAGTAGAAACGAAGGCATGACCTCTTGAAGGTGTGCATATCAAGTATATTTGTGGCTTCCTAGTACTGGTCGTACAGATTTAACGACGGTCTTTGCGGCCTTTGCGGGTGGTCATAAATCGTTTCAGGTTAGCGTGTTGCGGTCGCTCTTGCTCACACTATGCAGTGCAATTCATAAGATTTGTTCAAAACATAGATGGTTCGACTTATCGACGTGATTTATTTCCTGTGACTACTGAGCTGTGCGGGAACTTGCTTTTGACCATTTCTCCGAAACAGCAGACGCTTCGACTCATCAATAAATAGCACGCTCAACACACATCCTACAGTATTGTGTACACACAGAAGGATACGCCCTACAGTTCGGACCCTAGAATTGTACCTCGTACATGGGTCGTCTGCCCGAAACGTCCAGACTAACGCATCGAGCTATCACTGTCTTGGCGATATTGCAGATCGATCGGATGTTCACGAGGCTCGGTGTTCCTAGGACGCCGACGCGAGGCTATTTCTGACCATTTTCGACCTCACATGGCGTCACGTATCCACCACGCGCGTTGGCGACAAAGCTTGAGCTAGGCTCGTCCCGCGGACTGCCCCATACAGCTTGTACGAAAGCGCATGGTTGCAGGCATTTGAAACTAATAACCACAGTAACGCGATTATACATGACATCAGCACTTTTTCATCGCCAAGCCTTCCCATAGATGGAGATGGCAAGAATATGGAAACGTCAGGGCAGTTGCGGGTTCCCTCAGGAAGTGACAGCCCTACGCTTTCATTTTCTCAAGCAATTGCTTTCGACCTTTGGCCGAGGCATCGTTCGTCCCTGGTACCGCGGAGATAGTAGAGAGCCACATTGACGGCGCATTCAACGCGAAACGGCGCATTCAACGCGAAACGGCGCATATCATTCCTCAATCTAAGACGCTGCATAGGTAGGTAAAGTGCTATGTCTAAGCCTTGAATTGATTTGCGCATTCTGGGGCAACAGCAAACCGGAGGGTTGACCACCACGCTGGGATTATCCTCGTAGCTCAACAGTGGATGCTAACAGACGTACAGTGGCAGTTTAACATATTATTATGGAACACCCAACCCCGCATACAGACGAGCTCCCGGGCGGGTGGATAGAAACGCCTGCAAATCCTGATCGCGCACAGTCTTATATAGGTTCCCAAGGAAACGAGAATGCGCGGTCGAACCCGACAGCGAGCGCCCAAATTACTCCTCTCTCGCGCCCAGGTGGCACATATCTCAGCTACTCTGGGGTTGTAGGAAACACCTCAGCTGGGAATGCCCCAACGAGTCCAAGTCACCTCTCATCTTCAAGTCTGAACACTGCCGTTCCATCCACGAATGAGAAGGCGACATCGGAGGATGCAAAACACAAAGACCCTGAAAAAACGCGCCGCGAGTCCGTCGAATCACTCAGCTTAGCGTCTGTGTCGTCTTCGGAGGAGGAGGAGGAAGACGGATTCGTTGCCGTGAAGACAACATCGTCGACTCCGAAAAGACCGCGTCTACAAGGCAATGGTTCGAAACAGATGACCGAGGAAGACCTCTTCCGCTCGCTATCGAAACGCAGAACGAACACGCTCCGCCGTTCTGGGACCGACGGGACAGCATCCAGCAGCGATGATGAGCAGGAAGAGATTAATAAACTCATGTCTCGTATGTTCGGTCGCACAAGACAAGAGTCCTCAGAGGAAGAGAAAACCAGACATGCCGGAGTCGTTTTCAAGAATTTGACGGTAAAAGGAATGGGCGTTGGTGCGGCGCTACAGCCATCTGTTGGTGACATCTTTCTTGGCCTTCCTCGCTTCCTGAAGAACTTGGTTACTCGAGGGCCTAGGAAAGCCGCAGGGAAGCCTCCTGTGCGCACCATCATTGACGACTTTTCGGGTTGTATCAAGCCTGGAGAGATGCTCTTAGTTCTAGGACGACCGGGCGCTGGCTGTTCCACCTTTTTGAAGATATTGGGAAACCAAAGATTTGGATATGAGGACATCGCCGGCGATGTCACGTATGGTGGGACCGAGGCGGAGGAAATGAGGAAGAAATACCGCAGCGAAGTCTTGTATAATCCTGAGGATGACCTGCACTACGCAACTCTCAAAGTCAAAGATACCCTCAGGTTCGCGCTGAAGACGAAAACGCCTGGAAAGGCGTCACGTAAAGACGGTGAGACACGTAAAGATTATGTAAACGAGTTCCTACGGGTGGTATCGAAGCTATTCTGGATCGAGCACACAATGGACACTAAGGTCGGAAATGAGTTGATACGAGGTGTGTCTGGGGGAGAGAAGAAGCGAGTTAGCATCGCTGAGGCTATGATCACCAAGGTACGTACATTAGCTGGTTTCGTACGACGCACGGGTCAGTATCCGATGCGCTGTTTCCTTGGTGCTATGTCCGGACATTCACCGTCTAGAGAGATACTGATGCGGGTTTTAGGCGTCCGTACAAGCTTGGGACAATTCCACGCGTGGATTGGATGCCAGCACTGCGTTAGAATACGCCTCAAGTTTACGATCGCTCACGAATATGGCTCATATTTCGACTGCAGTCGCTTTGTATCAGGCTGGCGAATCACTGTACGGCCTATTCGACAAGGTGCTACTCATTCATGAAGGACACTGCTGTTACTATGGCCCTGCAGACAACGCAGTGAAATACTTCAAACGCCTTGGGTTCGTACAACCAGACCGCTGGACTTCGGCAGATTTCATTACATCCGTCACAGACGACAACGAACGACACATCAATGAAGGCTGGGAAGATCGCATCCCAAGGTCGGGTGCTCAGTTCGCAAAACTGTTTGCAGAGAGCCAGCAGCATCAGAACAATCTCGCCGAGATCGAAGAGTTCGAGAGAGAAACAAAGCGCTTAAAGGAAGAGCGACAAGCGGCAATGTCAAAGGCGACAAAGAAGAAGAACTTTACGCTCCCTTTCCATAAGCAGGTTATCGCATGTACATCCCGCCAGGCGAAGGTTATGCTTGGTGACCCGCAATCACTATTTGGCAAGTGGGGCGGCGTCCTCTTCCAAGCCCTCATCATCGGTTCACTGTTCTACGACTTGCCCAAAACCGCAGCTGGAGTGTTTCCTCGCGGTGGTGTTCTGTTTTACATGTTACTATTGAACGCTCTCCTTGCGCTTGCCGAGCTGACTGCCGCCTTCGAATCACGACCAGTCCTCCTCAAACACAAAAGCTTTTCGTTCTACCGGCCAGCAGCATACGCTATTGCTCAAACATTGATCGACATCCCGCAGGTACTGGTCCAGGTGTTTATCTTTGATATCGTCGTATATTTTATGTCGAATCTACAACGCACCGCTTCCCAGTTCTTCATCTCGTTGCTATTCTTATGGATCATCACTATGACAATGTACTCGTTCTTCCGAGCTATAGGCTCTCTGGTGGGTTCGCTTGACGTTGCGACAAGAATCACAGGTGTGGCGATTCAAGCTCTCGTGGTATACACCGGATACTTGATACCGCCGAGCAAGATGCATCCATGGTTCTCGTGGATACGCTGGGTCAACCCTGTTCAATATGGCTTTGAAGCACTTCTGGCTAACGAGTACTACAACCTGGAGGTGGAATGCGTACCTCCATACATAGTGCCTCAGGTCCCTGGTGCGCAGAGTCAGTATCAATCTTGCGCGATCCAGGGCAGTACTCCAGGTTCTTTGACTGTCAATGGCGCGAACTATATTTCCGTCGCTTATCAGTACTCAAGAAGTCATCTCTGGCGTACGTACTATGGGAAAACTCACCCAGTTCTTCTTACTGATGCATTGACAGGCAACTTCGGCTTCATCTCCGCTTTCTTAATATTTTTCGTCGCACTCACGGCCATAGGCATGGAATTACAGAAACCGAACAAAGGCGGAAGCTCCGTAACAATCTACAAGCGAGGACAAGTTCCGAAGACGGTCGAGAAGGCTATGGAGGTCAAGGCACAGCCGGGAGACATCGAAAATGGCAAATCGGAAGCCGTGCCCAACGAAGGGGAGAAGAGTGGCAACAACGACTCTGTTGAAGGCGTCGCTAAGAACGAGACCGTCTGTAAGTGACATCCCTACGTGCTCATCCACTGCACAGGAAGACTGATTTGATGCTTTTAGTCACATGGCAGAATGTTACCTATACTATTCCCTACGAAAAGAACGAACGGAAGCTGCTCCAGGATGTTCAAGGCTATGTGAAACCCGGCAAATTGACTGCTCTCATGGGTGCATCAGGCGCAGGCAAGACTACATTGCTCAACACCTTAGCCCAGCGAATTAACTTTGGAGTTGTTCATGGCGACTTCTTGGTCGACGGTCGGCCGCTTCCATCATCGTTCCAACGGTCCACTGGTTTCGCGGAGCAGATGGATGTACATGAATCGACGGCCACAGTTCGTGAAGCGCTCAGGTTTTCGGCCAAATTGCGACAACCCAAGGAAGTCCCTTTGCAAGAGAAGTACGAATATGTGGAGAAGATTATTGAATTGCTCGAGATGCAGGATATCGCCGGCGCAGCCATCGGCATGCCTGGATCCGGGCTGAACCAAGAGCAACGCAAGCGTGTCACGATCGGTGTTGAACTCGCTAGCAAGCCTGAGTTATTGATGTTCTTGGATGAGCCGACGTCAGGTCTCGATTCGGGCGCTGCTTTCAACATTGTACGGTTTTTGCGGAAGCTGGCCGACGCTGGACAAGCGATCCTGTGTACGATCCATCAGCCGTCGTCAGTCTTGTTCGAGCATTTCGATCAATTGCTCCTACTTAAATCTGGTGAGTCTGTGCAAGATAGCTGAACGCGTAGATGGATGCGCTAACTTGAACTTCAGGCGGAAGAACAGTGTACTTCGGAGAACTTGGCCACGACAGCCGCACGCTGCTTAACTATCTTGAACGGAACGGAGCCAAGAAGTGTCCGACAAAAGCGAACCCGGCAGAGTTCATGCTTGAAGTCATTGGTGCTGGCGACCCCAACTACAAGGGCAAAGACTGGGGTGATGTCTGGGAATCATCCACGGAGAATGAAAAGCTTACCCAGGAGATTCAAGAGATCATTTCAAACCGTCGAGACGCCGCAAAAGAGGAAGCGCGCGATGACAGGCAGTACGCCATGCCTTTGGCGACTCAGCTCGTCACCGTGATCCACCGCAACTTTATCCAGATGTGGAGAGATCCACCTTATGTTGTCGGCATGACTATGCTGCACATCATTACTGGCCTTTTCAACGGCTTTACCTTCTGGCATCTTGGAAACAGCCAGATTGATATGCAATCCCGTCTCTTCTCGACGTTCATCACGCTAACGATCTCACCCCCACTCATCCAGCAGCTACAGCCTCGCTTCATACGGCTGCGAGGGATCTACTCTTCCCGCGAGGGCAACGCAAAGATCTACTCGTGGACGGCCTTCGTTTGGGGGGCCATCCTCAGCGAGCTTCCTTACCGAGTAGTCGCCGGCACGATCTACTGGTGCTGCTGGTATTGGACGACTTGGTTCCCGCGCGATACCTACACGTCTGTCAGTGTGTGGCTCTTCGTCATGGTGTTCGAGGTATACTACCTGGGCTTTGGACAGGCGATAGCGGCGTTCGCACCGAACGAGCTCCTAGCCTCGCTGTTGGTACCGCTTTTCTTTACCTTCATAGCCGGTTTCTGCGGTGTCGTTGTTCCTTATGTTGGATTGCCAACCTTCTGGCAGAGCTGGATGTACTGGTTGACACCGTTCCACTACCTCCTCGAAGGGTTCTTGGCTTTGCTCGTGCGAGGCCAGCCCATTGTATGCGACACTAACGAGTTGGCGATGTTCCCGCCCCCACCGGGCCAAGACTGTCAAACGTACGCTGGTGGGTTTGCCCAGCAAAGCGGCGGATATGTGCAGACGCAGCCAAATGGGGACTGCGGTTACTGTCAGTACGCAACGGGTGACGCTTTCGCAGCTTCTTTCAACGTGTATGAGAAGAACATCTGGTAAGTGGCTCGGGCGTAATGCTCTGTTGATTATGGCTGACCGGGACATAGGCGTGATTTTGGCATTATGTGGATCTTCATCTGCTTCAACTTTGTAGTGGTGTTTTTCGGTACATGGCTCTACTTGGGCGGTGCACGCAAAATCAAGTCGCTGTTCAGCCCAAAGGCTCGAAAGGACAAGAAAGAGACGAACAGAAGACGGACGGGGGACGCAGCTTAGACAAAGGATAGTATGGCAGGATGCTGTGTGTCAATTTTGTTAGTCGAAGAAAGTCCGCGGCCGGCCGGGGCGAATCCACCCGAGCTGAAGGAGGCTCCAACTCCATGCTCCCCACAGTGCAGTTTAGGTAATTTTTAAATGTGGAGCCTAATTCTGGAGCGCGTCTTTTTGTTACCTGTGACTTGTTACTTGAAGACGCGATTGGAAGAGACTTTTTCCCAATTGTCACGATGGCGTGGTCAGTGGTCAGTGGTCAGTGGTCGTGTTTGTGCACGCAGTGGAGCGGTAGTGCCTGCTAAGCTTCTCATGCCGCACTGAGCAATCAACTTGTGCAAACGCTCGGCTGGGCGTTTCCCGACTCCACGTTTGACATGCGCACGCTGCGTACGGCCGCGCGACTTTCCAGCATGATCCCTCACGTCGGGAACCCTATCTGAGAAAATGACTCTCCCCTGAGTCGGCAGCTCGCCGTGTAACGTGAAGCTCCCGAGGTCAATCAACGGGCGGCCTCACTCGGCTCTGGCAGCGTCTCAGGTGGCGGCCACTCCGCCTGCCCGAGGCGTTCAGCATCGTGGACTGCCTAGATCGAGATGGAGTTCGATGGCGACGCAGGGGTGTTGCTTGGCGCCGGCGAAGAGTAACCGGAACGTCTTTGGGCACGACTGTTCGCTGCACCGCCTCATGTTGGTTATCCGCGTGTCGCTCGGGTGCCAGCGTCGGCAACGTGGTGCTTCTCGGGAGGGCAGCCGGGACGCGCCAGCCGTGCATAGCCAGCGCCTGCATTCCTGCGCGTTGAGGGTGATTGTAAACTGTCATGCTCCCTCGCGTTGAGGGTGTTTGGAAACTGTCATGCTCCCTCACGAGCTGCCAAATACAGAGCCTCTGTGTGGCCGATCCAGAGGTGCCTTATTATTAGTTTGTGTGGGGTTGGCGTGTGCGTGCGTGCTGCTTCCGGCGCAACGTCATTCACCACGTCTGCCTCTTCCCCACACGACACCGCAATCGCCAGCCAGACCCGCCCCCAGCAGAACCACGCACCGGGCAGCCTAGCCGCAAGCACTCGCCCGCAGCAGCAGCGGTAAAGAGGCCCTGGGCGTGGCGGCCCTGTGCGGTTGCTTGCGTTTCTCAGCGTGGCCACGCGCGGTACCTGGGTTGGTGTTCGCTGCTCATCATGTGAAGGCGTCGCATCAACAATGACAAATGACATCGTTGTGACCCGCGTCCGCAACGCTGATCGCCACGGCCATGGTGCTTCTTTCATGTCTCCAACGCACCATCATAAACGCGCTGGGCATGACTTGCCGGGCGTGCTCCCAGTCGCTCCTGACTTTTCCGAGATCCCGTAACTTCCCGCCAGATACTCTTCTCGGCACCCACATTTCAGCTAAATCGTACTATACCCTCCTCCAGTCCAATCACATCCATCCGCCTACCAGCCTAGTCCCCGGCCTCAGACATTGGAACTTGGGCTACGTCGTCACGATGGAATATAAAGACCACCACAAACCCCTCATCCGCACAGCAAGCCCCGCCCCTTTGGCCCAAGACTTTGTCCGTCAGCAGGTGTCCAAGCAGCAGCGTTCCAACTACCACTCCTCATCCATCTCCACTCAAGTCACTCGCACCATGGTCTCCCAAAGCGTCAACAAGACGGGCCTGCACCCGGCCGGTGTCCAGTGAGTCCCTACCGTCACTGCCTGGCCAATTGCGCCGTTATCATCGCCGTCCCTGTGAACTAACATGTCTAACTAGGCCTTCCAAAGAGCACACTGAGATTGAAGAAGAGCTCCATGACCGAGCACACATCGACTACGACCGCGTTGCCATTGTACGTTCGGATGCTGCTTCCGACTCACGCCTTCCATTTACTAACAATTCTTCAGGTTGCCAACCCTTCAGTAGCAGCTCTCTACGAAGATGCTCTCGTATACGAATCAGGTTCTGCCATCACATCGACCGGTGCGCTCTCTGCGTACTCGGGAGCCAAGACTGGACGTTCTCCTTCGGACAAGCGAATCGTAGAAGAGGAGTCGTCGAAAAAAGACGTCTGGTGGGGCCCTGTGAACAAGCCCATGACGACTGATGTAAGATGATCCCTTTGCCGTTCCGTTCCTCGCCGGCCGTTCTGCTGCGGCTGCTCGTGAAAATTGCCAGACGTAATCCAGACGGTGCCCTAGCCGACTGTAGTCGAGCGTTGCCGAGCATCCCTGCAAGCCTCCTGCAAGCGCCGCTGCCCCGCATCGCCGCTCATGCACACTCCGCCCTTGGGGAAATCCCTCACGTGTGGCCTTCGCTAATCGACATCCAGGTCTGGCGCATCAACCGCGAACGTGCCATCGACTACCTCAACACCAGGAATCGCATCTACGTCGTCGATGGTTTTGCAGGATGGGACGAGCGCTACCGGATACGCGTGCGCGTCGTCTGCGCCCGCGCCTACCATGCTCTTTTCATGCGCAACATGTTGATCCGTCCCTCCAAGGAGGAGCTTGAGCACTTCCACCCCGACTACGTCATCTACAATGCTGGCGCATTCCCTGCGAACAGATACACCGCAGGCATGACTTCGTCGACTTCCGTTGCCATCAACTTTGCCGAGAAGGAGATGGTCATTCTCGGTACTGAGTATGCAGGTGAGATAAACTCTACTACTTCACTAAGAATGATACTGATATCTTGCTTTCTATAGGGGAAATGAAGAAGGGAATCTTTACCGTGCTCTACTTCGAGATGCCCGTCAAGCACAACGTCCTCACCCTGCACTCGTCAGCGAACGAAGGCCAGGACGGAGACGTCACTGTCTTCTTCGGTTTGTCTGGTACCGGAAAGACCACACTCTCTGCCGACCCCAAGCGCGCTCTCATCGGTGATGACGAGCACTGCTGGAGTGACAAGGGTGTCTTCAACATTGAGGGCGGCTGCTATGCTAAGACCATTGGTCTCTCTGCTGAGAAGGAGCCCGATATTTTCGGTGCCATCCGCTTCGGTGCTATCTTGGAGAACGTTGTCTTCGACCCTACAACACGTGTTGTCGACTACGATGATGATACTTTGACTGAGAACACCCGCTGCGCATACCCCATCGAGTACATCGAGAACACCAAGATTCCCTGCATCTCCAGCCAGCACCCCAAGAACATTATCCTACTTACCTGCGACGCTCGCGGTGTACTGCCGCCGATCTCCAAGCTCAGCAAGGAGCAGACCATGTACCACTTCATCTCTGGCTACACCTCCAAGATGGCGGGTACTGAGCAGGGCGTAACGGAACCCCAGGCTACCTTCTCCTCTTGCTTCGCTCAGCCCTTCTTGGCTCTGCACCCCATGCGCTATGCTAAGATGCTTGCGGAGAAGATTGAGGAGCACAGCGCGAACGCTTGGTTGCTCAACACCGGCTGGGTCGGCGCCGGAGCCACCACTGGTGGAAAGGTAAGATATAATCTATCTACTGAACCATTCCTTTTATTAACGAATATTCCAGCGTTGCCCTCTCAAGTACACGCGTGCCATCCTGGACGCCATCCACTCGGGCGAGCTCGCAAAGGTTGAATACGAGACCTACGACACCTTCGGCCTCTCCGTACCCAAGACCTGCCCCAACGTCCCTGATGAGCTCCTCAACCCTGCCAAGTCATGGAACGGCACCGCCGACTTCAAGGGCGAAGTCGAGAAGCTCGGCAAGCTCTTCATGGAGAACTTCACGAAATACGAGGACGAAGCCACCAACGAAGTCCTCAAGGCCGGTCCTCACGTATGCTGCTGCCCCAAGCACTAAATCCTTTGTCGATGCCGCGTTCCGCGTATCACACAAGGTTTTTACTTACATTTCGATTCTGCAGATTGCATCTTGAGCCCAAAATGTTTCCCGTTTCTTGAACCTGCCTCGGTCGATCCGCGCATCGACGGCGTCGATGCTTGACGATTTTCCTTTTCCCGATAACCATGGATTTCTTTGACATCTAGTTGTTTGGACGATTTATCATTCGGGTTGTATATTTTCATTGAGGCATTGAGGCCTGTCATGGTCTTGTATTACCGAGCGATCGAGGGCGAAGCGGGCGGAAGCCATCAGTAGCCTGTCGGTTGCAGATGTGGTTGGATAGCGGACTGCATCATGAGTTTGTTGCGAGATGATATATCTGCGCGTGATGACATTGCATTGGCACAAAAGACGGAGTATATAGGTTGAGAGTAATTGGATGATCTATTTTCAAACGCTGTGCCCATCATCCTACACAACTGTGACCTTTCAAGTGTTTTTGCACAAATTCTTGCGTCTACATGAACGTTGGCCATACACCATCACGTCACAAATTCGGACAAATACTTTAATTTAAGTTATCCCGTAAAAAAGATAAATAGTCCACCCACAGAGAAGCGCGTGCCTTGTTACCTACCGAACTTAGAGTCCACCTTTCGCTTGGTGCGAGAGACTCACGCCGTTGAACGTTGAATTCCGACGTTCCCCTCAGAGCCAACCTAATCCATTAGGTCAAAGACGTCAGTTGTCGATCGTTTTCGGACGGCGCTAGCGATGCTCTTAGCAGGTCACATCACCATGGCCACCATCATTGGTTCCGATTCGTACGACCATGTACGCGTACACAGTGATGCAGGATGGTAATTATCTCCGGGACACTCCCCCGGACCCTGGGAATTGCTATGACGAACGTCAACAAGCGCAGTTTTATATGAAAGGGCTTTGTGAATAAATTACCATGATACCCAAGGACTCATCGCTTGGACTCGCTACAAAATGGCAGCCAGGATTCTGATCTCGTTGCTGACTGCATCGTTGGTGACCAGTCAAGTAACTTTCCAAAACAGCACTGGCACAAAGTTAAGAGTGGACAATGGAACATACGGACCACCCATCGAAGAAGTGCACTACTGTACGCAACTCAGTTGATTTCAGACACGCTGTGAACTAACGAGCATCAAGACTACGACCAATGGCCAATTGGAATTGCCGTCGCCTCAGACGGCCGCATCTTCACGACCTATACCCGCGGATCCTACGACTACACTCTCGGCGTCGTAGTCAACGAAACAGCCGAAACCCCCTACCCCTCCGCTGAACTCAACCTGCCTCCAGACCAACTAAATACCTCCTGGAACGGGATCCCTTTCGGCTCCGGCAACGCCTCAGCCTTCATCAGCGTCCAAGCAGTCTACATCACGTCCAACACTTCCTCGCGCCCAGAAACCCTCTGGGCAATCGACACCGGCCGGCCCACAGTGCACAATGCGCAAGGCGACCCATCAATGCCCTACGCTCAGCCAGGCGGCCCAAAACTCGTCGCCATTTCCCTGGCAAACAACTCCATCTACCAGACGTACACATTCCCAGCGAGCGTGCACTATCCAGATAGTTACCTAAACGACCTGCGCTTCGACTTCAACCCCAACTTGACCGATACCTCCGGCGCAGGCGTAGCCTACCTCGTGGACTCCTCCAACGAAGGGCGCCCCGGCTTCATCATGGTCGACCTCGGCACCGGCGACTCCTGGCGCCGCCTCACGCAAGACGCGTCCGTCCTGCGCGGCGAAAACGACGTCCCCTCCTACCAAGGACACCCCTTCTACCTCCGCCAATCCGGCATGCCCATCACCTGGCAGCAGGAAGGCCTCGACGGCATCCAACTGACCCCAGATGGCGAAACAATGTACTACTCCCCGCTCTCCCAACGCACGCTCTACTCCATCCCCACGCGCAACCTCCGCACAAGAGACACCGACCCCCTCGCCGAACTCAACGCCCACGCAAACGTAAGTTCCCACGGCCAGCGCGGCGGCGACGCAAACGGCTTCGAAGGCGACTCCAACGGCCTGATCTACCAGCTCATGCCCGAGCACAACGCGATTTACTACTACGACCCGCGAGACGGGCAGACGCACGGGTTTGTGCGGGATCCGAGGATTATCTGGCCGGATGGGGCGAGCGTGGGGGCGGATGGGTATATTTATATGAACATTAATCAGCTGCCGTATCAGCCGGATTGGAATGATGGGGTGGATGGGAGGACGTATCCAGGGGCGGTGTTGAGGTGTAAGTTACCCGAGAATAGGACGAAGATCCGGAGTTTGTATGAGTGAGGCGTGGGGATTGGGAAGGAAGGGGTCGGTGTGGACTACGTGGTGTTGGTACTTGATAGAACGAACTTGGGTATCAATTCTTAGACTATGTATTACACCTCCTGTCATGTTGCTAATTGCACTCCAGTGCACCTTGCCGCAAACGTTTAGGAAATATTCAATTCGGCGGATTGCTGAATTCGCGTTGAAGCGGTGTGTGCGTCCTACTCCTTCTCCGCAACACTCCTCGCGCTCTTCGTGCTTTTGACACTCTTTGTGCTCTTCAGGCTTTTCTTCGAGGCCGTCCTCTTGAGTTTCGCTTTGAGCTTCTTCCACTTGGAATTGAGGTCCTCATCCTTATCCTCCTTTGTCGGGTCGCGAATATCGCTATCAGTGCTGCCTCGCGGATACGTGAATTCGCTTCCTAAATCCACGCTCTCGATGTTCCTGGCATGCGTGGGCTCCTGATCCTTCCTCTTCTCCCTCCTCGTACCTAGCAACATGAACTCTTGAGTCTGCCAACCAGCCATATTCGCTATTGGGCCATCGGTAGGGTTGTGCTGGGTTTCAGGGTTCTTCCAAGGGCAGTGCTCCCGATGTGATTCGACCAAGTTGAGGCGCAGTGTTTCGATGGGCACGTCGAGCTTCTTGCTCATCTCTTTGAGACGATCATCCTTCACGAGCCACAAGCCGACGCGTTGGTGGCAGTGGCCGCATACTGCCATTGAGATCTTCGTTTCGGATACGCCCTTCCAGCCAAAGATAGCAAACAAGAATGAGACTATATCTGTAGGGGTCGTAGGTGGACTCTCGGATATATCTGACCCAGGAGGGTTGTAGAAGGAGGCAGGTACACGTTTGAGGATGTCCTCTATTCGAGGGTCTGGATATATGAGGTTCTCCAATATGGGCAGGTCGTTGACGATGGTCCCGAACGATCGATAGCGAGTGAGGAGATCGGCTGTGCTTTGTGCGCGGCTCGGTATTGGTATGTGATAGATGTCGTCTGGAAGGATTAGTTTTGGCTCGAAAATATATGTATCTTGAGCATACCTTGACAGCCACGCTTCTTCCACAAACAGTCCTCGTGATGTGCATCTATGATGAACTCCTGGTACTTCTCTATCAATGCAGGATCGACCTCGATTGTGAGATCCTCGCTCATGTCAAGCTCCTTGCCATCCTGGTCCTTCCTCTTGGGCCGCAACCTCACGACAAGCCTTTTCTCACAGCCTCCTTTGCAAGCCACAGTATTCCAAGAGTCGCATGACCAGCCGCGCTTCGCCCACTCGACCTCCCCAAGCGCATCCGGCTTGTTGGTCCACTTCTTCACATCGGCGAAAGTTTTTAGTCGTGCGAGAAATTGCTCCTGGCTGTATGGTTGATAGTTTGCGGGTTTTCGAGGCGTGGTAGACTGTCCTACTACACGGACTCCACCTGGGCTGGGACTGCCGGCTTTCTCGACGCCATCTTTGCGCGGCGTCAAGAGTTGTGATTTCAGCTGCTGTATCCGCTCACTGCCAGATACCTGCCGTGAGGTATTCATGCCAATATCCGAGAGCCGGTATCGCTTCGAGGCGGGTTCGGGTGTGAAGGGCTGGTTGAGAGAAGTCGTGGAGCCGTTCGATTCGTGGAGGGTATTTGCAAGGGAGGTGGTCGAAGCGCTCGCATTTTGCAGCCTATCTAGCAGCGTATCGAATTTGCGTTTCGTTGTCGCAAGCGCAGGCTCTTTCGTCGGCTGCGTTGGGGAAGCCATGTTGCTGTTGAGGTTGCGCGGTGCGCGTGGCTCACTGCACAAGGTAGAAGGCTACAAACCTTTGTTTACTCTCGAAGGCTAGGGGTGAAGGGCAAATCACAGGGCTCTCGTAGGGGCAGGAACGGGTCGAAGTGTATTAGTCCAGCTCCAGTAGCAAGATCAAAGCAGACTGCAGGCAAGAGCGCAAATGCATATATCTCAGCGCAATGGCTCGTGCCGTTGTCGTGGAAAGCGCGTCCAAACCTCCGAGACACGCCGCTTTGCCAAGGTCGCCTTACGTAGTAGGCACTTTCACAGCTCTAACCACCCCCACTACGCCATCCCATTGCGTACATGCTACCACGCTTTGCGCCATACAAGTACTTTTTCTTCGCCCTAGTCATTCTGGCGGTCTCACTCATACCATTTTCTTCTTTGCTTTCCCGCAGTGGCCTTCGACTAGCTCAATTGAAGCAGCATTTGTACCCCTCCCCCGCAGTTGCTCTACCAAAGACTTCAAGCTCCATCCATACTTTCAACAAATCCATTGCGACCATGGCATACGAAAAGGAGCTCGAAACAGCTCTTCTAGCCGTTCAGCGCGCCGCACTTCTTACCAAATCCGTCTTCTCGTCCCACTCGAAGGGCACCCTCACCAAGTCGGATGCTTCTCCCGTCACAATTGGCGATTTCGGCGCCCAAGCCCTTATCATCGCATCGATAAAACACGTGTTTCCCGAAGACGAGGTTGTTGGTGAGGAGGACGCAGACGATCTCCGCGCGAACGACTCTCTGCGCGACCTAGTTTGGGACCTGGTCACGGCAGCCAAGCTGGAAGACAGTGCGGCAGAGGACAAAATTGGGGGACCAATCAAGAGCAAGGATGCAATGCTAGAGGCCTTGGATAGCGGCAGGAGCGCTGGAGGGAGGAAGGGCAGGATCTGGGCGCTAGATCCTATCGACGGGACGAAGGGTTTCTTGCGTGGTGGACAATACGCTGTGTGCCTTGCTCTTATGGTAGACGGTGTACCAACCGTTGGTGTGCTTGGATGCCCCAATCTCCCCGTTGACGACAAAGCAGCCCTCGATTCTTCGATAGGTACCGACGCAGATTCTGGAGAGGGCAAGGGCGTTCTGTTCAGCGCTGTGAAGGGCGGGGGAGCATCGAGCCGGCCACTAGGTAAGGCGGGACTACAAGAGGCGAAGAAGATTTCGATGAAGCCTATCACCGATATCAGCGAAGCCACTTTCTGTGAAAGTGTAGAGGCCGGTCATTCGAGCCACGGCGACCAGGCAAGCATCGCATCCAAGCTCGGCATCACCAAGGCCAGCGTTCGGATGGACTCGCAAGCCAAGTACGCTTCCATTGCGAGAGGAGCAGGTGACTTATACCTCCGACTACCGGTCAGCAAGTCGTACGAGGAGAAAATCTGGGACCACGCCGCTGGTGTTGTCATCGTACAAGAGGCCGGAGGCGAAGTCACTGATGCACATGGCAAGCCGTTGGACTTTGGCATCGGCAGGACACTGAAGGAGAACAAGGGTGTCGTAGCCGCACCTAAAGCGGTCTTCCCCAAGGTCATCGAGGTAGTGAAGGAAGTTCTCAGCGCAAAGCAATAGACCTGAATCGACGCGATCGTGTTCTTCAAAAAGGGAAAATTCGACCGGCAAAGTGTTCGGTTTGAACGCTTGATGTGTACCAATATGACCAGCACCAAAATTTGCATTTTCTCATGTGCGAGAGTTACCTTGGTGTATCACAAAATCGTTGTATATGCTGACACAAAAGTCTTGATAGGCTATCTCAGCCTCTCCTTGCACAGCTCAATCGCCACATCGGCCGTCGCTCCATCAAAGAAGTCGTTCAGCAACACCACAACACTCTCCTCCCTCGTCAAACACTTCCCACACTCCCCCTTTAACAACGGCAAAATCTTCGCATCGCACACCGGCTTCGTCGCCAATATTGGGCTCGTACTAACATCTGCATCGAGCACCGACGCAATGATGACATCTCGAATATTTGTTGCTGTAGCCTGACACTGCAGAAGCGTAATCGGGTGTCCTTTCGGTGGGTTCTTCGACATGTCATTGAGTTTACTAACCATGGAGTCTCCGTTCAACGTAGCATTGGCATTGTCATCATAGTTAGAAACCTGATTGACGTTCTGCAAAATGATGATGCGCTTTTTCTCGTTGCGCAGGTCGCGAATGCTCTTCCCCATCATATCATCTTGAGTCCCGACTTGCAAGTCCTTGCCTTGCAGCGCATCTTTTAGAACGTTACTCAGGTCGTCGCCGCTCGGTCGCGGGCAATCACCAGGTACGCCATCCCACCTGTTCTGCACCACTACTATTTCCTCCTTGTGCTCATCTAGAAATTTGACGATCGTTTGCAGCAAGTCGGTATACTTCATGCCTGGGATCGCCCCGTGCTGGAAATACCACGTGTCCTCCAGGGGACTCACCTTCTGCAATTGTCGATGACATTTCGCAGGCCTGAACTCAAAGTACCGCGCCCCAATCTTGAGGATGCTTTCGAGGCTGTCTTTTTGCGTGATGGCCAGCGCGCGGATGATGTCAGGTGCGATACGTTTCACCGCCCCGTCACCGACTTTATTCAGAATGTCGAGGACATGCGGGAGGTTGCGGCCCAGGACTTCTTTTATGACGCCTGTCCCCGCATGCTCAAGCAAAGCCATAGGCGTCGCCATGTTATTCATCCCGATATCGTGCGCAGCAGGCAGAACCACGCGATTGAACTTCTTTGTAGAGATGTCCTGCCCTTGGGAAAGCACATCTCTCATCCAGTTCTCCAAGTTCCTCGTCACAGTAACGTAGCATAGATGCTGTTTAGGCAGCCCGGCCACTCCCGGACCCGCGTCGTAGAACCCGTAACAAATGACCAAGTCCTCTACAAATACGGAAGTTGTCTGGTCCATGGTCATGAGCGTACCGTCGCCGAGCTTGCCCGTCGCGCTGTTGATGTCGACCCATTGGGTGTTCAGGTCCTGGCCGTCGCGTTTCACAGTGAATTGGAAACGGCCTGTGAACTTGAAGTGTGGGAGATTGGAGGATTCGACTTCAAGGTGGGTGGTTTCATAGTTATGGAGAGAGGAGTTTGTGGTGGAGTTTTTGGGGACGCTGAATTCGATGGAGGTGCCGGGGACGGCAAGGTAGGAGAAGCAGAGGACGCCTTTAGATGGCATGGTGGCTATGTCGTTGGACGAGTTCCTATGTTTGAGGAAGGGTTTGGTGGTATTGCGCTGCTGCTCTCCCGTCCTTCTATGTCCAATTTACACCCAGCTCTTTCTTCAATGATTGTAAGAGGTACTACAGCTGCGATGGTGATGAAACGGTATCAGTGCGGTACTATTAACGTCGGATCATGCATAAGGGGAGGAGGGTGTAGGAAAGAGTCCCAACGAGAGCAGGCTTGGTAAAAGGACGTGCCGTGTTTACAACTTTCAGCTGGACATGCGTCTGTCTGAAGCTACGGCATCCCTCGAAGACGTAAGCTATCCGAACTGCCGACTTGGCCAGACCAATTGGAGCTCCAAAGTGAAGTCCGATCGGGTCCACTTGTTCAGGAACATCAATTGGCATCTTCGCTAGTTTAGTGCACCATGTTCATAATGAGGGGTACAACAGCGCGTGGAATCTCAAACGATCTAAACTAATACTTTTGTATCAAGCTTCTTTGGGGTCCGCTATGCACGGAGCGATTTGGCTAGTGTAGGCCCGTACCTCTGGTGTGAAAGGTGTATAGATCAAGCCCTATGCTTGTCCGTTGCCAGGCTCCGTTTCCCTTTTATATGTGAACCGCTTGGTCGTTGGATCTGTTTACTCACATTATGTGAGCAGTCAAGCTCGCCTGTATGGGCCTAGAGGTCTTTACATAGAAAGAGTTCGGCACCGGTCACCTCAGGGTGAGCTGTATCAAGAGTTTATGTCGAGCTTATTGGACCGAGAGAGCCTTGCACTATGTTGAGAGCACAACCGTCAATAGTGCAGCGTCGCTCTTGCCTGCATGCCTAAAGATCAAAGTGTCGGCCTCAGAGCGAATGATGTTCCAAGAATAGCCGTCTGGGCCACCCGGGCCAAGAAAGTCGGTGTAAGCTGGGTCCTTACTATTCAACACCAAAGCTGCGCCTATCCTCCTATAGAAGCCATGAGCGACGAAAGCCTCGTCTATGTCCACAGATCTGAAGAAATGGCGCAAAGAGGGGAGCATGCTTTCTCCCACATGGTATCTACGAACGAGTGAGACCTGCCGCAACTTGGCCTGGTAGCAACTGGCTACACCCACCTAGGAAAATCGTCGCCTTCAATAAGAACAATGTCGCTCCGCTCTCGGACCAAAGCTGAGGCTGCGTGCGAGCCGGCTGGGCCACCACCAATAACAAGAACTTGAGTGTACTCTGGAATAGACATTTCACCCTGTTGTGGCGATGGGAGCTGGAGGTCGATTGCGCCGGAGGTTCGACTCAGCAGACTACCTGTGTCACAATAGAATCAGCTCACCTGTACTGTAGAGCTTGGCTTTTACCTGTCGGTAGGGGATGCAGGTAAGCGCTAGCCTGTCAAAGTAACACAAACTGCTACGAAAGCAGGTGGAAATGAATACAAGATATCTGAGACGTTCATTTTGAGTTATTAGAGTTCCATGTATGGATGAAGTATGTTGTACCGACTCCATGGAGTTTGCGACATGTACAAACATTGTCTAATACCTACCTATGGTATGAGGTATGCTGATGCTGGGGCAAGATTCAGCACTTCAGCTTGACTCAGCTGGAGCCAGCCACGTCCAGCCATTCGAACCATCCATCCAATCACATTGATATCATTGCTGATCCGCACAGCCCGCCATAGAATGGCTGATACGACAGACAGCAGGTGACAGGAAGTTGCCTGAAGCTTAGATATTCCGTCTAGCCTGGCATTGGTTCTCTCGCTACATTTGCTGGACAGCACGCATCATGAAGTGGCCCTCCAAGCAACACAACATCTTGCGCCATGTATCTATCTCTCAGCAACATTCTTGCAGCTCCCTTCCGGAAGACGCCAGCAACCGAATCTCGGGTGAACATCGTCGATGAGGTAGACTATACATACATCAAAGGCAACATCGAGAGCCGAGGACCATGTCCAGGCCTAAATGCCCTAGCAAATCATGGCTACATGTAAGTCGAGCACATGGAAAAACTTGACAAAAACATTTCTGACCCCACAATAGAGCTAGAGATGGAAAGAACATCACCGTAGCTCAAGTCGATGCAGCACTCAAGACAGCCTTACACATGAGCCCGTTGGCTGCTAAGTCTCTGACAGGTGCTCTCAAGGGGCTCTTGCGAAAGGACGGCACGTTTGACCTGGTAGACACACGGCGTCACAACGTCATCGAACATGACTCATCATTCACCCGTCTTGACTTCCACCAAGGCGACAACTACACTTTCCAGCCACAGATGCTGGAGGACATGATCAAGGACGCCAACGGCGGTGATGTGACGTTGAGGTCCATGGCTAAGACCTTCATTCGACGAGGAAAGGAGAGTCGAGAGGCCGGCGCACCGAAGCTGCCGCTAAATTTGTGGTTTGTGCGTGTTTTGCAGTACGTCGGTCTTATCAACTCAGCACAGACCGGTGGAAAGCTGAACCGGGAAATCTTGGAGGCCGTGTTCGTAGAGGAGAGGTTCCCGGATGTGATTCTCGACAATCCAAAGCCACGGACGGTTCTTACTTTACTGAGCAATGCTCTGGGAATGATGTATTGGGTTGTTGTTGGGCCATAACGGCGAAGAGGACGCTTTCAAGGATGGAGTGGAAACACAAACTTCGTTTCTACATACACGTTGCAGGAATTAGCTCTTCTATCTCACCTATTGAGAATCCTTCCATCCATACAACCATCCAGAAACTATGTTGCCAAGAATAGAACACCATGAACAGAATCCAAAACCCGCAAATACGTGGAACCGATGAACTGGGGAATATGATGCAGCCGGTATGAGTAAAATGAGCGCCAAGATGCGCCTTGAAGGTCCGTCTGTGACCCAATGTAAAAACAAACGAAGAAATAGCTATGTGTGCAGTTTGCGTGAAGTCAACGCCTAGATGTCCTCCATGTTGCCTGCCGCCTCATCTTCGTCGCCCGACTCGTAGCTGCCGACGGAGCTCATCTCGTCATCGTCATCGTTGTCCTTGTCCGAGTCTTCAGACGCGTCTTTTGAAGCGTACTTTTGAACGTATTCTGTGTATATCAGATTTGTGTCCTACGCTTATTGAAGTGCCCTACATACCCTTGACCTTTGCGTCATAGCTCTTCGGTTCCCTCATCAGTAAGGCGGCGGCTTCTCCGTTTAGAGGGTCGGTCGGATTGGGGTATCGCAGTAGTTGGGGAAGGAAGACTTCGAAGATGTTGATCATATCGTACATCGGTGACCATGTCTGGTTGATGACGTCCAAGCAGACTGACCCTGAGCTGCGCAATCATCAGCCGTTGCTATGGCAAACCAAAAATACAGTATGATCTGACTCACAGCTCGTCGATGTTGGGATGGAATATCCGGTTTACAAAGCCGATGCTTGGGCTCTTGTAGGGGTACTGATCGGGTAGCTCCACATGGATCTTCCAGAGACCACCCTGGAAAGGTGCTGCATCCGTTAGTCTCTCTATTCTGCCTCAGACAAACGTTGTGACGTACTCTCTTCCGGACCCTTGAACCTTACGTAGAACTCCTGCCTGTTGTTTGTCAGTGATCATGCGAAGCATCGGATTTGGTACGGCAAGCGGCGGAACGAACACTTGAAAAGCGATTAGCTGAGTCTGCGAGGTTTGAAAAGGAGGGTAGCCTACTATTGTCATTGACCAGCGTGACCTCGTAGTCGCTCATCAACCTGTTTAGTATCAGTTACTATTCGAGAGTGTGGCGTAAACAGTGATCGGCCTACATCCTAGTTGTACGTTAGCATCCGCATCCGTAGATCTTCAGAGCCAGAATAACATACTTCATGACCTGTACACAGGGGAAGACCATTCGTCAGCACTCTGAACATCTTGACCAAAGCAGGCCACGTCTGGGGTGACCTACATCCGTCTCGATTCTTCGCTTAGGGCTACTCATTGTTGGCAACTTTTGACGGCGCGCCTTTATGTGAGGTATGTATCGTCCGGGTGTCGTCACGGTGGTTGAAGGACGCCCCGGTCGTGCTGGGTCGTGGGCTCGGGCGGCGAGCGGAGGTGGAGGAAGAGCTGCCTGCGGGGCAATCGATAACGACGAGGGGCCGGTTTGCTGCGTCTGCAGTTGGTCTGTAGGCGGGGTTCCTCAGCGGCGCTGCTTGCGGTTGTAGGGAGTGTTGCGGGGTGTGGAAACGGGCGGAGATTGTGAGTACTGTGGTAACAATGAAGCGGACAAAGCTGCAGGTGATGTAGGAGACTGGGATGGCCAGGAACGACGCTGTCAAGTGTGCAGGGTAGTCACGCTCCGGCGCCGGCTATTGCCGACTTGTCGATTCAGCGCCACTGCAGAGGCCGCCGTGTCACGCGTCCCGCATTTGGGTCTAAGTCGATTGCAACCCGTGGTAACAATCGCAAGACGTCATCTTGGGTGCATGTAATACAGAGAGGTGATTGCCTCATTTGGATGCTGAAGCACGTGTGATCTATGACACCTGGACTTGGGAGTGCACCATTTTTTTTTTATCTTCCCAACTCCCACTTCGAAAGAAAGCAGCTCTTTAGTTTCTTGCGAATTGGGCTCCTTGTTCCCATGGTCGTCAATATGTCATTCTTTGGGAAGTGACCACCTTTGTCCGTTGGAGTCGTTCAACAAGCCGGCGCCGGTCGCTCACCGTAGTGCATATGCGGCCAATACCCTTGACCAAGGGCGAAGTACCTTTAAATGGTATCTGGGTTTGAAAAGCGTCCTTGTTATCAAAAGAATAGAAATGAACACACCAATATCTCTCTACCAGATTGACTGCTCTGGTTGATAGCAGGGTTGATGAGGCTTACCAGAGCCGAACATGGATAGCGCGTCAGCAGGGGTGTCAGGCTGAGGCCGAGGTCTCGCTTCGCTTGGAACATCCGCTCCACCAGGAAGCTCGAGTATACTGATGTCTACTGCGCAAAAACCATCACAGCTTGAATAAAAGCGCCGCCCTCGGCCCAAGCCATGGCTTTTCCCCCTTGCCGCCTTTCTCTCCCTCGGAGTCTCACCATAATTCCCGACTAGGAAAATACCGACCCCTCCACGACCACACCCCGCTGTCGCGTGCCAACATGAACATACACACAAGCACGAGCATGGCTTTGAGGAGAGCGGTTCGCCCCGCTGCCTTGTCGCCGTCGATGTCGCGACCCATACTGCCTACCATCACGGTCCGATTCAGCTCACACTCGCCCTTGGGCGCACCGCCCGCCAATGCCCGCAAGCCCGTCACCATCAATACGCTCCAGAGCCTCTATCGGAAGAACGAACCGATCACCATGATCACCGCCCACGACTTTCCGAGTGCCCATGTCGCCGATCATGCCGGTATGGATATGATATTAGTTGGGGATAGCTTGGCCATGGTCGCGCTGGGCATGGAGGATACTAGTGAAGTCTTGATGGAGGAGATGATACTGCACTGTCGGTCTGTGGCTCGCGCGACCAAGGGTGCTTTTACAGTATGTCTCGTTAGAGTCTACCACATCGGTCAACATGCTCACATAGCAAAAGGTTGGTGACCTACCAATGGGCACCTACGAGATCAGCCCCGAGCAAGCCCTCGCCTCTGCCATCCGCATGATCAAAGAAGGCCGCGTCAAGTCCGTCAAACTCGAAGGCGGAAAGGAAATGGCACCCACCATATCCAAGATCACCTCAGCCGGGATACCCGTCCTTGCCCACGTCGGCCTCACCCCTCAACGCCAGAATGCCCTGGGTGGCTTCCGCGTCCAGGGAAAGAGCACCGCCTCAGCGCTCAACCTGCTTGAAGACGCGAAGGCTGTGCAGGAAGCTGGCGCATATGCCGTTGTTCTCGAAGCGGTCCCAGCTGAGGTCGCTGCCCTAGTGACCAAGAAGCTCAGCATCCCGACCATTGGTATCGGTGCTGGAAATGGTTGCTCAGGCCAGGTGCTAGTGCAGGTAGATATGATGGGTAACTTCCCGCCTGGGCGCTTCCTGCCCAAGTTCGTTAAGCAGTACGGTAATATTTGGGCGGAGGCGATGAGAGCTATACAGGAGTACAAGGCGGAAGTCAAGAGCAGAGCGTACCCAGCTGCTGAGCACACTTACCCCATGTCCCAGGAGGTATTCTCTGATTTCGAGCGTCAGGTCGAGGGAAAGCGAAAAGAGCACAAAGCTGAAGCGGAAGAGGGGAAGGCCAGATCAAAAGAGGGGAAACCCGAAGTACCCGAAGTATTCGACAAGCTGCCGAACGTCCCCTCGTAGGGTCCTGTGGTCTTGGGAATGTATACGTTTGGAGTTTGTTGTTAAGCGTTTGAATACCCGCACTTTTCAGCAGCGCAAGTTGCTATTTTTACGTTTCGCCAGTTAGCCTTGACCAGTGTCAGTTGAAGTAGAAGTATAACGTACACACCAGTCTCACGACAAAGATGGAATGTAATTGAAACATTTATTCGTTACGTACTTATGCGACGTCTGCTCATCACCCCGATCGGAACCTCTGCAGTGACATCATGGCAGGGTCGCTGCGGCCCCTTATGCGTCACGACTGAAGGTATCGTTCCCCAGTCATCTTTCTACACCTGAAGTGTAGCTATAGCTCCTTCATGAACGCCGCGCTTTCTCCATGATCTTCAAGTGCAACAATCCTCTTTTCCTCCCCCGTCATCCAAATGCCGGGCTAAGCGCATACCCCACGTACAGTTCCTCCTTCGTTCCCTGCTTAAAGCACTGTCTCTTGTTAGCCTCACCCACTTCTCACACCATCCAAATTCATCTTCTAATTAGAAAAGACTTCGCGTGCTTCCACAAACCACATTACAACACAACACAGTAATCATAGACGAGCACTTACCCTCCAAAGATTCTCCACGCTCTCATCCAACGCCGGCGAAAAGACGTTTCCAATATAGCAAAACACACTCTCATGCGGCTGCAGCTTGAGCTTATTCCGGATTTGCCTGACAACCACTTCGAAGCGGTTCGCCGCCGTCATCATGAAGACCATGGTGGGCATGCGCGGCGCGGAGCCGATGGCGAGGAGATGAATGCGCACTGCACATCAATGTCAGTGTGCATTAGTCTGCTTAGATTCTAGAAAGAAGAGCGAAGAGTAAAGAGTTGAAGATTCAATGATTTAAGACACGTGCAAGGCTGTTAGTGTGCCCATGGTGTGAAACTCGCCTTTCTGTACGCTTATTTGTCCGTCAGTTGCTAACGCCTGCTTTGCATCCACCGGCAGAGTCGTCAGCATGGTGGATGCTGCCATGGTAAGGGGTGCTTCGGTTGGGCCATCATCTGATAGTGCAGGTGAGACCCTTTGAGCGGGTGAAGGTGGTTGGGACATAGTGGTTGCTGAGGTTGATGAGGTGACGTCGTTGCGTGGGTAAATCGGATGGGTGTTGGATCCGTCGCTTCGAAGTATTTCTTACATAAAGGCACAAGAAATTGCGTATATGCGGAGCTCAAAGAGTGTTAAAGTCGTGACTCGGAGTAGGACAATCCAAAGGGTAAGAGAAGTTGCGGACTAGAGGTCAGTGCCTGACCAACCAGAGCCCCGCACTCTACCCGCACCGCGAACGCAACTACATACGATCACTGACGTCTGCACAGTAAGACAATCAATGATATCCACTCTCGCATTGATATGTATCTATATCTAATACGATAGCGATAAATGAACTAGCCTCCAGCACGCGTCGACAACCATCGTCTCCAAGGATATATCCACAATTCAGACAACGCCTAACGCTCTACAGACGCTCGCGGTGAGCACCACCGCCAGACCAGCCGATACAAAGGGAAGTGGGATGCAGTAGGTATATACAACGATCCATGCATCGTAGCCACCGTACGGGACTTCGGACTATGCCGCTTAGGAAACAACAAACAAGCCATGCCCCGATGTAGGAAAGAAAAATGCGCCCCAGAAATGCTGCAGGTCGCCGGAATGCTGAGTAACGGGTATTCGCAAAATAAAATGATCCTTGCGCCCGAAGGCTGCGAGAAGTGAATAAAGGGTAGGACGAAATTATGTCGTGCGTATGCCGTGTCGTGGTTTGGATGCCTTGGGCAATGTAGGTCTTCGTGTACGTTCGTCGTTTTTGAAACTTTTGAATCATTCACGGGTAAGCTGGGCGAGAAGCTGATCAAGCTCCATCCAGTTATCGGCCGTTACTGCGAACTTGCGATGCTTGCGTGATACAACATGCTGTACAACGGGTTAGCAAACCGGTGAAGGTGCTGTTCAAGGTGTACGTACCTCATCAAAATCATTGAACTTCTCTCTGCAATTTTCGCAATAGCCAGGCTTGAGCTCCTTCTCGACGGGCTTTTTGCGACGCAATGCTACAGCTTTCCTGACTTTCCTCTCCTCATCGGTATCCTCGCGGACTTGTCCGAGAGTTTCTTGAGCTTTGCGTTTGGCAGCACGCGTGGGCTGGGGGTGGTCTTGGTTCAATGCCGCCCGTAAAGAAGCATCGCCCATAGTAGATGAATGACCGCTGTTCACAGATGGTGCGCTGTTCCTCTCCAGAACCTTTCTCTTCAACTGATTGACCTCTTTGCTATTGCCAGCGCGGGCACCGGGTGCTGCAGCTGTAGACGAAATCATCTGAGATTGGATAGCGGACGTGATGTTCGATTGGTGTAGGCCAGAGGCCACAGGTTCGCCGCCAATGAATCGTGGCATAGTACGCAGGCTAGCCTGAGCACTGCCGAACATAGGAGGGATGCCATCTCGCGTGGTCTGAAGAGCCTTTGGAACCCCGGCACACTCAGTGTTTTCTTCCTTTATAGGAACGGCAGTGGTGGTGTTGCTACGCCGGGCGAGGTTAGGATTGTCTCCCAGAGCACGTTTCTCGTCCAGAGCGGCCGTGACAGCCCTTGTGCGCGGAGCAGCGTTCGCCATCCTCCGTGCGTGTCGTGCGTCCTGCTCTTCGATTTGCTGTCTACGAACGGCTTCGCGGTCCTCGATAAAAGGGCACTTATAGTTTCCAGAAACGCGGAATTGTGGCCATTTGCCATCTTCTTTCTTCTGAACCTTGGAGTACTCCCGGACCATGACAGGGCGCGTCAACTCATCCATATCGTGGATGTAGATGTAGAAGCCGCGAAGGGGAATCATGTCCTGCGCGGCCACAGAGTAATCGCGGTCCATCGGCCGACTAAGCTTCTCTTGCTCCAACAGCTTCTGTAGGTCACGACGAGCTGTCGGTTGCAGCGCTGTGGCCCCATTACGTGCAATGTATTGTGTCACATCCTCCCCAGTAGCAGTGTTGAACATAGTATCAAGCATACGCTGAAGCTTGTCAAGAGCCCAGATTTTCATTCCCAGGTCCTTGGCCTTATGCAGTATGTCTCCACCACCAGTCTTTTGGATTTCGAGAGCATTGTCGAAAACAGATCTCTTCGATTCGAGCTGAGCTGGGTTTACGGTGCCCTTAGCAGCGATCGACGAGCTGGACGAATCGAATTCGGGTCCAATGGGACGAGCGGTGATGACATGGGTGACTTCACGAGAGAAGAACTTGGCTTCACGCTGGGGTAATGTTAGCGACATACGGCACGGAGAGGGATCGTGAGCGTACGGAGCCTAGGATCTGCGCCTGTCTGGAGACTTTGGATTTGATGTCATCAGGAACGCTCTCGAACCAAAAGACGAACTGCGGGAAGAGTTTTCGATAGTGTCGTTGCCAATTGCGGATCGTCTCGAGGTTGCTAGCATTAACCTCGGGGCCTCGTGTGTTGGGTCGAGTGGTCCTGGATGCCACCTTCTGCTCGCGTGCCGCTTCCAGCTTCTTCGTAAGCGCAGTCGGTGGAGCAGCACTCCGGCGAACGAGCCCAGAGCGACGTGCGTCTGCATCATCCTCTACCATAAGCTTCTTGGCGGGTGGCTGACCATAGGTGAGGTCGCGTTGCTCGCTGGCGTGGGAGCGTTGACGCTTGCCGCCAATGGCAGTCGCGCGCATGGGCGAGTTTGTGGCATTGTGGAGGTTTGCGAGGGGGACGCGACGGTTGGCCATGACGTCTACGACCTGGGGCGAGGGAGGCACAGCTACTGCTGCCATGCGTAGCTGAACACCTGGGTGTGAGGGCGCGTGGGAGGCTGGGGGTGGAGGGGCAGGTCAGAGTTTCCTAGCTCTTGACGCGACGTAAAGGGCACTTCTGTTCTGCTTAGCAACGCGCAGCAGCCATGCCGGCTTCGAGAAGCTTGTGAAGGTTGTGCGAGGGGCCGTCGAGGCACGATTGAGTGAGCGGAGGGCGAATGGCAGGGCTGGGGTAGCTCTGTCTTGGACCGGATGAGAGCGAGTTTGTTGTGGCTGGCAATGCACTCGACCCAGGACGCGAAGAGCTACGGGACCGTGCTCGAGCTAGTGCGCGATGCCTGCCCCAGCAACGGATCCTTGCCGAAGAATAATAACAAGGTGGGGTCCCTCCTGTTGTTTATTCTGGTGCGAGTGCGTGCGTTCCTGGGTGATTGATGATCTTTCTTCTGGAACATGGTCGCGAGCCTCCGCTCCAGAAAAGCTATCGCGTAGTGCCGCATGCGAACCGTGGGAGGGACGCAGCTAGTAGAGCGCGCCATGCTTCCAGAAACGCGTGCTACCGACGCATCTCAGACACTCCACATGTCGTCACCCAAGACATTCACCAAAACAAATGTGTGTTGTCTATGTTTGTCTACAGCCCTACAGCTCTGCAGGAAGTCACAACCTTTGTCCAGGAACCGCGCCTTCCCCAGCAGTAGACCCAGACTGTCGATGTTTTGTTGTGCTGGCGTGAGGTGGGGGTAGGTAAACATGGCTTCCAACAATTCGAAGAAGCTACAACGAGTAGTTGAATACACATATCAAGTGTCTATGTACCATTTAGCACCTTGGCCTCACCATGGCCATTGCTGTTGCAAGAGCTGTGTCCATTTGTTGTGTCAGTATAGTCTTGATGGTGAGTTAGAGATAGTTCGAGAAGTAGGTGAAACCTCGCATCTAATCTCCATACACTGGAAGAAGCTTCAACCGCTCGACCAGCTTTCACTCGAACATACTCCTATGCCCTTATAAACACGCAGAGTTTTTTTGCGAACGCCTCATCACCACCCAGACACACTGCCCTCGCCTTCAACTTCCAAACCACGGCGCAAACATGGCAGATCGGAACTACAAATCCTACCAACTCTTCGGCCCGACCAACCGCCTGGAAAGCAACTTGCGGAAGGGTGACTACTGGACTCCAAATTCAGAGCGTGTGCCTCGCCAAGGCAACACAAGCAGCGTCCCTGCAGCCCCGTCGAACGCGCACGACAACCCCTACATCGACCAAAGCACAGAGGAACATGGAGAAGGTGGCCACAGACTCCCTATCGTATACGACCGCGAAATTGAAAGCCTGATAGGACGGACTATCCGCGCCTACCGTCTCGTAGTAGATTATGAGCGGGCTTGTCCAATCGGCCGCCGCTGGATACCCGAGCACATCAGGATGATCCAAGAAGCGGGCAAGTATCTTGAATCTGACCGTGTCGTCCTAAACAGTTTGCGCGCGACGCTGGCTCGCGGCGGTGATGCTGTTCCTGTTGGCAAGATTCGCGCAAATGCACACGATCTTCGCGACTATTGCCGGGAGATCTTGGAATTGATCAAGGCTCATGAGCAATTCCCCTTGATTGATGGTCGTGCTGTAGGTGTACAGTTTCGAGACCATTTTGCAGAGGCTGAAGGTGTTAAGAGTATTCAGCATGACGCTAGTCGTGAGCGGAGCGAAACACCTGTTAGGCTTCGTGATCGGAGTTCTCTTGCGCAGCCTGACAAGTACATCGGTAGCGGACGACGTGGAGATGGACGGGGCTTTGGTGGCGGATACGATTCATGGCGACCGACATGAGATCGCTCTCTGCGTCTGGGTGCTAGCGCGCAACCCACAGTTTGCGTGCCAATTCGTTCCTTTTAAACGTTGGGATCGGCGATGTTCGCGGTACACTGGGAACTCCTTTTCGGGCTCGGCTTGTCAAGGGGCTTGCGGAATGTTGATAAGGCATTGGTGCTCAGCGAATGTGTCAGCAGCTGCTGGACGTGGCAGCATGGTCAACGATTGCTGAAGTGTTAGTCTTGAGCGGCTAGTTAGGCGCATAGAGAGTCACTATAAGTGTGAATGCAAGGCGTGGTGTCACCAACTATGGTTTAACAAATGGGACTCTGTAGGAACAATCATGGTTCAGTCAAAACAAAGAGTGCCCATGCATGCATTCGATACTAAGGAGAAAGTACAACCCACAGTACACAGCGGCCGAAGGTAAGTCGGACTTCTGGCGGCAACACCTCCTGTGATTGATCACCGACGATACAGTATTATACTAGAACTTTAGCCATTCATTGTAGAGCGAATTACCCTAAGTTAGATGATCCTATATATTACTTGTGGACCATCTTGACGACTAGCTGGTTTGCAATTCAGAGAGAGAGTCTGAGTTTTCCCTTCGGCGTCTGCGGTAGTAGGCCCCAGATTCCCGAACTCGCTCTTCCCTGCGCTCTTCGCTCCTTCCTCGTTCACCCGCATACAAGGAACGAGCGTCCCTCCACCCCATAATGCAACACTTTGCGATAAGCGCAAGGCAATATCCGTACGTGTTTTGGTACCAAAGGATCTCTTTCAAAATTGCTGTGGCCGGTGAGCAACCAAAGTTGGCATCAGCGTTCAGCGTGGCAGGGTAGGGCTGAGCAGGGCGCCTCCGCTAAGTATTATACGAATGAGGGGGCGCGAGGCCACGGGTCGCACAAACGGGTGCGGGATGCGAGACTGTGGTGTTGTGGTGCTTTATAGCGAGGCAGATTTGGGTAAGAAGGCTGTGTCGTGAGGGGTATTCTGCGATGGACAAGGGACAGCACGAGCGATGGATTTTGCGCAGCATACACTAGGTGCGTGTTTGATGGGGTTTGCATTGTGATGCAGCATTTCAAATGATAAGAGACTATCTTACATGCTCTAGCTATGTAGTCCTCCGCGTGGGTATGCCTAGTGGATTACGTGTTGAGACCGAACGCCCTGTGTCCTGATGCATGCCTGTTTGACCGAACGCCGTAGATCTCGGACCCTTGACGGCCCTCCGTCATTTCATCGAATCGTTGAATAAGTGAAAACCATACAAAGTATGAATACATTTTTACAGACAAAGGAAGCAACAACAAAGAAAAGAAACCCAAGCAAGAAATATGTCGATGGGCTGGAGAATAGTGTAAGCATACTGGCGCACAAGCTTGCGCCCACCACGATAGCAGACAATGTGCTGCTGATCGTCCTATCGAAGGACGATCTTCGAGAATTTGTGCGGAACGTCCTTGATCGCTTCGTTCCAGGCATCCTCGTGAATACGTCCAACAGCCACTCTCCTTGCAAATGCTTCTTGAACGGTACCGTTGTCTAGCGTCTTTGCTTCAAACTCTTGAATCAGCATGACGTTGTACATCTTCCATTCGCCTTCGTTGTTGTAGTCCTCAGGGTCGCCAATTTCTTCCTCCTTCAAAAACTGACCGTCCTTCCAGATGGGGATTCCAGAGGGGTGAGAAATATTGCTCGGATCCTTGCTGAACGTTGACTGGACGCGACGATTGACGGAGAGCAAGACGTAGTGCAGCTTTCCTTCCTGCTGGTATGAGGCGATTTTCTTTTTATAGTCCATGAGAACACCACATGGGCGATCTTGAGAATCAATGAGCCCAGTACAGAGCAGGGGTAGCTTGTCCTCGTCATAAATCTGTTCCATCTTGAATGCGGATGCATCAATCTTCTGTGCAGTGAAACGTAAAGTATCGCACTGAGTTTTCGGTTGCTCGGGAGCCAAGAGATGCAGACCACCTGTAGGGTACTCAATCCGAGGGTGCTGCTTTGAGTCCAGGCCAACCTTGAGCGGCATAGCCCGATTCAAGATCCTGTATCGCTCTGGTCCAGACTCGGGTCCAAGCTCGAACGAGGTGATCTTCGACTTGAAGAACACTTCTGCCTGTCCCCGCCTCCGGACGTCAGGACAACTAGAAGGATCGAATGGGAAGTTTACAGCGCCATTCCATCCTTTCCAACTCCAAGACGGCTCTGACGACTCCCCGACAGACTTTCTGGTCATATCCCCGGCTGGGCACCATAACAAAGCAATGTCGAACAGCGCTTCCGGAAGGTCACTGACAAAGCGGCCACCTTCCACGTCGCAAATTGTTTTTTGAATCTTGGAAAGTTCCTCTGCTGAAAAGTTGGAATTTCCCGATACTTGGTTGGTAATGAGTCTGTTGTATTTTTGGAAAGCATCGAACCAGCCTTCTACTTGTTTGAAATTCTCTTTCCTTAATATTTTGTTTTCTTCCTCGACCACTGAGATGATGGAAGCTGACCTCGATCTCGTGAGGTGTCTGATCCATTTGCCAGGGGATTTCGAGGACATGGAGCGAAGGGAGCGGGAAGTTGAACTACTTCGCGATCTTGTCGGCTCCATGGGGGAAAGCCATCCACCAGAATTACCGGTAGAAGGGCGTTGATCAGGCTGGGGAGTTTTGCTATTTCTTCGAGGGAACATACTCGAGACTGTAGACAGACTTAAGCGCGGCCGGAGATATGGAGAAGAACCCCGCGAGGGTGGGGGATCGGTAGCCATGACAAGTAGCGACATAAGTGTACTGGATCGAAGAGAATATCTGCAGGTGGCCCGTTGCAGTTGTTCGTGATGATGTGGTAATGTGTCCAGTACTTAGCGGCAGATTTCAGGGTATGGTGAGACAGCAAGAGGCCCGGTGAGTCTGGGGGTGATGCGTAGAAGTGCGAGGTGCGCGGTGACTGTAAAATAGCAGTCACCGCCTCGCCGCCCAATGTGACTGCGCCTCGCTGTTGAAATGCCTCGAACACTGCCGAAGATTCAGGAGAGACGACGCTGATGGGGCAGCGCAGGAGGGACTTTGACGCGGAGGTTCGAAGGTGGCTGAGCACAGGTCACAGTCTGTCAGGCAAGCCTGGCCCACGAGCAAGCCCCTGCATCGCTAGAGCCACCAAAGTCATCCTTAACATTCTCGTACACAGTAATATCTCAATTCGGGCATGCCTTGCGTACGAAGCTTCGTAAGTCCGCAACTTTCGGTCTTCGGGCGACGACTCGGAGCGATGACACAGGTTTTGCTGTAATGGTACTATGAAAGACAGTGTCACAAAGGCGATGCATCATATCCATGCACAAGATAATGAAGCTTCCGATGATGCGAGTCTCAGAACAGAACCCGGCCCGCTGTTTCGCGGACGAGGTGTCGATGATCGATTCGACGTGGGGCAAAGCATCGTTGCGCGCTTGCCAACGCGCGCGCCAGCAAATGTTCAACGGTCGGCCAGTGATGGCATACCTCGGCCAGAGAAGACTCAAATGAAGGTGGCTGAGGACTTCCGAATCTTCATCGATTGCGATAGGGCACACGAAGAAAGTTTGCCCGAGACGTGTGATGCGTGATCAAGGCACTCGCCACCGCTCAGCCACAGGTGTGGCGCATGCTAGCAGAGTCGACCAATGACACGAACGCGGGGTCACCGTACGCGAAGTGGGAGGCAGCACTGGCGACGCGTCGAGCCAGCTGCAGCTTCAAAACCCACTGCTTCCAGACTTTTGTTCGTCAAAGTCTGCGCGCACGCAAGCCGATCAATACACCATGTCTGGCTACGAAGGCAAGTAGCACTGCCCTCGGCTTAGGAATCTCCGACCTTGAACTGACGATGCCACAGTCGAACACAACATCCCCACCAAGGAGGACAACCCCGAGCAGCCCGCGCGCCGACCTGATCTCAGCACCTTCTTCTCCACGCTTGAGTAAGCAATGTCGGGGCACAAAGTGGGTGTTCATGCGCGGCGATTGTCTCAGACTCCAGGCCTTACATCTCTAAGTCTGAGATCTTCTGAGATCGGTAGTTGGCTAGAACACCTACTTCACCCCCTTCTCTGATTTGTGAACATTACACTGACTTTGTACCCCCACCTCTAGGCTGGTCGATACCTCTGACGCGCAAGCACACCACAATGCCCACGCGGTACCCCAGCCTGAGAATGTAGCGGCTGCATTCCGGTTGCTCGCCAACGCTTTTGACATGATGCGCGGACGGCCTGCGGACGAACAGGGCGACCACACCACCGGCGGCGATGATCTGCTAGCGAGCATGATTGAGCAGCTGCGGCAACATGCGGATGATCCACCGACCGAGTTAAAAGGCGTCCCAGACAGCTTCTTGGACGAGCTGGACCGTGTGCCGAAAAAGTCGCTGAAGCCAACTGATACTTGTCCCATTTGTGTGAATCCTTTCCTAGAGGGTATGTGGGCATATGCGTAAGTATGTGCTTATTGCATGGCTGACATACTTTTTGACAGACCAGTATCCGTTGGTTGTAGAGCTTCCGTGTCACCCAGATCATCGCTTCGATCTCGATTGCATCAAGCCGTGGCTCAAGCTCAACTCAACATGTCCCCTTGATCGTAAGGACCTTCTGAAAAAGAAGAAGCCACTACCGCCTCCAGCGGACGACGACGAGGAAGAATACGATGACATGTACGCTTGAGGAGCTAGGGTCAAGTAAGGTCGAATTTGCATCGGAGCCTGAGGTGCCAATCTCCTTACGAGCATGTTGGGTTCGATTTATGTGCACTCATCGCGGAACATGCATGCGTCTCTTTTGACGAAAGTTCCCAATCCTAAACCTTGGGTATGCATCAACCTTGAAACGCTCCAGGCACTGATGCTGCAGTGCGTAAGCAGTGGATGCGATTAGGAACCTGGCCGACTAGTATCCTACGTAACATACGCCGTAAAGACGTTCCTCGTGTTAAACTTAGCGAATCGCGTATGACGAGTCACCCGAGTGACCGGCAGCAGCTTGTCCGCATTAGTCCATCCATACAATTCAACACCCTTCACCATTCCGCCCGCCAGTAGCTTGGCAGGCGAGGATAATGTTCCATGTCTCTAAGTAGGCCCAATCTGCGTAGACCTGGCCCAAATCAATGCTGAAGGCGCATCAATACAATCGGCACTTGCTACATTGGCGCACGCTAATCGTGGTCCATTGTGAATGTCAGAAAAGGACGACTAAGTCCGATCGGACGATTCAGTGCTATCGTGGGATTACATGCGACCAGAACTTGACAAAGTGTTTGTCGTAAGCAACATCCTTCATAATCGCGGGTAAGAGCGCGATTACTTAGGTCCGCTTCCGCTGCTCGGAGGCGGAACGACCATGACCACATGGCCACTGCACGATAGCGGCGATTCTGCAGCGAAGTCTAGGAAAGTAATCTTCCCTAGGCGTGACTACTGGAGGAAGTTGACTACGAGCTGGGACACACCCGGCAAATTCCATTAGGGTTAGTTAGTGATGAATCTTGGTGATTACGGACACTGGAAACTGGCTTGGGGTCACGCAGTGCTGGCGCTCGGCACCGGATGCAAAGTCAGGTTCACGTCAAATGAGTTTAAGTAAGCTATTCATAATTGTGGGCGAAAGTCCGTAATCTCGATCGCCTCTTGGATGCGCAGCCTCCACGGAGTTGTCGAACGATCGTACAACCGAGGCAGCGTCTGCTTACGAAGCGACCGCGCAAAAGGGTCGTCGCCCTTGTTGTCGCGATGCGGACATAGAAAGCAAGCAGCCTCGCGCTTCGCAGCTCCTTTAAATGCGAAGTCGGGCAAAGGAACATCTTGACGACGGCGAAGCTCGTAGTGAGGTGCGGCCTTTGCAGTCAGAAGCCCGTCGCAGGCGGTCCAAAAATCTCGGCCGAAAGTTACCGGGGAGGCGCTTACCTCCAGCCATTGCCGCCAACTGCATCCCCACACTATGAAAGTAGTCCTTGTCCCATTATGCTTCGGACAACACCTGCTTGACGCTGAAAGCAGATAGATGAGTGTGCTGGTTGTCTTTGGTCCAGTCGACATGGACTATGGTAGCACGACCAGTACCGAGACGAGCAGAAAGAGGCCGTCCAGTCGCCTGCGCGCCTGTTGGGAGTGTAAGATACAACTTCCGGTCCCAATACTGTTGTTGGTCGTTGCTTGACACTAATTTGGTTTCGGCAGGCAAGAAGAGAAAATTGCAGACCGCTTGCGAAAGGAGCGAGTCGCCTACTACTTTAGCTGTTGGCGTTCTGGACGGCTTCGCCCCGGATGGCGAAGATCACGCCTGTCAACTTCACATAGGTGAGCGGCTTGGCAAGCTGGAACAGCTCTTCGAGAAGTTTGTGTGCCGCAAAGCTCCCAACATCACATCAAATATCGCTTCATCGCAAGACTCTTCGCAAACACTATCGGTGCAGTCGAACGAGAAGCCTTTCAAGTTCACTGGGCTTCCCCCTCTTCCACATAGCGACGGGCAAAGTCTCGCAGATGGCATAGTCAGTATTCTGTTAGCAGTCATATTCACACCTTACTCATCTGCTTTCAGCTTGGATCCCGCACTTGGACGTCGGCGCCTAGTATCAGGACTTTGGTTGACAAAGAAGATGGACCACCATCATCCGATCCTGTCCACCGGGCATTGGTGGCTCTGCTTCCATCACAACATGATGCCGACGTCATCTTTGAGTCCTCAAATGGGTGGATGATCCTGAATGGCATGTACCGACCCTCAAAAGAACTCTTCGTTGGTCAAGATACGGAATCGTATGCCTTGGACATTGGTTCCATCGCAAAGGAGCGTGCTATTATTGTAGCGCGGACACTGCTACATTTAGCAGCTTGCATCTGCGCGTTACCGCCCGACTTCGACACTTCACGGTTGCGAAACATTTGGAATCTTGAAGCTACGATGGAGAATTATGTTACTACCGTGACTTCTCTTGTCACTTCATCGGATGAGCTGCTACTCACCTTACCGGGGCTTGAGACCTTGCTTCTGCTATCGGTGTATCATATGAACGTCGCTAATCTTAGACAAGCCTGGCTCATTGTCAGGAGAACTATGAACTTAGCACATCTGATGGGGTTCCATCGCATCGTTCAATCCAAGCAAATCCCCCCAATCGAATCGATACAGTCGTCAGCATCGATATGGTGCTGTTTAGTCGACCTTGACAGAATACTCGGCTTACACCTCCGCCTCCCGTTCGCCTCCGATGATTACCCTGTCGCTGAAGACGGCGAATTGCACCGTGTTCACCGCGCTCGGCTCGCGACCATATGTCGACAGGTCGGCGAGCTCGATCACAAAGTCACATCTCAATCCTACGTGCAGGCACTAGCTCTCGATGAGAAGTTAGAGTCTATGATGAAAGAGCAGCCTAAAGATTTCTGGGACGTACCCAACGTGCCACCGACAGCACGAACAGCCGAATCCTACGACGTGCTCGAACGCCTGATGGTCCAAATGTGGCACTTCGAGTTGAAGATCTTCATTCATCTCCCGTTCCTCCTCCGCGCACCATATGAAAGCCGCTTCGAATACTCCAAAGTCGCAGCACTACAAGCGAGCCGCAACGTCGTCATGAGATGGTTCGCACTCCGCAACGCAGGTATAACGCAAGCATGCTGTCGCTTCGCCGAACTCAGCGTCTTCATTGCTTCCATGACGCTCACGCTCGATATCCTCATCGACATGGCCACTAAAGAAAAAGCAGATGTACAAAAGGCAAAAGGCAGCGACTTTGCGATGATATGTCGTGTCATCTCCGAGCTGGAGAAGCTGGGCAAAGCCAGCGCACGAGAACGCATCGCAACGCGCAGTGCAGTTGTGCTCAAGAAGATCCTATCCTCGCTGGATCCGAGCAAACAGACGCTAGGGAAGGCCAGGCTGACGGTACCCTACTTTGGCACCATCGAGCTGGACTACAAGAAATTGCCTGTACGGCCGGCGTTCGACCTGGACTCGGGCACGGCGAAGAAATTGAGCTCGAATGGAACAGCTGAGCACATTCCGGTGTTTTCTTTTGTCACGAATGCGCTGTGGCCTACAACCAATGAGTTCGACGATCCTGAGATGGACTTTGACATTACTCTGTTCGATGGGCTTCGGGATCTCGATGTGGATGGGAATTGGGTGTTTTGATCAGCCTGATCACAGTTTCGTATGTTAAGGTGTGGTTGAAAGGCGTTTTCATTTGTTGTCAAAATTAGCATCATAGCGTTGCTTTGGGTTTGATACCTGGTTCTTGGGTTTGGATCTGGTTTCATGTCCTATGATTTGGGACAGGTGTTCGGCGCATTGTTTCGGTCATCTGACAGGACGTTCGTACTAGATGATGGTGTTTCGTTGAAATTGCGCTTGTATATAGGATATCCTTTTTGATAATGATAGGGTGAGGCGCGTGCAGTGACATTCGCTCGTTGCACCATTCAATGCGCTTAAACCACAAGTGAATCTACCTGATAATTCCGCAAATAATCTGACAACTCATCGTCGCGATTTCGATGAGGAAATAAGGAAGCGCCCGTCTTCCAGGTCGTGAGCCCTTGTCCTTGATTGCGTCTATGGACGAACGGTGGGATGCTACTTTGTTGTGCGTTTTCTGCAGAAAATTATGTACATAGATAGATTGATCCGAATAGACAGTCCCGCAATAGAGATGATATTTCGAAGTTGTATGCAGAGTTCGGTGTGACAGGTTCCAGGGGCTGCTCGTGCTGTAAGAAGCTGAGGCGCGCCGTCGCTTCCCAAAGCGGCGCGCGGCGCGTCTCCGGCAGAGAGTATGGCGATCGCAGCCGCTTGCAACAACCCCGGCGACAAGTGCGGCCACAGGGCTAGGCCTTCCTCGCAGGCACACGACACGCTTGCTCCCAGGCCGTCGCGGCAAACTTCTCGACTCTTCAGCGCTGCGGCCGTCCTCCCCTCTATTGCGCGCTCCCCTTTTCATGCGTTCGACCCTGCGACGTCAAGACTGCCTCGTAGGAAGCGAGCTGGCCGATTACCTCGACCTGGAGCCGGAGGGCAACATGGAGGCCAGGGGCCACGAACACGACCGCGAGCGCGACCACTCCGGCGAGACCGAGCAGAGGTGGATGCCAGTGTTGGGAAGGGGCGACGATGCGATCATGCGGGAGAAGGAAGGGGCGGTTGAGGTCATGAAGGAGGAGGGTCCGTTGCTGAGCCTGTTTGAGTCCGTTATCACCAGCTACCCGCCCGTCCTAGAGTCGCTTCTCGCCCAGATATCAACGGCTTCGCTCCTCGATCTCTATCACACGTCCAAATACCTCCGCGAATTTCTCAAAATGTACCCTCTCGCATGGAAGACGCTATCATTCCGGCTGCCGCAGCCCGCTGTGGCTATGGGATCGCCTGGGAACGAGACACCAGACGGTAGGGAGCGCCAGTCGAAGCCATACGCCTTCGATGCGCTGTTGAAGCAAATCATAGGCCCACATGGGTCGCGGTTGACCAGCCTTGATCTCTGTAACACCGCGGTCTCGGGGACGGCGCTGAGTATGCAAGTCCTGGGACCGCGAAGTAATACTCTCAGGTGAGTGGTTCGGCATCATTTCGAGCCTTTTTCTCTGTTTCCTGGGGTATCAAGTTTTCAAATCCATCCCCAACTTTGGGACTTGATATGCGGCAGCCCTCACAAAGAACGCCTGCTGACCCGGTCTGCGTGTAGACACTTATCGGTGCGGGGCTGTAAGAACGTCTCCATCAAATACCACATCGTCCCCTTTCTGGAACCATACACTATGGATTACATGCCGGATTTAGCAATAGACCTCGCCTTGAAGAGCCTCTATACATACCGCTGCCGACACCATCGTAGACGACCATATCTTCCTCAATCCCTTACGCGACGAGACTCCGACTCCGACCCGACGCATCAGTTAATCGAGATATGCCATAAGCTAGGGATATGGACAGACACTGCATGGTGTCCAACCCCAGGAGGGCGCTGCTATCGAAGGAAAGATTACCATGCAGGAAGAGCAGGCCCGCAGAATGGGGAAGTATGGGTGCCATATGACCGACTCTGGCGGTCAAGTAACCGTATTGGGCCTGCGGGTGGAGTTGGAGAAAAACTTGGAGAATCAGACGGGAGGCTGTGGGAGATCTCTGAGACTGGCGAAGATGGCGAACCGTTGGGAACTGAGAGTGCTGTATCCAAAGGCGAAGGCAAGCACGTGCCGGCACACCTGCGAAAGAGCCACAAAACTTTTGTCGAGAACGTCTACTGCGCGCAATGCAACGAACAGATTCTGGAGCGATGCGAATCATGTAGCGTTCGGATGCACTGCATGGGATGCCGTAAGACGCTTTGCGCCAGCTGCGCATTCAACAAGCCCATACCCAGGAAGCGGGCGAAAACGCGGCAGTTCACAAATCTGGCTTTCGGTCCTGGCTCCACAGTAGGAACCACTATCAACCAGGCGTCAACTGGGTCTAACATTTCACTCCAATTTCACAACAGCTCTGCGCAACTCCTGCAGGACAATCGATTCTGGTGGGCTCCTGGGGCTACCCGCTCTCCGAATTTAATGATTGAGTCTTCTCAGGATGATGACGATTCAGATTCCGAGGATGGCGGTAACCTCAACCACGGTCTGCCTGTGCCGCCTCCAAACCGTGATCCACCAAAACTCAACATGCATTGGTGTTGCTTGGAGCCTATCTTCTCGGGCGGCGGCGGCATTGCCGTACTTGGGACTGGGCTGGGTGGGAGAGGAGCCGACAAGATACGGGCAGCACCGCTTCCACGCACCAAACAGTTCGAGGACCCAGATTTTTCGAGCCAGCTTCGACCCGTCGATTACATCCGAGAGCTGAAAAACAATGGACTCTATGAATATGTCCTTGGCGAGGATGTTGATGTTTTGAGCTACTTGAAGCAACCCAGCCTGGAATTGCAGGCCCAGACTTGTCCGCGAGGTCTTTGTCAAGACTGTTACAGAAGCTTTCGATGGAAAGTCACATGCCGGACATGCAAAACCCCAATTTGCAAAGAACATGACTTCAGGGGCTTAAAGTTCCGAAAATGCGGCTATCGAGACATGCTCACCGAGCGCGAACACGTTAGAGCGCATACCGATCCGCCTCGATTGACAATACCCGAGTTCAACCCCAATAGGAACGCTCAACGGCCACCTCCCGGTCCTCTACTATTTAGTCAATCCTCATCATCTTTGAGTACCGAACTTGACATCGGCGACCAAGCACCTATGTCACAGTCTCAGATTCTAGTCCCACCCATTCCGCCGTCTTCTGTCGATATGTCTGCCCAGAATTCAGTCGCATCGCATACGTCCAATTTCGACCCGTTCACGAACGCTACACCTCTGCCTTTCGTCCCAGTCAGCTCCTCAAGACCACGATCTCTCAGCGCGTCAGGTGTCCGCAGCCGAAACCTAATGCTTGCGGCGAACTCACCGCGAGTTGGCGCACCTAATTCTATAGCCAACCCTCTCCCACTGCCTTGTCATCCTCGCCATCCTGTGCAATGGGAGGGCTGCGGAGCGTACTTCTGTCAGTATCCCAGGCCAGTGGGTGACAATAGGCCACAATGTCCGACCATTCTCAAAGAGTGCACTGAGTGTGCCGTGCTTGTGTGTGACGTAAGTCGATCTCATTCCTAATTGACGAGCGTTGGGACAGGGCTAATAACTTCTAGCAATGTAACCATGCCAACCCCACCTGTACGTGCACATACTGCACAGTAAACTTTCACTGCCCAACGTGCTCTCGCAAACCAGAAGTCAAGGCAAAATGTCGATTTGACGTGGAGACTCAAGCAAGACTTGCAGAGGAAAGACGTGCGCGCGAGAGAATGGAGAAGGAAAAGAGGGGACGAAACCAAGCTGATGAATTAGCTGGAGCTGTCTTCGAATTCTTCAAGTCTCTCTACACCGACGACAATGTTGACGATGATGGGCCCAGTATCACCCATCAAGAGAATGTTGACCTTGTTAACCAGAACACCGTCATCGCCGCATCTGGCAACCAGCTACCCAGCCCAGACTCAATCACAGTCACCACCGTGTTCGGCGTCCACGAGGAGCCAAGCAACTTCACTGTCATCTCTGGGCCATCTGCACTGCCGTACCATCAAGTACATGCAGTCGAAGAGGCTGGAACCTCTGGCCTTGATCCTCTGGATGAAATTATGCAAGGAGCCGACATCTCACTTTTGAGCGAGGCCGACTTGGATTTATTCCTATCTGGCGGAATTACCGCCCCTGTCAACGCCCCTGACATCGACTCACTGTTGGGCATTGACACGGATAGTAACATGAATGACGATGGCGACGATGGGGATATCGATACGGACGACTTTGATGCCGAGAGTGCGGTAATTGACGAATTTGTTGATGACGGCGGAATTACGCCAACCATGACCACCCACGCGTCGAACTTGCAAGGTTCGTAAACCTAGCCTGCCGCAAACCCAACATTTCGCGATGCGAGTAGGCAACGAAAAGACATTGCACGTACCAAACATACCCAGATGTGGTCGTTTCGGCCGATATCAATGAGATAGCCTCGCGAAACGGCTCGGGACGGCTTCTCGGGATGCAACATGCGCAGGATGACAGACATTTTGTCTGCAATTATGCAGGAGAGCAAGAGAGATAGTCGAGTTACGAGATTAGAAGCCTGAAGATACCCCAGCAGCCACGAAAGCAGAGAGGAGAGGACCGAGAAGGCGAGTATGTATACGTATATAGCACCACCCCAGCACGATTTATCCCCTTTACTATCAAGATTTTTTGAAGCATGGATTCTGCATAATCACCCTTTATCATTCAGCGTCATTCAATAAGCATAGCCGATTTCTTCTGGCCGAAAGTATAGCATAGCATAGCATTGGGAAATTGTGAACAAAGGCTTATGGGGGCTGGGTAGATCTGTCGTGCCTGGCGAGGATAGCGAATTGATTTGATATTGCATCTTCGACTGGCGTCGACATCATCCGCTCCTTGCAGAGTAGAACCAACGAGTCACTTTACTATTTCAACAAGTTTCAATCGTCCCGTCGCTTTACCAACCCCTTGATATGCCCCGCCGGAGTTGTCACGAAACAATCATGCCACTCCATATCCGCTTCGGTTGTAAACCCCTCCGTTTGCACGTCGAACCGTCGGAACAGGTGCGCCACTGTCAGGTGCAACGTTACATAGGCCAGATTAATGCCTATACAGCCCCGTGACCCCCGGCTGAAAGACTGCATCTGCCTGTCTCGCTGCTTGTACGTCTCCGCGTCGCAGAGCCAGCGCTCGGGGTCGAAGGTAAACGGCGAAGGAAAGGTGGCGGGATCGGTGTTCTGAAGGTAGATGCCTGAGGTTACGGATGTGCCGCTGGGGACGAAGTAGCCGTTGAAGGTTGCGCCTTCGGGGGGTGTACGGCGGATTATGCGGCCGGGGACGCCGTAGGAGAGGCGTAGACCTAAGGGGTGGGGAAGGAGTCAGTGCGAGTAAATAGACTGTGGCGGGGATACTTCTCGCATTGCGTGTCCCTGGTCTGGCGAGAAAAGGGGGTTCCTTTGTGAGAGAGAGCCATATATGTTGTAGGGGGGTGGGGAGTGGTTTGGTTACCTTCTTTCACAATAGCACGTGTGTAGGTGAAGGCAGAGCCATCAAGGGTTGCGGAGTCGACCACGGAATTTCGGTCCGGGATGGCGGTCTTCAGTTCTGAGAGGAGTCTGGAGGAGATGGAGGGGGATTGTGTTACGTGGAAGAGGATGGTGCCGAGGGTGTTGGCAGTGGTGTCGGTGCCCTAGACGCGGGTACAGTCAGTGTAAGTTATGACGGTGGGTATGTATATCGAGCGCATGTCTCAACCGAGTGGGAAAGATATCCTTTTGATGGGAAGACATGTACTTAGCACTCAAGCTAAACTCACAGCAACAATCATGAGTGTCCCGTCAGCGACCATTTCCGCCTTTGGTGGCGTAACCTGGCCTTTCTCCGTGTTTGGATTTAGCATGAGATCGAACATGGTCGGGATCTTAGAGTTGGTCTTCTCAGGATTATTCATCAGGTATTCGATGCGCTTGCGTGCAACGTTCTGCATCGTTCTGAAGCCGTGGATGGCTCGGAACTTCTCCTCCTGCATCTTGACCGGCAAGAGCGAAACAAGCTTGTTGACAAAACTGAAGAAATTAGGAAAATGTGTTCCGACAAGCGCCATGTCTGGACCCTCGCCGAATTTCTCGATCGTCTCGCTCCGAAATCCGGGTTCGTCGAGGGCATTAATATCCTGTTGGAAACAGTAATCCATGATCAGATCGGCCGTCAGGCATCTGAATGCCAAAAAGAAGTCGACCACGGTGCCGCTTGCTTTGTCCAGGGTGGTCAAGAATTTGGTCATTTTCTGGCGATGTAGGAAGGGCTCCGAGCGCAGAATTGCAGCTTTGCTAAAGAAGGGGGAGAGGAATTCGCGGCGGGCTCTGGTTTCGGGGAGTGTCTCCTTAGACTGGAGTGACCCATTCAAGAATTCCATGTCAAGCCATGTGCGCTTGAAGGGGGTACCGACGCGAAAGATCTGGTTGTAGCCTCCTAGATCAGCTACATGCAGCTCGTTGGGCTGGATGCGGATCAGAGGTCCATATTGTTTGTGCATCTCTGGGAGACGTTTGATGAGGCCTGGTGTGCAGAGGTCATAGTAGGCGCTATAGAGGTGGGTTGCGGCAGCAAGTTTGGGCCCCGGGAACTTGCGGAGGGGGTGGAAGAAGAGGCGATAGATGATCTTGAGAAAGACGTATGCAATGCTTGCCGCGATAGCGTAAAGGACGCTTTGTAGGGATATGGGCGCCATTGTGACCCTATATCTAGGATCAAGATGCTGGGATAGAGGGAAGGCAATATGATACCGGACGTCGTGATATCGTAAAGAAGGACGGACTGAGTGAGACACTTATACGTAGTCTCACCGCCGTATTGAGGCCAAATGTGTCCAAATCATGCAAGCTCCAGGTGGGGTACGGTGTACGAGCCATGTACAAGCCATGTACAAGCCATGTACGCGCCAGGGTTACCACTTTTGTCGGAGCAACCTTTTGCGATCGGCGTATCACAGTTCCTCAGTTGCACATGGCCGATAGGGATACATACTTAATAAGATTAAGGCTTCTTAGAGAACTTAGCAACGCAGTTTCGATTTCCCTCAAAGCATAAGAAACCAGTGTTGTTCCTAAGATGTAGGGTAAATTTTTATCCGAGTACGTTCAGCGCTATAAGTTGAGCACGTATATTGCCTTAGATAGCTAGCGCTGTCGTTATATGCAACAGTCTACAGTACCACTTTCCTGCAAGCAACAAGTAATCATCTTGCGATCGGCATACCTTCGGCCGACGGGAGATTTTCAGTCGGCCGACGAAAGCCCTGGAGGCTTTTCAGTCACATGGAGGCTCGGCCAATGGTGAGCTGTCATTCCCACTCCACAATGATCTCTAACTGGCTTAGCTAACAAGTGACTGAACCTCCTGCAGGTCGATGGTATATCAGTTACTCAGTTGTAAATGGCTAGCGGGGATACACACGCTGCAGGGAGAGCCAGCGCTAATGGTTAAGCTTTCAACGGGCCGTACGCATGTCATTTAGCCCGCTCATGGTGCTCATCTCACTAGAAAATCTACGGACAGGGGCCACATTCTTTGACTGAAAGAGGAGGAGCTGAAAGATCCGTATACTTGAGAGATCTGAGTTACTCAGATAAAACCTCGACATGAGCCAACACGTTCATAGTCCGCGACATAACAATGTCGAGTAATCATCACGTAATGATGTCTCGCACCGAGCTCTACATGCATCAGTGGAACTACCGTAGATTTGCACCGTGGACGTGCTCATAGAGCCTCCAGCTCCGAGGGGTACCCCACCAAACTGTTCATAAGAAGCCACAACTCTGCAAGCTTAGACGGATGTTTATTGAATGAAGTTGAGTATAAACGTATCGGCCAAGAGAGATGCTCGGACGTGATTATTGCGTTTTTGTCCCATATGCTACACCCAGCCATGGAAGACAAAGCCAAAGAAAGAAACCACCAGCTGTCAATGTTGTGAACAAGTAGAGAGAAGATGAGATAAAAGATGGCGAACGCCGGCCAATGCTGATCTATGATAATGTCGGTGATAGTGGCACGGAATGTAGATGCTCACTCAAGTGCGCTGATGCACCAGGATATAGAAAGGTACAGTTGCAGAAAGGGGACGTATCGGCGGTAACACTTCGTCAAAGAAAAGTAGGGTAAGATTCCATAAGACAAATGTGGGAAGGAAGCAAATCAAAGGCTTGATGCCGAGAGGCCATGTTCGAGAATAAAAGGATGGGACGGTCTACCCTGTAAAAGAATTCGTCCTCGGGGCACCTGTGGCATATTTTGGTTTTGACCTTATCGGAATACACAGACACAAGATGATTATGTCTTATATACTCGTATCAGAAATCTCTCTCAAAGCAATGCAACGGATGGTGTCATGAAGTTTCTAGCAAGGCGCGGTGCAGGCTCGTTGAAAGTTCTTAATCCGATCGCGCATTTCGTCGTCTTGTTGGTTTTCTTGTGACGACAAGCTCCTCACGATTTCTGTCTCGCTCGAACAATCCTGAGCAAATGATTGATGGACGGCAAAGCGAGATGGGGACGGGGTCGTTCGGAGAGGCCGTCTCGTTGGCAGGAGTTGTGTCTGCGGAGTCACTCGCCCACGAGATAGTCTATTGTAGATTTGAAGCGTAATAGACAAGCTGCGCGTGAATCTGAACGCATACTTGCACAAGAGAAGGAATGTGCAGCCGAGAAAAATGTCACACACAGGGTTCTTGATCCGACTGAAACATGTCAGCAGATACTATACAGATGTGGCTATGGACTCACGAAAAAGTTTGCTCTGCTGCAGAATGCGCTTCCGTAATTTTGTGCAATTCGAAGGGTCCAGGGAGCGACCACAAAATAGTGTAAAAAGACACGCCACAGATGAGCAATGCCAGCGCAAACATTGTAAGTTGGCGGAAAGCGTTTCCGAGGATGGGGATGCCAGAAACGCAGCTGGCGAACAGGACAAGCCCCACCATAACGCCTCCGATACCGACGTAAGCAGCGAACGTCTCGAATCTGCCTAGAAAACGCCCTGCGGTCTGTGCCATGGAGGCAAGGCTACCTAGGCCTTCATTGACGGTCTGGACTTGCGCAATGGAGCCTTCCAATTCGTCCTTCAGTGTGCCGATCTTATCGTTAAGACTATCAACATCCGAGCTAGCACCGGAGAGCCCTAATCTCAGGATGTCAAAGCTCCGCACAGTCGTTTCGTGGTGTTGCTGTAGTGCTAACATGTTTTTCGTATGATACTCTTGCAGCTCGTCTTTGTGCGTCATGGATTGTTTAGAAAGCTCCAGGGCTTGTGCTTGCATAAAGTTATCGATAGCTGTGGCAAGTTGAGCCAGAGAATCGTCCTGATGCTTTGCCATCACTTCCTTGTTCTTCGCACGTGAGGTCTCAAAGTGATCGGCTAGCCTGGATTGGAGGGTGGAATAGTGCTCATCGATCTGTTGCTGTGAAGCTGCGAGCCCCGACTGCATGTCTCGAAGGCCCTCTTTCGTCTCTTCTAATCTGTCATAGTAATTCTTATGGGCGTCTTTAGCAAACGTTGTGAACTCATCCGCTGCCTGTTGTGATTGTTCAAAAGAGCGTTGAACGTCACCAGAGAATTGGTGTAGCTGATCGTTCATCGACTGCATCTTCGACTCCAAAGGCTGGACTGAATCGTGCATCTTGGCCACCACTAGAGTGAGGTTTTTGTGGACCTGGATAGCCCGTTCTGTCTCGATGTGTTTTCGGGTGAGATGGCATATGTGCATAGCACGACTTCTTGCGTTACTGTAGGACGTCCACGTTTGAGGTGATGCTTGCATTGTCGTGAGGCATTGCTGGAGATCTGCTTTGACTGCCTTCGGATAGCAAAGCTCATCTGTGACGACTTTATCGTTGCCCCACCACGAGCGTTTTGCACATGCTTCATGGGACGGAAGAAATGCGTGACATTTAGCAGGAGCCTTGGGATGAGCATTCTGAGCACCGACAAACTCGCAAATAGCCAGCTTCAGAGCGTATTCGTTCTGTACATCTTCAAGGACTTGATCTGGGTAGGTTCTGGCGAAGTCTGATGGGTTATCGAGGAGTTGACATTCGGCCGTAAGCTTTGATGTGGCGAGCTGGGTGCATGCTGGTTTCGAACTCAGATGTTCGAGCCAAGCCCAAGTGTCTTTGAGTTCAGTGTTGCGGCTGATCTGAGCGTTCGCTCGCATGACCAGGGAGAGCTGCGGGTCAATTACATGGCCGTGATTTGCACGAGGCGATGGAAACTGTGCTTCAGTCGTCAAAATAGCCACAGCGAGCATGACGCTGCAGATTCTTGTTAGTCGACGCAGGGGGTCCATCTTTAAGGTCGCCTTGACCACGTTTCGAGATACTCGGCGGTAAGCAGCGACGGTAGCTGATACTTTGAGATCGAGTAGACTTCGAAGAGCTCTAGATTGATGTAAAACAGGAGGAAGGAGCACTGGGGTAGATATACCCGCTCGTGACAACGGCAGTCACGCCAGCAGCAGGATGGGTAAGAGAAAAGTAAAGGACCATGTATCACTTTCTGAGAAGCTGAGAGACTAATGAGGGCTGGTAGCAGAATTAGGAAACGTTGGCGAAGTTCTTGTCATGCAGTGAGTGTACTGTGTTGATGGCTGCGAAGTGAGTTAGCAGTCAGATAGCTCTGGGAGCCTCAGTTGCGCCGTTCGTAGAGTAAGAAAACCAGAGTGCACATAACGTCAACGGAAGATGAAGGCGTTGAGGTTGACATTTCTATTTTGTCTGGGAGGGTTGGACGACTGCAGAGAGGGTTGCTGTTGCCTTTTCTGAGTTGTACAGACACGCTAGCATATAAGGCAACTGCGGAACTGCCTATCAGGCAACCTTGGAAGGAGAACTATCACATGGAGTTTTGAAGAGTCGATGGGAGTTCGCATGAATGACATTGCGTGATAGACCAGTAGATGTAAGGCTGTGGTGTGGCCCGCCGCGCTGTAACACGTGACTTTTCGCCGGCGGACTCCCGTCATTGGCCAATGCCTTTCTTGGCGGGCGCGCATCTGCAACGCTCCAGAAAAGTTACGCCAACAGCATCGTCGTCAACCACACCATGTTCTCAACAGCTCGCCGGCGCTGCGCCCGCAGCTTGCTGACACCCTCGCCGGCGAAGACCGATTCGCTCCCTCTGTTCCTCCTGCCGGCCTTCCAGACGCCCGCCGCTGCGCGCGGCTTCGCATCGACTTCACCATGCCAGTCTAAGATCGGCTCTTCGCCATTGTCTATTCCGCCAGGCGTCACATTCAAGGTCATCGCGCCATCTGCTAGAGGAAGAGGAGCGCGCGCGCAGGCGATGTCGACGGTGCAGATCAAGGGGCCGCTTGGCGAGCTCTCGATGGATGTCCCGGCCTATGTGAACATCAACCAAGATCCTGCTCTGTCAGGCCCCACGCTCACTGTGGAGGACGCTACAGACAAGAAGCAGAAGGCTATGTGGGGTACGCGCTCAGCTTCCCGACCGGAGAGATCCATTGCGGCTAACATACAGTAGGAACAACCCGCGCCTACCTCCAAAACCACATCCTCGGCGTGAGCGAAGGTCATTCCGCAATCCTCCGCTTTAACGGTGTCGGTTATCGTTCAACGATCGAAAAGACTGCTACGACCGTTGAATCAGAATACCCCGGCCAAGAGTTCGTGAACTTGAAGGTGGGATACTCTCACCCGATTGAATTGGGTATTCCCAAGGGCATGAAGGCAAGCACGCCGCAACCAACACGGTTACTATTAGAAGGTCCTGAGAAAGAGGTTGTCATGCAATTTGCAGCAAAGATAAGGATGTGGAGAGTACCGGAGCCGTACAAGGGCAAGGGTATCTTCGTGAACGGAGAGACAATCAAGCTGAAGAACAAGAGGACGAAATAGACGGCCGCTGGTATTTGATTCATGTACTATATGTGTGGTTGTTGTATTATATCAAGAGATGGATGCCATGGCGATTCCGGTCGATCGAATATGAATCGTCGACAGCTTTGCGCAGGATGAAGGTCGGTTTAACTTCTAGATATCCATAGAAGCGCGTAAGAACACTATTTGAGAGCCCCTTTCTTCAGTCGTAGCGGAAACCCTTCACGTCGGCCACTCCCTCTGGTTTTACTTGCTATACGAAAGACGATGTGTCAGGACATAACGTAACTCACGTCAAGCTCATCTTACAGTTCGCAAAGTATTCCAGCGAAATGGCGAAGAAATGTCAATAGCTGCCCAGTGCAGGTGAGTCAAGCCCTTTCTGTATGCTTTCTTCGCCCTTATGCCGGAGCTTATCCCTGAAGCAGTAGAAGGGCGCAATTGGACGTATGTGGGGTATCCCCACGCTAATGCAACTTCACAACATCTTAAACTAACTTATCAGCTCGAACTCAAGTGTGACTCGACAACAACAATAACAGGGCAAACGTACAACGACTCTCTTCGGTGGAAGGACTAGCTTTCTCAAACCTGTCACAATGACAGAACCCACCACTATTCCCGAGGACCTGAAAGACCGCATGAAGAACTCCTACGATGCCATAGCACATACCTACAACGCCAAGCTCGGCACTGTCCTCGACAACATCCGCCTCGATTACGTCAACCGCCTGCTCGACCTCCTCAAAGACACAGGGCGAGAAGAAGTTACAATCCTGGAACTAGGCTGCGGCGCCGGCATTCCAAGCACAAAAACCTTCTTAGACAACCCCAAGCCCTCCATACACGTCACCGCAAACGACCTCTCAACTGTGCAACTCGACCTCGCGCGCCAGCACCTTTCGGACCATGTAAAGTCCGGGAAGGTCAAGCTTATTCAGGGAGATATGCTCGCCCTCGACTTCCCTGCCCGCTCCTTCGACGCCGTAACAGGCTTCTACTCTGTCATTCACCTCCCCCGCGACGAGCAGGTTCTCCTCATGCAAAAAATAGCCACTTGGCTGAAGCCGGGTGGGTACTTCCTTGCAAATTTTGCGGAGGAAGAGAAGGAGATCAATGTGATGGAGAACTGGCTAGGGGAGGACAAGGGGTGGACATTTTGGAGTGCGTGGGGTGCGGAGGGGAGTGTGAAGATGGTTGAGGAAGTTGGGTTGGAGGTGTTGGTGAGGGACACGAGGGAGAGTAACGTTGATGCGACGTTTTTGTGGGTTATTGGTAGGAAAGGGGCTTGAGAGGAGGTGCAAGTCTGAGGGTATTTTTTCGTGTTGTTATTGTTAGATGAGTGGGATAGAATGAGGTTTTCTTTAGAGAGAACGTCTTGAGAATCCGTTGTGCTTACCTTTGTCATTAGATAACTTCTCGGGCGCTTTCGGAGTAGTGCTAGCCCAGCCCCGAATAATGGATCTGGGGTGCTCTAAGCATTCATGTCGGTGATCTGGAGCTCACTTATCGTCATTTTCGTCCCCCATCATACAGATTCTCGGAGAGGAAGTCTTTGTTTTGACTAAAGAAAGTCGATGAGATAGGCAACTGTACGACTCTCCAAGATGGACTTGATTGCTATAATATATAAACAGATCACTGCTACTCACATGAGGAGAACAGCCAATGTTCCAAATGCGGCGAACACACCTCCACACGTGAGTCCCGAACGGCACTCTGCTTTTCGATATCCTTCCCGCAGCCGAATAGTGTACTTGTCGCCTTGTACTATGCAAGATCATTAATTACATACAATGCTTGCAGCAGCCTCAGAATTAATCAAGTTCACAATATGGTGACTAGGACGTGGACTCGTAGTGTTTTGTGTCAGTTTCTGTCCTTCACGAGATGTATCATACTATGTCGAAAGCTTGGTCACGCTGCACGACTCGAGGATGGCGAACGCACCTAGGTTGGGTTAAAAATACTCACATTCATCGCCTCTTACTGTAAGCATACGGATGAGCTCACGTAGTCCTTGATTCTTCTGGCTTGTTGTCACGTACTCGAAGCTTTCGATCGCTCACACTGGCCAGCGCCGGCGCGCTCTCCCGACCTTTTAACCTGGTGACGCACCTTCACCTGGCAACGTGAGCAGCACAAACAGAGTCCCAGCTCGCAATGGGTCTGGTCCTACCTATATAAGTTTCCACGACCATACCTACCTTGACCGCAACTACAACTCACACCATGGCCCAACCCACAAGTCACCGCGCCATGCGGCACATCTCACGAGCCGACAGCATTGCCGCAGACACACCGGCAGCAACTCCTGAGCGCGCCCTTCTCGAGAAGCAGGACCTCGAGCAATTGCACATTCCGCCCCACTACCTCCTGCCTCCCACTTACCCCTCACCATTCAAAGGCACACTGGAAGCCTCACTTGATGCTCTCCTCGAGTTTGGCGCCAAATATACCTCCTCCATATCCATCATGGACGTGCTCCGCAAGCCCGTGTGCACGAAGACGAACTGGTATAACCTGCTAGTCGCGACGCTGAACCTCGAGGAGAAAAAGGTGGTGGGCAGCAGCCGCCTTCTGCTGGAGGAAATACTTTTCCTGGCCACACGAACACTGCTCCCGGAGCAGATTGCGCAGAACAGGGCGTGTATGTATAAGATGTACGATTCCCGGAAGACGACATCGATGAGGATGAGTTTGCGTTACGATATGTTACGCGAGTGGACAAAGCGGGGCAACAACCACTTCATCGTCGTGGAGTCGCGTCCTCCGCTTCGCATCTTGGGTGCGTCTGTATCGCAAGACGACGAGCTTCACCCCGGACGGAAGCTGTTGCTGCCGAATGTGTGGGCGACGTTGATCCAGGCACCGCCGCAGGGGTATCACTCACACAAGGTGAAGGAAGCGATGAGGCATCATGTCACTGGCATTGATAAGTGGCTGATGTTTGAGGATGAAGAAGTCGGAGGTTGGAGTGCCAATGTTCTTTTCCAGATGACAATGCAGGTGCTGTTGCAGTGGCAGTGGTTGAGGGATAATACGGAGCGCATGGAGGGTATGGAGGTGAGGAACTGGGAAGACCTGGAGGGGCCAGCGAACGAATGCGAGTGGGTGCGAGACGACAAAAAGGCCAAGGCTTAGATAATCTCGCGAGGGGAAGGAGCGAATTGGTGGAATCAGAGAAGGAACGACCTTGGTCGGGAAAGCGAAGGAACGATATCTTTGGGAAGGGCGGGCATGGAAATAGCTTGGTTATGGAGTTGGTGGTCAGCAGCGCTTCCCATCTCCGGTTGTGATTTTGGTGCTGATATTCGCGGATGGCGTGGCTCACTTCAGTGTCGCACTCAAGCAGACCCATGCTATCTCTTTCCTGGTTTGTGAGTTTTTGCGTAGATGAAATGAGCTAAACATGGCTTCTTTACTATGACAGATGCGCTGTTTTATCCATTTTGGACCAGGAAGTCTGTGTGGTGAAGAGATGCTCTTCTGGAGGGTTGTCGGAGCGGCCCCCTGCCCAGGTCCGTAGCGATAGATGCAGGCCCGCAAGGCTGAGTGAGACGGAAATCGGACAAGGCGCACCACATGTTCGCGCTAAACACGCGAACCACATTGAAGAAGGCTGTTTCATATTTGTACTCTAAGTCTGAAGTTGCTAGGGCATGCCCGGGCTGTACGATGCGGCCGTAGCAGTGTCACTTGCGCGCTGCTGTGTTGATGATTGATACAAGAAATATGCATAAGCATGAGGGTGATCATATGTTTGCAGCGCGTGAGAAGATGGCATCATCTAAGTGGTGGTGTGGTAACGGTTGGCAGACCGACGTCGTCGTTTCGTATAGCGGGGCGCTTTGTGTGAAGCTAGCACGCGACTCGACGCAGCCGTGCAGAGCCATTGGTTCTCGACATGGTGGTGCCCTAGTTTTACGTGTGGCCCTCGCGTGGGAATGGTGTGCATGTTTAAGGCGCGTCAACAAATCATGGCGCGCAGCAGGCATTTCTGTGCAACCAGGCAAGGACACCGCACGAAAGCTCATAATCCGTGGCTCAACGGTGCATGCCGACAGGCCGTTGGGAAGGTCGCCTGTGCTTTGGAGCACCGACGCAGAGTGGTCCGTTTGTCGACGGGATTATAATGCAAGCGGCCAAGAGCGGAGACCAATTCAGATAAGCCAGGACCCTAGCACTACCCCATGCCAATGGCCTCCTTTACGGACTCCACTCTATCCAGTCGCCTCCCCTCCTGAGCGGTGCTCATCTGCATCTGCTTTGCTTTGCACACTGTGTACTTCGCTCATTAGTAGCACTCTGCATTTGCTGCGGCGTTGCAAATCCACTCGTTCGGTACATGTTTTTCCCCCGTTGAACATCCCAACGCGAACGCCGCCATTCGAAACGCACCCGCTGCAAGCACCGTCTGCAACCTCTGACAGCCAACCCGCGCGCCAATTCCTGCACTAGACAGCTACCGAAAACACTGCGACGTACCACGAAGTACCAAAACATAGCTGCGGCCCGATCTCTCTCCCAGCCAACACCTGCACCCTAGACGGTCCCTGCAGATGTCACCAAACTGAAAGCGACGGGAAAATAATCATGGACGTTGCGCAGGAGACGAGCGCCCCGAAAGGCCAGGAGACCGCCGGGCGTGCCCCCAGAATCCACATCGACAGCGAGCGACTGCCAACTGACTCGATGGTCACCGTTCCGCTATCTGAGACCGATGGTGCACCCGCCGTCGAGGACGAAGCTGTTTCGCCAGCGCTGCAGCACCCCGAGATCACCATCCAAGAGCACAAGAGGACCTCTTCGCGTCCGAGCTCCGCTGAGATCATGAGTGCGTTCGGTCGACGCGGTAGTCACGAACGGGGAAGGAGCTTGGCACTTGCCAGTCCTACCATCTCCCTTTCCGACGAAGACCCCCCCAAGACTCCCACGTCTGCCGAGCGCTCGAGGAGCAACAGCAACGGTTCCGAACACAGTGCACAAGTCGACTGGGCCGAGCTGGAGAAGAAGGAGGAACAGGAGCCGCAGGAGGAGGGCCAGGATGAGGTGAGTTTTCGGACTCGTGGGGTCAAAGTTGGTTGAGTCTAACGTGTACAGTCAATGGCGCTCCTCCTCGCGCGTCTGGAGCAGGAGAACAATGCCCTCATGGCTGATTCGAAAGCTACTAACATGAAAGCTTCCCGCGCCCGATCCCAATCACGCCCACCCTCGATGCACCAGTTGAAAAAGTTGGTTGAAGACGGTGCTGCAGACATGCGCGCTTCTCAACTCCCTTCACCACCACCTATGACCGAGCTCGAATTCTGGGCCGCCCTCGTGCGAGACTACCCACAAACAGTGCAACGCCTGCCTACACTCACTCTCAACAAGATTCGTAGTGGCATCCCAGCGCCGCTGCGTGGAGTCGTGTGGCAGAGTGCTTCAGGAGCAAGGGCAAAATTGATTGAAGATCAATATGACCAGCTGTGCGGGGAGTCAAGTCCATATGAGAACATCATCAACAAGGATCTGGGTAGGAGCTTTCCTGGGGTGGAAATGTTCAAGGATCCTGATGGTGAAGGTCAGAAGATGCTCGGGCGTGTGCTCAAGTGCTTCAGTCTCTACGATGACAAGATTGGGTACTGTCAGGGTTTGGGCTTCCTAGTCGGCCCGCTCTTGATGCAGATGGGCGATAAGGAAGCCTTCTGCGTGCTTGTGCGGTACGTACACGCTCTTTGATAAAGACTCCAACGTCGTGCTAACGATCATCAGGCTCATGGAAGATTACGACCTAAGAGCGTGCTTTCTCCCCGACCTATCTGGACTACATCTCCGCATCTTCCAGTTCCAGCGTCTTTTGCAACAGCATATGCCCAAACTCGCAGCACATCTCGAGGAGCTCGGAGTAGAAACGGCTTATGCGTCGTCGTGGTTTTTGTCCTTCTTCGCAACGACATGTCCGCTTCCAATGCTCTTCCGCATCTACGATGTACTGTTCGCCGAAGGCGCTTCGGAAACCATCATGCGCGTGGCTCTTGCGCTCATGAGGAGGAATGAGAAAAGACTCTTGGCTCTGACTGAGTTCGAAGATGTTATGCAACTACTCCTGAGCAGGGCAATGTGGGATCCGTACGGGCGTAATGCACGGTCTGCCAATGACCTTGTCAAAGACTTCGTCAGCTTCACGGAAGCCGTCACACGGGAGAAGCTGCAGGGCTTGGAGGCAATCTATAAGGAAGAGCAGGATGCTGTGGAGAAGACCAAAGTGCAAAATTCCGCTACTTCCTTCCTCGGCCGATTGTGGGGCGGATCGAACTCGACTAAATCGGTTGCTCTCAGCCCCGGCTTGACTGCCCCGTCACGGCCATTGAGTTTCTTACGAAGAACGCCCTCTACACAAAGCCTTGCATCTACCCTTAAATCCGCGGATGGATCAGAGTCATCTACCAACACGCAAAGCACGGCGCTGACGGACATCTCGCGAGCTTCGGAGGCTCCATCTATCAAGATTGGCCATGAGTCGAGAGCTCTGTCTATCAAGACGGGTCATTCGTCGAACGATAGAGACTTGCACTACCAGATCGAGCAGTTGTTGATGTCCGTCAGTCAGTTACAACGTTCGAACAGCGAGCTTGAGGCTGCTCTCCAGAAGCAGCGAGAAGAGCGAAAGGAGGATCACCGCATCGTACGTGCGGTCCTTGACAAGATGCGATCAAAGCCATCTTCTCTTGCTACACCATCGGATCGAGCATCTCGCCGCAGAACTACCATCACAGCTGCCACGCTTGTTCAAGCGACTGATGAGGGGCATAACGCATCTCTGCCTCAAGAGTTGGAGGGTGCTGCCAAGACTCTGGATGAACGGTTCCCGACGCATCAGACCCACCACCGCGCGTCTTCGATGTTTGAAACAAAACAGGTTTTGCGCGATAATCTTGCTCGTGCAAAAGACCAGTTGACTTCGGAGTCATTACGCGCCCAGGCTGTGACGAGGGAGCTGAACGATGTACAGGCTGACCTAAACATATCACGAGAGGCTCTCAAGGAGACTCGACATCGTCTGCAGGATTCCTACAACCAGAACCAGAAGCTGGAGAAGACGATTCAGGAACTACGGCAAAACGTCCGCAAGGGTTCAGTACCTTTTTCGGAAGGGACCCCAGATTCAACACCGTCTCTATCAAGATCGAACACGACAGAAAGCATGGCGTCTACAAGAGGGGGTCTCCGCGAGTTCAAACTCGGTCGATCGGACTCTACAAAGTCTATGAAAGCGCCGATAACTTTCGCAAAGCGGGCTTCATCGCTTGCTACGCAGCAGGTGCTCACCATTACAGACAACCAGGCTCCCGCGGACAACGAGGCACTACTTCTCGAGCTTGTGAACGCGAAGACGGCAGAGGCTGTCGCCAAACAGGAGCTCGAAGAGATAAAGAATAGGTTCGAGAACATGAAGAAGGCAATGAACGCGCAAACACCACCGGCAGCGAAAGCCACGCCTGCTGCACCCGCAGCGACACCAGCGCCGACAGCTGCAGCGCCGACACCGGCCGCGAGCGCTGGAGGCGGATGGGGCTGGGGCGGATGGAAGAGGACCCCCAGCACGACCAATGCTACGATTCCGAAATAGAGCAGAGCATCGGCGTCGAACTTTGGAAGTTGACCATGCATGGGATAGGGTGTATATACTGGCCCACGCGCGATGGATGGGAAGTTATTGAATTGTACATGACGCAGAGAAAGCGCGTGGCATATGAGATGAGTTTTTTTTGGAGCGAAATGATGCTGCTTCATGTTTTGGACTGTGTTTACAGGATGATACCTCCTGCCGAGAGCAGGCTTCGATGACCACTTGTTTAATTGTAGCGTAGCAGTTTTGAAGTAAGAGTCTTCGGACGCTATTGCATTCTCATCACAATCGTGTTCTCAGATGTCGATGCCTTTTGACCATACTTGTCACTTCCTGCCCAACGTGAGAACATTTCAGTGTTGATTGTTGTCCTGCCGATTCTCGATAATGGCTGCTACATTAGCTTGAGTGAGCAAAGGGAATATCTGAGCTTGGTTCGACATTGAGTTAAGGCGCCAAGATGTGACTTCGACTGTGGAGCGAGCTGCAAGAGGTCCACAGTCGAGTTAGTGTAAAGCGAGCTAGCTCGATTCCCACCTCACGAAGTCTTAACCGAGCATCCCGAGGTCACAAAGGCTTTGAAACTGGTTAAGCGAGGTAAAATCACGGGATCATTAGGTTAACGATCGATCTTGAGCGACTTGGGACCGTGGACTTTGTGATAAGGAAGAGAAGCCGCGATGATCACCCGCTCCATTTTCCCCGCGTTCTGGGCCGGCTGCGCCCTTGCACATCCCCGCATTACCCCCTAATGCGCTACGCTGACCTACGCCACGCCCCGGCCCAGCGTCATTCGTTAGCCAGCCACAAGTCATCGCCTGGCCGCATGAGCTTCATGCGGGGTGCGCGTGGGTGACCGTGGCGGCGCTGCGCGTCAAGAGCTTTTCGTATTAGTGTACCAAGATGGGGAGGTGGCAGGTACGGCAGTTGGCTGGGCATCAAACTGACGGTATCAGGGCGTAACCAGCACGGGATCGAGGACGGTTGCGATAGAGCAAGGGGACGATCCTCCTACCCGGTTAAGGCCTTTCCCACCAGGATGTCTATCTGCAACACAGCGCAATTGGGCGTCATGTCCGGCGATGACGCTCCTTTGCAGGTAGAATGCGCACCCATCTAAGACAAGCCTAAGGGTGGGATGCTTTGCAAACGTAGTGTTCTCGACTCACATGATTCAACATCAATAGTCTACCGCTCTGCCTTGAAACACGTGTAGGCGTCGCAAATCGGGCCTATCTTACATACGCTGCTGTGTATCGCAACTGCCGTTCTGAAGCTCGGATGCTGTCCAGACCTTCCCTGGGGATAGCCCTTCTTCGATTTAGCGTAAGCCGCTGCCATCCCAATCGTGATTGGCACAAGCCGGCCTAGTCGCATCAACAGACTTGTGCGCTTGTTCGAAGAGAGGAATAATCCCGTTCCCGTCTCTACTTGCACCAAGTACCGGTGATCGGCGGAACTGGCCCGTGTATGCGTTGAGAGGTATATCACAACCCCAGAGTCGCGTTGATTACCCCGGACGCGTCGTGACCTTCACTCTTCCCATCTGAACTCTTATTTGGATTCTGGCTCACGAGGAGCGACGCATCGACCAAGATGTCGGTCACACACGATCAAAATGTATTTCCCCTTCTAGCTTGTCTCCATCACCTCCTTCCTTTCATACTAACAATGTCTTCAGGAACTGCGCCAGATCGAGGCCGAACTCCACACGGAGATCCTGCCCGGCACCGAGATCATGGCAGACGTCGGCGCCCACCACTTCGTCAAAGGCGCTCACCGCACTGTTCTCGTCCCGCAGCCCTCGGACTCACCAAATGATCCGCTTAACTGGAGCACGGCGTGGAAGATCGCCTGTATTACGAGCGCGAGCGTGGTGACGTTTACGCAAGGGTTTGGACCACTGGCGTTGGCGCCTGCGTTTCCGGCGTTGATGGAGGCGTTCAGTTGTAGTTTGGCGGATGCTGTCCAGTTTACAGGAGTGTGTATTCTGGTGCTGGGGTTTAGTAACTTTGTCTGGTAAGTCAAGCTCTTTTGTTCATGTTACAACGATGAGGAAAGGAGGCGGGGCTTGTTATGGGAACTTGGCTTATTACACAATATTTGGAAGTGGCCAAAAACAAAGAGCTGACGGTAAATCCTAGGGTCCCGATCAGCACATCCTTCGGTCGTCGTCCCGTTTATCTTATTTCTCAACTCATCAACTTCGGAACTTCCATATGGCGTGCCAAGGCCAACTCTTACGGTTCCTTCATGGGTGCCTGTGTTGTGAACGGACTTGGGGCCGGACCAGCTGAGACTATCATGCCTGCAGTCATCGCGGACATCTTCTTCTTGCACGACAGAGGCAAATGGAACACGCTTTACTGGGTCGTCTACATGGGCTCTCTGATGGTCGGACCCATCATCAACGGCGCCATGGTCGAGACTGTTGGCTGGAGGAGCTTCTGGTGGTTCAACACCGGTATTCTTGGACTGAGCTTTCTCATGGTCGTTTTCATGTTCCCGGAGACAAGATTTCCTCGAGAACATCCCGAAGCTACGCAAGTTGCTCCTGCGAAGACGAGTCCTGCGGCATCTTCTACGGAAAAGGGGCACACGGCGCACAACGACGACGTCGATGTAGAACAAGAGAAGATCCAACACGTACCTACAGCGAGTTCAGCACTTCCGAACACGGAGGAAGGTCTTACACGCGAGGAAACGGCCGCGCGCGATCCGTACCTGGGCAAGGGCAAGCCCAGTAAAGGGCAGTGGGGTCTTTTCCAGAAGAACGCTCATCCATTCAAGAGCATTCTGTTGGACCTGTGGATTCCCTGGAAGCTTTTCGCTTTCCCAATTGTCGAGTTCGCAAGTTTTGTGGTATCATGGAGTTGCAGTTCGTTTTTGACGCTGAACTTGACGCAAAGTCAGGCTTTTGCGGCACCGCCGTACAACTTCAAGCCTCTATCTATCGGTGAGTCACATTGCACACATCTCAGTAGAGACCACGTACTAATGGGACATAGGCTTCATGAACTTCGCAGTACTAGTAGGCGCCTTCATCGGACTGTTCACCGCCGGTCCTCTTTCCGACTGGCTCTCCGCACGCTCTACACGCCGCAACAATGGCATCCGTGAGCCCGAGATGCGTCTCCCAGCCATGATACCCTATATCATCATCATGTATCTCGGCAACATCATCGTGTCAGTCGGATACGACAATCATTGGCCCTGGGAAGCTATCGTCATCATCGGCTACACCTGCGCAGGCATCCAAGTACGTCACCCACCCCTCAGCCAACCTTGCCATACTGACTCTCTGCCACAGGTTGCCGCCATCCCCGGCATCGTTAGTACCTACGCGGTCGACAGCTACAAACCCGTCGCAGGCAGCTTGTTCGTCAGCATCACAGTGAACAAGAACGTTTGGGGTTACGGGTTCAGCAAGTTTATCACGCCTTGGGCGGAGGAGGCGGGCTTTGTGCCGCCGATTATGACGAATGCGAGTTTGATCTTGCTGTGGTGTTTGTTTACGGGGTTGTTTTGGTGGAAGGGGAAGACGTTTAGGAGGTGGAGCAGGAATAGTAAGGTGCATAGGATGTAAAGAGACGGCAGGAAAGAAAGTGTGGATTATCTACACTTATGGTGCATGAGCTGGAAGAGTTGTCTAATCCGAATGTAGGAAGGCCAATCTAATAAAGAGGTATTTTGGCACTCCCATCTGAAATAAAACGGACAAGGTCATGCAATTCAAGCCATAACGGCTTTTGAGTCAAACATCGTCCAGATTCGAATCGCCATTTCGATGAGTATAACCTCACGTCCTCTTTGGTCCCCTCCCACACTGCTTAAGCATAGCACTCCTGCTCAATGCCAACCCACCCCGCCGCCATGTACCGCTTCAAGCAAGCGTTCTGCGCCGAGATCCACCAGAATAAGTTCAGTACCTTGCCCGTACGCTGGAGCAGCGCCTCAGGCTTGATACGACGAACGGATCCCTCGTCCTCGTTCAAGTAGCCGTCCAGAGCACAGGGGCGGTGCATAAGTTGGCCAGGGCAGGGCTGCTTGTGAACGGGCGTGTTCAAGGGTTGGGCAAGCCACTGCTTGAAGTTCTGGCCGGAGGGCGTTGGGACCGAGCGCAGGACGGGGCGGTTGGGACGGGTCTGGAAGGCGTTTAGGGGTTCGGCGGAGGGAGGGGCGTAGGTGGCGTCGTGGGTGTGCCAGTAGTCGTACCTGGGTAACAAGGAGGTTAGTAAATGTTGAAGTAAACAAGTTTGAAATTGCTCACCGAAAGCGCACGTTTGCCGATAGCGTCCGCTTCGCCATGTAGAGCTCATGGAGCAGGCGTCGGTTCTCGATGATAACGTTTGGGATGACGATCCGCGTCACGAAGACGTAGCTAGTAGTGATGTTGAGTCAGTAAAGGTATCACCGTCTTCCAGATCTGTGAGACCGTTACTTACAGGTCCTGGCAGTTCCCCGGGCCATCAAGGCACCTGTCCTGCCTGAAGTGATCCATCAACTGCACCCAATCAGGTTCAGGGCCCTGGGTCTGCGGGACGGACAGGTAAGCGATCACGATCGAGGGGACGTCTCGCTTGGGTGGCTGCAGCAAGTAGTTAGCGGAGGCAAAAGAGTTCCTAGGGGTGTACATATGTATTACCTGCGCGAAAGGGACGCTCTGGAAGTCCGAGAATGCCGACTCCTGGAAGGGGATGTCGCGAATCAGGTCGTCAGGGTCGGGCTGGCCGGGCGGAGGTGGGTAGACGGCGCGCGTGGGCCTGAACAGAGATGTCTGGAATGCATTGGCAGCCGGATCCAGAACGGCGTCAGAATTGGGGTTGAGGCCGACGCCGCCACCAAGAGCTCTGCCGGACATGCTGGCTGATCGTTCCTGTTTTAGGCGGAGTGTGGTTTGGGTATACGGTATGTCTGTGAGAGATGTAATCTGAGCAAGCATTAGCAGGGCCTGATTAAAATGTCCATTATTACAGATACTGCTTACCTTGCTCTTGAGGACTTCCGGGTGGTAGACAAGGTGGGTCGTGTGTAGAGGTATATAAGTAATGAGTTTGAAAAGAAAGAGCAAAAGCTGGGGGCGGGCGGCTCTTTATACACACAAACGGTGCTCTAGAAATTTCTGCGAAACGCGCTTGCCCCTGTTTACGAGGTCGAAACAATCAACCTTTCGGTGACCACAATGACTACTAGCAATTGGCCAAGGCTACTCCATACTCACTGATTTGCTAGTTTGGTGAAAACCAATCCTATGACTCCGCCTCCCGAATCGTAGCCTCGCTGAGCTCTTCCAATCTAATTTCTGTCCACCGACTCATCATTCTCAGCACTGCAAGGCCACAACCTACAACCCGCAACACGGTGCCACACAGCCAAACTCCTGACTCTGTCGAAGTCCTTGATTTTGCCAGCTTGGTGAAGATCAATCCCATGACTCCGCCTCCTGAACTGTAGCCACACAATAATCTCCTATTGCCAAATCACCTTTGTTTCACAATATACCACCAATAGTTTTTATAGACGACCTCGTTCGGCTTGTTCCCACACAGTACAAGCGAAGGAGACATCCCCTTCCACCTATTTACTTCAGCGTTCTTCACAAATTCAGCCCCCAGATTCTTCCAAATTTCCATCTCTCCCTGAATCTCAAAGTACCTGACCGCAGTAAAGAGTGTTGGATGGGGAGCATGTGCAAGATACTTGACGGTTGGGTACCAGTCCGCTTGCTCGTCTACCGAAAATCCCGAATGGAAGGCTGCTGCTAGATCTGGCGTCTTGTAGAAGTCGGTATCGACGTATGCGTGATATGGACCTCTCCAGACGGTAGTGGAAATCGTCCGTCCCATATTGGTACACGCAGTGCAGCACTGAACTGTGTGTGGCTCCTGGGCTGCATGCAGACCTACGAATGATAGTTGAAGTGTTCTTAGCGACGGTAAAAGGTGCAATAGCTCCTCAAATGCAGGAACAGAGTTAAATTCAGCTCCAGTTGCACCTATAATGTGGAGGTTGATCGAGCCCCGAGTGCCGATATTGGGTATTAACGCCTCCAAGGCAGAGATCAAGGTGAGTTGAATAGTGGTCGTGTTGGTACCGTATCTCAGATATTCGACGAATTCTCGTTCTTTTGGGTCGTTTGCTTGGTACTTCAGATCTCGATTCATTTTTGAACTGCAGGCACCCTTGTCTGAGAGCCTTGTGTAGTAGTCATACCAGTCCGTTGCAGAAGAGAGAGGACAATATTGTTTTCTGGGAAATCTGGTGAAAGAAATAGTCGAGGTCTTTCCCGTTCGCCGGTGGAGATCTACCAAGATCTTATCATCTGCTGCAATATCTTGCAAGGTCGCGCACTCCGCTAATGGATGTGTTTGCTGGCAAGAGGCGCAGAACGAGGTAAGAAGGCAGTATCGGCACACGTTCAACTTCGCCCGATCTTCAAGTTGGGACTCTCTTCTATAACAGTGATAGCAATATGGTTCGAAACTAACCGTAAGTGTCAGCTGTATAATGTATATAAATGTATATAGTTTGTTGGCAGTTGGTTTTTGGACATACCCAACCAATTCCCCAAGTTCACTAGGGATCTGAGCACCAGATCTTGAGATATCCAGCACCTATGAAGTGTGTCAGAACCGGCTCGCTCGTCTTGCCGAATGCGCCGAATAATATACCTGCTCGCTGTAGTAATTATCCCAATGCCTGCCAACCGAGGGTACATATCCCTTCTGCTTGTTTAAAACAACAAGTTTCTTGCAGATTTTCTTGTGATTTCTGTTCCAGTCTTTCTTCTGGCACTTTACTGAGCAGTACGAGGCCCGTTTGCAAGCGGTGCATCGCCGTAGATTGGACGATATGTCCCAGCAGGAGAAGCATAAAGTTTGTTTGAATGCTAAAGTTGGGGTTTGATACGAATATGAGCCCGAACCAGAGTTAGGATCTTGGGATGCCATTGCTGAGTTGCGTGGTTTATTGGATGTCTGGGTATATTGGCAGATGTTCAATCTTATTAGCCTGTGCAGAAACGACCCCGCACCCTGCGCGTCTTATCCTAAGCCAATATTACATCACTCCTTGGCCTGTACTACCATACTTCACTGCGAGCATGCATCATTTCCTTGGTTTGGTAAGCCTTAGGTTACACTGGAAAGCTCGTGCACCCACTCTAACGCTTTCGAGGTCGGATAGACACGAGAAAATTGCATTCCAAGCGAGGTGCTAAATTATTCAAGTTATTTTGCATACTGACGTGAGTAATTGCATGATAAAATAGCAGAGAAGAGCCCCCAATTGCTCACTGTTAGGAAATTCATAAGCAGGACATTGATTTGCTTCTCAGAGTATAGTGTGATTGTTCGGGTTGAGAGCTGAATTCGCAGGACTCCCAGCACTAGATGGGACGAAATTCGAAAGATATGCTCTCAACCCGGGATCGCATGCATAAACGTATGTGCCCCGAATCCCTCGTGTCAACAGTACTGCATAGATCTGGGTTATGAACCGCAGCAAGTCGTCATCCGAGTAGGTCCTACCGAGCGCCCGATTGTTTTCCTTACCCTTTTTATCAAAGTACGAGTCGCGATCGATATAAAGCCGCCTTCGAAGCGGATCGAAGCGCAAATCCAGACCAATAATGACGCCAACGTAGTTCAAATCGTAACCCTGAACCGTGTGAATCGAACCAACTTCCTGCAGCGCGTTGTCGGAAGAAACCCAATCCGTTGGCGTACTGTTCCAGCGAAGTCTCGTTTCGCCAATCTCAATATCAAAAGCCGTCTTGTCCTTCTGAGTCTTCCACTCCCAAGCGTAGCCCGCAACTATGCGTGAAAGTCCCGCTTCAGCGTTGCGTTGGAAAATCTCATCTCTCATTTCTTCAACAGTGTCGAAGGCCCGAAAATCATATTCTCCAAAACTCAGTCGCGCTCGCGGAACGGAAAGAGGGCTAGGATCAAGGATCCAGCGAATATAAGCCACAAAATCTGAGCCCGCTTGTACGCGCATTTGAGTGCGGAGCTGGAAATGCCGGCCTGTTGCACGACTGTCGGCAACGAGACCTGAAAGCAGCTCTTGTGGAAGATCAGCTGGCCGAACGCTCTGCATTGCGTCCAAAAGGAAAATCTGCTGCCGACTCTTCGCCAGTATCCAATCGAGCTGGGTCTTGCTGAAGTCATCATTGCCGAATAGCTGCCTTGTAATAGTATTGAACTTCCCATTAAGCACTCCTGATGGTTGATTAGCTCGTTGATTGAGCCGATGAGTCTCGTCAACTATCAGCATGTCGAAAATGTCCTCTGATTCTCCTACTTGGAATGGTGTCATAACCATGTCCGGGTGGAGTCCGCGCGTCTTCCGAAAAACATCTTTGATGGTGCTCCGCAACGACTGCTGCGGTACAACCAGGCCGATTCTGCAATTTTGAAGGAGACTTTGGTTGCTTGCAGTAAAGAATTCGGAAAATCGCGAGTCGCTGTTGAGATCTTCGAGCGAGTTGAGTGTTGCAATGTCGACAAGGAGCTTGATCAAGTATATCGCAACCACTGTCTTTCCGGTGCCAGGGTCGCCCTGGATCACAATTGCGTTTCTCCCGCCGGTCGAGAGATCGCTGAAGAACCTTGTGAGAATCTCTTCCACGGAATTTGCTTGATCTTCCGTAAGCGCTTTGTAAGGCGATAGCTTGAAGAGACTGCTGTTTTCGATTTCCGGAATACTTCGCGTAAAGACCCCATCAGATCTGAGTTGGTCGAACACAGCTCGAAACCCCGCGCGATACGCCTCCCTCTGGTAGTATTGTGCGTCGGTGATGCCGTTGTTTCTATTAAGCACTTGATTGGCGCCATCACCAGCCATCATTCTGATAAGATATGACTCCAGGTCCAGACACACCGATTTGTTGAATTTTTCGTGCAGGATGACCCGTATGTTCGTCAGATGTTGTTTGGCTGGTGATTCCAAGTGTTGGCGCATTCGACCCACCGCGTTGAGCGATTCTCCGACGTAGATATCTCTCAGTACATTATGTGAGTTCCTCCCGCCCGGGCGACCATCGTTGTCTAGTACATACACGACAGGCCAATTTCCATGTCTCTCATCCTCGGACTTCCATGTAGCAACGGCAGGTCTAGAGAACTCAACTCGAGCTATCTTGAAGCTTGTCATACTTGGTACTGACGCCTCGGGCCTTCTCCACGGGATACTTCTTCCGCGTGACTTCAAGTTTTTCTAGCACGATCTGATCCGGGTCGGCTCCAATGCGAATAGCGAGAAGATGACAATACGTCAGGACGTCGGCAAGTTCTTCGCGCACACGCTTCGGCTCCGCGTCTGCGCTCCACTGAAAACACTCGAGCAACTCGGCCGCTTCAATGGATATACTCTTGGCGAGGTTTTCTGGAGTGTGGAATTGCTCCCAATCGCGCTCCGCAGCAAATGCCACGAGTGCGTCGCGGACTGATGTCTCAACCATGGGATGCGGCAATTACTGTGACAGCGTCGTCTGAGTCTATGCAATCATATAAGTACATGCGTTAGACATATTGTTTCAGAGGAGTTTGGCTCACAATATGACAGCTAGGCGGTTGCTTGATGGTAAACTCAAGGATAGGAACAAAAGAGAACTGATATGGATGTATATATACCTCCATATACGAGTCCGCTTAGAGATACGAGCCATTGCAGCGCTAACATGCCCAATTAGATTGAGCCAAGTGGGCAACTCTGCAGCCACATCACAAAAATAGGTTGCTACCTGATTCAAACTCCACCCGAGTACGAGGAGCTCGGGATTTCTAAGCAATACACGCTAACATTTTCGCCCTAACGCAATGCAACAGCACAACTATAACACTTTATGTTAATATTTTGGAAAAAGTAGCCAATACAGCTCGCGCGCTGCTATTTGTCGCATCAAGGAAAAGTATTAATATCAACTGTTGTGATTGTGGTGTTGCAGTATCAAGTCGTGGCTATGCATTGAAAACCGAGCTCCTCGTATAGAACTTGCCTAATGAAATAATCAAAGAGGGTGATAGAAGCAACAGCAAATCGGGAAGTTTGTAAATTTCCTCGTTGGCTCATCTTCGCTTCCATACGTTAGAATCCCACCATACATTGTTAAGTCAGGATTTAGGCTCATCTCTTCTGCAGTATTGCATAGGACTTCTTTCCAGAGACTTTCCATCTTCAAATCAAGAAGTATTCCCTTTCTGATCTAAAGCCGTGGACGATGCGATGAAGCCTTGCAGTTGATATATAGTTGCAACCGCTCCTATCAGCCACAGAGCCGTGCCACCTAGTCCGCTTGGTACTGATTGTGGTAATTAACACACTTCACGATGATCTTGACTCGCACGAATAAGGTGTAGAATAAAACTCTTGTACGTCTACTATCTGAATAACAGGAAAATAGCCACTTGTAGCAGAGAAAGAAGAACGAACTAATCAGAAGTACCTACCACTACACGAATCCGTGCTAAATCTGTCCTAGGACTGCACTTCATCGAGACCTCCATTGACGTCCCCACCCAAATATTAATATCTCAAGATCTCTTCTCACATGACCATTTCGTCACTTTACTCCTCAAAAGAAGCATCAGTTTGCTCGTCCTCTGTCTCTGCCTCTGCCTCTGCCTCTGTCTCTGTCTCGCCATCGACCTCAAAATCGTCGTCGACCTCAACCTGCTCGCGTTTTTGCCCCAGGCCCTCAGGAAATGCCTTCTCCACATCCCCGGGAACATTGCTGCTTTGGTTCCTGAGGGAGGCCTTCCGGGGAGAAATGGGTGACGAAGACGTAATATCTGAGTGACGCTTCGAGGAAGACGACGTAGCTGAATTACGCTTCGGGGATGACGGCTGAATGATCGCCTCCTCAGCTATCCTCCACCTCTCCATCCTGATGTTCGCCAGCTCTAAAGAGCTGACCGATGTCCTCTTCTTACTGGATGTTGATATGTTCGCCTCCTCGTCCTCCTCTCCTCCTGCTTCCGCGTCGGCAGACGGCTTTGTCTTCTGCTTCTTAGCCACTGACGTAGAAGAGCTGGATGACTTTCTCTTCTTGCTGGATGATGTCTTCGACGCGGATTTAGAACTCTTCTTCTTCTTCTTGTTGGTCGATGGCTTCTTTTGTTTGTACCTGCCTACTGCCTCGTCATCATCTTCTAGTACTTTGATGTAATCCTGCTTGTTCGGTGTGACTAAGTGTGCGCCACGGCCAAACCCGGCGGGCAATTGAAGGCCTCGGTTGGTAAGCAGCTGTTGGATCGATGCGCTCTTCATGCTCCCGTAGTATGGCTGGCCTATCTTCGAGCCGCCGCGATATTTAGGCACCTCGACGCCATCATTGGCGGTAAGCTCGGCTTCAGTCGGACCTTCATCGTCATCTTTATCATCTTTTTCTTCGCCTTCAGCTGCATTGCCATTCTCTACAGCTGTCTCATTGTCGTTGCCCGGATGGTCATTCTTGAATTTGGCAACCATCTCGCCTTTTTTGGTGAGCCCCTTCAGGAAACCTTTTGGCTTTGTGTCCTCTGCCAGCTGCTTTAGCTGTTTGATTGTGTTTCCATCATAGGCATCATCAGTTTCGGGCAATACCATTTTTTCTTTGACTTGACCCTCGCCATCGCTGCCGTTTTTGCTTTTCACCTTCACCGCATTTGCGCCGGCATAATTATATGTCTCCATGTAATCGAGCATCATCTCCTCGAAGGTCTTTCCGTTCGCCAGCACCCACTTCTTGTCTCGTATTTCACTCTTCTTTGGGGCTTCGCCACGATCGTACTGCTGCTTGTGGAGAAGATATTCACCCCTAAAGAATTAGTCATGCAGTGTGTCACTGACAGAAAGATCGTAAACTTACCTTATACTTTCAGTAGTACGCCCCTTGTGAACTTCATCCCAAGGGAAAGTCTCCTTGTAAGGGATTTGGTCCTGCATGAATCTATTGTTAAATTGATAAGCTAGTTCCTTGATGGAGATGTCTTCATCATCGGTAAATCGGCTGGCAATAAAATCAGCTTCGCCTTGCGACCAAGTTGGTTCATTGCATATTGTCCTGATGTTGTCACGGTGACTCCCATTGAGCTGCTTGATCATGTAGGTATCGTCCCAGTCTTTAGGAATACCGTTTTTGTTTCCCCAGTACGTCGGCTGTCGTCTGGGTGTTGGGTCCTCCTTGGACTTGGGTCTCATGTCGATCAATTTGAGGACCAGATACTCATCTTGATCGATCCGGTTGTCGTCGGCGTCCTTTATATATCGTCCCTTCTGAAAAGTGATTCCGCGATCCTCCCAGAGAGATGGCACTATCTGCCCATTGCTCGTTCGTGCTGGGGGCTGATCGGAAAGATCGGGCAATGGAAATTCATTACCACGATTGTCTGTCCCAGTAGAAAGAATCCGGAGCCATGCGTCGTCAAAAGGTGGCTCTCTGAAAGGTTCACCACGGGGTACGGGCTTCCATGGGTTGAACCTGCTTGCCAAAGTTTGATTGTTCTGTCCGTCGTCCCTGTCCTCTTCATCTTCGTCGTCGTTATCTTCTGCGTCGACATCATCGTCCTTTTTGGTCTTCTTCACTTTACTAGCGGCCTTCTCAGGCTTGCTTTTCTTCTCCTCTTCCTTGTCAGGAGAAGGATCGCTAGGTGCCGAGCCATCCTGAGCTGATAGCGCACTGACAGTCTCACCTTCATCAGAAGAGACCCCGTTAGTTAATTGAGGCTGTTTAGCCTTCGGCGCAGGCTCTTTGTCTTTGTTTTTGGAGGAAGATGAGTTTCGGCTCGATCTGCGCCGCTCCGGTGATCCAGCGCCGCCAACAGGATCGCTCTTGCGACGATTTGGACTGGTTGGACTGGATGATGACATCTTTGTTGTTCTTAGAAGCGATTATATTCGTTAAATGAGAAATTGTTGTAGATGATTCGTAGAAAAGCGTGGTATTGGACGCGAAGAGTTTCACAAGGACGGCAACTATTCATATAGGCTCGGACACGGGGGCTCCATCATGGCCAGGACGGCGGATACCATGGCGAGAAAGCTTTGTCGACGCTTGCTCGTCTTTCCTGGAACAAAGCTTGCCGTCTCAGGGACGCCATGCGCGTGAATGAGTGGATGAGCCCGTAGGTCGAAACAAAGCGACAAACCACATCTTGACAAAGCATCTGTATCTTCTCGACGTAGGCTCCAATATGGCAATGGTGATGTCCGTCCAGTGGCCTCTTGATGGTTTTGCATGATGCTGGCAGTCTCAAGCCTGCGACATCTACAGTAGGGGCCTATATCTATATCCCCACCAACAACCATGCATGAGCGTGCTTGTCTCTGTCGACCAGCATCTAGCACGGCTAACCAAAGGCTGCGTTGTATTGTGGAAGGCACGCGGGACGCCCGCTGCGCCTTCCTGTCACGAGAAGGATAATCATCAACGACCAAACAAAGGCGAATATTTTAAGACAACACTTGTACCATTATCTAGTTTTGGTGGCTAACGCCGTGTGCGCCAACATGAAAGGATTCCAAGCTCCATTCTTTGTATATCGCAAGCGATCCCTGCCCGATGACGTGCACCACTCATTGGTCAGTTCTTCGATCTTTGTGTTATAATGCTTTTCATTATACCGGAATTTCAAGGGTGTAGAGAAAGTGACAGAATCGCTCTGCGATGATGTGGTCCCTTGGAGCTGCCTCCGATCCTCATCACGGACTTCGCCCTGTAGGGATCCCGTAGATGAAGTCAATTCTCCTGCATCCACTGCTCACGCGCCAACTTTCACGCCAGACTACATCAAGATGGGAGAAAGTTTACATCGTAACGGAGGGTGTATTAACTTTTACAAATCATCTACGTGAAACTAGCGTCGCCGGTAATATGGCCTTTACGTATTAACACAACCAATGAACGAAGAGAAAATTATGTAGGGAAATTTTATGTAAAGATCGTTAATGCCCCCAATTGTATGCTGTAAGATGCTAGGAAAGATGCTTATATGAACTTGGCATGCTTCGTCGAGTTCGTGAAGAGGACTGCATGATTGTCGGTCTCGTTGTCATGCTGATGCTTGTGGATGTTGCCGGTGTGGTGCCAGACGAAGCTGGGTTGCCAAAGCGCAAGCGGTCCAGCAACGGTTGTTGTGTTGTCGGCTGTGACGGCAGAGTCGCGCCTGACCTTCGAGGTGCTGTTGCTGCCGAAGTAGGCGCAGTTAAGAGCATACGTGGCAGTTGCGTCGCTGAACGATTCCAGGACAACGGCAGTAATTGCCTTGAGGTTCAGTGCGCTGGTCGTCGCAGTGAACGCTGAAAGCGGGATGCTGAGAAGAACCGGGCTACCCGTCATGGCACCATAGGCGCTGCTCGAAAGGCTGCTGCGCTGACCGCTGCTCTGCAACTGGACATTGAAAGACGAACCCGCCTTCGCGGAGACGTTCAGGGTAAGAGCGGTGTTCGACGAGACGTCGACGTTGCTCAACAACGAGTACCAGTATGATCCTGATGCAGCGGGCTTCAATTGAAGGGCACCGTTGACGAGAGCAGGCGTGCTGCTCATCGTTCCGTCATCACTCTGCGCACCGCCGTTCGCGTTCTTGTTCGCGGCGCCAGAGCCGCTGCAGTAGTTGAGCCAGGCGCTGGTGGGGCAAGAGCACGTTTGCGGGACAGTCGCAGCAGTAGTGGACACCAAGCTAATGCAGCCAACCTTGACGTTGACAGTTGTAGGGTTGAAGCCGGAGAGAGCGATGCTGTCAAGCCTGCTGGCGTTGATGCCAGGGAAGTCAGAGAATGGAATCTTAGCGATTTGGTAGCTTGAGTTGCCAGCAAAGGTGACATAGTTGGTGATCGGGACGGAGGCTGGCGAGGAGACGGTAGAGCACCCAGTGTTTGTCTTCCAACGCATTGCAACGTTGAATGTAGTACCGGCGGCGGCGGCGACAGAGAGCTGCAAGCCTGTGGCGTTGTTCTGGGTAGAGTCGTAGCAAGCGTTGGCGCCAAACTGAGAGTACCAGTAGGCGTCTGCCTTGCTTCCCAGGTTGAGCGAGCCGTCAGTGTCAACAGTGTAAGAGCTCAGGGTTGACTCATCAGTGACCAGGCCACTGAGCGAGTTTTGACGCGGCACTGAGGTGAATGAGCAGGTGTCGACCAATGTGCCCTCGCAAAGTGCGCAACCCTTGCTGTTGGAGTTTCCTACGAAGGACAAAGAGTGGATTTGGTACGTCGCACCTGCAACGCTGAAACCGGTCATAACAAAGGACTGGAGGTAGTTCTGGTTGAAGCCACTTGGGAACTTCGAGAATGGAATAGACACCTCGGTGACAGCCGTGTTGAAGGTAACAGGGACGTAGTCGGTGACCACATTGGTGTTGCAGCTGTTGCCACCGTGCCTGAAACCAACGTTGGCAGTTGCTCCTTGTGGGCCTGATACTGTGAGTGTAACAGCATTGTAGGTGCTGTTTACAGTCGCGCAGCTGCCGGATGATGGTGCAAGTAGCGAGTAGAAGTACGAGTCCGAATCACGAGGCGCAAGGTTGATGTATCCACTCTCGGTCTGATTATAAGAGCTCATCGTATTATCGTCAGAGAAAGGAGTACCCAGAGCGCTGGTCTGCTTCGTGAACTCGTTCAGGTCACAGAAGTCCAGCACCACAAGGCCAGCAGGAGTGTTGCAGGTCGAAGGAGTCGTAGTGTTGGTACCATTTCCAAGGAGGGAGATCCATCGCACGGTGAAGTTACCAGCAGAAGAGCCAGAGATCGGGTTGAAGTTGCGCAATGTAATCTGGCTGATGGAGGTGGTGTCGAGACCAGAAAACTTCGAAAGAGGGATGGTGACGTTCGAATAGCTGTTCTGGCTCAAGGTTGCGTATGTACCGGTGTTGACAGTGGAATTGCTGTTGCCAGTACCGGACGTCACAACCACGTCGAACGAGCCCCCAGCAGGACCACGAACGTTGAGCGAAAGATCGGTGTAGCCCTTGGCGTTGAGATTGGTTCCACCCACAGCAGTGCGGCTGTAGATGTAAGAGTTGGCGTTGGCGGGCAACAGCTGCATCTTACCCAGCTCTGCGAGCTTGGCGTATTTCATGGTACCATCATCATCAGTCTTACCGAAGATGTTGTTGATGCCAGTGATCCATCGGTCGACGTTCTGGAAGGATTCAATGGCGAGACCTGGCGTCTTGTCCTCTCCAGGCGCTGTCACACATCGCTTCTGGATCTTGATGTTATCGATGTAGATGGGTACCTGGACAGGTGCGATGTTCACGAGGCGGACACCACGAACGTTGTTGAAGTTCTCCCCAGCAAAGTCCGTGAGAGGAATCGAGACAGTGTGGTTGTTACCATCAGCAGCAGCGTAGTCGCGGATGTCCAGGAATGTCGTGCTTGTCCTCTCGTTATTGCAGCCGGAATCGTATGATACAAGCTGGACAGAGAAGGTAGTACCCTTAGGGATGATCGTGTCGAAAAACAAGTGGGTGTAAACTGTGGCGTCAAAGCAGAAACGCGAGATCTCAGTGTAGTAGGAGTTGACGCTCGTGGTCGAAGTGATTTGCAATGCGCCGTTGACCTGGTTGGTGCCCAGACCCGTTTCGACAGTCTTCAAGAGGAGCAGATTAATGCCGTTGTTGTAGAAGAATGTCTCGAGGAAATCATCGACCGCAACATCCCACGCCACACACTCTGTAGCCGGTTGGGTAGTGAAGTCAGGGCATGTAGAAGCAGTGGAGGCACCCGTGCCGACGGAGAAAGTAAGAGTGTACTCTCCCTTTGCGGTGTTGCGAAGGACCACAGCGTTGGTGAACGTGTCGTAAGAAACCTGCTGGCAGGCTGAGAGCGAACCGGAGGCCGACTGCAAAGTGTACGTCTTTGGCACCTGCAGCGTGAGTCCTTCAACAGCACCTTCCAGATGAACGCTCATTGTGACCGAGGTGCTGCTTGCGGCGGTGATGTCTACGGCAGCACGGTCCCGGATAGTCCACCAGTTGGCAATACCTGTCTGGTTGAAGAAGACACCGAAAGGACGAACAGCATCGTGGAGGGCACGCTGGATCTGAATCTTATCCAAAACTGCATCCGAAGGATGGAGGAGGATGTTGTAGTGACCGCCATATCGTGCCATGTTCTTGATATCATTGACTTGCTTCCTGAAGTCAGAGCCAGGGAAATCGGCGCTGCTCATGTTGCCGTCGCCATCAGACCATTGGAGAGGGAACTCGTAATACGGAATCTCCTGGTACGATTCGCGGTTGTGTGTGACCTGGAACGGAAGATGCGTGAGATGGGAGTTACCTGAGCATGAGGATCCGCCGATGTATCCATTCGCGACGCAGTGGTTGGCTTGATACTTGTTCCATGCAAGGTTACCCGGTCGGTAGGTGGTCAGATTGTAGTTCGTGCCGAAGAGATCGTTCATGACGTGACGGATGAGGTACCCGGAAACACGTACTTCACCTGACGCAGTACCGTCCTCAGTCCAGAAAGAGAGACCACTGGTTCCACCCTGGACGCACTCCTCGCCATTGTTCGGTGTACCATCCGAGGTGGTTGAGGAACATTCGTGAATGAATGGCCAGTAACCCGAATTGGTGCCTTGAAGGTAACGCTCTGCGGCGGTACCGGATGGAAAGTCTACAGCGTTGGGTGAATGACTGACAGAGTGACTGCCGAAATCAATGTGAGGGTATCCATCAGACGCAAGTCGGAACCCGGTGATCTGGTAGATGTATGGTATGCCGTACTGGAAGTATGCCGCCTCATAAGCGTCGGTAACGTACTTGGTGTGGAGGTTCAGGTTGCCGTATGCGCCCCGTTCCATGGCAGCAGCGGCCATACCTTGACCGTGCGGGTACGATACGTAGGTGTCGATATCCCAGGTAGTGGTGAAAGCCAAACCCATGTTGTACGGAACAGTCCAGAGGCTGACATAGTGAGCACTGGAAAGGACGATGTTCTTCATGATGCGGGTTCCGATGTCGTAGCCAGGGTAATAGTAGCCATCGTAGTTCTCAGAGTAGCCACCGCTCTCGTCGAGTGCACGAACGTAGAGGTATCCAAGGTCCATTCCAAAGCTGTACACCTGACCCTTTGCACCAGACGGCTGGTTCCTGACAAAGGCAGTGTGGGTAGCGGACGTGTCGGCACTGTCAACTCCGTTGGTTCGCACAATCCAATTGCCCAATGCAACTGATCCATTCGCAAGTGTGTAACCAACGTTGACTAGACCCTGTGCAGTGTAGTTCTCGTAGATAGGCATGCTAATGTCGTAGTAATCGGCGAAATTGAATCCTTGGAGAGCTGCAGCTTTGGAATCTGCCGCATTGGACAATTGAAGAATGGATCTCTTGTGCGTGTTGTCAATCGTCGACGCGGAAACACCTGCAAGCGAGCGGAGAGCAGTAGGGACTTGGTTCATGAAGACGAGGTTGCCGCCGTTGGCCACGAAGTTCGTCAGCGTGGTCACATCCGCGGTAGTCGGGCTGTAAGTCACGCTGGGAGACGTGTAGACCACAAGGGTCCTGGTCTGGCTGGTGATGTTGAGAGCCTCATTGACCTTGACCTGTAGACCCACGGTCTTGAGCGAGAGCACGAAAGGAAGCCTACCATTCGTTACTCGACGCACTTCTCAAGACTTTCGCAGGGCATCTTACCAATTAGGGTCGGACTTGTAGTTCGGTAGGAAAACGTTTATGCCGGAAGCTGGACCTGAACCGTGCCTTGACGCAGATGGCACAGCAGGGCTGAGGGAAGCATCCCCAAGGCCTGGAGTGGCGACATCGGGCTGCGTGAAAGAGTAGATGTCAGGTGATGTGATGGCCTGGACAAGGCGAAGAATGGCAAAGAAGAACAGATAAACGAGTGACTGCATGTTTGCGGCTCCTTTCAAACGACGGGAGGAGGTAGCATCGAGAAATTCCGAGGACAGGACCTTTTCTTTAAAACCGATGGTAGCGCTGTTGTCCGAATCGTTCGTGCTGAAGCTACGAAGGTATTCTGACACGCGAAACTTTTAGTTAGCGACCGAAATAAGACTTGTGGAGTGCGCCTCCGGCTATTGAGCGGCGTCTACGGCTTTGACCCCTTGCCCCTTTCTGGAAGGATGCTTACAGTATACGCGAAAATTCAGGCTGGGCACGGATTCACGGTCGGGTTGTAGCGAGCACATTCAAGGCTTCCACAGGGGTCGTCTTAAGAGTTACGATTTTTCACAAAGATGACTGTCAACGATAGTGCTTGATTGCACCGGAGAGTTTTGCGTGGATTGACGAGAACCAGTCAGTTACCGCGTGTCCTGGTGCGAGGATGGCAACAACGCGCTTCTGCGAAGTTACGAAGGTACGAATGCATTGTTTATCTAGCGGTGGCTGCGATGCAAGCCACGGGAGCCTGACTGCTCTCGATGCGGGCAGGTCTGTTCACTCCTTTTATCGATTGCGATCTAGATACGGCGGAATAGGAGTTATAGCGCATGAGCTGTTACGTAGCTTACATGGTACCTTGCGCAAGTTCTTCACTACTGCAGGGGTAGGCGACTCCACGAGCTTGCGTTCGGTTTGTGAATGGCCGGACATCAGCCCATTCAGTCTTTTCTGTCGCTTGCTGGCTAGGGCTGGCTGGAGCAGCCTTTGAAACGTCCGCGCGTAGTGGAGAAAACTTTTGGTCAGCGGAGCGCGATCGCATTCGTACCGAGCCGACTTGGCGTTGAGCCGAGTCGTCGGTAATTGGAGAGAGTGAACGAGCAGTTCAGCACGCCATAGTGGGTGCGGTGGATTGGGTTCGCCCGAGAAGCAATATTTCGGTCACAAGCTAGAGCGATTCGCGATCTTAGCCGAAGCTTCGTTTTCTTCTGGGTCCTCGTGGTGGACTTCGTGGCATGGCTGAACGAGAGCGGCTGAAGACTGCCGGCGCGAGATGTCGCTGCGTGCATCGGCATGTTGCTGCATTGCCGATCAATTGATTGCTTGCTGCACGCAATGGAGTTGCGCGGGATCGCCCGACGGCGTGTTTATTGATTAATATGCGTGAAGCGCTAAATATAGCTCTTTTTGGGATGCATTGGCAGGAATCTCACAAACACCGCGTACATCCCTATTGCTGCCCCCACCTACACGGTGTGTTCCCTACTGCACATAAGCACTTCGTCTTTGCTTGTTTCTCAATGCGAGTAGCAAAGATTCTGTCATACTTTCAACTACTTCCACCAACCAGACAAGGCGCACGGTAATCCAAGCGTGCCGGGCGTAGCTGACGGTATGATGGAGCGTTCAAAATGTTGTCGCATTCCGGTGAGAGAAGTCCAAGGTGGTAGATGTCTAATCTTTCGGAAGAATACGCGCACATCGAATTCGAACCCGTCTCGTCAGTGGTAGGCGAATTGCCGCGAGGCCTCGTAAGGACGTCATTGTAGAGGGCTTCGCGTCGATCTGCTGAGGAGCCGGTGCTGCCTGCCTCAGATCTAACGCGTCAACCAAAGACAACAAAAAGGCATGCCTGAGAAGGTTCAGTGATCAAATGTTGACCAAGACTGACACATGACATGTCAGTGTCAGCGGACCCTTCTTCCCCGTGGCATGTGAAGCGTGAGCCGCATGTGAAAAGCTGGGGTGAAGTATCCGCTAAACTACAAATCGACGTACACGTGATGCTTTAAACTCCAAACGGAAACTACCTCGGCGCAGCGAGACGATGATGTCGCCAGGTCGTCGGACCTCATCAGAAAGCAACGTTCTTTCGCCGAGGCAAACAGCGTGAATACCTCCCTTATCTTCTGCCATATTGTTCCTTTCTTCTTCACAAAATATTCTACTTCACAAAATGGCCAACCAGACGGGACGTAACTCAGGCGGTGTGTGGAGATGACCATCGAGGTAGAAGTATGCGTGCTGACGACGAGACAGCGCAAGACCGCCTTTCGCAGGTCGCGGATCACTTAAGCGGTGCAAAGCAGGCTGGAAAGTCGGCACTGCTTCAGAAGCATCCTGATGATGTACGTCAATCCCCCTCGACCAAGCACATCATCCTTCCGACGCTTGTGCAGTACATGAAGTGGCAAATCGTTCGGCCTCGATGCAAACGGAGAGCGTTCTACATACATTCATGCCTGGATGACATTGTATCCTAACATCATCCTCCAGATCGTCGTCACAGCCGCACTCCGCACACCCATCACCAAAGGCGGCAAAGGCGGCTTCAAAGACACTGCCGCCGCCGACCTACTTCACGGCGCCTTCAAAGCGCTCATCCAACGCTCCGGTATCGACCCCTCCCTCGTCGAAGACATCGCCGTCGGCGCCGTCCTCGCTCCCGGCGGCGGCGCCACAGAATTCCGCGCCGCGGCCCTCGCCGCCGGCTTCCCCTGTCACAACCTCCGTCAAGTCGCTGAACAGACAATGCTCCAGCGGTCTCCAAGCCTGCGTGGACATTGCCAATGCAATCAAGAGCGGCATGATCGAGGTTGGCATTGGTGCGGGCGCCGAGAGTATGAGCACGCAATACGGTCCTCAGGCTGTTACTGAATTCAGCGAGTTGCTTGAGGAGCACAAGACCGCTGCTGAGTGCAAGGTGCCCATGGGCGTGCTGAGCGAGAAAATGGCGAAGGAGAAGGGCATTCCCAGGTCAGCTCAGGATGCATTTGCCGCAGCTTCTTTCCAGAAGGCGGTGGAAGCGCAGAAGAAGGGCTTGTTTGACGAGGAAATCGCGCCTTTGACGGTCAAGTGGACGGACCCCAAGACGGACGAGGAGAAGACCATCACAGTGAGCAAAGATGATGGCGTACGACAGGGTATCACGGCGGAGAGTTTGGGCAAGATCAAGCCTGCTTTCTCCAAAGACGGGTCGATCCACGCGGGCAACGCATCGCAGATTTCGGACGGCGCAGCAGCTGTTCTGCTCATGAAGCGCAGCACTGCGCAACGCCTTGGACAGAAAGTCATCGGCAAGTTCGTTCAGGCGTCCGTCGTCGGCGTGCCGCCGCTACTCATGGGTATCGGCCCAGCCGCTGCTATCCCCGTCGTTCTCCAGAAGACTGGCTTGAACAAGGATGAGGTAGACATCTATGAGATCAACGAGGCGTTCGCGAGCCAATGCCTATACTGCATTAACGAGCTCGGCTTGGACCAGGCGAAGATCAACCCCAAGGGTGGAGCTATTGCTTTTGGACATCCACTCGGTGTCACTGGTGCGAGGCAGGTTAGCACTTTGTTCACGGAGTTGAAGCGGACCGGCAAGCAGATTGGTGTCACGAGCATGTGCATAGGGACTGGTATGGGTATGGCTGCTGTGTGGGTCGCGGAATAAGCTATGTACAATCATAACATCATGTACGACTACGAACCTGTGTCTCAGTCCACAGCGCGTTTCCCATGTTTTTGGTAAATTTCTGACATGCTGTTCGTCTGTTCCTGACAGCACGCCGGTCCAGCGCCGAGGCGGCTTTCGAGCCGCCGCAAATTGGTGGCGGCGCCCTCGCTACCGGAACCTTATGTGCAGGCCACGCGGCATTGCCGTCTCAGCTCAGCCAAATTGTCGGATCACACATGGCTTCGCTTCGGTGCAAGCCATATGCGACCAGTCCTACGCATAGTGCCTTTTGTTCTGCCCCTTTTCTTATGGTGAGGGCGTACCGTACGCCAGGCACAGCTCATATAAGACCATTCAAAAGCATACAAGCCATCGATAAACGTGTGTGCAATGATGTGACCGTCCGTTCTCTCGAAGTCATGTTTAGGCGCGTTGAATTTGTCATTCAAACGCCAGAGGCAGTCAGGCAAAGCCTGTCTGTTGAAGCACGGATGTGAAGGCTGATTGAAAAGCACATTTGAGGTGCAACCCAATGCCTCGACACCGCCTCCCGGAACTTTCTCATTGTTACACGAGAACATCCGGTGGAAGCTACCCAGTCCATGGCTCATTCGCATCGTCATTCACAAGCATAATCTCCATCTTCATCATCCGCCACCTCAATCGCATCACCCTTACTTACAATATCCTCTCTCATCAAGCACCTTAGTTTAATGAGCCCGGTGACTCCACACCGCCTGTTTCCAGACCCGCAACGAACAAAAAAAAAGCTATGCAAAAACATACAACAGCGGGTATTCGCTGATGGTCATCCATGCAACTACTATCGGTGCTATACAAAAGTTCCTCTGCCACCTTTCCATGGAAAAATACCTTCTCGTGAATCTTCAGCCAATCTATACAATGCAATGAAAGAAGAGGACTGACAGAACAGCCTATCAACCGGCACCCGTAACCTGCGCTCTGACGTATATGTGCAATCAAAGGCGCGGCATCTTCAGTGTGCTTACCTTTCTCTCAAAGTTGAGCAACTGTGCCTGGTCTTTCTTCAAGTTTGTGATGATCATCTTGACCGAATACGAGTAGAGCTCGTGAATCGCCCTCTGCGTAAGCCCATATGCCCTTTCTGCCCCCTTGATATCCACCTTCTCGTTGTCGATCTTGATCTGGTGCGCCTCTCTCTGAGTCTTGTTCCACTTCCTCGTGCTAGCCTTCTGCGTTGCCTTCAGCGTGCGTAGCTCCGCTCTGTGTGCGCGCAGCTCTTTACCCTGTTGAGCTAGCTTCGTGGACAATGTCTTCTGCTTCTTTTTCTGCTCGTCGGCATACGAGGCGGGTGCCTTGCCCTTGCCTTTGGATCCCTTGCCTGCCTTGGCTCCTTTCTGCGCTTGTTGCTCTGCGTTCTTGCGCTCGCGGAACATCTTTTCGTAATTCGCGAGAGCGGACTTGACCTCCTTGTGTGCTAGGTCGATGCTGTCCTTAGTCCATTTTTTGGCCCATTCATCTATTTCGGCAAATCGGTCTTCAAGGAAAGTGTCCCACATCGACGCCAGATTCTGGACATTTGGAGCGCCAGTGATCTGTGCCGCGTTGCTGAGTTCTTTCTTCACGTTCTTGTTGATTGATATCATCTTCCTGTGAACTGTTGGTGAGCTTAGGTAGCTAAATACCCCGAAAGCCTGTGTAAATCAGCGGGCGTGCACAATGAAGGAGTAGGCTCGACGTACCGTCCGGATTGCGCTGAGATATTCGCTAGAAGGTCGTGCACCCTTCGAGGCATCTAGGTATGCGTCCTCGAACTTCTTAGCCGCCATAGGATGATGGATAGTCCAGAGCTGCTTTTTGTATCCATTAATCTCGTTTTCGAGCAGTACGAAGTCTGAGGGATTCACTGTGCTTCCGAGGGCTTCGAAAACTAAATCGTTGAGGGTCAGGCGCTCCTGAGCGCCTTTTTTCTTAATTTGCTCGGCATAGTAATGCGGCTTATTGGTCCTGCCTTGAATTATGGCCGTCGTACTTTTTTTGTCCCACTCCTTGTAGAAGAAGGTCTCCAGCTTTGGATCTCGCTTTATCGCCCAATCGCGAAAAAGACCTATAGTTTGGAGCTTTTAGAGTTAGCTAGGCGATTACAACTTGGGATCTTCCTTACCTCGATTATGTGTTCGGTTGCATAGTTACCTCCGTACGTCTCGGTCGACAGAATAGACGGGAAACTCTTCACTACCGTGCTTCCGACCTTAGTATTCTGGAAGCGGAGTATCTCCTTCGTGTTCGAGGCGCGGGACGCAGAGTAAAAATCTGAGCTTTCGGGGTACGGCAATGCTTTCAAGCCCTTTGGTGTGCGAACTCGCTTCGTGAGAGTGTGCTTTCGTAAACTGGATGCGGGTTGCTCGACGGTGACGATGAAATGATTCGGTTTTCCGGCGTCTTTGTCGACACAGTCAATGTAAATGCCACATAGATCAGTTGCTGTGTCTAGATAAGGGACTTCGAGCTTCGGAAAGATGACGGCAGAGGGCTTGGGCTTTGGTTTCGTTCCTGGCTTAGGTTTCGTTCCTGACTTAGGCTTCGTTCCTGACTTAGGCTTCGTTCCTGACTTAGGCTTCGTTCCTGACTTAGGCTTCGTTCCTGACTTAGGCTTCGTTCCTGACTTAGATTTTGGTAAAGGACGTCGCGATCCGCCTCTAGATCCGCCTCTAGATCCCCTGGGAACGCGGGCCTCGAGGATGAATTCAGCCTCTCCATCCTGGGAGCCACTCAGTCCGACAGCACCGTTGATCCCCGCACTTGGGCATATTTAGCATTATTTGTATACTTGACATTGTCTGTACGTACTGTTGCACCGCAACACTCAAGGCCTGCGTAAGAACGAATAAGATTCCAAAGAAGAGAAAAGACTTGCGCAGCAAGTATAAATGCATGGTGCCTAGATGAAGGACCAGTGACGACTGAGGGTTCAATGATAGTGAGGAAGGCTCGAAAGTAAAAATGAATGACTAGAGAAGAAAGCGATGTAGCATGAGGAAACACGGTTGGGCGGAACACATAACTTATAAGGACGTGGTATACTCATTCATTTCGTTCACTGTTGTCAGACGGACGACAGCTGCATCATGGTCTTCACAGCGTGCTCCGACCTTTTCCTACGCCTATTGGCGTTATTTTCATCTGCATGTCTGTCATCGATCTTTTGACATTTGGCTTTCATCATATCCATCTCATAGTTCACTCCAAGCAATGTGCGGACAGAATTCAATACATCTAGAAAAGACGCTTGGAAAATGATTCATTTCACAGATCACAATGAATTACAAGTTCACGGAGTGCGATTTCGATCGAACGGCTGCAGGCGTACGGCATGTCCGGTGGCAATGCAACGTCCAACTGTGAGAGGCACACTCGCGAACACTTACGAGCACTTTGGCGCAGAATGCTTCGGGTTTCCTGCCAGCGGGCGGCACAGTTACGAATCACCAGATCGTGTCCGTTGGCCTTTTCACCCCTGGCCTTGGCGACGCTGTGGGGGCTACAATCACGGAAGGCACTCCCCTAGACTGAGTGGGGTCAAGTCTTGTCATAAATTCTATGCATGCTCGTAGCCTTTGATTGATAAGTTATCCAAGTATATGTCGCTGCGGAGGTGCATTCTCCGTCCATCTGAGCGCTTTTCGCTAGTCGGGCTGACGTGACACGTTGAGACCCGTGCCGTCGGGTATATTAAACCAAGCTGACCCCAACGTCTGAACAGAACTACGCCACATACTCTTCACCCTCTTCATTAAATCTCCTGGGAACGAGAGACTACGCCTGGCCATTAGCGCATTGTAGTTCCCAAAGTTCGTACCGAAATGCTTGGAAATAAAAGGCATACTCATAATGATATAGGTACAATGCCCGACCAAGATTGCGTCTTTCTTCGAGAGCAGCTATCGCGCTTCCCCGGAAGCAAGCTTGGTTTCATGATATACCGCCTGACCTACAAAGATGATGAGGAATGGACACGCTTCATGGCATACTTTAAGAGTCGCACGCACAAGAACCTTGAGGAATCTGGCGACGAAGATCTCATACCACACATCTCTTGGGATGTCCATGAGGACCCAGCAATGGAAGGCGCGCCGTCATCGCAAGTTCGCGCGTAAGCACTCTTTCGACTATCTGAGTGCATGCTAATGCTGACGATTAGGCACTTTCGCGAGCGGGTGGAGAGCCTTACAACTGTAAGACGTTTCGGAGACCAGTTACGTGAGATCAAAGGTCTTAATCAGTGGAGCTGGGGAATTCCACGGAACATTGCTTGTTTAGCAATTGGCCAGAATTGCGTTGACAGGAGTATCCAAGATGCGGAGTCAGATGACGCAACAGCTTGGGAGAAGGCGTTTATGATGTTGGTGTCTATCGAAGAAGAAGAGGATTGGACACATGTCGCATTGTCTTCGGTTTTTCCACGAGTGTACTCTTTGCTTGAGGGGCCGGGCTGGGATGTGATCGGTAGGGAGGGTGTTTTCAATAGCTAGTTGCTATGAATTCTAGAGATTTTTAACGCTCTTGCTGTTTGGCATCGATGATCTTTTCTACGTGCGGCAGTGCCTTCCCCGAGGGCGGCGGCGTGTGTTCAGAACGACATACGAGGGGCTGCGACCCAGGGACTCAAGAGCTTCGTCGAATATATATGTCCGTATACCTTTCAAACAAGGACACAAAAGCGACTCATAACGACAAACCTCAATCTTGGATTCTTGCTCGTGAACATCCAGTAAACTCGCAAGGTCTAAGCAGAGCGAAATATCTAGTGCAATGAGCTGTAAACCCGTACGTTTAAGTTTCGAGCCCATGAAATGGCAGGCTCTAAGCAAGTAGCAAGCCCAACGTATGATTTGATATAACTTCGCGCAAATGGAGCATGAAACCTAATTGTACACAGAGCTCTTTGAACGCGCACAGAGATCAAGGGAAAAACTCTGCCTTTATTGGTAGGGTCTCTCGCGCGTTGAGAACAAGGTTGGCTATCAGCTTGCTAGCATATAAACGTTAGTAAGTACCGTATGACTATGTACCTTTGGTAACTTACTCCATGACGAATGTCTAAACATCATTTCGATAATGTATAGCCGATGTCCAAGCTAACCACAAATAGAGGATTCCACCAACGGTTCCGATTTAGAGCCTCAGTCACTATGGGGAAAGCAGAAACATAAAGCTATGCTAACTTTGTCACCCTACAAAGCATCGAGTGGGCAGGGTAACAAAGCGAATGTAGTGAGATGGAAACTAGAATAAGTTCAAGTCATTCCATCGTGATCAATACATTGCTCAAGAAACATCTCTTTAAAAAAGTCGTCAATGATCTCAATTTCTCGAATGTTTGAATCGTTTCGTTAACTCAATCTGATCCTGTGTGCAAATACAGCTCAGCCTTCAGTGGGATATCCAGGGTCGTGAATCCGCCCGTACCAATTCATTTACCGCATCGCGTTTACTTGTTGAGTCAGCTAAAGCATGAAGCCCTTGATACAACCCGCCCGCAAGGGCCAATCGAAATGTGTCTCGATGGCTTATTTAAACATCACCAGTCGAGAGCCAACGAACCCGATCTGTAAACATGTTAGTGCGTTGTACGGAAGGGCTCAATAGAAGCCCTCACCCCTCGGAAGGACGACAGGGCGTGGAATTGGTTTTGCTCCTCGCGTTTGACGGCCTAATCGTCCGGAGTAGCAAAGTTTACGTTCTAGTAGCACGATTCAGGACACTTGCGGGTAGCTGGCTTAACACATGTATTAGTGAAAGAGGCATTTCCATGCTCAACGGTGGGTTATTCACATGACGACCGCAGGCCGAATTAAAATATTATACAAAGCTTGGTCGTAATCGAAGCCGTGACCTGTATCATCTGTCACAATTACCTTCTTGAACTCACGAGTAAGAACAGTGTTCCACTTCCATTTATTAACAGATTCGATAGCTTCGCGGAGACGCACATACTACATGCCACGGACGTAAAGAAACGCTGCAGTAAGAAATCAGTCGATTAGTGTCTAATAGCAGTGCTAATCATCGCGCGATTCGATAATGCAGATCCTCCCCATTCAGGCTACGATAACAAATGATCCTCCGACCGGAGCATCTTTGTAGACTTGCCCAGGCGACGCACCGACCACATACATACCAGGCGACGTTATCTGTCGGCCATCGCACAGTCCCTTCGTCACAAAGGATGGACAGCTAAGCGAATAGCCAAGACAGCCCTAGAAACTGTGCAATCTGGCCGAAGGATCACTCGTTGTAATGATAAGGGATTGGGAAACACCTAGGCCCAGGCCGTTATAGATCGAGCTGGTTCCATAAGCACAGTTTGACGTAGTGGGCGAGCAAGAATCTCAGCGTGATATTAATCCACCCGTCCGTCGTGGGGATGTTTGGACAATAAAGCACCTCCTCGAGCCACAAGACTTCCTCGCTGCCGGCCGATCCCGAGGTCAAGCGCTCCTCAAGAGTCTGCGTGTTGATCAAGATTCAGCTGAACGTAGGATGCGGAAGTTCATTGAGTGCTTTCCTATCGATGATGCAACGATACGCGAGTGATATTCGATCCCGTCGTGCATCTTCTGGTAGTCCGGATGGTTCTTCAGAGAGCCTAACACTACGGCCGTGAATGTCGCAAGCACCGAGCAAACATCCAAGACAGAGTGTGCTATGTTTTCGCTTCGAGAGAGAAGGCAGAGGGTCAGACTTCTTAGACAAATAGATTGAGAAAGAGCAAGCGCCCTAGCATGAGGCCCTCGCAGGTACACACAGAAGGGGATGGATCGTCCCGTCAACGAGTCAACAGTCAAGAACATCGCTAGACTGAAAAAAAGACGATATCGTCAATCAGACATAGAATCTAATATTAACAAGTAGGGGGAATCTATACAACCTCCAGTCGTCAAGCGCCCGACTCGCACAGCGAGACCATCTATGCACGAGCAAAGGCTAAGCCGCATACATCCACTATTCCGCCCAAGCTCTTTTCTACTCTCATATGTACGAAGGAAACAGGCATCGAAGTCGTCAGACCTCCTACCCATTCCCCGGTCCGCCTCCAAAGAAAAACCCGTCAAAAAGATCCAACCCATTCCCATCACTCCAATCATGCGTCCCATCTCCGAATCCCATCCCGAATCCCAGATCCTGCAGCGGCCCCGCCGCATCGGTGACATTAGGGTTGCTGCTCGACCCCTGCACCGGGAACGAATCGAGGAAGTCGAGATCGTTGAAGGTGCCCAGATCTGGATACGTGGACGTAATGTTCTGCGCGAACGCATTGTACGGAAGTTGATTCGTAAGTTGGTAGGGCGAGGTCATGTTGGGGTTGGGTGCGTGAGACATCAGTGGGGAGATTGTGGTTGTTGTAGATGTGGGTGTGTAGGATTGTTGGTGTTGGTTTTGGGGAGAGGCGAGGTTTTGGTGGGGAAAAGAGTATGCTTCTTGCTGTTGCTGCTGGTGATGATGCGAGCGCATCTGTGGGGATATCTTGAGGTCGGTGGTGAACGATTGCATTTGCTGATGTTCCTGTTTCACGTGTTGAGGTGGCGGTGGGGGGCGCATACTACCCACTTGGTTTGATATGCGGCTGAAAGAACGTTTATCCGTTTCGTCTTCCGAGAATAGGTCTTTGAGATTCATGTCGAAGCGGGGTATGGGCCGGCGCGCTTGCTGGAAGTACCCTGTTGATTGATAGCCTGGGATTTCAGTGTCTGTATCCGACGCAGGTGGATATGCTGTGCCCGGCGATTGAGACGATCGTTTGTGATGCGGTGGTCGCAGTGCTTGCGGCCCAAAACCTGTGGTCGACATGCACATCTGGATAGTCGCTTTACTCATGCGGTCGAAAGCGTCACGGCATGCTTCTGCAGGTGGGCACTTTTCGATCAGGTCGCCAAGCACGGATGTCGCGGCTAGAACGGTAAAGTCGACATCATCAAGAGACTGTTGAGTGTAGATCATCAGTACAAGTTGTGATGCAAGCAGGTGCCACAGCATCGGGGCGCAGACTTACTAAGAGACTGCGTACAGCAGGTGAGTGCCAAACAGCGTACAGGAATGATATCCCTGAACAAGTTAGCTCCTGTAATGCAAGGGTAGTGATAAGACTTGCCGGCCATGAATAGGTGATGTGTGGCCAGAAACGTGTAGTTGACTAAGCGCACGCGATGTAACTGTCGATACAGCTTGAGCACCTTCTGTCCGGCTTCCGCGACCTTCAAGAAGACAAGTTCTTCGTCTTCTCTCTCGTCGAGACTGATTACCGACGGGCTTCCCACCTCACTGTTGGCGCTGCCAAGCTCACCTGCGAGCCCCATTGGAACCACTAGACTTTGCCGATACAGCATAATGATCGCCTGCCAGTAGTTGAGTTCCAAGAAGAGCGGAGAAAACTGCACGCCAGCGTCCTGTTGGGTTGGCGCCGAGTCTTTCCATTCTAGGAGGCGCCTATCGATATCCACACGCCACCTTCGAAACGAATTAAAGTTGGCCAAGAATGGCGATGGGAGCTTCGTGTGCATGTATTGATTGCCCTCGTTCGTCCCGTTCGCCCTTGCTTGTTGGGCCTGTCGATGTTGTAACACTTGGAGTATCTCTGACTGGAGCAACCTGAGCCGGAAATAGTGATACGCCACGACTTTGTAGCTGGGCCTTCGCATATGCTCGGGTGGATCTAAGAAACCCTCCTTGGTGATGTAGCGATCATCGAGCATCGATGGGAATTCCGTTGTAACAACCTGGTCGGTAATCCCGAAGGGTCGTCCAACGCATGTACTGACCAGTCTGTCGAAAGAATATACACACCACCAGAGTCTTCGTCGGAGATCACGAACCCACTCTCTGCGGCCACGCTCCCTGGCATCAATCTTTCCAGCTGTTGCACCCGCGGTCGCATCCTCTTCCTCTTTCACTTCCGGTTTCCCGGGGGCTTGGTCTTCCGACCCAAAACCGTCAATCCCTACCCCGTCTTCGTAATGTAACCCAAGATCGACACCCAACCGAACGGCAACTCCGACGATATACCATAGACCTGGGGCAACAGGGCGCAACAGCGCGAACCCCGCAAGAAGTAATACGGCCTGCAATTCTTCCAAGCCTCCACCAAAGCCATCGGGTCGGTCTGCGGCCGGTGTACTGCCAAGGAAATTTTCCAAGTGCGTTATTGCTGAGGCGTGGTACTCCTCGGGTTGGTGCTGGTAGCCTGCAAGTCGCCGCTTCTTGTTTGACGAAGGCGACATCGGTTTAGATTTGGTCGGTGCACCGTCGGATACGGGTGAATCGCCAGAGTCCGAACTGCCCATAATAATGCCGGCTCCGATGGCAAACACAATATTGAGCATGTATGACTCGCGTGATGTCCTTTGCCCCCCGCCAGATGAGTACACTCGCTCAAAAAGTTCCATGAATTCGCCTCGGTGCAAGATCGGAATCTGCGGGTTTGCATGTTCAAAGTAGAGATCCACCAAACGAGCACCGAGTTCGCGTTCGGGGAAGGGAGCTTGCTGGAATGTCGGTTTGGTGTGCAGACCAAAGAAGCTGTCTCGCATGGAGGTACCGCCATCTGCTACGTTCGTGGTCAATTGTTTACTGCCTCTTTGACTTCCTCGCTCAGATGACGATCCCGAAACCGAGCTTTTCACGGCCGCGAACACGACCCTGGCAAAGGATATGCCGGATGTTGATCCCAAGAAGCGGGGATCGCTTGCGCCCTGCACCGACACCATGCCAATATTTGACACCAGCTTGGTGAGCTTCTCGCGATCATTGCGATCCTGTTCCTCCTTGGTGAGACCAGTTGGTGTGATTGGTACTCCATTGTGTTGTTGCGGTGGGCCGGTGGCCGATGGTGGTCTCGACGCAGAGCCATCGGCGGGCTGGAAGCTCGGATTGAACTGTTCAGCGGCAGCGAATGCGACGGAGTTGTCCTGCAGTAGTGATTCCAGGTACGCGACTCGTGTCTCCAGGTAGTAGACATAACTGGGACAAATTAGCCTGTGGGGGCTGGAGATGGCATGGCAGCGTGTTGGCCCGCGGAAAGGCATGTGGCCAATTCCAGCGCAAATACCAAGTGAGGCTTGCGACGCACCTTCGAGGGATCTCGCGTTTGGTGATGGGATCGTAGCCCACGCATTTCTGGCTTGCCTTGTCGCAAGAGGCACAGGACGGCAGGCGCTGGTCGCAGCGGTTCTTCCTCAGGCGACACCTGCACACGGCCCACGTAAGCGGAACGTTCTATATCACACATTGTCACAGACCGAGAGCCGGCGCATTTGAGGATGTGAGGGCACAGACCTGTTGCAGGCAGAGACGTTCCGGAAGGACGAAGCTGACGACGCGGCCTGGGCAGGCGAGGGCGGCTTCACGGTCGCAGCTGCTTCGTGGGGAGAGGCGGCGTCGGCATCATGAGAAGACTCATCGTGCGCGCGCTTGAGGCCCGTCATCAGGGCGCATCGCAGGGCTCGCGGGCGCTACTCCAAAGATCGCGGTCGGCGGGAGCTCAGGTAGTCCAGCCCCGCACCGGACATGCGCTCTCAAGGCTGGAGGAGTAAGCGACGATGACGGGGGTGCGAACGCGCGGCGTGGAGGAGCAGGACGCGGGATGATTCCATCTGCGCAGCGACGAGGAGAAGGCAGTGTGGGGAGGAGGCTAGTGGATGGCTGCATCTCTTATCAGCGACTGTGCTTGTCCACGGCGGAGGGGCGGAAACCAACCGAGGCACCCCATCTACTCGTACATCCACTCAGCGCTCGACGCTGGCCATGTGACCTCGAGCGCCGTGTCCTCTCCAAAAGCAAAGACACGGCTTGTTCGACGCAGCCGTGCCCAGCCCGCCCCAAAGTCGAGTCTGTCTGCCTCCATCGCATGCTCAAGTGACACCGTCCATGTACGAATGCACAACTTAGCTACCTGTTCGCCCTATGTCTCGTGCGCGAACCGGACGATGACATCCCTGACTCGGACCGTGGCTCCCTGCAACCCAGCACACCGATCAGACAGGAGCCGAAACTATGGAACGGCACTTTGGCCCTCTCTACTCGCGAAATAAGCGAAGACATGCTCCAAACGGCTGCGGGATTTACCCATCCTGGACCAGCCTACATCCTACATCGCCTCGAAAGCCTCACTTCGCGTTTTTGACCTGTCCGTGGCCCTTCGTCTCACCGCGACTTTCTGTCAGAAACGGCTGCGAGTCAGTTGCTCTCCGCGGCACTGTTTCCCCAGCCTGTCACAGGACCCTGAAGTGAGTTCGAGAGGAAGCTCGGATGAGATAATAATATAAAGGAGGTAATGCATTGCGCTGAAGTTATCTAAAAACAGAACTGGACTGAACCAAACTGCCCTGGGTATTGTGAGATCCTTCTATTGCATGCCAACGCCGAGCTTGCTTCGAGGAGCAGCCGATTTTTGTGTATCTTCGCCTGAAAACCCTCTAGTAAATGCTGTCCCGCAGATTTCCGCCCTGGTCCATTCCCTGTGCTACAAAATTGCCGCCTGTAAGAAAACGCCGGGCCTAGAGGCCTATTCCTTCTAGATAAAAGTGAACTATGTGTCTATGGTGCTGGTATTAATATTCGGTACTTGATAATGGAAAGCAGTAAACGCCGATGCTAAAAGCGCGGGATGTGAATAGTTGTCGTCATGTGTAGTCGTGTGTGGTTACTTGGGAAGCCGTACGCCAGCCTCTCCGTCCAGTGCGAGGGTGAGAACGGAATCGGTGTCTGAACCAGCTTCTTCGTCTTCGGTGATCTTGCGCTTCTCTTGCATTGCAAATCCAGGTGCCCAGCCGATGATGGCAACACCTGCGATGGTCCACCATGCCAAACCCGACATGCCGATCTGCACACCGACCGAGTCGACGGCGCCTGAGACCGTAGGACCAAAGCCCCTCATGACGCTTGCAGAAGCAGCTGCAGCACCGTTCAGGGTACCGAGCACCTTCCTGGATGGGGATGCGTTGGCCAGCATGATGGCCAGGGACGGGTAGGAGAGTGCTTGAGCCGTCACTTTCCACACAAGGAGCAACACGATGCCGGGAATGCGCAAACTCTTCGGTAAGAGCGCGAGGTAGGGTGCCATGATGTAGAGAAATGGGTAAAGTGCGATGGTCAGCCAGAATGTCCGTAGGTTCCCAAGCTTCTTGCTAATCCAAGGGAAAATGACGAGCTGGGCGAACATCTGCAGGACACCTTGGATACTGAGAATAAGGCCATTTGTCTGAGTCGACAAGTGGAAACCACCAGTGAAGTAGAACGGTAGGTTGCGGTCCTCTCCTCTTGATTCGTCTCTGGACATGAGGATCGGGAGGAGCTGCTCCAACGATATCGTGTGACTTCAGAAGCTGTCAGTCGACGTTTCCGCCAATCGGAGAATCACTTACAATGCGAGTATGCCGTAGCACACAATGTTCAAGCATGTTTGCATCGTAAACGCATCGCGGACAGTTGGCGCTCGTACAACTTCCTTCTCCAACGAAAATAGGGGCGGCTCAGAAATGGATGATCGCGAGCTGCACAAGGTCGGTGAGGTGGTATTGCTCCTGTACGCCGCTGCGTCGTCACCTCCCAACATGGCGCTCATCTCGTCCAAAGGTGCATCCTTGTCGCTCAAGGGCTCGTATGCGGGTTGTCCCCACACTTTGCGGAGAATCCACTGGCCAAGTTCGGTACCGCGGTCATGGTCGTATTTGCGATCCTCGTGTGTTTCCTCAAGAAAAAGGAAACCCACGCTAAGTCCAAACGCAACTACTGCTGTGCAAACAAGGTTCGGAAGCAGATACGGAAACGTCTCGAAAACGGTGCCCTGGAACCAGGCAGGGAGAGACAGCGCGGGGCGGGCGAGAATTCCGCCGAGCGACGCGCCGACGATGGTGCTACAAAAGAGCGGTCAGTGTTGGGTTCACATTTCATCCAGGGGAACAATTACCCAAGGCACCAAACAGAGGGCATGATCGAATACGCGCGCGCTGTGCAAAGGAGTCAGCGCACCATCTCAGATCGCCGAGGCAATAAACTTACGCTGGTGCTTCTCCACAGTTACCAATTCCGCAACGGTAGTCTGAAGAACGCCGATGTTCCTGCGTCCGCGTTAGCGAGCGCTACTGCATTTCGGTCCCACGAATGACCTCACCCATTGAGCGCTCCACCCAGTGCGCGCGCAAACAGAGCAACGGGCAGCGATTGTGCGAAGCCGAACAGCAGCATGCTCAGGCCGGTTCCGAACAGCCCGCCGAGGAGAACCTTTTTGCGCCCGATCCGATCGCTGAGCCGTCCCCAGAAAATGCCACTCATGCACTCCATGAATGCGAAGGCCGAAGTGATCATGCCGACATACATCGAAACCTTGCTCTCATCGTCCGTAATCTTGAAGTCTTTGACCATGTAGTACGCATACGGGAAGATTGACATGAATGCAATTGGTTCGCATATCCGGCAAAGTGCTATCGTCTGTTAGAATTGAGAGTAGCTGCACAAGTTACTCTGGACTTGCCGAGTATGGCCAATTGTCTGTAGGGAAATGGTGTCTTGTCTGATGGGTAGGTAGAGACCCCGCCATGGCGAGCCATTGTGCCTGTGTAGACGCTGTGCGGCGAGGGAGGAGGTGAGGTGGTAGCGTGACGGTAGGGCTAAGGGTAGATGTCAAGCTGTTGCAGAGGCCAGCAATACATATGCAATGTGTCAGGCGACAACACTAGTGCTTTGGGTGTTAAGAAGGGGGTCAGTGTGTTATAGAGGTGGGCGTCAGAAGTTATATACGAGAAGTGGAAGATTTCAGTGGCGCCCTGTGAGCGGGTAGACCGCTGCTAAAGACAAGGATGATAGCGGCGGGGAGGAAACGGGGAAGCAGGCGGTGATTGTTGTGGAAGTGGATACGTCGTAATGGGCGGATAGAGACAGCGGGAGGACCAGCACATATAATCCAGGGCGGAGCCACGTCTTGGACAAAGCATGGTCATAATCGTGTCGGTACGGCGCCAGGAAAGCTGTGCTGGCGCTCGACCAGTGTCCAATACCCTCGTACATCACTTTGTGCCTCCAAGCCAACGGAATGCGCGCCTGTGTGCCCGAGATGAGGGCAAGACTGGGCTTGCTGCCCCTGAACGTGGGCCAGGGCCATGGAAGCTTCTCAGCACACAGGACCACAGCCGGCATGAGCGGAACCAAGGCTTTGGAGGTGCTAGAGGCAACCGAGTAAGGTGGACCAGGGTAGCAAGTGTATGAGCGTTGAGCGACGAGGAGTGGCATGACAGAATTTCGCGAAGAGAAGATCACCACGCACGTCCCGGCAAAGCATGTGGGCTTGGACTAGCCAAAACCCGCGGAAGCGGACAGATTCCTAGGCTGCAGCAGGCCCATCAGCGCACCACGCATCATGCAAGGGTACCCTGCCGCTACCTGACAAAGACTGAACGTCGTGCCGACCGCCTCTGGCCGCTCTGAAGCCGCAACCGGAGACGGAAGCTATTTCAGCTTCCCCGGGGGCAAACATGGAATTCCCACGGTCCGACGCCCTTTATTCGCTCCTCGACTAGACAGTCGGCGGCGTTGCAGCTTGTTCAGGGGCAACAAGCTCTGCGCAGGATCATAGAAATCTTTGACAGCGAGCGAGTCAGAGCGCGGAGCATCGGCTTATTGTTTTAAAAACATGCCCCGCGAATCAGTGCTGGTTCATGCTGCCTCCTTGGGTGGTGACTGAAGTGGGAGCGTGGCAGCATACCGTACAAAATGGCGGTGTATCGTGACAGGTCGACTCGACGACTGTGCCCGACGACGGCTGGCGGCAAGAGAACAGCGGATTATGCATCGTGATGCGACAGATGACGATGGAGAATAGCATCGCCGGTCTGCGACGCGAGTCGCGCTCCTGTCAGCCAACGTGGGAGGATTCAGAACCTCTCGTGTCGTCTCCGCACCCAGCTTCGCGCCGTAATTTGCTGGTTCTGGGTCTACCATCTTATCCACGCACGCGGTCAGCTTCATCCGCAGCGACTCTGGCCTGTCGCGTTGTTGTCATGGTCACCAAGGCGAACAAGGCTACGGCTATGGCCATGCCCGCTGTGCCGTCATCTTTCACCACGACTCCTTGATACGGCCCACGATAGCATCAGCTGACGGCTGCGTGTTGGCCTGGTCCGGGGCTGCTCGACGGCGAGACTGAAAGCTTGCTGCTCGTCATCGTGGGGCTCGGAAGTTGTTCCGTCGCGTGTCGCAAGACAGTCGCAAGCAGCTCTCGAGGAGAGTTTGCGCGGCGAGGCGGCTAGAAGGGGTAAGCATAACGGCTGTTTCGCTGCGAGTGGAGCCGGCAGTGCGGCGGTGTGGACGTAAGGCTGGCTCTTGCAAGGCAGGGCCGGGGTTGCTTGCAGGGCCACGCGAGATTGACACGATGTACAGGGGTAGCGGCTTAGCGTCGAAGAATGTGAGACGGCCAGTGTTCTTAGCGGCTTCTGGGCTCGAAACCGCGACGCCAGGCTGGTGGTCCTCGCGGTGTGATTGCTGCCAGAATCCTCCGATGGGCGCAGCGCTAATAATGACGCTGCCTCGACTGTTGGTCGCGCCTCGTGGAAGGGCAAACACGGCCGACGCCTGGCAGGAAACGGACGCTGGCCAGGCGTTTCACCGCCCTCTGCAGCGCTTGCGACACGCCGAAGCAGACTGCCGCCGCGTCCCGAGGTTTCGACGGTGGCAGGTGACCTCCCACAGACCCGAGTCGGCGGGCCCCATTCCGAGTCAACGGCTCTGTGTGGATTCTGTGAACGTCACCCCCAGGAGGTCCAGGGCTCCAGGGCTCTCCATACGCCACGTGACTCACACCCTGCCACTGCCCAGACGTCGCAAGACCATCCAAAATTTTAAGCGCTGGCGGTCAGGTTGGATCTTGCTGCTCCGGTGTGCGTTTCATCTTGACCATTCGCACCCGCGCACGTCGAGCCCGCGCAGTTACACGGCGTGTGTTGCGCGCAAGCGGACCATTTCAACTGGCGCTGCGACCAATTTCGAGCGGCCCATCCGCCCGGCTCGCTGTTGCAAGTCTCAATAGTGCTCTCAACCGGGGCGCAGAACCTCGCCTGCATGCCTGCATCTCTCAGATGCACCGCCTTTTTTTTCTGCGCTGCAGCGATTCGCGCCCGACATGGCACAGCAGATCTTCGAGCATGTTGGCAGATTGCCTCATCTAGTTCCTGCAGCCACGGCGCAGGGAGCCTGCTGCGACGGGAGCCCAACATGGAAGCGGCCGGTAAACGGGCGTCGTCCCTGGTATCGGGCGCTGCGCATTGATTCGATTATCGTGACATAGCTGGCAGAGGCATTCTGCAAGTGACCAAGTGACCAGAAACCAGGCTGCGACGACAGGGCGCCTTCTTCATCGCACCGGTGAGACGGCCATCTTCTCCACGGGCGCGCTGCCACGTCGTCGAGCTAGCGAGGCGGCCTGTACGGGGGCAGACGCCCGGGAACGGATGCCCGACAATGGTGAGCGCGTGAGCCCTGAATAGATCTCACGTACGGGGAGATTTCGACAAGTCGGCAGCGACATGGAGATGCGGGTGGATTACGAGTGGCCGAAGCAAGCGCCAAGCGACGATCTGCAGCTAATGCGCTCGGGGATAGGCGCACCTCATCCCACACCTCTCTCACCGCTAGCATCTCTCGACATCTCGCTGGCAACATGCCTCTACCCGCATCGTCACCAGCGCTCATCTCCTTCCGGCGGCAGCACCTGCTTGTCGAGTTGTGAGTCGTAACGTTGGCTCTCTGCACTGGCGCCTAACAGTGCACAGCTCCAGTCTGCGACATGCCCAACTCGACGGCGTCTTCGTGAGCATCACGCCAGGTGACCCCTCCTTGTGGGTTGGCGTCATCTTTGTGCGAAAAGGTACTTGATATCTGCCGAAACAGTCATCACCATTGTCGCTGTCTTCGCCATCCAACCTGCCGGCAAATGTTCACCATGCACAGGGCCCTATGCTCCCGCAGTGCTGCGTTTCCAGATCTCATTCCCACCCAACTATCCGTCTTTGCCTCCCCTCGTGACCTTCTCAACCGATGTCTTCCACCCGCTGCTCACGCCACTCACCACGTACACGTACACCACGGGATCTTCGGACACGGATACCGTGAGTGCAACCGATGAAGAACGACTGCCTCCGGGTGGCTTCAGTCTCCGACACGGCTTCCCGCAGTGGTTCGGACGGGCACGGCGGTCCGCAGCAAGCTCCCGCAATGTAAGCGGGTCGGGCCTAGGTACACCCGTCCAGAGTTACACGCCTGTACAGTCAGACGGTAGAGACGGTACACCAGCCCCGCTGGATCTGACTGGTATTGCTTCGAAACCTGTGTCTATTGTTGGCGTACTAGACTACATTCGTAGCACGTTCAGTGATGAGCACGTACTTGACTCCGTCGCCTTAGAAGCAGCAGCAAACCCCAGCGCGTACCATGCTTGGCGCGCGTATCGCGCATCTGCGCTGCAGACTCAGCAATCGTCGCCTACGTCAACAACGGCAGAGTCTCAAGCAAGCTTTCAAGGTCGGGCAACGGAAGGTTCTACCCTTGTCAGGAATCGCCGCCCAGGAGAGTGGAATTGGGAGGGCGTATGGGAGGAACGTGTGAGGAAAGCCGTCAAAGCCAGCCTTTCGGAGCCGGTCCTCTTTGGTGGATCAGCAGGCGAAGATATTGTACGTTAATCTTTCCCCCGCATGACGGGAAAACAGCACTGACTTGTTGGCAGATCCGCTTCCGCAACGGTGAGGAAGAGTCTGCGGCAAGGATGCAGAAGGAGCTAGAGATATTCGTCTCAAGAACTGCGGAGATATAGGGTACTGTGAAAGGTGTTTTGATTGTCAATTGCAGCATGATACCCCCAAAAGGCACGCGGTATGAGTGCAGGCACAAGTACCATTTGCAAGAGACCGAGGGCATGAGTGGGTTGGTCATGTTAGAACGGGCAGGCACGTTGGGTTCCAAGTAACTGCCCACTTTCGATCTCTCCGTCGTAGTTCCCTCATGAACGTCGGCACACGTTGATAATCTCACTTGGTCTCCTCATCATGCCTTTCTTTGCTGTCTAACATGTTCAATACTCCATTGCTGCTCAACATTGTCATCTCTATTCCGGCGGCGTGTTTTTCTAGACAGCGGTACCTGCAGATATTACGACACGGTGTTTTCAACGACTACAAAGAACATCAATAGGTCGACGAGCCCAGGCTCACTCCGACCGCACAGCTGCGGGGTGTCCCGCTCGATATCCTAGCAGCCTGGCATGGGCGCGAGTGAAGCAGTCTTATAGTTAGTTGTTTGTTCGAATCCGCCAGGCAACGTGTGAAGGCATGGCGTCAACACAACCAGTTGTTGTTCTGCCACCAGCCGCCAATCCCAACCTTTTTCCCTCTCCACTACACATCCGAAAGAAACCGCGCAGAGTATCGCGCAGAGCGACCTTGTATCGACGCATCATTCGTAAGTCACCCCAGCAGCTGCGGCACGAAGACACGTACGGTCCCCTAGACGACATCATCACCGAGATCTCGACCGATATCTAGGCGTTACCGTCCGAATGGAACCTTGGACCTGCGCTCCACAAGTTGGTGAAGCCACTCGAAGATTTTCTCGACGGGCAGAACACACTGAAAGCAGCGTCAACTTGTACCGTCAGTACCGTCACGCCGCTTCCCGTCAGCCGCATCCCCAGCCATCAACCTCTGACAATACGGAAAAACAGGAGCAGCAGATCGACAGCATCGGAAACGAGCGCCTCTCACTCTATCATGGCTTTCTCGCGAAGTAGCAGTGGCAAGGAATCTGCCGAATCGAGCAAGGTACGTGATAGCTCGAACGCGCCGCCCACATCGTGGCCACAGGTCGATACGCTTTCGCAGCCTGGGTCGGAGCCGTCTTCATCCAACAACACGATCTGTTCAGCTCACAGTCCCGCGCAGCAGGCCCTTGAGGAAGTGCAGCACGCTGGAGAGCCAAAATCGGCGAAGCGACGCTCCTCGCGTGCTCGCCTCTTTTCTAACGGCTTCACGCGGCTTCTGCGGTCCAGTAGTGACGCGAAAGGAAATGAACTAGCTACTCATACTGAGAATAGCGGTGACGATGGCCGTGATACCACTGAGCTTCCAAGGACCGGAGCAGTGGAGTAAGTGCTCCATCACGACGACCGGGTCAGTTTCAAAACTAATTTCAAGCAGCGATACCAGAATTGTTTCGATGACCAAGCAGGTGGCACGCGGTCTCCCATCACCGCTAGGAAATCGTCATGACACGGACGCAATCGAAGGATCTGAAGCCCCTTCGATGCCAACGACCCTGAAGACAATGGTCACCATTTTGTCGGAAATCAAAGTCCTTAAGGCAGACCAGAACCAAGAATTCTGGGCTATCGTTGAGATTGAGGGCGTACTACACAATCGCCGTGAGCTTGCGGATTCGAACATTGATGTGGTATTCATCGTCGACAACGGGTACTATGTCAGCAAGGACGGCCTCATGCGTGCTCTCGAAGCAGCCACTGGAGGGCTTCATCAACTTGATCGGGGTGACCGTGTCGCTCTCTATACGACTCACTGTACGCATGGCTCTGTAGCTAGCACGGTCCCAGATAGGCTGCTCCCGTTGCGTTCTGTATGTTCGGACACTGAGGAGGTTTTCCGAAATTTGACTTTGGACATCGCGAAGTATGGCACTCAAGAGTGGAACCCGCCACGCCCAACTCCGCCCATGAGCAACGTCATCCTGGCTATTGCCAAATCGTTGGAAATGGGATCGCCAAAGCACCAACGCTGCCACATGATACTTCTATCTCCCGTCTTCAATGTGCTCCATTCCGTGTCCGATACATTTCCGAACCTCCATGTCCACCAGATCAATTCTGCTGTGCTACCATTCGTTCCGAATGAGGAGCATAGGGAGATGGTCTGCCATGAGACATGCTGCAAGAACGTTACTGCCAGTAACTGGACTCACTATCAATCAGTTCCTGGTCGCATCAAGCAGATTATCCTCCAGGCACGTTCAACGGGTCCGGTTGGCAGTATCACAGACATACACGTGGACCTTCGGCCGAAAAGTGGGTGTGAGGTACTTGAGATCGATGGCTCTACCACATTGAATGCTCTTCGACCTGGGCAATCTTTTTGCTTTCTCGTCCGTCTGCGTGTCTCGTCAGCAAAGACGCACGAGCTTTGTGAGTCATCTCTGGATCCACTGTTAGAACATAGCTTGGAGGCCACCACCATACGACAAGAATTGTACTTGGCCGACAAGCTCAACGCCAAACTCGCCCACCTGCTCTCGGTCCAGGTCTTTCACAAGAATACCTTGAACGCTCCGGGCACTTGGTGCTACACCGAAGTTCCGTTGGTCGCGATCACAAGGCTCGGTAGGCTAGCGCCTCCACGCGATTTTAGTGTTGAAGTCCAAAGACGCCGCATCTTCTATAGGCTCAACAAACTCGATAATGAGGCGACGAAGAGGGAGATGAAGAAGTTGGCCATCGCCGTCTCTGATGAAAGCGAAGACTTGAAGCAGATCGTTCAGCGCATGGCGAAAGAGATCCATTGGCACCACGCAGTCCTTGAGTATGAGGCTTCATCCCGGCAAAAGCTACCTTTGTGTAGCGGTCCGATTGGTAAGGCAATGGTACACCATATGTATCAACACGAGACTGATTCACTGATTACAGAGATGGCGTCGGCGGAGCATCACGAACACATTCAGGCAATGCTCGACGCGAAGATGAATAAACGCAAAGGCATGGCTATTATGTAGTAGGCAGAAGCATTCGATTCTCCCCTTGAATAATTGCTTTGGCTTTGCTCTGTTTTGGAAAAACGTATGTTCTGCAAGTCCTTTCAGGATACCCTTTAGAAAAGGCGCAAGTTTTGCAGTCACAACGGGCCTTCATATAATGATACTGCGTGCTGGACTGCCTCATGGAGCTTTATACGATCCGCCTTTGCGTCACTTGGACAAAGGTGGCAACATTCCCAATTCTGCAAATTCACTTAAAACTTCCCTCATACTCTCACTCGTATCCACAAACCCATGCCACCCCATCTTCCTCGCCTTGTTCATACTCAGATCCAACGTCCCTCCTATCATACTCCCATCCGCAAACGCAAAAATCCGATCAATATCCATATCCTCCAGCTTCTGCGCATTCTTCAAGCCATGTTTCTCGATAATCTCCGCCCACGCCTTCTGCACATGCGGCTGCTTCGCCCAGCTCGTTAGCGTAAAGCGTATATGGTACGTAGCCGGGGGGCCGAATCCCCTGGGCGGCGGCTCATGCGGGGTCGTTATCGCCGTGTAGTCCTCCTTCCTAAATGAGGGCCGCCCGCACTCAACGCCGTACCATCCCGCCATCTTCTGCCAGAAGCTTCCCCACGTGAAGGGCGAGGAGTCCGCGGCGTTGAATCTCTGGTTCGACGCTTGTGAAGACAGGACGGCCCATTCTTCGAGGTACGCATTCAGCATGCTAGAGCTGCCGACGTGCGTGGCTTCCCAAGCTTTCAAGTCGCTCGGGAATTCCAGTGTAGCCTTGAGATGTGCGGTGACGGAGGCATAGATGCCGAGGGGGTAGACGAGGTTCATAGCCGCATCGGGTACGGCGCCCATGATGAAAGACGGCATAGCTACGTTCCACTCTATGCCCTGCGCGCGGCAAAATTCCCAGAGGAAGTCTTCCTGCGCATAGTAAAAGTTTGGCTCTAGCGTTACGCGCGGGTGGTGTTCTTCCTGGGGAGTAGCCGCGGGACCGAGGTGCACGCCGTAATTCTTTGCGCCGGTCTGCAGCATGATGCGCTTGGGCTTTATGCTTGCCAAGGGTAAGGCTTCGAGGAAATTCTGGAGGAGTGCCACTGACGCGGATTAGCTCCCCTCTTCTTTCGGCGAGATCAAGACATGGAAAGGAGGAGAGACGTACCGTTCACCCTGCACATCTCTTCGGCATCACTCCATAGCCCACCACCCTCTTTCGGCTTGACCTGCACATAGCTATAAAAGAACACGTAATCTGCCTTAACCCCTTTCTCCCTCAGCACGTTGGCAATCTCCTCTTTATCCTTTAAAAAGTCCAAGGGGATGTGCTCCGCATTACTCGGTAGGCCGTCCGGAATCGCAGGCGGTCTCCGACTCAGACAATATATCTTGCTCCAGCGCTCCGGATCCTGCGCTAGCACACGCAGCATGTAGTTTCCCGAGATGCCGTTTGCGCCGGTTATTATGGCGGTGAGGCCTTTGAGGGAGGCATCGTGGACGGGGAGGCCGTGGTAAATGCCGCGAGATTGGACGAGCTGCTGGTTGGGAGGCATTGGGAGGTAGGCTATGAAGCGGTGATAGCCTTGCGTTCTTGGGGATATTACATGTCTGCTGTGATATCCGCATGGTGTGAAGGCAACCGAGGTTCGTCATGACGTATTGCGGGGTTGTGTGCTGACAAGAGGATTCTGAGGTGGACGAAGTAGAGGTGCGGGGATATGCAGGGACGAGTACTAGACTAGGGTCGGGTATGAGAATAACACTTTGCTTCCCTTGGTGGAGTATGCTTTGAATGCATCTTTTGGTTTGAGTCGTTAAGTAACTACTTGAGACGTCCAGAAGACTTGATGTATATGAAAATAGCCTCAGTGCGAACTTGTATTCACAGTTCGAATTTGGTTGCAAATCTTGAATCTCCGCATGCGATCTCGAACAAAAAGGTCGCGAGACCCATGGGCGGCGAGGCGTGGAAATGATCTATGTAGAAAGTTGCAGCAGTTGATAGAAGTGGGATGCACGCTGGAGACACAGAGTGCGCAGCACTTTATCTACTCAAGCTCTCAAGCTCTCAAGCTCTACAACCCTGCAAAATCGCCCAGTAGTTACTATCGGCCCATTCAGTAGTTCAATTGGAGAATGGTATGTAATTTAGTTATCAGATGCTCCGAAAGTTATCGGTTACTTCTAGGTATGCCCTTATCAATCTATTGTGCTTTTAATCTTTTTTTGGAGTTGTCCGCGATATCATAACTTGTGACCCAGCACTGCATGCGACATCTTTTGCCCGACCCTCTTTATACCTCTTTCGCAGACTTCGTCGGCTGATCGACATAGCGTTCCATCGGTTCGTCATATTCAGTATCTAGCGGCTTCGATTCCCCAAGATCACCTCCATGATACATCGGCTTACGGTGCTGCTTGTCGTTCCGATCGAACGTCGATTCTGAGCACCGCACTTCCGCGACGGCAGCCGTCTCGATATTATTTGCCGACGCGTAGTGGCCTCGCTTGCCAATCCTGCGTAGCTTCATGTGACCACGTAGAGCATAGATGAAGAGGCCGAGGTATAAGAGGCTATATTTGTTATATGTTAGCAGGGTTGATCCAATCTCGAATGGCCTTATTGAAGGGAGAGACACGTACAACACAACAACAACCAGCCCCACTGCTTGAGGGCTTTGCTCTTTCTTCGCGATCAAAATTATATCCATGAGCAATACGAGGCCCCAGAAGGCCGCTTGGAAAACAGTCAAACCGGTAAAGTAAGCAGGATAAAGCGTGTCCCGGGCCCACAAGAGGATTTGTACCACATCCAGTAATAGAACGAGGACGGTGAGGAAAAGAAAGGTTACTGCAGCGCTGTGAAGAGTTAGCAACTCAAGATCGATCCGCAAATGGAGAAACGACGGAAAACGTACGGGTACCTGAAGATGCGCCGGGCATTATCGTGATTCAAGCCCATCGCTACAGAGAAGCCGATGATTATGACAAGCATCAGACATATTCGGATGATCCAGAAGGGGAGTAGAACGCGCTTTTTCCAATCAACTGTAGGTTTTGCCATGTTGCGCAGCGATGGGAAGGTGTGTGATGTGGTGCAGAGCTTGTGACGCGGTCGTCGAATATACCGAACGCCCAGCTGCAGGCGCGAGCAATTGATCGCAACTCGTGACTCTTGCGAGGAGCCTTGTAGTTTGTTGAACCCGAGCGATGTTGGGCGTCTCGCGAAGATGCCTGCCGCGCATTTCAGAAACGAGGTGCGAAGAGTGGGTTTAGCTGCAGATCAAGAGTTTCGCGATTATGAGAGAGGAACGAGGAATGTCGATCGGTCGCAATGGTACAGAGTGTAATAGGAAGCGACGTGGGGTGATGTGCAGGTCATGGTTGGTATGATTGTTTATGTTGATGACGTCGTTTGGACCCTGACAACGGTCGCTGCGACACACGATCGCGATTGACCGGTTTTCAGGCTGGCAGGACACGCGACGACCACGCGCTGCTTTGAGTGACTCGTACAAAGGCAATAGCTGAATAAAAAGCAACTCCTCCGTAGGCGCACCCAAAAAACCGCTGATTGTGAGAGTCAGAGGTTGAGTTCCATACCGATTCGAAGGTGTAAAGCTGCTTTGTATTGGCTCGTTGTCCTAAGTACTCACAGAGCTTCCAAAGCACACCCCGACGCCAGGTGCCCATATGCTATGAATAAAGAACCGGACTACTTGCAAATGTATCATCAGGAAGCAGTATACAGATATATCGGAATTGCCCCAGATACTCGCAATGCTGATGGCCTCATGTGCTGCGCTCGTAGCAAGCAGTAGCGCTTTACATGCGCCCAACGCGCGGTGCTCAACATGCTCAAAGCGTGCCACGGAGACACGCGAGCGAGCTGAAACAGTCTGAAAGGACACCTCAGCTGACCTCCATAGCATCCTCCAAATTCACACCTCCCTCCTCTTCGATCTCCATGGTCGCCTTGGCCTCAGCCTCTGCTGGGTCCTTGCTCTCCTCTTCTTCAGCCTCCTTAGCTTCTAACGCGGCTGCTGCAGCTGCCTTCTCCGCGACGTGATTTTTGATCTGAGGGTCTTTCTCGTTGAACAAGCGGAGAAGCATCGCTTTCCGATCGTCCTTGTCGACCATCAAATTCGCGCTGCCAGGGTGTCGCCACAGCGGTAGGACCATGCGAAATGGGAATCCATCTTCACCCTCGCTCTGCTCGACGCGCACAAAGCAACATCCAATGTCCATATCCTTCAACTGGTCGCCTACCTCACCGATCTCATGGCTTCCGTCCCTAGGCATTTTGGGAAACATCTCAATGAGAAGCTTGTATAGCGTGTTCTTGTTCGTAAGCTTGACAATACGTTGCTCCGCCCAGGGCTCAAGAATGCGGATTCCTTCATTCTGTAACCGCCAGGGTGCTTTCATGAGCTCGGCATCCTTGATCTTGTGGCTGACGAACATGACAACACCGCAGTGAATGAACTTCATGCCGCGGTATTTGTTCTGGTTGATGATTGTTTTCGCAAGCGCAGACGTGTAATAGACCTTGTTGAGAAGAAGGCCTTCCTTGTTCTTGACCATGAAGCGGTCACGCGGGAAGCGCGAGGAGATGCCAAAGAAGTTGAGAATTTGGGCTATCGAAGGGTCGTCTGCGGGAACGTACTCGAAATACTCTTTGTTGCTTTGCTGGCCACCCTTGGGCTTGGAGGGCTCGTCGACAGGGGCTTTGGTAACGGCGCCATTGGGAGCCTTGGCAGGTGTTTCTACTTTAGACTTGGAGTCTGAGTCGTTCACTGGTTGTTCTAAAGGAGCTTCTTCAGTCTTTACCTTTTTAATTACCTCGGGCTTCTGCACATCTGCATCGTCCAGCTTACGTTTTGACGGAGAAGTGCTCCCATTGGGCTGTTCAGTTGCATCGGAAAGCTCCACGGTCGTGGCTGCTGGGGTCGTAGCTTCTGACTCCTGCATCGCCTTACGGAGGAGCTCCGTATTGTCTGACGCGCTTATCTGTGCGATTTTGATATCGTCGATCTTCTCCAAAATAGCGATGAAGAAACCTCCCGTGTCCTGCAAGTGAGGATAAACCCTGACGCAACGCTCAAGGGGTATGCGCTCCTCTTCGGGTTTTTCGATAGGAGGGAAACATCCTGGGGAAATCTTGCTGGAGAACTGTCGCTCGGGCTCCTCCTTATCGTAGTTCTGCTTAGCCTTTACGAATGCATCCCAGCTGTTGAAAAGATGCGCAGTCTTTTCTCCACCGGGAACTGCAGAGGTGTCATAAACTTTCCACTTGTTCAGTCCAGGCTTCCTCTTCAGATTTGGCAGATGGCCGGAGCCGTCAACAAGCTGGACCTTGGAGATACCACCACACGCTTCAATCGCGGCAGCAACTACGGCTTCATTCTCAACGGGGTTCATGCTGCAGGTCGAATAGACGAGGCGACCGCCCTTCTTGAGCATTTGCAGACCGCGGAAAAGAATGCGTAGCTGTAGGTTGTGGAGACCAAGACCATCTTTGGGGGTCCACTTGCTCCACACATTGGGGTTTTTGCGCGCTGTGCCATCTCCTGAGCAAGGAACGTCCGCTAGGATGCGGTCGTATTTAAGATACTGTTTCTTTCCACCCTGGGAGGGTAGCTCGACAGAGGGGAAAATTGAGGCGTCGTGATTCGTCACAATCAGATTCGGGAAATTGAGCCGCTTGACTTGATGCGTTAACATGCCAGCGCGCTTGTAGTCGGTGTCGTTCGCGATCAGCAGACCGGTAGATCTTCCATCGTCACTGTAGTCACCCTCGCCGTCGACATTAGGGTTCTCGTCACGAGCGGCTCTTGCGACCCGCTCTTCCTCATCGCCATGGATCATCTCAGCCAGCTGTGCAGTTTTGCTGCCCGGCGCAGCGCACATGTCCAAGACGACCATGCCAGGCTTGACATCCAAGAAGTGCGGCGGGATCATGCTCACAACTTCCTGTCTGCTAATATTGCCGGAAGTGGTCTCGGCGACGAGGAACTTCTGGAATTCGGCGAAGGGCGCATATCGTCGGATGACCTTCTTGTGCGTCTTCATGTCCCATACTAACTCATCGGGGAAAGCTGCGACGGGTCTTGGGGGCTCGACGGGTTCGCCTTCAAAGTCCATAGACTGAATCGCAGGTATGTAGCGCTTCTTGAAGATCTCGCGCACGGCGAGCGCATCGGATTTGGTGCCTGTGAATCGGAAACTGTTGGGCAGGTCCGTGGCTAGTGTCTTCCACATCTCTTCAAATTCAGCTTCCTCCAGAAATCCGCCCCTGCGATAGTAGCTCTCGAACAGCTCATTCTTGCGCTGGATATCGTTCCATGACTCGGTCCTTGTATCTCTGCCACCGCCGCCGCCGCCACGACCTTTATTCTTACCGCGAAAGCGTCCGCGTCCGCCGCCCTGTAACGGTCAGAATAATGTTGCAAGTGTTGGAAGGTGTACTTACACGTCCTCCGCGACCCATTGTAGCGATTGGAGGAATATGGAAGGGAAGTTGGTGTGCAGTACGAGTTGCAACAGCTGCAGACTCGAACTCCAGAAAAGTTCAGTAGCTTGCGCGAACGATGGGGCGGGCTGATTGGTGGGGCATCATCACGTGGTGATAGGTGGGAGAAACTCTTGGCGGTTACCTAAGCAGCACTTTGAATTTTGCGTTTTCGCTTCCTGAACTTCAGACCTCTAGCCTCGACACTCGTCAATCTCATACTAACAACCAGCACAATGGCCGGCAGCACGTAGGTCAATTACTTTCTGATTGCTGTATATTGCTAACAAAAGCACCAGTGTTCCCTCCAAATCCTCGATCGAGGTCCCCGAGTCGGTGCTCAAGAAGCAGAAGGCCAACTCCAAGGCTACCGAGCAGAAGGCCGCCGACCTGAAGAAGAAGCGTGAGGTGCGATAAATAACAATCTCCCATGATCTGCATCGCAGTTAGGAGTATCAACGTTGGCTAAGACTGTCTTAGGCCAACAAGAAGAAGCGCTCTGTCATCTTCGAGCGCGCCCAGAAGTACCAGCAGGAGTACGTCAAGGCCGAGCGCGACATCATCGAGGCCAAGCGCAAGGCGAAGCAGGAAGACTCTTTCTTCGTCCCCGCCGAGTCTAAGCTCGCTTTCGTCGTCCGCATCAAGGGGTACGTTCATATACACATCCTGCGCCACAGCGGAGACTAACAATTTCGCAGTATCAACAAGATCGACCCTAAGAAGCGCAAGACCCTCCAGCTTCTTCGTCTCCTCCAGATCAACAATGGTATCTTCGTCAAGCTGACCAAGGCCACCATCGAGATGCTCAAGATCGTCGAGCCCTTCGTTACCTACGGATACCCCAACCTTAAGACCGTCCGTGAGCTCGTCTACAAGCGCGGCTACGGCAAGGTCAACAAGCAGCGCCTCCCGCTCTCTGATAACCAGATCATCGAGGAGAACCTCGGCCAGTACGGCATCGTCTGCATCGAGGACCTCATCCACGAGATCTACACCGTTGGCCCCAACTTCAAGCAGGCCTCCAACTTCCTCTGGCCCTTCAAGCTCTCCTCCCCCACTGGTGGCTTCCGTCCCCGCAAGTTCAAGCACTTCATTGAGGGCGGTGACCTTGGTAACCGGGAGGCCTTCATCAACGACCTCGTCCGCCAGATGAACTAGGTTGATTGTATGAGATGGCGTTAGGCTTGTGTAGAGGAACATTATCTGGGTCATAACATGGTGTCAATTACCTGGGTTCAAAAGTTAGCTTAGGTTCGAGGTCATGCCGGGCTCAGCCTGCAGGCCAGAGTGAGCCAATCCGCCTGAACAAGGACGATGATTGGCCGCTCTTTCATGAATGAAGATGTTACAATGATACCCTGTTCCTTCCCAGCTTCTCAAATTCATCCCTGTTGCTTGATTTTGATGCGATCATTGAGATCCCATTGCGTATTCTTCCTTATGCCGTTCTTACACTACGCGCTAAGCATCCTGTTCCCCCGCATTCCTGCTCACTATGGCAATGTATCTTGTGCTTGAAGGCAATTATTTGCTACGTGCGTATCACAAAACGCGCACCATTGATGAGCCTGCGCTGTGTGAACATCATCTGAAGAGTAGGGCGTCGCGTTCTCACTCTGTTAACCCTGCTAGTCTCCATGCCTTCCCCAGCCGCACTTTATCTCTCAACTCTTATAATCCTTACTCGCGCACTTACCACGTCGTACTGCACTAAATCTTGCAAGGCATAAGTAACCATACAGCCTTGCAGCGCCGACTGCGCTGCGATGCTGTAAAACCTTGCCACCTTTTAGCTTGTACCATAAACTCCATACTACTTTTTGTTGGTCCTTTACATACAACATCCAGTATTGAGACTTACATGTATGGTTATTGAGACGTGGCAACTATGTCTAAGCATGGTGCTGAGTTTGTGTTCTCGATTTAAGTAGCTACGAGGACACGAGGAATGCTTTGGTGTGCGCTCTATTGCACTATGCTTCGCTGTTTTTTTTTGCTGATTTGTCCTCTCTAAGATGAAATTTCCTTCCTTTTCGCTCTCAAGACCTACCGTTGCGTTCGTTCGATGGTGACCTACTGCAACATGTCCTACTGCAACATGTATTGCAATAACGGAAGTATGAGCGTGGCCCGAAATTATTGTTGACACCAGTGTACACATGTTTCTATTTAGAACCCCTTAGTATGTGCTGCCTCCACTACTACTCTATCTACACACCATCACATCCACGAAAAGCGCGAACCAACCTCCAGACATCCATACCAAATCTCGAAGCGCCCGTGCACACTCCACGACTCCTCTCCACTCGTCTCGTTTAGCCATCGTTCCATGGCGCCATGCTGTTTTGCCTTCTTTTGGCCTCGACCCTTCTGAACCAAGAATTTTTGCTGTTGGCACGTTAGTACTGTGGTTTCATGGATATCTTCAGATAAGTATCCGCACCGACATGAACTCCTCAGTAGTTGGTTGTTGGGCCGTCAAAGTTGAACATCTTGACTCCATCTTTATGATGGCTCATCTCTGAAATCTTTGAACCCTACTCTGATAGCTTGTCTGGTTTGAGACCACAGTATTCATTCAGACGAGAGATTGGAGATGGTCAATGGCCGCAAGGTAGTTAGCCTTGATTGGTGGCCGCAGTGCTCTTGTAGTAGGATTGTCATTGGTACTTGTAAAGGGCCGCAGGGCGGATGGAAGTCTTCACTTCCCGTCTCGGAAAACAATTGATCGCATGCTCATCGTAGGACGTAGGGCTGATGGGAGCAAGTCTAATACCCACTGAAACCATGCTAGGTCTCGATACAACGCAAAAGCTTGGTCACACTAACCCCAGGATGTCAGAAATCACTTGCTCGTACCATCGGCGCACCTTTTGTGCGATCTGTGCTCCAGATCCTTATACACCATCAACAAACATCGAAGCTGCGCCCATGTTGTGAAGTACACGCTGTAGCTTTCGCGCTCGATGGTTCTCCAGTCTACCATCCCAGAGACCCTCTGAATTTAGCGTGAGCGGAGTCCTGGACGCGCCACATCGGTTTTTGGGCCAAGTAAAGACTCTGAGTCGAGTTGATCGAGGACACTAACATGTGATTAAGCCAATAAGTTCTCATGGCCACAAGATGAGACGGCTTTATATACCTTTGCCACTGACTGTTAGCTAGTGCTTGGACCCCAATATGTCGTGGTCTTCTAATATATCTCGCAATTATTGCCCACAGAGGCTTCAGTGTGTTGCTTCGAGCGAAAGGCGCATTCGTAGTCATCTAGTAGGCGATGAAGGCCTCAAGGCAGTATCCTTCGACGAAATAGGGTTCTGACAAGTCCAACAGGCGAAGGAGAAGATGAATCTCGAGAAAATGACGTTCGGCATTTTCCGTATGTTGAGGGTAAACCCAGGATATAATATAGCAGTCGAGAAACTCCGCCCAAGAACATTCTACCACCGTTAGCAATGAGCGGAGGGAAAATCCTGTGTACGTACAATATTCACAAAAACTGATTGTTTCTATGACTTGTAATCAGGCATTCAGAATACCTGGAATCAGTGAAGATGGTCCGCTGTCCTTGCGATACTTTATCCACTGCTATCCTGGCCCCGAGGTCTTCCTCTGAAAATGAGAGAGCTATCATCTGGGCCAATAGTGGAGTGAACGTGTCCCAAGGTGGTGGAAGAATGGGTTCCGGTTCCCGTGGACGGAGACCAAGGAAATAATTTGCAATCCAAAAGCCGGAAGAGTCGATATTTTGGTCCCTTCCGTCGGCTATTCTTATTGTGGCGTCCTGAGATTGCGTCTAGGAGAGCATCGAGCGGGTGGTTATCCAGCTGTAAAAACGATATGGAATCAGTCCAGACAATTAGAAGTTGTAAATATCTTGCGATGAGTGGCAGGGTTTCCGGATTCGGATGTTAAAGCGCAACGTTTATGAGCTGTACAGGACAGAAAGTGGCAGCGCCTGCCGCTGTCTGAAGTCGAAAGTCGAAGCAAATCCTTCATGGCTCTCGATTCCAAGGGAAATTGAGGAAACAAATCTGAGCGAAAGATACGCAGCTGCCCCGGATATAGGCCCTGGAAGGAAGGAGACGATCACGGCAAGCTCCAGGATGTCACTGCACAAGTATCCAACAGCCTCCCACATGTGCAGATGTCCAGCAAATACCAAGCAATGAGGAAAGAAGCCGCAAAGTGTATCGCTTGTGCCTGAGCCTTTTCGCCAATCTGCACACATTCATCGTCCAAGCATATTTTTAGCACGTGCTCTCCAAAGGCCTTCGCAAGGCATTCCTGCGTAAAAATCGAGATCTGGCCGTGGAAGCACATACAGAACCATATTACAATTGTGTACGTTCGCCACATCCGTGTCTCATCAGAAAAGGTCCCGCGCCTATGGATAAGCCGGTCGATGCGACGGTACACAAAGGCTGCAAAGAATGGATTGAGCGACCAAAATAGCACAGACCATGGACCGGGCGAATCGTATAAGGAAAAGGTCTGCCAGGCAGCTACCGAGGCGAGTGACATGAGGCTGTAAAAGATACTCCGCGACCATGTGAGTCTCGGAAATTTGCGAAGCATATTAATGCTGCTGGAGATCCGATGGATGTGAATATGCGGAATTTTGAAGGGCAACAAGTGAATCGAAAGAGAGGATTTATTATCTTGTTGAGACCATCGCAGGACGTTGAGTTGCTGCAGTGGGTCGCCGGGCCCAACAACCAGGGGAAATCGAAGCTGATAACGACTTCTATAGTACCATAGGTAGTTGAGGATCGTTAGAGCTATGTCGGAGGCAAGTTACGCATGCAACGATGACGGATACCGAGGCAGTGCAGTGGCCAGGGTAACCCTCTGACCAATCCCGATCGGAAGTTGTTGTCACAGTATCGAAACTGATGCTGGTTCTTGGCGGATTTTGCGATCAAAGGACTGCTCTGGTAATTCAGCAAGCACCTGTCATCGTCGCCCGCACAGCCTTCGTCTGGCGCTAGACGTAACGAAAGAGGCAATGTTTCCATCTGTTTGTCTTCCTGCTCGATCAAGAAGCCATTTGGAAGGCGCAGCGGCAGGGGAGTGATTTGCATCTTCGAACGAGACGTTTCCTTGCACCTCATCAGAGCACAGGACGAGTGGGCGATAAAGTTGTCGACAACAATTAATCATGTGCACTTGAAGAGCTGGAAGGCCACAAGATACCGGAAGCGCCCAGACTGGCTTCAATACCGTCGAGCTGTAACACCAACCTAGCTGCGAAAGGGGAAATGCAGTGGACTCTCAACTGTGAGAATGCGTCTGTCTTCGCTTCTTGGAAGATCGAATGGTGTTCAACGAGGGTACGGCTTCGTCCTATGACTTCGGCGATATTGCTAAGCTCGCACGGGAGCACGGCGGTGAATCGGGAAACGGGAGACCCTTGCTCAAAACGGGATCCAGCTACGTCAAGTCGCCGGCGATTGATACGCGTGCTTGTACGGGTGATGGCAACATCTTCCAAGGAGACAGTAATGATAGAGACCCGTGCGGAGCTTCCAGCAACAACGTATAGTGCGAAGCGGTGACCCTAGCGTACCTAATTAGCAAGTGTCTACGAAAGAATACAGACGGTGACCCACCATCAGCGAAGCGAGCCAACGCGACGATGCGGTCGAGAAGCGAAGACCAATGTATTAAGCCGGACATGGGGCCGCTCCATCCCCGACGCCCCCGAGGGGTGCCGTCGGTGCCAGCCAGGGACCTAACCCCCCATCAACCACTCTTATTGTCCCCAGCACCAACAATTTGACCACGCTGATGGAGTTGATCTAGGTGTCCCCTACGGGAGCACCCATGGATTGTACTCGAGATCGAACATGTCGGGCAGCGGCGGGAAGTTGAGAGGCTGAGCCTCGACGTCAACTTCGATTTGACTTGCACCGCTGTGTTGGATTTGGGTTGCTTGCGAATGAAGCGAATAGAACCAGGGCCCATAGACATGGCGCAGTAAAAGATTGATGGCGAACACCAGGATCGGGATCGAGATCCAAAGCGGAAGCCAGTACTGCGAATTGAAAGTGCCGACTATGGTCCAGGCAACGCCTCCAAACACAAAGAGATTTAGGTTTCTGAGGTCGTTCGGGTGTGTATACCGGACGCAGAGCAAGAGGATGTGGTAGAAATAATTAGCGAAAGACATCTTTAACGATAGCTTACTCTGATTAGGTATGGCAAAGAAGAGAAAAGAATGTTAAGCGGCAATCGCCCTTGTTTTGGTCGTGAACCTGCTAATCATCGCTCTTTCTGCTACTGAGGTATGTGAACATGCCATACTGGCGGCGGCGGCAGCAGCTGCCGCTGCAGAGAGAAGTCGTGATATGATCACAGAAAGTAGGACCATAGACCTTCGACAGCCACCGTTCGGGTCGAACTTTCGAAACACTTCAAGAACGCTTTTGAAGGAGAAAGTTATTTATCTTGAAGTTTGGAGGAAAGTCTATCAACGTCTGCCGGTTCATCACAACCATCACCGGCAACTTCCAATTCGCAGACCCTCCCCCCACCACTCCCATGACAATATACCCCTACGTCCTCCGTGCAAAACCCCAAAATGAAAAAAAAAAGGTTCTTTGAAATGGAGCAAAGCAATGACCTCTTGATCTCTGTGGACGCTCCTTACAAAGGCTGGATCGTCGATCAAAGTCTCAAATCTGAACATGAATGTCGTCGTAGTGTACACTGAGAGCAATCTCTGAAACAATCTCAATTTGCGGGGAAATTCAGCGCATGTGTGTCGGCTTCAGGAAGCGAGGGTCATGAATTCATCTCGACCTGGTGGTAGACGACTGGATGCAGAGAGGAAAGGGGGAAGGTGCGATCAGTGAGGAGGTAACCAAGAAAAGGGAAATGGGCATTTTAATTAATACCGCTGGCTGCTGGGAGGTATGTTATTTGGGCATTTTAAAATAGAGTGGAATGTGAGGTTGAGCATCGGAGGGTTATGGCGGATAAGTAATACGCAGGGTAAGAATCGAGCAGCACTCGGAAGGGGCATTTGGTGCGGCATCAGCTGCGCAGTAACACGCAGCCAGGTACAATCAATGGTAGAGGTAGTCTTCCATCTATATACAAATCCTTACTACATTGCAAATCTCTCAGCAGATCCGCCCTTTATATCATTGCACCCCGCGACACCACACCCCATGGCTTCCCCTCGCTAGCTCTTCCCACCCTCCTTCGCCCTCTTCTCCAGCAACTCCACCCGCTGGTCAATCATCTTAAAAGAATAAGACTCCCAGAACGACGGGTACAGAAAAGGTCTCAGATCAAACCGATTGTCATCGGGACTATACGCCTCCGCATGATAACTCGGCGTCATAGTCGTCATCTTATGCCGGTTGATGGCGTAAAAGTGGTGGAACCTCTTCACCTTGTCCGCGACCTCTCTCGGACTCGCGCGGTCCTTCCAGTCGTGCACAAGCCGGCAGAACATCGTGTACGGGCCTGCCTTTTTCTCTTTGCGCAGGCGGCCGAAGTCGGAGAGTTCCGCGTACGTCATGCCCATATCTGCTTCGTCGGATTGCACGTAGTCTGCGGTGATGGGCTCGAGCTCGGCGGTGGGGGTGGCATCGACGAACTCGTCGAGGATGGGGAGGGAGAAGGACTTGGCGGCCCAGCGGACGAAGCGCTTGAGGTCGGTTTTGGAAATTGAGCCGATGGGGTTGATGTCTGCGGAGGAGCAGTCGTACTTGGTGAGGTAGCCGCGGAGACATTCGTCGACGTTGCCGCTGCCGAGGACGAGGAGGCCACCGCCATTATCGCGCTGGCGGACGGTGGGGAGCAGTTGAGCGAGCATGTAGGCGGTTACCATGCGCTGGCGGGCTTGAATGTTCTGCAATGCGAGGTTCTCGGTTTGGGTGCCGCCGTAGACTTTGAACTTGGGGTCAAAACCTGTAGCTTGGGTGAAGATTTGGCGCTGCGCGTCAAAGGCTAGGTCGATGTTTAGGTCTGTGTGGTATGCGCCAATGTCTTTGGCCATACGCTCGGCGCGAGATCGGGTCTCATTGGAGGACTGGCTGGCCATTCCCATGTAAGCCGTGTGGAGAATTGAGTTGCAGAGGTCTTGTGGAGAGCTGGGAAGCCAGTTGTTGTCGTGGTGATAAGGGCCGCAGATGCGCTTGACGTCTGCAATGACCTGTTCATTGCCGTCCTTGACTGAAGCATAGACTATGCGGCACATAGAAAAGACGAGTGTTGCCGTGGAGCAGCTGTCGATGCCACCAGACAGAGGAATGAAGAAGCCTGCGGATTTGGACCGACGGAGGTAGTCCCACAACCAGCACGCTGGACCGAGGGCGATTTCTTCCTCGGGAGCGTGGACACGCAGAGATTGGGCCTTGTTTGGGAACACGTCGAGGTCGAGATCGGTTTCGCCCTGTCCGAGAGAGAAGTCGACGTCGATGCGTGTGTATTCTGGAGCAGACTGGGTCTGTGCGCCTCTCGCAGGGCTGGTTCGGAACGAATTGACTTCCTCGATGTCCACGATAGCAGTGACAACCTCTACATCGGTCGTGCTGAACTGACTTCCCTGATTGACGATCTGGCCGTTAACGATAACCATAGCACACCCATCATAGTAAAGGCGGTCGCCGTCACAGCCTTTCTGGTTGCTGTACAAGTAAACTCCGCCGTTCTTGCGTGTGGCTTCTAGAATCAACGCTATGCGGGTCTCAAGTTTGCGCAGCTCATGATGGGAGCCCGACGAGTTGGTGATGATGTCGACGCCATTCAGGCCCATATTGATATGCGGACTCTCCGGCACGAATAGCTCCTCGCAGCTCTCGACACCAATGCAAGCATCGTTCGTGCTCAGCACTGCATCTCCAATAGGCACCTTCCTCGAGCCCTGAATCTTAGCGATTTCATCTGGTAGAACGAACTCCTCAACCTTTAGAGGCTTTTTCCAGGGAATGAAGTAGCGCATCTCGCGGTAGTTGCCGTCGTTGGCAAGATGCATCTTGGGACGAATCATGAGGATCTTGGAGTTAAGGATGACGACACGGCAGTTGTAGCGATTCCCGCGGTGGAGAACGGGCATTCCAAGGTCGATAATGATGTCGTGGAGGGACTTGTCTTCGAGGATCTGTTGGAGCATGGCCATGGAATTCTCGTAGATCTCCCCTTCGAGGAAGTGGTCGAGGCAGCCATACCCACTGACTTCCAACTCAGGCCCCACGCGAAGCTTTGCTCCTTTACTCTTGGCGATTCGGATGGATTCTACTATGCGGTCCTTGTTTCCATTGAAGTCCAGAGCCCACTGATCTTAATAGACGGTCAGAAAACGAGGTATTTATAGGGTTCATCACTATAGATACGTACTGAGAGCGCATGTCGCAACATGCATTAACCTCCCCATTTTGGAAGGCCGTGATGAGGAGCTGTCCTTGTATCAAAGCAAGCAGTGTTGAGCGTAAACTGCGTATGAGTCCAAGCTCAGTAGTGGTCGCGATGCCGGGCGCTATGATTCTTTTCGGTCACAGCCGCGGCACTAGCCACAGACATCACGTGCAGTTCAGCCCCATCTCCGCTCCGGCATTCCGCCGCAGTGCCACGATGCCGACGATGCCGCCGACGATTGGCTCGGCCATCTGTGCAGTCCTGGAAACGCGCAATGCCCATCGCGAGCCGCAGAGGGCCACAAAAACGCGGGCCGCTGGATACTGCGTCGCCAACGTAATTCGGGTCTCCAACCGTGCAACCGCACTGCGATGTTGCCTGCATGCGCTGCAATTGCCATAGCCCATGCCTAGCAAGAAATCGAACTCTGGTAATGCAACAATTCGAGCCTCCCCGCGTGTTCCAGGTCGTGGACCCTGCTTTTAGTAAAGGCCAGGGGGAGCCGGTGACAGCGGCGACAAATCAGAGCGGGGCGAGGGTTTGCGCGGTCCGGTTCCAGCGCGAGAAATCTGCCACATGTTCCAACGTGAATCCCTACACGCTGGTCATTTCTGGAGAGCAGACAGCAGAGCTGTCGCTGTGCCTTCAGTTGCAGCTCACGGACTGCGCCTTCCTCCTTTCCCCAGCCGCGTGACATCATACCCATCACTGCCGCGGATCTGTCACCACCGCCGGCGCCTGGATCGTTGCCAATTGCCCGCCAGCGACTTCTAGACCGACACAGCCAAAAGCTTTCTGCGCTGATCGCTTGAGACCGCTACCACTGGTCAGCCCGTCCTCTAGTCTGTCGTAGCATGCCCGATTCTTTTTGCCAGGCCGTGCGCTATCTTTAAGTCATGGTCAACCGCGACCCTGCGCCTGCGCGCTCCAGGAAACCCTGCGACGACATGGAGGAGGCGGATAGGATCAAGGAACGCGAGTTCTACAGGTAAGCCTGTCTTAACTCTGCTGCCACAGGACGAGGATAGGTACAGTTGTCACCCTATATTGCTTATCCTGCGGTAGTACCCAGCACCCACTCTTATCTTAGCACCGCACAAGTTGCGCCTCCGCTGAACACATCGCAGATACTACCACAACGTCCAACGTCCCCAAGATCGTGGCCAACCCAAGGAACTTCCTGTCCTTACGCCCCTCCAGACGCAGACTTCTTCGCCAGCCCAAGTCAAGCCCTCTGACGACAAGGCATTGGCCGCTTTCGCCCAACTGGGTGCCCTCCGCCTGAACTGCCGCCGCTGCTTGATTTCCTTCTTCGACCGACGGAATTGCTTCATCCTCGCCGAAGCTACGCGTACGGCATGCCTTATCACAGGACAACCGGAATCCGAACAGGACGACTTGGCATTTGGTACTTCCATATTCCCCAAGAACAAGAGCATTTGCTATTATACGGTCAAACTGCCTTGGGGGCATCCTGTTCAGCCCTTCGATGAATATTCTCGCCATCCCTCTTTGGTTGTAAACGATCTCGCTGTGGACGAGCGCTTCAAGAATTATCCCTTCGTGACCGGCCCGCCTTATTCACGATTTTACGCCGGCGTTCCAATCCGCAGTCCTAGCGGCCACAGCATCGGGACTTACTGCGTGCTGGACGATAAACCACGCAATGGCCTCTCCGACTTCGAATTAAACTTTTTAAAGGACATGGCAGGCACTGTCATGCGCCATCTGGAGACCTCTAGGGCTGCTGAAGATCACAAGAGAGGCGGAGTCATGGTGAAGAGCTTGGGCTCTTTTGCCGATGGCAAATCATCTATCGACGATTGGTGGGAAGAGGCAGAAGGCCTGTCGTCGACCGTGTCCCCGTCCGAAAACACACCTGTTCAACGGCAACGCCGCCCGACAGTAGGCGCCGTGTCGCCAACAACTATCATCCAGCCCACACTGTTGGCGAGGAACAACAGCGCCGAATCTAGTGTTCAAAGTGTGACTAGCTCGGGCCCGACGCCTTCATCCAGCGTAGCTGCCGGGAGCGCTGTCGTTACGCCTGCCTCGGAAATCTTGGACCCTGTCAAGTCCATGGAACCTGTTAAGCCCGCAGTCGCGCCGAAAAAGGCGTCGCCTACTGGTGAGGGGAAACTTGATGCAGTGGCACCCGATACCAAGGTTGTTTTTGAAAGAGCTGCCCAAATGATCGTGGAGGCTGTCGAAGCTGAAGGCGCTGTATTCTTTGATGCGAAGGTCAGTACCTTCGGTGGACTTGTTGATGACGATTTCGCCTCCGAGCTGCCACCCGAACCAGACAAACCATGCGTAATACTGGGCGCAGCGCGATTTAAGAGTTCTCAGAATCCTTCGTCGCCATCCAACCAAATCTTCATGACCGAAAGCGTTCTTAAACATCTTCTTCGCAATTACGCTCATGGCCAAATTTTCAACTTTGACGACGAGTATTCTCCGGAAGCGCAGGCAGACTTCTTAGCAGGAGACGACACAGACCTGGGGGTTTCCCGGAGATCCGATTCGGTCAGGTCCGCCGATGACGAACAGGTGCTGAGAGAGGTCTTTCCACGAGCTCGAAGCCTGATCATATACCCGCTGTGGGACGCGCACCGCGACAGGTGGTTTTCGTCTCTAATCATATGGAGTTCGGATCCTATGCGCGTCTTCACCAACGAGCAAGAGCTTAGTTATCTTTCTGCATTCAGTAACAGCGTCATGGCCGAGGTGGCCCGGATGGATACCAAGCTTGCGGATTCCGCAAAGGCAGACTTCATCTCTTCAATCAGCCACGAGCTACGCTCACCATTGCATGGTATCCTCGGCATGACCGATTTAATGAAGGACACCCCGATGGATACTCAGCAACAGTCACACATTCAGACTATCGAAAATTGTGGCAAGACCCTGCTGGAGACGATAAATCATGTAAGAGCAGATGGTGGCGGATTCAGTATCAATTTGCTAACAGGTGTAAAGGTCCTTGACTATGCGAAGATCAACAACCTCACACGGGGAGAGTCCAAAAGGCGTCCTAAGCGTCGAGCGAAGAGTACAAAGCACATGATTAAACCAAGCCAAGGGCATACGAACGACATCATGACTATCATCTCCGACTTCGATCTCAGCGTGCTGATTGAAGAAGTTCTCGAGTCCGTCTTCGCCGGTTTCAACTTCAGCAAAAATAACTTCGAGAGCCTCGATCAACGACCAAAGAAATACGAACCGCCGCCTGTTTCTGTGATTGTTGATGTTAATAAGTGGGATAGCTACATTTTCCGCACTCAACCGGGAGCTTGGCGACGCATCCTAATGAATTTGTTTGGTAACGCGCTCAAGTATACACCTGCTGGGTTTATTAAGGTAAAACTCCAGGTAATACCGAGCACTGATCAAACCGACGATAGCGTAGAGCTCAGGCTCACCGTTACTGATTCTGGAATTGGCATGTCAGAAGACTATATCAACAGCAGGCTGTTTCATTCGTTCGCGCAGGAGAACCCTCTCAGCCAAGGAACTGGACTTGGACTCAGCATCGTCAAGCAGCTAGTGGAACTACTGGGCGGAGATGTCGAGGTGTTTAGCAAGAAAGGTAGAGGAACCAAGTTTACCGTCAGTTGCCCACTGAAACCGTCATCCCTATCTCCCACGGTATCCGCTTTGAACCCGACTCAGGAGATTCCCAATGTGTTCAAGCGCACAGAAGGCAAATTTGTACAGTTTGTGGGTTTCGACGATGATGATCAGGTGGAAGTCAAGAGCCTGAAGAACAAGAACTCTTCAAAGATTGGGGAGAAGGCACTGAAAGAAATGAGCAAAGACTGGTTCGGCATGGATGTGTGGGAGTCTGACATCGGCAATGCACCGGCGCCTGACCTGATCATGACGACCGAAGCTGGAGCGCGTGACTTAAGAGCACAATTCAGCAAGGCTCCGCACGACGTCCCTCCCGCACCAGTGATTGTTCTGTGCCGGGCTGCAGCCCTGGCTCAATCGACGACTGCAATCACCGTGCCCGGTTTGATCTTCGAATGCATCGCGCAACCTTGTGGTCCGCATAAACTTGCGAAAGCACTTGCATCTTGTCTTGACCGGCAGGCAAACCGTGTTATGGCGCAGTCAACGGAAAGCGATGACACCTCATTATCCGGGCTGTCGCAGCTCACGCTCAAGGAAAACATGACATCCAAAGGTCCAACAGCGTCTATACCATCATCACATCTCAGCATTCCACGTCCACACGTCAAGTCGACCATTAGTGCTCCTGAGATTCGGTCCGTCAATCACAGCCCAGTCAACGCCACGACCGCTCCTTTCAATGCGCTCAACTGTCTCGCGGTCGACGATAACCCAATCAACCTGCGTCTGCTACGTAGTTTTGTGGAAAAGCTCGGCCATCGCCACGTGCTTGCTAAGAATGGGCTCGAGGCCCTAGAAGCCTACAAGACTGCCACTCTCGAGAACGCGTCACCCACGACAGGCCGGGTGGACGTCATCCTCATGGATATCAACATGCCTGAAATGGATGGCCTTGAAGCCACCCGCCAGATCCGCGCCCATGAGCGAGATAACTCGCTCTCACCGGTCACCATCATCGCACTGACAGGGTTGGCGAGCTCAGAGGCACAGCAGGAAGCTCACGCGAGTGGGGTCAATTTGTTCTTGATCAAGCCGGTCAGATTGGCGGATCTGGAGGTCGTGCTCAAAGGTGTGGTTACGAGCGAGGAAGGTGCGAAGTTAAAAGACAACGGGAAGGGCGAGAAGAGCGAGGACAGCACTGAGAGCTCGGTAGCTGAGGTCAACGCTAAGGAGAAGGAATTCTTCAACGCCATCAAGGGCGAGGGAGATGCTCACAAGCGGAGTAAGAGTACGGTCTGAACGGACGACGTGGGTGCAAGGCGTCATACTGCTCCTTCTCGAAGTGGGTGCATGCAAGAAGTCCTTTTCTGGGGTCATGTTCGATGCAGCTGGCGTTTCAAGACGGTTTGTACCTTTTCTCTCGGTGTTTATACCCACTATGACAAGGCCTGGAATACTCACGGCTCAAACGAGGCATTCTGGCTTTCGTCTGGTAACATAGCGTGCATAGCGCGGCGTTCTCGCGTGTACTCGATAGTATCATTACGAATGATTTACGATACATCCATCACTTTCCATCAACATCAATGGCGCATGCAGTGTGAAGTTGATTTGCTTTGCTTTGCTGTGCTTTACTTTTCCCGTCGTCCTACATTACATAAACCTACAAATTTTGCCCGCCCTAAATCTATCTGTACGCCCCCGAGCTGTGATTGGAGATAGAAAGCGCAGATTGTAACGCCCTCCCCTATGCAAAAACCGCCCTCCGTTGTCCGAGCCTCCCAACAGGCGGCGTAGGCGAGCGAGGGTATACCGATACAGTACAAAAATGTTACAAGAATGTACAATGTCCGAAGTGAAATGAAAAGTCGAGAGCCGAGTGCAGTCATACAAGGTGCGAAGATGTCGAGAAAATAGCGCCGGTCGTCAGTCTAGTAGGAGAAGTTGGACTCCCTCCTGGGACGGTCCGAGCCTCTGTTTCCTCCTCGTCCACCGCCGAAGCTGTCGCGACCGCCTGATCTGCCGCCGAAGCCACCACCACCTTCGCGGCGGTCTGGCCTGCCACCGAAGCCGCCGTCACGTCCGCCGTCACGACCACCGAAGCCGCCATCGCGACCGCCGAAGCCGCCATCACGACCACCTGACCTGCCGCCGAAGCCGCCGCCACGACCGCCGAATCCGCCGTCTCGTCGACCACCGTCACGGAAGCCGCCGCCGCCTCCTCCGAAGCTGCCTCCACCTCCACCTTGCCTCCTGCGTCCTCCGCTGAAGAGCGAAGAAGGTGGTGGTGGCGGCCTCTCCATGCCCCAGCCAAACTCAGCAAGCCTGTTCGCGCCTTCGAGAAGACCTTGCTTGTCGCCGTACCACTGGAAGCTACCGAAGAGACCTCGGAAAGCATCAGCTAATTGATCGGGGTACACCTTTGCATGTGCTTCGACGGTTTCCTGGATCAGATCCGCCACCTTTCCAGGCATCTCTGACTGCACAGTCATGTCGGCTTGGGCGGTTTCGAGAGAGTTGTCAGGTTCGAGGTTGAGGCCACGGAGACGCTTGCGGTACTCGTTTTGCTCGAATGGAGTGACGAAGAGCCATCCTTCACCTTCCTTGCCGGCACGAGCAGTACGTCCGATACGGTGGATGTATGACTCGCGGTCGCGAGGCAGACCGATCTGGATGACGTGGGTCACGTTGGGAAAATCCATGCCACGGGCGGTGACATCCGAGGAGAGGAGAACACCGGACTTGCAGAAGCGGAAGTCGTCGGCGGCGCGTGTACGCGCGCCCTGAGAAAGCTTAGAGTGGATCTCGTAAGCGCGCATGCCGTGGAGCGGCTTATCACGCTTGAAACCACCCGAGAGCTTGTAGAAGACGGAGGCAGCGAGCGTTACTTCAGCTGTAGAATTGAAATAAACAATCGCTTTGAACGGACGAGCATCGCCAGACTGTCCCCTTTGAAACTCTCGCTGAACAAGTTCATAAAGAGCAGGCGTAATGTTTTCGAAGCCTTGGAGTCGAACCAGCTTCTGCTGGACTTTCTCATGGGTGGGCGTTTCATTCTCGTCGACGCACTTGGCGAAATGGAAACCGGGCCTCATTGTGCTCCTGACCAAGTCTACGACTTCACGGGACAGGGTCGCGGAGAACATGAGGTTCTGTCGTTCAACTTCCTCAGGGTTTGGTAGGTGTGTTTTGATTTGATCAATCTCGGCCGTGAAACCCTGGTCGAGAAGACGATCCGCTTCGTCCATGACAAGCGCATTTAGCTTGGGTGCCTTGACGCCAGAGTATGGGTCCGATAGAATGTCGTTCAGACGACCCGGTGTACCGACCATGATGTGGCACCCTTCACGCTGGGTCTTCATGAGCATAGCCTTCTTCTGTGTTCCACCCACAGCGGTCTGGACGATCAAGCTGGTACCAGATACGAGCTTCTTGGCCTCGACAGCGATCTGCTCGGCCAACTCTCGCGTAGGTGAGATGATGATGGCCCTGATGTCGTCCGGTTTCGCACGCTTGTAGCCACGGGAGCGTTCGGCGAGTGTGGGGTCGTTTTGTAGGATTCTCTGGACAACGGGGATCAGGAAACCTAGGGTTTTACCGGTACCGGTCTTGGCTTGGGCAATACTGCGCAATGTTAGCGATATCATTATGCCAAATAGTATAGACATACACGTCGACCCCGCTCAGCGCCTCGTTGATGGTCCGCGTCTGCACGTCCGTCATGGTCTCCAGCTTCATCTGCCGTGTGAGCATGTTGACAAGGTTTGGGTGCACCAGCCCTCGTGTGGCAAGGTCCGCGAATTGTGTGACGGGTCCATTCTGCGTCGACTGCTCCTCGGCTGCTTCGGCCGCAACCTCTTGCCATCTCGCGCTTTGGTGGAATGCCGCCGTCCTAATTGCAGGTATCCGGAGTGTCGCTATCCGTACTGGGCCGGTAGAAAGTGGGAGAGAGGCTCGCAATACTCTGGATGGAAGCGCGGTCGTGGGAATGCTCCTCGCAAGTGATGCGGGACATCTTCGCAGTGCGCTGAACATGGTGAAAGGCGAGGGTTCCTTCGCTCAATTACAATGGGTATCTAGGGACAAGGAGGATTAAAGTAACACAACGGTAGAAGAGTTGTTGGAGAAGAGTGCCGCACGCAGGCTGGCGATTGGCGATGAAAGAATGATAGATGGTCGATAGGAGGCGACACGACTTTTTGGCGGAAGGAACTTTTTGGAGGGCCGTGCCTTCCCGGCGTGACACGCTAGCGCACCGTCACGTGCAGTTGGGGTCGCTCGGGCGCTACGCTAGACTCCTTTCCAGCTCACCTACGATGGCCATACCCGCATGTGCATATTCTTTTGATTGGGTTCCCTTCTCATACTGTCCTCGGATACAGGCGCATGCAAACGCCACAGCCAAACTTCCTATCAGGGTAATTCCACTTTCGCTGCACCAGCCGTCGACCACGGCGCCATCTCATGGTAATACAGCATGACGCTAACACTAAATGCCAAGACATCATTGCCAGACATAGACCACTGCCCTGTAATGACGCTGTCCATCTACACCACTTCATTTTGAAATTCCTAGTCGTGTAATCCATGGGTATCTGCTGTACACATGCTCCCCAAACTCATCACAAACACGACTATTGGTACAAGATCACCTTGCCTATACTTTCAGCAGTTTAAACAAGGAAGAACAAGCGTACGCGTCCCTGCAATGTCAAATATCATCTCAGTTAGCCGGGACTATTCAAGAGTGCCAACCAAATGGCTTGTCCGATGTCTTGTGCGAGACCATGCAGCACGCTTAAGTCCCACATATAGGACGCGGCTCGCTGCTAACAGCAGGGAACTCCGGCAGGGCAATAATAGTTACGAGGTTGTCATCATTCAATTCCTCAATCTACTGGACGTATTCTATCATTTCATAAATCATTAACTCATCACACTCCCCATCTCATCACCTCTTACACTTCGCGCTCCCCCTCGCACTCCCCGGTCTCGCAGGCGTCCTCGGCCTCTCCTCCTCCATCGCCTGCCCTTGTCCCAGCAACCCGACCCCCTCCTGGAGTCCCTGCTGCAGGCCCCCTGTAATCCCTCTCACACACCAAAATGTCAGATCATTCAGCGCCAGCCCCACCTTCCCGTCGTTCATTTGACATATAGTGTGCGTCAGGTGCAACCCCGTTCTGCGTACCGCATCCGCGCCCATGATTCCCGTGTTCACCAAGCGCTGCGCTACATTGTGTTTTCTCTCGAAGCGGTATGCGTGGCCGAGGAAAAGCTTGATGTAAGGTAGGAGGAACTGGAGGAGGACGAATGTTTCGAAGACGAGGGTGGCGATTGTGCGGTGAAGAAAGGAGGGATCGGAGGGTGGGGAGCTGGAGTCGTCCGGGTGGGGGAATGAAAGGTCGTGGTCGCAGGGCGCGGAGATGAAGAGGTTGGGTGGGAGAGCGGCTTGTAGGGAGATTGTCTCTTCGGGGGAGAGGGTCGAAGGCAGGCCCCGGAGGAGGTAGGTCAGGCTGTGGATGTACATCTGGCGGGTGAGGATGGTGGATGTGTCGTCGACGCGAGGGCATTGCGATTCGGCGTATGCTTGTGCGGAGAGGGAGACGCCTGCGAGTGTCAGTGGTTTCTCTTCGTGGGTAATGGGAGAGGTTTGGGGCTCGCACCTTGATTGGCATACTTCCACTTTATGCCTGTCCGTACTTCTGACACTGTAAATGGCGGCGGCGTGCTCATAGGTGATGCCAGATTCTCTGAGAGTACCTCCTGGAACAGATCCTCGTCTTCCACTGCAGTGTCGAGTGAGCTACGATTCGAACTATGTTGTGACAACGCGGCGCTTATGGGCCGTGACGTGTAGCCCGGCGGTGGACTTCGCGGCAGTGATACTTCGGAAGCGTTTCTCGACATATTGAAAGACTTCGAGGAACTCCGCATATCGCCGAGAGCTCGTCGGATGGACGGGAGCGTAGGGATGCGGTCCTGCACCATGGCAGGCAGAACCGAGTAAAACATCGAGGGCCTCTTCTCTTCTACTTCAATCGTCGTCGCCGCATCGAAGAATTCTTGGGCTGAACCCTGCTCTGCGTTCATCTCGACGGCTTAAAACAGTCGGGCTTGTACGTTCACGAGGTTTGGAGGTGTTATCGTAAGGTCACGCCGCATGCGGAAGCGGAGAGTAAGTGGTCACGTAGGAAATGATGAAGAGTGTTTCAGACAAAGGAACATGACTAAATTTGGCCTGGACACCATGACGGGCGGTTTCGAGCGGGTTACCGTATCTCAGACATTGGGCGGGCATGTGAAAGCGGTTTGTTGAGAAACGTGCACTCGCTTCTGCGAACGAGACCCTGGATCCCCGTCGCCGTTAGGGCCCACGTGCGGACCTCCGGGGCCCTCGCTCAATCACATGCAAATCCACAACCTCAGACCTTGATTTCTACCCAAACTTCCTCGCCTGAACGAATATTCGCTAAGTAGGCTCCATTGTGAAGATTTTCGAGAAGTCGAAGTTGTTGTGTAACATAGCGTAGTGAGGGCCACGACAAGCCAAGCGCGTGAGGCGCTGGAATGCAATGCTGCTGCACGCGGATATGGCAAATCAATCCTTATCAGCCTTGTCTTATCGCTACTGTAGATCCGCGGTGCCATACCAGCTCCGACACCGCCACCGAAGTCCAAACTACCTCAATACTATTGAAATGGGTGTACTGGAAGAAGTGAAGTGGAGAACGTTCGAGGTTAGAAAGTGTCGGAAGGAGATACTGATGACTGAGTGACTACCATATGTTCGATTATGTACGTACAAAAAGAGCACGAGGTCCTTCCAACAACTTGACGTATGTTGCACGGTTTATCGAACCTTCGGCCCCGATAGAAAATGTATCTCTGAGGTAACCCACTCAGATATCCCGTATTGGGTCGTATGGGCGTGCTAACGCCGAAACCACACTTGAAGTGCCTAGGAACGTTTCTGAATCATTATAATGCCAGTCTGGATCATTGGTGCGCCTATCGCCTGGCTCCACGTCTTCAGCTCGAGCCTCAGATGCAGTAGATGATGGTGAGGTCGTTTCAAGGTGAACATCTGGGATTTCATGGTCTTCCGCGCGGTCGTGAGTGCGCCCTTGTGCCACGGGAGATACAATACACTTGCTCGCTTACATTTGTTAGTGTAGGCCTGTCTTAGTAGCCACATGGCTTGTGTACCTCGGATTGACCGTCCCCTAATGTCACGAACGCATATCATCATGCGCCAATGTAAGACCTCCATGGAAACCGCAGGAACCTCTTCTGTCACCAATTCGATATTGACGCGGCGCCAGATTTGTTCTTTGTAGTTGGCTGGCACTTGTTTCCAGGTCCATTCTGGGTGAGCTTTGTGTAAGGTATGTCCTTCTCGATTGGTAATGAACTAATACTGTTAATGAAGGGGGTTTTATCGCTGGACTAAGCTTACGTAGAACCTATCCCATTGTGTGAAGTTGTGACCAGCTGCGGCCCGCGCCTCGACGGCAGTTCTTAGACCTTTAGTCATGTGTCGCTCAGCACGGCCGAATGCTGGTCACAAGAAGTCGAAGATCAGAATACGCGGTACGCAAGGAGCTTGAAGATTGTGGAGTAGTGTGATCGCTCAAGCGTTTTGTCGCCTGTGGAGAGTGGCGTTGTCGCACAATCGCACAGACCTGTTGAGCCGGGCTTGTCTGATTCCATTGTACATGCTCCTTCGATTCTCATTTTCAGTGGCATTTACAATACCTCGCAAAGGCATAGCGATCAAGAGGACAGAAGCCTTGAGAGGTTATTTAGACCAAGCCTACTATCGACGCTGTTGTAGTGGTGTCTTAACATGGACAATGAGGTAATTCATTTGCCTTGCGTACAAGTTCAGAGTATTGCGAGCGTAGATAGGCGCGGCCGTGACACGGTCCTCTAAATGCTCCAAAGAGCTCAACGTTGCTGCTGTAGAAGAGTTGAGCCAGATGCAATCGGTTTCTGTTCAAAAGGTCCAGCAACGTTCAAAACTACTACATGAATTTATCCAATCAAACGCGAGGATGAATGTCCTTCGGAGCCTAGACTTTCAGCCTCATGGCTTACACCGCATTACCCCTCATGTCATAGTGCGCGCTCAGTTTCTTCTTCGCCTTGTAGTAGGGTTTGCCTGGTTTCGATAAATAGGAACATGATAGTTTTCAAATGAAGCAATTTTTCTCCTGACATTAATTGTCACACCGCAAAAGGATCCGACTTCGATCTACCGTCGACTGTAGCACTTGGCAGGATGGGCAGCCCGGACGCACTTCCATAGAATACGGTACTGATTCATCAACAGAGAGAACTGTATTAGCCTGATTAGTATCCTTCCTCCTGTTCGAACGATATAGTATCCTGCACATTTCAATAGACCGATACTGAGAAACATGCGTTATAGACTGCCGTATCTTACACATAGGGTATATATCGCACGAACAGGTCATTCTTCTGGTCGGCATACCAGTATACATACGATCAAATCTATGGCTCGTCTTACAAAAAATGAGACCTGATCCTGAACTTGCGATGCTGTGGTTCGACGCTCTATGCATCGATTAGTCCAACACCGCAGGACGCAACTATCAGGTCTCATTGATCGGAGAAGTATTTCCAGAGCTGCGCGACTATGCGCGTTATCGAGCACTAACAGTTGTGTCTCTATAGCCGACAGTGCAGCAGAGGAATATTTTGGCGCTCTGGAGACGTGAGTACGGGTAGCTCGCGTGTATTCTGCGAGAGTTCGTGCTCGCAAAGACCTTGCGGATACAATTCGACGTACTGAGACTGAACACTAAAGCGCTCGCTCGGATTTTCGTCAAGCGAGATGCTTTGCCTCCAAATATGGGGCCTCAAGAAAGACCGAGACTCAAAGCAATTGTTCAATCCAAGGAAATTGGGGATCTGTGGGCTGCTGGGGCTCAATTGCTGTTTGACCGAAGAGCGAGATGGCATTGGGGATTGAAGACAACGCGGTATGTCAATCTTAGAGATTTGTTTCCGAATCAACACGGCACCGAGCCATATACACGGGGAATTGTGTCTACGCGCTGCTGTCCTTGATAAATCCGGCTGAGATGGAGCTGCTCAACTTCACAGTGGACTACTCTCAACGGCACATAACGTGGAGCGGACGAGGAAGCAAAACATTGTATCCGCAGTTTTGTGCGAAACCTGCGTTATCATTTCAATGTAGAGCTGGAAATTGAGAAAGAGGTTTTATATAGATTATCATGAGAGTCGTAATAGGCAATATCTTCCTCGCGTCCATCCCACGACGTAAGTTTCTGGTGGTCTACACAAGGTCGAGCGATCGACACGCTAGTCTGCGTGGCGCTTATGTACCTCAGTAATGGTAGGCTGCAGTCACAGCTCAAGTATTCAGGTAACGTCTTGTGGTTAGTTGGAAGAAGGGATCGGGAGCGGATGCAACTACAAGTTCGGTAGTATATGTTCGTGCTTGAGAGTCATGTGCACGACCTCGAGATCTGCATGTTGCAGCAAGGCAGAATTTTATTTTTTGGTTACATCGAGATTCCGACGCGGCCGCGAGAGTCCAGGCTTCCATGTCCGGACATGCCGCCTCCGAGGAGCGTAAGAGATGTTGTTGTTGCTGCTCTAGCGTATGTGGGGAAAACCGCGTGGCGAAGTTCGTGGTTTCGTCAATTTTCTTTCTACCTTTGTCAAAGGCTACAACCATGGAAATCGATGCAAGTCGAACTCCCTTACTAATCGTGGTAAGTCTCTGATGAGTTCCAAAGTTGGCCTGTCTTTGTTTCTTTCGAACCTCCGGCGATGAATTTCAAGACTGAGCCTGGCAGTTTCATAACTTCTTTTACAGCTGCCTAGCGCTTGTGCAACGCTTGGCTTCCCGAAGCCGGATTGATCAGAAGACGTAGTGTCTAGCGTATGTGGAGTCTGAATAATGGAGCTGACGTTTCTGTAAGATTCTGATCAAGTGCAGCCAGAGTACGATGGGAGGCGCTCCTAGCGTATGTGGGGGTCCTCGATATCTTGAGCTCGGCGTGGACGCAATTTCCTGAGAAAGGCAAAAAACCCGTGGCGACTGCTGTCATTGTTTCACTGGAACTTTCTAATTGTTGGGAGACAAGGGTCAGGAAATTTTCGCATTCTAAGGCGATTGCTGTGAATGTTGTATGCTTTCAATATCTCTTGGCACAGAGCAGAAGGGTCTACAACACACTCCTGAGCACAACTCCAGTGCGAAGACATTGAGTATTAGCCGTATTGCCACTCTGCACAGGGATCCTAACGCTCGTGTTCTCTTCGCGGTTCTCCGTGTACAACAGCCTCCGATGCAAAGCGGCAGTGCGATATGTGTCACTTCGCGACGAGCCGACAAGCCCGACGAGCCGTGATGTGTTGGCGCCACGGGAGTGGTCTCAAGTCAAGGATACACTTGACGTGTTTCCTGATCGATATACAGCCTGATAGCGGTTGACTGTTTGCTGGTCGAGACGGCTTGTGACCGGCAAAATTTTGATAAGTGGCTTAAGAGCACCCTTGTCGAACGATAGCGAGACGAGACAACCCGTGCGACTAGTGAGCCAAGGCTACGGTGTACTGTCGGATGTCCAACTCTTGCGATCGCCTTGTCTGCATGAACGGGTATGCCGATGGGAGGGTATCTGTGTGGCGTCCTGACTTCCTTCCGGGAGGCAGGAAGTGCATCTTTATATACTTTCCACAGGCACAAGCTTGCGGTACAGGTAGCGCTTTGAGACGTTTCTGACAGCCCACAAGGTCTTTCGCTGGGAGGAGTCGGTGTATGGAAGTTCTTCCATGAGCCGCGCTAGGACGACCTGCAGGCGAAGAATAGTCTTGATTTGCAGAGACAGAATCAAATTGCCTCTTCAGGTCTAGCTCGGAACCCTGCATGCATGTAGGTCACGAGGTCCGGTCCGGAAGTTTTTGGATGACCCGAAAAGTCCATTATGTCTTCACGACATCTGATGACAGAAGTATTGGGCAGGCGAAGGACATGGGCCTGTGTAGCTGCCACGATGTCGGAAGCCCTGGGTGATGCCTGAAGGAGGCAAGACGGGCATGTGTGGTTGAGCAATCGCAAGGAGCGCGGCGAATGGGATCGCTAGGCGGCTGTTAGCGGATGCCCAGCCTTCTTACCTCACTCCGTGTTCAGACTTTGACCAGCGACCGCTTCAGGCTTCATTTGCTCCGTTGCGACGACAGCACTGACCAATACCGAGATAAGTGCCCAACGCTAATGTGCTGTAATCATATCTCTTGCAGGACCTTGTAATGCTACTCAGGCACTCGACCGGGCTTTCATGGCCGCACGAGTCAATCACAAGATTAGGAGCAATTTGGCTGTGTGCTCGAGAGACTGGAAGGCACAATGCGTCAAGTAGTGTACGAAACCTGCTGACAGAAGAGTGTGTGACTGGTCTGTTGCTCGCGTTGACTTTGCGATGGTCGGCGTCGAGCGGCCACAGTCTTCGGTCATCGGTCACGAGAGCAGCTGATTGACAGAGGATCGTGCAGGTGGGCCAGCACAGCGGCCACTTGACGTTCCAACGAGGTAATCAGACGCCTTTATGCAGAGCGTAGCATGTGGGGAGGCGACGCTGTGGGGGAGAGAGGATGCGTGTTAGCGCGGATTAGCTCCCAATGACTGTGAATTGCGTGCTAGGGCGATGGCGCAATCGCCCCTTCCGAAAGGAGGGCACGCACAAGGTCGCTTCCATAAGTAATCCCACAGAACCCCTAAAAGACGTGTCTGCACGCGACTCCAGCACTCTTCCACAATCTTTCACCTGTGAACTCCCTCAGCCCTCTTGCATTCCAACTCACTGCGGATCTTTCGACCGAGCTTCTGGACCACGCGAACCGTGGTTCTCATTCCCAACCTCTTTGCCGCCACTCTTCTTTATCTTGCCAACGAACACCTGGCCGCTCACGGCTGCAGGCTCACGACAATGGCTCCGAGTCTTCTACTGCCCATGGAGGATTCGCAGCTATTCTCGCCTCAAGTGCTGAAACAGGCGCCGAGGTCAGGCCTTGAGGGTGCAGTGTCGCTGGAGGCTCAAGCGCCTGCTGGTTCCAACCTTTCTTTCACTTCTTCATTCTCTTCTTCGTCACCTTCTGCCAATGGCAATGGTCACTCTGGTCATGAGTCTGCGAATGGCAACGGCATCTCTGCAGGTCAACGTCGGGAACATTTCGTTACTTCTCAAACGCTCCTAGAGCAATCAAAGAATTTTGCCTCCTCCAATGCAGGCGCAAATGGCACTACCAAGAAGCCGAACATTCTGTACATCATGGCTGACCAAATGGCTGCCCCTTTACTCAAGATGAACAACCCTGATTCGGTCATCAAGACTCCGAACCTCGACAAGCTCGCTGAGACTGGTGTCGTCTTTGGTTCTGCGTACTGCAACTCGCCGCTGTGCGCTCCGTCCAGATTTACCATGTGCTCTGGACAGTTGCCATCCAAAATCGGTGGTTACGACAACGCTTCCGTCCTCAACCCTGACGTTCCTACTTACGCTCATTACCTTCGCCGCGAGGGCTATGAGACCGTTCTTGCAGGCAAGATGCACTTTATCGGCCCTGATCAGCTTCACGGGTTTGAGCACAGGTATGTGACGACAATGGAAGCCATTGCACAGGCACTGACATGTCGAACAGGTTGACCTCCGACATCTACCCCGGTGATTTGGGTTGGACGGTCAACTGGGACAAACCCGAGGAGCGCCAAGAGTGGTATCACAATATGTCTTCGGTCATGCAGGCCGGTCCATGTGTCAGATCTAACCAGTTGGATTATGATGAGGACGTGATGTACAAGGTAAGACCACCGCCGAAGAGCTTTGCTTCATAAAGCAGCCTGCTAACGGCCCTCTGCTAGTCTACTCAATACCTTTACGATTGGGCTCGTGAAGATCCTAACACTCGCCGTCCATTTGCCCTGACGGTGTCTCTCACACATCCCCATGACCCTTACACCATGACTCGAGATTACTGGGACCGATACGAAGGCGTCGACATTCCTCTACCAAAGGTTCGCATGGATCGTGAAGATCAAGATCCTCATTCACAGCGCTTGATGAAGACAGTGGATCTCTGGGACAATCCGATCCCAGAGGAAGCCGCGATCCGCGCTCGACGAGCGTACTTTGGTGCGTGTTCGTTTGTCGATGATCAAATCGGAAAGCTTGTCCAAATTCTGAAGAACTGCCACCTGGATGAGAACACTATTATCGTGTTCTCGGGAGACCATGGTGATATGCTCGGAGAGCGCAATCTTTGGTACAAGATGTCCTGGTTCGAGAACAGCGCTCGAGTGCCAATGATCATTAACTACCCGTCCCAGTTCGAACCCAAGCGGGTCACTGAATCGGTGTCGACTATGGATCTGCTCCCTACGTTCGTGGATCTAGCAGGTGGCGATGCTTCCGCTGTGCTGCCTGTGGACGGGAAAAGTCTGTACAACTACCTCGTTTCGGACGAGCCTGGGAAAGACGAAGTCTTTGGCGAATATATGGGCGAAGGCACTGTTACGCCGGTCTACATGATTCGACGTGGCCCTTGGAAGTACACCACATCCCTTGTTGACCCTCCCCAACTCTTCAACCTAGTAGAAGATCCTCAAGAGCTGGTCAACCTGGCTACCTCATCGAAGCACGCGCAGACGTTTGCAGCATTCAACACTGAAGCGAGGAAGAAGTGGGATTTCGCTGCAATTCATCAGGATGTGCTCGCCGCCCAACGCAGGCGCCGACTCTGCTGGAGCGCATTGCAAATTGGCCGGAAGGAGACGTGGGACTACCAGCCTCCTGGCGTGGAGAAGGACCGGTACATCCGTTCTCACATTCCCCTCGATGACCTTGAGCGCCGTGCGCGGTTCCCTGTCGTCGACTACCTTGGTCGCGAGAAGTCAGCAGCCGCAACTCACCACGGCATTGCTGGTGCAGCTGGAGAGTAAAATGCAGCTTGTCCCGTTCTTGTATTCATTCATCATCATCATATCTCTTACGAGTCACGTTGTTGTGGTTGGCGTTTGGCATTCGCACAGTGGGACAGATGCTCGGCATAATTTGCATTTGCTGTTTCTATGAGTATGCAATTATTCAGGCTTGTAGCGTTCAAGCGGTTCTCTGAGAAAGATGCTAGGGGGAGACAAAGTTCGATATGTACATGTTTACAGATCATTAAATAGTCCCCAGTAAACCGCATACTGTTTGTACTCAGTCGTTCCTTGTGCGAGAATAATAATTTGAAATTGACATTCGCACCACTTCGCATTGGCTCCAGCCGTTAAGTGCTCACGCTAGTGTCACAATCGGCGCACGTGACGTGGCGCTCATCCCGCCGCGCCTTCGAAGTCAAGGGTGCCACACCAGCGCATAACTTCCACGCATCTCGTACAACCCGCACCGACTCGAGGGACCGTTTAGACTAACTCGCACTCTTACAGTTTCTTCCCGACGACTAGAACAAGAACATGTCTACCGCTGCTCGTCGTCGTTTGATGCGAGACTTCAAGGTGCGCCACCCGAGCGTCGCAGTCCCGCCCGCAGCAAACGGCCGTCGCAAACGTGCAGCTCTGAAGCAAGACTAACATGACACTACAGCGCATGCAAACCGATCCACCCGCCGGCGTCTCTGCATCCCCCATAGCGGACAATGTCATGACATGGTAGACGGCCCCGCACGCGACACCACCTCCGGATAACGACGCTCACACTGTCACAGGAACGCTGTTATCATCGGACCCGCGGACACACCCTTCGAAGACGGGGACCTTTCGGCTTGTCATGCACTTTGAAGAGGCATACCCGAACAAGCCGCCTGGCGTCAAGTTCATTAGCCAGATGTTCCACCCCAATGTATACGGCACAGGCGAGCTTTGCTTGGACATTCTGCAGAATAGATGGAGTCCCACCTACGACGTGGCGGCTATCTTGACGAGTATACAGAGGTAGGATAGTCTGTGTTGTCGCGGAACACTGCTCATACTGATGGCGGACAGTTTGCTTAACGACCCCAATACCTCGTCTCCAGCCAACGTGGAAGCATCGAACCTCTACAAAGACAACCGTAGGGAGTACACGAAGCGCGTGCGCGAGACAGTAGAGAAGAGCTGGGACGACTAGCGCGTAGGCGCGCAGTGCAGGGCACTACTTGATGGGCATACGATGACAAGACATTGGCACGATGCATAGAGGAGTTTATCTGGTATCGGAGCAGAAGCAACATTTGACTTGGCTGGGCTGTTCGGGGTCTTCTTTTCACATAGCGAAGGCGTTAAGGTCTTGTTCGAGTCGATACATGGCGAACTGGCGTCATCTGCGCGTTGTGCCTCATTGATGTGCATGGAAATACGTTTACTTTGAAGCTGTCGTTGTGTATTTGTGCTGTGTGACGTACCATACCGTCAGGCTTGGACTGCCAGCGAGGCGTGGCCCATTAGCTGGTGAACCCTGGGATGTCACGTTGGGCGCGGCGGGGATGCAATCGCGCTAAGAGCATCAACACACGCACGCTGTTGACTCGTCTTCCTTGACCACCTTGCACACGCCCTCTCTTACTGCATGTTCTGCGCTTAAATCATCCCTCTACCGTCATTTCGCAGGGCTGCGCTATCCTGAAACAGGCAGCGGCTGTTTTTCCCCTAATAGCGAGCGGGGCCTCCAATCTCCTGCTGTACCGCGACCGCGCCGAGGCCTTCGAATCCAACCGCCGCCTTTACGTACCACAGCAGCAGCCCGCAGCGACGCACGCACGCACAACGCCTGCAGCTAGGAGCGCAACGAACGCCTAAGGAGTGGCCGCTGGGCCGAAAGCAAAACTGTGCTGCCCATCATGTCGTAAGTGTACTCGGCGGTGAGGTGATTCCGAGGGCCATGTTTGCTAACAAACGACCGCAGGAGCTCCAACACCATAAAGGGTGCGCTTTGCTCTATTTCCCCCAGAAGCAACCCCGATCATATAGAGTACTAATGGAGTGGTGCAGTGGTGGCGCGTTTCCGCCCTCAGAACAAGATCGAAATCGCCAGCGGTGGAGAGCCCATCGTCGAATTCAAGGATGAGGACACATGCTCAATCTCGGTACGCCTCTGATAGCTGCAACTGACTCCCAGGAACTCTCTACTAACAGTCATGGGAACTAGTCGAAAGAGGCCTCCGGGTCCTTCACGTTCGACCGAGTCTTTGATATGGCCTCGAGGCAGAACGACGTGTTCGACTACTCGATCCGACCCACGGTAGACGATATTCTCAACGGGTACAACGGTACCGTGTTCGCGTACGGTCAGACGGGTGCCGGCAAATCGTATACGATGATGGGTACCGGTATCGAGGACGAGGTGGGCAAAGGTATCATCCCGCGCATCGTCGAGCAAATCTTCGCCAGCATATTGTCCTCCGCAAGCGACATCGAATATACCGTCAGAGTCTCATATATGGAAATCTACATGGAACGGATTCGAGATCTTTTGGTGCCACAGAATGACAATTTACCGGTTCACGAAGAGAAGAACAGGGGTGTATATGTCAAGGGTTTATTGGAAGTCTACGTTTCGAGTGTGGAGGAGGTCTACGAAGTCATGCGAAGAGGTGGAGATGCTCGAGCCGTCTCCGCAACCAACATGAACGCTGAGTCTTCGCGATCGCACTCTATCTTCGTCATCACGGTCTCGCAGAAGAATGTTAGCACTGGATCGATGAAAAGTGGTCAGCTCTTCCTGGTCGATCTTGCGGGTTCCGAGAAAGTAGGCAAGACTGGCGCAAGTGGACAGACATTGGAAGAGGCAAAGAAGATCAACAAGAGTTTAAGTGCTCTCGGCATGGTCATCAATTCGCTGACGGACGGAAAATCTTCGCACGTTCCCTACAGAGATTCCAAGCTCACCCGTATCTTGCAAGAATCGCTCGGTGGTAACTCGCGGACCACTTTAATAATCAACTGCTCACCGAGTAGCTACAACGACTCTGAGACGCTCAGTACGCTACGGTTCGGTATGCGAGCGAAGTCGATCAAGAACAAGGCCAAGGTCAATGCGGAGCTCAGTCCCGCAGAGCTTAAAGCAATGCTCAAGAAAGCGCAAGGCCAAATTACGACGTTCGAAGGCTACATCTCATCGCTTGAAGGCGAGGTTCAGCTTTGGCGAGGGGGTGAATCGGTTCCTAAAGAGCGGTGGATACCAGCACTTGAAACCGGTGCAACAGGCAGGAAACCACCCACCACACCACGCGCACAAACGCCTTCGAGGTTAGATGCCACAAAGAACTCAGAGACACCATCAAGACCGGACTCAAGGTTGGATATTGAGCGAGCTGGTACACCTAGTATTCCCCTCGACAAAGACGAGAAAGACGAATTTCTGAGAAGAGAAAACGAGCTTCAGGACCAGGTCGCGGAGAAGGAAAGTCTGCTTGAAAAGGCCAATGAAATGCTGAAGGCTGCGAGAGAGGAGCTTTCCTACTTCAAAGAGCGTGATTCCAAATCGAACAAGGATACCGAGCGCATGGCAACAGAATTGAACGAGCTCAAGATGCAGATCGAGAAGCTCAACTTCGAAGGAAAGGAAGGACAGATCACGATGGACGGTCTCAAGGACGCAAACGCAGAACTCACAGCTGAGCTTGATGACGTAAAACAACAGCTTCTGGATGCGCGTATGAATGCAAAAGAGACCACTGCCGCAATGGATGAAAAGAAGAAGAAGAAGGCCGAGGCCATGGCACAAATGATGGCAGGGTTCGATCTTGGCGGTGAAGTCTTCAGCGATAACGAACGGACCCTCGCAGATATCATCAAGCAGCTAGATTCCCTAAAGGAGCTAAGCTCGTCCGGCGAGGCTATCGCACCTGATGCGATCCAGGAACTGCGCGAGAAGCTCGTCGAAACACAGGGTATTGTGCGACAAGCAGAGCTGTCTCTTAACAACCGAAACGATCAAGACGACGTGCACAACAAGCGACGTGAAGCGCTTGAACAACGCCTTGCGAACCTGCAACAATCCTACGAAGAGCTATGCGAGAAGAATCTTTCCGAAGCGGACAAGGAAGAGATCAAGAGCCGACTTGCTGAAGCTTACGAGTCCCGTCAAGAAGGCAACATTGAACTTGTCCAGGAGCTCAAGGAGGACCTACTCCACAAGTCCGAGAAGAACTCAGAGTTGGTGGCTGAAATTGAAGCTCTGCAACAGCGCATCAAGAGTGGTGCCATTGCTAATGGCGTAGCAAACGGCATCAACGGCAAATCTGTTCAGCAGCAAATTGCCGAGTTCGACAACATGAAGAAGAACCTGATGCGGGATCTGCAGAATAGGTGTGAACGGGTAAGTTTTCCTTCTGCGTTGATGAAAGATCCGGTGATTAACCATTTTGGATAAACAGGTCGTGGAGCTCGAGATCTCGCTAGACGAAACGCGCGAGCAGTACAACAATGTCCTGCGGACATCGAACAACCGCGCCCAGCAAAAGAAGATGATGTTCCTGGAGCGCAACTTGGAGCAGCTCACCGTCGTCCAACGTCAGCTCGTCGAGCAGAATTCAAGCCTCAAGAAGGAAGTTGCTATCGCGGAGCGCAAGCTCATCGCTCGCAACGAGCGGATACAAAGCTTGGAGCAGCTCCTGCAAGACAGCCAGGAGAAGCTTACCGCTGCAAACCATCGGTATGTGGACAAGGTTTCTTATGTCCTCTCTTTCCTTCCGTCAAGTCCCAAGAAGAAAAGATTCGAAGACCCCATCCCCTTATCTCCTTATCCTACAACTCTTGAAGACCCGGAGGAAATCTGTCCGACTCATCTCGGCGATCCCTTTGACTCTATATCTACCACCTCCTCTCCTACAATGAAAGGCTGGACAGAAATTAATAAGAAGCCCAGGTTCGAAGCGCAGCTCACCGCCGTCAAAGAGCGTCTCGAAGCCGCCAAGCAAGGCTCCACTCGCGGACTTGGATCGCCCACGGCCGGCGCCTCCTTCGCGTTCGGTGGCGCCGTCGGCTCGCGCGTTGCCAAACCCATTCGCGGCGGCGGTCCCATCCAAGACGGCCCCGTCCTTCCTGTACTCAGCAACCTGCAAGCACAAGAAGCTGGTGCCCAGCAGAGTGGCAAGCGGACAAGCTGGTTCTTCAAGGGGTAGGCAGCCCTTACACATAGCGATTTGATCAGCATCTTGGAAATCTGTCCTTATCTCAACTTTGGGCGAAGGCGTTCGGAGCGAGCAAGAAGTGGAATTGTTGGTTGGTCGTCTGTCTCGTAATGAGGAGATGACTGAGTACCTTCGGTACGGGAATGCGTTCATGAAGACTATCACGCTGTGCGATGCGACGCGATTAGATGCATACTTGGAGTTTGGGTGGATTGATGGATTGCCAGGTAGCTTTTATATCCCAAGACTAGTGTTATTTGCTTTGTCATAGCCATCTTCCATTATCATTATCGAAGTTTTTGGAATCGTGAACGTGGTTGCAGTTGTTTACAAGTTTAGGCCTGCACGTTGGCAAATGGTCAGGTCCTTGTGTAAGTGGAGATGGGACCTGCGTAACTACCTGTTTACTCACCGCTTGTGTAGACTACCTCTTTCGCTCCATATTTATGCAGGGGCCCATGCATTTCTTGCGGGGAAGCTTACTACGCAACGAAACCATACTCTGCCGATCCCATAATCTATAAAAGTGAGTGCCCTACGCAGCCACAGTTTCACTAAAGTCTTGATGTACGATCAGTGGGGAGGTGACGGTTGAAGAGGGATTGAGCGACCATGGGACGGGGAAGTTGTGTAGGGTGGCGTATAGGGTCTATGATTGTGGTCGGGTAAGGGAGTTGACTCGAAGGTATGACTGCCTTCCAAGACAACATGAGAACGTAATGATGAGCGCAGTATTTAGTGCTAAATAAGGTGAGTATGCGATTATAGTACAAACATCTCTAACTTGGACCGGCATGACGGAGCGACACTCTGTCGGTTACGTCCACCAGATCCAAGGAAACAGCTCAAACGCCATCGTTGAAGCACATTCGGGAGCTACTGAGCTTTTCGGAGTATACCGACCCGCCTTCACCTTCACTGAGATCCGGCGTTGGCGTTTGCTTTGAGTCCTCGCGCGTATGAGTCAGTTTTTGTCGCGCTCTGAGTCCACCCCTCCTGCCTCTTCTACTTCCACTCTATTTAATAACATCCACAATTGCGCCTCGACTCGGACCCACCACACTACATCACGATGGCGAGTGACGCCGCCGTGTACGCGTTCGAACCACTGCCTCTTTCGCTTGCCGGTTACTTTGCCACGGTCGCGCAAGCCAAGCGGTGCCTTCAAGAACTATGTGCCCAGTATCACAAGGACATCTGCGAAGATGCGCATCTCCGCTGTTCGCGGCACTTTAAGAAACTCGGTTTTCAGCAACACTTCCCGTATTTTCGATCCACAACTAAGAACTGGTTTCCCCATGGGCAGGAAAACTACAGATTGAAGAATTCGTACGTACGGCTCGTCGGCTTGCGAGGCGGCAAGATCGGTGAGGGCGCTTGGGGTGATGATGTGGATTTCAACGTCGCGTAAGTACGCATGGAAGACACTTGAAAGAGATTCAGTTTTCATGGTTACTCGTGATCATACTAGGTAGTCGGGTGAGTGCTGACGTTGTATTTGATAGACTCACAACAGGCAACGGAAGCGAGATGTTGCCCATTCGCATGAACTCTCAGAGTGCCTACAACGATGACGACAACGTGCTTGCGGAGATAGAAGTGTACGTCGGATACCAATGGGTCTGTTTCTCGCAATGGCTGCAATCTACCTTCATGCCTCGGTTCAATTACTACTCAACAGAACTCACGCAGCAACAAACACAAGCCTGGTCACGCAACGGAAAGACGTTTCGGCTCCTCGATCTGCCCAGGGAAATCAGGGACATGATATATCTGTACGCTATGGGAAAGACAGGTTCATTTAAGCTGTTCATGATGGACACTGTGTCTAAAGACCTGACTCATTGTCTTCCAACGAGCAAGAAAATAGGGTGGCTTGGCGGCTCCACGGCTGCCACAGACAGGAACACCGACGTAAAAGATTCTTTATCGGTACTCATTGCTCCTTCAAACTCCGGCCGATTGCTTCAGGAGCGAGATCAGATCTGTGAAGGAGACAATCGTTTGGCTCTGGTGTTCAGAAACAAGGAGATGTGTGGCAATAGATCGTCATACCCTCATCTTGTACCCCTACTCGTCAACAAACAGGTACACGAAGAGGTCATCTGTGCCCAATGGAAGCTCACCACTAAACGCGTCGATGTTTTCAACTGGCAACACCCATGGAAGACGAAAGGGTGCTTGGATCTGATCAAAACTTATCAAGCACATTATTCATTGGGAGCACTAGGCCGTGTTCAGTTGTACCTGGACCATTACACCTATGCACGAATCTTTCCCTCGAAAGGCCTGGCTTACGATAAGGCCGCTGATATGATAGTGGATTTCCTTGCCGCTCTACCCCCAATTCAAATCCTAGAGTTTCACTTCGCGGGATGGGACGACGAAGTTCATGAGGAAAGACATTCTTTTCTAATGTGCTACAAAGTTTCAATTGACTGGTACTTAAGGACACTACTCGGGCAAATCCGGCACCTAATCCAAAGGGGTCGCTTCAATCGGATTGTCGTCTCAGGGCATGTAAAGCACAGTACGCGTGCGATGTGGGAAACGATCTTTGCCGATGAGAAGCAAGGGGTCGTGCACGATATGGCCGAAGAGATGCAATTGATACGCAAAGCCGTTATGGGCGAAGCCGCTCATATGGTTGATTCCCTATATGAGACGACGTGAGTATATGACTAGCCCCGAATGCCCCCTGGTCTATTCTGAGGCATAGCTCGCGTGTAGAATATCTACTTTGTGATGTATGCTTACAAAAACCCTAGGGTTAATTCTTGTCATTGCTCGACTCCCTGCATCTTCGACAACTGGGATTGGTGGCGTGACCATCGTCCGATTGATGCGCAAGACGGTCTATCTTCCAATGGATCAGGCGATAATTACCTCGGAGACCCGTACATACTGGACTTCAATTACGACGACTAGACGTCGTCTTATGTCGGAAGCTCAGTCCCACACCCAATGGGAAGTGCACACTCTCCCAGCGGAGTATATGCTAGAATCGACGACAAGCTCGACATAACAACTCTGCGTCTAGAGTTGGTCCAATACAGCGTGTGGAACGATTGCTTGACATGTATCATTAGCCTCGCGGAATGGCTTCATATTGCTCCTTCCCACGACATACTTCTTTGCACCGGAGATTGTTATGAGGGGGATGTAATGGTTTAAGAAGCATAGGATGCAACGTTAAGGAAATTTTGCAGTCGAGATACTCGGTCAGCATATCAGTGGATGAGTGACATGCTGACGACGAAACTGCTGCACGATAACCTTTTTGCAATGAAATACCATTTACGCTCAGTCCAGCTTCTCTTCTTCGACAGTAAGACAATTTGGAAATGAAGGTGGCCGGCAAAAAGTATCTTCTTACAGGTGACAACACAACGTGACCCCCACGCTCAGTCAAAGTGGGCTATCCTACATACTGCGCAGCACCCGCCGCCTTAACCCATCTCACTATAGCCATATTCAGAACACCATTCCTCGTTCGTCGTGCCGGCAAAATTACCAGTGCGACAAGCGATTCGCGCGGCAGGGGTCCTCGCACGCTTCCCGTTTCAGTCAGGTTCAGGCATGATCAGGCACGAACTTTTGCATCTGCATAGCAGCACCACTTCATAATCTCAGTGACGCGGCGACTGCTGATCGAAATGGTGTCATGATGCATTGGACATTGTATATAAGCGCTGTGTGGTACGCGGCTAGAGGAGACAGTCCATCTTTCACTACCACTTTCGAGTCTACATTCATTTTCTAATCGCTCTTTACGAACGCCGGTCGTTAGCTTTACATTCTATAACCCAAAAGTTCAAGTTTTCAGCGTTAGATCTTTCCATCCATCAAAATGAAGTTCACCGCTGCTCTCGCTCTTTTCAGCGCCGTTGCGCTCACGAACGCCCTTGCTATCCGCCAGAGCAACGCGCAGACCTTCACTGGAGCCCTGGGTGGCGTCGCCGCGACGCCTATCGAGGACTCTGGCGATGCGAAGCGCCCCTTCTCTGTAGCAGGTGCTACTTTCGTTAACCTCGCCGCGGCGGTGCAGCGTTCTTGCGATCAGCAATTCAGTATGTTACCCGCCAGCACGAAGTCCAATCCGTGGGGACTAGACTGACTTTCTTTCCTTGCAGACGCGTGCGCCAACCTCGCGAATGGCGGTAGTCAGGATGTTGCGTTTGCGGATTGCACTTCGCAGAAAGGTATGTCACGATTCGCGGCTGCAGTATCCGTAGAGAACTGGGACTGACCATCTCACAGACCAATGCGATGCCGCCGGTGCAGGAGCCGCATAAGGAAACTTGCAATGCTCGAGTCCAGGTGGACGTGCAGCTGACGGACATGGTGGACATCTAAAAGAGGCTGGACCTTCGCAATGACGAATTACGACTCTGGGCTCTGCTGGATGGACCTGCTATGAATGTTTAAGATCAGATTATATGCTCGATACCAATTTGACGTGGGGACCTGCCCACTTACCTCGCGAACTTACCTCACGAAATACTCGTCCCCAAAACTGTGAAGAACTAGCCCGACATCAACACCGATCGGAAACGTGAATTCCCACCACCTCAGCTTCAATATGAGATAATGCTGTGTAGTCTATGGGCGTGATGCAAAACAAGTCCGGGTCTTCTATAGATTCCAGTTCATTGAGCAGGTGCCCTCAACCCTCTTCTAACGAGAACCAAGCGATATAGATGGTTAATTGAGAGATAATGGATGCAACGCGTACGTGAAAGCTAATCTCTTCTCAAGCGAATGGGAGACACGCCTCATCGTTTCGCACGCCGCTGGAGGCATGTCGAAGACACGAGCACCTCTACATGTGATTAGTCACTTGGATGTCTTCGGATGCTGACCGTCCCACGAGCTGATGAAATCCGATGGGCGTACTGAAAGTGAACGAAGTTGAGTGAGAGCGATCGATGGATTGATGAGGCGTGGCGGAGCTGCTACATAGGGCTAGTGTCGGCGGCTCCTACCGCGTACATGGAGTGCTCCTTCCGAACAGGGCATGAAGAGGTTCCCAGTGCTATCAAGCCCCTTTCGCGTCCACGACTCCGTCCCAGGCATCACCACTCAACATCCTCGTCATGTCAAATCACAGGTTTTTTCCAAGACCATTGTTTTCCAGCACATGATGAAAGTGCTGAAAGAGAACGATCTGATGTACGATGTACGGTGCCTCGGGCGTTAAGGCAAGCGATCGGCGCGCCGCGGTTTTCCCGTTGGTCCAGATGAGACACCAGATTGCATCGGACATAGCGTCTCACGTGCAGCAGCGATCAATGTCTCGTGCACAGACCGGCTGTCCAAACTTCAGCTTCCAGTCGGCATCCGATTGCGCGACATCTCGCATGTCCTCGCATTCCTCCATTGTCGTTTTGGACACTTTCGCTCCTATCATGTCGCGGTGATTCTCCGCGCTTCGAAGGGCCCAGAGTGCGTCTACAGCGGTTCTTTGCCGCCAACCGCTCCCTACCGATAACCCTGCGTCCGATCAAGCCACTTGACCCGATCCCTGCCGTCACGGCATCGATTCCTTACCTGTTGTGGTGTTACCATGACTGGTTTCTTGGACTTGCCTTTGGAAATTCGCAATGTTGTGTATGATATCCTCCTCCGCGAGGAGCTCGAACCCCACTTCCGAGCCGTGATGGCCGTTTCCGAAATATATGTTAAAGAGCGTCTGCCGCTTCGGAGCTACCGTGGCCTCTTGCAGACATGTCGAAAGACATACTTCGAATTCAAACAAGCAATACAACATCTGGCGGCGTCCAAGCAACTAGACTACGAACTGGACATGACATTCTCGCACGGCCGGCCGTACTTCGCCTTGACGTGGGTATGGTTTCCTGGACTATCTGCCACCATTAACTCGCTCGTTGTCAATGTGGACCTGCGCATCCGGGAGCCCTTTTACTACGAAGGACACTTCCAGTCTCCGCACGATCACGAACTGACTCACTTGATTGAAGACGTACCCGAAAGCTTCGCGGTGCAACTGTTCGACTATATTGCCATTTTGCTCAAGACGCTAGCGAATCTTCTTTCTTACGGCGATCCAAGATTCAATCTTTTGTATACCGAGAATCTAGTCCTGAACTTCCGCACACCGACGACGATGGTGCCGGGCCTGGAGGTACCGCGGGCGGAACAGCGTCGTGTGAACGTGGACGCGGAAGAAGCAGAGGACCTGCTTGAAACGATGCAGACTACGCTCAAGGCGAATGCGAAAGCTTTCGGGGCATTTGCTGCTACCCAGTGTGGGCTTCTATCGCCATTGATCCAGATTGGGTCGCTCCAATTCGCGATAGAAGGCGTGGTGTGGGGCGAAGGACATAACATGATTCTTGCACATAACGACTTTCAGTGGCTGCAGTATTGATGATTTGACTGATGCTGCATTTCAGCGTAACGGCGGCTTTGAGATATAACGACTTTACGACCTTGGAGTTGATCATTCGTTGGCGTTGATATTGATAAGGCGGCTTGACTCGGCGTTTGAGCTTCCACCTGGGCGGTTCCATGTCTCTTTATACAACGAAACGAGCGGAAATGCATAGTAAGACGGCGCTTCAATATCTGTATATACATAGATTACACGAAAAACATATATCTGGGTATCGCATAACTCCAGCCCGACAACCGAAACCCACAGCCCTACACGTAAAACCTCTTCCTATTTAGTCGTGCAACCCTGCCTTCATCCGCCTTTGCAAAGGCCACCGCACCTACAGGTTCATTGGCACACACGTCTCCTATCATGACCCGCATATGCTGCAGCATATGTGCTCTCTCCAATCCGTGCAACGTCGTACCCCCAGTCGGCGTGGGCACATACGGGTTCAAAAGCGTCATACTGCTCGCATACCCGATAATGTCCGGCACACACGTGTAGTACTTGAAGAACAGCGCCATGTACGCTGCGATCTGGAGGATAATCGACGACACGAGAAGGGCGGTGAACCACTTCCAGTTCGTATGCCAGACGCTAGGCATGGGCGTCGAGACCGCGGATGCGGTGCCGTTGAAGAGCTGGGAGTCTGCGGACTGAGTGATGTTGTCGAAAGTTTGGTCGAGGTTACCGCCTAGCGTATTCATTGCGTACGTGGACTGGAAGAAGGAGTTCCAGAGGATAGTGAGGCGGTTGGAAAGCACGTCTGGGCTGAGTTCGTAGAGCTGGACGTATGTCTTTAGGCCGACGAAGTTTGTGGGATCAGCCATCCACTTCTCGGCGTTCGTGCTGCCGCGGAAGGCCACGGAGCCTACGCCGAGGTTGTCGACTCGAGGGAGATTCAACATGATGTTTTGGGAAGGCGTGTTGCGGAAAAAGGAGTCGGAACCCTTGGTGTAGTTCACACCGGTGTGCAGGTCGATCTTCCTCATTGCGGTCGGGGTGCAAGATCGGCCCTTGCAGCCTACTTTTGTTTCGTACATGTCGTATGAAAGTTTGCAGCTCGCAACCGTGTAGTTGTAGTAATCCTCGTCTTCGGCGTCGTTGTTGGCCATGGACTTGAAGCTGATGGAGCATGGCCAGTTATCACATGTGCTGTTGACGGGAGTGTAAGCGACCTTCCAAGTCGAGACGTCCATGCCGCCAAAATCCGCCTGTTTTCCTCCTTGCATTTCGTTCTTGTCGCAGGCTACATCCCATTGTCGTGCTTTGACCGAGAAGTTGCTCGCTCCGATTTTGTCCAGCTGAGCGACAGGGATGCCGATGAGCGATGCATATGTGATGTTCGTGTTGTTACTTTCTTGAACGGTCTTCCACTCATCGGAAGTACTATTCTCGATGGTTGAGAAGCGTGGCAGCTTAACGTTACCCCAAAGGTCCATCGAAGTATCTTGATACTTCGAGCTGGAAAGCAACGAAGCAAGAAATATTGGTGCAAATACGCTTCTGGCACTGTTGATAGCGCTTGCCGCGCCCATGGCAGTGTCCATGATGGTATCCGGGTTTAAATACTGAACGGTGCCGTTCGAGAGGGCGCTATTGGTTTCTTCTCCCATCAAGCGCAGCGCAGATTGGCCTCCAAGCGGGGAGAGGAGCCAAAGTATCATTAGGATGTAGCCGACCACTGAAAAGCCACGTAACGATATCTGACGCTCAAGCGCAGAAAAGAGCGATGTTGAACCGACAAGCTGCTCAAGGCGGCCGAGGGTCGTGCCGCGTTCGGCAAGGAATAGGCCTAGGTATTTGAAGCACCTTCCCATTAGTGCAGCAAATATTACAGGAAATATAGTCGGCGAGAGGAGGAGCGCTTGTTGGAGATGTTCTCCATATTGAGACACCTCTTTGCCATCAATCCGCGCGGCGATCGAAGCGAGTGCTTCGGAGAGTGTTAGCTTCGCAGGCAGTATGTAATAGGCCAGAACGTACCAATGAACATCAAAGGCGATGAGTGGAAAACAATGTCGAATACAAGAATGAACGATCTCAATCTATTCATTGCCCATACTTTCGCTGAAGGGAGTTGTCGATGGTATTCCTGGATTTCTCTGGGCTGGCCCTTCTTTGGGCTTCCAGGCGGAGGACCCGTGGGTGGCGCGTAGGATTGGGTGTTCATCGGGTCATATCCCGTATATTGCTGAAAGTCGTCTCCGTACCCCTGTGGTATACTCTCGAAATTCGCACGCGAATCTGAATAGCTCTTCATCTGGTGCAGCCCCCGCTCCTGTGGCAGCTGCTGAATATTTTCATCAAGCCGCGTGTAGCCCATCTTGTCGAGCGGCAGGTTAAATATGGCCAAACCTCAGGGTAAGATATGGAACGGAAGCGCGAGGGGCGTTAGCAGTTTTGGGAGGCTTCATGTCAGCATAATCGTTTAGCCTAGCGGGTGGGGATCTTAGGTGGAACACAAGGCAACCAATCCATGCTCGATGCGGCTTAGATGAGGTCGCAGAGCGCGCAGCCCCCACGAATAATGTCCCACCGGACGCGAATCAAGAAGGGATTGTGTTGTAGCGACGTTTATTTTAAGAGCAGATGTGGCTGGTGAACGAGGAACGAAAGAAATCGCATATGTCATGTCAGAACAGGCAGGAACATTCTCAAAATGTGAGCTTCAGGGTACGTCTTCGGACATTAAATGTTGGCTGAGACTTTCGACTGTAGGATTTCTGTGGCTCAGTGCTTCTGTGGAACTGTTGCGCGGCCCACTCAATACAGTATAAGCTGGCAGCATGCGGCATGACAGCTCATCTGTCGCCGTAGCGATGCACCACAAGCAGTCCTGATGACCGCCTTGCCCTACCAAAACTTATGCGATACCAACCTCAGGTTACCATCTGAGAATTCTTTCACCCCTCGATCCTCCACTCGTGTCCTCGTCCGTATCGCAACTGCCTTCTCACCAGTCTTTGGGTTCACGCCTTCATGCTCAAATTGCTCCCACTTGACCAGGCTCCCCTCAACCGCCCAGCGCGGGACCGCGTCCTCATACTCGATGCCCTTCTCTTCTCGCAGCATATCTAATACCTCTTTGACCGTCTTTTTGTGCAACTCTTTGTCCGAATACAGCGATCTCGCGAATGCGTTAACCGAGTTCCTCATTGCGTCTCCGCGGCATCGCCAGAGCAAGCAATTCAGCGCTTCCTCAACCGACGGTACCGTGAAGAATCGCGCGTCAAAGTGCGCAGTACCAAGCGCATCGTAAGCAGCGCCCTTGACCTTCGGTTCTGGATTTGCAGCCAGCAATGCAGCGAGGTGCGCATTGAACCTCACAGAGCAGTAGCTCGCCGCGAGGCTACTCAGCTTCTGCACTCTCTCATTGAAGCTCTGTACGCCTGAGGGGAACACGAGTGTTATTTCATCTGACTGCGTGTATGCTACTGTTGCCTGGTTGAAGTATTTGAGAAGGTCGACGCACGTGGATATCATCGCATCATGTATGCGCTGGTCGAACGGCTTGTGAAAATTCGCCGTGAACCGCGAGAACGTGTGCCCATCGAGTCGTAAGATGGTAGGCACTGCGAGTGGAAGAGTGAAGTCGAAAGAAGCTTCGTATTCCTTCATACGGTCGGCAAGGGTAGGTTGTGCCTGCTGATTGGCGGCAGGTACCGCAGACTGGGTCGCCGCTTGCGGCATTGGGTGTGTTGTTGACTCGGGTCCGGACATTAGGGCTCAATCGCGCCACGAGGTGTAGCAATGACGGGAATCGTGGTGGTTGACGGTTTGAGATTGATTTTCGAAGACACGGGTGAGAGATGATTGCAGATGAGGGCGGGTGAGTGGATGTTTGAAGAGTTGAGTCACCCTTGGGTAGTTTCACGTGTTCTGGCTTCGAGCATGCCCTGCCACGACACTACAAGCAAGACTGGATTCTCGATTTTAGACTTTTCATGAATGTCTTACTATGACGGATCCTTACCAGCGGAGGTTCTCCTCGTCTCGTCGTAAAGCGTCACAAGCCGCCAGCAGCCGTATCAATATGGATCACAAGGCATCTCACCGACAGCTTCCAGAGCTCTATATACAGCCGTCCCATTGCTTGCAATCAGACTTCTTCTCCTCCTTGCGGTGCACTTTGCCTTCTCTCTGACGTAACATGGACTTCCCGCACGACTCGTATGATCGATTCTCTGTCGTCAAGCTGGTTCAGATCGAACATATCTTCTGACTTGACCGTCGAGACGTTTGTGCTTGCTTCTCCAGTACGTTTGCTGAATGTATTTCGTGATCCTCGACGTGTTTCTTTGGATGCACCACTCTGCCCGGAGCGATTGGACGCGGTCGAGAACACGCCAGGCAGGTAGCGAGTCGCGAGGGGACGCAGGCAGGGTAGACAGGAGCATATGATACCGATATTTGTCTCGATCGAGGACCAGGTAGCGGCTGGCGGGTTGTCGTAGGTGGGATCGGTTGAGTTCGATATTGCGACGAGCGATTGAAGGCGGAGTATAGACACTAAGCATACACTAAAACAGGTGACTGTTAGCTGAAGATGTTAAAGATGATTTGTGAGCCAGCCAAGATGGATTTGCGGGGATACACCGCGCTATTGGTGTTGTGTACCGTATGACAGTCGCAGCTTAATGGCCTAGACTGTAACAGCGGGTCACGCCACATGTACGATCGGAAACGTATGGGAAAAGCATTGGGTCCACTTACAAGCCACCGATAGCAAAGATTCCGATGAGCGCCTGTTTCTGTCTCCGGGGCAGATTGAGTTTCCGAATAACCGGCATCGGAAGCACGATGATAGCGAGGTCTGTCAAGATGTTCATGGCGCCGTTGGCGAACCATACCGCATATTGATTCAGGCACTCGAACGGTTGCTTCAGCGTCCAGAAGGCTTGAATCGGCTTGCATCCAAATATACTGCTCAACACAGTCCAGAAAGCATACACGATGACGACCGCCACGATAGTCCAGCAAGCGATTTGGAACTTCCTTGTTGTGAACACGCGTTGATACTGTAGTAGGATCGAGACCTTTGTAAAGCCGAGCGAAAGGTAGTAAACGATGAGGCTGGCGTAGAACGCCTGGAAATATGTCAGCTGTTGACATCCGGCTGAGGAAAGTGGACGTACCTTCAGTGAGTGAAGCGAATCTACGGGCTGCAGCTCCCATATATGTAACCCCATTCCATGTTTGGCTTCTGTCAAAGATGAGTTCCCCTCCTGTGTTGAAGTAGCAGAGGTACTTACGAATGCCGATGCAGATGTTCAATCCGATGGAACACACCTAGATAGGGTTAGCTATGCGGTTTGCCTGAGCATGATCTTACCAGAGCGATTGTAATGAAGTAGTCTTCAACTCCGGGGCAACGAATGACGACCAAGCGTGTATATAATCGTAATACAACTGTGGAAACAGCAAAGGCACTGAACACACTTGAGAGGATTACGGCCTGCCGACCCCTTGTGTTGTCATCTAATGACATGGTTTTTGGAGTGTTCGAAAGATTCTGAAATGGCCTCGTCACTGAGTGATAAGGAACATCGGTACTTGGCTATACAAAGTGGCCGTAGGCTCTGTTGCATGTATTCGGTAAGTGGAATACTATGGCTGAAACGACGAGCACTTCAGTATGTTAGGAACGATCGCAGCAGGCATCCGTTAGTTGAAAGTAATTTCCCATTCAGAAGCTCCTCATTGCAGCGTAGTATCAGCGCACGTTAGTGGCGTTCAAGAACCCTGGTCCTGAGCGGGTCCCCGCCGCATCCGTCCACACTCTGAACGTGTACAACAGTCTGAAGCTGTGGTCTCCTCACAATTTCTAGGCTGACCATGCGGACGACAGTTCGATCCGATATTGTACCACCCCAATAACGTTTGATAGGCGGTAAACGTCGCACAAGGCTGTGACGTAAGTACCACAACGGATTTTTGAGGCATGAGGAAAGTCCCATAGGCCTTTCTTGGGATCGGGTGGAAGCGTGGTTGGGATTGTAACAAAGAATTAACGAGAAGTCGTTCCCGGTGCACTGCTTCGCGGTAGCTGGAACACTTGCTGGACGTGGACACTCTAGATGTCAACATGCATTTGGAGATGGCGTCATTTATCGCTCAACGCTGGCCGGTGTCGGGCAACGCTGTGATATACTGCGCCTATGATAGGGGAGATGGCAGGCTTTTGCATATATAATAGACGACGAATCCTCGTCAATGGATATGTCGATGGAGGTGCATGAGCGCAGGGAAGCGCGCGTCTAGAAAAACGCGCCGAGGCCCTACGTTAACCCGTCTCTTCACATGTGCAACCAAAAGGGAACGAAGAGAGCACCTGCACCTCAACAACAACGATGAACCCAGTGAAGATTCAATATATATCAAACATAGCCCTATCAGCGTGTAACTATTTGCAACCATCAATCCTCAAGCGTCAATGAAGATATGCTTCTTCTCTGCACCTCTGGATCACGACAACTCGAATAGAATCGATCGACGTACTCTAAAAGCACGTGAAAATGACATCGTCGGAGATGACGATGTTTTTCTACCTCCCAATGTAGATTCCACATTGCCTTCTAGTGGCACACTTTCGTTAGTCATTTCGTTATCGAAAAGCCGTCTAGGTGGCCATTCTTGCAACTCTTCTCTGCACCAGCATTGCTGCACCGTCTCCTACACAGCATGCTTCAACTCTTAGAACAGTCCAATTCAATGACGACCGTTGGACACAATATCACCTCTCAGTGCTAGCACTGGAACGTTCCGGCTCTGGTTCGTACCCATCGAATCTCTGCGTGCATGGATAGTTTTAGTGTGGGGAAGGCATATGTTAATGTAGGGAAGGAGGAGCGGAACATTGTTCCGCAGACGTAGAAGTCTGTGCTCACATGTCTAGAGGAGTGCGGGAGATATGAGTTGGAACTCAGCAAGAATGGGAGGGTTCTATCTTGTTCTTGGAATGGAAGGATCGCTTGATCTATATGTCTAATGCTTAATTATTCGTTTGAAGGGAATCGAGAACTGAATCGATGTTTCACCGTCGCTGTTCGCTTCATCGCTCCGTCAGCTTTCTCGTGTAGGGGTTCTATGCAACGACAGCGTTAGCCTCCTTCTCCCTGTTCTCTTCTTCGTTCGCTCCCAACTTTCCAGACTTCTTGAAGATGTTCTGCAAAACTACCTTGATCTCCTGCAAGAAGCGATCAACCTCCTTTTCGGAACCGACCGTAATCCTCAAGCAGCCCAAGCATCCATATTCTTTTCCTCTAAACCGCACGACCACACCTTTTTCTTCGGCCAGCCCTTCGTAGACAGCCAATGCTGTCTCATTAGATGGTTTCCCACCCTGATCAGCCGGCGCATCCAGCATCTCGAAGAGCAAGAAATTTGACTCCTCGCCTCCAATGGACTTTCCAACACCGGGTACCTTGGGCAGCTCTGCCAACATCCTCTCCCTCTGCTTTAAAATCAGGTCCTTGTTCTTGTGCATGACCTCCAAGTGTTTCGGGTCTAGCGCAGCGCGCGCAAGCTGGCTCGTCGGGTTCGAGATGTTGTACGGTGCCTTCAGCGAGTTCAATATACGTGCAATTGCCGGGTCTGTAAATACTGCGCCCAACCTTATGCCCGCAAGGCCAAATCCCTTCGAAAGTGTCTGCATGACGACCAAGTTCGGCCACTCCGTGACCCACTCTGCCAGACTAGCATTGTCAGGCGCAAAGTCAATGTACGCCTCGTCCAGGACCACAACACCGTTCCAGCTCTCATGCTCTAGTATCTGCTTAACATCCTCCTTCTTCAGCAACGCGCCGGTCGGGTTACCCGGCGAGCAGAAGTACGCTAGTTTTATGCTCGGGTCTTTTGATAGCGCATCCTTTATCGCAGGCACGTCGAGCTGAAAGCCTGGTATTTGTAGAGGTACTTTCACGAGCGCCACGTCGTTGACTTGCGCAGAGACACTGTACATGCCGTATGTGGGCGGGCATACGAGGATCTTGTCTTTGCCTGGGACGCAGAAGGCACGGAGGAGGGCATCGATGGCCTCATCGGAGCCGACGCCAACGAAGAGAGAGGCGGGCGTGAGGGTTTTGGAGGTGTGAGCCTTGAAGTTGCGGAGGCTGCAGAGATCTTGTTTGAGGTCTATTTGGTGGCTTGTGGAATGATATCAGCTTTGATTGCCGTGCGCGACAGCTGGAGTGGCTTACGGGTCGGGGTAGCGGTTGAGACCGAGTAGGTCAATGTCAATCGCTGGTCCTGAGCCATTTGACGCGTCGTTCGTAAGCTTCCCGTCTTTATTAAGCGCCAGACCCGGCCCTATCGCGTTCTCATTCGCGTCAAGGAGGATATTCGTGCCATCGTCCTTGTAGTCACTGCGCGATGTAAGCTGGTACTCGACATGGATAATGGTCACCGTACTCGCGTGCGCAGCGATAGGGCTCCAATGCAAGAATGTTTGGTCGGGCGCATTTGGACAGATCGAATGCGGACTGCCTTGAAGCCATGGTGATTGTGTATTTTGCTGGAGGCGAAAGTTGGTGTTGCGCCAGAATGGAGCGGGGCAACTTTTTGTAGCACGTCGCGGGGCCTCGTAGCGGCTTCGGGGGAAGAGTCACACCTCCGCGCTTTACCTCTTCATAACTATCTCTTTGACTCACGCCAAAAAAAGTTCGTGATCCTTGGTTCAATTTCGAGATAACACGCTCGGAGTATTTGCGCCAAATTTCAAATTGTCAGAGTAGATGTGCGGACATGTTTGATCATCGTACCAGGCGGCTCACATGCATAGTATGCGTCGTACGTAAAATCAAGTATCAAAGGTCTTTTGGCAAGACCTTAATGCTCATCTTATCTTCTGAAGCTCGTGATTGGTCTAGCTGTTGTTGTCAACTATTGTCAAGTTCGCAGATTATCAGTGTCTGGCGAGCGTCTGCGATGTCACAGTCTAGCCAGACCAACAATGCAACACCTATTAATAGCCCCACATTCTTCCTCAGCCCCACTCTGGATCAGAAACTCTTTCTCTTGTTCCCATATCTCCCTTTACTCATATCCACGTTTAGTGCTATATATTTGAGCCTTTTTGACGAAACATCAACGATTCGAAAGAACAACATCCGATATGGTCTAGTGGCTAGGATACATCGCTCTCATTCAGAGGATCCCGATGTGGCCCGGGTTCGATTCCCGGTGTCGGAATACGTTTCTTTTGCTTGTTGAAGTTTTGTTTTATGGTCTATTTTGCATATGTAGACGTTGGTTTGGTTTTGGCTGGTCTAGAACGTATTTCCGCCTCGCATTCTGGCCGTTCTCGTTTATTAATGAGCAGAAGAACGAAATGCGCACGTTCGTCAAGAAATTCCTTGACGGCCATCCGGAAATGCGGGACGAGTCCCGAAGCCGCGAAGATCTCGTTAGCGATGTCGAAGAGATGAGGGCGTCTGACGACTTCAATGGCTTCCCCATACAGAGCGCTAGATCAGCCTCGATTTTACAACAAGTATTCAAGGACATTCGGAATACAAAACACAGGATCGACTCCAGGAGCCGCTCTCGCAGCCAACGTGGCTGTGTTTCGTCCACCAACACTGATGAGGGAATCCCTGGCATGACAAGCACAAAGCGCCGGCGTGAGACGGAGAGTGAGGATAGCGAAGGTTCCCAGAGCAAGCGGGTGAGGTCAGAGCCTACTCGAGGGCATGCAAGGACGAGACAAGGCTCGCCGCTAGAGAGAGTGAGGAAGATAGTCACAGAAGTTGAGGATATAGAAAGTCAAGGGGCAGTGGCGGGATAGCGACGATGCCAATATCACCTATGTTAGGGGCTCTAATGACGACGATGAATAGCAGATAACAGAAAGTGCAGTGAATAATCTGCAGATATTTCCAAGTATTCGCCAGAAGCCTTAGGGCTCAGTGATCAAGCAGATGGTGCTTTTCCCGTAAATGACCAAAAAATTCCACTCCTTCAGGTCCTAGGCCTTCCAAATTAAAGCAATCCAAATCCCAGCTTCCAAGTTGACGCATTGCAATTCTCAACCTCTAATTCCAAGACGTTTGATTCCAAAATTCTCGTTCGAAATTCCCATTCCAGGACTGCGATTCCAAAATTAGCCATTCCAATCAGCCTTTCACGTCGAGATCTTCGAATTCCAGATGTCCAAGTTCTAAAGGCTTCATTTCTTCTTCCCATCATACTGCGAGTATTAGCTTATATAACTATTCAGCGTTCCATAATCGTTCTTAGGCTTACCCAGCAACTCGCTCATAGTAGACTATCGTCGTCTTCAATATCGCGCTCGATCTCGTCCTCGGGCAACTAATAACTTTCATATAAGCCTCATCTAAGAAAATACGCAGGATTGTCAATTCCCATTTCACGCTCTTCGTTGTCCTCCTTTCCTGATTCCTCAAGCTTAACGTCCCTGCCTTACCTAACCCTCTTCTTTGGGCGCTGCTCCTCTTCATCGGATCCTTCGTGATCTGATGTGTTCTTGTTCTTCTTCTGCTTCGAACTGCGTTTCCTACTCTTCGGCACTTCAACTCCAATATCGCTGTAGAAGCGGTCGAGGCTATGTTCATGGTTTACCCAGTCTTCCACGTCTTGCGGGAGGAACCAATCTGTTGTTATATCGAAGCTGGTGTTTCCTGCGCTCAGTTTCCGATTGATAGCCTGGCACATGCCCTGCAGGGCCACATTCACAAGCGCCTCACCGCCCATCTCAGCGACCCACTCCACAGCTCTGTTCGTGAATCGACGGCTGTGGAAAGTCGCCAACGAGCTGAAATTGTCCCATACCCCCTTGTATGCTCTGCCAGTCTTCGTCGTCGCATGTCGAGATCCAGCAGTAAAAGTTGGGAATTGATCGTGCACGGGTTCTGGTTTCGAAGTTCTTGCTGTCATTTAGCTGTGTGTTGTTGTCCACGGGAGCCTTTGTCCAAGAGCTGCCTAACTTCCAGCCGTTGCCCGACTTCCAGGCATCTTTGCCTTCATCGACATACACGAGGACGTTATTGTTACCCTCGTCAATAAGTACACCTTCTTCGTTTACCACGTCTCCTTCGGCGTCTATACCCCAACCGAGGCGAAGCTGGTACACAAACTTGCCGGGTGGCAGCCAAAACGAAGTTGTTTCTCTCATAACCTTTCGACACTCGGGGCAGTATAGATCTTTAGTCTTCGCACCGGCGTTCCCTTTCTTGGATCCGTAGAGGTCCCAGCCGGACCCGTGCGCAGTTGTGCATTTCAACGCGGCCTCCCCTCGGTGTTTCGCCATGTTCGGGTCTGCAAAAGATGGCAAGACGTGAGCGTAGCTTTCCCACATTACAGCAGTTGCGGAAACCCTCAGATATGGACCTTCCTTCACTGAGAAAATCTCAGAAACCCGCAGCTAGCACAACGCACGCCACATTAAGAAGATTTCAATCTAGTACCGCATAAATCATTGAGTTTACCCAAGCTACAACATTCTAGCAACTGACCGGGATCTCATCACACTGCTACTTTAAACTATTCGTATCATGCTTCTCAGCTTGTTGACAGGGTCGAGTCTCGTACCACCAACCTGCTTCGTACGTCAGCCCCGCGTCAAACCCTCCCATATGTGATCTCTTATTATTCAAATCTTCCAGGCCAGCACAATAAGCTCAGCAGGCGGAGATTCGCTGCAGGTACGCGCTCGCGATACCCTGCGCTGCCAAGCGATCTCACTACATCATGTCCGTCGGCCAGACCGGGGTGCAACCCCGGCACGCGCATATGGTCTGGGGTAGGCTGAGGGCTTGTCTAGGAGTGAGACATGCGACGGGCACAAAGTCATATGCACAATTGTCAGTGCACAGCCACTTGGGTATAATCTTTAGACGTCCATATTCTTGTGCAGATTGTTGAAGTATGATACAAACAGTTGATTGATAGTTAAATTGAGGATTGTATTGAGAGGGGTATCTTTACTCTTCTAGAAGATCCATCACCAACTGGGGTATAACCTCCACACCTTCAGCTTTGATGGCACTCACAGGAACCGCCTGGACGCCGTTCTTCCACGCGTTCTTCCGACCACTGGGATGTGGCTCTGCATCCTCGTTCATACCGGCCAGATACTTGTGCAACTGCTGGTAATTGTCCTGAGTATCCGGCAAGTCAGCCTTCGTCGCGATTACGAACCACGGCTTCGCTGAAATGGGGGTGGTAGGGATGAACTCCAGGGGCTCGAGGGTCGTGTCGAATTCTGACGAGTCGATCATATCCGACGGGTCGCTGGGTGGAGAGCTGCTGCCCGGCGGCGTGTAGGTGACCGTGCGACGCTCTGTCATGCGACGCTCCGTCTCGGCGTTCAGCTCTTTGCCTCGCATACTCTCATACTCAGATACTTCGCGCCAGAGTAGCTTCAAAGCTTGGACGGCGTCACCGGCGGATAGGTCGATGACGAATGCAAGAACTGCAGCTCTTTCCACATGACGGAGGAAACCGAGGCCTAGGCCTTTGTCAAGGTGCGCATCCTCAATGAGCCCAGGTACATCGGCAATTGTGAAGTTGTCGCGCAGCAAGCCATCTCTGCCCCGTTTCACAACCTTGGGTCGTCCCTTGTGGTCGTCTAAGACTACGGTGCCTACGTTCGGCTGCAAGGTCGTAAAGGCCCAATTGCCCACGCGGGCTCGACTGTTGCTCAGTGCTCGCAGCAATGTGCTCTTGCCCGCGTTGGGAAGGCCAACAAGCCCAAGATCTGCCAATATCTTTAGTTCGAGCTGCAGCGACAATTTCATGCCTGTATCGCCTCTAGTCGCCATCATTGGACGGTACTGATTGGGCGTAACAAAGTGAGGATTGCCTAGACCACCCATCGCACCTGCAGCGAGCAACATAGGCGTCTCCATATGTTTATCCAGATCAAGCCACATGGGGGCTTGCGGCTGGAGTGCTGCCAGATGCGACTTCCTAGGCGGCGGCAGAGGCGGGAAGGCCAGCCTGTTGAGTTCCGAGGGAACCATCCCAGGGAACACCAGCCATTTGTCTTTCCTGTAGGCGCCTTGCTCTACCTCGTCTCCCAATTCCGCCCTCTTCTCCTCAGACTTTGGTTTGCGCCGACGTGTGCGGCCGCGTGAGCGTTCGAGTAGCTCCTGCTCTTCAATCTCATCTGCTATCGGATCGTGCCGTTGGATCTCGCGCACGATAGTGCCCACCGGCACCGTGATCAAAACATCTGCGCCTCGCTCCCCACCCTTCACCTTTCCTTGACCGTTCCTACCCCTTCCAGCTTTCATGAGCCGGCGTCTGGCAAGCTTGTGTAGCGAAGTCTCGCCGCGCACTGCCTGAATATACACGTTCCCACCGCTGCCGCCATCTCCGCCATTCGCAGGCCCTTCCTCAATGTACTTTTCTCGCAAGAAAGATACACAGCCGTGGCCACCAGAGCCGGCTTCTACTGTCAGGATACATCGGTCGGCGAAAGGTGTCAATGCATAGTTGTCCGGTGTGGGATTGAGATGGGACGGTTGTTCGTAGTATGATTCGGATTGAGAGACTGCGCTCTCGGTCGTGGAAGAACTACATCGTGCGAGTGGTGCTCGTCTGCCGACAAAACATCGGCGCGCGATGGAAAGCGCGCAGGCTTCGGACAAGGAGGGATATAGGAACGGCGTCAAGGTGCTGCCGAGGCAGAAATGCCGGATCGAGGGTCTGGCCAGCGGCATGCAGCGGGATGGTCCAGACAATTGCTTGAAGGCTCTGAAACGCGCCTTGAGTTTGCTGGGTGGGAGGGTGGCGTAGGACAATGTCCGAAGATTTCGACGGTGCTGATTCGCGATGCCAAGCATCACGCGTCGGACTTCGTGTGGAAGGAGCTATGGGCAGCGCGTTCCTGACTAGACACTTCGTACTCGTGTGCAAGTCCGCCCAGTGCTCCATCATCGCCCTCAGCCAGGCCCGGCAGCGCTTGGTTTTCCGTCTCACGCTGCCTGCTGGTACCTGCGTCACCCACTGTCTGCTTCCATCGCCCAATCTCCGGCTGCTCTCCACCGCGCACGCGTGAACAGAAGCATTCTCAGGCCTCCTTGGCTCCACATTCACCGCAAGGCGTATCTTGGCACGAAACTCACGTGCGATACTCAAGCTTTTGGCGATTCGGGATTGTTACTCGACAGTCTACTGCCCAGCGGCGTCACCATGGGAGCGATCCGGGGTTTGGTGCTTGCTGGTGCCTACGTCGCGCTTTGGATAGCCGCTTCCCATTACAGCTTGCAGACCTTATTGCCCCTCTCGGGAGAACAGTCTTCGCTTCTCGCCCGTATGTTGAAATGGATCTTGGCGGCATGCCTCGTTCTCGAGATTAACAGCTTTCTCAACTCATGGGCCGAGAATCGCTGGATGTTTACCAGCGACAAGAGTTCGTGGCAGTGGAACAAAGAATCTGCTGTTGTCACTGGAGGCTCAAATGGCATCGGTGCTGCTGTGGTGAAGCAACTGATATCCCATGGTGTAAGGGTCGCCGTTCTTGACATTGAGCCGTTGTCCGAAGCTTTCCAGAACGGTGCGCGCCATGTTTTCATCTTGACCCACACCTGGGCTCGCAGTCGCGGCTAACCTTGCTCGTAGATGATCACAGCCTAGTCTCTTTCTACCAATGCGATCTCACTTCGCGTGACGATGTCCAGAGGGCCGCTGCTGTATTACGCTCGGACCATGGTTCTCCTTCCATTCTGATCAACAATGCCGGGATAGGTAACTCGAGCAGCATTCTCGATCTCTCGCCAAAGCTTCTGCAGACCCTGGTCAACCTCAATCTGGTCAGTCACTGGTACACGGTGCAAGAGTTCCTCCCAGACATGATTGCCAAAAAGAAAGGACACATAATGGCAACCGCCAGCATGGCCGCCTTCGTCGCCATGGCAAACTCTGGGGACTACGCTGCCACCAAAGCTGGTCTGATAGCTTTTCATGAGACCTTGACACAAGAATTGAAGCATCGATATAAATGCCCTCAGATCAAGACTTCGATCGTCTATCCCATGTGGACTAGGACTCGCTTGATTGCCACGATACAGGAACAGTTCGGCAGCACATTGAAAGAACCTGAGGACATCGCAAAGATCATGGTAGGCCAGATCATTTCAGCCAAAAGTGGGCAATTAGTCTTAGGACCAAAGCTTGCACCACTCGTACGCGCAATGCCTATGTGGCTACAGGAACTCATACGCGACGGTCAAGCTCACGTCGTCACTGGAAATGCAACAAGCGCTGTCGATTAGAGTCTTGATTGAAGGCAAGGCAGCCAGAAAGCGAACCTTGAAACCAAATTGTGGAGGAGGACCCTTGTCACAGACGAAATGGTCTAGTACGTGGTCTGCTGCTTGATGATCCCGCAAACGAAGCGCATTCTCTGTTTGGTCAAGCAGCAGCTCAGTCCGATGGGAGCTGCGGTTCATTAGCAATAGGCGGAATAACTCGAGATGATGACATAAGGCGCAGCAAATTCTAGAATTGACAAGATCAAGCAGGACGTCGTTTCAGGTAACGCCTCGTACATTCGGCTTGTTCAGCTGTAAAACCCGCAGATACTCACCTTTGGCCGGACGCATTTGGTGGTGAGGAACGAATCCGGTTGGCTGCTATCGTATTGAAACGACAGTCAAGCTTCTTACTTACCGGTGTACTGCCAGATTCGGTCCGTCGCGAGTCCGCTAGGAAGTCGCGAGCGGAATTATGCGTTTGCGGTATACCGTCTATTGTTAGCTGACGTGGTTGTCCTCTCGGACTGGGGCGTTGGTAGGTGCGCGCTAAGCCTCAACCCCGACAGCACCCTGGTCGGATCTCAGCAGGGATGCAGGCCCCAAAGCATGGCCCCCGATGTAATGGAATCCAGCCTGCGGCAAAGTGATATACCGTCGGCCTTCGCCACGTCGCGCCTTCCTTAAGGACATAGTACCTTTCCTTTCGTTTCACATTTTCTGTCGCTCCCTTTCTCATTGTGTTGTTCATTGAAGTCACTCCTTTCTTCGACAATGCCATGTGGTTCAAGGGTGTTTTGGTCCTTTCCTATACGGCGTTGCTCGTAACTCCAACTAATGCAGCTTTTCAGCATAGAGGTGGGTGGTACCTTCAGTACATCTTCATGCATGGCTGACCATTGCGATAGACGAAGTCTTGGGTAAGAGGGATAGCCTTACCGCTCGACGATACAATCGATTAAACAGACGACAACAACCATGGTCGAATCAGACTACCGTACCAGAGGTACCAGTAACACAAGAGCCGGAATCAGTGGTGCCTGAGACCCCAACTCCCGTTGTTGTTGTGCCAACATCGGACAATCTTCAATCTACTTCAGCACCACAGGAAGAGATTCCATCCACGTCCGAGTTGCTCACGACGTCGGAAGTACCAACGACATCTGAAGCACCAACGACATCTGAAGCACCAACGACATCTGAAGCACCAACGACATCTGAAGTACCAACGACGTCCGACGTACCAGCAACAACCGACGCCCCTCTTACCGAGACTCAACAACAGACTACTGCTATTCCGACAACTTCAGCAAGAGTTCACACGCCCGCGCCGAAGCAGCCTGAAATCACCCCCATTGAGAATGACGGTGCGGAAACCACTACTGCCGAAGAGGAGCTTCCTACTTCGGAGCCCACCTTGACTATCTCTAGCACTGAGGCTATCACCACAGATTCTAGCTCCGTTCTCGTCTCTGAATCTACCGAAGCTGCGACTTCCGCAGTCACTCCGAGCGCAGAGCCATCTGCAACTGAGGCTACGCCATCGTCGCAGTTGAGCTCAAGCATTGACCCGTCGACAGCGGCGGGCCCAACCTCTGAGCCGGTATCACGCCCAATCGAATCGACTACCGAGGCACAAACATCGGAAGCCACTTCAGCGCCAGCACCGTCAACTATTTCAACTGAAGTATCAGGAACCAGCTCGAGCATCGTACCGGAGACCACCGAAGACATCACCTCTGTTAGCCCAAGCGTGAAGCCTTCGACGTCTGACGTGAGCTCAGAAGTGCCGCAGACTACCAGTGATGAACCAGTACTGTCTGAGCCTACCGAGACACCAACCCCATCGCACACTCGCAGCCGACACAGCGAATCTACAGCTACTCCCGAACCAACTGTGACGGATGTGCCGACCTCAAGCGATGAATCAAGCCTCATCGCTAGCGACATTGGCACTGAAACTGAAGAGACTACCACTCCATCTGCTACTCCTGCTGGAGAGACAACCATATCAGAAGTCGAACAATCAACAATATCGCGCATTCACTCGGAAGCCACAGTTACCCCGCACTCCAAGACCAGTACCGATGTTTCTGAGACGACTGCGGCGCCTTCTTTGTCCAACCTTCTGCCCATCTCGTCTATCATCTCCGACGTCGAAAATGTTCCTTCAGCGATTGAGAGCGTGGTGTCCTCTGTAAAGTCCGATATCGACAACGTGCCGTCGGCCATCAGCAGCGTTGTCTCCTCGGTGAAGTCAGATGTCGATGCTATCCCTACTGAGGTTAACAGTATTGTCTCAAGCATTGCGTCTTCCGTTAAGTCTGACGTTGATGCGCTTCCAACAGAAGTTAGCTCCATCATCTCCTCGGTTAAGTCAGATGTTGATGCTCTTCCCACCGATCTCAGTAGCATTGTCTCCTCTATCAAGTCCGACGTTGATACGCTTCCTACCGATGTCAGCAGCATTATCTCTTCAGTCAAGTCCGACGTTGATACGCTTCCTACCGATGTCAGCAGCATTATCTCTTCAGTCAAGTCCGACGTTGAAGCAATTCCCACAGATGTTAGCTCCATCATCTCCTCGGTCAAGTCAGACGTCGATGCCCTTCCTACCGATGTTAGCTCCATCATCTCCTCGGTCAAATCAGATGTCGATGCCCTTCCCACCGAAATCAGCAGCATTATCTCTTCAGTTAAATCCGACGTTGAAGCACTTCCTACCGATATCAGCTCCATCATCTCCTCGGCCAAGTCAGATATCGATGCCCTTCCCACTGAAGTGAGCAGCGCGATTAGCTCGATCATTTCTGGGGTCTTGACTTCGGCTAAAGCCGTTGAGCCGACTGTTCCTGCGTCGGAGACCGCGTCTGATGTCCCTACATCTTCTGCGGATGCGCCTATCACTACCTCGACAGGCGATGGTATCTCTCTTCCCGGCGCATCTGATACGGGAGCTACGCCAGTGCCTTCAGCGACAGCGACAGATGCTCCTGAACCTTCAACCGACGGCTCAGTATCTAGTGCCACACCCACGGCGGATCCTACATCCGTGAAGATATCTGATGCGACGACAACAGCTTCAGTTCCTTCGGACAGCGATTTGCCATCGTTGTCGCTTTTCGATCCTTCTGCTCCGACCTCAGCCTCGTCCGAGCCTTCGGACTTGGCATCCACGGAGGTACCCGCAAGCGAGACTCAAGTAAGCCCGACTCCGACGGATGCCCCTACAACATCCGTTGGTGAGACTTCCGCAAGTGAGACATCGGTACCAGCCACCGAGACATCCGTGACAGACTTGCCATCCGGCACAGTCGACCCTACCCCTGCGCCAACTAGCGAGCTGTCTGCCATAGACTTGACAACCGCAACGGATGCGACTATCCCTACGCTCGTTCCAACGAGCGAGGCATCTGCGGTAGACCCTAGTGGTACATCTGGTCGAGTGACCCTGGTGCCAACGAGCGAAACATCTGCGGTAGTCCCTAGCGGTACATCTGATCAGGCGACCCTGGTGCCATCCTCTGGCCTGGGCGTGTCGATGACCTCTGGAGCAGCTCTCCCCACTGGACTTACAACCTCTGGCTCCATTGCTCATCCCACCGACCCAGCCGTCACTGCCAGTACCGTGAGCAGTGCTGTGAAAGTAGATACATTGGAGTCACAGGTTCCCATTGATGCACCTATTCCCACCTCTGAGAGCATCACAAACCCTGAGACTAGTGCAGGCAATGGCGATCAGACTCCGACCCCCAGCGCTACTGAGGCCGTACCCACTGCTACCGATGATGCCACTTCCCAAGCCAGCAGCGACCCAGCTTCCGAGACTGCGGCACCTTCTGATGACCCAACCGACAGCCCTGCCGATGAAGTCCCTTCTGAGACGTCAGCACAGCTTGGTCCTCCTCCCACTACCCCCACCGGTTTCGACTCTGACCCAGCTGCTAAGCCTTCAGCGTCATCTACTGATGCACCTCTGGGAGGCGCAGGTGGCGACGAGAAACCACCACCACTGTCGAAGTCGCAGACAGCCGGAATCGCTGTTGGAGGTACAACATGTTTGCTCGTTGCCCTTGTCGCTGCCCTCTTCCTTGCTCGTCGCTACCATTCAAACACGAGCAACAAGCGCCACAGTACCGGAGAAGTTTACCCCGAGATGGCTTACATTTACGATCCTCCTGCTGGAGGCAACGGCAATCATGACGCTGAAGCTGGAGGTGCTGTTTCCGCGGCCCCTGCCATGTCCGGCGCCGCTGGAGGTGCGCTTAGCCGGTCACTCTCCAGCGCATCCGCACGTGGTCCTGCTGCACAAGGTGCTGCAGCTGGTGGACTTACTCGTTCTGTGTCGAAGGCTTCCTCATATCGCCACTCTATCGGCCCTGTGTATGGTGCCCGCGAACAGACTCCATCACCTGCGCCTCTTCCTCGTGAATCTCGCTACAGCACTGGGTCTTACTTGTCCACCGGCCCATGGGATCCTTCATTGGCGCTCAACGCCGCTGCTGCAGCGTCCAGCGTCAGTCTCAATCAGTACCAGGATGAGGCTGCTCAGAACCCTTTCCGTGACCCCGAGGAGCCAAAGCCCGTAGCGAACCGGCCTGTGATGGGTGGAACCGTGAAAGGTCCACTTACGATCAACCCATATGCCTTCAACAACAATCCCGCCGCACGAGACTATCCTCAGATGTCTCCTTACGGTCCAGCACGAGCACTAAACCGTAGCTCAAGCCCTGTCAGAGCCCGCGCCTCCGAGAGGCACAGTGACCCATTCGCTGATCCCTTCGAGCACGACCTCATCCTGAATGTGGACATGCGTACTGCAACGGAAAGCTCGATCACTGTCTTAGCACCGCCGCCTACGCCTCGCTCTGGTGGTACATCGCCTGCACGTGGTCCATCGCCCAACCCTTACGAGTTCCGCCCGCCGCCCGGCCCGTTCGCGTCGCACTTCCCTGGGCGCGACTCAGACAGTGAGTCTCTGATCCCGGAACCCCTCACAATATCTGGCCGCAACACCCCCGAGGGGCGTCGCTCGCCCATGCCGCGCGAGTCCCCCGACAGTCAGCGCACCTTAGTCCAGCCACCTCCAGCGCACGTTGGTCCCAAGCCCCAAGACAACACCAACTGGGACAACAACAGGGTCGACCACCCAGGCGACGTTCCCGCGCCTCTCTTCCCCAAGAAGCCGCTTCCCTTGCGCCGCCAGCCCACACTTGCAGGTCCTGGGCAGACTCTCCTCGCCTCGACCGGTCTCCCCCTGACCATCAAGCGCAAGCCCATGGGCAATGACAGCGTCAGCGGCGTGCTCGACGTCCCCCGTAATCAGCACCTCAGCCCTAGCCCCTCGCCCTCTCAGGCGGACTTCAGCGACGATCCTACTGTGCAGCGGAAGAGGAGCGGTGAGATGATGTTTGCAGATCCGGCGCTCCTCGGGCGCCAGTTCTAGACAGTGAACCAAAGACCGCTAATCGGTCATGATGGCTTAATGGTTGATATTTTGTACATACGGATGGATGGAAACATGGATTGGCTACACGATGGCACTGGGATAGACTTCGCTTCGACCTTCCCCTTCACCGTCAACGGTTGAGCGGGGCTAATTACCTTACACCTTTCGCTTCTTTGCCACGCGCGCATGCTGGCTCTTCTTACACATTCGCTTCGACACTTTCATTGGCTTTTTTATACCCTTTTTCGTTGCGAGGCAACGTAGTTTAGCATGTACACCAGATCAGAGTTGAGTTTGTATCATTAGTGGGATAATCAATAAAAAATAGAAAAGGCGTTAAGATTGGCATTCTCATGTGCGGCGTGAGCGTGAGCGTGAATGTGAGGAAGCGGTAGCATTGCGGCGGCGTAGGAAGATTGGAGGACAGGTGTGGTTTCGGGGTTGGGGATTACTTGGAACTTGTGCGGCGCGTTGTCAGCGCGGCACGGATGTGAGACTACGCGCAGTTTAGAATTGTGGAGGTCAGCACGGTTCAAGAATTTCGCGTGCTTGAGTCTCTCTTCCAGGGGGGCCTATCAGTGCAAGGTGAGCGTGCGTGCAGAGTAGACCCAGCTTTCAATGTCGCAGTATCCATACTTGCTTCCATCGGGATCACTTCAGTCAAAGTCTAAAGATACAGGAATGAACAGGACCGAAGCTAGGTGATAATCTTGATCTTCATATCACCTTGTATAGATGGTGCACCTGTCTATCTAAGGACAAGTGTTGAAAGCCATCACATCAGACCGACCCGCAATGGGCCCCCCGCTTTACCAGATGCCTCGAGACAGCCACGCTCGCCAGTCCCACGTCCCACCATCGCTCACTGCACAGTCTCCTCCCGCGCTGCAAGTACTTGAATCTCGTCGCGCTGCCTAGAGCCATCCTGCCTGCACCAGACCTCCCTCGCCTCCTTGATGAGATTTCCTTGTGTTGGCCCTTTGATTGTTTCGCTTGGATGATCGTCATGGTAAGGTATGAAATCGCATTTACATTGGCCGGAGATGATGTAGCTCTTGAAGATGTTGTCACGCACCACCGCATCGGCTGCAAGATCGTACTTCTCTCCTCGTAAATTGGGCGCAGTATAGGCGTATCCACAGTAGATGGTGTCGTCGCTTCTCGGGGCTGGTGCTGGCGCCAATGTTGATGCCCCGAGATCTTTGGCCTGTTCCCCCTTCTTGAAGCCATCCTGTACGCAATAGGCGCGAAAGGATTCCAACTGGAGGTCACCTTGAACCGGCCCTTTGATTTTTTGGAGTGGGCCTTCAGCTCCATCTTTTCCAGTGTGGAAGGTGCATAAACACTCGCCAGATATAATGACGCTCTTGAAGTTTTTGTCTTTCTGCAACACCATGTCCGTTTGAAGTGCGATGTTCTCACCTCGTAGACCTTTTTCGGTATAGGCGTAGCCACAATAGATAGTTTCATCATGGTCCGGGGACGCTGGCGACGCTACTACTGCGGAATCTTCAACCTGGTCTCGCTTTGTGTGGCCAACGAGTTTGCAGAAGAAGAACCACGCATCCCACGGGAGCTCTCCTTGACCCGGTCCCTTGATGTGAAGGAAATTTTCCTGATTCCCAACGCCCTTGCCTCGGAACTCACAGTCACAATTGCCAGATATGATGTAGCTTCTAAAATGTCCGTCGGTGTGAGTATCCCAATCGACTACAAGGGCCACATTGTAGCCTCGTAGACCATGCTCGGAGTAGGCGTAGCCGCAATAGTGAGTATCCGGAGAGGCCTCATCGGGAGAGACACCTGCGATGCCGTCGGGGACCTTGGATGAACGTTTGGCAATGGCCGCCTCAGTGGCAACCAGTCCAGACGTGACTTCAGATGAGACCACTGCTGCGACCCCGGCTTCTGGTAGCGCGCGGGCCGCGACTGGGACAGCGAGAGCGGCTACAGCGCCGATGAAAGCCACGAAAATACGCATGTTGTGGAGCGAGTCGAGTCCACGTGGTGGAGACGGATCGAGTAGTAGTTGAGGGGACAAAGGAAGGGGGTATGGGCTGAGTAAGGAAGCTCTTCAGCAGGTGTTTTATAGAGAGGGCAAGGGCAAACGTACAGCGCACGGACAGCACCAGGTGAAGGAAAGAAGCGGCTTGGGGCTACCTTTCAATGTGAAAGCTGCGAACGCTAAGAGGGCCGTGATGTAATTCAACCACCAAGAACGTGGGATTGCAGCATCAAGGTACCCGCAAAACCAAGGTCCAGACAGGGGAGCATAGCTGAGAATCTAGTCGAGGTAGGAACCTGCCTTGAGACAAACGAGGAGTGTTGTCGCACGTCCCGAGGATCGTATCGCTGTTTGCTTGTCGTTTGCGCACTGCTCGAGATCATCGAAGGCAAGTGTGCGTGGAGATGTGGTGGTTTAGGCAATACATGATATCCATTTGCAAAAAAAAACGACATCGCGGAGTTGTGGCCAGACTCGCGGTCTAATTTCTGTCTATATTGTATCGTTAATCTCATCTTGATAGCTCCAACCTGGATGTGAACCCGTGGACGTACGTGATGCACATTCACTCATCACTTCGCCCTTTCCCCCAGCCGCGACGAAGCCGGTGACTATCTTCCCGTCCTCAGCCGCAACTCCATTGATGCGCAATCGCAACCGATATGTATATCCTATTCAAATTGGCACCTTATTGTGCCTCTTCCTCCAATTCCTCACACCCGCATCAATCTCATTTATCGTGACCCCGTCTCTTACAAGCTTCATTACCACCCCGAGCTTCTCCACATTCTTATTTCTGCTCTCATCATCAAAGAACAGCATATCTTCGAACTCAATCCCCGTATCCCTATGTATCCGCTCAAAATGTGTGGTTTTGTCCCCCGGGTATATCTGTAAATGGTCGAAATAGTCTATTGCGCGCTGTGATGAGGACGAAGAAGAACTGGGTATCTTGAGAAGGCTGAGCATTTCGCGACCGAGGTCAGGCGCGTGCGTGCGCGATGCGGCGCCGATGAGTATGCCTTTTTGCTTGAGCTAAACAATATCAGTCCGTTGACGTTCTCGTAGAGAGGGGAAAAAAGCGTACCGCATCGAATATGCCTCCGACGTCAGAATAGAAGCCGTAACCCTCGCCGTATCGGTCCTTGACCTTGAGTCCACCTTCCTGCGCCTTGAGCGGCCCTGTGACGTGCGTGTCCACCCAGAAAGGCCAGAGCGTGTAGTCCAGGTCGAAGACGACGATCTTGGGTAGTGGGAGGCCATCTGTGAAGGTCGCGGGCCATGCGGTTTTCTGGGGAAGCGCGGTTGTCGTCGTCGTGGCGTCGCTGCCGAACGAGCTGTTTGCCCCACGACGGGGCATTGTAGACTGTCGGACGAAAGAGAACGGTATGACAGCGAGTAGCGACAAAGAGAGAACGACTGCGGGTGTGCGCAACGGGATGTGCGTTAGTATCATGCAAAACGGTGTATTGGTCGCGTTTGGGAAGTCGCGACGAAAATGTGGCGCCGTGGCGCGCCTACGTCATTGTACATCTCGTGGAACCGCGTTGATGCACGCTGAACTGGGACTATTAGATTCATGCTTTCAATCCCCAGGTACCATTCACGCACTGCATTTGGGAGTTTGGTATTTTCTTGTATACTGTGCTTGCTAGCCGTAAGTAAGGTCAATCCGACGTGATTAGACCCACTGACCTTACTTACAGCTGCAACCACAGTATCTACATGACTTGAATGTGGTAGCTATGTTTACAATTATTTCCCTAGTTTCACTCGTCAGCCATAAGTGCATCCATGTTGGTTCTGACGACTACCGTAGCGCTTACCCTCCCCTGTCCACCTTTTCCCCAATTCGTCTTTGATAGTTTCAAAGTATCCATATGGAACACCAGCATCTACTAGCAGGCAAAAAATCGCCGCGAAGGATCCATCATCAAGCGGCAGGATGATAGGGCTGATGTAAGCGTTTTGCGGCACAGCATCTCTGAATATATAATTGCAAATGGTTGCATTGATGGGCAGCGGCCCCCTTCGGTCCGCTTGTCCTACCGAAAGACCTCGCCATGGGTATCGACGCGCTGCATAGCCCAACAGCGGTTGCGGGCTTGATATTCACCGCATTCGTCTTCGCCGCTTTCTTCGTGCGAAATAAGCAACTCGAATCCCATGCCCGCAAGAATGGATTTGCCCCGCCAGCCAGATATCGCGCCCTCGATCCGTTTATGGGCCTGGACTATGTCGTGAAGTTATTCGGCGACATCTCCGTCATGCAGCGCAACCGCCTTCAGTACGGGAAAACGTTCATGATCAAACCCATCATCTCAGGACCATCTATCGTCACTGCGGAACCAGATAACATCCAGCGGGTCTTCAGCAGCGTAGATGGTGAGTACAGTGTCTTCTGGCGGAGAGATCCCTTCCAGCCATTCACCGGTCGTGGTATATTGACCGAGGATGGTGACGGTTGGCGGCTCCCGAGAAAATTATACAGGCCTTCTTTTGCGAAGACGAACATTGCCAATTTCGATTTCTACAGTAAGATGGTAGATGATTTGATGGAAAAGATTCCTGGCGAAGGCAAGACTGTGGATCTGCATCCGCTGCTGATGGGATCCGTAAGTTATATGATAACGGAGACAGATCTAGACATAAGTACTGATCCCACCAATGCAGTTCATGAACAATGCCCTGCATTTTGGCCTTGGCTACGACACGATGAACCCACATCCAGACGCTCCGCTGTCACGCGACATGTTTAACAGCATTTGGGCCGACGGCATGCATGGCATTGCCTTCCGCGTTTTGACCGGCCGCCTCAGCTTCCTCTTCCCAATGACGAAGTTCAAGCAAGCATGTACTAAGGTCCATGATTTCGTCGAGTTCCATGTACAGCAAGCCGCCAAAACCACTGGTGAGAAGAACAAGAGTCAAGTCGTCGCGGAATCCCTTCTCGCGCAAACGGAAGATCGGACGCTGGTGCGCAATATGCTGGTCCAGGGTATCATCGGGGCTCAGGACACGACTTCTGTGCTTACGAGCAACACTATTCATCTGCTTGCGCGACATCCGGCCTTGTGGAAGGAGCTTCGAGGAGAAACGTTGAAGCGCGGTGATGACTTGTTCACGTTCGATGCTCTGCGTAGCAACGAGGTCATCCAGAATATGCTCTCTGAATGTAAGCTCTACCTCATGCATCGCTTTTCAGCACTTCTGACTCGCACCTAGCGCTCCGCCTCCGCCCCGTCTTCCCCGCCATCGACCGCGTCGCCATCCGCGACACCACGCTCCCAACGGGCGGCGGCGCAGACGGCACCTCTCCCATCTTGGTGAAAGCAGGAACGCGTGTACAGCCATCATTTTACGCTCTTCATCGTGATCCGTCCATCTACGGACCCAACGTTGAGGAGTTTGACCCGCACCGCTGGAAGAACATCAAGCCTTCGCAGTGGGAGTTTATGGCGTTTGGCGGCGGTCCTCGTAACTGCATGGGGCGGGAGAAGAGTCTTGTCGAGGCAGCGTATCTGCTAGCGAAGCTTGCGGGCAAGTACGAGAAGTTGGAAGCTAGGGATGACAGACCTTGGACTGGGACGATGGCGTTTACGTGCGCGAACAAGTATGGTTGTTTGGTTGCTTTCGAGTAGACGGATGGTGGGAAAGCAAGTGGGGGAATCATAGCAAGTGGAGCACAGCGCTCCAGGGCTGTTTCCAGGTCACGTGGAGCAATGATTTCGAGCCTTGGACAGACATTTGGTTTGCCCATACATGACTGCAATCCTATGCATACGGTCCATCCGAACGAGTTTTTGCCACCAGAATACATGCATTCGTACAGCTCCACGGTATCATTGCAATATCGAGCATCACTACCTCTAAGGGCATTAGTCAATGCTTGACCCAGATGCCGTTGAGACCCGCGTGCAGCGTAACGTCGCGCTGCTTCTACTGCAACCTTCGGAGCGTGATGCGCTATCACACCATCGTCTGGTCGAATCAAGGAGCGTGTTTACGTTCCACACCAGGAAGATGCTTTGAAGGTACCTGTCTTACAGCCAATCAACAGTCAGCCGCGGATGCATCTAGCGGAGCGCTAAATGCACATGGTCCACGGGAGCTACCCCGGAGCACACTTGCCTCGTCTGCTGATACCCTACAACATCACCAGCTCGCCATCTTGGGAGCACCGGTTACTCACGTCGGGATGCCTTCTTGGTCGGTACACAGCCAGTTTCCTGTAGTGGCCTCATATGCCATAGCCCCCTCTTCCCCTTTCTTAGCATGTCCTTCTCGCACGAGTCCGTCGTCATGGCCTTCACACAAGCAGAAGGTCGGAACATGGCATTCTCTTACGCCCAGAGCCCACTGCGATGCCCCAGGACACATTCCACAGAATCTACTGGAGCCGGTTCTGCTGCGCGCGTAGAATGTATAGTAGCTGAAGCAATGCCAATGGGGCGTTCATTTGGCGCAGGAATCTCGCATTCGCGCGAGTTACTCTCGAAATGAGTGAGGCTATGTACGGGTACAACGGTTCGCGTCAGTGGGATGCTCACCCTTGTTCACGATCGCCCGCATGTGCGCCGAACTGGTAGACATGCATGCCCCCGCACCTTCGACCAGGAACAGTGGCTGCACATTGACGCCGCTGGCAAACAACACCACTAGCTCCCACGATGCAGAAGGTGGGAATACGCATAATCCGGGGTCAAGCCACCAGCCGACTAGATGATCTGCCTCTTCGTCCGCACGAGGTCAGCGGGGCGTAAGGTGGGCTGCAGTGAAAGCGCATCCCTGTCACTGGCCGCCTGCGCTTCGACCTCGTCTTCACCTCTCAATTCTACGCCCGACGTCGTCCCGCCCGCACATTGATATAAAAGGCCCATTGCCCACGGCCTTGCCTCGCCCCCACGGGATCGTCAATTTCCTCCCTATCCCACCGGCAAGATGCGCATCCAGCAGCTTGTCCTTGGACCGGTAGCCTTTGCGAGCCTTGCCATTGCGGCTCCTGCCCCTCTCGGCCTTGTTGTGCGCGACGGCGCGACTGTGGACGACTGCCCCGGTTACGAGGCGTCAAATGTGAAGAAGACCGATTCTTCACTCACCGCTGACCTTACTCTCGCTGGAGACGCGTGCAATGTCTACACCGACGACGTCAAGGACTTAAAACTTCTCGTCGAGTTCCAGTCAAGTAAGTCGAAGCCAATCAAACCACTGTAACAGGTCCGTGGATATCATTGTGTACCCTATGTCAGACCACGTAGCAACCAATATCCAAGATTTCTACATGTCTTACACATTGTGATACGGCGCATATTCAACGCGTACTTTGTCTCACCGAACATCATATTAACACATCTACAGAGCACCGCCTGCATGTCAAAATCTTCGACGCGGACGAGCAAGTCTACCAAGTGCAAGAGGAGCTTGTGCCGCGTCCCGAGAATGGCGAGACACCCTCCGGTGACGCTGACCTCGCATTCGACCTGGTTGAGAAGCCCTTCTCTTTCAAGGTAACGCGCAAGGAGAACGACGAGGTACTGTTCGACACCTCTGGCGCGCAATTGATCTTCGAGGCGCAGTACGTCCGTCTGCGCACTAGCCTGCCCAAGGACCCGAACATCTACGGTCTCGGTGAACATAGCGATCCCTTCCGCCTGCCCAACGTCAACTACCATCGGACTATGTGGAATTCAGAGTCGCCGTTCCTTCCTACCAACGCAAATCTCTACGGCTCGCACCCGGTCTACTTTGATCACCGCGGCGATAAGGGAACTCATGGTGTCTTTTTGCTGAACGCCAATGGTATGAAAATCGATCTCAACCTGACTGATTCTGGGGATCAGTATCTGCAGTACAATACCATCGGTGGTGTCCTCGACTTCTACTTCCTGGCTGGCAAGCAACCTGCAGAAGTGTCTAAGCAGTATGCCGACACCGTTGGCTACTCTGCCATGTTTCCGTACTGGACCTTCGGCTTCCACCAGTGCAAGTATGGCTACTGGGACGTCAACATGGTTGCAGAAGTCGTTGGCAACTACTCCACGGCAGGCATTCCTTTGGAAGTCATGTGGACGGACATTGACTACATGGACCTGCGCCAGGACTTCACAACCGACCCAGAGCGCTTCCCTCTCGGTAAGATGCGCGAACTTGTTAGCACCCTTCATTCCCGTGGCCAACGTTACGTCCTCATTCTCGACCCCGGTGTTCACTTTAAGGAAGGCTATGCTCCCTATGAAAAGGGCCACGAAATGGGCGTCTTCTACAAGGACGCCGATGGATCTGACAACTTTGGCGTCCAATGGCCTGGCACTGTTGCATGGCCTGACTGGCTCGCGCCCAACACATCAGAGTGGTGGGCTGACCAAATCGCGACGACATTCAGCGCTGACGAGGGCATCGATCTGGATGGTATCTGGGTCGATATGAACGAAGCGTCGAACTTCTGCCAAAATCAGGCCTGCAACCCTCTGGACGATCAAGGCAACCCTCCCGCGCCTGGAAACGCCCCTCGCCCCAACACTGGCCGACCAATCCCAGGCTTCCCAGCAGACTTTCAGCCAAGCGGATCGAAGTTGAGGGCCCGTCAAGACAGTGATGGCAAGCACAAAGGTCTTCCTGGTCGTGACTTGTTCGTGTCTAAGTATGACCCCGTGAACCATCGTGGCGGCCTCCCCGACTACACGCTTTGGACGAACAATACCAATGCCGACGGAACCAAAGTATACGATACGCACAACCTCTATGGCCACGCAATGTCGCATGTTACCTACGACGCTATGCTCGCTCGCCGTCCTGGTCTCCGACCCATGGTCCTCACGCGCTCGACCTTCGCCGGTAACGGTCGCAAGTCTACGCACTGGTTCGGTGACAACGAGTCGAGCTGGGAACACTACCGCCTCTCCATCCGTCAGATGCTCGCCTGGGTGTCAATGCACCAGATGCCCATGGTTGGCTCCGACGTCTGCGGCTTCAATGGCAATGCGGATGAGCTTATGTGCGCTCGCTGGGCACTGCTGGGCGCCTTCCAACCCTTTTATCGCAACCACGCCGAGATCTCCGCTATCCACCAGGAGTTCTACCAGTGGCCGCTTACCATCGAGGCCGGCAAGAAAGCTATAGACACGCGGTACAAGCTGATCGACTACGCTTATACCGCGCTGTACTATCAGACGACCGAGGGCACGCCAATGATCAACCCGCTATTCTTCTTGTACCCTGAGGACGAAAACACGTTCGGTATCCAGCACCAGTGGTTCTACGGCGATGCGCTTCTCATCTCGCCTGTGACCACCGACTATTCCGACAGTGTCACGTTCTACCTGCCCGAAGACATCTTCTACGACTACTGGACAGGCGAGCGCGAAGACGGCAAGGGCGCAAATGTAACCCGCAACGGCGTCTCCTGGACCGACATCCCCGTCCACATCCGCGGCGGCACCATCATCCCGCAGCGCGCCAACAGCACCAACACCACCGCCGAGCTGCGCAAGCAGGACTTCGTGTTCCTCGTTGCCCCCGACGCAGACGGCAAGGCGAAGGGCCGTCTGTACATCGACGAGGGTGAGATGATCGAGCAGACGGACGTCACTGAGCTTGACATCACCTACGATAACGGCGAAATCACTGTCGGTGGCACCTGGGGGTATAAGGGGCTGAAGGGTGAGAGCATCACGCTCAAGAGCTTTAAGATTCTGGGACAGAATGGCATTGCTATGGGATCGCTGGGGGAGAATTCAAAACTCGATGAGGATTCTGGCGCGGTGACGGTGGAGGGGACGTGGAGTCTGGATGGAGACTTTTCGACGCATATCTAGTGTGGGAGCGAGCATGTCTAGAGCGGCCAATACACTGACGACTTTATGAGACTTTTAATAGCATTCGCATTTGCATCGGCTGGCGCAGCATAGGTGTTGGAATATCACATGAAAGGTTGTTAGCACATCGTTTCGTGTATTGATAGACCAGAACGTTTCAAGACTTGGTCTTCACTTTTGGGTCCCCCTTTTATCACTGTGGAATCTGTAACTGTGTAGATGCCTGCCCGTCACCTTGAACACACTAGATCCAATGTTACAGGTAGGTGTACACAAGTGTATGTATTGGCTGAGTTACTGGGTACGATGGTGCCCGACCGTCGTACGTCGTCACGCAGTCTACCTAAAGACCCAACGCAAGTCTAATGCGGGACCTAGTTGCGGACTGCTATGATAATGTCCACAGATGAGTGGTACAATGAGCGCGCGTCCCCCGACGTTGCCGCAGGAGGGCCGGGTAAACAAGCGCAGCGACAAAGCCGGGTGAATCTTGCATCTGCACATGCCAGATCTCATCTCGCGGATAGCCATCTTGCAGTAGTCGATGCGCTGCAGGGTCGGGCGATGTCGATCGTGTCCCGCAGGAGGTACTATGTCGTGCGCGCGCATCCTGGCGAATCTTGCAGGTGCTAAGTGGACTCATCATAGAGCACACACGCTCACATGAGCTCCACCCATATCCTGTTCTCCGTCTTCGTACGCGCCCTTGCGTTGGCTTGTTCTTCGTGCCTTCCGACTCCCCTCATCCGGCGCCAATATCCAACTCCTTGACCGCTTCCGCCACGCCGTCAATCTCCTTCTCTTGCTCATACCCAACCTCAATATGATTCTTCGGCCTGTTCTTATTCAAACCCTCCAGTAGCACGCACGCCTTACAGATCTCTTGACTAGACAGATACCCACACTTCTTACACTGGCCCATGACCTGCTTCTTTGGCTCTCTCCGCGACGCGTGTCCCGCCTTTGGTACTTTCCGACTCTTACCCACCGTAAGAGGCAGCGGTGCGGCAGTCTTCTTGATCTTGGAGGATGTGGACGGAGTGATCTCGACTTCGAGCCCGTTCTCCGCGGCGGTCTCGTTTTGCGATAGTTGCTGCTCCATACTCGCCATCTCGCCGCCTGCACTCCGCCCATTTGCGCTGCCGCAACCACCTTCTTCTTCTTCGCCTGCGGGGACGGAGCTGGAGCATACCCCCCCGCAGCCTTCGTCGCTGCCGGGGACTAGCTTCGCCATGTCCTCGCCGCTGCGGACGACGTCTAGGATGGCGCTTGGTCGGACGCGCTCGAGGTTCTTTATCAGAGCGCGGGCGCTGCCGCGGAAGGCTTCGGGCGAGTAGATGCATTCCGTGCTGAAGTAGTCGAGGTTCTTGTGGTGCGCGTAGAGCACGATTTCCTTTTCGTAGGCGTACTTGAGGGGCTTGGAGCGCTTGATGTTTGTGTTTGAGGCGGGACCGGCGGTTAGACTTGGTGTGCTCGTCACGATGCTCGTCGTCCTGCTTAAGCGTGGTAGATCGCCTCGGAGTACTATGCTTGTTAGTATGCACACAACTCCCTCTAGAGATAGGGTCGAACATACAGTTCATCAACACCGTCTCCGCCACATCATCCGCATTGTGCCCCGTCACGACATGCTTCACACCGAGACGAGCAGCCCCCCGATCCAGCGCCTGCCGTCTGAAGACCCCGCAATACGTGCAATTCCCCTTCTTTCCCACCTGATCTACCACCTGGTCCATCGTCCACCCATACAACTCATCGTATCCCAATATACACAGGTCCATTCCGTATTGCTCCGCATTCCGCTTCACCGTCTCCAGACTGTCATCTCTGTAACCCTTGATACCCTCGTCGATCGAAAGTAGGATCAGGTCGAGACCATAGTCGTAGCGCTCATTCAGCGTCTTCAGCACGGATGCGAGGACGGTAGAGTCTTTGCCGCCGGAGGCGCCGATGGCAATGCGCTCGCCGCGGGTGAAGAGGGAAGTCGCTGTAATGGTGTGGTGGATTTCGGTTTCGAAGGTGGTGAGAAAACAGGCTCGGCAGAGTTTTGTGTGGTCTTTGGGCCGGAGTATCAGGGCGCGGTTGGTCTTGCACTGGGCACATAAGGAGGGCGCCATGTTGCGCGTGTGTGGTTGAGAGTGATGCGTGGTGGAGGGGAAATAATTTAGGATCGGCGAGTCAGGGAGGAGTGGCGGGGGCGCAGAGGTGAGTCATGCGCGAAACGCATAGGGGTCTACTCCTCGTATAGCCCTATCAATGTTCGCTTTGTCATGTTGCACAGGATCCAACAAGTACCGCAATCAAAACGTTCACAGCGATAGTAATGCTTATGCATCAGGTTGTTGCGTCTTGTTCACTGCCCTGTATCTTGACATAATCTGTGCTCGCTTCGCCTTGTTCAGCGCGGCGCATTTGCGCAATGTTCATAATTTCCGCAATACCCCGGCAGCCGATCTCCATCACATCCCCTGTGAACATAGCTTGGGCATCATCTGAACAGTGAACGTGACGACGCTGGCGGCGCCGTCATACGTTTGTCGGTCGACAGACAGCATCACGAGGGTTCCGCCGCCATGGACTCCGCAACGGCTACAGCCGCCGGCGCCGTCGCCGCGACTCCATCCAATGGGCGCAAACATCACAAGCCTAGCTCCTCACTGGGGTCTCTGTACGAGGCGCTGGCCGATCTGGACGAGAATCAACTGGAATATCTCCTGCAGGAGATGAATCATACTGGCGAATCGAATGTTCCAGTATCCCAGGCAGTGTCGGCATTCGACTCGCAGAGCCCGTCCGAGTCTCTGAACACCGTAAGAATGAGCATGCTACCACCCATGCCAGCACCTGAACCAGGCCTCCAAAGGCAGCTTTCCAAGTCGCAACAGGGCAAGCTTCGTTTGCAAACAGCTTTCCAGAGGACGCCTTCGCTACGACAGAGGCAGCAGCCGGAAACCCGCATGTCTCGTCAACTATCCAACAGCAAGCCTGCCCAAGATACTGCAATAGAGGTCTCGAAACGCGGATCAGTCCGGAGACCACCTGAACGACAATCCAGCCCTCTTAGCCCTTTATCTCAAAAACCTGGTATCATCGCAAATCCCACACCAGAGCCTGAAATCCAGCTGCCGAAACGGGGGAGCGTCGCCAGCACCGTGAGATCCAGAGCCCCAACCACCAGCCGGAACCCATCGGCAGCCTACAAGCGTATCCCACGGCCCGACTTCAGTCTCCCGGATGGCATCACAATCCCGGACCTTCTCCAGCTCCTCGAAGTCGAATTCCTATCGTCAAGCGCACAAGACGTCCCTTCGCCCATTTCCCTTTCCTCTCCTGCATCCGCAATAGTTGGACACCGCTCTTCGTCCCCCTTTCTGTCACCGTCTCCATCCACCTCCATGTCCCACTCGCCGGTGTCACCAGGAGGCCGCACTTTGCGCAAGCACTCCTCGAGGCTGGACATGGCGCTCGCGGCAGAAAGAGACGCTTCTGGCATCGAGGAGATTGGCCTGGGGATGCTCGAGCCAAGGGGTCGGGCGACATCTTCCGCGGGAATATCCGCTCCCATAACGCCGACGGAACCTTTTTCGAGGGGTTTTGGGGGCGACACTCCATCGCCGGTTGTGTTGGAGGGGATTTTTGATGTGCTGGAGAATCGGTAGAGGTTGGTTCGCGGCAAGAGTAAGCAAATGGAGTGAGAAGAGTGTTGCAGTTAGTGTCGTGAAAGCGTGATTGGGGCAGCGAATCGAAGCTTTTTGTAAATCTGATTGGGAGATGGTCTCATATTACAACGGTTTTCTTGTATATACTGTTCCGACGTACATATTGACATCTTAGCGAACGTTGACATTGCATCCTACAGATTTCGATGAGAATATTTAATCCGATGGGTGGTGGCAGTGCTCAACGCGTCCGCTGCCGGAATACAGAGCCTGCTTCTGCAGCGTCGCTGTTGGCTTCATTGGCGCATCAGCCGTCACGAGAATGCCTCAGAGGTCACTAGATAAGCGCATGCACAAGCCTCGGCTACTTCGCTGCATCGTTTGATCTCCCATCGCCTCGTTCTTGTGTATATAAGGCCTCTCCCGACCCTCCCTTTATCTTCTCTACCCTACTTTCGCTTCACGAACCGACTAAAAACATGGAAAACGCGGCTACATGTGGACTCCTGCCTGTTTCAAAATGGAGGACAATACTGACTTATGGGAAGCTGGCCGCCCAGCCTTCCGGTCATGGGCACATCACCGCATGTACGGAGTCAAAACCCCATCCAGACGTTCCATGTGGTATCGCTCCTAAGCCTTACCCCCAACAACCCGCCAGTCCGAGTCCGGTTTCACATCGCTTTATACTTGTGTATATAAGCCTTTCTACGACGTCCTTGTTCCTTCTTGTCTACACTACAGTGGATCTCCGTCCTTCTAAAAGTGGAACGAATCACGCTCATGTGGAACTTTTGCCTGTTCTGAAAGAACGCAAAGCTACAAGCGATGCGGACACTGGCTGGCCGGTCTTGTTGTCTAAAAATTCGTTCCCAAACTGTACATGGAGACTATTGTGCATCGACATCAGTTGTTGTCTGCTTGTAACAAAATGTGAGCTGTACCAGAAAATTTACCTACCTACCGCCGGCTCATGTCAAATCGCTTGGCCTCGACACATATGAACCTTCCTTGGGGCTCGAATCTTCTCTTTCTTTACAATACCGCTCTTCACAGTCTCTTCAAAACCCGAGGATGTGACTTACATGTGGAGCTTGCCTTTTTCGAAAATGGCATGGTGATCCAACATATGGGAGCTGGCTTACCGGTGGTTTGTGGACGAAAAGTCGGTGTCGGAAAGACACATGGAGACTACCAAAGAATCCGAGATCGACAATTCCACACACAATCAACAACAATTGAATCCGTCGTGAAACGTTTCCATGGCCGAGTGCTCGGCCAATCTCTAAACGACTCAACCCTGTGTATATGAACCTTCCTCAAGTTTCAATGCCACTTCTTTTCTAAACCACAGCATTCCGCATTGCTCTCAAAAATTGCTGAACCCCAGTCCATGTGGACTTCTGCTTGTTCCAAAAGCACCTTGTTGAAGATGCTACGTGGAAAGTTGACGGTTCTCGTGGTCTAGAAGTGGTTTTCAAGCAATTATATGGAGACTATCAAAGATGACGACATCTTTGCCAAATGTCCGTGAGAGAGATCTCGCTCGCATCAAAAGATGTCCTATCTGTTACCAAACATTTCCGACCGCAGATGTTCTGAAATGACGGTTCTTAATGGGGCATGTGGACTCCAGCTGTTTCCCAGAACCAAAAACGACTTTGAAACCACACATGTGTGGAAAGCTGCCTGGTCTAACCAGAGAAAAAAGATATGGTCGGAACCAGTCAAGAAGACGATCAAAATCTTTGCACATGGTGGTGTATGTCTGGATCCGAATCAGATTTCTCGACTATTTATGTTGTGCAAATCTTGTAGGTCTTGAAACATCGCGTTGAGCCGACCTATGGCGGCCGCGTTGGCCGCAACCAAAAATGGCCAAGCACAGGGGAATGTGGTCTGTTCCTCGAAATTTCGATAGAATCGGACCCGTGTCTGGGCCAGAATCGGTAAGCCAGCTAGATCATGTGGTGCGTCTTCGAAGTCAAAGATTTAACGAATACCGTCTGGAAGACAGGAGCATGCCCACCTTCCTCCTGTGGTGTGTTTCTCAAAAGATGGATAGCAAAACCCGATGTCCGGACGAGTATCCCGCCAGCAAGGCTTTCATGGGGTGCGTACACTGAAGCACAATCAATCAGTGGCAATGTGTAGATTAAAAGCGATCCCTCCCGAGCCATGTGTGCTGTTCGCTCGAAGATACCAAAGCAAGTTCTCATGCTTGCGGCTTGAGTTCAATGGAAGAACTTTCCATGTGACGCATGTCTAAAAGTCATCGGGAAAAGATATCCTGTCCGGGACGCGGCTACCAAGATATCGAAGCCATGCCTGATGGTCAAGAAGACATCATACCGGCGCCCATGTGTGGTTCAAAATTGGGAGGTATGCAAAGCATGTGGCCGTGGATTCGAAATACTTGACAGAACAAAACATGTGTGCCTGAGTCTGGTGGGATAACAAAACCCTTCGCTATCCCAATGATGGGTACCAGAGACATGCCTGGTTTCGAAAGTGCGGACTTCGTGTCACATATGGTGTTTGTCGCGAAACACAAGTCGATGAAAATGATGTCTGGGTCGAACCTCCTGTAAAAGAGATCTGGGCCAATCTTAATGTCCAACTCACATCTTGTCCAGTTCATGAATGCAGCCGAATATTGCTCTACAAGGATTACTTGTGCTGTGCGTCGAAAACTCAATGGACACAAGTTCTATGTCTGGAAGCAGACTCCTGGCATCCAAGAGCAGCTATGTTACCTTTCCCATCGCAGGTTCCTGCAACCCATGCCTGGGTCGAAAGTGCACGAGCTCACTGGACATGCGGTGCTTCTCTCAAAACTAGGAAAGCGAATGCCATGTTTGGAATGGAGATCATTAATCGGCCTGTGTGCACTCAAAGACTTGGATTCAAGGCTGAGCTTAGGCAATCTATTCGACTATAAGGCATGCGCTGTGCTGGGCCTCGGAAGGAGCTTAATTCAAAACGACCACGGAACTCTCTAAGAAGAAGAGGCAAGCTCGCGCTCGCCTTAGCAATAGGCAAAGACACCATCGCTCCCAGATATGCCATCTCTTCCTATAACCCCCTCCCTTGGTATATACTTGCGAGGGACTTCCTTTCTACAGTCTCAGAAGTGGGTCGGAAATTCAACATGTCTGCTGAGCACTGAAAGCAAATCAATCAAAAAGTATGGGTGGAATCGAAAAAGCAACTCGTAATCACTCATCTCGGAAAGACCAAAAAACGATGGTTAACACTCGATGTGTTTGGGGGAGAAGATTGCCCCATAATGTAAAATCCATTCGAAGAACCACCATGAGAATTCGGGACGAGACGCTACCACAAGAACATTGTCAAAGTGACACTATCATCATGTCTATGTCTTTCTGTTGCTGTCCACAAACAGTTCAAAAAATGATCAAGCCACGACATGCTGTTTTGTGGAGCGGTTCAGTGTCACTCAAACATGGAGGAGGCATTATCATGATGCTTTCTGTCTTGAACGCGGTGAAGTGTTTTGTGAAGTGTCAGCGGGGTGGACTGAAGGGTGTTGATGGTGTTCTCATGTCCCCGTCTTGCCGCCAGAACATCACTTGCTGGGCTCAAGAATCATCTTCCTCTCAGGCATGGGGCTTTCTAGCACCACGGATCAAGTGCTGACAGCAGCGATTAAAGGAGAAGCGCATAGAAGATATGTGCTCTTCTCCGGGGCTGGAGCTTCGGCTATAAAAATTGGCAACGACGAAATGTCATGGTGTTTGGCGGAGAAAGCCGAAAATCGATGGGTCGCGGCACCTCGCGCCGACACCTCATTGGGGTAGCTTTTGATGGTGATGAGTATCATCAAGACGGACTACTGACCGAGACCAAGTTCATATACCCATCTGTATACGTCTAGATGCATCGGTGATTCCCAGCTGAAACTGGCAGCAAGACATATAGTAATGAATGATCGAAGTAGTCGTGCATTAATTCCGATACAGTTATCATAACATCTAGTTTCTAAATTTCTCGGCACAGCATCCTGCCAGCGTCCAGATGAATATTCGCAATCAATTCATTTCTCCATCTCCTCGTCTTTATCCAGATCATGTGTCTCTGCAATTGTCGACGCCACATCGGTCCACGAATCAGTGCTCCATCTAGACATATAACTAGGCGGGCGATCTCTCGGGGTAGAAGCGCCACTCCTATAGCTGACCAGGTCCCAGTCTTCTGTCAGCGTCCTAATGTCATCGGCAGAGCTTCGTCCCGCAATCTCCGGACTTGTGTGATCGTCCAACTCTTTTTCAAATGCGTCAATACCAGCTACTGTACTGAGGTTGCGCAAGATTGTGGAATCGGAAGCACCAGGTTCACAGTAAGAATGAAGTGCCGTGGTAGGGTCTTGTGGTTGGCGTTGTTCAGCTGGATCATCCACCTCTTTCTTTCCCTCATCATCTTTTTTACCACTTTCTTCACGTTTCTCGGCCGCAACATCCGCAGCAGCCTTTGCCGCAGCCTCAACCCTACGTAAAGCAGCCTTATGCTCTAGATTCACCTGGGCATGTTTCAGCACCTCTTCCATCCCCGCGTCATTATTTGGCCCAAATATCTTTCTCGCCTTGATTTTGCACAACGGAAATAGTATCGAGCGCTTGATCTTCTCATTGAGAGATCCGGTCTCGGTCCAGAGTCCTTCTATCTCTAAATCTTTGAGTTGCCCATCGAGCTTTGCGATCTGTGCGCAGGTGATGGCCCAATGAAAGAGCGGGACCGCGGGGTCGCCAAAGAGGTCAACGTCGTAGATTTGTCGAGGGACATGGAGCTTGATGCGTCGAATAAGTGATCGCGGAAACTGTGAAAGGGAGTCCAGGAATAGTGGAAAGATGCCTTGGTGATCTGCAGGAGCGAACTTGACGGATTGGTAAAGACAGGGGAGTGCTTCTTCGTAGATGAATCGATTTGTGCGCAGTAAGCTCAAACCGATGGGACTGTTGCGACCAGGTTGCAGCCACGTCGTCACGCGCGGTATTACTGCTCCCGCAGCCGAGTATCCATAGGCTTCTTTCTTGTCTCTTCCAATGTTTACGACCAAGTCGGGGACCGAAGGATCAGTCAAAGTCCACTTCCAGATTTCTAACCTCAATTCCTTTGGCAGAGACAGCAAGTGGCTCTTCTTCCATGTCGGAACACCCATGGTCTTGTGCTCGAAATTCGTATCAGGCAGATATGCCCAGCGAGAAGGGTCGTTGTCTGGGAAGTCAAATCGGCCTCGGATCACGACTCGTTTGCTGTAATTGTCTTGTCGGTCGTTTACATGCCACCAGCCGCAGGATGGCGACATTTGGAGAGCTAGCCGCGAAGGTGTTTGCCCGTAGCTGAGGCTCTCCCACTCATCTGCTGTGACGTTCAGGTGGATGCGCGATCCGTTGCAGCAGCCGAAAATTGGAATGTAGGGTCCGGAGCTGAACTCAGGTATATGTACTGGGAAGTGGTCGAAGTGGTAAGGCCCCATAGAATATTGCTAATTGTGAGTTATAAAGATTGCGTGGAGTTGCGCTTAGCCTGGTTCCACGGGGGATTTGATGATAGCGTCAAATTGCAAGCCAGGATCTCGGGGCCACAAAGTATGATTATCGGGTATTGATGAGCCCTCAGTCTCTTGGACTGGAGCTGGCAAATGTATGCGTCCGACGAAAAGGTGCTGCCTGAAGTTCACCGGGACGCCTCAACCCCACTTCGCTAGCCCCCATTTAGACAGTGGTACATGCCTTAACTCCGCTCCAGCAGCGCTGCTAACGATCAAACGCCTTGTACATCATTCGGTGTTTGCTCATACTAGCGATTGGGTCCTTGTATTGCGCATCTGGGCACCGCATTCTTTGGGCAAATCATGATCTCCAATAGGCACGTGAAGTGGCGCTTCAATCCGATAAGTCGAGGTTGCGGTTGTTGCGGTCGCACAAGAGGATGACGCAACAGCCAAGTCTCTCTTCGTAACAAGGGTACGTAATCTGAGACAGAGCCAATCCCTTACTCGGATAGACGTACTGTTACATCGTGAAGTGCTAGCACCCGTAGAGGTCCTGATGTTGGGCATGATATTAGTAGCGACACTAGGAGATCGTTGCCCACAGCGCCTTAAGGTACACATGCTCAATTGAGCAATTCCCCGAGTGTTACGAGATATCTTCTCTTTCTGTTGTTAGGCTTCTACTGATGCATCAATGTTTGCGTGTCGCTTTGATAGCTTTTTCCAGCGCCTCAATGCTCTTTGGATACTACCTTTGTCCGAGAGTTGCTGCTTGGTCATGATTCTCTTTGAATTCTCCAGACCTTTCTCGAGATATCTGGTTCTCATCTTCGAGCCCAGCTCCACACCTTAAAATGATGATGCTCGCTAGACCGATGTCAGAGCACCATGCTGCAAGCTTGTCATCAAGTAGAAAAAGGGCAGAATCTACCTACAATCTGATGATTAAGCCGTTAGAGTACGCTGCAGCAAACATGAATAATGAGTGGGCTTCTTGTACATTATGTTCCCACGGGAGACCTGGGGTGGTCGAAGGGGGCCTTGGAGTCTGCGACCACTTCTGACCAATCATAGAGCACGGATGCGATTGAGAATCACGGTCAATCGACTATGTTCCGGAGGCATCGTAAGGACATTGAATCGTGCGAGGCGTTGAGCGAGGTCGGTGTGTAAGGGCAGACGAGGAAAGGGAAGAACGCAAAAGGCTTCTGGGTAGCGTGAACACGACTTGATCACGCTAGAACGCGCGATCACATGTCCTCTATTTCGACTCTTTACGTGCCTGGACCATCGCGTTGTTGACAATGATACTACATAAAACATGGGCAATTACTAGCTTTGCGTTTCCCTCGTGCTCAATTACATTACTCATGAAGGTCTTCAATGAATACTACTACTACTTAGGAATATCCATATTTTCAACCGTTGGTGGTGTCACGGTCGCCATCAGTCGAGACGCAGTTGATGTCCAATAGACTCTCGTCAATGTTCGCGCATTCCCACTCAGTGGTGCTGCCGCTGGGCACGTCGATGGTGATGTTGTGGGCTTGGATGTTGCTGCACCGCTATCATGCTATTAGTATCCTATTTCGTCATACATTTGATATTCAGATAGAATATGAACTTACGTCCGGCGCACTGCAAATCAAAGTCCCCGCCTCGGGATCAGCGGACACGCTCGTCGTGCCCCACACATTCTTGATCGTGACATCCTCAATCGTCAAGTTGGCAGGGTGTTCCTGGCAAAGGGTCTGGTTTTTCTGGCCGTAGCACTGGGTGATAGTGATGGCGCGGTCGTTGTTGATGCTGTGGAGGGTGTCATACGTGACGTTGCGGACGTAGCCGAGACCGCCTCCGCCGTTGAGGAGCTCCTGAAAGCTGGATTGGACACCAGGCCAGACTTTGATGCGGGCGAAGTCGCTGGCGTTGGTCATGGTGATGTTGTAGACGTACAGGTTCTCGACGATGTCGGTTAGGTTGGCGTACTGGCCGAGAGAACCGACGGAGATGCCATGAGAGCCGATGCAGTTCAGGTTCTGGATGATGACATTGGTGCTGTTTGGTTTGAACGATACACAGTCTAGCGATGATGTTAGACTCTAAGAGTTGGCAAAAGCGCAAGGGATTATAGCACATACCGTCAGTGTTATCGACAAAAGAATTCTGGATTACGATGTTGTCCGATCGGTAGGTGTCCCAGCCGTCTGAGTTTGCAATTTTCACGCCGTCGGTGCTCTGTCCGAGTTTAGTTTCCCTCCTTAAACTTTGACAAATTCGGGAGTCTACCTTGGCTTGGATATCCAAGTCGCTGACGATAATGTCGCTAGAATTGGCGATGATGTTGAACCACTACCGAGTATCTTAGTGAATGTAACAATGGAAAAGATTGGTATGCTCACATTGGGAGAGTTACGCATTCGCAGGTTGGACATGCTGCCACCCTTTAAACCATCGATAGAGAATAGGATTGGTCGGAGCAACTAGAACTCAGGTGTCAGCGTCGGAGTTTAGTCAGCTGATCACTGTGAAGATTTACAGTCTTGTTGGTCACAATCTCCTCCCAATAGGCTTGACCATGGCCATCGATGACTGATTTGCCATTGGTCAAGTCGCCATAGATGTTCACATCCTTGCCACCCCACTTCCAGAACGTGCTCATGTTTTGGAAGTCATACTTGAAGCTGTTCGAAGCCCAGTAGTAAACATCCTTGGCGTTGAAGTGAATTTCTCCTGTGATAACAACGTCGATGTGCTTGAGGAACGTGAGATCCAACGGTGAGCTGACAAGATAGGACTTGTCGAGGACGACCGTACCGCCATTATTGCATTTCTTGAGTGCGGCCTTGATGCTGGCTGCATCGTCGCGGTCGTCACCCTTTCCAGGCTTGACGAAACATTTCTTGTGTTTGTTTCGTGGTGCTGAGCGTGGGAAATCCTTGCCTGAATTGTATGGAGCGGGCGTCAGCACTGGACGAGCGGGAATATTAGGCTCGCCGTATCCCGGTGATGCTGCAGCCAAAGAGGCGCAGAGTGAAAGCACACTGCATACGCTGCTGAAACGCATGTTAATGAGTATGCGGACCTTGACCTGGATCTAATCAATTCTCAACGGCGAGTCCAAGCATGGTTCATTAGCAATGTCCATCATTTATACACGGTCATGAAATTAACCAGCCGAGAATGCGGATCTCCTCGATACAACTCCAGGGCTCCCAGGCTCACCTGCGATACGTGGATGAATTACCACGCCGAACGCAGACATTGCGCCAGTACTGATCTGGTTAATCGGTTCAAGTTCTCGCGAATACCAAGACCATCGCGCCCAGACACGCGCGGGTCGTCGGCAAACAGTAGGAGTAGAGAGAGCAAAGCTTGGGGAACGAAGAGTGCGGAGCGCGGGGACAAGAGTCTTGGCCCTGGGGCGGAAAGCCACTGGCGCCGGGAAAATAATCCTCCTCCTCACCCGTCAACAATGCCAAGGACATTTCTGTGGTGACCAAAGCTCGTTCTATAGATGTATTGGATGTTGCTCATAGAGATATAGGTACACACCCTTCCGGAAAAGTCTCATAACAGCCTTTGACCACTCACTGTCCTTCGAGCGCCAAGACTCCCTTGCTACATGTACTATATTTATGGTTGCGACATCGCGCCTCGCAGCATGAACAAGTTGCTTTTCTTCAAAGCATTGACTCATCCTTATTCTTCTAGCTACCATTAGATTTTGCGCAGATCATCGGCTTGAAATATCCTGCAACTTACATGTCTGAATCATTTGCGAGCTGCTTGTTGTTCTTCTCGAGAACTAGGATTTATTAACTATATAAGAGTCTAATCTATAGACCAATGATGCAGACACTGGGTTTCACGCCCTAGTCGCTACAACTTTCTAAATCTAGTGTCATACACGCACCATGTGATTCTTCGATTCTGACTCTGCCCATGCTCTTCCCACCATTTCCCGCCATCCTCACGTTCCCCTAAGCAGCGCATGCCTCCTCGCCCCTTCTTCTTCATCATCTTCCTCGTTTTCCTCTCGCCTCTCCTCATCGTCCTCATCAAAAACCATCCCATGGAGCCCCTCCGTTTCCGCCCCAAGCAACGGCGCCCTCTCCCCCTGCTTCCTCGCGAAGTGCCCTCCCACACTAATAACCAACGTACTGAGCCCATGCACGAGTACACTACCTAGCACCACAAAGCAGATAATCGGCCACACCAATGTGACCGTCCTCTGCATCTCGGGGGGCAAATGATCCGGCGGGTTGGGGAGAGGTAAGGAAGTATCTGTTTCCAACTGCGCACGGGCTTCGATTGCCAAGAAGAGCGCGCCGACGCCTATGGGGCCGAAGTGGCCTGCAAAAAGGGCTTCGGTGGAGGTACGGATGTGCGGGAGGAGGCGGAGTTTGTAGGCTGCGAAGACGACGGGTATACGTCTGAACGCCAGTATCAGCGCCAGCAATCCAAACAACCGGCCTGGTGTGATAGAATCCAGCGCGTTGAAAGATGCCCAGGGTATCATCGCTCCGAAGAATACGAACATAGTAGAGTTGAGTACGAGGTCGATTATTATGGGTAACCGTGCATCAGCAGTAGGAAAGTTCCCTCCATGCGAGAACCCCAGCCCCGCGAAGAACGTGACTAGGAAGTCGTCTACACCTAGCGTGCTCGCGAGACCAAGCGCGAAGACAGCGAGCAGGAGGTAGAAAGACAGGTACGACGCTGAACCCATGAATTCGCGCTTGTAGCTGTATGTGAACACTTTGTTGAAAGTAAATCCGATGGCGAGACCTAGAATAGTGCCGAACGCGCACTGGTACAGGATGGTGATCAAAACCCATTTCTTGAGGATGCCGGAGACCGTGGTGCGCGCAATAATGGACAGACCGAGGTAAAGGAAGGGGAAGGACACGCCGTCGTTGACGCCAGACTCAGCGGAGAGCAGATCCCTCACACGCTTCGGGACGCGCGTGCTGAATTGGGAGTTTGAAAGGACGGAGGCCGCGAGTACGGGATCCGTGGGCGTAAGACATGCGGATATAACAAGTCCCGTCGCGATATCAGTCTCGAAGAGGATGACGATGAAAGCGGCACAAACGATCCAGCCGAATGTCATCACCGGACCCAACAGAACAGCAATATCCTTCCACTTCCCTCCTTTCGTAAAATAGTACTCCGGGAGTTCCAGACCGACGGCAAAACATTGTATGCCAGCGATGAGCCGCGTAAATTCTTGGACAACATCATCACCAAAGCCCCAGTCGTAGGGTCTGAGGAAGGCGAGCCCTTTTGGCCCCACGATGATGCCGAAGATGGTTGCAAGAGGTGGTTCGGAAAGATGAAGGCGATTGCGGATGAAGAGGGAGAAGATGGCGTAGGTGAGTAGGAAGAATGTTATAGTCCCGTAGGTGACGTGCGGGGCAGTCGGCTCCAGTTGTTTCCACGCCATGTCTAAATATCTCTTTGATGCCTGATGATGCGAAATTCGGGTATTGCTCGATTCGTGTAAATAGGCCCCAGGGAATGATATGATGATATGCACAGGCTGGCTGTTTCTTTGAGCTTAGTTGGTAGTCATGGTGCTGTGCAACGGTAACTACTGGCAGATTTTAGAAAAAATGGAATCCTGACAGTCAGCATAGACTGCCGTGCAGGTTAAGACAAGCATCGCGACAGGAAAGACGAGAAACATGAGAAATGGACGATGACGAAATGCATAATGGGATTCTAGCACGTGTAGCGTGAACGGGCTTACTAGGGGCCGAAGCCGGTTTTCATTCGGTAAAGTCCGGGAATAATCTGCCAGCCGGAAATCTGCCATTGGTCAACTGACCAGAATTCTTGTATGTATTTCCAAAGTCTACCTAGGTATGGGCCTGTCACTTGGAGGCGTTTCAGGGATTGCGTTTCGTGTATAGCTGGGAATGCTTACTAATTTGAGCCGCATTTTGACGTTGGTGAAATTGCAAAACTCAAGCGAGCAGACCTGCGTAAGACGTGATCAAGGGGGAGGAGATTCAGATAAGCAGTAGGAATAGATTCATCCTGTACGCTACAGAGCACCGTCTCTTTCATGTTTTCCAACCGAAACGCCTTCCCGCTCCATGCAACTCAATCTCGGGCTCGCTTTTGGCGGAATCTAAAAGTACATGCACAATTACAGGTGGAATCAATAATAATTATCCCAGTCGATATCTCAACAGCCAATCTATGCATCGTCCGGCGGAGGCGAGAAAAATGAAATGCGAAGCCTGTGTGCCTGCTCACGATCAGTACAGATAGAATTCGAGTGAACATTGAGTTACTCACCGCTGGCAGCTTCGGAATGACTACAGCTAGTGTGGCCAGTGTGTTGATGATAAAGTATGTGAGGTCATAGCGGGTGTAATGGGTGCTGAGCAAAAATAGTCCAATGGGGACCATAAGTAGGAATTTCTTGGCAGGTGTGTACTGGTCCCCGTTATCGATCTGCTCCCACATGTTGAGGTTGTCGTAGGCACCCGAGTTGAAGTCGAATGGTACACCGCGGACGTAGTGGAACATGAGGTATGACCCGGCCACATATGAGATATTGGTTAGGGTCCATGATGTCTCCTGCGAGACACCCGGAATTATGTCAAATAATATTTTGCCGAGTGCAATGAGGACGAAGTGTATTACCCACGCGCCTGTACGTTGTTTTGTCAGCCAAGCTACTCCCGAAAGGCCACGGATCCCCAAGTGGATGAACTATTCCACAACTCGCATAACTCGAAATTGTGGATATGGAACTGCTGACCTTTTGCATTCACCCATTGCGCATTCAGATTGGGTAGGGCAGCCTGATCGCTAAGCTGCTCGAGAGACTCGGGGGGTTCGGTGTAGACAAGACTACTACTACGCCGTCTCCGGACCTCTTTCGCATCTAAAGGCATCTTGCCTGGCGAAGCACTCGGTCGGCGGGGTCGCGGGTCGCCGGCGAAGCTCAGGCGGGAGGTGCGGTTGAGGAGTATGGGTGACAGCTTGGCGGTATTGGAGCTTCTTCGCGGGAGGCGTGGGTGGGGGGAGCTGCTGGATATGGAGCAGCGGGGAGGCGGATCTAGGTCCCAGTCAGGGCAGGAGTTCCAATGTGATAAGCTTCTGCACTGCCACTATTGGGAAGAGACGGCGTACTCAGAATACCGTCCTAAGACTGCAGGCAAGCAAGTCAGTACTCGGAAAGAGGTGGCGTGTGGTTGGATAGAGGCTTACTGCGTACGCACCACCTTTCCGGCTTGTCCGAGCTTCGACGCGGCGAGCGAATGGCGAGGGCGGATGTGAGAGGTGCTGTTGGACGTGGAAGCGCTGACAATGGGAATACAGTGAGTAAAAACAGGCAGCAGTTCTCCTGACGCGGCGAGGACTGAGGAGGAAGGAGGGCAGGTGACTTCTTTGGATATGATGGCTAGCCCAAAACTACACCTGCATCCGTGACGCTCGGACCGCTTAAACGTGCTTCTCGACCGCGCCGTCCTTGCACAGCTGCCAGCTCCACAATACCTCCACACTTGCATCTTCCTCTTGTCCGGCAACTTTCACCGCACAATGGCCTCCCCCGGAGACGCGCCCGCCGACGCCCCGCCGCAGCCCGATGCACGCGCAGAGCAACAGCATGAAAGCGCAGAGAAGCCGCCCGTGAAGCGGTCATGGAGGTAGGGTCGCGCCCGCCAACTCTGGAGACAATCCGCTGACAACGCGATACAGGCGCAAGTATAGGAAGATGCGCATCCGCTTTGACGAGACCATGACGACTAGCAACGACCTCATTCTTTCGGAATGGAGGTCTAACGCAGTTGCGCGTAGACTGCGCGAGCAAAACGAGTGCGTCTCGTAGTAGCTTAGATAATGGGATGGTGTAGCTGACTTGGTATAGCCAAATTCTCGATATCCTCCTCAACATGAACGATAGCGCACGGCTGCCTGCGAATCTGCGTGTAGACCTGCGAGAACAAGCCGAGATCGATGCCAAACCTACCATCGAAGACCCCGAACTAATACATCAGCGATTGAACAGCCTCCGGACAGAGCTCGCCAATGGCATCATCACAGCAGATGAATACACGCGCCGTGCCGAGGACCTCCACAACTCCCAGACCATACAGCTATCGCGCTCGCTCGCTGGCATGGAAGCCAATATACCGCACACCACAGAAGCTCCTGAACCGCCAGTAGAAGGTATAGATCTCTCAGAAACAGCGCCTGGTTATATGTCCCCCGCGCATGAAGAAGAATACCTCGCTCTCCTGGACCAAGCCTTCGCCGATCCCAACGCGTTTGATGCCCGCCCTATCCGCATACCCTCTAGCCATCCTCCGCCCACCGATAAAGATCTATCGGTACGAAATCCAGATAGTGTCTACAACTGGCTTCGAAAGCACCAACCGCAAGTGTTTCTGCAGGACAAGGACCCCACACACCCAGAAAATATGTCTGAGAAGGCCGCCCCAAGGGCAAATGCAGGGGCTCGTGGAAAACGCCAGTCGGCTGCGGCAGGCACGCCAGGTCCGAAAACAGATCACGAGGAAGATGACGGATTTGATCCCGAGTCAGGTGCGGCAGGGAAAGGAGGGCGGAAGAGCAAGGGCGGTGAAAACGACTCAGCTTACAGGCCTAAGGGGGGAAGCAGTCGTGCACCCAAGCGGAAGAGGGAGGACGGAGAACCTACAGGGAAGGGCAGTAAGAGGAAACGCCAAAGCGCAGCGGGGGTCGCTGCGTGAGCTTTTAGCTGTGGTGAAAAGAATAATCTTGAAACCTGAGAGCTGCCGGGTCATTCCATGACTGGGCACGTTCTTTTTACTTCCTTCGCGAAACATAACACCTTGTTTGACAATTGGCGGAATGGGAAACACTGCATGGTATAGGCGCATTGAAAGCAACGGTGTTTGGTTTTGATAACATACCAATGTGGGACTAGCAGGCATTCAGGCAGGAGGCGGACTGATATATTTCTACCAGGAACGTACTCCTACATGACCTCCATCTTCTTTGTATTCCTACATGTTTAGTGCTGCGCCGGCACCGACAGGAACACGAATATGTTACAGTGTACAACATGATATACAACACCTGCTGCTTCCACCTTCCCCTCGGTTCCTTGACCTTTGAAAATGCAAGTCAAAACAGTCCTGTAATGCTCTTCAAGCCCCTCAAGCTCTTCATCGAAGTGCCCTGCCTCGGGGCCCACCTGCCATCACCGGCACAGGCTCCGCCATCGCCGCAGGCAAACTGTTAGCCACGATGTTCTTCCCATCGACTATTTCTCCGTTACCCGCCTTCTGGTCATCCAACTGCAGCATCTGCTTCCTCTTGTTCTCGAGATATTGCTTCTTCTCCGGCGTCAATATCCACTCCTTGGGAAATTGATGCCTGACCTTCGGCTTATGGTGTCTGAAATCAAAGGGCACGTCTGCGAACGTGTCTTTCCCATCCTTCGCCTCCTTGATTAAGTTCGTAATTGATTCGCCGAGGAAGCGCTTGTTCTGGGCTTGCGTGTCAAAGGACTCGCAGGACATTTTGATGATGTCGGTGGAGGGGTTGTAGCGTACGCCGGCGAGCTTTATGAGCTTGTCGCGCTGGGTGGAGTTGAGGGAGAGGTCGGAGGAGGAGAACTCGACGACGACTTTGTTGGTGGCGGGGTGCGATTCGCCGAGGTAAGAAGTGTAGCGGAAGCGGAAGGGGTTGCGGCGGTGGGTGGCTCGAAGGGGCGGGCGAGTTCTGAGCATCATTTAGTGTCTATCCCACACGATCTTATGATATGTGATGAGGAAAGGTGAAAGACGTACGGTTCAACAACGGCAACTCCCACGCAATCAATCTCGCATACTCCCTCAACTCCCTATGCTGCTCCAACTCTCCATGGCCCAAACTCGTCACATCATCCCCATAGTAATCCTCGTCTTTCCCCAGAGTCGGTTCTCCCTCACCCCAGAACCCAACCTTCCGCGTGTCTTCCTCTGGGATGACCCAGTCGTCATCAATCATCTCTTTGGTTTCCTCGTTGTTCAGCCACGATACGCCTTCCTTCCCCTTGCGGATCGCATCTTCAATGATCTCCGGGTCCAGTGCCTTCAAGTCCTCCACGAGCTGCCGAAGCGCTTCTCCACCGGTCGACTTCTGGGGCGTTACATCAGGGTTGATCGCTTCTTCGATTGGGTCCGAAGCGGGTGCGCCGGGGATGGCGGCTTCTTTGGGAGGACCTGGGTTGTTTTTATCTGCGCGGCGAGCGGGCGTGGTGGAGAGCGGCCGTATTTGCCATTGGGTTGTGCATTTAGGTGCTACGTATGGTGAGGGTGCTCTCGACGGACAGCGCCGCGATAATAGCACGAGTCGCCGTGATATCGAAGCCATTGCGGGAATGGATTGGCGATGCGCAGGGCGTCAACTTTTCGCGATGGGCGGACCCCCGAGTGCCAAGCTTTTGTGGAAGAAAGTGCGGCCGGGGCCGAGCTCATACCCGGTACACCTTTTATCTCATGAACTTCAACCCGTATAATGATTCCCCAGAACGCTAGAAACGATTGAAACGAACGCTGGATCCTGGGTTTGGATGAGCCTCTTACACCGGTGTACATTCTGGATACATCATTGGGATTAATTATGTCGAAGCTGTGCTTCGTTACAACCGGCGCAACAGCACCTTTCACCAAACTTATCGTGTCGGTCTTGTCTACACCGTCTCTGGATGCTTTCCTGCAATGCGAAGTCACCCACATATTCATCCAGTATGGGACCGCCAAAGATGTTTATGAGACTAGCGCCCAAGCCGCCCGTGCGTATCTGAAGCAGAAGGGAGCTGAGGAAAAGCTGGAGATCGATGGCATGGACTTCGACTCAAGCGGACTGAGCAAGCAATTTAAGCTGGTCCAAGAAACCCAGGGCCTCGCTATCTCTCATGCCGGTTCTGGGTCCATACTCGTAGCTTTGCGGTTTCAGGTCCCGCTCATCGTGGTGCCCAATACTGCGCTCTTGGACAACCATCAAGAAGAGTTGGCGGTCGCGATGGATAGGGCAAATTATGTTATTCACGGCAATGTTGACAACCTTGCGCCCGCGATTAAGGCCTTCGAGGATTTCCGGGCGAAGATGGCCCAGTTTCCGCCTATCACGGCCGGGAAACAGCGCCAGAGCAAGAGTTTTGCAGATGTTATGGATGAGACTGTGGGCTTTACGGACTTCAACAATGAGTGATTGCGCTTTTCCGGACGAGGAAGGTTTCCTCAAGCTCGATGTCATTACCCTAAACATTCAAGTATATGTGCAGAGTTCGCTCAAACCACAGAGATGCCATCCCGACTCTCGGAACCCTTCTCTGGACAGCTGAAGTGGAACATCGACGACTGTACATGGCTGAATGGTCTGTTGGACGATGCTACGTCGTACCCAATCATTGCGCCTATACCACAATGGGATCAAACTTAATCCTCCGACCTACTCCCCTATGAAAACGACTAACCTTCTGAAACTCTGAATAGCGGGGTTTCAGAAGGCACGAGTTCGGACCCTTCCGACCTGGCGGCGGCGGCGGCGTAGTACATCACAAGTCATGCACCCTCTGACGAAGGAAGCGGGAGTCATTTCATTCACTGCACCGCCGCATAGCAGAGAGCAGACGCCGTCCAAATGTTTTATATATCGCGTTAGAGAACGCCCACTTTGACTTTCATTCACAGTGTTACGGGAACGGGACTTGATGCATAGTCAAGAGGTTGCGACTGCTTGACTACCATAGATCGCAACGTAATTCAAGATTGCCATAATGTTTGTTGTAATCCTTGTTTTGATACGTGTACTCTTCTTTCCTTTCCTAACCTTCACGCACATTTCCCTTCCATTCTTTCGTGATGAACCTGACAGAGGTATGTATTGGATCGCCGAGCACACGTCGCAGCAGGTGAGAGAGCAATGGTGTCGCAGTATTGTCTTTCACCTTCACCTGTTGAGGAGGCTGCGCAATTACTTTTGCGCTCCTGCTTGCAACTACTTGTATCCCCGCTGCCACCCGCTTTGTGGTCGGCTTCTTCTTGTACAATCCCCAAAGACATGCCAGTCTAACCCTTCAACTCATCAGTAGCTGCCAAAGCTCCGAGGGTTGCGATGTTTAACACGCAGAGAAACGCCCAAATGATTCCACCAAAGCGGGAAGGTGGGTCCAACACTTCCTGCCACTGAGGTAAACCAACTGACACGCCTAGGATCGCCGCTTGCTTCCGATCGTGCACAGCCTCCAATGTCAGCAAAGCCTACACGAGGAACGAGACCCCATTCTTCGCATGCTTTCAGTCAGAAGCCAGCAATCGATGCTCAACGCCTGGCCAGGTTGGCGACCGAAGAAGCATATCAGTTTATTCGGAACCTTCCCTACGAGGGCGAAGAGAAGCAGTATTTACTCAATCTGTTGCACACCCGATTAGAGCCTCCTTGGGACACAGCTAATCACTGTACTGTCGTCTTGGGGAGGACAGGACAAGGGAAAACGTCCACGATTAATTCCGTTACCGGCCACGACCTCGGAAATGCCGTAAGTCTAGCATACCGATGAAGCAAAATCAATTGCTAATATTACCTAGATAGGCGGAACCAGCAGTGTGACAAATATCGTAATGGAGTTCCGTCAGTGCTACAACGGCCAGAAAACACCATTCCTGGTTCAGATATTCCTCTACAGCAAGCCATATGTCATCAAGATGTTTGAAGAAGGTCTCCTTGAATACCGCCAGTGGCGGTCCACCCAACCTGAAACCAATGACGGAGACGACTCCGATGACGAGGACATCGAAACTGCAGAAGCTCCTACTCGGCTAACAACCATGATCCTCGATTTGAAATTCTTGCGGCAGGAACAAGGTTTCTCTGATCATGACGCAGCAGAGCAATTTCTTGAGAGGTTCGAAGACGTTGAGATCTTGCGTCTCTTCAAGAAATGGATTGACCATCTTTACCGTGCTATCCAGGGAGGCGATGCTATTTCAAGTAAAATAGAAAAGGGTTACGCTACAGTGGATGCTGTAAAAAGGTTCATCGCTCCCTTCGTCCGGAAAGCATCAGAACCTTTCGCAGAAGGAACTGACGCAGAGTGCTGTCCGTATCCACTCGTTGAGAAGGTAGTTATAGCTTCACGTTCGGAGGTCCTAGACAAAGGAAACATAATCAAGGATGCACCTGGGGTCGGTGACACGAACAAAGCATATGTCGATCGAGCTTACAAGGCCCTGAGAGATGCTGACAAGATCATGATCGTCTCTGAGATGAAAAGGTGTCTCGCGAAGAACGAGGTCCTTGCGACAATCAAGACCGCGCTCAAGAGAAGAGGGCCGGGCAATGTCCTCCTGGTATTTACGCATTCTGCGGCAAGTTTTCCGACTCCACCAAACCGCTTGATCATCTCAGATTGAGCTAACGTAGCCTTTAGGAGATCGAAGAGAAGATCAAGACTGAAACCCGCAGGCGTTTCACAAGGGAAGAACGTCAAACCTACGCTTCCCTCGAACGACAGATCGCACAGATAAATAAGGAGCTTCAGCGGCTGAAAGAACAAGAAGAATATGCGGACGAATTGACAACTAAGCGAGAGCTAGAGCGCCAGATATGGGGGAAGAAGTATGTCTTATACGTAACCAAAAAGTGGACTGGCTAACCAATGATAGAAAAAAGCGGAATGAGCTTGGGAATGCGTAAGTAACTCAAATGACATGCAATGGACAGTGAAAAGTACTGCCTTGCTCTAGAGAGACCTCCTACTGACAATGTACAAGTGAATTCGAACTCCACGTCGTTGCACGGAACCAACAAACGATAGTAGACTTCCGTGGAAAGCTATTGTCCAAGAAAATCTGGAAGAAGAATTACCCGAAGCTCGTCATAATCTGCATAGACAATGAAGAGCACAACAAGTATGCCCAAGGTTTCCTTCCGTGGACCCCTGATGAAAGAGATGAAGCTCCACGACTGTCCCAAGAAGCTACTGGCATTCCGGCCTTGAGAAGAATCATTGAAGACTTCCCTGCCGACGGTAGATGGGCGATCTTGAAGCATCACATCTACGAAACGTGGGATTGTACAATGAATTCGCTCGAAATGTCCGGTACTGTCAGTATGGCGCAGAGAAAAGCTGAAGTTGACGAGCAATTCGCTGGAAGCTGTCAGGTTTGTGGAGGTCTTCGTTATCTTTCTATTACGCTGACACTGTACAGAGTATCGTAACGGACATTGTAGAGCAATTCCAGGGCCTCATGGACGGATACGTAGAGTGTGCAAAGGATCATATGGGTACGTCCTTTTGTGCTTTGTTTCTTCTTTGACAACATTAACAACGTATCAGTGCAAAAGGAGACATCATGGACTGAAGGAGGCGTCAGAAATCATGCAGATTTTCAGAAGTCGATGAAACCTGCTACACATCAAAGCCTCATGAAGAAGCATGGTACTTTCGCCCTCCCTCATCCATATGTATAGTCGCTAACAGCATGATGCAGGCCTAACCACTACTGCGATGGGCGAGTTCGACCTCAATGAGAAGCTCTACGAGGAGCCACGAAAGGTTATTTTAACCAGCTTGGATGATCTGAGCAAGGAAAGGATTCCGCAATTCTTCACTGAGCTGATCCAAGGTATTCGTGGCACTGTTGAGGGGCTGTTCAACGAATTTGAGCGTGAGTCGATCTTGCAAACAGCACACTTCACCGCTTACAAGGCCTTTCATTTCCTTTTTACTGACAAGCGACTCATAGATGGTCCACAATATGACTCCGTAGGCCTCAGTGCGAAGGTACAGGCAGGCATGCGCGTTCGCCAAAGGAGGCTTGAAACCACTTGTATTGCAGCGCAGAGAGACGCGACTAGAATCATCAGGTACGTCCCATCTATTACACAGATTCGACCGAACTAATCCCCTTTAGGGACATACATGATCGCGCCTTTGAGACACACGGCAAATACACGTACTTCTACACAGCCTTCAAGCCTGCCTACGACGCAGCAAATGGGGCCCAGAAGATAAAGAGTAAGTTTTTGTGTATCTGAAGCCTGAAAGTTGCTTTGCTAAAGTGTATACAGAGAAGACCCTCCACTATGCCCGGTGCAAAGCCTTTGAGCAAGCTCTCACAGTCCCCGACGGGCCGTACTACCAGCTCCACACCACGATATTCGAAGAGCTGATCGAACATCTCGAGAATCTGAGAGAAAAGCTCATTCACGACATCAAGAGTGTACTTGGGGAGATCCAGCATGAGATCAACATGGCCTGCTCAAGAAAGGATGATAACTCGCCCGAAGCGAAGGCGTTCCGACGGGAAGTCATGGGACAGAATGACAAACTCAGGGAACTCTTTGCCAACCGCATTCGGCCATGTTTGGACGAAGCGGTGAAGATGTCTAGGGAGCAACGAGCACAAGAGAGGGCCAATGAGCGGACACTGATGGTGTAAGCGCTGGTCCAAGCGAGGGGTCTTTCCTTGCCTTTACCCCTTTGATTTGGATACATTTGAGATCGGTTTCTGCTACCCCAAAGCAGTCTCGCTTGGAGTGGAAGATATTTGGGTATACCGAAAGGGATTGTACCCTTTTACGGCAATGGACTACAGGCAGCATCTGGAAGAAGGGTTCGGTACGACTGAATCAATGAGCACAAGAGATGCGTCATTTTGAAGATACTCTCAAATCCGACTTTGCAGAACTAGTTTCGCAACCAGACGAGCATCCCAACTTATGACTAAGTAAATCTGCCGTAGGATTTCCATATAAAGTTTCATCAGATTCCATTCCAATTTTGAAGTCCTGATGTGTATAATGCAATAGGCACTCTTTTCGAGCATGAATTGCAACAGACTAAGAGTGTACTATTCCTACAAAACGAGTAACATGTGTAGGTATCTTCCGTTAGCAAACGACGCCAACCCAAGTGCCGATACACCAATCCCCTACCAATACTCAGTACAGATCCTTCCGACTTGTCACTATGCCCCAACTCCTAGTAACCCCTCCCATTCGCCCTCTCCCATTCCGTCAACTCCCCTTCTCCTTCGTCCTCAATCATTGGCTCCATCGCATAATATCCTCCGAACAGACTCGCCCCCAGCTGATACCCGGGCTTGCTGTAATAATCCATCATGCGCCCCATAGTCACCGGGGGTGGCTCGTAGTAACCCTGCTCGTAGTATTCCTCGCCCCGCGGATAATCCTGCGGCGTCTCTATATCCAGCGCGGATGACGACGTGCTGAAGCTGTAGGAGTGTTGGGGGAACGATGGCGCTGCGACACCGGTGTCGATGCGGAGGGGCCCGAGGGCAGTACGGAGAGGAGAGGGCAGGGGCGAGGTTTGGGTGGACGTTGAGGAAGTTGATATCGACACTGGGATAGCCGCTGTATCTGCTCCTAAGGCTGGTGGCGGTGAAGGTTCGATTGGCGTTGTTGATATGGCGGAGAAGTGCATGGAGAGGGCTGGTGGAAGGGTGTATGCGGCGGTCGAGACGACGGGCGTTGAAGTGGGTGAAATTGGTGATGTTTGTACAGTGGTGCTGATGATTTGTATAGATAATGCTGGAGGTGGAGAGTTTTCGATGACTGGTGCTGCGACTTGTGAGATCGGTGTTGTGGTTACGCTTGACTTGGTGATGTGAAGAGATAATGGTGCAGACCTATCTGAGATAGGGGACATTCGAGCGGCAGCCTTGGCTTCTTGCAGAGACAGCAACGGGTGCGGCTCCTCAGTCGCCATCGGTGACTCAGTCTGATCTGGTAGTTGGAACGGTGGCGAAATCGAACGTGTAGCAAGCGGCTGCTCGGCTGTTCGTTGTTTAAGTTGGAGAGCTCGTACTTGGGGTGATGATGAGGATGTCGTCTCTGATCTTGACGTCCACAGCCTTGCCGCTGACCACAGCTTTGCAGGTGTCGAAGTTGGGAACGTAGGTACAGATGGTACGAGTGGTAAGGGAGGTGGTGGTGATGGAGATTGTTGTGGAACTTGCTTTCCCTCCGGTATTCGTGGAATAAGTCCACCTTTGAAGGACATACTCAAGGGTCGTAGTCTTTTCGTAGATTGAGCAGACGGAGGGATCGGCGGAAGAGCGATTGGGGTGTCTTCTTCGACCAACTCGTTTGTCGCATCGTCGTTTTTGCTTTCTGAGAATGAGGATGGCCTGGATGGGATTGTAGTCTGGGTACTTGAAGGCCGCGACGACAGCTGTGGGCTTGTCGAGGAATCGGAGCCCAGACTTGCGTGCGATACGCTTGATGCCCGAGATTCTGGTTGCGGATTTAGTGAGTGCAACGAAGCGTCTGAGTTTGATCGAATCGAGCGCGATAGACTAGGTGGTCGTCCATTGATGAAGGATGATCTCCTACTTGACGCGGGTGACTGTGACTCAAGATCAGGGAAATTCTGTCTGTTGCTCTCGTCGGATCGCGGTCGCATGAAAGATATGGTCCTTGATCTTCGAAGAACACGCTTCTCTACCAGCTCTTCAGGCGTAGGTTCCTTCTTCTCCGGCTCCGGCTCCTTGTATTCTAGCTTGCCATTGCTATCCGACGCAAAGAACTCGCTTCCGCGGCCGAATACCACTTGCAAGCTTGCAAAGTCTCGTTCATCAGCCTTTTCGAAGAGGAACTCTTTCAGATTTAACGGTAAATCGTAGCCGTCTCGGAGAAAGTTAGCGTTGCGTTTGAGCTTGATAATAGTTGTGGACTACTTACCTTGCCGATATGCGCCTCCTCTAGTCTTCCAACAAACATAGTAGCGCTCGAAAGCTCCAAATGCGCACACAATAACATCCTCCAAGCTCTCCGGGTCTTCAGGGTCGTCCGGTATCTGAGCGAGGCGTTCGTAAAGACGGGCTGAAGAGCTCATCCTGGTGGAGTCTTCTGTTTACTGAGTGGTAACAAGATCCAGATATTCATATACACATTAAGTCGTAAGATATTGTGATTCGTCGTCCTGCGGTAATTGCCCTAGCGAAGCGCAGCTTCTCTCAAGAAAATCGCGGCGTCGTCGCCCAGGTTCCCAAAGGTGAAGCAGAATCGAAGTAACCAGCCACCAGCAATCCGTTCTTAGAGCCAACACATCGCAAACTGTCGAAGGCGTCCCTAGGTACAACGCTCAAATCGGCATCTCGCCCCGCTGATTCATCATTATGCACGCTCTACTCACTAGAGCACCCAAACACGAACGCTTCAGAATGCACATAAGTCGCGTGAGCGCTCACGCCGGGGATTTCCAGACGCCAGTGAAGCGGTTACAGAGCTCTAGCGGGACTCGGTGGTTCGAGTTTCAGATACGTGAGGGCACGTGCGCATGGGGAGATCCGCCAAAAGCCACATGCTGAGACAGAGACAGGGGCTCTGGTGCCGACGTGGAGGATCGAATGGAGGGATATGGGTTCATGGAATTTGAGATGGAAGATAGAATGCACAGGGACGATGCATAGAGGCAAGACGCTAGCGTGGATTATATGACTTCAACACCAAGTGCATCTTCACATGTTCGCTCTAGACAGCGTCCGGGGAATATGGTCTGAATTGACCAGATTGTCATGAATACCTCATTAAAATATGTGTCGGCCAAACGCAAGCTTCTGCCAACAGATCTCTTGAATATTCGAACGCGAACTTATGGTTTGCTCTCGATCAATCAAGGAGCCCACGATGGATAGTGGATATCACAACCATCAAAGTATATTTTAGGTTTTCTCTCAACAGTCAAGAGTCCATAATTGGTATTGGACATTACAACTACCAAACACCAAAACAAGCCAAAAGTACAACGTCAAATCCTTCTCTCCGCCTCCCTCTCCCCCCTCCTAGCAAAATCTCTAGTCCCTTCCCTCGTCCTCTCGCTCGTCGACCTACCGCTCTCATTGCGCCGTCCGCTAGGCATTTCTCGAGCGGTCACCGTCCGTCTCAGCGGTGGCTCTCTGCCTTCATTCCTCGATCCATTCATCCTAGTACTACTCGTATTACTTGTGCTCGCGTTGCTCGCCGTGCTGTCACTCCTATCTCTACCCGTACTGACCATGTCATCAATCTCGCGATATAGGCTCGAGGTTGTTCTACTGCGGTCCACGCCGTTGCGGACTGGTGCTGTGTTTGTGCGAGCTAAAGGTCTAGGAGAGGGTCGCTCGCCGCGTTGCAATGGAGGGTCTGCTCTTTGTCGTAGGATGGGTGATGATCTGGGGGTTTCGCCGCGCTGTGATTGTGAGGATGTTGAGTCGTTTCGGTCGCGTGGTACAGGTGAATCTCTTGGACCGGGAGGTCTGGTGGTTCTGGTACTTCTCGGTGAGTCTCGCGACGTGGTGGCACTTGGTCGTCGCTGTTGATCTGGAGATGTATCTCGAGTGCGCGAAAACGTCAAGCCTTGCTTACGATTCAGTGGTTCTGATCCGGACCGTTCTCGATCGGGTGAATTGCGCCGCTGACTATTCCCTCTAAACAGTCCCACTGGTAACGGAGGTAAAGTATCGTTAGGCACAGTTGTCGACGGTCCCTTCAAGGATTTCTTCCGCTGCAGAAGGTTTTGTTCATCAGGCCCATCCTTGACCACCGCCGGATCAGAAGTCGTGGACGACCCCGAAGAAAGCCTTGCAAACACAGCGGGGTCAGAAGCAACGAGCGGGGCACTTGGCTGCAATTGCGTCTTTTCAAGTTGCGGCGGCGTGGACACCAATGGCGATGAAGCCTTGAGTTCTCCGTACATTTGCAAGATCTCATCCTCGTCAATCTTAGGTGAATCCGAGTAGTCTGAAGCAGGATCAGAGAGGGATGGCACGTTACTTGTTGGACGAAATTCAGCTTTTGCGAATGTGGTCTCGTTCTTCGGAGGCTGTCCCATAGCCCAGGATTCAAACATTTGCGCTTGGGACATTGCTCGTGTACCGCTCATTCGGTTGAGCTTGGGCGTGGGACGCTTGTCTGTTGGTGGGGACACCTTCAGAGGAGCTGGAGCAACGGGTGTTGTTTCCTGAGCTGCGCGAACAGGGGGAACTGGGGCTTGCCGTGGTGTTTCGAACGCACTTTCTCTATACGTTCTTTCCGGAGGTGAAGCTTTCTGCGGCGGCTGTGGTGGCGTTTCCGGACGCCGGATAACAGGCTTTGGTGTAGCTAGAGGAGGGGGTCTCTCAGGCTCAGGCTCAGGCTTCGATGTAGCTAGAGGCGGAGAGGGTGTCCCAGGCTCCGGTGCAGGAGCAGGAGGCAACACAATGTTCTCCACCGGAGGAGGCATCGCCGGATCCTCTCGATTATATGCTGGCGGCGGCGACCTCGGCGGCAACATCTCCTGTTCAAAGAACAATGGTCTGGGCGGATCACTAAAGATACTCTTCGGCAGTTTAAACGGCTTCAACGGCTCCGGCGCCTTTTCCTCGCTCGGCACGCCTACACCCGGCGGGCTCAACTCGGGCTGCGCTGTAATCGGATTATCAACAGGCGCATCCTCCTTTGTTTCCACAGCGCGCTTCGTAGTCTGGTCTTGTTGTCTCTCTTCGCCGTCTTTCTTCCATCTCTTTTCTTTCCTGGCAAGTTCGATCTCGAGCACGCGCGTCCCCTCTGCGACTTTCGATTTGAGGCCGTCGTCGTCTTTGTCGAAGTAGAGCGCCCATCGAGTGGGGAACTCTTCGACCGCGCACCATCCTTCCCAGCCATCGAAGGTGAGCCGTCGGTCTTGTCTTGTGCAGTCAAAAGGGCCTGTGAGATTGGGTTGCGCGTCAAGGCGGACGCCGTATTTGACTTCGTACGTGTCTTTGTCGACATAGATCCAGTTCATGATTGGCGCTTCGTCGGTGATCGTAGTCACGAGCCCCTCATATTTTGAGTCGGGGTAGGGCAAATAGTACCCAGCGTAAGGATGTCCAAAGGCGCCTCCGTCGCTGGTCCCGGTATCAATCCACAACTTCCCGTCTTTGAGAACAATAGGGCGACCATTGATCTCTCGGCTCCGCAAGGAGGACTTGACACATGATGCTATGAGGTTGCATCGACGTGCGCGGTGCTCTTCCCTTTTTTCCTTGGACTGCGATTGTCGGATAGCTTCCTGGGTACCAAGTAAAGCTGGTGCAGCAACGATGGCGACGAGGATGGATAAAACCATCGTAGGGACGATATCAAATGAAAAGAGCTGGGAAGATGTCGTGGCAGGGATTCTTCATATCGGATTGGCAATGCGCATACAAGTCGGTCCAGCGCGCTCAAACGCTCCCACAAGTGGATGAAAGTTGATACCTTCCATCAGTCGGCTGGAAGTGCGACGCTGCCTGTCGAACTGATCAGCATCCAGAGAACAGTGTTTCGATGGCCCTCGCCCACCTCGATTGAGCACTGCGACTGGAAGCTCCATGGCTTGCCGCCGATGGTCTGACATGTACCTTCGAAACTCCTTGCCATAGCCGTGCTCCCATTGCCAAAATGTCGATATGTGAATTCACACACAGCACATGCAGTAGTCAACGTGCGCATATACCCCATTGACCATCTTGCGGCGCGTCCTCCACGAATTCACCAAGAACGCAAATCGCAAGGTTCCAGACTGCACACAGATGAGCTGATAATGGTACGAGAGCACCCCAAACACTGCGTGCCCCTGTCAGTCTTGTCCGTTTCAGCACGCGTCGCAACACGTGAGCAGCGTTATTCCCCAACAATGTCGCCAAAGACGAACCATCTCTGCTTGCCGAAACCCGCAAGTGCCACAAGTGCTGTTTCGAGCACATGCATAGCGCATTTGGCGATAATCCACCTCGCCAGTACGACCGCTTCGGTAGGAGCATTTGTCTGTGCAGCATGCCGCTAACACCATGCGGGACGTACAGTGTAGACAACCTTATGGCTGAAGCAAATACTTAAGGCATCCATCCAGCGCAGCAGAATAAAACTCCAGACCAGTTGATCTGCTTCTCACCACATCACCAACCAGCAAAAACAATAAAAAGCGGCCAGGACGCCTTTCACTTCGACAATCCACTCACTGCCATTATCTCGCACACCTTGTCGGTTTTAATCTACCTCTAATCTACATTCACAATGTCGTAAGTAACCTTGCGGGCTTCTCGATGGAGTAGATGTTGACAGCAACAGTGACACCGCAACCCGTCCCGCTGGCTACATGAGCGACTCCGATGACGGCCAGGCTTCCGGCGGCCGCAAGGTCTCCGCTAACGTCGGTGCCATGCCACAGGCACCTTCATCCTCGAGCCTCAACCGCCCCGCAGGATCCATTGTCAAGGGTCCCGTTGACGACAATGGCAAGCTGAAGGACGCTGCTTTGCTCCTCGGTATCAAGCTCGACTTGGAGGCGGAGATTCACTTGACGGCACGGATACGTGGAGATATTACGATTGGATTGTACTGAGCTATGCTATGGTTGATATGTTGGAAGAGCAGGGCCACTTCGCATGACCAGAGGAACAACGACGTGTTCGTCTGATGACAGCAACGAGGTTTCGCGGAGTCATGGTATGACTGAGTTTAGCTATGAGGATGGACACCGAGAGTTCATAGACAGTGGAGTACATGATATCCTGAGCTGGCAATGAATGTTGTTTTTGTTGGTTGAATTGGCAGCTTCTTCATCATGATATTTGTAGTCTTCAACGCGCTAAGACAGGTAAGAACATTCTCGCAAGAGTCTGCAGGTGATCACAGGAGATGAGACGTCTGGGTCATATCAAGTTCTCCAGAAAGTCAAATACATGGTTCTGCAAAGACAGCATTAGCGCGTGACTTTGTGAAATGCAAGCAAAGCGAAGGCTATAAGAAGTTTTTCAGACTCATGCCCTGTCACAGGCGATTATCACCATTGCCGTAGCTCGGTAGACCGTCGTGATAAATTGAAAACTCATCTTCTAACGTAGGAAATAAAGACAGCAAGATGAACTTACACAAAGGATGCACAGTCAGTCAGCTGTGGCCAGAGGGAATCTATACGTTGTATTAGTTAGCGTCTCGTGAAGTTGCAAGAGCGCATGGATCGTGTCGCAGATCAGAGGTGACAGTCTCGTCTTCGCCGAGGCTTGGACATATGCTTGTCATTGTTTGCGTCGATTCATCATAGTGCAGGGAAGCAAGGGAGATGGGTGAGTCGTACAATATGCAGGGCATGATGATCTGTATTCAAGTCAGCTGGGGCCTTGCCACAGTGGTTTAACATGACAAGATACAGTTGAAGCTCAGTTATGCATGAATGGTATTAAAAAGATGGTGTCTTCAGTGGGAATCCCGTCAGACTCGTCATCTAAAGAGGTCTCCTCATAAGATAGGAAGGGGAAGAGCGAAGGGAACCTTACCACACATATGTTGCTGTCACACTGGCATGTGTAAATGTTCTGTCCAGCTTCACGCCTTGTCAGCGCAGCTCACACTGTTGTTCTAACGTGTAATGTGTGTTGGCAAGATCAGTGGGCGAGGTTTTCTAGGCCTGCCACAAAAAGAGCTTATCCGTCAAGAATTGTCGGTGCCCAGTGCCGATATTTCATCAAGGTGCGAGGTCGTAGGGAGGGATGAGCGAGGTGATGCGTACCGACAGAGCAAGGTGCTCAGACTAAATCTGTACGAAGACGTATTAGCAAGGTGTAACCCAAGTATTGCAGACGAGTTCGTAGAGATGGAAGCAGATCAGATAACAGCCTAGATTTCTCGGCATCGACATAAGTCTAAGCCAGTAATTCCAGCTGTGCCGAAGCACAGATTGCTCATCATGGAAAGCGCGAAGGAAGATAGGAAGGGCGACGTACCGAGGACGACAAAGCTCCAGCGCCGTATCACTAGGCGGCTAGGCTGGAGCAGACGCCTGATTACCATCGCAGGCCTTGGAGGTCATCATCACAAGAAGATTTAATGCGTCTGCTTCTGGTCAGCGCGATTCTCGTGAGAAGGTTGCAACAAATAGCGGCTGGACCAATCTTTTCAGACTGACGTGCAAAGCTTGAGTTTCATTTCCCGAAGGATCAAAGACTCTAGTTTGTAAATGGCTATTCGTATCATCATGTAGATGTCGCGGTTGGAAAAAAGAAGAAAACTCACCAATTAGTGCAAGACCCCGCCACGCGTGCCTTCCGAAGTGCAATATTCGGCGCCTGAAGGAGGCATCGCGTCGCGAGGTATCAAGAAGCTCTCATGGTAGCATGCTTTGTGTTGAAAGCAAGCGCAGCGCTGTGGTGTTGTGAGAGAGAAAGTTCGAAGCTCAACTTCGATTTTCTTGCGGTCCACAGTGGCCCGTGCGGTAATGTGGGTCATTACTTGGCGCTGATGATCACGTGCTGTCTCTCCAGCCCCGGAGTTCCACGCTTCAACTCAGTCTCCCAGGCCACGCGCCAACGGTCGTCGAAACGTATATCTTTAACCTTCCTTATCTCTATCAATATAGACTCTATCAATACAGAGAAGTAGCTCTTCCAGATGACGCAGAAAGATAGCTAGAGATTTCCTTTATTACGAGGCTCAAGGAGAGAAAACTTTCCCGTAATTATCAGGTTCTTTAGGATAAATAAGATCAACTTTTGTGAGTGCGTGCTTTTAGCGTGAGCGCGTGTGTGTGTGTAAAGTCAATAGAAAATCCAAACGTCTCCACGACCTCAAATCTGCGCCACAAATGATTCAGTAAGACGAATCAAGCTCACCACACATCACGGGAAAAGAATCAGCCTATCACTCAAGCATGCATTCAGCTAACGATGCCTATGCCTGCGTACCCAACTCCAGACCTGCTATAGGGGTATCTATCATCACCAGTCTATTCTCAGTCTCCCATCTCCTCCATTTCGTTCCGACCAAACAGTAAAAATCGAAATCGCTAAAAACGCCCTAAAATGCAATGGCCACAGCCACCTCCCAATCCAACCCTCTCCATATCAAGTACCAAGATAATAATGAAAACTCCACAGGATATGCTCAAATCCTCCCCCCTTCAACAATCTCCCTTCCAATCAACTCCAACTCGCCACTCTCGGCCGTCCGCCTCCTTTCCAGCACCCATCTTCCCTCTCCACACTCGTCATGCTCGCGCACATAGGCCACGCTATCCGCAGCCGAGCCCTTCCTGCTGTGGCCCGCTCGCCAGCCTCCGCCGCTCGGCGTCGCAGGACTGGTTGTGCTGATTGGTGAGATCAGCCCGAGAGACTGGCGGCGTGGCGCAGAGCAGTTCGTTGCGGTGGCCGAGGAGAGGGGTGGTGAGGTTGTGGAGGGTGGAGGGTGGAAAGACGTGTGCAGAGTCAATGGCGGTGGAGGCTGGAAGTGGTGGCTCACTGCGGGCGGGGACGTCGGTAGGGGAAGATTTGGCGGGGATTGAAGAGGCATGACAGAGGGCGAATGGAGAGGGTAGTTAGCGGGCGACACTGGAAGCGGGATGGCGGCGGGTGGTATAGCAGGCGGAGAATGCAGCGGCATGAGCGGGATAGGTTGAGGTTGGAGATGCGTCTGCGACATTGGACTGGATAGCGAATTGTAATCGCTTGCCGTCAATGTTGGGCTGTCGGGGCGCTCCTCGTAGGCCTCGTCATCGTCGAAGGCATCGCCGCCAAAGTCCTCGTGGACAGAGTCCATGAGCGCTTGGTCGTCTTCTTCGGACTCATTCAGGCTCTCCAGTATAGCAGCAGAACCATCGCTCTCTAAAGAGTATTCGTTCTGCTCCCGCATGCGATTTCCAGCCGGGCTTGCCGCGCGCGGGACGAACTGCATGCCCATGGGTGACGAGTTTCTCGGGCTCCCACCTGGACTGCCCGCAGGCAGACTGGCTGTACTGCCAAATGCACCCTTTCGTAATCTCATCAGTGCGTCAAGACTCATGTCTTCTTCGTCACGCCACCCATAGGGGCTGATTCGAGCGAGCTGTGCTAGAGCCGGGCTGGTAAGAGATTGACCCATAAAGCCGGGGCTGGTGATTGAGTTCGTGCCGTCGCCAAGGTTCCTAACGCTGATGAAAGAGTTGCGGGTGCTGTATTCGCTGCGTTCGGTGATGGGCGTCAAGTTGGGCTCGCGCATCGCATTGCGGCCGCTGACACTTCGACCTACTCCAGAGGGACCGAAGTATCCACCGTACGCGTTGAGGGCTTCACCTTGTGGACCAGCGTAGAATCCAAACTCTTGCCCGTAAAACCCATCATCGTCATTCGCTAAGGCCTCCGAGTTGGCCTCTGCAATCATCATCTCGTCATCCATCAAATCGTCATATTCGCTGTAGTCGTAGTCATCGAAACTTGAACTCATACCGAGACCGTCGTCCTCAGGTGGAAAGCCGGTGGTTTCCTGACTGAATCGACCGTCATCGGGGATAAGACTGGGTCGCGAATTGCTGATCGAAGAAGAATCGTCGGCATCGGAGCTTGACCGTCCGATATCGACGCTCGCCTTCCTCGCGAAACGTCCTTCCGCTTCCGCACGATTCGCAGCTTCTGCGAGCGCACTGTGGTAAGCGTTTAGATTCCGATCAGATCTTGGCTGGGCCGTTGATGTCTTGTGTATCAAAGAAGGCGCGGATATCTCGAGATGCTTTGATAGGGTGTCATCGTCCGCTTCGTATCCTGTTTCTGAAGCAAGTTTTTCGAGCGGATGTGATAACAGAGTATTGCGCAACTCCTCCGCTGGCGGAGACTTTACTTTGCGATCAAAGAGTGGTCCTTGGGGGTCGTCGAAGACCTCCTCGTCAAAATCGGCAGCATCCACATCACCCTGTTCTTCAATCAAACCATCATCGAAATACAGATCATCATCTAAGCCCGCTTGAGTGAACGTCACTGATTTGGTAGGTTTGATCGAGTTGTCTACTGGCGACTCCTCTGGCGAGAAGTTGGCTGTAGGGACTTGCGCTTGCCGGAGGTTCATCAAGCCAAGGCCATGACCGTTGTCCGTGTAGAGCTCTTGAAGCCTTGGTAAAGACCCAACCGCAGAGGGCTTCATTGACTGCAATGTGTCTTCAGACATCGCAAATCCTATCCGCTGTCCATTGGCATCTATTGGTGTGTTTAGCTCGCCGTTCATGCCAAGTGGGCTCATTGCATTCATATGCGGCTGTATCGATAACGATGAGAAGTCGAAGGCTGCCATACCCGGTGACAACATCTGGTCTCCTAGTCCGCCGCCGTACTCGTCTTCTTCACCAAGCATAGGGATCTCTTCCTCATAGCCACCGTCCATGTCAAAGTCATCATCCATACCATACTCGTCGTAATCGTCTCCCACGCTATTGGTAGACATACGAGCTTCCGACTTCGATGCTTTTTCTGCCGCCTTTTGTATGTGTCGCTCTTCCATCATCTTCTCTTGCGCGGCGGATTCACCGCCGCCTATCTGGAAGCTAAACCTGGAAGCCCTACTTGTCAAGTGTTTAGGAAGGCCGGCGGGTACGAAGGACGGGTCCGTCACCGAAGTAGCTCGTGATCGTGACGAAGGCGGTGTCTTCGTAGATTTTCGTTTTCGGGGCGTGACTTCGGCGGACACATCGGTGGGACTCGATGGACTCGACGCTTCCTGCACAGGTGACAAAACAAACGACGCATAGTCCTGATTGCCCTCCGTGTGTGATGGCTGCGACAGAGCAGGTTGAGGCGGCCGTGGCGCAGGCAAATCCTTCGGTACTGGCGGAGGCGGTGGAGGGGATCGAGTGGGAGGTTCCGCGAGGTACGAACTCCTCTTCGCAAACTCTTGAGATGGTGGAGGTGGTGGAGAGTGCCCAGGAGGCTCAGGTACATACGAATTCCTTTTCAAAAAGTCTTTGTTGGCCAGTTGCTCGGCTCTTATCGCAGCCTGGCTCTGTTCATAGCTCGTGTCATCATCGAAGTGCTCCGTAAACACTGGTGTATGCTCTCTTTCTATCTTGGGCGGGCTCGGTTCTGCTTTTGACTGTTCGTTTCCGTATGCATTGTTGTACGAGAAGTTCCTATTGGGCCTCGGCGCGCTGAAGTCGTGGACGATGCGACCGCGGATACTCGGATCGTAGTTGTCGGGAATGGGAGGAACGATGGACGGTAATCGCTGGGTCACGAGGGCTTCATCGTGCAGAGCTTCTAGTGCCTGTCCGGATCTCCGACGCAGCAGCAGCGACATAGGGTTCCGCAGTCTCGATTTGGAGGCTTTGGGTGGTTGCCCAGTGGGTGTGGAGGGCTTCGAAGTGTTGGACAGCTTCTCACTGAGGCCGCTCATGAGGGACGTCTGTGACTTGGAGAAGCTGGAGTAGCTGGAGGATATGAATGAGGGTGCCAGCTGCTGAGTCGACGAGTGGGCGGTCGGCGGTGTTTCCGACTGCATCGCCATGTCCACCACCTGGGCGATGCGCTGTCCCTGCGGTCGCGGGCCCGTAGGCTGGCTCCCTGTTGGCGGTGGTCGTGCAGGTGGGTGTCTGGCATCGTGGTCGGGTGAGACCTGGTTGTGCATAGCGGGTAAGGGTGAGCGCAACGCCGTGTCGATGTGAGCGTGCACACTCCCCGCGGCGAAGCCCTGTCCTTGATTTGCGGCATGCTGTGGGCTCAGCAGCGAACTACTCCCGCCCTTGTTTAGCTTCGATGCGACGCGTGGAATCGGTGGCAGCTGTGGGGGGAACGGAGACACGGGCGAGCTTGACGCGTAGCCCGCCGTGTCGGCCAGGCGCGGGCTCGTGAGGTAGTCGGTGCCTGGATGCGCAGGGCTTGATAGCGAATAGGCGGGAGGGCTCGACACTGGCTCGGACGACGCGAGGCTCGAGGCATTGCGCTTTGCAGCATTGCGCTTTGTGGAAAAAAAGGGCGCCATTCTGGGTGTCGCGCCGAGGATGCGTCTGGGAGGCTATCTTTCTGGGACGAGCTGCTACCAGAGCTAGCTGGTAGACAAAGTGCTTCTTGCGCCTCTCACAGAGGCCATAGGCGCTCGACAGTCATGCTTCGGCGAGGATAGGATGCGGGCTGGACGTGGAGATGCAACACGCAGAAGCAGTTCCGATGTTGCACAGCGCTCGGAAGGCTAGCGCAAACTGCTGGCTGGATGGCAGGCGCAATGATTCGGCGACGCGTGGAGGCGGGACGTTGTGGAGCAGTAAGACGGTGCGAGGCTGCTGGCTGCTAGGGTTGCTGTTGTTGAGTCCTTCCTGCTCCCACCAGTGCAGGGATCCTGGGCAACGTTCTATAATCTCACTCTCTGCTGCGGATGAGCTTTCACGCTCTCTTAGTGATTCTGGACACGTATTGCTGCTACATTATCTTAATAGCAAAGATTCCGCCTGCCGAATCTTCTACACTCTTCCCAGAAATGTGAGGACTGGACCCTGAGCCATGTGAAACCGAGCGGGTATGACGTTTAGACCCGTGCTCGACCCTCATGCACCATGCCACGCACGCTGACTAACAGGATAGACCCGAAGAGCCAGCCGCAGGACGACCAAGTACAAGACTTACGCATCTTCCAGTCGCGCCAGTGCAGTAGTATCTCATCCCTCACAAAACCATTCATCGTGCCATGGCAAGAAGCGAACATTTCTAGACATCAACAGTTGCTTCGAACTCCCAATTGCAGGCTCGATCATGGCTTGCTTTTTTTCTAGAATACACGCGGACAACAGGACATCTCGGAGGTGTTTCCTGCTGCATCTTCTCCTCCTCGCCCACCCACTGCGCTCCTGGATCAAACCAGCAACACCGTGTGCGCCGGTCTGTAAGCCTCGATGATCTGGAACGCACCCACACCGTGAATATAGCACTCTCCAACCAGCTGGAAGCTGGGCTCCTTCTGGGGACCAGGCAGATTTGGAGCAATATACGGTCGCATGACATATGGTACTGCTCCTCCTTCCAGTAAGCAGATATGATCGCCAGGCTTAGTTCCCGGGGGCACCAAGCCTATCCTCCCATCGTTTGTCAAACAGAATGAGCGCCCATATGTTGTGATGCGCATCGTGTCGATCCAGTCTTTCTCCAACACCGCCAAATCTTCCGGCGGGACTGGATACCGGAGTGCCTCTTCGTCGGCATTTGTGAACGGAGTAGTTACAGGCCTCCCCCCGCACGCCTTCGATAGTCCATTTTTGTACCCTAAATACGCATGCAATACAAAAGGAGGGGGCTGAAACCATCTGATGCTCCTATTCGCCACCAGGGTACGCCAGAAAGCTTCGAAGACCGACATACTGCCTTTCAAAGGGGGAATCGGAGTATAAGGGTCTCTCGCACCTTGGGTACGAACCGAACCGTACTTGGTCATACGTTCTACCTCAGTCAACCAGGCCAAGCACTTTTCGTTGTCTTGTGCCCCCTTCATGCCGGTCAGAGGCTCGCTGCTGACCTCCGCAACATTTTCTAGGAAGTATACCGACACCTGCAGTTGGCCGGAGGAATGGAGCCTGACTCCTTTCTCTTGGAGGGTCAGTGTCTGACGACCCTCATCGAAGAGGTAATACAGCGGCTTTGCTGCAATATTTATGTTGGACCAGTCAGGAACATAAGATGGTAAACCTTTGAGAGTCCGTGGAAAACCAACACCCGCGTTGCTGAACAATTCCAAAGTGCCGTGTTTTAGTAAGACCTCGTTCACAGCGCCGGTGAGTACCTCCGCTACAGCAGCATTATAGTTGATTTCCAGATCCAGGACCCCAGCGTCAATGTCCGAGGAAAGTGCAAAGAGGCCGTAGATGCAGTCGCGGGTATCTGTTGCTTTCCGCTCCCAACAATGTAGAAGCAGGTCCAGAAGTGAGAGTTCCTTGCCTGATCTCAGTAGACCCCGCATCCACTCGATTTCTGATATTGCGAAGCGTCCACGCGGTTGACTGTCGTGGGGGCGTGGGAAGTATCTGCCATTTGGCAAACTTTTTCTCTCACATCCCAGAACGACTATCGATTCCTAAGAAATAGTACGTGTTCCGAGTTGCAAGACGATCTCCCGCGCCAGGACAACCTCTTGTAGCGTCCATACTCGCGACCACCACGGATGGGCAAGGAAATCTCGAAGGGCGATCCAATCGGCGGCCTTCAGCCTGTGCCATTCCTTATCTTCTATGATGCTCTTCGCCGTTTCCCAACCCCAAAGATGCAGTTCTCTGATCAGCCCGATAATTTGATCTGTGGTACCTCGCGGTGGTGGAAACCAAACGACGACCCTCTCGGCTTTGCTGTAGATGCTCTTCATGAGCCGGACCTGGCGCTTTTTCTCATACTCATCCTGTTGGTCGACGCAGATTGCATCGATCCAGAATGTGCGGTACGCCTTGGGTTTTCGCAGCTCGAGGAGAGCTTGATATACATTTCCGTGGACGATAAAGCGATCCCCGTCGATGTCGATTGGATTTTGTGCATTGTTGTAGCCCCGTGTGTATGACAGTGCTTCGAAGCTGGGTAGGAAGTCAACCTGATGGATTTTCAGTTTGCAGGCGACCGGGTCTTGAGTGCTGCCCGGGACGATCGTGAGGAGCCTGATTTCGGAGACCGCATCGAAGGACGGGTCGAACTTGTATGTTGACATTAAAAAAATATCTCGCGCGTTCGGCGTTCGTGTGATGGTTCAAACGATAATTTGCTCTAAGTATTCTGGTTCTGTACGTAAAATGATGCTGTTATTGAAGTGAGGGCGAAGTCATGTTGATCGTTCGAGGCTACAACAACTTTTCGAGCAGGCGCCAGGCCGTGATGCCTTCCAAAAGTTCTAACGCTTCTGCCTTCGCACATTCTGGCATTCACGATGTCGCAAATGCATCTTGGAGGAAAGAGCGATATGCACACAATCTTCCTTTCCGCTCGAGCATATCCGACATGGTATGCCTTTCGCACTTGCAAGCGGCCTAACATTACCAGCGTCGCTCCTCTGGAGGGCCATCTCCGTGCACCCGTCTTGGTTGCCTCGACATTTCCCACGATTCCTTCGCACATAACAACATTGCGCTAGGGCACAGCGATATGGCTTACCAGATTTCCAATGCGAACGGCTCGAGCTCTCATGACGACCTTCCTGAACGGGTGTTAGCACCCATGTCTATCGATAACCGATGTCAAGCTCCACCAAGCTTCCGAAGCTTGAGCTTGCACCCAATTCGAGCCGGCCAGCTGAGCATCGACGACAACAAGCCAACGTAACATTCGGTAGCTGAGAGTTATTCAACAGTGCAACGTGTACGTCCAAGCAACAATTGCAGGACATGCGATCGACCGCAGAAAACATGTTGCATCGGAACCAGCTGCGAAGCCCACGTCATCGATGCAAAGATGCATGTCAATTTCTCGACCAGGGTAGTGCGTACCCGAAGATATGCACGGCCATTTAACCGTTACCGGCAGGTGGGATAGTTATCGCGTTCTCGGGTCCAGGGCCGGATTGGCCCCATGGCGCGAAGAATGAGCTTGCTGCAGGAAGCTCAAAGCTTATCCCGGTCCCTGGCAGGAAATGCGGGTGCTTAAGAGCTGGGTTCGTCCCGCTGAAAGGGTGACGAGCGTGCACACGGATTCTTGTCTTGCTCGTGGTTGTCTTGCAAGAGCTGGAACGCTAATTGAACAAGCCATTGGAGCAATTGACACAGGTAAGCCGTTATTCCGGCTTAGCAGAAGACCAAAGGCTAATCAGCTTCATGATGCAGCTTCAACGAGCTATACTCCATCATGAAGGCGTCTCTCAGATTCAGCGCAGCGGCATTGCTGGCTAACAGCGTCTGCGCGCAATTCGTTCCCGCTCCAGCAGACCTCATTCAGAAGCTCGGCTTTGCGAACATTAGCGTGCGATACAAGGAAGTTCCAGCAGGCATTTGCGAGCTCGACCCCAACGTCAAGAGTTATTCGGGCTACGCCGACATCGCAGAGGATCAGCACATCTTCTGGTGGTTCTTCGAAGCGCGGAATCAAGACCCGACCGAGGCACCTCTGACCGTGTGGATCAATGGCGGGCCCGGTTCATCTTCGATGATTGGACTTTTCCAGGAATTGGGACCTTGCGGTGTAGGACCCGACCTCAAGCCCTTCAATAATCCTTACTCCTGGAGCAATGCAAGCAACATGCTGTTCATCGATGAACCTTCTACTGTTGGCCTCTCGTACAGCATCCCAATTCCAGCTTTCCAAGATGATGATGGAAACATCGTTCAATTGCCGAACGCGACATGTCCAGAGTATGCAGAGGCATATGGCACATGTGGAACGTACTCGAAGCCATTGATCCAGTCGGTTCCGAACAAGACTGAGGATGCGGCATCAGGGATGTGGAAGACCTTGCAAGGCTTCATGGGGGCATTCCCGCAATACTCCAGGAAAGGTTTCAGCTTCACTACTGAGAGCTATGGCGGACATTACGGACCTGTTTTCAACGGTATGCCCAAGTTGCGATTTTCCTCCGCATCGACGGTTCACTGACAATGCCATTAGCCTACATCCTCGACCAGAATGCTAAGAACATCTCTGGTACCCATCACATAAACCTCGAAAACGTCCTCATCGGAAACGGCTGGTTCGATCCCTTGATCCAATACGAAGCCTATTATAAGTTCGCCATGGGTGGTAACACATACGACTACATGCCCTACAACGCCTCAGTTATCGCTGAATGGACAAACAATCTCTATGGCGAAGGTAATTGTCTCGACCGCACCCGCGACTGCCGTGCCACTGGATCGAACGCTGTCTGCTCCGCCGCAGACGACTTTTGCTACAACAAGGTCGAGTATCCTTACGACTTGTACTCGGGCCGCGATGAATACGACATGCGCGAACTGACCCCAGACCCATTCCCCTACAGCTACTACGTCGAATACCTCAACACAGCCGAGGTGCAAAAAGCCATTGGCGCGTTCCAGAACTTCAGCGAGAGCTCGAGGACAGTGAGCACAGCATTCGGAAACACGGGAGATGACGACCGCGAATCCGGCACCATTGAAGACTGCCGTAAGCTTCTCGATGCTGGTGTTCAGGTAATGCTGTACTACGGCGATGCAGACTACAACTGCAATTGGCTTGGCGGTCAAGAGGTCGCGAAAATGATCAATGCAACTGGCTATACCGAGGCCGGCTTCGTCAATATCTCGACATCGGACGGCAAAGTGCACGGGCAGGTCCGACAATCCGGCCTTTTCTCCTTCATCCGTATCTATGAATCTGGACACGAAGGTACGTACCTATCAGGGCTCCAGGTTACCTCTGCTAACAATCTCCAGTACCCTTCTACCAGCCATTAGCCGCGCTTGAGATCTTCCAACGCGCGATGAACCAGAGTGACATCGAGACAGGCCAGATCTGTGTGAAGGATGAAGCCGGATACAAGACAGTCGGCACGCCCACAAGCGACTTCAGAGAAGGAAACGCGACAATCCAGTTCGAGGTTACGCCGAGCAATGCGACGTATAACGTGGAGTTGGACGCGCCGGATGCGGTACCTACATGGGCTGCTGGCGTTGGTAAGAGAGGTTTGAACGCGAAGCGAGAGATGAAGCAGGCGAGGAGTTTCTTGGGTAGGCCGAGGAAGTCGAAGGGTGGGAAGAGGCCCGCTTGAGTATCTTACATATCTGTATAGACGCATGTAAAGATGTTTGCTGAAGATGTTTGCTTATGGACGACTCTCACCGTGAAGACACAACCGAGAGACACGAGTCTATCACTTGGGGACTTTCTCTCACTTCTATGAGAGCTTTCGCCGTACTTTATATGGATCGTCTTACCCCGCCTGACTTGTAATCAACCACCTTCTCCTTGCTCTCGATAACGTCCGCTGCCATCGCGTACGAGTCGCAATGGACTCCCCTCTATTTGAGCCAGAGGAGCGAAATGGTTTCGACGAGGAAGAAGATGCCCTGCTCCCAGTACCCGCAATGTTGTCTCTTGTCGCACCCGTGGCTCCTCCCATGCACCTCAGTGCCTGTACAAATGCGCCGCAGCCCAAGAAACGAAAAGGTAAGACTATGATCCGCTTGCTTGCACTCCACTAACCTTCCCCCAGCGGCCAACATCGACGCCGAGACAGCCGCCTACTTCTCAAGAGTCGAAGAGAGCTACGCCACACTGGATCCGGACGCTACCATCAAACATGACCCGCATTCCGAGCCGTTGCCCGACCTACCCATGTTCAACCCATCTTTCGCAGCAGCGGAGAAGACTGCGACAGAAATCGTCTGTAGTCTGCGGCAAACAATCATTGACAGCGATGACAAAGGTTCTGAGGCGAAGTTCATGCTAGAGCGTCTTGATTGTATTAGGACGCCTAAGTATCCGGCGCCTAGGATGGTTTGTTTCTATGGGAATTGTGCTGTGGGCAAAAGTTCGCTTTTGAATGCGTGCCTTGGGGTTGATGGGCTGTCGTTGAAGGTATGTGGTTTTTAGTAGGACAATCTGTGATATTTGCTTGTGGGCAAGGCTCTGGAGAATAGAATGTTACTGATCAGCATCTAGACTGGAGATGGAGGAGTCGGGACGCTCGTCCCACTCGAGTTTGTTAATGCTTCTCACACGCAAGAAATGCCCTTCATGGTAAGCAACCCGCCCGGTACGAAGTGGATGTGTTTTTGGACATGCTCCAGCTGTTCATCCACCCTGTCTTATGTCACACTGAGTTTATACCCGCGCATTAGGCACGCATCTTCTGGCATCCCCGGTCAGTGTGCGAAGACATCATTCGATCCGCCGTTGCAGACTACTGGTCGTCGCGGCTTGACGAAGACGCAGAGGCCACGAAAGAAGCAGCGACAGATCTCGGAAAGCCAGCGCTGAAGATCTTATCTGCTCTCTTCTGCGACAAGGAAGAATTTGAAGACGAAGAGTGCGCAAACCAGTTCTTGAGTCAACTAAAATCTGGAGAAGACCCCAAGATTGTCGACAAACTTCTACGATGGGCCAGAGAGATCTTTGCCGAGCTTTGCAAGTTGGGTAGTGTCGCTACTATAACTGCTCACACCGCAGATCAATTGAATGCTCAACTCGAGCCGTTCATTCAACAGTGCGATGACCCGCAAATCGGAGATACCTCCTTGGAATGCTCCGTCTGGCCATTTGTCAAGTATGCAAGGTAAGGCATGCCTTTTCCATGTCTTAGTATCCTTTTGATCAAAATATGTCTATAGGAAGTACTTGGCCAGCCCGATACTCTCGAAGGGAGTTGTCTTAGTAGATCTACCGGGCGTCACGGACGGTAATTCCTTGCGAGTGAACTGCGCCAATCGCTACCTACGACAGTGTGATCACGTAATTGTCGTTGCAAACTTAGACAGGGCAACGGACGATTCTGGTCTCGAGAAGTACGCCTTGGATGTTACCCGGCGGAAGCGTTATGGCAAGCTCACCTTGGCACTTACGCGCTCAGATGTATGTCTCGTATTGACGAAACCTCTAAAAACATAATAACAACGTCACAGGTGATCGACGAAGATGAGTGCAGGCGTTTGAAGCTTGGCCCCAGGCAGAAAGAGCATCTCCAGTCGCTCGATTGTTTCGAGCAAGAATTGAAGAGCGAAGTACGGAAAACTAAAAGCCTTAAATACTCTGCTCATACGCCCATCGCTTATGAAGAGTTTGAAAAGAAACGAGCCCTTCATGAGTACGTTGCAGCTGACTCCACTAACGAGTATCACTGACCAATCTCAGATACCTCAAGAAGCACATCCAGTCCAGGTCAGTGGAACTGAAGATACCGAGAGTAAAAGCACTAACACATCAACAGCCGGGTCGAAATCTTCGCAACCGCACGCAACACACACGTGCGCACAACGCTACAAGCCTGGTATCGCAGCAGCACGAAAGATCCAAATACACTTCCCATCTTCTGTGTAAGCAGCAAGGTCAACATGGAACATGTCAGGGGCTACACCGTCTCCGAATTCCCCAGGATGTCTGTTGAAATGTCAGAGATCCCAGCCCTCCGAAGCCACATCCTCTCCCTTGCTGCCAAAGCCGGCAAGGTCGAACAATTCCAGCGGCACTGTGTTTTCATCCGCGTGCTCTTGAACGAGATGGAGCTTTCTTGCATTGGCTCGAGGCCCATGATGAAGAGGGATCACTTGCTTACGATACTGCTGGAAGTCCAGATGAATCAGAACCACTTCCAGGCGCTTACGGCGGATCTTATGAAGACTTCTGTGACACCAGTGGTCGCGAAATTTGACGCCGCCATAGACGCTTGGGTCGACGTCGCTAAAGGCTTGTGCGAGAAGTGGTCCAAAGTAAGTCAGGTGTCATATTGTCTTTCAGCAGCGCTAATGGTTTACAGTACACGGCTCAGGGTTGGGCAGCATTTCTCAGACACCAAGGCAAATGGAAAACGCCCAGATGCGGCAAAGCAGACTGGAACCAAGAGCTGATGGGGTCAATCCGGCAGGAACTGCAGCCAACCTTTGATGCCTTTTGTGGAGAAGGATGTTTCGCCTTCCAGACTGAAGCTATCTTTCAGGTGAACGAACTTCTAGAGACTCTGGAGGAGAAGATGAAGAGTAGGTGTTTGTGCTCACATTATTGACCAGTGTTTGGTCGCCGAGCCTGAGAGGGCATAGAAATACATACTGACCGCGAAATCAGATGATCTGGACATATCTCAAAGCGCGGCTTTCAGACCCTTTTTTGCGAGCTTCCGCGATCGAAAACAGGAGATGACCCATATTGTCAATGAAGTAGTGAACGATATGCATGCTTCCTTACTGTATGATACTATTTCCACCCTGGAACTCAATGACTTGAGTTGACAGTGTCTAGCACAATCAATAACGACGCGTTCAATATCGGGCAAACAAGCTCTTTCACCCGCAGGATGATCAAAATCTATGAGAAAGCGAACGCAGAGAAGCCACGCAAAGGTACAGGCTAGCGCTCAAACCAAACCAAAGCGAGCAAGCAAGCTAATTCGAAACATCAGGATGTGCTATCCACCTAGCGAAAAAAGCATGCTTCTCTACCTTGGTCTGCCATCGCACCGAAGGGCCCTACCCGGCAGTCAAGAAATACGTCGAGGACGCTCTCGTGAAGACAATCAACAGCGTCGAGAAAAAATTGGCTACAAGGTGCGGTTCGGTTCTCGATGCGATTCTTAGCGATTTCGACAAAGTGTGTCCGGAAAGCGAGGACAAGAGCGTTTTGACGCTCCAGCGGCGAGAAATATTGGGGCGGAAGGTGCGGGAGTCAAAGCTGAGGATGGAGGGGGAACTTAAGGAGCATTTGGCGCGGTGTGGGATTGGGCTTGACTGAGCTTGGTTGAACCTATCGTTCGCTGAACACGCTTGACTACAAAGGCTAGGGAGCGATAGAGATCATGCGCGTGGCTTTCCAAGCGGAGGATAATCGGCAGGAGTGTGCGAGGTAGTTGTCAACCTTGGGCACGACGCTCAAAAGCCCTCCGCATCGACGTTTCCAAAACTTTCGTCATATAGACACCACACAAAAGCCAGGGTCTTCGCGCCGTGTACACCAAGTCAAGATGAGTAGATTAGGATGCATTCTAAAAGATTTCTATCCTGCCAGTATGTATTACGAAACGAGCACTAACCGACCCCAGCCATCAGGCGATCGGTGGCTAAGCGAAGGGCAGACTCGAGCAGGACTGACCGGTCGCCTCACTCGCAACCCAACCATCATTAACATCCGTGCAGGCGGCGTCTGCCTATAGTTCATTGAAAAGACGCACGGTAGCTCATTGACGCTCGAATGCTCCGTTCTGCAGAGCCTCATGCTTGAGTTGGAGCCCTGAGTCAGCGGTGTTGGTGACGAAGCACGCGTTCATCAGCACCTGTACTCATTGTCATTTTGCAGCTCCGCAGAGCGGCGAATGTTGTTCAGAGCTCCTCGTTCACTTGAATAGGTCTCCGTATCCTCTTGACTCATGCAGAGTTCACGCAGCGAAAGGCCCACAAAACCTAGGTAGTTTACAAGCATAGGCACCGACGCGATCTTGCAGGTGCTGATGAACGATCGTACGTGCGTCCGCACTGTACACACAGAGGTGTTACGCATCCGCTGAACGCGGAATAGCCTCATGGAGGAGACCAATCGCTACTAAGATCTTTAGCTGATGAGGGGAAGGCAACAGGATTCTGCGTTGGGGAAGGCTGAGGCCCCAGAGTTCAGCCACGCTATGACCACCTGCGATACGGATCTGCGCCTCGATGTGCTGTTCTAATAGTCGCTAGGCCCATGACGATGCAGGTATCTACACTTCTCGAGTCCTCTCCTCTTCTTGTGCAAACTTCCTTCGACCCACTTGTACTCGCAAGTGGAGTGTTAATTTCGTCTATCTTTTACATCTTGTACCAGAGGCAGTCGTCGCTACATAATTTTTAATATCTTGAGAACAACAGCATTCTATCGCCATTGTGCCAGACCATCTTTGGATGACGATCAGTGCACCTCGATCCGGAAGCCATGGATGCGGAACGTGGATATGACGAGGAGTCGCTCCAGCACATCTATGCACTTCTGCAGAAACATAGATCAACCGATGTAATCAGGATGGTTTTGGATGTCGCACAATCACGTACGCCGCTTCCTCCTATACATGGAACATTGATCCTAACCTTTGACAGGTCCGACTTCCGTAGTAACTTCACCTTCGCGCTTCTCCCACGCGTCTTCTGAGTCACGTTATTCTGGCCTCAGTACAGACTATGCGCCATCCTTGCTATCGTCTGCTTCATCGCGCTCGCGACCTCAACGTGAGGCACCACTCTACCGTTCCGGTCTAAATCCTACGAAGCCTGCTATGACGTCCGCCTCCCCTATCTCGGAAGTATTCAGCCCGGCCGACACGCTGTCAATATCTTCGCCACAACCTGCAGATATTGACTCCATGACTGTCAATTCCACTACAGCGAAACCCAGCGTAACGTCCTCAAGTGGAGGTCCCTGGTTCTGCACGTTCTGCAGCGAACACACCTCGTTTGCTGCGAAAGCCGATTGGAAGAAGCACGAAACCAAACACCACGAAACAGGCGAAGATTGGCCTTGTCCCATCCGTAATTGCTTGGAAGTGCTCGACCGGAAGCTGGACTTCGAAGCGCACTTCAAACGTCACCACCCAGATGTATTCTGCCCAACAGACGTTCGTGTACGCCTCCTACCACGGCTGGTCTATGGTTGCGGCTTCGACGGCTGCAAAGCTGTCCTCACGGGGTGGAAAGAACGATGCGATCATGTTGCGCTGCATATGAAGCCGAAGGGAACAGAGAAACGAAAGGGACGAACAGAGTGGAAGTACTCAAACACTATTCATAATCTTCTCCGCCAGGACGCAACACGCAGTGCTTGGAAGTCGCTATTCGCAGAATTCGAGTCCAAGCAGCCACGATATCAAATTACGTGGAGCCCGGAGAACACACGGACACTGAAGCAGAAGCTGGAGTGCTGTGATATGCGCCCCAACGTCCTTGAGGTCGTTCACACAGCACTCAGTTTACGCGAAGGACGCCCGTTCAACGACGCAGCAGAGTTAGACGCTGAATTTAGAACGCCTAGTCAAGATTCTGTACCACGCTTCGAGGTTCTTACAGAAGAACAATTGACCCAAATTCTGAGCGGTCGCACCACACAACCCATTTCCATCATGCGCCCGGCGTCGACCGCTCAATCGCTCGATCCCAAGCTTTCCTTTACCGAACCGCATCCTGGCGACCTTGTGGCCTTCGACATCCCATCTCCTACCATCAGTGGACGGCGTATCAGCTACATGGATGTAGATACTGAAGACTTCGGGCTATCTGACGAAGGACCCGATCCGCAGATTCCGCCAGGGCTTGAGCTCGATCCTTCCCAGATGAACTACGGGGGATCGCCAAAAGCATTCCAGCTTTACTATCCTCATTCGCCGACAGTGGAGGAGATGCCTCAGCAGAGACGATCATCAAGAGGGCATATTCTGACGAGGCATTTTAAGGGTCGGAAGGGGTAGCATGCACTTCGCGAAAATTTGTATTTACATCACTTCGAATTTTTCTTATGTTTTCTTCGCTTTATACCCCGTCACTGTATTAAACAGCAACTTTTCGTCGCGTGCCTCACAGTACAACTTGGTAGTACTCCAGCTAGTAATACACCAAGATCTTGTTGACTTTCCTTTTCAAGCAATGATAACTTTCGCCGCGCGCGTGATAGCCAGTCCTGGTATTACTCAGTCTATATTACAACACCTTGACCACGTTAACTCTGGTCCGAACAATAATGCCACCAATCATAACAATCGCAGACATGTAACTTTCTATCCTGTACACGATGGGCAATTCCGGTAGTACTCCGACCAGAAGGCAAATAAGCCTTTAAAAGGCGCATTGCTTACAAGAACACTAACAACTGTAGCAACCACTGCAACAAAGAAAACCAATATTAAACTCCTCCCAATTCTTCCAATTCTTTCTCTCACCCTAGCAGGCGCATTATGTACATTACGCTCCATGTCCAGTCAGACGGACCTACTTTACGTATCTTAACATCGATGTTCGAGGGCTATCTGAAGCAGAATCCCCGAATTGTTGGCCTATATTGATATTATATGTAATAGAACATTCTCTCATTCTCTGAAGTCAAGACGAAGTAAATTGGTCGATGAAGCGTCGAATCAGCATTTTCCTGACTAGTTGGCGATACAGTGGGTAGGGGATGACATGTGCAGGCTCCTTCTTGATTCAGCTGCAGATACTACGGACAGGAGATGTCGTGAGTGATCGAGACCTTGTGTTCGCACGCTTCAAATGTTTTTCTTTTTTCTCTTTTTGAAGTTAGTGTTCTGTGTGCCTCCATGCCGGTGTTTGAGTGCTTGACCTTAATAAGAGTGCAGGCGGTTCGTGGGATCTTTTTCGTAGGGCACTTGATGTGTGCGCACTACAATTGAACAAATTATCAGAAGGAAAAAGAGTATCGTAGTGTTGAGGGTTGGGCCCATGTAATGTGTTTGGTACAGGAACCAACAACCATGGGAACGTTACAAGAGATCTCGAATGATTGATTAAGTCAATGACGACACATGCGCGTAGATATGGGGCTATCTATGCGCACCGATTAGGATAATGGCAGAGTATCTCTACATAAAACGATGCAAACGCGAAAGGGAAGGCGTTCTACCACCTTGCATGTTTTAGGAAAGAGCATATGCACGTGCCTGTTGATCTACAAGATGGTTTCACGCTATGGATTAAGTCCGGCTGCTATAGTCTCACCTCAGCTGATAGTTTGTACCCCGCATGTTTTCTTTCAAGCACTTTTCATCACGTGCTGTTACCGTATGAAACGGACTTCTTTCTTTAGACTCCTATGAACAATCGACTGTTCATAACGACGCAAGCGCTTGACTGCGATGGTGCGGCGAAGTAAGCGCCTGGCTGCAATCTAGTGCGGCAAAGCAAGCGCCTGGTTGCACCAATGCGGCGAAGCACTAGGTATACAATCACGCACAATGTTTAAAAGCAACTGCCCTACCTGTGGAGTACTCCTCGTTCCTTACCTCATTTTCGACCAGGCTCATTGATCCGCTTTCACTCACCCGCCAACTTAGCGCATAGCTGACATTATGAGCGATATTCGAGCCGCTGAAAGCGATGATGTCCGCTCGCTAGTTTCGAAGCTTCAAGCAATCGACAGTTCGAAGGTTTTGGAAGATGAGGCAGTCAAGAACGAAACTCTCACATTAGCTAGAAAGCTTGTGGCCGCCCTTGAAGGTCCCGTAAATCGAGCAACGGATCTCGTCTTTAGAGTGAGCGTCTCAATTGTTCCAGTGATTTTGCCCTGCTGACGATGATTGAAGCCTTACATCTCGATTGCAGCTCGAATAGCCGTGGACCTTGACTTGTTTAAGTTCATTGCAGCAAGTAACAGTGTCATTACCTCGGAACAGCTGGCACTTGCTTCTGGAGGAGATAAAGTGCTCATTTGTGAGTGGCAACTGTGAGACCTTTCAAAATATCGACAGGGTAACCTTTACTACAGCCAGGGTTCTGCGACTACTAGCTGCTGTGGACTTCGTAGAGCAGCCAAGTCAAGAGACGTGGAGGGCCAATGAGACATCTATAGCTATGGCTTCTGCACCAATAGCCGCGGGCCATAGATTCGTGTAAGCTTTCCACTCCCACTTCAAGCTCCTAGGACATTCTTTCACACTCTCCAGCTTTGATGTCCTCATCAACTCCGCCATCAAGGCACCGAAGTTCTTGCGCGAGACCGGGTACAAAGCACCAAGCGAGCCTACCGATGGCTTCGTTCAATACGCAAACCAGACCAAACTTAACATTTTCGACTTCCTTCAGGCCAACCCTTCCCTGTTTCAGGACTTCAAATTGTTCATGGGTAACACCATGGGCGCTAGAGAATATTGGCACGAATGGTATGATGTTCGCGGACACCTTACCACTGGTTTCGATTCTTCGAAGAGCTCAACCTTGCTCGTCGACATTGGGGGAGGTAAAGGACATGACCTGCTGGCTTTCGATTCGACATTCGGCTCGTCTCCTAAGCACTACGAGGGCAAGCTAGTACTCCAAGACCTACCTCAAGTCCTGGATGGTATCGCCGAAAATGAACTCAGTGCGAACATTATGAAGATGTCGCACAACTTCTTCAAGGAACAGCCCGTAAGCGGTGAGTAAAAGTAAAATCGATGTCTGATTCTCATGTTAACCGGCGTTAGGCGCAAGAGGGTACTTTCTCCATCATATCCTCCATGATTGGTCTGACAAGTATTGTCACCTTATCCTGAAGAGCATCCGTGACGCAATGATTCCTGGCTATTCCAAGCTTCTGATTCATGAATTGATCTTGCCCGATACAGGCGCCGCTGAAATACAGGCGAGATTCGACTTGGTCATGATGACCTTCAACGGGGGAATGGAACGTTCGAGGGCACAGTGGAAGAAGCTCCTTGAAGACGCAGGCTTCATTAATATCAAGCTCTGGGAGCACTTCGACCACGACGGTATCATCGAAGCTGAGATAGGTCCTGATACGGAGCTATGATAGAGAATGTGCCTCTCTTAACGTGGGTGGCGCTCGAAATACAATGTCACTCATCACAATCTCTGCTCAGCTGTCTAACTAAAGGGGACTTACACATAATGTCATTTTGTTGCTCTCCATCACACTGCGTTGGAAAACCTCCAGACTACTTTGCAACTCTTACCGCCGCGACAATCCAGGATATCTCTGACGCCGAAACCCCATGTAGGCGATGGGGTGACTGCTATGTTCTGTACACGCCGTAGCTTTCTGGTAGGCCCCTGCCGTAATCCGTATGCCTAACCTAACATTGCAAGTGTCTTATCATCTAGCAGATGTTGACATTCAAGCAGAAGGCTCCCGGCACCTCAAGCCAAGAAGTACGGCTTATGTGTTGGCTTTCCTCTTTGGGCATGGTAAGGGCGAGATGCAAGGTTTTGGAAACCGCTAAAGTAGGCCGGAGGGTCGAAGAGAGAAGATGTGTGGAGAGCGCAGCGGCACAGTAGGTTGGGTTCATTTCATGTAACCAATAACTCGCGTACTGCGCCGCATTGGCGACGGTCCTGTTGAAGCGCTGCGCTTGCCCTGCCTGCGTGGATCTACCGTCGGATGGTAACCAGGTGACGGCGTAGTTGACGACTGACACAATTTATTGAAGTATATTGCGGCGTAGTCGTGAAGGGGGATGTTCTAGCGGAAAGTGCGCTCAATATGTGTTTTGGTCAGATCCGAAGCCGTGGCACTGGAATCAGACCAGACTTACGAACATCATGATTGCCGCGATGGATGGAATTTTCAGTCATCGTATTCACACCAATTTCAGCCGAAAAGCTATAGCCCATACTCAATATTTCACTGCATTGATTGACTAGCTAGGCGCACTTGGGACTGGTTCTTCTTCTACGCCTTTCCATACATTTAGACGGGTTGTACTATTCTGAGATCGGACTCCTAGCCCTCTGAACAGGTGTCTGAGAAGATGACATTGCAAAGTGTGTGTTACATGCAACGAAGCCTCCAGTTGAGATCGAATGAGAACAGCTAGTTTTGGAAGCAACGGGAAAGCCAGTCCGGCGAAGTGAGCCCGGCATAACTTGCATCACACAAGATCATGATCCAAGTCACTAGCGGGCATTCATTTGAGCGGTTCATGAATTTAGGTCGTAGCAAGTCGACAGCAGAGAGGCGCTGCCAACTGAGCGTACATACCTTAAATCTATAGTAGTGTCGACGCTTGACACTAAGGCGCTAATAGAGCAAGTCTTGCCAAAAGGGTTTTCTCTCAAGAAATTGATGTTTCCATTGTGGAAAATCAGAAACTAAGAATCGAGACTGTAAAACACTCGACTGGGAATCATCAGCACTTCGGAACCAGGTGACCAAGCACGAAAACGTTTACATCACCTCACTGAATTGAGTCAGATACCCAGTCGAAGTATCTGTCAATACACGACTTTCATACATTGCTGTTCTTGGCCACAATCCTGCGATTCTTGTGATATTTTCGAATGTGAGCTTCTTGAGGTGCTGGGGATGTTGGGTGATGGGAGTGTATACCTTGGTTCGAGATGTTGTGCGCAATACGTGGTCCTCAACGGATCGATGATCCCAAGGTATACGACAACGCGGAATGCTTTTTTACGGTGTCTCCAGTTCAAATTGTCGTTCTTTGCAGTGAAGCGAAAATATCACAGCGACTTTATTTTCATCTTACTACCTATCGCTTAGTTCAGAAGCCCGCTTTCGGAACACGCTCAAACCCTCAACTACAAGATCTCACAACCACTAAGACAAGAAAGGACGAAATTTAGACTTTGCTCCTCAGCTTTTATGATGTCTTCTACACATCGTAATACAATAGACCTTACCCACGCTCTCATCACCACCACTCCAAACCAGGAAGACTCTCCACCATCATATACCGACCTGTTCCCGCGGTCCAGTCTTGAAGACCAAACCCCTCCTCCCTACAGGGCCGAACCGCCCTACCAACACGCCTCAATACACCTCGAAGACGAAGAGTCATCAGAGTATTATGAGCAACAAAGTCCTTTCACAAATGACGAAAATTATGTGATGAGGCAGCTTTCTGGGCCAAACTGGCTAGGGGAAATGGACTTTGTTGATTTGGAGTTGGGTGGTGAGGAATTGACGCAATATGAAAGGCAGGAAGAAGGCTCGGAGCTGGAGAGGGTAACGAGAGCGGTGGTGGGTACGATTTTCGTGGTTTGCATTTTGGGTGTGTGGTGTTTCGGTTTTTTCATTATCGTGAAGGTGCTATCTTGAGCTGGTTCCAGAGTTCAGCCATGAGAGGGCATCGCATCGGCCTTCACTTTCGTAATACGGCGAGCGTTGGACATAGAGTATTGACATGATATCCTGGAGGCTCACAGGTGCTCAAGTTACTTCATGATAGACTATAATCGTCCGGGAACCTGTTGCTCTCGATAGCAGGATTGGAAGGTTGACAATTAACTTCGCACGAAAGTATGTGAGCCGAAGAAACATAATATATGTGATCGAAATTGTACATCAACGTGACCGAAAGGTGTCGCAAGCTAGGATCGTGATTCCATGAACAAGATGAGGCTGACCTATGCCAAGCTCTGCCACGTGCAGGCCGGGCCGTGCGTAGGGCTCGGAATTAGCAGGTGCGGCGGGCCGATGATGACCACGGCTGCCCGCCGCGCATCGATAGCTGTGGGCGGAGCTTCTAGAAGCCTGCCGAAGGTTTGATACAATATACTCTTTTGACGTTTGGCTTGCTCGCCACCTGAGGCGGTTTCCAGATTGTCCGCTCGGGGACGCATCGCTCTACTAATGGTGTAGTGACGTGCACCGTTGTTGCTGTCGCTACTCACACTCAACTTCGCCCCAGCTTCCCTACGTATCACCGGCGGCGCTTTCCCACCAGTAAGGACCGATGATACATTCGCCTATTTACGAAACTTCATATACCTTACTTGAACAACAGCCGAACTCGTCGCCCGTTATTTATGCTGGCCTCGAACCACCGCAGCCGTCACTTCGCATAATCACCGACATTGGGCAGGCGTCCGCCTGAGCTCCACACCATGTTCACAAGCTTCACAGGAAACACTCGACGGCCTCGCCAGGTCAACCTCAGCGGCCGCAAGACGCACGCGTTTGGCAGCACTGGGTCCGGAAGCGGCTCACAGGCAGCCCTCGACCGCGCCCAACAGGATCGAGCACAACGTCAACGCGAGCGGGAGACACAGCAAGCGGCCAAGACAATACAGAGAGTATGGCGCGGTCATCTCAGTAGAGGGGAGGTCAGTGGTCTGTTGCGGCGGCAGTGGGATGCTGTGGAGGGGCAAACTACTGCCTCGTCTACACCAACACCTTACAGCTCGGAAGAGGAGGCTTTCTCACAGCTACAGCGACTTCTGCGATTCGCGAACATGCGGAAGGAAGATGACCTCGACCGCATACGTCAGTTCTACAAGCGGCAGCTGGAGACGGTGCGAGCTCTCAACCTTGAGGCAAGCGGTGCCTGGCCATCCGCATACCTCAAGTTACAGCAAATAGTTTTAAGAATTTTGGGCCGCCTGACAACCGACTCAATCTCACATGACCGACTTCGGGACTTTCTAAGCATAGCCCGATTTCTGGCAGAGCAAATACCCGCCGAGACGGCTAAGAATAGCCCGCAATACTTCCACACACTCGCCCGTGTCGTTGCAATAATTTTGTCGAGCCCTGAAGCAACGGACGCAGCAAAGGCAGCCGAAACTCTCGAATTTATCTTTCCAGCCATTGTTGCACCGTTGATGAAGGTGACTGGCTACACCTTGAACGCATACGAGGCTTTTGGTTTTGAGTTCTTGACACTTACCAAAATGGGCGCAGATACGGGTTCACCATTAGCGACAAAATTTCGGGATTCATTGGCAAATGCGATCAATTATAAGCTGCTAGCGAGTGCGTTAGCGACATATCTGAAGGTGAACGGGTTGCAGTCCCGGCAAGAGCTGGGGAATGTAGAAGCCCGGATGTGCTTTCTAGGCATGTTCATATACTTCCATCGATACGCACACAACTTCCAGTCATCGGAGGCTTACGCCGTCCACAAGGATTTCGTAACCGTGGTTTCACTACTCCTGAATTCGTTACCTACGAACATCATTGAAGGGTCGGGCTCGGATGGCGACAAGTCAGAGTTGGAGGAGATTGTCGTAAACGAATTTTTGAAGGAACAAATCTTGTCACTCGTGAACCAGGAAGGTATCGGCAACCTCTTGGCTGGGTCCTCTCAATCGTCAGATGCGACAGAGGATGAGAAAGTAGAAGAGGCGCGCCAGTTGGCCAACTATGCACTCGCTCTTCTGCGTTTCTTTCCACGAAGGGGTGACGAGATTCGCATGTGGTTGTACATTGGCCCGCCTAACGCGCAATCCGGCAAGGGCAGGAAACTTCCCGCTATCAAGTATTTCTGGCAGGCATCAAAGCGCTCCTCTGTTTTCAGTACGATTACGCGTGACTCAAGAGCTGCTGTTGACCTATTGCGACCGAGAGCGACTCAATCTAATGGTGTCGCTCCATCTGCAAGCTTGTCAACGAACTCCTTCTGGCAAGCGCCCAGACAAGAGGTTGATCTTGCCGCTGTAAGAGCTGACGAATGGCGAGTAATACTCGTCTTTCTTGAGCTTTACACCTTCGTGCTCAAAGTTACCGACGATGAAGAATTCTTTTCAGGTGGTTCCTTGCCATTAGGCGATGTTAAAGATTTGACGACTTTCTTGAAGAACCTTGGCTTCACTCTGTATTTCAATGCTTCCGATATCAACGAATCTGATGAACGGGATTCTACTAGCAGCGGAATCAGCTTCTTCAACCCGCAAGCTGCCGAAGCTCAGCAACAAAAACAAGCCGCAGAACCTTCTTTGGGAGGTGTTGCAGGCTTGACTCTCGACTACGTGAAAGGCCTTGTCACTGGATTGGTCCGCATGGTCTACGAACGCGACTCCCGACGGAAGTTCTTGCCTGACGATCATTGGTTAATGACTTCGAGATTTGATATGACTGGATTCATCCCGGCAGTCGTTGAAGAGGAAGAGAGCCGACACAGGATACAAGAGGAAGATGCTGAGGACATGGGGGACGAAGAGGATGACTTTGACGATACACCACAGCTCATCGGTACCGGCAGAACACAACAACAGCGGCGATTGGAGAGGCTGCAACGCCAGCAGCGGAAAGCGTCGCGCAGAAGGTATTTGCAGGCCGTTGCGCCACGCTTGGAGATTCTGCAGAATATGCCCTTCTTCATACCATTCACCACCCGTGTGCAGATTTTCCGCGAGTTCGTGACTCTCGACATGGTAAGTATTCTGTAACACGATGAACCCCAAGTAACACAACGCTAACTCATAATAGACAAAGCGAAGAGGCAGTTCGGACCCTGAATCGTGGCGTTTACGCGTCATGCAGCGACCCGATGCACCGCACCAATTCGACAAGCATGCTGCACGTGTCCGTCGTGGTGCAGAGTTTGACGATGCTTTCGCACAGTTTTACGATCTCGGCGAGGGGTTGAAGGAGCCCATCCAGATCACTTTTGTGGATCAATTCGATCAGGCAGAAGCTGGTATTGATGGCGGAGGTGTCACGAAAGAGTTTCTCACCAGCGTCACGAATACAGCTTTTACACCTACCGAAAATGGGATCGACATGTTCATTGAGAACGACCAACATCTGTTATACCCAAACCCTTCGGCTGTAGAAGAACTGAAGGAAGTCTTGAGGACCAAGATAGGTTTACGCGATGGCTCTGCGGAATTCCGGCAGCAGGTGTCTGAGTCTCTCCAGCGGTACGAATTCTTGGGGCGCATCATCGGTAAATGCATGTACGAAGGTGAGTATTCTTGTGACCAATCACAACAGAATTATTCTGACTGAACCCAGGTATCTTAGTCGATGTCAACTTTGCACCATTCTTCTTGCGCAAATGGGCATTGACAGGCGGCACGGGCTCCGCGCCGAACGAGACAGGTTACCGTCCGACGCTAAATGATCTCCGCGATCTGGACGAGGAGCTCTACCAAGGCCTACACAAGCTCAAAACTTATGATGGTAAGTCGTACCAACCTTGGGCATTGCTTCGTGATGTATGCTCACACGTTCCCAGGCGATGTGGAAGACTTCGGTCTCAACTTCACAATCACGGACACCGTCGTCGTCGACCATAACACCAAGAAAACCAAAGCCGTTACGAAAGAGCTCCGTCCTGACGGCGCCAACATTGCCGTCACTAACCAAAACCGCCTCGTCTATATCAGCTACGTCGCCCGACACCGCTTGCAAAACCAACCTTACCTTCAAACCTCTGCCTTCCTCCGCGGCCTTTCCGCCATGATCCAGCCCTCGTGGCTCTCCATGTTCAACGCGCCTGAACTTCAGACCCTAATCGGCGGGACATCATCCTCCATCGACGTCGACGACCTGCGCCGCAACACCATGTACGGCGGCACCTACGTGATAGGGGACGACGGGCTGGAGCATCCGACGGTCCAGCTCTTCTGGAAGATTATGAAGGAACTGAGTGATGGGGAGCGCCGCGCGGTGCTGAAGTTCGTGACGAGTACGCCGAGGGCACCGCTATTGGGGTTCCGGACGCTGAATCCGAGATTTAGCATAAGGGATGCCGGGAGCGATCAGGAGAGGTTGCCTAGCACGAGTACGTGTGTCAATCTGCTGAAGCTGCCTATGTACAAGGATGAAGCGTTGCTAAAGGAGAAGTTACTGTATAGCGTTTTCTCGGGGGCTGGGTTCGATTTGAGCTAGGGGAATGCGGTTGTAGAACTGGAAAAGAAGTACTTTAAGCATGTCTCTGAAAATAGTTGGGTAATGGTGAACAGCTACGGTTGTCACGTCGTTGCAATTGCATTGATGCGATTGCTTGCATCGTGCGTCTAAACTACGATCACATGGCCCAGAAAACTCTTTCAAAGCGAATTTCGAGGCGAAGTTTAAGGTGAAGTACACTGGATGTTTGAACCAGAACAGTAAAGAATTGAGAACGTATTCATGTGAGGATGGAGAGCTGGGAAGCGAATCGACGATTAGTCATTAGCGTTGGCTCGGCCCGAATTCTTGCCGACAGGCAGCTTCAACTTCTCGAAAGTTCTGTCGCTCATCTCCTCCACTATTTCAGCTTCGCTCAACATCACACATTCGCATCTTTCATTGTCGCTGCTTGAAGGAGTATTCTGCGTCTCTGGCGATTCGCACACTAGATACTTGGTACGTATAGCAGCTTTTTTACCTGTTCGTTTGTATGATGAAACCACAGCTGGCACCAGTCCTAGAAGACTTGTACTCTTTTGCTGCGGATAAAGCTTTGCGGGAGCATCGCTCCTAGTCCTGATAATATATTACTCACTTTTCAATGCATGTCCTTCTTTTAGGGGCACGGAGGCTAATTCATGGATTTTAGATTTGCGCACGAGCTCTGAGACCCCGCGCGCGACACAATGGTTCTCCACAATCCAAACAACTGGCACTGGGTAAACAAGGATGTCAGCCCATGGGCGAAGGACTACCTCACCAAGGAGGTGCTCGAGATCACCGCTGAGGAAGATGGCGTCAGCGCGAAGGTGGACAGCCTCATGAGCATGGATGGCGACGTGGATGTGAGCCAGCGCAAGGGCAAGGTTATAACAATATTCGATGTCAAGTTGAAGCTTGAATACAAAGGTATGTTCACCTTTGCACAGCGGGCAGGTTCGGTGGTTGACCTGGTCGGCAGGCAAGAACAAGGAAGGCGAAGAGGCCAGCGGCACCATTACTGTCCCCGAAGTGGCACACGACACGGAGGAAGACGAGTATGTCGTATGTTCCCTTCGCTCCCAGCTGTTGTTACATTCGTTCCTGTACACGACCACAAACTAACAGTTACCAGTTTGAGATAGACATCTATTCGGAAGACAAGAGCAAGCAGCCTGTCAAAGACCTCGTTCGATCAAAGATCGTGCCACAACTGCGAAAGAGCTTTGCCAAGCTCGGACCAGCCCTCATTGAAGAGCACGGCAAGGATATCCAGCACGCACCTGGATCCAACCCGGCGAGCGGATTCTCAACGCCCAAGACCTACTCCAACTCCGGCATCAACAAGTCAGAATCGAAGTCTGCAACGTCTGCCACATCAAAGAGTGGCGGATCATTGGTTAACACCACAACGATCAATGACAGCACCGAATTCCGCACCACAGCTGAGGAGCTTTACAAAACTTTCACTGAGCCTGATAGAATAGCTGCCTTCACCCGGTCACCACCCAAGAACTGGTCTGGCGCTCAGCCGGGCGGCACTTTCGAGTTGTTTGGCGGAAACGTCTCAGGAGAGTTCACGGAGCTCGAGAAGCCCACGCACATCGTCCAGAAATGGCGTCTTGCGCAGTGGCCTGCCGGTCACTATTCCACCCTGTCCATCTGGTTCGACCAGAACGATGTTGACGCGGTCACCGTGATGCGAGTGGAATGGAAGGGCGTGCCTGTCGGTCAAGAGGAGCCGACGAAAGGCAACTGGGGCGAGTACTACGTCCGGAGCATCAAGACCACGTTTGGTTTCGGTACCGTGCTATAGCCGGGCGGTGATAGCTTTCGGCGATGGCAGGAGTCAACGGCGTTTTGGAAAGCCCAGGATTGAATGCGACATGATGAATGAAGTGATGGATTTTCGATACAGAGGCTTCGTAGCGAAGCCAACAAATCAATACTTTTCTATGATCAGTTTCTCCTCTTTGCAGACATTGTATCCCTATGTTTACACCCCTGGTCATTGTTGATTCAATGTCGTAGGTTGGCCAGCTGACCTGCGTAGCGAACTACTCACGCACTTCTGTCTACAAGACGATTTATATACATATCCGATGTCTTAAGGTTCTGTGGGTCACCCACCACATGGAGCGGTTGTCAACAGCGACGACGAATATAGTTCGCTCCTCCACTGGCACTGAGCTCGTCATAGGATCTGCCTACAACATTGGAGATGTAAGTCAAAGTAAGATGAGCGTGGTTGATATTCCCATTGGTGCTGCTCATATCAAGCCTACTCTTCCTGATTGACACCATGACGAAGACGTCGAAGGGTGCGGACGTAGGAATGCGAGCTTGGAAGACGTTCGCGATGCCGACTTTGATCTACGGCTTGGCAGGACTGAGGCAGAAGCAATTTACTTCGTCGATCAAAGGCACGAGGCTTAGGTTATAACCACAAAAAGGGGTGGGGGTTTCAGGGCATCCTTGGTGCGGTCCTGGTCCGGTAGTTGTAGCACGGGATTCAGCGAATGGTCCTTCCAACAGGTAGTCTTGCGCCGATGCAGATTCGGTAAATTTCAGGAAATTTGGAGATCAGAAGATGGTGCTCTATTTACAGCAGCGAACGTGGTGTCAACGGGTCATGACGATGTCAACCATCGCACGAGCCTGCCTCTCTGTGATAGTGATAGAGGTATCACTGTCGTCAGTGCAAGGTGTATCATCAAAACCTGTCAAAAAGAAAGGATGCAATGTATGCAAAAAGGCTGATACTGAAAGTTCTTTTCGGGCATTGTGTCTCAGAGCAAGGCTACTGGCGCTTCTGCTATGGAAGTGCAGGCCCCTAATCGATAAGGGCTATATTTAGGGTTAGTGCGCCGCCAGGCAAACGGGCTTGGCAAACGGGTCGAAACGTCAACACCTCGCACTCTACCTGCGCCTCCTCTGTGCTATCACAGAGCCAGACAGCGCAGGATTGCGCGTCGTTCGTCAATGGCGTTCAGCATTCGGAAGACTCCGAAGCCGTCCACCTAAAATCGCGAAGTCTTACAGCAGCCCGCCGGGCCGTGCCGTAGGAGTAGTTCATGCTCCGATGCAGTCATGGGGCCGAAGGACTAAGCTTACATTTTCAGCTATTTCAAAGGCAAGAGTCGGTGGCTGTGCTTATTCTACGCCGATTAACATACCAATCAGCGCTTACTACCCTCTACTGTACGGATATAGGCCTCGGGCAGAAGACTTCCGGCAGCTATGACCGCACCGCCGCGACCGCATTTGTAGACTGAGATCTTGAGCCTCCTTTCTTGGCAGATCGTCCTTGTTACAGAGTCGATGCCGCGCTTAGTACATGCTGTGAGTGGGCGAACGAACCGGTCAGGGCTCTTTTCCAGAACACGGCCGCGCAATACCCGGAAACCATCAGCACATGCTGTTTCGAACGCTTCCAATCTTGGTTCGTACGACTTACTATGCATCAGACCTTCGAGGTATTACTATGCCACGATGTCAGTACAATCGTATCCCAGGCGTTCGCTTCTATCCCTTCTTTGGTGCGATCTTTTTCTTTCCTTGGTGCTTTTGAAGGTTGTATCAATACCGTACTAATTACTTGTTTGCTATTTCCTTGTATTCCTAGCATCCGGGAAGATGGCGGGCACATCAAACTTCCGACGCTGGCCGTCCTACCCTCACATGCCTATTTACCTCGAATCCAGCGAGGGCACAGAAACAATGCGAGCTTACAACCCCATTCTACCAGTTTCACCTCTCCCAGAACATCTCTCTTCAGAGCGTGGAAACCGCTTTTTAATTGTCCCATCGACGCAATTCGCGGAATGCTCCCGAGCATCTGTAGCGACACAATTCACGAACCTTTCGCCAATATGGCCAATTCCACCGCCAGCTTCATTGCAAACGTTGATACCGCCACCGCCACCGCCAAAAGATTTACCAAATCCCCCAAAGACAGGGAATTTACGGCTGCATCCAAGGTCGAACGAAACATCTCGGAGAAATGCTATCTACCATGAATCAGGCCCTCATACACTGCATCCGCTACACGCGCCTGGCTCGTACAACGAGTTCGGTCTCGGGATACATTTGGAACAACCCGCTGCGCGGACTACAAGCGCAGCCTCAGCAGATGCGGAGAAAAGCACGCGATCATCGAACATTGCGCAGCGAATTGAGGAAGGCCTGTGGCGTTATAGTCTCTCCGGCAATGTTATCAAGAGGTGGCTGATTGAGATTATCAGCTGGTGGCTGAGCGCCATTTGTATGGGCACAATCGTTGGTATCTTGATTTACTATCGAGATGGAAGGATTCCCAATTGGCCTGGAGTTCTTACGTTGAACGCACTTATTGCTGTGTTGTCCAAGATTGCTGGGGCAGCCTTGATAATTCCAGTGTCTGAAGCCCTTGGACAACTCAAATGGAGCTGGTTCCAAGGTAATCCGAAGACGATGTGGGATTTCGAGATATTTGACAACGCTTCTAGAGGCCCATGGGGATCTATCTTACTGCTGATCCGAACGAAAGGCCGCGCTTTGGCGGCTCTTGGCGCTGGTATTACCCTATTCTCATTGGTCCTTGATCCTTTCTTTCAACAGGTTGTGGATTTCCCATCTCGATGGGCGCTACAGGGCACGAGCTCCATTCCACGCACCATCTGGTATGAACCACGCTATATCCCCGAGTTTAGAGCGGGCAAAGAAGTGTACCAATTAGATAACGACATTTCCATGGCCACCAAAAAATTCTTCTACGACAATGGCACTCAACCTGTAAAGTTCGGCAATGGTACGCGCCCCGAAATGCCAATCTCTTGTCCAACAAGTAATTGCACCTGGCCGGCTTATCAAACATTAGGTGTGTGCAGCAGATGCACAGAAGTCTCTCAACTACTCGATTTTGCTTGCTTGAAGACGACTGCCGACTGGGTAGCAAATTTGACGGGCGGATACCAGGCGAGCAGATTGTACCCAAATGCCACGATGTGCGGTTGGTATATCAATGCGACAGACCACTCCGAACAGCCTATTTTAATGTCAGGGTATCTTACAGAAGCTGTTGATTCCTCTGTCGGTACAGCGTCGAAGAATGAGGTCCTTCTCACCCGGTTGCTTCCTCTGGTCACCAATCCCGAAAGAGCCCCGCTCTTCGGTGGTTCCGTGAACTTCAACGATATCAGAAATAGACTTCTCGATGTGCTGATCGTGTCAGCCGCAAATGGAACCGCAGGCGTCCTACGGAACGAAACCCCCGTCGCTCACGAGTGTGCAATATCCTGGTGTGTCAAGACCATCGAATCAGCATACTTTATGGGTACCTACAAAGAGCGTGTGATTGGCACTATTGAGAACACCACCTCAGGCGAGTTTCCCTGGCAAACCAAATTCATCATTAGCCCAAGTGGCAATGGCACGAAGATTTCGTATCGAGAAAACATTACGATCGGGGTACAGACGGATGCCAATGGTAGTGATGTTGTACGATATGGTATGGATAATAACACATTCGTCAGAGTGACGGCGGTATTCGATGACATCTTCCCTTCTTTCTACACGGCTACGAATATGTCTTCGGTGCCGAAACTAAGGTATAAGACAAACATCATTGGCGCACCCTTTCAGCGAGCACTGGATTTCAACCCCTGGTCAGCGGAGAACAACATCACTCGCCACTTAGAAAGAATGACGGATGCGATCACGAACGTGGTGAGGTCTTACCCAAACGCATCGTATACCGACGGTTCAGCGTTTTCCCAAGAGACCTACGTGGCCGTACGTTGGCAGTGGCTAGCGCTGCCGCTTGCGTTACTAATTCTCAGCGCTATCTTCCTTATTGCAACAATCAAGAAGACCGCTGATGAAGGAGTCTGGAAGTCATCAGCGATTGCGACACTTCTTTATGGATTACCAGACCACGTACAAAAACAAATCACAACTGCAGTGCAAGGGGACCTACCGCGTGTGAAGGCAAAAAAGCTGAAGGTTCGGTTGCACGCTACGAAGGGATGGCGATTATCTGGGAACTCCTCTCCGCCCGTGGTATCGAAGCCAAAACAATATCAACCACCGCCTGGGTGGATATGAGGAGGTACGCAAGTCATTGTAGTAGTTGTCGAGATCTGGAATGCCTCGGATGTTACGCTACCAGCTGTCAAAACTATCAGGAAGAACAAGACGGAAGTGCAATTGAAAGGGCAATTATAGAATATACAACATTCCAACACTAAACCTCAACTGTGCATTGCTTTGTGTGATGAGCTATCCAAGGGAAGGTGGCAGTCTTCAAGGTGTGTATTACAACTTCCCACAAATTGCCGTTTTGACCTGAAGGCTGCAACGTCCTCCAGCACGCTCCGTGGCTCGATTGTATATCTCTTCGCAGAACAAAGCTTGTGCAAGACTCATTCCTAACGTCGACCAGATGATGCTCCAATATCCTCGAACTCGGTCACGCCACGTCGTCCAGATGATGCTCCAGTATCCTCAGAATCGACCACGTCACGCCTTCCGGAAGATGCTCCAATATCCTCGAACCCGGTTACATCACGTCGTCCAGATGATGCTCCAGTGTCCTCGGAATCGAACACGTCGCGTTGGCGGAATGGCGACACACCGTCTCCAAGCAGTGTTGCTCGGTCGTCGAGACTAATCTTCTGAAGGTATCAATTCCGTGCCATTCACATTTTCTGCCAGTGCTCACCTTGGCCGTTGGCAACGGAGCAGTCAAGATGGGAAGCACAAGAGTTGCGATGATAGAGATCTGGCGCGTATACATCTTGTCTTTGAGATCGAAGCGGAGACAATCAGTCGTATGAATGGGTTGTACGGCAAGGCTCGACCAAAAGTTATATTCAGAGTTATACTGGGGCCTAACGCTGCCGGGCAGATCAAGCCTAGAGGAACACCCTTACCTTTTATGTCTCCTTCTCTACGCCGCAACGCCATTGTACGATGCAACGAAACAGCAGCCTATAGATGTGCGCCTTCCAGCTGGCGCCAATTACCACATTGGTATACACACAAAACAAACGCGAATGATGCGCTACGCTCCGCTGGGTCGGCTCATTATAGGGTTAAACGATGATTGCACCGTGGATGCCACAGGCAAGTCGGCATGAATCTTGAGGGACGCATCAGGCGCGCTGAAACTGAAGTGTAAGGGGGGACTGCAACGCGAAACGTCAGAACGGAGTTACTGAATGACTGGTACTACTTCAGCTTGCGGCGTAACTATGGAACGCAATATCTTGATGTCCAAGTAGTCGTGTGGCACAGTAGACTTTCTGAACAGATTGAATGTCGTCGTGCAGCATCCCGTCCGCTCCTGTAATTTCCCTTCACTAGAAGAAGCTCAAAGATTAAAGCTGACCAATCGTAGGTCTGACATGCAGGAGACGGGTCTTGGCGGCGGCTTATCCGTGTGGTCGGGACGAGACGATTGGTTCAGGCTAATGACCACTTGTGCGAACCTGTGAGGATCAACCATTCCTGCATCGCACATCTGCTCTTGTTGTGAGCGCTACGCCTACATCATCTGCACATGTCAAGGTGGCAGCAGCCAACATTCGTCGACTCCAGCTTGTCATTAGGCATGCCCTTGATGCTATGGCCACACACAAATCGAACTTTAGGCATGAACTTTATAAACAACCACTGCGTTTGATCGTTTAACGATGTCAGGAATGGGAGCCTCGTGCGGCACGTCGGAGGGCTGGTGGTCACGGCCACTTAATTTGGTAGTTTGAAGCAGATGCTATTCAGCTAGATGCGCCTTCGCGGCGTAGTTCAAGCGTGAGCCAAACGGCATAATTCATGGACTTCCTTGGGTTCAACGAAACCCGGAATGTCAAGCAACAGCGTGTCAAGTCGACTTTTCAAGAGCTGCGTCGGCAATAATTGTTGTTATTCATGAAATTTAGAATCTCTATGAGGCGAGGCGCAATGCCTTTGTACCAGAGCGACTGAAGGGCACCTCGGCTAGCCGCCATGTAGAAACCTAAGCATCCAGCACTTCGAGAACCTTTGAGTGGAATCAACATAGATATGTGGATATTGCCCTGAGTGTTGATCTTGAGGAGCTTTACTTTTTGTTATGACCCTTCATGTGAGCGTAGAATAAAGGTACGCCGATGAGCATGAAGAACCGGAAATCTCCGATCTTTTAGCGCGTGACCCGTTCGGCTCATTCCACTACCTCCACCTTCTATTCGACGCTGCTTCCCGAAGCCATCACGATTACGATGAACGCGCGGCGGTTCATGAGTTGCATTTCTCAGCCAGCTGCAGATACCTTCAGTTTGACTGCGCTGCGACATGGAGTCCGCGTGCTCGGGGCTGTGCGCCCACACCGGGCGCTAACTTGCAGGCCGCCGCTCCACCAAGACGCCTGCAGACAGAGCGCAGCTATGACAGCGCCTATTGCTGGCTGCTGAGTCGTGCATACTCAACATACACATCACTATGCCTTAGGCTCAAACGAATGAGGCTGGCAGGATAGAGAAAGCCTTTCAGGATAGCCGCATCGCTGAGTAGATAGACAACTGCGCGTTTGGGCGGATGCGCAGCAGAGTAGGTATCCTGCTCCCCTATCCTAGCTCCTCGCAGACTTTTACAATACTTTTCAGTCCTCACTGAAGCATAGAAGAAGATATCTTGCAATTCAACGGCATTAGACCTCCCGATCCACCGCAGAATTTGGACGGATGGAACGCACGTTGCGTGAGCAAGCACCGCGCTGTACTCTTCCTACTACTATATACACCCCAGAATCGCCCTCTACGCCAACAACCAGAAAAATGGGTCTTGACATCCCACAAAAGATCGAAAGAAAACTTGCACGCCTCAATGACTCCAAAAATCCGCTCCGCCGCTGGTCATTCGAACTTGCCAGCTGGACGGCCAGTACCATATGCATGGGTTCTATAATAGCCATACTTATCTATATGAGAAATCAACCGCTATCACGATGGCCATTCGGCTTGACAGTCATCACTGTCTTGGCCAAGATCGCCGCAGCCACCCTGATAATCCCAACCTCGGAAGCTATCGGCCAGTTGAAATGGAACTGGTTTCAAGGAACTGCGTCAAGAGAGATGGTGGACTTTGAGATCTTCGACAAGGCATCTCGCGGAGGCCCTTGGGGCTCTGTAATGTTGTTGTTACGCACCAAAGGCAAATCATTAGCAGCGGTGGGAGCGATTCTTACCATCCTAATGCTTGCGATTGATACCTTCTTCCAGCAGGTGATCGAGTTACCCGAGATCTGGAGCCTTCAAGGTAAAGGCTATGTACCTATGGTAACTCAACTTGAGCATCAGGCCCCACTTTATTACAGTAACGGAGTCGAAAGAAAAGAGACTGACAAAGAACTGGCCACATTGATAAACGAATTCTTTATCGATAATAGCTCGCGCCCGATACCAGCAGGAGACGGATTCCAGGCCGAAATACCAGTAACATGCTCCACCGGCAACTGTGCCTGGCCCTTATACCGCACCCTGGGCGTTTGTAGCGCATGTCAAGATGTTTCCTCCCTTCTCGGCTACGCATGTATTTCATCAAAGCTGGATTGGGTACGCAACATAAGCCGCGATCCCACTGAATCTTCATACCTTCGTGGAAACATGTGCGGATACTTCATCAATGCGACAGGCGAATCTCCAGTCATGATGACAGGCTATGCTATAGGTCCGAACATTACCTATACGGGGCAAGCACTCGTGGCCCGTGGTCTACCTCTTGTCGATAGTATCACTAGGACCACACTATTTGGTGGTACTGTCCATTTTGGTCATATACGAAACCCCATAGAAGACTTCATAGTCGCTGGACTCCAGGACACCGAAGCCGTCTATGCCAATCGCACGCCATTTGCCCAGGAATGCGTCCTTTATTGGTGTGTCAAAGCAATCAACTCAACTTATTCTTTGGGCGCTTATAAGGAGGAGGTGGTTGAGACGTTTATCAATTCCACGACAGGTCCGCAGCCTTGGAACACTGCACTGATGGAAGACACAGACGAAGGCCCCATCTATAATTACAATTACGCCGAAAACGTCTCTATCCGTGTACCCTTCGATCCAGAGGAAATCAATTATGGGATGACCAATGAAACCATGGTTCTCACCGCTTTGGCTTTTGACGATGTGCTACCGTTCTTCTCGACGATGGTCAACTCCTCGAACACACCTTCCATAAGATTACGTTACTGGAACTCGGGCAATATAGAGATGATTCCCGAAATAAACCCGTGGGTACCTACCAACAATATCACGCAGCACGTTGAACGGTTGGCTACTGCAGTGACTAACTTGATTCGATCATCTTCAAGGACCAAGTCAGTCTCCGGTGACGCCTTTGCAAAGGAGGTCTACGTCAATGTTCAATGGGCGTGGCTTACATTCCCGCTTCTACTCCTCATCTTAAGCCTGTTATTCCTTGTTTCCACTATTGTACGAGTATCCAGAGCAGACGGCGAAGCAGGCATTTGGAAGAATTCAGCAATGCCGATTCTAATCTACAGCCTTCCCAAAGACGCACAGCAGGCACTGGTATCAAGTGGCGCCTTAGACGCAGGATCGAAAACGAAGGCAAAGAATACAAGAATAAGGCTGGGAAAAAAGACCGGTTGGAGAGTTTCAGGCTACACATCCGCCCCTGCAACACCAGTCTCACAAGGTTATCCTCCGCCAGGATGGATATAGGAGCTAGCCTAGGAAAGATTCTTGCATAGCCTGGGAATGATAGTAACTCAAACATGATGTAATCTATCTTACATTTTCGCCAATATGTCTTTTCTGCCTCTTCGGTCCCACTCCAATTTCAACCCATTCGCCCCAACATGCACTCCAAGCAAGGGGCTCTACTTCAGGTTCGCACATCTAGAAGCTGCTCAGTTTTTTTCGGTGGCAAGGAACGGAAATAGAGTGACATTCGAAATGTAGGCATCTCCACCGAGAGTTGACATGCTGCAACGAGACTTGATGGCAGCTCGACACTATCTAGGGATCCAGAATAATTTTTTTTAGCCATACTGCTGCCCATATTCTCCCAGTCCAAGTATAGCCAACTCTCACAGCTTCGCCTTGTCTTCCAGATCCGCAACCTTGACCACAACCTTCCCATATACTTTCCTTGCTGCCAGGTCTCCCAATGCCTTACCAATATTCTCCAGTCCCTCATACTTCCCGTACAGCATTGCCTTCAACTTCCCACTTTCCATCATTTCCAAATACCCTTTCCAGATCTCTTCTAACACCTCCGGATCTCGCCGTCCGCCTTCTCCGAACCTATACCCAGTGACCGTAGCAGATTTCAAGAGCAGCTTATTCATCTTCACACTCTCCATGACCCCCTTTCTGGCCGCAAAACCCAGAACAACAATCCGTCCCACGTACGCCAAACATCGAATAGCATCATTAACCATACCCGTATTATCTAGCACCACATCCACGCCCCTCCCTTTCGTTAACCCCATAACCTCATCAACCAACTTTCCACCCTCGTCCACCACAACAACTGCATTAACCCCCATATCCCTCCGCATCATCTTCGCCTTACCTTCGTCCCCCGCAAGCGCAATGACTTTAGCCCCAAGGGCTTTCGCAACCGTACAACACGCGCTCCCCAGGCCTCCACTCGCTCCACTAACAAGCACAGTATCTCCTGGTAGAACCTTCGCCACCTTCACAACGGCCGCGTACGATACCGCCTGTCCCTCCATCGCACACGCAGCCTCACTGCTCAGTCTCGGGGGTACCTTCCGCACAGCCTCAGCCTTCACAGCGACATACTCTGCGAACGCGCCGATACTTGCGCCGAAGACGCGATCGCCGATTCGAAGGTTTCCGGTGTAGGAAGGTGAGATGGAGTCGACGACGCCTGCGAAGTCATATCCAAGGATGAAAGGCGGGTGGCACCATCCGCGCTTGGGGTTATTGTTCTGGTGTTTGCCCTGCGCGTGGAGGATGTCGGCGTGTTGGGGGCTGCAGTGGGATATGCGGACTAGAAGTGGGCGGTCTGCGTGGGGGCGGGGAGTGGGTACTTCCGAAGGAATTAGACTTGAGGGGTCTGCGACGTAGTCTTGTATGAGGATGGCTTTCATTGTGGATGGAAGGGTTGATTTGTGACGAGAGAATGGAATCGTATGGTAAATGATAAGGACTGAATGGGTGGCTACATGTTGGTTGTATGAGGATGAGATGATGGAGAACTTTAGGAACGGACTTAGTTACTGTGACCTCGGGACGACGATTTGAAAGAGGGGCGTCGGAGGGATTTCGGCCAATGACTAGCTCTAAGCCTAATCCTAACCCCACCATCCTGCGGTACCGTCACGCAATGGCAGTTTGTCAAACCGTCTATGCTTGGACATCGCAATACGTTGTTCCACCGTCGTACTCTCTCGTCCTCGCCAAGCGTCGTTGTCGGCCTACCAGAACATGATGATTTTCATCCGTTGACCTGTGCCGGAAAATAGACTTCCGAACTTCTATACCTAGCCAGATAGGTATAATCTCAATCGTACTTCGCGCACTCATAGGCAACAGCAGAGTTTGCTCGTATATCGACTGGCTAAGGCCACGCAGGGCCCAGCAAGGACATCACAAAGCGAAGTACGAACAGGTCAGGAAGGAGCAGAGATACCCATGGCGGGCATAATTCCGCGCAGATGTGTTATATCATATTTACATACTCGTGATCGTCTGATCGTGCCTTTTATATTTTTGTGTTGTAGTGTGAAGATGCTTTTGTCCAGCAAAAAGCAAGAACAGGTGAAAAGGCAGCCTTTTCCTTTTGCGCCCAGCCAAGTCCCTCCAAAGTCGTGCAAACATCAAAGAACGAAACTCCGAATTGAGCAGACAACATCCCGCTCGCAGAGCGAGTGTCAAGCCGCAGGGGCACGGTGAGCGCTTCAAGCAGTCGGCGCCGGCAAGAAGACTGTGACCTCCTCAACAACCGTGACGACCTTCGTCACTACCTCACCATTAGGTAGGGTAGTAACCTGGACGGCCTCGCCGGGCCCAGGTGTCACGCTACCGACCGGAGTTGTGACAGGCGTCGCGCTGTCCGCCTTGGTCAAGCTGGCAGAGCTCGTTTCAACTGGCTCAGCGCCCTCCGTGACCGTGACAACGACCGTGACGACGTTCGTCACCACCTGGCCGTTAGGCAGAGTCGTTACCTCGACGGTCTCACCGGGACCGGCCGTGACGCTGCTCGCTGGAGCAGCAGATGTCGCGGTCTGTGATTCTTGGCTCACAGCGCTGGAAACAGCTGCCTCATCGGCGTCGCTCCAGTGCCAAGTACCACTGGTGGCGTTCCAGCCATCAGAGTTGCCAGCAAGCGGGGCACCAGTCGCGCTCTTCGGCGGGTTTCCATGAATCTCAGGCCTGAAGTCCTTGGAGCCAGTCCACTTCGGTACGTCTGTGTCGTTTTTGGGCAATGAAATGGGAATATTGAATACGGTAACGTTCAAGCCTTGAGGCGGCGAAGACCGCGGGATCTCGGTGTAGTCAAGTGCTTGGATACGCCAGTGGAAGTTCTTCTCGAGGAAGGCTGAGACGGCTTCATCGGTCAAGCTTGTCAGCTCGCCAGTCTGAAATTTCTTGTACAATTTGTCGGTTAGGGATACAGTAGAAGTAAACGTTACGTCAGAGCTCATGCGTGGAGAGGATGTCGATGCCACCTGGCCGAGGTAGTTCGGATCGGTAGCCCATTGTGTCGGATCAGAACTCGGCTCGCCCAAAAAGCAGCGTACGGAGTATGATACTTGGATATCGGCAGGCATCTTGACCTGGGCATTCCACTCCGTCGCTTTCGCGCTGCTGTTGCTAGCGGGACCCGATGAACCTTCAGTAGAGTTGCTGGAGTTGCTGCTGTCAAGACCCAGGGTTTGTGGCTTGTATAGCTTGTTAATGGTGCCGGTGAGGGAAGTGTTGGAAGGGTTGTCAGCCAGTTCAGGGTACGTGTAGCCGAAGGATGTCCAGTTGCGAATGAGGTTGGACGTCCACATGTCACCATTGGCATTCATGTGGAACGGTTCGAGCGGAGAATTAGCATCCTGAATGCTGTTGACGTCATAGTAGTACGTTCCTTTGTACTGAGATGCTGCCTCCACCCAGGTATCCGGATACCGGTATTGGTAGATGGCCATGAGACGGTCCATTTGGCTGAAGTCGGTCAGTGAGGCCTTTCTCCACGGGAGTTTGATGATCGCAGGACATAACGGCACATACCAATGATGGAACCAGAACACGGGGTCATAAGCTGATGCCTCCACAATCCCCATATTGCCCATACCAAACATATTGTGAAAACTGTTATGCAGTACCTCCACGCTACCAATATCACTACCGCTTGCCGCGCTACTCCACTGGTTGAACGTTTGATACGTAGTCAAGAGCTTATAGAGCGAATCACGGTTGTCAGGCTGAGCCGTGGTGGCACGCTCATTCGCAACATCGTTGCGGCTTGTAGCAGTGGGTGAAGTGCCATTCTCAGGGAGGCGGATCGTCGTATTCCAGTCCTTAAACTCATACTCGGCCTATAACAGTCAGAAATCGTTATCAAATGTGTTACCCATTCGAAGTAGAGCCGACTCACAAGCGCAGAGAAATCGTCGTACTTCAAGGGATGGAAACTGTATGCGTAGAGCGGATTCGGGATTTCTCCCGAGGTGCCATTCGGGAAGGTGATGGTGGCTGATTGGCTTCGAAGAGACGTAGGCATCACACCTTCGGTGCTATTATCTGGGTTGAGGGCCCAGTCCCAGTATGGCAGACGAACGCGGTTTGCAACCGAGAGAGCATTCCTTTGAGCATCGCCCGCTGAGTACTCGTTGGCGATCTCCACAGCCTTCCTTTGAAGAACCTGTTCGAAGAGCGCAAGATATGGGCGGTGCCAAGTCAGGAAAACGTTGCTCGTGTGAGGGCAGTAGCCCATCAAACCGTCGCCCGCTACTCCGTCCCACTCCCCAAATGGAGCTCCGTGTATGGCTGCTTGCATTAGCAGTGTGCTGATGTTGATTCAAAGAGCCTTACCTGCGACCTGGAAGTACGACACTTTGTCACTTTGATCCATTGCTTGAAATCGCGCAAAGGCTTGCAAGAAAAGGTTCCACGTTTCCGCATCCTGTTCAAGCTCGCGAAGCTCCTGTCGGGGGTATACTCCTGTTCCTTGCACTCCAACAACGGAGTAGTAGGACGATTCATCGGTCTTCTGCACGGCGGAGCAGCTTCCGCCTACAGTGCTGTTGCTGGCGGTTCCGTTGCTGAAGGGGGCAGCGTGTGTGCTGGTGAATAAAGAGAGTGAGGCCGTGAGCGCAGTGAGAGCAAAAGTGGAAGACTTCATTGTGACCAGCCAGCCGGTAAGGAATGAACGGAATCAATATAGATTCCAAAGAAGCGAATGTGAAAGGAGTGGAAAGAAAGAGCGGTAGTCGTAAAGACTGAACGAAAGGAAGGACGAGGCTGGGCCGTGAAGACTACATGATGCGAGGACCAAGATCCTTATAACAAGGAAAATACGAGTAATTGATTGGCATACGCATGCGCGCACCGCCTCGCTGTGGGTGTTTGAAGACCTGGGCAGTCCCGCAGGCATGATCATGCAGCGGGTTCAAACGGCTGACATCGCAAAATGAGAGTGTGTTTAGTTACGTTCTAGCATGGGTTTACACCTCGAAACATGTTTAGTTTCTTCGAATATATTGGGAGGAGGGTAAATGGACCAATCATGGCGGCCGTTTCAGATTATTTGTTCATGCTTGGCTTGGGCGGGACCAACCGAGGAGTAACCGCCTTGCAGTTCAACAATCGCTAAATGCTCAGGATGTTGTCGTTCGGTGAATGAGTGGGTATCGTACGAAGCTATGGCTATTGTAGAGATGGTGCTCAGTGGTGTTGTCGCCGCTACCGGACTTGGACGTGACCGAATTGAGCTGACCGGCTTGTCTGGAAAACATAAATTTCGCAAGAGCACTTCAAGAGCCAGGCCAATATTTTCAACAAGATCTTGTGCTTAACTTGCTCGCGAAGTGCCACGATTGTAGTGATATCGATAGAGTAGAGATAGAAGGGTGATAGCACGGACCACTGTCAGCGGCAGGGGTGTCGCGAGCCTTTCATTCCCAGTGCAGGCCACTGAAATTTCCGGTGATGTCACGAGACCCTTGCGCACCACGAGTGAGTACACTGTGGGGCCGCGGCGATGGTCTATAGCACGTGCTGATTGCTAGCCGTGAAACAAAACGGCATGCGTGTTCCGAGCGAGAGTGAGCGTGGTCCTCTGACAGAATGGGAAATAACATCGAGAGACACCTAAGCATGCCCAATGTGCCTTCAAATAGGCTCCATCGTGTCTGGCGGTAACGTCTCGTCGTGCGCGTTAGATCTTCTGAAGGACCGCTTAGCAGATCTGCTGGATCGTTGCGATTCGTCTTTCCGTCTCTTGTGGCCAGGCATATCAGATGCAACATGTGCAGTGGCCCATTTCTTCACTCTCATGAAGGCCGTAACTACAGGTGCAGGAAGAGCGCCCAGTTGACGACTAGAGATGCCACCTCCACTCATGAGAATCTCAATCGACGTTTGAACGCGGGCAATAGAAGGGTTCAGCGATTGACCGTAAACGTCGTCGCGAAAGGCGTTGAGGGCTATGTTTCGTAGCAGAAGAATGTCTCCAGCTTTCACACGCTGTAGAATATGACCGAGCGTATGTTGAAAGTTGCCACCTTTCGAAGGCTTCTGCCAAATGGTGACTTTGAACCCGCTTCTGGTATCGTCGGCAACAATGAGTTCGCGGAGTTGCATTCTGTAACCACCTTTCTTGACAAATACCTCTCTGTCCTCTGGTGGCGCAGCGAGGACACACAGGATATTAGGAGTAGGTGTCTGTGGATATATACGCCGCAGATGTGCCGCACTGGGCAAAGCACCCAATGCAGTGAGCCTCAGCGTGATGGGAACTTGCAAAATTCGTCCTTCCGTGTTCGACTGTTGCAAGCTGTCCATGTCGGTGCTCGTGCTACTGTCAAATGAAGTACCTACGAACGACTGGGAGGTTGTTGTGCCATCTGCGAGACCTCCTGGAGCAATCTGCGAAGACAGAAGCGTATCATGGAAAATCAGCGATTGGTGTACAAAGTCGCTGTCATCGATAGGCGCCTCGTCGACAGTCACGATCGTGTCCAGGTTTGTCGTATCTTCTGGAATCGCATCAAATGAGGCTCCGACGCCCGGCACCAAGAAAGAAAGCGTTGTATCGTCCCCATGAAGGGCACCATTCGGTAGGTACGGATGCGACCAATCCGACTGCAGTCGCAGCTCCTTGGGCACCACGTACCGCCACTTGAGGGGTGCATCTTGGACTAGTCTTGGACATAGAGCATCGTGATGGATGAGTTTTATTGCTGCTTCAGGGTCAAGCAGCGCTTGAGGGCTGAAGTCAAGGTTTGCGCGCAAAGGCGCGCCATTGAGTGTTTTCAGCCTCATCGGCCCATCGCATGCGGCGACGCGTTGTACTGGTGGCGGTGTAGATATGGCGTCTCCCTGGCGGGACTCGATAAGCCCTGAACAAGCACTTCACGTCTCCAAGCGTAATAGATAGGCCAGCCCAATAAGCTCAGGGTTAAATGGCGAGTGTGAAGGATGCGTTACGTGGAGCCGCTCGGAGAAAACGTCGGAGCCGAGCACAGTCGTGCCTTCCTCAGCCCGCAGCCTGCGACTTAAAGCTGGCAGGTGCCAGCGTATTGAGATGTTTGACTGGAAAGCCCAAAGTATCTGATTTAAAGATATACTACAACCATCCATCTTTCCCGAAGCTCTTGAGAAGCCTCCGAAATCGAACCTCATAAAAGTGTCGTAGTACGACGCGTACCCAGTACTCGCGTAATCCAGCGCGCTAATTCCGCGGTTAGCGGCTCGGACTTAATCTTATCTGATCGATCGCTATAAATTTGGAGGTCTTTATGGGCAAAGACTCTACCCACAAGCCCATAAATCCGTATAAGATGACTGCGGCGCTCAAGAACATCTATTACAGGCTGACGCCCACATCCTCGTCTTTTTCGCTGCCGACACAGAAGAATCCAGGCGAATTTACGAAAGCGCGGACCACCGACGCGCTGTTCCCCACCACAGACCCCGCTGTCGACGGTGACGAATGCCTACATGACTGCGCGAGTTGCACCATCAAGTACCCCAGGAAGTTCACAATCGACGAGGATGAGGAGCTCTATGGCCATGTAAAAGGATGGAGTACGCACTTGATTGTTGCGACCGGCAAGACGGACTGGGTGCGCGATGTCGCAGATGAGAAGGGCAGCATCATGGAGGCGGTGGACAAGGGCGACGTGAAGCCCAGCAATGGTGTCAGTAACAGCTCTCCATTTAACCAATTCCATAGCTAACATTTGCAGAAACTCATGCTCTCCGCGTCCGACATCCCCGTTCCTGAACACTCCGACCACAGCACCACGGTGCTCCTCTTACCCAAGTTCCAGTTCATCGACAACGTCACGCCAGCAAACACACCAGACCTTATAAAAGACTTTGTAAATAAAGGCCCCACCAACACATCGCCTCTCCATCACGCGTCACAACCTGCGCTGCCGCCTTCACCGTCGCCGCTTTCCACGGAGGCCTCCACCCCCGAGTCGGACCCTACCACCACATCCACTATTCCGCCCGCAATAACGTCGCCTGGTCTCAAGGCTCGACCGTGCCCGCACAAATACCTGATATTGCTATGCAGCCAGAAAACGCGCGACGCACGCTGTGGCCAGTCCGCACCGTTGCTCCGAAAAGAATTCGAGCGACATCTTGCACCGCTAGGTCTCTACCGCGACCTGCACGATGAACGGCCGGGTGGCGTCGGAATATACTTCATAAGTCATGTTGGTGGACACAAGTTCTCCGCAAATGTCATGATATACCGCTCATCCTCGGCCATTGAACGACCGAACCAGCTCAACGGCCACGCCAACGGCGTCGAAGAGTCGCTCGAGAAACTGAAGGTGGAAGACGACAAGGGGCAGGAAGTCGTGTTGGACGTGAACAAGGCCCAAGAGGCAGAGGGCAACGCTGAGGCGGCACAGTGTATCTGGCTTGCCAGGGTGCGGCCGGAGGACTGCGAAAATATTATCAGGTATACGGTGCTGCAGGGTAAGCTTGTCAAGCCACAGAGTCAGTTAAGAGGAGGCTTCGATCGGAATAAGCAGCTTGTTAGTTGGTGATACCCCTTTGGTGATCCGAGAAACTTGAAGCAACTTTATAGGAGGGAAGATCTCGTTCAACGCCAGCTGTCCGAGGATGTTTGATCACAATGGTCGAGTAGCTGCCTATGGCGCACGTATATAATTGCCAGGGGCAGAGGGCGGCGTCCAGATAATATAGACTAGTAAATATGGTGGTAAGAGAGGGAACTCAATAAGACGCCCGCCGTGCATAGGGAAAGCGCTTAATCGGTCTTCTTGTCTTAGATTGCTAATTCGTATGCGACCCTTTCAAAACGTTTCGGTAAGAGGGCACCTTCCATGCTCCTGCCTGAGTGCAGGAAAGAGCTCTCTCGATGGGGCAACTGCGCGCTAGGCCGATGTGCGTAGCTGTGCCTCCATCTCCTCGACCTCTCCAGCACACAAACGGTGTGACATGTTTCCACATTGTGTTCAACATATACAAAGGACATAATCGCGGAGAAGGACGATAGCACCCTACAGTATGCGGGGATTGGGCAAGGCTCGCTCGCATCCGTAATCACCCCGGCAGCAGAGCGCTATCAGCACGACTTTCACACCTTTCACTGGATGCCAACACATGCATATGCATTGGATCGCGCGAGAGATGATAGGCCAGGCACCATTCTCTGGAAGTATTAGTCGGCTAAAAAGTGGCTGAGCTGCATGCGTTGCTTTCACAGTCAGGCTGAGAAAGGCTGGCCCCTCATCTCACAACCTTGGAAGTCACATCGTCAGCGCAAGATTTTCCTCGCTCACTCGACCCACAGATACAAGCAATACTGATTCCTCCGAAAAGAACATTCATTCAGCTGGTTCATCGACATCGTCAATGGCATCGATCGGACGAGTGGTCATCTCGGCGCTCTCGGGAACACAAGAGATCACTGCTGGTCTCGCGAATTTCAACTTCGACTTTTCTCTTGTGAAGGTGGCGGCACCTAATGAATACCAGAGTATCGGACAACATTTATCGAAGAAGAGAAAGCTAAGCGCCGAAGATGGGTCCATTCACCGTACGGCACGCAAACTCGGTGCGCTGTTCGAAGCGAGTCTACCTGACATTCCCAGCCTAATCCGCGCATACGGCCTGCGCGCGTCTGAGGTAACCGAAAACCCTGAACACAAATTATCGGAAGAACGTAGACGCGGACCTTTGGACGAACATGTCGGCCTTGATGGCAGAGCACATTGGGCGGCGGCGACTTCTGGGCCTAGCGCACTCGCTGTGCTGCTGCTTGCTTGCATGATCGCGAGATCGTTTACGAAAAGTACTGAAGCAGTGGCCCTCTGGAGCGAAATCGTAGCTACGCGCAAAATACTCCTCCAAGAGCAGTTGAGTGGACCCAGTATTCACATTAATTCTTTGACTGCATCGCAAGTGGAGATCACACGCGAAGCATTGGCTGAGTGGGATGCAAGCGCTAGATCAGTGAGGCATACTACGTATCCCAATTATAAGCATCCTTACTAACGTATACCGCTCAGTGGCTCAGTATGGCTGATAAATCCATGTCTCGGCAGCAATTCAAGCTCATGGTCATCATCGATAATCTTGATTTGACTGTACGTTCGTCTCTCACCGCTTACGAGAATGTCATGGAGGTTTGGGTAGATGCTATGACGACTGTTGACAAGCTCATTTCGGGTGTACCTCTTCGCATGCAAAAGCCTGGTGTTCTCATCGGTTTGTCCTCATGGCATCTTTATCCTGATATATCCGTCCTGGACTATGAGCAAAAACTCTTAAAACTCGATGATCATCTCATCCGGGCTGGCGGTTTACTGACTATCGGAATGCGATCAATCAGTCCCAAGATAACCGAAGGCATCAACTGGACAATGCCCTTGAAAGACCTTCGTTATTACGGAAAGGCACCTCTCACCAAGGGTGTGGTCAACACATCTTCAAGCTACGTTACTTTCGATGTGTTTATCAGAGTAGCGATTGGGAGCATGATCAGTCAGTGGAGCAAAAATTCAAGTGGTCTCGAGTCGATATTCGCCTTTCTCGCCGCTTTTGGAAAGGCCGTCACTGCGCCTAAAGTTGCTACTGCCAAACAGACGATGGATCAAGAAGTCATGGATGGGCTTGCATTTAACATCAAGAGCTTAGAAGACAAAGAGCTGGACGGTTCGGACAACAAGGAGCTGAATGGCAACATGGACACGGACCTTAGCGACAAAGTCTTTTGGTCAAAAACAATAACCGATGTAGCAGACTCATATCCTCGAGGTAATGACTACTACAAAAAGGAAGTTGAGCAAAGCGTTGAGTTAGGGATACGGAGATTCTCAAATTTCTTTGCTCCGAAGCGAGAGCACTCACATCCAGGCTTTGGACTGTGTACCATTCAGACACTGCTCGATATGATGAGTCCTGAAGGTACAATTCCAGCCTTGCGAGCGTTGACGGCAAGCAATTATCCCACCTTGGATCTGAAGCGCGCTGTTCTGCTTCACAAAGGCGATGACTGGTCTGAGATCATCGATCTATCTTCCTTCAAGAACCCCCGCAAACCTGAGCTTTCTTACCGTAGATGGGTCATACTACACGACAGCGAGACAGATAAATCGACTGAGAATAAGCTCCCCTGGCAACTCAGAATGACACATTACCGGAATAAAGACTCAAACTCGCCATATGATCATGGAACGGCCGACATCTCACGTGCGGTCCATATCTTGAAGGATTTGAAAGAGTCATGCGGATTCGTAACGTCTTCACAAACTGTCAGTGTACAGCCGACACGTTGGAATGCGTACGACTTGTTCTCTTGGGCCAAGGAAACAGAGGAGGAGTTAGAGAATATAGGTCGCGGCTTACTCGTCGAGAAACACACCCCATTCTGGCTCAGATCGGATTACAATCGAGTCTGGAATTCCCCATCGCAATCTCTGTTCCTGTTTCTACCTGTCATTGCGGCGGGAACCTTTTCAGCAGCCATAGATGTTCCTCTTGATTTCCTTACTGGTATCCTAGATCAGGGACTTCTTCCTGGTTCTGCCCTTCGGCGTTACATGATGCATCTCCCCTGGCACGAAAGCAATAAGCAGACTTTCACTTACTTTCGATCACTGACCGTCCTGAATAGCGTGTCGACTCTTTACGAAACTCTCCAGGGCGCTCTTGTGAATCTCTCGGTGCTCTCGATGCCGCTCCGGGACATGAAATGGCGGACTGAACGCTTCGAATCATTGGACCCGCCACAAGCGCTTTCCTGTATTTCCACATTTGCTACCGGGTACCATAATCTTGATCCATCTATATTCTCCGGAATTATTGGTCTTTCCTATAACAATGCGTTATACATGAGAGAATTTCTTCTCAATGACCCTTGGCAAAACTTTCGCCCCGGAAAATCGGAGCAAACCCTTTGTTGTTTGGTCGGGACGATAGATCACCCTGGACTGTCACTACTTGTGCCCGTCGCAGAGACTATGCGGAGCGAGCCTGATCTGGAATCTTGGAAATTGATCAACCATCATGACTTCGATGGCAGAGTCGAGGACAATTTCTCAGGTACAGCCCTGCAACTGTGCCTGACCGGATACGTACAGCCGATTGATACGGGTGAGCACGGAACACGCGATAAAGACACCTTCTTTGTAGAGACCGTGATATCCGTTCACGAACGAGGGAGTTGGATTGCGGACATCAATGTTCTTTCACTGTCCCCACAGGATGGAGACCAAGACGCGGATGATGACGAGAATGATGAGCGAACTTTGAATATCAGCCTTCCAGAATCATGCACGCATTCTGCAATAGAACGCAGTCTGAGGGAACTTTCGTGCCGCCTTCGATCTGTAGACAATTGGACCGAATTCTTGGACCTACCTTCAGACCTGTGCATCGTCCGTGCAGCCAACAACTGGACGGCAAGAATGGCAATCTGTTGCATGGCGCTCGGCCGACGGAAGCTGGTACTACTCGGACTCTCACATATTTGTTGGTCATGCGTTTGGCATGTTTGGTCCGTGGATTCAGAAGGTTATCCGCCTCATGAGGTTATGATTGTACTGTAGAGCAAGGGAAAGCAACGACTACATGTACGGGAATGTGTGCTGGTTACCTAGGCACCACGTCATCAGCCTTTTCTAGAATGTCTTCTATTCTACCCAGTCGAAGGGCAGTTACTTTGAAAGGCTTAGTCCTAAAATAGTAGCCCCCTAGCGGGATTTAACCATATTGAGTAGTACCGCGGCCCCGGCCTTCAGTAACGTGGGAAACTCCCGATCCATGACACGCGGGTTTTAGTCGATTATTTAGGGTTATATCACGGAAACCTAATTTTATATCTAGTAAACGCCAATGAATCGTTTGAAGATTTCTCAGTGCGTAATACCAAAGTTTGACCTCTCAAGCTCAGACTGGTACGGTTAGTGCGTCTTGGCGGATTATATGCCCTGATCTGGCCTTGTTCTAACCCAAAGCAGCGTGACTGCGGTTCAACGTCACGGCTTAGTGTTCGCAATGGCGTGCGAACGACGCACCTCATGTCTTTACCAACCTGATCATCCTCGATTCTGCCAGAGAGACCGTCGCATACATGAGAATTCGATCTAGGAACGTTTGCAACCCTTGTAGAGACCGTAAACTAGGCGTGAGTAAAATATCCTTCACGCTTGCACTCCAAGGCCCGTTACAGATGAGTAATAATCTGAATCTGACTTTCGCTGTCTACAGTGCGATGGAAAAAGGCCCACATGTTCGCAATGCCATCAAGGCCGGCACTTATGCATCGGGTACGACACTGGTTTGACCTTTACTGGTCTTTGGGTGCCTAGCACTGAAGGTGTGACCAACAAAGCATCGCGCAGTGTGGCAAGACCTAAGAAAGTCTACGCGAAGCGCACCTCAGGACCTGTGGCTCAATCTAGCCTCTCATGGTCCCGGCCGTCGGACCTTTACGCCGTGCCACGCTCTCTCAAATGGCCCATTTCGGATATAATTTCTCTTTGCGTTCAAAACTTTGTCCCTCCCGCGGAGGTGCGATCATCAGCGTCTTCCCCTTCCCGTATCTGTGGACAATGGATCGAAGCCTTACCTTCACTTGTCGCCGAAAAAGAGGATGAAGATCTGCTATACCCCGCTATCAAATCGCTTGCCATGGCGATCCTTGCCAGGGGCTCTCAGGGCAGGGCACCTATCGCAGGTGCTATCGAGGCTCATGGCGTTGCTATACGTGCTGTTCGTTCGTGCATCAGCCGTTACGATTCTACCGCATTTTCATCTCTTGCAGCTTCCATCATGTGTTTGTATCTTGCCCAGGTAAGGATCTCTCTGATATCCTCTGAATTGTGGACTGCCCACAGTGTATCGCTTTGTGCACAACGCCCACCGCTTACGTTGATTAGAAATTGCTTCCGCAGAAACTGCTTCCATCGGCCAACTCCCACTCAGTCATCCATAACAAAGGTCTCGGAGATCTAGTCCAAAGTCAGAGTCCTACTTTCTTTGCTATGGGGACATGCCATCGACTTCTCGTTGGCTTCACGCCTATGCTGGTACGATGTACTCACTACAATATACTTCGAGTGCTCAATTAACTTAGCGGATAGGTCCTCGATGCGATCTATACGCATACATCTACTTTCATGTCGCGGACGGAGTGGAGAGAGGGGCCCCTTTCCCAACTTGAACCCACGTATCTGCAAGATCTCTTATATCGCGCAAGTCCGATATCGACAATCCTTGAGCAACTTGATACCACTCAAGTCAATGCTAAGAACGCTGCACTCGTCATCGTGGAGAGGGCGCTCGCACAGCTTGCGACGGTCATCGAATCCCTGGACGACTGGTATGTCAAAGTGCGCTCCGAGAACTTTGATTTCTCAGCCTTCCAGAGCTCTGATGAAGTTTGTGATCCGCGAATGCGGTTTCCTAACCTCACTACCGCCAACTGCATGTCACATTTCTGGGCCTTCAAAATCCTTTGTATTTCCGAAATAGCCTATCTCAAATGGCAATATCCTGGACTAGCTGCCAAGGTTGTCGACTTTGGAAGCGACACCCTGGACAGCGAGTCATATCCCAACGAGGTCAAATGCATGTCGAACTGGATCATGGGGAGCACGGAGTACTTGACTCAGGATTACATGAAGCTGTTTGGTGTCCTCTCTACCTACTTCCCGGTACATACGGTGTTCGCAACGCTTCTACGCTATGAGCGCATTACAAAGAACCCTTCATTGTTGAACGCGTTTGCCGGTCAGCACAGATCACTCATCAAGACGCTTATGGAGCTTGGCTGTATCTCTCCGTTGGTATCCCATCTCTCGGATTATGATGGCCCACAAGTCTCGCTAGTCTAAGCCGTCGAACCTTATGTCGCCCATGGACATCGAACTCTCACTTCGACATGTGGTTCAATCTCAATCTGCTGAAACTTGGTAGTCTCCATGGGGCTTCTCTGGCGGATCTTGTGGCCATAGTAGTATAACACCACTGCCACAGAGGTGCAGATTGTTTCTACAACAACCGAGAGTGCTCCCGCCCAATTCCTGGCTAAGGTTTTGTACATTGATGGTCCAGTCAGCGGCGGCCACGCGCCGATTATGCTCGTGAGCACCATATTTCCTGCCAGTACAGAGGATGCATAGATGAAATAGGGCTGTACCAAATGGCTGCTTGAGCGGATGAAGGGACAAGCGTTGCCCCCAACGTAAGGAATGCAGCAAAAATGGGAATGATCCAGTGGACGCCTGGTCGACATCTCCAAGCAAGCAAGAGTTGAACAAAGTCTAGCAGGATGGCGCCTATGCATACGAAGATGGCCATAACACTAGGCTTCACATTGTCTGTGGCCGGTCTGTTTCACGAGCTTCACGAGCAGCGTTGTTTCTGTTTGGTGCAGGCAACATGGTGGTTGGGACTTCGTCGACGTGATGAATAAATGTCGTCTGTTGATGTCATTGTAGACTCTAAATTGAAATAAGGCCAACAAAAGTTTTGGAAGATAGACAGAAAGCTTACAGAAAAAGAAGAGAATCGGGAACCATGAGAGAATTGGAGGTGTGAAAGATACCTTAAGTAGTAGTGGGATAAGGTTTGGAGATGAACAGGTGTGAAGCCCACACAAGTAGAGACTTCTATGTGATTAGTAGATACTAGAGATAATACTGGATGTGTGATCTGCCCCGAACCGTCTACGATCGTGGTGTCTTGGCGGTGTATACTGCCTCATTTGGTCTAGTGCCAAGTTCGGGCATGATCTTACAAACTTCGCTCTGCGAATGCAATACTCTTTTGTCAAGCTGAGTAATTCTCAAATGGTTGATCTGAGTAATTCAACCATGGGCAGGGATTTTAGTCGCTCTATCTCCGAACAGTGGCTATATAAGCCAACCTACATCCTGCGTTCCTTACCATCATATTATCAACGAAACTCGTCGAGTGCACCCATATACATTAGCACTACTTGTACTCTGTTTTATTAAATCGTCAACGAAATGGCTCCTAGTCTGAGCATGACGCACATTGGCACAGCCACAGCCATCCTCCATCTCAACGGCGTCAACTTCATCACGGATCCATTTTTCTCACCTGCTGGTTCCTCTATGGCTATTACATCAAAGCTATCATTGACCGTCTCTGATGATCCTGGACTGCGACTTGACCAACTTCCTATCATCGACGCGGTACTACTCAGTCACGAGGACCATTGGGACAATCTCGACGATCTTGGTCGACGCCTCTTGGATGGTCGTCGTGTCTTCACCACTGTAGACGGTGCAAATAATCTTGCCCCTCGGCCATCTGTCCATGGTATGAAGCCGTGGGAAGAAATCCAAAGCACGATCGCTGGCCAGAAGTTCCGAATCATAGCAACTCCAACTCAGCACGCCCGCGGTCAGGAATGCACTGGTTTCATTGTCACTTCAGAGACGATGGGGCAGCACAAAGATGGCCTACCCAATGCAATCTACTTCTCGGGAGATACCGTCTACTTGAAAGAATTGAAGCAGATTGGAGATCGATTCCACATCTGCGCGGCTATCCTGAACTTGGGCAATGCTCACGTGCCCGAGAATTACGAAGAGCCGGAGTCTGGTGGTGCCTACCAGGTTACGATGGATGGGAAGCAAGCCGCGCTCCTGAGTCGAGATATCAAGGCTGATGTTATTGTACCTATGCACTATGAGTCGTGGGGGCATTTTACGCAGTTTGGAGATGAGCTCCGTCAAGCTTTTGAGGCCGAGGGCGTTAGTGATAAGGTCTGCTGGCTTAAGCTAGGAAAGGAGGTTCAAGTACTTTGAGTAACATTATAGTCATTGTAGACAACCTGAGGGAAATCTTGAAGTTTACTCCTCTCTTGATCCTATGTTGCAAGATTCGTTCGTAAATCTTTCCATGATATGATTCAGGGAAAGGGAAGCACGTATGCCAGCCTCGTGTGCCAGCCTCGTGCAGATCCCAGAAGCGCGGATCCCGAACTGGCGGCACGCTAATGCAGGTTAGCCAAAGCGGGAATGACCCTCGTCAACTCCTCCCGCAATCCTCCTCTCGTACAACAGAATCTCTGACATCGCGATGCTTTGCATAATATCTTATCCCATGATAAACTTTCCGACATGGCTCGCTCCGATCCAGCCCTTGCCTCTGTGGGATTGCTGAGGACGGTTATCCTGGGAGAACCAACCAGATTATGCTGCAAGTACCACTGCTTGCGCAAGCCTCAGGCGTTCAGCCCCCATTCGTTGCACGTTCCAGCCGCCAGCCATGGGGCTGTAAAATGACGTCGAAAGGCTAACACGGTGTTATAATTATGATGGACGCTAACATTCTTCACTTTGTCCACTTGTTCTTGCACCCTCATTATGTCCATGCAAAGCCGCCATGGCTCAACCTCTATTCTGCGATAATATCGGAAACAACACGAATGACGCAACATGTTGCGTTGTTGATAAGCAAAATTCGACTATCTGTCAAGAGAACTTCAACCGCGCTATCCTCCCATTCAGCGGAGGCTGTCCTACCGGCGACTGTCTCAAGGACTGCTCAAATACTACCCTTATCTACCAGTCTCTCCTCCAGGATGACCCGTCCGGGCCAGGTAACGGTCAAGGACCGATACGACGCTACCAGACCTGCGCAAACGTCCCAAACGTCGCGAGCTACCTTTCACAAGGCGTGCTGAGCGAGAACATCACCACGTACATTGGCAAAAATGTCTCGGCGAACGCAACGCCTGATCAGTTGCAGGGAGTCACAAAAGCGGTTACTGAGTGTCTCACCGCTACGTGCAGCAATGCGCGAAATCCCACAGACTGTCAGGGGAAATGCGCACCAGTGAAGTTGCTCGTCAACGGCACCATACCGAATGTGCAGGGCCTCAGCGAATGCCTGGACTCGCTTTGCTTAAAAAGATGGGAGAATCTACCGTTTGCTGATCCAGACATAGTTGGAATTGGGGTAAGAACTCTACAACCCTAAAGGTCTATATTCCACGCTGGGCCTTTGACACTGATCTCTTCAGGTCTTTTCGTCCTACATCGCGCAGTGCATGCTTGTAGTGTTACTATGGTTTGGCATGTGGGCCTTCCATCACTTCAAGCCGCGAATACAGAAGAGGAAGGAGAAAAGGAACAAGAGGAAAGCCCAACAACTTGAAGGCAGGCCAGATGACCCAAGCAAACAAGACGAACGTGACAATCGAGACCTAAAATACTCAGACTCAAAACTTCCTCGGAACGAGAAAGAGCCACCGAGCCATCAAGAGCTCTTCGAGAAGTGCATCGTCGACTTCCATAAAACGCAATGCTACTTCAGCGCCACCATACAGGTCGCCGCGCTGACCTACGGCATCTTCGGCGACACAAACTTCCTCATCACCTTCATGCTGTTGCCCCTTGCTACGAACGGCGTTCTCCCAGTCGTCTTCACGTACTACCTCATGGTCTACCGAACCGGCAAAGCTACCCTAGACACAACGCTCCTCACGACAATATGCTGGCTTCTCTCCTCCGTCGTGTACTGGGTCCTCTACAGCAGTATCATACATATCAACAACAACATCACGAGCGATGAGAAGAGGTATCGCGCGTACCAGCAGTTCATATACAAATTGTCAGCTTTGGATGAGTGCGGTGGATATTCCGCGCTGGCGGTTTGTCCGGTCAACGATCGCACGGGGTTGTTCGAGGATGAGCTAGTCAAGGCTTCGAACAGGCTGAGAGCCTTGACGCCTATCATCTGGAGTTTTGCGACACTCTGCTTGCTTTATACGCTTGCCGTCAAGACAGCAGCATGGCTTACACATCGCGATGAAGCAAAGGATGCAGAAAATGGGGACGCTCCATCTGATCGGGCAAAGGAAGATGATGGGGCGGTTATGGGACGTGCCGGCAGAATTGTCGACCACATCCTACATGGGAAGAGTAAGACACTTATAATACCTTACTACGTCTCTACGCTGTGTTTCCTTGCCGGTATCGGCATGCAGCTATCGCTACTTTCTATCGGTACGTCATTGAGAATGATGGATAGGAAAGACTGGGGTTTTGGACAAATCATTGCGGTGACAATATGGGTGCCGCCACTTGTCGATTGGATTTACAACGCGTTGAAAAGGACGGTAACAGGGAAGAGGAAAAGAAGAAAGCATGAAGCGACCAGAACACCAGCTCGATAGGGATTATATTGGATATCTAAAAGCGCTATTAGGGGGGACTTTATCGTTTCGATAGATGCATATTTATTCGGGGCTGCTACAGTATGTGGGCCTCAGCGCATTTGGTGCACAGGTCTGCAGTGGTGCAGGCACCGTTGCCCGAGAGTCTAGTGACTGCTCATGTGCAGTAACCGAAAATGAGGATATGCAATTATATGAGGTTCGATGGCCACCCCCCCCATATGAGGCCGCGAAGCTTTCGAGGCAGCCGAGGAAGATGGCCATGCTGCTGGATCTTCTCCGTAATCCTTGGTGAATGAAATTGTAAAAATAAGAATAATTAAGTTTCGCCCGCTAGCATCGATAATTAACCGTCTAGTGTGGCGATGTTGACTTCAGGTTGGAAAAACCAAATGGGGCAGAGGGTGGGGGCCAGAAACATTGAGGCGTTAGAACAACTTTGTCTCGTCTTGGCCTCACGGATAATGAGAAAGACTGAGAAATGGATGTTGTTGATCACGAAGTGCTCGTGGAAGCCCAAGCGGGGCTGCTGGTGATAGATGATTCGTAGATGTTAGGTCTAGCAATATGCGGCTCTGCGGCACAGCACGGGCTACGCGGCACTTTCCCTGAAAGTCTCAGTTCAATGCTGACCTCAGCCGGAAGACCTGCCGCTTCTGGGAAGCATATGCTTTGTATTCTAGCCTAATATAACAGTGGCAGATTGCGACCTGAAGAACATTTGGATTATGGGAACCGAAGAACGCTGATGCTGATACTGATCCCGGTCCTCTAGTTCATCTGCCATCCATACCTAGAGTACATACGTTATGTGTGAGTTCGTCACAGCCAATACAAGCTGTAGTACAACCAATCGGAAGGCCAGTATCAGGATCATATCCCTCCGCAATTATGCGCTTTCTGCGCTCCTTCTCAACCATCTCATCTAATTCAGCTCCCCTCATCATTGTGCCATCGTTCGGATCAATGAACCAAACATTTTCACCACCGCACGGCCAATAGTAGTCTTCGAGCGCACCCCACCAGGGGGTCAAACCATATTTGCAGACGACATAGATCTCCTTCGCATTGCTGAATATCTTAGCACGCTCCATACCAAAATCGAAAACCGGATCATAGTGGTTCTCAGCTTCGAACCTCAGCCTCTGTACCATCGACGCCACCTTCTCGTAGACATCGAAATGCGAATATCGACCAACGTCGATAATGTCCATATCGAAATTTACCCAAACATACTGCTGAGGCTCCAACACGTGAGGAGGGTCATCAATTCCGGTGAATCCTCGCTCGTAGTGTCTCTGCAGCTCGCGTCTGGACTCTTGACAGGTCTGTAGCGGAGCTGGCACAGGCGTAGACGTCACCGGAAGAGGTGCCCCTCGCCATAGATAGGTTTGGGAGACAGAAACGTCTACGATGCGAGGCTCGATGGTGAGCTCCCATATTCGTGCGCGGATCTCGAACGGCAGCCGTGGGAAAAAGTGGAAGGTATCCATGAGGGGGGGAATCTTGCGGAGGTGTATTGCGCAGAGTCTTTGCGCGTGATCAAGTTCTCGCTGTGTCTTGTTGTATATCGAAGGCCTGATGTCCGCATCCGCACGTATTTCTTGCATCCGTACTTGGGTGAAGCAGCGGCGACAATCTTGGGTCGGAAGTCATCTAGATCCAAAGTGGGGGCTGACAACATCGAGCAAATCTCGCTTCCCACGCGAACAAGAGCTGGTTATTTCCTGACTTGGCAACAGCGGCGAAGTGTCAGAAATTGCCCGCAGCATGGTGCGAGGGACAGATTTTTTCATCGATTGTGAGAGTAATGAGTTGGTGCTTAACCACATGCAGCTCGGCGGCACGGCACGTTGGCACTAACCTACGTTTCTCCAAGGCCTGAGCTTTCGAAAATTGCCTGCCTTTTTGGTGTCAGCTCCACTCCCACACGGACTGCCTTTGCACTATCCGAATATTCATTGTATTGGAAATTTAGGTGACTCTTGGATCGTACGATACCTATGATATCAGAGCCTGTCCCCATAACGCCCCGTCTCTTGGAATCATCATTCCAACTCGATGTGGACGCTCACGAACGGATCTGGCAAAGATATTGGTCAAACATGAGACGATGGATCTTCTTCGAAAAGCTCAAAATTCCTCTTCCCCCATTCAATGTCATCATTGCTCTTCCTCTTGCAGTTCCTTAGCAATCCTATCAAGCCCTTACGGACCTCTAAGCACTCGTTCAACATGATTAGAATCAATAAAAAAAACGTTCTCCTCTTCACAAGGCCAGTGTTGCTCTTCGAGGGCCCCAAAAGCTTCATATAGTCCCCATGCGCACAAGACGAAGATTTTCCTGTAAGTCGGTAAAATTGCGCAGCGAGTCGATTTCCCAGCGGTAGAAGGCCTCTGATTGCAGATCGCTTTCAAATCACCGTCGACGCATTGTGAGTTATGACTTCACCATGCCGGACAAGTGAAGATCTCTGAGTCTACGATGTCTACGTCTACGATGTCGATGTTGTTTACCCAAACATATCTAGTGTTAGCGTGGACATCAGCATGAGGATTCGCGGATTGAGGCGAAAGCTTACTGTGGCCCTTTGCCTGGAGTAGCTTTCTCAGAGAAGGCCTTGGAATAAAGTCCGTAATTCCGTGATTCTTGGCAGACTTGGAGGACTGCGGGAACGGGTGTCGGTGAAGTAAGGAATGTGGCCCATGGGTCACGACCTCCTAGATATTGGGTTTTGACAGCCACAGTGCGGGGCTCAACTGTCATTTCCCAGATTTGAGCGCGAAGCTCGTATGGTAGACGAGGGAATGGGTGGAACGTTGCCATTGGAAAGGCTTCAAGCTGGATGGTGCAAGCTAAGTCCGTTGCAGCGTACTGTAGCGATGAAAGGACGCCTGGCGAACGGTCGGACCAATAATCATGCGAGTGTATACGGCCACAGTTCCGCACAAGTAGTGCCACGATGAAGTTGATAATGACAGATGTGTCAGATTGTGTGAAGTTGGAAGGTAGTATTCAAGAGGGTATCTGTAAGTTATGGTTGCCGCTAAGATGGCGCTAGATTTTCCACGCCAATCAGGCAGCCGCCCGACGTCCGCTCTCCGCCGCCACTTTGGGACAGTGAAGAGAACACCTGAAAATGCAAGGACAAATGCGAGAACAAGATATGTGAATGGAAGCCAAGCAACATGAAGTGAAAAGGGACTAGCCAAGTCCTTGAAAGCCAATCGAATGCCGTGAGAAGATGCTGGAGATACCTTCGTCAACCGGCAGCCTCCTTGACCTTGCCGTGCTCGGGTGGCTCGTCGATGAACTGCGGCGGCGCAGCGTCGTCCATCATGAAGGCAGGCATGCCACTCGACTCGCCGATGCCCTCCATCTCCACCTCCTCACCCAACGCCTCCAACTCAGCGTCCAGCTCGGCCTCATCCACATCTTCAGGAACATCATAGCTCCTACTTATGCTCTCTTGTATATCATTCCCCATATCCATCAAGTCCGCCATTTCATCCTGCAGTTTTTCAATCTTATCGATGTTGATCTTGCCATACTGCTTCTTGAGCTCCTTGGTGGTGGTCTTCATGGCGTCAACGGTCGTCATGGTGTTCTTGAGGTTGTCCTGCATCATGCCTGCCTGCTCCATGTTCCAGGACTGCTGCTGCAGCTGATCGCGCTGGGCGTCGTACATTTTGCGCTGCTGAAGGACTTTGAGGGCTTTCTGCTTGAGGGCCGTCTTGCCGGGGCCGTCGCGCATTTTCGCGATTTTCTGCTGGTAGGCGGTGAGTTCGGCGTTGAGTTTGGCGAGCTTGACGTCGATGGATTCTAGGCGTGTGTCGACCTGGAGACTGTTAAATAGTGCTACAGGAGGAGGAGGAGCAAGGTGCTTGCCGTGGATATGGCCTGGTTGAGCGTCGGCTTGGGAGCCGTGCTCTTCGCTCCGAACAGGCGATTCATGTTGGTGAGGCTCTGATACTACTGCTGAGAGCTTTTCGGTGTAGTGCTGTACCTGAAAGTGCAGCCTAGACGTGCAGGGGTGATTTACTATAGTATGTCGTCGCGGGGCAATTCATGCGCGGTGAATCTACAAGCTCGGGCCGCCCTAGCAGCGTCATCGGGCCGTCACGTGCGGCAGCCCACCGCGCACCAGCTGAGATGGTAGTGTGATGCTGCATGGTGGTACGCTTGCATGGAGCGCGTGATTTCAAAGTGCGGCACTCGCGGCGATTATTCTGAGATCCCAAGATAGGCGTGAGGGTTGCGTCGTGCCTCCAACAGCGCCTTTTGCTCGCCGTCCCCGGCCTAGCGCTGGCCCCAGTCCCAGTTCCCACGGCCTTGTGTGTGTGTGCTGTCACCGCTGCTCTGATATACCCCCACAACCGCCTACTCTGCGCCTTGCCGCTGCATTTTGTACTTGTAACGACTACTTACGACGTTTCTGTTGCCTGTGTGCTCCCATTGTGCGATCGCTCGCTTGCCCGCGCCCTCCTCGGAGGTTTCTTCGCAAGGTACCGCACCGTCCCACACTGCCCGCCGCCCACCTTGACCCTCGCGCACGCGCCCCACTGCTATTCACCCTCCCCGCGCTCTGCTTTCCTCTGCTGACTTACCAACTGTCGTTCCAGCCGCACATCCTCCGACCGTCACTCCCCATGAGTTGTCTGTTGCCATAGCTTCACCCCGCGCATGAGACCCGCTCGGCTGCGGCTACCCTCGAGTCCCTCCTTTTCGCTGCCCCGCCTGACACCTATCCACCATGTTTTGGCGCTTCGGCGGGTACGCGCAGCTGTCGTCGCTGGACAGCATCCTCGACAAGCCCGACGTGACGGTTGAGGAGCTGCTGGACGAGTCAGACCTCATCCAAGAGCTCAAGCAGCAGAATTCGAAGCTAATTGAATATCTCCGCGACGAAAAGGTCTTGGAACGGCTGCTGCGCTACGTAATCGCCCCTCCGCCTCCGATTTCGCCCAAAGATGAAGCTCAGTCGGAATCGTTAAAAAGTGAAGGCTTCTTTGGACGCGTTCGGGCGCGCTCAACGTCGGTCAAATCCGATCCGGGTGATGGCGAAGAGAGCAAGGAGGAGAAGCAGCGCATGAAGTATGCATATGTGGCATGCGAGATCCTGTCTTCTGAGGTCTGGTCCATATCTGAGGCTGTGCTGGAGAACCAGGACAGTTTGCGACAGTTCTGGAACTACATCAAGCAGCCCGCGCCGCTCGATCCCGTGCAAGCTGGCTACTTCAGCAAAGTCAACGAATCGCTACTGGATCGCAAGATGGAGGAGATGCTCGAATTCTTCAAGTCCATCGACAACGTCGTAACCGATATGCTGCAACATGTTGACTGTCCCATGATTATGGACCTGCTGCTGAAGATGATCAGCTTGGAAAAGAGCGAAGGAGGTCAAGGCATCGTAGACTGGCTACAGTCGCAAAATCTCGTTTCGCAACTTGTTTCGTATCTGGCGCCCGACCAGCCTTCCAACTGCCAGACGTCAGCCGGAGACTTCCTTAAAGCCATCATTACCATCTCTGCAAATGCCACGACCCAGGACACACAAGTAATAGGACCCAACGAACTCACGCGCCAACTCGTTTCGGAGCCATGCATCAAGCAGATGATTGGGTATATGCTCCACGGCGGCAACCCGCTCACTGTTAGTGTCGGAATTATCATTGAGGTCATCCGAAAGAACAACTCTGATTATGATTTGGAGAACCAGATTGGCCCTGTACCCAAGACTTCTGATCCTATCTACCTGGGGACCCTTCTTCGGCAATTCGCGAACCACATTCCCCAGTTTATGGAGCTGGTGCACACCACTAGGCAGACTATATCTAACAAGGACGGCTCGACTACCTCTAGGAAAAGGGAGCTCAAGACCGCTTTTGGCGAGAAGATAGAACCGCTCGGCTTTGATCGCTTCAAGACCTGCGAACTCATGGCAGAGCTTCTGCACTGCAGTAACATGGCTCTTTTGAACGAGCGCGGTAGCGAAGCTGAGGTCAAGAGAAGAGATGCTGAGCGGGAACGGCTAAAGGCCGAAGGGAAATTGACGGCGCGAGACCCTAATGCCGGCGACTTTTCAACAAGCGTTGACAGCCATGGTTTCCATCACGCCCGGGCGCCGTCCAGTGAATCGCCTGAGGAGATCAAGCGACTCGAAGTGCAGAATAACTCCGAGGATGATTTTGAGAAGGTTATTGCGCCCGAAGCACCATCGGAGGAGAAAGCTAATATCGACAAGGAACACGTTGGCGAGCCGCTGGAGAGATCACCGAAAACCGTCCCCAAGGAATCTGGTGTTGGTAAGCCTGAAGAGGGAGAAGGAGAGTTTGTTGACGAACCTCTTTCACCGGCCAAAGAAGCAGCGTCGCCTGCGAAGGACACAGCTTCGCCCGCAGAAGCCACGCCTGGTAAAGTTCCAGACGATGCAGAGTCGCCTACCTCAGCTGGCCTTTCCGCTAAGGTGGGCGGTTTGGGGCTTGATAACGATACCGTTATGGGCGACACCGAAGAGAGCCAGAAATCAGAGGCGACAAAGGAGGAAAAGCCACAGCCACCTTCGCTTTTGACCCAGCAACTCACCAAGGCAGAGACGAGCGAGGCGGAAGAGAAGGACCTCTCGCCACATCCGGAAGATAAACCTGCGCCGTTGTTCTCTGGTAAGACCAAGGACACGGAAGCCGCTGAGACTCCCAAACCAGATGCTGCCCGTTTTACGACAGGCGCAGCTGAAAGTGAGGGATCAGAGATCACGCCTATTGATGAGAGTAGTGAAACTCGATCTGTACTATTTGGTGGCGTGGAAGCTCAATACGCACCTCAATATGAGATCGATGTAGATGGCTCACCTGTGGTGGGTGACTTGCTCAAGATTCAATTCGTCGAGGACAAGGTCGTACCGACCATCTTTGTAAGTCGTCTGGGCTATCCTGCTTGGAATCTTGCTCACAAATTTTGAAGGACTTCTTCTTCCGCTTCCCGTGGAACAACTTCCTCCACAATGTTGTATACGATGTTGTACAGCAGGTATTCAACGGACAGATGGAGCGCGGCTACAATCGCAGCCTCGCCATAGACCTGTTCGAAACCGGTCGCATCACCGAGCGGATAATCGAAGGCCAGCAGGCGAGCGACAAAGCTCAAGCAGAAACACATATGCGCCTCGGCTACATGGGCCATCTCACCCTCATAGCGGAGGAGGTCCTGAAGTTTACCGAACGCCACCCTGCAGAACTTCTCTCGCAGTCGGTTCTCGAGAAGGTCATGAGCCAAGCATGGATAGATTACGTCGAACAGACTCTGGCAGAAACAAGAGAACGCGACAACGCAATCCTCGGCGGCGTCCGTCCTGACATGAGCGTCGGCCCTCGGCAAGCCGTCCTCAACGCGGTAAATGCCCAATCAGGCTTCGGTAACGACGGAGGCTCTTCACTTGCCAACGCAAATAGCGGAAACATCGGCCTGGACAGTATGGAGCTTACCAACCCCGACAACGGCGGCGGATACACATTCAGCGGCGGCTCATTACTCAGTGGCTTCACCAACTCGAGCGACGAGGAGGACGAGGAGATGGACGAAGGGGGCGAAGAAAGGGAGCGCGAGCAACGGCAGCCTCCTGTGAGTGACTCGGAACAAGTGGGTGAACTCTCATTTGAAGATGTCGAGATGGACTACCGATAATCGCATCGCGCGAGTCCCAGCACGACACTTGCATTGTCCGCGCGTTGGTGCGTTTTCTTCTCTCATTGCTCAGTACTACTGTTCTGTGTTGGGGAAGTTGTTGTGTGTTGTGTCGTGTTCGCTTAGCGGTGGTTGTTGGGGGAAGCAGCCACTGGGCATCCGGGACCTTTCATCCGCAAACTTTCGAATGTAAATACACCGCGTGTTAGCGAGGTTGTATCTGGCAAGAGCATGCATCTGTAGGAATACGCTATTGTGGACGACAGGACAAACATGCTTTCGCTCTTTCCTATGTGTGCGGATGAAAGGGTCTCGGTTGTCTTGCGACTCCCCACTTCCTACCCTATCCTTGTGCCGATCTCTCACCGTCATTTCCTAGCGTTCATCTTGTTCACCGAAACCCCGTTATACGCGCGCGACATCTGTTCTCTTTCTCCTGTCAAAGACACCGCTAATTTCCTTTCCCAATAGAAGTCAGCTGTCCCGCCTCCGCTGCAACCGTCGCGTGCGCGCCGTCAGTTCGCGATGCGCCTTGCTCAACGCAAGGCAGAACTTAAAACCACAAGGGATCAGGAGGATGACCCGGATGATGTGCAAGAAAGCCAGGAGCGGGAGGTGAGGGAAGGGCATGAACGATTTAAGAGACTATTCGAGGGAATGGATAGCTCGGACGAAGAGGGGGAGGGTGGAGATGATGAGGGCAGTCCAGAGAGGGAGAAAGAGAAGAGTGGGAAGGGGGATGAGGAGGGTGTTGTTGTGTAGGATGGAAAGGAAGGGCGAGGGCAGTACACACAAGAGAAAGGGAAAGGGGGAAGCGATACCTAATGCGCATGAAATGAGATGAGATGATATTCATTCCTTGCCCTTTCAACTCCTTGCTCCGTCAATACTCGAGTATCGTTCTCGTGTGTCATCGATGCTCTGCAGAAGCTCAAACTCGGTAATTCGGCTATCTCCATCTCTTCGAAGCTCGCGTAAATGGAAACGTTGACTGCGATAACAATGGCAATTTCGATTTTGCCATCGAAGTTCGAAACCGTCGGAGCCCAATCAATCTAGCTGAAGGCTACACCCTAAAGAGGACTAAAGAAGCTTCGTGACGTTTTTGGGATCGTCTCTCCAGCACTCAAGCTCTGCGATCGATGTACTGCATCTCGGTTGCTTCTCTGATCAAAAAAGGTGGGCGGTGCCCGGATCTGGTATTATGGTTGCGCCAGGTGCGAAGGGGGTGACGGGTCGAAACTGTGTCAAAGCTGTTGCTGGTAAGCCTTTCGTCTAGGTTCAGCACAATGCGTTGACGTAGCTCGCTGGGAATTATCTTGCGACGTTTGGAAATATAGTGCGTTCTCATTCGAAGTTTCAGTCGAGTTATGGTATGATCGAGGATTGTGCGTCTACGAAATACGCTTATTGGGTAGCCATGTTGTCTTTTACCAACATGCTACTTGGAGTGGTGTTGAGAAGCCCGCAGAACGACATCTGATTGGTCCGGTAACTTTCTTACCGGATTGCCGTGAACGCTTCGTAAGCATGGCTCTAAGAATCACGGAACGGGATTCATTGTCATCACAAAAGGTCGATTTCGAAGCGGTTACTAAGTCGATGTTAGACATCATGAGCATATCTGAGCTGTCGAGGGTTAGTTCGACAGCTACAAGTCCACGATCTAGCGGAGAGGTGCAGCGTATAAGTATCGACAATACTCGTGACTGAGAAAGTTATCTTCGTATGCTTCATCAACACGGTTTGTCCATTGTGCACTCAACATACGCACTGCTGCACCACGGTAGCCTTCTCGACCTCATCAAACCACGAAGCAGAGATTTCGGTCACAGTACATTTTAGCTTATCTGCCTAGAACGATCCTTTGACGCCTCTTGGGAGTTATTTAATATGCCAATCCCGAGCTCTTCAGAGGGCAGCGAAGAGCTTCTGCACCACCATCTCGATATGCTTCATCCACGCAAAGCTCACAAGATTATTCCTGCCGTTGAGACTCTTGAGGGAGCAGGAGTCCTTGTCCGCCGCACCATTGGGACACAGTCTCTTCGCCACTTCTCCCCTTTCCTTATGCTCGACCACGCCTCCGTCTCACCCGATAGCTCGGGTTTCCCCGATCATCCCCATCGTGGCCAGGAGACAATCTCTTACATTCTGTCGGGTAAACTGAAACATGAGGATTTTGCGGGGAACAGCGGCATACTTACAGCGGGAAGTTTGCAGTTCATGACTGCAGGCCGAGGGATCATGCATAGCGAGATGTCTCTCCCGGCGGATGACGGAACTGCAAGTGAAGGATTGCAACTATGGGTAGATCTACCCAAAGAGAAGAAGATGTGTGAGCCGCGTTATCGAGACTTGACTTCGTCCGAAATCCAAGAAGTGAGCGCAGATGCAGGCCGGGTCAAAGTACGAGTTATCAGTGGCGTGAGTAACGGCGTGCAAAGCCGACAGGACCTTACCTATACGCCTATCTGGTATCTTGACTTTACCGTCAAACCCGGTGGAACCGTCAAACAATTGCTGCCGCAGGGTTGGAATGCATTTGCATATGTTATGGCTGGTGAGGTGCTTATATCCGGCTCGCAGCATGCGGTCAAGCAATTTGACCTTGTCACGCTAGAGGAGGATGGTGACGGATTTGAAGCAAGCGTGCTAGCACACTATGGTACAGAGGCGCGATTCATCCTCGTAGCAGGACAACCGCTCGATCAGCCGGTGGTACAACATGGTCCATTTGTGATGACAAGTAGGGCTGAAATAGTGCAAGCAGTGTCGGACTTTCGCATGAGGGAGAATGGCTTCGAGCGCGCTGCGACTTGGACATCGAGAGCTATGAAGGGGAGATAGGACTTGTGTTGGCCCTCACCCGCTTCGACATCCCTGGGGCCTTTCTGTATCGGCTAGTGCCCAGCAAATTTAGTGGTGGGATTGCGCAACATGTCCGTGTCTCTGAATCGAACCTCCATGACATCGTAGCGCTGATGAGAAAAGTTCCATAATCTGTGGGGCACAATATATCCGCACATTGGTCAGATGACATCCATTCACAGCCATTTGGGTTATCGAAAATAAAGTATCATCCGCCTGTTTATTGTATGTCTGTCGCCCATCTCAAGTAGACATAGGTGCCCGGATATTGGCGAGAGAGTGAGTAGCGTGTCTAAAGTAAAGTATAGACATCGAGAACACTAATCCCTACCCACTACCTCTAGAAGATTTCCCAACTCCCTTACAATTCTAGTATTCCTCAGCCCATCTAAATCTAAAGCGGATATACAAACTTGAGGTTCTTGCGATCTGTCTGATCCAAGTCCTCGTCTTCGATAGCAAAGGTTTGTGATCCGGTATCAAGAACCTCATCCTTATGGTCGGATCTATCCTGCTCCACTATTTGTCGTCGCCTCGAGTTCTCTCGTACAAGATACCATCGAATAAGGAGGCACATGCCAGGAGAGATGAACCAGAAGGCTGTCATGAAAGCCCATGGTAACCGGTAGCGAGGCTTGTATTTGTCCTCCCAGAATCTGGTAGACTTTTGTCAGCGACGAGTTACCAGGGATAAGAGACTCGCATACTCAGGAGATATCATGTTAGCCACTGACGCAGCCACGATGCAGCTTGCCATTACGAAAAGCTTCTTTGTGTAGCCGGTTACGGTAGTCCCTGCCCAAGAGAGCCCGAGCAAGTAGGAAGGCTTGAATGTCGAAATCTGAGTGCCGACAACGAGCGCGATCTTGTTATCCCAAGGAGCGGCAAGCTTGGAACTGGTAAGCAGTGGAATAGAACTTGTATACTTCAAGAGCGTACCTCGATAATACCTCCAACAAAGCACGGAATGTACGAGATCGCGCATGTGTACCCAGTACCCAAATCCGTAGTATAAAGCATCCAGGCAGAGATGAGGATGAATGCACTTCCGATTAAGGGCTTCGCGATGTTGAAAAGAGCACTCTCTGCTGCAGTAAAGCCAAAGCCGACTACAATAAGCGGTAGCTGCTGCGAAGTGTTGTTCGGCAGCTCGTTAAAGAACATATGAATGCTGGATGCAAGGTCAGCAAGCAGGTCCACTTTCTATCGGCAAATACTCACATGAACAACCAGCTCTTGACATCAGTGAAAGCCTCTCTCACTTGTTCCCACTTGAAAGTTGAGTTTGAGATGCCTGCTTTTTCCCTCCGAATCATGCTGATGGTGTGAACCTTCTCCTCAGTAGTCAACCATTTCGCGTCTACCGGAGAGTTTGGCAGCCAAATGAGCAAGGGGACGAATATGGTAAATGTTATAATGACACAGACGATATGAAGCCATTTCCATGACGAGATGCCGCCAACGAGCGCACCGCTGGTGTCGCTGACGATCAGTTTGTAGGCGACCATGGTGAGTAGTACGTTGGCGAAACTGCCCGAGGCCCACCAAAGTAGCTGGACCCAGGGACTCTTGCGCGGAGGAAAGAAGGCCTGATGAACGACAGTCGTGCTCGGTACGATTTGAGACTCAGTCTGTTGCCACGCGCCCAATTAGTCGATTGTCGAATGTGTTTCGTCCTCGTGACACTTACCATTCCCAGCAGGAAGCGCAGTCCCATCATTTGCTCTCCCGTCTTGACGAGCGGATGCATGCCCAGTAACAAAGCCCACAGAAATAACGACCCGGTGATGAAATACTTCTGGCCAACCCTTTGCGAAAGCCAAGCCCCGGGCCACAAGGCCACTAGATAACCAGTATAGAACACAACAAAAAGGTCGTTGTACTGCTTTTTGGTCATGTTGACGTCTTTGAAAATCCCCATGGTACTCGCTTGTGAAAGGGTGGATTTGTCGAGATGAATGCAGAATGCGATCCATCATGTCTGACAGAGTAAGAACCAAAAGTTCTTCCGTGTCACCTTTATTTCAATCTCCGGAGTGAGCGGTCCAAACTTGCTAGCATTCAGCGCGTAGAATACGGCAGTGTCGTCCACATCCTTCTCTGTTACTGTGTGCTCGACATGTTGCTCGCCAGGAATTATACCGGCATTTACATCCGCTTTCGCATCGTTGTGTGGCTGCCGAATACTGCCTCCGGCGGAATGATCAACGGAGAACTCGGGTCCTTTTTTCATTGTAGAAGTCGGTACGTTTCTTCAGCTTGCAAAACAATATTGTGGTAGCGTTCAACGAAAAGGATTGGTGATCAATTGGATGGAGGACTGTCGCTGGCTTATAAGCCTGCGGTGAAGTACCTATGGTATGTGGGCATCGACGTCGACAAGCATTTGAGCGCCCGGAAATGCTGAGGCATTCCTCAGCCCACACGGAGACGGCAACCCCGACCAGGGCGAACTTCCGAGCTACAGACCACTTGAGAGCTCAAAGTTCTAGCGCGTCCCATATGTAGGGCCTCTGCCTATCAGGCTTCTAGGTACAGGCTGAGGAGTTGCCGTGCGAGCTCGATCTCGAGGCTTTTCCGCGCGATTTTCGGGTGAGACCGAGCTGAAGGATCTGATAATGCTTGTGGAGGCTTTCCGCGCCAATCAAATTCCCGTTTGAGCGTTCAGCTGAGATTACTTTGAAGCGATCTCCAATCTGCTCATGTTTCCGCGCCACATCCACTGCTTGGCATTGCTCCGTTCGCATCTTGGCAGGCAAGGATTGGCACGGTACATATGTCAAGCACCAGCAAGGTGCTCTTGGAATATGCTTAGCGGAATGGCTTCCCTTTGTAAATGCTTGAAGATGGGACCCACAACAGTGGATCCCGACAATACGTGATGGCGAAGCTTTTGCTATTCACAACAGCGCCGAGGAGGAAGCATACAATATAGGAGTAATCTATCAAGCCTAGAACATCTCGTTATGCTTTTTTCCAGAGTCTTGAGAGGTCTCTTTTCCCATTTGGACCTTCCTCCAAGCCATTGCGACGAGGGAGCTGGTCGCGCCACTGCCAATGCTCCCGCATATAGGATGAACTCCGATCACCATATTGCAGGATATCGGCCGCATGCTTTGAAACGTCAAACCTAGTCATTTCGGAATATCGAGGAGTACTGACTTGTCCAAGCACGGGAAGGAACTTCGCCCCATGACCACTGCCGCCTGTACAGACGAACACTGAGTTGCTGGCGTATGTTGGTACGTAGTCAATCTTCCAGATCTGCCTTAGTGTCTGTTACAGCGTGGGGGTTGTTCCCGCGCTTACCACGAAAGAATTGTCAATGGTGTCTGTGTACCAGCATAATTTCGTCGAATAGAACGGCACATCTTTCAAGTCTGGAAGAAAAATGGAGACGAATTGGCGAATTGCCTCTTCTGCTACTTCAGGAATGCGCTGAATCTGATCTGCCGGAAGAGGTACCGACCACTTTCCATCTTGCGTGAAGTGGCTGCCTTGCGGGGCCGGCTCGAAGTTTGTGAACTACAGATTGGTTATGTTCTTAGCATCACAGCACTTTCGTGCTTTTGGGCAGAATATTAACGTGGATTGATAGATGTTACCTTGATCCCGCGATAGCCGATCTTGATCACGCCGTCAGGGGTACGGGGAAACGCGTACACACTTCCCACATCCTTACCCTGATGATCACGTTTAGCACTTTTCCATGTGATGACAGGGAAATTTTCCGATGCGTATTTGTTCCACAGCTCGGCCTGGCTGTCATCAACCTTAAATTTGGCGATGCTCCCGGCCGAAGATTCTAGGTGGTAGGACAGGGCGGGTAAGACTTGCGTCGAAAAGGATCCGGCTGTGTACAGTCTGTCAGATGGGTACCCTGTGGTCGAGTAGAAGATTGGGTGGTAGTCTCACCGGCTATGACGACAATGTCTGCGTTGTGGACCTTGCCATCCTTTGTTTTCAGACCTACCGCTCGCTTGTGTGGAGATTGGAAAAAGTCCTTCTCAGCCAAGGATTCAAAGGCACCTTGCTGGGCACCGAATACGACGTTCACACCTAAAGCAATCGCTTTCTGAAGGAAGTGCGCGCAGGCTTTACTGCAATAGGTGAGTCCTGCGGTGGAGTCTAGGACAGCTTCGAAGGATTTGGTCGGAGAGGAACGGGGCATGTCAAAGTCCAAGAGTTTTGGCGCCCAACCCAGCTCCTCAGCGCGTTCTCGGTCAATGAGGTCGCTTTTCACGAACTGTGCCCCACGGAGATTGGCTCTTTCCATGTTGGCCAAGGTCTCCTTTTCCAGGGCGCCCAGCTCATCATTCGGCTGCACGCGAAGCATGCCACAGCCAACGAACAGCTCTTCCGCAACTTCTTCGTTGATTTGTTGCCACGCCTCTCGACTCTCCATGGCAAGCTTTTGATAGTGTATTTTTTTACCGTACGATGCACGAAACTAAGAGGCATTCATAATGTGATCGCCAAAGTCTTTGCGATGACTCACAATTTTATTTTCGTCTACTGAGGCCGCTTGGGCCTGATCGGCGTTAACTTCTGTTTGGTACCAGCTCTTATCATATTCGTGTTTGTCGAAGATGGTGACCGTGAAATCTGCAGTATTAAGCCCTCATGCCGTGTACAAAAGAGTAAAAGTCACACCTCTCTCCTTGAGGGCTACTGCTAGTGAAAGGCCGAATATGCCAGCTGGCCGAAAAGTTAGTTCTAGCCCGACGATATGTGTGGTGGGTCTATACCGCCAACGATGGCTACAGATTTTCTATCCATCATTACAAGTATTGCTTCTTTTTCTAAAGACTTATGTCAGGTATGTTTCGAGAGTTGCTAACAAATTGACACATAAGTAGGGTTTGCAAGATCAAAAAGGTCTTAGGCTCGCGTGACGGTTATATATTAGTGAATGTCTTCACGCCCTGACTAATCCAGACAGAGCAAGCCTAACCCTATTGAACCAAATCGTGGAACTGTCGTATAGGAACATGCCCACGCAACTACATAGCGGCAATACCTCTGATCCTGGATCATGAACTGTCATTTAACCGGAACTATCGTAGCTGTGGGCCATGCTTAATGCTTGCTTCACTTCCGGAGAGATCTGATTACATCGGCCTCCGGTATCGGCATCGACTTGCGCGATTGACTAAGCACGACTCTTAGGACACGGAGCTTATAGACTATTACCAGACTCAGTTATAAAGGCGATTGATAGCGGTCGAACGCCTTCATATAATAAGCTTTACGGTTGGACACTGGTATTATCTTGGATTGGGCAAGGTGAGTTGTTTCCGAGTATAAACGTGCGAGCGACGACTAGTAACGTATTCTGTTCTACATTCAACTAATGGAACAGTGTGTAACACGTGCCTCGCCGAATGGTTAAATGCTATAGCAGTGTAACAGGACCGACGAAGTCTTCTGTGAATATCTAAATAGGCATCAATGCCGCTACAACGTTCGAAGCCAGCTTCCCTGCAAAGGGCAGGGTAAGATCAACACCCATGCCTTGGCCTGCATGATGGTAAACTTTGCAGGGCGGCCCTACCCATTAGTACTCATCTTAATCCCAAATAGGTATAGGCCTCTGTCTCTTTGTGGGATGCCGGTGGAAAACGCAGCTCCAACTCAACCCTTTGACATCATTGGTTATGCAGGCCCTGGCTCATCCAAATCTACTGAGATCTATGAGTATATAAACTCGAAGTGGTCTGCGATCGTCTGTTCATTTTTGTAGACTTTTTTGGCAAAGTTCCTTCTTCATCGAATATGACATTCCCTCCGACTAGTAATGTCTTCAGCGGCCAAAACGCCCTGAGAGACTACTACGACCCCGATAAGAACCCGCCACTACCTCTCGTGGAGATTCCTCGGCAGCTGAACCCTTTCTACGATGATGGGGTTCACATATATGCTAAGATGATGACTTTTCTCCCGGCCCACAACGTTAAGGAGCTTCCGGCCCTGGCTATGTTATCGTCCTCGCAAATTTCTCCTCAGACCAAATCTCTTGTTGAATACTCTTCTGGCTCCACAGTCATCTCGATGGGCATCATTGCTCGTGTCTTACATGGCATTGTCGACACCCGGGCTTATATCAGCAACAAAACCAGCGAGAGCAAGCTCAAACTTTTACAGTTCTTTGGCCTGGACCTACGACTCTTTGGCGGCCCATCGCAGCCAGAACCGACGGATGAGCGAGGAGGGATCCAGCGAGCACGTCGCGATGCGGAAGCCGACGACACCATGGCGAATCTAAATCAATACGAAAACGACCTAAATTGGGGCTCCCACATGCGGTGGACCGGCCCACAGATTCTGGCCCAGCTGCCCTCAATTTCCGTACTTTGTGCAGGCATGGGTACGGCTGGGACACTGACAGGTACCGCGACCTACCTCAAGCGTGCCAAACCCTCAGTGGCAACAGTCGGGGTGTGTACATCTCCCGGAGACCGCGTTCCAGGTCCGCGTAGCCATGCTCTCCTTGCTCCCGTCAAGTTCCCGTACAAGGCCTGCGTAGATGAGATTGTCGAATGCGGGTCCGAGGATGCATTCAAGACGTCCCTTTACCTGACACGTAATGGTCTGATCTGTGGGCCATCGTCTGGATTCAACCTTGTCGGCCTTATTCGATACCTCGAAAAGCGAAAGGTGGAAGGAACCTTAGAGCAACTGCGTGGAGACACGGGACGAATCGAATGTGTGTTTCTGTGTTGCGACCTTCCGTATCAGTACCTTGATGAATATTTTGAAAAGGTTCCCAAGGCTGACTTTCCGCCAATCCGAGGTGCAAATCTGGCCAAGGTAGATATGTACCGATATGAGGAAGGTTGGGAGCTCAAGCCGCAGAGTGCTGCCCTTGTCAACGCATGCTCTAGGGACGATTCGATCCTGGTTGACCTTCGCGCTACAAGCGATATCGGTCCTTTATCGTATCCAAAGACTGGGCACACACTTCGGATACCCATGAGAACGCTTCAACGAGATCAAACTAGTCCGTTCCACGATAGCCAAATCCTCGAACAGCAGTGGAAGGAGCTAGCGGACTGTTTTGATCGCAAAACCTCCCCATATGCGGAACACTTGGATGTCTTGCAGGGAAAGACCGCCGTCATCATCTGCTACAACGGAGACACTGCATGGATGGCGACTAGTATTCTCCGTGCAAATGGCGTGATAGCTTGGTCTATCAAAGGCGGTGCTCATGCATGGGCAGATCAGCAGAATATACCATCTCCGGTAGACAGTCCACAGAGACCCTAGTGGTATCAAGGAGGGTTGATGAACAGGTGTCTCAATAGGAAAGAGCCGCAAAGATGTCAGGAGATGAAGCAATGGGAAAATTGTTATAGGCAGGTGAATACAGCCTTAATCTTATGAACAAGCTACAGCGCTTATTGAATTCAAATGTTTCTCGATGTTCTGATTGTTGTTCTTAAGCCACCGCTGACGGCTCCCGAAAACAATTTCCTGAGGGTCAGTCTCCTAGCCTGGACAGGCAGGAATCTGCCTACTCGTCATCTTCCCCGCGGATTGCCTCTGCAAGTATCTGAATTCGAGCCCTAGAAACGACTCACTCGGACTCAGTTTCCTAAATATTGGGTCTTCTCATGCATGCCCTAGCTGGAGAGGACATCATGGTGGCCTTGTGACAGCAACAAGAGGGAATTTCGTCGATCATCTGCGGTCAGCTCACTTGGCCTCCGTTAGCGAGACTGAGACTAACGAGAAGCTGAAGAAACACGCTCTTGCGTGTTGGTGTCAAGAACTGCCTTGATGGACGCACCGCCGATCGCCACTTGTATTGGCGATCTGGACCCATGCTTGAACATTAAAAGGAAGTTTCTTCTAGTCACGGATGCTTGGTTTTTACTCGAACGAAGCAGATAGACAGTTGCGTCGCTAGCGTCGGGCCGTTAGCTCAAAAGCTCTAGAGGATAAGGCTGACTCTCAATTTCCAGTCGTAGTTTGACATGCTTCTGCAGTAGCTGCGGCAGCGACTTTGATGCAGGTGTTCATGCAGGTCGCCGACCAATGGTTTTCCATAGGGACAAGCATAGGCAGGGTTGGTACAAGGAGTACCTTGCTGGTCCTAGACTCTTGGAGCCAAGAGTTGGATTGAGAACATTTGCTGTACAAACATCCTTGATGGATCTATAGAGTACCCAGTCATAGAAGAATTATCTTGCTCATATTCACTTACAACGTTACGGCCGAGCCGTCCGGCTACATCTTCCCAGCCTGGGGAGTCCGCGCTAAAGAATAGGTGACTTTGAAATGATCAGTGGGGTTTTTATAAAAACGTTACAAAAGGCAAAAGCAAATCCTGAGCTCCGCCCAGCGTGATCAGCCATACTGAAGCTTTCTCTTGGTAGTAGTATCAGGATATAGGTACCGTAGACTTCTGTACATCACGACAGCGCTAAATTAGCGTTGAGCATATTTCGTCACGATGCACAGCATTAAAGATGGGACTCCCAGCCTCTCATTGGCCCATGTTAATTTAGCGCTGTCGTTACATGCATACGGTATGACTACTCCTCACGCAGTTTCTCTACGTGTGTACGTATCACATACCATTGCGCCGCCTCGTCTGTCCATCTAGTCTTGAGAGCTGATCCACCTCCCCATCCATTTCTGATTTAGTGCCTTGGCCTCCTCCGCCATTCCAATCTCCAACAACAACTGGATCGCACCCCTGACAGAAGAGTGAAGCGATGAGCTTACCCATGCATGCGTCGGAGCTGTGTGCTCGCCGATGAAAATGGTATTGTGCTCAGTCACATGGTATGCAGGGATGTACAGCGCATGCTGCTCCACATCTGGCCTACACCATGCAGTCGCGGTGTGCTCATCCTGCAGCCAGCAAAGACGCTCATACTGGCCGGTGTAAAGCTCTCGTGCTTGTTCGCCATGCAGGCTGACGATTGCGTCAAGGACCAACTCCACATGCTGCTCATCTGAAAAACTTGCAAAACGGTCGCTCCAGTCTCCTCCGCGGTAGTGGATGATTGCCCCAGGCCGGCCAGTCTCATTCAGGCCATATACAGGATAGTACAAGGCCCCGACAGCTGCGCTGCGCGGCTGAGAATAACCCCCAAAGATAGGTCTTTCATCCTGCTCCCAAAAGCGCTCACGAAAGAGCAGGGCAACCTTGCAGGCACTCTTGAATCGAAGGCCAGGTTCACTGATGGCACGTCCCAGAACGGAGGAGAAAGTGGGCAAGTCCATGAACCGGGTCATAGTGAATGGTACAGCTATGATGGTATAGTCGTAATCTTTATGGTGCGACGTCCGGTTCATCCCAATTCCAGAATTCCAGAAGAGGCGAGTCTTCGGCTCACCGCCAGCATCCTTGATCGACTCAAGTCTTGTGATTTTGCGTTCGAGCTCCAGTCGGTCGCTAACGTGTGGAAAGAAGGCATCAGACAGCTTGTTGAATCCCTGGTCAACACACCTCCACTCTGTTTCTCCTAAAGCGGACGAACTACCGTCCTGCGCCAAGTTGGAATTGTGAACCATCTCATCCCAGAAGATATCGTAGTCCGACGCAGTCCAAATGGCGTCGGTGGTATTCTCACTCGCCATGAACACGTTGCGCATCATGGCCTGTTCACTCATATCGTCGAGCCCCTGGTCCATCGCCTTCCGGTGTGCGCGCCAAATGTCCTTCTGAATAGCTCGAAGAGTCTTCTCATCCTTCATGATACCGTCCATCTTCTGCTTGGTACTCTTGTACTCAAGCGAAGTCGATGGAGGCGCCGATCCGAGTTCTGGATTTGCTGCTATGTCCGCTCGAGTGGGCACCCGGCCATCCGCAGTTGGTTTGGTGCCACGCGCAAGCAGCTCATTGGGGTGGTGCTGGATCCAAGGAATGAAATTCACCTCCAATTCTGGGTTGTGCTGGTTGATCTCATTTAACCAGTCTGCCAACTGGAAGACCATGCGATGGTCTGTGTACTCGTGCGTCGAATTGTCGCTCTTGTACTGGACGCTGTAAGGCAGCCGCATGGGCCCCATCTCTACCCACTCTTGCGTGCCCTCGAAAAATTTGGTCCTGAACCGACCACCAATCCGACTGCTGGCTTCGATAATCTCCCAATTGTGCACACCAACACTTTCGAGCATGAGTGCCGTTGCTAGACCGGAGATCCCGGCCCCGACAATGGCAATGGTCGCATTGGATCTGGAAGGGGCGGAGGTCTTCTCTATAGCTGCAACGCCCTCGAACCACGCGCCTAGGGCATCAAAGTCTCGCAGTAGTGGCCAAGGGTTCTGTGTCCCGTTGGCTTGACGAGGAGGAATCAGATGTGCAAGCGATGCCGCTGCCAGCGCCAAAAGGAAAAGTAATCGGGGCGCCATTATCCTTTCTTGGAGAGCAACGATCACAAAGCTTGGTATACTGCGGGTGCTGAAGATATTACGATTTTTAAACCGTACTTCGCCCAAGCACTTAACGGTAATGTTTTAGCGCCCTACATCGGGCCGCCTCCACAAGCCCCTACAACTGCGCCTAATCGATCAGTATTGATCAACATGGTACATGGTTGAATAACGCTAGTAATGTACGCCAAGTAGGTCATGGCTCTGAATCCACCGGTATGATGCAACCTTGATTGATTTTGACTTGACTGACATAGCGTGCTTGCCATCAGGGTGCTTACGATCTCTGCATCGTTTCCCTGACCGTACGCACGCTTTGGTAGGTTTTCCCTACCAGTGTTTCGTCATGCATTTTTTCCAACCTTACAGCCTTTTTCGCACTGCTGTGTAGGTCAGTTGCTCACGCGAACGCCTTGGTCTCAACTGGCCATACCTTGACTCTGAATAAAATTCCCTACTTTGTCCCTCCCGAGCCTGTTGGAAAGATCCCAGGGCAGTACGTTCGCTCATTGCCCGCGTATGTGTCTGGGTTTGCACCTGTCACGGTTATTGCAGTACCGTCTGGGCAATTGCGGCGCAGTGATTTCGATTCTTTAAGGAGCAGCTTCCTACGAAGTGACGATGTGTTTCAGGTCGGATTTCTGGAATGTGAGTTGGCGTGCAGGGTTCTACCCACATTGCTGACAAAAACAAAGCACTGTATATTCAATACACTGGTCCGTGGAATGGCAACGCGTCTGCGATTGACTCCTTCGACAATTGTACCATATTGAAATTTCGCCAAGAAGACCACGATTCCGTCATACCGACGGGACCATATTTTATGTCGCCAACCGGTTCTTTGCATCAAGCATATCGCCTCTATGCAGATACACAGGGAACATTCACCGAAGCAGCCATAGAATACCTGGAAGGTAACTTCTCAGTTCTCCCAGCCACTATTCCGGGGCAGTTTTCCACTGTGGCAGTCCCATCGCGATTGTACTTTACTAAGACAACGCGCGAGCCTCTCGCAGGTGTAAGAGTTGGTGTCAAGGATATTTACAACATCAAAGGCCTCAAGACGGGGAATGGAAACCGGGCCTGGTACGACCTGTATCCTGCAGCTAACGTTACGGCTCCAGCAATTCAAAACCTTATCGATGCAGGAGCTGTTGTAGTCGGGAAAATGAAGACCAGCCAGTTTGCCATCGGGGAAACAGCCACCGCAGATTGGGTCGACGTTCATGCGCCGTTCAATCCTAGGGGAGATGGTTATCAGGACCCATCATCTTCATCTGCCGGTCCTGCCTCCGGAGTAGGTCAGTAGCGCTGGGATACCCAAACATGTGTTAGAAGCTCACGCATCCTTCTCCATAGCCTCGTATCCCTGGCTCGATCTATCAGTTGGTACGGATACAGGAGGTAGTATACGCAGTCCCAGTCAGATAAATGGTATATTCGGAAATCGGCCCAGTGAGTGGACGCACACGCCACGCCAACAATAGTACCGAACACTGACACAAATCAGGTCATGGTCTAATATCACTGGACGAAGTTATGCCCATCGCTCCAGAGCTAGATACGGCTGGTTTGCTCGCACGAGACCCATCGCTTCTCAAACAAGCAGCCCAAGCGTTGTATAAGAAAACCATGACTGCGACGAACTCGTTTCCTTCTAATATTCTCACAGTGGGGTTTCCCGGAAATGCTACATCGGAATTGGATAACATCCTAATGGGCTTCTTGACGAAACTTACAGGTTTCTTATCAGCCAACACAACCATTTTCGACATCGACAACGCCTGGGCGGCAACAAATCCCAAAAAGGCCGTGCTAAAAACATTTCTCAACAACACATACGATGTCATCACTTCTCGGCGACAAGTAGCGCTGGTGAGAGACCCCTTCTTCGCCAAATTTGCAGCCGAATTCGACGGAAGAACCCCACCTGTGAATCCGAGCCCCTTAGCTCGCTGGGCGGTTGCAGATGCAACCCAAGTAACACTTCAAGAGGCTATAGAGACAAAATCAGAGTTCCAGAACTGGTTCAACGAAGGAATCCTCCCCTCGGACCCCAAGACCTGCTCAAAATCCCTGTTCATCTACGTTCCGCGAAAACCCTCCCCAAAGTACCGTAACACGTATCTCTCAGGCGTCACTCCCCCAGCTGCGTTCTCGACAAGCCGAATCTCTCCGCTTGCGGAAACGCCCGAGATAGTCATTCCAATTGGAGAGATTGCGTATTTTTCATCGGTCTCAAATCATACGGAATATCTCCCGGTGACGGTGGATCTGATGGCGGCAAAAGGGTGCGATGGTATGTTGTTTTCACTTGTCGAGGAGCTTTACCTCAGAGGAATTGTCAATAAGAGCGAGGCTGGGAGAAGCAATACTCGAGGCGGACGTATCTTACTGTAGAATAGTGGGGGCTCAATGTTTAGAATCGTTATTCGCAACCGGTACAGTTAGTTTGCAGATCAAGAGGATGAGTAGGTATCACCGAGTGTATAGAACATCTGAGGGAAAATGTAAGTAGTGCTCCGTAGCCAATGTCCGTTAGGTTTCGGAAAGTACCTTGCAACAAATTGTCAATATTTTGTGATGGTCACCTGCCTGTTGGGCCATGAGTCAACATCCTTGCATTATATTCTCAAATCAGCTCACGATTAGAATCCGCCTACTGCAGGGGTCTAGCGCCGCGAAACGCAGTCTGATCTTCAAACGTCGCCGAGCATTGTGGTCATTTTGCACCCCAATCCACCCAGGGTATACGTGTCCATCCGCATGCATATGCACGTATACGTGCTCGCTTAGATGACGCCATTTCTACTAGATTTCCGATATTCGGCCGACTATGAGTACCTGACTGGGGTCGATCAAAGGCTTGGAACCGACTTACAAGTTCTGGCAGGCAGATTGTGTGCTGGAAAGTGGCTGCCACCCTCCACTAATCTAACAACGCGATGCCTCCGACTACAGGCAACGGCAATGGAGCTTTACAGTCTCCAGAGCCCACGTCTTCACTCGATGGCGTGGCTGCTGAGGGGATCTTAACACCCAGTCCCAGCAATGGCACTGGCGAGCCCGCGGCAAATGAGCCAACAGTGCTTACAGATCAAGCAAGATACGTCAAGAAATCAAAAATAATCATGGTGAGAGCATTTCCGCTCTTTGATATGGATGCAGCTAACAAACAGTAAGATCTTCCTCACCTGCGCCAGTGTAGACCTAGTCGCCCTTATGGACCAAACTACCTTAGCTGCCAGTCTATACACTGTATCTCGCGCCTTGGGTTCGCAAGGGAATAGTGCCTGGATTGCTGGTGCCTATTTTTTGTAAGTCCAGTAATTTTCGACTCGGTTAGTATGAGCACTTACTCCTGCCGTAAAGAACCTCGACAAGCTTTCAGCTTCTCTATGGTCGACTATCTGATATTTGGTCACGAAAGACCGTATTACTCGTCTGCATGTTTCTGTTTTTCGTCGGCTCTCTAGCCGCCTCTCTTGCCCAAAGTGCAACGCAGCTCATCGCTTTCCGGGCGATTACCGGTGTAGGGGGCGGCGGATTGATGACGTTGGCTCAGACGATTGTATCCGACGTGGTCTCTCTCCGGGATCGAGGAAAGTACCAGGGGATTTTGGTATGGGGTGCACTCCATCCATTGCAAGGTATGCTGACATTGCTTTAGGGCGCAGTAGTGGCTTTAGCGAACGGCATTGGGCCCATCATAGGTGCATCGCTTAGTTCAATTAGCCATGATTCTTGGTCAGTTTGACAGGGGAATGAGCTAGATGTCAGATTTCCTAACATTAGCACCAGGAGATGGATATTTCGATTGAACCTTCCCCTTACGGCCATTGCAACGGTTGCAGTTGTATACATGATGCCATTGAAACCAGTGGAAGGGTCTTGGATCTTCAAGCTGAAAGCTATCGATTTCACTGGCGCATTCCTCACACTGGCGGCTTCGACTTGCCTTGTGGTTCGTATACATGAGACTCATTCTATCACAAACGACATCTGACAAGATTTTGTGTAGTTGGCGCTTACCTGGGCTGGAGCCAGCTATCCATGGGCGTCCGTGGCAGTCCTTGTACCTTTCCTTCTTGGCCTCGTGCTTTTGGCCATGTTCGTCTTCTGGGAAGGTAAAGGCCCAAAGTATCCTTTGATGCCATGTGAGTCGTACCTTTCTCAAGCTCTAACGACCCAATATTGGTAGCTGATCCCCCAGCAAGTGCACATTTTCCGCAATGGCCTTGTCATCGGCGCATGCTCGACCATGTTCATCAACGGCTGGCTATTTGTCACACAAGTCTACTACATCCCCGCCTTCTTCCAGTTAGCATACGGCCTCTCGCCCGTCAAGTCTGGCGCCCTTCTCCTCCCTATAACCCTGACTCAGACCATTTCCAGCACCTTCTCAGGGCTAATAGTGCATTGGATGGGGCGATATCGAGAAAGCATTATCATCGGCTGGATCACCTGGACAGTCGGCCTCGGTCTTTACTCTACCCTGGACACCGCCCACTTTGATCTGGGCAAAGCCATCGGTTACGGCCTGCTTACTGGATTTGGCGTCGGCCAGACGCTGCAACCGTCGCTAATCGCCATACAAGCAGGAGTCGCCCGGCACGACATGGCCGTGGTGACCTGCACGCGCAACTTCGTGCGCAATCTCGGGTCTACGCTAGGTCTAGCTGTAGCTGCAACCGTCATCAACTCGTCGCTCCAATCTGTGGTAACGGGGCACTCTGCCGCCCAGGTTCTCGATGACCCGGACGCATATCTCGCTACGGTTGCCGAAGGAAACCGCCAGGCGGCAAGAGATGTGATCTTGTCTGGGTATTCTCGAGGTTTTCGGCACGTCTTTTACATCAATGCCTCGTTGAGCGCTTTGGGTGCTGTGATTGCGTATTTCATGATACCTCAGATTACTCTTGATCGGCCAGATGATGCTGCGCTGAACCAGCAACGGGATCTCGATTCGAAACCGAAGGATGAAAAGTCTGCTGCTCAAGCTTGATCCGGATTGGAAATTATGGTCCTCACACCATCAGACACTGGAGTCCTTTCGTGGATTGGAGTACCTGGCCCGGTGACAAAGGCACATATTGCATATGTGCAGTTTTGTGATTACGTGCTTTGAGTTCTGCATAGCGATGGCAGTTCAGTTATATTACACACGCATAACTCGTATGGTTACTCTTTCTCCTTTATTTTCCGCACAGTGAGCTTGTATCGTCATTCGAAGGTGATGAACAAGATAGCAATGACTCGGTGTTACACATCCGGATAGCAGGTGGTGATAGGACGTATCAGAATGCATTAAAAAGTCTAACTCATCGCGCTCATGACGAACCTAGAAAAAACTATCCCTCATCATCATCTTCAACCCCGAGTCCGTCTTCGGGTATTTCATCGTCTTCTGATACTCCGTCCACTTGCTACATCCACTCTGCCATGCTCCATCACCCAACGGCGCCTGATCCTTCGCCTCGAGGAACTGCACCGCCAGACCGTCCGACACATGCCACGCGATATGGCAATGCATCAGCCATGCTCCAGGGTTGTCGGTGGGGAACGCAAGAGCGAGCCAGCCGCCGCCTGGTAAGAGGGCGACGTCACGACGGGTGGGATTCTGCCATGTCAAGGTGGAGGGCGAGCTCTTAGGGTCGAAGACGCCTTGTCCGCGACCTAGCACGTAGAAGTCGTGGCCGTGGAGGTGGATGGGGTGCGGGATGGGGACGCGGGTGTCGGCGGGCTCTTGGATGACCCAGTATGTCCACTGCAACTATTGTCAGGGGCATCACAATACTTGAAGGGCACACGACTTACGATTCCCTCCGTTGGCAGCTCTAGCACGTTGTACGCTGTAGGATAGCTGGTGTTCTTCACTGCCACATACTCGAGGGTGGGATCCTGCCACTGGACGTCAATGGCCGTCAGGTTGATGCTCCACACAACGATGTTTTGTCCGTTGGTGGTAACTGTTTGCGATATATCGACGTTTAGATCCTGAACCTGGTTCATAAAGGCGGTCTGATCGACTGTGTTCTTCACCCACGGTACGAGATTCGTGTTATCAGGCTCGTTGCAGTCCTGGGGCAGAGAGCCGGCGCTAGAGCTGGGCGTGGCGTTCTGGTCAGGTGCGTCCTTGTACGAGAATATAGAGAGTGCGTTGGGGTTGTTGTTTGCGGATGCACAAGCTCCGACCGCGGATGCGCGGAACCAGTATGTGGCGGCAGTCTGGTCCGCGGTGAAGATGACATCGTAGCGTTGTCCGATAGAGATCAGGATTGAGTCAGTCACCCAGGGCTTGACCGGGACGAGATCGCTTGTGATCACCTTAAGAACTTGTCAGCACGCATTTACCAATTCATAGGCATACAGCTCACAGTGAATTTATGGTTGTCGAGAGAGACACGGAGGGTATTGTCGGCTGAAGTATTAACGATACGCAAGCGATACTTCTTTCCCTTGATCAGATTTTGCGTCTTGGCATAGCTACCCGTGGAGCCCTTGACGTTGGTTCCGTTGATCAGAATGGTGTCGGCACTTGGACCTGGCCCACCCGCTTGAAGGGCAGCGTGAGACAGGAGATTTTGCTGCCACGACGTCCTGTAGTACCAGTCGGTGACGATGTAGGGTCCCAAGTCGTAATCATAGTTTGACGAGGCTGGACCATTGATCACTATGGCACCGAATGCACCGTCGCCGTATTGTGAGCTGAAATGGGAATGGTACCAGGTCGTGCCGAACTGGGTCGCCTTGAAAGTGTAAGTTTTGGTGTCTCCGGGAGCGAGTGGGCACTCTGTAATTCCAGGCACGCCGTCTTGGGGGCAAGTGCCTAGTTGTCGAATGCCGTGCCAGTGTATTCCAGTGCCATTGTTCTGCACCGAGTTCTTAAGTGTGACCGAAATCATATCGCCCCAGTCTGCTTTTGCATTAGTATTGAGCAACATGAGAAGCCCCAAGGTAACCCATGTTGATGTGGCTTACTGGCATATACAGTAGGCCCGGGAAATTGACCATTGATCTTTACACAAGGTCTTGAGTCTGAACCATCCGGGCTACACGTGCTATCCTTGATCTCCCAATTATAAGAGACGGTATTGCCCGTCGTAGGCCACTTGGCGTCAAAGTCGGTTGCTGCACTGTAGCCATTCGACCAACACGTTCTTGTGAATGGCCCATTTGTGCAGGCTGAATCGGCCACTCTGGTGGAAGTTGGGGTAGCTGAAGCTTGGCGTTTATCAAGTGTGGTAGGTCGGCCTCCTTCTCCCCACAGGATGTGATCAGGTGGTATGGTCTCTGCAAGAGACGTTGAAGCCCATGCAATCAAGCAAGTGTTGGTAAGCGTTGGGAAGCGCATATTGGAGGAACACCAGGAATGAGCAAGGAGCGCGACGACCAACAGACCGCAAGGATAACACTGAAAGAGAGTGAGAGCAGAGGCGACACTAAATACCAGTCACAATTGAGGCAAATCGACTACACAACCAACATAGAGACTAAGTGGGAAGATCATCCTCGCGAGATGCTATTCCTGGATTAATCCAGTTTGAGGCCTAAAGGCCGCGGCTGTCCTTGATCTTTAGTTGCCAGAGTAGCTCAGCGAGAGAACCGCGTCATTCTGTACATGGCTCCCGCCGCTCCTGATGCCTTGAATGGTCACGGCTTGTAGGGCTGTGTATAGCGAATGCACAGAGCCGTCTGGGACCGAAGGCAGGTACGAGGTGTTGGCGAACCAAGGCGAGATGGCGTGTCTGTAGTGGCTTAGTGCCGCATTGGGTTCCGGATCCCCAATGACTGGGCCTTGTCGATCAAGAAAGGTCTACAGTACTTGCTGTGGGGCGTTTAGCTGAAGCTGACATAGACTATCGACTACTTGCAGTAGACGCGCACCAGACAATCCGAACGTCGCGCGACCGAGCACCATGCACACCAAATCAGCCTACGTTTGTGTAACTTACCTAAGCTGGAAGACCTATAGTCTGACTAGGTTTTCGAGTGATGGGGCATAGCCTCGCTAGCACTGACAGGTAACTTCACGACGTCACCGCGTGCTGAACCATCTCCTGTGCCCTGAATATCTCTCGGTGAAAGTACGCCCTGGACCCACTTGCTGAGAAGCAATTCCGCGCAACCTTTACGAGTCTTCGCCACACCCGTTCGGATGGTGGTGGGTCATATTTCGGGGAAGATGCTACGCGGTGCAACGACTAGAGCCGGTATGCCGGATGCTCAGGGTCTAAGGCTCTGCTTCTGGGTTGCATAGCCTTTTGCAGGTCGTGTGTCACAAGAATTGCCTTGCCATCATGTATAGCATTGCTCCTAATTTTTACGAAAAGCCAGGATGTCTTTGCCGGCATGGCATCAAGTCGCTAGGGGAGGCTGCGGGGACCGCTGTGGCAACGTGTGTTGTGCATCTCTCTTCCGAATTTGGATGGATGCCATTTGGTCGTCGCGAAGATTCCGGATTAGCCACGCCACCGGATGATGGAGTACCACGACAAGCACAAGAAACACTCGAGGCTTTTGCAATACGACAGGGGGCGGCAGATAAGCGAGGCCCGATAAGCAATACCCGTAGCGCATCGCTTGATTTGGACAAAGAGGCACGTGCTAGGGTCGGACCCGACTTGCGGTCTCCACCGTCAACATCATCTCCTACAGGCACAGCCTTTGAATTGATCAGTCTCCACGTCTTTGACCTTTTTGGATTTGCTTGGCAAGGCTTCTCATACTGTGCTATAGTATTTCATTCGCAAAGATATGGACCTGTACCTACCGCTCTTCTGCTCATCACGCAGAATCACGTTCCAGTATTTGAGTTCTCAATCGCCGATGATATGTATGCCTCAGCCACATCGGCGAGCTTGCTGGAGCCCCGAGGTAGCGTTGTACTACCCGGATCGACATGCAATTCACGTTGCTGATGGCGTTCGGGTGCTTCGAGCTATGGCTCCCCACTAGCGTTTCCCGGCGCCATGGACCACGGCTTGCAGTAGCGTCCGACTGACGTGGAACAGTCGGCATCTGAGGCTGCCCACCCTCAGGCTCGTCTAGTCGAAGAGGCTGCCTGTGTGACAGAAAGGAATCTGCTTGATGAGGTTCGCTAGATCACAGTTCCATTTCTCGTACACTTCCGATATCAGGCGATGCGTCGAACGAAACCTCCATCCATACCTTGTTAAATGCTCGTGAACGAAGCGTGCTATTCATGACACACTGGTCAGCGTTCAATAGTCCCTCATGCATGATCCTTCAGAATTCTTATTCACTCTTTCCTCTAAAGGACATCGGAGATCGGACAATGTGCGGCGGCCAAGACCAATCTGCAATGTCTCCCTGCAGAAATACGACCGCATGATAATATGGCAACGCTCGAGCTGCGCCTTGGGATCTGCAGCGTTGTGCAACTTGCCCTCCATGTGAGTTCCGATACACCGACTTTCATAAGGAACAGCTGACCCACATAGGGTCTCGTGTTTCCTACCCGACCAGTCAATCATGATGCATGGTACTGGAGCTTTGTCTACTCTGTAAACGCTGTTGCGTGCCGGATGCCGCGAAGACTCGGGGCCTCTTTTCGCCTCGCAGGTGTCATCTCACATGTGCAAATGCTCCACCCCAACAGTTCGTTTATGCACCTCGCAAGGGACAAACTGGGACACGATCACTTTTCATGGACTGTAGTTGTCCTCAACAACAAGGCCTCATTGGATCCACCCACGGTATGTTCACTGTCCGTCCCTAGGGGTGGATCCTCCAGGCGTCTGAGCGCGGAACCCTTTCGTGGATACAATCACCAGGGGTACGGCACGCAACATGTAGACCGATGGATTTCATAAGTATTGAATAGCTGCACAGCGAGAAGGGTGAAGCGCACTTTCTGTACCATCGGGATCGTCGTGGTTGTCTTCCTTTCCTCTCGTTTTACACACATTTCCTATCTGATTCATGACTCGTATATCAAAATTTGCGACGGCCTTCGGTCTCGCAGCTCTCAAGACTCGTCAGGATGCCGAGCCTGACCCTGCAGTATGCCACGCTTATGGCATGGATTTTCAGAGCAATGGACAATACTTCCAGAACTCGCTGTCGAACGATAATTTCACATTCGTTGAACAATTTGAGGGTCTGTCGCCAATGCTTGCCGGGTGCAATAGCAGCTCTAATAAATCACAGGGTGTAATCCGGATGTCGCGTACAACATTATCGTTGATCCGCAGGGCGAGCAGAACCTGTGCACCGAGACGAACCTCACGCCAGATGATGCAGACATGCTTTCTACTTGCCCGCTGCGAAAGAATCAGCTTGTATCGGGTGATTGGTCGATCATTGTGATCAGCAACAACGGCGACGGTGTCCCTCTTGCTGCGCAGCGAGACTTTCTTCTTTCGGTCGGCCCTCAAAGCACATCAACAGTAAGCCACGATGTTACTTCTCGCATAACTTCAGCTGATCTTATTCTAGGTAACTCCTACAATCACCGCTACCCGTGTCATCAACCCTATCGTTAGTAAGTTCAGGACCTCGTTGCGATCGCGTCAAACATACTGACTATATTAGATCAAACCATTACAACAACCACCACCGGAACAACATTTTTGAACCCCAGCACATTAACGGTTCCTTCTGCGACCATTGTCAGTTCCGATCATTACATTCTGTCAACTGCTGCTAACGCACGCCTCAGACTCCCACAACCACCGTGATTCCTAGTAGAGTAACTTCATCCTCGACCAAAGCATTCTTGACCATCAAGGTTACAGTACGTCTGGCTACATCCTATTCCCTGCCTCAGCTCACGATCTTCAACCCAGGCCTACACCTTCGACATCACCAAAGTCACCTCCACAAAGACCGCCAGTTGCAAGCTGCCCACCCGCTCCGCCGCCTTCGACCCCCGCGCCGTCATCATCCCAACCGTCGGCCCAGTAGCCGTAGCCAACATCATCGCCTCACTCGGCCTTTTCCGCCGCGAAGCAGACAAAGCGCGCTTCCTACAGGACCGCGCCTCGCGCCTCGCCCTGGCCGCCCGCGCACCCGACCCCCAGCCCTTGCTCGTCACCGAAACGAACACCAACAAGTGGACTACTTCAACCGTGACGTCCACCGGCTCTCCGATCGTCGCGACCATCACCAGCGAAGTAACCAGCCTGGCCACGCTCACACCGCCAGCAGTCACGGTGTTGTCGGGAGAGCAGACTGCACTCCAGGTCACTATTACTGCGCCGACGCCTACGTTAACGAAGACAGTTTATGTCGTTGCTACGGTGGGCACGACGACGAAGACGGTAGATTATATGTTTACAATTCGTGTGACTACGACGCCGTCTGCTGTTGCGGAGGCGTGCACTTCTGCTGGGGGGATATTGGGCTAGATGGAGTGTTTGGGTACGTGGGGAAAGAGGCAGCGTTCGACTATGGGTATACATTGCCGTTTCTATAGCGTATTTAGCGTGTTTGGGCATTATTTCCATGTATGAGAGAGATAATTGCTTGCTACGAGCGTCGTCGGAGTATACACAGCGCCTGGGACGCCGCGTCTCAATAATGTTTATATTGTAATCGTGTACCCTTCGTCATTGTGAGATAGGATCCTCGTCATGCAGCCTGTAGCTAAAAGGCAACAAGCTTGATACGATACCTGAACTAGTCGATGTTGACTGTCAGCTCAAACGAAGCACCAACATAACCCGCAGCAACAATAGTCTGCCGCCTATCAACGTTGAATTCTTGTTCCTGCAGTAGTGCTGGTAGCCTCCCTGAAGCTTGCGTAATCGTCCTGTCCTTCGGACACAAGGCTAGTCTACGCGCAACGGACGGCTCTCTCTCCGGCGCTCAGACGGTTCCACCCGCCGCTCATGTCAGGTACCACTACCTTTCCATGGTACGCAGATGCAGCGATCAGTGGCCGGTAAGGATGGCCACGCGTTTCATCTGCACGTTGGGCGATCCACTTCACGCTCCCGAAACAGACTATGGTTTTTACGAATGCCAACTTCGACGTGCAAGCTTCGAGACGTTACTGCAGGGACAGGAACACTAATGCTCGATAAGTTGGAAGTTGTCGCCGCGCATGAGATTAGTGCATGTTGTCGTTAGCATAGTATTGTCTGAGGGGAACAAATGCAAAACGTTTTCACGTCTATGTCTGGCACATGGGATATGCTGACTGGGCGCTTTGAACTTGGGGCAGCGAGGAGACAACTCATTCTTGTTCAACAAGATCAGATCTTAGGTCAGGTATCAATCTTGTCGTCTATAAGATTGATAATAATATCACCCCGCTATTGTCCACGTTGAATTTCACTGTAAGATGTACCAGAAAGTTTCGTCAAGCGCGACAAACTCAATAGTAATACACTGAAATCAATTAAATATGTACGTACTAATGCAATGGGGTATACAGCCGCCATGCCAATATGTATGCCATCCCAAAGATCAACCTGTATTAAACGCCTCGCTGTGCAATGCCTTTCCCACTTAGCTTTCAATGATCACCCTTGGCCTTCGGCTTGTCTCCCTTGTCATCGTCGTCGTCCTTATCCTTGCTCTTCTGTCTCTTGCGCTCATCCCTGAGTGCCTCGGCGACCTTCTCGTCCTTCTCCTCCTTTAGCTCGTCCCACTCAACGTCGTATTCGTCGGCGACGGCCTTGATCTCCTTGCGTAGAGCGTTACCTTCTTCGATGAGAGTCTCCCACTTGCGCAGATCGAAGCCACGCTGAGTGTACAGTTTCTGCTGTCGGCGGGAGATGGTGAAGTTCATCGCGGAGCGGTACGAGACTTCGCGATTGTGATATAGGAACCACATATAACCGCCGATTAGGGTGCTAAGACCGACGAGATACTACTTTCGTTAGCGACTTGTTCATATCGATATAGTAAGAGATCTTGGGAATGCTTGTAGTCGACTTCAGCGTTTGGTGTCCGGTGTGGTCCCAGGTCACCCGGATGGATACAGCGCTGTGCAGAGTTCGCGTTGGAGGGAAGGCATATGGAAGGACATCAGCTTACTGTGACAGGCTCCATGACGTCCCAGCCAAGCTCAGTCTGAAAGGTAAGATGGTACACGACGAGCCACCATCCTATTATACCAGCGAAGCCCGCCTGGGCAACGCGCTGCGCGCTCTTGTGTGCGAGATGGTCGCACTCCTTTTTCAACTCGGCCATGCCAGCAATATTCTTTGAGAGCTTCCGCAGACGCATGCGCAGGTAGTACGTCCTGTCGTTGAATGAGGGCACGCCAACGCGGACATGTTCCGGTGCGCCTTCAATTTCGACGGCGAATTCCTGGCCTCTTGCAGCGTCACGGATGAAGTCTCCAATCTCGGTACTACTAGACCAACGCACGAACTTCCGCTCTTCTTCCTTGGTCGCTGGTGCCTCGTGTCCGAGACCAGAGTACGATTCTACGCCGCCCTTGCCGGGACCGCCTCGCAGCTGCGCAGCTTCGTCAGGTGTCTTCCTATCCGTTGCTGAATTCAATTTGCCCGTCTTCTCGGTCTTGCCCTGGATGCGAATCTCATCAACCTTCTCGAAGTCCTCTTCTCCTTCCTGCTCATCCAATGTCTCGTTGGCTTCACTCACGGGCGTCTTTTCCGCTTCCGAGGGTTGTATAGAGTCTTGCATAGAGTCTTCGGCGCGGAAATACACGTTCGGTATGCGCTCATGGCCATTCTCGTCCTTCAATTTGGGAAGCTCTGCCTGAATGAGTCGCTCCAAGTAGGAGAGTGGCTGTTGCGGGTGGACAAGAAGGGCGAGGGGTTCGACATCTTTGCGGTCGCTGTTCGTGTCTTTGGTTGTCAATGGCAGGATAAGCTTGAGCATGCGGGAGGGTGTCGTCAATAGTTTTCCTGGATGCAATTGTCAGGACCTGCGTTGTGCAATTGGCACGTAGACTTTACCCTTGGTCATGGCGCCAGCACTCCTTTGTCGTGCTACTGGCGGCACGTCGCTACCTTCTCTGTTCCATGGCGAGCGTATTTGCTTGTCCTTCATTTCTCTCTCGACCTTCTGGTCGTAGTCTTCTTGTTCTGCCTTTGTGACATGGTGATCGAGCTCGATTGCTGGTCTGGCATTGGGGCTTGAATAGTCGTATTGCTTCTTGTCTTCGAGCTTCGAACGAGCCGAAAAAGCGAAATTTCGGAGCTGCAAGCTTTGGAACGTCTTCCGCGGAGGGTAGCGAAAGGCTGGGATTTGCCTGGTGATGGATGGTGTAGGGAAGGGTCGCGAGATGCGCGTGAGGTTCTGCAAGGATTGTATCCGCGGCTTCATGATTTCGTATATTGCACCGACCAAAATGTCGCGTGCTATGTAGGAGAAAGAGGAAGGTAGCAGAAGCTCTCCACAATGTCTGTACAAAAGCTACAACCTTGGAAGCGCGACAAGACGTGTTTGTCTCCGACGTCATCAAGTGGCTGATGTGGAAGCCACATGTGGCGTTGACCCTTCCAAATCTCCGGGAATCACGATCAAATTGACACCATCATCATCATCATCATCTACATCTTTGGATGTGCAGTATGTAAACTCATACAATGTAACTATATACAGGTAAAAGCGATGGTCCACATTTCGGTATCCCTTTTAGGTAACAATTGGTCGCTACCCCGGCACGCCTGCGCAACTCGGCACCCAGCATCCGCTTAGCATCCGCTTGTCTTTACGCTGCTGGTCGCGCAGACCTTGCCATCAGGAGCCGATGCTGTCTTGGAAGGTTCGCCAGAAGTAACGCCCTTGTAAAGCCAGCAGACGTGGCTGGCGCCATCCAGCACGCACGAGTTCTTGATCGAAGTGGTGTCTCCGAGGTTGCCGTTGACGCCTGCAACAACGCTGCCACCGCTCATCTTGATGTTGTCGAAAGTCGATTTCCTTGCGTACTGAGTTCCACAGTTTCCGCACGATCGGTAGACCTACTAGATGTCAGCTCCGACAGTATACACTTATGTTCAGCTAGACTTACCTTCCCAACATCCTCCGCCCAGAAGTTCTTAACAGCAACAGTTCCACCACCATTGTGTTGCAGTACCTTGTCGTCTGCCTTGCGAGCACCACCACCGTTGACATAAGAAGTGCCAGACGACTGCTTGAATGTCGCAGCGTCCTCACACACGTCCGTCCACCAAACATTGTTCAGCGTGCACGTACCTAGGCAGTGCACACCCTCGCCGTTGTTGGGACCGATGATGACGTTGGACAGAACGGCGCCGTCTTGGAGGAGGAAGACTGCGTCCGAGTCGCCGCCTTCCGCTTGTTCGTTGCAGGTGGATGCTGACTCCATGTTAGACTTTCGACCGAAATAACCCGTGGTTAGAAGGAAATTGCGTACGGCTACGGTCCCACTGTTTCATGCCTCCATCGAGGGTTTCTCCAGCTGCAAGAGTGCGTACAGCAGCGAGGTTGGTAGTCCCACTCGAGGCAGGGAAGGCAGTCTGGAGGTTCGTATTGGTGGTCGCACGGGCGGCAATATGGGCAGAGGAAGCGATACCGGTGAGGGCCGCGAGCAGGAGTGCTTGGGAGTGCATGATGAGTATTCTTCTTTTGCTTCAGACGGATTGATTGATGTCTCTTGAGCACAACAAAGCATTCGCAATTCCAAACCCCCAGCTTTATACCTCATCGTCATGCTGTCGCCGGTCCACATCTTCACACCTGGTTTGTGCAACTCCATTTCCATCTTCCGTCCGGCTCCCACCCTCATTGTTCCACCTCTATCTCCAAGCTTTGCCCGCCGACATGCTCGCTTCCCACGAGGTACGCACTATTTTCGAAACGGCGACTCAATGTTAGTCCGGGGTAATGCACACCGCTGGGCGACCTGCATGCAGCGCAATACCGGAATGCATAGAATCTGGGGAAGCGAGTACCCTTTACGGCTAATTCATGGGGTAATTGGATGGAAAATTAGTGTCACAGCCGACCCCTGTCGCAGCTCAGCAAGGATACGGAGATAGCTCGATCGTGTAAAATCCTGGAATTCGAAAGTGAAAGCGTCACGTGTAGAAGGAGGTGTGACAACCTGCAGTGGAGATCTTGGCATTGGGCTTGGCGACGGAGAATCTTATGCTTCGAGAAGCTTGATTGTCGTGTGGGGGCGGTGGACGTCGTAGTGGTGATCGTAGAGCGAGGCTGTGTGGTGGAAAATTGCAAACCTGGAGAGTCAGGTAGGAGTAGTTTGCTAATGCTAGCCCACCTCAGCTTTCTTGCCTCATGTTGAGGTCGGAGGAGAACACAACCCGGAAGGAGTATATGCCCACTGATAATGCAGATACTGGGCGTTCTCAATAGAAGAGGCAGGTACGAAGTGCTTGGATTGGATCAGAAGTAAGCAAAAGCATCCAGAACTGTTGACCTGAGTACTACCCAGGCAAGACCTTTCTAGCGTCGAGGTCAGATTGGTCGATCACGGAACTAAATTCAGGTACAGATCAACGTAGCGGCATATAGCAGTAGGTTACAGGTGATTGCACAGGCTATCCTTGCAATCTACCGGTAATCCTACATACAATTAGCACTATTATGTACAACATCGCCGTTGGATATGTGTCAGTGAAGTGGTCCCTGGATATTGATTTGCGCGACTTTGACAATTTACATGCTACGGCCAGGACGTGGGCAAGCTCATTTCTTCCGTCCACCCACGGTTGTTGAAAACAGTAAGTACTTCTGTCATATACTTCGCAGCGCCAGATCAAATCTCTATCAAATGAAAGGATCAAAGAGTGGTTACCTAATCATATAGAAAAGTCCCTACCGTCGCCATCCTTCCAAGGCATCGTGCGACATCTGCACCCTTGTGCACTACTCTACAGCTCTACTACTAACGTTACTTATTTTTTCTAGATAAATTGACACACCTTACAGAAATCAGCCTTGCAAGTCATCTCATCTAAGACGTATTAAATCCTATGGTATTGTTGTTGAGTAACAGCTGGCGGTAATCAACTGAGGATGTTTCTAGCTTCTACATGCAGCTAGCAACCAGTTAAATCGCTATCAACAAAAGTCTGCGGTATCTTCCTTTCTTCACTCTCTCCCATCCTGCGCCTGTTCTTCTTACTCTTCACATCCATCATTCTACAAAAAGTCACTATCGGAGCTTGAGCTTGAGCTCTCACTCCGCTCAATCGACGACGTCGGCGTCGCAGGCGGCGTATCCCCATGCTCCCTATCAATCCTATCCGCTATCTCATCACAGTGATCCACCACGCGCTGAGCCCTCTGCGCCCTCGTCAGCGTATTAGTAGTCGATGGCCTTACCAAGCCCTTCCCCACCCAATACTGATTCTGCTTCACCCACAGAATCCTATCCGCCCGCGGACAACTAACCTCAATCTTGACGCCCCTGCGGCGCAGCGCTCGAAGGTCGTCGAGGTGCTCCCAGTCTAGATATGTGGGGTCTTTTAAGGTCAGGGAGTCTTCGTTCAGGGGGAGGAAGAGTTTGAGCTTTTTGAGGTGAGGGAGGGTCTGGAGTTGCTGCATGACGAGGCCGATGACTGTTGTGGCGGGGATGGGTGCGTCGCTGTATTGGTAGCACCAGATGCCGATTGACTCGAGGGAAGAGCGTTGTACGTGGCCGATGGCTGCGTAGAAGGCAAGGAACTGGGTGGGTGCGTAGAAGATGAAGTCGTTGTGTGAGTAGTAAATCTTGGAGGCTTCTGCGTAAATTTGTTTGTTGAACCGAAGGAACGCGAGGACAGAAGGGATTGGAGGAGGTACGTGAAGCCTCTTGTGGCGGTAATACCTGTGGGAGCTGGGGATGCGTAGTGAGGGGTTGACCGCTCCTTTCTGTACGAGAAGTTGTTCGTAAACGCGATTCCGCAACTCCGGGGGGAAGTCTAGGATCTTGAGATACTTTTTCGGGTTGGGGGGCGTTTTCTCTTCTCGTTTGCGCTTGCGAGAGGGTTTCCGCGACTGCATCATTTCTGGCGCGATGAGGGTTTCTAGCACTCCACCCGGTATAGGACCGCGGGGAACCTTGTATTTATCCGGCCAGCTATCTTTATATTTCCACACGATGTGTTCATGGGTATCAGAGAAGACAACCTTTGGAATGCGCAGCTGGCGAAGTTCGTGCACCGCAGGCAGTATGATCAGGTTGAGCTGGAAGCCTATATCTTGTGGTCGCATAACAATCTCTTGTTGTCCGTTGCGTTCTCGAGACCAGTCGCGGACCAAGCCCACCTCATCGATACCGATTGTGACCTCTTGAAGGTTTGGCAACCTTTTGAGAACGCTCGCCAACCTACTACAAGTATGGAACAAGTTGTCAAGATAAGCCATAGAATCATCGATGATGATCTTACGCAAGAGTAACTCATTATGGGGGTATAAATCCAAAAATGCATTAAGATCCTCCGGGTCTTTAAATAGATGGTATTCCCAGACAGGTGAACTCTTTCCGCGAATTCTGTAATGCCCGCCGGCGACCAGTATTCATCGTTTATCATGGCGATTTGATCTTCGGATTCTTCTTCACATATGGGGTCCTTCTTGATGTATTTCCTCCATATTCTCCTGCGTATGTGCTTATTAGGGAAAGGCACCATTTCGGTTGCGTAGTAATTCTGAGCGGTGGTGATACACTATAGTGCTGGGAAGTATGTGGCGAAAATCAATAGTCGAGTAAGACGTCAACGTAAGATTCGATACATTGTGACGGATATGTAGATTTCCTGAGAGCTGCTTTTAAACGATGTCTCCAAAGGCGCTTCCTGTTCTGTTCATGCGTACGAGAAAGCATGAACGAGAAAAGTGGCGCAAACGACACTAGAAATTTGCTTCCATTTCGAAGAATAGATGAAAGATAGCAAAGAATAAATAGCTATATCTGAGCTATGGCGCACTGTCAAACAAGAAACATATTGAGCACTTCATCCATCGAACAAAGAAGTCTTCTTCTTTCATTGTTTGGCGGTAGTTATCTATGTGAACATTGGCGTCGTGAGCTATCGAGGCGCCAGCGCGACTGCTGGATGGACTAGAGCTTGCCGCTTGACGGGAAGAAGAAATCGCTTGGTGTGGGCCGTCCTCAAATGTCCAGTATAGGCTCATTGAAGTGCACCGCCGCAATGCACGGTCCGCTGCCGAAGAAACATAAGGTTGCCCTTCCGATCGTTGAAGCTCTATAGAAACTGTTAGTGGTGCCTGTCGCTTATGTGTTCCCAACTGAGGCTGCCAGCGCATACCAATTAGCAGGCAGCAAATATAGCTTGTTCGTCTACCTTATGGTGACTTACCATATCATGTGTGTTTCAAAATGCAATTTAGGAACATATGCTGTAGCCCGCTCTAGTCATCAATAGAAATCCTGACTTTACTCTCCCTTTTCTGAGGAGCACCATTACTCTCTCACCCGCATAACAATGCTAGACATACGAGTAAATCAAGCACGCACCTTCGAGCGCACGGAGGTGCTTCGACGGAATTGATAGGCGAGCAGTAGCCAAAGAACTATATACAAGGCATGCTTTCACACATACAAAGTAGAAATGCCGTGAGATCGGAGTGGGACTAACACAAGGAAAGGAATCTAATGCAGCGACTTTCGCGAATGCTCCGCGAGGAGACAGCTCTTTGATGCATGCTTGTGGACGGGTTCCGTAGTCGCAGGAAGGCAATCGACCCCATCCTCACCAGCATCCCCAGTATTCCAACCTCCCTCTTCCACCCCTCAATAATCCCTCCCTCCACCGCCAACTTCCCTCATTCTCCTCAATATACGTCACCAAATCCTCAATCGTACACACCTTAATCCCCCACTCCTTGCCGAACTTCAAGCAGTCGTCTCTCCTCATCATGCCCCCTCCTACAAGCTCCGTCTTTCCCTCGACCTTCTCCCCGTCCGTGATCAACTCGCAGATGACGCCAACGTCTCCCTTCCCAGCTAATCGGCAAAGATCGACTGCTGCCTCGGTGTGCCCCCGGCGTACGCGGACGCCGCCCTCTCGCGCTTGCAAAGGGAGTATGTGCCCCGGCCGCCTGAAGTGGCTCGCCTTCGCCGCGGGATCAGCGAGCATATTGCACGTGCGCGCTCGATCCGTGGCTGATATCCCCGTTGTCGCGTCGGGGTGTGCGGCGTCAATGGTGACAGCGTATGCCGTCTGGTTCGGGTCCGCGTTCTCGGTGACCATCTGGGGGAGGTGTAGCGCCGCGGCGCGCGCAACGGGGAGAGGCGCGCAGATGTAGCCGGAGGAGTAGCGGATCATGAAGGAGGCTTTTGCGGGGGTGAGGGCGGAGGCGGCGATGATGAGGTCGCCTTCGTTTTCGCGCGAGGGGGAGTCGAGGACGATGACGAACTCATCGTTTGCTGTGGGCGGTGGTTGTTAGCAGGATGGACGTGGGGGAAAGTGGGTGGGTGAACGTACCGACGGCCTGGATAACGTCTGGTATTGAGGCGAAGGCGGAGTGTGCGGGTGTGTGGTCTACCAGGTCTCCGGTTTTGCCATTTACGTGACCGTTTGCCGTGACGGCTTCGACTTCTACGACGGCGGGCATGGCTCGCTGCTGTGGTATCGGTTTTACCCTATGTGACTGTTCTTGGTGGGGTCTTGCTTCAGTCACTCCAAACGTCGCAGGTGCTCTAGAAAAATCGCTATTGGGTTGGCAGAGTAGGCAGTGCTCGCCAATGCCCAGGTATGTCCTCTGCTCTTGGCTTCAAATTGTTGCTTTCCAATGCCTCTGTAAGCGTGGGCTGCCGGGAGTACCCGTATCCGTATCCGCCGTGCTGCGTAATCGTATTGTCCAATTCTCGTCAAGTACCTCGAGGGCGCCGCGATCGTTCGCAAGAGTCGATATTATAGGATCGTCGGGCGAAATCAACGAGAACGCAGCCGACGGCAGACACGGAACGGTTATGGTAACCTCCCACGATTTTATTGCTGGCTAGCCCTATGCACCTGCATGTGCCTCGATGTTGGCGAGCCAAGCGGAGGGGTAGGCCGAGAACCGGGGCTTCACAATCGCCGCTCCGATTCGCCGTCTCTCCGACCATTGCTTTTCGGGGAGCGAAACGGCGATGTCACGCCGTGATTACTCGTTTTCGTACAAACGATGCTTGTGGTTGGGGAACTGTACGAAGCAGTGGGTCACTCCCTCGGCGGTAGAAAGAGTTCGTGACTCAAGAGGACTCGAGTCGCGTGACACAAGCTAGATATCGAGTGAATCTTGTGGTCTCTCATTGTCAAACATAATCATTTTGAAGCGAGGGTATCTCATCGATCTTCCCGTCCTGCTGAGCAGTTCAGCCAACCGTCTATCATGCCGATACCGGATGTTCATACAACGTGAAAATACAAGGCCGTCATCCAACACGTTGGCCTGCCATGCTAGCTATCCTGAAATGCAAAATCGCCGCCCCCATGTCCACTTTTAAGCCACCTTCGGGCCCTTCTCGTTGTCCACGGGAACATCACTAGTCTCACTCTTGCGCTCACTGACCACGCCAGTGCCAGTAGGCACACCGGCCGTCTCGTCATCGCTCCTCCAGAAGTCCTTCTTTCCGCTACGGATACGGTTGACCCACGGCGGTAGGAAGCCGCCAGGGATCTTGTAAGTCCATGCGTCCTTCTCCTCCTTGTGCTCGGGGACGATGCGGCCACCAGAGGCCTTCTCGATGACCCACACAAGGCCGTTGATGATGGTATATGAGAGGATACCCGCAATCATACCGTAAGCGATCGAGTAGGTGAAAGGCATGATGGTGATGGTGAGGAATGCCGGAATGGCATCGCCCATGTAGCGCCAGTTGATGTCCTTTGCGGCGGAGGCCATGAGGCATCCGACAATGACCAGCGTGCAACCAGTTGCCCATGGAGGGATGGAAGCGAAGATGGGCGCAAAAAAGACGGAGATGAAGAAGCAGAATCCGGTCATCATGGCAGTCAGCCCTGTCTTACCTCCCTCAGAGATACCAGCACCACTTTCAATGAAAGCGGTCACTGGAGGAGAGCCGAACAGACTGCCAATCGAGATGCCGAGCGCGTCAACCGTGTACGCAATAGAACTGCCTTCGAAATCCTGCGTGCGCTCATCGATCAAGCCGGCGAATCGGGCCATGGAGTACAGAGTACCAGTGCAGTCCAGAATGTCAACGTAGAGGAAGGAGATGAAAGCCAGGGCGAACTGTCCGCCGTGCCCGGAAATATCCCATTGTTGAGCACCTAGGATGTGTTTGATGGGACGGAAGGTGACAACTTGCTTGAAGAAGTCGAAGGAAGAGTCTCCAAGCGTGGTATGCGGGAAGTAAGTAACCGAAGTCGAGCGGGGCCAGGAGATGATCGAGACGAGCAGGATACCGGCAATGATGGCACCCTTGACGCGATACATCATCAGCATGACGGTTACAAAGCCACCGCAGAAAATTCCAATCCACATTGCCGGGTTGCGCATCTTGTAGGAACCGAGGCAGGCAATACCGTCAGCATCGAACTGGTCAGGCGTGTTGACGCACCCAGCGAGTTCGAGGGGCGTCGATTTGGCGCCAGTGATGACTCCAATACCGGCAGAGTAGCTCAAACCAATGATCGTAAGGTATAGGCCGATGCCCACACCAGTCGCGAGTTTGATCGAAGCTGGAATCGCCCTGAGAGATAGGTCAGCAACAGTTCTTTTTGCACGTGGCGCAAAGCGGTGAATCTCGGGTCGGAAGCGCGGAGTGAGCTGTAATCTCTTCCTCCAACCACGATGTTGGAAGTTGCGAACTCACCTTGCAAGCCACTGTCGGATACCCAAAAGGGTCAGACCGACAAAAATGAAGCCTTCCATGAAAACAGCGGTAAGTGCAACCTGATACGGCACCATGCCTATAAGAGTAATTAGTACTACTTTCCAAAAGAATCTTGTACTACCACCACAAGCCACCGAGTTGGTTGCGGCTACAGTAGCACCCTGGCTAGGAGCACCAAAACGGGCAGTGGCGCTGAAAGTGACGCACCTGATCCGTGGTAGCCAACGACGGTATACGTAAAGTACGCATTCAAGCCCATTCCGGGGGCTAGACCGATTGGCATATTGGCAAAGAGACCCATGCAGAAGGAGGTCAGAGCTGAGATGGCGGCAGTCGCAGTAACCAGGTCGCGGTTGATTTCCTGAACACAAAGGAGGTACGGTTCGTAGCTATCGCACAGGTCGGTCATCTGATCAGCAGGGCATTCACAAGTTCCGCCGGTTTGCGAAGTGATGGATGCTAGGTGCGCACATTAGCATGGAAAGCAAGATCAAATCCATAGTCACATACAGTTGACTGCAATGATATACGCCATGGCGAAGAAGGTCGCTAATCCAGCCCTCATCTCAGTGAAGAAGTAGCTTCCGGTGCGGGTTTTGGGCTAAGGAATCGTCAATACATGCTGCATCTAATGCACATAGGATGAACTGACATGTCCGGAGCCATCGAGACGGAACCACCGACCAACGGGAGATTTTGCGACCGAGTGATTGAAATTTTGAACCCAGCCCATCTTGAATGTGCTCTCCACGCCGCGACCAGTATTGAAGGTTGAAATGGTACGAAGTTGAAGGGTGATCTGCGCCGGGCTTCGGACTGGCAGGGAGCGAAGCTTTATTTAAACCGGCCTGTGCTCGTAAAATGTCATCTCTGTGGCATCCCGCACCAGGAGATAAGGGTTTGCTCGGTGTGGCTTGGCATCTACAAGAAAATTGGTCTCGCCGTTTGGGATTGTCCAATCCTAGCCAACTTTTGTTCAAGCTCCATGGGAAGGGTCAGCCTAGCCGGGGTCCACTCGCTCGGATGAGGGCCGGCCACGGCAGGGTGCTGATGAACAGGTCGTCGCGCACAACACGCTGCAGTGCGGGGCCCTCACCACGCCGTGGAGAGGGGTCTGCAACCCGCCTCGGATCGCCAGACTGGCGTCTTGGTTGCTCGTGTGCTGCTGTCACGTGAGGATCATCGCACCTGGGCAGCGGCCATGTCCTGGTGGCGCTCGAACAGGCAGGCGGAGGCTGCCGACATGCGACTCGCATCACAGTAAGGGAGACAGGACGGAGGTCGGAGACGGGAGATGTCCTCTTTTGCATCTGGTGTTATCTCCCGTCTTTGCTATCGTGACCCGTGGCTATCTATCTACAGTCGTCTTGGCGGATGCGCACAGGTACCGGGGCGTGCTATTGCAAATTCCATCTCGTCAGGCCTTCCAGAAGGGGCCGGCGTGGCATCCACACGGACGCGATGGGTAAAAGCGGAGCACAAAGACGGCGACGATGAGACCACGCGATCCAAGGGCAAGAGACCTGCCGGCTGCGTCTCTCCCCGATGCAGGAAATGGTCGTGGTTGCGGTCGTGAAGTTGCGACATGTCATCGCGAGACGTGCAGGGCGGCTTCCGACATCGCGGTCTTGACGTGCGGTGAGAGAACACAGCATCAGACAGCTCAACGCGTTCACTGCAGGGCGCATAACGCGTCGCAAATGACGGCGGCTGTTTCACGGAACAGTATGGTGTGGTCGTACAAACATAATCGCCCTGTTCCCGGTCTGCGGATGCGCACGTGAGGCTAAATTCGGCTGGGAAGTCGCAATATGTACGATGCGCATTCGACTGGCAGGTGGGTCCTCATCTTCACCAATCTGCTAAGCCTACCATCTCCAAACTAAAGTCTACAATGCGGCCTAGGACATACCCGCACGGTGACTTCTCCTGCAGCTAGTTATTTGTGTACTTATGGGCTGTTTGAGCTATTATCTAGCCACTTTTCGCAGTTCCACCCACACCGGTCTAGCAGCGCACCGAGACACTGCACGAATCGCTTTGCTATGCAGTATCGAATTTGAATTCGATCCAGTAGACAGATAAGGTTTCCTTTGCGGTGGTGATAATCTCCAGCTACCTCAACAATCGCATTGGCCAATGTCGGTCGGGACTAGGATCGAACAGACGCACTTTGACAAAAATATAACTCAAGGTTAGGAACTCCTGATTTCTCTGCAGACCTTTTCGGAACTCCTGATTGCTCTGCAGACCGACTCCACTAGACCAAGCCAGTGGGTGTACTTGAGTTATATGATTAGGGTGGAGAGACAAATTATATATAGTATCAAAAGTTGTGGATGTTAGTTAGTGAATGACCAGCTTGAGTGTCAATCAGTGAATGACCAGCTTGAGTACCAATGGTACCGGGGAGTGCGTCCTGCTTTCACCTCTTCACCCGCCCGGCAGGAAACCCTCTCGACAGAGCAAGAATACTACTCTACCAACCGTCTCCTACGTAATCCTCGCATCGGCCGGCTTCACTCCGGCTTCTTACAAAACCATGCAAATGCACGTAGCCTCTCATATCTTCGAATGTCTCACTCTCAAGTTCTTCACAGAGCGTCGGTCAAGGTCTCCATATGCTATGTATCAGCGTGGAATGAACAAGACTGCAGTAAGCGCCATGTTTCCTCTCACCAACGCGTAGGCGCGCCCATTCACTCAAGAACACTCTTACCCAGAACGTCACAAAAGGCACAAGCAGTTCTCGTTTCCGGTGTGTACCATCGCGGCGAAGCATCGATGTACCATATCGCCCGAGCGTGATCATGTACATAATTTATTCCCCGCGCGAGGCTCGACATCCTTATCAAATGATCAGCGAATCATCCCAGTCACTTCCCCACAACACCGTGAGTACGCCAATCCAAAGTTGTGGTAGAGATACTTAGGTTGCCGTTATTTCCGGACGGGTGCCGCCAGCCGGAACGGATGTAGGCGCAGCTACTGATAGAGGCCTCGGAGAAGGCCTGAATGGGGAGTGCTGATATACAATTGATGTCTTGTAGTCTGGTTGTGGTGTGCGCCCAGCCTCGTCTGATCTTCTATTCGCAAGTGCTCAAAGTTACCTCGAAATGGAGGCGAAGGACACGCAGATTTCGACTGCGCCGGCAGACACAGAATCACCAGTTGATAAAGACGGTAGAGCTTCGGACGAAGCAGATGCGGTGGCTTTGGAAAAGGTGCATATGAGAACAGCTTCAAAAGGCGCGGACAAGATGGCTGCGTATGCGAATGCGACTGCCACGCCCATAGACGACGAGACGAATAAACAACTGTTGCGGAAGATTGACTTGAACATTCTACCATGGCTATGCGTGTTGTATATATTGCAGTATCCGGACAAGGGCGTGTAAGCAAATTTGACTTTCTTTCGCGAACGCTCGACTAAACATCCCACGTAGCCTCTCATATGCGGGTGTAATGGGCATCCAAGCCGACGCAGGCCTATCAGCCAGCCAATTCACCTGGCTTGGATCCATCTACTACGCCGGCTACATTGTCGCAGCGCCCATCCATAACCGCTTCTTCCAGGCGTACTCGCCGTCCAAGTGGATCGCCGGCTGTGTCATCGCTTGGGGAATCGTTTTAGCATGCATGGCTGCCTGTCAGAACTTCGCCGGTCTGATGGTAGACAGAACCATTCTTGGAGCACTAGAAGCATCGATTAACACTGGCTTCAGCTTGATCACTGCGGCGTGGTACCGCAAGTACGAGCATGGATCCCGCACCGGCATCTGGTCGTCCTGCATTGGTCTGGCGAACGTCATCGGCGGACTGATCGCATTCGGTTGTGTCGATGGACAGTCGAAGCATCACTCTGCGCTTTCGAGCTGGAGGATTCTCTCTTTGGCTACCGGGCTAGTGTCTGTGATTTTCGGAGTGTGCATGTGGTTCTACATGGCGCCTTCGGTCGTGGAGGCGCGCTTCTTCAACGAAGAAGAGAAAACGCAAGCAGTCGAGCGTCTGCGCGAGAACCATCAGGGCGCAGGCTCAACGCAGTACAAGCGGTACCAAGCGAAGGAAGCCTTCCTAGACGTGCGCGTGAGTCATCTCCTCTCACGTCCTCTTCTTCAATCATCTGCAGTCCAGCTAATCCACCCCCCAGACATGGCTATACGTCGTCTTCGTCCTCTCCTCCCAGATGCCCACCGCAGGCCTCATCCTCCTCCAATCCATCCTCATCAAATCCCTCGGCTTCACCACCAAGGAAACCCTCCTCCTCAACATCCCGCAAGGCGCCATAAACATCCTATGCAACCTCGCCTTCGGATACCTCGCCGACATGACCAAGCAGCGCTCTCTCGCCGCCCTAGCCGCAGCCCTCTGGTCCCTCTTCTGGGCCTCCCTTTACATCGGCCTCGGCTACCACGACCCGTACTACAAGAAGTACGGCCAGCTCGTCGCGTACTTCTTCACCTCGGGCTCGGCCACCGCCGCGTGGTTCATCGTCATCAGCATGCTGAGCAGCAATGTTACGGGCTACACGAAGAAGAACACGACGAATTCTATCATCTTCCTTTTCCTGGGTGTTGCGTACTTGGCGGGGCCGCAGACGTTCCGCGATGGGCCGTTCTACAGGCATGCGAAGATCTCGCTGCTTTGCTTGTGGGGGCTGTCGGTGTTGGTGCTGGGGGCGTTTTATGCGATGAATAGGATGGAGAATAAGAGGAGGGATGGGGAGGAGGCGCAGGATGGGGAGGGTGGAGAGGGCGGCAATGAGAATGCTTTTTTGGATCTGACGGATAGGGAGAATAAGCAGTTTCGGTATGTGCTGTGAGATTTGGAGGGTGCGGATAGGGAGTTCGGGGTGGTTTGAGAGACATTGGAGAACTGGAGAATGTGTGAACAGAGACTCGGCTGGGTTCAGTACTCGGATTCAAGGACTTCAGTCGAGTGCGTCAACGCTGGTGAAAATGCCTCGAAGATACTGACGACGGCTCGGTGAATGTCACCCACTAACTATAGCAAGGCCGCTCCAAAGACTGAGTGTATATGCACAGACGAGGTCGGCGTAAGTGCGGAGATAGCAGACCCACTTTGAGTGTGGAGCCGGCTGGCGTGCGGTCATGTCCACGACAACTAAGACATGTAAGTCAACGTTCAGTGGTCTTGCAGACGAATGTATCCAGCGTACGACGGCTTGCAAGCCCGAGGGCGAGGGTTTTCGCTTTTCCATGGGGACAGTTCAAGGCTGCATGTTGAGACGTCAATACAATGCACCAACGACGCGATCTTCAGCACGGTCTCAAACAGCATGGTCGTGCCTTAGCTACGCCGTTACGCCGATGGCTCACCTAGCCTACAAGAGTGTATGCCTGTGTAGCAACGATGCGGCGCGCCTGCTTGTCTCTGGTCCCGCCTGCCTTGATTACCCTTTCCTCTTTCCTTACTGGCTGTCGCCTCCTCCGAGCCTCACTACTCACACTATCGCCTTGAAATGCATTGACCTGAGAAGGCTATATTTGCATCGGTACAAGAAGATGGTTCCTTTCTTCGATCAACAAAGACAAGGCGCCCACGACTCGTTTACACCGCAACTGTGCCGCCAACAACCGCGACGGCACAGTCCACCATACCAGCTCCACGGTCGACAATGCGGAGTCTACACGACCTCGCTCTTTAAAAAGAACAGTGTCTGAGCGCCATACCTATGGTATTCGGCAATCGTGGGGCCAAGATGGCTACATGAACGGCCGACAAGTACCACGGCCCAGGTATGACCAGCGAATCCTGCAGCTGTCTACCGGCAGCTCAATCTGGACCCCCGTACATATTCCAGAAAAAACTCTCGGACACAGACCGGAAATGCGCGGCTGCGGCAACGTTGCGGCGTAGCCATATTGCGCGCATGTTCACCGATATTGGGCGTGTCATGCACAGTATGCACGGTCATCTTTCACACGCGATTGACACGCCATTTCGTGGCCTCCGTACACTTCGAATGCGCTGCCTCACCGCGCCTCCAATGTGTTTCTCGACCGGGCACCCAGCGGACAAAGAGGAAGAATAGTCCAGCTTAAGCGCCGGCGCTTGTGGTGGGCTGCTTCTGCTCGCTAAAAGACGTTCGTGCCGCTTGTGCGCGACAAGCTCATTCTCGTGTGGGCATCGTACTCGCATGCTATTTTTACGCCTGGGGTCGGCGGATCATCGCCAGACCGTCGTAAAGGTAGCCCCCCACTCGAAGCGTCCAGTTTAGAAGCACGGAGCGTACGAGTGTGGAAAGTCGAGAGATTCTCCGGCTTTGAGGACGAGTCACAGGCGTGGCCATTGACGAGGCGCGTCGGAGTTTTGGGATCCCATAGTGTTCGCATGCTGTGCGACAGAAGAGGCACAGTCCGCCGTGTGCAGAGAGGCTGGTGGGCAGCGGCCCTGTATTCTTAGCCGCCGAGGCTCCAGATGGTGCAGGGATGCTGCAGCGAGTCCCTGCGCGTTGCAGGCTCTGGCGCCCGTTATTCGCTGCATGTCGCAGCACCCCTCCAAATCACCGCCCATGCAGTTAGCCCGCCTAGAGCAGAGTCTCGCCGCCAACCCTCAACATCGTGCGCTGGGCCGGCAGGACGAATTGCGAGACCTCTCCGAAGATGCACGGGGAACCGCTGCATCTGTACGCCCCGGCCCCAGAAGATCCTATTGTGGGTCTTGCAGTCCCGTCCCAGCTACTGCACATCGTCCCCGACCATCTTCGAATCGCAGTCCTGGATTCGCCTGTCGTGTGAAAGAGCCGCTGAGGCTTCGGCGTCGAGCCCACTGCTCCACTGCATCGTCTGCAGCGACCACAGACGCACGCAGCCATGTCATTCGCACAAGAGCGCTCCTCTCCCCTCCCTCCTCCGCCGCCGTCGCCGCGCGTAGGGTCCTATCCCCACCAGACACACGCACAGCAGACGTCTCCCCTAAGACGGATAGCTGTGCAACCGCCGATAATCAATACCCAGCTCGCGCCCCCGCCAGGTCAATACTCGCATGGCCACACGCCTGCGAGCGCGACGCCCTTGAACGTGTCCTTCTCCCCCTACGCGCCCACACCTTCGTCCTATGCCGCGTCGCCAATAGTGCCGCCATCGCCCATGGCAATGAGGAACCCAGGCTACAATCCCCAGCAATGGGCACGCAGTGGGGGCACCGTAGGCGGCCAGTATGTACCGCACTCGGCGACCCAGACTCCTGTCGCGACGAGTCGGTCTCAGGATGTCACGGGCATGGAAGGTATGTTCGTCTTGCAGGCGGCCTCGTCAGTCCTGTGTAGTGGAGCAATGTCTCGGTATCCAGATCATGTCGGGTGCAACGCGTCAACACACGCGCTGAGATGGCTTGAAGACGGTGCAGTAGACTAACGGTCGATAGCGTCAATGCCCTCCCCACCTCCGCCGTACTCTCCAGGTCAGAATCCAAGCCGACCAGCGAATGCAAACCCAGGCTCGTCACCGCACATGTCGGCTGCTGCATTCGCTGCGAGTCACCCACCTCCACCACCGCCGCCGTCCGACTACACATCGTCACCCGTGTCTCGACCGACATCAGGCTTCTTTCACAGCAGACCCGGGTCCATAGTGGTACCTCAAAGCGCGACAAGTGTGGTGTCACTTTCACAATTCCCTCCTCCACCGCCTGCAACTGGTTCGAAAAGATCGGCCTCTCGAGAAAAACTCACCTCCAAGTTCGGCCTATCCAAATTTCGCGATAGAGGATCAGGGAGTCCCGGTCCAAGTAATATCGATGCACTTCGGATCAGTACAAGTGAAGCTCTGCAGCGGCCTCCAGCGTCACCAGGTATTCCTCCACCTCGACCTTCCCATCATGTTCTCCAAAGCGCTTTCCCTACGGACCACCGATGGAGTCCAGACACGCAGTCGCCCGTCAGAGCACCCGGCGCACGAAGGGCTGCTTCGACCGGCGTGCTTGCCTCAGAGTCAAGGACTCCTAGTGATGAGACCCCAACACTACCTCAAGGTAGTTGGGGACATGGAGCGATATTACCACCCCCGCCTCCTGGTCCTCCGCCCCCTGGCTCCAGATCACAAAGTTTGGGACGTGGACTTGATTCGACTGTCGGTCGCCAGTCTGTACTTGCGCCAGCACCTCCGACACGAAGACCTGGACAAAGCACTCTGACGCCCATTCCACCAACGCCAGTGGGCTGGCAAGATGAACCTGTGAGGCAGCGGTCACGTTCGCCTGCTGCCCAAGGACTGCAAATAGACACAAGCCCACGTGCACTTGAAACACCAGAGCACCCATCACAGCCTGTCGAAAGCGAATCTGGCTCCATTACGTCTGGACCGACAACTTCAACCTCGAACTCAAGCAGTACGCTCTATCGCGACCCCAGCGGTAGTCAAACGTCGCGAGGTATTCGCGAACGTCGCAGCGAAAGCCGAGCTGCACGAGAACGAGTCGAGCCGAACAATAATCCTTGGGCACAGGACATGGAAGCTGCGAAACCGGCCGACCTGGTCCTGGGCAGTCCTGAGGGTGGACTCAAACGGCGTGATGCAGTCACGAAGAACACCCCACGAAGTGGTGGCCTTCGTTCGCCGAGAAGCTCACATTCGGTTGGAGAGCCTGGCTCATCGAACTCTACACCCCGCCTCAGCTTGCTGACTGGGCCTCAAGCGACGCCTCCTTTCTCGCCAGGTACGGAACGTTTAGATAATTCTCGCACTCAGAAGCAGCCTGTATTATTTCCATCGAAGGCTCTTCCTACCCCGCCCATCCGTCATTATGGAAACGATGTTGAAACAGGCCTGACTGACAGTCCAGGGGCCCGAATTCGATCGACATCAAACGCATCTCAAAATTCGGGCGCAAAGGTCGAAACATCTCTGTCCAGCACGCCACGACCTGTGGGTGGTGATGCTTTTATGGAAGCAGCCGTCGAACGACATCGTCAATTTATTGATAAAGAGATGGCAGCTCAGTCAGACCAGGCTAGGTTGGAGGCGTTCGCAGACTACATCGTCAACGAGTCGCGACTTCGGCGAGATATGTATTCCGCAGCTTTCGATGCCATGGCGGGAGATATTGTGGACCTGACAAGGGATCTGTGGCGCTCTTCCAACCCCTCAGGTCGCAGGTCCACAACACCGAGTGCCCAGAGTGCATCTATCGCTCCTAGCGGCAGAAGATCGCAGGCGTCTACCAGCGGCGAGTCACTAGACACAAGGCCACCCATTTCCATTCCCACAACAGCTGCAAGTCCCGCTTCATCTGTTCAAAACTTCACGCCTCATACCGAGCCAGCGTCGCCATCGAGTGCGACTAGTCAACGTGCGCGTGATGCGTCGTGGAACTACAAGCCGGTCCTGTCTCCGATTCCAAGCATGGCCATGAGCACTGTGCCAGATGAGGAAGATTCGCGGGGACGATCCGCGAGTCGGTGGTGGGAAGCGAGCAATGATGGTGCTTCGTCTGGCAATGGGGGTCGCAAATTGGAAAGAAGCAAACGCGAATCAAAGTATATGGGATTACCAAAGGAGGCTCGCGAAAGCCTGCAGTGGGTTGGAGAGGATGACGCTTCACCTGCGAATCGCGGAGAGTCAAGTAGCCGGCAGCCGTACGGATCGAGTGAATACCCGCCTGAGAAGGTTGGTCTTCATGAGGGGGCGCCAGGTAAACAAGCTGTTGGGTAAGTGAACATTCATATTTTGTTAGATGTATTGCTAACGGTCATTTTCAGATACTTTCCCAGATCTGCGCCAACGACCCCTGATCCGCGAAAACTGGACGTCTCTCGACTAGTGACACTACCGCCGGCTTATCCGCGACACCACCCTGCCGTCAACAACAGCCACCCCGAGCTAACTTCGATTCGCATCAATCTGAGAAATTTTTCGGATCTTCAAGAAGTGAAAACGACTAAGGAGGTTTTCCACACGAAGATTAAAACGCAAAAGGAGCAGGAGAACGCATCGCTCAATGACCGGAGGGCACAGCTTCGTTACAATATACAGGAAAATATTCGGAACGGAGTGATGAGCTACGGTGACGCTGCCAAAGCTGAGAAAGACTTTGAGACCCGAGAGCACCAGCGGGCGCAAGATTCTGTTCAAAAGACATTTGACATGTTCCAATCCGAAGTTGCCAACCCATTGCATGCGTTGTTCTGCGAACGGATCAACAAAGCTTCGGCTTCTCTTGAGCACCTTAAAGGTCGCTTGAACAGCGCTGCGTCGGAGTTGAACCCTAACCAAACGCAAGAGGAAGGTGACGAGCAACCGGAATTGCTGGAGATGCTCACCCTGCTGAAATGGCTTTTCGAGGCACGTGAGCAGCTGCACAAAGAAATGTTCGAGCTCGAAGACGAGCGCAACGAACTTTACAAGGACATCATCGTCCTGCCGTATGCCCAATCCGCAAACGAGCAGAAAGTTAGGGAAGCAACAGCATTCTTCCAGCGCGATGCTCAGGACCGAAAAGTCACCTGGGAAAAGGATATCCTGAAACGTTACGAAGAATTCATGAACACAATCGAGGTAAACGTCACACGCGGTGTCGAAGCACAACTCTCGGCATTCTGGGATATCGCGCCGGGGCTGCTTGCAATCGTGCAAAAGGTTCCCAAGCGGCTGAGTGGCTTCGAGATCCTGATTCCGCCCTCGGAATATGAGGAGAATCCTTCTTTCTACGATTTCCCGCTGCAGTACCTGTACACGCTCCTTGCCCACGCCGGTCGCTCCGCGTACCAGTTCATCGAGTCACAAACGAACTTGCTATGCCTCCTTCACGAGGTCAAGACTGGTGTCATGATCGCTGGCTCCAGGTTGCTGGAGACCCAAAGGATTATGGAGGGTGAAGACTTGGAGCGTGTGACCCAGGAGATGAAGGCTATCAAGGAAGACGAAGAGCGGCGACTGACGGACGATTTAAAAGAAAAGGTTGGACTGGTGGAGAGCCAGTGGGACGAGGCACTTGGGGCCGGGTTGGCAGACTGCAGATTGCGAGTCGAGACCTTCCTTGCGCAACAGGGCGGATGGGAGGACTGCTTGAAGGATTGATGATGACGACATTTAGAGAGCGTTTGTGTTTCTTGCTATGCTTTTCATAAGATGGAGTGGCATTTGCATGGCATGCGTCTTGCGTTTGAGCACAGATACCCATTTTTAATTTCTTTTGGACGAGCGTTGGCATGGCTATGGGGCAATGACAGCAAGCGCACGGCTGCCGGGTTGGCGGTGAGTGCCGGAGATGAGTTCCCCAGCTCCAGTATGACGTGGAGCCATAGGTCTCTGGAGTGATTGTGAACGTGATGGTGCATGCGCTATCCTATTGTCAAGTGTAGTCGTTGTATGTGGATAGGCATGTGAGTGCAGCTGGAAGACATTGCGCCTGCCGCATTGTCTTATTGTAACTGCAGCCGGGTCAAGCCGGCAAGGGCGCTGGTCACACATACAATAAACTTCTGTTACCACTTCCACCCAGGCGATGGCAGCTCGTCGCCACTGCATGCCTTTGGACCCGGCGCAGAAAGAATTCATTCACCAGCGATGGTACTGTCCTCGTTAGCGTCTTGGCGGCAAGCGCGCACCACCTTTTCATAAAGGCAACGCCTGCCCTCTCGTAGACCCAAACGCTCTCAACACCCGCACTCGACAGCTCTTCGCCCACGTTGTTCCTCTGCGGAACATCTCATAACACAGAAAAGCCACAAAAAAATCCAGAAAACCACAAAAAAATCAGTCTTGACGACCTCCGCCAACCCATCCCCCTCGTCAGTCGGTCGCTTGCCCCCACCGCCTTTCTCTCCTTCAACCCTACACCCCTCCGAGTAGAAGGACACCTAGCACGCCTGCCTGCTCGTTCTCCTGTAGAGTTACGAGTATTTCATACACAAAAGTATCTTCGCAGCAGCTTTCGTTAGCTTTCCTTCGAGGTGAGTACTCGCGCCAAAACTTTTTTTTCTAGCGAGCGCGCTCCACGCCGCACCCTGCGCCTGCACGCAAAAATTCGAACCGCCCACTGACAACCGCGCCAGATAGCCAATATGTCTGCTGAAGCCGCCCCCTCTACCTCGCCCGTCCAGGACGGCGCCCCGGACGCTGCCAACGGCACCTCGGTCAACACCAACGTTGCTGCCGCCAACGATGCCGTCGCGACCCCCGCCTCTGCCACCACGGCCCACCCCAACTCCGCCTCGCTCTACGTGGGAGAGCTTGACCCTGCTGTCACCGAGGCCATGCTGTTCGAGCTGTTCTCGTCCATCGGCCAGGTTGCGTCCATCCGTGTCTGCCGTGACGCCGTCACCCGCCGCTCGCTCGGATACGCCTATGTTAACTACAACAGCTCGGAGGACGGCGAGAAGGCTCTCGAGGAGCTGAACTACACCGTCATCAAGGGCAAGCCATGCCGCATCATGTGGTCGCAGCGCGACCCCGCTCTGCGCAAGACCGGCCAGGGCAACGTCTTCATCAAGAACCTCGACCACGCCATCGACAACAAGGCTTTGCACGACACCTTCGCCGCCTTCGGCAACATCCTGAGCTGCAAAGTCGCGCAGGATGAGATGGGCAACTCCAAGGGCTATGGTTTCGTCCACTACGAGACCGCCGAGGCTGCCAACAACGCCATCAAGCACGTCAACGGCATGTTGCTGAACGAGAAGAAGGTGTTCGTCGGCCACCACATCCCCAAGAAGGAGCGCATGAGCAAGTTCGAGGAGATGAAGGCCAACTTCACCAACGTCTACGTCAAGAACGTCGACCTCGACGTCACCGACGAGCAGTTCCGCGAGTTGTTCGAGAAGCACGGCGACATCACATCCGCTTCCCTTGCGCGCGACGACCAGGGCAAAAGCCGCGGCTTTGGCTTTGTCAACTTCGTGAAGCACGAGGCTGCTGCCACCGCCGTTGATGCGTTGAACGATACTGAGTTTCACGGTCAGAAGCTGTACGTTGGACGCGCTCAGAAGAAGCACGAGCGTGAGGAAGAGCTCCGCAAGCAGTACGAGGCCGCTCGTCTCGAGAAGCAGTCCAAGTACCAGGGCGTCAACCTGTATATCAAGAACCTCGACGACGATGTTGATGACGAGAAGCTCCGTGATATGTTCTCTCCCTTCGGTACCATCACCTCCGCGAAGGTTATGCGCGACACCCTTCCTGCTGATGGCTCCGAGGAGACTCCCGCTGATGAGGACAAGGAGGAGAACAAGGAAGCTGAAGAGGAGAAGAAGGAGGCCTCTGGCGACGAGGAGTCCAAGGAGACCAAGGAGAACGACAAGGTCACCATCAAGGGCGAGAAGAAGATTCTTGGCAAGAGCAAGGGCTTCGGTTTCGTCTGCTTCAGCAACCCCGATGAGGCCACCAAGGCTGTCTCCGACATGAACCAGAAGATGATTGGCGGCAAGCCTCTCTACGTCGCTCTCGCTCAGCGCAAGGATGTCCGCAAGAACCAGCTTGAGGCCACTATCCAGGCCCGCAATCAGCTCCGCATGCAGCAACAGCAGCAGCAGCAGTTCGGTGGCATGCAGCCCATGTTCATGGCTCCTGGTCAGCAGCCGATGATGTTCCCTCCTGGCCGTGGACAGCCCTTCCCTGGTGGCATCCCCGCGCAGCAGGGCGGCCGTGGTGCTGGTTTCCCTGGCGGTATCCCCGGCCAGCAGGGTGGACGTGGTGGACCTAACGTTCCCCAGATGCCGCCCATGTATATGCCCCCTGGCATGGCTCCCGGCGCCTTCCCGGCTCCCTACATGAACCCTCAGTACATCCAGCTCGCTCAGGCTGCCCAGCAGGCTGCTATGGGCGGAGGCCGTGGTGCCGGTGCCCGTGGTCCTATGGCTCCCATCCCCGGCATGCCCGGCCAGGTTCCTGGCATCCGCGGCGGCAACGCTTTCCCTCCCCAAGGTGGAGCTGGCCGTGGCGGACCAGGAGGTCGTCCCGCTCAGCCGCCCGCCAACTTCCCTCAGGGCGGTCGCGCCCCTGGTGTCGACCTTGCCGCTCTGAACGCTGCTCCTGCAGGTCAGCAGAAGCAGATGCTCGGTGAGGCTCTTTACCCCAAGATCCACGAGATGCAGCCCGACCTGGCCGGCAAGATCACCGGTATGCTTCTCGAGATGGACAACTCTGAGTTGATCAACCTGTAAGTGATACCTTCGTCACACCAGATCCATTACAATCATGCTAACGACACTAGTACCTCCGACGAGGGTGCTCTCAGGGCCAAGGTAGACGAGGCGATGAACGTTTACGATGAATATGTCAAGAACAAAGAGGGTGAGGGAGAGAAGGAAGCCCCCAAGGAGGAGGCCAAAGAAGACAAAGCTTAGATAGCTAAAGTCTTCTAGGCGCTGAGTAGGACTCTCGACCCGAGAATCGCTTTCTCGGCACCCTGATGATGACGGTTCGATGACTCTTCGGCGAACGGCGCACGGCTTACGATTCTCCCTCTTGCACGGCGGCTCGGTTATGACTCCAAAAGTTTCTCTACGACTCGACTTGCGTTCGGTCTTTTCCTTTCTTGGGAGCTCCCGTCGTCGCCTGTTCATTTGCTAGACTGCTTAGTCTGCTACGGCTGACGGTGTTCCTTTTTCTTTTTCTATACGACTGCCCTCCCGTTCGTTGGGCGGTGGGTGCTCGCCTTCTTTACATTACATGGTACATGTACTATAGACTCTTCAGTCTGCGACGACAATCACGAGTGGAATGGATGTGGGTGGTGGATCAATGCGGATTTTTCTCAGCTGCAGACTTGATACTTCAGTGGCCTGACGTGTTATCTGGCCCCTCGTATGCGAGCAAAGAGTATAATGGCGGATCGGGACTGTGTTATGGTGGATAAAGACGGATATGGATTTGAAAGGGGATGTGGTGGGTAGTGTTTGGATGGATGAGAGCGATGGATAGCAAGGAGGCGGCGATCGCGATCTCCGCTGAGCGTGGTGTGCTATGAGGGATTCATGAGGCTTTTTTTCCCGACATGTAGATGGTTAGTCAGTCTGAACAGATGTTTATGATTTCATGGTGTGCTTTGCTTGTTTGTTTGTGCTGTTCCCCCCGGCTGCGTGATGGAAAACACGATGTGTCGGGATGGTTTTAGGGTTAGGTATCATGACTCCGTTCTCCGCGATTTTTTTTTCTGGATATTTCTCCCTGGGAATCAGTGTAAAGTTCAATTTGTAGCGTCTGGTCGGTGGAGAATCATGAAGGCATGCTCAGCTTAGCTATTTATAGGCCAGGGAAAGGTGTTTTTCTGGATTGCTGATGGCTGGGGATCAGGCTATATGACGAGAATACTACGCTCTTGCTCTTGGGCATACTGTTGGTTGATCTTTTTAGAGCGTTTCGAAATCGCGGAAGGTTTGCACTGCTCGCTGCTGGAGTGGAGGACAATTATCTGTGAGATTTCAGATTTCGGAGTAGTTGAGCTGATGGGGTATATCAGTGCTTTGCGAAAAGAAAGCCCCCACCCTACCATACATAGTACAGCTCCCTATTTTGATTGATTGTATTACCTGTAGTATATATCTACTTGACTGTTAGTTAAAATGCGGTAGTACACGTATTTTGATGGCTTGGTGGTCTGTTTCGACGTCTGCTATAAGTAGATCTAGCTAGTTAATAAGATCTAGGTAGTATTCAACAAGATCTAGGTAGTATTCAACAAGATCTAGGTAGTATTCAACAAGATCTAGCCAGTAGTAAAGCGAATGTATCATACAACTGATAAAAGTTGAGGATCTGTACTATAGTCGGGTGGGGGCATTCTTTTCGCAAACGACTATAAATGAAATAAAAAGTAACTTTATACTGTCAAGATGCTTGCTGCCTTCAAGTACGCACTCCGGATACCACATGACTGTTCGGAACAAGACCTCAAGGTCTTCTCTTCTTCCTTCTCGCTCCCTTATCGGCGTCAGTGGATGTCATTCGAGCAGCTTGTGCCTTGGGCGTAGACTCCATGAATCTTTTCACTAGATCGGGAGCTGACTTGAGCAAGTTCTCCATTTGGACGCGCATGTCCTGTATTGGCGTGCATTCCCGCCGGTAAACCTGGAGGATCTGAATGAGTTGCTTGTAGATGGTTGGTTGGGCTGAGAATCGGCACTCGACCTTGTCCGCGTAGCTGTGTACACAGTCGACAACTATGGTTCTAGATCCCGAATTTTCAGCAATATCTGGTTCCGGGGATCGAATCGTGGCCTCTTTAGGGCGGGGTTCGGGGAGCTGCTGGGGTGTGGATTGCGGTTGCGGTGTACTCGTGTGCGATCAGGGAAGTCTGGCCACGGGGGGTAGAAATCTCTAGAGAATCGGGCCCGTCCGTCGGCTCGTCATCAGACGATCTTCCATTCCTGAACATACCCACGTCTTCCTCGACAGGCGCAAGTTCAGCTCGTTTGTTAGCTTTCCTAGTGTCTGCAGGCCGATCTGCGTTTGCCGGTTCTGATAGCGTGGATACTGTGAATAGGAGATCGTCGAGAGATCTTCGTTTCTTGGTAGTTGGTGTGAAGCACACATTGCATTTACAGCTTGGTATAGTCAAATAAACCCATGGATAATGTGGACAGCACGTACCAAGTTCTACCACCACCAAGAGACCCGGCAGTCTTCGTGGAGCCGCACCCCGGTATAGGGCAGGCCTCGTCTGTCAATGTTGGATGAACTCAATGATAGCCATTTAATGGCTGTTCCTGGGAGCAACAGGGAAGTCGTCGAGAGTACAGTATTGCTGTCCTTCGTCATGAAGTACTGTAGTTGCCGGCCTAAACGTCTAAAGAACCAGGCCCAGTTTTAAATTTATGCTTGATGACCGCGTCCAGAAGATCGAAGTCGTACTCGGACGGTACTGGGAACTTGGTACCTAGCATCTTCCATAGCTAACGGAACCTGGAAGAATGACCACCGTGTGTCGCGTCCTGTGGGAGCTCTTAATCTCAAGTATGAAAGCGTACGTTTGCAGGTAGACACTCTGGATCCTTGTCAACACGTCAAGTACAGACCGCTGGATTAGGCACCTACGATACGTGGGCAACCATCTCCGAGAGACCTCCATGGGTCCTGAACTCCCCACTTCATTTCAAACAGCCGCGCAAGCATATCCTGGGTGTTTGCTACGACCGAGGCTTGCACCGTCAAGCTGCCGCTGATCTTCTCGCTCACCCCGCGAGTATCCTCCAACCTTTCTCGAAGATGAAGCTGGTGCGCGGCAGCCTTGTCCGACGCAAGGTCCATACTCGATAAGCCATGCTCCGCTAACAGGATGGTAATCGTCCCGAAGTGAATGTGCAGGTAGCACTGGAGCATGCGATCTCTCTTTGGACCAAAGCCCCATTTCAACTTATGCGGTACTCTTTATACGCCATGCCAAACTGTGGTTGGTAGACGTCGCACTGCTCCCTGGAGCGCACGAGAGCACTAGATGACATAGGTAAATTACAAGGTGATGATCACGCAGGACGTGAGAGGTCGTTTCCCACCAAGCCAGGCTTGGAAACTGCTTCGATTTGAAGTATCAGCCGGGCGGCGACCATGCATGAATATGTGCGCGACAGCAGACACAAGGCCATCATGATCATGCTGCACTGTAGGAGCCGTACAACTATACATGATTGTCAGCTGCACCAGTCTCGAATAAGGTGGTGTAAACGCCGTCTCAATTTCCCTGGCAATACAGGTCTTGTTTATATACTAGTCATGCGTGGTTATCTTCGTGTCACATCGTGTGGAGGTTTGGCTCCCCGCCGCCTGCTAACGCCTGTCCGCCGTTTGCGCTGCCTGCTAAATGAACATTTTCCTTCCGAATACTCTACTTCTGCTTCTGGTGCTTCTGGTGCACGTCAATGACGCGCTGGACCTCCTGCTCGCTGCCCATGAAAATACCGCTCCGGTCGTGGATGTGCTCTGGGATAACCTCCATCATGCGCTCCATCTTGCTGTTGACTGCGAGACCACCGGCTGTGTTTCATTAGCTTTCACCCTGCTTTGGGAACTAAAATGACTTACCATTCTCGAAAACCATAGCCATGGGTGCGCACTCGTACAGAATTCTTAGCTTTCCCTTGGGCGACTTCTTATCCGAGGGGTATGCGAAGATACCGCCGTAAAGCAGCGTTCGGTACGCATCAGCCACCATGGACCCGATGTACCTCGCGCTGTACGGCTTTCCGCCCTCCTCAGTCGGGAACTTGAGCCCATTGATGTACTCCTTTACCGGCTCCTCCCAGTACAGCGAATTACCCTCGTTGACGGAGTAAATAGCGCGCTTCTTAGGAATCCGCATGTTCGGGTGTGTGAGGATGAACTCGCCGAAGTTGTTGTCGAGCGTGAAGCCATTGACGCCGCCGCCCTTCATGGTAATGACGAGCTGCGCGGAGGCGCCGTACATGGTAAAGCCTGAGGCGACCATCTCGGTGCCGGGGAGGAGGAGGTCCTCTTTCGTGCCTTTTGAGCCCTCCTCGAGCTTGTAAACGGAGAAGATGGTGCCGACGGAGACGCCGGCGTCGAGGTTAGAGGATCCGTCGATGGGGTCGCACGCGACGGCGTAGCGGGCGGTGGGGAACTCGTCGAAGGTGATGCATTCTTCCTCTTCTTCCGAGACGAGGAGGCGCACGCGACCGCATGAGCGCATTGCAGAGATGAACAGGTCATTGCCAATTACGTCGAGCTTCTTCTGGTCGTCGCCAGTGGCGTTGGAGGCACCAGCGAGACCGGTGAGCTGGGAAGGAAAATGTCAGCCATTTGCTACTATCATGATCTGAAAGCTTCGGCCTACGTTGATCAAGGTGGAGCGTCGGATGTAGTATGATATGCTCTTAAATGCGAACTGCAGGGCGTGGCAGAGTAATCTATTCGCAGGTTAGCGACCGCGATCCCTCCTACGTTGGAAGCGCCTACGTGAAGTCTCCCGTCGCCTCCTTGTGCTTCGTCTGCTCTTCGGTCAAAAACCGCGTCAGGGTGATGATATCAGTATTAATCGCTTCTCCCACGGCACCGCCATTCTGCTTCTCCTGTCCGCTCATTGTGAAGATGGTATCAGTCGCGTGTCAAGCGTGTCAATCAATACAAAAGTCCAGAGGATGTCGTAAAGGTCGTGAAGTAGCAAGGCAAAAGTGCAATGGGAAAGTGAAGAGAATTCAGTGCGTGAAAGAAAGATCGTGATCACAGCAGATCGACGTGGAAGTCACAGAGGGCCCCTAAAGCTAAATTCTGGGCCCAAAGGTGGGTAGTTACGGCATGCGTGTCGGTCGGGTGGAGGCGCTGTTTGTCGCGACAAGTGGTTCCGCTGCCCTCGGCTCGCGGTTTGGGCGTCACGCGCACCTTTTCCGGTTTCACTGCCGATGTATATAACTCGCATGAGATTGGTTTGTATGAGTTTGAGCTGAAATGGGACGGCAAAAGGCTCATTGCGGGCGTGGGAGCTGCCGGCAGCCTTTGTTGTGCTCGTCAAGACGTCCCCACGATGACGATGGAGGGGCATCACACGAAAGCGGGGCGCCTTTTCCTGGAGGCAGGGGCACCCGCATTCCGACATGTTCCGACCCGCGGATTTGATGCTCTACTTGCATATTCCACGGCTGCGTTCGCGATACTCTCGGCACCTCGTCCCGGGGATGGCTAAGAATTCAACAGCTTCCTATGACTTGTATTCGTCTTCTCTGCTGCTCTTCCTAGCTTCTGAACGCCCATTCGTGCTGGCTTTGGTATAGTGAGCGAGCCTAAACCATCAGGCAGCGCATCGCACGATACGGCGTCGGACCGGAATAATTATTTGCGCAAATGGTTCATCCGACTGCATGACCAAAGCCCTGGGAGGCTGAAAACTATACCTAGGGCGAGAACATGCTCGGCATACCTTCACCCGAGCAACGACGTTGCTATCTGATATCGAACGAACAAAAAGCCCCAGCATGTTGTAGGAGAATTATGCTTACGCTCCAGACTTGCATAATGCCGAATACAGTGCGTATGATTCGACGACACCCAACACACGATCCCTCTACATGCAAGAAGACTACAAAAAAGCAACTTTTATACCAAACTATACTATATTGTAGTACAAACTGAAACACCCATCCCAATCCCATCCTATACATACACACTCCAGCCCATGCAAATGTACAACTGAAGAAACCTTGATGTACCCCTGATTACGGAGCTCGCGCGTCCTCCAAAAGACCACGGGGAATACGGCGACACTAATGCAAACAGAAAAATAAGATGAAAATCGTACATCAAGCTCTCCGCCCAACAGCCGTAGCGCATCTCATCCTATATACCACCGACGCTTACTCGCCCTTGAGCTTGTCCTGCTTGACCGTGAAAGCCTGCTCAAGCAGATCTTGCTCCTCCTTCTTGTGGCTGGCCTTCAGACCAGTAGCCACCGACGCGCTCGGGTTGCGACCGGCATACATGACGTGCCTGCGGTTGTGGTGCTCCGTCTGGTTGAGCAGCGTCTCGATGCGGGGCTGCGTGAAGCTCCATGCACCTGCGTTCAGCGGCTCTTCCTGGCAGTAGATGATGTTCTGCGCGTTGGGGTACGAGTCGAGATTCTCCTTGAGTTGTTGCCAAGGGAAGGGGTTGAGCTGCTCAATGCGCGTGATAGCGACATCCTTGAGACCACGGGCCTCACGCTCCTTGACGAGCGCAGCGTAGACCTGACCCGTGCACAGGATGACACGCTTGATCTCCTCGGCGGAATCGATGTCGCCGCTCTCGTGGGCGGGGTCGCGGATGATCCATTCGAAGTGAGAGTCACCAGTGAACTCCTCAATCGATGAGCGGGCAAGCGGGTGGCGGAGGAGAGATTTTGAGAAGAACAAAATGAGAGGCTTGCGGAACTGGCGGTTCATCTGTCGTCGGAGGATGTGGAACATGTTAGATGGCTTGGTCAAGTAAGCAATCTGCATGTTGCAGTCTTGGTGCTGGCGTTCAAGCTTCTCGGGAGACGGGAAGATGCGCGGGTCCTCGTTGACAAGAAGGAGGTAACGTTCCATGCGTCCAGAAGAGTGCTCAGGGCCCTGTCCATCATAGCCGTGAGGCAAGCTAAGAACGAGACCGGAACGTTGAAGCCACTTCACTTCGCCAGACGCAATGAACTGATCGATGATGACCTGAGCGGTGTTGGCGAAGTCACCGAACTGGGCTTCCCACATAACAAGCGCGTTGGGCGATGATAGTGAGTAACCATATTCAAACCCGAGGCTGGAAAACGTTAGCGTTCGACGATATGGCTTTAGGGCACTGAACTTACACTCCGTACTCGCTCAATGAAGAGTTCGAGATGGTGAAGGTGGCTTGATCTTCGCTCACATGCTGCAGTGGTGTGTAGGTCTTCTCAGTCTCCTGGTCGTGAAGAACTGCGTGACGCTGCGAGAAAGTACCACGCTCGACATCTTGTCCAGAGACACGGACGTGGTGGCCCTCCTGGCAGAGAGTGCCGAAAGCCAAAGCTTCGGCAGTTGCCATGTCAATGTTCTTGCCTTCGGTGACGGTCTTGGTGCGGCCAGCAAGGATACGCTTCAGGTTGCGGTGCACCGTGAAGTCCTCCGGAGCATTACCAATCACCTCGGCAACGTGCTTCAGCTTGGATTCTTCAAGAGCGGTGGGAAGATGCGGTAGGACTTCGGTCGCGAGCTCCTTGGGCGACTTGAAACCGTTCCAGGCGGAAGTCAGCCACTCTTTGGAGTTTGGCTGGTAGTCCTTGCTGCGGTTGAAGCTCTCCTCGAGCATACCCCAGACCCAGGCCTTGTGCTCATCAATGTCCTCCTTAGTGAAGGTCTTTTCCTCCAACAACTTCTTGGTGTAGATGTCGAGCGTGGGAGCCTGCTCGGAGATCTTCTTGTACATGAGCGGCTGGGTGAAGAACGGCTGGTCAGTCTCATTGTGACCCTGCTTTCGGTAGCAGACCATGTCAATGACAACATCCTTCTTGAACTCGGCACGGAAGTCAGCTGCAAGCTGGCAAACAAAATTGAACGCCTCTACATCGTCGCCATTAACGTGGAATACAGGGGCGTCAATTGCCTTGGCAATGTCGGAGCAGTACGGGGTCGATCGAGAGAAACGGGGGTCAGTGGTGAAACCGATCTGGTTGTTCACGATCAGGTGGATAGTTCCTCCGGTGTGATAGCTTGGCAACGAGTGGAAACCCATGGTCTCGTACACTATACCCTGACCGGCAAAGGCAGCGTCTCCGTGGAGGAGGACACCCATAGCCGTGCGTGCGTCCTTCTCGTCATTGTTGTAGTGCAGGATAGCACGAGTCTTTCCGAGCACGACAGGGTCCTCGGCTTCCAAATGCGACGGGTTGGCGACGAGGGAAAGCTGTACGCGCTTGCCGGAGGGTGTAGGACGCTCGAAGTTCATACCCAAGTGGTACTTGACGTCGCCAGAACCCTCGTCGCTCGGCTCCGTGGTACCGGCGAACTCGCTGAAGATGGACTCGTTGGGCTTCCTGACGACGTTGCTGAGCACGTTAAGACGTCCGCGATGCGGCATACCAATCACAATGTCCTTCACACCGTAATCGACACTGCGGTCAATGAGAGCCTTCATTCCGGGAATCAAGCTCTCTCCACCCTCCAGACCAAATCGCTTGTCGTTAGGGTACTTTGTGGCGAGGAAGGCCTCGAAGTTGGTGCCCCAGATGAGGCGGTCCAGGATGCGGCGCTTCTCGTCGACGGAGTACTTGTAGGGCTGGGGGATCTCGATGCGTTCACGGAGCCAGTCGCACTGTTCCCTGTCCGGGATGTGAATGTACTCGACACCGTACGAGCCGCAGTACAGGCGCTCGCAAGCGTCGATGATTTCCCTAAGCTTCATCTTCTTCCGGCTCTCCGACTTGAAACGAGGCAAGATACCTGGACCAAGCTCGAATTCCTGGTCCAGGTCCTTCTCAGAGAAGTTGTAATGCGACAGCTCAAGCTCGCGGGGCTTTGCGTAGCCAAAGGCGTGTGCTTCGGAGCGGATGCCCAGCGGATCAATCTTCGCCTTGTGGTGGCCACGGGCCTGGTATGCGCGGACAAGCAGCTGCACTTTCAAGTGGTTCATGACGTCGGAGCCTTCGCCCACGGTCATGCCCAATCCTGGTCTTCCTCCCCCCAGATCAGGTCCCAGGCCGCCGTGCATGGAGGGCGTCGCCATGATGGTCGGCGGCGGCTGGAAGGCTTGAGAGACGGGCATTTCGCCAGATTCCATGTTGCGGAAGTAGACCTGCCATGAGTAGTGCACCGACGACGGATCACGTTTCCACTGCATGTACATCTCGTCGACATAGTTGGCAGTGTTTCCCTGGAGGAACGAGTCGTTGGGGTCCTGCAGCAAGCTTTGTTAGCAGTGTCCTCGAAGAGTTTGCCACGACGGATAGAAACATAGAAACACGCACAACGCCCTTGTTAGTGTCCTCTACAGAGACGGCATATCTCCGCTTCTGCTGGGAGAGCGCAAGCGGCCTGCGACTTGCGGCAATAGCTGTTCTCGCCGGCGATGCGGAAGCTGTGTAGAGGCTTGCTCGCGGCGCACAGCTCTGGAGCTGGCGGGTACACCGCAACGATGTGCGCAGCATTGTGGAGTATTAGGAGAGATAAGAAGGCGCAGAAATGGAGGACATCCAAACGGCGGATGGGGAAGGACTGGGGAGTCTTGTGGTGAAAGCTGTGCAAAAGGCCAGGAGGACACAGGCATGCGCTCACAGCCGGACGATTCGGGCCTAGTGCCCTGTGGCTAGTTTGAGCCTCGAAAGCTGACTCGCCCAGCAAATGCCTCAGAATTCACGCTGGGCGGCCGTTCCGGATGCCGTTTGAGATGTCTTGTCCTCATTTGCGATAGACGAGTCAATTGCCGGCGGCTGCGCATCCTTTGTTCGACAGCGCCGCCGACTGAAGCCAGGTGAACACTGTCTGGCATGCGGGCATACATCACTGCTGCAAAGGAGTCGCCGGAGTGGTCCGCCCAATCACCACGTGCATCATGGAAAGCGGTGCGCCACAGCAACGGAAAAGATGCGGGTGACGACGTTGTTGCAAAACATGTCGTGCGGATGCTTCCGCGGCCGCTCCGAGACATGCCCATCGCTTGGCCTCGGTTAGTCCACGTTTGCCAGCGGACCATTCCCGCGGCAACACCAGAAGAGTTGTATACCATTACACATGATGTCGCTGCCGTGGAATTCAGCTTCTAGATGCACGGAAAAGCGAGTTTCGACTCATATTTTCTTCTATTTGATCACCTGTACGCAAAATCCTGTGCAGGGGGACGCGGCAATGTAATAGTTCACCATTGACGGTCTGAAGCATGGCTTTCTATAGGCAAGATCTTGACCACGGTATCTAGCACCTTCTCATCTACATATTCGAGGTCACGAAATTGTCATGTTGACCGAAGATGAAAACCTTAAGGCTAGCCGGATTGCCTTAGTAGGACATATCGTATCCTCCCCCAGTGTTCCCCCTGCATCTGTTCCCAATTTCAGCCTCCAACGCAAAAGTCTACTGCAATCTCGTCAGCAAAATGATTCTAAGTAAAGGTCGACTCTTACACCATCCTCTCTGCCGACGTTACGGCGACGGCTACAGAGGAATGTAACCAGGATGATCAGCTGAAGAATGGCCTGCATGACGCTGGAAACAAGGGAAATAGCGGTCGTGGATTCTGCGCATCAGATATCAGTCAGAGGTTATCGTTGAACGTGTCGAGAGGTTGTACCAGTATTCTCGCTCATTGTATGTGCTAGTTATCGATCTCGATGCTTGATCTGTTTAAGAGTGGCATCATAAGGCATTATAAGCAAGACCACAAAGATACATTTTACCTACAATGTGACAACAATTCTTGCGTTCGCACTTATTCTGTGAACCACGCTCCATCACCGGTGAGTTCTCTATCTGCCTCTGTACATGCACTGAACCTGAAATTGCTTGAGAGCGCAGCGCTCATTACTTATTCGGTGCGTAGCCGCTTCCCCGCTTGATCTTATAGGCTTACAGTTATTTCGTTTCTGCCCGTTCCATGTCGATGCTGCTCGTCCGCCCCCAATTCCTGCAGAGATGAAACGCCACCGCAAAAAGTCCAGCCAATGCCAACCCGTTATTTTTTGCGCCGACTGACCTACGCGAAATCAGCTTGTGGTCCCTGCGCTGTCCATGCACAGAACAACTCCGACGTGAGTGGTATAAGAACATGGTCAAAGATAATTCCCATCATCAATCACGATGCCATCCCCGTTCAGAGTGGAGAAGAGGACGGTGCAAAATGGACAACTTATCAAGAGACGGAAAGGGAGGCCTGCAGCATGGTCGAATCCATGGCAGAAGCGGCTTACTGTTCTTCGCCTATGTGGTTTACGCGTCGAGACAATCGTAGAGCTATTGAATGTTCTCAATCAGGGCAGCTTCTGTGCAAGGTCAGTAGAGTACGCACATCGTGGCTAATCGGTTGTCTAACCCAGTCAGGCCACGACGAGCACAACAAATCTTGACTGACACTCTGTCCGATTCGTATCGCCAGTAAGTCGGCAATGGAAGTTGTTTAGGAGAGGTTTTTGCATATCTGTGATTTCGGAACGCGCAGAACGCTATCAGGCAGTGCTAAACTCTCAGCTCTCAATTATGACTCAATTTCGAAGAACTTTGCTGACACATGATAGTGAGTGTCCTCGTACCCAGTCGCAAACACGAAGCCGTCTCGCATTCTTCAGGTCTACCAGACGGAAAACCCGCGCATCAAAACCTCGGAGATCTGAACAAGCCTTTCGTCCAGAAACGGCTTCATTCGGGAAGCCAGCAACTGGCTCGTCCCTAGAGTATCATCCTCCTGAGCTGGCTTGGGATGCTTCCACTTTACGGACCCTCCAATCCACAACACCTATATGCCTGACGAACGAAGATGAAGGTGCATCGAATGCCTACCCGACCACCTTAGATGAAGGCAATGCTAGCGAGCCATCTATGCCATGTCCGGATATCTGTACACAGGTCACAGTCTCGGATGATGAAAAGCATGCCTGCTCGACGAGCAATCCTGCATGTGGCCGCAGCGAGGACGATCTGTCCATCATGTCGCGATCTAGTGTGAGATCGCGGCTGAAAAGCATACTGAGGAAGAACAGCTATAGCTCTTCACTAGCATCAGACGTGATGAGTATGTTGCGAAGGAAATATTCCACGAGTACCCTTTCCACGATGAGTCACGACTCAGTTCCCTTCATCCCGCAAATTTCCAAGCAATGTTATCCACCGGACTATACAGCTCGAGCGCGGCTGACGATAGACGAACATGACGATAAACTCGCCGTGATCAATAATGCATTGATCAATCGATGCTGCTCGATAAATTCGACTTGCATGCACCGACAAATACGCGACCTAGTGCTGGAACGGAAGCACCCTCAATCCCTCGAACTGGCTCAAATCGACTCTCAGGTCATTGACCATGAGACCTTGTGTTTCATTGCTTATTCAGGCGCTTGTGCAGGTCTAGTCCGCACTCTTGCTGAACTCTCGGCTACCACAATCCACCAAATCGATAGGGACGGCCAGAACTTCATGTTTCACCTCTATCCTTCAGGGTTTGAAGGAATGTCCTGCGCATGTACGCACTCAACACGCCCGCCGGCGCACGTGTGTACCTGTCGTCTTGGGCAATTGAGCGGTGCACCTCATCTGTCCAGCCTGGACTGTCTTTTTGCGTATTTGGAGGGGGAGAATTTCAATTTCGAACATATCGATCATGAAGGGCGAAGCTTTCTTACTTACATCTGCGCTTGTCCTGCCTTCAACATCAACTGGTTGCTGGCGAGCATCGTGAGAAGTGAAGCGTGGGCGCATCGGATACAGAGTCTTTCTAGGTTGAGAGATGCTTCAGGTTGTTTTCTCATAGACTATCTATCTCTTCACCCAGATTTCGAACACTTCGACGAAGCGACATTGCAATACTTCCAGCCACCATTCAAAAGCGGGCTGTGGAACTCTCTACCTTCCAGGCCATCGTCATCTGGCATCGAAAAGCATAGGCTGCTCGTGGGCGAGAACCAAGATGGAGCAAATCCATTCCACTATAACCACACCGGTTGGATGATGCCGTTTGTTTATCAGACTCAACTTGGCCCCGGAAGTCACCGGAATGACTGGAATGCTTATGACTGCTTTGGCCTGACTCCACTGACGGGCTACCTGGATCGCGCATTCAGAGAGGGGACAAGAGACTCGATCGTGGTCTCCAATGTCAGCCAGCTTGTTGCCATGGGCGCAAATATACATGCTCGCACACGGACTGGTGAAACTATCCTCCACTTGGTTACAAAAAGAGCCAGGCCAGAATTAGTCTCCTTGGCGATCTCGCTAGGTGTGGAGATTGGTATCGTTGACAGGCAAGGATTCAGTGCCCTCGACTATGCCGCCAGGATCTTCAATTATTCTCTAGGCAAGCGCAAACCTCCACAGGCGACCGGTCTGGCCGCGAAGTCTGTGACTCGATTACTTGACAAAGTTTATCCAAGCACTAATCCGGAGATTAGAACATATGAATTTCTTCCGCGCGAATGGATCGTGGTCACCACGAGAACTCGCTAGATTTGCATGGTCGACATCCGTGCCCTCTCACAAGTCTGCAGTAATGCTACTTGCCCACGGTGCCCGCCAGTCAGGTGTTTCCGATCACAGCGTACGCCGCACCATCACACAATTTCAAAAAGTACCTCTAGCTCTGCCATTACACTTCGAAGTTTCAAGGGCTGCTATCTTGAGAGAGGAGGAACATACAGGACCAGTTGCACTTGAAGAAGAACACTGAGCAAGTGCAACGGCGCTCATCACAGACAGAGATGAATAGAGGCATAGGCACCCGATATACCTATCAATGAATCTTTCTAATGAATCACCAGTGATGCCCGCACGAACTAGAGCATAAAAAGTCCCTGTGGATGTCGCCCCAAATGTGAGCCTTGCTTGCCTATGCCTTTGCATTAGACCTGTACATTAAGAGTCCGATTTCGCTATCCCACAATGTTCCTTGCTTGCATAAAGGGCCCTAGCTCTACATAATTAGGTATATAGGCATGGGAATGAACACCAGAAATACTTGCAGGAACTTACCTAGGGTGTGTGTCAAGCTTTAGTACACTTTCAAGGTCACGAACCGTTGGTCTCACCTCTATTCTGGGCCAACAATCTACCATCCCCTCGAGTTAACAGGAGATAGTCATACCGGTTATAATTCTTCCAGCTCTACTACCCCCCAGACACTCCTTCCACCCATAGGATCGAAATACAGGATCATCCCATCTGAATGGATTGATTTTTCTGATTCGCACAGTGTCCTTGTGCCTTGCCGCGCTCAGAGTGATCTTGGAACTGGTTTTGTACCTATGTTAGTATTCTCTCAAGTTTGAACATTAAATCGACCCGATGAGGCGCTATGCTGCCAGATTTCTGAAATATGAATTTGTAGCAGGTCTTCAAGCCTTGCGTGATTAACACGCGACAGCTATATTCACAGCTATCCTATAATACAATGCCTTCTATATATTGGTAGGGTGGTTAACCTTGTTCTACTTAACTCCATATTAAGATCAAGGGCCTAGTAAATCATGGACGTCCATGTAAGAGATTTCCTGGTACATCATCCGTACTCCCAGAATGTACGACCGGCATGCTCAACCTTGCAATTGCCCTCTCGTATATGTTCAAAAGCTTCTGGTCTTTCTGCAAATTGTCGACGATCTGCTGGACACTGTTGCTGTACAGCTCGTCACGTTCCCGCGTGACCTTTCCGAGCGCTTTCTTCAAGCGCACCAACTTGGTTTTCTCGCGTAACAGCTCGTTGCGCTTTCGTTGGCGATCCGCCTTCAGCTGCTTTTCTCGCGTGCCGGTTGCCGGCCGGATCTGCGCGGTGAGCGCTGCGACTTGGCCGCGGACGGTCACGATGTGCCCTTCTTGGCGGGTCACATCGCTTTGTGCTTGGGCAATCTCACGAGTCAGACGGGTTTTTTCCTGGTTTTGCTGTGCGGCGTAGCGATTGATCTGTGCCTGTGTACCTGTGGTCTCTTTGTGCTTCAGATTCTTGAGCATCCCTTGGTATTTTGTTAAAGTGGCAACGACCTGAGGCCTGGTGTGATCGATGCGTGCTTGGAGCCATTTCTTGCCGTCTGTTCCGATATCAGCAACTCGATCGCGCATGTAAGTGCGCCAGGCTTTAGCGAGATTGGTCTGTAGGTTTGTGCCCGTAAGATGTTGAACGTTCTGAAGCTCGATTTCGACATTTGTAATGGCCTCATTCATGCGGGACTTGACTTGAGGATCGGACATGTAGCGATAGACTGCCACGACCTGTAGGAAGGGTACGTTAGCTTGTTTGTTGGAGTTGTGTGTGGTTAAAGAGGGAGATATGAGGTATAGGGATGAGCACGTACTCCCCTAAGTGCACTCATGTAGGCTGATGATGGTAGTTGACCCTTCATAGCGGCTGTTACCGCGTCGTTGTATGTCGTCAGCGCCATAGGGGCTTCGCCCTTCCACATACGCATTTTGAAGCTGTTGATGGAGTCCTCGCACATGACGAAGTCGTGGAGATTATTATCGGAACCTAGAGCTTCGAAAATTCTACAAAGTGTGGGCATAAAGTTAGTGTATTTCCTATACATGGGAGAGGCATCTTAATCAGATCTCTCAGGCAGATAGTGAATACGAAAGGCTGAACCATTTCGACAAAAGAAGCGCCTAATTCGTATCCTGTGCTCACTTACAGATCGTTCAAGGAATTCCGAGTTGTCATTCCTTCCGTATAGTAGTGCGGTTTGTGCGGCCGCGAAGTGACTGTGTTTGCGGGTAATGCCTTGTGCCAACGGTTCTTGAAAAATGTAACAAGAGACTTGTCTTTGCTCGTAACATCTTTTATGAACAACGCAATCGATTGTAGCTATTTCATCTTGTCAGCTCCGTATATCTGCCTCCATCTTCCCAACGCAGTCTTCAAAAGTCGAACCGGACTCACCTCAACAATATGCTCGGTAACATAATCGACCATTTCCTGCGCAGTGGGTATGCGTTTGATGTTCTTCACCGCTGCATCTTCCATTTTATTTGACTTGTAAGTGAAGACATTCCTGTCTACAGCTGGAGAGTTAAACAGTTGTGGTGCAGAAGGATAATCGAGGTTCGTCATGGTGAAGACATTCCCTTTCGCAAATGTTACTGGATACGTGCGGATATCTCGCTTTTCATTCTGGTGCTCGTGACCATTGGGATCGCTTGGTGACGCTGTTGGGGTTGCCATTGGGGCTTCTGTTATCATAGCCATGGCTTCTACGTTGACATCGCGAACTGCGAGTGCCTCATTTTCTTCTCCACATTCCACGAAGAGACCACAGACATCGAATGCCGTTGTCTGGTATGGGACCCGTATCATTGGCCATTTGTTTTTGGCTTGAGTTGGCGTTGCAGTGTGCTTTGACGCCGACTTGCTAACTGTAGGTTCTGGTTTCGGCTTCGATGGAGTTGGTTTGGGCTTCGGCTTCAATGTTGGTCTGGGCTTCGGTCTTGCAGGCATGGGCTTGGGCTTGGGCTTAGGCTTAGGCTTAGGCCTGGATTTTGGCCTCTTCTGAACTGAAGCTGGCCTTGGTCCCGTTCTTGATCTTCCGGGCTGGCGATTTTCAAGGGATACATATTCACCTACGTGGACGGTGGAAGCGGGATCATCCAAGGAAAGACTTTCGGGACTGGATCATTGGTCAGCGTATAAATGCAGAAGAAGACACGAATTAACATACGCCACACGCGGAAGAACAACAGCATGCACAAGGGCTGAAGCAAAGCCCAAAAGAAACAAAAAGTCACGAAAGGATAAAGTGTGCATGGCTCTGGATCAGGATGTAGCAGCAACGACGAATAACCTGCGTAGTTGCGAGAAGTTACACCAAAGAATCGGTAGGAGCGAAAGGTAAAAGTAAAGGAGTGATTAAAGCTGATGTTTAAACCGAATAAAATCAGATGGTTTCTGCCGTTTACGATTCATAGATTCTTATAAGATACGTATGGTCCATGTTTGCGGACACGAAGACATCTGAGGATGCACATGTGAGCTGAGTGTTGGCATTATTGTCGGTGTTCCGAAAATGAACTCTACTTCCAACGGAGGGAAGTGTTTTGATCTTGATGTCCGTCGGCAATACGCCTTCGCAAAGCTGTTGGTACATGATACTCTACTTGGAGAAGGATAAGTAAAACATTTGCCTTTTTTTGCGAACATATTGAGCATTGCTAAGACAGTATTCCACATCTCCGGTAGCACAGCTCTTTCAGATATTACCGCACTTACCCGCTCCCATCTTGCGGCTGAAACCCTGAAGATACTATGCGAAAATCCGAGATCAGCTTGCAAGCATTGCATCAGCAACAACGTACGACTTGCGGACAGCCCCGCAGCTGCACTGTGATGAGTGCCAATTCTAGTGTAAGACGGATGCACAAAGGAGGCGTAAACACAGCTCCCGGAAAAGAAACTCATTGAGATCCGCTCGGGGATGACTTTTGTGGTACGGTAGTGCTTTTATAGGCTAGCGCTATACTGGTACTCTTTCAGCCCCGCTGCCTTGTATTCCGCCCCATGGGAAACCACAATTGGCCGCCGAACACCGTCGTCATCAATAAGGAACCTACACCCTCGAAAAATAGATCAGTCAACGGCGAGTCAGCGAACATTTCTGAACGTACCACCCTTTTTTCTCGCAATACTCGTTGCCCTATAACCACCCAACATGGCGCCCCTAGATGGCCTCGACAACGTCCGTCGAACCCTCGCAGGAGACCTAAGCCGAAAATGGGGTTTCGTTATTTATCGCTGCACTTACGAAGATGATGCGGCATGGGAGAGGTTCATGGTCCATATGAACAAACGCGTGCGGCTCAACCTCGAAGAAGAAGGCAACGGCGAATTGTTCGATCGCTTGGATTGGAGTGTACAAGAAGATCCAACGTTGGAGGGAGCACTGGAGGAGGATGTACGAGCGTAAGCAACTGAAATCGTTTCGCAACATTGCTGGCAGACTGGATCTAGGGAGCTGATCATGTGCACCTTTTAGCCGATTTCTTGAATGGACTACAGCCCACGCCTCAGAAGATGATTGGATGGGCACACCACGATTCCACGCCTGCGTTATGGTTGAGAAAATTCATGTTGATGGTGTGCTGGAGGGGCCGCCTGCTGAAGAATTTGACTCGTGGGGCGAGGGTTTTCTGATGCTGGTGTCTAAGAACGAAGATGAGGACATGACGTTTGTAGGGGCGTCGCTGTTGGTTCCGCGTATTTACACTTTGTTGGAGAACGATGGATGGGACAGCTTTGCTGTAGATCCAGATGAAGGGGAAACAGCTGAATGCCTAACGATGCCGTAGGAAGCATACGAACTTATGAGTTTGACTATCCGTTACTGAAGCTGTCGGTGCATATGGGACTCCTAATTATGATTACGAAAGGATAACTTTCAAAGATTGGGACCGCGCAAGTACAGAACCAAAAACACCATACCGATTAGATGATACTACGCCAGCAAGGCGTCAAGGGGAATCTCATACTCATGCAGACACAGCGAAAACGCAATGCAGACCCGAACAATCCTAAACCAGCATTTATGACCGACCCTGTCCTACCGATACCTCATTACCTACCCCCAACCCTATCCGAACAGAGCCAAAGCTCCGCAAGCCCAGTCAGGAGCCACTAACGCCATAAAATGCACATTAAACGATGCAGAAAGAGCCTTGGTCGTAACCAGAAGGAAGCAAACAAATCGCGTATACAGAAAGTGATGTGATGTTGAAAACGCATCACTGTGGCGGTCTCCCAATGCCTTGTTTAGCCTGACAAACTTGTTAGTAACAGTTCTGAATCGCTGAGGAGCAGCGTCTATCTCACCTTCATCATCTCAATCCTCTGCTTCAAATTCTGCGTCACCTCCGCAGCACGCTTCCAGCTCTCCGCACCAGCAGCTCCTCCACCTCCTATGCGACTAGTGGGTGCATCCGCAGGACTAATGCGACCTCCGCCGCGCGAAGATAGCGATGACTTTCCTGACCGTACGTCTGATTCTGCACGGATGGGACTCAGCTTATCGCTCAGACCACTGCCAGGACGGTCAGAATTTTCCTTACCGTCGCCTGGACTTGCTGGCCCGTTCGCAAAGCGATCTCTCCTGCCGTAAAGACCTTGGCTACCGTATCCAGAGTCGCCGAATCGACCGACACCGACACCGCCACCGTTGGTGTCGGTGTATATTTGATCGGAGAGGTCTCTCGGAGGTGGTGATGTTGCGCGTACTTGTCTACTAAGCTCACGCTTCAGGCGGTCGATTTCTCGGAGTTGGTTCTGTGCAGTTTGCTGCTCGGTGTCTAGGTCCGCACGGGCGCGGACAAGCTGCGTTTCTTTTGCTTTGATGGAAAGTACGTCTCGGGTGTGGTCTTCGATCAGCTGAGCGTTCTGATTTTGCAATTCGTGGACCTGAGAAGTGAGCTTCGTCCTATCACTGCGTAGATCTTCATTCTGCCGCCTGAGCCTCTCAACCTCTGCTCGAAGTTCGTCAAGCTCGGCACGTTCTACGAGACTGACACCAGCTGGAGCTGGAGCAGCTACAGGAGCAGGCTCTGCCTGTGGTTTTCCTAATGGTCGACCAGCTAGTCCTCGTCCGGCGCCGAGACCAAACTTAGGCTGCGCAGGTGGTGGTGCTTCTTCTTCCGGAGGTGGCGATGCCACTTTCCGTGGAGAAGCTGCAGCGGCAGCACCAGGCTTCTTCAATCCACCCAGACGTGAAGGGGCTGCAAGTCCAGACTTAGGCGCTCCAAGCTTTGAAGCACCAGGTCGGGAGGTGGGCTTAGGTGCCAGGGGTGCTGTTGGCTCCTCGGCAGGTGGTGGAGGGGCGGCAGCAGCCGCTGGTGCAGGTTTCTTGACACCGCCTGGTCGCTTTCCTAGAGGCTTTTTACCAGCGGGGGCTGCAGCAGGCTTCGGAGGGGGCGCTGCTTTCGGCTTGTATTTCGCTTTAACTTCGGCTGCATCGTGAAACTCCTTGATCTTAGCCTTTCGTATGTCGTCAAGGCCATCGAGATGAGCATTCATCATGCGATCGCCCATGATCTTCCACAAAGTACCGAAAACCTCGGCTCCAGCATCTCTTTGAACAGCTTGCGATTCAGTCAGTAGTTTTGTTGCTGCTTCTGCAATGGTCTTGACCTCGGCTTGTGAAGGGGCCTCCCTAATGCTCTTCAGGCATCGTACCAGGAATCGTGTCGACTCGAGCTTGACCTGAGGGTTCTTGTGCTTCAGAAATTCCACAACTTCCTCCAGACATTCCGACAAGGAAGAAGAGGCGAACACTGCATCCAAGGCGTTTCCAAGGGCATCGGCAACAGTTTGTTTCTTCTCTTTTAAACGCTCCATCATTGGGTTCATGATTGTAGATCGATATTTGGCAAAACCCCTCTTCAAGCCCTTAGCTAAAAGTTCAGCGCAGTTGGCGGCTGTGATCACGACCATGATGTTGGCATCTTTCATAGATTTCGCGAATGTGCGGACGAGCTCGTCAAATGGTCCGTCAGCAATCCTAGGAACGTCAAGAACTTTGTGCAAGTCATCGAGAGCCTCTTTCCTATCTTTCCATTTGGATGAAGCCATTCGTTCACTGTAGTCCGCTGGGATCTTTGCGATGACGTTGACAGCCTCATACTCTGGTTCCAAATCAATGGCTGCTTCTTCCTCTTCCTCGACTTCCTCCTCGCCACCACCCGGCGCGGCTGCCGCTGCTTCCTTCGCGGCTTGTTGTGAACGCAGTAGTCGCTCCTGCTTTGGCGGCGGCTCATCTTTCACTTTCTCGAACAATTTGTCTAGATCTTGTTGCTGTACAGGCTTCAGATCACCCCAGAACAGGGGCTTCATAGCATCTTTTAGCCATCGGTAGAATTCGACAGTCAGCTCTTGCGCCTTAGCTCGGACGTTCTTGTCTGCATGTCCGTAGATCTTAGGGAGTAACTTCAGGACTGGCTTCGGCTCGACAGTTTTGCAGCCGTATGCGTGGTATATCTGTGTGAGGGCGTCTAGCGTTGCCACAATGGTTTTCGGCACCTTGTGGGATAGTATAGGAAGCAATTCTTCGATGACCGGGTCCGGCTTGTCCGTTTCAATGTACAGCATCAGCGCTTCGAGCGCATTTTGTTTCGCGGCGGGTCTTGTCGAGGGTAGCCCCTTTTCAGCGATTGTCGCAACGGTGATTTGCCGTGTCCTGCGACAATGTGTTAATGCATGGCAAGCCGGATCGCGCAACAGAACGTTTACCTCTGACAACCGGCAGCGCCTGATATTTGGAGGAAGGAGCATAGCGCTTTGAGACCTTCCTGTTGTGCGGCCACGTTTGAGTCGCCAACTACTCCCTTCCAAATGCTTGCATCTTGTATGAACTGACGAACGACAGGGTCTGATTCGCTGGCGGCGAGGTCGAACTCTTTAGTCGCGGCTTCGTAGCCTTCTTTTCTGACTTTCCAGTTCTTATGTACGAAGCGATCGGGAAGCGGAAGCTTGCTGAAATCCTCCTCGGCCTCTGCCATGGCGATGCGTGGATGGTCTCAAGGTGGGGTGTTTGTGCGCTGTCAGGCGGACGAATCAGTTGTGTGGCCCGAGCAAGATGAGGTTTGTTTGTCTGAGGAGTGCAAGACACGATCGCGAGCAACGTGAGGCTCTACGCGATGCCGTGCGATTGCGCAGCCTAGATAGACTTGGAGTAGCGCGTGTAGCGTGTCTGGGAAAAACAAGACCGCGGGGAAAAGGGCAGGCGCAACGGTGGCTTACTGTATAGTGGGGCTGGTTGCACTTGATAAACAATGGCGGTGCGCGTTAGATGCGGTATTGAACGCGGCTAAAATAGCGAGCTCGTGGTGGTGAGGTCTGTAGTGTGTAGTGCGAGTGTAGTGGCTGGTGAAGCAAAAGTTCGTTGTCCCAATGTTGGGCTGCGGCGTCGCCCAGCAACCGAATAGGTGCGCATCATCGCCCACCACCGCCTAAGACACCACATCCATGCTCCACGGTTATCAAAAGCTCCACACACCCGTCGCGCCACCATAAGGGCAACCTACTTACTGTTACACCAGTTACGCCTTCCGCTCGCTTCGAAGCCCGCCGCCTGCGCTCCACCGTCGCTGCATGCTCTCACCGCACTTCTCCCCCGCCAAGACTTCATAAAGCTCCAAAACACCACAGATAACGCTCTCGTCGTCGGGCCCGCCTTTATAGTGTATGGTCGCCGTTAGCGGCGATCCGCCCTGAGCGCCCGATTGCGTCCGCCATGAGTGCGATATTGACAGATCGGCAAGCCGAGGAACTGTGAGTGCACAGCCAACTGAGATTGCGGGCATGTCACTCACATGATGCGCGCAGGAACAAGGCCATAGTGGCATACTTGGGCGTGATAGGCGCCTCCAAAACAGCGGAAGCGTTTCGGGCGGAGGCGAACATATCAGCTAGCTTCGACGATGCCACCCGGAAGAAGTACGAGGGGCTGCTGGAGAAGAAATGGACCAGCGTAGTGCGGCTGCAGAAGAAGGTCGGTAGCCCTTTTCACTAAACACAGGATCCATTGCTGAAACAAATAGGTGCTGGAGCTTGAACAGCGAAATACCAGCCTCCAGGGCGAACTAGACTCCACAACGCCCACCTCGCTCCTCCGCAAGAACCAAGATCCAACGAGCTGGCTACCTCGGGCGCCGGCGCGCCATACTCTTCAGTCACATCGCTCGCCGATAACCTGTGTTGCCTTCCACCCTATCTTCTCTTCTCTCGCTTCTGGCTCGGAGGACACCACTATCAAGATATGGGACTGGGAAATGGGCGAGCTCGAACGGACGGTAAAGGGACATACGAAAGGCGTGCTAGATGTAGATTTCGGCGGGCCGAGGGGAGGAACGCTGCTTGCGTCTTGCTCCAGCGACCTGACCATAAAACTCTGGGATCCGTCCGACGAATACAAGAACATTCGCACACTTCCGGGACACGATCACTCTGTTTCCGCCATCCGATTCATTCCTAGCGGGGCCGCAGGCTCACCTTCGTCCGGCAACCTGCTCGTTTCGGCATCACGAGACAAGACCTTAAGAATATGGGATGTCACAACAGGATACTGTGTCAAGACCATACGAGGGCACGCAGACTGGGTGCGAGATGTCGCTCCAAGTTTCGATGGGCGATGGCTACTCTCCGCGGGTACTGATCAAACCGCGCGTCTGTGGGATGCCAGCTCTGGCGAAGCGAAATGCACATTTCTGGGCCACGAACACGTTATCGAATGCGTTGCGATAGCACCACCGGTCTCGTACGCGAATCTCACCTCGCTCGCAGGTATAAAGAAGCCACCGCCAATCAGCAGCTCCGCCGAATTCGTTGCCACTGGCTCACGAGACAAGACGATAAAAATCTGGGACGGGCGAGGAACACTCATCAAGACGCTTGCCGGTCACGATAATTGGGTTCGCGGACTTGTCTTTCACCCCGGTGGGCAATATCTGCTTTCCGTGAGCGACGACAAGACGATACGCTGCTGGGACCTCAAGCAAGAAGGTCGTTGCGTGAAGACGGTTTCGGACGCACATTCGCACTTTGTCAGCTGCATCCGATGGGCGCCAAACGTCGTCAAGGACGTACCCACAAATGGAGACGCAGCGAACGGAGCCGCAGTGAACGGGATAAACAAGAAGAAAGAGGAAGAAGCTGCTAAAGCCGGGATAAGATGCGTTATAGCGACCGGGAGCGTGGATCTCAATGTTCGAATATTCGCTTCCTGATTTGGGGTCGGCATACAGTCACCCGCCGCGCCGTCCCCTCGATGAGCTTTGTACTTGCGGTACGTCATCTGGTCAGACACTCGATTCTTTGATGCATACTTCTTCACTTGCAACGAAGATATTTTTTTGAACTCTTGGAGACCCCCTAATCTTCTCTTGGTGGACATCTCCGGCCTTTTTCCACGTTGATGACTCTTCACGGATTCATGTATGCATACCCAGTTCGCATTGATTTGCGGCGTCTTCCGTGGAAATGGCGAGCATAGCAGGGCGTTAAAGGGTGGTGGACGGATGATTTATGGGCTTGGCGCATGGAGGATGCTGTGGGTAGAGAGATATCAACGGCTTGATAGATGCAGTCGTTAAATATTCACTTCAGACCAAGTTCATGTTTCTGTGATAAGTAATTGCATCACAGCGCACTGCAGGCAGGCGCGTACTACATAATCCGCACTAAACTGTTCTAAGCTAGTCTCATGAACCCCGGCCTTTGAAGTTGCGCAGCGCGTCACTCGACGTAGCCACTTGCTCTCGTCCACCATGTCAGAAGCCGCCGCGCAGTACAAGAAGAAGGATGGCAAGATTACCATATCAGCAGACAGTCGCACCGTGTCTTGGAAGGCAAACGGTGGAGACCTGGCCGTGGATGTAGAGATTGCAGCCATCACGAGTACGTCGTTACGCATCAAAGAATGGTGTGAGCTGTGCCGTTAACAACCTGCTGTCTAGATCTCCAGCAGACACCAGCGACATCCGCAAAAGCCTCCATAAAGATTGTCGTCCAGCAGCCCGACCAGACGGATAACCATACCTTCACCTTCACATCCGCCGCCGCTCGCGACAACCAACAATCGATAACTGCAGTCTTGCGCAAATGTATAGAAGACGCCAAGGCCAAGGCGGCTGCTCCCATCGCGGCACCGGCTGCTGCGACGCCTACGCCTGTACCGGACAATGGCGGTGCTTCAGCTGCTATGACAATTGCGCAAACGTTAGTAGGCACGCCCAAAGAGGAGGATTCATATGATAATGCGAAGTTATTGGGGGACATTGCGTTACAGCGATCACTCCTGAACTCGAACCCTGCGCTCCGTCATCGTTTCGACCAGGCCCTTCGCGATAAACCCGATACCATATCTATCATACAGTTCTCTAATCAGTTTTGGGCCACAAGGGTGCATTTGTTAAGATCCCATGCCGTTGAGAATACCCAGGGTGCAGGCACATACAACGTCTTGTCCGTAGTGAAGCCCTATCTGGACAAGGAGGGCAAAGTAAAGCTAGACGTGAGCAAAGAACAGATTGTGCTCATTTTCGCCCAACACCCGCTGGTCAAGAAGGTCTACAATGAGAATGTGCCACCATTGTCGGAAGGCGACTTCTGGTCACGGTTCTTCCACAGCCGGCTCCTAAAGAAGTTACGAGGGGAGCGTATCAAAGAAAACATTGATACTGTAGACCCGAAACTGGACAAATATCTCAATTTCAATGAGTCCGCCAACGATGCTCCCCAGCTGCTCGTTCCTTCAGTCCCCCGTTTCCTTGACGTCGAAGGAAATGAACAAAATCATAGCCAACGTCTTGGCAATCGACCGGATCTGAGTATGCGGCCAGCCACAAACGAGAAGGTGCCGATCCTTCGGGTACTGAATCGAATGAGTGAAAAGATGATGGCTGAAGTGCCACCTTCCGATGGTGCTGGTCGTCACGGGCCCGCGGGAATGGATGAAGAGACGTACAACCAACTGCAGCTTCGCGATCTACAGCGCGCAGCCGATGATAATCGCATTGTACTCAAACTTCAGGATCAGAGTCGGTTCTTCTCTGCCGGACAAGGTGTGCACACATCAAGTAGTGCCGCAACATACGCGAAACGCACCCCCGCTCAAGCTTTATCTGTCGTGCAACAAGAGATTCGGAGTATAGGTGCAAGCCAGGCACAGAACGGTGGCATAAACCTACAATTCCTTGCCGGCGTGGAAGACGAGAGCAGCAGTGATGATGAGCCGGACGTCAAAAAGAAGCCCAAGGTTGGGAGTAGATCCTCGCGGGCGGATGCCACTTCCCAGATCGTCAAAGCAATACGGCAACGCCAGCGACACGGAGACGATTATCTCTCTTCCCAAGCTGCCGTGTCTAGCGAACAGGCACGCCAACTCGGTATCTCCGAGTCAGTCCTCGACAACCTAGCCATGGCGCACAACACCACTGTTGAGTTCCTGCACTACTTCTGGGCAGTGTACTACTCGGGCGACGCGGAGCGCGCCAACGAAGTAGCTAAGCTCATCGAGACTCTAGACAAGTCACTCGACAGGATCAAAGCCGTCGCTGACACCGCCGAGGCCGATCGAGCAGCGCAGATCCAGCGGAGACAACGGGACAACGACGAATATACACAACGCACAGGCCGAAAGCGCAAATTCGATCCCAACAGCATTAAAGGTGGATCCAAAGCAGTGCACGGACTGGTGGAACCGCTTGTACGGGCTATCAATGCCGCAAGACAGCAATATCAGACGGTGCTGCAGGAACAGCTAGCCCAGACTCAGAGGCTAAGTGCGTCGTGATGTGCACCAAGCAGCCTCTCAATACTTCAGTTCGGTTGCTTCACTCTACTCGCGACCTTAGTTGGAGTGCGGAGAAGACTCCGGGAGCGTTATTGGGCTAGAACATCTAATCGGTGGGGCGTCCAGTTGGCCATAGCTGAGGAGGAGTCGAGCGTTGTGTCCTGCCCGGGGAGAACATTCTATATTTGCATAGCGAAGGCGTCCGGTTGGCTCTCCTCTTGTAGATACCACATACCACACTGTCATCAATTCTATTTACCCAAAACTTACTGACTCGAGCATCTCGGGAGTGGCTTGGAATTTCCCCCATATTTGGGAAGTGTACAGTATGGAATAAATGGACCCCCCTGCCACAACGTCGGACAGGGTCCGACAAGGTCCCAAGCGAACGCTAGCCTTACACTGTAAGCTGCGTCGACGTCACCGGAAAGGTACCTTGATTAGTACTGCTGACCCTACATAATTGATGTTATTCGTCGGAGGCGGCTCCCGACCCGCGGGCTAGATCCTATATTATGTAGGCTCTGCGGTTCCATGCAGCCGATGATGGGATTCTGCGAAGCGCATGGAAGCACTGGGTCAATGGTGGGCTCAGTGGGGAGGGTGGGCGTCGTTTCGATACGTTTTCGTTTGATTCCCCGAGATGGGGTCATGCGGGTACGGATACTGGGAAGAGAACTTGACTGATGTGGCCCTTGCCGGCTGAGCCGATCTTGGGGGTTTGCGAAGCCATTGGAGGTGTTGGGTTGGATCAGCGGATGTTGCATGGCGTGCTCGTAACTCGCATCGAGGGCCAGCGGCGTCACGATGCATTTGCTCGTTTTCGTTACTCGCGCATAGACGGGGCTAGATGGAGCTGACGTTGACGGGTAGCATCTACTTGGTGTAGTCCCTGCAGTTCCCTGCAGCGGGATGCCGGGAATTTAGAAGCGCATAGGAGGTCATGTTGGGTTAGACTAGTGCTGAGGGCGAGCGAGCTTCGTTGTTTCGATTCATGTTCCCTTTCGTTAGACGGATAAAGTTTGAAGTATGTTCATCGCTGAGGATGTGGCCGCATCGCGTTACGTAAGGTTCACGTATGAACAGTCCGTTAACTTGTGACAGATAAGTACACAGTTCCTATACCACTCAGCATCAAGTAGCGGCCTGTAGGGATAGTACCTACAAGCTAGCACACGAGTTACAGCTTCTGAGTAGTATTTTAGCTTAGAGTATCGCCCGAACTCCTCCACAACCTGCTGAAAAACTGGCTTACTCTATACATTTAATACCATAGTTAGAGCATAATCGAGCTTCGGTACCGTACTTTTCAGCTACAAATTAGCTGTATTGAAGGTACCAAAGTGAGCGAGTCATTCGGTCGGAAACGCGTGTCATTAGTCCTTAATTGGCTAGAATCCAGCGATGAAGGGCGGACTCTTGATTGACCTAGCCCCTGCGGCCTAGGATATTGCGTAGGTGTTTAGGGAGTGTGAACTGCGTTAGTGCTCAGGTATTGACGGACAGGCGGCTCCTTGGCACCAAGCCGACGTCTTTTATGCATTTGTTCGGCCCCGTCATACGGTATCCGGTCATGATCTGCCTACGGCTGCAGTACGGCACATGGCTGGGGTAGCTGGTGGCTGGGGTGATGGGCGTTGTGTTCGAGTGGTACGGGACGGAGAAGCGCACTGCTCCCAGAAATCCCCTCCAATGGGTGCCTGAAAGAACATAGAGGTTGCATTGGGGGGAAGCCCTGGGGACGGATTGAGGAAGAATATGTTCTGGCTTATTGTAATGATCGAATCATAATCCCGCGTGAAACGGGAATGGGCGTACGCGGGCCCAAGTTTCCTGTATCTCGACTCGACTTTCCCTGGTCAGGGAATGGAGCATCTAGGCCAGGTGGAACGAGCGCATGTCCTATGAGCGGACGTCGGATAATGATGCTGCTAGACTATATAAGTTCTCCACTTCATTGCATACATGTCGACTCAGGTCGCCAGGATTAGTTGTGGTGAATGGACGATCTAACATATGTAGCACGCCGACCTGTCCGGGCGTACGGATATAAGTGTCATTGTATGCTCGGTCGGTCACCTCTCCTCGCTTCAGCTTTATGTTCCGGTTCTTTCTTTGCTACCTTTATTGTCGTTGCGACGAACTAAGGTTACGGTTGCTCCCGCAACTACTGTGATCGGCCGGCCCCACTTGCCTCGGCGCCCCTGTCCATGGAACCGGACCTCACTTCATCTCATCTCATCGCAAGCTCATCTATCAGAAATTCAAAGAGGATCTCAAGTACCTCACTTACACCAAATGGCCATTCATTGTCGCTATGAAAGGTTGGCCTTGAGCATTGGCTGCACAGTCGCATGTCCTCGCAAGTAACGATCACAGAACGTCCCTCTCAGAACCAGACAATGCCACAGGAGAATCTTTCTTAGATATATTGGGTATAGAGCTCAGCCAACGGTTGTGTCGCAATCAAAGAAATATATGAAGGCGGCGGAAGTTTTCATCTAAGCGGACGACCTTCTACCGAACCAGGTATGTTTTTCTTTTTCTTTTCCTTCCAAAGTTCAACGGACCGAAAGGTATTGATTACAGGATGTCTTCTATAGACTGTGGCAGCCGAAGTATTCGATCAGAGGAAAGAGACTGCTACCGAAATCGTTCCGAGGAAGCGGGGGACTTGTAGGGGTGAAGCCTTCCGTCGTCTACATGCGCTTCTATCCGTACTGTTTGGTTTACATCTACATATGACGATCTCGCCGGAAGTCGGGGTGTATCCAAGTCGTCGGATATTCGAGCATCCAGTGAAGCAGCTTGCGTTAGGCACCCATCTCTGCGGTATCATTGGAGCACTGTACCCCAGTACTGGCCGTTCGAGGCACCTGGGAAAGAGTTAGCGGTACTTTGTTCCCGATAGGTTTCTCTAATAGCGACTCGCCTCCCTGACCTGGACCACCACCGGCGGTTGCATGACCACCGGTCGAATTCTGTGGAGCAGCTTGATTGTTTCGATTATCTCGGAAGCGAAAGCTATGCCACAGGAACCACTCTGCTACCCAATTCTCGTCCTCAGCGGTCCTCCAGCGACCCATCTGGTAATACGGTCTCGTATAGGTGCTGGCGGTTCTGACAATGTTCATCACCTCCCTATGTCTCGCGGTCTCCTGGAGGTCGTCCCACTTGTAAGGAGCCCGGACATTCTTTTGCCGAGAATAGTTGGTCAAGCTATTGTAGTCATGGCTCAGCCTGTCTCTTCCGACTGACGCTTCGTTCTACATGAAGCAGTTGTGAGTATCATTCAATTTCGGAAATGAGACTGTACTGACATATAATAATGTATAGATCTGCTCGCCTTGGGCACCGGTCAACCCGAGTCGCTGCATCAGTGCTGTTTTAGGATTACTCTTCGCAAACGGAGTCTTAGTCATCTTCACTGCGGGGATATCTGCAGGGTCGGAATTCAATATTCGTTGCGAGAACGCACAAAACTTTCAGTGCATGAGCGATTTCCTGCCGGCCGTTCCTTTTATAGCTTCTCTCCAGACTGCCCAGAGCTGAAGAAGCATCCACCCGAGGTCAATCTTTCTTTCGTCGAATGCTACCTGCATCTTGCGCAATCGTTATTCGCACATTGGACAACCATTCGGCGCAAGTCCTCCGCGGAAGGCCACAGCCGGGACGGACAAAATGAAGCACAGCTGGTCCCGAGAATATTAACATACCTAGGCCGGTCCGGCGCCGCTATCTCGCATTGAGATGCCCTTCAAGAGGCCAGCACGGGGCGAAACCTCCACAATGTGGTCCGGAGAACCGTCTCTCAGTACTGTCGATCACCCATGTCGTGTTAGGGGTACGCCATGCGTGCTCATGCTCGGCAGTTGCGGTTAAGGCGCACAATTCGGTCGGTTCCATTCGATTAAGCAGCGGCTCCTGATCCTCAGCAGCTGCGAGCAACTACTTCTCTGGTCGATTGGTCCCACGCCAAATATTGGAGCACCAATAGCCAGACTGTATCCCAATGATCTGTTCCAAAAGCACATGCAGCTTGGGAGTGGTCTGACAGGCCGTGTGGCGGATATTGGCGCCGCTACTATGTTCTCAGAAACATTAGCAAACACAGCACACTACGAAGTTGCTAGGGCGGGATCCACAGGGCCCAATCGTACGGGAAGATCAACAACAATGCAGCTCCTGTCTCCTATGTTCTCATTCGTTCCTGGAAAAATGGCGCTACGTTTGATCATGAGGCGTAAATTATTGCCATCTAAATCTGTCCCCTCTGCGAGCTGCTTCGCTCAAGGAGGGCAAACATCACCTGATTTTCCGATCAACAGGCCGAGTATTGCATCGCCTGAGCATCGGCCTATCACTTACAGTCAGTCATAGGGTTGTATCCAGAAGGGAGTACGAGGCTTGCGAGCATGTCTATGTTCTAGGGTCTGAACTGACTGGCGCACAACCAATTGCAAAGCTTTGTCTATGATCCTCCTCCAAGGCAAATTGCTAAATTCAGCTATCCTCGGGCATCGGGCCTCCACCCCAGTAAGTTAGAGTGGCCAGGATTCGAAGATGTCGGGGCCAGTGTTGTCGCCGTGAATGTGTGGCAGCCATGACACCACGTCGTCAAGAGAGCGGAAGTCGATCATTTCCAACACAAATCACTATCCGGTGACTCAAAGCATCGGTTGTGCACAGGCCAACATACGGCACTCGCATGTGGTCCTGGACTTATACTGAAATTACTAAAGCGAGGGCCCAAGGTGCTGGTTCCAGTGGTTGCGGTCTGCACATGCTTGCGGCACGATGACGGGGCGAAGCAACTTTTCCCGCAAGCGCCTTGAATTTCCTGGTATGCTGTTCCTAGTACGGAGAACATGAAATCCTTGAGTGACCTTCAAAGTGAATCGACTGTTCCTTGCGTAGTACTAATCCACGGGCCGTCCTTGTTCCTGTCAGATGGCATCTTGTACGGCCCTTCCAGTCTCCAAATCTTCTCGGGGATCACCATCTATTGTCCGTGCATCAGCGGAAAACTACATTATACATAGCCTATACATCTCGCATATTGCGAGGCGCGGTAAAGAGTTAGCACGACTTTTACACCATAACGGGATTGATATGCGTCGCTAGAGTACGAGGCTGCTCTGGATGGGCTTAGCTCCATCGGCGTCATAGCGAATCGAAAAAGCAAGCAGTACAGGGCAAGCTACGCTTCTCCGGACGAGGGTTCCTGGTGCCACGCATACATCTCAGTAGTTCATCGATCAGACTACCGGGGTTGTGGGCAGCAGCCGTTGCCGGTATTGATCTGCGCCTTGGGGCCTAGCTGACGACCTGCAGGAGCCGACTGCCTGGGCAACAGAAGCGACTGACAGGATGCTGATGTTTCCCTGATTACTTTTTCCCACGACAGTCTCCACTGGAAGAATTCCTCCCATTGGTGGGTAGGTCTCGACGCCGCTTATCCATTGCTATTCGCTGAAAGGCAATTGCGCGGTCCTCGCAGATACTGCGACAGATGTGCCAATGTAGCCATCGTTCGTATTGTCAAGGTCCCTTGTGCTTGGCTATTGGGAATGTGGAGGCGGTGAGAGCGAGCTTTGGTTGCTCGTTCCTACCTTTCCTACATCGACGCGCTGCTTCTCTGAGCGCCAACTGCGCAAGCGGTAGCCGTGTCAGCCAGTAGGCACCTTCTCCAACCAGCTCGGATATTGCGGCTTCAGTTCGACCAGTTCGACAAGGCCTAGTGTCTTTCAACTACATCATAACCAGCGCCATACTCCCGTTGACCTGCGGCATCGGCACTAACAGAACGATGTCGTCCACCCCCAGGGCCCAGTGGTATCGACCTCCTAATTGCACCAATAGCCAGCGGCAGGCTCGTGTCTTTGGTCAGGCGCAGGACCTAATCGACCCAGTGGACTCCACTTTGGCACATCAGACGGTCAGCCACTCCCCCCATGGCGGTGTGCCGTGCGAGGATCCCTTCACCTACTACAAGGCTTTTCTCGTTACGGACTCGCCGTCTACATCGATCTCGGATGGTGGAGATCAGCATAACAATGGTGGCACAAGGAGCGAGTTTCGATCCGATGACCAACCAACACATGGGCAAGCGGAACAGCAACAGAACAAGTCACGCCCCGTCCCTTCCAGTGTAGCAGTCCGGTTTGCAAAACGATCCAACGGAGTGCCGCTTGCCACTATTATTGAGCGAGGTTCAGTGTCAACCCTCAACTCACACTGTTCTCTACTTAGTGTTGGCCGTATCCCATCGATTCGTACCGTTGAGAATGCTTCACCAGGACGCGCCTCAGAGAGGCCACTGCGAAGTTCAGAACACAATGCGCTCAATAGAATTCAAGAAGAAGATCTAGATGAACACACATCCTGTGATGGTACAGCCTTTGACACACCGCCGGGAAAGAAGGGCATGTCAACATCAGGTCATGCAAAAGCCACGGCAGCTGTCTCGGTCTGTCCGCATGGTCAAGAATCTCTTGTTCCCCGCCTACCTGAAATTGTCCTAGATACCGAGACTAAGGGGTTGAAAGGTTTGTTTCGCGGAGTCTTGACCACTTTACGCAGCAGCACACAAAGCAGAGCTCGTTCCTTCTCAAGCGCGAGGTCACCTATGTTACCCACGCCAGACAGATGTCTTGATGTCAGCCAATCCGCGCACACAGATCAAGAGACGGTCGTAAGAAATGACTCCCAAAGGCCGCTGTACTTCAGTTCTTCAGCTTCCACAACGCAATCGTGGTCGACGCCATTTTCACCACACCACGTTTCAGAGAAACATGCCACAAACGGTTCCAGCCCTAAACTGAAAACCAAGCCTTCAGCTGATGTCTCTGCATCCATATCGTACGTTTCGCCTTCGACGTCTGAGCCAGAAACGGCGCCAACTCTGCCTCGACTTCCACCTATACCTGACCTATCGCTCCCTAGAAAAGGCAAGGAAGTGGTGCCATCAGTGTGTTCTGTATCCCCGCAACCACGCGATGCGGCTCTAGACCACGTTCGCCATGCAGCCACAACGGTTCTCAGTCGTAGCAGAGACGAGCTCGCTACTCGCTACACACCAGACGGCGCTTTCGCGCATCGCAATGGTCAGTGGTCGCTCGATGATTTTGCGCGCAATACCAGCCTCAACGCCAGCTTCTGTAGCACCATGTCTACATCGTATTCTGGAACGGTTTTGGGAATTGACTCCGACCTTCAGCATGACTTTTCGCATGCGACACTGCGCTCCGTCACTCCAGTGTGGTTCGGTTCGAAGGAAAGTGTTACTAAAACTCATGAACCAACAAAGCGCGAATTGCAGCTTGGGGAGGCCAAGCCACTTTGCCCTCGTTCCATAACCTCTTCTGCACTAACATCTCTTCTACCGATTGCAGCTGCAGAAGGAATCGTGCAGCAGAACCTTACTACGCCGCAATTGACGTTCTATTCACCTTCGGGAAACTTGATCCAGGCACAGAACACACCACTAACACCTACTCCTGCATCAAGCTTGCGCTCGCGTCAGGACTCGTACTTTCCAGGTACACCAGCAACGTCAACATCGTATTACAATAGTGATACTTTGCCTTCTGCACACGCGGCATTGTCTGCCGCTGTTACAATTCCCCCAACGCGTCCAGCGCTCGTTCCATTGACCACAACACCTCAGCTAACTGCTCCACTCCCGGAGCATCTACGCCATCATAATCATCATAGGGTGGAGAAGTCGCATATTGGCTCGATGTGCGACTCTGGATTAATGTCACCTTCTCAAGTAGTCTTGATCTCAGATTCGCAAGTGCGCGGTTGCGGCGGAATGATTCGACCAGCCAGTCTCGAGCCGCACAGCGGTGTCCCACAGTCTCCACAGAAACATTCAAGGATCGGGCAATCAATGTCTTGTCTTCGCATCGGTGAAGCGAACAGATCACCACTTTCGTCTTTGTCTTTGTTAGCGTCGAAATCTTCGTGTAAGCCAAAAAGAAGTGCTACATCAATCCAAAAGCCTCGAAAGAAAGGCAAAACATTGAAGAAGCGACGACCGCATCATGCTGGCACGGTACCTGAGTACAGCGCCATCGGGCCTGCGGCTGGACATACCCTTCGCGTCTGTTTCTGCCAACCGTACGATGGAGTGGGCAGGCAAACCAGTGAGATGGATTGCGGCGGTGCAGTCACGACCCAATTGGGTGAGAACCGAATCAGAGCGTGTACATCCCCAACAGACCAACCCGAGTCATCAACTCCTAATGCCAGGATCGCGGTTAACGGCAAAATCAGGGACAAGGGGAGAGCGAGGAGGGACAGTGTCGTCAGTGTTGGGGCTGTGGGAGGTTAACGAAACGGTGGATCTACCATCAGGCAGGACTTGGGATGCATTGATTTCTGTGAATTGTCAGGCGAGAGAGATTAGGAGATTAGGTGTGTTACTGAGGATCTACATACTTGCATGGTGGCGTGGGCCAGACTCTACCCTGAAATGGTGGGCGGAAGAATCATTACCCCCGTCGTTTCCAGTGCAATGGTAGCCTGGGGCTTAGCGTATCGTGGGCTTGATTGGATGGTGTTTGGAGGCTTGAGTAAGAGGGAGATCGACAAAGGTACAGGAGGGTGTTTTAAGTGATTGACATTCTTGCAGCTGTATTTGTAAGAGCCGCGTGTGCTCTAGCCAGAGCATCGCTCGATCAAGTAGACGTCTATCTCAGTCTCAATATCATGCAGAGCCTTAGAAGATGTGCCCATTAGTATATTTGAATAATTGAGTAGTCCATCACAAGGTTACCATAGCTCGCCGACGTCATGAACGAAAAGCCTCTCACCGCATACCCCACCACATACGCAACATTTATGGTATTTAACGCCGTTCTTGCGTCCTACCCATAGCCAGGGCCTGGCCAAAGGTCGATCACGGAGAGCCGCCCACCCCTTGCCATTTGCCCAGCCAAGCAGGGGCGCACATGTACTTCGAGCTTACTTCTGCATGTTCCAGATTATATTTGCATGCCAGCCCCCCCGTCGCACTTACATGAGCCTGGCGTTCTGCGGGCCCCACTCTAGGGCCCAGACATGAGAATGCCATATGTTCTTTTTCGGGCAGCTCGGTAGCTAAGCGGAACGCGCGGCAAAAGCAAACAACAGTGGACGGGGACCTGGCGGCGGGTAGGGATGCGGTGCGATCGGCTCAGTGGAGAACCATCCGATCTAGAGCACTGCGTGGTTGGACTAGGTGAGTGGACTGATGTACAGATGCGGCGTGTAGTGATGTCGATCGATCCTTTGTAGGATTTGTGTGCGGCGTAAGCATACGAGTGGATCCGGCGGTACGGGCGTTTAGGCATTCGCGCGTTGAAGCGGGACCTCCCCTGCCTTACAGGAGGAATGGGCCATACGAACCCAGGTTCATGCATACATATGTATATGTATACATGTGCAGAATGTACTGGGTTAATGTCCGGGTATGCGGAAAAGACGAGGTTCTACCTCGACTCGAGCTCCGCGAAGTAGGGTGCCACGTCTTGAGGGCGGCACAGCGGGAGCGGTCGGAGAAACGTGTTCTGGGATGGACATGTAGATCGATGTGCTGCACATGCAGGAGCGCCCGGAGTCGTGTCCAGAGGTAGATACAGGTGCCACGTCTTTGAGAACCGAGAAGCCGAAAGGTCGCTCGGAGCCATGGCCGTGTCGAATCATAGATAAGGATACAGTAGGATGCATGAATGCCCTATATGCACGTAGACGTAGATGTAGACCATCGCCGATGCGCGCGGATATGCACATGTGAGAGGACAATCACACATTGACACACACACTAACTCATCGCTTCGTACTCGAATTCGACTGCAGTTGCGGCAGAGCAGTATCCAATGGTCGCTTTGTTCCTACGCTTCCTTCGCTCCCCACACTTCCTTCCAGAATTGCCTGAATCCGTATTGCTTCTCTGACCTCTCGTCCCTCACCTTGACCTTCTGACCGACCAAGCTGTGCATGACACCTCCACCACCAGCAAGACTCTGACCAAAGCCTTCGGTCTTGCGTATAGGTTTGATAGCGCGCTCGCGAATGGCAGAGGCTAGCTGGGGAGCGACATCGGCGTAGCAGGCGTTAAGCTCGCGCGAGAGGTTGAAGTATGGCTTTTTGGCCAGGTCCGGCGCTTGGAGATTATACGAGCGGGTCTTGGAGTTCAGGTCCTCGATGGCGAGCTTATGATAAGCGTGCTCTATGGACTCCCATGTAGGGTCACGGAAGGGGTGAGTGGCCGGAGGTGTGGAAGGCGTAGGGGTGGGAACAGGCATGTCCACAGTCTGGGAGGTCTGCACCTCTTCAGTGATAGGTGTTGTCTGTGAGTCCGCATCGAGTGTGACCTTCTCAGCTACTATCTTTTCGAACAGAGCGGCATCTGGAGACCCTGGCGAAGGCAGTTTCAACTCGCCTGACAGAGAGATCTGCGAAACATGACCATCGTTGTCGACCGTACTGAGAACTTCCTTCTTTTTCTGGGGATTCGCGTTCAGCTCCGCTTTGGCGTAAGCTTCTGCTTTCTTTATTTGCTCCTGCAGTGTGCCTCCTTTACTCGCGATTATTCTAGCCGCATGTCTTTTCCACTCAGCGCGTAACCTACTGCGGAACTTGTTCGCTGTTGCGACCAACTCCTGCTGTTTCTCGATCCACGGCGGCACAATCTCTTGCTTCTGGATCATCTTGTTCAAGAAGTACTCCGTGGTGTCTATGAACGGACTCGAAGCATTGTGGTCGCGCTCCACCTGCTTTCCACGATTGGGCAGGTTCTTGAATTGGCCTCGCGCAATTGCATCTTCAATACGCTCGTTTGCAAGAGCGGCAAGTCCTTGGATAGTGCCTGGTACAACGGCGCGTGCGTGGGGCGAGAAACGATCTTTCAGCTCCTGAAAGCGCTTCTGCCGCTCTTGCTCATCGATTTCAGAGTCCTTCAAGCTTGAATATAGACCACTCCTATCCCGCGCATTCGCTAGCCTCACGCCCTGGCCTGCATTACTCTTTCGTCCCGTGTCTACGGTCCGCGGTAATTGTACCACCGTGCCAGTCTTCCCTGATCCCTTGAGCTTGAGCGGCTTGTGGGCGTCATTGAGCATGCGCAAGCTCGCATCGTGTATACTTTCGGTCCCAGACCATGGATCTGCGGTCGCGATGTCGCGCGTGTGTCGACCGGCGGTAGATGGAAGCTCTGCTTCGGCGAAGGCATTGCGGTGTTCGGCACGGAAACTTGCGGAAGATATGCGCTCCTCCAGCTGTCTTTTGAGGCCTTCGCTGAATCCAGCTTCGGAGACTGTCTTTTGTGCGCTGCGACCACCTGTTTCCAGAGCTTCGTCGCTCATGTCTCGTAGCCTTCGCGTCATGGCGCCTTCATCCTTGGCTTGTGAATCTGAAGCTTCTCCATTGTGATCAAGCGTCCCATTATCAATCGCTTGGTACTCTTCTCCATCCTCCTTCCGTTGCGCAGCTGATTCTGCATATCGTCGTACAGTTGCAGGAGCGATGCGGCGAATTGGGATCGAAGCTTGAGCGGCAAATCCCCAGCGCTTCGCCCGCACACAGCGAGCACATATATAAGGCGACAATGACGCGGTCGAGGGCATCTAGGACCGTACTTGTAACCAGCACTGGATTATAACAGAGGAAGTTTGGTGTAGTCCACAGCAGGGTGAGGTAGAAATTCCTCATGGACGTCATCACGGTGGCGGAGATATCGGGGAAGGATGCAGTGCCAAGCACGGAGACCTTTCGGAATCGTTCCGAACATTGAATGATACATCTTCCTTCCTCCTGCCTACATCGTGGACCTTCGCATTGATTATTCGAACTTAGTTATGTTTGGTTGCAATCATCCGGAATCCACACATCTGCCTCAGTCCCAATTCTGCCATGTCTGTCAAGCCCTACGTAGGACAGTGTAACCTGCCAGCCAGCCCAGTACACCGCCCACAACACCGTTCACATTCCATGTTTCACATCTCTCGAAAGCGAGGATATGTTTTCCCAAGACGGCATTTCAAGCAACGGGGGCCAAGCTTTCTGTCAATGTAGACAACACGTGCTGCATGCTACCTGGAAAATGCCGCATGCCTGATGTGGCGGTCAATAAGTAAGACAGTGGAAGGACCCGGAGCATGATCTCTGCGTGCAGTTACATGCATTATCGTGTACGACTTTGCCGTCGAGGTCTGGCTAAGACCCGGACTGAGACATCGGCATGGACCAAAGAAACCGAACCGAACGGGACGGCGGGTTAATAGCGTCAGGTAGGGCATGGAGTCTGTCGACCCTTCGTTCGGTGTATCTCAAAGTGTGATAAAACAAATTGGACGATCTCAATTGAAGCTGCCGCACGCAAGCCCATTTCCCTCATCCTACATTGATAGGTCTCTCATTGATATTGGGCTGAAGCTACAGCTTGGAGTGATTTTTCTTTCAGGTAATTTCGAGATTCATCGCCCACAAGAAGATCGTCGAAGAGTCACTTGACCTGTAGATGACAGTAGGCCAATCACCGTGATCGATTTCTAGCCGGGTCCGCCATGCCTTCTCATCTAGCAGACCATCAACACCAGCTACTAAACATCTCCTTCCAGTCCCTTAGCACATGCACTCATGTTCCATCAGAAAACATGCTAGATTATGGCTTGTTTTGACACGTGAACGTCCGCCGCAATGTGATTGGCGCAGAGCGCAAGGCTGACACAATGAATACGAGCAATGCGAGATGATTATGGAGGCTTAGAGGGCTTGACTGTCTAACGACTACAATATATACCTCTAAAAAGCAACGAACAAAGAAGATTTTCACTGCTGGTTGATTGTTGAAAGCCTGCTTTTGGCAGTTGGTACGAATCATCATGTTGTAGCTCGATGCGAGCCCACAAGTTGTCGTGGAGGAAACAAGGCTGGCAAAGGTAGGGCTGGTAAGATTCAGATGATTTATGCTTGATATAAATACAGAACTGATACTGATTCAGACAACGGTAAATGCCGAAATGCAAGAGGATCCCGAATTGCAAATTACTCGTTTACAAACTGGGGATGAAATATATGAAAGGAGGGAGCCTTGTACGACGTACCATATTTACCCTGTGAAAGACAAATGCCACAAACGCATCACCGCCGCTGTAGATATCAAAAGAGAAAGCCCTCTAAGTCGCGAAGGACGCACAGCGCGCAAGGAGAGAAAGGCTCGTAGAGCGAATGAGCAGCATGATGCCGGCACGGACGAAGCATATAAAATAGAGAAAGACCAAGACGACAAGGAACAGGACGCTTTCTACCTCCACTCACCGTACCTCTCCTTCGCCAGTCCCCCGCAAGTCTTATACATCGGCAGCACCAACCACACGCCCTTCACTCCCGCCGTTCTGATACATCCCAGCTTCCTCTGGAAGAGGTATAAACTGCAGTACGGCGAATCCCTCGCTAAGACAGGCGTTCTCGACCCTCGCGGCGTGGTATCCTGGACGCATAACGGAGGCTCCAAATCTGACCTCAAGCGCGTCCCCACAACTCTAAAGGGCTACAAAGTGCGCACGTGGCGGCTCTGGGGCGAGTGCGGAAAGAACTACGTTCATGAGGTGAACTCGAAGCGCAAGTGTAGAACAGAAGACTGGCCGGATCCGGACGTACTCGAGATTGGGCCTGGAGCGACGGAGAAGCCGGTGCGGCCAGTGCAAGCAGAAGGTGTGCTGTACCTGGAGTGGGACAAGCCCTTCTCGAAGAGGACGCGGGAGTATCGGTGGAGATATGGTGGGCTCGAGTTCCGCTGGAAAGGGACCGGTAGAACGGAGAAGACGGGGTTCTGGGGGTGGTTTGTGAAGATTAATCACTTGAAGCTAGTCGCAATGATACCAGAGAAAGGTATGGAGGAAGACGCGCAGACGGAAGTGTGTCTTGCTAGATACACATGCTCTGTCTCGAAGAAAAAGAATGGGCGGCTCGAGATTCATGACGAGCGCCTTCTGCGGTTGTACGAAGAACATGTGCGAGATCAGAAGAGGGTGTACCCTATCGAGAGTGAGGAAACGAGGGTCAAGGCACTGAAGATCACGATGTTTTATGCGCTGGTGATTGCTACTGCGGTGTGCATGGTCTCTTCTGAGAAGGCAAAGCGTGAGGCTGTCGGAAAGTGGATAAAAGAAGCTGCTGAAAACGCAGGAGGTTGATATCCTTCCCGTGCAATTCAGTGAAGGCTCGTTTGGTTTAGGTTTATTCACTACTTTCTTGGCTTGCCACCTTTTCGCGGTCCATCTTTATCTATTTTCAAGTAGCTAATAAATATACTGATATCATGTACAGATTTGAGGGACCGTATCTACTAATCCTATATTCTGCTTGATATAATATGGTCTTTGCCTACTATCCGCTATCTCTATGTGATATGAAAGACGCCAAGCTGGATTTGCGACTCAAACGGAGTGAAGTCACATACCCGCGTCATCCGCCATCGATGCGTATCGTAAGGCACCTTCGGCACAGGACCAAACGCCTCAAGTGGTATCGACCAGAAGCCTATGGCATTTTGCTTCTTCGAGAACTCAAGGCTCTCCTCAGTATCCGGATTCTGGAGCTCTGGAAAATGTAGATCGAAGAATCCCCACTTTCTCCACATGTGGCTCGCTAGTATCTCCTCTTGCTGTCGAAACCAACGTGCTTGGGAGGTAGTCGCAATCTCAAGGCTCTCCTCGTCATCAGTCGTCGCGATAAGCACGCGCATCTTCTCTGGTGAGGTCGGCGGGACATCATAAGCTTCTTCGAGCATGCGCCAGGCGCGTATGAGGCTCTGTGGGTCCCATCCGCAGTCGACCAGATCCAAATAACGAGATACAGGACGGGGATCGGCCGGTAAAGTCGAATAAGAGGCAGTGCTCGACCACAAAGGGTAGGCTCTGTTGAAGCGGACCATCTCTGTCTGATGAATGTCATTGGAGAGGAAATGTGACTGCAAGCTAGAGTACATTTGGCGGTACTTCGCGCGGAAAAGATGAATGAGGCTCACGCTCTCTAGGCTCCTAAGAGTGGAAGTCAAAGCACCTCGGGCGCGACTATGGAGATTAGACAGCCCTAGATTACACGCATTAGCAAGATTAATGTGGAGTACCAATCAATAGCTGAAACACAATTGGAGGCAATGAAGTCAGATGAACTCACGTATAGGCAAACGCGTACACGACGGCGAGTCGTCGCTCATGATAGCCATGTGGAGGATCCCTTTGTCGTTCGGATCGTACGCCAGCGCATCATGTACGAAGTGGACAAAGCAGGGTTCATCCTCGTTGCGCTCGATAGTGATGAGGACAGTATCTCGTTCCGGGCAAAATCGTAAGCATGGCGAGGCGGATTTTGCGACGTGCAGCGCTGTGTTTCTTCCGCGTGCTTTTCGGCAGCGTCCGTGGAACACGGGGACACCCACACGGTATACTCGATTAGCGACTTTGTTTGCCTCACGGTTTGTATATAGTAGTGGTGAATTGCTGCTCGTCGAGCGTAAACGCAAATGGTAGCTGGCATCGCTGACAATGCTGCCTAAATAATTTTCTCTGTTGTATCGCGGGTATGATGGGTCCTTGGTCTCATCTTTCTCAGAGGGAAGTGCAGATATCTCAGCCAGATTTTGTCCAACCACCGTCACCTTGAGGATGCGTTGCTGGGGAAGGCTGAATTCCCAGATGTACTCTCGCAGTTCAAGCGGCAGCTCTTGAAATTGGGGGAATGATGCCGGTGCCGCACTGGCTCGCGCGAATGAATCATTCAAGAACTCAAAATCTGTCGAAATGTCGGATGCGTGTGTTCCGCTTGATTCATCAGCCGTTGGTGCATTGCTTTGTTTCTCCCAGGGTGGTCGCGAACGTATGGCCATGGCTAATGTGAAGACAATAGTGGTAATCGATTTTGGTCGAAGCGGTTTCCTGGCTTGAAGCTGAGCTTTCGGTGTCGAACTTGCCTGCTGGAGCACGCAAGTTGAAAATAACCTCTATGGATGATTAAAAGTTGAGTCGGGTTTCTACATCGTGGTATGCGCACAACTAGGCAAACATACGCACGTGATACGCCTGCAGGGGTGCGCCATGCGCTTGCCAATCAGCGGGTGCAGCGCACAGTACCTAACCTGAAATAGCCTCGCCTAACAGGTCAATCATCCGGCTTTCGAGACCGTATGACTGCGGAGCGGATTCAATGAGACTTGGAATCTGCTGGTGGAAAATGACTAGTTCTGATATCAGCCACCCGGAGAGGCGCATATGAAAAGCGTAAGCTTATCCGCGGCGGATCGCCGTAAAGCTTGTTGTGGAAAAGAGTCAGGCGTGCATCACGAACTTGTCAATCAAGCACCACCCAGAGTGCTAAGGAGTCTGTTGGTGAGTTCATGGAGGCTACCGTACTTACCCGATTTGCAAAGTTCCGATGATTCTCACAGGGATCCTGTACGAGAAGAGAATCGAGTGAAATGGGTTCTCGAAGGACTGCTATGGGCGCGCTGAGAGCTCATGAGGTGTAACTGTAAGTGGAGGTGTCTTAGAGCTTCATAATATATGCGTATCGCACAGTATCGAATCAAATCCTTACTCGACCGTAAAGTTTTATCCCGTTTGGTCGCGTGGAGTCGCGTGGCTGCTCCAGTACGGCTTTCGATCTGGACGACTCAGCCCCACAGGCACCCCAGGGGTTCCTCACCGTGAACACCTCGCAGAGTATTGCAGCGCCGGAGAGGTTGGCCTATCTTTGAGGGACTCCGAGTCAGAGGTCAGCACCGAGAAAGGAATATGTGAAGTAGGAGGTAGATTTGGAGAACGTATAAAGCTGTCTGAGCCCATTGCATAACACAATTACGCCCCACACTCTTTACACAACACAGACTTTCCTTTCACACCTTCATTACCATCAGATCGAGATTTTCTTCCCTGCGGCCTGGAGCTGTCAAATCCACAGAATCTACAATTTTATCCAACAAATCCTTCTTGTTGGTCGTTCTTTTCTGATTTACCATTTTCTTTGGCGACGATCAAGCCAACATGAAGATGCAACTGCGAAACCTTGCTGCCTATGTCGTTGCAGCAGGGCTGCTTACAACAGGCTTCTCTGCACCTGTAGCAGACAATGAGTGAGCGGTATTATGATCGTTTACAATAAGGTTGACTCTAATCCTATATTACCAGTGTTGCGACATCTCAATCGGACGATAAGAGGTCCGTCGAAGAAGGCGTATCCTTCCTCCAGCGGCCCGGGCCTTTGGCTGCGAGGGAGTTGCACCACACGAACCTCGGCGCTATCGAAGTGAAGCCTACGTCGCCGAATCCTGCACCCGCGTTATCCAAGCGAAGAGGCTCTAGGGGTTCTTCAAGGGGTTCTTCCAGACGGGTCAAGTCCGTGCCTTCTCGTCCTAAGAAGACGACCCCGAAGAAGACTCCTAAGAAGAAGACACCCACGCACAAAACTCCGACGAAGAAAAAGCCCGCAAAGGGAACGACCAAGAAGAACAAAAAGTGCTCCGCGAAGGCTCCAAAGACATGTGCTAAGAACCAGAAAGATGCAAAGGGCTGCTGCAAGGTGTCACAGTGCCCAAAGAATGCTCCTAAGAAATGCACGAAGAAAGAGAAGGACCCAAAGACCGGTTGTTGCAAGGTGTCAGAGAAGCTTGAGTTCACCAAGTACCCGAAGGGCAAGCAGCACTGGACTCCACCGAAGGTGAAGACGCCCGCTGCCGGACGTCGATCGGTGGTTGGCTCCGGTGAGCCGACAGTCATCAAACCCGAGGCCAGGGCTCTTGATCTAGCGAAACGTGTCTCCCACTCAGTCGCAGAAGGCAGTAAGTTGGAAGCAGGAGCCGCAGACTCCTTAAAGACGTGGCATGTGATCAACTGCATCGCCATCTCCGGCTACGACACTGCAACAGGCAAGAAGGCTATGGCGCACATCAATGCCATATCTCGTACAGGAGTGGAGTACCAAAATCAGTTCAGAGACTTCGCCGATATTGTGTACGCTTGGAAAGGACCGATAGAGGTCTGGGTGAGGTGGCCCCATAGTACTGCTATTCCGGAGGACAGGAAAGATTTGAAGAAGGAACAGAAGGAGTTTGAGAAGGACATCAAGCAATGGGTGGGCTGGATGGAGAGTTCTCCAGGTCCAAAGATCAAGGTCATCGAACGGTCAGCATCAAAAAGAGAGGGAGACATGGTAATGTATGAAGAAGGAGATGTTTCAGTCGATTAGACTGAGAATCAAACATGAATCGTTGATGCGGTCGCGCTGTATTATATCTTGTCTCTCGTTAGATACTAGAGCGAGTCTTTTGGTTTTCCGGCATTGGTATTTTTCTTCTGCACATACAATGTTAGATTTTTCTCCTGTAGTAACTATAGTTATCCTCTGCGGGACAGATACCATTTGATGATCTATTATTCCAGTTCTGTTCTTTTTGTGTTACCGGTCTGAGTTTCTTTCGTCGACTGTATAAATTTCCACACTAGGTAACAGATTGGATCGTCGAGACCAAGATACAGTTCTGTCCCATGCAAAAAACGCCCAATGCAATTTATACAAGAGCTCATGGACTCACTTCAGCACGCATAAACGCTATATCACAATATATTATATTTGCGTCTAACTCTGTTGCTGGGCCAACTCTGCTCTCAACACATTACGCGAGCTATACAACGCCCAACCCATGAGAGTCATGGTTGAAAGTACTTGAATTTCTTCCAACATACACGATAGAAGCTTTGTCTCCAGTCTTCCGAGAGTAGGCCAAGATAAGCAAATATGCAATGCACCACACTCGTCCTTCACGCCAGTCGAAATGCGTCCCCAGCCCACCCGTACACCCTCGCTAATCGCCTCCCAAATTGCCTAGCAACAAAGAAAGGTATCTTACTGACTGGATGTGGTTCATGAAATTGTATACTACGCTCAACGCCGACGCTCGATACTTTTGGCGTGAAGCTCCACGCTGAGCCGTAAAGTTTCTCAGCCGAGAATCCTGCAGCCACCATGGCGTGAAGGAAGTCGGTCCAAGGGATCTCTCCAGGTGTGTCCGGGTTGTTTGGTGAGTGGAAGATGGTTCTAAAGACCTTGTAAGCGCGCTTGTCCACTGAAATGATTGTGGGCTCTGGGGCCTCAAGTGGAGTTTCCGGCGGGTGAGCGTCAGCGTTGGGTGCCGCGATACCCTTGGTCTTCGGTTTCGCTGCCTTATCGGAGGATGAAGTGCGGTCGAAAGTACCGGTAATCTGTTTGCTGCGGTCGTGTAAAAGTCTAGAGAAAGGCTGATACACATATTCGTCCTGCTGGATTGGCTTTCTGATGTTCTCGGTTTCGAGCCATTCCGGAGTCCGCTGAATTGCACGATCCTTACTGAGTAGATGGGCAACTAGGTCAAGCTGAGACTTTCTACCACCGTCCGACTGATATCGCTGGTCGACTGCTGCCCAAAAAGCGTCCAAATTCGCTTCGGCCTTGCGCAAGAGTGCGACATTGTGCTTATTGCGACGTCGATGAATTGGATAGTCGAACTTGCCGTCAGTAGGGTCGGCAAGCCGATAGACCTCAGTGCCGTCGAATTTGATTGTCGAGTTATTCCAAGACTTGAAGGATTCCACGTAGTTCTTGTCCAGTTCCTCCCGCCTGAGCTCCATGTCGTCCTCGATTTTGCGGGACCAGGGTTTGAACAAATGCAGCTGATGCAGACATTCGGACACTACGGCTAAAGTTGAGAGTCTTTGTGCGACCCAGGGCGTGATGAGAGCGTAAATCTCGCCGTCACTTTGCAATAGACGCCCAATCTCATCTATCAACGTATGTAAGCTGAATAAGGACAATTTCCGTTCATCGAAAAGAATTTCAAAGAAGGGCATCAGTCTTGTGACTGCATGGTCCCGCGGGGCCCCATTATATCCGGTCCCCATGATAGTGGTGTGTGGGTCCTGAGGATAGCGGAAGCAGAACTGGCGTAGCGGTGGCGAAGCAAACAAACCCAGCTTCAAGTCTGTGATATCCTGGAACACGGTCTCGTCCAGAAGGAAGCGGAGATTTTGAAAGGCCAGTACAACCGGCGATGGAAGAGGCTGGTCAGGCTCAACTCTCGCACTGTGTTCTTTGAGCAAGTCTGCCAACCCGTTGATTTGCTTCACGATCTCGGCGAAAATGGCAAATCCGAAGTGAGCGTCCATAGACACGTATCTCAGGACACGATTCCAGAACAAGGGCTTCCCGGGTTCCTTCATGGTCGGGTGCTCGTGACCCTTAGTGTCTAACAACTGCTCTCCGCGATGAGCTGCTGCATCTCGCATCGCGCCAGCAAAATAACCAGGATCTTCGCGGAGAGCCCATAGGTGATCTTCCCTGGCCTATGTACAGAATTGTAATGTCAGTCAGATTCATATATTGTTGGGAATGCATCGAAGTGTAGGTCTTTTGTGGGATGCCTCAAAGGGCAGCATGGAGCTCAAAGCATGATGACGATGCCATGTGTTACCACATACTTACATTACGCTCAGCAGATGCTATAGCCTCCAAACGTGCGAGATCGAGATGAGCCGGTATTCGATAAGAAGCCCCAAGAGCAGTAATCTGTAGTGACGTGATATCTGCCATGCTTGCCGGTGGTCCAGGATTATGAGAGAGGTCCGTCGTGGTAGGAGATTCTATGTCATGGAGCAGAGACAGAGACCAAGCGACGAGAAACGCCCAAAGGCGCTGCTGAATCTCCAACGCCTTTAGACCATGTCCTGGATGCATGCCCACTCCGTTGATCATGTTCTCGAACGCATCTTTGTCGTCGTCCCAAGAGACAAGCTGGCCATAGTTGTCGACACTGCCCTTCTTGTGGAAGTACATTGTGTGTTCGTTCAGGAAAGCCGGCATAATGATGGCACTGGTCTCGGCTAATGCCGCTTGCTCCACGTCTGAATGGGCAAACTCTCCGGGATGATGTCGCCCGCGGAAGTGCAGCAGCAGGAACATGGTCTTGGGTTTAGTAAGATCTTCGAGATTGATGTACGGCCAGAAATAGGGCTCTTTCGAGTTCGAATGCTGACGCCATGCCTCCACATCCGGTCTATGTTGCGCTGGCATATTGGGCCAGGCCTAAAGGTGGAGGTGTTGAGTCAGTAAAAGTTCGATAGCTGGGTTTTCGAATATAAGACTCTGGGATGAGGGTGTTCAAGGGATGCTAGCGGAAGAGTATCGAGAAGCACGCGATTCCCGGATGAACTCGATGGCTAAATCAATCATCCATCTGTGAGGACGTCACTTACCTGTAGCAGTAACTTCTTCTTCTGCTGGTAAGACTTTTTAGTCCATCGGGCTCGAATCCGCTCTTCGTGGCGATCGACGATTGTCCGTAAGGTTTCGCAGTCTCTGAAGAGCTTGGTAGCATTTTGACGAGCCTCTACCCGTACCTGCTGAGCAGAGGGGAAAGCCCCAGGCTGCATACCTGATGGAAGACTGGCGAAGAAATTCGACATATCCATATTGTATCGTTTGTGTCCAATACCTCTGAAGTTAGAAGCTTACGTCGTCCGGAGGATCAAACGCGGGTGCATTCGGGTGCGCAGCTTGGCCGACCGCGTTGAACGTGTTCGATACCTACCAAGGTATGGTAGACGACTGAGCTAGACTAGGCACTGATTCTTCATTGACGACACAGAAAGCAGGTCGGGAGACTGGTACGTGTCCGTTGACTTACGATAACGGAGAATCCGAGTGCAAGCGAGTCGTTCAATGGTGCATTTATGACCTGGTTGTTGTGCGGGAATGTTTGCTTTAGTAGACCCCACACTGCAGTGAAAACCCGCCAAGCTTCCAGGGCCGACGCGAGAGCACGTGATCGGACGTTTCTCGAATAGACACAGTCACGGGTTGAAGGGCAGGGTGTAAGCATCACCTCGAGGGAATTGATGAGTCTAAGCCCTTGGAATCGGCGTTTACTTACACTCGAAGCTAACAAATTGGGCCAGCCTGTGATGAAAGGCCAATCAATGCGGAGAGCATTTCACTGCGAGTACCGCTTTAGAGGCTGGTTCAGACGCTGATAAAGCTCGTTGAGTATCTGGCTGCTGTCAATTGTTTGTATCCTTGCACGCATCTTGATCGTGAGTAGCCCGTCAAGCACACTCAGCTCTGGGACCTTAGGATTCTCAGACATAGTCCACGAAGCGATGATCGACTAGATAAGATGATGCTGTGGCTGTGACTGATGTGTTAAATTGTGGCTGAAAGCTTAGCTTCCAAGGTGTAGCGGCACACCGGCACTCGGTGCCAAGTGCCATGGGCTTGGTATCATTAGCGTTCCTATATGTGGAGTAGCGTGGGGTCTCATCCAGAACAACTTCAGACGATCCATACAATCATGACTTCATAACGAACCACTACACGACGACGAAGCCGTCACAATGCGCTTCCACTCACTTCCAGCATCTATCGCAACGCTCACTCTATCCTTTCTTGCATTAACACCATGCACCACCGCCCAGTTCACGTTCCCTCCCCCACTGAACGGATCCATATCGGACTACACCTCGGGTAAAGCAACGCCTACGATGAACTTCTCGGCCGGCGATAATATGTTTGGAGGTTGGAGTACACCGGGACAGCTCATGTCGTTTCTTGTGTATCGTTGCACCGGCTCCACGAAGGCAGGCGCATCCATCAAGCCATCGAACAGCGAGTTCAACTCGACTGAGGGTCACCTTGCGCCCGACAAGACATGGGAGCAGATGCCGCTATACAGTAGCGCGGCTGAAATGTTTGGAAACGGGTTCAACCCAGGGAAAAATCCGATATGGTTGCACGGGGATTTCTACGCAAACAACAAAACGACCGGAGACTTGTGCTGGTTTGAGCTGTACGTTCTCGGTCTGGATGCATGGACTTGCTTGGATACACTGCTGACGAATGGCTTGCAGATACCCCGGAAGCGACACGTATGCCACTTCACCCGAAGGCGGGCAAGAACGCGTAGCCACGGTTAACGGCGATGGCGATTGGTACTTCGCAACCGAGCCCTTCACCGTGCATCCTGCACGGCCGAACAACCTCACTGTTACATGGAAGTCCAGTGGGCCTAAGCCGGATCTCTTCAAGAATCACACGGAGGCGTACTGGGCGGACTTCTACAGTCAATTTCCCAGTTTGAAGCAATCCGCAAGTTCGGGCCCTGGCAAAGAAAGTGGAGCATACAGCGCATTCCTTGAGGGACCTGGCTGGATAGGCTGTTTCGCAGCGGTACTAGCAATAGCGCTGTGAAGGGCAATGTGATGGCTTTCGGGTGCCTCGGAAAAGGCCGCGAACTGGCCGCAGCCGATGTTGACATGGCACTATGTTTTGATGCTTTATACCCCAGTACGCAAGAATCTACATTTCCCTTAGCGGCAAACAGTTCATACGCTCTCCCATGTGGAGAGATTTTTCTAGCAATTCGCAATCTGTTCGCTTTCAAGAATGAGAAACATATCTTGCTGCCCTATATTGTCGAGCTCGAAAATGGAGGGCTTCGTGTTAGTGGAAATATTACCAGTGCTCCATCCTGGCAGATGGTTACTCGCAGGTAATGCGACAAAGGTCAGAGTCAACATGTTGAGATGACCATCTAAAATAGATTGTTTTCACGACAGAACAAGGGAGAGTAGGTTATGTGAAGTCATGGCAGTCCAACAGATAGTCATTTTCACCTGACGCGCTGCCTTGCAGCCTCTGCCTGGTTCTGCCTAACGATATGTGGCAGTCCGCGATTCGTAGAACGCCACTTCATACTACGCCCCATCGCCTTCTTTCTGCAGTTTTGATCTTTATCGACAGCATCCCGAGTTCATTCTTACTCTAAACATCGTGAAGAAATATCACGTCGCTTGAAAGATCTGATCCGACAACAACCTATGCCGGCGATCGAGATGGACCAATCACACCCCAGCACCTGGCCAAACAACGCTGCGCGACCGGAAGCAGCCTCTCGGAAAAGCGCACACTCAAGGGAACAAACTCCAGCCGCAGTGCCCAAAACTAGACGCCATAGGCATACTGAACAGGAATGGAACCAGCTGCGCGACTTTATCACGCATGTTTACGTAGAAGAGGACAAAAAAGCTGAAGAAGTTCTCGATATCTTGAGCACACAGCACAATTTCAAAGTTGGGTTTGGGCACCTCCACTTTTCATGTATCTCTTCATACTTACGCTTGTAGCCTTCGCAAGTTAAAGGATTGGCTCAAGAACAATGGCATATCCAAGAACGTTCATAAGTCCGACATGCTTATTCTGTACGCGAAGCGTCAAGCCAGGTTGATCGCTGGTGGCAAGAAGACAATCGTATACAAAGACGGACGGGCTATGGACGATAGCCGGCTTGATCGCTTTGGCGAACGACACTGTCTTGACATAGAAAGCTCGGCGTATGTGGAAGCGGGTGAGTCCTCACAAGTTGTGATCAAGCTCAAATTTAAATGATTTTGTCCAGAAACACCGCATGGCTACACTTACGCAACCCCGGGACCTATAATTACAGAAGAAGGCTGTAGCCACAGCTCCAGCACTTCGCTACTAAGGCTTTTCAGTACCGGGAGAAATGTGCAGGCTGTCTTCGGCCACGTTCCCGACCCAGAAGACCACATGTACTCGATCTCCCATATTCACCAAGTTGGAGTCTTTGGTCTAAGGATCACTGAAGGATCTCAACCACCAGAGAAACTTCCATTGATACTTCAAAAATGCCTGCTGCTAGCTAGAGATCTCACAAGCCTTGACACGTTATCAGCAACTGATGGTGGGCCCGAAACATTGGACAACCAAGCTCTTCAAGATTCGCCACCAAAGTTTTACATCACGCTCACCGGAAAGACCCACCATATGTTCGCTGCTCCGAATCAAAACAAAATACTATCTTACGTGAAGACTTCAGAAATTTGCAGTCAGCTACTGCACCTGAACAGGCAGGACCGGGCAAGGTGGAAACAGGGATGCGTTCCGATGACTCCAGAAGAACAAAATGAGACCAAAAGTCTTTTCGACACTTTTTTCGGTCTCCCGTCTGAATTCAGCAATGCAATGGCATTCATGCATGTCAATGTGCAGATGGCGTCACCGGAAGCCCCCGCCGCCATAGTGCTTATGAGGCTATCCATCGGCCTCGATACGCGGGATTTTGCTGACTGTGAAACATGTCAGCGGAGAGTTGTGTCTATCGATTGTATCAGTCCAACAATGGCTGTACAGGTGAACGTGCCTCTCCGGTCGTCCTGGGTTGGAGGCTGGGAGCCAGCGCAGATACGTACAATTTACAACACGGAGTTTGTCAAGTGGAGTGAATGCGTCTATTCTCTAAAAGGTTGGTTCATTCATCAGTCTTCGTTTCTGCGTTGGCTGGAGGCCAATTTCAACGACGACACTGAAGATGTGACGGAAGAGGTCGAAAATTATATATGGGAAGAGACATGGGATCCTATGAATGTGTGCGCCCCGTTGGAAACGTTCCAACCACACAATGTTTCCGTTCCGGCGAATCTGAGTGCATATGATGACTTCATTTTCGCTATGCCAGAATACATGGGCCGAGAAGATAGTGCTCGTTTTGATCCTGGGGCCATTGACGACGATGTTTGGAACCCATGAGGATCTCTGGGACACGCGCACACGGTGAGCATGTTTATTTGTGCGACTCCTTTGGTGCACTTAGTGCATGTCATGAAACGAATGTACAGTATATTCTTAGCAATAGCTATAGCTTTTCAAAACATTCAATTTGGAATATTGCGTCATAATCCGGGCCGATGAAACAAGATGAATATCTATTGATCCAGTGCTAGAACAGAAAAAAAAGCGATTCATCATCATGTCATCCTCAACTAGTGCCAAACCGCTTGTGGTTATATCATTACCTAACAGAGCCGAACCTTCTTGTTGGGGGGCAGATCTGTTGCAGGCTCGACAAATTTTCGGGGAGCAGTGTGCCGGATAGCGGTTTCTAGCCTCTTGTACGAGAGTGTCTCTTTTTTGATGCAACAGATTCGACTCGATACTTTCACAGCGTTTTTCAGCTCCCTGCCATTCAACTCGAAGCGTGCCAAGTTCCAGTAATCCTGATCAGTGAGATCTACGGTTTGCGAAAATTCGTAGGAAGATGTTGTGAAACTTGTCATCGTCTTCAAAAGTTTGCATCTGAAGGTTCTGTCCAATGTTGGATACTCGAAGTGAACATCGATTCGGGATGAAAAGGCTTCGTCAATCTTGTCCGGGAAGTTGGTTGTAAGGAACAAAACTCCAGGGTAGTACTCCAAACGCGTCATTAGCGCTTAGAAGGCTTAGCTTGGTACCGGAATGAGTAGGCAGTAGAACGTACTTCGTACAAGGCTAGAACGCTCCTTTGGTTCCCGATCGCTCCCGAGGTATGCATCGGCTTCTGTTGGGTTGTCAATGAGATATCTTCAATACATGCCTATCTTACCATCTATAAGAAGGAGCGCATCCCATTGTTCAGCCAGTCTGAAAGCCTCCTCCAACAGTTCTTCAAGATCCTCCTCATACCTACCGAGAGTCTCAGCCTGTATTCGCAGGAAAGGACGCTTCGCTTGATCGGCAACTGCCAGAATTAGGTCTCCAGTGCCTGCATGTGAATATCGAATATCGAAAACATACCAGCCTCAGCAGTCAGCGTTTTCCCGGTTCCCGGTGGTCCGCTCAGCAATGCCACAAACCCGTTGCCTAGACCAGATTAAGGGAGGCTATGAGAACTACTGGCACCAACATACCTTTCCCTTTTATGATATCTTGCCCGATATCTTTGATAACTCGGTGATGCTGCACTAATGTGAGGAGCATATCTTTCGATTCATCAGGAAGCACGAGTCCCTCAAAAGCCCAGTCATTCCACTTCACGTCGCGAATGTAATTAACGTAGAACTTCGCTGTAATGTTTAGCCCTGTATGAGACGTTGTTAATTTCGGGTCGCTTACTATATTGGTAATTTACCAAAGAAAACCCCGCAACGAGAGGGTCCAGCAATAGTAACCATCGAGGCTGCGATGACACAATCTTTCTATTCTTCTGGATCCGTTCTGTACTCGGCCGGCCCGCGGTGAGTCCATTTTCAAAGTGAGTTCGGATTTCTTCGTCGGACTTGGAATTTTCTGAGGTCAATTGGGTGAGACTCTCGGACAGTCCATGCTGGAGCTGATAGGCATACGGATCAACGATGATACGATGGTGAGTCTGAAGCTCCGTTAGCGCACATAAAATATCCTGAAACTATTGACCTACCATAGTACGTTGTTCTGTTCGTGTTCCAGGCCCCCGGGTTCCCCTGTATTCAAGATGTGCCATGTCCTGGTAACGAAGTACTTCAAAGCTGCGCTGGATGATACTTTTCTCGAGTTCTGTACGACTTCTGTGAAAGGTAAGAGGAAACACGACGAGCTCTCGTATCGGTTTGGCCCCAGCGAACATGGTCAGAACGAAGTCGACTGTTCTGAACCCATAATTCACCCCATCAAAAGCCACCTGTCGGCAGTGGACTTTCGAATTAGTGCTATCATACGAGATGACTTCAAAAAGGCACTCTTGGTTCTGCACGCGTGATACCACAACTATTCCCTTCGGGAAAAGAGTCCACAGATAGCCATGCGTGATCAAACTTTTTACGCGAAGCTCGCTCACTGCCGTAGTAGTCTCCCGGAGAACGTCATCAACCACCTCTTTCAAGACTTTGAGATGCCTTTCTTCATCTGTGTTGGGCTCGCACTTACTATAGGCGTCCATGATATCGGCATGTGAAAAGAACAGCTCTTGAAAGGGCGGTATCACCATCACCGACCCCTTCATGGTGTCCACGCGACCTAATTTCTTGAACATGGGCTCGAGAATACCCAATAGAAGTGGACTCTGAATGATTAAACCAGTCAAGACGGTGTCTTTTAGGCCACCCAACGTCTCCTTGACATGGTCCTTGCCGTGATACAAGCGAATCGCAACACCGTCGTACTTTTCCTTAGCTTCCTCAGGTACCTTTGTCGGCTCCTTCTCGACCCAGTTAACGCAACATTTACAAGTCGGACGACCCTCGTAGAATTTCTGTACCGCTGCCGCGTTTCCCTTGGGCTCTTCAAGATACTCTAGCGCTGGTAGCATAGGGGCTACAAGCACGTCGTTGAACGAATAATCCCACTCTTGCAGGTACTTCTCGACAAACTGATCATGCTGTGTATTGGGAGGTTCGCTGTTAGCGGCGTGCTTTTGGTGGCCGGTTGTTTCAATGGGGGGATGTGGAAGAGCAAAGTTTTGCTCCTCATTGTCTAATCGAATATGACCATCGGGTCCGAAGAGTAAAAGGTCTGCGGTTGGATTCGCGACAGTGTCCATCGCGAATTTGGTCTTGTTGCAAGAGAGTGTTGTGCAAAGTGTTGTCGACTGTGTCAGGACAAGAGCGCACTTAAATGCGTTTCTCCGTATGACTGCAGGGCTGGATTTCACTCTGGTAACACAGAGCCGCATCGCCACAGTCAAGACCTCGGCCGTTGTGCTGTCCGTGTTGTGCATGCTACGGTCCAATGAGACGAAAGGGCGCTCGGATGAAAGCGAATCAAACAGAAGTGCATTGGACGTAAGACCAATCAAACAAAAGTGCATTCAGCGGAGTGCTAGCACACCCTGGTCTGTTGATTGCAGGCTACATCAGGCGCACTGTAGCCTCGTCACGTTGTGAACCGTTCCAGTCGCAGATAAGCCAATAAGAAGGTATAGCTTGTTAACGCACTTTTGCGAGATTATGTCAGGCCTTCACAGACATGATTAAGGAGGGTGGGATGTTCCCGAAACCGGGTACAAGATGCCAAAGCGGCCGTAATGCACTTCTGCAATTGGTAACGTGCCAACGCAATGGCAATTTTACGCCCAAATGGGTGGATTGACTGCGATATCCGTGCTACACCGGACGCTTTGCACTTTTGAATGAGGCAAGAGCCGCTCCGCGTGAGCAATCCATAAGACCTGCTGAGAAGATTTGTACGGAAAGCCCGACTATAAAGTCTCTGGCATCTCTCTATCCTGCTCTCTAGTCCATCACATCACACGGCCTTGAGAACTAAGATCAACTCATAATGTCTTCGTCAAGCAACGTACCCAGTAAGACGTACTACGATAGATGAGCATACAGTCAGTCTGATCTGTGTCCAGCCCCACAGAATCGTCGAGCATCTCAAGTCCATGAGCTTGGCCGTGGTCGTGCCTCAGTGCAGACCCAAAGGTATGTATATTCTTGTCGAGCGAACGTGTGTTCTGACAGAAAAACTAGTTCACAAGTCGAGCGAAACGTCGCATTGAACGGTGTCGGAAGCTGGGTTGACCCCAAGGATCCAAATCTATACATCAATGAACGTCGCCCCCTAGACGAATCGAGACCAGCAAACTGCCAGAGCAGGGCGGAAGATAAGAACTGTCAGCCATGGAGCGTTCTGGCTCTTCGCAAGGATGGGGACGGAAAGTCTGGGCAAAGTGATGGGAAGCCGTCAATGTAATGCCTTTGTCTTTAGTTAGCATTGTTGTAACACACCACGCTTATTTGGTATTGAACAAGTGGATCGTCTGGAGAAGATGGGTTCTGGCAGTGGGAATGTTCTGTACAGTATCATCCTCGATAAGTCTTCAAAGCTTCGCACAGTCGAATGCGTTCAGTGAATGGACCACTCGCCTTCCGAATGTGTGAATAAGACTACCTATGATATATGATCTTTCATCAGATCTTCAGGCCCAACGTTCTTTAGCAGGCTTTGCTCATTGTAAACCTAGTACATTAGCCGCAAACTTCTCCATGGACAGGGTTTAAAACATTGCTTCCCGCACTTGATCTCCCTAACACATCTCGTCCTATTCTTAAACTATCTGAATGACCACGCACCCTACGATACCTTGGCACAGGCCATCTTAGTCCGCTTCGCCTTCTGCCACATGATTGGGGATACCTCTGATTGTTGTCAGGTGCGTTATGGGGATATCAAATTGGTGGGTCTCAAGCGTCTAGGTAGCATCTTGGAACGAACACGACCGTGAGGGGAGGATATCCATAGATGGGAAGTATGTAGTGTAATTGAAAAAGCCAGGTCAGACAGTCTCTCCCCCAACACTTCTGAGAATGACCTGATTCTGGTATTCCTATAAATCACTAATCCTAGTCCTTCACTGGCCCTGGCCCTGCCCACGTCCACCGCGACCCCTACCCCGCCCTCTACGATGTCCACCCCTCCTCGTATTATTCCCCCACTCGAATTCCCCTGCGGCACCTGTCCCTAACCCACTTCCCCGCCTCCTCGCTCGGATCCTTCCACCTCTCATCCAGCCCCCTCCGTTTCGAAAACTCCTTCCTAGTTTCGTTCTTCGCCAACGCACTCGACACATCGTCCTGCGTCAACAACTGCATGCCCAAGCCCTCTTCGCTACCCTGTTCGTACATGCCCAGGTTCAAGACGTCATTGTAGGGATTGTACATAGCCTTGATGTCGTTGCGTTGCCGTTCAGGCAGATAGGCCGAGGAATGGGAAAGGAGTGGGTCGGGATGCGCGTCTAGGACGCTTACGAAGGTTAGGTTTTGCACGCAGCCTTCGAGACCGGCGTATATGTTTGTGGAGTATGGGGAAGGGATGGACAGGCTGTAGACGGGGGAGTCTTCGTTACGCGGACCGGGGCGGTAGGGATGCCGTGCGCCACCCGGTCTGGAGTTTCGGGGGCTGAGGAAGACGTTCCACCCGCCGGTTACAGGTCTCTTGTCGGTGTCTTGGAATCTATCGATGATGGCATTGTAGGTGTGGTCTTGACGCTTAGGTCGTGAATTGGTCGCTGGAGGAATAGGAATAGTGTGATAAGCATGCGAGCCTGAGAAACGCAAATCGAACACTTTTAGCATGCTGTGCATTGAACTTCCTGCTACGAAGCGCTCAAGGCCTTGGCAAGCGAGCGAGTATACTGCAGAATCGTTGGTGACGTCCCAGAAGACGGTTTCGAAGTCGTGTGGGGACCGGAGATCGTGCAGTCGTGCAAGGCCGTCATATCCGCCCGATAAGAATACCTCCTTGGATGAGCCACCTTGCGACTCGGTGGGAATGGGAATAATTGGGTAAACGGAGGTATTATATGGGCGAGGGATGTGTCTCATTGCGTGTTCGACTGCATCGCTGCCAGTCAGGAAGGTCCGGTTCACGTCACTTGAGTTCAGATTGATTTTGCGCAATGGCTCTGCTGTCAAGCCACCGGGTGTGATGCCGTAGACCTGTATCGGCTCGAGCGTGGGACCTAGCCCAATGGCGAGTTTTGAGTCTGATATGAAGTTGGTGGACCATATGCGTCCGACGCGCATGCCCGGCTCAATAGGCCTAACTTCGCTGAAAGATTCAACGGGATCTCCGCTAGTCTGATCGTAGTTTCCAGAATAAAGGGCGATCGAGGAGTCGCCCAGGCTGGCAGCTATCAAAGGTTCTGATGCAGCCGAGACGGATATCGAGCCCACGGCGCGGCCACTAGTATCGTATAGCTGTTCCGTTGCTCGGCGCTGTTCCAGATCGGCGCTCAGCATCGACAGGCGTCCAGACGCTGTTCCGAATACCGTACATTCAATATCACTACTCTTCTGGTGCGGCCGTAAAAGCTTCAGTGCCGTGATATCGTCGCGTCCTTCGAAGCTTTCCGGAATTTTGTACGTATACCACGCATTCGGATGCCCAAACATGCCCGGCTCATGTGGGTCTTCGGTGTCAACTCCCATCTCCTGCCACACCCTTGCGCCTCTGTGGCCCGTCTCTTTGACCCTCACGACAACATTCGCCCCAGCGGACCATGCCAGCACCTCTTTCCTATCCACCCATTCACTACCCATCTCTTCGTAGCTATCCACACTCGGCTGGTAGCCCATCGTCTGCCCCTGTGGACCTCTCCATCTGATTTTGTCTCCCGAATTGAGACTGGTGACATTTTTACTAGGCTCCAGATATCTTGCCGTAAACGCTTTCCTATCCCAGTTGCGGTATAAAGTCGTCAAGCCATGCGCCGTGGACTTCGCATCACCGGAGGGCCTGAAAAGCCCGAATCGTCCTTTCAAGAAAGCTTCCCATCCGTAAAGCTGCACGAATTGGCGCAATCGAGTGCAAGTGAGGGCCAAATTCACGATGTCAATCGGACGACCCAGATTGTTGGTTACAATCTCCAGTAGCTCGACTGGAAGTTTGTCCAGGGAGGGCGTGGAGGCGGGGGCCAATTTCCGTTCCGGGCCACGTGGGCGGACCCGAAGTGGAAGGTCTGTCATGTTGGATGTTCGATATCCAGAATACGGGGAATCTCTGCAAGAAGTCTCTTTACATAGTTGTTGGTGGCTGTGTGGACGAGCACGAGCTGTGACTCCAACATTTCGCTACACTAACATATGACGCATATGTTTCGCCTTCAGTCATGGCGCCGTTGAGTCACCTATCGATAACGAAACGCTGCTGCCCATGCTGAACGTCTGTGCAACGCCCGGATGAAGGATTGTCGGACGTACCGGTACCTTCGCTCGCGATCGCGTGCGCTGACTGTGTCTACCGCAAACTTTATGTGCTGCGCTTGCTCGCGTGTTCTGTCGGACCCCCGCGTGGCTGAGGCCTGCCCAATGAGACTGTCTTCCCCGGAGCTGCACGTGACCGGGCGCCACGGGACCTTCGAACCCGAGGCTCTCGACATGGTGTTCTACTCGCCCTACGTACAACTAAAATCACCAACGCAACTCTTCATCTTGCAAAACTGCATCCGCTGTCATAGCTCCTTGAGTCCTATTGATGTTGAAGACGCTTCTTCCTCGTCTTCAGAATGCGCCTTCGACTACCAATATTGCCTAAAAAGCGAACCCCGACGCGCAGCCCCGGGGATTTACGCCCACGCCCTGCCACATCCTGGTCACTTTGCGCTGAGCCTTCCGGAGCGCCAACACGCCAGCCCACTTGGTTCCCGCCTGTCGCTGTATACAATGCGCGACATTGCTGATCTGCCCGCTCTATCCCCACCTCAATCTAACGCGTGTTTGAGTCTCACATCACCACAACGCTCGCCATGTCGGACACAACAAACGGCGACAACAAACGCGCCTTCAGCCTCATGAGCGCCGTCGCCGCCAACCTGGACAGGTTGCGATCCAGCATCGACGCCTTGCGACAGCTACACGACCGGTTCCCGGATGGCAGCGGCACTATCATTAACCTCATTGCACAGTTGAGCTCGCTCAAGGCAAATCTGGGCGAAATGCAGGACTGGATGAACTATGCAATCAACGAAATGCATTCGCAACTACTCAACGACCTGGATCTGCTGATGACTTCGTGTTCATTGCTCGTGCGCAATCTGGATAGTCTCACAGCGCAAATGCGCCAACCCGACCACGACAAGGCGGATTGGGCGCTGAAGTTGAAGTTCAGAGTCGGGAGCCGGTCGATGCATAGATTAAGAGGTGTTGCGAAGAGGCAGACGGATGCTGTGAGCTTGCTCTTGGCAGCATGCAAAACGTAGGGCTTCCACCCTCTTATATTGACTATGTTTAACTCGATTTTTAGCCACACATCAGCACAGCGGAAAATATTATTACACAAGAGTCGGCAAATAAGAAAGGAAGATGCATCATCACTCAACACCCTGGTCCGGACCTCGAGAGTCAACGGCCAAGCTATCAAAGCACTCACGCACATGTCGCGCATGATTCAATGGTTCCGCCTGTTGTTTTATATCAAACTTTTAGGGAAAGCCTCGGAGGAGCCACCCACTGAGGAGGACTACCTCACTGCAGCAGCAGCAATGCGCTCCGATGCCATTGACCGCCAATTAGAAACCGACGAGCTTAACCTCCGCCGCGAAACGAAGCTTGTTCTGGTCGGCCAACCAAATTCCGGGAAGGAACTTGTGATGCGCCAAATGAAAGTCCTCTACGCCGATGGCTACCCCATTTCGGAACGATATCAATACCGCGTCGCCGTGCGGTCCACAGTCCGCCTGCTCATCCACTCCATCATCGACCTCATCAAAGACACAGGCGTCCCCCTAAACGAAGACCTAACACAAGACTTCGCCGTCCTCCTCCACGAAGTAGAAACAAGCGACATGTCCCACCTCTCCCCCGCAGCCGTGACCGCAACCCAAAAAATCTGGACCTCCCCCACCTTCTCTACACTCTACGTCAAAAACTTCGAAATCGACTTCCCCCAATACGCTCCCTACTACGTCGAGTCCATCGCCCGCATCGCAAGCGACGACTACGTCCCCTCCGAAGCAGACATCATCCGCCTCAACCAGTCCGCAGGCGGCATCAAAGAGCTACGCTTCGCCTGGGACGAACTCGGCGTCCACCTCTTCAACATCAACGGCTTTATCCCCGACCAGTTCCGCAAACGCTGGTTCCACCAGCTCGAAAACGCCTCCGCGCTAATCTACACCGTCGACGTATCGACGTACGACCGTCCCTACCTAGGCCAACCCACAGAGTCCCAGCTCCTAGACGACTTCGCAACCTTCGAGTCGTACGCTAACAGCCCGAAGTTCGCGGGAAGCTCTATCATCCTGCTGCTGAACAACTTCACGCGCTTTAGAGAGAAGCTGCCGCATACGCCGCTGGAAACCTTTTTCAGCGATTATGTCCCTCCGACAGTGGCGTCGCCGATAGCCCCGCGCTCTGCTACGTCGCCGAGTAAGCTGGCGGCGTCGCCTACGCCGTCTGGTGCGACTGCAGACGCGGAAACAGCGGCGAGACAGTACATCCTTCGGCGGTTCAAGGCCGTTAACCGCGCGAGGCTCTCGATCTACAGCTTTTGGGTCGATCTCGATATGTCTGATAACACGCACTTGTATGCGGCGCTGAAGAAGACGCTGCTGCATATTGCGCAGCGGAAAGCGCGGAGCGAGGTGTGGAGCGAGAGTAGTGGTGGGAGGGATAGCGCGAGGGGGCATCGGCGGGATTGGAGCGGGAGTATGGGGGTGGGGAATGGGAATGGGAGTGGGAGGGGAGTACGGTGAAGAGTAAGGGGAGTGAGATGGGGCTTGTTAGTCAGTTTTCGAATGCGAGTCGGTAGGCAGGCGGGACGCCGGGGGAAGGAAGGAAAGGAAAGGTCTGGATGGCGTTTGGAGTTTGGAGTTTGAAACAGGATGAGAGCTTATGAGATACCTAGTCTGCCTGGCCGGCTGAGCCAACGGGAATGAAATCATGGAAAGGCGTTCGAGCGCGGTACTGGTGATACTTGAACTTTACTTTCTTCAGGACGACGGATGTCGTGGATCTACTTTCTATGCTTTATGCATGTCTAAAGGGCGACGACTTCTCGCTAGGGTATGTGCCATAAGGGATACTTCTCCCAGCCTCACAACACATCGCATAGTCCTGCCCTTCCAGCGCGCCTCGTATCCCCTCCCCTACAACCCAGCCTACGCAACCCCAGCCCCACGAGCACCAAAAGCGCAACATTCATCACCACAATAACCCCCCAGATGACCACCGCAAACCCCGCCGTGACCCACCCGTTCCGCATATTAACACAAGCCTGTTCCTCCCCGTGGCCACCATCCCTAACAGCAACCTTCATATACTGGCTCCTACACGTAAACCAGATAAGCGGCGCACTCACAAACGGCAGAATAATACTAAGCGCAACCTGGCTGCCCTCGAGGGCCCTGCCCAGGCCCTCTCTTCCCACCGCGCCCGCAATGATGATACTCGGCGTAATGGAGATAGCTCTCGTGATCAAACGCCGGAGCCAGGGTTTCACCGTCCAGTTCAGTTGGCCCTCGCTGACGATCTGCCCAGCAATCGTGCACACGATGCCGGCGCTCGTGCCGCTCAGCAACAGCGCTAGAGCGAACAGCGTCCCTGCGACGGGTGCGATAGAGCGGGCGAGCAGGTCGTGGATGGAGAAGAGATCCGCGTTGTCGGCTTCGGGGTGGTCGTAGAGGGAGGCGCCCGCGACGATGAGGATAGCGCTGTTGACGAAGAGGGCGAAGGTAAAGAGGGAGATGGCGAGTTCAGCGATGGAGTAGGACATGCAAGCCTGGATGGCGGCCAAACTGGGCTTATACTTAATGTCGGAGTTGATGGAGGCATCGTCGGGGATGTCGACTGTGGAGTTGGGTTGGTGGGCGTCGTCGAATTCGCGGAGGCGAGGCTGGACGATGCCCGAGCCCAGGTAGAGGGAATGGGGCATTACTGTTGCGCCGAGGATGCCGCAGGCTTGGTATAGTCTATCGTTGATCAGTGTCTACTCCGTGTCTACTCCATGGAAGTAGAAGGGGAAAGGGGGACGCACGCTTGAGACTGTATAAGCGTGGAAGACGGGACAAAGCCATGAAACACGTCTCCCACGGGCGCTTTTATCTTGCTGAGCTCAAAGCAGAAGCAGATCACCACACCGAGCACGAGACACATGACGAAGATCTCGAAAGTCCTCAGCGCGCGCATGGAGCCCGAGGGGCGGTAGAAGATCAAGATGATGAGGACATCGACAATGGAGATGGCGCATCCTGCGACTAGCGGGACCTTGATCAAGATGTTCAGTGCGATTGCTGTGCCGATGACCTCTGCAATGTCAGTAGCGATGATGGCACTCTCCGCGAAGAAGTAGAGGACGTAGTTCAGCCACGGGGGCAGATGAGCCTTGCAATTCTCAGCGAGGTTCATTCCGGTGACGGAACCCAGCTTAATGCATAGTGACTGGAGGAAGATTGCGAAGATGTTGGACATGAGGACGATGAAGAGGAGTTTGAAGCGGAACGAAGCCCCAGCAGCGACGTCGGTAGCGTAGTTGCCTGTCAGTACCCGTCAGTATTTCCATGATATGTTCCAAATACGGTGGGAAGTGATGTGGAACCATGGGTATATGCGAATACAGGGAAGCGCCAAGATGGCGGTACAGGAACGGGACGGCAAGTTTCCAAATGACAGAGGAGAAGCATACCAGGATCAATATAGGCAACCGCAACCATAAACCCCGGCCCAACGAACTTCGCATACTTGCGCAGTACAGCCAGCACTTTCTTCCCAGCCCGCCCACCACTCCCACCCGCAAACCCTCTCTTCGCATATCCCCGTTCTCGCCACCAGCAACCTCGCCCGCAGTCGCAGCGCCAGTGTTCCTCGTGAACCCCTTCTCTCCAACACCAACACTCCCCTTTCCTGCTCCCTCCCTGCGCCCGCCCAGTCCCTCCTCTTCAGCAGGTCGTTCGCTCAGCTCCATCTCGCTCGCAGCCCCGTCTGCAGGATCTATCCGGTGGTCCTGTCGCGTGCGCGCATTGGCGATGCGGTTCATATCCGCTCTCGTCGTTGAATCGGCATTGAGGGCGTTAGGATTCTGGTTCCATCCGTCCGGCATGATCGGGTCGACGCGTGAAGGGCAATTCATGGTGGATGCGGTGCGCCCGTGGGCGGCTTTCAGTTAGTAATGCGGCAGTGGAGAGGGAATCTGCAGGTAGAAGAGACAGAAAATGACGCAGAAAGGCAAGAAAAGGGTATAGGGACGTCAGCGCATGCGTGGCTGTGAAATCGTGGGGTAGCGTAGCGCTTTGTTATATAACGGTGACGCTGCGATGGAAGTCTCGCCGGAATCGCCGCTTCCGATTCGATCAAACGGCCGCGGTTTATTCCGAAAACCACGTCCCCGCGAAAAACTCGGCGTCCAGCCCTCAATTGGCTTCACATGTGGCTTCCCAATGCTGCTCAGGTGGGCACTACTGCGCGGGAGACAAGCGGTCCGTGGCTATTGTCGGTGTGCAACTGCTCTCTTGGCGTTAGCTCTCCATCACGGTGCTGTGTGCTTGCGTAAGATCAGCCGAATTGGCGCACGCCTCAACGGGAGGGGGAGTCGCGTGATTGAGGTTCGCATGTCTGGAACCGGGCGTGCATGGACTAGGCACGAAGAACATGGTGCGATTGCATGTGGAAATGTACTGTAGAGTAGTCGTAAACCAGCGCCATGGACGGTTCATGAGCACCTTGAGCACGCGACAGCGGGGCAGAGGCGCCCGCTGTTGGGGGAACGCCAAGGCACGACGTAGAGAAGCCGTCGCTATCCACCCTTGACTCTCGACCTCTTGTCTACTGCTCTCCGAGACAGTCCCTTCCTCGGTCTGGCTCTATGTCGAGACATATTTTCACAGCATCGTAGTAAAGCAGTCAAATATCCAAAAAGCTTTCTCATAGCATCTAGTTCGCATCTCGCAGGTAAATATTCTTCAAAAGGTATTCATCGAGGACTTCCACGATTCCAAACAGTAGTCATCATTCCGTCGTCAGTCGTGCCGTGCCGCTGGTCCTGTCTATGGCGAAAAGCAAATCGCTGGGCAATTTGTGCTCCACTTGGAAGCACCCCAGATGCCATAAGTGCTAGCCCAGTAACAATGGTTGCCTTGCCTCTGGCTTGAGTAGGCCCCGCCACCTCAGTAATACTGTTGATCATCATGCCCTGCTATGGCATGTTGTTTCTTCCGTCGTCCTGTCCAAAGCTGAGCAGCCTATGCTTCCCAAAAGAATGACTCCGTTCGCCACCCAATGTTCGAAACAGCCCTCTTAGAGCTCCCAAACGCCAAAAAGTGGAAAGTCCTCCAACGCCATGGTATGCTCACTGCTCACTACCCCTCAATCGCACGTCCGCCTCGTCATTGACAGAAGAGCTCAATCTCACCCAACTGCTGGCCACCAGGATTCAAGTCTCTCTGCTGCTCTTTCCACGTCTCAAATGCTTCTTGCAAATCGTCATCCGTCGAAATCGTCACAAATGTATCGTCATCCAAATACTTGAGCTTCACCTGGCCCGAACCAAGCGACACGCTAGTCGACCGCTGCAACTTCGCATCAATCCGGTCTTTCAGGCTCTGAAAGCTGATGTTCGTGCTGACTACAAGCGTCATCGAGCTTCCGGCCGCGGGGCAGTGCACCTTCACCTTGAGCTGCGTGGGTATGCCCGAGTGGCTTTCATTCAAAGTTGATGCTTGCGATAGAGGAGGTGACATAGTGCGCGAGTCCATCGATGCTGGTGTCAAAGTACCTTGACTGCGTTCGAATGACGAGTGAGGCGTCATAGTCCGTGTTACGCCGGGGTCTCTGCGGAGAGGCCCGCCATAGTAGTCAGGGTGTGCTCCAGCGAGCTCTGCGGCTGTCCGCTGTTGCACAAGGCGATCTCTCTGTATAGCGGGCGAGCCTGTGGCGGCTCGTGGAGGGAGACCGTTGGGCGAATTGCTCTGGCTGCGGTTCACGATGGCTGCGTTGTAGGCGTAATGCGTAGGGAATGGAGGCATCTCAGGTACAGATGGCTGCTGACCATCTGTACGTCGTCCAGGTCTCAAAGCATTGTGGATATCCGGGCTACTAGCCGCCCGCAGTCGACCCGCTGCCATGCTAGCTGATGAAATAGATGTGGGTGGCAGTGACGGACGTGAGACTGCACGTCCTGGAGGCAGACCAGGCCCCATAGAGGTTTCGCGAGTCATATGACCTCGGGCAGGTGCAGTATAGCGGTTGTTCTCCTCGTGATAGCCTGAGGGAGGTGTCTGGCGGGGAAAAGGAAACGTGCCAGCTGACGAAGAGCTCGTCCGCGCGCTTGAATATGTGGACATGGGAGTTTCTACGGGGGAGAAGTATGAGCCGTCTTGGTTGGCAGAACCTGCAAGCTGCTGGGTTCGAAGAGTTAGCGGGGCTTGGGCGTAGCCCATGGGGAAACGTGGAGGTGGTACCCTGTCATCGTTTGCACTTTCTCCTGTGGTCGATCGCGAGCGTATTGACGCGCTTGAGCTGGTTGGTGGATAGCCAGGAACAACTGTATCTATGTCCTCATCGTCGTCTTCCTCCTCCTCAGCGTACGGGTTTACGAGATTCTGATCGTGCATGTACGTAAACTGTGTATCCGAGGGCTTCGAGTGCGTTGTGCTGGCGCTGGACCGCGCGTGGTCTTTCCAAACACGCCGCTGAGTATCGACTTGCGTGGCCCATTTTTTCATATTGTCCTCTGTGTTGAATCGGATTATGAAGTTTTCGATGCCTGGGTCGCCCTTCCAGAAGATTTGGCACGTGTATGATCCGGGTTTCTGAAGCGAAATTGTCTCCGTTACATTCTGCATGAAGATGCGACCTTTGAGTTGCAACCTTGGTTTACCGGTTTTGGTGGTCAATGCTTTGTTCATCTTCTTGGCTTTGTTGGCACTGAGCTCCTTGCAACACAGCAGAATCATCTCGAATAGGTATATCTTGTACTATTTTAGGTCAGTAAATGAAGTGGAGGGAGAGATTCCTAGAGGATGGGGTTCAACGTACCTCTCGCTCATCTTGCTTCCCATTCATGCCATCTCCTTTGAGGACTGTGTATTGACCATAGAGCAGAAGGTCGCCGAATCCTTCAATACGGTGGCCTTTCCAGTCTTCGACTAGTGTCTTCAGCTCTTCGACAGCCTCCTGTCGATCTTCGCGGGCAATTGCCGCATTGATGCGCTCGAGCACTGATTCCGTCGCCTCAATACCGTTGGCGATGTCTTCTCTGAGATGCTCCTCGAGTTCACCATTCGAGCGCAGGTCCTGTGAGTGAAAAGTTCAGTATGATGTTTTAAGTGTCAAGTGGAGAATGTGTTTACCTTCAGTAAAAGCGGGTATTTGGTTAACCGTTGGAAGGGTTTTATTAGGAACGAAGGTAATGTGGCTTTGGTTTGCACCATTTGCTGCATTTCTGAAGAGCCACCAGTCTCGACGAGCTTCTCGTAATCTCGCACAGCCACTTCTTCGCTTCTCTTCTGGTTCGCGACGTAGGGCTCGTATACTTTGAAGGCGTCTTTGTACAGCACAAAGAGGTGTCCCCAATTCTGCTCGTGGGGAGGCTGGGCATTGGTCTGTTCTACACGAATGAGGAATCGTCGTTGGAAGTCGAGAAGCGCATTCAAGTTGAGGAAAATGTCGTGGATGGCGTCGCCGGTCACCGAGCCCTTCTCTTCCACCAGCCGCTTGAACATTTGCAGCATCTCCAAGTGTTGCACGTATGTGCGCTCTGATGATACCAGCTCGTTGATGATGTGTTCACGCCGAGTTTTCTTCCTGGTAGGATCGATCACTCCGTCCACAGCTTCGGTGTTTTGGATGATGCCCATCTGCACTAAAATGTCTAAGACCCGGTTTACCACTTTGACAACCTGTACTCTCGTCAGCAGCTGCGATGTTGCCCATGCAGTATGTATTACCTTCACAAATCCAGTTGTGTCGTCGCCGTACAAGTCTCCGATCATAAAGCATTCCTCGGGCGCAAACTTGAGCTCCCCAATGCAGGCTTGCAGAAACTTGTAGGCTGCCATTTTCTCAAATTTCTTCGTGGTGCTCTCGGTCATCTTGGTGGTGTCGACAGACAGCCGGACCTTGGGTCCTAGGGCGTTGTAGATTTCCATGAGCGGGGAAGCCCCGCCGGAAGGTCCTCCACAGCAGCGTGACGGGGTCGGCATCGTCATCGGCTTTGTTCTCCTCCTCTGTGATCCAGCGCTCGAAGCCGGGGATGGCGCGCAGGCGCAGCTGCAGCTGCAGGCCGATGTGGAAGAGCGAGCTCTGACTGTCGGCGCGCTTGTTCAGGACATTGTCGGCGGCCTCGACTGGCCCGCCGTTGACAGGGGTGCCGGGGAAGGTGGGCGGGGTGCTGAAGAGCGTCGAGGTGCTGGTGGCTTGGGTGCTCTGGGTGTCGCGCTGGGTGCTGTGCGAATAGCTCGAGGTGCTTTGGTAGCTTTGGTGGGACATGAGGGAGGGCCCGCCGCTCGAGGCGATGCGGGCGTGGGCGTGGTGGGCGGCGGTCGGGGGCGTCGACTGGGACGAGTGGGCGCGGGCAAGACCAGAGTGAAAAGCCACCTCCATGCTTCAGCGCATCCCTTCCGAGGTCACGGCAGCCGCTTCGAGGTTGCGACGTGGGGAGGGGGGAGGATTGTCGATTGCGAAGTGGAACTGGAACGCTAGGGATGGTCCGGCGGTGGTGGCGTGGCAGGAGCGATCCTCCTCGCAGGCAGGCGCGTGCCGCTCTATTGTCTGTTCGTTGTGTGAAGCCGGTATTCACATTCACCCAGCTGCGGCGGGGCTGGTGCACAGGACTCGAAGGGTGGTTGCGTTTGGGGAGCGTGGTCGAGAGCGAAGAGGCTGCTGCAGCTCTGGGTGGGTGCATAGGGGCGTGCCGCTCGTTTCACATCAGCGATTCATGCGGCCTTGGGTTGCAGACGCCGCCACGTGATGGGATCGCCCGGGCAAGCTCTCTAGTTGGCCTTGTCTCTCCAGGCTGCTCGCCCTGGGCGCACAGATGGTGGGCCTCCACGCCCTTTATCCGCCGTCACGAGCACCCAAGGTACGCCCACTGTTAGGCAAACGCCTGACGTCTGGTGAGCCAGCGGCCGCAGCGACACTGCGCTCTGGTCCGATGCGCGCCCCAAGAAGTTGCCTCCGCACTCCGAGTCTTACCGTGTGAATGGTTTCGCAAAGGCCTACGTGGGACAATCAGTGCTTCTGCACTGACCTGCCCCTCCGCATAACGCACCGCCCGAGCTCGACCACCTTGACAAATGCGCGCTTTCGACACATGATTGAGCCGCTGCGAGGCGACGGCTTGTACCACATCATCTCAAATATCCCTCGTCCCACGCAAGAGTAGGCAGCAGCCGCCGCGAAGAGCAGGACACTTCGGGGATTACTAGTACTATTTGGACGGAATGCTGCCTCAGGCCGCAGTGTCCGAACGCGGACCCTGCCGAAGGGTGCAGTCTGCAAGGACTTGTAGAAGCTGAAGAGTGCGCCCATAAAGAGAACCGCTGGAACCCCTATTGACTGTACCCTCGAATGCGCAATTGTGCATTTCGCCTGTGCGCTGTGGTAGCACTGCTTTCAATATATTTCCCTTCCCGGACATGCGAGGGAGGCTCCGTTGTGCACTTACTCAGCCGCATATATGACAGCTGGAGGAGCTGCATTGGTGACACGGCACCTTGCCAGCGCAGACTTCAGAATATAGAGCCGTGCCATCAATTGCTACATGAAATATGTAACTCTACACGGAGCTGATAGATACTACACTCAAAGTACCACACCAACCCCCAAAGCACTGAAACACCGGACAGCAAGTCTCGTTAAAATGTCCCAAGTCTCACGTAGTCTCCGGCCCGTGGCGCGTGCTACTCGCTCCCTGGAGAACGGCTCCGACCCAATGAGCTCAGTCTCCAAAATGAGCCAGATTAGCTCTACGACAGATCTGCTAGCGTCGGGCAGCTGCAGCATCTGCAGATCTCGACCAAGATGCTGCTCTCGGGATGTTTGATCGTGGGCTTCTAGCGCGTCTATTCATCGTTCCACCGAGTCCGCGTTAGCTTCATGATGGCTTTTTGCGTGTCTGCCCACGCTTATAACGCGAAGCTACCACGCGGTCAGCGACTGGTGAAGCTACATGTAATCAATGCACACTCAATACTTATATAAAATCACAGTTCATGAAAGGACGAGAAACCGGTGGAAAGATAGTTATAAGACGTCCTTGGAACATCTGAAACGGACACAAGTACAGTCGTAACGTGGAAACATGAGGTTAGTATAAGTTTTGCCACCTAACCCATAATCAGCCATCGAAAAGAAGATCTATGTACATGAAAATATCCAACATGTTCACAAGAGACAAGACAGCTTATCATCAACAAGCAGCCATCGCCCTGAGCTTAGAAAAAGGAAAACACCTGCATGGAAACAAATCGACCAGTCAACACTTTTCCCAGTCGAATTCCCTCCTCGACCCCTCATCCCCCTTACTGGTGCTTCTTCCTCGTCTGGAACATATTATGCATGCGCCGAGCCTGTCCTTTGGTAAAATGTGTCCAGCACTTGGTAGGCGTGTAGTTCATGTAGTTCCCGACCGGATCTTTGCCCTTCTTTCCTGGACACGTATCCACCGCCTTGCACTCAAAGTCTGCACTTTTTGGCATCAAATGCACCGGCGTATCTTTTACCTGGTCGCCATGCCCCGTCCCACACGTCGGATTCGCTGGGCCCTCCTGGAATGTATGCATCAATCCTAACCAATGCCCGATCTCGTGGATTAAGACCTTGCCGTCAGACTTCGACGGCAAGGTGTTGGAGTTGAACCGACATCCGTCATTAGGATACGAGGGCCCGGGATTGGAGACGGGAAAGGTGCAGTCGCCGGCGACATTGCGAGGCATGTCTTTGACGATATACAAATTCAAAGTTGCGTAGTTGCCTTTGCGAAGCTTATTGCCGAGCTTGGACGTGGGCTCGCCGTCTTTAACAGTGGCGAGGTCGCGGTCTACTTTGCGAGATATGTCGGCGAGGTGAAAGCCAATATTGCGGCCCTTGAAGGCGTCGTTAATGACTTTCATCTGCTTGTGGACGGCTTCGTCCTAGGGGTACGTCAGCGACTACTGTGTAACGTTGAAGTAGGGTGATGCACGCGGACGTACGGAGACCCAGCCGTCTACCGGCTTCTTTGATGCTGCGACGATGTGCACGTAGGTATTGATTGTCACATCGGCGCGTTTGTATAGCTCCGTTCCGTTAGCGTACTCTGCAGACTCTGCTTCTTCTGCCAAAGATAGTTCCTCAGAGAGCTGCAGGAAGGCGTCATCGGGTTTGGCGCAGCTGCTGACTTCGCGCGATGCATTGAGGGAGAGATCTATCTGGCGTGGGAACACCATGGCTGAGGTGAGGCTCAAGAGAGGGAAGAGATAGACTAAAGACTTCATAACTGGAGTGGAAAGGAACGACTGTGGAAAATGACGATGAAAGAATGTTCAGAAAGGAGTGTACTTCGATAGAGGAACAGAAGGAATAGAGGAAAAGAAAGTAGGACCCGGGAATAGTATGATAGAGTAGTGCTTGAATCGCAATATCGTGCAATCCACCACTTCTTATATGGTGTACTCTGTTTCGGTGAAATTATCTTGGCCACAGGCCTGAACTGTTTGTGTCAACTCGCATAGTCTTGAATAGAGCCCAGCCTCTTGTCCGGATACCTTCAAACACAGCTTTCCGATACCGCAGTGTGAATAGATAACATTCTGTTATGTTAATTCTCCAGGTCTCCCGTTTATACGAGATCCGGCTTACCATGACAGCCTATTTACGATACTTTTTGAGCGACTGCTCAAATGTCCGTGGAGCGCCTGAAGAGGCCTAGCTTGGCGTCGGTTCCTCTTTGGTATGACCTGCATGAATACACGGCAAGTAGTTGCTGAGTTACTGAGGCTCGGTTTGCGGCTAGGCTATACAGTTCGAGTTGTACAAGTTGAAAATGACCTGGGAACGTGTGGCTCGGGCCCCATGCCGGATATCGGTCGTCGTATTTCTCGATTGGAGTGCTTCACGCACAGATATTTCAAGACACACCGCTCTCATTTCCTCCATTTTTTCAATAGCAGCTTGGGTACATGCTGGTACCGGAGCTGCAGGCTGATTGTCCTCTACGTGGTGGTTGATGTTTGCAGGTGCTTCGGACATATAACCTCAACCTTCGCTAAACCATTTGCGCAAGCAGTATGCTACAGGTGGCTGCATGTTCTACTGTTGTGTGGGTTGTCCATAGTCAAGTGCAGCGCTCCCCGGCTGACTATCGCTTCCACCGGTGGAATGGTGAGGGCACCTGCATCAACTCGAAGTCACTTGACGGGTGCGACTGTGACGGCTCGTTTCCGAACGCTGTTTGTCCTCGTGCTCTTATCACGTCTTCCCGCTGCCTCAACACCTTTGAAACATCTGCGAACCTTTCCCGTATGATCACATCGTGCAACGATCCATCCGTGGTTGAAGAATAGTGGGGGCTCAAGTGGCGTCTTGGGGGTCGGGCATTTTCTCGCTCGTGCAGCGGCTGCCTGGCCCGTGCAGTTAACGCCTGCCCACCTGGTAGCGACGCCAACAAGATTCATTGCACCCAGAAACTACCTCCGAACGACGGCGCTTAATCCGACGACTTCCCACCCGGTGCCCCGTTGCCTGAACGCGCTCGTGGACATCTCGGTGCGCGCATGATAGCGGAGCCTGCCCATGATCCGCCTCATCTTCACCGCCAGGCTCCACAAAGAGCACTACAACTTCTAATTCCAACACGACCCGTAACAGGCCTAGAAGTCTGGTATTGCGAATCACCTCGCCCGAAAACTACCTTACGACGCCTGCTACAACAGCAGCTCGATCGAACACCACGCGCTGCTGCCTTACCTGACATCACCCGCGATGGCAGGCCCTTTGGGCAGTACAACCCCGTTCGCCGCGCCCGCGTACCTCCAATCGTTCCGACCCACCTCTTCCATGAGCGCGAGTAGATTCGACGAGGGCTACTCTGAGGACACGCGGAGTCAGACCGGTAGCGACATGGTGATGAGGACGGATTCGCAATTGGGCGCAGGTGGGATAGACCCGGACCTGCAGTATGCGCTGCCGGACTGGGTTATGCACATGGCGGAAAGCGAGCGGAGTGGTATGTACAGAGTTGCGGGTCTCTTATGCCGTTGTACTAATTCAGCGCCCAGAATTCGCGTATGCTATACTGCGGTCACTCCGAACCTCGTCTATCGCGGGCATCGTCGAAAAGCTAAACCCTCTTCTCCACCTCGACCCTGTCATCTACCTACCCCCCGAGATCACCTTCCAAATATTCTCATACTTGACTCCCGAAACCTTGTTACGCGCTTCGACACTCTCTCGAACATGGCGAGGCCGAGTCATGGATAGCCCGTTATGGAAGCTCCTGTTTCGGTTGGAAGGATGGAATTCCAATTTTCCGCAGGTGCGCGCGTACGAGGAGGGTGAGAGGCATAGGCGGGTGGAAAAGAAAGAAAAGGAGCGCAAGACACGGCCGAGGGCAGCCGTGGATTCTTCAGAAGATATAGAGACTGATAAGCCTTCATCGAAGAAGCGGTCACGCGAGAAGCCAACACTCTTCGGCGACGGTTCTGCCGACAGCGAAATCAAGGACGGCCTGGAGCCGCTTTCGCTCGATGGCGCATCACGGTATCCATGGGCAGAGCAACATGGCGTTGTAGAGGCGGACACTTCGTCAAGTTCTCAAGATCAGATGGAAGGTGTTTCATATAGCGGTACCTCACCTCTTACCTCGCCGACAGGAGAGCCATCGCGACGGCAAAAGCGACTCTTGGAATCTAGCGACGACACAACAACATCCACCCCGCCAAATGTTATGGACCCCCCTTTACGACCTTCCCTAATACTAGCAAACCCTGACCCCAAGATCAATTGGCAGTATCTTTATAAGCAGAAGAGGCGGTTAGAAGAGAATTGGGATTCTGGTCGCTACGCAAACTTTCAACTTCCTCATCCTAATCACGCCTCGGAAGCGCATACGGAATGTGTTTACACCATCCAGTACTCCGGAAAATATCTCGTCAGTGGTAGCCGCGACAAGACCGTCCGGGTCTGGGATCTAGACACACAACGGCTGATGTTGCCACCATTGGTTGGACATAGGGCGTCCGTCCTTTGCTTGCAATTCGATGAAAGACCCAGTCAAGATCTTATAGTCTCTGGAGGCAGCGATTGCAACGTGATAATGTGGGAGTTCTCTACGGGCCGCATGATCAAGAAGCTCGAAAAAGCACATTCCGAGTCTGTCCTAAACCTCAGATTCGATGACACATATCTGGTCACCTGCTCCAAAGACAAAACTATCAAGGTATGGAATAGGAAGGAGATGTTACCCACTGATGATACATATCCGATGTCAACGACCCGGTCAGGGGCCAAGTTCCCCTCGTACATTATCAATATGCAGCAGCAAACGGAGAAACAACACCTGTACTTCAAGCCACTACAGCCATATACCCTGATCATGACACTCGAGGGCCATGGTGCTGCCGTGAATGCGATTCAAATCTTGGACGGACAAATCGTGTCCGCATCAGGAGATCGTAGTGTCAAAGTTTGGGACGTTCGCACAGGGGCGTGCTCACGAACGTTCTCCGGGCACTCTAAGGGCATTGCTTGCGTACAATTTGACGGGCGCAGAATTGTCAGTGGAAGCTCTGATGAGACTGTGCGAATCTTCGATCGAGCAACCGGCGCAGAAGTGGCTTGTCTGCAGGGTCATTCCAACCTCGTCCGCACTGTTCAGGCCCAGTTTGGTGACCTACCTGGAAATGAAGAAGAGTTGGAGGCCGAAGCTCGCGCGATTGACAATACCTTCTTCGAAGCCCAGAGGCAAGGGCTGGTGTCAGGAGAAATGAGCAGAGCGCAACGTCGGGCAAGGAATGCCGGATCCCGAGACCCCAAGGCCATCTTTGCCTACGGTGCCAAACTGCCTCCTGGAGGTGGAGGCAGCAAGTGGGCGAGGATCGTTTCCGGCTCTTATGACGAGACAATAATCATCTGGAAGAAGGGACAGGACGGCGCATGGGAGAAGTCAAAAGTCCTGTATCAAAGTGAGGCCGTGAGGGCAGCTGGAGGACGCCCGCGTCGACCGGTTGGGCATGTTCACCACGCTCACCCGGCTGGTCAAAACCAACACCAAAATCAGAACCCAAACCAGCAACAGAACAACGGACACGGCCAAGCCAACAATTTCCAGGCTTTGGCGCAGCAGGCTCAAGCTCAAGCTCAAGCTGCAAGTACACTGGCGCAGCAAGCGCAAGCCCTTCATATGGTTACCACCGTGCACACAACCACGACGAATGGCACCACCACAGTAGCGGCGCACAACGCTGCTCCGAATAATGCACACCAGCCTGCTGTAAATCAAGGACAAGCAGCGAATGCACCGCAGCAAGCTGGTGCTCCTGCAAATCCTGCGGCGAACCACCATCACCATCATCACCACCATGGCCACATTCTCCATGGCCCCGCTCCGGCATCGCAGGGCACATCGCGCGTGTTCAAGCTGCAGTTCGATGCGCGAAGGATAGTGTGCTGTAGTCAGGATCCGACGATTGTGGGCTGGGACTTTGCCAACAACGACAAGGATATCATGCTTGCGAGCCAGTTCTTTGGCGAGTCGATATGAATGGTGTTATAGGCGAATGCGGATTTCCGTACACTCCAAAATGTTCCCGCCAAGGTCGGGAGCCGCTGAAAGACGGACGCCGACGCCGACCTATACGACGATGTGTGCGAGGTGACCGGTACTCGAATGATGACTCCTTCGAAACGCATTGCAATCGGGTCGAATTACTTTCCTGAACGAGCTGGCATGAGCTTGACTTACATCAGCTGGGCGTAATGCCTTGAAGGCGTGCATCTAAGCGGCGGTCTAGGTTGGGTATTCTGCATGAGCTTTTCCTACTGTATCATACTTGCTCAGGCGTTTGTGAGATTTGACCGGATTGGCGGACGTTGGCATGAGGTTACATTAGCGGCATAGAGCAGTTTCGCTGAAGATTTACACATTGATGAAGAATTCATGACATCGTATCGTAGGATCGAGAATTTTGAACGCGCGGTGATGGCTACGCACGTGAAGACACTGGGACCTCGGGAATCACCCACATGATTAGCCCAAACAAACAGATCAACAGGATTTAGACTTGCGCAGAAAATATCAAACGGGATCTGGGACTTCCCAGGCAACAACATGGCCAGGGGCACGGGAATCCCCCTCTACACTTCCCGGCAAGGCTGCGTACGCGTCTCTCAGAAATCGCAAAACAAAGTCCCGGAGACGTTCGGCAGCCCCAGGCAGCGACCTTCACGTCTCACACGGGTCCAGCGCAGCCCTCGTGCTTCGACCCAGGGGCCCGGAGCCCTTTTGAAGTCTTCCCGGGGAGGCTGAAGTCTGCACGTGGCAAGGCTGCAGGCGGGCTCGGAAACGGAAGCACGAGGCATCCGTAAGGGTTCGCAGGCTTGCACGGCTTGCCAAGGGGCTGGCGCTAGCGCACGTCGGGTTCGTTCTGGAAAATGGCTAGACGACGGGGCCACTCATGTTTTGCGAGGAGCGCGCCAGGGTGCTAATTTACTAGGGGGATTGGGGGTTGCTGCGAGATTGGCTGGCTTGGACCCTTGGAGGGGCCTTGGAGGAGGAACGGGATGGGTCCGGCCAAGAGGCACGCCGCGTGCAGTTTCGCGGTTTCGTCCGTGGATGTCGGATGCGAAGGTGAGGGCTGCAAGGGGGTTGCTGGGCGTCATCTCTGGACAGAGGGCGGTGGGGTTGCGGGGAGGCAAACGGCGCAGACTCGGGTCGACCTGCCGCTGTGGAGTGGGCGGGCGACGTTGTCACTATCGCTATCTGATTCTGGTGCGTCGGACGAGCTGCGGATTGCGTACTCTGTGGCTGCTGATGGGTTCGTTTGATATCGTTTGATTTCGTTTGACCGTTCTGGTAGCAGCCGAGAGATGTCAGATGTGACGCCCGTAAGCATGTCGCTGTGAATGGTCACGGTAGCAGTGGGATTGAGGCCCACAAGGCGTCGCCAGTCGCCTACCGACTTCTGCTTCGAGCATGCGCCAAGCTTGCGCGCAGATTGCGCAATGAAGGTGCTGTGTGTGTATACACGGCGACATTTGGTGTAGCTACTTGGTACAGCGCCCGGAGACTGGTTGGCGGATCGCTGTGCATCACAGCTGGCGTCATGCAGATTCTGCGCGTCAAGCCCGCGACGGCGGATCTCCTTGTGCTCGTCCGTGTCGAGGGTTGCATGTCGGCTGGCCGTATGCGGAACGGGCGCCGCGTATTCGCCGTATGCACACGCGAGGTGGAAGACGGAGGCTAGCCTATCCGCCTGGCGCGTGTGGCCAAGGCGCACCGTACACACCGGAATCTTTCGACGACGCTCATACCGAGCTGGCCTTAGCCGATGATCGCTGTAGTCTTTTATTATCTTCTGCTGCCTCCCGGAGCTTTGGCTTTGATTTGTCCCTCACTTCCCGTCCTTCTCTGTATCCTCCCATAATACACCCTTTAATACTTTGTTCTCTTGTTACACTAACTTTCGGGAAGGAGGTCACCCCTAGCATTGGAACTCGGCAGCACAACCTGAGCCGACTTGAAGGGGACCGCGAAGATGAGCTTGGTCGGCAACTTTACCTCCAACGGCGACCGCGAGGCTGCCCATAATGGAGTCGCCTCTGTCGGCGCTGCGCATCCCGCCGAGCGCACAGGTGCCGACGACTCGGACGACTCGACCATCGCCGAGGAAACGCGCCTAAACACACACAACAACACCGGCGCCGACGTCAAGGGCTCAACTTTCACCACCACACAAAACTCCGAAGCTGTCTCTGAAGCAGACAGCGCCGAGAGGCGCAATTCCGCCGTCCATGCATTAGCGCGGCGATACACACAGCAGAGCACGACCTCTACCGTGCTGCAGAATCCTTTCAACGCTACTATAGGCTCGGCGTTGGACCCCAATGGCGAGCACTTCAACGCCCGCGCCTGGGCCAAGGCCATGCTGCATACCCAGCTCGAGGACCCAGCTGCACCCCCGCCGCGCACCGCTGGTGTTGCTTTCCGGAATCTCAATGTGCACGGTTTTGGATCCGAAACCGACTACCAGAAGAGTGTTGGCAACGTGTGGTTAGAGGGTCCCGGGCTCGCGAGGAAACTCATGGGCAACAAGGGCAGCAAGATTGAGATTCTGCAGGACCTGGACGGTCTCGTCGAGGCCGGAGAGATGCTCGTCGTTCTTGGTCCTCCGGGATCTGGGTGCTCTACTTTCCTCAAGACAATTGCCGGAGAGACGCACGGTTTCTTCGTGGACCAGAACTCGGATGTCAACTATCAAGGTACGGCGGATATCTTATAATACAAACGTTGATGCTGACATGTAACAGGTATCGCTGCGAAGCAGATGGCCAAGGACTTCCGCGGAGAGGCCATCTACACTGCCGAAGTCGACGTGCACTTTCCCATGCTTACCGTCGGCGAGACCCTCTACTTCGCAGCTAAGGCTCGTGCCCCGCGGCACATTCCCGGTGGCGCGACCGTGAACCAATTCGCCGAGCACATGCGAGATGTCATCATGGCCATGTTCGGCATAAGCCATACCATCAACACTCGCGTCGGAAACGACTTCATCCGCGGTGTGTCCGGTGGAGAGCGCAAGCGTGTCAGTATCGCGGAAGCCATGCTCAGCAAAGCTCCTCTGCAATGCTGGGACAACAGTACCCGTGGTCTAGACAGTGCCAACGCCATCGAGTTCTGTAAGACGCTACGCATGGAGACCGAGATCAACGGTGCCACGGCTTGTGTTGCTATCTACCAGGCTCCGCAGGCTGCATATGATGTCTTTGACAAGGCGCTCGTCCTGTACGAAGGCAGGCAGATCTACTTCGGCCGCACAACAGAAGCCAAGCAGTTCTTTGTCAACATGGGTTTCGATTGCCCTGACCGCCAGACCGATGCCGATTTCTTGACATCCATGACAAGTCCTCTGGAACGTGTCGTCCGCCCCGGTTTCGAAGACCGCGTACCCCGCACTCCAGACGAATTCGCCCAGCGATGGAAGGACTCACCGGAGCGCGCCACGCTTTTGCTCCAAATCGAAGAGTACAACCAGAGGTTCCCCGTCGGTGGCGAGCAGCTACAGAAGTTCAGGGAGTCCCGGAAAGCACAGCAAGCCAAGGGCCAGCGCATCAAGTCACCGTACACCCTCTCATACATCCAACAAGTCCATCTCTGCCTGTGGCGTGGTTTCCGACGACTAATGGCCGATCCAAGTATCACGCTCACTCAACTCATCGCTAATTCCATTCTGGGCCTCATCATCTCTTCCGTCTTCTACAATCTCCCTTCGACCACGGAGAGCTTCTACTCTCGCGCTGCTCTTCTCTTCTTCGCTATTCTCATGAACGCCTTCGGTTCTGCCCTCGAAATTTTGACCTTGTACGCACAACGACCAATCGTCGAAAAGCATTCTCGATACGCGCTGTACCACCCATCGGCTGAGGCGGTCGCTTCTATGTTGACGGATATGCCCTACAAGATACTGAACGCCATCACATTTAACTTGGTCCTCTATTTCATGACGAACCTGAGACGAACACCGGGCAATTTCTTCTTCTTTGTACTGATATCCTTCCTTCTTACGCTCGTTATGTCCATGTTCTTCCGGTCCGTCGCATCCCTCTCACGCTCTCTCGTGCAAGCTTTGGCACCCGCAGCCATCTTGATCTTGGGTCTTGTCATGTATACAGGTTTCGCCATTCCTCCGAATTACGTTCTGGGCTGGTCAATATGGATTCGGTACCTGAATCCTGTAGCCTACGCATTCGAAGCTCTTATGATCAACGAGTTCCACAACCGCGATTTCGCCTGCGTCAACTTTGTACCCATGGGACCAGGATACGAAAATGCCTCTGGTGTTAATCACGTTTGCTCCACTGTCGGATCTCAGCCTGGCAATCCCTTTGTCAACGGAGACGACTACATCAACTCGGCTTTCGAATACTACGCCAAGAACAAGTGGAGGAACTTCGGTATCCTCTGGGTCTTCCTGTTCGGTCTCATGGGCGTCTACCTCGCAGCCACCGAGTTCATCACGGCCAAGAAATCTAAGGGTGAAGTCTTGGTGTTCCGCCGCGGACACAAGGCCATCAAGAAGAGCAGGTCCACCGATGATCTCGAGGCCGCACCCGCCGGCCGCAACGTCGCCGTCCAGAACCAATCCGATGACCTCGCCATGATTGAACGCCAGACCGCCATCTTCCAGTGGCAGAACGTGTGCTACGATATCAAAATCAAGAAGGAACCTCGCCGCATCTTAGACCACGTTGATGGTTGGGTTAAGCCTGGAACCTTGACCGCGCTCATGGGTGTCTCAGGTGCTGGTAAGACTACGCTTTTGGACTGTCTAGCTACTCGTACTACTATGGGTGTCATCACCGGAGAGATGCTTGTCGACGGCAAACCTCGTGACGACTCTTTCCAGCGGAAAACCGGTTACGCCCAACAACAGGATCTCCATCTGTCGACCTCTACCGTCCGTGAAGCTCTTACCTTCTCAGCTGTTCTCCGTCAGCCGGCGCATGTTCCTCGTCAAGAGAAGATTGACTATGTTGAGGAGGTGATCAAGCTTCTCGAGATGTCTGAATACGCTGATGCCATCGTCGGTGTTCCTGGCGAAGGTCTCAACGTCGAGCAGCGCAAGCGTCTTACCATTGGTGTCGAACTGGCCGCTAAGCCAGCCCTTCTGCTCTTCCTCGACGAACCCACCTCCGGATTAGACTCTCAGACCTCGTGGGCTATTCTCGATCTGTTGGACAAGCTGAAGAAGAACGGCCAAGCTATTCTCTGCACTATCCACCAGCCTTCTGCTATGCTTTTCGCCCGCTTCGACCGTCTTTTGTTCCTCAAGAAGGGTGGCCAGACTGTGTACTTTGGTGAGGTTGGTCCGAACTCTAAGATCCTGATCGACTACTTTGTGCGCCAAGGCGGAAAGCCTTGCCCGCCCGCTGCCAACCCCGCTGAATGGATGCTCGAGGTCATTGGTGCAGCTCCTGGATCTTCTACCGATATCGACTGGCACCAAGCATGGCGCAACTCGGACGAGTACGCCGCCGTTCAAGAACACCTCGCCGAGCTCAAGTACGAGCGCGGTCAGGCGACTGCGCTTGAACGCACTGTTTCAGCGCAGAAGCGTGACGACAAAGCCGCCTACCGCGAGTTCGCCGCACCCTTCGCAGAGCAGCTCCGCGAAGTTACCGTTCGTGTCTTCCAGCAATACTGGCGCACTCCCTCGTACATCTACTCCAAGACGGCGCTCTGTGCCCTCTCGGGTCTCTTCATCGGTTTCTCTCTCTTCAAGACACCGAACACCCAGCAAGGTCTCCAAAACCAAATGTTCGGTATCTTCATGCTCATGACCATCTTCGGCCAGCTCGTCCAGCAGATCATGCCCCACTTCGTCACGCAGCGCGCCCTCTACGAGGTCCGCGAACGCCCCAGCAAAGCCTACTCGTGGAAAGCCTTCATGATAGCCAACATCACCGTCGAACTCCCCTGGAACACCCTCATGGCCGTCCTCATCTTCTTCTGCTGGTACTACCCCATCGGGCTCTACGAGAACGCCGTCCCCACCGACGCCGTCACCCTCCGCGGCGCCCAGATGTTCCTCTTCCTCTGGATGTTCCTCCTCTTCACGTCCACCTTCGCCCACATGGTCATTGCGGGCGTCGAAATGGCCGAAGCAGGCGGCAACATCGCCAATCTGGCCTTCTCCCTCTGCCTCGTCTTCTGCGGTGTGCTCGCCACCCCCGAGCAGCTCCCCGGCTTCTGGATCTTCATGTACCGCGTCTCCCCCTTCAGCTACATGGTCGCAGGCATGCTCTCCGTCGGCGTCGCAAACACAAACGTCGTCTGCGCGCAAAACGAACTACTCCACTTCGAGCCTGCCAATGGCCAGACGTGCGGCGAGTACATGGGCGCCTATCAAAATTCGACCGGCGGCTATCCGCAGAACCCCTCCGCGACGTCGGGCTGCGAGTACTGCTCCATCGGCGACACGAATGTCTTCCTGGCTGGTGTCCACGCGGAGTACAGCCATGTGTGGCGCAACTTCGGGCTGCTGTGGGTGTACGTCGGGTTCAACATTGCGGGGGCGCTGTTCTTCTACTGGCTTGCGCGGGTGCCGAAGAAGGCGAAGAAGGAGAAGGAGGAGTTGTCTCCTGCGCAGGTGCAGGCTGAGGAGAGGGCTTTGGAGCGCGTGCGGACGAATAGGTCGCGGCGCACGGGTGGGGGGGAGAAGGAGGAGATTGAGCCGGCGCAGGCGGAGGCGCCGGAGGTTGTGAGGGAGAAGGCGTAGTGTGGTCTCACTCTCCTCTCTCTTATCGGGTGTCCTGGCCCCAGCGGGTCGAATTTTTTTTTCTTTTTTTCTTCGACACGTTTTCCGTGTTGTCCAAGCGTGGCATTTAGCATGCATCGTTTTCTTTTCTCTCTTTCTTAGTCATCTATGGGGGGCGTAGACATAGAGTCGCGCTGCCTTTGAGCATTTATCTAATATAGGCGGATTGTACATAGAAATGTGCGATTAAGACTTCCTTTCGTGCATGGTTTGCAAATTGATGGTGTTGAGAAGTGAAGTGATGTTGATGCTGGGTTGGATGTGATATGATGACAAGACTTGGTTGATTTGGGGATTATTGAGAAGGGTGGGGGTGCTGTGCTCTGCTGTGCTAGTCGAGATTAGACGACACAATGGAGATACTGCATATCTACATCTATACGAACACGTACTTCTGCAGACGGTTTATTCCCCGTTATATCGCATCTTGGTTCGAATAGATAAGGGTAGAGGGTGGGTGCGTGGGTACGTGGGTTGTGCTTTGGTGGAGGTTGGAGGTGTGTATGTGCTATCGTTTGATATTGTATAGGAGGTTGAATGGGAGAGGTAGTAGCAATATCTTTGCGTCCAGGGCTGAAGGGGAGGAGGTGGGTACGGTGTGGGATGTTGGTGGTAAGGATGAGCATGTTGAAGAGAGTGGAACGGCGTTTGCGGAGGAGGGGGAAACGACGGATTGCTTAGTTTCTCAATTTAAGGGAGGCTCGTTGCTGTTGCGGAGGAGTTGTCGCGCGAATTGGCGTCGGGTATGGGACGGATTTGTTTTGCTGGGGTGTGCTGGGCGGAGTAGTGCTTGGGTGGTACTGCGGGAACGCATCTGTAAGTCTCTACTTATATGCATAGTGGATATTGGGGTGGAAGATGGCTATCTCACCCCATTTGTGGGTACGTGGAAAACTGAGAAAGGTAACATGAAGGGGGGAGGAAGGTTGCTGTCAATGACTGGGGTCGAGGGATTTCTTTGAAAAAGGTCAGTGATCCTCATGCGGCAATAGGTTCGTAGAGTGTGAGTTTGTCCTGTGACAGGAATACTGAAACGATAAGCTATGCAAGGGGAAAAGTGACATAGAGTGGTCAAGTCGTCTGTCTGGTGTTCATTAAGGGCGTGATAGACACACAATCGCCATGCAAGTCATGCGAAAGGCATGAGCTCGTAGGCCATGAGCCATTGCTGCCGTATTCAATGCACCACAGCAATCGTGATGGCGTAACCATGTGACAAGCACGATATGGGATGTGTCCGGCGACCGACTTGAAGGACGGTGATCTGACATATCCTTCAAGCGTTGGGCAACACTAAGCGTGTCATGGGGCCGACTGGTTCGTACAAATTGAATGTGTTGCCTTCTGCGCCTTCTTGGAGCTGGTGGTTCGACTCTCCTGCGAAGGCGATGTTTAGACTTAGGCTTCCCGAACCCATGGTAGCGTGCTCATCGATGAAGAAGTGGGTACCGTGACAGCGAAGCGCTCGTATCCGCGCATGCTCGCTAGTATTTTCTCAATGAGGTTAAAATCTCAAAAATGCGATACGGTTATCCTACGCCATATCGTATTGGGCCGAGCTAAAGCCTCGCTTGAGTTGTCCATCGGTATGCTGTACGTCCAGATATAGCTCTAAAGCAGCACAATATGTTTCAACTGCGTCCTTGAACTGAGCACCGCGTAAAAGCTTGTAGCGTATCAGCCCCTGGACTACAGTGTTTTGAACCGGTCAAGGTTACACCGAGTATGCCCATCGGACATATCACCGCAGACAAATTTCTCCGCCCGTTTTTTGTACGCGCGTACCTCGTTTCCCACGCGATATCGACTCGTAACGGATAACTATCGATGGCGTCCTTTGACTACTGCAGGGCTATGATGGTGAGGTGCATCAGCGTCTCCACTGACCGGTTAGTGTCGCGTGACTTGAGGAAAGAGTAACTTGGTTGCCTTGGTTGCTACATCACGCCGACTGTTATCGTAAGAGTAGGATGATGTGAGATGCCAGCTGAATCGCCACTTCGTTCCACAGCGGTGTGTTTCTGTCCAGCGTGACTCCAGAAAGCCCATGGCTGCGGAGGTATGATGCAGAAGAAGTTCATCATATCCTCGTGGTGAGCGAAGAGCTGCAGCCCCAGATAGATCGACCACGATGCTTGTGGCTCGCTTATCGGGACCGAGTGCCGGCTACCAGGCACGCTAGGTACGTATCGGCAGATTCTTTCACACACCAACGCAACACCATAGCGAAGACATTTGTTTCAGAAGAGTATATTCCCAAATATTAGCACGAATTGCTTCAAAGTCAATTTTATTATGGTTTCGGTACCAGTTCTCACGAGGCCACCATGCTGTAGCCACAGAAAGGCGTATGACGCGTCGATACACTACATAGCAAGACGAGTCATGAGGGACCTCCCAGAAAGCTTAGCATTACACGTAGGGCCACCATCAGCTGTGTGCTCGTCGCCAGGTATCCGGGAATAGCAACCATCGTGGGCTACCTGAGCTTAAACAACCCAGCTTCGGCTTGGCGATCTGCAGGGCGGCGGATACCGGATGGATGCCAATACTTGATCTGTAGAGCTATCAGCCTCTGACTCCACACGTTGATCCGCCTTCTGCTAAGAAAACATCGTTAAGCGAACCTCTAGAGATCACCAACGAACGGTGACCTTTCTCACACCTCATCAGCTGCCAATGGGAACGCCCGATTGGCTCAGAATCCTGCTTGGTCGACTGGCCTATACCATTTGCGGTCCAGACATGCGTGAATGAGGAACTTCCAGTGTATCTTTCTGCATTGCTCACTATCGTAGCTCGCCAATTCTCGCATCATCGGACACGGATGGGGTATCCACTGAGGATTAGACCTGCGCCACTTGGCAGTACCGGTCAGCATGAACCCCACAAGGTTCGATATACTGTACGAGCGTCTAGGAAGGTTCCTCGTATGTATGACATGGTTGAAAGTATAGTGCCTATTAGGCCTCGACTGTCATACAGCCCGGCTGCTGTTCGAAGCGCCTATAAAGCGTGGTGCCATGCGGGCTCAAGATTGATCTCAGAAAGCCATCCGGAACGCAGTCTCAGGAGATCATAATCTGGGCAGGGCTTCACTCTTTCAGTCCCTGACCGACGCTTTTCCCCGTCTCTGCTTGTCCCCCTTTTGTTGAACATCGTACCGGGCACATTGCAGAGGATACAGCTTTGCAGCGCTGTGTCTTAATCACAGTCTTAGGGTAACACTGTCAGATCTGTGGTGGAGCATCTTTTCTAATATAGTTCAGACATGCTGCTCAAGTACTTGACGGCGGCGGCCTTTGCCATATGTGTAACCGCTCAGACCCCACTCGAGGTCAGTCATGATGGCAGCTGTGGCGACGGCGTGAGCTGCCGAGGCTCAATGTTTGGAGGCTGCTGTAGTGCCTCGGGGAAGTGTGGATCGTATGTGCCCTTCACAGACTGCGCATGATCTCGTGCTGATTTCTTCTAGTTCAATGGACTATTGCGGCGACGGCTGCCAACTCAAGTTCGGTCACTGCGAAAAGACCGTAGGGGGAGCCTTCACCGGATGGAACCTGCGGAGGTGACACAGGGTTCACTTGCAAAGACTCAGAATTTGGTGACTGCTGTAGCCAGTACCATTGGTGTGGGTCATCAAAGGACCATTGCGGCACAGGCTGCGAGTCTGGATTCGGAGACTGTTCAGCCTCTCTTGACGGCATCAAAGCCAACGCAACTGCATCCACCGCAAAGACACTTACGCCACGAGCTACGAAAGCTCCCAATCCCTGTCCAGCAGCGAACGGAAAGACATACAAGTCCGAATGCGGCGCTGAATTTCGTCTAGAGTGCGACCGGGATCGAATTAACGGCGATGTGCATTGGTCAGGCAACGGTTTCTACACCAATACCCTAGAGGAATGTGCTGCTGCATGCGCTCGGTGGCCTCAATGCAAAGGTGTCAACTGGGTCGACTACCACACTTTTGGTCCTTGTTATATGAAGACGAGTAACACACGAGCACGCAAGAACAGCGGTGTTCATGGTGCTGTTATGCTTAAGGGCTGCACAAAGTGGCGCCCTACCAAAACGCCAGCTTTGGACCAACCTCCGTTTGGCACACCAAAGCATACCAAGTCAACCAAATCAGCCAAATCAACCAAATCGACTAAAGCGACTAAATCAACCAAAGTGTCATCGAAGCCTTATGCTACCGCGAGCGGCTTCACTACAGTGACTACTAACTCGGCTCTCTCGACGATCACGCCAATCTCATCCGGCACTACCAAGAAATCGACAGCTGTTTCTTCATCCAGGGCTACAGCAAGTGCTTCTACCTGTGCGAGCGAGTTCAACAAGCGAGAGGAGGAGGAGGACGATGAGTGTACACCTTGTGAAGGACAATCGGGCTCGCTCCCGTACTGCGGCGCCGATGTCAACACCGACCATTATCAATTCACACCAAAGACATGTCGCACAGTCTACTACGAATTCGACATCACAAACGGTACTGTCGCGCCAGACGGCTTTGAGAGAATCGCCTTCTTAATCAACGGACAGATGCCGGGACCGACGATCGAAGCCAATTGGGGCGACACCGTTGTTCTGAAAGTTAATAACAAATTGACAGTTAACGGCACATCTGTGCACTTCCACGGAATTCGCCAGCTGAACACTGTGGAGAACGATGGCGTGCCTTCTATCACGCAATGCCCTATTGCGCCGGGTGAATCGTTCACGTACAAGTTTGTTGCGACCAACTACGGAACTTCGTGGTATCACAGCCACTACGCGATCCAAGCATGGATGGGTGTTTTTGGACCTATGGTAATACATGGACCGACATCTAAAGAGTATGATGTCGACGCCGGGACCATCTTCCTCAACGACTGGTCGCATGAGACCGTAGATTCACTATACGATGCGGCGCAAGACTCCGTCAACGGCGGACCTCGTATCATGGACAATGGCTTGATCAACGGAATGAACACTTGGGGTGTGCAAGGCAGCTCTAACCAGACCGGGCAGCGGTTCGAACTTCCTACCCAACTTGAACCCGGAAAGACGTACCTCTTCCGTATCATCAACGGCGCGATACAATCATCTTACAAATGGTACATCGATGGTCATAAGCTCCAAGTAATTGGCATGGACTTCACCAGCATTGTACCTTACGAGACGGACATCATCAGCATCAACATCGGCCAAAGATACATGGTTCTTGTGAAGGCCGATCAACCAGCGGGAGACTACTGGATGCGAGCGGACAACCAGAACGCCTGCGACGAGACCACCCAAGCCGACGACATCAAAGCCATCGTGCGCTACTCTGGTAGCGACTCCAAGTCCGTCCCTACCACAACGAAGTACAACTACACTGGAGAATGCGTCGACGAGCCGCTGTCCTCGCTTGTGCCGGTCGCAAAGCTTAACCCTACAAGCAGCGACGTCGAGTTCGTCGAAGACGTCACCCTCAGCACTGTAGATAACCTTTTCAAGTGGTATCTCAGCGGCACAACATTCATGTCGCACTACGAAGACCCCACGCTCGTGCGCATCCTCGCCAACGGCACGGCCCCAACCTACGCAGGCGACCTCGTCCTCTCCCTCCCCGAGATGGGCAAATGGGTTTACATCATCGTGGAATCCGCCATCCCACTACCCCACCCGATCCACCTTCACGGCCACGACTTCTTCATCCTTGCTGCGGGCAATGGAACATACTCCAAATCCACGCCTCTCAACTTCAACAACCCGCCGAGGAGAGACACCGCGATCATGCCCGCAGCAGGGTTCTTGGTGTTGGGGTTCTTGACGGACAATCCGGGAACCTGGTTGATGCATTGCCATATCGGATGGCATACCAGCGAAGGGTTTGCGCTGCAGATTGTGGAGGGCTTGGATATGATTGAAGGGACGGTCAAAGACAAGTGTGGATTGTACGATACCTGTGCGAAGTGGGATGATTGGGTGGAGAGCGTGGCATTCTACCAGCAAGATTCGGGGGTTTAGATGTTGGACTCGCTAAGGCCACATGTTCTAGGCCACATACTCTAGACCATATGTTCTAGGCCGCATATTCCAGGCCATATACTCTAGGCCATATGTTCTGGGCCATGTATTCTAGGCCAGATTTCATGAGTCACGAATGACGAATTGTTTACTGATCGTGCGGGTCGAGGGCAAGAGCGTGGTGAGGAATGTGAGCTTGCCGCCCTTGCAAGAGTGCGTGGCGCGCGTCTAATTGCGGACGATGAGCTGTGGTATGCTGTGGATGCGTCAGTGACGTGACATGCTCATGAGATTTGAGATTTAGTGGCAATGAGCCTGCGGAAGGTGTTTTCATATCTCTGGGGCATGTTCTGGATTGCCATGGTTGTACCTTCTATGTTGGAATCACAGCGCTGCAGATGTAGGCTGTTCAAGCATCAATTTCCGTGCTTGGCAGCAAGCCTGATGGATAGACAAAGTCTTTCTGCATTGAGGTCGGGGCGAGTGTATGCTGTGGAGCAGCAGTAAGTGAGTGCAGGATATGGCACCATTGAAATATCAGATACGGTGACTGCGAGCGAGACGATCTCTCTGGACTATTCTGATGCACCACAAATTTGGTAACAACTGTGCAGAATCGCAGTGGTGCCTTCTGTGGCCTCGTCGGTAACGAATAATGACTGAAGGTTGTTGAAGAGATGCGAGTAAGTCGAACATTGTGCCAAGTTTGCGTCTCCAAGTGCCGTATTTGCTAAAAGGACAGCGGAGAAGTTGTGGCCATAACCTTGCGGGCGTCTGTTGATTCCTGAAATGAGTGAAGACCTTGATGGCAAAGGTGCATTCACTGAAGCGCTCTTAACGAACTCCGTGGGCTCACCTACCCTGGCGAATGGCACCATTTAATTGAAAAGAATGCAACCGTTCCGAAACTGATAGCATGTTACAACTTGCGATATTCGATACGGAGACTGATGTAGTTCTCCACTCGTGGCGTCGAAGGGGACGCTGTGAAGCCTTGGTCAATCGGCCATGGCGGAATTTGCCGTCAGGGTAAACCGGAAGGAGACGAGGGGTTAGATGAAAAAATACCTAGAAGGCGTACTACGCGCGGCTATACATATAACCTACCTCGGGGCCTGGACGTTGTAGGAAGGTTCCTAACATGCATGTCAATCAGCGCATGGCCTAGCTGCATGTAATGAGATCTAGGATGGTGCTTGAAGCAGGCGATTAAGGTACAAGCGAATGATTGTCCCGGGGTTCTCTGCCCTTCGCCAAGTCTCGCTCCGGCAAACCTTGAGTCTCTCCGGGAGTGAACATTGGTGCGGGCCATGGACTCTTCCTTCCAGCATAGCCCACATAAAGTAGTGCCAAGCTCCGCGACAAAGCCATAAGAGGACCGCTCTTAAAAATTGAGACTGAGCCTGTGAAAAACATATTCAAGGCTTATGAGCTTTTCCGAGGCAATTAGGAGGCAAGGGGGGTCAGGGTGGACGGTGCTGGGAAATCCCCTGCTTCACCTGTACCTACCCGTACCTGCTTGCTGCCGTGTAACTTACCGTTAGCTTTTTGCATGCAATAGAATATCTTAATCACATCCGCCAGGTACCACTGACACTGGAAAAGCCACTGTTTTTAGCAGCACATGCTTCTCACCGTCCATGAGGCGTGAACAATAACAAGATCTACTGTCAAGATGTGGCTCAATTGATCCAGGCTCGAATTTACATTCAGAATTTAGGTCTGAAATTTGACCTGAAGCCTGGTGATTCAACACCAACGCGGAGCATTGCCGGTATATCGCGCCTGCGTACCGGAGAGACGGCCCTCTCATATACTGGCTCGCACCTAGATTTGGCGATTCAGGGTTAGGATCTCGACTGTAGAAGACATATGACTGCTTACTTGCGAGTAGATGTCCGCCAGAACGATGCGGTTAGTTGGTGGAAGTGCAGCCTTGTGCGACCGTAGGGAAGGGATCTCGGGTCGGATTGCTCCGAAACGCATTGGCCTCCGCCAAGATTCGGAGCAGGCCAAGTATCGCGTCATTCGCCAACTCTCCTCTTCAATCCTCCTACTTGCGTGGACTCCCGCAATGCCCCCTGCCACTCTTATCGCAATGTCCGCAGCGCAAGGCGTCAGTCCCGGACTGACTACACAAAGAGGCAGGCGACCACGCGGTGTGGCGCTCACGCGCATTCAGGGCGAGACAGTTGGCACCCAGCCAAGAACACGACGCGCAACCCCGTGTGCCTGACATCGCCAGTATCTGGAGGTGGCCAAAAACATGCTCAAACGACCGACAGCCCAATTGACCTCTTCAGGTATTGATCCCGAGCCACCACTGGCAGCTTTTTCGCAATGGCGGAAGGAGTGCAGCCACATCTTCACACCGTTCGGATGCAGCTGGTACAGCTCTAGAACCTTCAGACGACTGATCATCGAACTGCTGAATCGCCGCTCAGCGTTGTTCGTGTCATTCACCCCGGTTATCGCGTTATCATGTGGTTGTTTAAGGCCCCGTACCCCATAGATTGATGCGCGGTTCCACTAGCCGGAAAGAGGAGGTGCTTGGGCTTTACGTGCTTTTAAGCTTAAGTTAGCGGACGCTGCGGTCAGCAGATCGATGCGAAGGCTTGTGGGTGGTCAAGCTCGCCGACATCAGCTGTAGGGCTTGGCGCAGTCAAGTTGTTCCACGCCGGATCGCCTGCTCCTGGACAGTACATTCCTGGAAGCGGAAGGATGGAATGTGATCGCGCTTCGCGAGTCACTCCTCCGGCACTACGGGTTGTTCCATTGGCTTCCATGCAAATCACGCTTCCCAAGATCAGAGTTGATCGGCAATTGAGCCGAACAATGGCTAATTTGACCATAGCCTGTCATTGGACTTCAAACAAACAAGCAAACTCAGGGGACTCGCCTCTACGAGCATGCCCACGCACCGCGCTCCGACAGACACGAATCTACTTGCCGACCGTCCTCCAATATCTGATACTCTGTAGCTGTCTACAATCCACAGTCGTGCGGCCCAGACCATAGTTTACGCCAATAATATGCTCGAAGCGATAGCGGTTCGTCCCGAGCTTGTGGATGTTTTGGCCAGGGGATATCTGCATATTTTGTACTCATTATTCCATTCTAGGGGCAACTTCCGATGACGATCTAAACAAACAACCAATAAACTTAAGATCCCACCCACATCACATCAAAGAGCCCATGCTTTCCAAGAGAGACCACTGCTATGGCTTACTCCGGACCGGCTTCTGTCTTCCTTCTTGCTGCATAGTCGCCTTATCTGGCCAGGGTCTTAACCTTTGTCGATCGTGTCCCCTGCGTGAGATCAACCCCCCGGCGCCTTGCCCCACAGCGACTGCTAAGCTCACATCCCTGAACCAGTAAGTATCTTAATATCAACTGCTTGGCTAAGTCTTGGACTGGTGTCACTCCAAGTAGTTTCCCATCGTCTGTGCCTGGAGCACCCTACTGTCAGTTTGCTATCGATGCTAATGTCGTGACTAGGGCCTTTACTGCCGGTTGTCTTGTACGACCTCCCCTCTTGGGCTACGAGAGCTCCACTGCCACGTTGAGCCGCGGTGTCGTTGCCGAAGCTTCTTGTTGTGATTCTGCAAACGTCGGACACGCGATACCTGTGTAGCTTGAGTGCTGGTCCGTTTTGGAAGGTGCACCGCCTGTCGTTATTCACTCTACCTGCTGCAGGTCTGGCGTCACAACTATATAAGGACCATCTACATCTCACGAAAATCACCAGGCCCAGTCACTCCAGTCTTCTGCCCCATATCACCGACCTTCGCTCCAGCTCACCGGCTCTCTTCGTTGACATCTCTCCAAGATGCGTCTCGAATTCATCACTCTCGCAGCCCTGCCTTTGGTGCTAGGCGCTCCGGTCGTCACTCCTCTGTCCGGCCAGGTCATTCCCGGAAGGTACATTGTCAAGTTCAAGAACAGTGACATCGCCGCCTCTGCTGTCAACGCCGCTCTTGCTCTGCTGCCGAAAGCTCCCGCCCATACCTACAGCCTTAGCAACTTCAAGGGTTTCGCTGGTGAGCTCAGTGACGTGATGGTCAAGGTCATTGCAGCTCTTCCCAACGTCAGTGTGTCCATATCCTCATGTAGTTCGTTGTTGATCATTTGTCTAGGTTGAGTACATTGAACAGGACGCTATTGTCAAGGCCACTGTCTGGGAAGAGGACGTAGCTCTCGACAAGAAGGCTCTCACAACCCAGACCAGTGCCACATGGGGTCTTGGCCGCATCTCGCACGTGAACAAGGGCTCGACCTCTTACATTTACGACACCACCGCGGGATCGGGTACGTGTGCCTACGTCATTGACACCGGTATCTACACCTCGCACCCCGAATTCGAGGGTCGTGCCACCTTCCTCGCCAACTACGCTGGCGATGGCTCTAACACCGACGGCAATGGCCACGGCACCCACGTCGCTGGGACTATCGGTTCCAAGACCTACGGCGTTGCGAAGAAGACTAACCTCTACGCTGTCAAGGTCCTTGACTCCAGCGGCTCTGTATGTCTTGATTCCACAAAAATAGGACTGAATCGGTCCGTAAGCTTACTGTAACCTAGGGTACTAACTCTGGTGTCATTGCTGGCATCAACTTTGTCGCCAGCGACGTCAGGACTCGCAGCTGCCCCAACGGTGCTGTTGCTAACATGTCTCTCGGTGGCAGCAAGTCCACCGCCGTGAACTCCGCCGCCGCCGGTGTCGTCTCTGCCGGTGTCTTCATGGCTGTTGCCGCTGGTAACGAGGCCCAAGCGGCTGCCAACGTCTCCCCCGCTTCTGAGCCTACTGTCTTCACCGTTGGTGCCACCGACAGCTCTGACGCTTTCGCCTCCTTTTCCAACTACGGCTCCACGGTCGACGCTAACGCTCCTGGTGTTTCCATCCTTTCCACCTGGTTGAACGGTGGTACTGTAAGTGACACAGCCAGCCTTGGTTCGATACCGAACGCTAATTCTGCCTCTAGAACACCATCTCCGGAACCTCGATGGCTTCTCCTCACGTCGCTGGTCTCGGTGCTTACCTCTTGGCTCTTGAGGGCAAGGTTACTCCTGCCGCTCTTACCTCCCGCATCACGTCTCTTTCCAACAAGAACAAGATCACCGGCATCCCCAGTGGAACCCCCAACTACCTTATCTACAACGGCAACGGCGCATAAGTCTGCTTCTTGAAGTCATCTAATGTCTAGTATGCTATTTAGCATCTTTAAGCATGTTGAAGAGTGATCAGGGCGCTTAGGGTCGTGCATAGTGGGTGGATTGCATCAATGTTCTTGCGATGTTACGGCGCGTGTGTGGCTATAACTGATCCATTCTCAATTGAAGCATCTTCTGATTGATCATCCTCTATTCTCACCGCTTGGCCTTGTGACTTGTTCCTTTCGTTCGGGACCGAATGACTATGCTGCTGAACAGTAAGCGTACGATGTAGCACGCCACACGCGAATGGCTACTGCAGCCACGCCGCTGCCCTTGTGACGGACGCTAGGCTGTGCCACAGCGCGAACTCCGAAGGATACACGCGCAGTAGTTTCTGGCTAGTCTGACGACGCAGGTACGACCGTCTAACGTTTCTTTGACAGCATGCGAAGTACGGCGGGTCATTCAGAGGATGCGGCTCCCTGCATTAAATCCGGTGCGCTCCTTCATATGCCACAAGTAGTGAGCGCTCAGACAAGCAGAGCCATCGAAGCCAATATTCTACCTTCACTGTATGATCAATGTACAGATGCCTTGAATTGTATAAAGCTGCCTATTATCAACGTTGTCATATTTCTAGTTCGCAACGCCTCCTATCCCAACCTAGCCTACCATCAGAGGGCCATCATGACTACTTGTTGTCGTACTTCGACCGATGACCAGTTGCGGTCAGCCAGCGTTTCAATGTTTCACCTTTGGCAGACGCCAGCTTATCCGATTTGATACCTCCCCCACCTGCCAGAGATGCTCGGGTCATTCTGCCGTCGATGACAAGAAGTTGCGTCAATGCTTTCTTTGTACGTAATTCGACAGCCTGATCAGCATGGCGGCAGCTTAAGGCATTACTTGGTCTGTCGTAAGTAGATGACTAGGCGATGGTTGAAATAAGCTCATGCGGCTGCAAAATGGTTGAATTAAGCTCCTGGTGCGGCTGCAAAATGTCATGGCGACAAGGCTTCTAAGATCTTCACACGGATCTGGAAACTGCCCTTTTCAGATGTCGATCTTGTCATGTGCTTGTTATGATATTCCCGGATCTTCATGAACACCATGTGCATCGGGTAGATTGTTTCGCCAAGGGGTGCTCCAAAGCCTCGGGTCGAGTCTGCATTCTCTCTTTCGCCACTTTGATCACGCGCTGTTAGGTAACGCTCGTGGGAATAGCTTTGATGTGACTTGTTGGTGTTTTCTTGAGTATTGATGCCTATGATGGAACCATGGTACACTACGTAGCTTGATAGCACTGAGAGCCCGAGTCTGCATGCTATATGGAGCGCAACGAATCAGGACAGGGCCCAGTGTTGAATTGATATATGAGAATGTGGTCAAGAGTTTTTGATGGGATGTTAATATATATTGCCGGGCAAGCGGCAAATTGGGACCTTATGTGCGACAACCGCATAGTGAGGACCTGCTCCGTATCCGATGTAAGGAGCAGGCATGTGGAGCCTCTTATTCTAGCCTCCGCAACATCACGTCGGAGCCTGCATGCTATCTACCTCAACCCAAAGGACATCAGCCGCAAAGTTCAAGCATCAAACCGAGACGGAATTTCGAACAGAGAACCAGTGCCTGATCGAGGGCCATCGACCTTCCTAACGCGGACTGGACTTCAAAACGTCAAGTACCACACACTGTAAGTGGCACTGCGAGTCCGCGACTACCAAATTGCCGCGGAGCGTGAACAGAATTAGGATCTCAACTATGCCGCAACTATACCGCAACTATTGTGTGCATTGTGCGCTCGGGCCTCTGTGAAATACGCGCCAATGGTAGGAGGAGACGAACAGCTACAGGAATCAACCAGCATAGCATTAAGACTAGTCATGCCGTCGTCTCCAGCAACACCTAATAGAACGCACGCTCACGCAACGGAGCAAGACGTTCGGCGTTCTTCGTTGTTCTGATCTTCGGCTTCTGGCAGGTGCAACCTTGCGGATGCTTACCGATGTCGAATCGGCAGAGCATCCTCCTTCAGCTGCAATTCCACGAGGAAAGAGGACACTGCTCACCAGAGTGTTCATGTGGACCAGAACTCGAAAAGTACATACGGAACTGTAAATCGATTGCGATTGGTATAACGTGTAATCCTCTGCAGGCGCCGGGCATTCGAACACTGTCTCTCGAGGCGACATGAGGCCTAGAATCAGCACGCATGCAGCCAACAACCCCCTTATCACCACCGCCTCCAATGGGTCCAGGCAGTCGAATTGCGAAGCGAAGTTTGACCGATGCTTGCACGCACATGCACACCAAAGCCTACGGTTCCGCATATAAGCTGTCGCCTCTGCGCACGAAAGAGAGCGCGCATTGAACATAGTAGTGCTCGCCAGCGCACATCTTTTCGAACAAGACTCTTCGAGTCGCGAAAGCCTCGTGCAGGCCTATACTCGGTCTTCAATCTGACTTTGGTCTGCAAGGTCTCGGCAATACCACTCCTCGTTTCCCAATAACTCCATCCGCCAGCTCTCGCCCACTACAATCGTGATACGTGCTTGAGATTGTGGAGCGGACAAAAACTCCACCGCCTTCAGGCTGACGTTGTGTGGTATGCCTATTCTCTTTCTTCCGCATTATCCACTCTGACACAATCTCTTCGAACAGCAGAATTCACACCAAGACCGGCCCAGATGTATTGGAACATCGATCTCTCTAATCAGATGCAGTAACAGCCGTTGAAAGGATGCACGCGACATTCGTACCACTCGTTTGTTCATGCGCAACAGCCTGGCGAAAATACAGAGTCAGAGTTAAGGGACACAGCCAACCTAGGATTCTCGCTACATGCGCGAATCAGTTATGCTAGTTAGGGTTCACGAAAATACTCTTGCGAATAGTTGTCGGATCGAAGCTTGTCACTTCCAGCTGACCTAGATGTCAGTTCGTTTTCCAACTTGCCACTCGGCCGCGATTGGGGACCGGCGTTCTGACGACTTGCAACAACATTTACCTATCCCGCCTCGGTCAGTAACACCAAGGTACGGACCGATCATCGCTTTCTGGTGCATGTCACCAGATCTTATCACGCAACATTCGGTGACAGTGCCCACAGCTTAGCACACCGGCATGCATCTGAACGGGAGCGGCGACTAGTGTGAGATAGGACCCTTTCCAAACCCTGATCTGCCTCGCTTCTGACTAGAGTAGATCTGCATGATCTACATCATGGTCGATCCGCTTCATCAACTTCTTGCTGATATCAGTATCAAAGGCAAAACAAGAGGGTCACTCGGTCAAGTGTCAGCATGGAGACCCACGACAATCGTAGCTATGACAGGAAGAGCATCGCAACGTATTGCCGAACATCAACATCACAGCCCCACGACGAGGCAGTACAGTACCCCAAGCTTGCAGCAAGACGCCTTATCCTCTTATCTTTCCATCATGGCTTGGCATGCACGCGTGCATTATTGTACGTCTCACGGCAGAATCCCTTTTTGGTAGGTCCTAGGTTCGCCGCAAGTCATTACAAGCTTTTGTCTTAGGCAATCGAATGACGATTTAATCTAAAGCAACACAGCCGACTCCGACAGCGAATCAAATACCGATCGGCAACTCTCTACCGGAGGACATCCCTGCCAGTGCCGACGCAGCGGAGCAGGCTAATATATTAGGTGCACAGACCACCCTTTGAGAGGTAGACGCACGAGATCTATCCCCACGTTCAACACGGCCTCTGCTGAATCCCTTCGTATGGGTGTATCCTCGCAAGTCAGTCTGTGACTGTATGCTCACCGGTCACTACTACTCGGCGATGAGGGCCGTGCCATCGCGCGAAGACAATGGTCGGATCTTTATTCTGGTCATCTTACATTTTCACGCTTGATCAAGGACCGTTTCGAGACCTCTGACACGAAAAAAGACATTTGCGACGGTATTGGATCATAAGCTGGTGCAAGAAGTCGAGTAAAGAAGTAACCAATCAGTTAAAGCATATCGGGGGCGAAGTTCTACAAGCGTTAGCGCAAACGACGATCCACCGCATCTGCTGCTGACTGTCCATTGCAACCCGAACTGTTGTTCGGCCTGGCAAGCCTTATCTGCTATCGAACCTTTCCACTCACAGTCCCGCGTTTCGCGATAGCAGGGTTCGGAATACAGACCTTGGCGGCAACACTACTTGACATCGACGTCTATCCGGTAGGTTCCTATGTTGGGGACTTGGACTAGCCGTCAAGAGAGGTGAAAATGGAGTAAACTTGCTCGTATCACACTCCGGATCCTTCCTACCCCACTGTGGGTCGATATAGGCAGAACCATTGACGTGGGATCTTCAACGGCTGTGTGCGGAGATGCCGCACACGATCCTACCAATACCTTCAAGAAGTTTCAGGGCAGGAATATGTCCCTCTAGACGCGCTGACGGCCACTAACTGTTTCGAGCGAGATGCATGCATCCAGGGTCTGCGAGAAGTCGTTTGGCATGCCACCTCCCACCCGTTCTTCAACGAGTCCACGTTGTGCCTGACACCGATAAGGGCAGCTTCACATGCGTTGAGCTGGCCTCCGCGATGACCACGCTGGCCTTCGCCAGCTGTGAAACGATTTGAGATGCCGATGCCGGGAAGGGTCGATGGTTCTTGCGAGCATCTACAAACTTTGGTAGAGGATGGGCACATGGCTGATGGTGCACCCTGCGACATTGTGCCTACCCGCGCAGATGACATGGGTCAGCATCCTATCGGGCTGTGTGAAGGCTCTCTTAGGGCAACCTGTAGTGTCATTCTACTGCATCATAGTATTTGGCTTTGCCTCAAAGGAACCACCAAGGCTGCAGCTACGCCAGGGTTCGTTGTTCAGGCCACTACTGGGGAAGGTGGGATGGCACAACGGCAGCACCTGCCCTTCACGAACGGCATGGCCGCATCTATAAAGAGAGCGCTTACAGCCAAACAGTACTGCTTCAGCTCACATACTTCAGCACAGTCAAGCAATAGAGCTTGCCGTTGTTCCCCACGAGTCACATTCCGCTGCAGTATTTGTTAATCCGCTTGCCTACCTACAACATGTATACCTCTTTGCTTCTCGCACTCGCGCCTGCTGCCGCCCTTGCAGCACCCCTCCTCCAACAGCGAGATGCTCTACCTGGCAAATACATCGTTAAAATGAAGAGCGACACAATGTCAACCATGAGCTCGATGACAGCCGACCTAGCGAACGTCCCGGAGCACGAGTACTCCTTCAGTGGTTTCACGGGCTTTGCCGGTACCCTCTCAGACACCGAGCTTGCGAACCTCAAAGCATCGTCCGCTGTAGGTTAATTCGAGATATCTCAGAGGACGAGGAATCATTGGGTGTGGTGTACTTACTTTGGTCTCATAGGTCGACTACATCATCCAGGATGCTGAGGTGACGACTCAAGATATTCAGTATGAAGCGGATGCTCCATGGGGTAAGTCGACACGGAACGAACAAACAATTGCAATTTCTCACGGTATTCACAAGGCCTCGGCCGTATCTCTCACGTTGAGAAGGGCAACACTACCTACGCCTATGACTCATCAGCTGGCGAGGGCACTTGCGCCTATGTCATTGATACTGGCATCCTTACGACCCATCCGGAGTTTGAAGGGCGCGCTGAGTGGCTGGAGAACTTTACTGGCGACGGCGATGACTCGGATGGCGCAGGTAAGCCAGTGTAGCCCAACTGATGCGTTACATTTCTGAACTGCAACAGGTCACGGCACTCACGTCGCTGGTACTATTGGTTCCGTCACTTACGGCGTTGCCAAGAAGACTAAGCTGTATGCCGTCAAGGTGCTTGACGCCTCAGGCTCCGGTACCTACTCTGGAGTGATTGCTGGCATTGATTACGTGGCGACCGACCATACTACTCGCGACTGCCCCAAGGGCTCTGTTGCCAATATGTCCCTTGGTGGAGGAAAAAACCAAGCTGTCAACGACGCTGTGAGTCCATTTCTAAGAGCTTATAGGGTGCCTGGATATACGACTTGCACCATTATGTTTCATGTTGTGGAAAACACGTGTGCTGATCTATGACCAGGTAGCAGCCGCCGTAGCCTCAGGTGTCTTCTTTGCCATCGCCGCAGGAAACAACAACGGTAATGCCGCGAACTACTCTCCTGCATCGGAGCCTACTGCTTTCACCGTGGCCGCCTCCGACATCAACGATGCAAAGGCCTCTTTCTCCAACTACGGCGCTCTCGTTGACATCTGGGGCCCTGGCGTCAGCATTCTCAGCACGTGGAACGATGGCTCGACCAACACTATCAGCGGCACATCGATGGCTACTCCCCACATTGCCGGACTGGCCGCCTACCTTTTGGGTACTGATGTTGCTACCGTGGACACCGTTGGCCAGACCATCGTCGATCTGGCTACGAAGGATGTCCTGACGGGTGTACCCGCCGGAACCATCAATGCTGTGGCGTTCAACGGTGTCACCGCTTAGGTGCCGGACGCTGGCATTACGACGACCACTACAACAACGACCACTACAGCCTCAACCACATCTGTCTCGATCACTGTGACGACTGAACCCGGGGTCAGATCTGCTGCTTTTGAGCCTACCTCTTGGCCCGCCATCTGATGCTTCAGTCGTTTCTGGGAAGAATAGAAGATGTTGTGTCGACAATGCTATGGGTGGCGCAGGAGACTGGCCATGCTATTCATACATTCTGTCCAAGCTAGCCTAATTACTAAACCTTGATGATACAACTGTCAAGTTCGCATCCGAAACCATGTGCTATGAACAGGACCATACTACCAAATCAGACGCTATTGTGGGAAGCTAGCTCAAACCTCGTGAGCAGAAATTGACAGGCCGAGCAACACGGAAAAGCTAACGGTAACGGAAGCTTGAGTGCATACTCATACGTTCATCTTCCGAACAAGAAAAGGCATGTGCACGTTGAAGTACGGTCGTATACAGTTTGTTCTTTGTGTGATCATACAAATCGAGACTATACTGACAGTATCATCTATCAAACGAGATTGCTCCACAAACGTCGACGTGCCATCATCGCAGAATCCGCTCATAACGATCCGCATCCACCACAGAAATACACATTAAACATTACCCGAAAAAATCGTCGCGCCGCATCAGAAGTTCGTGCAGTACTTTCCGAACTTACGATCAGTAAGCGGCTGCGGAAACACGCCCTCATCCAGCAGCTGGAAAAGATCCCACTCGCCCGCGCTCCCCTCGGTCTTGAAGTTCCAGAAGATCCAGCCCTTCGTTTTATTTTCGAAAGCGTCAAGCTGCGTCTCGATGTACTTGCGTACGTCGTCTTTCCACCACTGCTCCCAGGTGTTCACCTCTCCGCTCAGATTGGGCCCCCAGCACGAGCCCATCCACCAGCTGCCTTGGTACGATCCCTCGTGGCGGTTCCCTGCTCGGAAGCCGTTCAGATGAGGAGCGCAGTCGGTCATTGCGCCGGACCATTCACCGACGACCATCCACTTGTCTGAATCGGCCCAGTAGTCAGCTGCTTGACAGACGGACTGTCTGTGTTCATCGGTCGAGCGCGCGACCTCGTATGCATTGAAGATCTGGTACTCGTGATGATCGACGATGACGCCCTGGGCATTGTTGTCGGAAGGCGTGAGGAAATTGTTGAGCCACGAGGGGCGTTCAAAGCCTGGAACGATGAGCATGTCGCAAATTGGTAAACGTGTCTGGACAACTTGCCGTCGTGGATCATCATTGGCATGTCGCTGCTGACCAGTCGCAGGTTGTAATAGCTGTCGCGGTAGAATTGCCTCACCATGTTGTCGTCTAGCTTAGCTAGAAACGGTTCGTTGAGAGGCTGAATAGCAATCACAACGTCCTGCATCGAGCTTTTCGCATACTTGTCTTCTAAGATCTTGAGGACCTTGTGCGTGTTCGGTATGCTGTCGCCGTCACCCCACTGCGGCCACTCCATCTGGTGACCGCTGTGATCAAACCCGTTCTGGGACTTGGGAGCACCGTGCAAGTCAATGATAACCTTCAAGCCAGTCTTGCGAGCCCATCCGATCGCCTTGTCTAGGTATGGCGCCGCACCGGAAACGTACTCCCACTCGACTTCAAGGTACGACCAGTACCCGACGGGAATGCGGACGACGTTGAACCCAGCCTTCTTGATCTTTTGAAAATCTTCCAGCTTAACGAAGCTGTCCCAGTGAGCCTTGAGCGCCTTGCTGCACTCGGTTTTGCCGATTTTCGAACAGAGAGACCATTCATCGGCGACGGTCCAGCCATCGCTGGAGTACTGCCAGAAGATAGATGGTGTGATGAAGCTAGGTCTATTAGCAAGGCAACAAGTCGAAGCCTGAGTGTGATCGCATACGGTTCAAGTACGAGCCAACCACCGATATTGACCCCGCGGACTTTGTCGGTGGACGAGCTCCAATCCCAAGCAACGCGACGCTCATCCAGAGAGCTACCATACGATTAGAGCTGATATATTAGGCGATACAATACTCACTTCAGCGGTGTTGCGAATGCAAAACAACATAAAGCCGCGAGAACGTACGCTACCGAGACGTGCGAGCGCATAGTGAAACGCAGGAAGCTCATTGAAATAGTAGGGGAAATAACTGAAATTGTGCACCAAAAACGAGTGTGGTATGCGCAAGCGCTGTTGCAAGACGAGTGTGTCTGGGTGGCCAACGTAGAGTACCAGAAGAGGTTGGGTGCAGCAGGTAGGAGAAACCTGAGCTGACCATCCTGCCGCGCAACAGCGAGGTGCAACACGGTGAGAAAGAACGCTGCCTAAATCGAAGGCGCGCAAACGAAAAAAGGGAGTCACTTCCTTAGTGATGCATAGTGATGCAGCAGCGGCCAACTCAGGAAGCGACGCTGTGTCTATGTAAGATTGGCAAGCCTGGGAGAGCATGATGCCCCGAACGTGAGGTCGCCACTAAGGATGAAATGGTTGTTCAGAAATTCGAGTGCGCTTGTCGGCTTAGCTATCCAACGTTAGGAGATATTGCTCTGCTCAAGAGGCGCCTGACGCTGTCGCAATAGGGCCGACGGAAGTACATGTCGGCGTCGTTTGATCAGCCCCAACTGGAGTATAGTCATGTTACCCGGAGATTGTGTGCATTTGGGCTTGTGCGTAGTCCGTGGCTGTCACGCCCGTGTTCCAGATTGAACAAGGAGTGGCCCGAGTGCGTTTGTGGCTACCAGACCGACTACGGTAAGTGCAGAGAAACTTGATAAGGACGAGTGACTGAATCGCGACCCCGTGAGTTCTCCAATCCAATATCCACCTCCTTGAGTGATTCTGTCAGCACGATTACATGTTATTCCCTAGGTAGGACACACAATGCGCAATGTCTTGTGTAGAATACTTGTGTCATTCCCTTGGTTTCTAAAACTGCGCCAAGTGGTATCTATAATGACAATATACAAGAATAGAATGCCGATCATCCTGATTCTAAACCCTAACCGTCCGTAGAATATGCTCCAAACCTCTCAACAACACCAGCGGTGGACCAAAGCCACGCTATGTTCTCCTCTAAGCATGAGTTTTGCTGCCGGACTTGCTGCCCTTGCCGCCCGTCGTACCAGTGCTAGCCTCAGACCACTTCATCTTCTTTCCACCCTTCTTCATCTTGACAGCCTTGAGGTACTCCTGGTAGCGGGACTTGTTCGGCTTGTCGGGGCCACAGTCGCCCTTCTTCGCCGGGCACTTGCCGCCGTTCTTCTTCTTCTCTGCGGCTGTGCATACTGGGCACTCGCCACCGTTCGCCTTCTTCTCTGCCGCTGTGCAGGTCGGGCACTTGCCACCGTTCGCCTTCTTCTGTCCAGGTGTGCATGTAGCCTTGGCCGGGCACTTGCCACCGTTCTTCTTCTTCTCTGCCGCTGTGCATGTAGCCTTGGCCGGGCACTTACCGCCATTGGCCTTCTTCTGGGCGGCGGTACACGTGGTGGTGGTCTTGCACTTGCCAGCCTTCTTCATCGCAGCCGTGCACTTAGGAGTAGTGGTCTTGCACTTGCCAGCCTTCTTCATGGCGGCCGTGCACTTGGTGGTGGAGGTGGTCTTGCACTTTCCGGCCTTCTTCATCGCAGCAGTGCACTTGGTCGTAGGCTTCTTGGTAGGCTTCTTAGTAGGCTTCTTAGTGGGTTTCTTTGTCGGCTTCTTGGTAGGCTTCTTTGTGGGCCTCTTGCGTGTAGACGAGGGCCTCTTCCTAGATGTGCGAGAGGAGCCGCGCGACTTGCGGGCTTCAAGAGGAGCTGCAATAGTCATGTCGTCCTCGTCGATGTCAAGGCCGGAAGGCGACTCGTTAGCGAAGATCTCTTCAGCGCGCTTGCTGGGAGCTCTGGGCTTGCACTTTGCATAGCGAGCCCAAGGCAATTGGCTCCAAGCGGGATGGTTGGTGGGAAAGCCAGCGAGGGGAAATTGGGCGCCACCGTGGGGCTGTCCACCGTCTGTATTGCGTTAGTTCGTGGCATCATTACAGAGCGCGGAAGAGCAACTTACACATGGACTGACTGAAGTCTTTGTTATACTCGTATGGGTGCTCGATGGTTCCTCCCTTGTGATCGGAGGTAAACCTGTGCCAGCCTTGAACCTGTTTCCACGGAATTTCATCGATGGCGGCGAACTCCAGCTCATGGGGGTAAGGGCTGTAATGTTTCAAAGTGGCTTGAACATCGATGAGCCCTTCGTCAGTCGCGATCTTGTAAATGTAGGCATTGCCTTTGTGGAATTTGGTGACCCAGCCTTCGGCCACTGAGTACTTCCACGTTGTAGAAACGAAGCCGTCGTTGTCTACACTGGCACCATCTTTACCGCCCTTGCAATGCCTGAAGAGACTAAGGTCTTCCATCAAATGGTTGCTGTGGCCTTTTGTCTGGAAACCTCTCGAGGCCTTGAGTACACTAGGAGGACGGGCATCGGTTCGCCAAACGTATTTGACGCCTTCGTTGATACGTTTCTCGAAGTGATGGGAGGTGACGTTCTCGATGTCCTCGAAATCCCCATCGAGGGGTTCGAGGGGCGCGACGGGTGCTGTGCTGCCAACAGCAGCAAGCAATCCCAGGAGGATAAGTGGCTTTTGCCAAAACATTTTGCTTGTGTTCTAGACGAATTGGGGAAAGAATGTTATAGGTTTTTAGGCCTTGAATGAGTGACTGAACGACAAGTTGTTCAAAAGAGTGACTGAAACATCAACGAATGTAAAAGAGAGAAGAAAAAGAGAAGGACGAAAAGACCTGCTTGCTTCTGTCTGCTTGTTTGCTGGATAGAAAATACTTGGGTTGCACAAAGGAGGCCTTTATAACGGCTCTCTCGCTGCGCGAGTCGCCTACAGCTCGAAATTCCGCAGTTCGGAGATACAACTTGCCTCCAAAGCTTCGCATGGCCTATTCGGACAACACAATTATAGACAAATGGCGCCAGCGATGTCACTATGGTGAAGCGCTATACCTGGAATCAATTTCCGAATGGTCTATAGTCGGCCAAACCAATCAAGCGGCAAGCGAGCCCAAGAGCGCAAGGCCATCCTGTGGTCTACGCTGAGAGAAGCTTTCCCTGCAGAAACATCGCGCTCGTAGCCGAACGTTGCTGGTTGGCTGTGGTCGACAATAGTCGGCCCTCCGGTTCGGACTTCCAGCATAGGAGGATTTGTGGGTCTGGAGCAGTGCCCTACAAATCCGACGCTAGGAGTCTGGACAACGGGGCCAAGCAACCCCAAGTGGGAGAAAGGTCACGCATGGTGTATCATGGAGTTGAGCGCGGGGATCCTGTAGAACGATCGTTGGTGCCAAAGCGTATGTCTGTGAGTCAATTGTTTGTTGTACAGAGTGTGTACCATAGGTAGTTCCGGGTTGGATTGCTCCTGGGGCGCGCGGCTATTCCGGTTAGAGAAGTCGGCCCAACAACCATACCAAAACCTACAGAAACTCTTTCCGACGCTCCGAGTCGAGATGTCGGAAGCGCATTGTATCTTGGTCGGCGCATGAGCCTGCGGACAATCCGCTGTGCGCTATAGATCCGAGCAAATGGCGAAGGAAGCGAGTTGTTTCACGCTACGGTGGCTTGGTCGTGGCTGAGGGGAGGCCCCAAGCACGTGAGAAGCGGGGGCCAAACTGCACGGGCTAGCACATCGCTTTTGCCATTCACCCTCACGCTCCGACTGCCTAAAACTCTACCACCAGCCAAGATTTCCACAATTTTTCGCGGTTTCCGTTCCTTCAAGTCACAGAGCACACGCACTGCCGCTGCCTTCACCATGCCATCAGGCTTTCGCCACATCCCAGCTAAAGCGCCTACGTATCACCCCATCCAGGACCCGGCTACGGCAGAATGGGGTCTTACAATCAAGCGCGCAGACTATGACAAGCTGCTGGAGGGGTTTCGCCCGAGAGATATGGACGATAAGTGGTTGTGCATCACCGACAAACCTGACGCTCAAGGCAACACAACCGTCCATTGGTATAGAAGCTGGACGGACACGGAGCAGTACGCGATCACCGTCCAAGTCGGCGATTCCAACAAGGCCGAAGGCAATGATTGGGCAAAACTTGCAAAGATCACCTGGGAGAAGGAGTTAGGATCGCTTGAGGTACCTGCGGAGGAGGCAAAGGAAAGCGCTGTAAATCTATGCAGAGGCTTCATGGGCTGCGAACTGGAGAATGCTGGAGCAAGTGCGAAGTAGATTGAGCAGCCTGTGAATCCTTCCACGGGGCGATTCAGGCCGACTCTTGGCGGGCTATTAAGCATCATTAAAAGTTCTCATCCTCCCGGGATGACTAATGCGAACGCCGAACGCTTCGAACTTTGTTGGTACTTTACTTTGCATACATCTTCAATGGCGACAGGAGGGAGATTTTCAAAGCATACAAGCCGCTAGACATCGCATCACGAACTATGAATCTATGAAACTATGAAACAATGCTTACTTTCATTGACCCAATCCCTTCACGTTAAAAAGCTTGGGCACAGTTTGGTCGGTGTTCGGGTCGATGCTGATGGTAAGCTGACATGTATTCTCTATCTCGCCCAGTAAGACACTGACGCCATCACGTTTTACGCCTCGAAAGGTCTTACATCAGACTGAGCTCGGACTAGTCTACCTTATGTAGACTTCATGAAATTGGTGCATCTCACACGTGCATCCTTAGGAAATGCTGTTTCCAATGGCTATATACACAACCCTTCCAGATCTAGGTATGGCGACTGTAGACATCACGATCTACGGCATCCTTGGCCATGTCTCTAACAGAGTTCGCGTCTACCAAAGCAAAGATGAGAATTTGCACTATATTGTTTGTGACTCTGTGGGCCACCAGCAGCTTCCAGCGTGCTACAGTGCGCCGACTGGGTTCTACGACATGACTTCATTTCGGCTAGTTGCGTATGCTTAACTTAAGGGTGCTTCGGATCGACAGTTCTTTAGAGCACCCGTTGTTGAAATGACCTTTTAATCCCTTTCGCACTTACACAAGGTTGAAACAATCCGTGAATTTTCCATGTGAGCAGCAAGATGCAAATGGGATGGACCTTGGCGGGTGTCCCACAGGTTGTGAATCGCGCACCTGCGAGGATTCTAAGCTAGGGCTGCCACGGTCGGTTTGAATCTTGATAACCTTTGAAACTATGAACCATATGTACCGCTAATGATCGAACGATACTGATTGCCGATGAGAACCGCACAGTGCCAATAACCACCGCACCAGGCTTGGCAGACGCCAGAGTGAAGGCAGACGCCAGAATAAAGGTTAATTGACGTGGCACGCTATTTTGCAGACAGGCCCATGCACAGACTGCCCATTGATACCCCGCGGCCCATATATAAACCCCACATTCTGTTGCTATCGTACGCTCGAACTTTTGCACCTGCTTATAAGTCGATCGTCAACCATTCTAACAGTGAACAGTCTTTGTCCGCCGACCCTGCGACTCTTGCAAACATGCAGCTGCTCGACCTCCCGCCCGAGCTGTTCCAACGCATCATCCACCAATTGGTGAACGACTATGGCTCAGACAATATCCTGGACGCCTTGAACCTGCGTTCTGTCTGCCGTAAGTTGATTCTTGTCCTAGCCTTGTATCATGGAAAAATCTTTGTTAACGCATGCAGGAACATTTGCTCGAGAGATCGAACATGACATATTTTCCAAGCAGAGCTCCGAGGTCGTTAGCTCCATCTTCATACATTGCTCGGAGAAATTCTACCTACGTCACGCGTGGAAGTATCTGTTCTACCTGGTCAAATCTAATCGGAACCGGGACTGCGTGGTGTCGAAACGAATTGAGGAAATGGTGGATTACTTAGTCACAGTACGCGGGCTCGATGCTCAACTCAAGGATGCATACACTGAAGCATTATGCGCGACCGCTGTGTACTACCAGTATCCAGCGCGTTCGCGTTTCGCTGAGGTCCTCCGCTTGCCAGTACCCCACGCGTCTGCTTGGATTTACGACTACATGCGCTACCCTCTTGCCCCAATAGCGTGGGCAGGGTGTCAAGCAGAGACTACCACGGAGATGAAGCTCGCTGCTGCTGCGGCCGTGGGGGATGCCGGACTTGTCGCCGATCTCCTGCCTTATGCCGATTTTCTCAAATACAATAAATTCGATATATTAGGGGATCCGTTCAGTAACGCAGCAATGCGGAGACATGACCATATCATCAAGGTCATCCTCGATTACCTCCATCCCGAGGTAAATTTCGCTAATGGCTCCTGGAAATCTGGGAATTACGAGGGCATGGCGAGATACTACGCCAATGCACTCAACTGGGATCGAATGCTTCACTGCGGCGACGAAAAGTATTTCAAAACCTTGATCCAGACCTACAAGGCGTGGACCACAATCCGCGATCCTTACCATTATCGGGTCTGGTTGCGACTGGCCGTTATAGCGAATGATGCTAGAATGGTCACTGTCCTTCTCGACATTGGTATTGAGACTACTAGTAAGCCATCCGCTTGGATTCTCCTCACGCAAGCACAGATCGGATGGGTTCTGAAGGACGGCTTTGAGCAAGCATGCTGTCGACGCAAAGCCGGCCTGGGCGCGGTTGAGGCATATATCCACCATCCTAATCTCGGCCCGAACTACCTGTTCTTCGACGGTTCGACACCCCTAGGCATAGCCGCGTCCACCGGCTCCAAGCCTCATGTTTTGGCCATCTTGAACGCTGGTGCCTTCCCAGATGGCGTAGAGGGCTCTGAGGACATCCCGATTATGGAGGCTGCAGCATATAGGTATTCGGAGATATTCGACCTCCTAGTCTCACACGGCGCAGATGCTTCCATGCCTGAGCGTTACGGTTTCAGTTTCATGATGCGCCGGAAGATTTGCTCTGGGTTTGGTGGTGTTGATGGCGAGGGAGCAGACGAGCAGTATAGCACCAGTGTGGAAAAATGGGAGTCCTGGGCTAGGGCGACGGAGACCACTGCGAATTGAACGCCGAAGACAAGGAAGAAGGATTATGCAATTACGGAAGACGACTTCAATTACTACGATGTGGATGAGAACCTACCGATAGCGAGATCGAGGCTGACGATGAGGAGCTGTAAGAAACTGCTCAGGATATGAGGATGGAAGCGCATTGGGTTTTTCAACACTACCTGGCTGTACCAGCGTTCCTATGCCAACGTCTGGAGGGCCAAAACTTACAAAACGTGAAGCCGTAGCACATGATCACGGCGAGACACATCAAATTAGTTCAATTTTCCAATTGTTTCACATGTGCCCAAGATGTCGAAGTGAATCGCGTATCAAACCTCACTCCATCCTCTGGCACTTCCATTCCTTCTCTTCGTTTCTCTTACCTAGATTGGCAGACCTGTTCCTTCCTATTGATACTACTCTCCCTCTCCTATTTAAGTCCTCCTCCTGTTCAACTCACCCTATTCAGATCCTCTTCCTCTTTTAGATCCTCTTCCTCTTTTAGATCCTCTTCCTCTTCAACTTCTCCTTTTTCAAGCTTCCTTCTCTAAAACTCTTTATCTACCCCTACTCTTTGAACTTTAACTACCTCTACTCTTCGAACTCTATCTACTCCCTCCTTTAACTCTCCTATTTATCCCCTTTCCCAACTTCCATTTACACACTTTCTCAAACTACTATACCCTCCTTTTTCGAATTCTTATATGCCCCATCTAAAACTTCTAAATTCCCTCTTCTCTGACCACCCCTTGCCTTAAACTCCATCTACCCATCCTCCCCATCCCCACCACCCATGCCCTCACCCCATCATACAAGAAAAACTATCGATCCACCTTCTCCCGTTCACCCTAGCACATTCCCCGCCTGAACAATAATATCAATACCCAGCACTCGAACCCTCTCTCATCGCCGGCCAGGTCCTCTCCCCACTGCTACTTAGCGCGATACTTACCCATCGCCACGCGCTCCTATACCTCATCATTCAGCTATAGAAGAAAGTCAATCTCACACCTTCCGACCATCTAGTAAAGAAAGACGTTAACGGTACTGCCAAACCTTGTAGGGAGCACATTGACATAGATCGTGCTGAGTCCGCCAAAGCAGAGGCGCTTGCGTTCATATAAACCTTAATTCATATCTCTGCATCCCCTTATGAGAGCAAGCGGACAGTGATTGACCATATCACACCACACCACACCACCTCTCCTCCATCCCCCTCACTCATAATCCCATATACAATCCCACTAAAAGTCTTAGTGCAAAAAAACAAAAACCCCCAGCCCCAGCTCCAGCTCCATAAACGCCACGCTGTATTCAAAACCCCAAATCCCCCCAGTCACTGTTCACACCGACCTTAGCCTCCTCTCCAGCTCGTCCGCCACACTGCTCTGCTGCACCTCCTCATACCCGGGCGGCGGTTCCGAAGGCGGCGGCGCGAAGCTATCCTGTTCCTGCCTTGGGCTGCCCAACGGCGGACTACTTCTGTTCGCGGTGCTCGACGTCCCGGCCGTGCCTACGCTGCCTCGTCCCAGCGGCGGAGAAGGCAGGTTATCCGGCAGCCTTGCATGAGACCTCGTGTCCTCGTACGCAGGCAAGTCTTCCAGATGGACCGAGCTGAGATTGACGCCGGCCAACGCGCCGGCGCCTCTGCCGTCGCCCTCGACGCCATCGCCGCCTTGCTGTGCGACATCGACGGCCTGTTTTAAGCGCTCGCGGAGGCGCTCAAAGGTCGTGGCGAAGTCGAAGGCGCCGCCTTCTTTGAATTCCATGACGAGCTCGAGGGCGGAGTGCGGCGCGGGGATGCCGCCGCCGTAGACGGGGGTGATGAGTGCTTCCCATTTGTTGGCGCCGAACCAGGGGGCTGTGACGCGGGAGTCGGAGACGTTGAGGATGGGGACGGCGAAGGATTGGAAGGTTGGGGAAGGCGAGACGGGGAGGTATATGATCTGGTTGAACGCAGCGTCGTTAGCATTTCCTCTTGCTTCCGTCTGGGCTTGTAGGAGGATAGGATGGGAACAACGTACTCTCCGGTTTGTGAGGTATACCACGCCCGACTTGCACTGCTGTGAGTATGCCTCGGCAGGGTGGCTTTTGTCTGAAGACTGCAAGGAGAGTGTGGTGCGCGGCGGGCTCTGGTACAGCGTTGTTTCTCCCGGCAGCGGCGTGTACCCGCTACCCTCGGCGAGCATGACCCAACTGTTCTTCCGATTAGACAGCTTCTTCTTGTGGATTCCCATGGTGGCTTTCTTGAGCCCAACAACGGCCATGGGCGCGGCGGCGATGGGCGTTCCCAAGCAGAGCTGGCGATGTGATATGTTCGCGGGGCAGTGAGGGGTGCAGCACCGCCCAAGCAGAGAGATGGGAACGGACAGGACAAGACGGGCACTCACTTTATCGACATGTTTCCAAGGCGTTGCTGTCGCCGCGCGGGTTCAGTACTTAAGGAACCCGCACTCGGACGCCGCCTCACCACTAGGACGTCTCGTCTTGGTGCCTGCGAGCGGGCGCTGGAAGCGGGATGGGCTGGGCGTTCCCTCGCAGAGCTGGTGTCTAGACTGCGGGCCGGTCGCCGCGCCGAATCACGGTGTCGAAAGGCAGCTAAGGCGCTGCAAGTCACTCTGCGTAGACTCGCCGTAGAGAGGGCCGATTGCGGGGCAGCCGAGCAATGGGAGGGGGTTGCTTGCTGTGGACGGTTAGGGCCGTGGGTGTTCGGTGGGTCGCTGGCGGGTTGGTCGCTAATCGCGGGTTGCGCGCGCAATCTGTGCCGAGGTGTGCTTGCGGAAGCGCTGCGAGCGCAGACGTTGGATATGTACGCGAGGACGGGGTATGCTCAGTTGGTTTGGGCAGCAGTGAATATGCAGGGCGTGTGTTTGTAGGTTGAAGCGTGGGGGGTGGGCTCGCCCGCATATGAATGTGCATGGTTCGGCGCGTGCGTCACCTATTAGTTAGCGGGGAGCGTCGCCTCCCGAACCCTCCAGTGCCCTTCGACTGCTTATTCACAGACGGACCAACTCGGTGGACATCTCCTCGAAAGACAAACAGCGGGATTATTGGGGTATACTAATCTACGCCATGGATATGCAAAAGCCAAGAACAACACGTTAGAATCACAATTACTCTTCGCCGGCCTTCTTCCAGATGCCAGACACCCGAGCCAAGACATGTCCCTTTCCCAGCGTATCAATCCACGATCCCGCGAGGCCGACAAACTCCCATACGGTGCCATCGCCACGATTTGGCGGCTCGTTGATGACGTGGACCAGGCCCTGAGGTTCTTTACCCTGCCACTGCTTCCACCTCAACCTCTCTGTTTGCTGCCCATTTAGCTCGTCCAAGAACGTCATGCCCGCAATGTATCCTGAACCTGGGACGTACGCAACCTCAATCTTTGTAATGTCGACACCGCCGATGTCGAGGGCCTTGAAGTCTGAGGCATCGTCTGAGGAGTGGAGGTGACCGAGGTGGTGGTTACACCCGTCATGTTCCGCCTCGTTGGGGTTGTCGTGTATCCGAGCAAGGCCAATCGCTCCGATGGCGTTGTCAGCTTGCCTGAGCGCTGCGGTAGACATCCAGCTTTTGAGCGATGAGAGACTGTAGCGATGGAGCGCAATCCTCCGGAGTGGGTTCGCACCTCTTGACCCATGCGGCTCAGTAAGCTCCAAGGACGAGAAGTCCTCATACTTTCCACCCATCCCATATTTCTGACGAAAGTCATCGGGACTAACTTTCGGATCACCGACCATGTCAGGCTCAAACCACATGTTGTCTTCTCGGACGTAAGCCGCCGTCTTGAGGTAGGCGCCGTCATTCGACAAGTCTGAAACGATACTGTTGTGGATAGGAATCGGTAAGCGCTCTTTCAGGACTTCGGGGTAAGCGTAGTTGGGGCGCTTCATTCGTGTTGAATTCGTCTTGGGATCGTACTGGGCATAAGCTAGATGTGGATGGTCCACCAGTCGAGACGCTTCCTCCGTGATCAGGGTCATCGCTTCTCGGCAAAGCAGTCGAGCTTCGTTCAACGCAAGAGGCTCGGGCGGAATCGGATCCTGACGCGCATTGTTCTCTAAAAGATTCCAGCCTATATGGCCTTCATCAACGGCAAAGGTAAAAGCGCGTTCCATACCGAGGGCATCCTGGCTCGTGTTTTGGCACGGCGAATCATCACCTCCAATGGGACTGACGAGGAGGCTCTGTTTCGATGCATCCCTGGTCAGAAGGGGCGAGAGGTTCTTAGGAGGCGTTCTAAGACTACACCAGTCAGCTGAGGACTTTTCTGCACAACAAGCACAGTACACTTACTCTGCTCTAGGCCTCACTCTCCTAAGCGTCTTTGGTACCTTCTTCATCTTATACTGCGATGGGTTCTGAAGCATCTCTCCGATTCTCTTCCACAGTTTCTTGTAATTCATCAGAGCATCGAACAATTCCGACGTATAGATCGCACACGGCACATAGTTGAGTATGATGATCGGCTCCTCATACTTCTCCTTCCCACTTATATTGTTCTCGCCACCCTTCTGGTTCCTTGGATCGCTGTCCCAGATCCTTCTCTCTTCCAGCAATCTAGTCCACTTCCAAGCCTGGAAAGATCGCAGAGATGTATAGCGGGTGAGGATAGCCTGGGTGCGGGCACTCGAGCGCGCAACCATCGAGGGGAAAGCGTTTGCGACTGCGACGACGCTCTGAATAGTCCAGGGCACCGTGGGCTTTTTGATTTCGCCGCCGCCGACCCAGTTCACAGAAATGGATATCTCCGTGTTCTTTAGCGCTTCGCTATGTTCCTTTGCGATGGCTTCGCTGGCGCCGATCTCGAGCGTTGGAGGTCCCACAGCGAGCTGAACGTCCACAGCCTGCTTGACCGAACGATACTTGCTCTTGTCATTCAGCTTAATGGAGATTACGGCGTTGAATTCGCCACCTTCAGTGAAACCGGAAACAAAAGTATCGCCGTATACTTCAGTAAAGCGATCTAACGGTAACCCAGGAATATCCTGAAACTCCATCTCGTCCCTTGGTGATAGTGCATCATTGTTCACCATCACGCTGACGACGTAGTTCAACTCGCTATCAAGGACTTTATTCTCGTTTACGAAGGAAGCGTTACCGTTCCCGTGTATGGTACCGTATTTGATGCTCATCGAAGTCGAAATATTCAGCGCGTCCATGATGTCGCTAACATTCTCGATTGCGCGCGTCGAATACGTGACGCTCTGACTCGTTGTGGGTATTGGACCTGCTGGGATCTCAAACGGTAGCTCTCCCACAGACGCCGTGACTACGTCCAGCGCACTGCCCAGGCTCCATCTAGGCGGTGGAGATGGCGTCGCTGCTCTGGAAATCTCATGCGATCCTGGTTGCTGGATGCCGTTGATTGCTACAGCAGGAACCTCGCTGTGCGGTGGGACAATGACGGACGCATCGGGGGTAACCGGTGGTGATAAAGGGACAGTGCCGGTCGAAGGCAGAGGAACGAGTTCGCTACTGGCTTTCTTTCTGGGCCGTGGACTTCCCATGATGACCGCATTCTCCAGGCGGATTTCTTGTGTGTATGTGTTGAAGCCTTGCCCAACGCGCATGGCGTTGGTGTAGGGCGCTGTGAGCGACATTTCTGGACAAAAGGAAAGAGCGACAGCGACTAGGAGGAATGAAAAATTGGCTCCCGCGCTTAGTTACTAGATGTAAGATGAAATGGCCTCCAGATTTGTTCCCGGTAAGTAGATGTGTATCTCTCTGTCCGTGTTATATCGGATGTCGAGGCTGAGGTTCTGTGTCGCGATCTTCAGGAGGTCCGACGCGCAACACGAGATCAAACAATTGAGAGCGATGTAGATGCACGAGGCAGCGACACCTCGACATCGCTATATTATACCAGGCACGGCCCCAGTCTCGCCGCCTATAACCGCCAAGGAGATTGACCACCCTCGTCATAATCCGCTGTGCCTCATGCTGATGGTGGGTCGTACCTCGCAGCCATTCATCAGATCCAATCCAGCCAGGGCCGCCAAACGTGCACTGTAACAGTGCGCACGCACGGCTCAGCTGCGCCCCTCATACGCCCAGTTGTGCCCTGCTACACGAATAGATACACGACACTACTGCGAACACCAGTTGTTACTCCGAAAAGGCATAAGGCAATGCCAATGCTGACGGGTGTGGCGTTGAATGGGAGCTGATGCTGCTAATAGGCTTGGATTAGTACATGCTCGCATTTTCGATGCTACTTTGGTGCCTAGTCTGCTTCGGCGTCCAGGCACGAGGCTAGGTGAGCTCAGCTATTAGGGAGGCTGTTGATAGCATAGAGTGTCAGCAGGGTATTGAGTGGAACGGAAAACGAGCGAAACATGGTGTGCGGATGACCACGTGGGACGTCTGCGGCTGAAGGATCAGAAGGGGTGGAGGGTGTGGGGGCCAAGTTGGAGAAGGCTGACATGCGAGGGTAGGCTAGCTGTCTTTGTGCATTGCGCACAAGCGCGTATACTGGAGCATACGTTCATCATTGAAGAAGGCATAATAGGATGATCACAATGAGAGCCTCGAAATGATAGTCATGCATCGTGATATTCGTGCAAATGCTGAAGAAAAACGTTCAGAATGCAAACGCTGATCACTCCCAGCTCCCCAGTACAGAATAATCATGTTTCTGTTCCAACGGCTCATGCCCATTCCCGTGTCCATGAAAGAGCTTTCGAGTCCAACTCATCTTCTCCAAGTCCCTCATACCAGGGTAGCTCTCCGTCTGGAGAATGTCCAGCTCCTACATCTCATGGATCTCATTGTGTAATGCGCTATGCGCCTTTGCCTGAAGCCATCGTCCTGCTTCCCCTCGATCTTCTGGTCGTGTACCGCATACCTGCTCTGGTTCTTGATGCTCAGAGCTTCAAAAATGTATTGAGAATTTATTGTGCTACAGCCGCATGTCGAGGTGTCTCGGCGGTAAGCGGAAGTGGTGCTAGCAATGGTGCGCGAAGATGGGTGTTCGAGACGGGCGATGTGGCACCGAGAAAGTATTTTCGTGTTTCGTTCGATGCGGGTGCGGTTGTGGAGATGTAGACTTCTTCTTGACGGAGGCGTGCAACGGGTGAAAGCATTGTATGTATCACGAAGAGTGTCTTGCCGGTACGGTGGGTGCGCCAATTGTGATATTCAAGTACTGTAGCGAAGTAGAGGGCTTGGTAAGAATTGTCGTTTATTATGGTGCGTTGTGTGGTATTGTAAGGTGGGAACTTGTGACTTGAAGCAATGAAGTTGTGGAAGTTCAAAGTATTGTTTTCGTCGGTGTTGATGATATTATTCGAATTGAAGGCAACATATTTTACTTTATAGGCTCACCCTCTGTGGACCTGATCGTTAGTCCGAGTGTTCGGCGAGAGGACCTCGTCCGAGGCGCGCCGTACGCTTGGTGAGCACCGTCCTCCCGGTAAATCCGCTGCTTACCAGCGACACGACGAGCGGACCCTGCATACGTCACTTCTAGAAGCCGTCTAAACGAGTAATCGAAGGAACAGTTTAGCGAGCACGCTATCGCGTTGCAAACCAAGATAACTCTACAGTGTACTTCGTGCGTGAACACTACTCGTGCGGCCGTTACATAGACAAAACAAAATCCCGAACTATCAGTAATAACACCACGCAACACCTACGCTAAGTCCGTCATATCCAAACGCCGTCGACTCCCTTGCCGTGTGACTCTACTTTGGGCTCCAGAGGCCATACCCCTTCCTTCCAACCGCTTCCTCGAGCACACGCAGCTGTCCCTGCCCGAGATCGTAGATCATGCCATGCAGTGTGAGGCCGCGCTCAGATGCTGCCTTCTTCACAGCAGGATGTTGCTTCAACACTTCGATGCTCTGGTGAACATTGAGCTCTGCGACGCGAACAGCTCGGGCGTCGTTATCCGCCAGCTTCTCTAGCTCACCCTTGTGCTTGCGCCGGAGCCTAGCGGGCCGTTAGCTTCGCCTTTCCAACGGCGGCGACATGTGTTCGTGCGAAGTTCCACAACGTCAGGGTCAGACCGTATACGTACTCTCGCAGGGGGTGAAGCCATTGGTTCAGCGTCGTCCCCAGATCGGCGTCGCTGAGTGACGCGATGGCTCCTCCACATTTAGTATGGCCGCAGACGATGACCTTCTTCACTCTGAGGTGCGTCACGGCATACTCAACGACCGAGGCGGCGCTAACGTCGTCCGGATGCACACAGTTCGCGATGTTGCGGTGCACTAAAGGCGGGGGCACAAAGTCAGTGCAATGTTCAAAAGTTGGGGAAGTGGGTGAGGTAGGTGTTCTAGCCCGCTAAAATGTCTGAAGATCTCAGACTTAGAGGTGCAAGGCCTATAGTCTTAGACAATCACCCAGCCTAAACACCTACTCTGTACCCCGGAACTGCGTACCGAATATGTCTCCTGGCTTAGATTCGCATATGGTTGTCTCAGGTATGCGGCTGTCTGCGCAGCCTACCCACAGGATCTCAGGCCACTGCCCCTTCGTGAGCTCGAGGAACGCAGTCGGATTTGCCTCGGAGGTTTTCTGCGCGAACACGCGATTACCGGCAACGATGCGGTCGATTGGGTCTAAAATCAGGTGAGGGTTGCAGTTAGCTAGGGTCCGATCCCTACACACTCGCCTTGGCCTGGGGCATTACAGTGGGGATGGTAGATCGACCGCAGCGGTCCGTGTCGGTTATAAGAAGCGCGCGTTGTCCGCTGCAGTGCTGCGCTTCTTTCGATGACCGCGATGGACCGAAGCCGCGTCGTGTGTTGGGCGAGGCTCGAGAGATGTGGGGGGGATTGCTTACCTGCCAGGGCCATCATCTTGAGGATAGCGTGTAGGTCTGTGCTGTTTCTGTTTCGCCCGTCAAGTCTTTCTTCTAGAAGTCTGCCAAATACGTTTTACGATGTTTTCGACTTCCGCGAGAAATGAAAAAGAGAGGGGAGGGCAGGCTGTTACCAGAGGTGGTGCGGCGCCTGGAGTCACTCCGCTGACAGTGTGGGGAGCTGCAAGCCGCCCGGATGCATATTCACGTTCTCGGAATGCCAAACCCGGATCGTTGCGTCCCAGCGGACCAAGACATTTGATATGAAGCAGGAAAGACACTGGTCCTGTCACCGCGTGGGTCTTATGTTGGTGCATCCATGAGATCGGCGCTCTCCGAACCCAACGAAGAGGCTGAAGGAATATCGTACCACTGGAATATTCCAAGCGTGTAAGGCGTGTACGAACACAGAGACACTCACATTATCGATCGTAACGACAAGAGCGTTCAACAGCCTATCTCGTAAGACGCCGTGGGAGCCGCGGGTGGACAAGTTGCGTTCCGCTTTGTTCTAGCATCTGCCGCGTCCCTCCAGTGCTTTACGGCTCCAATATCACCATGCATTCCACATTTTCTTGGCCTTTCCGAAGCTGACGAGTTTATATCATCGAGCTACGGCAATCGATTCCGCGGGCTTGATGTTGGATGGACTCCACTGGGTGAAAGCCCGTCGCGACAGGGGCCTGAAGCGAGGATTATCGTGTGGCGGACTGACGCCCAAATACCGGAGATGTATTTGTGACAACAGAAATGCATCAAGATGTGATGAAAAATGGTCGCTTTGCCGGTCGCAGCTGCATTGGGGCGACAATCTCGACGGCATAATATCCAAACACGCCGAGACAATGTTTGCCAATGTTTTGAAAGGGTGTATATCACGGAAAATGTATCACAAGCCATGGCGGAACTTGGCGGCGCGACGGCGCCATCGTGCCATCCCTCTCAAAGCTACCTTGCATTTGCCCTCTGGCCCCGTAGCGTCGATGTCTTGCGTCCTTCACGTTCCTTTTTTCTGCTTCTCGCCTCACAGCCTAGCGTTACGTATAGCACAAGCGCTTCCTACTTTCGCTTGTAGAGCACGCATTTTTACTTGCAAGACCATTTCCATCATGCTCATTCGCCGAGACCTAAAAGATCAATGTGGAAGGGCATGACACGCAACGAAGAAGATCCATCATGCCCAGCCGTGTGCTCACTGACAGTCTCATTCGCCCTCGAGAGGGCAAATCTTACCTCGACCTTCTCCAACACAGTAACGCATGCACTACCAGATCCTTCATTGGGATGATCTTACGAAATAGATATTTGGGCGCGAATATGCTGGCTCAACCTAGCCCTATCTTTGTGTTGGTTGGACCGGGGATTGACCTCCATTCGAAAGAGTACCCCAAGAAACGCTTCTGCCTCAACATGAGATACTGCTGAGGAGTCTGCTAGGACGGCCTGGGCACTTCGAAGGCGAAGAACAACGATCGCACGAAGTGCCTGGCCGCCAAGTGAGACACCTTTTGCGCAGTACAACATGTATTCTGGTGGGTGACAATGCTTGGCAATCTGGCATTGCCTGTCGAAAAGTTTCACCAAAACAGCCAAGAAGACTTTGGCAACGGTTTTCTCCCTAAAGGTGGCTCCTTGAGACGGCTTGATTCTAGCTTCACTGGTCTTCCGTGACGTACACGCTCGACTGCATAGAGGTTTCGAACTTGTTTGTATACCAATAGGTCTGTAATCCAATGCTAGATGATTTGGCATCTCGCAATCGATCTTGGATAAACGCGCTGTGCTGGAACGTCGAAGATGTTCGAGCCGCGTACCGGCTAAGTCGCGTCGCGCCAAAGCTAACGCCATCGCGCTACTGCGCGCTACTCGGCCGCCAACATTTCCAACATTTCGTCACCGCATCCAGATCGCAACCGGACCATGGCCCGGCACGCTCCTAGCCCATGCACTATTCAAACCTCAAAACGCGACAGCATGTCGTCAACCCCACCTCCGCGCGCGTTACACCCCATGCCTGTCCCTGTCTGATACGATGACGCCGCTCCTCAGGCGTCAGCTTGTTGTCGTTCCGCTGTCTGTGCTGTTGGGGTTCCTCCTGGCTAGCGTGGGCTTCAGGAATGGATTAGATCAGACGGTTTTTGGGAGCCCGTACGATCTGGGTGGCGGATATAACGCCCTGGGAAAGGTTGGGCCGTTCAGTAAGTGGTCCCGCTGCACATCATGGACATGTTCGACCCTTTAACAGAAGTCGATGTGTTCGGAGAAGCTAGTCGCAGGACGGAAACAGTCCCCGTAACACTTGCGCTGACTCCGAGTTTTATTAGACAGTACTGTACGGCCGAAACCAGTTGATGGAGATCATAAGCCGAAACAAGAGGTTGTGCCTGACGGCATGAAGGTCAAGGACCTTGCCGTTGCGGTTGAGAATCGGACGCTAGGAGTAAGTCGTAAGCACCAGAACTACCGATGCGCGCAGGGATCCTCTTTCACAAACATTCGAGCGCAGCGGCTGATCTTTCCAGTTCGGAAAATTGTTTGTGGTCAACTTGCCCCATCAGGAAAACCGCAAAGATACTATGGTTCTTGCTTCTTCGTTCAACGAGTTAGACATCGACTGGGTTGATGGCTCTTCGGACCGTCGGGTAACTTTGACACCCAGAGACGCAACAAATTGGACTTCGTTAACATAAGCGCAGGCTGCTGAGGACGTATCTCCCCTCAGTCAGGACCAGAAACCAAGGAGTGAACAATCCGAGGGGAGCTGGAGAGCGCACATCAACGCCGTCCGCAATACCGTGGAGCAAGGCGTCTTCTCTGCCATCATCCTTGAAGACAACCTCGATTGGGACATCCGGCTAAGAGAGCAAATGCATACCTTCGCCCTCTCGACACGAACGCTCACGCAACCGCTCGCCCTCGCAGCCCTCACAGATAATACCAAGTACAAACCCCCGTCAGAGATGTCCCACTCCGTGCCACTAACGACCCTTTCAGACCTACATACGCCGATGCATCCTTCCCGGACCCATCGCTCAGCGATAAGGTAACCGAAATGCCCTTTGTGGGCCATCCAGCCACGATACAACCTTCCAACTCTGCTTATGGCGACGACTGGGATGTACTCTGGCTAGGACACTGCGGGATGCAGATGCCCACACAGAGAACGCCTAACCTTGCAAAGGGCAGGGTCGTCTTCACGCCAGATCCATTCGTCGCGGGCCATGACACCGTCAGCATCGATAGCAAAGAGAGCAACAACTACCCCAACCAGACACGCGTGTTCCACCACACCTACGCGCCCGAATGCAGTCTAGCATACGCCGTCTCCCAGCGCGGCGCCCGACGCATACTGTACGAAGCCTCGCAGCGCAATGCTACCGAGGAGTTCGACGGCTTGCTACGAGACTTGTGCGATGGCGGGTCAGACAGCGCGACGAAGTTGATCTGCGTTACCACGCAGCCTAGTTTGTTTTCGCGATGGCAGGACGGACGCAGCGATCATGTGCGATGGAGCGTGAGGATGAATATGGAGAAGTATGTACGAGGCGATGAGAGGGAATGGATTGATCAGTATCCTGAGTAGAGGGGGATATGAGCGGGGCTTGACTTCATGATAGTACAACACTTATGGCTATAGAAACACATAATACATAATATTATTGACGATGAACTCGTAGGTTGGACTGCCTTCTCAGCTAAAGACAAGTCTCTCGCACGCATCTCTTAACCTGTCCTGAGCCAACTCAGGTGTTAGATGCACCGTTGCCGACGGCACCAGTACGGCATGGCTCACCGCATCGCGGTGCTCTTCGAAGCTTACTCCTCCAAGGCTCTTTCGAAGAGACGGTGCAGAAGAAGCTGTCAGAAGGCCTGTCTTGGCGTTGGCTTGATTTATACACTACATTCTACGATAGCGTTACAGAATTTGAGATGGATTGTGGATGGGAATGTTGAACATTTGAGGCATTGGTTGCTATTGTACAGTACATGGCTGATTTGATTGCTACGTTACACGTATGTATGCCGAGAACTAGAATGATGCTGTGATCGAGTATACTGCGGTGATCTAACACCGAGAAACTCCAGAAGATGAAACTGCCACCATGGGGAAGAATGCTCGTTGTTAATATTCTGATTTTCTTAATATATACCAGGCCTGAGTGCATCTACGGTAGACGAAGGAGCTGCTTCGGAATTCAAGATTCCTAACCTTGTTGAGGGTATGCGCACCTCTCCGGGCACCTCTCCGGGCGGTTGATCCGGCGGGCCTTCTTGATAGGACGAAGGTCGGATGAATGCACAATGACTTCCTCGCCGTTGTCTTCGATGGCTCGCTTGCGCTTCGGGCTCGCGGATGGTGGGGTGGTGGCCTTGGGCTCGACCTTGGACTCTTCCTCGCTCTCTTCCTCAGTCTCTTCCTCAGGCTCTTCCTCAGGCTCTTCCTCAGGCTCATCCTCAGGCTTTTCCTCAGGCTCATCCTCAGGCTCATCCTCGGTCTCTGATGCAGCGAAATCGTCAACCCAGGCCAGTCCATCCCAGGTCGCGGCCCTCTGAGCCCAGTCAACCACCCTCATAGGGTCCTCACCCAGCAGCTTCTGCAAAGCATAGATCTTCCTGGACGCCTGTTCACCAAGCGGCTCACCCTGTTCGTCGAGGAACATCCGCACCCAGCTCATGCCCGGACCGCTACCCGGGTACGCAACCTCAAAGATCTGATCGGCGAAGTCCCCCACATTCCAGATGCGATCCGGAAAGCGGGTGATGAGTTCATCCGTCGACATCTCGCCTTCTTCCAGGACATCCCAGATCTCAGCGACGTTGGGACAGGGCGTGGCTTTCAGGATGAAGTTTCCGGTTGAGACGTCCGGGGCGGCGATCTCGAGGAGGCGGTAGAGCGTTTGCTGCTGGGAGCCGACGCCGTGGGCATATTGTGGGTAGAGCTCTGCAAGGGACTTGAAGAGCTTGGGTAACTTCATGGGCGTGTGGAGGGCTTCTTGGAGCTGGGCGACTGAGGGGATGGGCTTGCGGATGTAGGCTCCTTCGGGGGTGTCGAGCGAGCCGAAAGCGGGCTTGGGGGCTGGCTCGAAGACAGCGAAATACTCGATGCGGCGGACGAAGGCCTTGATGTCCCCGACGTTGTAGAAGGTGCGGTGAAGGTCGTAGAGAGTGATGCCCTTTTCGTTGGCGGGGTCTTGGAAGAAGGCATCGATTTCGGCATTCCAAGGCTGTCTGTCCAGGCCGTATCTCTCGTTGATGAGGTGGCGCTCATTGTGGGCGAGAAACGTCATGAACATGTCGATGAGGAAGTCGTTGTACTTGTTCACATCGGAGAATGAGGCAGCGTACAAGTCCTGCTGCTCGGCTTCGGTCCGCGTAAGTAGGTGAATCTTCTTGTTGTCGGGGATATCGGCAAACTTCCGGCAAGCGACAACCCAGAGTCTGTTCTCCCAGGGCACGATCTTGTCAGCGGGGTGATAATCCTTGTCGGTGACCCACAAAGTGCGTAGGTCTGGCGGAAGCCAGAAGCCTTCGTCGTTGAACTCTTGCTTGAATTCCTCGGCCAAGTCGATGACCCATTCTTTCTTTGGACAACCATTGTCGAGTTTGGAAATGTTACGGCAGCCGGACTTGAGGAAGAAATCATTGGAGATGCGGATAGTGTCAAGAGCAGATTTGTAGAGGGCAGGATTGGTCTGCGGGTCACAGAGGGAGATGGTTCCCTTGTCCGAGGGTGGGAAATCCGTGTCGCCATTACCGGTCGAGGCAGGCTCCGTCCATTTCAATGTATACACATTGGGCAGGGGGACATTGACGGGTGACGGCTGGGAGGACTCTGGCAGTCCATGAGTTGTGACACCGCCGATGTTGGCGACTGGCGCCCACAGGCGGTAAAGAATACCCTTAGGGAACATCTGGGCGGACGGTTCTTGCGGGTGAAAGTGCTAGTTGTCTTGCAGTAGTCGAGGGGAAGTTGGAAGGGGAGTGAGCGGAGGCGTGTGGACGTCTTATACACGCGGGCGCCCGCAAGTTGCGCGCCAAGGTGACAATAAGTGAAGGGCAAGCACAATAGACGAACGGTGAACAATAGCGTGATTGTGAGTTGAAAGTGAAGTTGACCGTTAACAATGCGCCCGTGCGCTTTGTTCTAGTATGCTGCCGCATTGCATTGTTCAAAAGGGCACGAAACGCCTCTTGGGCTGCCTTAGGAAGCTGTCCATGGTAGTTTTCGCTATGTGGGTGATGTATCTGACATGTTAGACTGTTTGCTCGCCCACACCTGCTCTCGAATGTGGCTATGTAGGATTTGACCTAGCGAGCTGCCGCATTGAACTGTTAAGGAATCGTGCAACATGACCTGAGTTGTGTCAGGCTATCTGCTGTGCTGTCTACGTGATTCGGGAAACTTACAGACACAGACTATATGTCTACTCATACTAGGAGACGAATGGCATCAGCTGTGACTTAATCTGGCACGCTACCGCTGCTCGAACAGATGAAGCGTGCAATATGAACTGACTTATCCCAAGCCATGTGCTAAACCGTAAGATTATGAGCAATTCCGAAGACCTGGTGGTGCTTCACAGATACACTGACGAAGCCATGCCTAGTATTCATCATGACGTGACCTTTTTGGAAACTGTAAGCAGGTGACAAACTTGTAGCTCATCTGCGCAGCAAGCAGCTTATGCTCAGATATCCTGCGTTGACTTGAACAGGATAGGGAAGTTGTTCGAGTCATACGTGGTGTGCGTTCGAGTGCAGTGTGATGTTTTCCAACTAAGCCACATCCGATCTAGTACACGCACGTGATGTAAGCTTCGCCCGGGCGTGGGGGTAAGTGCCCAATCTTCCCATCGACTACACCCTCGCAAGCCTGAGTGGAGATGATCACCTTCTGCACGTGTGCGGGTTTCTTTACACTGATGCCTACATTGACGGCGCTGTTGCACTCGTCCGGCGGACCTTCGATGGACTTGAAACCGCCCCCGGTCATGTAACATCTCGTCTGAAACATACCATAGGTACGAAAGCCTCTTAGGGTCTTATGCACCTTGGCATTTCACGAACGTGTATCGCAAGCATGTTCACGATGCCTACACGAACGGAGCATCTCGCGTTCCTTATATACCACGATAGACTTTTGTCACGCGAATGCCAACATTGAGTTCACTCTAGCCCGCGACTTCGAAACCTAGCAGGCGGGCCGATTCCACCAGTTCCACTACCACACTCCTCCCGCTTCGCTTGATCCTGGCCCTGGACATGCGGGAGTTACCGCGCCCTTCTCGGCCCTGCACGATATGAATCGCAAGTCCGCCCCCAAATTTCAGCCCTCAGCTGGCGCCTTCACCCCTCTCACTCGGCCGATCTCTTATCGTATTTATGAAGCCTTGTCATCCCTGCTCAACGCATTTTCGAAGCTCTGCAATCCCTGTTTTACGCCCTGTTCATCCTTCGCGTTTCTTTTACCATCCTACAACATCCCCTCTGAAAGCGTCATCGTTGTAAGGTGCTCAGGAGCCATGCTACTGCACACGCTCCTCGTCTCCGCCCTCGCAGCGCATGTCAGCGCAGACTGCTACTCGCACGATGGAATAAAAGCGCTCGACTCTAAATACTACACAGGCCCGGAGCTCGTCTCCTGCGGCAATGGAACCGATAACTGTTGCCTCTCAGGCCTCAAGTGCGGGACGAATCTCCTTTGCGTTGATGGCGACGGCGCCGTTTCGCGCCAGTACTGCGATAATGCAGCCTGGATTGGATGTTCTGATATGTGCGCTGGTAACTATGTCGATCAGTCCTGCCATGGATAACGCTAATCGTGGCGTAGGCAACGTCGCAGCCGGTGTGAGCATCCATGACTGCGGCGACAACATCTATTGCTGCGGTGGGGACACCGAAAAGGCATGCTGCACAGATGAGCGCGCCTTCTACGTAGATCCCGACAACGGCGGCGTCACGCAAACGACGGTGGCTGCGAAGACCAAGGCGCCGAGGTGGTTCACGGTGGATTCGTCGTCTATACTGGCAAGTGAATCGGGAAGTTCAATGGCATCCTCGACATCTGCGCCTGCGAAGACTCCAGCGTCCTCTTCGGCAACAGCAACAGCAAGTGCGACGTCCTCTGCCGCTCCTGATCCCACAGAATCTACCGAGTCTTCCTCTACAATATCAGCAGGCGCAGGCGCAGGCATAGGCATCGGCGCCGCAGCGGGCGTCGTGCTGGTCGGTGTGCTGGTATGGTTTCTCCTACGGAGACGCAAGCAGGCTTCGCACGGTGCCGTGAGCGAAGTTCATGGCGACGCGACCACTATGGAAAAGTCTGGACAAGACTACTATGCGCATCACGGTGCGCCTCCCTCAGAGCTTGACAACGCGTATCCTGCGTCGCAGGAGTTGCCGCCAAACACGGTGACGCACGAACTGGACGGAACTGTAGGCCCAGCGAAAAGGTTGTAAAGGGCAGTGTGGTTATTTGGCGTTGTAATGCATAATTGGTGCGAAATGATACCCTCTCATGTTTGGAACCCTCCACCTTCTTCGGGACAAGGCTCGCATCTCACCTCCGACAACCTGAAGCTGAGCTGAGCTCAAGGCTCTCTCAGCTTGTTCGGGATCAGGTCGGTGGTGAGTGATGCGGTACGACTTGATCGTGAGTGACTAATGATATTCCACAGCTGCTGGATCAGATCGCCGGGAAGTGTACGTCGATGGGGAGACCCGACGAAGAGCAACGTGCGCGATGGTAGAATGTGCTTTCTACAGGTCAAGATACGCAGCATTCCCTTGCACTTTGAACAATGGAGACCGTCAGAGCCCCCAAGCATTGATGCCGAGCGATGGATCCGATTGATAAGTCCAGGGCGTATTCAAGGCAGGGAGCTGTATATTACCATCAGCATCCATCAGGATCTCTCGGCCTTGGAGGTGTGTGTATTTTGAGAGCTCTCTGCAGAACCGCAGCTCGCCCCGCTACGGTTCCCGTCTTGCTGGTACGTGGCCCGTGGAAGTTCGAGGGAAACCAAAGATGCGCCGCCCTCCAATACTCCTCCTCACCCTCTTCGCTAGTACTGCAAGTGCAGAGTGTTATTCACAGGATGTTGCGAATTTCCCTTCCGATCTCCGCTTCTCTTCCTCCAGGTTCACCCATCACAGGCATCGCAGCTCTGGATTCAAAGCTCTACACCGGGCCCGGACTCGTGTCCTGCGGTAACCCCCAAACAACTACTTCCTGTGCGGTCACGAATGCGGCAGCAACTTGTTGTGCGTAGACGGCGGCGGAAATGTCTCGGAGCAATACTGTCAAGATAAGAACCAGGATGATTATTTCATGCTGCGTCCACATAAGAAGCACCACCTCCCCCTACCCTTTCTTATAGCCCCACCGTCTACTACATCGGCAGTATATGTTACCGGAACCTCGAAGACCACACGTATCGATGAGGAGAATGTAGAATCGGGTTCGGCCAGTCTGTTTACCCGTCGGCCACTTGAAATTTCCCGCATGGATACGGAACGTACGGGATGTAACTTCAAGGTCTCCCGGTGCACCAATGTCCCTATCAGTCTTCTGCCGCGTCGTCTCGATGGCTGCCAGGTTGAGTCGCTGTGATTTCTCCGATCGTAACGTCGCGACCCTTGTCCTGAGGTGGGTACCTCGAATACTAATCAGATTTCTTTCATGGATAGTGCTCATGTATGCCTCGGTACTGAACTTTGAGATCAGGTCAAGCTTTAGCCAGACAAGAGGGATCTACGGATACAGACAAGCAAGGCCACTCGTCGAAGCGCTACGGATCGGCCCGTCTCGTTACCTCCGCCGGGTATGGCGTTACGACGCATACGGTGCAAGTGGGTTGTATATCTTGCTTTCCGATCTTGGCGTTGATCCGCGGAACCCGACCGGAACGGGTATGCGTTATGCGGCATACTTTCCAGCTCATGATCTAGTATTTGATCCAATATCAATGTGGTACGAGGCTGTGGCATCTGTGTATAAAAGACGATGCCACACATCAATAACATAATCACGGCTCACCGTTGCTTGCTTCTGACTTTGTCATCTTGAAGTGTACTCTGGTACAACAGATATCTTCTATCTTTTTTTTGGGAACTCTTGCTCTCTCTATCATCCAAAATCTACGCACACTATCAACTTCGCTCAGAATGTCTGAAACGATCTCACCAGATTATTTGGTGATCGGATCGGGTGCCATGGGAATGGCTTTCGTCGATACCCTGCTCACGGACACGAAGGCCACTGTAGCCATAGTCGACAAATACGCTCGCCCAGGCGGTCATTGGACAATCTCTTATCCTTATGTTCGCCTTCATCAGCCATCCGCATTTTATGGCGTGAACTCTCGGCACCTTGGCGAAGACAAGATCGATCAGTTTGGATTCAATAAGGGCATGGCTGAGCTCGCGACGGTCGATGAAGTCTGCGCCTATTACAGCAAGGTGATGCATCAGACTTTCCTCCCATCTGGCCGCGTCGCATATTATTCAAGGCATGAATACTTGGGTGACGGGACATTTCGGTCTATCCTTACACACAAAGTCGTCCGCGTCGGAGAGGGTACACGGATTGTGGATGCAACGTATATGAAGGTCAGAGTCCCCGCCATGAGCCCGCCTGCCTACGAGGTCGCGAAAGAGGTGGAACTCATCACACCGAACGAATTACCGAAGGTCTCCCGTCCGTACGGTGGATACACTGTTGTCGGTGCTGGAAAAACCGGAATTGATGCTTGTCTGTGGCTCATAGCGAACGGCATTGATCCAAGAAACATTTCGTGGATCATGCCCCGTGACGCATGGTTGCTTGACCGTAGAATTCTTCAGCCCGGGAAAGAGTTGGCTAAACAGTCTGCGGCCATGGCTGCAGCCTCCCATGAAGCCATCATGATGGCCTCGTCCGCAGAGGACTTGTTCCGCCGGCTCGAGGCTTGCGGGTACCTGATGCGGTTGGATGATGGGATGTGGCCGACCATGTACAAGTGTGCCACCGTCTCCATGGCCGAGCTCGAGCAGATTAGAAGAATTGGGACAGTCATACGACAGGGACGAGTCCTACGCCTTGATGCTGATAAGATTACTTTGCAAAACGGAACGTACGATCCTGTACCCGATACGCTTTACATTGATTGTACTGCCGATGCTCTAGCAAAGGTGACTCCGACACCAGTGTTCAGTGGCAATCGAATCACTCTTCAATCAGTCCGCCAATGCCAACAAGTATTCAGCGCCGCCTTCATCGGCCACGTCGAGGCCACGTATGAAGACGAGCGACTCAAAAACGAACTTTGTCGCGTCGTCCCACATCCCAGTGAGCCCATGGACTATCTCATTGCGAACGTTCAGACGCAAAAGAACTTGCTACGGTGGAGGGCGGAACCAAGAACGGCCGCCTGGCTGAAGCAAGCCCGTCTAGACTGGTTCAAAAAGGTGCATCCACCGGCGCCTGAGGACCCTGCAGAAGCGGCAGAGTTCTATAAGATGGTCGAAGCGATCGAGCGTTCCACTGTCAAACTCGAAGAGCTTCTCAATCAGCTTCCTGAACAGGATGCGGTCAGGGCAAAGGCTCAGTTGGCGAGGTTTTAGGTGGATGGTTGTGCCAACCTTGGTTAGCCAGCTTATTGCTATCGTCAATTGAACTTGTTGGACTGTGCAACGATTAGTAGCCTACAATACCATACCATGAACAAGCTGCGGTGAATAAACGAGACTTATTCCATTTTCAGAGTTGCTAACGCGACTGATGCTTGAACCCCTTTTCCTTCGTGAATAACAACGGCTATGGCTACAGCGTGAAGATCATAGAAGTAGACAGAAATGACCTTCTTCAGCCCATGTCTAACCGAGCGACGAGCAAACTACTACAGAACTAGTCAATAGGGCACAATCTTTTGCCTACTGGCGTCCTGTGACCAAGAGTACGACATGCTATGTCTGCTGGCCGTCCACATGAATTGGGTATATGTGGATCGGGATCCGGCCAGCTCTTTCCGTTCCGCTGCTTTCAGGAAGTGAGACTAAAAGATGCCCGGAAGTAACATTTGACGAGCAAGTGTACCATGCTCCTACCTCAACGTTTCGTACATCAAAAACTCCATACAAAGGACTTTCCGCAGCTTCGACTGCAGCTCGCGAAGCTCAGTGCAACGTAAAAGTATATACTCACGTTCAGTCATACCGAATTCCATATTCCTGCAGTTCCCCCACTCAACCCTTAAATCCCCTACATAACCACACATTTACTCCCCTCCTCCACCGGCGCCACATAATCACTCTGATCCACCCCCTCATCCCTCAACACAAACTCCTCGCTAAACCCCGGCCCAAAATACTTCCACGCCGCATTCTCCCGAACCATCTCCGCCGTGCTTTGGCGCTTAAACGCAAGCTGGATTTTCGCCTCGGGCGTATCCCGCACGGGGACGATCTTAATAACGACAGGCGTGAAACTGGACGCGTCTTCTTTCTCTACGCAAAATCCGACTTGAACTTTTGACCCGAAGAAATCCTCGCCTTTGCGGGAGCGCAGCCGAACGAGCCGGGAGACATTCTTGTCTGACTCGTCGACTACGCCGTCTGCGTTAAGCTTTGCAAGGGCGCTGGCGAAGCGCCATTCTGAGCGGGGGTTGGGGCCTGTCGTCGCACGTTCGACGAGGGACCCGCGGTAGAAGGGATACCGCATGGACACGTAAGTTCCGCGGTCTTTGCTGTATTCGAGACGCCACCAGTGGGATTCGGGGAGGAATTGACTTGTGTAAGAGGGCTTGAGTGTTTTTAAGGCGGTGGGGAAGATGCTCCATGCTTGTTCTTGCATTTTTGTGATGGAGGTGGATAGTTCGGTGGCCCATTCTGTGCGTTTGGAGTCGTCTGGGGAGGTGTTAGATAAGTGTCAGAAACATAAAGAAAGACGGGTGGGATAGGATGGATAGGAATTGGAACTGGAGGAACGCACCATCCGCGACCAGGGCTCGAAGCTCATGGGCGTCCCGTAGGAAGTTTGCGACTAAAGTCAGATTTGCCTCAATCTCCCAGAGGTAGTCCTTGATCGTGTAGCCGAGATCGTCCATGTTGCAGAGCTTGTCCAGTGCTGAGACGTTCCAAGCACCAATCAGTCCGCCTTTCCCCACGAGCGCGTTCTTGCCCGTGACACCTGCGATGATGTTGTCGATCTGGAAGCCGACACCGTCGTCATAGCTGCCGATTACGTCGACGAGCTTTGTCATGTCCTTCGTCAAGCTAGGATATTCGTCAATTCTAACTCCCTCACACCTTCGACCCTTTCTATCCATCCAAACAGTGCAAACTCACAACGGCATAGGCGGCTCCTTATTCCCACTTTTCTCTCTAACACTATTCTCCGCTTTGAGCGCCTTCTCCATCTCCTTAGTCCAGTACTCGACCTTCTGAATCGAGTTCCAAATGAGGCCTTCGAAATGCATGGACGTCATGTTGTTCAGCAGTTTCTGCTGCGCCTCGCGCAACTCGGCCATTTGGTCTTTGGCCTTGCCGAAAAGCCCACCTTTGACATGATTCCATAATAGACTGCCTCCCTGTTTGAGCAGGAAGGTTGCAATTTGCGTAGACATTGCTTAGATATCTGAGTGAGCAAGAGCAGGGAAATGTCAGGTGCGTAGACTGGTGGATGGCAAGTACCGACAGCGACAGCTACAGCTACACGGCAACATATCTATACTTGATACCCAATGCGTCCCCGCTCGATCGAGCTTAGGTATTCCAAAGAGGTCGGTCTCGCCGGAATAGTCTGCTCGGATGCGCGTGCGTTTGGCGTGGTTAGGCGAGGTCCAAACGTTCTGGGCCGACGTTATCTCAGCCGCAGAAGGTTTTCCTACCAATTCGTCCAAATACTTCACCGAAAAAGTGTAAGCCCGGGTACTTCAGCTGTCCCTATGACCAGAGTGGCATCCATTGCTTCGCAGCCATTAATGATCGAGTCTGCGCCGGACGTGTCTCCCTGTTGACGTCTGACCGCCCTACTCAACGACAGCCTTCAACAGCACGACGCATCGGGTGTTTTGCAGGCAGAGGGTCATGACTATGCTAGATAAGACATGCTGGCGCCGAAAGACGAGCAAGTACCAGAGGTGTTAGCCACGCAAGAGCTACCAGGGGAAGCGAGGCACGGGATGAGGTAGGGGTAGTCGAGGTGGAACTGTGAACCGCCGCTGTATAACGAGCCTGCCTTCAAAATAGTGTGTTAGCAAGCACAAGACCACAACAGCGCACAATACGAAAGTTGCTTTGCACATGTGATTCATACCTAGCAGAAGGGTATATCATATCTATGCCGCCCAATCTTCCCCATCCCAGTCCAGTCCAACCCATTGAACCATGCTCTATCGCACCCAAACGCTATCCCGCAAACCGTGACTGAACCCATCCGTCCCGCCCAAGTTCTCGCTTTTTTATCAAAACCCAACCGACGTGTAGTAGAGTAGAGAAAGGTAAGAACTCCGTAGTAAACTCCTCACATCCACGCTGGAAGCGCTCCAAGATGTTTCGGAGCCAAATGCAAGGTATACAAAAAGTGCAGGAGGATTAAAAAGTGTAGAATGTAGCCGCTTTCGAAGCGCGCGTTGGAGAGGGTCGTTTACATGATGATGGAGGGGGTGTCGATGTTAGCTTTGATCGACTTGTGGGGCAGGACGGAGCCGCCGTTGACGTAGACTTCGTCGCCGACGGAGACGTCGTCGCCAAGAACAGTTACGTTCTCGAGACGAGCCCACTTGCCGACACTGCTGTTCCAGCCAACGATGGTCGACTTGATCCAGGCGTGGTCCTTGATGCGGCTGTTCTTCAGGATAACGCATCGCTGTAGTCGGACACCGTCGCCGACGACGACGTTGGGGCCAATGGTGACGTTGGGTCCGATGCGGCAGTTCTTGCCGATCTTGGCTGAGGGGTCGATGAGGACATTGCCGCCGTGAACATAGGATTCGGTAGTGGGTGTAAGGAGGTCTGAGCCCTGGCGGGTCAGGGAGGAGAGGTAGAGGCAGGTTCCGGACAAGAAGTCCTTGGGCTGACCGACGTCCATCCAGAAGCCCTCCAAGTCGAAGGAGTGCAATTGGCCATCCTTGACGAGAGCAGGGAAGGTCTCCTGCTCGATAGAGGTAGGCCGGAGCTCGATGCGCTGGAGCACGGAGGGGTTGAGGATGTAGATACCGGCGTTGATGCGGTTGCCAACGAACTCGATGGGCTTCTCAACGAAGCGGTCTATCCTCGAGGCGTGGTTGGGCTTGTGCACAACGACACCATATTTGGACGGCTCCTCAACCTTGGTCACCACAATGGTGCCCTCCTCACCGTGCTGCTTGTGGAATTCGGCGAGCTGCTTGAAGGGGTATTCGCAGGTAACGTCGGCGTTGAGGACGAAGAAGGGGGAGTCGTCCTTGCCGAGGATGCGCTCGGCAAGCTTGAGGGGGCCGGCGGTGCCCAGAGGCTCGGTCTCGACGGAGAACTCGATCTTGACATTGTACTGCTGCTCATACTGGGGACCCGTTAGTGGGGCTTTCCTTGAAGCGGATTGTTGAGTATACGCACGGTCTTGAGGGCCTCAGCCATGACCTCGGGCCTGTAGTTGACGGCGAGCACGATGTCGGTGACGCCGGCGTCTGCCAATGCCTCGATCTGATGCTGGATCATGGGCTTGTTCGCGAACTCGACGAGCGGCTTGGGGTAGGTGAGGGTCTGCAATTGTTAGGCCTCATGTTCACACGGAGCGGTGAGCGCGGGGTAGGCATAAACATACAAGAGGCCTCAGACGGGTTCCGAACCCTCCGACGAGAATGATGGCTGCATGTTCGTTAATCACAAGCCTCTTCGGAGCAATTGAGTGAGCGTACCCTTCATAGCTGTGGTGGTGGGATGTGAATTGGGTGGGGTGGGGAAATTTGTGAGGGTTGATGAAGACAACGAATGGGTCCTCAACAAGAGCTAGCGAGTGATGATGCGATGGACGGTGCTTCAAATGGAAGCACGGTATGGGGTATGGGAGGAAGTTCGCAGGGTGTCAACGAGCTCTCGGGTGAGGACAGCTGGATTTAAGGGTTTGGTGGTACTCTTGTCGGACGGAGCTCCCTAGCTCGAAGAAGCCCAGGCCAAGCGGCCCCCCAATTATTCCCCTTTCCACGGCCACACCTCGCCAGTCAAGTCATGCCATCCCTTGTCCTCGCCCGCTGCCCATTGCCTTAGCTTCCACCGCCCCTTGCAACTGTACGAATGGTCGCTGGAACATCGTTCTAATTTTGCTGTTTCTCGCCGCTGGTTGGCGTGACATTGTGTTTCTGGGGCGGCGGCTGGCATCCCATTCGCCTGCTACCCGTCACGCGCGAGTTCTTCGATTCCGCAGGTACATGCGAGTTCGACTGCACCGAGTACATTTGCTGTTCTCATTCACCGCCTGCGATGCTAGCCCACGTGGGATGCGCCATGTATACGATCGCCTTCCAGAACGAACCTTTTTGCCTGTCACGCACGTCGCAGCATGGATAGGGGTTCCCGTCCCTTGACAGGACAGATTCACGCTGTGGCTGACCTCGAGCAGCCTCAATCCCGCACACGCCCGGATCCCCAATTTGCTCTCCCATCAACCCGGCCCACATGATCTCGTCTGTGGGGAGACTCGACGGATACCGGCGTTTCAAGCTGCAATGCGGCTTCCCGTCTTCCTATCGATACTGCAGGTCACGCTTGTGGGTGCAGACGCGCGTCGGTCCTGCGTGGCACTCACGCAAGTCATAAGAATTTGACCATGTCCTTACGCATACTAGTTATGGTTAGATGAGGGTTCTGCAAGGCGACATCCTCTCACACCGCCCTGGACTGTGCCTCAGGTGTTCACGATGCGGCGCCAATTTCCGAGGTAGATCCCTTCCACACTTCAACGTTAAAGCAACGTTGCAACTTGCGCCATTGCAGCATCTGACTGGCATCGCTCCATTTCGCTTCCTTGTGTGAAATTCTGCGTTACACAACTGCGCTAACGCCACGTTTGACCTAAACACCAACATACCCTTTAAAGACTCTGTTTAGGATTACCTATATCGGAAACACCATCGCCACCATTGAATACTGGGCGCTAACGGCTTCCGCGTAGCTTCACTATGCGGTGGCACTGGAGTCTCACTCAGCCTTACGCTGCGTACTAATAGTCCAAGGGTTGCAGATCCCTGCTATTTATGGTTCCACGATACTTCATTCTATCGCTTCAAGGCCTTCTACGCGGTATATCACCCTACCAACATGACTTCGTTGATGCGCATCCGAGGTGCGAACATTGCTACTGTACTCGGTACTCACACAACAGCAGGCCCATGCAATTCTTGGTATTCACACAACAGCAAGCTCATACTATTCTTAGTATATCGATCAATATATTGAGACCATAACCCACGCCATTCCCAGCACTACCTCATCCCATCCCCACCACTCCCACTCTGCCTCCGACTCTCCGGCCTCGAACTCGAATAACTAGAACTCTTCTTCCCCAACGTAACCGTCTGCCACACATCCGCCATCCGACTCCAACTATTCGTCTTAATCAGGCCCCCCTCATCCTTCAAACTGTTCCTCCGCGACCTTCCCCCTCTGCCCGGCGTACTCGCTCCGCTCCCCACCCCCTGGAACCGATACTCCTTCACGTGCTCCCAGCCTCCGCTCTTGTACTTCCACAGATCGAATCCTAGCGCTTTCCCGTGGTATGTTTCTTCGAAGAGGATGCGCCGCAAAGTGTCGAACGTAGATATGACCTTTTTCTCCTCTTCGACTTTATTCATGATGGTCCAGTGGGGCTGCCATCCTCGACTCTTGCTATCTTGCTGGCTTAGCCATTGAAGCCATTTCTCCCGCAGGTCTTCGCGAAGGTGCTGCGATTGCTCGTCGCCGGACCCAAGCAGCACTGCAACTCCTTTCCTCAGACGAAATGGCTTCCCGGTCGATATGTGGTACGGCCTCGTTCGCGCAGCGAGGCGGTTCAACGTAGCGTCTATGACCTCGATCTGCGAGTGAGGCAGCGCGTGGAACAGCGTGATGTGCGCCGGCGTCCGGTTGAGGTGTTTCGGAAAGTATTCCTCCCTTAACTGGTCAAGCGGGACGGATATCGAAGGCGAGAGGTTAAGCGTGAGGACGTAGACATGTTCTTCTTCCTGGCCTGTATTCGGCTTGTGCGAGGGTTGGGGCGATGCGCGGCGGGAGGGAGCCGCGCTGGTGACGGCGCTGTCGATGATCTCGGCGCAGGGGTCTTGCGGCGACGCCTGTCTCTTGGGCGAGAACATGGTTGCTCGTTCGCGTAGCACAGACAGTGCGTATCTGTCGCTCTGGTTCAAGAGTCTCTTTCTCTCCGATGCCCTCGTATTAGCGATCAACCTGCAAGGTACGCGTACAAAAATGTGCGGATGCGAATGCGCAAACAGGGTCCGATCCCACGCAGGGTGTGCAAGGATCAATGTGTTCACGTCCCAACCGTGTCTCAAAAGTCGTAGTCGTCGTAAATCTCCTCTCAAACTCTGCGCAGCGACCCACCGCATACTTAAGGCAACCGGCCTGCAAACATCGGGCTTGGAACTTCAATTTAGGAAACTCACCCAGTTGTCGCCAGGGTTCGGATCGACTACGTCACAGCAACCAGTGGTTTAGCGCGCGCACCGTTCGTCGAGGGACCCACAGGCCGAGGTGTTTTTGAGCCTCAACAACGGTTATCTTTCGAACTGACACTATTCGATTTCGTAGGGGTGCGGTTCGGCTCGAGATTGCACGTTGGCGCATGGGGGCTGGTGATTCGACTGCAGGCTTACCACGGTATAGGGCCTGCAGCTTCTGGGGAGATGTCGCCAACGTTGGATGTCATATGGAAAGTTCGTTTCAAAGTTATTTATACAAGTGTTCAGTTGCTTGTCGACGTAAGTGGACACGAGCGGACAATGCAGTATGAATCAACGTAATAGTAATCATTATCATATATCTGTTTTCAGCGAGCGATCTGCTAAGACGGTCTCGCGTCTAGCCTCGCTGCCGAGCCTCGAAGACAAACCTAGAAGCCCTGCCTCGTCTTCGGCACATACGCCTCCTCCAACACCTTCATATCCTCCTCGCTCAGCTTAAACTTACTATTTTTGACCGCCTCGTCGATGCGCTCCTTGCTGCTCAGTCCGATAATCGGCTGCACGCCCTTGTGAATCGTCCATGCCGTTGCGACGCACGCCATGCTGACGTTGTTCTTCTTCGCGATCTTCTCCACCCTTCCAATGATCTCTTTGTCAACGGCGTCTTCGCGGTCATGAACGAGCATATTAAGGAAGGCATCAGTAGTAGAGCGCTTAGACGAGCGATCGGACCACGGCCGCGTGAGTGCGCCGCGCGCAATAGGCGACCAGGGAATGAGACCCACGCCAGTGTCCTGACAGTAAGGAATCATCTCGCGCTCTTCCTCGCGGTAGATGAGGTTGTAGTAGTTCTGCATGGAGATGAACTTGTGCCAGCCGTTGCGGTCCGCGATGTTCTGCAGAGTCTGGAATTCCCATGCTGCCATTGAGCTGGCTCCGATGTATCGTACCCATCCCTTCTCCACCACATCGTTTAGCGCCTTCATGATCTCCTCCCTGGGTGTGTCGCGGTCTAGCCGGTGAATCTGCAACACGTCGATGTATGTGCCGAGCCTCTCGACGCTCTTTTCTACTGCGTCGAAGATGTGCTTGCGTGATAGGCCGACTTCGTTCACGAACTCGCCATCGTTGGTCATGACCGATGCGATGCCAAGCGAGGGATCTTCTTCCTTGACGCCGAAGTAGCATTTCGAGAGGAGGACGACCTTAGAGCGGGGGATGTCATATTTCTTAAGAGCTTTGGCGATGATGCGTTCTGAGGCGCCGTGCGAGTAGATGTCGGCCTAGAGCGAACAATTCTGTCAGTAAAGCTACTCTTTGAGAATAGAAACCAAGTAGAGTTGGCGCTCTACCCGAATGCCTCGAAAGAGGGTGACGTACCGTATCCCAAGTATTTATCCCAACCTTATACGCATGCTCCAGCAGCGGCAAGCTCTGCTCCTCGTCCAAAACCCACTCCTGCCACTTCGAATCGCCGTAGCTCATCGCTCCGAGAATCACCTTCGACACCTTGAGGCCGGACTTGCCCAGGCTATAGCTCGATTAGCACAAGGCCTCCATCAACCAGTTTCCGCCATGCTCAGGTACAGATACAACCTACTTGACATATTCCATCTTCTCAGACATGTTCCCTCAATGTTCTCTGTGCTCTTTCTGATGTATAAAATCGGTCTTGATTTATTTGTCGTAAAGCCGCCTGCTTGTGTTCTTTGCGTCAAGCTCGCTATCTGTACAGTGGGGTACCTCAACTTTTATGAGTTCAGCCCGCCCGCAGCGGAAGTAACACACAGCTCCGGCGATCCGCAGGGTCTTCGTAAACCCCGCCTACTCTACGTACCAATTGGCGCGGAATTCCACGCCTGCCCACCTCGGTACCCTTCGGCAGCGTCATGGGTGGGGAGCTACGCGGGGATACATGTTATATCCGTGACGTCGTGCAAAGTGGCGCGCTGGCGGACGAGTACCACGGGGGTGTACTTCAGAGAATCCCATCTTCACCGAAGGTTTTCGGGTCAAATAGATGGACAAGCTGTCGCTGAGGTAGGATTTTGCGAGGGACAGGACGCAAGGCTTCGAATCCACGATGCATGAGGCTCGAAAAGTGTAGTGGATTAACGCACTAGAGAAAATGCTACTCAGAAGCGCGTAAGCAACGAGCGCATCGTTGAGCGAGGGCACCTGTATGTACATGGTGTAGTCAAGCTTTGCGTGCACCTCTGGTGAAGAAGAGAGGTGTAGAATTCAGGGACTTGGAAGTTAAGGATGTCAGCAAATGGATTACTGAGCGACTTTACAGCGTCATTGCATGCTGGATGGAGAAGGGAGGGTCTCGCAAACCACATGCACTCTACCGCAACACCAGCACGACGGCCATCTTGTTCACTGTTCTTCATGCACGAACTCTGTTTTCAATTCAATAGGATCAACTTTCAATTCAATAGGATCAACACATCACAAGAGCATGGTGCAGGAAATGATTGTTTGAGAACGAATCTCAGCCCGTAGGCATGCTCTTTGAATTAGACCTTTCCAGCCTTATCATGAACTATAGGAATATCGTAACCCGTTGGCCCTTTCTGGTGCCGTCATGCCCTAAAACGCCATCCGTGATATCGCCCGAGATGTCAAACAAACCGCTTACTGGCCGCCACGCAGACGGAGCACCAAGTGCAAGGTGGACTCCTTCTGGATGTTGTAGTCGGATAGTGTTCGGCCGTCTTCCAGTTGCTTACCAGCGAAGATGAGACGCTGCTGGTCCGGGGGAATACCTTCCTTGTCCTGAATCTTCGACTTCACATTGTCGATGGTGTCCGATGATTCGACCTCCAACGTGATGGTCTTGCCGGTGAGAGTCTTGACGAAAATCTGCATACCACCACGGAGACGGAGCACCAAGTGGAGGGTTGATTCCTTCTGGATGTTGTAGTCGGAGAGGGTGCGGCCGTCCTCCAACTGCTTGCCCGCGAAGATGAGACGCTGCTGATCCGGAGGAATGCCCTCCTTGTCCTGAATCTTTGACTTGACGTTGTCGATTGTGTCCGATGATTCAACTTCGAGCGTGATGGTCTTGCCGGTCAACGTCTTCACGAAGATCTGCATACCACCACGGAGGCGCAAGACAAGGTGGAGTGTGGACTCCTTCTGGATGTTGTAGTCGGAGAGGGTGCGGCCGTCCTCCAACTGCTTGCCCGCGAAGATGAGACGCTGCTGATCCGGAGGGATACCCTCCTTATCCTGGATCTTGGACTTGACGTTGTCGATCGTGTCGGAGCTCTCAACTTCGAGCGTAATCGTCTTGCCGGTGACTGAGAAAGATGTCAGTAGGCGCATGAGAGCGAAAAGCGTAGTGGCGACTTACGAGTCTTGACGAAGATCTGCATACCACCGCGCAGACGGAGGACGAGATGAAGCGTCGACTCCTTCTGAATGTTGTAATCAGACAAGGTGCGACCATCCTCAAGCTGCTTGCCGGCGAAGATCAAGCGCTGCTGGTCTGGCGGGATGCCTTCCTTGTCCTGGATCTTGGACTTGACATTGTCGATGGTGTCGGAAGACTCCACCTCCAAGGTGATGGTCTTGCCGGTGACTGCGGGCTGTCAGCGGGTGCGCAAGGCAAAGGCGAGCGGGTGGCGGCGCTGCTACTTACGGGTCTTCACGAAGATCTGCATCGTGGAAGTTCGGAGTGTGTGCTGTTTGTGTGTGTGGAAGTGTGTCTCGTTGACAGTGTCGTAGGGCAAGTGTGATTGCGGGTGTAGAAGGGACAGAGAGAGGCGGCGGGCGGAGGGTTTATATGGGCGAGACGTGCAGGCGCAGGCGGCAAGCTGAGGCTGTGACGGTCAATGGGTGAGTAATGACACAACCTAGCGGCCCGTGCACCAATGGCAATCAAGGCGAGAGAACGTTCGAGCGTCTTCTTGGCCAGGCAGCCGCGCTCTTTTACCGCGCTGTTCGCTGATTGATCTCATTTTCGAGCTTCTCTTCAGGTACTCTATCCCTCTGTTGCGCCCTTCTGCCGTCAAGCTTCGCTCAAGCTGTGCTGTTCGCCGTCCGGTACACCAGCTTCCCCCGCTCTCCGTTATCGCGGGCCCTAGCCATGTGACCCTCTCTTATCGACCGGGGAACCTTCACCCCAGCCGGATCTGGTCGCTCAACCAACGTCGAACCGCGCCGCATGCCGCAATGCGCTTCTGTGAGCTGTTAGCAGCAGGAAAAGCGCTGCAAACTGGCTTTTCACCGTATCGCCACCCTGGCTCGCAATTCTAGATTGCGCAACTGACAGAAACGGTTCTCGCATGCGATCGGGCATATCTCGGCAACCTTTATCCCGCATCCATACACTGTGGCGGTAATCGCCGCAAACCTCATTCAGGTACTCAGGCCAACAATAGCGAGCTCCGCAGACGTTGAGCGCACCGATGCGAGCATACCGTGCTAGTCTTCGGGAGTAGTTCCAGCCCCTCGACCTCACGCGAACGTTGGTTCCGGACATCGTACGCAAGAGGCGTCGGCAATGAGGGCGTGATGATGTCACCCCTCACCAATTGATATCTCCAGCTTGAAGCGCGCCTTGCGCATGCTCTGGTTGACACACTTAGGACTTCACAGAGCGGACGACTGTTACGCGGGCGCGCGCGCACCATTCTATCGCACATAAGACGTTTCGCGATGCCGAACTTGACTGCGCCCAGCTTGACCGCCACCATCTGCACCCTCGAGCATCGCGCCTGGGCTGCGCTTTGCGACTCCGGCGCTGCGCTACTTCCCCTCCTCTCTGCAACTCCAGTTCTCATCTTCCCGGGGGACAGAATCCTCACGGGAACTTCGTCTCCGACGGTCCACGAGATACTGCAAGACCCGAGTTTCCAGCCGTGGACGAAATACACGCTGAGCCACGATGAGGTCATGCCGCTTGGGGAGAGTGCCGCATTGGTATACTACCGTGTAGAAGCTATTAGGGAAGAGCTGCCGTTCAGAGCTATCTGCTCCAGCGCGTGGGTGCTTGAGGATGGGCAGTGGAAGATGGCGAGCCATCAGCAGACGCTGATCTAGCAAGCGTACAATGAGGCCGGACGACCCGACGCGATCGCTTACGATTCTACGACTTACGCGATTTTCCGAAGCATCTATGAATGCGATTCGGTGTATAATCTAATTTTTTAAATCAAATTTGCCACTTTTTGCGCCAGCGACGTCTGCTCTGTTATGAGCCGTGTTGATCTGAAGCTCTTCGGCATTCCCGCGTCGGCGTGCGATACAGACGTCGAACAGATCTACCTTTCTCGTGAAATATCAGGTGTAACATACACTGGATTGTACCTCGGCTCCTCATCCTTTCTGCCGAGCGGCAGCCGTTAAGGTCACCTATTCACCTTGTATACATCTAGAGCTTATCCACACTAGCAATGTAGAAACACCCTCAACCCACTACGCATGTCTCCTCTCCCCTTACCAAATCCAAATCCTACCTGACTATAGTTCACATGCCCGGTTCACCGTCACACCAACCATGACCACCACCCAAAAGGGCGAAAACGTCTACAACCAATCCCAAGACTTCTGGGACTCCTACATCAAAGGCCGTCCCTCCATCCCACAGTCTTTCTTCAACACCATCTTCGACTACCACGCATCGCAGAACGGCTCCTTCACCGCCGCGCACGAGGTCGGCGCCGGCGTAGGCGTGCACTCTCCCCGCCTCGCAACCCGCTTCAAACACGTCCTCATCTCAGATATCATCGAGTCCAACATTCAGATTGCGAAATCCCGTCTGCAGGACCAAGATTGCTACAGCTTCAAAGCAAGCTCCCTGGAAGACACCATCGATCTAGAAGCGGGAAGTGTAGACCTCGTCTTCGCTTCCACAATGATGCACTTCACAGACGTCGACGCCGCGGTGCGCGCAGTACATCACCAGCTCGCGCCCGGCGGCACGTTCGCAGCTGGTCTATACGGGACGTACGCGCTACACGAGCCGAGGGCGCAAAAAGTGTGGAAGAAAATCGTTCTGTGGATATGCAATGATATTATAGAGAAGTATGGTCTTGACGACCGTGCGAAGAACATTCTGCAAAATGAAGCTTCTGGGCTTGATTCTGTGGGGTTGCCGGATGAGTTGTTCACCCCGGCGAAGAGGTATGATTATAATTTCCTGGAGCGGGGTACGCTACGGGATATGATTCTGCCGGAGAAGTATGGGCTTGGGACGATTGATCGGGTGGGGGCTGAGGATGAGGTTGTGAGGGATGGGTGGGATAGAGGGTGGTTTACGAAGCAGGGGATTGAGGGATTGAAGGGGATTGCGAGTACGTGGCCGCATGGCGAGGGGGATCCTGAGATTTTGGGGCTGTGGGAGGAGTTGCGGGGTGTGGTTGGGGAGGGGAGGTGGAGGGGCTGGATGGTTAGTTTGGTGTTGGCGTCGAAGAGGTAGAGCTTTGATGATAGTAGGGTACAAGTTATACGACTTATGACCTCATGATAGGAGTGGTGAGCGAATGTGCCTAAGGAAAAGAACAGTGTATTGGGCGTACACGCGGTAAGACAACAATTGCGCTAAGAATCGGCGATGATTGGCCACAGCCAGCTTCTACCAATCACGACACCACTACGCCCTCCCTTGGCAGCTGCGAGTTCAATGGGGCTGAATTCCAAGCACATGTTTCAGCGTTGCAGACGTGGCAGCTCTGCAGGATCCACAGCAATAGGCAGCACCTTCTCAAACGACGCAATCATACTACGAGCACAACGGCGACATCATCATCTGCAATATACTTGGAAAACGAAGAGTCATGCCGGGCTTTCGGGATCGCTTCTCAAAATGGAAAGAGCGACGTCGTGACGAGCATGGAGAAAGATCAAGCTCGTCTGCGCCTGCTCAACCTTTTAGCTCCACCATTCAACCCTCGACTGCAGTCGATGTTGTTGACACGGCTTCTCATACTTCGCAAAGGGTCCAGTCGAGTTCAACGTCGGCAAGCGATGCAAAAACTGTTACGTTAGTGAACGATGCGGGGCCTGCTTCGTCGGCAAGCGATGCGAAAACTGCGCTGTTGGGAAACAATGCAAGCACTACTCCGCCGATCAACGAAGCAAAGATTACTCCGCTGGCGAACAACGCAGGCACTACTCCGCTTACCAACAATGCAAAAGCCGCTCCAACGCATGTGTCAGAAAACAAAAATTCTGCGGACGGCGATCTGTGGGAGCAAGCCTACGAGATAGTCACCCAACAAGAACCGGATCTTATGGCAGCCTTCGCTCAACATCTGACTTCTGCTGAGGGTACGTCTGCGTCGCCTCTGGTACCACAATCGATCACACTCATCGTCGAACGGCTAACGCTCGAACGAGAGAGGAAGCAATGGCGTCTCGCTCTCTTCGAGAAGGACATAAGAGTTCGGAACCAAATCGAGAAACTGGCCAAGTTTGTCCTTTGGTCTGATGGGATCATCAAGCAAGCTCTTAGTGCTCAGCCCTATGCTGCGCTCGCATGGTCTGGCGTGTCGATCCTGCTTCCGGTACGTTCTGAATATTCAAACAGCTAGAGTCCGCTAACTCGAAATAGCTTGTTATGAGCTGTACCGCAGAGCACGCGACAATGCTGGAGGGCTACAATGCCATATGTCATGTCCAAATGTACTGGAAATTGAGCGAAGGCGTTTACTTCGGCGAGTCAGGCGATGTCATTCGGCAAAACATCATCCCGCAATTGGTTCAACTATACTCGCGTATTATCGAGTACCAGGCACGAGCCGTCTGTTATCTCTCCGAATCACAGCGCTCTCGTGCGTGGCAAAGCGTAACCGGTTCGAATGACTGGACTGGAAAATTGGCCGAGATACGATCTTCAAGCGAGGGATGCAAGATCTTCATCGATCCTGCACAGGAGAAGAAGATTTCCGAACACTGGCATCAACAACTAGCGGCGATGGGAGAGCAAACAGATATCCTCAGAGGAGTCCATCAGCTTTTGGAACAGGAGAGTCGCCAAAGAGAAAGGCGCCATGAAAGTCGAGCAGAGAAAGAAGCTATCAGAGCACTGGCATCTGATCATGCAGCCTATACAGCTGGAAAGGATCGCAATCCACAGAGGGTAGAAGGCACTTGCGAATGGTTCTTCAAGGATGAGCGTTTTTCTAAATGGCGTGGTCAAGATGACTCTGCCCTTTTATGGGTCTCAGCAGGGCCAGGGTGCGGAAAATCCGTCTTGTCCCGCACTTTGATCGATGAAGGTCATCTGACCACAAGGGTTACGACCTCGACCGTCTGCTACTTCTTCTTCAAGGACGGTGAAACAGGCCGCATGGAGAGCACCGACGCTCTATGTGCTATCCTGCACCAACTGTTCAGTCATGACCTCACAAGTCATTTGATCAGCTACGCTTTGGACGCTCACAAGAACTTCGGCCCAGCTCTTCCGCAACAACTGGATGCTTTATGGCGCATCCTGCTCGACTGTGCCAGAGACCCAAGCAGTGGGGAAATCGTTTGCGTCCTTGATGCTCTAGATGAATGTAATGAGAGGAGCCTCAAAGACTTGATGGTCAAGCTCAAGGACTTCTACAGTCTGGAAAACCAAAAGCCCACAGCTCGGCTGAAGTTCTTGATCACCAGCCGCCCGTATGACCGAATAGCATACCTTTACAGTAAGATACCTGGATTAACGGAACAGCTACGTCTGGATGGCGACGAAAACTCAGATCAGTTAGCTAACGACATAACTCTCGTCATTGATGAAAGACTGGATAGTTTGGCTGGTTCTCTAAGCCCGAAGGATCGAGGAGACATCGCTCACCGAATGAAAAGCGGGAAGGATCGCACATACCTCTGGCTACACCTCATCTTTAGTATCATCGAGGAGAAGCGAAGCTTTTACACCAAGAGATCGAACATTGAAGGTCTTTTGTCTACACTACCATCGGACGTTGACGAAGCCTACGAAGAGATCCTGAATAAAAGCCAACACGACAGCTCCGTTGAGACCCTTCTTCAAATCATTCTAGCTGCGTCCCATCCTCTGAGTCTTGATGAGTTGAACGTCGCTTTTACTTTGGCCCAGGACGAAGAGCGTATGGAATCATACGCAGAGCTCCAGTCCAATCTATGGCAAAACTTCTCGCAGGTCGTGCAAGATTTATGCGGGTTATTCGTCCATGTGCACAAGTCAAAGGTGTATTTGATCCATCAGACGGCTCGTGAATTTCTTGTCCAGAAAAAGCGTGGTACCAAATGGCAGGGGTGCTTGGATATGCACACAGCTCATCAGACACTGTTTCAGCTCTGTACTCGATATATTTCCCATCAGGGTCTTCATGGAGATACATATTGGGGACACAAAGACGAATTCCTACGATATGCTGCGTCTTGTTGGCCTTGGCACTACTCACACCAAGGACAGGCTACAATACAAGAGACTCTGAAAATCGCTTCAGCACTTTGTCGGCCAGACCCGAGTGACTCGAATTGGCTGGCCGAATACCATGAAATGGATTCGCGGCCCAAAATAGAGTTTCAGATCCGCGGCAGGCCTTCACATCTCGTCCCCTGCAGCTTCCCAGATTATGGGGCGACGGTGGAAGGATTATGTCACATGTCGGGTCTGCAGTTAGCGAGCTATTTTGGTCTGGCAGCCGTTGTTCACGATATGCTGACCAGAGGGTATCCGCTCGAACGTTGTACTTGCGATCTATTCCTGGGTTACGACTGTTACTACTGGATACCGAAGGCAATCGAGATCGCCATATATCGAGGCTTTGTGGATGTGGTACAAGTATTCCTGGATCAAAGACGGGTTGAGGTCAACAGTGATTTGATCGAGCTAGCGATCAAACTTGGTGAGCTGCCAATGATTGCATTGCTTTTTGATCATATTTCAGTGAACTCTGGCATCAGTAACATCATGCTCTCGAATGCGGCAGAAAACCAGTTCGATGGAGCTAACATCATGAAGCTGCTACTTAGCAAACGCGGAAACGGCGTTCATATTGGCGAAGATATTTTGAAAATCGCAGCAGACAACGGGGAGAAAGGAAGAGATGTCATAAAAGTTCTCCTTGACGAGTGCAAAGATGAGATTAAGATCAGCCGACATGTTCTGGCATCTATTGCATACCGAGACAACTGGACTGTGTTTGATCTGCTCCTAGATGAGCGCGGTGGCGAACTCAGTATCACCGACGACATCACAGCGATGCTGATAGCGAGAAACAGCATGAAGACGACAGAGCTTCTTCTTGATAAGCGAAGAGATGATATAAGGGTCACAGAGGAAGTCCTGAATGCTGCACTCATGCACGACGCCCGAAGTATGACCGAGAGTCCACAGACACTCAAACTGCTTCTTGATGAACGTGGTGATGGAGTCGAGATCACTGAAGAGATCTTGAAAATCGCAGCGGCTTACTTCCACGAAGAAACTATGGAAGTGCTTCTTAGCAAGCTTAACGATCGAAAGCAAATTACCGAGGACGTCCTGAAAGCCGCGACAGGCAACTATAACCCAAAGACCCTGGAGTTGCTTCTCGGCCGCTTTGATGGTGAACCGGACTTCGACAAATTACTTCAACTCGCACTTACTAACGCATCATGGGACGCTAGCGTGGTGGAGATGCTTCTGGACAAAGGAGGAGACCGGATCAATATAACTGAGGAGTTGCTGATCGCTGCTATGTTAGCTGCAGGCCCGAAGAAGGCCTACAGGGAGAGGAGAGAAATGATAGAACTCTTAGTCAAAAAGCGCCCAGAGGATCTTAAGATCACTGAGGATCTCATCACGACTGCGGAAAATGGTAATCTGCGGGACTCCACCATCGAAATGCTGCATCAGGCGAAAGCCAACCAGAGTCGAGACGCAGATACACATCGAGGAGATGGGCATGGGGAATCCGCGAGAGCAAAGTAGCATACAATTCCACAACATTCTATCAAGGCTGATCATATATCCCTGCAGCTTGTACCCAAGATATCCTGCCTCCACCAAACTCTACTCACGTGAGTCCTACATATGCATTCTGAGGTTATACTCCCGTCAATAACTACACTCCACTCCTCACACCCACACCCACCACGAACCGCCCGCACCCGCCAAAAAAGCAACGAGCATGCACAACACACACGCCCGTTTTGCAAAAAGCAAAGCACATAAACTTCTCCCCACACGCACAAACGCACGTTACCGCATCACTACCCGTTCCCGCCCCAAAAGCAAGACATCACGCCACTTCTTCCTCTCCCTAACTCAGTCCAGCAATCCCGTACCTGAAATGCACGTCGTGCTGTCACGACGCACGCAATCGCACTACTGACTCGTCTGTCTGTCTGCCGTGGCTCGGCCAGCCTCACCTTTGCGATCAGCACGCACTAGATCAGCATGCACTAGATAATGAGCTATCTACTTGCAACGCGCAATACCTCCGGAGGTAAGTACACAGTTGTCTTCCAACGCGAAACTCCCACGTCCAGCCTTCTAACATGTTGTTTCCGCGTGCTCCACGTCGCACGGCGAGGCGAGGCGAGGCGAGACGCTGACCGGATGGTGGGTCGTGGGTCGTTCGGTCGTCGCGCCCGTGCAACATCCCATCCTCGCCAACACAACATTCGCAGCACCGGTGCCGATCGCCAGGGTCTATCTAGGTTGACCCTGATATCTACCCTTCGTCCTTTCCTCAGCGGCCGCTAGCCGCAGACATTCGCTCGCTCGATAACTCAAGGTTCTCCACAGCATCCATCCGTATTGCTCGAGCCATCGGACGATACCGGCCCCCGTCCGTTTCGTTACTCACCGCTTATTGCAGCCGGGATGCTGCGCCGGGCGTACCACTGTAGACGTACCACCGTAGACCCTATGTATATCGGCTGCGATATAGATCCAGCACGCTACTGTTTTGGACGGACGGGGAGCGGGCTGGCTGGCCTGATTTGAGGTGACGGCGAGTTTGAGTTGGTGTCGGTGAGTTTGAAGGTGTCGTGGTGACGGGTACATGCTGCGTGGGTGAGTAGGGTAGTAGGGCAGGGTAGATGTCTGGACTGGCTTTTAGCAGGGAGTATGCTGGATGGATAGCAAGGTCTGAGTGGGAGGCCTCCATCATCGTGATTCATCGGCGCTTGGTCGCGGGGTAGTCGCCCGTAGAAGACTGTAGAAAGCGTCTTGTACACCTCAATCGCAGCATCTCCGTGCGAGATTACAGCGTGCATGCGTCAAATTGCAGGAAGCCTGTTGGGGCTGAGTTACAGCTGCGTGCACCGTGAGACGAAAACGGGCATCCCAGCTGGCACAACCATGGCAAAATGCAGTGTTGAATGATGAAATTTCCATTTCCCTTCCCTTCCCTTCCCATCCCATTCCATACCCCTGTCCCAATGCCAATAGATACATACAAACAAGCTTCTTTCAGCTATATCCGCCTTCACGCAATCATTATTCAAGAATGATATTGCATGTATGCTGAAAAATCCAATAACTACAGGTTGCACTCACAACACTGTAAATCTCCACCCTTCTCCGTCATCGTAGTAGTAGTAGTGTTGTAAAAAGGAAGTTGCTCGCTATGCCAGTAAAACAAGTCATGAAAAAGAGGAAAAACAACTGAGGTAGGAAGCATCGCACGCCTTCCAGCGAGTCCGGCGTGCGACAGCCGTCTAAACCCTCTACGCAGTAAGGTAGATATGCTTTTGAAAGGGACAAGACCGCCTTCCAAAGCCTGGAGAAGGAGAAGAGCAAATAATCAATGATGCCGTTGTCGTGGCCACTTCAATCGCATATGCCATCGTCAATCCGTATCAATAGCAACCGTGCCTTCGTAAGAAAAACAGCCAGTACCGCGAAAGAGAGTGTGAGTAGTTGGACAGGTGCGGACCGGTAAGTGGTCAGGTCGTGAACTTGGCGTCCAAGACGCCGGGGAATCAAAACAGTAAACAGGTTGTGCGCATCGAACATAAGAAGTCGTCATCATGCTTTTTGGGGTCGTCAGCCGTTAAGAGCGATCGTAGTCTGCTGGTGCAGACTTCAGACACATAATCGTGAGTCCGTAAGTGGTAGGCTGGGTGGGGTCGGCGGCAGGTGATGAGTACTAGGTAAATAAGTGAGGTAATGATGAGAGCAGCCTAGAGAATCGGAGGATGTCGATGACAGATGAAGGGCGGTCTAGTTGGCTCGGATAACGAGCTTGGAGAGGAACTTGTTCGACAGGGAGTCGAAGTCGTTTCGGTCGAACTTGCAGTCGCTTCTTGACCGCAAATACGTATCTGCACGTCAGGTTAGCCTCAGCCTCAGCCGAAACGAAGGATGCTTCAACTTACCGTATTTGGTTACATGCGCACGGACCTCGGTCATCGCATCGCACACCGCCGGATTGGAGGCCAACAGGTTGTGGTGCTTCCGGGTATCCCACTCCGAAAATGCAGGGAGCTTCTGTGAGATGGCCGAGAATAGACCAACGATGACACCAACTGGTGTCGACTCCATATCGTTGCAGAATTTCTGAACTGCGGGCTGGTCCGGAACACGGTAGTTGCAGTCGAACTGGATCAGCTCCCAGACCGCAAGGATAATGGCGGCGAGCATGAAGATGGTGGGCCAGTTCTTCAGCTTGTCACCGCTGTAGACTGAGGAGTACAGTGATGAGAGCTCCTCGAGGACGTCCTTCTGAAGCTCACGCCACATGTCTGCAAGAGCGCACTTGACCTGGAAGTTGATCATTACGGGAGCAACGGTCTTGCCGTGGAACTTGGACTGGTTGTCCTCGACCTTGCCGATGTTGACGTCTTCCTCACCCAGTCCTTCAACCATCGTAACGTGAAGAGTCAGGTTGTAAGCGACAACGAGCTTTAACGCCTTGCGGATGACCGGAAGTTTCTCGCGTTGGTAGAAGCGGTAGGCAGTCTTCAGGATCTCGGTGACGAAGTAGGTGCCCTCAAAGTACTCGTCGATGAACGCCTCGAAGCCGCCATCGATGTGGCGGTCCAAGTAGTCAGAAAGCATGCTTCGTGAAACGCCCTCCATACCAGCAGACAGCTTGGCAGTGTTGATCTCGAAGTGAAGGCCGTTCAAGCTCTCGAACCAGTCGACACCGAAGCACTTCTCATCCCGCACGTAGACCTCACGGGCCATTATGGGAAGGTAGTGGCCATATCCGTGAGTGACGTAGATGGGGCGCTCCTGGGGTGAAAAGCCCTTGATGTTGCCGATGGAAAATCCAAGGCTGACGTGACGCTCGTAGTCGGCCTTCCAGTCCTTCATGAAGTATGCGATGTCCTTGATATCGATACGGGTGCAGGGAACTTGCCAGAGACGAGCGTGGGATGGCTGGCAGCCACCGCACGGATCACCCTTGTCACAAGTCTTCTTGAGAAACTTACACCTCAAGCAAGCACGGAGCTTTCGGATCTCGTGTGCCTGCTGTCGCTGTTCGGGTCTCAAAGGACCGCGCCGCCTGCCTACACGCTTCTCGCCTGATGCATCCTTCTTCGTTGTGTGTGCTGGTGGGGTCTTCTTTGCGATGGTCTTAGCGGGCTTGGAGCCGATGGGGGTAGTGACTGGCGACTTTCTCCGGCGTGTGGGCGGTGAGCTGACGGCGGAGGAAATCGGGGAAGAGGAGCTGGATGCCGACTGCTTGATGTCGACAGGCTCAGCACGAGGCATGGGCGGGCTCACAGACTGGCTCGGTGAGATGTAGTTGGAGTAGTCCTGCTCGACATTGGGAAGACCATGGTGGCAGCTGGAGGAATGGCTGTGCGAATGTGATGAGTGGGAATGGGTGAGGTCAAGCTGGTTCTCGGCTTCGGACTGGGGAGAGTGCATGGGGTAATGGATCTCCTCGAAGCTGCTGAACGAGTGCGCCGATCGCGGCGCGTCCGACTGATCTGATGAGTCCGAGTTTGTTCGGATGTGAAGAGTCTGAGCGGGATTGATGATCAGAGCCGTTGGGTCACTTGAGAAATCATACGAGTTGCGGTGACCGAACTCGACTGTGTTCCACCCATTGTCGCTGCTAGAAAGCGACCTGACCTCTAACCACTGCTCAGTGGGTGAGCCACTGCCTGCACTAGCAGAGACCGCGCTCGAGACGTTGAAGTCTTGCGCGTTTATGTTGGAGAAGTCCTGTGCAAAGTCTGCCATGCCAAATGGCGCCATCTGCTGGGTCATGTCCATAGAGGTGGTCGCCATCATGCCGAAGGCGGATGGAGCATTCATTGACATGGATGTCATGAGTGCCTGAGAAGTGTTGATTGGGAAATCAACAGGCGAGGTCTGCAACGGACCGGCGCCGAATGCGCCAAAGTCTCCCCCCAAAGATGCCATGTCGGCACCGAAGGCCTGCTGGGCAAAGCCAGGGCTAGCACTCAGATTGATCCAGTCGGACAACATGGGATTCGAAGCCATTGCCGAGGGAAAGGCAAAGCCTGTCGTCTGAAGCTGGTGCGGCGCGAGGGCGCCGGTGGTGCTGGGGAGCCCATGGGGGTGCTGGGCGGACGTCGTGGCTACCGTGTTGACGCGTCGCTGCTGCTGGTCGTGTTGCTGCTGCTGGTGGCTGCCATCGTGGTGTTGCGGCATCTGGGCGGGCGGGAGCGGCCACGTCTGGTGCGAGAGATGGTAGTTGAACGACGGGCGGTTCGGGTCGAAGGGCTGGTCGAAGGCGTACAGGTCGAGGTTGTCGAGGTTGGACTCCATGTTTGTAATGGAGAAGAGGAGGTTAGGGCGCTCAGCTGGGCAGAGCTCTGTGCTGAGCAGTCAGAGCGGTGTGATGTGAGAGGAATCGAAGCGGAGAATCGAAGAGGCGGGCGGGGCCCGTGCGATGGATCAAGGCTCACGACGTGAAAGGGCGGTGACGGCCACGGGACTAGCTATGCACGCCAGATGCAGCAGCGCGTCCAGCCAATTGCACCCCCGCCTCTGCATGGCCGCGATGCACCACTTCTGATCGCCCGGCCTCCCGTCGCGCAGCTGGTGGGCTCGACGCGAGTACCCTCAATGGCCAGCGTCCACAGTCACGCCGTGATGCCTCTCGCCGAGGGTTCCTGGACTCGGGAAGCCGCTTCAGCGTGTCCGAGGTTCGAGTGTGCGGTGATCGCTTCCTAGCGAGCAAATCCCCTCACGGAACAGCGTTCGGCCGCCCAGCGCTCCACCAGGCCTCCAGACTCGCGTCTCCGCGCTGGCTGGCTGCACTCGAGTTTCCCAATGCCGTGCTGACGCCGCTGCGGGCCACTGAGACGCCGTCGCATGCACGTGTGTCGCAATGGCTGCTCCAGGAGCGCCCAGCACCTATCAGCGCTCCCCTCAGCACTATCGATAGACGTCGAGCGTTGGCTGCGTCGGCAAACCAACCCGCGAGGGATGCCTTTTGTCTTCCGAGCGTGCAGCGCTTGAGAGCGTTGGAGGTGTTTGCTGGTACACCCGCCATCTGATCTGATCTCAACTCTGCAGAGCCGGCGCACTCCTCAGCCATCTAATATTATACGCGCTGCCAGCAGGCTGATGGATGAGTGAGAGCTTGATGCGGGCCGTAACACGGACCAGGGCTAGCGGGGCTCGTCGCCACCGGCGGATGCCACTCTTCGACGGCACCTCACATTTCTCTTCACCGACTCCGCGAAAAGCGCAGTCCAAAATAGTCTCAAACGCGTGCCGGGCCTCGAGCATGCGCGCGCCTTGCTTCCGCCCACGCTGCGCTCTTCCATCGGCGTCTCCTCGTGCTCTTGAGTGCCTTTACCATGGCATGGAGCCATGTCCTTCTCCCTTTGGCCGTTTTGGGACACTGCATGCATATCAGCGACGTCTGTCGTGGCACCGCTCACGCACATGGTCGCACTGAACGCCGCCTTGCGTCCGTGTTTTCGTCAAGACACCGCTCGTCCAATCCGCCTGTGCCTAGCCTTGCATGGTGCAGCTCCACTCCAGCCATGACAGGAATCAGAGGACCCTGATCCTCATTCTTGCTATGGTGCTATGCAGAGGGCAACCGGTAGGCACCTTGTGATTGCACAGTTGATCTATTCCGATCAGAGCTCCCTTGCATGCGCGTGCTCGCGATGGCATGCACTCGTGTCCGGGGTACGTCCGGGCGCAATGTATTGCTTGCGATCTTGTCCACTCGTGTGGAGATTGAATAGAGCCATACTCGGAGGATTATTGTGGCTTCGTTGCACCGGCATTGCCGACGTTGCTCACTGTCCGACTCAAACGCCACTTGTAGAGCCATGATGCTTGTTTCGCCACGGGGTACGGTCAGCTCAGCGTAACCTTAGCTAGGCGCCATATCGCGTTGACAGAGGAATGACAGACGGGGAGCATGTTCTGTCAAATTCGATCAGTGACCAAACCGCACCTGAAAGATGTTAGTCATGGTGTAGAGGTCGGCCTGAGGGGGTGGTTCGCACGGCTTCGTTGACATGCTGATCAGTCCCAGATCCCCAGATGCAGGCGTGGAGGAGCTGGAGCTCTAGCAAAAGATAGTAGATTGCAAGTCGAAGTAGAGCAAAATGTCATGACGCCGTGACTTCCACACACGGCTTGTGCCCGAGACACTGTGGGGACAGCCGTTGTCGCTTGGAGTCGTTGTAGGAAACGTAGAGTGCTCGGTCGGACGTCTTGGACTCATTGCGAGTTGTGTTGCTCCAGGGTACACGCTACACTGTGCGAGGCCCTCATGCGAGACTGTTCAAGATCGGCTCTTGCAGGATAGCCAACCAAACGCGAAAAGTAGGCAGCGCGGCGAAGTCGCAGTCGTCGCAGGGGCTGCTGCCACTAGACTGTGAAAGAAGGACGTGTAGGAGGTGCCGCCGCACGTTTGTAGAGGCGCGTGTGGGTGAAGAGGAGAGTAGAGTATTGTTGTGCGCAAACAGGCGTGCGGGGTGAGAGTCAACGGTCGTGGTTGCCTCTCATGGGCGGGTCAAGTCAACTCTGGATCACCTATCACAGCTTCCTCAACAGTCTTATCAATGAACAATCACCCCTCACAGCGAAGCTCATTGCGAGGACAGCCGTGATGTTGCCCTTTGCTTCTCCCTCCTTGTGCCGTACAAATCGAAAGTTGCCGTCATCGTCACTGCCGCCGCGGACGAGATCGACAATGTACGTGTCGTCGTATACTCCCACCGGTAATCTTCATATACTTGCGATGTCAGGGCGTTGCATTACTAACTGAGTCCACCTAGACTCACATCAGATGGCCGCACTTGACGACCCAACCACGTACCCGATATTGGGACTTTGTCAAAACCTGCGGATTAATAACAATGCTGGGGACACTGCTGATGCTATGGCTTGCCATCTTTGCGCACGAGGCGGATTTGTTCTATACTAAATCTATCGTGGCACTGCGAGATCAACTAAGGCACCTCGAGGTTGCGCTTGAGCTTGTAAAGAAGCATGCTGCCGCGCAGAAAACAGAGATCCTACAACTACGACTGAACAATACACAACTCAGAATTGCGCATGAAGTCATGAAGAAGGACGTGGTCGCTCAGCAAGCACAGCTCGTACAGCTACAACTGGACAATGAGCAGCTTAAAGTCCTTATTAGCACCATGACGCTTACTGAAAAGGACCAAGAAGACTATGTACGGTATACTGAGCAGAGGATTGTCAATCTGCGAAGCCAAAACGTCGGCTTGGCCAACAAGCTGATGGCCTCGCGCCGTCAGATATTCAGATCTGAGCAAGAGAGACGGGTCCCGAAAGGCTTGTCGCAGAGGATTGCCGATGTGAAGACGCTCGTGAACAAGAACATCAACGCAATAGATGGCTCGACAAGAGCGTGAGCATCACATACACCACGTACATCAGGTGCGACATGTTAGACGATGAACACAGACGCGAATCCAGCATGGATCCTAATCCCTCTAGCAACGTCGATTCTGCTCCTAAGGCTTCCGTACGGGCAAGAAAAGGGCGCCAAGAGACCCGCAACTACCTGGTCCGCAACTATCTGGCACGAAGTCGCTCCAGTGAGTGCACTTTGTCAAGGTTGTACTCCCTCAACACCACTGGATTCAGCATCAGCGAAAGACTAGGCGCTTCACCATCCGCGACCAAGCTGGAGCAAGCCATCAGGAAAAGGCTGATTGAGTTGATCGACATCGGACTCGCAGTATTGCGCGCACAAGGGTGGTTCGAAGAGGGCTATGACGTGACAAATCGTGGCTATGAAGAGTCAACTAGGTTTGACAGTACCACATGTTTTGGGACATTAATGAGGCTCCGAGTAGCTAGGTGACGCGTAGGCCCGACCGCAGGGGCAGACAGGCTATGTTGGAATATGTGAAGAAGTCGAGGAATGAGCATCGAGGAAGCTGAAGATCACAACCGCCGAAACAGATACAGCAACGGAGATGGAAACACGTCGGTACATCGGAAAAGGAATACGAGCAAGGTCAGGCATCGATGGGTTCCATGGAATGAAAGGTTGGAGGCACCAAAGGCACAGATCCAAGACTGCGGTTTACGCCAGGATGACGGCCCAGGGGGTTCATTGAGCGAATTGATAAAGTCCCACGCACAAGACGGAAAGTATAGGGAGGGGAGGGGATCGCAAAGTATGGGATGGACAGGCTGCACGTCCATAGATGAGCGCGGTATAGGGAATATTTGAAGGAAGCAACACTTTTCAGATCAGGAGAGCATGTAATATGACCTAGTGGTTTGATTCATGATAAGGTCCTCCCGACCAGACAATCACTTCAACAGCAAAGCTTTCGATGGCAGCTAAAAAAGAAGTGACATTGTCTACACCATTCAACCACCCTCAGCTCCATCCCAAAACCCCTTCCTATCCTTCCCCTCAAAATACTCCCGACACTGCTCCACCTTCCCAAACGGAATGACAAACACCGGATGCACGTTCTTAATCTCATCCTCCTCCGCCCAGATCTTCGTCCCACCTTCGAATTTCCCCTTCGCGTACCAGTGAAACGGCGCATCCAGATTATTAGATACCGTATCCCTCTTAGCATCGTAAATATACTTATGCTGTGCGGCGCTCAACCCCGCAAGATTATAACACGTATGATACGCATCCGGTCTCTTCCCCGGCTTATCCACCAGCCCCCCCTTAGGAAACTGCGCCGCTGCCAAAATATACCTCGCGAGAGCGTCGCGGTTCCAAATGGTAGAGTGCGGGTCCTTAGGCGGTATGGCAGCTTCGACGAGGGCCCAGCAGCCGCCGACCCAGTGGGAGTAGCAGCCGTCGACGAGCTTGTTTGTGCGCCCGTTGTAGCCGCCTTCGGGGGCGCACTGCCGCGCTGACAGCCAGTGTATCAGGCGGTTCATGTCCAGGTACTTGTGGAGGGTATCTGTGGGGGCGCCGAGAATGGAGAGAGCGCCTAGGCCGCAGAAGGCGTAGGCGCCGTGGGCTTCGTTGCCCGGGGCGGCGCTTATGCCGCCGTCGAAGGCCTGGCATTTGCTGATCCAGGAGCCTAGGTTGTCTAGGAAGGTGGTGAGTCCTTGTTTGCGGGCGGGAGCGTCTGGTGGGAGCTCGATGGGGAGGTCGAGGAGGGATAGGACGATGAGGGCGCAGTAGGCGCCGCGGATGTCTTCTTCGCCGCCGCTCGTCATGTTGAAACCACCATCGGCTTGCTTCAGTTGGCCTAGGAAGTGCCAGAGGGTCTTGCGATTGATGGAGTCGTAGGTTGAGGGTTTGTTAGGGTACGAGACCATGACGATGGAGAGGACCGCGGCATATGTCGCGGCTAGATGAGGGAGATGCCCGTAGTTGCCGCCGTAGCCGCCATTCGGGTGTTGTGCTAGTTTGAAGGTATGGATGACTCTGGGAGAGGTGAGCAAGGGCGAAAGGAAGAAGAGGGAATGGTTCTGGTAAGTTATATAACAAAGCAGAAGAGGATGAAAGTGCCCAATCTTACCTTTCGCCATATTCATGTATGGGGTAGCCCAAGACACTCAGGCCCTGCAAGCTCCAATAGACGATCCACGGCCTTGAAGCGTCCATCATAGCGAATGGCGCCGGATAGTCTCCTAGCGCTTTCTGCAAGAACTTGATATGTTTTTCTTTTTGTAGATGCGGAATACCGAATTCGTTCAGTGGGTAGTCGTTGGGGTTACCCTCCAGGAACGGTAGAACAGCTTCGAGCGTCTCATCCTGTGCCTCGGACGAATCGGTCTGGAAAGTGTCCACGATGGGTATTTTTACACTCTCGAGGTACGCCATGTGTGCCTCCTCTTCTGGTGATATATCTTCGTATTCCTGATCTGAGTCAGGTAGCTCTTGGATGCGTATTTTGTCGTTCAAAATCTCCTCGAGCCGTGCTGAAGGGTTGGGCGCATCTGAGTCCTGACTGCGTGAGGACGCCATTTTGTTTGCTTGGGCTTGCTTTCAAACGCCTGAAATGACATCCGTCCAGGATGGTAGAACAATGGGATGCTCGGGACGGTCCGTTAATATTGTTCGCGATACCCCGCTACCGAAGAAACAGGTCCATGCCCTTTCTGACAGAACCACGCCGCTCGAGACAATAGTTAGTGGGAGTACATGATTGTCTCTTATGGCGGATGCACGTGTAACATATGTGCAGTTTGAAGGTCGTGAATATTTGGTTCTAATTGGGAAACAATGGCTTGGCAGCCGCGGCTTGTTTGCATCTCAAGTGCCCACTTTTCTGCCCCGCCTACGCCTGAGCGTCACAGCGTTAAACAATTTTGCTATCAATCATACATGCTCCTGATTCATCCAGAACTCTCTATTCCGATGACTTCACGCCCGGCATCTCGTCCAGCTCCTCGCCCAGCTTCTTCCCCGCAATGACAAGCGGCTTGCTGTCGACCAGCACGAACAGCATGCGGCAGTACTTCGTCTTGTCCCTGTTGATCCACTGGTGCATCGTCCCGCGCTGAATCGCGACGTCGCCGACCTTCATCGTGCGCTGCTCGCCGCTATCGAGCAACAGATCGACCTGCCCCTCCAACACAATGCCATAGTCCAAGCTCACGGTACGGTGCATGGTGCACTCCATGCTCGGCGGGATATCCACATGGCGCAGGACGTTGCCGCCTGAGATGGTCAGGCCCGGCGGGTTCTTCAAGTAGCCGCTGTACACTTCGAGGTCCTCGTCTTTCTCCATGCTGATGGGGATGCCCTTTGCGGTCCAGTCGAGGCCGAACGCGATGCCATCGGGCATAGTCAGCATCTCGGTCTCCTCGCCGAATCGCTCCTCGAACACGGCTTTGCCATCGTCTCTGTGCGTCGTGATAAATCGCTTCGGTGGGGTGAGCTTCTCGAATTGCATTGCGGACATGGCTGGGAGTGGGAGCTGTGCTCGGCTGTCTCTATCTCGGGATGATGCTGGGTTCCTTCGTGACAGTAATGGCACGGGATATGCTGACTATAAATGTTCGCCCTGTTCGGGATTTTCCTTCCGAGGAAGTTGCCCTTTGCAATTAATCACCCTCGGGATGCTCTAGATCCGTAAGTGGGTGGAGAGTGACGAATGCTAGCGTGGTGGGTACCAAGTACAAGAGTATTTGGAAGCGACCCCCTATTGTACGATGCAGGAACAAATGCCTGGACAGATCAACAGGAATGTAATTGTTCCCTTATAACAGCCGTTTGTTGACCCGATGTTGCACAACCAACACCCCACACCGAGTGTGCGGAGCCGAAGCCCGAAACCCGACTTCGACAACCGTCATGTTCAGACCTCACATCTTTCAATGGATGTATCTCGCGAGGATCACTTACAAATTTTGAATGTATTGAACAGCTGTCCGCGGTTGCTACTTTCGTCGGAGGTTGTGAAAATTGAATTGCTGCAATATACCTTTATTGGAGACGTGCCGACTTGTTCATGCGAACAGCTATCAGTAGGGCAAGTGAGCATGCACGCAGAATCTGATATCGATGGCTTGCGAGAGTACTGATGTTACATATTACATGGCGTGTCGCTGCTAATCACCACTTCATTTACCATTCCCCACCTGCTGTTATCTTGCCAATGAGTCTCCGCAAAGTCGCACTTTACCACACCAGAGCGAATCATGACCTTTCTCCAACTAAACGACATCGAGCATTGCTTATGGATAAGAGCCTGTGAAGTTGAACATGCCGCCTAAATCGTCCTCTGACTCTTCCAATCCAAAGCCTCACTCACACACCAAACCACCGCACCCGACCTCGTCCTGCCACAAGTAGGGCAACCGACTGAGCTGTCAAGTGTCCACTCTTAAAGCAGCTTACCATCCCCAACCGATCATAAGGCAACAACACCAAGACCAAGATGCCATACTTACCACGTGTGCTTCATCTTGGTCGGCTGCTCCCTGATTTAGGAACCCGTCCGCGGTACATAACGCTAATGTCATACAGAAAATGATACACAATGAATGGCGCCCCAAGTCGCTCTTCACTTGTGTCTTCCAGGAGCACTAGTCCAGCGGAACAGATGAGCTAGAGAATGGAATCATGCATGTGGATTGGATCAGAGCGAATGTCACTGCTCGTGTCTAGCTTGTCATATACTGTCCCTACAGAAGTGTCAATGGAAGATCAGATCAAGAAAAGGGCATCACGTACCTCTCCTCACCTTGAGCTTCCTCCTCCTCACGCGCTGACCTCTACGTTCTCACGTTCGTCGAACACCTGCTGGAGTTTGGAGATGGCGGTATGATAGCCCCTCCTTACGCATAGTATTCATCATACCAACGCTCTAGAGCTCGTATCATGATTCACGCCTACAACGCCTAGTATGCCCACTGTTATACTCATCCCCCCTCTACACTCAACATCACTCACATAATCTTCCTTGAAACAGTTGTACACTCCAATGCATTACGTTAGACAGCAGATATCTCACTACAGTACCTAGGTACTCAACCATCCATACACACCACAACCGGCGGCCCCTCCTCCACCTTCCCCTTTAGTAAACTCTTAATCTCCCCATGCTTCTCGTCCTTCTCATCGTAGTAATCCATATCCTCTTTGCTCAGGAAGACGGTCCGCGCGACAAAGGTGTAGCCTCTGCTGTGCGGGTCGCTGTGGGTTACGTGGCCGGCGGAGATCTGGATGTAGGGTTTTCCGTCCTGGAGGGAGGGGATGTTAGTGAGTGGTGAGTGATGAGTGTCTGTGGTGGAGGGGAAGTGTGTGGTGAATCATGTGTGTGTGTGTCGAACAGCCAATCCGCTCGCAGGACTAGACGCGCGAGAGTACCAGAGGGAGATGGGCGAAAGTAGCCGCGCGGTACCTAGGTACGCTTGCACGCGCATGATGTATGCGAGATTTCCCTCTCGTCACATCGACGGTGAGTATCAATCAATCAACGAAGATATACTATCACTTTCCACGCGATATCTTTATGTCGGTGCTAGGCTGTTCGTGCACAACGATCTAAATGAAGAATGAAGTGGGGAGGGGAAATGTACCTTGAGCGCTTCCTGATACAGCGTGGAGTATTTCTGGACTGCCTGTTGGACGACGGCGGGGTCGGGGATTTTGAAAAGCGTTAGGCGGACGATGGGCGACATGTTGGCAGGATGAAGGATTGTGGGGTAGGGGTTATCGTATTATTGGATTTGCGGTTTTTAGAGGGTCGGTTGGTGAACGGTGAGGTTTGCGGTGTGAAATGGGGGCTAGTGCATCTGAGATAGAGCAAGGAGGTTTGAGATATGAATGCAGAATGTGAAATGTAAGGTGCTGAGATGGCTTATGGTGGACATCTGGAGCTTCGGATAAGTGAGGAGAGCCAGAGCGGACATTGTCAGACAATGTCAGAGTTTCGGCATCATGAGAGCTGGATCAAGCTGGAAAGTTACGGAGAGGTCCATTGCTATACAATTGGTGTTCGCATGGTTTTCGTATACTGGATTACAATTTGAATCGAGGTGAGTAAGGTAGGAGTTCGTTCCGCCAGCCATTGCGGGGTTGACGGCAGCTTTCCAGTGCAACAGCATTGTCTACTTTCCGGCAATGATTGAAAAGCATAAATGAAGGCGGTGGCACAAGCGGAGTACGTCCTGGTATAAAACTTCAGCTGTGGTGTTGCCGACTCGCACAACACCCGAGTCGTCCCACGCACCCCACCGGCTTCGAGTCTCGCCATCTAGCTCGGCCTCGCACACGCAGCGTGGTGGAGCAGTGCGGTGCTCGAGCCTCGTTGCAGTTTGCACGCTTGGTAATTCGCTCGTGGCGACTGGCCACTGCAGCGTTCACGTCGTGTGGGCGCTGTGGAGTGGCATCGGCGCCCCGCGGCAGGCTGCGTGGGCAATGTTACACAGACACGGCACCAGTTGGCCCTCCAGACCCCTCGAGGCGGGAGCGCTCCGGCCCTCGACATCCTTGTGCTGTACTGCGGCAACTGGTCTCACAGGGCTGGAGGAGCTTGTGGTTGGAGAGCCAGCAGCGCGAATGAACCGGTGGGTCGATGCCCGGAAGCAGGCCGATTCGAACGCGTCGACGACGTGTTGGCAGTCCCATAGGACGCCCTCACGCCCTCCCCAAACGCAACAGTTGAACGTTTACAAGACCAGTCTGAACCGTCGGACGTCTGCTTGGATGTTTGAACGGCGTATGCATGTTAAGAGGGGCCGTTGGAGCCAGTGTTGCCACGCCGCGTCTGCTCACCGCCTTTCCCACCAGACAGACCAGAGCCAGGCCGAGCGTCGCAGATTGCGCAGGCGGCCGTGCTTCCAACGCTCCCACAACAGTACAGCATCGCTATCGCTATCCGCCCGTGACACGCCTGTGCCCATGGTCGACAGCGATGCGCACTGCTCTGCGATGCTCTGCGATGCTCTGCCAATCGATCTGCCGGGCCATTCACTGCCCGCGCGCGTACCTTCTGTTTTCGCGCATGTAGCAGGTACGTCCGGCCGGCCACCCCAGGCCCTGGACCCACACCAGACGCGCAGTGGACCCGGTCGTCGTGCTTGTACCGCTACCAGCACTCACTCCATCGTCTCGACACTCTCCACTGCAACCTCTGCTGTCTGCATCCGCGACTCGGCAGGGTCCTGAACGAGCAGCCCCGCCGCCGCCTGTCACCCGTCGATCGCCGGCGTCTCGATCGACTTTCGATCAACGTCCATGCTTCGTGTTGACAACACCTGCTCTGACATGCCCGACATCCATCCCCAGATTGCTGACGGCCCGCGTCTGGCACAGCGCGGATAATCAACGTGAACAGGCCGCCTACCCCGCTGCGTGTCCGGGATGCTGACTCTCTCAATTCGTCTTTGATTCAGTGCAACGCACAGTCCCAGCGCTGCGTCGTCAGGAACGCCTGTGCCGGCCCCGGTCGTGCCAAGCATACGGAATGGCGACGACGCTGGCTTGCATGGCGGCGAACAGAGCCATAGGCTCTCGAGACCCGCCGCGACTTCTCCGCAGCGGCGAGTGCTGCTCACTCGCATAACGACAGCTAACAGCCGTTTGGCCCTGTCCACTTTGGGACTTTGGCGCAGATAGCCCGAAAATCCAGAGCAGCAAGCGTTTGCCAGCTCATAATGCATACAAGTTGCATGGTAACACCAAACCCCGTTCGCCTCCAGCAACCCTCGATTCCAGCAATCAATCTCTGCCGCTTGCAATAGCCCTGTCCCCTGTTACTAGGGAGACCCAAGCAACAATGGCGCCTAGCCTGTCCTCCTCAAGCCACTACTCGCATTTGCACGCAGTCACGATAGCGTGGAGACGGGCCCCTCCAGTTGTCACGCCCTCCGCCGCGACTCCCGCGCTCTGTGCAATCGCGTCAGACGCCTGGTGGCTCCATCGACCACCAAGGAACACGCCGGCTTCTCCTGGCCTCTGATCCAGTTCGTCTCCCCAATCTCTGACCGAGGCCATATAGCACCTCGCGCCAAGCCTGCAATACACTTCGGGGCCACGGAACACTGGCAGGGCTTGCAGCACTGACGTTGCGGTGCTTCGCATTTCTCCTCACTTGTAACGATGCATTAGCGGCAGGCCTATGCTCGACGAGTACGAGGCGTGCGTGCATTGATATCGATTGCCTTCCTGTCTCGCTGTGCCGAGGACGGAGTCCTGGTACGTAGACGTTTTGCTTCCGCATCAGGTCTGACCAGATGCCGATCGGGACGTCGAGATACAGCCTTGAGAAGTGGGCCCTCGACAATACTTCCGATCACCAGCCGTTCATCACGCTATTCCTGCAGTAGGGTGGCGAGTCCTGATGATGCGCGCTCTGCAAAGCAAAGACCGGTGAAGCTGTGTCTTTTACAGTTTAATGCCTTCCCTAGCTAAAATTCTGGAACCCCAGCACTTACTGGCGAAAATGCACGCCAACACATCAATATGGGTCGTTTCCACAGAGCCGCAACAAAGCCTGCAGATTATTCATTTCCAGACGTCCAATTGCCTCCGCATCCTACTGGTAGGCGGACTTGACGCGGTTGCTAATCCTGAGATGCGCGCTGCACTCGGCTACCGCAATAAATGACACTTCATCCCACATTGCTGCACTTATGGTTCCCACCCCTCCCACTCCCCTTCTGCAGGTCACTTACCCTCCTTGCTCTCGCTCGTTCTCGATAGCCGCTGGCCTCGACTAGACAGCTGTCACTTCTTGCATTGGTAGTTGTCAAGCCTTCCAACGCATCTCCCGTCGTACAACAGGAGCCACGATATCCTCTCTTGGACTTCGTCACGTCGCCACCAACCAGCGTGTGCCAGTTCACCAAACTACTCTCACACAGTTCCTTCTGAGATTTACGAATCTGCATCGAAGCCCTCCGCACCAATTACTATCGATTTTACACGTCAACCATGTTCTACATAATGTACCTTACAGGTATGGTGCTTACAATCCCTTTCAATTCGTGACCCCGTACCACTATCGTGGGTATCTTGCAGGTGCCCACCATGACTTGTCTGGGTGCCAATGGCATTAGCAGCTTCCGAGCGGCTCGTCCCTTTCCCCACACCGTTTACCACCTTACCGGTGCAGGAACGGTGGGCATGAGTGCATGAGCTCTGAATTGATCCTAATCTTTCAAATCTCCATCATTCGTTGTGCTGATTTTGCCATAGGCCTTTGCCAGCGCCGTCACTGGCCGGACCCACTCTTCCAAACCTACCGCACCCGCCTCGGATACGGATGCACTGTACGAGTGAACAACAGGGAATATTCGACCGACGTCGAGTACGAATCGGATGAATTGGCAAAGAACGCCGCTGCCACCCGCGCTTACATGATCTGCCGCAACTTCTCCGTGAACGACGGCATGTACCCCGGTCAGCGTCCCGGCCAAGGCGGTGTCGTCCAAGGCCTACCTGTTGCCATCGGTACCGGACGCAGGGGCACCGTGTCATCCACCGAGTATGACAGCTCAAATTCAAGCGGCGGAAACAGCCCCCGCTCAGAGTACGGTCTGGAGGACTCTGCCGGTCGAAGGTCCAGTAAATCCTCCACATCCTCCACCTACCATTGCATGTGCGGCCGTGGTGCCATCCGTGCGTACGAGCGGTGCACGTACTGTCTTCGCGATGCGGGAGTCCGCTGTTAGACCACGATACCCATAATCATATCTGAACATTATGCGACGATACCACGACAACAAAAGACTTGAAGAGCTCAGGCTCAGCGATACCACGATTATTACGACCTGCATTTCTCACGACATGATTATCACGAATCCACTAGCGTTCGTTTCCTTGTTCGTTGGATCGTTCGTTTACCTCGAAGCGTGCATTCTTTCGGTTCACATCCACCTAGTCATGACACGAGACTATGACACTTTATATTCGATTCGCATTTCCTCTCCTCTCATTGGATCCCTTTACGAGGCTAGCATAGCGACGGCACTGCAGCGTTCAGCGATGATGACTTTCGGGTTGGCTATCTCCTTTCAGACTGCAGTTTCACTTCTCACGACTCTCTTATCCTGTTGATGACAAAAGAGGAAGATTAACGACGTTTTGGCCACACGGCCCTACGATGTATTCACGAACGAACGAGACGATCAAATTGATATCCTTTCGGCATTGTTGAATGAGACTTGTCTTGGGCTGCCGCCGCCAATGTTCCGTGACGTGGTGCGATGTGGACGACGCACGGACTCTACCGACGATGCTCAGCCGGTACGCGGTGCCTCGCTAGGTCGGCGACATCTCTGTTGTCCAGGGTTTGCATACCAACAATGGTTTGGCACAAATGATATCCATCTGAAGCCGCTTTCTCCGTATCTACATCGATCGTACATGGAACTATCCGGCGTGCTTGCTTAATCATCCGCAGACGTCACGATGTGACGGCGTGTGGATTGCAGAAACGCGTGTTGGTACACTGGGGATTCCTCCTTTGAACGGTCGGCGACTGCCAAACCTCGTGCTGACCGTAAAGGACTGCGTCTGTAGCACGCCATATGCTTCTTTACTTTCGGCGTCGTGGTTTTCAATTTCGACTAGGAAGTCTCCCTGCACTGAGGACCGAGCGCCCGGGGCAGACTGGCCCTAGCCTACCGCAGTACTCGTACGAGTGTCAAGTCATGTGGGACATGCTTTTATAAGTCGAGTTCGATAGTCTATATTTGTTCGTGGCTGTATAGCTTTGGCTGAAACAAAACGAAGGCGGCGTCTTACCTCGTAGCAATAATGGCTGCGCATTAGCTGTCTTAGAATTGACTGATTACTTGGGGAGAGCATCGGTGGAAGGTCACAAGATAGCTAGATAAAACTCACTATGCGACAGGGCCCACCAGCTTCAAGGCAAATATCTGTCACTTCCTAAAAGCTAAGCTAGTCTAGCCCCTGAAAGGGCAGCATTCTCAGATAAAACATGGCGAAAGCAAAGCCTCAACTGAAGACCTTCATCTGGCGGATCTCGGAGGCCCTGCCATTCTCAGTATATCATCTGTGAGATTCCTGCCGACAGATCAAGAGCCCTAGCCGTGCTCCGCCACCTCATCTACCAGCGCATGTCTACGGTCCACCCACAAGGCCAGGTATTTCACCACTGCCACCATCCCGGAGGCGTCATCCACTCGTTCACGCCTGAGCGTCTTGAGGGGAATGCACTCCACTGTGTGATCGAGCCTGTTAGGAATGGTGTGTGCGATGGGCGTGTCGACAGTCTCAAGGGTTAACAGGGATAGGGAGGGACGTAATTGTTCATATCTAGTGCAGGGATTGGATTGGATTGGAGAAATGGTGGAGGGCGTGTTGCGCTTTGAGGAGTGTAGTTTATCCACTTTATCGTTTCGGTGAGTTGGGAAGGTGGTGGCTCGGAGTGTTCACCTTACGTAAGCGTGGGTAGGCTGCGCGAGATGTCTGGTGTTAACCTGGATTTACCGGTACGGCCTGTTTCTATATGTTTCAGCACTGCAATTGCTAGCGCCGTCGAGGCCTTCGCAACTTTGCTGTCTGATGGTGATAATCACCACTCTTCAAACACGACACCCTAGCCTTATGCGCGGTTAAATGTGTGAAGGAAGTTCAGGATATTGTGCGTATGCTCCAGCGCGCCGCGCTTCGTCCATGGGGATTGGGGTTTGCAGTTTTAGTCCCACGCAGGGAGACAACATTTAGCATTTGTAGGTTGGATTTTAGTCCTCCCATGGAAAGATCGTGATAGCTTTTAGTCACGCCCAAAAGTGTGGTAGAAGTGTGAAGAAGACGTTTTGTAGTAGAAAAGGGGTGGTTATATACGTCCCCTCATCCCGGGTCCGCCTGGTTTTACTAGAGCTGTTGAGCACTTCGCAATCTTGGCTAAGATGCGCTTCATCATTATGAAGTCAACTACGAAACATTGGGCTTGGGTGCGGGCGGACGTGTGGACTACTGCTCCAGCGCTCTTCTTCCCATGGCGGGTAGCTGGTTCACTTTTAGTCACACCTGGGAGGCGTGGTAGAAGTGTAGAGAGCTTTGAGGGGTGAGAGGGGTTTATATACCTCTACTCACCCTGCCTCTGCGCTATCCTATAGAGGTTGTCGTGCACTTCACAGCCTTCGCTGTGTGATGCTGATAATCATCGCTCTTTACTACGACACATTGGGCTCGGGCGCGGTGACACGTGCGAAGTAATGCTCCAGCGCTCTTCTTCCCATGATGTGTAGCTGATTCACTTTTAGTCTCGCCCAGGGAGACAACATGGGTCGGTTTGAATCCAATTTTTGGTCCCACTCCATCTCGGGACTTTTTCGGGTTTTTAGTCGCACCTAGAAGGCGTAGAAGTGCGAAGAAGACATTTTGTGGTAGGAACAGGGTGTTTATATACCCCCCCCTCATCCCGAGTCCGGGCTGCCTTTGCTAGCGCCGTCGACTGATTTGTACTTCACTGTGTGATGCTGATGATCATCATGATTTCAAATACAGCGCCGTAGGGCTTAGGTGTAGTGTTCTTTCCGTGAAATGTAGCTGGAATCACTTTTAGTCCCACGCAGGGCGACAACATCAGCTGTCGTAGTTGTCGACTTTTAGTCCACCCACATAATGTTTCTATGTACTCTTTTCTAGTCACACTTAGAAAGTGCGGTAGAAGTGTAAGGAAGTAACTTTGTGGTGAGAAGAGGGTGCTTATATACCCCCCTTCATCCTGAGTGCACTTGGACAGATTAAAGCTGCTGAGCACTTCGCAACCTTCGCTGTATGATGCCAAAATTCGCCATCGTGAAGCGGTAGCGATGTTCAGCATCGGACGACAAAGGAAGTGTGAGAATGTGCGATGCATTCCTACACGATCTGCGTGCGTAGAAAACGGCAGACACAAAATTCATGGCCGAAGAGGTGGAGGGTTTTGGTCCACACATGCCAGCAAGGATGAAGTTTTGGTACCACCCACCAGCAACATGCCGGTATAGTTGTTCACTTTTAGTCTACCCACATGGTCCTTTGTGAAATCGGAATAGTGGAAGTGTGAGGAAGAGATTTTGTAGTAGGAAGAAGGTGTTTATATACCCCCAGCCATCCCGACTCCGAGTGATATAAGTTCGTCATTTTTCGTGAAGATGCGCTTTATCAGCGTAACACAATGCATCACCGAACAGGCTGAGGGCTTTAGCTCATTTCCTAGACAGAGTCCTTTTGGTTCCGCTCAGAAAGACAACATGTAGTGTGTTGCTTGATCCTTTAGTCCACCCACATTGGTACTTCTTATCTTGCTTTTAGTCACACCTAGGAGGCGTAGAAGTTTAGAGAGCTTTGTGGCGGAAAGAGGGTGTTTATATAGCCCCCAGTCATCCAAACTTCGCGATGTCGAGCACTTTGTAACCTTTGCTGTGTGATGCTGAATATTACCATCGCCTAGCGCTATAGACACTGCTTAATAATATAGAAGCCTAGGGATATGTGGTTCATTCCTACGCGATATGCGTGCATGATAACGGCGGACACAGAGGCCATGGGGCTTGAGGAGAGACGTGTTAGTCCCACCCAGGAGACGCCATGAGTTGCTTGGCCGTTTCGTTTTAGTCCACCCACATAGGATCTTGTGAAATTGGTTTTGGTCACACCTAGGAGGTGTGGTGGAAGTGTAGAGAGCTTTGTGGCGGAAAGAGGGGTTTATATACCTCTAGTCATCCCAACTTCGCGATGTTAAGTCCTTCGTCACTGTCGCTGGTAGATGCGTTTCACTATCAGAGTAAGGCACACCCCGATCTAAAACCATAAAGACTGTCGCCAAGGCTTTGTGATGATGCATACATGGTAAAGATGGACACAAGACAAAGAGGACATGGCCGAAGAGGTGAGTGGCTTTAGTCCACATATGCCAGAATGACCCGCTCACAAAGACAACATGAACTATTTAAATTTTTCGTTTTAGTCCACCCAGGAGACACCATCAATTGTTTGTCGGTATGGTTTTAGTCCACCCGGGAGACACCATGTGTTGCTTGGTCTTTCGTTTTAGTCACACCTAAGAGGTGTGGTGGAAGTGTAGAGAGCATTAAGGGGCGAAAGAGGGGGTTTATATACTTCTATTCATCCCGACTCTACACTATCTTCGCTAGACTATATAGGTGTGTTGGTACTCGTGAAGATGCGCTTCATCATTAGTCTTCCACTCCGACCCATACCATAGAGGTTTTCGCGGAGACTTTGTGGCGATGTGCATGCGTGGGAGATGGAAGACAGAGAGGTCATGGCCGAAGAGGTGGGTGGCTTTGGTTCACATGTGTCAGGATTTGTAAAAGTTTTGGACCCGAAGGAGACAACATGAATTGCCCGGTTATTTCTTTTTAGTCCAGCCACATGTAGTCTGTCCACTCGTCGCTTTAGTCTACCTACAGGTGACCTTGCCCTGGGGACTTTTAGCCACACCTAGGAGATGTGGTGGAAGTGTGAGGATGGATAGACGGGCAAGATGGAATTTATATACCTCCAGGCCTCCCAATTGCGCTCGTGGAGGTCGTGAGATGGAGGGCTCTATCATCTCTGTGAGATACTGCGCATTATTGCGTTATTCGTATCTCAGATCCCATGCGTCGCATCTTTTGTCTCACCCAGAAAGACAACATATGAGTGGTCTCCAGCGCTTGTCATCCCTATGCGTTGAAGGTAGCGATATTTT